CAGCTTTTAGATATGAATCTAACCTAATGATATTTTTAGGAGGCATATTATATCCAATTATTTTTCATAGGCTATGCGACCAAATTGGATTTAGATGGACCACCAGAGTAATTGGTCTAATAATATTTGTTACGTTATTTATACCATTGCTCGTGTTTCGGGTCAGAGTAACACCTTCCAGCAGAAGAAAAGTGATAGACCTGTCAGCATTTATTGAGCCAGCTTACGTCTTGTTTGTTTTGGGGGGCACACTCACGTTTGTCTCTCTTAACATCCCCTTTTTTTATATACAGTATTTCGCTATCGAGAAAAATATTGCCTCTGGCGAGCTCGCCTTCTATCTTCTTTCTATTATTACTACTGGATCTGTGTTTGGACGAGTGTTTCCCAACTTCTTCGCAAATCAGATCGGACCCTTTAATATAATTTCGGCCTGCACTATTATTTGCGGTGGGCTCATGTTCGCCCTGATTAATCTGTCAAGCCTTACAGGAATTGTGGTCATTGCATTGCTTTATGGCTTTTTTTCAGGCGCTTTTGTCTCGTTACCACCGACTTGCTTCGTGAAACTCTCGCCTGAAAGAGGTCTTATTGGAACTCGGATGGGTATGGGCTATGCTGTGATGGCAGTGGGCAATCTAATCGGAACTCCATCAGCTGGCTCTATCTCGCAAGATAAAGGGTTTAATGCAATGTGGATATTTGGCGGCGTGATGTCCATTGTAGGGGGTCTTACTATGATGATGAGTCGGAATGTCCAAGGGCAATGGAAACCATTTGCTAGAGTATAATAGACCATATTTTAGTTTGTGTTGTCAGCATGTATACAATTCAAGTACGCTTTGATGTCATCACGTCAGATTTGCTACAAGCTGATCTCCTCCTGTCCTTTCTGCCTGCGTAATTATTGTGATATGTTTTTTGATGTAACCGTTTGTATTACGACTTAGCCACGATATATATCCAGTTAGCTTTGAGGCACATTACACTTTACCTTTTGCTCAGGTGACCTCCGTAGCTCCAAACCCAGCCCGATATCATGCAGGTTAATTTATTTTTATCTATTTGAGTAAAGGGGCTAAATACCTTCCTGTATACAGTAATGACTGGATATACACAAAAAGGAATCCCTGAAGGGGAAGAAAGCAAAGGGAAAGAGGAAGGAAGCGTGGGTTCTCATGTGCGAATAATTCGACCAGTCCCGAATAGGAAAGAAGATACGATTCGTAAAACATCTTAGATAATAAATTCTAGAGCTTATTGAGCTCTTCTTGATTATATTGATTCTTATATTGTCGCAGGCCACGCCTCTATATTGCTCGCCTTCGCCTGCCGCAATCGGCGCATATGATTGGTCCACTTATTGCGATCACATGACCCCTCGTAGTATGAGAACCTACGCTTCTTCCTTTTCACCTTTTTTAAATTTTTTCCTCCCAGCGATTCCTCTTTGTGTGTATCTAGCCATTATATAGTAAGGCATTTAACCCCTTTACATATATTGATTATTCTGATGATTCTTGCCTTGCTTCTGTTGGTTGTGTGTATAGGGCCTTGTTTTGACCCCTCTTCAGTCACATGACCCTGGCCTCGTGGGTATTCGATATTCGGCTAATACCGAATAGGAAAGTAGACACTATTCTTGAAAGGTGCTTAAAATGATTGTTTTAGATGGTTTCTTGATTATATTGATCAACATATGATCATCCTTGTGATTATTATTATGGATTATTAGGTTGCTTCTTCTGCTAGGTGTAGGGGAGTTCGTTTTACCCCTCTTTTATGACCTTGTTTATATCACTATTACCACCAACTTATTTGACATAATCAATGTACTAATCATGTGGCAGGCGAGGAGAAAGGAAACACGAGGGCTGAGGGCCCGAGTAGGCTGAGGGGCTCTAGCCCCTTACAAGAGGAGCTATTTAAAGACCCAAGCCACATGTGAATCCAAACGCTGTAGGTCAGCCTACAACGAAGAATGTCTCATCGCAACATAAATTATCTTCTAAAGAATTTTACCCGCCCTTACGTGATTTTTGTCATGCTGAGAAAGTTCTTACTGTACACCAATTCTTAGATGTTGTGGCACTAATCGAAGCAGAAAACATCAGACATCAACCCATGCACGAATTGGAGGGAATTGATTGATAAATTAGGTATGCATAAAGATGTAATATATCTAGACTCTTTCCCAGAGTTGCAAGCTGCGTATGCTTCTATAAAGTTATCTAGTAATAAATAACCCATGCTTTTAGTCCCTCTTTGTCGTATTCGAACCTGTTAATTAGAAATAAGACTTGTAATTTACGTATAATTACATAGGCACTTAATTTATTAATCTTTTGGAAGGCGTACTTTGTCCTAGAATGCTGTTATATAACAAAGTGCAAAAGCGCGACTTACTGGTAGGCGTTGCAACTCTCAGGCATAATCCAATGTGGAGACAATCACACAGACTGACAATATAGGCATATTACCTCAGCTTGGTACTGCATGCTAATCAACAGAACCAGGATCACATAAAAAGCATTAAGAAGTTCTTCTTCTAATTATTAGGTTTGCTAAGCGATTGTGGAGCTTCCAATAGTAGCATCTACAATAATGTGCTGCAATACTTGTGTTGTACAACAGAGCGTAACCTTGCGTGGCAAATGTAAAGCCCCAGGTCTTGTTAAATAAAACACATTTGCACCTCACCATCTCACGCGGACGTCCAAAAATGGGCCTGTGTAGTGAGCAAAGTACAGTTATGTCGTGGATAAAATATATTAAGATTTAGTGAAAGTTACTGTATAGTTATTCATTCATACCAGGGCCTTTGTGGAATAATAATACTATCACGTAAGTCAAAACTCAGTGGCGATAATATGCTGAAAGTAAATCTATTATCCAATAACAAGCAGGACTAGTGGAGCTTGCCACATATGCTAGGCTGGCCGATGTCCTTTAGAGAAGTATATATATCTCTATGTAATTGCTACTATCGCGGAAAATCCAAGCTTCAGTCACTTTACAAATAGCTGAGAATGTCACTGTATAAAGGTGAATTATTCTTTACTCTATATCAAATCCACGCACTGATTATTCTTGCTCTTTCTTTTGTTCCTACTGCTTTATATATTGCTTTCATTTACATGCACCCAGGTCCATCATTACCTCTTGGTCCACCACGACTACCGCTGAACAGGTACCAAGAGAGTACCCATGGAAAACATTCCAGAAATGGCATAAGCTATACGGATACATAACTAGCCAAAAGTATGGCCAGAGAACAGTTATCATGCTCGGCTCGCACGACACTGCCGCAGATTTACTTAACAACCGAAGCAAAAATTATAACTTACGGCCTTGTATAATAGTAGCAGGGGAATATTTAAACAAAGGGCTTTATACTACACTGCTACCATATAGAGATCGATGGAAAAATTATCGCCGAGTTCTGGCGTTCCTCCTGAACTCTACAATGTCCAAAAACTATCAATGTGGAGACATGAAAAGCAAGGAAATTATTTATAATCTGTTATCTTTGACTTTATGAAGTTCTTCAATCTTTATTCATCAAGCCTTATTTTAACTTTGGCTCACGGCATGGATGTTACAAATAAGAATAAATACAAAGTGCACATGGTATACGAGCTGTTCCAACACTTTATCAGCACCGTTTGAAATCCCTAGCCTTCTTGTGGACATCTTTCCACTCCTGAACTTTCTTCCCCAATTGCTGGCAAAGTGGAAGCAAATGGGAGACGATATCCACAGAAAAACAGTGGAGATCTTTATGGAGGATATGACAGAGGCTGAGAAAAGCAAGGCGTGGAACTGAACACAGTCTATCTTAGGGATGAAATGGACGCAGGAAATGTTATCCACGGAGCTTAGCTATATTCTTGGTGTCCTCCATGAAGCTGGGAGTGAGAACACGACGAAATATCTGAACATTTTTATTATGGTTTGCGTACTATACCCCACGGCTGTGAAACGTGTGCAACAAGAGCTTGACACAGTGATTAGGAAAGAGCGCCTTCCTTTATTTGAGGATCGTCCAATGCTTCCTTATACCATTGCCTTCGTGAACGAAGTGCTCCGGTGGAGGCCACTTGGGCCAGCATGATTTCCCCCAGGGAGTCATCCAGTCAGGAGAAGCAGCCGAGAATATACTTGGTGCCAACCGCCACAAGTCTCCAACGCGGCCGTCTTGTACGTGGCTGGACCAGAATCGCAAAAGACAGTCCTCAAAGAAGCGAGGCTCACTGGTGAAGAGCATCCACAAGGCTAAGGACGCCAATGTCTTTCTCCGAGGCAAGTGTCACTTGCGGAACGAGGCACTGAAGACAGAGCTATACGACCCGCTGCCGGGTGGTTCAATGCACGCGATGCCAACACTTCAGACACGCTAGAAGAGGCTGCGCCTCACACCTGCGTTGGTATTTTTGCGGTGGAGACTATAATAGAACTAACCGTGACAGAAAGAAGCGATCTCAATGCGCCAATTGCCATGGCCCGAACGTTGCCGATTCCAAGGATGTGTCCAAGGATGGAGGAAGAACAAGCATACGCCCAACAACTATGACAGAATTAGCCCAGGTATTTTGAAGTGCTAGCGGAGGTGAAAGAAGCGGAAAAGGGGGCGCCAGACAGGGAGGATCGGTTTGGCCCTGAACGGGAGCAGCATTCCAAAGAAGAAATATGACAATTGCAAAGCAGAGGGTCATCAGCCATCGCATCAGCCATCGCAATCCACCCAGCAAGCAGGACCACGGAAATGCAAACGACAATCGACAGATCACACAGACACGTGGATGTCTCTCACCCAAAATAAACAGATCAGCCAGCCCAAGCGCCGCAAGATTAAACCAAAGGTGATCTGTACCAGCCTGGGATGACCTCAACGCCGCCTATAAAGGGACCACACGAGGCACCAGTTCAGCTCGAACTTTATCATTTGCAGGACAGCGACGACCCGTATCTACTACCTGACGCAGCTCACACCCGCGTAAATGCAAGACATCCTCTCCGCTGAGCAACCAGACCGATTCCTCCCACAACCCCGACATCCGGCCAGCCGAACCAAACAGGCCAAGTGTGATCAAGCAGAAAGCCTCAACACCGAGTCCGATAAACTATCGAAGAAGGGCACACCTCGAGAACCCCCAACCCCAGCAAACCAGTCAAAGCCACGCGCTGGGTGGTCAGACAAGCGCAAGGCCGAACACGCTACGCGTATGGCGGAACTGGGACTTACTTACCGGTAACCATCGACCGCCAAGCCAGATAAATTCCCAGCTAGCTGTTTAGAAAGCGGCCGATCTCCGCGATGCCTTGAGCAAGGAAAGCTCCCAAGGCACCACAACGGCAAAGGAGAACCTCCCCGCAGCCACGTGTCGAGCCACGACAAACATCACCACCAGAGCCAAGCCAATCTGTTGAACCGCTCCAAGTCCTGCAACACTAATAGAGAAATGTCGGGATTCGGGATCGGATAACTCCTAGCGCCTTGGTGAGCGCTCAGCGTTATCCCCCCTGGACTATCTCCATTCCTTTAGATAGTAGCTAAGTAGGAGAGAGATAGAGAGCACGTTGGTGAGCGCGTTGATTGTGCAGCCAATACAGTTGTTATTGTTATTTTCCCTAGTAAGCTACCGGCGTGTAGCTGGTATAGTGTTCTGCCACCCATTCCTTCCTCTGAGCTAAAGATCATAACAAATACAATATTAAAAATCGCTCAACAACATCTTGGCCATGTTTCTCCGAGACGAGCGGGTGTTGGAATACAGTGTCATGGCAGTCCAAGAACCGTGGATCTGCTCGCTTCAAGAGACGACACACTTTCCTACCCAGGTCAAACGGCATTTCGACCTTTCTGGTCATCGGTCGAATGTCCTGAAGCACGACACGGCTAGACGCCCATCTCGCCTTCTAAGACCAGTATGCCTTGTTGATATATATCCCTGACTGTTAGAGTGGACCGCTGATTTCGTCCACAACATCTACACTCCCATAGGTTTAATCACCATCCCAGGTTCCATGACACTACGAGTAGCAATCTAACATGCTGATGCAGTTCCAGGGGAGAAGCAACATATCATTCTGGGCGACTTTAACATCCACGACTCCCTCTGGAGCAATATTCACTCCAGCAGCCAAGCCCAGAAACAAAATTAACCAAACACGACAGGACGATCTCAACCCTATGTCGCCAGCGTGATTGTATCTATTGCAGTCTAAACATCTCGCTCTGACTCCTGGATACCTGACACGTCTCACAGCAACGTATCATTCTGTTTTGTTCCGAGCGGGTTACATGACCAAGTGCTTCTGTTGACCTTGAAGTGGTTTGGGACAAGGCTACGGCCCTTGGTACCTGTAATTGTAGGAGTCAGGCTTAGAAGCATGGATATATACTTTAGTACAGCGCAACTCCTTAGCAAATAATAGGGAAGGTTGGGCGCTATTTTCTCTGTTTCGTCGTCGCTATAGGCGGGGCACAGTAGGCAAGGATGTACACTTGAGCACAGAATACTACTTTTCATTGAACAGTGGGGACTGTGCACGATCATTGGTGAACACCACAGGACCCTGGAATCAAGCCATACTCCGTAAACGAAACAGAATTAAGCATAAAGGAGAAGTTCGTAAAAGAAAGAAAGAAAGAAAGAAAGAAAAAAGAAGAAGACGAGGAGAATCTTTATTTCTAAATTTAGATGCAGTTGCCACTACCAATTGTAGAAATCACAGAAAAAAAATCCTGCCTCGGCGTTGGACTCTCCGGTGTGACAGTACCTCGATACACAGTATACTCCAGGATGGCTGAGACACATTGAAATGCTAGAGGCCAATCTACCTTCCCAAACAGTTAGGGAAAATTTGGTTGTACAAATTCTGGCAGTATTGATGTTATTTTAGTCATACGGCTTGTTGATTCACAGTACGTTGTGCCGTTTACTAAAACTCAGGACAAGGACTAACCTCACCACGCGCTTGAACTGAATCTTCTCCTACACAGACCCCATATCGGACAATGCGCTCTGTAGGACATACTGGATTGTCAGACCTCTTTAAAATTAGTATATCGCACTTTACACCTACCCTAGAGAGTTTGATACGAGCTTTGTTTACAATCTCCGCTTCCCTGACCGGGGCCTTGCTCACTGGTAATATTCCCAGGCCGGCCATTTGTTGGGACATGGCCGACTGCGAATGGTGTTTTCTTTGCAGGGGTCATCAGCGGTTATGTATAGACTACGAGCATACTTCGCAATATATAAATAAGCTGGCCGAATGGTAATCCTCGCTGGTCGTGGTGCTCAAATTGGTCAATATTGTTGCTAATCCAGTGGTTTCATGGCTTCATAGCCCGTAGTTCAGTAAAAGAATCGGTCGCAAAATACTTCCTGCCTGACATCGCAGTGAACGGAATGGTTGATCCCGACGGACTAGCTGCACGCTCGGACACTAACCCCTGCGGTGCAGCCTTTAGCACCAGCTTGGCCTGCCTTAAGGCGATTTAGTGCTTACCTGGTTACTTTTGGGCAACCATGTTTGACAGAAAGACCCTCTTATCGTTCATGGTTAGCCCATCCGATGTTGTCTTTGTTCCTGCCGATCACAACCAGCGGCGCAAAGATTTCGCTAAACATATTTAGTGCGAGCAGATAATTGCCAGCATTATTTGTCCAATGTCATACGATACTAGAGTGAGAAGCAACAATTGAAAGGGATTAGGACTTACATGTCTTGCCGAACTGCACAGAAGATGCCTCGCGCAAAGAACGGAACTCTAGCGGGGCCAACAGTCGGTGCGATGCAGTTAATCTATCTTGTGGGATAAGGTGCCCAAATTACAAGCCAGCCCACACAGGTGTTTCCCGGACGCTTTGGCATGCTAATAGCGTGAGTTTACGCCTGGAAATTTTGCCTCTGCACACATTTAGTGCCCAAATGCCAGCAGTCGCAGTCCATTTTACAACGTTAATAGTCTGGAAACAATGCATTCTAAACTCTTCGTTGTAGTCTTTGTCTTGCCTAAGCAACGCTGAGTGTAGGTCAGCTTCATGACAAGCTGTCAGTCTCGTTGGAGCTATGTCAAGACAAAGGTCGGTGCAAGTATACCGGTCGGTAAATACAGCTCGTCTACACTATGCATCCTCGGTAGAAGAAAAGACAGGTTTACAAGAGAACAACAGCGAGCAAGGTAATAGTTTAATCACCGCGAAGCATCATCCAAGTTCTACCTTCTAGCGTTTGGACGGACCGCGATGACCTAGGATGCACTATTTGTAAATAGACCTTTGAGCTGTAATAATGATTACGCCTCCTTCCTCGTCTCTTCGCCTGTTCCTTCGATTCTCCCTTCGTTTCTTGCCCGCTTTACCGGCCTCATCTCTACCTTTGCAGGTGATTCCTGAAGGGCTAATTTTCCAAGCATTTCCATGTTTTCCTACGGCATACCAAGCCATAAGAAGTAGTGCTCGAATTTAATGAACATGTTTTGACTGGACGGGATAGAAGCAATGACCATGTTGGATTCTTTCACGGGCATGCATATATACCAACGCCATTGTTTCATAGGTCATAAAAGCACGATATAGAACATGAATAATTCCAACAGCAGACATTAAGCCACCTTATACCACTACGCTTCCGTTCCTCGTGGACTGTATTTCGCTCGCGAGTCATACCATAGTTGGTCGAGGTTCCGCTTGCGCACTTGTTGCATATAAGCTTTTTGTTCCGCAGATATATCTTGGGAAACTTTAGGTGGCTGGTCGACTAGCATTTGTTGGATGCAGCAGATTATCATAGCCGTTGCACAAGCTGCGAGGATAATAAGGCCGATAATCAAGTTCCCGTTAACTTGTTCGGTACTACCCTTTGCCATTGTGCTTGAATCGCGCCTTAGAAATGTTCTCACTGGCGTTGACAAAGAAGAACGTGAAGCTATTTTAAAGCAGTCTTTTTGGTAGGCTAATGAAAGCGAAGGAATAAATCGCAGTGGTTGGAGCGAATTTAGGTTTCCGATCCAGCTATTTCAATGGAGATTGCAGGCTGGTATAAAGGTCAGCCTCTGAGGATAGGAGAAAAGTGTGAATATACCAACTATTAAGGGACACGGCACTGTACATTATTCAAAGCTTGTCGGCAAATGTACTCCTCGGTAAGACATTGGCTATGGTTCAGGACATTATGTGTTTAGCGCAGGCGGCAAAACACAATAGATTAACAACCGTATAACTCTAGTACCATTAATGGTACCAGAGAAGCTAGTCGTTGTAGGATCAGTTTTTCATAAACCGTTCAGAGGATATGAGTATAAATAGGACTTAGTTCAATATGTGTCGACTATTTCCAGAGGCATATGACGGTATTATCAGCTCCGAGGGTGCCGCATCAAACTGTTCTAATTTTCTTTTAAGTGGGAACTTACTTCTATTTTTAGATTCCACTATACCTGTCGGGCTATATGTTTTTCACCAATGAGCTTGCATGGCCTGCTTTTCTCTTATCTAGAAAGTATCTAGTATATGCCGTACTCAATAGTACATCCATGTCTCCATACCCAACTTCTACCAATTAAATCTAGGCTGGTAGTGGCCGACTCTTGTCAAAATACCACTTTAGTTTGAGGGTGCGTTTCAGTTAAAATATTCGAATAAGACAAGAGGCATGGTGCTGCGTGTGTTGATCGAGTATTTTCCGGTGCAAATTAAGGCTATACCATCCTCCCAGGAAGGTAGCATTTGTCCAAGCGCGGCAATGAATGGCTGATATCTTGTGACCTGAGAGCCGCAAAAGAGGCTTGTCAGTTGTGAGGCCCCTTCTATCCACAAGTGCAAAAGAAGGTGCTTGTCACCATATCGGATTCGAAAGTCTCCATAATTCCATTACCCAACAAAGGAAACCGACTCTTGCACCCGCTATTTACTATTAGCGCCTCTCTTGCTCACTGTTGGCACAGGCCAGTCGTGACCCGGCAAGTGGAGCTAGCATCATGCTATGTACTTGTGAACATCCGGCACTGACTGGTTCCAAGTCTGCATGCATACATGTGATAAGTGTACACTGATTGGTTGATTTCTGTCAACAAATATAGAGCTTTCAGAAGCGACTACTACTAATCCAGCAAAGGGATAGACAGGTAAAGAATGGAGGTTCTGATTAATTTAATCACGAACCACTTTATATCTACTAAAAGACGCAATTTTTGGCACTATAAAAGTGATCTATCATATCATAATTTTCGAGGTAGTTGCGAATATCAGATGCATATGAAGCTGCATAATCAGCACTGAAGTTTGGATGGCTAGGTGTAAAGAATAGCTCAAAAGTTCATTTACTTGCCCTTCGCCTTCCGCAATATTCAGGATACTACAACTGTGTCTATCTTTGTATCCTTAATTACCTCCTGATGAATTTGGAGCCTCCAAGGCCTGTGGTGGCCATATTGCCTCTGTGTTCTGTGTTGCGCCACCTGGGCCGTGGCTTCGGGATCTTTGAGATACCTCTGCGAAGTCCAAACATACGAGATATATTATTAAGTAAGCCCCGGAGCAGATACGTTTCATTTAGCCTGAATGCCCTGATTTAAATCGCAGAGGAAGCCGCCGGAACAATGCAGTTTGCGTCAACTTCTCGAAGCTCCCGAAAGGGAAACAAGGTGTTTCTGTCACCACACGGGACGGACTGGAAAATCCAAACTCGGAACCTAGCCACTGTACATTTTCGAACAGTTATAACTCCGGAGTGTTCTGGGAAACAATACCTAGAATTGGCCCTCGCCGCTGTAGACACCAATCTCAGTACGATATCGATAGATGAGGATGGGAACAAGGACAGAGTCTGTTTTGAACAAGCCGTCGGTAGGAATGTGACGAGCTTCTTGTTGGGGCTTTCTCAAGGACATTTTAGGTACATGGACAATTCAACCTGTACTCAAATGCTTCTTGATTCACTTAATTTTGACCAGGAGGAGTCTGGCACACTATGTACATTTAATCTAGGCACTATTGTACTACTCGCTGGTGACTCTACGGCCCTTGATTCGTCCATGCTTTACAGGGTTCAATCAACAGACATGCGAATGAAGACATGCGAATGAATAGCCACAGGATAGCTGGTGAGATCTCGTTAACCATTCTCAATTGCCATGGATCATAGACTTATATGAGCTTATCGTTCCTACCTTCAGTGGCACAATCACCGTGAAACTTGGAAAGTACACAATCCTTGAAAACCAGGTGGATACAGGAAACCGTAACCAGCTAAGAGAAGACATTGTCACATTACAGGACTACCTTTAGACTATCAAGTCAATTCAGGAAGCTGTTGACCTCAGGGCAATCAAGAATTACCTTAACAATTCAATCAACTGCAGAATCAGTTCATGGGCTACCAGCATTACCGTGCAGCAATACATTATATGCAGTAGTCTCATCGAACCGCACTTTGCCCCAAATGTTAATTACCAGTTTGAACGTTGCCTTGCTCCAAAAGATCCCAGAAACGTGTGACGTGCTGCTCAGCCTCCAGGTCTGTCTGGTTATTATTGTGTAATATGATCAAAGCCATTGTTATAATGCTTGCAGCAAGTGACAAACGAATAAATCTTCTTCTGACGGCAGGAGATGGCCTTGCGTCGTTCCTCGATGATCCGGATTGAAATAGAGAAGGGCAGATGTATTCTTTCAAAATTCACCGTGAGCTGGGAACCTGATAAGTGGCAAGTTAGACGATCGCTACGTTAGAGCAAAGCTCAATTTCATCAGTTCATATGGGTCCATGAGGTCATGAAGTGCAAGTGGAGAAGCTCTCAGGTCTCTATTGGCGGACATGCTGGTTTATACTCAAGCTAGGAGTAATAGATATGGGCTATTGGGCGGCTTCGAAGTCCTCGTCCGTTATGGGTCGGTCTTGGATATATCGGTTAGATTTATTGCAATAATTAGGTAGAAAGACAAAACAATACAGAATTTTGTCCCATCGTTTCCAACACCCCTTTCAATCTAATTGATAGCCATCAGGGGTTGGTTTAAGCCACCGTTGCCATACTAGAAGTCGTCGGACGGCTGCAGAACGAAGGCGGGTAAGATAGAGAAAAAAGAAAAGCTACAACTACTAATACATACAAAGAAACCAGGGCAACAGTAACGGAAGAGGTCTTGGGTCCTGCTTATTGTCCCTTGCACAGTTGTCTTTGACAGGCGATTTGCATATCTGATCGGGCTCATGAGCAAGTTGCCCGACCACCACTCCCAGGTAATGGACGTCGTTCGGCATGATCACCAGTCTCGCAACTCTAAACCGGAAGAGTGTCAGCCTCCCTTAATGAGACGAAGGTATGCAACTCAGCCCCTGACAAAAGCAACCGACCCTGCATCATCTGGACATTCCCGTACGTCTCTACGTAGCTCGGCATCTGCGTGTTGTGCTACAGAAATCAAGATATTTTGGGGCGAGCTATCCTAACCATCGAGACTCACGGGTCGGAGACGTCGTATTTCTTCACTTTCATGCCAAATGCATCGAATGAGGCCAACACTATGCTATTACAGTCCTCCTTCGATTACAAGCCGGGGCACTCTGGCGGCTTTCATCCACGCGCGGAGCTAAAAATTCTCGAAGATCTAGAAGAGGGAGACCTTCGAAAATATCACTGAAACGTGCAACGCGAGCAACGAGCAAAAATGGGAAGTGGAGCGAACCTTGGCTTTGCGGATATCGAGAGGGAGGCCCCAATATCAAGTGCATTGGAGGAGATGTGACCCCAATCATACCTGGTATCTAGCACATAGTTTCAAGGGCCTTCCACAGAGCATTCCCAGACCAGCCTAGGCCATCGAAGAGATAGGAGAAATGGGTAGAAAGTTGGGAGTCGGGACAGGACCTATAGGACATTCCAGAAGGCGGCTTACTACAACTTTAAACTATTTAAGACATATTTCAATTTAAGTGAGTACCTGTGAATTCCCCCTTTCATGGTTGGTTTTACCATTTTGGTATGGCCTCCTGAAACGAGACCGGATACTCCCAGCATCTATCTTGCTGACTACTTGCTGAGAAAACGATTCAAGATGACCTGAATACAGTTTCACTCTTGTACACTCTGAACTCAACAATTAATGCTATTATAAAAGTGCTGAGTTGCCTATACGTTGATGCTTTTACGACTAAGGAATGCCTGCTTCTTGGGTTTTATTTTATACCCGCTGGACTGTCTATGCTATCTCTGTTTTGGTTTCTGTTGTATCTAACAGGAATCAATCATCAGCCTAGATGTTGCTTTAGTATATATAGAAGTGGTTACTCATAATGATCAAACATCGGCAACTAAGACCGTTTTTCACCGTGCTCGTCTATACACCTATCAGGATTGTACTACCTAATTTCACTGGATGAGCAGAGACATGTCAAGCTCATCTTTCGGTACTTCTGACCATTATAGATGCCCCCCTTAACACAAAATATTAAATGTTACCATTAGTCTATAAACAAAGTACCGGCCCAAGTTGGAACTCAATGAAATTCCAAGAACGGCTGTGAAATGACTGTAGGATTTTAAAGGTAGGTGTTATTAATTCGTTGATAGTAGTATCTTGCTTCATGACAACTTGTACAAGATTGTAAAATAGTGACAGATGACTGTAGCTACATAAATATAGTAAGAAGATAGACAAATATACTTTACTCTCAGAGAGCTCTGCCTACATACATTAACCAAAGCATATTCGCAATAACTATACAATGTCAAGAGTAACATGTTTTTTTAAACACTTTAACAAGCCCCCCTGTCTGGTCAACACAACTAGGTAGGCTGCCCATACCAGGTAGAGCTTCACTGCTGTGACCAAACCTAATGCTGCACAGTAAGTTCATAGAAATGTACTTCTGAAGCCGATTCACCCTGGTTGTAGTTTCCAGCCTTGAAGTACGACTTGGGGGATTTCAACTCATAAGTATCCAATGATTTCGGCGAACCCCCGTTGATGCTGACACTGAGCTTATCAGACTCGTATCGAATCTCGTACGTGAACTTGGTTCCCACAGCAACGTTTCCAACCTTGGTGAATTTGCTGTCGCCACCGTCACGAGTCCTCTCAACCCCCATGGTCAGATCTCCAGACTTGCTATAGTAGAGCTCACAGACTGGTTTGCTTGAGATCTTGTCGTCAATATGGATCTGACCAATAACGGTACCGTGCTTGCTATCGTCAGGGTTGGTCACGGTGAGAGTAGCCTTCAATCTGTTCGTGGACTCCGATGGGTCCCAGCTGGCTTTGTCGCCGCTGTCAGGTGCGAGTTCACGGAACTCAGAGCGGCAGTGCTTGCTATTCGGGGTGGTGACACAGTCGCTATTGTCCGGGGAGCCGGGGACTTTCATGACCAAGGAGCCATCCTGTGTGTCGGTATAGAAGAACTTCTTGTTTTGATATCCATTGCAGCCCTTCAGTTTGGCCGGCGTGATGGTCGTCGGGTGACCTTTTTTCGCCGATGGGTAGCTGAAGGTTCCAGACGGACAAGTCAAAGTTACCTCCTGGAGCACATTTGGGATCAAGAGCAGAAGCGCCCTGAATGGCGAGGAGGGAAACTAGTAGGAGTGTCTTCGATAACATATTGAGTTGTGACTGAGGGGTAGCTGAGAGACAATTCAGGTAGGACTGAGATCGAAATGCGATACAATCGAGGATAAACGTCGCATTTTGTATGCGTGAGCTGTATATAACAGGGTCTGGCTATACGAAATTAGGACGGATACTCCGGAGAAGGTTCTTCTAACAGTCAGACCTGGGAGCCATGGCGTTCGCTATTCTGATACAATATTGCCCGGTGATTTCGGGGTTTCCCTGGGCCTAAAATGTGCATGATCAGCGCTTTTGTCACTGTTGACAGGGTTGACTTCCTTAGTAATTATGTACGAACCTGTTTGATGGTTTGATCTGCTACCGGACTGGTGGACTTATATTTTTCCTTGCAAAAGTGTCTGCGTCGAGGAAGTTTCACCGAGCGCCCACGTAAGACGGAGGATATATGCAACAATCCGCCGATAGAAACAATGGAATGCATTGTCCAATTGAATTCATAAAATACTGAATAATACCCAAATATAAGATTATCCCTTACTTTTGTGCTTTCCATGGACATAATTGCTTATGTTCAGACTATACTGGATTTAAATAGACTAATATCATTTGTTAATTCTACTATTAACTAGTTGCATAGCCTGTTCTCTTCTGCCAGTCTTCTAGCTGTCCAATATTCTTTAGTACCCTATTACTTAATATTTATAAATATATGCTATAGTGTATATTTACGGATAGTTATTTTATATTTATTTTATGAGGAATGAAGAGTAGACATACAGTAATCAACTCGTACATTATTTTCTTTCTGGTACTTATTATCAATAGAGGAGTTGCTGGTTAAGTAATATAGGAATTTAATCAGGCACACCTCTGACATACGCAATTTTGCAGCCGTTCCCCTATTCCTGCTTATACTCACCTTGCTTGGCCTCTCTGCTGACCTTCAGCTCCGTGACCCACTGGCCGTTTCTGGATACGCAAAGGATTATTGGCCCCCACAGAGATAGACAAGCTCAGCATCGTTCCGGGAGCTGAATCCCTCACACGTTTATCCTTGATGATCCCTGGGTTGAGTGCATTAACTTCTTGATTATTGAGGTTTAGCATGTGTAAAAAAGATCGAGGGAGGTAGATGGGTAGGTAATAAAAACAGTACAGTAATTTGGTCCACCGTGTCTCCACTACCATGGAGAGAAGAGAGGCAGCCAATGCAGTTGTCAGTTTCAGCTGTGACTAGTGGGCTTGTTTCTACGGATAGGTACTGTGGATGGCATCCGATATTTATCCGTTTATTATCTTCGCCTAGACATGAGTTTTCATCCGTCTTTATAGTTTTTTTTACTTCCTCTAATTCCCCCAACTACTCTAAATAAAGGGTGTGAAAGAACACTCACAATATTTTTAATTATCGCAATATACATATTTTTAAAGACTTTCATCAGACATTCAAAGTATTATATGGTATTATGTTCATTTTAGACAGAAAAAGATCAATAAATTTCAATCTAACCTTTCTGCCCCAGTAAGCTTTATCCTTTTACTACAGTCATGACCCGAAATGCCTACTGCTTATTGTCTATCGCCTGACCTAGAAACACATGCTATATCGAACCGACAAGTTATCCACCCAATACGGCAAAAGTGTATTATATTGTGACACAATAACGCTCCTGTTTTATGCACACCACGTCTCAATACTTGGAATATGCACTAAAGGAACTAACTCCTTCGCTAGTTATATATATACACATGTTCGGGGCTGACCAGCGGACCAATCCCATTCTTGACTTTATAAAGTAAACACCTAAGCCTTGAGACCAGAAACCAACTTGTCCCCGATGGACTTGATGCTGTCCTCGAACTCCTTGGAGTTCTTGGCCTTCCAGTTGGCCTTGCTTCCCGGAACGGCGTCATCGCTGGTGAAACCGATGAAGAGAACATCGTTGGCGTCATGGCCATGGTCGCCATCAAGGTGCTCATTAGGGAAGCAAAGTTCAGCCAGGGAAATGGAGGCCTCGCCAGTAGAGACACCACCGTTGGTGTCACCCCAGATTCCGTAGTGCTATGAGTCCAGCAGGTTAACATTCAATTCGCCAGGACAAAGAAAAAAAAAAAAAAATTACGTACCAGTTTTCCACCACACACAACGGCCATGACACTCAAGGGCTTCATGCCATACTTCTGGGGCTTGAAGCTAGGAGAATGGTCCTCATTTCCGAAGACAACATATGGGTGGATGTTGGCATCCAGGTCTTTGATGCCGAACTTGGCCACCTCATCCTGGAACGCGGTGATATCCCGGCCCGAAGGGTCATTTGCGCACTTGCCCGCGGAGTTGTTGGCCCCATCACAGTCTATGTCCATATTGGTGTATTCATTCTTGCCAGAGTTGTGCATGAAAATGGCGTTGGGGATGTCACCGCAGTACTCGAAGCTCTTGCTGCCCGAGTCACCGTTGGTGAAGCCCTTTTGCAGAACGTGCGAGCATTTCCCCTGTGGGCCCGTAGAGCGTTAGACACTGGCCTTCGTGTGGTAGCACAGGACATATAACGAGGAAAGCGTACCTTGTGCTTGTCGTAGATCTGCTTCAGGTTGTCGGGCAGATCGTACGCAGTGGCACCAGTGGCCAAAGCAATGGCGAAGAGCTCAGAAAAACGCATTTTCTGGCAAGTTGATTCAAGAACGTGTGGATCAATGAAAAGTTATGTGCAAACTGCTGTATCCCCATGCGAAGAAATTGGCTCCCTTATAAAGTCATCTCCTGTAACAGCTCTGGACACTGGGTAAAGCCCGAAACATCGCCCCCAAGAGATCGACACGCTAATTGGCGGAACTATTTCCAGTCCGCGGGCTGGACAGTGGCACCATTAACATGTTTCCGGGTGCCTCCACCTGGAAAATCCCCCAGGTTACAAGACAGGTTTTTGTGCAGAGTTGCAGTGGTGGAGTAATCTATCTCATACGCATGGCGGAATTGGGCAGGTTGATTCGTCGGAGCTGCATCCACCGGCAAAGACGGAAAATCCGGTCTGTTGAGACAGATGACGTACACAGTAGGGACTAGGGCCAGCCCGGTGTCAGAAGCTTAAAAGTAAGGTAACAGAATGCCGAGTTCCTAGTATCTGAATAGGCTACGAAGGTCCCTCGCTAAGCAGGCCCAATTAGGAAAATGGCGCGCCTGGACGCAGGAGGGCACGTCGGCTCCAGTTCTCGAGTTCTTGTTTCCCTTAGTTTCAGAAGACGGCTAAAATTGGAGAATTAAATTCTAAGTGGAAGAAAGAAAAAAGTAGGTAATCACTAGTCAACATGAACTACCCCGTACATAGTCTGGAGTGTGGACTAGCTTCGGTCTAAGCGATGGTTCCGCTTACTTGCGGATCCTGTTATTTAGGCTTCCGGAGTAAGCACTACCATGCATAGCGAAAGTTGGATCGTTCCCAATCCGTGATATCCATCAGGTCGCTCTCCACAATCCGATGTCCACTAGAATTCTGAGAGACACCTGCTTCCAAGGCACGTTTCTCTCGACGCTTGTTTTCATTGAGCAGGTATAGCATTAACCCCGCTTCGATGGCGATCATCATAGAGGCGGTTACGAAGTAGGCTCGAAATCCTGTCGGATACGTCGGGGACTCCTGCGCGATAAAGAATTGAGGGGTGATAATCTGTCCGATACAATATCCGACGAAGACCATAACCTGTGTGGAATTGCTGTTAGTGATAATATTCTCAAACGGAGTATGCGTAAATACTTACGCTCACGGTCATCTTCTTCGTGAAGCCGGCAATATTGGATGAGATAAGGGACATGCACATAATGTAGGAAACGGTGCATGTGAGTAGCGAATATACTGCACCAAGACGTGACATCTTACGATCCGTCGGGAGAGCTGAATATTGTCAGGCCTTGTTGAAGAGTCATGGGGATGAGGTAACTGACTGTATAGTAGAACGCTTCCCACTAGGACACATACATTGCTCAGAATCATCGCGATGCATCTTCCCTTTCCAACCCACGAGCATATAATACCTCTGCGTTGTGGTCAGCTACACCTTCGCTCTTGGGGACTCTACATAACTTACGATAGTAACACTGATACCAGCTGAATGGCATGTTCAGGCATAGCAACAACAGTCGACTCGACGCTGGAGAAACCAAGACCTGTAATAATAATCTTGTTGAACTATGGAAGAGTCAGTAACCACTGTTGCCATTTCCCCTGGGGACATACCGCGTTCAGTCCTCCTCCGGGAATGCATTGTAGAAAGACAATGGAGAATAACATCCATGCTTGCGGATCCCGAAGAGCCTCCTTGACTTGGTACAATTTATACTCGCGACTTTGAAGACCAGCATGGTTTTCCAGAACCTGCCATTTATTCTAGTTAGATCGTTTCCCAGCACAATAAGGCATTTACAAGGCGATTTCTTACCCGCACAACAGCGATTTTTCTTTCATGAGGCGTCAAGAACCACGCCGTCATGGGGGATGACGGCATAGCAAAAAATATAACGATTCCCCAGATCATGGTGATGGGGCCGAAAATCAGATAGAGGTACTATGAGACCTTCAGAATGGCGTTCTCCATATTTCTGTACCACAGGGGGGAAATACCTACCTGCCATTGCGCCAGTTTTCCATGGACATGACCGATGCCATTCGATATTCCATCCCCAATAAAGGCACCGATTGGACCACCCGCCCACCAGATACAGGACCGGAGAGCGTGCTCCTTCTTGGTGAAGTACTGACTCACCAGGAGAGTGAACGCAGGGTTATTAGAAGCTTCAAAAAGACCAAGAAAGAAACGGTTGACGGCAAGCGTCGCAAAATTGGTCGATGCGGCAGTTGTAGAGACACACAGCCCCCACATGAAGATCATCGACCCTATCCATCTTCCGATAGGAAGTTTCTGCATGAATATGGAATTCGGGTACTGCCAGAGAAGATATCTGGTTCAGTCAGTCTCCGTCCAGACAGCTGTGCGCGATGTTGGAAACATACCCAAAATAAAATATAGAGGATGTCCAGCTATACTGTTGTCCTTTCAGATTCTATCGACCGTGTAATTAGTATAGGCTTTCTCAATGGAAAATCGAAATGCTTCCTGACTGCTCACCAGATCTGCTCTCATCCCATACACGGCCGCAGTAGAGAGAATTCCCTTATCGACGAAGGAAAGAATATAACTGATAGTCATCTATATATCACACATCTATCAGTATGAGACCCAGCACATCAGGTCTGTGTATCGTACCATAGGAACAATAATAAGGTCAATCTTCCATCGAACTTGGGAGGCTTCCTTCTCCGAAAATTCGACCTCAATCTCCCCTGTCTCGCCATTGAAGATTTTTGCGGCCTCATCGAGGCCTACCGAGGGCCTTGTATCCTCCACATCGGCTCGAGGAGGATCTGTCACAGATACGTTTGCGGACTTACTCTCCATCTTAGCTGCGAATTTCGAAAAGGCTATCAGGCGGCCAATGTTGGTCGCATTTGCTTTTTCAATGTTGGCTATGGACCCAGATAGCAAAATCCCTGGATTTATATCTCTGCCATTCTTTTTATCACAAAGCGCCTGATCTCTTCCTACCCCAGATTATCTTGACTCTTCTCCCCGCAGTTTCCACAATAGTTGTTAGTTCCCTATCAGATTTCCAAAAAGAAGTTGAATTATCTCGAGTGGAGAATGGCTTTTTTAAAATTCACCATTCTAGGAAGCTGTACCCTTATCTCTGCGTGTGAGCCAATGGATTTGGTCAGGAAGCGGATTTGGAGAAAACGGTTGAGAGGAATCTGGCGTCGCGGTTCCTGCCGATGGTCTCGGAAGCCTGCCGAAGCTGTCGGTGAGAATCGGGAGCTGCCGATGCTGTCGGCAATTCCGACGGTCGCGTTCATAAATGGATATAACTACGTTTATAAAGACTTCATATCTCACGCATGTCGACTTTTACTGGCTGAAGAGATACGATACTAATTACAAAGCGTATTAATAATCTCTGTCGATAAATCCTCCTGTTCGTTGTTTGGACGTCGCGATGAAAAGCGAGGCTCCTCAAGATTCCTACCAGCACGTGGTAGTGCAGGGATTGCCCTATGATCGCGGACTCTCTCACGGGCAACAGGCCAAGGGGAAGATCCTACGCAATATAGATCATTATAAACAACCGGGAAAACTAGTCCCATGGTATTCTCCCTTCCCCAGTTGTAACCCAGCAAAACTAATTTCGTCCCTAGGCCAATTGCGCTGGAAATAATTCAAAAATGCTACATTCCCGGTCTGTCAAAGTACTGGCCATCTGGACTAGAGGAGATGCGAGGTGTCGCAGCCGGAGCGGGAGTTGAACTGGAGGATATAATTTTGCTGAATGCGCGATACGATCTTTCACACATCAGAGTTCCCTCTACAGCATCGGAAGATAGTTGGGAAACCTCCACTTCCAACGGCATGAATGAACATGACCAGGAGGGGAGCGCTGATTCTCCATCAGAGTGCACCAGCGCTATCATTCTTTCACAAGCCACCTTCAATAGAGATGTCTTCACCGCACAGAATTGGGACATGTCAGAACGACTACTCACCGAGGATGGAATCATCTACCTGGAGATCCATCCTGATCCCTCGGAGAAAATGCCATCCATGTTCCTGGTCACCGAAGCCGGCCAACTATGCCGGTCAGGGATGAACTCCGCGGGGCTCGGATTAACAGCGAACTCCCTCCAGAGCTCCATCGACGCCATCCCCTTTTCTCTCGAGGCCACCTCGAAAGAGGATATTCCAGCTATTCCTCCCTGCGCCGCTCTCCGACGACTGTTCCTTGAAAGCTCGTATTACGCTGATGGCCTCAAACGCGTTGCGAGAACCCCACGGCACGTTTCCTGCAATTTAATGCTGTCGACCGATGACAATATGGGGATCTGCCTCGAAGTGACGCCAAAAACGATCTTTAGTGTGTCAGGGTCGGGAGGCTCTGATATTCCCTACATTCTGCATAGCAATCATTTTCAAACCCCTTCATTTCTGTACCAGTCAGAGATTCAGGATACTCTCGCGGGCGGCAGCTCCTGGTACCGTGGTGATAGACTGGAGGCCTGTATTCGGAGACAAGCTCGGACTGGTCTCCTCAATGACATCGATCTGATCAATGGATTTCAAGACCACGCGGGATATCCACACAGTCTTTGTGAGCACTCTGTAGGTCAGAAAGTGAAGTTGCCTTCCGGACAAAAGGGCCCAAATCCTTATTCCGGTCCCACGTGTACCGTTAGCTGTGTGATTTATAATCTGTCAAAACGGGTAATCAAGGTATGTAAGGGACCGCCATGCAAGGGATCGTTCAGTGAGTTTCGACTGGAGAAGCCCAAGAATAAAAAGAAATCAGAGAAGTCAGAGAATAATGCTGCATGAAATCTTTTATGAAGTTTTGTTATATCCATGGACTGGAGAGGCTATTATGGAAGAATCTATTCATACTAGGGTTGTATGTACTAGAGCATTGAAGTTAATATATATTTTTAAAGGGGTTTACTGACAGCGCATAACATTTACTCAACATTCTCTCTAAACAAAGCAGCGTCTTTCTTACTCTATATATTTTTCAAGTTATAAAATTCTGTGACATGTATGAGCAATTCCCAAATATTCGACTTCATTTCTTCTCACGAGGCATATAGTCATAATAGTGGGGACTCTGGAAAGAGGCTGACAAACGAGGAGTCTTGGCGGAACCGACGAAGAATTACGAGCACGTTGCCCACTTCCCCATGGACGCAGTCTTCTCTTCTGCTGCAGACGTCCTTAGATACTTCTCCCTTTTGTAGGCCTCGATTTTCATATCGACCGGCATTTATCTTCGTGAGCAAATATGTTGTCTGCTTCCACGGACAATGGAGGCAATGCCTCATCCCCAAGACGCTCTCGCGCGCCCATCGCTTGTCAGCGCTGCAAGAGACGAAAGACCAAAGTAAATCCCAAATCCTTGATGGAAGATATCTTGCGTCTGTGGCACTAATGAACGTAGTGCAATGGGACTTTCCCGACATGCGCGCCTTGTGAAAGGGCCGGAGCTTGTACGCATTTTGCCTTCCTGGACAAACTATCATGACTTGTGAACCTACTGACAAGGAAAGATTGCATCTGGCCGGGGTCGATCCGACAGACTGCCGGATCAAGCCACGAGCAAGCGAGACTGCTGCAATATGCCAAAGACTTGGAGAAAAAGGTCGCGGAACTGGAAGCCCGTGTCCGGGGTAGCCCTGTCAACCAGATGTCGTCGCGTGAGAGCAACGAATCTCCACAGGGCAACGAAATAGCCACTGAGCCTTATTCATTAACAACGGAATTATCGACCGACGTGGCGCTTCTGAGCATGAATGCGACGGCGGAGCCGTTCTACATTGGCGCCACGTCGGGCTTCTCGTTGTCGAAAATGGTGGAAGGAATCCTATCGCAGGGATCATTGACTAGCTCGGCTATCGAACGGGGTGCGCCTCTATTGATTCAGGGTAATCGGGGGGATCCACAAAGTTGTGAGGCCGATTCCCTTGAAGAGGATCCCCAGTTGGAGCTGAAACTGGCGGAGATCTTCTTCAGTCGCATTCACCCACGGTATCCCTTTCTTGATAAGGCGTCGTTCTACAGCTTCTTGGAATGGTATCAAAGTCCGCCTTCACGAGTAGACACCCGATCGGAGTACGACAATCTGAGACTCTTCCAGCTGCATATGGTATTTGCCATCAGTGCCCGACTCCTCCAGCTTCATCCGGAAATGGACAGGAAAGTCAGTCCGGATATTCATTATTCGAATGCGACTCGATTCTTGGATGGGGCCCTCAGGATATCTGGATACCAAAGGGTCCAATGTTTGCTTCTCTTGGTTCTGTATGTTCTTCGCACTCCAGGTAGTATCTCCAACCTGGGAAGTTGGCACATCGTCGGAATCGCCATGCGTTATGCTGTGGAGTCCGGTATGCACCGGAATATAAGAAGCCACAATTCCCAGATCCGGAATCCCTACATGGTTGAGTTGAAAAGACGCGTTTTCTGGAGCACGTACATCCTTGACCGCGCGGTCTCTCTGACACTCGGGAGGCCATTCGCATTATCGGAGAGTGATATCGACGTTCCTGTACGTTATGGTTCTGACACTCAGGTGGTCAAATTACTGTTCGCTAACATACTGCTTACCAGCTCCCCGTTGACATTGACGATGATATCACTGATGCAGATATAATCCTTCAACTTCAGCAAGCACATCAAATTCCGTCATCTACGGGATATGATGTTTCCGAAACATCTAACCTATCCTCATTTGTCCATCTATGTAGACTTAGGCGATTGGAAAGTAGGATAAAGCAAAAGATTTACAGCACCGATATCCCATTAAGCACGTCGGACAATTCTTACGATGAGACCCTCGACTCGCTACGAAACGAGCTCACGGAGTGGCTAGACAGGGTCCGACGTCAACCGGAACCTGAATCTGAACCTAAGAGAGACTATTGCGTATACGACACCCAGGAATTCTACCGCATCCAATACAGCAAGTCGCTACGTATGCTTCTCCAACATAGAATCAGCCCGACAGCAGCCGCAGCCCACGAGGCCGAGCAATCCAAAACCGCAGAATACCTGACATTAAGCTCCCGGGCGGCAGGCGATATCTGCCAGTATTACAAGACGCTGCACCAGCGACGACCGCTCGGATGGAATCTCCTCGCACTTCATTCCATTTTCACCGCCGGGCTTACACTACTCTACTGTATCTGGGCCGACAAGTGCAGTGCCGATATGGGCCGCTTCGAGGATGTCCGAGCGTGCTCGAATGTTCTCTTTGCCATTGCGGAGCGATGGCCGACGGCGAAGCGATTTCGGGATATCTTCGAGGTGCTTGCGCAGAGGATGGCAGACTTGGTTGCTGCCCAGGTTCAGAATCACGAAGAGTTGGATGATCAGCCGTATGGCCCGGAGTATGAGTGTGGTCTGGGTGCTCTTGCGGAGACAATGGGATTCGCGGCTTCGCACAACGGGGACTTTTGGGCCATGCTTGATGAGCTTGTTGATGACGAGTATATTCGACATCAGTTCCGGTTGGATGGACTGGAGAGTCAATGGGAGGATTTTTGATAGTTACCCTGTATAGGTTATTTTTGTAGAACCGTACAACAAACGAGTGGTCTTATTTCCATATCCATGTTGAAAGACTCCGTAAGTATGGAAAGTATCATGGCTGCGGACAGACATTATACGGCATGAATAACAAAAATTCTAATAGTTCTATTTATGTATAGTGCCTAGAAGAAGCTCTCGATGAAGCTCTCTCATAAGGTAGCTGCCATAGTCCACCAACTGTGCCCACACAAGGGGTAACACGTGCGGTCACGAAAGGTCTTTTCTTTTAGATATGTAAAATAAAATAAAAATAGCATTCTTTATATCTGGGCGCGTATATATTTAATAATTGTCGCATTGTTCAATAGTTATCTTTACTATGCGTCGGATATAGGACTAGTGTTACTATTATTATCTCCGGATCTTCCCGCCCCATTTCCATCCTCTCGCCACATTCGTTCGGATCATCCATGGCTTCTCCCACGCAGGACGCAGGGAGCACAAATGTCACTAAACCGCAAGCGCAAGGCGGAGACACTCACGGAAGAATCGGGTCATCGTCAGCCCCGGACCTCGTGCGACTTCTGCCGTGTGAAGAAACTCAAGTGTGATCGCCAGCAGCCGTGCTCCAGCTGTGCCGCGCGCGGAGTCAAGTGTGTTGGCCAGTCGACTCCCCCACTGACGAACCCCGCAAGTGATGCAAACCAAGATCTCTTGCTTCGAGTCCGGAGGTTAGAACAGGCTGTTTTTGAGGCACCTGGGGCGGGGTTTGCGACTCCGAACAGAAATACCGATGCACTCCAGCCGGCTTTGCGACAGCCTATCGATGTCGAGGGAGATCATCCCCTGGTATGAGGCCATGACTCTGTATCCCATCCCGCACAATGTGGCTAATTTTCGACAGAACCGAAGTTACTCCGGTGGCTTTAATTTCTGCATTCAAAAGAATTCAGAGCCGCTGCAGGATGGCCCATATGTAGATCCCCCGAGAACTGTGTGGCTTCCGCCGCGGGAAGAGGCATTCGCTCTGCTGGACGACTTCGTGCAAAATTCTCTCCCGCTCAATCGGATCATCAGCGAAGTGTCCGCTCGGTTTGTGCTCCACGATGTATACTCGCGTCTCGAGCGGGCACAAGAGGTCAAGAATGACCATGTGGCGTTCACTTTGGCGATTTGTGCGGACAGTGCTTTCTACTTAAGCCAGGGAGCTCGACCGTCCGAGAACGAGGCAGGTCGTCAGTCGTATCTCTGGAGACAGGTTTCCTGGGAACTGTTGGACCACTCGCAGCGGGCGGGAGGCAGTTCACTCGAGGGGCTGCAGGCGATGATGATCCTCGAGGATGTATTCTATAGCCTGGAGGGCGGCTCAGCTAGATGGAAATATCTCTTGAGCTCAGCCCTGGCTACAGCTCGTGAGCTATCCTTGCATCTGATTGACGGCCCGGCCTACGAAAACAGGGACGACTCGACCACTCAAGAGGTCAAGCGGAGGGTGTGGTGGCATCTAGTAGGAACCGATTGGTACGTCTCTGCGCCTAGACGTGAAGTTTACTAATTTGTAGATTCAGGCTTGCCAGCTGTGCCAGCGGATCTCTTGACCGAACCTATACCGTCAATCCGCAGCACATGGCGGTTCATTACCCGCGCAACATCAATGATAGCGACCTCCCTGTGTGCGATCAGCAACCGCCCAAACCTATCGACACCCCGACCGACATGTCCATTCTCATCGCTCGTATCCGTCTCGCAGAAGTCTGTCGCGAAGTGGCCGACTTGCTCGCCGCCACTCACATCGAGCATCTCCACTACGATCAAGTGCTCCGAATCGACTACCTCACGGAAGAAGTCCGTCATCTCTTCCCCCCGCCATGTGCCCTCCACACCCCCTTGCCTCTCGACACCCCGCCACTGTTCCACCGAATGCGTCAAGCGATGCACCTCGCTCTGGAGTCCCGTCGCGCACGACTTTTCCGGCCATTCATCCAGTCCGGCGTCGCAGACCGGGATCACCGGTTTCTGCGGTTTCGGACGGCCTGTCTGCGGTCGGCACAGGCGGTCATGCACATGGCATCAGACTACTTGGGCGGCGCCCCCTGGCAATCTGCTCATTTGTCGGCTGGTGCGCAGACTTATTGTCCCCCGCGTCTGCCGCGGTACAGCGCCGTCGTGATCCGTCATCTCTTCCAAGCATGCACTGTAATGGCGGCGGATCCCAGCCTGGCGGGGACCAAGCCCAGTCGCCATCCAGATGTTGAATGCAGGCGACGGGAACTCGCGGAGTCGTCGCGGTTACTAGAGAGAGTCAGTGAGCAGTCGCCCATGGCGGCAGACTTGGTCGGCAAGTTGATTGGCGTGTTGAAGCGTTACTCCGTGCAGAGCGTTCATGTTAGTGACCAGGACGGGGGACGATTAGCAGCGTCTACTACTGCTATTGCTACTGCTGATGCAATTAGCAAGGGATCTGCGTCTCGACCGACTGTCGCAGATCAACTGCCAATGATAACTGTGCCGCTCCCCCCGTCGACGCACGACATGACAGGTCTCACCTGGGGTGGAGTGACACCTGGGTCGTTAGAATTAGATGGATTCGGGGGCCTGTGGGGGAGTATGGTTGGGAATCCGTCTGCTACGGATGATTGGGGGCAGGTGTTCACCGATCTGGATCACTGGGATGGGCCTGTGTGAGCTCACAGGCTTCCATATAGGCTTATTGGATTAAGTGAAAGAAAAGTCTCATGTATTGGTGAAAAGGACACTGTTGAACGAAAGAACAGAATGTATATGCAGTCTAAACTGTGGATTCATAGGGATAAAAAGACTCATACTTCGCGACCCACGCATTCTAAAAGACAAACATGATACAAGGTAACCGGCTTAGGACCATGGAATAGTATGTAGCTCCTTCAGGTCACGATTTATCGAAACGTTTGGGAGCCCACTGGAGATCTGAATTTGGAAAGCTTGCAGCTATAGGTAGGAGGGGTCGATAAACTATGCTATTTAGCGGTACTTGTGCGTACTTTATCTGATACTATTCAGCCGTAGGGCAACTACTAGCCCCCATGCATGGTAACTGACCTCTCACTCAGATTGCAGTACGCAAATGAGTATACACTACTATATCTAGTCTGTTGGAGCGGCTGATATGAACTACGATCTAGACATTCCCTAGCATTGCTAAGACCCCTAACGGACTGACCCAATCAAAGGATAAAGAGAATTTCCTGTCGCTCCCTGCATGCCTGGATCCAGTTGTTGAATACCGATATTATGCTCGCCCCACTGATCGCTGGTTATTTTAGCAGCCTCGACATTGGCAGGATCTACAACTGAAGAGCATCTGCTCATAGCTAACAGCAAGCCTGCACGAAACAGTAATCAAGCGCATACCTCTTACTATAAACACCAACCCGGTTGTGCTGCTTGAAATTATTTTCTCCTGTGTTCATGTCCGGGCAGAAGCCTCTTCATTAAACCGGTGCATTCAACCACATCTCAGAGCAGATGAATGCCCTGCTCTTCATCAGCGAAGTCGAGCTGGAAGATGCCCGGGTCCCTGCAATTTTCGTAGATGTATTGCAGCTCGACCTGGTCATGTTGCAGAAGTTTTGCAAGAGACAGGATCTCCAGGTGGATCGTTTTGGCATCCGTGGGAAATGGTGCCGGGAACAGGTCATACATGTCGATGCCTGCGGGGAGATACTTGCCATTGGCACCGCCGATAGCCATGGCTAATGATAGAATGTAGATAGACTGCCAGATTCATGAGGGATTGGAAGTTGAGACAGAGCGGCAAGCATGACAAAGACAGTTCAGCACAACAATTATCAACCCACAGGACGGCGCATTCTCACCCGCTCAATGTTTGGCAACTAGTCAAGATGTTGCAAAACGAGCTGGATACGGGTTCCACGTAGGTACTCCAACCCATCGCGATCTCGTTACGCATCACATCTAGCCCGTAAGCAATGATTATCCCTACTCATAGTAGTGCAGAAATATACGAGCCAATGTCTTCCTGGATTCACCCCTCATTTCGATTCCATCGAATTATTCTAGCATTATCGACTACTCTTCATGGGTGCCAAGGGTTTAATCCATATTCCAGATATATTCTCAAGCTTTTGCCATCGTATCGGAAATGTAAAGCAGTACTCCTAATTTGCATGTGGTTCGTATTAGAAGACAGCATTTGAAACTTGCATTGAAAATGGATCTGGCATTATATAGTCTTTTGGAAAAATCATACATTATTTGCTCCAACAAGGAATGCATGAGAAGATTATAGTACTCAACACTCCTTGATCATAGCTCTCACACAGTCCTCAACTCCGCGTCCCCGTTTCAAATCTACTCTACAGACACTCTGCATATCGCGAAACCCACAGCGAAGATAAAGAGAATATCCCATAGGCGAGGCATCCAGATATGCCGGTAATCGATCTTCACCAGCCCTTTCCACCCCCCAGTCAATCAGCATCTTCCCACCACCACGACGGAAATGCTTCTCCCGCGTGAACAGGTATTCCAAGACTGTTATGTGACACAGAATTAGTGCGCAGGAAGAACGTCGGTGCATATAAGAAGACATACACCAACAAGGCCTTCCCATGATGCCTGCATTCCTTCGATTTTCATCCAAAGCCCGTACGAAATCAATGAACAGTGCACCGTTAAACTGCTCCGGGACATCATCGCCGAGACATGCGTCGAGATCTTCATATGGAAATCCATCCTCATAGCGAATCCACTTCGCCCAGCTGACTAGCTCCTCGCCATGGCTGGAAACCAAATCCGTATCGACAACTTTGACAAAGTGCACATTGGGTTTCTGTTGTATAAGAGGTTCGGCAGATGCATCATGTCCCATTTCTGTACAGCGGGGGGGACGGGGTTTCCCCATATTGCCTCGGAGAAGTTGTCGTATGATTTGCCCGGTTCCGTTGAGAGGAATTCGAAGTCGTAGGGGGTCATTGGACGGAGTTCTAGGGGCATTTTATTGACGGCTTTTTATTACTATTTTCTTTGGTTTTGGGATAAGAAAGGGGTAGGAGTGGATTTAATACTTTTTGGAGATCCAATGGATGAATTATTCGCTCTCGGACTGACGGAGTTCAGATACAGCTCATTGGCTGCTCTCCGACAACTGTATTCGGCAAGGCTTATTTAGTGCTGTGGATAGCACTGAAAATATGTGGATCGAGAATATTAAAGGATGAGATTAGATAGCGGATCATAGGCAAAACATTACAACCAAGATTATTTATATTCGTAGACGAACTGAAAAAGCGACGTCTTTTCAATGTTCTCGACCCGTGTCAGGTCCGCATAACTGGCCTTGCTCACATTGAACTGATAGTAACATACCCTATCATACAACAGAGACATACTTGGAAGACAGCTTGGAACAAGAGTAAACTGCTCCTGTGACCCTAATACTGACCCTACACTGTACCATCCCATGCAGTACGAACACCGACTGAATGCATTGTGCTGTAACATTCTTGTAAATATTCAGCAATTTCAGAATCCATTGTGACAGCCAGATACCATTCATCTGACAAACGAATCTGTGTTTTGCCTTCCAATTCTGAGGGTTGGAACCTGATTCCATAATTATATGGCTCACCGCCGAATATCGGCTCAAATTCGTCGGCATTGTTCATCCATAGTAAGCCAGCCGAAATAGACTGAACCATGCATCGTGGTGTTAGAGATCCACGTCATCCGCAGAAATGGGATGCTGCGGGTTGACCACAGGGCCTGAAATGGTGGGTGGTGCTTGATTGCTGGAGGGCTCGACCTCGAACTTGCTCAAAGGATAGATCTGAACATGCAGAGCACCTTCAACGCGTTCTGTCCAGCTCCCTTCGTTGGAGAAGAATCTCTTCGCGACGGATGTAAAATACATTCTTGTCGTAGTCTGGGTGACTCGTCAGGTAGCCGATGTAATTGCCATTGTGGATGATCTTCTCCTCGTTGTCGGAGAGGTAGGACAGACTACCACAAAGATGGAATCGGTTTGTAGCTGGAAGTCATTGTTATCGTAGTAAATGTCACAATATTTGCCGGTGACGATGAAGTAGAAAGGTGTATCTAGGTCTTCTCCCTCCATGTTCGATAGTGTTTTGTTCTTCGTGTTCGCGGGAAGACTGGGTGCGCCTTCATATCATACTATGTTTGGCTGTGGATGTATTTTTGGTGGTTTGTGATGGAAATAAAAAGATTCAGAGTATCTCCATACATATGTCTCTTTTATGTTACCCCTGAAGCATTTCAGGCATTTAAAGTGTTTGTTTTAGGCATTAACATGGCCGAGCACATGAAACACTCTGGGATATTTATTGGGCGGAAAGGGGAAAAAAAGGTAAAATAAAATAAGATAATAAACACGACCGGAGAAAAAATGGTCGGACTCCACTGATTGGGACTCGTCATTGTGATTGGACCAACGGCGTTACACTAGAGAGTTTTCCATGGGTTAAGCGAATGGGACACGAGAAATTTCAAATCATAATATGGACCAATTGGGAGGGAGCATATATTTTGCTATTTTCATTCGAGCTGGAGGATTAGGGAGTAAGGAGTAGCCCCAGGCATCAACTCAAGTGATCTGGATGGATGCCTGAAGTCCGACCCACAATGTCTGTTTAAGAGGCGGATATATTTTCTAGTCTACAAACGTCTAATAAACTATACCTTTTCCTTTCAAAAGATGAGGAAAAAACACTTGCAAATGACTGATGCATTTTCCTATTGATATACACACAACAATCACCCAGTACCGTGGCTGAGATAAGGATCCCCGAGTTAGAAATCCCTTGCCAATTCCAAATCGCACACTTCCGATTCATTGTCACGGGAGAGTTCAAGTTCGTGGGCCAGAACATGGAGATGAAGGATGACCATTATTTACGGCGCGATCTTTACCGACCGAAACCTTCCCCCGGCGCAAGACGGCCTCGTTGTCCTACATGATTTTGTTGTCCAAGTTGTGGGTGAAGACAACTTTAATGAATTTAAACCACCCAAACTCTCCCCATTCGTACCGAGTCCGCTAGTATCAGCCGACGGAGTACCAATCTTGACACTAGATACACACTAGATACATCATTCCAGTTACACATTTTCGATACTTTAGGAGAAGCAAGGGAGTTTGGCTCGCTCTTGACCTTTAGGGAGTACAACCATAGGCAAGGATAATCGTTTGAATGCGCCATGGAGGATAATGAGTTGTATATCCAACTAGTGGCCAATTGTGAATTAGAGCTCGATGGCAATGATCATACCACCGACAATAACTATGGCAGTGGTCTGGAGAATGGGAATGGAAAGGCTGCTAACTTGGTATGAATGAAGTTGATGAGCGGTATAGCGTTTATATCTCCCCCGAAAAGCCAACCAGGAATATCAAACTGGCTCCGATAAAGCACAAGAGTATGTTTGCCATTTCAGACGGCAACCAGTACAGTTTTGTGGAATTCTCTAAAGCTCGCTATGGAGAGCGTCTGCCTGTTGACAACCTGCACAACGCCTCAGATTTTATGTTTATTTCTCACTAAGCTGCGGCGGATAAGGTATTAGACAAGCAAGGTAATTTAAGCTCCTAGAGTGGCCAGTAGTTTCTCATACATTCGAAACCATTGCGAGTGACTACAACGCCTATCCGGCTGCATGGCATAAACCGGGTGGGATATTCTGATGTCGATTCCGACTGGACCCTTGCCCTCGCCACATAGGTTAAGCCTTTACTATCTGGCAGTACAGTTGACCCGTGAAATGCTTCCGTTGGCATCCGCGGGATCATTACCCAATCCCAAACTGTGGTTGTTTCGGCTTCGTGGGACATGAATTGAGACAAGTATAGATGACAAATCGGCTAGATGCCGAGCGGGATCATGCCGACGTATTTCAAAGATGACAAACTGGATAACGTGAATTTGTCATGGTATTTGAGGGCTACAACTGGATCCCTTCAGTATTGAAAACGAAGATGGTGATCACAGTCTTAGTAGAGTATAAATACAATTACTACTGCCCTAGTGCCAACAAAGAAAACTCTCATAGGCCCAGTCCTGACGTCATATCTATTCCTAGCTCCAGCACTGAGACAGCAATATGAGCGTCATCCAGAACGTTGTCATCGCTGGTGTAAGTTACAGAGCGAGTGCACAAGCAGACTGTACGCGAATACATGAACTGACCACGCTCAGGCCACGGGAAACCTCGGTGGAGCCATCCTGTCTGCACTTCTGTCATCCGGTCGATTCAACGTGACTGCATTTTCTCGTGACGGGTCCAAATCTGTGCCCTCTGGAGTGACCTGTATACAGGTGGACTACGACTCTATTCCCAATCTGGCTTCCCATCTAGCCGGCCAGGATGCCGTCGTCTCCGTGCTAGGAACCCTGGCCATGGACGCACAGAAGAACCTTATCCAGGCAGCTGCCAATGCAAAGGTTACTCGTTTCATCCCTTCAGAGTTCGGATCGGACCTCGAGAATGCAGAAAACCGTTCGTTTCCGGTGTTTGCTGGGAAGGTGGAGTCCCAGAACATTCTAAAAAGTCTCGCCGATGAAGGCCGGATGACGTACACATTCGTCTCCAATGGGGCCTTCCTGGACTGGGGACTGAAAGTTGGTTTTATTCTCGACCTTAAAAACCGAAAAGCAGTGCTCCATGATGGAGGAAATAGAAAGTTTTCAGCGACTACACTTGCAACTGTCGGTAAAACTGTGGTCGGTATTCTTACCCATGCTGAAGAGACCAAGAATCGATTGGTCAAGGTTAGCGAATTTGGATCTACCCTCAAAGAGCTCCTTCAGTTGTCACAGAGTATCACTGGGGCAGACGGTTGGGACATTACAGTGTCTGATACCGCAGTGGCAACAAAGAAAGCTATGGAGCTGGTCAAACAGGGGGTCTACACCGACGAATCCATGTTTCCTTTTGTGTTCAAGGCGATTTGGGGTTATGAGAATGGGGGGTTCTATAGTGAAAACGACAACGAGCTCTTGGGAATTGAGCAGCTAAGCTTGCCAAATGTGAAGGAGATTATCTTGAAGATCGCTCAGGACAATCCATGATGTGAATTAGCGAGCTCAATAGTGATAGCACCAGCTAGATAGACAGAGGAACTTGACAATGAATTCTGCATAGTAAATGGAACAGTCCGAGTACAGACGCAGAAAAATTGAAGGCATCATTGACTGACTACTACCGCAATTCTAGACTCAAAACCACAATATCAATACAAAAGGACATTGATCGTAGGTGCTGCAATTTCTAGGATCTATCGTAAAACAATGGAGGAATTCAACACCGACAATATGTCTTGTATTGGTATGTACTTCCATACAGAGTACAATATCTTAACAAACTGAAGAGCCCCAACCATCCAATATAGGTCCCAGGTATTGAGATCCACTTAATCCTTGGAGCGATACGAAAAATCCCATCCATCCATCACGGTCAAACCATTGATCAACCTCCTCTCTGCCCGATTGTATATCCGAAACAATGTCGCATAACAACTCCCCTCCACTATTCCCTGCCCCCTGACTGTTATATCGCTGATACCATGTTCTACAGCCCTGCGCATCCCACAAATATCCATCATCAGGCATTGGAAATTGGAGATCGTTGATTGTCAGAGTTCCGGTGCCGAAAATCAGGTTCAGTTTAAAAAGAGCAACTGCGAGTCGCTTCGCTTCTTCAACGCGTACCCAGTTGAGTATAGTAGGATCACCTGAAGTAATCTGGGCTACCATCCGAGTATATTCGAATAAACCCACCGACTTGCATGTGTCCGTCACAGCCATCAGCAGGGCCTGGCACCGTAGGAGAGCATCATGGTCCTGGAAAAAATATCAGTCAAGTACACCATGCAGTGCTCTGACTGTCAATTATGACCTTTCGTATTAGAACAAAAATAAGATTCAGGAGCGAAGCCTGATAGGTACCCATTGGCCAGGTGCTTCTATTACCCTGCTTGTGCGTCGTCGACTTGACCTCGGAATATCGCATGTCATGTTAGCTATGTAGTCGATAAAATAGTGCAATTGGGCGGTTGCATACCGGATGGGTATTTATGATGACCAACAGTCTGTCATGCAGTCGGATTGCTTTGCTCATCTGTGCTTTATCCTCTGTCACCCATAACCCCAGCATCACAATACTATAAACGAGGAGACGGGGCTCTCGCTTATGACAAAAGGAGGGCTTGTGAAGGATTGGCCAGAAAGGGTGGACATGGCTAAAATAGAGTCCAACGTAGTATTCTATATCAGTCATACAAGATGTATCAATTTGCTGTTCATCTTGTCGTTGTGGAGGTAAATTAGTTTCGAGGGAGGGGTTATATAAAGCTCCTTTTGTGATGAATGACTGGTTTTCGAAATGTATTTGATGCCGTAGCTTGACGGTGTCTGTCTGCACTGGAAAACAATTGTTGCGCGTCCCTTGCTCAAAAAGGATAAAGTCGGGTTGGTGGAATAGTTGCTCCGGTTCGAACGTGGCTTCGGAAGGTACAGTACAAGTAAAGGATGTCGCCGGATTATCATCGTAGAGAGGAAGATCTACACACATGGCGTAGGATTTGCTATCGGAACCTTGGGTCTCCAAATCTTCTCCTTTGTCATATCGTGGGAGTCCATTTCGCACACGGTATACGCATTGCGTGTTTGCTTTGACACAGGCATGACAGGGCTGATTTGCATCACATTTGGCCTTTCGAGAATGACACCGATTGCATGCCCTGCTGACCCGGGGAATTGTGTTCGGTTTAGTCCCACAATGAAGCCTGCAATGTCTTTGGAGTGAGTCCCTGATTCTGTGTTAGTAGTTCCATCCATTCCAGAAGGCTTGCTCAGATGAGTAGAAATAGATCAAAGAGCTTCAATCACATAGTGAATTTTTATTGCAGACAATTGGGATGACGTACTTTCGGTCAAAGGTCTTCCCGCAGGTCTGGCAAGCAAAGGACAATGGCTCTGTATGCTGCCTTACATGTCGATTAAGGTGTTCACGACGCCGGAATTTTGATTCGCACCCTGTAATTGGACAAGAAAAATAGCCTCTCTCGCACTTGGATCCTTCATTGAACATTTTATGCTGGGAATTTTTTATAATTGTTTGTCTTCAAGAATTAGAAGAATAATACTGTGTGACATCCTCGATCTTTTGTATACAAGAAGTCATAGAACCAAGTTCCAGCTCCAATGTCCTACCTGATAGCCGTCTACGGCAGACTTTGGGGATCAGTCAGCGAATCTGCATGGGCCGAGTGGGAGAAAAGCTAATTTCTCCGTGGACACCAGAATCCGGGAGGGAGAGTTGAACCTAACCTGCTCCGACATAGCCTCATCACACTGCACTAACAGAACAGACTGTAAGGATTCCATTCCCCACATTCCTCGCTTATTGCTGGCACGATGGAATTCACCCGAAACACTGTAGCTGCCCTGGGGCAGCGAACACGATTGGCACAGAATATGGCTCACTCACCAGTGGCCCTCGCCATTATTGCATAGCGGCTGAAGCTTATCCTTTTTTGAGAACAAGCCCTAACCGCAATTGTGTAAATCAACGAAGCACGTCAGTTACAGCTGCGCCTTGGACGTGGGTCTTCAAGGCTGAGGACTAAAATAGCCGAGATTATGAGGTAGTTATAAATTTACAAGGCATATCACAATGGCTCTCTTTGCAGAGAGCCTGCCATTGTTATCTCATTGGCATACTATTTGTAAAAGCAGTTTTGGAAGGGATCAGTATCCCACGCGGCATAATGTTACTCCAAACAACTCTAACAAGGTGCAGTAGCTTACCAAGCGTAATAAAGCCAGGGCGCTCCCAATGACCATACTGGGCTTAATATAAATGGAACTTAGAATATCAGGGAGATGTTGTCCATCTGGAACGGTGTAGGGCTGTAGAAACTCACTATTCGCAGTCATTGTCTCAATGCTCTCATCGCTCATTTTCGCTCTCCTCTCCACGGAGTCGTTTGGGGAAAACCTTCGTCAAAATATCACCCAAAAAGCCGGAAACTCTCCTACGGTAGAGATACACAATGGGACCCTCGAGGGCACCTACAATGAGTTCTACCAACAGGACCTTTTCCTCGGAATTCCATATGCCCAGCCACCTGTTAATGAACTTCGCTTCCGTACGCCGCGGCCTTTGAGCAAATGGGACGGAGTGAAGAAAGTTGACAGTTATGGACCATTTTGTCAAGGTCATCAAGGTATACTTCCAGGGTTTGACCAGAAAGGCGTTCGATATAAAGAAAGCGAGGACTGTTTGTCAATCAATGTTGTTCGACCTACCGGACACTACCAATCCAGTGCCCTTCCCGTCTTGGTCTGGATTTATGGCGGTGGTTTTATTGAAGGAGGGAGCGGGGATAGGCGATATAACATGTCATATCTTGCGAAAACATCGGTCGAAATGGACATGCCCACGATCATGGTTAGCTTTAACTACCGTGTCTCCGGCTGGGGATTTCTAGCAGGGTCGGAGATGGCCAAGTATGGCCTACTAAATCTGGGCCTCAAGGATCAGCGCATGGCCCTTCGTTGGGTCCAGGAAAACATTCATTACTTCGGGGGTGATCCCATGCGCGTTACAATTCATGGCGAGTCAGCGGGTGCTGCTTCCGTTGGCTTTCATCTTTTAGCACATGGTGGCCGTGATGACGGACTTTTTCGGGCTGCAATTGCTCAGAGTGGAGGCCCTTTATCCTACTCCTCGTTTGACTCTGTCTCTGCCGGAGATGCGAGATTCCATTCTGTCTTGAATGCAACCGGCTGCCATGACGCTTCTGATACAATGCGATGTCTGCAGACACTACCAGCCGCCATCTTGCAAAATTCATTCGCTCAATATCCGTGGTATCCTTCCTTGGATGGTGACTTAATATCAGATTACACCTCGGTATCACTTAAGAAGGGTGAATTCGTCAAGGTCCCGTTGTTAATCGGGTCAAACACGAACGAAGGAACTCCATTTATGCAACTACTTCCAAATATAGCAGAAAATTTTGATGGGGCAGTTCTTTCTCTAAGCACAGGGAAGTTGGGGTCGACTGTTTTAGAAGATCTTAACAGGTTATACACAATAGCAGCGGATGATTCCGCCGACTATGGATTGGGAACGGTTGTAGCCAACCCTGGCTCTCCATATGGCCCTGACTATGGAAAGGTTACACTATTTCTAGGCGACTACATGTTCACATCGGGGAGGCGAACTGCAACAAGAAAATGGGCAGAAGGCAAGATACCAGTATACAGCTACAGGTTCAACACAGTGCCCGCCGGTGTCTCCCCGCAAATATTGGGTTCGGCCCACTTTGAGGAGGTAGCCTATGTCTTTCGCAATACCGATGGCAATGGCTACGAAACAAACCCGTTTAATGTGTCAATGACAAAGAGGGGGCAATTCGAGTGCCTGAGCGAGATTATGAGCCGCATGTGGTTGAGCTTTGTGAACACAGGGTCACCAAACCATCATGGACGTAAGTATATTATTCATTTTTCAGCGTCGCTACTAACTTTATCATTTATATAGTATCTTCGGTGTCAACTTCATGGCCAGCTTATACCCTTGATAAGCCTCAGAATATAGTGTTCGCTCCAGACAATGTGCATTTGGAGAAGGACAACTACCGAGTGAAAGCAATGGACCTGATAGATAGCTCTGCACAAGAGTTCTCCCGTTAGGATCTAGTTTACAGTGGAATAAAGGTTAATTTGCTTTTTAGGAGGCACCATATGTGCAGTTTATTGCAGCCGCAACCTCACAACCCTAGGCATATTCAACTTTGGCTATGTAGCCTACGCTCTATAAACAAGTTAGGCTATATAATTGACATAAACTTTACCTCTAATCTCTACCCTGGCCACCCGATATTGGTTGTTGCATACTATCTGTTGTCTACTATTTATAGAGGCGCTTTATACAAGATCAGGTGTTGAAAATAGCAAATCATTTAGTTAACAACCAAATCCTTTCTCCATAAATATAGCACATTGAGATGTCCCGAAGTGTAGAGTACAGGACAGGACAATGTAAACTTCATGCAATGGAAATGTTGGATCAACTCCTCGTATTTTTCATTCCATGCCCTTACAATTGCCTGACTCTTTGGAAACTTCATCCGAATAACTGTATCAAAACTATCCTCTGACAGATCCATGGTGAGTATATGCTCACAGTGCTCGGTATGTCCGTATTCGGCAATATAGGTATCGATAACCCCCTTTGGAACCAGCGGTGCATACTTCGCCATTGATATATAAATACAAAACGTGATACATGTGTTACCGATAGCTCTGAGATGTCTCCCCTGAGCACCCCCTCGCGAGGTACAAGAATAAGCCCTTCTTGACCCTTGTCTAGGTCAAATTTTGCCGCTGTAGAAATTGTTCGCTGAGTTCGTTATTGTAACAGGCAGGTCGTAACTATGAGAGACTCATCACATCGAACAAAAAACCTTTGTTTTGGGCTTCGGTAGTAGATGCACCAGTCACCGAAAACGGTGGATAGACTTCCTAGCCTTGTGTGGACAATGCTCTGGATGCCGTTGTTAAGGACTACGAAGAAGAATGGTTGTGAGAATGAAGATGAATATGGTTGCAGATATCAGATTGATATCGGTCTACTGTTTCTTGTCCTGCAGTTTGCTGCGAGTATATTGCAGTGGAATGGTTTTTTGTCTGTCTGTGCTGATGTCTTTCATATTATGGTAGGCGTGTTGATTTAGACGCCGAATATGCTAGCACGGTTGACGGAAGGACCGATGGATAAGCCTAGTTGAGGAGATGGCCGAGTAAATGAGAGGCAATTATAATATATTAATATTTAAACAATACACTGTGGTAGGCGCACTAATTCTCGTGCTTATTACCCAAGTATATTCCATTTGCCTTCCATAAATTAGTTTGTGTCTATTTCTTCCAGGCTTCCTTTAGCCCCGGTTTAGGTCACGCGTTACCCTCCGTAGGGACAAGTAGGCAGTACACGTCCTCCATTGACGAAGTATCAATGCAACCCCCTCCTGTTTTGTTCTACAGAAGAATATGTAACTGTGAAAAAGGTAATACTACAGTCAGTGAAAATCTAATGACTTGCTTTCTTGGATGCCTGTGACGTGGTTCTTTGCCACCTTCCTCTAGCTGCTGCAATGGTCAGATCTCTATCCTTCTACACGGTAAATCAAAGTGATGGATGATATCGTCTGGGCCCTCCTATGTTTAAACGGTCTTCTATGCCTCTCTATACATGGGGAACTGCACCTAGTATCTTGAGGTAATTTTGTCATGCCTTCCGATCCCAGTGGCTTACCCAGGATAGGAAAATATAAGAGAGCTGTCCATTAGTTGGGCTTTTGTACTACCAGCGACCCCAAAAGGACCCATGTATCTCATGCCTTGCTACGGGCTTGGGCTGTGTGTTTATAGAGAGAGGGTTGCGAGTGACGGTCAAAGGATCGAATGCATTCAACCCACGTTTACCCAGCATTGGTCTCTGGCCCCCGAAAGCCAAGATGAATCTGTTCCTTGCTGACATCAGTATACTATTTCGTAGCCATCAGACTCACTACCGTTGACATAATCCACAGCCATTGTTTGAAGGCCGCAGAATCCCTCGGCGATAGGTAGGCATGTCTTGGGTAATGCCTGAGGTGTCTTGGCTGGTTTAGCTTATGTCAAGCTCGCAGTGTTTCCTAAATCATCATGTAGATATGGCAGTTATTTCGGTACTTTCAGTGTATCCTGCGCAGCTAACACTCAAAGAGACACTGGAGAGGGCCTCCTGAAAATATTATAATTACAGTTCTACATATCCCATAGCTCTAAACCATCGGTTTTTCTGTTGTCTAGTTCTCATGCCATTTCGGTACAAGCTGATATCAGCGGAGCGGTGTGAATTTGACTCCGAAAATGCACTGCTTACAAGTGAAAAGGGAGAAGGGCAGCCAAAAGCTCACCCTTTTTTTTTCATATAGACTTCCATTAGCCTGCACGATATGCATTCTATGCGGCGGTCCCATCTTTCATTTTATAATGCACAACACCCATATTGTGGCTAAGAAATGCCTTTCACCCCTTGAGTTTGGTACATATTGCGCTTCTCTGTGACGCTGAGCCGACAACAAAATTGCTAAATTCTCACTTCATTACAGAGGGCGAAGCTGAGGCTATCGAATATTAGACGGTGATTCTGCAGCCAGGCAGATTTGGTGACGACAATGCTCTCATAACCTATTCTCTGGTATTCATTTTAGCTAATAAGCATACATTCCCGACTAACAGTATCCAGTGGAGATAACAGAATAACTCCGGAAGAGAATGCTTTTTTATCCGGCCGACAGATGAAACACCCGAGACGCATTGCCAATATTACATCCAGATTGAAGTCTTTCCCCAGCTTCACTGTCTGAACTTCCTACGACAACAAGTTTATCGAATCTCGGATCCGGATTTCCCCGAGTCACATGAGAAACATGTCCTTATGTATTAAGTATTACCCCAGACTCGTCGTGATCGCAGTATATCCTATACATCACTATCTAACTAGAATACCTAGGACACTGTATGGACTATCTCCGCCAGGTCTTAATGTGCCACGGCGACGCCCACACAATCACAATGTATCGGAAACAAGGCATTCATCGAAACTTCTGGCCGAGTTTCACGATCCCCCATATCTGTCGGAACTGGAATAGTCTGACTGAATGGGCGGCAAAAAGAAATACCACTGGGGGCACGATAGAGTATGCCTAATATTTCTCTGGATGTTATATCGTATACATTTCTTAGTAGTCGACACTGAGATTTAAGCTCTTCCCGGAATCTGGTGGTTTAGTTTCCTGAGAAATAGAAAGATTATACGATATTTTGAAGGCATACACTGGCCTTATTATCCCCCCCTTTTTTTATCCTTCGTTTCCTGTTTCTAAGGAATGCGGTCCTGTATTCTACTATATCACACACATGGTTTAGTTCTGCATTTACCGCGTTGAATGAATGGACTGCAAACCAACTGGCTATAGCTACATTCTATATTATATATTATTCTCCTATTAATCGCTCAATCTCCTATCACCATCCAGAGCATCATACCAATCCAGGAAACTGAAACCACCACTGTGATGATAGCAGCACCAGCACGATCTGCCGTCCCTATTTCCCTGGGGAGCTTATGATTATCCTGTGGGTCCTGACTGCCCGTTCCAGCAGTTGGATCGCTTTTGCTAGTGCCCCCAGTGTCCGCTGTCAATGGTCCCTGCTCCTTGTGTTTGTCGTCGAAAGGTTCCATAATCGCTGAGAAGATGCTTAAAGCACACATTTCTTCATGCATACCTGTAGTCCCGTCAAACTTATCCAGATACCATCGCTGACCACAGTGCTTATGATCAGCGAGACCCGTACACTGCTTAGCCGCCCCTATGGCTGACTGCTGCAATCTCGGTATGATTGCATCTGCTGTGTAGGGCATAATCGAGGCCACGAAGACTAGCCATGAGGATGTCAAACTCTTAAATGTATCTTGGTTGCCGTCACAACCAACTGCTCCTTTCGATTCGCAAGCGACTTCAGACAAAATCATGCCTTTGAAAAAGAGGCGGATCGTGGAATTCAGTAGGTTATCGGCAACGTCCTTCCATTTATTTTCAGTTGTCTATGTAGTATGTCAGCAGGTTCGCTTAAAGCCTGTTGGCGAAGTGGGCTGACTCTGACAGCCACATTTCTCGTACCAAGTTATACATGTATGCAGCACCGCTTAGGTAGATACCATAGTTGTATGACCATTGGTCTCTACCGGGGCTTTTACACTGGTCGTCTACGTTAACAGTGTCGTAAACAGACCAGGTAGAGTTGTCTATCAGGGGAACCGATACACTCCAGTCCCAGACCTTCTCTGCCCATTCCACATAGGTGTGGTTGTCTTTGAGGTATCGAGCAAGCCGGCTAGACAGTTGGAAAAGCCCGCCATTAGAAACAGAATTCTTTAGATTCCAGCCTCCATTCAAAGGATTTCGCTGCCATCGCAGGCCACCATGGCAATTTTTGGTATCCCATTCTCGAACTTGGGTGTTAAACACGCCTTGGGCCAACGACACCCAGGACGGCTGCCCGTCTTCCTCGGGGAAATTCAACTCAGCCGCAGTCATTGCTGCCAAACCCCAAAACACCTGGTCATCATTGCCCAAATCCTGGGTGTAGTTATCGGGCAAGTAATCATTATGCCCCTTCTGCCAAAGGAGAGCCTGTCGAGTAACATCGTTGTAGGATGTGTCGCCCGTCCAGTACCAGTATTGCACCAGGGCCATACACATTTCACCACCAGTCCACCAGGTGCCAGGCAACTTGCCAGGAATCTGCCCAGATTCGTTACCATGATAATATGACATCATATTGAACGCGGCGGTCGCAGCAGCATTTTTGATCGATTCTGCCAGAAGAAGTGTCAGCCGTGAGGTGGCCAATCATACATTTAAGAAACCGAACGGACCGGGATCGTTGATATCAAGCGGAATCCCCTCCGCAATCCCTTGGAAAGCCGTAAACGCTCCCAGGGCAATAATCAAAGAACGTATCATCGCACTGTTTGTTCGTGCCACTGCTGACACGACAGTCGATATGACTCAAGCTTCACGCTCCTCAACCCGCTAAGAAAGTCTCAGTACAGGAGTCTCGTTTTTATCCGTTTCTTTACTCTACTCGGTACGTAGAGTACGTTGCAGCTCACATTGGGGGGATATGCTGCGCAGGAACAGCATTTGATCCATCCACATGCTTATTTCTCGGTTTAAATTTAACCATCGCGATGAAACACGAGACACAAGGGAAGATGGCAAGCCAAGAGACTAGTGGTTGGTACCCCACTTCTCCAATTTGCTTAGTTCAAGGGCTTGTCGCGTAGTTCCAAGACTTGGCCAGTGATAAGGCGACTACTCATGTAATCCGGAGTAACCGCTGCCACTAATGTCCCTGGATCGTCATTAATATGGCGAACTTTTCCACCGGTCGGATTATGACAAGCTTCCGATAGGTGGTTCATGATGCTGAGCTTACCATTAGAGGATAAAGGGGAATGTCGCGGACATCGGCCCCCATACCACTCCGAGAGCGATGGGGATGATCTGAATTTAAGTCCTATGGCAACACACCTGACCAGAACGGGAGGCATATCATGGAGAATGAAGGCAAGAGACGGTTACTTATAAACTAATTATACATGCAGGAATGTATAGAAAATCCATCGAACATTTGCAACACTGCTTCGTGGATGGTACGAGCAATGCTTACGTGTTACGACCAACCCCACATCATTTTGCATGGTTATATCTGGAAGAGGGCTGTGCATGTTGGGCCCAAATATTTTATTTAGTTGTTAGACACTCAACCTGTCAACAAAATACCCAGGCGCTTGGTATGTATGGTGTGGTGTAGACCGAGTAATGTTTATGCCCAACAGGCCATGATTTCATTATCCCAGGCCTACCCTATTCCATGTGGGATAGGGGTTAGACTGCGGTAAAATGCGTCATGGGTCACCTGCACGCGCTTTATGTGTCAACACCTACAGTATACATTAATAGTGAATAACAAAAACAACAAATGCATTAATAGTTCAGACTGCCAAGCTACACGTCTCCAGAGTGTCAGGGAATTCCGCATCTTGGCGTGGATAAGCTTTCCAAGAACCGTTAATCGTTGACATATAATACTATAGTCTGGTGGTAAATATTTGCCTCGAGTAAAATTAATAGCTTAGGGATAGCGGCTTGGTGGTCCGAATTGATCATGAAAGTGACTGCATGCAGAGGGATTGTGGGATGTGTACTGTACAATGTTGGAAGCGATTGCTTACTCTATTGAATGGGTGGCCGGATGGCCGCTAACTACTAACTAGTTAGTTAACTACTAAGAACTTGCTTATATAAATAATGACTAAGCGGGGTCGAACCTGTAACCTGCCGAGGCCCCTGGATCGAAGAGAATTGTGTCTTGTGAACATACAAGCGAGATCACGTGAATGATTGGTCATAAGGAAATATATTTATCCGTGACAGGGGCAGTCAAGTGACGCCGGGAGATATCAATCCCATCACCGTCAACATAATTTATATTTGTTTGTGAATAGTCTCTTTTCAGTCAAGGCATATATATCATCTGCCAAGTAGTGATATAAATCCCAAGGGACTGGCGTTATGCTACCATGAAAAGAGCACATGGATGTGTATCAGCTGGGTTAATGTCGTCGAATGAAGATGTTAAGAAGATTCCCTGGCGAATAGTGACCAGCCTAAGCCAGGAACTACAGTCAAGTTACCGGTAGAAGGTTTCTGGCTCCCAGACTTGCATAATATTTCCCAAGGGTATTCGCCTGAGAGTTCTTCTCATCCAAGATCGTTTACTCCCTTACATAGATGGACGAAGACAACAGACTGCCATGGAAACGTATCAAATGGCACTTCCCAGGACGGATAGAAGGACCTGTTTTCGGTATGCCTAACAGGTGTCGATTCAGCTGCGCTGGTCTAACCTTGGTTAGCCAATTGACAATGTATCACATTGGGTTTTGACGCACTTATTGACATTGTTCATACAAGAAAGTGACTTTTGATAGGATCAATAAAGGTGAATCTCCTTTCCCACGGTCTGATAACAGTCGGTCAGACGATACCGGAGTGACGTTATGGCAAGGAATCATAAGTAAATTTTATATGAACTCTTTGTGGGTCTACGGATCATTAAGCAGATCCTTCGCAGTTCTTTTCGCTGGTTCCAACGTGAGCATCGCCCGGACGAAATTTCTAAACTTTTTCTTTTCTTCTCCACTAGCCTAGCTGATGGTAGACTCTAAACACATTGTTGGCACCCCTAGAGGAGGTTGAAGTTGTCATGGCCCCAGACAAAGTTCTCGACAAGACAGCTGTGTATCAGATGGCCGTATTTGCACACCGGTGGAGATCCTCCCTCGAAATGCGACCACATTCGCGTCGACCCAAAAGGCTTTCTTGAGTAGGTGACATGGGGAGGTGGTGAGCTCTGAGATCCATTAACTCGACCCGCGGAGAATGTGGCCCTAGAAGTCTGTTGTCGATTAGTGACCATTAAGGGTGCCCGCGATAATTACGGTGTCGTCATCGATCCGGCTGATCTGCGCGTGTGTGAAGCCGAGATCGAAGTCTTAAGAAAGGATATAAAAGCTGCTCGGGATCCGGCGGGCAAGGCCCTAGAGTATGACCGAGGTGGGACTATAGAGGAATTGAGAAAGTCTTGTTTGAAGGAGACTGGGCTTCCTGCACCGAGTCCGCAATGGGAATTGGATCCTTATGGGCCGCATATGCAGATTCCATATGTCAAGGAGCGGTTCCTGCAGATGAAAGAGGCAAAAGGATGGAAGTTGCAGTAGAATTGTAGGCACTTACTAGTATGCACTTGAATCAGACTCTTTCCAAATATCAGCCAATCAATATTCTGTTAGTTTGTCAGAGACTAACTTTTGTAATGTCAAGCTATACAGGGATTTTCACGGTCAGAGTACTGGAGGCTTATGGAATACTTGTGCGATGTTATGTGTGGGGTTGGTAACGAGCTGAATGTTGCGCTATGGTGCGAATGGACGTATCTATATGAGAGGGAAGATAGAACCACGTGTATTGCGGAACTAATCACTGGCCTTCAAGAGTTCAGGCCCGCGGGTGCGAATATAAACACTTCGCACCTGATTAAGCATCTTAGCTATGGATCTGGCCATCGCGTTCTGAGCGCTCCTAACATGCGATTAGTGCTAAGGGAAGATAAAAAAAGAAAAAGAAAAAAGAGTGAGCGGCCTAGTTAAAAAGATTTTTTTCCTTGTTTAGAAAGTTGCCTCTTCAGGCTCTCCAGGGAGGCAGATAGAATAGTTGCATCTTTCAGAGCTACCCACTGGTCTATATATATATTGTCAGGCCTAAAATATACTTCTAACACAAAGACAGGATACATACTGGTGGAGTCAAGGCACTGTCTTACTATATTAGGCCAAACTTGTACTCGGACTCAGTGATCTCCAACCATATACTGATATCAGATGCACCCCTACTAATCAACTGCTGTGTCTGCCAGACTGCAACCCACCTCTTTGCATGCGCGTAATGGACAACACTGATGGATTTAGAATACGGAAAACGCTCTTTCGCCCACTCCTCCACTGATCTCGTCCCGGAATCGGCGGTCGTAGTATCAGTACCTGTTAATGATAACTACCCTTGCGGCACGAGTCTCCTCGACCATATGTTGTGTAGGTCGCCAAAAAAAATATAGCCAGAGGTCACTGAGAAGTTAGAGGCACTCTCTTGGGCAGCGGCGATTCTGTCAGGGGCGATCTTATCGTTCCACGAGGCTTCGGAGTCCAATCTGGGTAAATATGATTCTAATTGCTATTATTAGATATTCATGAATTGCACCTATCTCGTATTGCTGGTGATGATCAATACCATAATCAAATTCAAGTGGATAGACGGTTCATTATTGTAAGAAATCTAAGTGGATATAAATAAGTCCCGGAAGCCTCCCCGACGGCGGCGGGTTAGTATGCAAGTGACGATGTCGTTAATACTTCCAATGAGATTTCACACTCAAGCATTTCCCACTCTCCAGGGACATACACTATTAAAGGAATCTACGTGATCTCCTACTGATTTTCTTACTTGTCTGTCGCACTGATTAATTTGCTACGTATGCCTGCTACTTTAAAACCAATAAGATATTTTTGGACAGCAATAGTTGTTAACCAGAAAATAATATATTGAGCATGCCACTTCTGTATCACTACCTCAGATCAGATGAAGATTCATGTGCCCATCATATTCTGGAAAGTTGCCTTTTCAATGAAAAGAGTATTCTTATTTTCCCTCCCCTCCTCGAATTACATACGTGTGAATTACCTTTGCTAGTTTGTATCAATGATAATACACAAGGATGGGTTCTCCTGCGGCATGATGAGCAAGCCCTTCCCATTGTCCTCCAATTTAATAATCTGTACGGCTCTTTGTCAATCATATCACATACTAGAGGTGCGTAAGCCACAGTACCAAAAGAGACGGTTAGGTACATTCAAGGCATGGAACTTACTGGAATGAAAAGATACGGAACCAGCCGTTCATACTCGGCCCAAGCTGCACCATACTTTCGCCGGCATTTAGCAACATCTCGCATTGTCCGATGGGCAATCATAATGCAGAAGAAACACGAGTAGAACCAAGGGAAAGGGCTATCGAACCCGGTGATCAGACCCCAGGTGACAGCAAAGTACACATCACAGGTATAGTGGATCTTGCGCGCGTATCCATACCAACCATCCGCTAGAATCTTCTCGCCGCAATCAGTGGCTATTGTTCGGGGATTGTGCACCTCCTGCCACGGAAGTTGCGGGAATGTCCTCCGTTTAACAAAGCTCCCCTTCTCCATCATCCGGAACGAGTTTTTCTGACTGTTCGTGGTGTCCCAGACCCAGTACACAAAGAGGTAGGAGATGTACAGTAGCGCCAGAGTGCTCTTATTCCACGCGTACGTGGCCGGGTCCCTGTTGGCCAGGTAAAGCGCGCAGTGGCAGTAGGACATAGGGACGCCCGCCATGTTCCAGAAAATCAACATGAATCCGAGTTTCTCCTGGTGCATGTCCCAGCTGGTTGTGATGAGATGCTCTCCTTTAGCACAAGCGTTGGCGTAAGTATAATGGGCCATGACGAGGAACAAAGCTTCGCCGGAGACATAGCCGAATTGTTCATACTGCCTGGCGGCAGCGGCACAGCTGAAGCCGAAGAGCATAAACCATGGAATGCGGACTTCGTAGAACATCTTGAAGTCGAGGATTTCGAATAGACGAGGATTCAACTCCGCACCCATAAAGAAATCATAAATGACGTACCCGGTAATACGGTGCTGCGCGCCACGGGCCAATGCAGAAACATAAGCGTAGATACTGGTCAGGAAGCCTGATATAATTGCGACGGACATAAGCGGACCGAACTCATCTAAGATAGTGTAGATGGGAAAGTAGCCAGTGACGTGGAGGGCTGCCATAACGAGGATGGTGAAGTAGAAGCTGGCATATGCAGAGCAATGGTACTTGAGCTGTCTCCCACCTTCGTGGGCGATGGGTTTGCCATAACATGTGAAGCCCGGCAGGAGGATGTAGCAGGCGACCTCGAAGATGTAATATGTCCAGTAAATACGCCAGGCCTGGAGGTGAGGGAACGCGCCTGTGTATACCAGATTTATTAAATAACTTGCAAAGCTTACCCAGCTCTGACCCTCTAGAGGGAGAGGCAATTTGCCATTGTAGTAAGTCGTTCCAATCCACATGTAGTACATGAGCAGAGGAAAGCCGATCATCAGGGCGAGAGTCCCTAGAGAACCGCCAAATTCGAGTAGTTCGGAGTTGGCGGCTGTTCTCTCATGGCTTTCGGTGCATAAACTTGGCTTGTCGTCAACTAGTGGTTTTCCTTTCCCATGGCGGGGTCGAGCAGTTACTGAGCTGGTTGTAGACATATCGTGATGAAGCCCTGATGGTAGAGTTCCGCTTAGTTAGATTGAATAGCGAAGGCGAAATGCATTGATATGCACGTAGACGTACACAATGACCAGGTCGTTGTCTGACCAACACAGAATACGGGAGAAACTCGACTTCCGTTTCGGGGACAAGAAATTCGTTATCGCTTCTGCTTCAGTATTGGCAAATACGCTGTATTAAGCAACTACAGTACTGCACACCCGCAGTAAGGTAGCCAGGCTAGCTTATTCTTGAGAAATTGAAAAAGAATGGAGAAACGGGGTTTCAGAATGAATACCTCGTGCCAAGAAAGGGGTGACGAACAAAAAATGACGTGTATCACAGTTGTTGTTTTCTTTTTTTTTTTTTTTTCGCGGAGACTGAAAAATGTGTACCACCCTCCGGCCGTGGGCGTGATCTGCAGAGGGCCAGGAATGTGGTATGCAGGGAATCCCACTGTTTGGGTCTACCGCGAAATCCATTGTTCCTAACATGATATTCATACTTCCATAGTTTTCTCACCTCTTAATTTTAGAAACGGAGTATTCTATAAGTGAGCAGCTGTGCCTGAGCCTGATCCAGCAAGGAGAAAACTAGATATATCATGGTTGAGTCCAGAATCTGGCCGCTGAACTTCTTTCCACTGCGAAAGTAAAGCTACCGGTGGGATTTTTGCTAGAATGGATTTCTACGATACCCCACCATGTTCACCACAAATGCATGTATTGCTTGAGCGGCGCGAGCCCTAAAAAGGTACCTCACGGTAAGCTTCGCATCCAAGAGCTGACTCTCAGGACGGCGCCCCAGTGTGACATGCGGATACATATCTATTATAAATCCGTGATCTAGGCAGCCCATGATGTCGCAGAGTTGGATTAGATATGTTGGAACCGGCTTTTATTTGCACGCACCTACCTTAACCTATGGAAATTTACTATTGCATGGGGACTTAGACCCCAAGCTTCCTCTCTCGCCCATGTCGCCCTCACTAGTTGTATGACCCCCAGGTTCAAGGTGGTAGTTAGTCGAACCGTGCTGGGGCTAGGCGCGACCATGTGCCGTATGATCTGGACAGAGCTTTCACGCCTCTTGAAGGATCCCAAGACCTTCCGTTCACAGAACGATGTGAGTTCAGCCCACTCAATTAAATAAGTATAGTATGCTGACAACCCTGAGAGGCCACTTTGCATTCTCTGCTTCTCAACAAGTACGCCACCGTAGACGGCACCTTACAATTGGGTCTAGATGCAGTGTAGCTGCTTGACTGGGGTGCCTCTATTAACCTTCAGGACACAAAGCTGCCCGAAATCTCGAGATAGGAGTGATTACGAAGTTGCGTGTGCGAGGTGCGGGTCCAGAATTGACAACAAATATTGACGGCGAGACTTATTAGTCTCTTTTGGATTGGGTTCAACGAAGCCCTACTGATTGGCATGTAAAGAGTAGATTAGGCTCATTTTGTAGCTATAACTAAAGCAGTCTAAATAGCCCTCAAGGGCCTATAATAATATGATTATACCAGATTAGTATTATTATCAAAGCTTAAGACTACCGACCGACCCATCAGCAACCTCGGTCTCTCAATTAGCATCCGGGGCTGAAGAGAGGCTGCAACGACTACGTGTGCTGTGAGCTACGGCCATACGCACTCTAGGCAAATTAAAATGTATTGCTGTTCTCGAGGACAATGGGCTAAGTGACCACAAAGCCTCATTTTCTATCCGCTGAGAGTTAGGCAGAAGAGTGTTGGTTGCTCAAAAGCACGCCCCAGGGAATACTACCCCATAAGATGATTGTGAGAATCCTTGTTTGACTTTCAGACTACGAAAACTTAAAGAGATAGAAATTTCAGTATTCTTCTGCCCTAACAGTGTTTCGTAATGCTGCTGGGAACACCCTCGCCAGATACAATGCCACATCCTCCATTTGTCTCCAAAATCGCAACTAGTGTCCAAATCAGGAATTGTCCAATAATTCAATGAAATCCTGAGGTACCCGGTGGTCGGTCTACGCAATGTACTGAATGCTTAACCTCATCAACAATCCTCCTCAAGGCATGACCCACCAGAACAACAAGTTTCCCAGGCTGGCAGTTTGCCGGAATAAAGCCCGCAGCTTTTTGGGCGGTTGTAACAGATAAATTACTTATTTTATTGCTAATATCTGCGACCTTGAGACTAGCATTTGAGTCTTGGAAGCAAAATAGCATGGTCGTAGGGTAAATGTAAGGCGGAACACGGAGAGCATTATTGTCTTTTTCGTCTTCAAAGTAGTAGTAATACGGAGCGAAGAATGAGTTTAGTTTACTGTGTATGGAGTATAAGGATCAGGGCAGATTATAGACACAGACAAACAGTCGAGAAGGTTAAAAAAGACGCCGATTATATTCCTTTAATCCTCCCCCCCGGTAAGATCCTCAAATTGTAAGTGGTGCGATGTCACAAAAAGCGAAGAACAGAAACACATACTTCATGCAAGTATTTCGAAGCGTTTGTCGGTTCTCTGCCTGGCACGGACCAATTTTCGCGGCCAGCTCATAAACACCATGTTGGAATTTCGTGGTTTCATCTAGACGTGCCTTTCCGCGGATTTTTCACTTGCCAATGGAACAAATAGAGATTTGGTAGTAGTTGCACCAGAATTTGAGTAATCAGAGACTTTCTCGGGATCTCTTTCAAAGAAAATCCTACTCTAATCAAAATGATGGGCCATTGAGTAAGAAAAAGTGAGAAAAAGATTGGACCAAAGGAAACAGTCCACGAATCTTTTCAAAGCAGTTGTCGATGATATCCTGCGAGATACCATGGTCTCGAATCCGACAAGCTCCGTAACTCTGTAGAGCTTGAGTGAGAGTTGCAGTCGCCAGATACCTAGTATTTTCGTCTCATGTAACAATTCGGCGCAGCTAATTGATGGAATTAGAGAGACGCTTGCAAGAGACACTATTTTCTGTACGGAATGTACTCTGTATTGTACCCGAAGCAGTTGGTTGTTGCTTGTAAAGAAGGATGATCCTGGGATACCACAATATAAAAATATTTCCAAATCACGCGACGTGGCTAACACTGCACTGACGCGTCACACCGGTTAAACAGAACACCATCCTTGACGGCCAGCATTATGCTTAACAGTATACAGCACTATCCCCGTCGTTTTCTGAGAAGATTTTGTTTATGAAGAATTTACAAATGATGTGCTATTAAATGTGGCAGATTCTAATTTTGAAGTCATAATCAATATCTCAGCGGGTCTTGGTATCACAAAGGAGTTGGATATAGCGACTTGATCGACTAAAGTGGCAGGTAAGTGCTGGCCCAGACAGCATTAAATCAAGACAGAATATAAATTGAAACCCTGTGTCTTGGACACTAACGGGTGCAATCCATGCGTATGCTCCCCAGATTAGTACATATGTCCTAATGACCAATGGTAAAAGTCGCTGAAATTAATGATCGCCTCTTTACTACTCGTGGCGGCAGCAATCAAAAATGTTACTGTTGAATTGTCTACTTTAAACTGAAAGACTGGGTTTACCGCAGCAGGGAAAAGGGAAAACAAAGGAAAACAAAGACAAAAAGCAAAAAGTGCGCTTGTCCTTAACATAAACCAGCAGTGTAAAATATGAAAAAAATAGATGGCTACGATTTAGGCTGCTTACGCCTAAAATTAAAGTCGGGATTCTCGCTTCCAACTGCAGTGGCAAGAGAGATACTCGATGTCTGCGTCTATTGACGGCTTTCATATTCCGGTACCGTATATCTTTTACGTTCAGGAGGTTAAACTAGTCCCTTGTCGCGTTTCTCCTTGGCATGGTGATAAGGTAAACTACAAATCAAACACTCCAGTACCCTGATATATGGTTCATTGAACTATTCACTTCCACCAGAGTAGCCAGTATGGGACGTACCACGTGGTAGCACCACGGATATTGGAATACCTAGGGCAACTTCGTAAGTTGGATTGGACCTACTAATTCAGGCAGCAATGAACATTTTGGGCATCAACCAGCTTCTTCTATTGATCACGAACTATTACAGCCGCTGTAAGCGAAGAGAAAGAGCCTTTCCTCTAGAAGGACGTTTTGAACCAGTAGCGTTATGTTGAAACTAGATCTAGAGCAGGGAGAGCTACCCACCCAGCATCGGCGATATTCTCAAGTATCGGATATTTGTCTTACAGATATGCCCACAATGCCTGAGAAAATGGACGACAACCCAGTGCAAGAAAGTTTGGTGCAGAGTATCCAAAGCTAAATTCCAGACGTCTCCGGTTGGCACTGAGCCAGAAATCTTTATGTATGTGTAACATAAAACTTCATACCTTGGTGCTCGTTATATAAATAAATTTCTTTAACTATAATTGGCTAAAACTACCACCAGTTATCTACGTAGTGTAGCATCCTAAATTGGTGCAATGGCTAAAAATTTAGTATACTTAAATGCACTGCTTTACAACATGCAGAACCAACCGGCTGGTACATGGCGTCTTAACAGACTCTAGATAGCATGGTAGCATACACGTCACTTTGATTATCCATCTCCGAAGTCTGTATATGCAGTGGCTCTCTGGGCTTGTGGTCTGTGCCCTAGGCGTTTCTGGATCGACAGGTTGCGCAACTCCAAAGAGGAATAAGCTGCAGACTAATAGCCTATCAGTTATATAGTATGTGCAGTGAGCAAAAGGGATATGTGGTTGAAGTGAGTCGGTCAACAATGGATAATGGTTAAAGTTTCGATAGAGTTTTCTAGCTAATTTTCAAAATTCCCACGCTAGATTGTGCCAGGAAAAATGCGAGGAAATATCCCAAGATTCACTATCAAAGCCAGATCTTCTCACCTTCGTCTTTTATTTTCATCATTTTAAGACTGGTCTACCGATTATACAACCTTGAACTTGGCAGCTGGATACCTGGCTGCCTACTCCGGAGCCTTTCCTGCCTCCACTGAAAAATTTTCTACCTTCCCGCGTGGGATGTACCCCATGATTACAACGTGCATTCTATGCGGCAATTATGGTCAAATAAGACGGATCCATCTGCTATGCTATAAGAGGGGCACGCAGGCTCGTGGTCTTAGCGATTGATCCATACTATCACCGTTAGTGGACCCATCACCCGTTCAGAGACCGTGGTATCGTCCAACTTGGCCCGATGTCTTGCCTTGGATGACCCAAGCTTTGGTAGAATTGCTTCTAGGGGACCTTAAGAGTCAGAGCTGGTGGGTCTGTCAGCGCAATAGGATTTAGTAATTAATATGACAAAAGAGAAAGAAAAATAAGACGCCCGTGTAGGTTCCCCTGTCTACGCTAACCCGGGGGTCGCCAACTTAAATACTTGTAAACCCGCTTGTTTCCTCACCTAGATTTATTTCTCTCAATCCCACAACTTCTTTACTCTGTCAAATACATTCCAGAAATCACTGATTTCCTATACTTTCTGCTATACCACACCAATACTCTGAATGGCTGACCTTTATTCGATGACCAAGTGCACTTCGATTCTCTCACTGATCCCAGTCACCCTGACCGACCTCGAGGCGATCTGCGAATTTGGAGAAGTGACAAGGCCACCATAGGACCATCAAGAAAGATATCCTCGTTCTTTGTGCCTCTCCCACAGACAGGATACCTAGCGCTAAGATTTCGTCATATCAACCAAGATGAAGTTCTTCCTCAAGCCTGTCTTCCGGTGCGAGATCGAGGGGGTTGCAGAGACGCAGGTCGTTTACGGGGACCCAGATGAGAAGGGAAACAAGGTCGGAGTCGTAGCGACCGCTACAGAGGTCTCGGGGTATAAGGTCAAGGCAAGTCCCCGACTTCTCGACCGGTGGCTGGACAAGATCGTACGCATCGCGGGCTCGGCGCCTGTTTTCCTGTTCATTGTCAGTGCGCTGCTTCTCTGGGCATTTATGGGGATCCGATTTGGGAATTCCGCCAAGTGGACTGCGGTTATTTCGGATGCCCAGGCGATCTTATGCTACGTTTTTGACTCCTTCCTGATGCGACAGCTCCTGCGGGAATATGCGGAGCAGCAGGAGGCCATGGCGGAGATGCAGTCGCGACGTCACAGTCACGAGCGCATGCTTGCGAAGCTCAAGGCGAAGCTGGGAACGGAGGGAGTCGCACGCGTGTCGCAGATGTGCAGCAGCCATGAATTGGAAGATCTTGATCACGGAAAGCGTACGCAGAGCTTCTTCGCGAAGGCTATCATCTTCTCGGCACGCATGCTAGGCCACATCGTCACCGTAGGCTTGTACTGGGTGTGTATCTTTATCTGGCTGGGCTTTGGCAACTACTGCGGCTGGACGGACCAGTGGCAATTGTATATCAACTCGGCGACCTCGGCGCTCATGGTGTTGGTCTTTGCCTTCCTCGACTGTCTGCGGGAATGCTATGCGGACTATGTCAATGTTTGCTTGGATGCTATCTTCCGGGTGGACGCGACCCTCGAGCAGGAACTTCGTCGTCTCACAGACGATGACCTCCCCAACGAGCTGGTGGTGATCCCACACCCTCGTGAGAATCCCTTGCAGGTGGCCATCTTCTACTACGCCGATATCATCGGCACGCTGGTCGGCATCATCCTCCTCCTTGTGGTCATTGTCGCCTGGGCGGCCGTTGGCCCGGTCTTCGACTTTAACGATAACTGGTGGCTCCTCATCGGCACCTACGCGGGGCTCGTCGGACTGTTCGATAGCTTCATCCTGCGCAACGTGCAAGCGAAGGTGAAGTCCTACACCGTGGAGCAGACTGAGTCCCTGGAGCGACGGGATATGGTTCTTTATACTGGGACGGAGGTGGCGATTCCACCCAAGGAGGCGCTGGATACGTCGTCGATCACCCACCGCGCGTCTATTGCCATGGGCAAGGTCTGCTCGCACCTGTTGATGGTGGTTGCGGGGCTTCTCCTGACTATCGGATGTGTGATTGGGTCCAGCGTTATGCGATGGAACACCACCGGGCAATTGATCTCGAATATTCCACCCAGTATCATTGAGACTTTCTTTATGCTCATTCTGATTACGGGGCAGAACGATGCGGATGCCAGCGCCCGGGTGGATATGACCCATATCTACCATCGACGACAGCGACTTCTGTGGTTCGTGAAGGATGCGCAGAAGCTTTTGTAGGTCGTCTGACGGTGTGCTCCACATAGTACATTTATTGATCGCTACCAGCTTCAACATGCATGGTGTTTTGCGACCGAGATTGTATATTGCTCAACCGATATACCTCGTTACATTTTCAATTTTTTCTTTCTTTTTTTTGCATTTTCATCTTTTCTATCTTATCTGTTTATATTTTGTTTAAAAATATGAATTATTATCATTGATAGTGTTTTACGTCGATTTGGGCCGATGTGGGCCTGAGGACGCCGAGGATGGCAGTGCTGAGGGAATTTCCAGAAGTATCGCAATTTAGAGAGCATAAACATTTGAATTGGAAAAAAAAAATAAAAATAAAAAATCAAGTGTGAATGATATTGATGTGTATCTATTCTCTCCTACTTACTAAATACCGAGAATTATACTTCGTACATTATAGAATTAAGAAGAGCGCATATACATTAAAAAATTTTCAGAATGGCCATGGATTAGGAAGGTATATGCGCGAAATAACTCAATAATAACTCCGCAATATCTCAGGAATATCCTCAGGTAACCAGCAGTAACGAAGTTAGCCATATTAGGGCTATTCATGGAATCAGACAAAGTCATCATGCCAACGGTTAAGATAACCCACGGGTAGGCAACCATATTTCCTGTTGGCTCCCGGAAAATTTTGCACGTCCCAATATACTGGAATAGACCGGTCTGGTCTCCTTCAGCCCTACAACCAGGGCCTCGCTAGCATCAAGGTTATCACGGTGGGCCATTGTGGTCTTATAATCGACAAATGATTCATTTTCATTCTCGACTTTCCATATATTTTGGATATCACAGATCATGGAACAACACGATAATTAACACAATAAATATACTCTATTCATTATTCTATAAAGTATGTCTAATTTCCACTTATTTTAATATCCGGAATGCTGTCAGTGTCACAGGTTTAAGCCGGTAAACCAGGAGACTGAAACTGTCTTAGATAGTACTAAGGTTGTTTCAGACCTGAAATTACATAAATTATAACCCTTAGTTACCTTGGCCACAGGAAGAAGACATTACTGCTGCTCTTCACAACTTACCATTCTACCCAACCTCAGACCTCTATTTGTATTAGTACCATCAAAAATAAGGGCAAGCCAATGCGGGGAATAAATTTAGCCAGAAATTGCAATGTAACAGCTGTCTATGTACCACAAACGGTCGACGTGAAATGCTTGCTAATATAACCACTCCCCAGAGCGCCCCATCTAATAATGCCTATGCTACATGATTAGTGGTTTCATTTATCCTGTTACTGATACAGATTCTTTCAGCTATCCCCCCCGCCTGATCGTGCCTTCACGACAACCAATCCCTTCATATCCTAGAACAGAATCTCCTTGAAATACCAGTTCTCGGGCCTACCTCCATTATCCTTGGTGGTGATGTCATAATGAAGCGGAATGTGATCAAGCATCAGGTGAATTTCATCCGCAGCCATGCATCGACCCGGGCTGCGGATTTAATACGATGTCAATAGCCATCCCATGGAACCACTAATTTGGCGTTGGCTAGACTTGCCAGGTGTCCTGCATTACCAAATTGCAGATACTTAGAATTCGTGGCCACAAAGTGGCAATCCTGCGGTTTGCCAATCCGCTGTTCAAGCCGATAGATATCCGTCGAACTCACGGGCATTGGATACTGTCTCTTATCAAACAGGATCTGTGCGTTGGGTGAGATGACACAAGTCTAATAGATGGCAATCTTCAACAGATATAAGAAACAGAGGATAGAAGATTTTTAACACGACGGGGGATCCGCAATGTCTGGTCTGTACCTTACCTTGCGAAAGGTGGGTATATGTTATAGTCCAAATGGGAGACTGCGCTCAACCGACCCCTTAGTATACTGTGATATTAATTCAAGGACGCCAAGCCATACCAACATATCCCGCAAATAATTTAGACCGTATGGTCCCTGTGCATTAACTGTTTAAGTCGACTATGGTTTTGTACCTCTCCAAGGCATTCTCTCTCCGACTCTCCCATTCCAGGTCTCCGTCAACATCCTAGGCCATACGAAGGCTTTGGAAAAAAGGCCGAGAAAACTGTCTCAGTCAGCGAGGTCATAGCCACAACAGAATTGAAACAGATGGATAATTTGTCCATTTTTCACTGTTTCCGCAAGACTCCTATAGTCTTTCTCCTCCAGTAAGTGAAAGAATACTACTTCGTCCGCTCCAAGGTGATTTATTCCATCATAGAAATCAACCACCGGAAGCAACATGATCGGAGAATTGAAAAATCCATACTTGCTTTAGCCCATTCCCAGTCGATAGTTTCTGTAATATTATAAGAATCGTCAGCAATTATATGGCCTCCTTTATTATCCGCATGTCTCAGGTAGAATCGCCCAATGTCAGTCCTGCGATGCAATAAGACGTCGGAGGCAGAGTCCAAGAGAAAGCGATGGATTAAAAGCGCGTCGATTTCTCTACCCGCATACCTCTCTCCTCGCATAATTAGATAGTATTAATTGAATGCTCGCAAGGACGTCTCCGATACGAGATGTGAAGTGTCCAACGGCAGGCATATCCTAATCCGTTAATGATGCTCGTGCAAAAGGCGCAATTTTATCTGTTCCTGCTGTAAAGAGCCCATCAAGTCGAAAGGAAATCTCCCCAATTCGACATAAATATCTGCGAGCTGAGTCATAATCATAATTTTCTTCCGTTCATCTGGGGAAGTGAGAGAGAATCTCATCGACTTCCCGGGCTCCTTTCCATGAAGATATAGTCAACATCCACTGGGTTATCTTCGTCAAAATTATAATTGAATACCCTGGGAGCAAGTACTTTAGTCTTGTTTAGAAACTGAAGGGTGGCAACTTCGCTCCGCATAATGTAGCGTCGATGATCCGGTAGGGAGACATAGAACTGAATCTTCGAATGTATACTATCCAGCTGATTCCATCTTCCAATTGGATTTGTATGTGATAATTCATGTCACTCATCACAGAGGAATTTGAGTGGATTAAAAGTTTGGACACAGCTATCATACTTCAATAACCTTCGTGGCAGCCCACGAGTTTGGGTCGCGTGGGGATTTATGCTGCTTGTTCTACGTATCCAAGTGTATGTAAAGCCTTTCAAGGCGGGCGATGGTTGGAGCCACTCGGCTCAGTATGCAATGGGTCTGAACGTACTCCCATATCCAGTGACCAGAGTCGGGATAGGTCAATGACGTTTGAGCAATTTAGACGGATTTCTTCCCACGGTCCATGTAAGGACTCAAATGTGAAGGTAAGGGTCTCCCGAGATGCTGCTGGAGAAGGGGGCTGGGCGGTCCTAACATACTTGTGCCATTCCAGCTTGACTTTTGAAATCAAACTCTCATCTGTTTCACTCATGTCCCGCAGAATGAGAATTTTCATCTTGGAAGCCATGCAAACCAAGGGCAGAAGTTTGTCGAGATGTGTCACGTTTATATTTGTCTTGGGTCCCAAGGTGAGGAGGGGATTGGTGCGAGTATCTAGCATTGGTTGGCCTCTCGGGCCAATTACCCTGTTGTCCCTGTTGTCCCTATTTCCCCTACTTGCCCTACAGGCCCTTTTGGCCCCATCGGCCCTCGCAGATGTTAGGGACCTACCGTATTCGGTATGGTCACGTGGTTTCTCTTAGTCACCCATCCAGATAGTTAGACAGACAGCTCGTCTGAGCCCCTTGAATTGAAGAGAATCGCGCCTTGCGAACAGGGGCCGGTCGTCAGGTGATCAGGTACGGTATATATACGGGCAGGCTATAAGTGGTAGCCTGGTAGGGCGACTGCGCCAAGCAGTACGAAGGCTACTACTGTAGTTATAAATAGTTATGCATGCCCTCATCGATAGTTCTGAATAAAATGACACTTGTACCTCAATTCAGAGCATTTACCTTAATTGCTTTTACCACTAGACTAATATAGTGGTGATTTATAAACAACTACCTTGGCGATTTGCTGGATACCACAATTGCTATCTATCTATCTATATATATGTATCTATGTACAGTGATCCATTACTTTCAGATGAACTTGGCAAGGGCTGTGGAGGCCTAAATGCCTGGTATTCTGTTCTGCAACCCTCGTGGTGCGCGACTTCGGAATCTCTTAGACGCCTCTCCTAAGTCTACTGGGAATATTTTAGCCTATCTTCCTTATTTTGCCCTGCTCCTCCAAGCAGATCTGAGACACGGTTGAATGCCCTTCCAAATTTTGCCATAGTTCTTAGCGCACCCACTTAGTCGAGGACAGCCAGTCGCGCTTCCCAACTTCGACCAAAGTGCCCTGTGTATAGATTGTTTATCCTACTTGTATTTCATCTAAACCTCGGTGAAACCGTATGAAGGACCACTTGTAGGCTCTTATAAGTTTCGCACGATAACTTGCGCTCAACGTTCTGATGCTAAGATTGCAAGTCCGATCAATAACAGTGCTTTGCACCAGTATTCGCTAGGGGAACAGACCGACTTTGCGTCAAGTACGGGCCGCGCATACGTCTACCCGAGGCTGACGGATACCTTTCTATCTTTGCTGTAGAGTAACCAGTTGTCGTAGAAGATGCGGATTTTCACCTCGCTAACAAGCGTTCTTCTATATCGGACAACCTGAGGTTGGTACGATTGCTTGAACTAGGTACTAAAGGGAAAAACTGTCCTCAGCTGTGGACCGCAAGAAGGACATAGTAGGGTTAGGCTGATGATATTATGGTGGGCGTGTCGGAAGATAAAGGGAGTGGTTACCTTTCTATAGATTGAGAGCCAGTCCGGTTGTGAGGTATAATGACTGTTCCCAGTTTTGCATCTCTTTAGCCCTCTCCAGTTGCTTGAATATTTAATATCTACGTTGGCCCTTAGCAACAAACAATTCTTCTTGAGCTAACCTACTTTAACTTTTCAAAAAAAAAAAAAAAAAGGCAATTCTGTAATGGATCTTTCATGCCAGGAATGTATAAAGGTACGACCTAAGCGGATGTCTAGGCATAAACCCCACTGCTCTAAGGGGAGGTAATCAAAGACCTTTCATTTTGATCGAGTCAAGGCGAGGAGAACAGGCACGCTGAAAGGTTGTACGTGATTGTGTTAGCTGACTATGGATTCAGCTAATGATTCTTCCGTAGGAATAAGCCCATCGAACCCGTCAAGGCATCCTCGAGCATGTGAGGTTGCAATCGAAGAAAAATGTAACACAGGGGTACTGACAGTGGCATTGTCGCACATGCCCCGTATGGGCGCCGTGCGCTTCCCGATGATTCCGCTTGTCTACTGATAAGATCTAATCTATATTTATAACCTCCCGGTTCGCCGTGCGAAAATATCGCGGCTCATCCTACTCTTCTTCAAAATTCTCTCCTTCCTTAGTAATAAACGTGCTTGCGACCATCACGCCCGCTATTAACACCGCCATCGCGGCAAATGGCAGGCCCATCCAATTCCATCCCTAAACCAGGCCTTTCACCAACAGCATATTTAACACTGGTCCTGCTATGCTCAACACCACAATGCTCAGCATCAGCGCCGCGCTATACACGGTACTTACCTGACTCGGCCGCACGGCGCCACCCAACAAACTTATTAATAACCCCGTTGTGCAGCTCCCACACGCCACCAGCAGCAGCCCTGTAGCCTCAAGTACCAGCCCGGGCGCAACAGCAATAACTATTAGGCCGGATACCGTTACGGCAATGGACATGATGGCATATCGACGGTCCCGCACCCAGTTGGTCCAGCCCCGTGAATCCGCGATGAGGCGGTTAATAAAGGGGAGAACCACGAGGACGACAAGGGCTTGCGCACCTTGAAAGAGGGAAAGAAGCACATTACCCCGACCGTAGGACAGGGCAAATTTGGCGTTGGAGTATTGTAGCCAATCATTGTGAAAAGGTCTCGAGCAGCGGTCTGAGGGGCGAAAATGCCGAGAAGCAATAAAGCTTGTTAATTTAATGTTAGTACACTCAGGAGAGGGGCTAGCATACAAGAGATCTGTCGAAGAACGGGTTGGCAGTTTAGGTAAGATTTGACGATGCAAAGCGTTGTGTAGACATGACTGCAGCAGGTGGAGATATCGTGTCAAAGGTCAGTTCGGAGGACTTGTCCCTGAACCTTAGTGTTTCTGGAATGAATAGCGTAAGTAGAAATGTGCCGGAAAAAGCGCCATCTCAGCGAGGAGCAGGACAGTCCAGGTATATCCTTTCTCCATCAACGCAGCGCTGACAGCCGGCCCCGAAACCACGTCTGCCGTGTGAAAAAACAAAAAGAGTTGCACGTGTTCGGCCGGGTCTGTGGCGTCCGTCACCATGACATGCACGACACTTGAACTAACAGCGTCGCCGCCGCCGATAAAGAACAAAGCACCGGAAAGCCACACCCAGCGGATATTAGCAAATCGCCAGTAGCATACAGCCAGGACCCAGGAAAGCGCGGCAAGAACGCCTGCACCGCTTAGAATAAGCACGCGATTGCGCCCAATGCGCTCCGCCAGCAGGCCATACAGCACCGTGCAAACCAGCGCTGCGAAGAGGGGGGCTAGTTGCTAGAAGCCGCGCACCTGCGCCAGCTCTTTCTGCACCGCGTGCACCTTACAGGGATTGGCCAGTTGCCGTATCAACAACGGAGAGGGATTCGAGGCTGGAGATGGGGAGTGCCCCGCGAAGTAGTTGTCACAGATCACATCCTCAAAGATTTGAGTTAGTGCTGCCGGCTGTAGATTATCACCTAACATCATAGTGAAGGCAAATGCGCACAGGAGGAGGGTGACGCGCCGCTTCAGCCTACAGTGTATTGTGCGCGACGTTTTTAAAGGAATAGACATATCTCCCTGGATGCGACTAGAGAGGAGGGGTATGGATTCCACAACAATATTATTACCGATGCCGTCTGCAGAGGTCATGATGATTCACACTACCTCACAATCCACAGGTCCAGCAGCCTTTGTGAAGGAAAAAAGAAAAAGCTTAATGCACGAGACGGACATTTCAATAAAAACAGTCCAACAAATCGGGCAATAAGCAAGTGAGGTGCCGGGGGTCAGGTACCTCTCGTGGCGAACTCTGGGATTCCCGGTCCAAGGAAACCGGGAAACCAGGGGGCAGCTCTCCGGTCACGTGCTCTAGTTAGCCCTGGCTAGGCTGCACTGCGGTAATCCGAGCACTTCACGATCGTGGTTCTCTTGGGACTCCATTAATAGACAATTGTAACGTGCGGAGCCTGGTTCAAACTCTGGCATGCTGCAGCAAGCGATGTCAGCTTTCCAACACTATCCAAGAAATACACTACCTAGTGAGCGTAGAGATCACCTACACCTAACAAACATCTTAGGCACTGTAATAGAATACAACGAGATACGCACTAAATTGGCCCGACTAGTTGGTATTAAAAAAATTCCACCGACGGTTTAAGCAAAATTAAGTATCGGCAGCTAATACTAGTGGGATTGTTGGTATCTAACAGCTAAAATTTACACTTAGCCCAAGTTACACAATAACTAGAGTACTTGACTGGAGACTCGAAATACGAAACGTATCTTACTTCCTGTATATCTGTACCACCATGCAGATCCTTATCACCTCAAGCAGACCCTCTGTGACAACCTCGGCCCACGCCAATTACAAGCATTGTGGAGCCTGAGCCGACTTGTATTCTCCTATATTAGTCTAGTCGGGGACAACCGACTATATTTCCCCGATCCAAATCACCAACTACTAGCGGAGTCAATGCAATACATGAATCTGTCCCCGAACCAGATCGCCAGTTAGCATAGGGTCTATCCTGTAACATACTGCTCTGTTAATAAAATCCCAAGGGCGGTGTAGTCAAGGGCACTAGTGTCCCCTGGTATAAAGTAAATTAAAAATATTAATCTTAGACTTGCAATTTTTTCTTCCTTTTCCCCCCACAATTCTTCTCCGTGTCTTTTCCCCCAACGACGGAACTCTGAAAGACCGGGACCGTTATGGTATCCAGTGAATACTTGGGTGGCACCACTGGCGTGTCTGCGTTGACTCTTCCCGGGGTGTCCATTACTACAGGCGTTGCGAAGGAAGCAGCCGCTGCTGTTGTAGATGCGGAAGAGACAAACCCCTCGCTGCCGCAGAATTGGTCAAGCACGCGGAAATGGCTTATCTTGATCCTCTTATCCCTGATGTCCCTTATAGTGTAAGTACCCCAGTGCCGTTGCCCTGGTAAAAGCAAGAGGTACTGATAGGGACATTTTAGCAATATGTCCCTGGTTATCTGCTCGCCCGCGAGTTCGGCCCTCACCCAAGAATTTAACAATTACGACGGCTTTCTGTCAGTTTTCTACATCACGGTTCCAAACGTCGGTGAAGTCATCGCTCCCCTCTACATCGGCCCGTTGTCCGAGCGTCTCGGGCGCGTGCCCGTCTGTCATTTCTTTAATCTCTCGTTCCTTATCTTCACTCTGATTGCAGGCTTCAGCAACAGCTTTGCTATGCTTATTGTGTTCCGGTTCCTCGCCGGCGCGTCCGTCTCGTCTATTTGCCTGAACCCGGCCATCACGGGCGATCTGTTTACGATAAAGGAGCGCGGATCAGCTATGTCGCTCACGAGTTTAATCCCGATCCTTGGCAGCGCTGTGGGTCCCATTGCTGGAGGTTACATCACGCAGTACCTTAGTTGGCGCTGGACGTTCTGGCTGATAGCCATTATCACTGCTGTTCTGTCGCTTATTATGGGGGTTGTACTGAAGGAGTCGTATGCGCCAGTGATACGTCGAAAGATGCTTAAAAGTACGAGCTTTGACGAGGAAGATATCAGGCCGTCACCGAAATACTTCACAGGTTGGAACGCGGCAACGGTCAAGGCGCTTGCTCTGCTCGCGGTGCGCCCGTTTATTATCTTAAGCAAATCCCGAATTGCAGTGCTTATGGGAATTTATCTGGCACTCCTATTTGCCTTTATTTCCCTCCTTGCCGCGACCATTGCGACAGTTTTCCAAGACGCCTATGGCTTCTCGGAGAGCCAATCGGGCCTTATCTACATTGCCATGAGTAAGTAACAACCAACTCACAAAGCTCCTCTTTTAATTGCGCAAGAACCTCACCTGGACAGCTATTGGCACACTTAGCGGCGCTCTAATGTGTCGCTTTACGCTTGATTACTTCCTGCTGCGGGGTCTGCCATACAAAAAGTCCGATAATGATAGCACACCACGCCCCGAAAACCGCCTCATCCCGATCATACCCGCCATGATCGCCTTCCCTTTCGGCCTGCTCTTGTACGGCTGGTCTTTCGAGAGACGCTTTCACTGGATCGTGCCTACCCTCGCGACCGTGCTCTGTGGGTTTTCGTTGTCGAGTAGTACCACTCCGATCATGAATTATCTGGTGGATATCTTCGGTGACCGCTCGGCCTCTGCCGTCGCTGCTGTACTGCCTCTACGCTACATCGGCGGTGCCTTTATACCTGTGGCTGCTCCATACATGTACTCTCGGATCGGCTACGGCTGGGGCAATTCATTGCTGGCCTTCGTGCTTCTGATTGCCGTGCCTGCACCATTATTTGTGATTGTTCAGCCGCGGAGGATGAGGGTCCTGACGGGCGTTGCGGAGTGAGTCTGCACGCTCTCGTAGCAGGACAGATGATTAGGTTGCTTTTTCTGGTCAAGTATATTCTGCCTTCCAGGCACCTTCTTACGGGATGGATGCGCCAACCTGGGGTCGTGCAATATGCCTATTTCCCAGTTTCACTTGATTGTCACAGCGGCACAATGCCTTATAATACCGCCCCGTCGCACAATATGTCTGTTGCCCTATGTAGCTTATCAAGCCTTCCAGAGTGAAAATACGTCAAATGTGATTTTCATGGGTTGATTAATTCTGTATAGTTTAGATCTACAATGCCGTCGGAATGATAGACATCAAGCCCCGCGGATTGCATGAATGGGTGAAATTAACATGATTAGTAGGTCCGGTGGGTCGGTGAGCCGATGCTGGTCCGAAGTGATGACAGACAAGCGGACAATAATAGGCTATCCGAAGCAAAGGTCTGGCAGCGCTAGCGACACTTGGGGACTGATCGGAGCACTGGCAATCAGAATTACCACGAGAAGCAGTGGGTAGCATCCTTCGCCGTTATGCTTAATCAAGACCGTTCTATGGATGACATCTAACGCTTTATAGCCCAGTCTCGACCATAGTGGGCCTGGACGGCCAGTCATCATGCGCCGATGTCCCCGAAAATCCCATCTTTGCGCCGCATCTCCATCCACGCTAACCGGCGCAGATGCGCAGTCGACTCCGTGGACCAATGACTTTGCTACAAATAGTCGATCATCCCTGTCAGCATCCCTGCTAACTCCGCATTGGGTTACATCGGCTTATATCGCTATGCTCATACGCGTTGAAATCATACGATTCGAGTAGATTATAGCTTGAATTATACTAATGGTAAAGTCCGTACGAAGGTTAACTGGTGAAATTAGGTCGTCGACGGATACTCGTACTGTAACGAATGAAACAACAAAAAAGTACGGAGGATAGATCATACTTTTCCCGCCGGTACTAGTTGTACAGCGACCTCATCTGTAGCAGATATGTAGGTGGCTCATCGAACAACCCACTATGAAGTGCTTGGAACCGCCAGTCTTCTCACGAATTATTCAACGCAGGTAATTCTATCCGTCCTTACAACCTTCCTCATTACGAACTATCCCCTAGTGTGATTGTCTCCCTTTGCTTGTATCAGAATTATTATGAGCCCTAATGCACAATACAATACTCTTAAAGGCCAACTGCGCCATACGCCATCTTTTAGCGCTCTTTCAGCTGTGGGTTCAGTGTTGAATCTCAACCTGGTGTTTGGTAAGTCTATCCGTCACTCTCCACTGCATACAGGAGCGGATTGGCAACTGAATGTAACCGTAAGTTGTAGACGAAGACGCCGTTTGGGGGCCAAATGAGTAGTCCGAAGCAGGATACGTTTCCGAAAAATGGGGAGAGGCAGTTGTGGATGGAGCTAGCCAATTCGCTTATTATCCGATTTTGCTACTATAAAATAATGGTCTCTGTGCTGATCAGAATGCTTCTCTCGATTTGATCAACCAGGGGAGCCGTTCTTCTGCCGGGTCTTCTCTGGACGTGATAATATTTCGAGCTCTTTCTTCTTCCACAGAATTGGCTGAGAGGTATCATTACAGCAGGGAGCAAAGGAAGAGGACAATTATTCAGTAGCCATGATTGTCTTGCCCCAAAAAGTTGGCCTTGCCGGTCAAAGCTCCCACGAGAACAACATTGCCTGCCTGGACATGCATTAACAGTTTACCATGGTGCTTCTCCTAGCATCCCATTACTGGACTATCCTCCGGTTATCCCAAGGTCCAACAAGCAAGAAGAGAAATCTTGCATCTTCAATCTGCCTATTCCGAACCTGGGCCCTACCTGGGCCCTGGGATTTCCGCAACGGCCAAGATGTGCGCAGCTTGGTCTGTCCTACTTGCTTCTCACGGATATGCGACCCAACTGCGCATGTTCGCTCCCAGATTGGTTAAACCCATTGGCACACTTAGCATATCTGTTGATTGGAGCTTGTATATTGGTGACCTGATTGGCCAAATCCAAGCCAAGCTTGCCGATTCACTACTGAACGCGGCAGAGACAGCACAGCCGGACGACAGGAATAAATCCGGCGAGGAGCAAGAGTACGAGCTCACCTTTTTCATTGCCGTCAACCGAGAGCAGCCCGTCCCTGAGCAGATTTTATTCGAATGCCAAATACAAGACGGGAGGATTTGTACCAGAGCCGTCGGCCACGACAGTTGATGGGTTAACTGAGTGTTTAATACGCCGTATACTGGCAACAAGAAATATAGCCAGCCCGGTGGAATTGAAGGGCGAGGAGATAATTAGGGTCCAGTTTTCCTCTGGCGTTGTTTGTTTTCCCAACTGCGGTGTCAAGTTCACTCACCTCAGCCCCTTCAATCAAATGACCCTATTGACTATGTGTCCTTGGATCAAGAGGCTGCAAACTGGTAGATTTGGATACAATGATTTCTGTTTCTGCCTGAATATGCTTATAAATGAAAGGATGTAGTTCAACTACAGAAGAATATGTGTTGTCGATTTTGGTGAATAAGAGGCAGGTGACCTGGTTATCGCTATATAAATTACATTTGAAGAGTAACTTTAAATAATTGAAGTCTAATGCGGAGTATTTCAGTATCTCTACGGCACTAATATCGGGAATAAGCGTATATACATTAAGTAGAAAAGGACTGGAAGCAAAAATAGGACGGACAGTCTAAGCTATCCAGTATTTCCGGGTAAGGCTGGAGAGACTGTTGCTATGCACTACAAATTAGTCGGTCATATACAGTGTTATACCTTGCAGGTCTGTGCCTGATAATCAGACATTACGTTGCTATTTACTAGAACTTTATCTATAGTTCCATATTAAATTAAATCCTCATCATATCCTGCGATCCGCTTCGGCTAAAGATACCTCCATGACAAAAACTATAAGATAGATACGGCTACTGTACTTAGATATATTTAATATACACGATTATAATGAAATAATAGTCGATAGATTTAGATAGATTCATGTAGGAGCCATCACACAGAAGCACCTATACAAACATCCATACACAGCAACTGCCCACAACGCATCTCGCCATCTCCATCCCTTTCAATTGAACCAGTTGTCACACCAACATACTTCCACTTCGATTTATCAGTCCGCCACAATAATGGGTTCCAGCTCCTGTATCTTTGGATGGCCCTCTGGCATAGCGGTGACAAGTTGGGCCGTGAGGAAAAGAGCGTAGGTGGCAATCACACCAATGAGTTTCTATTATAGTGGTTATTCTAAGGATTATTCCCTGGTAGGTTATCTAGGAATGTATGCGAACTTACGAAGGAGGCCATGGCGATGGTAAGGTAGAAATACTGTATAGCGGGCAGCAGGAGGTAGAGAAACGTCGGGAGAGGAAAATGACGGGCGAGATGGTGCTATTTAGGCCATTAATCGAGAACCCCTGAGGAATCGGCCCCCACTGGCCATACCGGATTGACGTTAGTCGACGTTACTCAGTTTAGTGAGGATGTCAGACATACTCCGTGTTCTCCGCTCCGTCCGAGTCTTGGCGGGCCTGACTGTATGCATGTCTTCTGGGATGTGACTCTTATATGGATCTATCCATTGCTGGGATGGATCCTCTTGGATACAGAAATGTAGAGAGCTACCACAAAGATTGTATATTATATTTACACTTCTAATTACAGTGCCTTAAAGCCTAACACAGAGTAGTGCGTAGTGTTTCTTACTATAGCTCTAGAAATGTCACAGGCTGAACCTGTAACATACTATATAGGGCGCTAGATGCGACTGATCGAAGATCAGTCGTCTTGTACCTTTTTATATGGTCAAGTGGTTTTATCTCTACTAGCGCAGAGACAACCAAACCATCACAAGAAATATATAATATAGTATGGATATGTACGAAGTCTGCAGACGTATAATATATGAGTTCAAAAGAACTGGCCTATATAATTAAAATATAATTTACATATTTCTAGTGTAATTAGAATAGCAGTAGATTATTATGAAATATATTAGGAATTTTTGCGCACATGCTCTATTCAGTCAGCTGTACAATACATGGTCTTCTCTGATTGCTGTTCAAATAATTTTCTTCTATATCTAGGCATGGTGTATTAATTAATTAGCCTCTATTTATAGATTACCGCTCTTCTTCTACTTGTAACTTTTCTTATATATTGCAAGAACTGTAAAGGGCTGGGGCCCGTTTGACCTCTCGTGCCAATGTCCCTATTATCCCTGTTATCCCTATTGTCCCCGTTGTCCCTATTGTCCCCGTTGTCCCTATTGTCCCCGTTGTCCCTATTGTCCCTATTGTCCCTACTGTCCCTACTGTCCCCTTGGCCCATTGGCCCTCGATCCATATCACGTGACCTTCCACCTTGTGTGTTTACCGCTCATTTTCCTCTTACTTTCTTCCTTTCTTCCCTTCTTCAACGATTCCTTTTTGTACATAACCTATCTTATAGGTTCTATGGGTTCAGCCCTTGACAAGAACACCTGCTCTCCGGAGAGTATTTAATCAAAACTACACTTTCCTGACTAAAGAATATCACTGTTCCAAAGTCTATTATGTCACCGGCCTAAGACACAAGGCTAACAGCTTATCTGGGGCTCTCGATTTTGCGTATGACCAGAAACAAAGGAATTTGTACGCCTGTTAATCTCTAGATTTTCGGGAATGTCGTTACATATGTTGATGTCGAATAGCATTTGATTTCTAATTCGTTTATTTTTTAACTTCTATTATTATGCTTTTTTGGATAGCCATCGGGCCAAATATGGAAAGTGGGTGGGTGCATTCTATTGACATCATTACTTTGAGATATTATTGTATTACTTTGCTTGAATAATATAATAGTATAATTTATATTACCCCCTTTTCCAATTATTCCACAAGATATTCTAACCTTAAGGCGGTATTCACTGGGTGATTAGCTAAGAAGAGGATTCGCGGATGACTCTGTTAAGTGTGGGTGCGTAACCTAATATTACAGTGCGCTACTATGTAAGCCCATTGGGATCAGTGGTAGTCTTTTGGTCCAGTGGAATAGTCAAGATCCTGAGCTTAACTATAACAGCTCTTCCGCCAGAAATAATTAGCTTTAGTACTGTACAGAATGTTTCATGATGTCCTATAAGCTATTTTTCTCAATATGCGAGATATATTAAACTGTAATAAGTTATGGTCTTGAGCCTTATGAAATTGGCCCCTCGGTTGTTCTTCTGGACCCTCGACTCCGCCGAAGGATCGATTGTAGGCTTGTGTATTTGTTGTGACTATAGCTTTTGTTGTTACAGTATAATATCCTGTTGATCCTACAACTAATAGGCGGGTATTGAGCAGAGATGGAGGCGCAGGTGATGGAGGCACGCAAGTAGAGGCTACGGAAAGAGAATCCTGATCTGCTGACCAGCATAGAATTTGTCAATATCTGGAACTTCATAGGAAAAATCGAAGATACTCTAAATATTTGGAAAGAATGATCTAAAACTCCGTAATTAACTACACCCGAATATATCTATAGTTGTACTTGTCTTGAAACCAAAGAATATTTCATTCTGGAACTATAGAACAAAGAAAGCAGATTTGATAAAATTTCTTGTAACGAGTTTTGACACAATACTCTAGGTTAAACAGGCTTCAGCCATGAGATATAATATGTGTGGCTCCTCTATTACTGACAGACATAATGGGGTGTAATCGAAACCTTGGTGCCGCTGTACTTGCTGACCAGTTCACCTCGGGGCCTTGGCCTCACAGGCACAAATGGGCCCTGGGAGATACCGACTGCTCGAAGACTCATGTTATAATATGCCAAGAGATCCAAATCTCCTGACTCTGCGCAGAGCTCATCGATCCGATATCTAGGGCAGGCAAGATGATATCGAACGTACCCGAGGAAAAACTCGTCCACTCGCTGCCGGATGCGATGCTCCCCTGCACTTTCGAGCATTTCTCGTACCCGACTCTGACACTTGAGCGCAATTTCGGAAAGCTCGTAGAGCACCTCGCCGGGCGTATATCCTGTGCAAGCAGAGGTATTCAAGGTATAGTTGATCCGGTCTGTCGCTGTATTATGACCCTCCTTATAGAACGAGAACAGGTCATTGACAGTTCCAACAAACTCTTCGAGCTCCGCCTCCATCGAGGCAATTGAGGGCAAGTATTTCTCCCCTGGGAATTCCTTCTCAGGGAAGCAAACCGCCGCCTGGACAGCGCCCTGGGCACTCATGCGACGCACGTAGTCGGGATACCTCGACCCAGAATATCCACGGAAGTGGGTACGTTCCACTGTGGTTGCCTGGAGGAACTCGAGAGCTCCCCGGAGGAGAGTGGTCTGTGAATAAGGGCCATAATATTGCAGTAATGTCGGCAGCGACTTAAAAAACCCGCGCCACACGGGATGCTCTATCTCGGACCTTTCCGATAGCTGGGAGCACAGACCACTCAGGTTGTTATGCTCATCGCTGTCCATGTCATCCACGGACATTTGATAGGCATCGTATACCGCGGCGGCCTTGCGAACCTCCAGGGGGATAAAAGGAAATGAGTCATGGGCGTATTCACTCATCATTCGGACAATCTCCTCGCCTTCGGGGAAGACTTTTCGTCCGTGATCATAGATGGCTTTGAAGTCTGATCGGGGAAGACAGGCTTCATCTTGATATGGGAAACGGTATAGGAAATGGACGAGAATATCGCTCAGCTCTTGGAGAGAGATCTGCTCCATGATAGGGAAGCCCGAGTTATGAATACAAGAGGGATAGAGCTTGCATGAAATAAGTGGTTTCTTACCTTGCAGGATCATCTAGGTAATAACCCCTTTTATGCTCGACAGGAGCTTTCCTAGCTGACAATGCCAACCAAAGGCCAACGTCATGCTGGATTGCATGATCCCACTCGGTGTGGGATCATGCAATCCTAACCAAGATGTATAAAAGTTGTTCCAAGAAAACTGTCACCTGAAGGCAGCCAGGATAATTCTGCCTAATATATACGATAGTTTAGCAAATACTGCGGACAGTGTTGTATCCATTTACTATAATCTATACCAAACCATGGTAGACACCGCAGGTGGCGTCTTAGGACAAGCTGACCACTAAACCGCACTGGATACAGCTCTATTGACAAGATAATTAGATTACAATTAGGTAATTGGTTAGTATGGAAATCGGTATTCGCGAGAGTTTACATATTCAAGTAATTTAGATTTACGGAAAGTCAGGACGCCCAGATGTCAGATACCCAGAGCGAATCCTGATTTTCATGTTTGAAAACGGGTCAAAATCTGGGTACGTCCTTCTCCTATTCCTAAACGGGAAACAGGTGTGTTAGAATCTTAAACAATCACTGGCCTGCATTTTCTGAATCCCTCGATCCCAATTTACTTGGCCAGCCTATTATATTAGACAAAGGCTTTAATTGGATGTATACACAGTATTAAACAGCCAATTTGTCCGGAGCAGTACTAACCTTAAAGGAGATTTTAATTTCAGTACAGAGTGCTTCAGAGCAACTATTTAAAGTGGGTACGTAGTGATTTGAAGCTAAAGTAACCAAAGCCCATGCTTGTTGGTGCTTTTATATGGCTTGCGAGTTGTACAGAACGCTTCTATCCACACATCCAAAATGTCCGTCAGAACAGTTGGCAATCTAAAGAAGCTCGCAGAGACAGCCAGCTTTAGCCGTGAGTTTTGGCAGGCCGTTATATTCATTTTGGTTAGTATATCTTGATATACATGCAATCAGGGCAGTTCTAACATTACAGCGAATAGATCCTGTCCTATATATCATACACTATTATTTACAGTCTCTATTTTTCTCCCCTGGCACCATTTCCTGGTCCCAAGCTATGGGCTGTGTCGAGCATTCCCTATCAAATTAGCATTCTACGAGGCCGCAGTCATCGGAAGGTACTGGCTCTTCATGATTATTATGGGTCTGTTGTACGGGTCGGCCCGGACGAATTATCCTTCAACAACGCCCAGGCATTCCGTGATATTTATGGATTCCGGCCTGGGCGGCCACAGTTACCTAAAGACCCCAAGTTGTATGCCTCAAAAATGAACGGCGTCCGTGACAGCATTGGGGGATATCTCGATAACGAAGCGCATACCAGACAGAGACGATTGCTCTCCCATGCCTTTTCTGAGCGATGTCTCCGGGAACAGGAAGAGGCGATTGTGCAATACGTTGATCTCCTCATTCGCCGACTACGAGACAGGACAAAGCTGGATCCCAAGCATGAAGCCACGGAGGATCTGAAAAATTGGTTTACCTTTGTCACGTTCGATATCACCGGGGATCTGATGTTCGCCGAAACATTTGACTGTCTTCGAGATGGTAAACTGCATCCGTGGATTGCCCTCATCTTTGCTACCATGAAGGGGATCACATTTCTTTCCGTCATTAACCATTTCTCGCTGATCCGGGTACTACAGAAGTGGGCACTGCCGGAATCCCTGAGGGAGAAAATGATGCAGCATTTCAATGATACTACTCAAAAGGCCGATCGTCGACTACAGAAAGGAGCGACACGACCGGACTTAATGTCTGCGATTTTGAAAAATGGACTGGGTGACTCCCAAGGGAAATTTGTTGAAAATCAACCGATCATGAGCAGACGAGAAATCCATGCAAATTCTGTCTTGTATCACACCCGTTCCTCCTTTCGGATTTTTGTCTCTGGCTGACAACCGTGTACAGCATTACCGTGGCAGGAAGCGAAACCTCCGCTTCGATACTGTCTGGATGCGTGTACTATCTCTGCAAATATCCCGATGCCATGGAGAGAATATGCAAGGAAGTCCGCGCCGCATTTTCGAGAGACGACGAGATCACATCGGCGAAATGTGGTCGTCTTCCGTATCTCAATGCTGTCATTGAAGAGTCACTTCGACTGTACCCGCCGCTGGTCACGAGTCTGCCACGACTGATTCCCAAGGGCGGAGATATTGTGGATGGCTACTTGCTTCCCGAAGATGTATACCTATTCCCATTTACAGAGATACGGTGCGTGCATTTCTAACATGATACAGACAACCGTGTCCACGCACCACTATGCTTCCTACCATGCTGCTGCAAACTTTGTGTTTCCGGAGCAGTTTGCCCCAGAGAGATGGCTCAATGACTCTCGATTCAGCTCAGACAAGCTCGAAGTGCTGCACCCCTTCAGCTTAGGTCCAAGAAACTGCTTGGGCAAAAAGTCAGTCAATCCGATTGCTGTCAATTCTACGTACTGACCTGGCAAAGCCTGGCATATTTAGAAATACGCTTGATTTTGTCGAAGATGTTGTATAACTTTGACATGGAGCTTAGTCCGGACTGTGAGAACTGGATTGACCAACATGTTTACACAATTTGGGACAAGCCGGCACTGATGGTTCGGCTGAGAGACAGGCTACATGATCTGAATTTAGCCTGATTGTAGCAGGATAGGATATTCATTTAATAGTTGGCTCTAATGGATGGATTGAGGATTTCAAGTACTAGTGACGTCTGTCCTGCTATTTACAAAAGTCGAATAGTTCTCTCTCTATATAACTACTCCTTTGGTTCATCGGGAGCTTGAGTTTTATATTTTCTATTCGCCTCGCCTTGGACTAGTTAAGTGTGATTATCGACTGCTCTAATATATTTATTTTCGGATACTGACATGCTGTTGTGTAGTCTGCTTGGAATTTAAATCAACAAGTTCTGAACTTATAAAATTGCCTTCGTAGTAGATTAACTATTCGCTAGTGTGAAATAACAAAGGGGTTAAAAGAAGCCGAGTTAAAAACAGTGGGTGCCTGCACAATGCTTGCTCTTTTAGATCTGCAATGGAAGCACCGAATCGATTCACTCAAGGCCGCGCAGCAAAGTGGTTAGCATAGTCGTAACAGGGGGGTATATCCTGCGGATAGGGTAGATGAGTGTTATCAGTAGCACGCGAGGATTAGCAACGCGCACAGAGAACATCAGACGACTCTGCATGAATAAGTATCTGACAGTCCAAGCATGGCCGTGTTTCCAAAAGAGGCGGTACAGGTGGTAATCGGCAAGCCAGGATGTAACGAATCTGACGACTACAATCTCGACAAGATCGACGAGACAACATCGTTGAGCAGCAACCCTCTACTGGGTTGAAACAGCCAAGAGGAAAAGCAACATTTTGAAAGGGTCTGTAAAGGTGTCGTATTCTTTTGGTTACTACGGAAGTTTCTCTTTTGTTAGTTTTCGTCGCAAGAGGGTTGCCATCCTCTATATAATCAATAAAGACTGGAATCCTTAGCTTATTGTTGCACTAATAAGTAGATTTTGCCATGTTTAGAGCCGATTATTTACAGCTGTCCAGTTAATATCTGTCTGCTCAAAGCGCTCTGGAAGGTCATGCTGTGAGCGATTATTTACAGAAACCACAACTGTAGTATTATCAGGCCGCACACACCAGTTACAGGTTACTTTCGCGTAGAACACCTTCTGCCTTCTGCTTAATCTACTGCCAATATGAACTGGGCGTTGAAGTGACGGCAGGCGGATCAGATTGATAAAACCATATTGGGTCCTATATTAAGAATACTAAAGATAGGAAAGGAAGACGGTAGAAGGGGCGTTGTGATGGTGAGCGAGAATATAGAGGGGAGCTTCCCAGCCCTAATCCTGTGCCCTCAGCCCTTTCTCATTCCAATACGGTTCCATCCATCTGGTGTACGACCCAGTTAGACACAGGTCCTGTATTTGTGGGTGGATCTTTGCAATTTCGCTGCAAGTCATCCAGTCGAACATGTATCGTTTAACAAGGGGATTACCCAAACCCCCGTATGTGCCCATAGCCGGTCTATTCTAAGGGCTTTCGGCATGTTGCTACTAGAGTGGGGCCAATGACTTACTCTATCAGTCTATTAAGACTATTATCTTATAATTTCTCGACCTAGAGTGGACTACTTGTATGTCAAAATGCGCTAGGCCTAATACGATTGCACCAAGAATAAACCCTACTGCCGAGAAATTTTGTGGTATGTTTTTACAAAGCCCATGGCATACCTGCTCCTCAAGTTGTTTCGAATATGAGTCGCCCTATGTTCTGAATAGATCTTGTTTCATTCAATTTAGATTTAGGACCGTGACAATTAGAAAATAGAGGAAGAGATGGAAATGGAAATTATTAACTCGTACGATACTCTATGAAGGAAACCACGCCTTGATGCGTGTCCTAGGGCAAATATTACTGCTTTAACCACCAATTAGTTAGGCTAAGTCTCCGTGAGAAGCCATAGTACTTTCTCACGGTTTAATGCTATTCTGTATGGTGTCCATGCCCTTACTCGGTTTCCCACTTTAGTAAGGTCTTGGAATTTGGCACAGCACGAGGATGATTAGGTCCGATGGCTTGTTTCTTCTTGGCTAAGCAATCCCTCAGTAAATTAATGGCATCTGCAGTTTTGCCGGAAGATTTCCAGGTCGCCGCCAGGTTCGCTATGCTCGTCAGCTTGTCGGGATGGTCCTCGCCGAGCTTGATCTTGCGCGCCTCCATCACATGCACCTGGAGCTGCTCCGCCTCCTCCCACCGGCCCTGTTCCCAGACAGTTGGGTATACGATTTGGTATATGGTATATGGTTTGGTATATGATCACAGTGTCAGGGCCTAGGTCGAACCCTGCCTGAGGCACCAAGACTACTTTATTCACTGGTGGTCTGACCCTAAAACACAAAAGATACCACAGTTCCTGTACTGTATGATAGCATTCTTTCTTTCTTTCTTGTCTACATTTAATATTTCGTTAGATCGCCACGTTAGATAGAAATGATACATCTTTCCAATATGTATAGGATCATCACACCTGGCAGTTAGGTATGCAAGGTGCTTAAATGCTCATGGAACAATTATTGATATTCAAAGTCTGCTCGAGGAGTTCAAAATCTTTCAATGAGTGACAATAATTGGGGTACTAAAAACTTGATCGACTAGCTCTTTCATCCACAGTCTCCTCGCAACGGACCCAATCTACTAACCAACTCAATTTAACTGGGAGCCCTGATACTCGCATTCTGTGATCATGGTTAGTTAGTAACTTTTATATAAGTAAAAATTGTAGTGACGAGATACTTACTGCCAGAGACAACCTGTGAGCCGTCACTAGGACCGCTATAGTACTTGCAACTTGAGCCCTGCTTGTGGCTGCAGTTATTGGGACAGTTGCAAGCGTAGTCTGCATAAGATATTAACATTTTGTCTTCTTACTGCATGATCAGAGACCACCAACATGGGGAGGTAGCAATTTGAATAGAGCCTACACTGCGTGTAACCTCTACAGCAGCTCCAACAACCTGGCTGGCAGCAAGGAGCGCTATAGCAGAAAGTAGGGTGGCACGAAAAAGCGTCTTGAAGAGATTTTCTAAATGAAAATTATTTACTTTCAAATAATATTCAAGAGTGATGGATAAAGATTTTGGAGATAAAACTAAAAACCAAAGATTCTTTGGTTTTCTTATATTTTGTTGTCTGCCTGATTGATTAACAGTTGGGGGTGGTTACGCTGCAGTATAGATATTAACTAACATTCATTTCTCTTTTTTGTATTCACCCAGAACACAGAACAGAACTAACAATTTAATCCATTATCCTTCTCTATCCTACTATTTGGAATAATAATACCCCTATTAAAAAATATAAGCCCGAAAATGACCGATTTAGAGGGAGAAAGAAGAAGTAGAGAGAAAAAAGCCTTATCGAACCACCCATGTTATACAACCCTGGTGGGAGTTGCGGAGGAGCTTTAACCAAGTTCAAGCTGCGGCACAGTTATTATGCATATCTGTTGCTTTCTCTATACTACTCTTCCAAGGATCACTAACACTTCCACACCCACTCTGACTCACGCTCCAAAGCCCTGGGACCAGCATTACACCCCTAGACAAGTTTGTGATTGGGGCGATGAGCTGCCTAGTTGGTATAGTTTGAGACTTTTCTAGGTTCTGCTTCCCGGTCTCGTATGTAACATGTGAAAGTTGGAAGTTGATCATGCAACAGGCTAATGCTTAGCTATCACCCCCTCACCCAGAATGTCGGGTCCCGGACTGTAGTATTCTAGTTGGAGGAGGTCGCTGGTGTTGCAGTAGTTCGCAAGAAGACTCCCTAATATTTAGCATATATACATACACATACACACTTTGAAAGTATCGCGTGGTTGCGGGTGGTGTAATTCCAGCTGCTGTGGGATAACTACTAGAGAAATGTATACTCTTAAAGAGCTTGTCACAGAGCTCTCCATATCTTGACCAAGCAGAGGGCGCGGGAGTTCATCATGGTAATATCCTACTTCGGGTGTGTAACTGGTTTCTGGTGCCACCCGAAAGAGTTTGGAGATGCTAATATAATGAGACTTAATAGTGTACCGTGGCTCGCAGGTGATCATGACCAATTACCAATCCCTTCCTCCGAGAAGCTTCTCCATATGACACGTTCCAGCAGTGGGATGCCCCACCCCCTGGTAGCTCCCACGGAACGCGGGGATCCTTCAACCCGTGACCGCAAATGTATGCCCAGCTGATGGTTGGGTCAACAGATCAGTGGCTGCCCTCCTTAGCACTTGAGCAAAGCACGTAGCGACGGCTTCGAAGAAAGCTGACATCTACCCAAGAAACAGGAATCAATGCTGGATTATATTCTATGTTAATTTCTTGTCTTTAACTAGACCGCCTCCGCCCCATCGTTTGCCCTGCCTGATGGCAGTTTGACTAGGTATGATGCCAAGAACACAACCAACGCACAGGCCAGGTTCAGCAAGGCTTATAAAACGGGTCATGCTACCTAAAGGCTTAGACTTATATCATCTGCTTCAGCTCGCAATAATTACACCCGTTCCCCATCGTCGCAGCTACTTCTCTCGCTTCCACATCGCTGTACACCGGTACACACGCCATGGCCGAGCGAATAAGCCCTGAAGCCAGCACCGAAGCACCCAAAAAACCATACGCTCTCGTCAAGCAACCCCGAGAAGATCGGAACCATCCCTCCGACCGTTCAGAAACAGAAGGGTATGCCAACGCCAATTTTATCAAGCAACCCCTAGATAAGGACCACGAGGAGTTGATAAAGCTTCTAAAGTCATTGCCTCGTGACGAAATGGGAGGCTCATCGATCGGGAGCGACGGGGTCCTCAGAACACTCACGGCAGATCGCGACGTCTTGGGCGCAGTTGGTCTTCCGCCTAGACTGCTTAAAGCGATGCTCGATTGCTTGCCGTATAACAAAGAAGTGGAAGACAAGTTTCAAGGTGTGGATGGCTCTCTTGTGCCTCGAGAGCAGTGGTTTCACCCGGACAAGAGTTTGCTGCCGGCACCTATGACAGAGGAGGAGAAGGAGGAGTCCAGAAAGTTTGGCGAAGAGAATAAGGAAGTCCTTGCGAAGAGAAAGGCGGAGTTGGAGCAAAAAGATAGACACATTATCATATCAAACTACGATTTAGGTCTGAAATGACGGGGGATGGATGTGGACTTTCCGAAACTTCACCTTCTGCTTATCAAAAGGCTTTGATTTTCGTATAGTTTTAAAGAGGAAAGTAGCTTGCTGATTTGAACTAATGCAAATTAAACTGAAGCATACTATCTGGAGTACTGTGTAGCTCCGGACCAATTCGGCAAGGGGTTTAATCTGCATAGAAAACCAACAATTAATGCATTTGGATATCTCGGTATCTAACCGACTCCTCTGACTTGTCTCCGGGATTGCGCGTTGCGCGATCTATACCTGCTAGTCCCGCAGCGATATGATATATCACACTCAGGGGCTAAGGGTGGGTCCATTGGGGCCATTCTGCAAAAAGCTTTCCATACTCACCCAGACAGCACATACAGAGTAAGTAGGCTTTAACGTTAGGAGTTCAACAGAGATTTAGACAAACCATACAATCTCTGTGCCACCCAAAATGAATTTAATCTCAAACAAAAAAAAAAAAAAGAAAGAAAGAAATAAAAAAAAATCGAGCACAAAGGAAAAATGTATAAGAGAGAAGTAATTTTATTCCGATAATTGGATGATCGTGTGAGACCCTAATTAACCTTTTTGTTCTAAACCTAAAGCCGACCTGAGTATCACGTATATTTCTTCTATGTACTATTTATTTCTCATTTTTCGTTCAACACCTGAACTCGAGCTTGTCCTACCCTGTGCATTGCCGCAACTTCTGTATTGGTCGCGTTATTAACTTGATTGTACAAGCCTTTCTGTTTCAAAGTGTGCTGGAAATCGAACAACTGAGTTATGGGACGAAGCAGAAGCCATGGAAGATAACAAACGGGGAGAAAATGACATACAACAACAAGCCGCTTTTTACAAAATAAGGCCACTGGGAAAACTCCATAATGGTATAATAACGCACATAATTTGTTCAGCTGGCTGGACCAAAAAGTTCAAAGATCTTGCTTTGAGACAATTTCGAGCTTATATTGCAAGGAGTGCAAGATCGGAAGTATACCAAACGCGACGCGTAAGCGGTGTCTGGGTGGTCTGGATCTAGCACCTTTCAATGGAATCGGGAGCGGGCTAGGGACCGCACTGTTTCTGAATGAGGCGGTGGCATTCCTCATGAATCTAGTCAACAAACCTCCTATGGAAGACGTGGGAACCGCTCTGAGTGGTTTGGCAGAGCAGTTTCGCGGTGGCTATGTCACAATCAAGGAAAGCTGGCAGCTGATGGTGCATAGGGAATGCTCTGGGCCCTGGCGGGCTGCCCTGACGGGAATGATCGAGCAGAACTGGAACGGCGAATGCACAACCGGTGACGTCGTCTCCTCTATTATCTCGGCGGCACGTGGGCAACCGCTGCCCATGGCAGTCTGCTGGTGCGAGCAGTGGGATCGCGACACGGTCATCCCGACAGCCGTCATCAAGCGCACGACCAAAAGTGGCAAGGACTGTTTCCTCACAAGGAACATGGCCTCTGTCACGGGCACTGCGTGTGCTATCTTCATGGAGACGGCGCTGGAGCTGACGGCCGTAGGGAAGAACCGCAGCAGCATCTTCGCCCCCGAGGATTGGGCTGAACCGTCCGCGTTCTACCAGGCATTGAGCTGGGGACGCCCTGTGAAAAGATTGTCAAGACATTGCAAGCGCACTAGCATCATGTGGATGCATATTATATTTTTATTGTGGATTAAATTGATATATTGAGCTATGCTCTACCGAATTTATGACATACAGAATGTATAGTGATTGTTGTCTATATGATCTATAAACCGAAAGAGCAGAATGCTATGCATAAAACAGCCAAGTTTCTATTGGTGTTTTGTCGATGTCAATAATATATCCCGTGGAATAGATTTAAATATAGCCAGACATATTCACGGATACATACCCTTGAAGAATATCGCCAATGCAGCGTCCCTCGCTCAGGAGTACCATCCATTGTTCGCCCATTTAACCTGTATCGTCAGCACAATCCCCAAATGATTCCGTCAAACTTACGTAAGATGGATTGATCTTCTTAAGATCTCCCAGTCCCAAGTTCCCCCCATCGACGGCAATCTCGCGCTTCAGCTGTTGAATCGCCTTCTGGACGCCCTTCACGCCATAAGTGTTGGCAAACATGAACGGGCGTCCGATGCCCACAGCTCGCACCCCCAGTGCCAACAGCTTAAGCACATCTGCACCGTAGCGAACGCCACCATCCGCGTAGATCTCGATCTGGTGGAACAGCTCTGGCGCTTCCTGGTAGATTTCCAATGCGATCTCCAGCGGCGAGGGACTGCTATCCAGGTTGCGGCCGCCGTGGTTCGACAGAATCACAGCAGGGGCCTTGTGTTGTACCGCCAGTCGCACATCCTCAACAGATGAAATCCCCTTGATAACAATTGGCAGAGATGTCATGGTTTGCAGCTTTTTGTAATAATCCCAGGTGATGAAGGTGTAGTCAGTGTTGGCCGACCCCATGTTGTACCGCTCTGCACGTTGTCGATTGCCACCGGCCGCTGCGTCGACGGTGAAAACAAGGGCCTTGCTACCGAGCTCTTTGGCCTGATCAAATAGTTCCTTCGTTGCCGTATCGTTACTGTCCAGATACACCTGCTGGAACAACACCTGCGAGCCATTCGATGGCTTGGCCGCCGCAATCTGGTCCATGGTCAACGAGGCAAAGAGGGACGGGATATAGAGGATGTCTTCCTGGTATGCCGCTTTTACCAGGTTCCTCTCCGCCTCGGGATGGGCCAGACCAGCCCGAGCACAAGGACTGATGTAGAAGGGTGCGGAGAAGTTGTACCCGAGGATAGAGGTCGACAGGGTCGATTCGATCTGGGTCACATCAACCATGACACGAGGTCGGAATCGGAACCGGCCGTAGGCCTCGAGATTGTTGCGGTAGGACCATTCCCCTGCGGCGCCGTTGCGATAGTATGTGTACGACGAGGCATTCATATAGCGTCGAGCAGCCCAGTCATAGTCCGGCAGACCGACGAGCTGATCGAGAGCAGGCAGGGAGCCTTGGGGCGTGTCGCCGAGCACGTCGTCGATCCTGCCCTGTTAGCGAGATAGTATGAGGCCGATAGGAGATGCATACCCGGTGTCTGGTTCGTTAAGGAACGGTCGAGTCGCCAGGACTCCCGACGCAAAGAGAAAAAAACGCATGTCTATTGCTGAATGTAGGGGGTGTCTAGCTTAGGTGACCTATGTTGCAGAAAGGGGTAATACATATTTATACTATATAGACCGTAGAATTACGTCAATTCTTGTCATCCCAATTCCAGGGAGCTTGGCAGTCGGATAAACATTCACGAGCTGTTTCACCAGTGCCACCAGCCAAGAAGCAATCTCCTGCAGAATGGAACATTAAACATTAACACTGCCACTGCAGCCTCCGCATTGCACGGAGTCCGCCGGATGCAACCAATCGCAACGACTTGGCATTGACCTTGTTTCTCCAGTCGAAATCTTATCTGATACCAGAACGGTAGGAATTAGGCCTCACACATTGCTTGGCTGGGACGCTCCATATGGTGACAAATTGATTGATAATCTTCGGGCAAATTCCACCCGGAATCTATCTCCACATCAATGCCCCACCGACATCGTTGTCGCCGCCGTTGACACTAACTTATGCACAGAATGCCCGTGACTACAGGTTGGCTCACTTGACTAAGTGGTGTCACCTGTTTTCTGCAGAAGACCCCCCCGTAAAGCTGTTCCGTGGTAAACCTGCAAAGTAACTCCTGCCGGAACCAATTGCAGAAACTCGACGACCAGCAGTTCCCCCAAAATGCGCTGCGATACACTGGTCGATATACTCCTTAGCTACCCCCAGGATCATGACCATCTGTTGCAGGATGGCCCGTGTGATCGTCGTTAACACCTCCAGCGATACCTGGCCCAGGCTCTGCTGCAGACTGGCTTTCCTCTGCAGGCTCCATCACCCCATCGCCAAGCTCTGATAACCCCGTCCGTAGCCATAGGCGTGCAAAACGAGGGTCTAGTTCCTGATATTTCGCTGCCGTCCAAGTGGATGGTAGCGCCCATCAGATTGTCGTCTGGTTCAGGCTCCCCCTGGTGGACACAACATAGCCCATTAGGGCTGTGACCGCCACCAGATGACCGCCAACCCCAGTTTCTCCAACTGCCGAACATACCCTGGGCGCTCGTGTGCAGAACCCGCATCCACCATGCCCAAGTTGATGGCATGCGCGGGTTGTCCCCTGCAGCTACGCCATCGCACAAACGCTTACTGGAATGTGCACGCAGCGTCATAATTGGCCTGCAAGGAATCACCTAGGAATCCGAGGTAGGAGGAGAGTACATCAAAGAAGTTCAGGGGTGGTGGCTGCTGACCTCGTGCAAATCCTCGTGCAAATTCCACGTGCCAGCCAGCTCGGGGTGCAGCACGTCGCGCAAGTCCTGTGCCAACACCTGCTCAAATTTGGTGAACTATGCACGGTTCGCTAGATCCATATTAAAAAAAAAAAAAAAACTTGCACGACTCACCCGCAGGATCATCCCTCCACGGAAGCAGCAAGTCAGCATCGCATTGCGCCAACGTCGCCTCCAGCGAACTGCAATTGCCCTTATTGCAGGCGAACACGCTAACTTGTCGTAGCTCAATGACGCCATGATATCATCTGCTACCTTAGATTGCGCTCCTTATTTGATAGAATGATAGCAATCGAATAATTATAGCAGCCGGGGGCCGCAGCCATCGAGATGATCAGACTATCCGTCTGCTCCTCTGGGCTATCGTAAGAATACCTGACAGCCCCCGAGAAGTCTCTGCCCTGCAGCACATCATGCCACTAGTCCAGCGATAGCAGCGGACTGTCCTTTTGATGCTACTTGGCATCCAACCACCAGCGGGACAGGGTGCCAAAGGTAAACAACCGATGCACGGTAGGCCTTGTGCGCTCCATGGGTAGCAGTGCGCCTCCAAGTCTTAGCAGACTACGCACATGTTGGGCTGTCGCGCCTATATAGGTGGTGGCGTGTAGTACATTAGCGGGGATAATGAAGTCGTAGTTTTCCCCTGTCCAATATTTGACCTCTGTTCCTTCTTAAGCTCGCCGAAGTTCATAGCGCCCTTCCATGACACGAGTTCTGTTCCACGTGAGGGAAGAATGAGGTTGAGTAGTCAAAGAGAAGGCATTCCTCAGCTGTGAGCGCCTGCAGAATAGGTAGGGTGTCATCTCCGGGGCCGGCCCCAACTCCCTGGACACGCATGAGCGACAATTTCTGGCCGAGCAGCTGGGCATAAGCTGCCGACCTGGAGGGCACAGTGTTGAAGGCTTTTGTCATTGTGATTGACCCGATAGAGCAGATTGTCCTGTAGCATGGCCGACAAAAGCATCATTATAGCCCTTACATTCTTAACGGAACGATCCATGTCACCCCTCCTCCCCGAGTAGCTTTTCCCATCCCCGCCTACGACGTCGAGGCCAGTGCCGGCTGGGATTCATGCTTCCTCCTATTCTGAATCATGCCAGTTTTAAAGTCAAAGCATCCACTTTTGCTATGATTATTGGCCCCATTGAGCGCGGAAAGTCAACCCTTCTGAAGGCAATTCTAGGAGAAGTACCACATGTCTCTGGCTCCGGCAGAAGGAGTTAGGCTCGGATTTTGTGACCAAACACCATGCCTGCTAATCATAGGGTAGTTTAAATCCTTATCCTGTATTGAAGCACATTTCCTCTGAAGTTCTTCCTGGCCAGTAAGTGGGCATCTGCGGCCGAACGGGAAGGTATGTTCATCGATACGTCCCATGTGTCAAAAAGACATTAATGTATCAATGAAACAATGGGTAAAGTTCGATTATTTCGGCTCTTCTCCGTATACTTGAGACTCGCTCAGGCTCCATTGATTAGATGGCATTGACAGTTCCCTGTCTCGAAATGAGCTCCGTTCCCTGATCATAAACTTACCCTAGAAGCCATTTCTGCTCCAGATGAGCGTCCACGAAATCCTGGAACCAACGGAGTATTTCCAATGACAAACTCGTGGATGGGCTCCGACGTTTTGGCCTTTGGGATTTGCTTTTACTGAGAGGGGGCTTAGACGCCATTTTAACGGAATCATTCTCTCACGGCCACCGCCCGCTCCTCTATCTTGTACGTGCCATCTTCTAGACAACAGGATGCTCCTTATGGATGAAACAACTAGCCAGTAAGTGCTGCATGGTCCTGTGCTAATTTTCTCTCAATCGATCCACAGTAAAAATCTAATTGCGTTCTAGCGTCGACAAGTGGACTGACGAGATTATGCAACACGCCCTAGGCGACTTTCACAACACGACAATTATCAGTATTGCGCACCAGCTCCATCCAGTCTTGGACTCCGATAGGATAGCTGTTGTCGATAACGGACGTTGTGCCTCTCAAGAGAAATTCTGGACACCGCTACTATGATCGGTCGCAGGAACAGACTTTGACCATTTCTGTTGCTATCCCTAAAGTACATCATCGGGAACCAAATAGGACGTATATCACACGTACGCCATATCAAATCTATAGCATTGCTACTTTGCACAATTATGTCTCCTGTAGGTACGTATTCGCACCTCTTTGAACTAGCGAGAGAAGTTTCGAGCTCCGGAAGCGGATGGGAAGTGGAATTTGTTTACAATATTCTTTAATAATTCCCTTTCTAGTTAGTCAGAGATTTTGTGCTGCTAATATTTGGGAAGGCATGTAGCATTAGGTTGCAACCGTAGTGTCCTCTCCAGGCGTGGAGCCAATGCGCGGAGTAATCGCTAGGTTTTCACTCACGGTCTGTAAAACATTTAAAGGATCGCTAGCCGTGAAGTTGCCAGGAAATTTCTTCATCAGTCCTAGATCGGGCATTTGTGATACCAACAGCACAATGTCGGTGAAGTCATTATGAGCTGCACTGTCGATGACAACCTCTTTTTACCAGCCACGTATGTGCGGCCATACAGACTGCAGAGTGTCATTGTTTTCCACATGGGCGCTGGAAATCTAGAAGAACCCCCCCGGCGGTGGTAAGCACCGGAACGTAGAGTCCTCCATCAAGGGAGCATCCAGGCCGAATCAATGAAGTTTTATTTTGCATGGGTAGTGCAGTCGTTGCTCCTCCAAGAGAATACCCAAACATGCCGACGTTCACGCCACGCGCGTCTTCCTTCTATCCCCTTATCAAACCCGGGATCCAAACGGACATTCTCTGCAGAGTGAGCTGCCTGGCTACAGTTTGGGTATATTGCACACGGGCAATGGCCTCTTCCGTGATCTCCCTGATGCTCAAACCGTTCAGTTTCCCATCCAGAGAGTAATAATACCGACAAAAATGTAGCCCCAACTAGCCAGTATTTGCTGAAGAACATTGTATACTCCCTCGGGGATCCGAGGCCTGGACAAAAGATCATCGCAGAGAGCCATCCATCCTCAGAGAGCAAGGGATGTAGAATACCACCCCCAATAAAATAGTTGGTATTTATTTGATCGATGATGTGCTTTAATAGGGAATAGGCTTGCGCGAGATATCGGACCATATATGACGGGATAGACGGGGCTGGTTCGGGGGGATCCGTGTCCACAATTGGATATCGAGATTGTAATGTGACAGGGTAATTCTTCTCATGACCAATTTCGTCGATCAAATTCGTTCTGGTGGAACCGACTGCGAATGGCCCAGTTGGGGATGGCAGAGTCAGGTCGATATGAGTCACGGCCGAGTAATATAAAGCGAAAATCCTAGAGCCAGAAAGCCGGAGGAAAAGGAATCTCATTTCATTTTTGGAAACCAGGGAAGTAAGTGCCAGTAAACGGTGCTCGACTGAGTCTTAACGCGGTTTTGTTACGATCATATCAAATGCAGTTAGAATGAGCAACAACCCTTGTTATGTCAATCTGGATTATTTGAAATGACCAGCTACCTAATTAGAGACGAGCACTGGCAATTAATCCGAGAATTTACAAAATATAGCATACGTGGTGTAAGGGGATAAGTCATGAGCAAGAGAACATTAACTAAGGGCCACGGGCTCCCTTGTTATGACTTCAGAATTAACTGTGCTTCCGAATTGTGTTGCTAATATCGGCCAGTCAGCTTCTCCGCTAGTCTATTACGGAATATTTGAATCGCGGTATTCTGCATTGACCGTGCATATAGCACGAGATATATTTTGCATCGAGGATACCGCACAGAAAATACCATTCAATACGCTTCTATCACTCTTCCATGGAATAATACCTCCAACATTGAATCAATTCAACTTAATTAAAACAATCTCATTGCTCATCATAAACAGGAACATACCATCTACAGACGAGGACGCGACGAGAGACTCGAGTAGGCCACATCAAACCGGTCCAGCTGCATCACCTTATCCCAAGCCGCCACAAAGTCCTTCACGAATTTGGCCTGTCCGTCGTGGCTGCCGTACACCTCGGCCAACGCACGCAGCTCAGCATGGGAGCCAAACACGAGGTCCACACGCGTGCCGGTCCATTTCTTCGCGCCCGTGCGTCGGTCGAAGCCCTCGAAGAGCTCGTGGTCCGGTCCTGTCGGCTTCCACACCGTGCCCATGTCCAGCAGGTTCACGAAGAAGTCGTTGGTCAGCTGGCCCGGTCGGTTGGTGAACACTCCCTTGTTGGAGCCGTCATAGTTGGCATTCAACACGCGCAACCCACCCACCAGCACCGTCATCTCTGGTGGCGTCAGTTGCAGCAGCTGCGCCTTGTCGACTAGGTACTGCTCTGCGCGCACCCGCGGCGTCGACTTGCCGTAATTGCGGAATCCGTCCGCCACGGGCTTAAGGTACTCGAACTGATCGACGTCCGTCTGTTCCTGTGTCGCGTCCATGCGACCCGGGGTGAACGGAACCGGGTGGCCGGCGGCACGCTCGACGGCAGCGCATCCGGCCAGCACAATCAGGTCCGCCAGGGAGATCCGCTTGTTGCCCGTCTGCGCGCTGTTGAAATGGCGCTGTATTCCCTCCAACACGCGCAGAACCTCCTGTAGCTGTGCTGGGTTGTTCACCGCCCAGTCCTTCTGCGGAGCCAAACGGATACGAGCTCCATTGGCGCCTCCGCGCTTGTCGCTGCCGCGGAAGGTGGACGCGGACGCCCAGGCGGTGGTGATGAACTTGGTCGGCTCGACTCCGGACGCCAGGATCTCATGCTTCAGAGCCAGCGCGTCCTCGTTATCGATGAGCGGGTGGTCAGGCGCCGGGATGGGGTCCTCCCAGAGCAGCTTCTCCTTGGGCACCTCAGGCCCCAGCCAGCGCGCGCGCGGACCCATGTCGCGGTGCAGTAGCTTGAACCAGGCACGCGAAAAGGCGTCGGCGAACTGGTCGGGATGTTTCAGGTAGTGGCGGGCGATGCGCTCGTAGTCCTTGTCATAGCGCAGGGCCAGATCAGTGGTCAGCATCTTGGGCTTGTGCTTCTTGCCGGCGTCGTACGCATCTGGGATGACTTCACCCGCGTTCTTGGCCGTCCACTGGTTGGCGCCGGCAGGACTCTTAGTCAGCTCCCATTCGAATTTGAACAGGTAGTCCAGGTAGTCCATGTTCCACCGCGTTGGCGTCTTGGTCCATGTCACCTCGATGCCGCTGGTGATGCTGTCAGTGCCCTTGCCCGAGCGATGGGTGCTGGTCCAGCCCAGCCCTTGCTCGTGCAGATCGGCCGCCTCTGGTTCGCGGCCCACCTTATCGGCCGGACCCGCGCCGTGGGTCTTGCCAAAGGTGTGCCCGCCGGCAATCAGAGCGACGGTTTCTTCGTCGTTCATCGCCATACGGCCAAATGTGGTGCGGATGTCGCGAGCGGCAGCGATAGGGTCCGGATTACCATCAGGGCCCTCGGGGTTCACGTAGATCAGACCCATGTGCACGGCGGCCAGGGGGTCCTCGAGTTTCCGCGTGCGGATGTCGCTCTGCGTCTTCTTGTCGGCATCAGTGTCGGGGGCATAACGCACGTCGTTACCCTCGGGCAACGGGAACCAGGTATGTTCACCACCCCAGTATGTTGCGTCGTCGGCCTCCCAGGTATCCGGGCGACCGCCAGCGAACCCAAAGGTCTTGAACCCCATGGACTCGAGGGCGACGTTGCCGGTCAGCAGCATCAGGTCGGCCCAGGAGATCTTACTGCCGTACTTCTGCTTGATAGGCCACAGCAGACGACGTGCCTTATCCAGACTGGCGTTATCAGGCCAGCTGTTCAGGGGAGCGAACCGCTGCTGACCTTGACCACCACCACCGCGACCGTCAAACACGCGGTAGGTGCCGGCGCTATGCCAGGCCATGCGAATAAACAGACCGCCATAGTGACCAAAGTCGGCAGGCCACCACTCCTGTGAGTCGGTCATCAGGTTGTGCAGGTCCTTCTTGAGCGCATCGTAGTCGAGACTCTCGAAGGCGGCTGCATACTCAAAATCACTGCTATGGGGGTTGCTAGCCTCACCATGCTGGCGCAGAATCCCCAGCTTCAGCTGGTCCGGCCACCAGTCAGGGTTCCTGGTGCCACTGCCAGCGATATTGGCGGGTTTGTGGACAGGGCATTCACTCATGATGGGATGATGGATATGGAGGGGGAAAATGGATGCAGAGAAGAAATGTCAGAAGACGGAGGAGGGACCCCGCAGAGTTTATAGGATACACAAATCACGGGAAAGTGATTGCGAAGCCCGCGGTAACCATAGAACAGATTGGACAATCCGTGGAATCAGCAGGAAGGCGATTGGATGCGACCCCAATGCGCGATGCGGGGGTTGCAGGCGGGGTAAAAGAAGTGTTGCACTGATCAGACTATGGTTGCCCTGCTTCTGGCATGGTGGGAGTCCCGTTGAAATAGTCCTTTCCAGACATCCACAGATGACAGTAAGCTGATGTCCGGTTGAACCTTGGAACGATTTATTATCGTGTATCATTTCCAAGCATCATGGTCCAGAGGGTGCTCGGTTGTGACGTCATGGGGTCTGGGCTCTGGGATTATTAATTAGGGGATGGCTAGTCGATTAGTTGCTACCTGTCTGGACCTCGAGGTGATCGGACTTGGCTATTCCCGCCATCCTATCCCACCACATCTTTCTGGACGAATAAAAGGTCCTGCAGAATCGAATGAGAAAAGAAAAGCAAATGGGCGAAATCATGTGAGCGGATCCGGGAAAAGGTAAAGGCGGTGCCGGCGAGCAGAATAGAAGCAGATCAGGTGACTCGTCCATGGTGTTGGAGGTAGAGATGTGAAAAAAAATTTCAAATTTCGAAATTTCAGGCCAAAATTGAAATTTTTTGAAAACTTTTTTATTTTTCTGAAAGATTTTTAATCACGTGATTAATATTTATCAAAATATTTCCCCCAGACAGATCGAGGGCCGATGGGCCAAAGGTGCCAACAGGGCCAAAAGGGACAGTAGGGACAGTAGGGACAATAGGGACTGTTGTGGAACTCAGGGGGAAATGGGGCGTAGGGAGCTATTCTATCAACTACAGGCCAACTAGCCTAATTAGGAAGTAGATGTCATTCAGTGGAAACACCAGGAATCACAGTATCTCAACCAACTGAGTCTCTTGCATTCCTATCTAGGTGCTCAACTATCTAAAGGATTCAGGGGTTGAATCGATCGTCAGATACTCCGCACCGCCAAGTCGGGCGGATTATAGTGTTTCCGTAACAGGGACAATAGGGACAATAGGGACAATAGGGACAATAGGGACAATAGGGACAATAGGGACAGTAGGGATAATAGGGACGTTGGCCCGAGAGTTCAAACGGGCTCTAGCCCTTTACACATATCGATGATTAACAAGGATTCCAGCCTATAATACTCAGGGTCAGGTGTATTTATAGGTTAAGGTAGAGAAATTATACCTGTTTAACAATCTAATCCGTCATAGCCATTGCAATTATTTTCGTTCCTGTTGAGAATCTCGGGGAAGAAGCTATGTCGTGAGGTGCTAGGATAGCGGTGACTGGATAGTATATTAAAACTATCGGTGCGATCTAGTATCGCAGGGTGAGTATATTCGACTATCTCGGAGAGAGAGCGTAGACAAACGCTTCCTCATGTCTACGTGTCCCTTAGCCACTGAATATGATATATCACATCGCTGCGGGACTAGGATATACGAAGGTGCCTTAGGCATCCTGATTTCCAACAGTTCCTGGTATTTCTTTAAAGCACCAATAATACCGCTTCACGCCATCGGTAACGGAAAGGTTTATAATCCAGTGTTTTAAGATATTGGTAGACTCGTCCACCGAGATATTAATATAGCGAGATTTGGTAAGGACATTAAGGAGTTCGTCAAACGTTGATTTGTAGCAATCTGCAAGAATTAATTTGCTCACGGTGCAGTGTGAGGGGATAGAATATTAAGGATTAAGTGCATGGATAAATTGCTTTATAGGCTTATTTTTAACCATTGAGAATGGCCTTGCACCAGCGAATATTATTACAGTGGTAGTAGTAGTAGTATTCATACGCTGACCCCTCGCCTAAGGCGATATGCAGGATACCCCTATCACTATTCTATATGTGCATCTATTTACAGCAAACTATTACTTCCCGACGAACTTAGAGCCTCGTCAAGGCCTTTGTTGGCCGATGCCTGGTGTTCTGTTCTGCGGCCCTCGTGGCGCGCGACTTCGAAATCTCTGAGATGCCTCTGCAAAGTCCAGTACTGCATTTAAAATGCTACTGCCTTGCGTGGCATCTTTTAACCTACCCTCCTTACCTTGCCCTGCTCCTCCCAGCATATCTGAGATATTATTAAATGCTCTTCCAATCTTCCCCGTAGCTCTTGTCGTAGCCCACTCAGCCGCGGACAATCAATCAGTACATGGACCACAGTTTCTGGTGCACCACATTCACACTGTTTGTTGTCTCGGAAGCCGTGTCGCATACCATGCGTCGCAAGCCATGAGTGGCCTGTTCAGAGTTGCGTAGGCAGGTAGGCTCGATTCCGGGGAGCGAGCCGTAGAGCCAGCGCGTATGGTTTGAGGGTAGGGCTGCGTCAATGCGGCGGAGGTGCCCCCCTTTCTTTGAGGCCTCCATTCTCGTTCCCACTCCTCAGTGATTCTGTCTCGGATATGCGCTTTTTCGCGTGACAAGAGGCCTTGAAAGGGATGCCTTTTATCTGGACCAACTGCTTCCTTCGCCAGGCGGTCCCTGCATCATTTCCGGGATTGTCACAGTGTCCCGGAACCCACTGGAGCCGTAGGGGGATTCCACGTGCTTTCAGCTCTCCAGAGACTGATGAATAGCCTGGATAATCGCTGACCAGACTTGTTCCAGGTTTGCTATCACCTGTAATGCAGACATGCTATCACTAAGGATTGTTGCCGGTTCCCGATTGGAGCTTAGGGTGTGTTGTTCTTTTGAGCCAGTTGAAAAACCAAGCCGATTGCATAATATATTGCCATAAGCTCGGCGGCATATACCGACCAGTATTCCATTAAGCCGATGCAAATCTGTCGCGATCCTATGATCTGGAGACTCTGGTCTAGGGCTACTGCCGCTCCTAGTTGGTTATGTTGCCCTAAAGCGTCCGAGAACTATTATTACAATGGCGACCGTATTTGCCTTCTATATATGTCACGAAACAGAGCGATACTCTTTCAAACCCTAATCACTTGATCCGCTAGTCCTAATATGAATATTTCCGTATTTATCCGTTTGTTCCATGTATTTATGGTAATATCGCAAAACGTGTAAATATGCGGGGAACTCTCGCAAGCAGCGGGGCTCCAATTCCGCTGGCCGAAGAAACGAACTATTAGCCTGTCTTCGGAGATGATCTGTCCAAACCTAAGATTCACCTTTGAGATATTTCTTTAAGCATCTCTAGCGTTCCCACCCGCAATCTACGGCGGCGAAGGCACAACACTGAATAGAATTCGCAGCTTGCGGTTGGCAAGCTGCTTCTGGGGATTTTTGTTCCCTAAGCGTGATATTGATTGGATTCTACAGATAGGCTACCGGGTCTACGCAGATCCATTAGTGCTTTGGCGCTGTGGTCTGTCTAAGGTAAGATTGAGGAACGGGAAAGTTTTCCAAATTGTTAACCTTGTCCACAATACTGTCCCGCCTTTCAAACGAACAAAAACTGTCCTGCAATAGCACCGACAGCAACAAGAAGCAGTGGTGTATACTTGTTGGTGAATTTGTAGAGGACTGCCAGCGCAACGACGTAGAGTACAGCAGCAGAAGCGCTCTCAGCGTTTATGACGTTTTGCGGTAAAACAGCTGCTGTCGTTGAGTCGGAGACTTCAAGACTCGAGTGCAACGTCTGCAGCGCTATAATAGCGATCACACCGATGACAGCCCCGCAAAGACCGTCAAAGAAGGCCGAAAGGAACTACGGGGATCAGCAAATACATAAGGTGAGTCTTCAAATAATGAGTGACATACCTTATTGCGTACAAGCTTCTCCAACAGGTCATGTCCAGCAATCGTAAACACAAAGCAGGGGAATAACATGCCAATAGTAATAACCACCGCGCCGGCAAAAGCTGTCCCAAGGCTGTCATCCGCCAAACCGCCCTGAAACCCGACAAAAGTTGCAAAGATCACAAGCGGGGCGGGGAGAATATTCCCAATTGCGATGCCATCCAGGAAAATGCGCGCGGGAAGCCACGCACCCTTGAGAACGGCTTCGACCTGGATGAAGGGTATTGCGGTGTATGCGCCACCAAAAGAGAGGCTTCCGGCTACCAGTCCAAGTGCGAATAGGTTGGGAAGAGAGGGGTCTTTGGCTATTCCGAGAGCGAGGGAAATCGGTGATGGGACACCTCGGAAAACCACGTAGATCGCGTATACGACGTACTGGAGAATGAAGAGGCATAGGGCGATGATTCGTTTGCCTCGGGATATGAAGCTGTATATTACGCCGTAGAGACCGAGGGAAATGAAGCTATGTTCGTACAATATGTTAACGTTCAGCATTGTGGACGGTTGACAAAAGGCAGGTCCCACATATTGATGCGAAGAGCACTGTTCAGCGCCGTACAGAGCCCTGCGATGACAAGGTACGGATTTGTTTTATGAGTGTCGTGGTCGAGTATAGAGTGGTCTGCGATCTTGTGTGTGGCTCGAAGGATCTACTCGCCGTCAGCAGGTGATGTTTTTTGGTCTAGAACGTGCTCACCATGGCAGAGACAATCGGTTGGATAGCCCGGAAGGAAGCATTGAAGTAAATGTTCTCTAGGCCAGCCAGAGTATATAGATAAGATGCAAGAAGCATAAGAAGGAATCCGGGTAAGATAAAGGCGAGACCAGCGACAATCCCACCTAAGCGACCAGCTGAGAGACACCCGAAGAACATGCATAGCTCTGCTGCCTCCGGGCCTGGAAGGATCTGGTAGACAGCAAAGACGCGTTGAAAGCGTGGGAGTGTGATCCATTTTTCTTTAAGCACCAAGTGCTCTTTTATCAGGGAGATTTGTGCTACAGGCCCCCCCCAGGCAAAGAGCCCAAAGTTGTAGAAGAAGAACCAAAATAATCGCAGTAGAGAGAGTTGGGGCACATTTGTGTTGTCCTGTAGACCGTAGTCACTGCTAATATTTTGCGAACTTGTAGATTGGCTCGTTTCCCCCGAACAAGCTGTACTCTGCTGTGCTTCGAGATCTGTTTTAGGGCTATGGAAATCCCCATTGTCGGCATTGCTCCCTGGGACAGGTGTCGGGCTGCATGACGACTCGATAACGGTGGCCATGATAATTGGCATGTGTGAAAGAGAAGAACCAGAATGCTGTCTCTCTCTTTGCCCGGTGAGCATCAGCCTTTTATGCTGTATACTTTTCTGTTAGGAAGGGGGCCGGGGACGGACACATTGAACATGATTGGTGGAGAGTACATAGACGGACAGCTGGACGATGATTGGACAAAGCCCTGCTGGTTTATTTTGGTCCGCTGGCAAATCAAGTTAATAGTGGGTCTGATGCTTTGGCCTTATTGGTTTCATTGATCGCAACACCATTGTAACGTGGCCCAATCAACGATGGCCTGTCTGTCCCCCCAATAACTCCCACCATTTCTCTGCTCAAACCATCCCAACACCTCAAGCCACTGCCCACTTCCCCTGTCGGATGAATACCTCCAGACTTCCATGAAAGATGTCGTGCGATAAGGTAGTGTGCTCGAGTCTTTGCATGACACCGCTAAGTCAGAACCTAGAATACAGAGCGCACCTTGCGCTTGAGAGAGAATAAACGCCGCAACAGAGCACGCCAGAAGGAATACGCGGCCGATCTGGAACGCAGACTAAGACAGTTTGAACAAGAAGGTGTCCGGGCAACCATCGAGATACAATGTGCAGCTAAGAAGGTTGCAGAGGAGAATATTTACCTACGAGAGCTATTGCTGGCGGTCGGCATTGATTGCTCAACTGTCAACGATTGGATAACTCGGAGGAGGACCTGCAATGAGGCAAAGGATGTTGGCCGAAGCCATTATCATGGAACTGCGATAGGTGACAGCATTTGTAACAAAGGCCAACAAAGAGACCCTTCTAGCGCTCCGTTATCTCGGCCGCAATGTTCACTACCTTGCGACAAGGGTTGCCAATGCAGCAGTCCTCCACTGAGCAATCCTATCCCCAAATCAGCCGACAATCCATCAGCCGTTACTGAGGACAATCGGATCACCGATAGGTTTTGTTCGCCTGCGCGGAATAAATCAACACTGGAGAACAGACAAGAGAATGGCAGCCACGATGCGGGACTGCCACCAAGTACCCCGGGGGAGGGCTCTTTTCCGCAGCCATCTGCTCCTTGCAAGCTCCTCACGCGTCTCGCCACGAATCCTGGTTCCGACGTCTCGATGATCTTAGCAGGGGCAGAGACCGAGCAAAAAGCCGACAGCGCAGAAGGCGGTCTGTCTTGTGATAGTGCATACAAGCTGTTGATGCGGTATGCCACCAGTGATGAGAAAATCGAGGCTCTCGCTCTGTCTCTCGAGGAGGGTTGTGTCCCTAACTCAGGTGGTGGATGTAAGGTCAAGAATGAGACTCTATCGCAAGCGCTTCTAGATATCTGTCTTTGATAAGTCTTATCCTGGAGAACCCACCAGTGCATGTGAAACATTTGCCGAGCCAATAAACTCAAAAGTAAATTATTATTACCATGTACATACGAAGCCAGTAATTTACGTCCAACCTTTTTGTTGGGTTTAGCGCTTCATGTGATTAGGGTTTGATGTTGGAAGCGATTGCTTGTTCTATTGAATGGGTGGCCGGGTGGCCGCTACTAGTTAACCTTGTTTGTTTACCACTCATTTTCCCTTCAAAGATTCCTTTTTGTGCATAGCTTATCTTATAGGTTGTACGGGTTCAGCCCCTAGGGCCTGTAGGGTTCGAGTGTTAGGAGCGCTCAGAAGCGTGATAGCCAGATACTTCGCAAAGATGCTTAGCCTGGTGCGAAGTGTTTATATTCGCACCCTCTGGCCTGAGGCCACGATTAGTTCTGCAATATACGTGGTCCTATCTTCCCTCCCATATAGATAGTCCCTTTTGCACCATAGAGTACCATTCAGCTCGTTACCGACCCCACACATAACACCGAGGGACAACGGGGACAATAGGGACAATTGCTCCGAGAGATCAAATAGGCTCCAGCCTTTTACAGGAAAATTTGCATGCAACAGTTTCTCGTGTCGCAACTGACCAAAAATGAGTGGAATCCGGTCGGTAAGGATGAGATCGAAACCATAGCCGTGGATCTCAAGGGTGCGAACATCCAACTCTACGATAAATCATTTTCCTCGGCACCATGATCACCGATATCAGAGTGGTAGTGCATGGAGACTTCAACACGTACCCCATCAAGCTAAGCGTCTCGGATGACGACAAAACATTCCAACCCCAATATCATTGGAGCTGGGCACATAAGTTGTCTGTGAATTACTGGTATTCTACGCCTAAGATTGGCAGAGACCAAGGGAGACCGTTTTCGATCATGGGAAAAGTTTCAGAGGTGAGTGCAAGGATATTCGTAAACGCAAACTGAAGGGTAGCTAATATCAGTTTCTTCAGCCGGGTAGAACCCGTCCCCCTTCGGAAAGCTTAGCGGGGACAGTGTCAAGATTGACCTTGATTTTCGCAAAGAGCACCAACCCAGCACTAAATTCGAAAAAATTTGCGACTACGCAACGGACTATGTCGAGTTCCCCCATTTCATGCTTCGCTGGATCTCAACTTCTTCACGACGCAAAACATCCTAGCCCATGATGTACATTTCATCCAGGCCAAGGAGACCATGTGTCCCTGCGATTTCTTCATTTTGGGGTATATGAATGCATGAGGCCAGCCAGGACCTGCAATATAGCCTGCTTGAAGAATATTTGACACCCAATTGAGATATCTCATCCTAGGTAACAACACAGAGAGCTTAATTCATTCAAATTCAATCTTTCTGAGCTCTGTCCAGCGGTAATGGAATATATTTTGCACATAAAGAGTAGCACAGCCTTATCCGCGAATAGTTGCAATATTGTAGAAACTCCAATTACTTTAGCAGTATATTAAAGTAAATATGATATGTTTATATATATACTATAGGGATACAGGCAAGCTGTATGGCTAACTTGTATTCTCAAAGCTCTTCTAGTACTGTAATAAGATTAAAATAACTCTAACACTTTGGAAAGTGTTAAGAGTTTCATTCTAAAGATATGTTCAGCTCGCAATAGTTTGTAGAAAGGTTTGGAATTTACTCTTGAGCTAATCACTATTGAAAGGCTTTTCAAGTTGACCAGTCCGTCTTATATTAGAAAGGTGTCAGTTGGTAATAATTTATAGAGCAAGTCAACTTGACTGGTGTGTATTCCGAGTTCTGCACCATGCTGTGGACACTGGATACGTCACCATTTACTTTGCAATAAAACCATCAATGAACTTGGTAATCTGCTCCGCCAAAGCCTGAGGCTGGCTTACAAATGGCATGTGTCCGGTCTTAAAGTCCACAACTTTCCATTCGACCTTGGACTTCTCCAGCCACATATCCTGCAACGATGAAGGGTTACAACAGTCGTCCAGTGTACGCACATACGCTCTCCTACCATCAAACGCACTCTCCGCCCAGGCTGGCGCAGTGGCGGGTGTCTCAAAAGCTCGGAGTGCGTGTGGCTGCATTAGCTTATCCAATTCCGGCTCAAGGGCACGGTCGCAGTCATTGTACAAAATCTCCATCGCCGGTTCGATGACAGCAAGCCCCTGAGATGGCTGGGAACAAAATTATTAATACCCTATGGTTATGATCGCGGTTGTTCTGGGTAGACCGTACCTTGTCGACTTTGATAAAAGGAGGGTAAGCGCCGCCTACAGCAGTGAAAAGAGATTCTCCATCAAGTGTAATATTGCCCGCCACGTAAATTAGGCCGATAACGCCAGTGGATTGACCTTGGGCTCTTCTGGTCCCCTTGGCAAGTTCTTTTGCTGCGCCACCTGCAACAACACCCCCGTATGAGTGTGCGATGATGACGACATCTTTACCATGTTCGTTCAAAAGAGGGAGTATTACGTTGTCGCGCAAGAAAGCGATATCCTGAGGAGATGACACTTTGGCCGGATCAGAGGGATTGCAACTAGGGTATGATCCTGGGTGTGTTGCGTATCCGGCTTTGGTCAGATACGGTAGCAATTTCTCGAAGCCTTGAGGTGTGCCGAAGGCACCTGGAACGATAACAATCACCGGGAGGTTCGCCGAAGACATAGTGGAGGGGAGTCTGACTTGAAAACAGGTTGCGACTTTGTTATGTTGAATATTATTGCTGAGAAGAAAAAAGCTAAGAAGTCCGGATTGCTACCTGCAAGTAAGTTAAAGAAGGCGGAGTGGCAGATTTGGTGGTAGCTATTATTTATCATAGTTTAATTAACTAATCTTGCTAATTTCAATGTACCTCTGCAGATTTGCAATCTGGGCTGGGTCTTATAACCGGTCCTTCAAAATCAGTTGCATGTCAGATTAATACATTACGAAACACAATCAACAGCATGTCAGGTTGCAACGGGTACCTGCAAGTAAGCCTAAACGGACCACGCCCGTCCAATGGAGGTGCTGTACCCTACCAGGATATTAATACAGGTACATACCTAGGTAGTAAATACAGGTAAGTGGTACTTCGTGTACTAGAACATGTACCTGCAGGTGGGGGCTAAGTAGTAGTTGCATACACTATACATATCTCAGTGGGTCGGGACAGCCCCTCTCCTCATCTCGCACTTCAGTTGTGGAGTGAACAAGCATTCAGACAAACGTTACAACCGGTTTATCACGACTTGCATGAAAGAACGTGGGGGCGAAAGGATTTAGTCTGCAAATTGAAGGTGGGCATTCAATTGAACGGGAAAAAAGATAGAGATTAAGACCTTGAGTAATTTTTGGGGTAAATCAATAGGAAAGGAACCTTGGAACCTTGGAACAGTATATGGTATTGATCAAAAGACAGGAGTGGAAGAAGGCAAAGCCAATATTTGAACTGCAAACTTGGAATCCTGCCCAGGTGTACCTGTACTGAATTCGGGTCCGATAGTGGGGATCTTCGCCGTTGATGCGGGCCGAAACGTTGGAAGGAACCTTGGAATACCAAACTTTTGGCCCCAGAGGCAGCGCTCAAATGCACCACCCTGTCTGTCTCTGTGACATGTCCATCGTAAGGCCGTCAAGGTTGCGGGGATATTAATAGGACCGTAGAGCCACTGCACGGAGGGCAAAATGAAACGTACATACATCAGCGATCCAAAGCAGGCAGACGCATAGGGGTAAGAGGTCACATCAGACATCTAATTCAGCTCTCTCAAGTCATCAAGGTTTGATGGAAGGGGTCAGGAAGAAAATACCAGATCAAAAAATTATTTTGAGAGAGAATAGTACCCCAGATCAACAGGGACTGGGTTTTAACTTTACTTTTCTGTTTACTTTCCCTGGTTTTATTATAAATATACCGCCTCCAAATTTTCCGTCGGGCCTCTTTGGTCAGATTTTCGTATCTGACTTCAGATGAATTCGACTCAAAATCACCTCGTCGAACTCAGCCACCCATTGGTAGTCAGAAACAGGATGCCTTCGTAGTATTCTACATTGCGAAGGAAAATGGTCAATAGTCGGTTATGACCATTGTGGTATGAGGTACGGCGCTCCACGAACACGTCTGCTTTATCAAGTCGCAGATCAAGTAGAAAGGCTGTACTGAAATGTTTGACAATTTTGAAGATCTCGGCGAGCGAGTGATCTAAGTTATGCGGTTGCCCGTGGACGATGAGCTCCCCCCGAGACCTAAGCTATAGACAATGGACACATACGGAATTCGAAGGCCGCGGCATTCGGTCATTGGTATGGCTTTTAACTATTTCAGTGCTAACAAAGACATGCTGTGTTCCAATTCTGTTGCTGTTCGAACACGAGATAAAAGTAGCTTTGTGAAAGCGGCAGCGGTGGCAGCGGCGTATTCCTGCCACATTTTATTCTTGTGTGAGTCGCAATACTCACAAATCCCTCGAATGATAAGCGAAGGGAAAATATTCATTATTCCGGCGGCTTCCATTTCAAAGCATAGGACATCGTGTTCCTTGCCCCATCTGTCTCTTGTCAGTGCATCCTTCATCACCTGGTTGCCGGATGCTATTGTGCCGTAATGAATCACAGGCTGCTGTCACTCTCTCTGGGACCTGGATTTCACTTTGGAAGTGTCACAGTCGACACAGGTTTCCTTCCCTGAGGAGTGTGAATAGGTAGCAACATACAATATATCGTTGCTCTGCCCAGGGTAGGCGTATTCTTTATTGCAATTTTCAATCTGCTCCAAGTATGCTCGAAGTGGAGCCTTGGAAACCCTGGGTCGGACTGCATTTCACTTAGCGTAGGCCTCGAATATCGGGGAGGCGTATTGAGATAGCCATTCATTCGAGACTCGCCCCCCTTCAAAGTTTTCTGCATATCATATGGTATATATAGTACCCACGCTAGTGCCGACTGGCTTGCTCACAACATCTCCAAGTCGAATATCATTTTGGGCGGAAAGCACTCCACCGCCAATTCCAACCAAGAGACAGAATTTGATAGTACAAAAACTTCGTTTCATATTGGAAGCAACGTCTGCGGCAGGGCTTGTCCCATATTCACCATCGGGGAGACAGGTAGCAACAATATCGAGCTTGCCCATCAGTCCGAAAGCGTAAGAATTGGGATCTGCAGCTGGGACTGACACGTTCTCATGGGTAAAGTCAAAGAGTATACGAACTGCCATAAGTTCTTTATGGAGGGCACAGATAATAGCCACAGTGTAGTCTCCGGGAATAAAACATGGTGACATTCTTTCTGGGCATGATGTGTGTGTCACGGGGAGTTCTCGAGGAGGCTCAAAGTATTCTTCATTGGCATTGAAGTTGGCGCTAGGTCCCATGACTCTCTCTCCATCCAGGAATGTAAATGAGTCTAAGCTCTTTCCAATCCCGCTATCTTCGGATGGAGAGCTGCTTTTTCTTTTCGAGAATATCGACATCTGCGGCTCCGGGGGCTCTCGTGATGGTTCAACGATTTCTGCCCAATACCATCCGTGAATTGAGTTGTAGCCAAATATAAGAGCGCCACAACTCTTCTTATCATAGTTGAAACTCTTCAGAGAAAGTTCACAATGGGTGCTCAAGGATAAGAGAACCTGAACTAAATCCGAATGAGCTCTGCCTTGCTCGTCTTTACACACACACACAGCCATGAAAATTCTTCTGGGATGCGCCAGATCAGAGTATCTGTCAGCTTTACCGGCGTGGAGTAAGGATTGCCGCCGCCTGCTTTCATAGTTTCTTGGAGATCAGCGTGGCAAATCGCGATATACGACTGCCCGGGGGGTAATCTGGACCAATGCGAACAACTGTTGACTGGCCGAATAATTTCACCAAAGCCACGACCAAATAATGTGATGACATGAATGGACCGAGTGAAATCCACCCAAGACCTTCCAGATACACTTAAGTTAGTCACTCGAGGATATATAGGATCTCTCTCAGCTGCAAGATTGTTAAAGTCCCAGCCCTCCAACTGCGACCTGGAGATATGGGGATTGGCGTCGTCATTCACAACAGCGTGGTCGGTGAACACGAACCCTGAAAACCTTGCTACTACAAACACCGCCTTTGATGAACGGCTGGAACAGGCAATTTCGATTAATACGGAGCTACGGTGGTTGAACATTATGAATATTGATGCCAACTTCGGCATTACTGATATCGATATTTTCCTGTAGCTGCAAGAAAACCATTTACACCATATCCTTGATTGGAACTTGATAAAAATAGAGCCCCACATACGTATTAAGAGTTGTGAGAACTACTGCCTAAAAGACATTTTTTTCTTACTACAACACCTGTAATGTTAGCCCCGTACCGTATTCTAGCTAATGGACACACTTTCTTTTGGGCTTGGAGTGAAGGGTGTCCAGAACTGATTCCAAGGGCTTAGGGTATTATTTAACCACTTTCTGCGACTAGTCTACCTCTTCTGTTGGCTTACTTTGTATTTGACTTTCTGGCTTTCATGTGAAATAGGAAGGACATTTGTGTTCAACAGGTTGAAATAAACAGTCAACCCGCAATGTGCTGCACAAGTAGTTTGGTGTGATGTGTACTGTAAAACCAGATGGTGGTTGGGCCTCCAAGCTCTAGTTACGGACAGCTGAGTACTTACATGAACAAACACCCACAGGGTGCTGTAGGAATAGATGCGTATATATGTTTTGAATGGTGAATGGTCGCACTGTACAAACAAAAGATTGAGGGGCATAGAAGAGTGCGGCTGCCACAAACAGCTTCCAACTTTGAGGATACGACTATTCCCGGAGTGAGTGGCAGGCTACATATAGCGACATGGTAGTGCTTGGTTTCAAACATTACGCCTACAGGCTGAAAAGGCACAGCTTTTGGCCGATGGCCAGACACCTAGCTACTATATATGCTCATATCGTAACAACATAGCATTTCACGTACTGAACTGCGGTGTGGTATGTGTTCAACTACAGTACCAGCAGAGTCCCGAAGCTAACAATGGCAGAAAGGACTGATAGCAGTCGTTATGTGCAATCTGTATCGATTAGGTACAGAAAGAATATTTTTTAAGAAGCGTTAAGCTAGCTTACCACGGGTTCGGTATGCAGCACCACATGATTTTAAAGTATATATAATTTTGACTACTTTTTATTCCAGCAAAGAACTGTGTTACTCCCCGTCAATAGAAAGAATCTTGCGCTAAACTATTATATTGGTACCATTTCATTCACATGTTAAGTCTATTGCTTGCCTGTGAAAAAACATAATCAGCTAGTGACGCAAAAAACTGAATGGTATTTCTCCTATTCTTCTTCCTCTCTTAGAAAAAGCCCATTTGGTAAATGATATATAGTTGGTCTAATAGATAGTATGGGCTGTTGAATGGATATAAGGCCGACGGCCGCATAGACCGTATGTCCTCTATAACTTGAGTCCCACACGATTAGTACGGGACAGCTGCTCTCTAACATTTTCAATTCCCCGGTGCTTTGAATGATTATATTATGCGGGGACCTGGTAGTGTTGAGACGCCTCTAATTTAGTCCTCTGTTGTAGAAAAGTTATAGTAAAATCGTGTTTCGTTGCACACTTTTCCTCGAATAAAATCGGCCGATAAGATATACAGCTTCAGACGTTCGTTCGTTTACTATTCGTCATAATAAGCAAAGAAAACAACCAGCACTAATTAGTGGTAGTATGTTAGGCAAAATATGGTGATCTGCCTGGCCTTGATTAATAGTGGCTCAACACGCAACTTCGACTTAATAATTCAGTGTTGGTAGATATGTTAATTCCCTGTGCTACTAAACATAATATCTATATCACACTGCTCTCCTGTTATTTGTTTGTTTATTTTCTCACGCATTGGAGGGTTGTTTAACAATTAACTATTTAGCTAATTGTTCAATGCTAATGTGATCGAGCCCTTTAATAAATCCATTAGAATAGCTCTTATCGCTGATCAGATCTTCCTACGTCCAAGACTGCGTTACATTTATATTTAAGATGAATAACTAAAGCTGTACCCAAACAGGTGAGAAAGGCCCACGGTAGACTCGCGGCTATTTCGGCGGGTCATACCATCCTCTCTATAAAGTAATCGATCAAGTCATCCACACCACCAAGCCAGCAACTAATATGTTAGATGAGCTAGTAACAATCCATACAGGGATTTATCCAAAATTATTAGGATAGTAAAGTTTGAATGTGGTTATAGAGGTGCCAGAGTCAGGGTAAATAAAAAGCCAACTAACCAAACCTATATCATTGCTGATAATATAAACGATCGTACGACAGGGCTCACCATGGCCATAAACTACACACAGACCTCACCAAGTGCCCTATATACCAGACCACTCTAAAAAGCCCGTTATTTATGAAGAAGGCAAGTGTCGATAAACATGAGTGTATCAAAAATATAATGTAACCATATTACAGACATAAAACTTAGGCCTGCAATGAAAAAGTTCGTACATAATATTTGCAAATTTTGCCTGGCAAAGGATCAGGACGATTCCTCTATACCAGTAACCCCCGCCATATATACACAAGCAAAACCATAGATACGAATCATACATGCAGGTGTTCTCTAGCGAGATTAACGATTAAGTCGCAGGGCAAAGTATATACAAAAATTATTGACTATAAAAACAACATACTGTAATGGAAGATCCTCAAATCGCTGTCAAAATTAAATCAAAGAAATATCGAATACTGGCTTCTTGTATGTAATGGAAAAGGCAACATAGATTTGTGATTGCAAGATCGACGCTTTCCAACGGAACTCAGGTCGGTTTTGCGTAGTATAGTAGATCAAACCTTTTATTCTGTCGATTTACCTAGTCATAATATGAATACAATTGGTTGGATGGAATACAGTGGAACCAGACAGAATAAAGAAGAGGGGGCCCTCGACAGTTGTTATACGTAGTATCGGAATATTAGTTATTGCTAACGAAACAGCTACTTTTAGGCCTCATTTCGTAGCCTACTAAGGGCGACAGGATACAGGTCTGAATCCTACATACCGTAGGTCACCACGTGACGACCGTCCCCATCTGGCGACCGATTTCTAGGTACACCGACTTTTGAATCGTAGATTTTAAACCATCACAACTCAGTCAATATGGATCCTATCAAAGCGGCTTTAGCAGAAATAGAATCCTTGAAGCCAGGGGAATCGATTAATTACACTAAAATTGCGAAAACGCATAATGTGAGCCGAATAACCCTGTCAAGGCATCACCGCGGTGTACAGCGCTCTAGAGAAGAGCAGTATGAAAACCAACAAAATCTCAACAACCAGCAGACCAAAGAGCTTATAAAATGTATAAATAAGCTATCTAGCCGTGGCCTATATCCCTCATGTGAGATGCTTCGAAATTTCGTCAAGGAAATTACTGGACTTAAGCCTGGAAAGAACTGGCCCGGCCGCTTTCTAAAGAGGCATCAAGAGGAGCTCCTTTACCGCTATACCACTGCTATAGATTCTTCACGCAAACGGGCGGATTCTGCATACAAATATACCTTATATTTTGAGTTGTTGGCCAGAAAGATCCAAGAATGACATACAGGCAGAGAATATGTATAATATGGATGAGAAAGGATTCCTAATTGGAGTGCTTTCTAAAGGCAAGAGGATCTTTTCTAAGCAGCAGTATGAAAAGGATAGCCTTAAACAACGCCTACAGGATGGTAATCGGGAGTGGATTACTACAATTGCCTGTATCTGTGCAGATAAGACCTCACTGTCTCCTGGCTTAATATACCAAGCAAATTCTGGCAAGATACAGGATTCATGGCTTCAAGACTTCAATGCTACAGATCACCAGGCATTCTTTGCCTCTTCTTCATCTGGCTGGACAAACGATGAAATAGGATTTGCATGGCTTCGAGATATTTTTGACCGGGAGACAAAAGACAAAGCCAGGAGGCGTTGGCGCCTTTTAATACTAGATGGCCATAACTCTCACATTACTATGAAGTTTATTAACTTCTGTGAAGCTAATAAGATTCATTTAATGACCTATCCACCTCATTCTACCCATACACTGCAACCGCTTGATGTCAGTATCTTTGGCCCGTTGTCTATAGCTTATAGCAATAAGTTGGAGGCTTTTCTACATGCCTGCCAGGGCCTAAGCCATATTACCAAACGGGATTTCTTCAGGCTATTCTGGCCAAGCTGGAATGCGGCTTTATCAACTGAAAATATTGAAAGTGCATGGAAATCTGTTGGTATTTCGCCCTGGGATCCAGAGGTTGTTTTGAGACGCTTTACTAAGGAGGAGGACCAAAGGCCTTCCTCGAGTGAATCCTCACACTCAGTTCTACAAGCAGAAGATTGGCGGAAGATTGAAAGGCTCCTCAAGCATGTTGTTTCCGATATTTATGATAAAAAGACCAAAAAATTGAGTTCTACAATGCACCGCCTCTCTACAGAGAGTATTCTGCTTAAACTGCGCTGTGAAGGCCTCGAAAATGCCCTCCAGAATGAGCAGAAGAGAAGAAAGCGTGGAAAGCCGCTTATATTTAATCTACGTGCCCCAGAAGATGGCTACGCAGTATTCTACTCACCTAGGAAAATCCAGCAAGCTCGGGATCTTCAAATGGAAAAAGAGAAGGCAATACAGCTTGCTAAGGCTTCAAAAGAGAAAGAAAAGATCCGCCGGCAGCAGGAAAAAGAAGAGAAACAACGCTTAGTTGAAGAAAGAAAGAGAATCAGGGCATCTAATAGGGAGTTGCGTATCCAGGAAGCAGAGCAAAAAAGACACCAAAAGGCAGAGAAGCGCCTGGCTAAAGAGGCAGATTTACAGCTTCAAAATGACTTCAAACGGGTTAAGAGAGGCAAGAAGAAACCTTCCAGGCCCTCTACCGCTAAAGATCAGGAGGATATTGTTGAACCAGCTGCCGATGTTATTGAAGAGGCCCCTCTGGCAGTCAATCGTCGAGGAAGGCAAATCCGGCTACCACAACGCTTTCGGGATGATTAAAAAACCTTGATAACTTCTTTATGACTCATATTTTATTCTCTTAAAATATCTCTGTATAATTCAAACTATATGTGGTTCTAAAGCTTCAATTCCTGACTTAGTTGTTGGTGTGAAATCGGTCGTCAGATGGGGACGGTCGTCACGTGGTGACCTACGGTAACAAGACAGGATACTTAAGGAAGTGGCAGCCAATAACAGATAACAATTTTACTGAAAGATCAGTGATCTACAATTAATTTACTAACAATTAATCAAGCGTCATGTCTGCTCCCGACCTGGAGCGATCATTCCTCCCCCTCGACAATCTCCTCCTCGGGATACACCTCCTCCCCGTCAGAGACAGTGGCGTCTTGGTATTGTTGATATTCGGCCATCAAGTCGTTCATATTACTTTCGGCCTCCGTAAACTCCATTTCGTCCATCCCCTCACCAGTGTACCAATGCAAAAATGCCTTCCGACGGAACATGGCAGTGAATTGGGTGCCCACGCGGTGGAACAGCTCCTGGATCGATGTGGAATTTCCAACAAACGTAGATGCCATTTTCAATCCCTTGGGCGGAACGGAACAGAGCGCCGTCTGAACATTATGAGGAATCCACTCGACAAAATACCCGGAGTTGCGGTTCTGTACGGTGCGCATTTGGTCCTCGACTTCTTTCATGGACACCTTACCACGGCTGGACGCTAGTCAGTCTCCGGTCAGGGGAGCGGAGCGGGAATAACATACAAAAGTGCGGAACAAGTCAAAAACCGTCCGTTATGGAAATCACAGGCAGTCATCATGTTTTTGGTGTCGAACATCTGCTGGGTGAGTTCGGGAACCGACACGTTGCGGAAGGAATAGGACCCTCGGCTGGTCAGCGGCGCAAAGCCAACCATAAAGAAATGCAACCGAGGGAAGGGGATCATGTTAACAGCCAGCTTCCGCAGATCGGAGTTCAATTGGCCTGGGAATCGAAGGCTTGTTGTGATGCCCGACATAACCGTCGACACCAGGTGGTTGAGATCACCGTACGAAGGCGACGATAGTTTCAAAGTGCGCATGCAAATATCATAGAGGGCCTACGCCTATTAGTCAGGTTCCACTGAACTGAGAGCTTCACATACCTCGTTATCAAGGCAGAATGTCTCGTCGGCGTGCTCGACCAGTTGATGGACGGAGAGAGTGGCATTATAGGGCTCCACCACCGTGTCCGAAACCTTGGGGGATGGCATCACGGAAAATGTCGCCATCATGCGGTCCGGGAACTCTTCACGGATCTTTGACATCAGCAGCGTACCCATTCCAGCCCCAGTGCCACCGCCCAACGAGTGAGTGATCTGAAACCCCTGCAGGCAGTCACAGTTCTCCGCTTCCCGACGAACGACATCCACCACCTGGTCCACCAACTCCGCACCCTCAGTGTAATGGCCCTTTGCCCAATTGTTTCCCGCACTCGATTGCCCAAAGACAAAGTTATCCGGTCGAAAGAGAGCTCCGTAGGGACCGGAACGAATGGCGTCTATCGTGGCTGGTTCCAGGTCGACAAGAACCGCGCGGGGGACGTATTTCTTGCCGCCGGCCTAGATTTAATACGTCAGCACACAGACTATTCGATGATTCCTGGGGCGGACCCTTGACCTCGTTGAAATAGACGTTCATCCGCTCCAGCTCTAGATCCGACGAGCCATTATACCTAACAATCAGTCAGGAGAGGGACGGCGATCGAAGAACATCGCTGCTACTAACACTCCGGATGCGTCGAGGCCATGTTCGCCGGAGATGGTTTGCCTGCGTGAACTTAGTAACTGCAGGAGACTTAATTACAACATAGGTGACATGGCGGTGACGTACCAGAAAGATGAACCAACTTGGTTGCCCTGTAGATTCGCCTCTCAGTCTCAACATCCACAGTTGGATGATTGCGTACGGGCACTTACACATTGGCCGGTTTGAAGGTGGACCTTTATTTCACAGAATCAGTACTCCAATCACGGGCGGAAATTTATTTGAGGCGGAAAGAGATGAAAAGAAGAAAACGGATTATGTCTTACAATCTCACGCATGATGGAGAGAAACAGATGGGAATGAAACAGATGGGAATGAGTAAAGGTGCTGGTGAGCTGTCTGATCGGTCGGTTGGGAACAAAGAAAGTGCGGAGGAAAAAGGCTCTGAGCTGGCATGGGCCTCTAGGTACATGGGAGCATCCAGCCTTTTATAGTTTCCGGCTGGGTGGCTCTACCAGTATCAAATAATGGGGGCGATTGGTGGTTGCCGACACCGTTCCTTACCGTTCCCATACCGATGAACATGGGTTGGGATACATGAGAGCGCCTACTAGGGTAGGTAGTCGACAGGCCACCTACATGGAAACATACTGTACCGAGTACCGGCTGAGGTTTGGGTCTAGTCGTATTATTTGGTCATCCGGGCACTGGAGTCAAGTAAATCGTCTATCCATGTCAGCTTCGTTCTTAAGGGGGAACAGTTGCTTGTACCAGTACCAGGTAAGTATTATACCTAAACATAAATAAAAGATACACATTTAATTGTATGTCTGTACTACAGTCAAGTTTGGAGAAAAACTGTATCTATATAATTATAACTAACTATTGATCCTCCGGTGGGTCTTACATAATCATAAGCACCCAAGATCAGAGGTTCGATCTGTAGGTCGGTCAGTTTTTTCTTTTTTTTATCTTATCCCGACATAAAGAACAAAGCGATATTTACTGTCGTGCTTAAACCCCTGGCCGAAGCTAACATAACCTACATTCAATTTCCAGATGCCTGATTTCAGAAAAAAGAAAATGGAAAAGAAGAAGAAATGGAAAGGAAAAAGGCAGAAACAAAATAAAAACATGGTCAGGAACCCAGGCATTCCACCATAGCAGGAAACAGCTAACATCTAATTAATTTCCGCATCCATGCCAAGCGCTCCATAGTCAGAACTGAAGACACCATCAAAACTGCTAGAAAGAATGCTATAGGGCCGACGGAGCCACGAAAACTGCTTTTATGCAGTGACGTGGTTGGCTCCCACCCAAGGTAAATATCACATCAGGGAGCTTCTTCGTCTAATGCCTTCGCAGGCATCCATTTCACCGCAATTGGTTCATGCTTGCCACCTCGAATTCGCCTGTCCTTGGACCATAACTGGAATGTTAGGTCAGCGGGCCCAACTACCACCTTCACATCAAATATGGTCCTCCAGAAAGCGGGCTTGATGCTGTACCAGTGGCGATTTTTCAGCTTCTTCTCGACGTCCTCGGTTAAAATATCAAGACTACAGACTAGCTGAACGCCCTTTTGTCTCATGCTCTTAGGGAGCTTGTCGGGAGGGAGAATTGACATGACAACGTGCACCTTCTGTGGCTCACTCTCGCGCCCGGGGTCGGCCTTGTATTGAAATTCTTTTGTAAATCCGGTGTTTGGAATAGGGTGGCCCTGCAAGGTTTAAATTAATGGGTATGTTCAGCATATAATTGAAGTCAAGAAAATGAGGGACGGACTACCTGAATAACAAGCCAATCGACTTGGTCAACTGCATACATCTGTTTGTCCCTGGAGTCGAGCCGCACTGACTCTCCTATATGTTTCTCTGGATCATAAATCTGGTCGCAAATAATCCCATAACTCACGGGGGAGCATCGGGACCCGAACGTCACAACTCCGTATCTGATCTGTTGGATTCGATCCAGAACTAACCCATGGACCACTACGAGTTGTCTATGCGGAAGCCAATGTCAGTATAGCAGAATTTATAGGATAAAAGAGGAGAAACAAGCTACACATACGGCTCATCTGCTAGAAGAACCTGCATTCTTTCAGCGTTTGGATGCTTCGTGGTATCTAGGCTGGTAAATCTTTCTACAAGACACTGCCTCACGTATGGCGAGCTCCCAAACCCCCCGGAAAGAATAAGGTAGTTCTGGAACATTAGCTGTCTGTTCTCGACCAGGTTTAGGAGCACTCACTATTTGGTCCTTCGGGTATCGAGCATACATCTGGCAAATGTGCCCATCCAAAAGGCTGCAAATCTCGGCTATCTTCAAATCAAAGCAATTCTTGACATGTTCCCTTGGGTTCTGTTAGCCGAAAGCATACTCAATGCCTGGAAAGGATCATATTTGGGGTCGACACTACCATGCAATACGCATTTGGCCGTCATAGATCTCGGCTTCTGGAAAGTCTGACTCGGTTAACAATGATGGTACGTCGAGCTTCAGCCATGGTGTCGATGTAGCCTCTGTGCCAAATGCGCATTTAAGTCGTTGGAAGCGGCCGGAGGTCATTCGCCATGCTGCATCACTTGGGGAAAGACGTAAGTGATTTTGAACTTTCTCCAATCTCTCACAGATCAGCTGGTGGATTTTTCTATCGATAAATACTGAACCAATTGGTTGTCCTGCGTTGTATCAGTCTCGTACCTGCGTCATATTTTCTAAATTGTTTCGTTTTTGGACGCATTATACCTTCAACATGGCCCAATTGCTCGAGCCTAGTTGGCTCACCCCTAGAGGAAATGAGTTTGAGAGCATTTACGTCCTACAGGAGAAGTCAGAACACGACCGCGACACTTGAATGTCGGTCAACACACCGTGGTTCCTCCGCCAGAGTCACAGACGAGTATTGTATCATCGGCCTGGATGGGTTGCGTTTCCCGTTAATAAAAAAGAACTGAAAAACATTTCCATCTACCAACCTGGTAGTGTTCATTACCCGCATATACCGCTGCTGCCTCCGCTTCGGTGAGACCAATAAAAGCGCGATGGTTGGGTGTTTTCGCATGGATTGCGTGCTCGAGGAGACTGCGGGTTTCTTCAATCATTCGTACATCCTTCCAAGTCGTCGGGACACTGAAAAGGAATTCGACTCTCCGCGACGCAAACTGCGGGATGGTGCTGCTAAAATGAGACACCACATGCTGATAGATGCATTGGATGTAGTCTTGGAACCAGCGCTGAGCCTCCTGTCGACTAGGACCCCCTAGATACTCGTCCCGATACTGAGGCGCAAGATGGAGCTTAAAAAATTCCTTGATATCCGATACGTTGTCCTCGGGGTCACATTTAAACCCCCAATTCTGAACGGTCTTCGACTCCAAACCATATTCGAGGCAGGTAGGCACTTTGTTCGCCAGCTCGCCGGGTAGCTTTCCCGGCCAACGCTGGATAGTCTTCGGAGGAGTCCATTCTGGCGCACAGGAATAAGCAACTCCTATACGTCGGGTGTATGGTCAGCCTTCAAGCTCTCCTGATACGCTGGAACGCGCGCCCACCCGTATAGGTCATCCCGAAATCTATCCCAACCACCACGTCTGGACTCCACTCACCCCCGGGCCCCCCTGGGGCCAGGGTTCGGGCGGTAACTACCTCTTTATCACTCATCTACAGAGTGAGCCATGAGGCTACGAGTTCACAAGATGTCGGATTGCCTAGAGGTTTAGTTCCGAGGTTGTGACTGATTCTCGTACTGACATTCAGGACGGAGCTCTCATTTTGGGATCTTCTCCCCGCCCCCACTTCAACTATGCCATTCATGCCCCTGACAAGGATCATTCGTGTTTGAGCACGTTTTTGAGAGGTGGGACAAACTAATTCTTTCTTTACAGTACTAGCCTGGTTATATATGCACTACGCCGCAGCATCGCACTCCCGAAAAGGGAAACAACCCGAGACGCTTAAATACATGAAAGTGCCCAAGCTGACACCCCAAACTCGTGCGCATTTGGCACTACTGATGAGGAATCATGGACAATTTTCTTCTCTGGCCTCGTCAGGCAGGGGCCCAAACAACCGCACCGTCTCCTACACTGTCCACCCCTACTCCAGCCAATCAAGCAGGAGCGTTTAGTACACCAGATAGGGCAAGCCCCAGCACTTGGTCTTCAGCTACATCGCCCAACAGCTCATTTTCCTCTTCAAGCTCTACAGTTTCAACGAGTACGACATCTGCGGCCTCCACAAGTGAGACACTGAGTACGGCGTCTACTGCCAGTAGCAGTACCAGCGACAGCACCCAAACAAGCGATCGCAGTCGAGGAGTCAGTAATGGAACTCTTGCAGGTGCCATCATAGGATCAATTGCCGGAACCGCTATTGTAGCCCTGTTGGTTGCCATTCTTTACATCCGCTTCCGCAGGAACAAAGAAGCGAGGACTACCCAAGGTGCCAGTTCGACTACACGCGATACGCCAAAACCACTGGGAGAAATTCAGACACAATCCAGACTTCCACCGGTCGGAACCCAAGAGAAAGAACCCTCAGGCACTTCATCAGCTCCCTGGTCCCTGCTACTTAACTTGTCCTCGTACGTCCCAGATCCAGCGGATGACCACGCTGTCTGCACCCGAATACAAACCCTTTTCGACCAGGCCGGTCTACACGTGGACAATTATTACACTCCAGCGTCTCCAATGGTCCGACCGACGCAGGATGCTGTCGCTCGCGTTAATCACTACGGCTCCCCTTTCCTACCCTCGTCCGTGGCTACTATGCTTTCGAAGCCCCGAGCTCAGAGACCCGTTCTTACTCATGTTTTGGTTCGGACCTTGTTGAATGCGATTCAGCCAGGAATGGGAACCGAATCCCTACTTCCCCAACCCTATGCGTCAAGCCCACCGCATCAGGGGAATGCAGTCTTTGGCTCCGGTAAAGCGCCCCATTCAATCCTAAATGGACATTGAAGTAACCATGTGATATAGACAAGGATCGGGCCATATTCGCCTGGCGCATGTTGACAGCCTACCTATATAAACAAGACCATTCCGCGGAGGGGGGAAGTACCAGAAATATTGAAGAAACAGCCCTGGCACATCTGACGGAGAGCTTCGTTCATGCCTTTGCACCATACAGTGACGCTCATTTCTCTGAGACCGACCGCCTCATCCATTTTTCAAGCGTCGCCAAAGCAGCAGCAGACCTTGGTGTTTGGCTATTTGCCAACCCATGTTTCTTTGACTTTCGCTGGAGTACCAGTACGACTGACCGACTGACTGTGCTGCCGGCCGTAGTAAAAATTACCGATGAACAGGGGCAACGATTGATAGTACCTCAGGTACTAGTGGAGGAGACTAAAGTACGAGTTTGAGAGTAGAGTCATCTAGGGGTCAAGTTTATTACATGGATAATATCTATCCTCCAAAGAGGATGGAGGAAATTGCATAATTACAGCTAATGCGACACTACTTTAGTATAGTTCACTAGTAGAGAAGATCCCTGTTAGCGTATAAAAGTACCTATCGTAACCACTAAAGTAGAGCATCTCTAGGGAGGATTTCCCCGCCTGGAAAATTGAGGCCCAGTTCTCACATACATAACCACTCATTCATTCAGTTCTCGTCCTACAACATGGAATCGAACTTAATCGTATCCCGAGACGACCATGCACCAATCGTCCCCAGATCGCGAACGTCCCAACCAACGCTAAAACTGGGCTTGCGGTCCCTACGTCGCAACGACTTCCAGTTAACAATGATCAAGGAACAATCAAGCGAACTCCTCAAAACCACCGACCACGTTCTTACTCAATTACGCGAAGTCGAGCGTCTCCGGCAACTCAAAGCGAATGCCCTAGATAATCAGGAGCGCGCATGGATGGACTCAACTATCCACGACGTCACGGACGCCGCACGGGATGTAGCGATTCTCGTCGAACCAGCACGCGCCGAGCAGGAGGCCCGAAATGGGAAACTGAGTCTGGGGAGACAGCTGCGCTGGATTTATCGTGATAGTCAAAGGGCACAGGACAAGAGACTCCGATTATTGGCTTGTTATCAGAGTTTGGTAATTGTCTTGGATCGACTTCAGCGCTTGGATTTTCCTGCTACGCATGAGCTTGAAGCGGCTATACCGGAGAAGGCTGGGTGCAGCAGCCCGGAATTACAGACGCCTTCAGCCTTGGACGCGTCCTTTTCAGAGGATACAATGAAAGAGAAACAGGTTCTGGAGCCTCCTAGTTACGAAATGTACGATATGTTGACCTGGCGTCGGTCAAAAGGGGCTACCGCCAGTATCGAGTGCAATCCATCTCCGGTTCGTACGGCAGGGGAAGTAGATATCAGTCTGGGGTAGGTGGGAGTGTTTGTGATTCTCGTCTATGATAGTCTATGATAGTATGCACATCCTATTTGTTTAATCAATCTATCCCAGCTGTCTCATTTCGGGCCTCAGTTGATTTTCTATAATCTCTGTTTAAAAGCAATTGTCAGGGTGAAGGGACGAATGAAGTGCAATTTTATATGCGAGTTTAAACTCTCAGATTTTAAGTGTATTTATATAATTCCAACTATGTCTCCAATATGTTACCATCAAAGTCCTCGTAGTCATGATGCAACTGTACACAGCACTCCGCTTTTAACTATATATTTCCAAGACATGAGGGAGAGAAAATACATTAATCTTTAACATTTGGATGCAAAATTCGCTATTCAGAATTTCACCTTATTTCTACATAAACTCCACCCTCTCTAGACTATTTAGCCACTGGAGCAATATTTTCAACGAATAATAATAAAGAAAATCGCCATGGGAATCTCCTATCGTTTTCATGGACAAGCAAATTGACCTCACCTTCCACGCTACTGTAAAGAACTCGGGGGAAGAGCTTTGGTGGGCAATGTCTTGGTATATAGGAGGCTGCAATATAGGCATATTAGCTATTCGCGAACCAATGACTGGATTAGAGGAGCAATTAATGAGTAGGTTTCAGCTGAGCTGAAAGCGGACTTCGGCTGATATCTGGTCACTGACTCCATGTCGACCATAAAGAATTAGGTCTCTGGTTCAACTAAACTACCAAACATCTCTCTTTATAAAAGCGAGGCAAATAAACGAAGAATGTAAACTAGCTAATATAAGAGATCCGATGATGTTGTATCATCAACAACCTTTGACTATGAGTGGTGCTGAATAATCAATATTACCATAGTTAACTAGTTAATTGTCGACACTCCTTTTAGCAGTTATATGACCATTTCAAACCCGTAGAGAGTGGATTGATAAATACTGCACTGGTTAACAAAATTTTACCCCATCACATTATCTTTCTTCCAACAATGCCCGTAGACTCATTACTGATTGATTTTGTTGTTGTTGACTCTGTTTCTGTCTCGCGTGGGTAAGCATCTCCGGAATCAGGTCGGATTAACATATATATCCACCAACACATATTCCCTTACACATACATTAATATCCGCCATAGAGTATAAATATCTCCATGAACCCGGCGTCTAAATTTGTTTTTCACCTTTTCAAGGACTGAAATGGCACCGTCAAATCCAGGCTCTTGCCTCTGCGGAGCCGTGCAATACCAACTCACCGACGACCCAGAGAAATTCATTATCTGCCACTGTGATAGTTGTCAAAAAGCAACAGGTTCAGCATTTATGGCAAACTGCTGGTATAGAAAAAATGTATTCGCCCTCTTTCTTTCTGTGATATAATTTCTTTGTATATCGAATCTAACGTAAGAATAGCGACTCCAAATAACCCAAGGCCGGGAATCCATCAAAACCTACAACGACAAAGCTACTCTTACAGGTCAAATCCTGAAACGCTCGTTCTGCGACACGTGTGGATCGAACCTTTTCATCCAAAATGATAATTTGGAGAAGGCTCAACTTATATCCGCGACCAGCGGAACCATTGATAATCGGGCGAATCTGCATCCCACTGTGGAAGTATGGGGCCAGGGTCGACGGACTTGGCTCTGTCCTATTGAGGGGACTGAGAAGAAGAACACGCAGTGAATTTTAATTGAAAAGTGTCTTGTATATAGAAAGCTGTACAGAAATAAGACATATTATGGGATATTCTTCCATGGAATAGACCACGTGTTTATCAATCGACAATACGGAGCTGCAATCCCACAGAATGCTCAAAGCAATACGCCCGAGGAAATAAGAATTATCCCAGGGTTCTCTCATGGTTCGCATTTGTGGTTGTTGTCATTGTTACTTGATATTAATTGTTTGGGATGAGATCGTACACTTACCAAAAAAGCCCACTCCATCATCAGCCCAATTTGTCATTACTGATGTGAATATATTGACGTTGATGCATAATAAATGATACAGTCAATTACAAAGATCTACCCTTTTAGAAAGAACTAGTACATTAAATAGGATTTAATACCTCTACCGTCTCCGCACTGGACCACACTGATGATCAGGTCCTAGGGCCTTTTATTCTTTTTTTATCTGTGCACCGTCCCTATCTGCCTCATGACTGTCTTTATATTCACATACTAGGGACACAATATTCGCTTTGCGGCGTACGATGGGGTTGCCATGTGGAATTATTTAGCTAGAGGGCTAGAGTTGGATATTAACCAGTCTGTTAAAAGATGGGTTGGGAGGGAAGATAGCTGACTGGCTAGGAAATGGATAGCAGCTGTATGAACACTGCAGCAATCTATTCTACGGTTTTCTATTCTCTCCTTCCCACACTGTCCTAGCTCCTGTAGGATGCTATAAGGCTACTTGTACCCGGACAAGTCTTATTGTCAACTCGACATAGGCAAATTCCTTGTAATCGTGGATATAATGGCCAATATGATAATACCAATTGTTCAGACAAAGCCTGCTGTTGCTTTATCAGATTTGGACAATTTATTGTTTAGTCTACGGAACATATCAAAGTTTCCTGTCGCATAATTAACCCCTACGCGTAAGAGTAGACATATTTTAGTAAGCAGGCTAGTTAGTTAACTACCAATAGATAGTTAGCTAGCTAACTGCTGGTTGCCTAATTCATGAGGCGTCTAGTTTGAGCGGAATCCGAGGCCCAAAAATAGCAAACGAATTCATTCTTAAACTACAAATCGGTATCCAAATCAACACCTGCTTCAAAATGTGCAGTATAAACAAGAAGAAATATGTCAGCATGTAGTGCCTTCCATAATGTTACCCTCCAAAAACGTGACAAGACCTACAGCGATCGCCCTGATGTTCAGCGGCGCTAACGTGATTTTACATGCCCCCAGATTGGACGCCATTTTAGCATTTAACTGTTTCGGTTGCTTGAAATGCACCCTCAGGGTTGACCAAGTCTGCTCGTTATAATCCTTATGATATATACTTGGTATGCATTTCAGTGCGCTCGATGCCATAAACCTACCTTATGCACTTTGCTGGCCAACATATTCGGACTCCACTCGGTGACGCCAACCATTAAACGACTCTCGAACATGAATGACAGGGTCCCTGCATGAGCTTGGTTGGGACCAAATCTATTACCAATACATTTTCTATCACAAGACTGAGCGTGGCTTACGGGCGAAGGAGCTGATATTCCCTATTATGTCCTCCGTGCTATACGCGATTTTCTTGCCAGAGCCAAACCATACATCTCTACCCTACGACATGCAATCGGCCAGGTTTCAGAGTAGACGACACCAGTCGCTGTTGAGCTCTCCATTCGCCCCGCGGATGGCGAGCTTGCAGCAGTTATTAACGCGGAGAGCTTCCACCAAGTCTAGCCACGGCAGACTTTTTTTTTTCAGGAAAGGAGGCAACCGGCCACGATTTGTTCCAACCCTGTGCAGTCACTATGAGCCGCTTCAGTAGCCCGTTCTTTTTGCACACGGGACCTCTCGGTGGGGATTCCTTAACAATGCCCAGACTGTAGCTTCTCTTTGTCCTTCCTGCCGAGCCGGTCAACGGCGGCCGAATTGAGCTCGGCTCGTAGTTAGTATATAAAAGAGAGAGTTTAGAATATTAGGCTCTATACTATTAAATTATAATATGTTAGTCGTAAAGATGCTACTGTTTTCTTTGCATCTGTGTCTGTTGAATATAAGATGATGGGTGCATAGGCACCAGTGCAACCAGAACCGAAGCCGTACCAGTCATACTGACATGGCAAAATCAAAATCGACACTGCATTCCACTCAGGACTTAACACCTTCTACAGGATGGTTCCTGAATTATCTGTCGCTTGCGCGTAACCCTGAAATTCTTCTTCGCTATCAACAAGCGCTGTGTTGAACTTCCCCGGTCACAAGCCAACTTTGCGCCAAAGGTGAACACCAATTCGCAACGCCACAAACAAGGTCGCCAAGGCTGGGAGTGCAGTGATCTGTGCGAATGACGCTCCTCTAGACTCCTCAGCGAGATACTCAGGAGAGAAATCAGATGAAGACATGACGAAGCCGGGTTTGCGCAGGGAAATTTAAGGCAAGGCGGTTGAATATGAACAGCGAATAACAAAGAACCGGGCTGAAGGGTATAGAAGGAGCTTGTGTCGTGTTTCCGGACTCGAGCTTTCTTTCTTCGCATATACCATACCTACTCAGCTTCAAACCTCGTGATAAAGAAAGCCTGATTATCTACGCTGCTTGCAAATTTCGAGTCTATCAGAATAAGATCTCAAAGAAGGACCAGCACATCGTTTCAGTTTGATGGCTGGCTGACCATAGTGTCGATTGTAAGGGACCATCTACACAATCTGGTGCTAGACTATTCTAATCGCTCTCACCTGTAAGGCATTTGCATGGGGACTCTATACTGTCCTCGCTCTCGGGTGTAGGAACGTTCGTGTCGGCAGGCATGTCGTACTCCTCAGTAGGGACGAGATTACTACTATGCAGATGCACTTCTTCGTGTCATATCATCTCTATGTAACGGTATTAGCTACGATCAAAGTGGAGCATTCTGACCATGTACTATCTCATGTTCCCTACCCGCTCCATGAAATGGAGCACACAGGCGATAGGAATTATAGTCACAGCATGGTGAGTCACATGTATCGTCGTCTCGGTCTTTGGATGCCATCCCATCCGCAGAAACTGGGACCCATTCGTCGAGGCCCGGTGCATCGACAATGTCAGGGTCTTCATCGGCAAGGCAGTACCCAATTTCACTACAGATCTTGTGATGCTGGCACTACCCATTGTGGAGCTGCGAAAACTGCATATGAAGATCACGCAGAAGATTGCTCTTGGGACTGTGTTCTTGATGGGAGGGCTATGGTGTGCCGCGAGCGTTGTGTGGTTCGCGCAAATCAGAGAGCTATCTAGGGATAACGTGGATCCGTCGTGTAAGAAGCCCGCCTGTCTACCCGACTAGCTCCGCAAGCCAAACTGTTTTGTCGGTCTAGACATACTCTCGGACAATATGCTCTGGACGATGGTTGAGCCTTGTGTGGGGATTATCGCATCATGCCTGCCCCGCTGCGTCCGCTTCTGACTGTGCTATTGAAGCGGGCGGCGTTTCGGCGCTACTGGCTTAGCAGAAAGGAGAGGGGTAATAACAAATACGCTGGGATGCCGGAGATCGTCACTATTGGTGGCAGCAGTGGATAGAAGGGGCTGATCAAGTTGGAAACCGAAACATGCAGTGAGCATTCTGAATGACAGCCGGACTGAGTGGGGGTGGGCAGTGAGAGTGTCAGCTAACGCCCGAAACAAAGAAAAAGCCAAGTTGAAGCAAGGATGCTGTCGGGTTACCTTACTAGTTGCTGTACCTATTCAAATTCAGCTGCCTCTTTTCTTTTTCCCTCTCCTTCATCCTTCTTGGATCTTCTTACCTATACACTCACTCCCCTTCTAAAAAACTCCATCTATCGCTATGGAAGCGCTTATGCCCCAGGCTATCAGGGACACCGCGACCTTCCGGAAGACGTCGGTGCCCTGGACCTTGGACGAGCCTTATACCCAGACTTACTATGACTTTGACCCCGCAACTTCCACCTGGGTCTCCAAGTCGCCATCCGCCCTCGGAAGCTCGAGTAGCAATGATAGTACTAGCCTAGACATTACTGCTATTGCGCTCTATACGTGGAACATTGACTTTATCCTTCCCTTCGCCGCAGCCCGCATGCGACCAGCGCTTGCACAACTTGACCGACTCACGCACCTTCTCCCTTTAAACGTCGCCCCTGTTATCTTTCTCCAAGAATGCACCCATTCTGACTTTGAAATAATTGCCGCGACTCCGTGGGTGCAAGCCCATTTCCATCTTACGGATATTGACACCACCAACTGGGCCACCACGCAGTATGGCACTACCGTCCTTGTCAGCAGGCGTCTGCCTATTACGTCTGTCTTTCGTGTCCACTACTCCCACACACGCATGGATCGCGATGCGCTTTTCGTCGACGTCTCTATTGGGCTTAATGAGAAGCGAATCCGCCTCTGCAATACGCACCTAGAGTCCATGGCACTTGACCCTCCGTACCGCCCACCGCAGATGCAGCTAGTCGCTCAGTATATGCATCACGATGGGGTGCACGCTGCTCTCGCCGCCGGTGACTTCAACGCAATCCAGCCGGTTGATCGCATATTGCATGCGGACAATAATCTCAAGGACGCATTCCTAGAATTAGGCGGGCAGGAGGACACCGAGGAAGGATATACGTGGGGCCAGCAAGCAACAACAAACCAGCGCGCGCAGTTTGGGTGTTCTAGAATGGACAAGGTCTATTTCCGAGGGTCTGTCAAGCTACTGAAGTTTGAGAGATTTGGAGAAGGAATCCTGGCAGAAGGGGATGAAGAAAGGAGGCAGATCGTGGAGCTGGGATTCAAGAAGCCCTGGATTACGGATCACCTGGGGGTTATGGCGGTAGTGGATGTTTTGCTTAGCACGAAGGGGCAGCTTTGAGTGGATACCGTAGGTGTTCGTCATTCTGGATTTTGTGGTTTGCATCAGGCCTGGGTAGGATAGAGCAAGAAGAATGTCTTGCACTTAGTTCTTGATCTTATACCACATGCTGTGAATACATCTGGCATATGTGTAGTTGTAAAATTTTCTGACTCTTGAGTTGCTCTGGAGGGAACCCACGTTGGCTGAGATCTGTTGGTACGTAGCGTTTCTTGAAGTCAAAGTTCTTGTGCACATGCCGGATAAACTTAGAGGCTTCCTCTACCTGAAACCTGATCAAATTAACAAATAACATGGGGAACGAGATTGTTTCGGGCAGCCGCATTGAGTGCCAGCGTCTTCTGCCAGTGCGGATAGAGCAACTGCATCACAAGGTGGTCAGGCTGGAGTTGTCTGTTAGAAGCGACGATGATGGCCTATCAAATGAGTATTTGTAAGGTGCACAGTGATTTCGTGTCGGAGCCAGTCGCTATATTGCACGCAGGTCTTGACTATATCGGAACAGATAATTAAGTCAGCGCACAACGTAGGGGACGTTATTGGTGAGAGGATCTACCATATCCCCACGCCGAGTCATGAGCCTCGTTGGTTGTTTTCTATTTTTGGTTATACCTCTCGCCTCCTGACCAGAGATCCTTCCGCTTGATTAATTCCGGTTGTGTAGATTGCCACGGACTTTTCAGTACTGCTCCGCCAGTCGACGACAATAGCTAGCGGGTAAAGCTACAGTGCCTCGGAGCATTGAGGGAGAGGGTATGGGTGACTACCTGGGTGTGAACGGTGAACCCCTCTGAAGGGACTAATCAAGGCTAGGATGATGTATCATCTGCACTGATAACCCTGTAGCCATCGTACAAACAATTGTTTGGCAATTTTCGTTTTCAAAACAGACGTTTGTTTTGCCCGTAGCATACGCAGTACTCATGTAGTTTTGCTTTTCATTTCATCCTATGACCTGTCACGAGATTGCTGCAGCTGTCTGTCTGCTTAGCCCAGAGCATGCTCCACGGATCTGCACAAGCTAGAGAAACTCGAGATAAAGGAAACCCTTCCAGATTCATGACCAAGAACCAGAATGCCATCTTTCATTGTCAGGCAACTGGGACGGTACTCGTGCGGAAGCCATAATATCCTTTTCCCCTGAAGATATACCCACTGTCCTTCTAGGATAGACATTTGACAGCCGTTTTCTAACCACACCCAATCGGTATGATCGCTAAGTGTCTGGAGCAGTTCACCTGTGTTGGGATCCCAGAACTTGACGGTCTTATCAATAGAACTAGACGCCAGCAATTGACTGTCAGGTGAGAAGGCTAAAGTCATAACTGGCTCAGGATAACCTTCAAGGGTATAGCATAGATCGCCTGTCTTTGCATCCCATAGCTTAACTGTCTTATCGCCAGAGCTAGATGCCAGTAGTTGACCATTAGATGAGAAGGCTATAGATGAAATATAGAATGAATGGCCCTTAAGGGTCTGGCGCAGTTCGCCGTTGGTTGGATCCCAAAGCTCGATGGCATCGGGGCAGTCAGCAGACTCGCATGCTAAAATCTGGCCGTCCGGTGAGAATGATATAGTCTGATGTGTATTAAATTGGCCTTGAAGGGTCAAGCGCAGCTCACCCGTATTAGAATCCCATAGCCTGATAGCTCCGTCATCAGAGCTAGATGCCAGCAGTCGACCATTAGGTGAGAAGGCTATACACAAGACTGGTGCGGGATTATTAATGGTCTGGCGCAGTTCCCCTGCATTAGGATCCCATAGCTTGATCGTCTTGTCACGGGAGCCAGTCGCCACCAGTTTTCCGTTAGCCGAGAAGGCTACCGACTGAACTCGAAGGGAATGCCCTTTGCCCTCAGGCATCTGATGCAGGTCATCTTTACTGGAATCCCAGAGCTTGACGATGCCCCCAGGAAAGCCAGATGCCAGTAGTGGGCCATTGGGTGAGAAACATACACACCAAACCGAATTATAATTCTCAAAGGTCTGGCGCAGGTCACCTGTATTAGGATCCCATAGTTTGATAGTTCCGTCATCAGAGCCTGACGCTAGTAATTGACCATTAGACGAGAAGGATACCGATCGAGCCCAATCGGAATGGCCTTCTAGAGTCCGATAGAGCTCCCCCGTGTTAGGATCCCATAGCTTGATAGTATTATCACGGGAGCCAGATGCCAGTAGTTGCCCACTAGGTGAAAAAGTCACTGAGCAAACACGCTCAGAGTGGCCTTCAAGAGTCCGATAGAGCTCCCCCGTGTTAGAATCCCATAGTTTGATAGTGTTATCATCGGAGCCAGATGCCAGCAGTTGGCCGCTAGGTGAGAAAGCGATAGAATCGATAGATCCAGAATGGCCTTGTAAAGTTCGATAGAGCTCTCCTGTGTTAGGGTCCCATATCTTGATTGTTTTGTCAAGGGAGCTAGATGCCAGTAGTTGGCCACTGGGCGGAAAGGCCACAGAATAAACAGTGCTAGAGTGGCCTTCTAGAGTCCGATGGAGCTCCCCCGTGTTAGCGTCCCACAGCTTGATGGTGTGGTCATTGAAGCCAGTGTTATCATTGGAGACGGACGCCAGCAGCTGATTATTGGATGAGAACACTAAAGACGAAATCGAGTGTGATTTGTACTTCAGGGTCTGGCGCAGCTGGCCGGTTCTGGGATCCCAGAGCTTGATAGTGCAGAGACAAAGATTTCCCCTCTCATATCCGCACGCCACTATTTGACCGTCTGGCGAGAAGGCCAAAGAGGAAACGTGACCAGAAACGGTCCTGTTGGTCTCCTCGAGGTTCTGTAGATGCGCGGACCAGATCCTATCTACATTTGGCAGATGGCGCCAACTTGCCAACTCCTTGTTATATATTCTCCTTGTTATTGAAGAGCTTGGAGCGAACATAAGCCCTGAAGAATAAAGTTGAAGCGGTGCAGTGTCGACTATCTGCCGATTCCTTATAATAAACAACATGACATCCTGCAGGAAATGTGCTATCTTGGGATGTTGATCAACCTAAATTCTATTACTATTTTTTGCATATCGCAAGGCTTCACAGAAACTTACCCCCGAGATCGACTGCAATCTCTTGACCATCTCCACAACTTCGGATGCAGTGCCTAAAACGCCCATTGCTTCGATCCAGTGAAGAAGGTGCACTTCAAGGAATGGAAATGCCCTGACCAACTCCATAGCTGGATCCAGGCATTGTAACAGGTGGTGTGTCCAGTAACGACAGGCATATTGCAATTCCGGTGGCAAATGGCGACTAATAGAATGTATGTCGATCTCACTGCGTTGCGTACCATCATCCGGTAAGTTGCAGATATTCTTCCTTAAGCTGCGGCGCATAATCTCAAGGCATTTCCCCGTGAGATCCTGGTGAACAGCTTTCTCGTCAATCCAGAACTGCTCGCTTTCTTTCGTTCCTTTCGTCCTGCAGTCCAAAAGAAAATCTCGGAATGAGAGATGTAAGAGTCTGACGGGCACATTCAAATTATCGGGGATATTCAGAACCGAGTGGAGCCTGTCTAGTCGCCTCTTAATATTGTTGGCTTTTAGGCCAACAATTTGGGCAAGGCTATTGACTGAGAGTGGGGTGGCAAGCACAATTATGGTGCCTACTATCTTCTTGAACTCTTTAATCAAATATTTAGTCTCCCATAGATCCTGGCCAGCAAGAAGTCGATTCAAAACTGGTACATATATGCTGGCCATCTTGGATACATATAGGGTTCGGTCAGCGAGAATTTCTTGGAGTCGGCTCTGAGGGTCCCAGTTTGCATCACCAATGAATCGACACAAGGTGGCAGCAGAGATGAATAACGGAACTGTCCTTGCAAGTAGGGCCTCAATAACCCCATCGCCGGGCCAGTCCGTAGAGAGCTCATGGTCGTGCTGAATATCCACAAAGCTATGCCTTAGAAAGATGGAGATGTCGCGTTCAATTGCCGCCTTCGGAACATCATGGAGGCCCAGATGTTGATGTCTGTCTTTGATGTTCTTAAATCCTAGCCGGATCGGCAATTCAGGTCTGCTTGTGAGGAAGAACCGTAGTCGCATATATTTGGAAATTTGCACGCGCGGTAAGAGTTGGATAATAACCCTTATATCATCTTTATAGTCTTCTGTTTCGCACTCATCCAACGCGTCAATAACAATCACCATGGTCACAGCTTGATCCGGGTCCAGACCAAGGAGTGGCTGAAGAATTAGTTTATCGAATTGTTCACCCAATGCCTTCTCCGAAATATAGGGATCCTCCTCAATTGCTTTCTGCACGTTGTGTGCTAACTGGGGATTTCTCGTCGTCAATTGTTGTATAATAGTTGGAAAAAGCTTCTTTGCATTTCCTCGATGCTCTTCACCCCTTTTGAAGAAGAAGCTCGCTCCAAGAGACCCTTTCTCTTTGAAATAGCGTGCAACTGTGCGGGAGATTGTTGACTTTCCAGTCCCTGCCATCCCATTCAGCCAAAATATGCATTTCCCGTGCGGTGATCTTGCCCACTCTTTGATATCGTGAAGTAGCTCAATCCGAGTCCCGTGCAGGCATTCAAAATGCTGATTCTCATAAGCATCAAACGCTGCCCCCTTTGCAATTTTCAACCTTTGCAGATCAATCTTTTGTTCAACTTGCTTGGTTGATTTAGTCAGGATCTTGAGTTCTCTAGCAAGCGATGCTAGGAAATATAGAGTTAGCCAATTTGGACCTGTTCAGTATACTGATAAACTCGGATTCACTCAAACCCACTTACTACATATATCTACCACCAAGCTTTCCTGTGATACGTGACTCAAAGGTACATATGCGAGCAATTCCTTGGCATAGGCTGCGGCTGCCAACGCAGCATAACCCTGCCATTTCTTGTTTTTGTGTGAGTCGGCGTAGTCACAGATGCCGCGGATAACAAGACAGGGGAAATCCTGCATCAAGCCCGCCGCTTCCATTTCAAGACATAAAGCACCAGTTTCGCTCCGAAGCTGCTCCCTTATTTCCGCACTCTTTATAACAGCGTTTCCTGATGCAATAATACCGTAATATGGTTGTGGTTCACTATCTTCTCGTACACATCTTCTAACTTCCCACTCTGTCAGACAGCCATCACAGCTGTTTGCAGACGGAGAATGTTGGTACTCAGTTTGGAAGAGCCGATCATATTCCAGGCCTGGATGGCCAAAATTCCGCTGTGTTCGCGTATTTCGTCGGACTGCCTGTTGGATATAAAAGGGATAAAGTGGGTCATCTCGCAGCGCAGCTGCTCTCATTTGGTTGACCGCTGCTAACAGCAATCGAGGTGGACTGTTTAAGTACCCGGTGCGGTGAAGCTTCCCACCTTCACCAATCTTCCCCATATCGTATTGAACAACTCCACCACACGTGCCTGTAGGATAACTGACCACAATGTCGCCAAGCCGAATGTCATTTATAGTAGTTGGGATGGCTGCACCAACGCCGACCATCAACCCAACACGTAGCGACTTGGAAAAGGTTCGCGTCATGTTATTAGCGACAGTCGTTGCCGAAGTCGTCCCATATTGGCCCCCCACGCATGCGATCACGACGAAATGCTTGCCAATCCGACCCAGCGTGTATATATTCGTGTCTGCATTATCCTGCTCCTCAGGGGTTCCAAAGTTCTCGTCTAGCATTTCTTGGGCTGCGGCGGCCTCAATAGGCAAAGCACAGATCCAACCAATTTGGTACTCATCGAGTGCGGGGGAGGGCGTCATGCTGCTAAGGATCGTCCGTACCAATTTCAATAGGCTGACTGGCCTCACCAGATGAAAGGTAAACCAGACGGAAGTATTATCTGAGACAAGAATGCAAATTACAACTGGCTTTGAGATATTTAACAAGTTATCGTGATTCGGGCAGCCTCATGAGGCTAACAAAGCCTGAAGTCGAATGCGGGGTTAGCGGCAGTGCCTAATCCCACCTGGTTTTGAAGGCCCTATGAAGATTGAGGCACATCCTACTAGTGAATAAGGGTCTTCCTTGGTAAGTAACATGCGCAGTTCAATACTAGTAGATGGTTAATTATAGTTCGCTCTATCAAGTGAGCGTTTCTCTTCAGAGGCGCAAAAAGGAAAGGTCATTCTCTAGGTAGTTCAAGAGGGAGGACTAAGCAGAACAAGAGATCCATGTTAGGGTGGGCGGCGCCAGGTGGGTAACAGGGTGAGGCCGCTTTTAGTCGCGCGGCCAACACGGAGAGGTTTGATGACCTGTAACCACCGCGCGACCTCCCTCATTGAAAACTCAAATGGCCCGATAATATTCTTGTGGTATCTATCATTGGTTGCTAATTTCTGTTTTGAAATATTAGAGCCTTTGGCGAAGTACGCATCCATTTTTGTTACTCTAGGCAGTGATATTCCCCTACTATCATCTAGAAATCTATCGGAAAAATATCCAACTAGACGGTGGGTCCGCTTTGATCTGGTATGCAATTCATGGAAACGAGCGAAGCGTTGGAGAGAGGAGGCGGCTGGGAGCCTCCTGTCGTGCCCAGAAGTGTATACGGTGAGTCTGTCATGATCATGACAATTATTTATATGATATAAATTGGGACGGTTGGAAGAAAATAATGTGGCATGCAGAGGCTAACTTTATGTATGTACTTTCTGTCGCTTACTTGCTACTGGCAGGAAGCTGGTGCTAAAGTTGGGCGGCTTCCGAGCACGCTAACTTTAATACACTAAAGTCAAGTATATTTGAGAAATAAACGTATTTGAAAGTGCACTTTTAGATGATATCTACATGTATAATGATGAGGTTTACGGTGTTCATGCTCATGCATAATATTTCTGCCTCTGGAGTAGTTAACTATGATACTTTCTAGATCGAAATCAGGTCCGCCGCTTTCTCAGCTACTGCATACAGAATAGCCTGGTAATGCGCCACGATAGGCACAGGCAGCACGCTGGCATCCGCGACTCGCAGTCCTTTAACGCCCTTGACCCGCAGTTGAGTGTCGACCACCTTGCCCATAGATGCCGAGCCACCTGGATGAAAGAATGTAATTCCTCCACGCCGGACGTTCCTGTCAATTTCCTCGTCGGTAGAATCAGGCTTGATGAGCCCATTGTCCGGTTGGGGCACCTCGTGCTCCACCATACCTTTACCTTCGGGAGTGTCTAGAAGAAGCTTGGCCACCTTTCGAATTCCATCCCGCATAATCGCTCGGTCCACTTCCTTGGAATAGTAATTCGGGTCAATTACAGGGGCATTTGCCGGATCAGCATTAGCCAGGGTGATCTGGCCGCGTGCCGTAGGAGCCATTAAAAGAACAGCCGTACTAATATGCGTGCCATCCATAGGAGTCTCAAATTCAACTACGGATTGACTTATCGGCGCATAGATCACCAGAATCTCGGAGTGAGCGAAATCCGGATCTAGATATGGATGGTCCTCGGGAGCTTGTCCATCATCTGCCTGCAATGCCCGCATCAACTCGTCCGAGGGAGTTTGCAAGGTCACATTCCAATCATAGGGCACTCCCATCGCATATGCCGGGCTCTCCCAGAGAGGAGTCCCCATCGAGAGGCCCTGTTCAGGATGACGCAGTTTCCACGACTGTAGAAAACCGAAGTGGTCATGGAAATTGCGACCCACTTCTGGCGCATTTACAAGCTGTGGGATATTGTGTTTCGCCAGCTCTTCTGCTGGTCCAATTCCAGAGAGCATAAGCACCTGCGGGGTGCGGTATGTTCCAGCGGAGATAATCACCTCTTTCGAGGCGTGATATTCGTGTCCGTTTACAACTTTCACCCCTGTCGCGACCTGCTGGCCATCTTGCTCCTTGAGAATCACCTTCGCAACCAGCGTATCGGTAATAATGGATATTCCCTGGCGCCTAGACAGCCCATAAGCCTCACTGGCAAGTTGACGCTGTCCTTTACGCCAATTCTCTCCAATGTCTGCTAGTCCCAGGGGCATTCCAGCGTTGGCATCTGGGTTATACTTGACGCCAATACGTTCCCATGCAGAGCGTACTGGCTCCTTCAGGGGGTATTTGCGGTCGGGGCTGGTGAGCGCGACAATAGTGTTATGAATAGGGCCGCTGGTGCCGTGAATAGCCGGGTCGGCATTCGGATCATAGTGTGTCTCAGTCCGTTTGAAGTAAGGGAGTAGACCATCATAGCTCCAGCTGGAGTCTCCGACCAGCTTGGACCAGAGATTGTAGTCAGCGGAATTACCCCGCGTCCAGGTCCCGTAGTTTATCGCTGTGCCTCCTCCCAGCGCCTTGCCTGCACCGTTATAGCATTCACGATTGTTTAGATGTTTCTGTGGCACTGTGGTGTAGTCCCAGTCCAACGGCGAGTGATGAGCACCAAAGCATGCTAATGGGGTGCTGGTTAGAGGATGGTCGACCACGTTGGGGCCGGCTTCGATGATCAGGATCCGTAGCGACTCGTTTTTCTCAGACAGCCGACCAGCCAGAGCACAGCCGGTCAGACCTCCACCGACAACGATATAATCGTAAATCTCAGACATGTTGGATGTGGTAGAGTAGAATGGGAAAATCAAGTCAGGGGAGTAGTTCAAGATGGAAGAGGTGGAGACTCTTGAGAGCAGTGAGGTGGGGTGATAGAGGTATTTGGCTAGTCACCTCGTCCCCTTGTTCCCAACAGACTCGGCCAACAAAGACAGCTACTATTGTTGTGAAATTCAGGGGAAATGGGGCGTAGGGAGCTATTCTATCAGCTACAGGCCAACTAGCCTAACTAGGAAGTAGATGTCATTCAGTGGAAACACCAGGAATCGCAGTATCTCAACCAACTGAGTCTCTTGCATTCCTATCTAGGTGCTCAACTATCTAAGGTGTCGACCAAAATGGGTCTATATTACTGATTATTCAGCATCTGCTCGGTCCGATTTTGTTCCTTTGTTGACCATTTTTTTATTCAGTTCTCCCAGATAGATTCAGATAGTCAGAGACCTTACCTTCAATATAGATGGATCCTTATCCATAGATCAGTGATGGCCGACATAAGGATTCAGGGGTTAAATCGATCGTCAGAGACTCCGCACCGCCAAGTCGGGCGGATTATAGTGTTTCCGTAACAACTATGATTCTGGATCAGGACGGAGGGAGCTATGGTACCTGTATGGACTAACTAGACATGCTGTGGCCAGCTGCATGGGAGAGGATCCGCTGTCTGCTGCGGTACACCGCTAGTAGTACTAATAAACAAACAAAGGTGAAGAGAAACATGGGAATTCGTGATCCGATGACTCCTAGCGCCCTGGCGAGCGCTCAGCGTCATCCCCCTGAATCACCTCCATTCCCTTAGATAGAAGAGGGAAGAAGAAAGAGAAAAGAAGAGAGAGTAAGCACGTTGGCGAGCGCGTAGGTTGCGCAATCAATACAGTTATTATTGTTATTCTCCCTGGTAGGCTACCGGCGTGTAGCTGGCATAGTGTTCTTCTGCCACCCATTCCTTCCCCTGAGCGAATGATCATAACACCATACATATGCTTTTATAGTAAACAAACAGTTGAGCTTATAAGCAAGTACAGAATCATTAAACGCCGTTTTTCTATACTAATATTCCAGCCAATGCTCCAGCCCAAATAGTAGGAAACAAGTTATCGAGTTTAACATAAGGCTCTTTAACAGGATTATAGGGTATATCTTAATTAAATTAATTCTTATTAACTCCCTTCTTGCGCTTCCCCTTGCCCTTGGGTTTAGCCGTAGATGCCAGTAATAACTTCTTCGACGGGTCTTGTTTATACTTCGACTTCCAAGCGCGGTGCTTCTTTGCCAATCGCGCATTCCATTGAGCATTGAAGGTGTAAGGGATCAACCGTAGATGATATTGGTAGATATTAGAAAGAAATCCAAGCACCAAGAGAGAAAAGGAGTGAATCCTTTGTGGGGTCGAATCCGTCCAGATATGTGTGGCTCCAGTGATCAAGGTCACGGGGTCAGGTCCGCGACACAAGGATAGCGTTGTTCAGATCGTTGATGTGTTTTGTATGAATGCGTTTAGCTGCTTCCCTTCACATTCGGATTTAGCTCTTATCGAGGAAGACAGCTTCTATAGCTATCCATTTCTGCTCGGATCAACTGACTTGTAGTGGGGTCGGTTAACTGTAGCTAAGTCTTCCGGACAACATTATAAAAGCGAGAACCAATCCAACTTTGCTACTAAAGCACCAAAAAAAGCACAAGGGCTGCGATAGTAGGAGCAGAGGAAGTACGACCCGAGGAATAGGACTTCTTGTGAATCGACGACTTCAAACCCTTCAGTTTTCGCCCGGAGAAAGTCTCTCAGCAGAGTGCGCATCTTCACAAGGGTAGACTTGTTTTCTGATCTGAGACAAAACTGGCAAAATATGTGGCGACAATGATATTGATGCCCGAATAACTGCATCAACAAAATGACAGGTAAAATGATGACCTGAGGACAAAATCGAGAAAGGTGAAAATGTTTAAGCTGTTTTCCGCTTAGACATAGGAACTGCCAACCTATGTCAACTGTCCTTCACGGAAGGGTTACATGGGTACAGCATGATACCTTTCGAAGGAAAGCAAGTCTTTGATGATGCTGTGCCTTTTCTTTCACATGATAATGTCTCGCCAAGCTGACTGTGCTTGGGTGTATAAGAAACGCATCAAGAGACCAAGGTCTATAGTTAGCCAGGTAAATCTCTAAAATATTGACAAAATGGAAAGAGGATAACTGGTGGGAAGAAGTGTGGAATCTAGCGGTGGAGAGGAGTTCCTTTATATAGTTGGGTTTTCGCTAAAGTTTTCGCTAGTGTTTCTCGCTAAGCAGGGACACAATAAGGTTCAATCACCGAAATCTTCACTTGAATTTTGGAAGATGAATCTATAGGAGGTGAAAATAGAGGGCTTTACATTTAGTGGATTCCCTTGCTGAACAAGGAATGTCCTACAGGATCTGTCTAATGTGTGGCCAATTCATGGAGGGACGGGTTGTATAGACGAGGGAGAAAATTAAAAGAAAGACGAGTGACTACAGTACGATATTGCTCTCATTAATTCCAAAGCTTCTGCAGACGCACTAGCAATGGATATTCAAATTAAACATTCACTAAGTATTGGCTTCTCTGTTTTTCCATATTGTCTTATTATTTTCTCTTATACCCAGCGCTTCTAACTGTCCTCTATTCAATCATCAGGGGTTAGCCAGCCACCTCAGCTTAGTGAAGTATGCAGTAGAAGTGAATAGGCAGAGGCCTCTGATACAAGGGCTATTTTCACAGTACTAAGTCTTATGACCAAGCTTAATATATTTCTCTTATATTCTTCCCTTCACTCCTACTGGGACTCGTACTGTGACTACGTATCTAACAAATTTGGTTTATTCTAGGCTTAGTTTATAGGAGCTAATCATGGCGGAGCAAGTTTTACATCTCAGTGAGGCGGCATACTTGTTGGACAGGATAACAAGATATATTCAAACTAACATAATGACAAGTAGCACGAGCTGGCCATGACCGTATAATACCCTAGTTGCTTCTTAAGGTAGTATTTCTGTAGTATACCTGGCATAGAGGTTTGCTATGACACAAACTCAGGTGCTGCGCTAAAGAATTCGCACATAGTGAGACAAGGTAGAAGCTTAAGTTGTCCACCACCGAGACTGTCTTTTGGTGTCGCACCGAAAGGGCCAAGCTCAAACTTCTACTTAGTCAGAAAAAATTGTAGGCATAAATGTCCGTCCACTCCCTTTAGCTCTACGACCCTATTTAGTTAATCGTGGTTCTCTGGCGGGAATATACTACGATTGAACTCTAGGCTTGACTCTGAGATGGACCGCTTTGTTTTGATACATGGTTTACTGGTGCCACAATAAAATATCGCACTGACTGGTGTTGAGTAAGGGTCTGAAAGTGTGCTTGGTACCAGGGCATATACAGCCTTGATGGGAAATATGCCACTGGTGATAGTGCTAGCGTATGTAATCTATGCTGGTAGTACAGAAATTGCAGGATTCAGCGGTTGGGCAGCCCCTGAATGTTTATTATTGTTATATTCATGCTTGGCAGTTCTTTGGATTGAGACAATTGTTTGAGAGGGGTTTCTTAAGTATAATACATCCGAGTTGAGTTTCTTATTCTACAAAACATCAAATAACCTTACCACCCCAGGAACCAATCAAAGTTGCATCCATCGCTTATCAACCTGTTTGAGAAGTGACCAACGATCGGACCACTTATCCTGAAATGGTGCAACAACAACTCCACGCTGCTCAACAGCCCGATACAGCTGTTTGCACGCATTCTGCGCATCTCGAAGTATATCCTCTGGTGTCGTGACAGGCTTCCTCTTAGAGGATGAGTCTTCCTTTGGGGCCTCATAATGCAGATCTAGTACAAAGCTCAGTCGTTCCAAGTTCGGCAAAAAGTCCGAAGACGCAAAGGACTTTATCCAGTTGGCCCACTCGCTGGATCTGACAAGCGACGTGGGACCTCGAAAGCGTAGTGTTGAGAGATTCGGGGGAAAAAGTGTGTAGAGTGTTGGAAGAAAGGTTTCATCCTTGAAGACTTCGCCAACAGAGAGTACTAAGGTTCTCAACTCCGGAAGCTGCGGAAGAATACAGGCAAACAGCTCTTCAGTCGTGAAGTGGAAATCTAATCCATGGGTGGAGCGAATGTTGAGTGTAGAGAGCTTCTCTATAACATGAGGAAGAGCAATGGTCATCCGGTTGAAGGTATCAATAGAATCGTTTTCAAGGATCTCCAGTTTAGTCATCTTTGTTGGAACTTCTTTTGGGAGCAGTGGTAAGTTTTTGTTTTCTTGTATGATAGGTAGTGGCGTTGAGCGCATCCCCGCATATCTGTCATTCATTGCTTCTAAGACGAGTTCCGGAAGCCATACCAGCTCAATTTTCTTCGCTTCCGGCGTTTCTTTGCGGACAGTGATGTATTTAGCCACTTTTTCTCCTCGAGCAATCGCTTCCTTGTTCGCACGACGCAGCTCATCACTGGTCGGTCCTTCGAACCGCAGTCCAGACGTCCCTAGTAGAACAACATACTTGACCCTTCCTTCGAGCACAAATGGGCTGCGGAACACTTCTCCACAGGCGTCGCTAACAAGAAGCCGTTCCAACGGCCAGTGTGCTGGTAGTTCCGCATCGTTCAACTCCTCGTTGAAACCCGTGTGCATCTCTAGATCCTTGATGCTGCTGAAGTGATTGCTAAGCAGTGCCCATTCAATATTCGAGGGTGTATCTTCCGTTATTTGAAGAAACTGAATGTCCCGAGGGGCTTTTCCCAGTTGCGCAAGAAGTTGGTCCCGGTGGTCGTCGCATTTGCTTTCGTGTGGGCCTTTGACCTGGACTGTGAACTGATGGCCGTTAGAATGGGTCGATTTCAGACTGAGATTATTTCGTGTGGATATATTCCGACGTTGTCGATGATCTGTGGCTATCGAAATTCGGCAAACTTGCAACCACCTTGCAGCAAGGCAGGGTCCTCTCGGGGCGGATGACAGGAGGCCATGGAAGAGTACTCGACAGGGCCCTAGCTGTTTCTGGGTGAGAAATATCTTCTTGACATACCATATAGAAGTGAAGGGGCATATGTACCATGGTGTTTGACAGAAGGAAGTGGGTTTATTTACCCTGGACTAATGAAGGTTGTGAGTCGCAGTCCCACTTGGCGCTTACCTTGAGTCATGTCTTTTGTCCGCCCGTTCCTACGCTTCCCCGCCCGGGCCTCATCAAACACGCCGCTCTTAGGTACTAATATCACCTACCTCAACCCACACCATGACTCTCGGGTGCATCACTCTGACCAACATGCTACATCAAATCTCATCCGAGACCGACATACTACGTGGCTGAGACCGGTTCTCCAATATCAATGAGATGCGGCTTTGTGCATCCTGGCCTTCATCCTGGCCTTTTTGCTAGCCTTTGTTCTAGCCAATCCTGTCTGTCCACTCACCAAGGCAGCGTGTACATCTCTACAGACAAATATTGAGCCCCTGGAGATCCTCCTCGGGAAGCACTTTTCCCCAGCAAAGCAGGAGACCTATATTGCGCGGGAAGCTGCCGGGACGGCTGTGGTACTGGTTGGGCAATTCCGCAGTAATCTTGTCCCCAGTAGCCTGCTGCACCCCACTCCTCCAACACAGCCCCTAGTTTCAGGTCCTGATGGCTACTGCAGAATTGGAGGACCCAGTTCATTCCGTCATAACTCCACCTGCGGACGTGATACCTCTGCCAGTCTCTCGGTCAGGCGAGAGATAGACCAGACTACAGGTTCCATTCTTAACTGCCGGCATTGGAAAGGGTGTCTGGTATGTCCTGTGGGCATGATGGGCTTCGGGGGCAGTGATATCCTGTCTCATACCTAAAAGTCCACGGTGGAGTGTCTTCCATGGCCTGTAGTGCCTTGTCCATTTTTCCGATGCTTCTGCGAAAGGAGGGAAATACCTGCTGCAGCTCTGCAGCCGTACCATAGGAATTTCGTAAGTCCGACGTATTACCAGGTTGGCTAACATTGTCATTCAGTAACAATCTTCCTCATAATCTCGCCGGCCATATCCTATTTTAATTAATTTATACTCAGTGTCACCTACAATATAACCACCCCACAGGTGACCTTGTGTTACCACAGACGGCACTCAATCGACTCGAACAACTTGTCCTTGCCACCATTGGCAAGTGGCACAGTGCACTGGGCATTGCAATGAGAAATGGTATCGCATTGCCCAAACGCCAGACTCCACCACACATGGTCGCGCCCCCGATTTGGTCGTGATGGAGTATCGTGTACTGGAGTCTGCACCGGGAAGAGGCTATGTTGAGAGCCCATTCTGCGGCATATTTGGACTGGGCGTACCGTATCTCCCGGGCAATTCAGAATTACCGAATCAAGACTCAGGGACAGGAGTCGAGTAGTAATCCGACCAGCGGTAGAATGTGGCGACGATGTGAACGTGGTGGATGGACTGCAGGGCGAAACTCATCAGACGGCGCATGCCGCGATGGACGAGGAAGGACTCCAGGGGAGCTAGAAATTTGGCCTCCCATGCCTTGTGGATAATTTGTATCAACCTTCGTTAGGATGGTCGTGTACTGTCTGCCTTGTAGACTAGATTGTGTTGTGCGAGGTCGATTTGTACAAACTCCACTTATGAGGTCATTAGAGGATCCAAGCATAGGCCTTTTTTCCTGAAAAATTCTATCTGTCTTCATTTGCTACCGGTTCGATTCAGATAGAAGATCCGTGAGATACAACGATCCTATAATAGAGAATAGATGATATACAAGTCCAATGTTCCTACTGAACCTGTAGGAGAACGTGATGGGCATAGTTTGTAGAGAGATCTTTTTATTGGGTTGTAGGAGAATGTCTAATGCCCTGTTCCTATGATTGCTAGTAAAATATGTACAAGAAAGAACGAACTGGAATAGAACCCCGAATACAGTCCCTTCCAGGATGCCTTAGTCGCGAGTTAAGTTCAAATAAGTTCATGGTACACCCATCCAAATTGTGGAAGTCTTGGTTAGGTAGGCTTAAATAGTATTACTTTCGTTAGGTAGTATGCTACTATCACTAACCATAGTGTAAGAAGTATACAGAAAATATTTAATAGATACCAGAGATGGTAATGATTTTAATATCTGTAAATCTCGCCGGCGGTATGTACAACTACCAGATAGAAGATAATCGGAGAAATCATATTCTCCAGTCTCCATCTGCCATATGCAAGGCGGCATGTCTCCATCTGTCATATGCAAGCAGGCAAGTCTCCATCTGCCATATGCAAGCAGGCATTTTAGTAACAGCCAGTCTGCATTTCTGCATTATATTAATTTTTCGACTAGGTCACAGTGCAGATTATCCTCTTACCAGGCATGACCATTGGAACCTTGCATACAGTTAATCTACAGATCTAGCAGCCATATTCAATCTAGAGCAGTGTTCATACAACAATGCATCTTCTACACGTTAAGATTCATCATTCCTTAGACCTATTTGGAACGGAACTCTCCGTCGGATAATTCCTAGCGTACTCTCTGTCTCATCGCCGGTCTCCGCTTGATCGACAGTCCAGCCTCGGCAACGTTGCATCGTAAGTGGTAGGACCATCGTCGATCCGGGGAATTTGGGGTATCACATCTTCAGCACCAACTATCCACTATTGAATTATACCTTCGCTTACACTTTCGTGCATAAGATTTAGCGAGCGAGACATTTTCGATATCTAGAAGAGGGGTAAGACCAGATATAAAAGCATCGTGAAGGGGGAAACTGACGAAGTCAAGAGACGAGACGAATCGAGACGAGAAATCGCCATGACTACTTTACACGATTGCAAAAAACCTGCTAGCCATCCTGACGAGGAAATAATCGTTGGCACTATAGCCGACGATAACCTTGGGAATGGCCCTGAAACACCAGGACGATGGCAGATATTCGCTAAACGATTCCAGATCGAGGAACGAGGTATCGAGCGCGTTCCTGAGGATCAACGCTCGGAGAGCTCGTACTGGAGTATCGGGTCTATGGTACCTCTCTTCCCTCCTCTTCATAGCGTGAATAGCATAGAGATAGAGATCTAAGATATACAGTGGCTAGCTGCCAATATGGTCGTACCATCGTTCACGATCGGGGTACTAGGCCAGGCTCTTTTCAGCCTGGGCTTTATCGACAGCATACTGGTGATATTATTTTTCAACTTACTATCCGTAATGACGGTGTGTTTCTTCTCCATCTTCGGCGTTGCGTTCGGTCTACGCCAGATGGTCCTGTCCCGGTTCTGGTTCGGCTGGTGGGGAGTCAAGTTGAGTGAGTCTCTTCGATACTTACTTCCTCGTCTAGTCTAGACCTGGATATCGCTTATCGGGACAGTTGCACTGTTCAATCTACTGGCCTGTTTCGGCTGGGCGGCTGCAAACATCATCGTCGGCGCGCAGCTACTGCACGCAGTGAATCCTAGAGTGCCTGGATGGGCAGGGATTCTGGTCATCGCGTCGGCAACCCTCCTGGTTACCTTTTTTGGGTATCGCATTGTGCATGTCTATGAGAAATGGAGCTGGATTCCCACGTTCATCGTGTTTCTGGTGGTACTAGCTGTGTTAGTCCGCTCTGGAGACTTTGTCCAAGTGCCCATGGGTCATGGACATGCTGAAATGGGCGCCGTCTTATCCTTCGGATCGACGGTATTCGGCTTTGGAACGGGATATACCACCTTCGCAGCAGACTACACCGTCTACCAGCCCAGTCAGCTGCCACGCACCCGGGTGTTCCTAGCCACCTGGCTAGGGATTCTCCCGACGCTGCTGTTCACCGAGATGCTCGGCGCCGCGCTGGGGACCACCGTGCGACTGAACGCCGAAAACAACTCGTACCAACAAGGGTACGACGACTCCGGAGTCGGCGGACTCCTCGGGGCGTTGCTATTCCCACACGTTGGAGGATTCGGTAAATTCTGCATGGTGATCCTGGCATTATCCATTGTCGCGAACAACTGTCCCAACGTGTACTCTGTCTCACTGACGCTGATGGTACTCGGACGCTGGACGGAGCGAGTCCCGCGGTACGTTTGGACTGTGATCGCGACGGTGGTCTACGTGGCCATTGCGATCCCAGGATACAGCGAGTTCGAGGCAGTGTTGCATAATTTCATGACGTTCATCGGGTACTGGTTGGCTATTTATGAGGGGATTGTGCTAACGGATCATTTTGTCTTTCGGCGGGGTTTTTCAGGATACGTTCCGGAGGAGTACAATCAGTCGGATAAGTTGCCTAGGGGTATTGCGGCGTTGCTTGCGTTTCTCTGTGGTGTTGTTGGAATGGTGACCGGTATGAGTCAGAGTTGGTATGTTGGTCCTATTGCGAAGTATGCAGGTGTTGCGCCGACGGGGGGGGACGTGGGATTTGAACTGGGGTTTGCTTTTTCGGCGGTTGCGTATTGTATACTTCGGCCATTGGAGCGATGGGTGGTGCAAAAGGTGAGACCTGATTGAGCTCGGCTCTATTCTTGTTGGTTATATTCAAGGATAGTCTATAGTAGGCGTGAACTAAATAAGTTGTTCCATACATTTCATATCTCTTGACGCTGGGAAAGTTAAATTATACATTTCTTGATTATTCTATATTATATACATCAAATAGCATACCGGAATTCCCGATTCTCTCGATCCGTCAAATCCAAGAATTCATGATTCTGCTGCACAACATATGCATCCCCAAGAGCCGCTTTCTCCTGATCTCGCTTTCGGTTCTCGCGCACAAACATCCAGCGAATAATGCACAGGTCAACGGTGACGAGAAAGTACAAAATGACAATGGAAATTTTTGCCGGGAGGTACTCTGGCGCGTCCTTGGCCTGAAAAGTCTGCGGCGAAATGATATTACCAACGGTATACGCCACCGTTTGTATACAAGACACGGTGATTTTCTTCGTGGAGCCCGCTACATTCGTACTGGTCAGGCCGAGAATCGTCGTCCATCCGATGGGAATACCACCGGACAGATAGTATCCAACCAGGGCGGGGGCCTTATCTGTCGTGGCCATTAAAATTGCACCCACGATGGAGGGGATATGACCAAGGATGCACCATAAGAGACGCTGCTGGGTCTTCGTAGCCAGATAGGTCAGACCAACAAGTACGACGACTTCGTAAGCGCCCAGCGGCGTAACCAACAACAGGCTGTCCGTCTTCGAGTATCCCATACCAGTGACGAGGATATTTCCGAAGCTAGTGGCGATAGAATTGGGAATATTGGCAGCAAACACCCAGAACGAATACAGCCAAGTCTGCGGATCCCGGAGCGCCTCGTAGACCTGTTCCTTTTTGAAAACGCTGCTGCCGATTCCCTGCTCATTGCTGCGAAGACGCTCTGCATGCATGGCTTTCTCTTCAGGAGAGAGGAAGCCCGCCGTGACAGGGGAATCTGGCAAGATGAAGAAGAAGAGAATGCCAACAATGACGGTGAACAGACCCAGGATTAAGAAAATAACCTGCCATCCGCGCAGAGACGCGGATGGGTCGTTTCCAATATGGATCGCCACGCCGTAGGCAACGTACCCGCCGAGCATCTGAGCCAGGCCACATGTTCCGAACCAGATGCCGACGCGGAATGCCTGTTCTTCTTTTCGATACCATTGCGAGGTGAAGACCACCCAGGCCGGCACGACGGCCGCCTCTGCGGCCCCCAGCAACGCACGACACACCATCAGCGACGCAAACGACTTGCAGGCGGCCATGCAGGCGAGGATGGTACCCCAGACGGTGACGTTGAAAGCGACATATCGCGCCAGGGGGAAGGCCTGGATGAGTCGCATGGTCGGAAACTGCAGGGCGAGCTGTCCGAAGAAGAAAATACTCGATACCCAGTTGAACTGGTTACCGTGTAAGTTGGTCGACTCACGCAGACCGGTCACGCTGGCGTAGGACACGGCGATCTTATCAAGATACTGAAGGAAATACACGACGCAGATCAACGGCATCACGTACAGATCGATCTTGCGGACCAGACGTGCCGACGCCTCAGGGTCCAGTGGGCCCTCGCTTCGGCCTTGGCCGACGAGTTCTAGTGCTGCATCGCCTGATGGATTGGTTGCCTGGACTTGAACCTCAGGATGCTTTTCATTCAGGACAGTGTCCGCAGGTGCTGAGGCCATGTTGTATTCAAATCTGAATCAATAACTGAGGATGAGGGTGGTTTTGGAGCTATGGTGCCTTAAATAGAAAGAAATTGTTTGACGCTATCGCGGATTGAACCATGACGGACGCCAATCACGCCATCGCCGACCCGCAAGTTTGAGTCATTTCAATGTGCTATTTTGGACTTGGATATTTTGAACCCTTCTATCGTCTCGGTAAATGACCGTATATTATATTTTCTCTGTTGAGTACAATCGAAGTTTTAGCATCGGGTTGCAATAAGAATAGTGGACGGTTATACCTCGAGTAAAAATAACCAGCGCCATCCTCCTGGCCCTGAACGCCTCGCAGATGCAGAAGACCAAAGGCTAGAAATCCAGCCAAGATATCCACCATCCCCAGCGCTGTCCAGAAGAAAAATAACCGCAGGGATGGCTCATGGTGTTTGTAAAAGTCGGGTAGGTAGAGAATGATCTACTATAATGATCCAGACCATTTCGACCGAAGTAGAGGGGACAAGAGACTCACTCCAGGAATGAATCCACCCTGCAGAATAGCCAACAGCGCTCGACAAGCCAGGAAGGCCGATCGACTCTGCAGTGCGTGTTGAGCCATCGCCACCACCGACCAAAGCGATGTCAGCATGGGAATCTACCGGTCGGGACCCATCCATTTGCTGACCAGTTGCGAGGGAAGCTCTGCGCATAGGAAGGAGAGCTTAAACACAGCAGGAAATTGTCCGTCAGCGCCTGAGCCAGATTCGCCCGGTCTAGCTCCAACGCCATGAACATAACGCAGGTGAACACCATGATACGTAGATCGATTTTGCGCGCACTAATCGGTACTCCTCACCTCAGGTCCAGCGCACGGAGGAGCCGAATCGATGTCAGTTCTCCCAGTCGACTCGTGGCTGGCATTTTTTGGCCGTGTCTGGGCTGTCGTGCTCTGGGGCTTGCGTGGCGACCGCATTGGGATTGTATTCGCTTCGTCGTTAGGAACAGAAGCGGCGCTGGCCGGTTCGCCGAGAGGAGACACATCTTATGTGCCGACGGACACGATCGATACGATTGCCAGTGGTCTTTTCTTCTGAATACTGACCATGAAGACGTGGTTGGGGTGGTTCAGTTGACATGTAGGTTGCCTTTATATCCGTTGGATAGTCAGATAATATGGTGTAGACGGATTGCTATCGGAGGGACAGATTGCATCATCGAGCCAGTTGTGGGACAAGAGACGGCTTGCGCATTGATATTTGGCCAAGGGATAAAGATCAGTTGTGTCTCTTGTGGTGTATGTTAACTTGAGCATGACATTTCTGCATGGATGACGCCGTTGATAATAACGCGTTCGCAATGGACGGGGGGGTTCGAAGACTCTAATTCTAGCAGCCCCTATGATAGTGTTAAGAGTTTAGTCTCGACGATGAGCTAACCAGACTACAGAGTCTGATTAACATGGCGTCCATGTTGTCCGTGTCGCATCTTGATATCACGACTCGTAACGCATTTCTCGGCAAGTTGAGAGCCATCTAGATTGGAGTTGAGTAGTCATGTAAAGAGATGCGTGAGGAACTAATAAGTTTAAGAATGAGACAATATTGAGAGACATGGTTTGTAGTAGAAGAGCAGAGAGAAGACAATAAGAAATAGCTAGGAGTTTATCGTGGGAAACATAACAAGTGCCTGTAAGGCATTATAAATCTCTAGATGGTGAACAGGCCTTAGCAAGCCACAGTACTGTCCAACCCATTTGGTGGCAGATAATATGTGATGCCGCAATAGTCCAATGCTTATCTACAGACTGTCTTTTGGTGTTTGTTTGTATGCAAGAGCATAAGTCGACTATTCTAATAGCGCGATATTGTATTTCGGAGCCAATAATTAGCAAACAATATACAGCTATGTAAGGGCTCATAGATTGGACATATCGCCTGATTAGAGCATGTGCTGTAACTGATGGAGAAAAAAGACAGAAGAGATATATAGTAGACTATGTAATTGAATTTATTGAAGCATAAGTAGTTAACTATTCTTATCAGAAACATTATATGTTCCAAAAAACCCAAAGTGTAGACATGTGAAACGTCCGATCCGTCGGAGTCTATTTGGTAGTCCCTCGGATAGAACGATAATCTTCACTCCGAAGTCAAACACCTCGAGGTCGCTGCCACATCACCTGGGGCCAAAGGATCGGTCATGAAAGGAATTGGTCTTATTAAAAGACGAGACTCCAACAGTTTGGGCGGAGAACGAAACCGATAAACTCACAGCACATAGCAAGTTCACATCTTACGTACGCTAAATTATGAATAAATACGGGGGGGAGGAAAAACGAAAAAGAAGAAACGAAAGGTAGCAAATAAAAAGAGCAAAAAATAAACAGGAAAGTGTATAGCCGAGTCCAACTTTTTTAACCGGTTTAACTTTTCCCCAATGTCGGACGATATTCAGCAAAAGTGACTCCGAACTTGAAACACCAAACCACACAGGAGCCCCGTAAGAGACCCCGTAAACCCGAGGGGCCGAACCTCCTGTCTGACCAGTCATTATTGGCCAGATAATGGATACTATGTATTCTGGTCAGAGTGGATCCAACATCTAGCGTCTCTTTTTACTGTTTGAGCTGTTGGCACCCCGTGTTTTATTTTTTCTTCGGAGTCAAAAGTCCTTACGCAAAAAGTCCTTATATAGAGCCGACATGCCCCTGTCGCTGAGGATCGGCAATTTCCCCCTTTTAGTGCGTGTACAGGTCACAGGCATGCATGCCTGTAATTCTCCATGACCATCACCATGGCGCAGCTCCCTGTTGAGCAAATCTCTCCCTCTGTTGTCCTCCACAACCCCAATTTTTTCCTGGCCCCCCGCAAGTATTCCCCTAGCGACATGTCGGACGAGCTACTGGGTGTGCAGACGCACTGCTGGAGCGACGAGAAGGTATAATCTGACAGGTTTTGAGACTTCCGCTGTCTCCAGCACTGCTTATTTCTAACAGATGGTTAATCACTTGGCAGATTCTCGTTTCTCCTCTTGATCCATCGCCCACTCACGATGCCGACGAATTCCCTCCCCCGAGGGACAGCATGCGCAAGTCCTCCATGTCTTTCATCGACACCGTTCTTCGCCGGGTAGGTCGACCTCCTGGCAATGACAGACAGACTCTAACGCCTCGTTCAGCGAAAGACGGGGAGTAGTGATTATTCGCAACACCTGCGTCCCTTACCGGACCACGAGCTGAACCAGCGAAAAACCCCGAGTCGTCAGTCTTCGATGCAATTCATCCCGCAGATCGTTCCGGACTTCGAATTGAACCGGGAAGACCCTCGGTATCTCCGATCGACCACGGTGTCGGTGGCACTGCGGCCATCCAACGAGGCGGTCGAATACTACACCCCCACTTCGCCGGTCGCGCCCGACAGGAAACCGTACGCATCGGGACAGGAATATGCCCTGGAGAATATGCGGGCCACTTACATCCAAGAGATCCAAGACCGCGACGCGCGAATTGCACATCTGGAAAACCAGCTGGCCGATATGGTCGCCCAGATTACCGAGATCAGCCAGGATCGGAAACGACTACAGTCCCAGCTGCGGAACACCCAGAACACCCAGAACGGACCCCGTCGCTCTGTCAAGACCGTCCCCTGGGCTTCCAAATCGACGGCCCGCGTGCGCGAGGAGCTGTCCATCCTGGAGAAGCGCATGCGATCGTGGGCCGTCAAGTATACGGTCAGCGACCCCCGCGATCTCGAGCAGGTGACGGCCGAGGAAAAGAACAGTGTTCTGAAGGAACTGGATGGGTTCTGTATTGAACGAGATTGGGACCGGTTGATGCGCACGATGCCCATCGTGCTGCATCGGATTCCGGCCCTGCTCACTCAGGCCATGTTGTCCCGGGCCATTTTCACGGGAGTATTTGTAAGGCCGTTTTTCGCCTTCACCGAGTCGGAGGAGGAGACAACGGATGACTGGGCTTCGTCGCGCATGTTGACCTCAATATACACGGCCATGATGGATGGTAAGACTGTAATTGTCTGCGTGTCTGCGTGGAATTCCTTCTAACCAAGACCCAGTAAACGAATCAGAGGCGCACACCTGGCGCTCGCAAATGCTCCGCATTCTGTCAACCCCTCCACCGGATTCCACAGAGAGCGTGCTCCACCAGCGCATGCGGGAGGTGATCAATGAATTGGCAGTCGACTTCCTGAATGGGCCTATCCAGGCGCTTTTCCGGCCCCCCAAGGAGAATTTGGAAATTGTAAGACGAAACCAGGAGCTGTACAATCTGTATCACGATGCGGGGGAGCTGGCTCTCTCGCTCTGGCGACAGCGCGCGTTTATGAAATTCCACAATCTCCACGGACTCCAGATTTTCCGCACGGGTAATCCAGCCATGGCGGCGCATCCGCTTCAACAGCTCGATATGGATGATGAGAGACTAGATGGGAAAAGAGTCTTGCTTGTTGTGCAGCCGGCTATCGTCGCTTATGGGGATGAAGATGCCCAGAATTATGATATGTGTAAGGTGTGGGCGGAGGGCGTCGTCTTGGTGGATGAGCACGAGGGAGAGGATTTCCAATCGATGGCAGTTCACATGCCCTCTACCGATCGGATGGGATGGGATTAGAATAGTACCGGCTGTGGTATACCATGAACCCAAGCTATGTAACGGTCCTAAGAAGTCTGGCCGTTGCACTATCTCTCCGCCGCTGGTCCCTTCTAGGGCTGATCCCAGTATCTTGACTATATCGGACCGGCAGACGAGGACAATGCACTGAACGCGTCTATAATTAAGCGGAACCTGCATAGTAAAATCTGATACTACTGATTATCAGACAGTGCGTGTTTTACTGTGGGTGTCCCTAGTCATATGACAAGCGAGAACTGATCCGGTTCACATAGTAAACTGGCTATAACGAGGAAGCATTATAAAGTGTAAACAGACCTCTCGATTACAACATTGAAGCTAGGATGAACGAATCCTTACAACAGTCTTTTATACAGACATTGCTTAGAAACGCAACTGGTGAGGATTGTACTCTGAATCAGGATGGGTTGGTTGGAGCGTCAGAGTCTTTCCTAGATTAACTCCGGTAACGCGCTGACTGAATCCGCTAGGGACTCATCACCCTAGTAATCGGTCTTGCGTTCATCCCGTGCCTCCCGGACCATGCCAGAGGGCCAACTGGTGTAGGAGCAAATAGGGCTGGTTCACGCCACGGCAAGTCAACTGTTGATCAGTTCAAACCTCGGCTGATTAACTTCCTCAGCGAAGAAACCATCATGGTCAACCGAGTCATCCGCGACGACCCTAGCAAAGGAACAATCCACAATCGAGAGCCCATCACGCCTAAACTCCATTGGAAAAGCATTCGACTATATATTTTTAGCAACAATATATAACCGAGTACGAGGGCGGAACTTGCAACTAAAAGAGAACTGCAAGTGACTGTCTAGTAGAATTAAATAATAAGTTAGTCTGTTGTGGATTCCTTATAAGATAGCTAACTAACTATATGGGAGACGAAGAAAAATTAAGCAACAATCTTTCAACTATCGTGTTCTATACAGAGGTCATTAAAACCCGCCAAGACTTTGGGCATAGCCGAGTAACTAACGTAACCACCACAATGCCAATCCAAATCAATTAATAATTGATCTTTACAAACTGTATAGAGTATGCATTGCATTATTATTGTGTTGCAGATGATGAAGGGTAGTTAGTTAAATTACATCAGAAGGCCGTACGTAATAATTAATACCTGCCTAGATTAAGGGGAAAAAAGATTGGACGGATTTCCTCGAGGAGAAAAAATTGAAAAATTTTTTAAAAAAAAAAAAGTATGGGACGAACCGGGATTGAACCGGTGACCTCACGATTGCCAAGATTGACGGATTGAAGTGGACTTCAGTCGTGCGCTCTCCCAACTGAGCTATCGCCCCGATTGATGTATTTTCACTGGATTCATTTCATTAGATTCAATCTTTATTCAGTGACCATGTAATATCTAATTACGGCTCACCTACGGAGTAGAGCCCATTGGCTGTTGGTCGAATAGTAGTCATATTGAAATATGCTGACTCTATGGTATTAAGTCAGTACAAGAGATAGTATTACTAGCAACGTATTTCTTTTTATCTGAGTTTTACAGTTTACAAGGCAATACTACAGTTGTTGGAATTAGGTAGGCCGAAGCCCCATTTTTTGGTTGTCTTTTTCTGCTGGGAAAAAAAAGACACCAAGCAATTCCTCAACGCCAAACTCCATAAATGTCAATCCTCCTCAATTTCATTTCAGTGAAAGTCTATCCGTCCGCCTCCGCCTCCCACGTTGGCCGAACGTCGCCTACTCATCAGAAGTCCAAATGAGACGCGCCGTACATTGATAGCAAGCCCTCGCTTTATCACTTCGTCTCTAACACTTCAAGTCTAACTCTTTGAAGCTCGGTGTATTATGTGTGGGCGGCATTTCGTATTTCACAAAATATGAACGATGATGGATAGATAGGTTCATTCTATTCAAGGTCCATTGGTCTGGGCCATCAAGCATTGGGGTGTCAGAGATGAAATACATAAGCCCTAGCAGATATACCGCGTATCTACAGAAGTACCATCAAAGATCAATCTTGAACAACCAATGCAGTCCGCCCACACTGGGCTGAAATCTCTGTAGCGAATAGAAATTGATGAGGTGAGAATACGAGATTATAGCAGTGGGCAAAGCGGCGGGTCTTAACATGGCTAGCAGTATGACCCACATGACAGATACTGTAACAAATATAAGTAGGCGAGAATACCGAGTGAAAACAGCATGTTTATGATCATACCTGGGCAAAGCGCACAGTATACATGCGATAGATCGCTTCGACCTCGTTACTTTAATTGGCTATGCCCCAATGCTTCGGCTTATGCTCTCGCAACCTAAGATTGTGGCCGATTAAGATTCAGCATTGGTGAAAACTTATTTTGCTGCAGTGTATGCTCGCTTCCCAGCTCCCTATCCAAGTCAAAATGTTTGATGAACAAACTCGCACAGAGTCCCAGACCGGCAATCCCGCAGAAGGACAGAAACACTCACCTGAGCCCGAACACATAGGACTCAAGCAAATGCTCCTTGGACAGTGAATCCGGGATTGTCTTGAGAAGCACAATATAAGCTTCGGAGTTCTGCGCAATCTCAGAAGGAAAATCAAGATTTTTCAACTTCCTCTTCATGACATTCTGGAAGATCGAGCTTCCAATACCAACGCCAACGGCTGCGCCGAGGTTTCGCATGAACACGTACATTGCCGCTGTCGCGCCCTCATCGTTCGGTAAAGATGCTGCATGCGACACAAATGTTTGGGTGCTGAGGATAAGCCCATAGCTGATCCCACTCACTACCAGAGTTATCACCAGCACTGGCGCGCTGGTATCAACTCTCCACAGGGCAGATAGTCCACAGGCAAGAATAATGATACAACATCCGGACCATATTGCCCACAGAACCGGTTGATTTTGGTTGCGATTACGCCCACAACAGCGGTCACGGGAATGAGAGTAAGCATGACCGACAGTAGATAGACGCCTGTGATAATGAATGATGCTTGTTTGATGGATAAGAGGTATAGTGGGATGTAATATAATTGTCCATATAGCTAGATTGATTGCAATACTTGATCCGAGCGGAAAATGTGGATGGATACCAAAAGGCAACTTACGATCCGGCCTTGGAGAAAATCGCAAAAGTAAATCGCATAGGCACTTGGGCAATGGAATAGACTTTTCTTCAGGAAAGGCTGTCTCGCACCGTTTCCTTCCCAAGCCAAGGTGAGGCCAGTGCCAATTACCCCCAATATTAGAAGCACGAGCGTTTGGTAGCTGGTCCATGATTGTTGGGTGCCACCTATTGAAGTGGCTGTGAGAAATGCCGTGACGGAGGGAGCAAATAGGGCTCCGCCTAGCCAGTCGATCTGGATCAGTTTCTCTTAAATGTTCTGGCTGTCGGCTTTAGCTTCAGCACGAATGGAACCGTAGCGAAGCCGATGAAGCAGAATGGAAACATCAAGTAGAAGGCCCAGCGAAATGTGGTCCGTTGTGCAATTACACCGCCGATGACGGGCCCATAGCTGTTCCCAGGGTCCATGCCCCTTGAAAGATGCTAATATACCTTGGTCGGTATCTGAGCGGAAATCGATGTCCGTGTAAACTATGATTCCTAGTATCAAAATGCCTCCATCACCGAGACCCTGTATACATCTTCCCACCAGAAGGATCGCAATGCTAGTTGATACGCAGCAGAGAATGGTTCCAATGGTAAAGAGCTCAAGAGACGTGATCAAAGACCCTGCTCTGCCAAATATATCACTTAATGCAGCCACAAATTGCATTGTACTAGCAGAGGTAAGCAGATACGACGTTCTGACCCATAGACCTTGGGTGACATTGCCGTCGAGATCAGCGATGATGACCTGTGAGCAATGAGCAACTTAATATGAAAGGATGAGTGAAATGCATTCACAGACAGTTAGAGATATCACAATCACGGCTGCATCTAGAGCTATCATGAAAGCCAAGACTGAAACAATAATCATAATAAGAAAGTCATGCATCGAGGGCAACCACGGAACCGAAGAACATCGATCAGCATCATCGGCCGCATTGGAACTTTGTGAAGACATTGACCATACCTGGTGATGAGACAGGATGACAGGACGGTCTGTCTTTCTCTCATCCGCATGCTCATTCATCCACGAGGTACCATTTCTCCAGGAAATCTGCGCGGATATCAAGGCTCCAAATTTTGTCTTTGGGATACTTCCTGGGTGGTGGGTCGGTGAAGGAGAAGGGAGGGTGGAAGAGCCTTATATATCCCCTGACCGGTGGGAGAGAGAGCTTCGCAACTCCGGCTTCGAGAATATAAGGGTCACAATCTTGGATGCAGAGTCACCGTGGCAGCTTAATGCAATGATTGTTGCAACGCCTGTCAAGATTCCTGAAGCCAACTCCGGAGAGAAATCCATGACGGTCCTTTGTGACAATGAATCCAGGGTTTTGAGAAATCGCCTTTCAGAACAGTTTCATACCAACGGCTACCTTGTAACTTCTTGTTCTTTGGATGACGAATTACCTGAGCTTTCGAAAAATATCCTGGTTGTGCTGGGCATTCACGCCCCATTCTTTCATGAAATCCCTGCAGCAAGATTTCAAGCCTTCCAGGGTTTTATAAAATGGATTTCCGAGTCGAAAGTACTTTGGCTTACTCGCTCGTCCCAAATCAACTGTAATGACCCTCGCTTCGCGCAGACAATCGGCTGCGCCCGCGCTCTTCGATCTGAGCTCTATGTTAATTTCGCTACCTGCGAAATCGATGATATTGAACGGAGTCAGAGAGATATTCTTATGGTGTTCGAAGAATTCATCAGCAGAAAACCCGAGGATAATCTCAACCCAGATTACGAATATGTTTATTCCAAAGCGTGAAAGTTGGAAGAGTTTATTCCTTCAACTTGAGGAATTCGTTGCTCGCTTCAAATCCGTCTGGCACATCTGAGGCTGCAATACGGTTGTCAATAGGCAGGTTTGGACATTTAGGGACTCTACAGTGGACCGCCCGTCAAGGAAGAGATTTAGCTTGTGAAGAAGTGGAAATTGAGGTCAAGGCAGCTGGATCGAATTTCAAGGTTTTTCTTTCTAATATTGTGAGATTGTTGGTCCCTCTCCTCACTGACCTTATCTAAACAGGACCTGCTTATCGCACTTGGTATTGTTCCATCTTCTTCATCTTCTTCTACGGCCATGCTTGGTCAGGAGGGATCGGGGGTTATCACCAAAATTGGCGCAGATGTACATAGCCTTGCTGTTGGAGATCGGGAGTTGTTCATAAGTTGTGGTTCTTTCATAACCTCTCTTATCACCTCCTCGCAAGTTTGCACGAGGTTCCCGGAAGATCTCTCTTTCTACGATGCCGCCACCATGCCCTGCGCATTTACAACGGCCCTTTATGCACTGATTTACATTGGTAGGGTTGAACGAGGGCAGGTAAGAGTCTCCAACACTCCATCAAGATCCCTACGATAAGGTTAATATTCTACATAGTCGGTCTTGATTCACTCTGCAGTAGGTGCCGTCTGCCAAAAGCTCGGAGCACAAATCTATGTGACCGTGGGTAGCGAGGAAAAAGTCTAGTATCTGACTGCCGAACTGGACATCCCTAGGGCTCACATCTTCAACTCACGCGACAGCTCCTTTGTCTCTGGGATCATGACAGCCACAAACGGAAGAGGGGTTGACTATGTCCTCAACTCGCTTTCTGGGGAGCTGTTGCATGAGTCGTGGGATTGTGTTGCTGAGTTTGGGACACTGCTTGAAATTGGGAAACGTGACTTGATCGGCAACGGAAAACTCAGTATGAATAACTTCCCTGGAAACAAGAAGCTATCGCGCAATTGACTTGGATCATCTGATCCGTAAAGGCTCCACAATAGGAAAGTGGCAAGTTCCAAGTCGAAGTTTGCACGAAAACTAATATTATTTTTCTTCTTACAGGCTTTTCCAAGAGGTTGTTGAATATCATACCCAAGGCTATTTCCACCCACTAAAACCAGTAGCCAGCTTCACGGCTGAACAGATCGTCGATTGCTTTGATTCATGCAAAAAGGCACATATATTGGTAAAATTGTTGTTTCCCTGCCAGCAGGCGCAGTAAGGAACCCGAGAAGAGCCATAATGGCCCCCAGAGTATTGAGATCAGGCCCACCCATCTGTTTCGTTCGGCTGTGATAGGAATTATCTGGCATAAGCCACGGGTCCTAAAGGGAATGAGGCCAAATATGCTTTGGTGCCAGTTTTGGAGTATTGGCCATTTCCGTTTCAGCTCGTTCAGATAGTCCGGTACTTGGATCCATGTAGTTCATGTGCGGCCTCAAATTTCGCCAGAGCTATCCGCAGCGCGCTTGGAGGATGGTTCAGCGCACCAGTTCTTTTGAATTTGCTGGCTTTTTCTGCCTTGCCGAAACCCCACTGGACTACTCCAGTATAAGGTTCGCTCGGCATTATCAGATATTTCTGTAGTTTTATTAAAGGCTACTGGACCACTACATTCATCTAGGAGCTGTTCAACTACCTGTCTACAGTCGAACCAAAAAAAAAAAAAAAAAAAAAAAAAAGAGAGAGAGAAAGAAATTTTGGGGGGAGGGGCATTTCAAGGAAGGGCATAAAAAAGTACCATTACCAACTACAAGGAGACAAATCGTACTGAGTAAACGAAAGTTTATAGTATCGAATCAATAGGGCTTGTCAACGGGCCAAAAAGACACAATGTGTGGTCAGCGCTCAAACATCAAGCTATTGTACAAGGTCATATCGTGACAGCATGTATATAATATGAGATAAATCCAGTGTACAACTGTCCAACGATGTTGTATTAATCGCTGGTTATGTTCAACTATTGGTTTTGCTTGTTGGTCAAACTCGCGTGCTGGATTATATATCCCGACCCCCTAGTACTAAGCTACTCGCCTGTTCGACATTTGCATGAGCTCTGTGTCATTCGTTTATTGTATTTACTATACTAAAATATAACGGTTTCTTACACCCCATCTTTACGATGTTCAACGTTCAACGGGTGAGAACTTGTATTGGTACTTAGAGCGTATGTAGCGTAAATGAAACATGCAACTATTCAATTATCGACCCTTCTATTGTAAAATAAAATAAAATAACACAGCTGGAAAGCAAGGGTACATATTAGGAAGCATACTACAACTAATATCTTAGTGTCAAAAATTAAGGGCCAGATAAAACTTCATCAGGGGGCTCGAATATACTAATTTAGAAGTTGGCTAACAAGAAGCCTCTTAATTTTCTGTTAGACAAAAGGGACTCTCCGTTTCAGGGTCCCCATAGAGGTCTCAATCAGATAATGGAAAATTGATAATATATAGCTATCAGTGATAAGCATGGAGAAAGATGTATCCTTAAAAAATGGGATATTCGTCGAAGATTTAATCATTAACGAAGCTTAGAAAGCTTTTTTTGTTAGCACCTTGAAATAGAATATTTAGCTATTTCTTTCTTCCTTTTTATTCACTTTTTTTTTTTTCTTATTTATACAAGTTATTTAATATTCAACTATAGAGATTAAGGTCGTATATGCCAAAAAGTAGAACTATGATAGACAAAGATTGAACAACACCATCGATCCGAATATAATATTGCAATTCAGTAAACTACCCAACTAGTCACTTGGAAAATTCTGAGACCCGATTTGGCACAATGATTAAGCAAGCGGTCGAAAGCCCTGCAGGCTTTTAATATTTTAATATGCTAGCCCTTTAGGCCATGATCTGACATACTACAGGCCTCTCACCACCTAATGCCCGAGGAAGTACAATGCAACAGTAGGCTGCCAAGTACAACTGCATTTGCTACTGCAGATGAAAATTTTGCTTAAATGTACAATTTAACAGAGGCCAAATTCTCTAATAGTTGACCCGAGGGAGACAGAAAGGCTTGCAGAAACTGGCTACAATGTGTGATCGGCTTCACTATCCACCATAAAATATGTACGGATCAGGATGTGGTTGTGCATTTATCAAAGCCGTTCTGAAATATGGTCTCAAGAGTAGCTGTCTCTTTTAGTTTATTTATTAAGTGAAGTGCTTGTCCAAGTCCTATGAAGTGTCAGTGCAATCCTTAGAAATATAAAGGTCACGTATTACAATCTCACCAGCCTTCGTCTAACCTAGTTTGCCGTCCCTGATAGGGAGCATCGCCCGGAGTGTACAGTTTCGGGGGGCCCGACCGCTTGAACGAGGGTGGCTCTCCTGTAACCTGGCATCGCCATAATGCCGAGCGGAGCTCGTACTCACAAAATACAAAAACTGCACAAAATATGTTAAAGCTATATCATGGGCGGAACAAGCGCCATTACCTCTCGAACGACCTGGTCCTCAGCGAACTATATTCCTTGAGTCAACTTCGTGCAAGCTGGACCATTGCGGCACTCCGGACAGAGGACTCGGATCTCAAATTCCAAATCAGCCGGCTTAACCAAGATGTCAGAATCCACAAAAATGAGTTGATGATGGCCCGCAGGGTGATTGACGGGCTACAAACTTCAGAGACCGAATTGTCTAGGCTCCGAGCAGATGCAGCAGACAAACAAAATACTCATGAAAGAGCCAGAATCCCAAAAGCTGACAAACCGGGACCTAGAATATGTGCTCGCTGGTTGCTGGACTCTACCAGATACTACTCCTACTCTTCTGGAATTGAAGCAGAAACTGTCAAGCCTGATTGGTGACTGAACAGTGGAGTTCGTGGTGAAAAATCGTTTCCAGACCTGGAAAGAATTTGCCTACTGGGGAACATAGCCTATATCTATTTAATACAGGCCATCGGATTCTGTGGGCATTCAAGTGCGCTATACAGCATCAACAGTTTTGGCCTGTGAGGGTCGGTGTTCCTTGCAGTGCTCCGTTCCAAATACCAACTGACAAAGTCCTTCGAACCCCCTAAAAGGAAGTCCAGAAGCAGTTACGTCTTTGACCGGTGTGGGACTTGACGGGACCAGCCGCATGTATGGAAGGAGGCATAGTTCTCTGGTGCCATTGAATGAGAGGGAAATGGTAGAACTCCGGTCAAGGCGACACTCTTAGACAGCTCAGAAGTTGTGGGTCCTGAGCCCACAACTTCCTGGCAGGAGAGAAGACAACATTCCCCTTACGCAGGTGCGCTCCGTGGTCTGTAAGAAGGTTGTTGATTGTCTATTACCTCTTCGAACGAGGACTTAATAGTTACCCATACAAATGTCACGTGCCAGTCCCTCTAGTTCCTCAACTACAACATGGTATTTCATGCATACTCTATCGAAGGTGCAGCCATGTCATGATACCCTGGCATTACTCTCTTGGGAAACAGCCGAAAAGAACTAGACATGGCAACACAAGAAAGTGAAGCTCCGATGATTAGGGACTGTGTTTCTAGGCAACTTGGCTGGATGCCTCCTGCTTGAGGTGCCGCCATTCTATCCTATAATTAAAAAATCCAAGGAGCGAGTATAATTGTATGCTATCCACCAAAAAGAAAGAATCGATCAAGTCGTGCCACAATTCACTTAACCGTCGCTAGATCACCCATTGGTTAAGATGTCACGCCATCTGAATATGGTCTGTGTGACGTTTCTCTCGGGGATCAGCCTCTAGCTCAGCCATGATGACCTGAGTCTACATTTACTCTTGTTCCGAGAATCAGTCTAATACACAGAGAGTTTATAATCAGAAAACCGCAATCAGAAAACCACTATTCGAAGGATATAATCCCGAGAAAGACAAAAGAGCCCCCTTTCTAGAATGCAGAGACTGTTCTCCTATATCTACATGCGTGGGCAGTTGCACTGGTCATAAGATTTTTGCATATGCTAACCGAGGGCCGTTAATGTTGTTATTTTTAACATTGTGAGGGACATCTCCCCCTTAATCTTACACAAATACGAGTACCCAGTTGGCAGACTAGCTATCTTCACCAAATGTGCTAAGACTAGTCCGCCAGGGACAACAAGACGCGAGAGGTGGACTAACATCGTATTCCACACTAACCCTCAATCCCGGCGAACAGTAAGCTGCAGGTCTCTCCCCGTATACGGAGATCTGCAGCTTAGTAAACTAGCATTCTCTCCATATTATCTCCATAAAGAGGTTAGGAAATTCACTCTCGCAAAAAGGAGAGGAAGAAGATCAAGGCACATGAAATCTTGCCAACTGCTCGACCGTCGATTGGAGTCTAGTGCACCAACATCCTCGTATACTTCGGCCTTATTTACCTGACCACTTCATACTAGTGGCTCGTATGCTCCTCCCGTGTACGTTCCCAGGAATCCATCCCAGGAGTAATCTAGGATATTTAAAGCGTCCTGACCCTCTTGTCAGTGGGAGAATCCACGTCCAACTCACAGTATTTTCACGACCACTTCAAGGATATAGCTCTTTCCCTCTCATACCATAAAAATGAAGTTCTCCGCGATTGCTCTTGCTGCCCTTCTGCCCGCCACGGCCCTGAGCGCGGCGATTGATGCCGAAGAGCCCCATACCACAGTTATTGAATTACCCCGGACCACAACGGTTGAACTGCCTCGGACAATTATCGATGTCGAAGCCCGGGATATCGAGAAGCGAGCTGTCAAGGGAACTGTTGTTGCTAACGGTCTCCGTTATCGCACATGCCCCAGGTCCTCCTGTACCGCTGTCGGGCAGTATGCAAAGGGAACCAGGATTAACTTGGTCTGCTATACTCGCGAGAACACTACCCCTGTTAATGGTGACAAGTAAGTATTCAGAAATAAGAGAGAATCCACAGACATATAACATAGCTAATTAAATCTTAATAGGGGCTGGGGCAAGTTGACTAATGGCAACTGGGTTGCATTGGCATTTTACAAATATGTTACCTGGGACAGTAAGTTTCTTCTGACGTATAAATTAACTTAAAGGGACTAATTTATTTTTGATAGGCTCTCTGCCCGCCTGCTAGATCTAAGCGGCTTGTGACTAAAAGGCGCTATACCTAATAGGAAGAAGAAGAGGTGCATAAGACCAGCATAATTGATTTAGACTAGCTGCTTGGTTTGACTGCCATTTAGAGCCCAGTCTCTGTTATTATACGGTTCCATGTTAGAAGACCTGTCTCACTTCAGTGACATTTTATAAATACATAATCTAACCCTGGTCTAGTGGGTCTATTGTGATATTTTAGGAATTCTTAATAGCATATCACTGTCTCTTGAGGTACTGGTTTAATTTATATTTGAAGCCCGCTCTTCTCCAAGGTATTCGATGTTATAGTGCCTTTGCTAGTTATCATTAAACCGCAGCATAACCACTTGTTTTTTCTACTCCTGCTCATCCCTGTAAGAGAATGCCCACGCCATTCTCGATCCAGATGGCAGTCCTGTCTATGGAGAACAACACCTGGGATATGGCGGATCTGGTACCGTAATACTCCACGACGGTATTGAAGTTAAATGCCATTAAATATAGGAGTAGCTTGGATGATGCCATGGATGAAAATATAAAATTTATTCAGCAAGAACAGGGGACGTTTATTGTTGTCTCGACCAATGTGATGGAGTGGTGCCTTGTCTGGAGTATTCACCGATGACTATTCGCCTCGCATTATAAGAAACAGAGACATGCGTTCATTCCTAAAACAAAATCAAAGCCCTCTCCGTCTTTATCTCTCGTGCTTCCGGTAATTGGCACATGCCTTATCAAGTATACATCGTCGGTCAGATATTGTCACAGATATTGCGAGTAGGAATATACTGCCTGATGGGGACCTGTAGATAAAGTTTTGTGAATTTACGGAGTTGGCAATTATGCCTCTGGACGTTGATATAGAAGTAGTCCGAGACATATATTAGAGAGTTGGGTGCAATTATTTGCGAAGTGGTGAGTGATAGCGTTGTGGGCTTAATTTCTTTAAAGACCTTCCATCAGATGCGACCGACGCTGTGTGGCACCAAAGTGAAACGCCCCCCTGCACCAAAAATATCTGGCTAAGATCGGTCGTCAGAAATGTGGACAAAAGGTGTGTTTCAAATTCCGGTCGATTGGCAGAGGCATTAGACGCTGTTGACCTACATAGCCAAAGCGAAATCAGCAGTTCACGGAAGATGGCAGTATTGTGATGGGATGCTGTTAATGTTGGCTATATAACTACTTTTACGCTTGCGGTTAGGATAGCTGCCTTTGTCTATCGGGGCAGGATATATCGTTGAGAAAGCGTACCTTGGCCTTACATCCGACCATGGCACTCAGTATTAAGCAAGACTGAAACTTTGAGAACAACGAGTGGAAGGGAATAAGCCATAGCTGCGGATTGCTTATGCAGGCTAACCAATAGAAAGGTGCAGACATCGTCGTGTTAGGTGTTTGACACAGAGATTAATTCCATACTAATTGGTCATTTGCAAGGCTTTCAAAATCTCAACTGGTTGGCCCAGATATAATGGAGTGGTAAACAGAAAAATAATTGCAAATAAAATGAGAACGTGAGAGTAAACGTCAAAAGAGACAGCATATTTAATAATTACATGCAGTTTGTCACTTCCAGCTTCAAAATCACTATATCTGATTTGACTACTCCGAAGAGAATAATAAAGATACATCATGTACATCACGTCACATGGAATTAATCCAATCCTATAATCATTTCCCTGCCTCAAAGATAATTTTTTGAGATTTCATTTCATTAAAATCATCATACCTGGATAAACTGGTAAGTACATAATACCTAAAATAGAAGGACAACACTTACGCTTGAATCGCCTGGGAGAGCGGTCGAATATCCGCAACCATAAAGCTTCAACCATTAGCAGAGCCTCTCAACAAAACAAAACACTTACTTAAGAAAATCCTGCTTTTGAACCAAAAGATTCAACGCTTCCTCGAATGTACTTCGCACCGGGCACCGACCCATCTGGATGCGCAAATTCTTCCCATACGCCTCATTACCACTCCATGGAATCTCCTGGTTATGAACACCAACGCTACTGATAATACCCCACGGACGAAGGAGATCAAAAGCCATGCGTAGAGCGCTACTATGACCCACCACCTCGATGGCAATATCTGCTCCCCGCCCCTCAGTCAGCTCCTTCACACGCTGACGAAGCCCATCTGCATCGGTCTGGAAATTCCACGGCTCTGCACCGAGATTCTTTGCCAGCTCCAATCGGGACGGAACACTATCAATGGCAATCAAATGCTTTGGTTTCCACTCAAGAGCACTGATCAACGCGCAAATGCCCACAGGGCCACATCCGAACAGGAGGACCGTACTTTCCAAGATCTCCCGCTCATCCACGATACGGAACGCGTTTTTGGCAGCAAAGTACCCCGTCGGGAAGATATCTGCCATCAATACCAATTTCTTTTCATCAATTGTCGTTGGGGCAGATACCAGCGTTGCATCGGCGAGCGGAACGCGAACATATTCCGCTTGACCTCCGTCCAGGACCGCACTCCCGTACAACTTTCCGCGGGCGCAGCGGGATGAAAAGCCGCGGAGGCAATAGAAGCAGTTGTTGCAGTTAGTGGTGAAGGGAGAGACGATGCGGTCGCCTTTTTTGAATTTATGAACTTCAGCACCGACTTCGAGGATTTCGCCGGTGAATTCATGGCCCATGATAAAGCCTGTCCCCGATGGTTGATGACCGCGGAAGACATGAAGCTCGCTGCGATCAGCTAGAGTTAGCTTAGCTTTTCCAGGGGAGTCAGTCGCACTCGCCTTCCGCAGAGCGCGGTAAATCGGACGGCAATAATGGCATCAGTTGGGTCCACTATTTGAGGCACCGGACGGGATTCCAGTGCCACTTGCAACGGGCCTTTGAAGACGACGGCTTGCATGGTGTCTGCCATGATACGGGAAGAAGGTGATGTGGATGTAGAATGGCAAGTGCTCTTATTTTTGTCTTGTGCCGCACCCCACTTTTGGACCTCGGTTCGGACAAACGATGGATTTGATATAATATAGCGACACCCCTCGTTCTTCGACAGGGGTCTCGCACTGCCAATAAATAATATTTCTTATTTAGAGCTGTTAGGGGCAGTTGTGAAGGAAGGAATATATGGTATGAAAGTTATACAAGTTATATGTTTTATTATTTAATGCCCCCGCCAACACGTCACGAAACCACTATTGAGGCTAGCTGAAGTATCAGTTGACAGACAACGCTATATGAGCTTGTACATTAGATGGAAGGGAAATAATATGCCGGGATACGAGGCCCAATCCTTTCTATACTGCCCGAAGGCTCTACAACTGACTCCTATACTTAGCAATACCTTGTACAAGAGTAGACACTGATAAGCATTAGCTTCCATGTTATCTTGTATGACTTTTTAGGAGTAGAATATATTCACCTCTCATCTTACACCACTTGACTTTCACACAACCTACCACTGTTAAACTAAACAAATCCTGTGTCCATATTGAACCAATCCGAGAAGTCCTGCCAAGCGAGGATGTTATCAAAAGCTGAAGGTTCCAACGGGAGATAGCCTGTTTGATATGGTGACAAATGTATATCAGTCCCGACAGGGTGGGACGAAACAGATCCATCGGTGATTTGAGAGCCTGTCTTCATGAATGCCGAGGGGGAAGATGTCGATAATATCTCCTCTGATGCCAACTCCTGCCTCATTTGATCATGAGACTTTCTGGCCCTGTCACGCAACGGACCCAGAACGGACCAAACACAGCTCGTCCTGCCCTTCATTTCGCTGGCCTTTTCAAAGTCCGTGAGACAGGTGAAATAATTATCCACTGCAGTCCACGCTCTATCTGCTTCCACTCTCCCAGGAGACGCATGGAGGGTGCGCAGCACAAGGAACAATGCGTACAGCTGAGGATGTTGCTGATAGAACCATGCGAAGTCATGACAGAGGCTGCCTGACTGAAGCAGGTATCCGTTCTCGAGCAATTCAATGGCAGTGATAAAGGCTGACTGAGGGAGGTGATAATATTTGCACTCTGCAGTCACAGTGGTCGAAAGCCATGTTTGCAGCATCAAGATGAAATGTGCCTTTAGGATCGATACGCGAAGCAAAGCGTCTGCAGCACGACATATGGGCTTCGTTATATCCGCAAATCGAAGCCATTGCTGATTAATTTTACGCTCGGTGTCGTGGATTATGTCCACACTTATTTCGGCATCGTTCTTCCTGGTTATAGCAACGGCACGTCTTAAACTGCGACACAGATCCAAGTTCACGATGGCAAAGGACATCTCCGTCCACTCCTCTTTTCCGACCGGACGCTTCTTCATTTGGGGAGAAAGGTCCGCGTCGTCGATATTGGTCGGTAGTCGAAACGTGTGATCGCGGTCCACGATCGTGGAATTGAACCCGTGGTTCTCGGGCGCAGTGGCGTCCAGAGCGGTTAAATGCCACCAAAGCCGACATCTCATCTCGGCCTCGAAAGGATCCAGGCCGAGACGCGCACCATCTTCATGGACACCGAGTGATTCTGCAATGCGCATTGCCAGGCCGGTGAGGATCCACACCGTTCGTCCAGCGTCGTGGGTTCTTAGCGCGGTCTATACAGTTAAGCTTGAGTGACAAAATCAAGGAATCAGGGACAATACCAAGTAGATGACAAGAGCCGTTAAAGACTGGGTATTTGGACGTAGCAAAAACTGTGCCTTCATGAAAGCGTTGTCCATTTGCTGCATGAAATGGCGTAGAAGAGTTGATTTTTCAAAACCCAGTTTCTGTATTGCTTTAGCTCCTGGCACGGTTGCTGTAGCCGCAAAAGCAACAGCGTATACCAGAGTCATGGTCGTATCGTCTGCTTCGTGAGGATAGGCCGCGGCGTTCAGTATGACCGGTTGTATTGTGGGTATGTGCAAGAGCTTTACTAGGGGATCAAAATTTTGCCTGTAAAGAGACCACAAATTTGCGTATGTTTGTAAAGGGATAGAGATTTTCTCCACTGGAGGCCCGAAGACGTCGGTGGCAACTATCCCGTATTGCATTGATGGGCGATAACTGGAAATAGCTGACGAGCTGGCTGGTGGCCTGGTACTCACAGGAGGTTCGTGCGAAGTTCCCTGGTTGCATTACTATCAGACGATGCGGAGACCGGTGACAAACTTACGTCCAGCAACAGTCCGACGAATACTGAATTGTCAACATAATTTCCCCTCGTTCCATCGCCCACCAGCGCTTCTCGTGAAGGCTGGACCGGCGGTACTAGCACAGGTGTCCGGGCATCTTGGCTGGGTACTGAGCCATTTGATTGTTGCACAAGTTTAAGAGATTTGTGGAGATCGGCAATAAGCCCTTCAACTCTTTGAAGCCTGTCCAAGATATCCTGATTGGTTGGTAGGTGATTTCCTCCATTTGAGGTCTCATGCCGTTGAGCAGGCGGTGTCTTTGGAGAAGAGGCCCTAAATGGTGGCTTTATAGGTGCACGCCTTCTCCGCGTTTCGTAGACGCATGAGAGCTGTAGACGGGAGCAGTGCGAGCACGGCATCTTCCTGTTGCAACGCACTTTACGTAGCCGGCATGACTCACAGGTAGGGCGACCCTGGGGGCCAGACCGTATGTGGTCGCCCATAGTCAAACCGCTAAAAGTGTCTCGAATATCAAGTGCTAAAATTTGGCCGTGCTTTACAAGGAGAATATCTCGTGAGTCAATCAATTATCGACAGCTGAGTAAGACTCATTGCTATCTGCGGGGTCCAAGGTGCATTAGCGTTGTCTAGTCAGCCTTATCTGATGGGAAGCTAACCCTAATCGAGTTCCCTATCCATGGAAATAGGACCCGATCAAAAATCGGCCGATCGGCCGATCGGTATACTGGCCGGATACATAGTATGCTCCGAACCTCCTACTCAGCATGGGACCCAAATTCTGCACAGTTAGGTTATTCGACTAGTTATTCGACTGAGTTGTCATGGCCCAAATTAACAGTGAATCAAACATTGAATGCATCACGCTTCATTTAGAGTCAGACCTAACCAAAGGTATCATAGCATGGAATGGTCAAAATGACCCGCACAATCCAAGGTAAGAGTCCTTGAAGCAGAGTATGGAGAGATAAGATATTTCGTGCATATGGCGAATCCCAGCTGATCACAGCAGGAATTTCTCCCCCGCGAGAAAGTGGACCATCTTAGTCTTACTCAGTGGAATGATAGTGCTCAGGTTTGTACCTTCGGAGACTTGAATAATATGAAGACTAAGAAAACTATTGTCACAGCTTCCTCGCATCGACTATTGTTGCTCCAGCAGCTTCTAATGTCACCTCTGAATTTCATGTCGACTTACCCATTCTTTCGTCCTTGATAACTACTATATATATATTTGGCTACATGGTATGTTCAGCCACAACACTATGAAAACAACTTCTTAACTAACTGGGCAAATACCAGTTTGGCCCCCTTATTCTATCCCCCCTCAGCGAGTTATACGGCCGCCGTATAGTATTCAACTCTGCGAATGCTTTCTTCACTTTATCTCACATCGGGTGTGCTCTCGCACCCAACGTTGGAACATTCCTCGCTTTTCGCATAATATCTGGCATCGGAGGGTCAGTAACCCTATCCGTTGGGGGAGGGATAGTAGCAGATCTTTTCGATGTTCACCAGCGAGGTGTGGCCAATGCACTTGTCACGACAGGGTCAGTGTTTGGGCCTGTATTAGGTCCCCTCATTGGAGGCATAATTACAAAGTATGCTGGCTGGCGATGGATATTCTGGGCTCTTCTTATCGCCTGCGCTGTTCTGGCAATCGCCATCGCCTCTTTCGCACAGGAGACCAACGCCTCGGTGATAATCCGTCGCAAGACACTGCAACTGGGAAAGGAAACGGGCAGACAAGATCTTCAGAGCGCTTACGATTCCGAAAAGCAGCCCGCCAGTCTCGATAATCCTTGGACTCTCTTGGCTCGAGCAATTGGCCGCCCGTGGAAAATGCTTACCCACTCCCCACTCCTGGTGATCCTCTGCCTTATGGTGGGTCTAATCTCGGGTCTACTGTATATCCTCCTAACCACCACCTCCACCGTATTTCAAAATGGCTATGGCTGGCCCCTGCAGACAGCTGGACTAGCATATTTAGGCCTCGGTTTTGGCAGTCTTGTTGGCCTCATTTTATTTGCCAAAACATCCGACCTAGTCACCTTGCGTCTGGCAAAGGCGAACAATAACATCATTGAACCCGAGATGCGGATAGCAACGGCCTTCCTTCCGGCGTTGTTCATCCCGGTAAGCTTTTTCTGGTATGGCTGGTCCACGCAAGCGCAGACACATTGGATAGTCCCGGTAATCAGTTTAGTGCCGTTTGGGTTCGCCCAAGTGGGAATCAACGCGACTGCTCAGGCGTATTTGATTGATGCGTCGGGACCATATGCTGCATCTTCGGTCGCCTGTGTAACGGCTGTGCGGTGTCTTTTTGGTGCGTTCTTGCCGCTGGTTGGTCCAAGTCTTTATGACCATCTTGGGTTAGGATGGGGGAACTCATTGCTGGGATTTGTTGGGCTGATTATGGTTCCGTTTACCATATTCTTATATCGATTCGGGAAAAGGCTTAGGGGGAAGTATCCCTTGGATACCGAATAGGAAACGATCCTTTCCGTGCTCATATTTCTTCAGGATTTTGCGACTAAATGTGTCTTTTTCGTTGTGCTCTTAGAAAACATATATAAATAGAATTAGAGACCTAGACGCGAAATTGATTCTTCTACTGTCCTTCTCCCATGTCGCCTAGCCAGTAGCTTGTGCCGGCTGTTGCAACGCGAGCGACACTGATTTCAACTTTTGTTTAATGACAATATCTGGTCTTGGTCTTCGTGGATTTTCTTGATGACTTGGGTGATACAGCCACGCCTCCGCCTTCGCATTTGGTTCAGCTCGCCCATAACTGGCCTACTGCAGCTTTCAAATCAGGTCGAGTATTTTTAATCTGCCTCAGGTCATGTCTTAGCGCTTGCCAGTTCGGCCAAAATATTGTGTAGTTTCCTGTTTTGAAAATACACTAGACTATTTTTGGATGACCTAAAGCAAAATAGGAAGGCTCTACGGGGAACAAGGCGGCCGAATAGGCGGTGCAATACTGCCGGACGGGGTATTCCCCCGCAGCGTCGATCACGCTTCACTCCACATGTGATGTGTTTGCCTCGGAACTTTCGGGCCGATCGCCTCGGTCGTCACACCTGAAGATCGACAAGGGAGATAAATATCATAGTCATACTACAACAGTGGAGAGCTTTGGACTTGTGCAGCTACACCTCTAACTGATCATACCATGGCCACCGTATCTCCAAACCCGATTCCATTCTCGGAGCCTCCCTATCTGCGCGGACTCCCATCCCCCTACTACACCGAAAGCCATCGAGAGTTTCAAAAACGATGCCGTAAGTTCATGTGGGACAATCTCCTCTCACGGGCGTTGGAATGGGAACGGGAGGGAACAGTACCGGAATATGTGTTCCAGACCTTCTGCCAGCATAATATGCTTCTGCCGAATCTCCCGTCTCCCTTGCCTGTGGACTGGCTGAAACGGCTGGGTATATATGATATCTTAGGTACAGTGCAGCGATCTTTTTTTTTTTTGGCAAATTCCGCGTTATTTAGAAGTATTTGCTGGCTAATTTCAATAGGCGTTAAAGTAGAAGACTGGGATTACCTATATACGGGCATCTACGCAGACGAGGTGAGTATCTATCCATTCCCCCTAGATTGGCTGGCTCGGTCTGACCGCTCTAGCTGGGGAGGTCGGGTCTCGCCGGTCCGGGTGCCTCACTCAACGCCGGGTTTGCCTTTGGAATCCCTCCCGTCATTAAATTCGGCAGTCGCGATCTGCAGGAGCGATTCCTACCGGATCTATTGACGGGTCGAAAGAGATCCTGCATCGCCATCACCGAGCCTGAAGCAGGTAGTGATGTCGCGGGAATCACGACCACCGCGATGAAAACTCCAGATGGGAAACATTATATTATTAATGGTGCAAAAAAATGGTATATTTATTCACCCCACCTGCCTTTCTTCCTTTTTCCTTTTTTTTTTTAAAAAAAAAAAAAATATAGCCTGCACAACCTGACAACAGACAGGATCACCAACGGCATCTGGTCTGACTATACTACTATGGCTGTACGCACCGGCGGCCCTGGAGCGGCCGGCCTCTCCGTGATAATTGTCCCACTAAAGGGCTATCCAGGCGTCACCATGCGCCGACTGAAAGTCGCCGGCCAATATACCGGCGGAACCACATATATAGAGCTAGACGAAGTGAAGGTCCCTGTAGAGAATCTCATCGGCCGGGAAGGTGATGGCATGCGGATTATCATGACGAATTTCAACCACGAACGTCTAACCATTGCAGTGGGTGTGACGCGACAGGCACGCGTTGCTCTGTCCAGTGCGTTCCAATACTGCATGAAGCGAGAGGCATTTGGGAAGACGCTAATGGATCAGCCCGTGGTGCGCCACCGACTGGCCAAGGCGGGCGCCGAGCTGGAGACCATGTGGGCATTCTTAGAGCAACTTCTATATCAGCTCTGTCACCTCAGTAAGGATGAAGCGGACCGTCAGCTCGGTGGGATTACCGCCCTTGCCAAAGCGAAAGCGGCTATGGTGTTGAACGAGACGGCTCAATGTGCTGTGCTCCTGTTCGGCGGCGCAGGATTCACAGCCACTGGACAGGGAGAATTAGTAGAAGCTATCCTTCGTGATGTTCCGGGTGCAAGAATCCCGGGTGGTTCGGAGGATGTGTTGCTGGATTTGTGTGTGCGGCAGCTCGTGAAGATCTATCAAACTCAGGAGAAGCTGTTGAAACAGTCGAAGATATAAATTGTATGTAGTGCGTTGACACTGTCTCTTATTAGTTTCTTATTGACAGAATATGATAAATCAGTATTACTCGTGACTGCATCTGTTCTAACTTTCCCCGTTCTCCAGCTTGGGAAGATCTTGAACTCAGAGGTAAGGAAAATCATAATGCATATCACGTTAACGACATGTTGAAATTGATACCTTTCTTGACTGTCTTGCGAATAATCGGCACTCTATGCTTACACGTTAATGGAAATAAGACAAGACAATGCATCGCTAAGCCGCCTGTTATCTAGAGTAAAGTCCTGGCTTGACTACCTTAATACACTAGAGTATTAACAATTCCAGGTTCGACTAGGATTCAAGTACAACAAGGCAGAATCTTCCTATATACTGAGAGCCCTAACAGGATCAGATGGCTCTAGCGCTAACTAATCTGTACACTAGTCAACATATGGGATAACTCGCGCTCTGAAGAAGACGTTCTAAGATGTTGTGCTACTGTCAAATAATATGGCCTTTGGTGGACCAGAATCATGTGACTAGATAGGGTAAAACCTCCGCGGAGCACACAACCAAAACAACAGAATAATCAACATAATCAAGAAGAGCCCAACCAGCTCAATTCAGTCAAATAAGACCTTTTTACCAATCGTACTCTATTTCCTCTTCGGGATTAGCCGTATATCTGACAGCTACAAAGCTTCTTTAAGCTAGTGTTAACTTCCAGCACCAAATCCTGGATCCCACTTATTCGGATCACATATCCCATTGCTAATGTTACTGTATGGAAATTTGCTAGAGCTTCCAAATTCTCTAAACCGCGAGTCTGCGATTAATCTCCGAGTCATCGACGGGCAAGAAATATGCTTACTGTACGGAGTACCGGAATGGTATAAATGTCGCGTGTGTAATATTGTATCTAAGAGTAGAGGAACATATATGGTTTTAAAATTAAGCATAAAGGTGATCTTCCCGAGACCCTTGCGTACCATTACTGCACAACTCTTTATGAACTGATAAACACACCGCCAGGGAATTTAGCTTCCAAATTGGCCTGGTCTTATTTAACACAAGCTGTCTAGAATTCGGCCATTGTAATGTATTTTCATTCGGACCCAAATAATTTGAATGCTACCGCCTAGAAATTCCACAGGACCCATTCAATTCTAATATTTGAGCCCTTTGGATTCTGGAAAGAAAGCTAGGGCGATCATAGCTGGCCAATAGACTGTTGCGAAAGTTTTGAAATGGATTTGAGACTTGAATGTTTAGCGACCTTATTGCTCATAGGCCTGGATTAATTGCGCACGATGGATGTATATAGACAGTCCAAGGCCATAATAATAACTAGCTTAACTTAATGCCTGTTATATTACGTAAAGAAGACAAGTCAGTTCATGGATCGTGCTGTTAAGATGGTGCGTCCTCTGGGTACGGACGGAGTAATTTACACTGATGTACTCCGTACTCCGTAGTTATCTTCGTAAGCGCTCTACCTATTTATAGAATCGGAATACCCAACTGTTCAGAGAAGATGGTGTCAGGACAAGCGTTAATGGCTCTTCGTTTATCAACTCTGGATACGGAGCACAGCACTAAGAGCAGTAAATACTACGGAGAAAGAGCAGCCTGGCCTGTAGGTATGGATGTGGTCACCCTGTAAGGGGCCAAGTGAGACAGAAATCCTACCATATGACATAAAGGCGAATCCCTTTCTGGCGTTTATTATGAAACTCCATTAGGCAACAACAATCGACGGCCAACCATGGCACAGGGAGTGGAGCTATCAATAACTGCAACGTCACTGACTGGCCGGGCGGAGTGGAGATCCAGCCTTAAGGGGCAGAGTGGGTCCAGAAGTCAATAGTGTAAGGATGAACACTTTGCATTTCTGACTGACTGACATCGGAATGGAGCCACAGGCGACAGCCACACCCTCACCGATGCCATGAATTTGAAAGTTCCATGAGTTGTCCTCTTTCTTGGCGCTCCGTCTGCTACTCCCGTTCATACTCCCGGAGGCGCCACAATTCCCTCCTGTCGAGCAGCCAATAGTATGGATATGGGCTTCCCCCGACAGGGCAACGAGCCACACTAGCCGCTGCATTAGAACGGACAAACATCCATGTAGCCAAGCGCCCCTCACACAAGTTGGTCTGAAAGGGGCTGTCCAACCCATTAATCTAACTCCAGATCCAATCGCTATGGTGGAGGTGGAGCCCCACTGCAGGAGGGCAAAGAACTAGCCAGCGGTTGATGAGTCCAACAAGCAGGGCTGAAATTGAACCCTTCTTCGAGGGAATATTTCTTCTGCCTGGCTTTGCCCTTTTTCCGTTTCCCCTTATAATTCCTGATCCCGATCCGTCCCTTTGTTTGTCTGCCGTCCGCAAGCCTTTGTTCACGGCCATACATCCCACAAGCCACCGTCAACATGTCTTACCAGCAACAGCCGTACCAGCAACCTCCTCAGGGCTAGTATGTTTGACCCCGATGTCTCGATTTTCTTTCTATGACTTCAAAAACTAACAACTCCTAGCTACCCTCCTCAACAGCCCCCTATGCAACCCTACCCAATGCAGGCGCCACCACCCCAAGAACCTCCAAAGCAAGAACGTGGCTGTCTGATGTCCTGCTTGATGATGGCCTGTTGTTGTTTCCTCTGCGAGGAGACATGCACAGGATGTGCCGAATGTCTCTGCTGTTGTTGCGATGATTAGACACCTCGGAAAGGACGAGAATTAGCATCGTGATATCAACCCCTATGGATACGGTACGGCAACGGGGGCGCGGCTGTTTCCTCACGGGCACGCAGACGAAAGACCTCCGATTGTATATCATTCAAGCGTGGTGTGTAATTACGGTATCTGAAGTGCATGGTTGGGGGAAGTCTGGGACAGGACAGGACAGGACAGGACGTTTTACTTTGATATATCTCTTTTGTATGGTACAGGATAGCGTCTGTTTTATATTTACACCTTCATGGCATGCCTGATAGTGGGCCCTCTGAACCACGGTATCAGGTGAATTGGTTAATGAACACTTTTCTTGCTGGATTGTGCTCGTAGGTCTATCAATTCTATCCTGAGTATATGAGGTAGTATACTGCATAAGGCATCCATAGTATGTTCGTAGACTGATATATTCTAGAGAATAATATAACTATCTGGTATAAATATTTGGATATAAAATGCATATATTGGTAAACGGTAAGCCTCCGCTCGTGACCTACAATATGTGAATACCTAGATTAAACAGGAAGATATTTTATACATATCATGACTAGAAACACTGCTAAATATATTTTCTTATACTACTTTATTTTATAAAAATAGTATCTAGAACAGTTAATCATAAGATTCTTAATAGCAAATTTTAAATTCAGCAAACATCGATCCATAACATATAATAATTTGAGCTAAAACAAGCTTATCTTGATTCACTTCCATTCTTGTCTCAAATAATCATTCTTATTCTGCCTACACAGCAGAACCCATACTTTGGACACTGTTTGATTGACAATGTATGGAAAATACGTTCTGCCTAAGGTTTCTAGAAAACCGTATTACCATGTAAAACTATGGCTATTTGAGTACAGGTGTTGTCAACTTTCCTGCCTCCAGTTGCCGCTCCTTTTATAGTGGATATCAGTATGTGATGCCAACCATAGATATACTACGAAGTAGAAACGAAACAAGATTTAAAAGTACAACCGGCTTCGACTGACTGGTGGTTTATAAAGAAAGTCTGTTTTTGAGTAGCATATTGTTAGGAGCGCTCAGAAGCGCGATAGACAGATCCTTAGCTAAGAAGCTTAGTCAGGTGCGAAGTGTTTATATTCGCACCCGTGGGCCTGAACTCCTGAAGGCCAGCGATTAGTTCTGCAATATACTTGGCCCTATCTTCCTTCCTATATAGATACTCCTTTTGCACCGTAGCGCACCATTCAGCTCGTTACCAACCCCACACATAACACATATCCCCTGCGCTGCACAAGCACGTCTAGTCGAGGTATACGGTCATAAGTTGATACTAAAATTATGCATTCTCCGGCCTAATAATAAGCCACAGGCATTTTCGGAGCCCCGTCTCTTCATCATCCAAGCTGGTCTTCCCATTATGACCAGAATCTGGCTGATTCTGTGTATTTCGCTTCTTCAGCGCCGCATTGAAGCGAGTCAACTTGGACTTGGAAGTCCATGGAAGAATATCGAGCTCAAGTTCAGCTATCCACGGCTGTAATATTTTGATTCGGCGTTGCTGCATATCAACATCCTCTGATTCATCCACAGTGGCGTCTGACCCGTTTAAAAGTCGTAATAAGAGAGGAGTCTTCCGGCTAACCTTCCCTTGCGAATCAAGGATAGGAATGCTAGCCATATGCGCGAGGGCATCCAGTTTCGCAATTTCGACCTTCAAACCGCGGGGCCCAAAGATGTCTTTATTCGCTTGACGGATGTGAGAATCCGTACGGCTTTTCGAAACACCATGGCTCCCGAGATTCGCGAGCCCGCTCACTGCTTCTCCAATCCAGTGGAGTGGAAATAGTAGCGGAACAGATTTGAGAATACCGCCCGTTGCATCAAGGACCTGAAGCGGTGGACTACTGGAGATAACTTTGTTTAACTGGTCAAGAAAGGCGAAAAAGGATTCTCGAGGTAGATTGTAATCCGTTAAGATGGGGGCATAGGCGCGAATGAAGGGAGAGTCAAATGAAGGTTCAATCGCGGGGATGGCGATTGGCTTGTTTCGTTGGCTTGGTGCTGGATCTGGGACGGCATTCGATTCTTGTGTCCTGATCCCATCTTCTGTATATGGTGGGGGCTCTGCGGTGCTGGCTGAGCCAATGGTATTTGGTGTGACAGGTCTGTCCGACAGATTTGTGTGCTCACTGTCGGAGTAATGACCCAGGTTCTTAAATGGATTCTCTGATTTCTCTCCAGTCATGATGATAATGGGGATGGTTATGGTTGATGCTTATGCGTTCGTCGAAGTTATCCTTAGTCAGATGAGCCGTCGGAGACCCTGATCGGCGGCGGCACTTGCTGGCAGAAAGAAATCAGCACCGCCCCACCAAAAAAAAAAAAAAAGAACAAAATGTGGCCTGAAAGCTTAGAGGCAAGTCATATGTTCTGTTACTAGCGTGTTGGAATGCTTTGTGTATAATACTCCACTAATAATATAACCGGTAAGAAAGCGCCGCCGCATGAAAGCGTCGCACCTCTGTATTCCATATAAAATGGCACCTTTGGAGACTCCGTTATCTCAACGGTGAAGCATCTAGAGGGCATAAAATTTAATACACGGTATAATATAATACTATATTTATATATATTGAGCAGAGAGATTTCTCTAATGGATATTTCTCCAGATAAGACAAATTACAGTTGTCCTAGTATTTAAAGCTAAGAAAACTATTTAAAAACATGAAAATATAACGGTGCCCTTTAGAATCCATATATATGTTATTATTTTATCAAGATGTTTCTATATCTACTGGTGGTTGAGATATTAAGGCCCCAAAGAGTGCCATTTTATATGGAATACAGATATGCGGCACTCGCTTTCATGCGGCACCCGTTTACCGGTTGCGTCAGCTCGGTTACCTGGATGCGATCCAGGTATCTCCTGGAAAATATGCAGACAATTAAGCATGGAATTTGAGAGCTCGCAGTTTGGGGATGACGGGCGAAGAACCGGATATTTAACGTTTGTTATGAATTCTGTGGTAGGGATAGCATCTGAAAGGAGACAACACATGGATTGAGCAGTATATTGCCCCGACTGTTGTAAACAGGTTGAGGCTTTTGGGGATGAAAACTCTACAAGAATACACTAGCCGCATACTATTCCTTCTACAAACTTTGATATATACATTAATTAGTATTGCTGGGGATGCAAAAGTACATTGTGCGCCACAAGAAAAATTCAGCTATTTATAACACCACTGATGAATGTAATTAATGAAACTATTCTGTATCTTACGGCTCCACCGCACATACCGTCTGAAATGGGTAGCCATGTACTGAGATATTAACCACGTATTCCCTACACCCCGATTCCTTCAACTTTGATGTTCTCGTCGCAGCTACCTCGTATATTCGATAATAAAGATGATTGGATTACTAGACAGAGACACGACACTGTATAAGCGAATATTTACTAATACTAATAGTCTTCCCTTAAGCAGATTGCCTTAATTGTCTAAATGGTTACTTAATTATGCTCTGACGGCATCTTGGATAGGAAGTAAGTAGTTATAGCACGAACAAACCAAGAAAGGCCAATAGATAACTCAATGATGCTGTGGTAATATGGGCAGCTTCTTCTGGATTATTTTTTTTTTTTTTAAAAAATAGTTTCAGGGAGGGCCAGTAGAAATTCAAACATAATTGTAGCCATACACAGATATCAACACAAAGCTCTAAGTGTAGCAAGGCATTCCAGTGCTATCCCAGTTGAATCTTATTTTCTATGCGCTATTAGGAGTGCAGCTAGAAGGTTAGTTACATTATTTTCCTTTGCTGTATCTGATGCAATTGATGGGATCCACTCCAGATCTATAATGGCTATTATCTTCAACGGTTCGATTTCTATACTACTATCTGGGGAATCATAGCAAACTGTGCATAAGTTGTAGAGCTTATAAAAACTCTATATAATAACTGTAGTGTCATTGTGCGCCGCCCTCTACAAGAAGGTAGCTCCCATTGGCTCCTTCAGTGATCTTTCCATGCCTGAGTTAGACATCACTCCATATTCATGAGCTGTGGGAGACTTGTAATGCGGGATATCTCGACTGCTTCGTAAATGTTAGAGTTCTAGGGAGATGTCCGCGGTTTGTAATATAAGGTAACAGTTAGCAATAATATATGCTTTATGTCCAGGCCGAGACTCGTTAGGGGCATATTACCACTCAGTGCAAAATTCTTTGAAAGGAGATTGAAAAAAAGAAAAAAAAAAAAAAAAAAAGGTTATTATCACCAATGAGTACAATAGAAAGAATAATTCTTGGGTTAAATTATATGTGTAACTCTCTATTATTTTCTTCAAACATTCCACTGCTATGGCTTAAATTGGTGGTGATAAACAAACGCAACCTACCGTTTAGTTTTAAGTGCTATTAAGCTAAGATAAAAGGATTGGAAGGGAGAACCACAGAAAGGATTCTTAATAAAGTTGCAGCAACTTCCTTCCGTCTTTGGAAACCACTAGTTTAGCATTGTTAATGATGGATGGGCATATGATAAAGCACACGTCGGCACTTCTTAACATGATGTCTCTTATGATTGGACTGTTTATATCATGCAATTACCTTCCAATCTTAAGCTTAAATCTTTTTAAGTAGTAGTAGTAGTGCCAAGTGCCATAATTTTCAATGAATCTAGTTATGGTTTAATTGTTAGTTCTACAAAAACCTAAAGTCCGACCATTTTTTGATATCTTTGGTCTCCAGGTCAGCAGCCCGATAATCCTCCAGACAAGAACTCCAGGTTCGGCCCTTTTTTGGATGCTTCCTCTGTCACTCATGGTTTCTGTCAAAATTATATGTGTAATTCTATGAGAGCTTGAATATTCTCATGTATTCATGATTATCGATGTGTGTTGTGTTGACCCCTCTTCAGAATCAACACGTCATAACTCAATTATTTCACGTGATGTCCAAATACCTATGGACTATCTTTTTGGCCGCTCACCCAATAGTATGTGTTCCCATTGAGTGGAATGCGAGAGGATATCGCCGTGGATCAGCATCTGCGGACTGTTCACGTGACGCACCAACTCGCTGGAGGTACTGGGGCCCCAGGCTAGGGCCCTAACATAGCTATATCCCGCAATCTCCCCCACGCGTGGGGGTGACCCTGTGGGGCAAACACAATATGCGGGGACCGGGTCATTTACTGTAATATGGAGATCTATCCGATAATACTGGAGCTAATTCATCCAAGCGCCAGCTTCAAGAGACCCCAAAGTACGTGGGGGTTCTAACGCTCGCAGTGATATAGGGCAAGCACCCGTCCAGGAGGTGGACTTCAGGGATTTATCAACACACAGCTAACCAAACCATTACAATATCCACCATGGAGACGAACAAGCCGCAAATTGTCCACAATGAGGATTCTGCAATAAAAGCTGCGGCCATCAACCAGATGCACGCGATACGTGTATCCTTAACCGAAGAAGATAGCAAACGTATCCGACACAAGATTGACAAAACAATACTGGTGATTTTATGCTGGACATATCTTTTACAAATCTTGGACAAGTCTCTTTTAGGTTATGGCGCCACATACGGTCTCAAGGAAGATGTACATCTAACAGGGAGTCAATACTCGTTGCTCGGTTCCATTTCCCCCATCGCCCAGCTAGCCTGGCAGCCTTTTTCCTCATATCTGATTGTGAAAGTACCTCACCGCATACTCATGCCTTCGCTGATGACCGGGTGGGGTGTTGCCCAGGCAGCCATGGCTGGGTGCCATAGTTTTGGTGCTCTGCTGGCGACTCGATTCTTGCTCGGGCTCTTTGAGGCTGGATGTCTCCCGCTGTTTAGTGTGATCACCAGTCAGTGGTATCGTCGTGCAGAACAGCCATTGCGTGTGGCCGCTTGGTATAGCACCAATGGTATCGCCACTATTATCGCAGCGGCGCTCAGCTATGGATTGGGTCATATTGAAACAGGTCTTCTGAAGGAATGGCAGATGTAGGACACCCTACTACCCACTATTGTCTGTCTACAACTGCTAACGTGAGAAGACTATTTCTGGTCTGCGGTCTTATCACTGTCTGTAGCGCTCCTTTCATCTACTGGAAATTAGACAACGACGTCCCATCGGCGCGGTTCCTCAACGACCAAGAAAAACTACAAGCCATGGAACGTCTCCGAGCCAACCAGACAGGTAGCGGAAGCCGGGAGTTCAAGATGTATCAAGTGGTGGAAACCGGTTTGGACCCAAAAACGTACCTTTGGATCGCGGTGACCTTCCTTCTGAATATCGGTGCGTCTGTCACCAACGTCTTTGGTCCTTTAATTCTGTCAGGCCTGGGATTCGACAAATTCAGAACGACTCTGCTCAACATGCCATTCGGCGCACTGCAATTCATTATCATTCTCCTAGCAAGCTGGCTCACCCAAAAAGTCACCCTCAAAGGAGCCATTCTAGCGGCCTTCATGCTCCCTGTGGTCGCCGGACTCGCCATTCTCTATAGCGTTCCGCGCGGTCCAAACGCACAGGGGGCTTTAATGGCGGGGTATTATCTTCTTTCCTTTCTCTTCGGAGGCAACCCACTCATCGTGACGTGGATCGTTGGAAACACGGCCGGATCGACGAAAAAATCCATCGTTCTCTCTTGCTACAATGCTGCTGCTAGCGTAGGGAATATCGTGGGCCCACTTCTGTTCAACGATCGTGACGCGCCAGCTTATCTCCCGGGCCTGCGGGCTTGCCTCGGGATGTTTGTGGCTATGGTTGCCGTGATTCTGATTCAATGGGCTAATCTGTTTATGTTGAATCGAATGCAAGAGCGTCGGAGAGTTCGTAATGGCAAGCCGGCAAAAATCGTGGACCGGTCCATGCATACAGGGTTTGAGGTCACAGAGGAAGATGCCGCAGATGAAGGTACAGAGGCACAGTTGGGAAGGAATGCGTATAATGATCTGACAGATCGGGAAAATGACGAGTTTGTCTATATCTATTGATAGTCCTCCGCGAAGATAAATATTATCACACTGTTATAGAACGAAAATAATTAATCGAGATGAATATCCTGTAAATTACGGAGTATCCTAGCTTGACACCTTACTCTAATGATAGAGCTTAAATTAAAATTGATAGCTCAGATCTGTAGCCGTGACCGGTGATAGGAAGTATGTCTAGTGGAAGGATTGGCGCATTTTCCCCAGCCACAGCGCGTGACAACTCCCATTTTCGTGTTTAAAGACAGCACATCCATCTAGTTCATTACTCAACAATTATATCCCCTCTCGGACGAACTTTATCAACTCACCTGCGACCAAGCACTATTTGCAGGGCGAAATGTCAAGCTGCTTTTACTCTGGCTATCACCCCCGTAAAACCATTCTCGGCCGGATCGCCAGGTGGAAGATCAATACAACAATCTCTAGAAGAAAAACGATTATTCCCGACAAGTGGATTTAAAACCACCGAGGATATTCAACTAGTCGAAGAGGAGGAATTCCTTGACTACCGAGCTGATCGATTCTATCCTGTTCGACTGGGGAAGATTTCCAGGAACGCTACCAAGTAGTGACAAAACTTAGTTTTGGCACTTCAACTAACTGGCTCGCTCGACATCTGAAGTATACATATAACTTTTCCGGTACCATATTGAATTAACCTATACAGAGACTGTCAGTATGTCGCCCTCAAGGTATATGGAAGTACTTCATTCGTACCCCGTGAACTCCTTTTCTATGATCATATCAGCCGCCGTATGACGAATAATTCACATCGACCCTGAGGTAATATCCGGAGAATACTGGACTCCTTTGAATAAGTCGGCGAACATGGCTAGCATATTATCCTTGTCTTTGAGGCTGCGCAAATGATGCTGATATGCAACCAGATGGGTTCAATGAGGATTTGGTTCGGTATTCTAATACTGACCTTCTTGAAGCTTTGGACTTCCTGCATAGTCATGGAGAGGTTGTTCATACCGGTATGTATTGTGCCTATTGTTTTTTACTTGTTCTATTTTTGCCTTTTTTTTTTTTTTTTTTTTTTTTTTTTTTTTTTTTTTTTTTTTTTTTTCGCTGATTCATTTAGATGCACACCTGGGTGATATGCCTCTGGGTATTTATGATAACAATCTTATGCAAAAGCTTGAAGAAAAGGAGTTTACATCCCCAGTGCCTCGTAAAGTAGTATTGTCCACTCCGGCGATTTATCTCTCACGCTTGATACGCCCCAAGGAAGGCCGAATGTTATTATCTGATTCGGCGAGGCAGGATTGTCCCGAGGCCACACAGTGGTGACATAATGCCTTTGGAGTACCGAGCCCCCGAAACGTGCTTTACATAGGATGGGGCTATCCGGTCGATATCTGGAGTATTGGCTTGACGGTAGGTCCTGAACCGGCACTTGTTATTTGGATGCTGATAATACTCTGAAGGAAAGCCTGGGAACTTCTTGAGCCGAAGAGACTCTTCAGGACACGCGACAGGATGACAATCTATATGATGCTGCTCACCTGGCACAACTTATTGCCGCGTTGGGGCCCCCGACGCCTGAATTTCTGGCCAGGAATCCGAAGAGAACAGCTGACCTTTGGGGCGCACAAGGTACGTTGACTACCCTGACCAAGTAGAATACACTATCTGCGTAGATTATTTAGTCTAGTCTATTTTTTTTCCAATTAGATTATTAATCTTGTTGGACAGTGAATTGGCTGGGTCTTGTGCCGATCCCGGACTCGCGGATCATGGAAGTGCTCAAGATTCGAATGCAGAATAAGTCGGGCTTTCTTCGACGCATTTGAAGAGCTCTGACCTGGATGCCCGAGGTGAGAGAAACGGCAAAGGAACTCTTACAGGACCCTTGGTTGACAGGTGGGAAGGCATAGAGTGCAGTGATATCAAGGACAGGTAGTAAGGATCAATGCCACCTAACCATTAGGTAGAGAATAGCATCGTTAGGTGATTTCATCATGCATTTCCTCGTTCTCAAAGCCAATGGGATGATGTATATCCTTAAAAATAATAGTAATGTCAAGAACTGACTAGTGATCGCCGTGTTACAAAGAGTCTTAGATCTGACGAGGAGATGATGTTCCTATTGTTGAATAATACAGATATGGATCGTTCACAAGCTTTCTCATCTTACTAGCATCGGAATTCCAAGCATGGCCAATTATTGTCTCTCCACTGGCAAATAACTCAATCCCTGTTTGATGAAATCGGCACAGCGTTCACCAATCCCGTAAGCCGCCATCTGAGAATGCCCGCCGCAAAGGACCGGCATCACACTCGTGTCTGCCACCCGCAGTCCATCCACCCCTTTAACACGGAGCTTATTATCTAGTACAGCCATTGGGTTGTCATCCTTCCCCATGGCGCATGTTCCAGCGGCGTGGTAACCTAGTTAATCAGTACCATCCAAATTCCCAACAGCACAGAAACTTACATGTTGTAGCCTGCTCCTTGACATACGGAATCCACTCCTCACGAGTCTTGTACAGATGATGGGAAAGATTTGGTGGCCAGGACCCCGCCACAATATCCTTCGTTCCAGCGCCCTGCATTACGATCTCGTTCCCAAATCGGCAAGCCTCAGCCAATACCAGCAAATCCAGCGGATCCGCCAGATAATTGCAGTCTACAACCGGGTTATCCATGGGGTTCTTCGACTGCAATGTCACAGTACCCCGAGACTGGGGAGCAAAGAGTTCGGCAATCATCGAAAATGCATGTTGATGATGGACTGGGAATTGGCTGAACTGCTTCGGTCCGCCATAGCATTCCGTGGTGAAGAACTCGATATGGGGCTGTTTGGTCGTGAGTCCCATAGGGTCTCGACCTGGTTCTCGGGGCGCCCTGTTCCACAGTGGCTCATCTTTAAGACGTTCATCCAGACGTGCAAATGCAAAGGGCCCAAAGGGGAATGTCGAGAGGAATCCAGTCTTATGCGTCTTCCATTCCGCGTAGGTCTTCTCGAAATTGTTATCGTGGTAGACGTGGTGGTCGTTTGTTAGGCCCTTTTTGTCGGTTTCGTAGAACATGAATACAATCTATATCCAGTGAGACATGGTTTGGTTCTTAGCGGGACAAATCTTACCACATGGTCCATGAGATTCTTGCCCACACCAGGCAAGTCGATGACACATGAAATCCCAGCCTCTTGAAGCTCTTGGAAGGCTCCTATGCCAGATCGCATGAGGATGGCTGGGCTGCAGTAGGCTCCTCCAGACACAATGACTTCCTTCGTAGCGTAGAAGGACTTTGATGACCCGTCAGCCAGAATACCTACAACACCTGTCGCCCGAGTATTCTCTGGTCCTTTTTCTAAGATGACGCGGTCGATGGTCATATTAGTCTGGATTGAGACATTCGCGCGGTGGTATTCTTTCGTGATGAAATCAGCCGCCGTAGAACGAATTCCTTTGTAGACCGTCCGAGGTGCATGGCCGCATCCATGGGGAATGTCCCCGGTGCTGAACATATCATGGTGAAGAGGCAGTCCCTGCGAAACAAAAGAATCCATGATCAATTTGCTAATAGGAGCCAAGTCATGCGGCTCGGTGTGCAACGGACCCGAATATCCATGGCTCTTCGGATCAGCTTGGAACCAATCCTTGGGGTGGAAGGTTTCTGCCTGCTCTCAGTCGGTATAAGCATGAAAGCCGAGAAGGAAACAGAATAATAGAACCTTTCTCATGGCAGCGAAGAACTCCTCTCCGCTCCATCCTTCCAGATCCCAATCGTCATAATCCTGTGGACTGCCACGCACACACAGCGTCCCGTTGCATCCCGAGCTGCCACCGAGGAAACGTCCACGACTGAGTTTGACCTGTCGATTGTTGATCCCTTCCATAGGAGGTGTGACGATGTTCCAATCAGTCTCGGAGTCGAAGTTATTCGCCCACCTGTGTCTATTAGCAGGTTGGATAGTTATAATGCCCCTTTGACGAACCCTCCAGCCATATGTACATTCTCTAGATCCTTATTGTGCTGTCCTGCTTCGATGACCAGAATTTTCACATTGGGATTTTCAGCTAACCGACCAGCGACAACGCAACCGGAGGTGCCTCCCCTAGATGAATTAGTCACGACGCCAGTCCAGTCCTTCTAAATACACTCACCCGCAAATGATATAATCATATGTGTCCGCCGGCCGCATGATGGCGGTATCAGCAAGGCTAAGGATGAATGATTTCTTCTATCGACGGTGTCCTATAGGTATTCTGATCGAAAGATCGACTTCCGTGTCTGTTGTTCAAAAAGAGGAGAAGGGCCACCGTCATACCATGTCCACTCTTGTCACATCAGCTATACCTTGTTTAGACAAGCAAATGACTTTGCATGTGACAGTATAGTTGAAGGAAGAGAGAAGAAGAGAGAAGGATACTGATTTGACAAGTGTTAAGGAAAGCTTAAAAGTAGGAGATACGAAGAGGAGAAAAGCAGTAAGATACGTGCTAAAAGTACGAGGAGGAAAGCATTCAAAAGAGGGGTAGACGTGATACAGAGCCCCAGGGCCAATGTGAAGGTGATTCCGCGGAATGAAATCCGCATAGAACCTGGTCTGTCGAGTTTAGAGTTCAGCCATTTATCATTGACCTTGTGCCTGGGACTGGTTGACCAGCAGGACTCGACAAATAAAGTAAGAAGTTGTTGGAATACAACCAGAAATCATAGCGAGCGGTGAATTATATAGTTGCACCATGAATAAGGGTGATATTTGCACGGAGCTAAAATATATAAATCTAAGCCACTTGACCAAAAATACAACAGTACACTTGGTCCACTAGAACAGAAACATATAAACAGTCAGATGAATGGGGAAACTCATAGGACTTGGGCTGAGCATAGAGACATTCATAATTCTGAATAATCTTCGTGCAACTCAGATGCCCTTAGAATCTAAGGCGGAACGGAGGAATTACGTACCTTCAGTTATAAACGCGTTTGTGGGAGCATTGAAAGGGCAGTAAGCTACTTTGTACGACGGGCTTCCTGTCGATCCGTGCATAACCAACTGGGAGCATTATTTTAAATACTAAGTATATCTTTGAGGGTATTTTGTAATGTCTTAGCTCTAGAAATTAGTAAATGCACATTTATATCCCATGGTTTCCACTTGATGACTCTATTTGAGGGTATGCCACGTGACAGCTGTCAGATCCCAATACGGCTAGTTCAGGGAACCAGCCGAGCAGCCAGCCCTAAGCCCTAACTACCTAAATGGGCAGTTTTCAGCAGTCTAGAATTGCCACTTTCGGCGGCGCCTGCAAAATCCGAGTCTTGGCAAGGCTTGGTGCAGTCCCGACCCATACTCTCTTGAAAAGTAAATTCCCATTTCGGCCGCATTCAGGACTCACAATGGCCATTCAAAAGGAGAGCATGTCGTGCACTCCGGATTACAACTGTGGGGTAGGAAGAGCAGAAACAGGTCTGACCCAAAGACATTGCATTTCCACTGACCGGGATCTCAGGTCCGCCGTCTGTTCTATCGAACTTGCGATGCAACATCGTGTCCCCTTCGGACGGACGGTTTCCTTTACCTAATAGTTTGGTTCCAGGTGGGTTATCGCCACCACGGTTCATATCGGGCCATGCTAGGCAAAAAAAAGAAGGAAAAAAAAAAAATTAACAAAAAATGTGACTCAGCACTCCAAAGCCTTCAATCCTGCAACTTCGTCAACCCCTCTCCTTGACAACAACTCCCCCAATCTTTATACCCGTCTACCCAAGATAGCCTCTGGCCAGAATGGGTCCTGACGAGGTCACCTCTGCGCCGCAGGTCACCGAAGTCGCTCCTATCGATGCCCCCAAAACAGGAAAGGGAAAGTTCGGGTTTAAAGGTCACGGCAAAAAGGACAAGTCAGGAAACAACAATGACCACGATGTCGAGAAGGATGGAGTGGGAGGGGACACCCCCGAGCCAGAACTGCAGCGGAAGCTGAAAAGCAGACATCTGCAGATGATCGCGATCGGTAAGCACATCGTCTGGAGACTGCAAAACCTGTGCTGACAAAACCAGGTGGAACAATCGGAACCGGTCTCTTCATTAGTAGTGGAACGGCTATCGCGCACTCGGGACCGGCGGGGGCTCTCCTCGCCTACATCTTTGTTGGATCAATCGTGTTTTCCGTTATGACCTCGCTGGGTGAAGTCGCAACGTACATCCCCATCACCGGTTCCTTCACGACATATGCGGCACGATTGGTAGACCCAAGTTTGGGATTCGCGATGGGATGGATATACTGGTTTAATTGGGCATCGACATACGCTGTGGAATTGACGGCGACCGGACTGATCATTCAATATTGGGATAAAGACTTGTCTATTGCGATATTCATTGCAGTTTTCTGGGTTGTAATCACGGCGATAAATTTCCTCCCTGTCGGATTTTATGGAGAGATCGAATTTTGGTTTTCCCTGGTTAAGGTGATTACTGTCCTGGGGTTCATGATCTTTGCCATCTGCATCGATGCGGGTGTGGGAGACCAGGGATATTTAGGATTCAAATACTGGCATCATCCCGGTGCATTTGCTCCGTATCTTATCGAGAACGATGCTGCCACGGCCAAATTTGTGGGCTTCTGGGCTGTCTTGATCCAGGCCGGTTTCTCCATCAAGGTACGGAACTGGTTGGTGTTGCAGCCGGCGAGACCGAAAACCCCCAAGTAACCGTCCCATCTGCCATCCGCAAGACATTTATCCGGATTCTGGTCTTCTTCGTGCTCACCATCTTCTTCATCGGCCTGCTCGTCCCTTATGACAATAAGAATCTTGTCACCGACAACAACGACGCATCTGCGTCCCCCATGGTGATCGCCGCCAAGTTGGCTGGAGTGCGAGTCTTACCACACATAATTAATGCCGTGCTTCTCACAGTGGTTCTGTCTGCAGCGAATTCCAATGTCTACAGCGGCAGCCGTGTGCTTCTGGGTCTTGTTCACGAGGGCTTCGCCCCCAAGTTCTTCGGCTGGGTGACACAGAGGGGTGTTCCGTACGTTAGTGTCTCGTTTACTGCACTCTTCGGCCTTTTGGCGTTCATGAACGTCTCCAAATCTGGAGGCACCGTGTTCAACTGGCTGGTCAATATCTCCGGTGTGGCCGGGTTTATCTGCTGGTGCTCCATCAACCTGAGTCACATCGCATTCATGCGTGCGCTCAAAGCGCGCGATCTCTCCCGAGATACCTTACCTTACAAGGCGATCTGGCAGCCGTGGCTGGCATATTACGGACTGTTCTTCAACACCCTGATTATCCTGACGCAGGGCTTCACTGCGTGGATCCCCAAATTCAACGTCTCTGATTTCTGGGTGGCCTATATCTGTCCTATTCTGTTCGCGCTCCTCTATCTCGGTCACAAGATCGTATTCCGCACTTCGTTTGTGCATCTCCTCCAGGCGGACCTGGATACCGGACGTCTGCAGAACTTTTCATGGGAGACAGCAAGGCCGAAGACTTGGACGGAGCGGATACGGGAGAGACTATAGTGGTGTTCTGGGATATTCGAAGGCAGTCGACGGAGTATGTGTAACGAGTTGATTGCATTGTGGAGTTTGGCGTTGTACATATCAATATATATAGTCCTCTGTATTTAATTATATCCAGCATGTTCATATTCACCGATGTTGCGTCCTCTAACTTCGGGATCTGTAGGATCAGATACATGGACTTTTTGCATTTCTTGTCTCAGTCTGTGGACTCGCAGGAAAACATCAGACAATATGTGGGAATGGCTCGAGCGTCGCAATAACCTTGACATTGTTGCATTGCGGTTAGAAAACCGCGCAGTTGTATTCTATTCCCAGTCTCCTATTATTAATAGTGCAGCACTGACGAGGCCAGTGCAGGAGGGGAGGGGTGGGAAAGGAAATAAATATAACCCTGATTGGGCTCAACACAACATTCCAAGCGGTCGAAGATGTTCCAGACTCCAGGGGCACGACCGGTATGCAAGGGTCATTCTCTGCACCAATAATAGCTCGAACTCCATCCAACGCATGCCACAGACAAGCAAGTATCCATTCTCTGTACTCTCTGTACTTTGTACAGAAATGAATGGATCCATTTCCAGTATTTCACTCCCACGAACTCCAAATAGCAATGTAGGCGGATAACAATCCCAGGAAACAATCACCTGATGGATTAGGGTTCAACCCGCCCATACCAGCATTATCACACCATATGCATACTGTTATATAATGATGAAACCATGAACGCAGCCAAGCAAGACCTTACATTTTGATCCCTGCCAGGGATGGGATGGAATGGACGTTCCCCTCCCGATGATATCCGGTCCAGGTATGTACCTACAGTCGTATAAATGGACTTCCCCTCCCAGTTTGATCTCTCAGAAATCAAATCAATCGATTCAGTCAATCCAGTCAATTCAATCAAATCCTCAAGTTGTCACCATGCTCCGAGTACTTATCTTCTCCGTGCTTTTCCTGGCGATTACCGTCCAGAGCCAGGACATCTGCATTGACATGTGCAGAGAAGAGAAACCGGAGTGTTCTTCTGGACAGGTAAGTTCTCTAGCTAGTGCTTCATTAGATGTTGTATTGACGAGTGGTATAGATTGCCTCGGGCCAGCCGGTAAGTGAATGAATATCCTTGGAGATGATGGAGGGATGGTAGTAACTTTTGTAGGGTTGTTGGGGATGCTGCATGCCTATTCCTGAGGGGAAGACTAATTAGGGATGAATTGCGAACATGGATAAAGTTCTTCTTTTGTGTAATATTTAGTCCCTTTGATTTGTTTCAGTGCCTCTGGTCGAATATTCACCTGGCAAAAAGTTGAAGATATGGGGGATTTATATGATCCGGGAGACAAAACTTTGTAATCAACAATTGATAAGCAGCTTCTAAGAACTGTGGCGCGTCAACAGCATGTCATAGTAGCAGCGCCATTCAGTATCCTCCTGGAAACAGGGTGTGGCTATCTCTTTTATACTCTTTTTCCACCTCTCTTCTTTTTTTCCTTCATCTTGTTCTCATCTTTTCCCCTTTATTTGACAGTACATGTGTAAGATGACCGCTTCCATTGTCTTATGAGAGATCAACCACCTTTGATAGTTTACCTTTTGCCTTGTCAAATACAAGTTCAATAAGATTCGATTCGTGTCATCCAATAAATTAATTAAAGTCCATTCTAAATAACAAAACTTTCATCATTCTGCCCATTGTATCAAAGTTATATTTGCTACCAAGGACTTTAACAACCATTTTAATTTAGTCGGAACCTTCTACACCTGTAGAAATCTCGCCAAACTTGAGTGGTCGACACCGGGCCCAATTTCGCCAATGGCAATGCGTCAATTCTACCGACAGCAGCTAACATGGGCATGAGCTTCATATACCATGCACACTGACCTTTTCATCAAATTCTCTTATACCCCCTGATCGAATTCTGGAACGACTTATCGTAAGAGAGGTGCAACTCGAGTCGATGGGTCGCTCGGTCGAGGCGGAAGCTGCTTCCCACTGTAGGCTGTAGTCCAACTTAGCTCTCGCGGCTTTTGCATAATATCAGTTGTTACATGCAACAACGGCAGCCTGATAGGAATACATAAAGGGGCTGTAAACAGTACCGCAGGCACGATGCATATTTTTGCAAGTTTCCAGGGATTCCTATATCCTCGCTAGGAATAAAGATATGCGAGCGGAGTACTGTGCCTCGTCATGGGAATCGGCCAAAGCAGAATTTAGGTTGTTTAGCATCATTTGTGAATTTGAAGATACGGAAGTAGGGGCCGTATCCTAGGATACCATGGATTGGCTGATAATACCTAGCGTTTGAGTTGCAGTGATAACACACTTTTGGAAGACAGTAGAGTTAAGACTATATGGTGTGGACGGGTAAAATGGACGGAAAGAAGAACAGAGGGGTTTTATATAAATCGACTCCGTAATAGCCTGGACTGACCAATCTTTCCTTCCATTTTGTATCCGTCGCTGTCACAGGATGATGGAATATTGACGCATACAATTATGATGTATCCATCCAGAACGTACCGAACCACTGTTCGGGCTGACGCTCCTGGATCTGATGCTGGATCTTTCGGTATGAACTCCAGCGTTCCGCGAAAAAGTGCTGCGACTCGCCTTAAATACTTGGGAAGGTAGGTAAGCTGCTTCTGTGATTGCAAGCCAAAGCCCGAAAGGAATTATTATACCAGCGCAAGACAAGTGGGCATCGGCACAGATGAGTATAGTGCATCTTGTATGCCGTTCAGTGCTCTTCGAACGATGCCCGCCAGCAACCCAGCATCGGTTGTTGCAGCGAGGTCAATGTCTTGATCCTCTTGACCAGAGGCCAATATTATGTGCGATTTCATCATATTTTGCCTTTGTCAAATCAACATCAAGCTTCCAATCCGGGGGAGTTTAGCACATCCGGTTAGCATGGGATGTTGACCTACCAGAGATCAGAACTCGCAAACAGCCGAAAGCAAATCGATCATTCGCCAGACGCCGGGTAGCCAACATCTTGAAACTTTGACTCGTTTCATGGGCACCTCTGTGAAGGCCTTTTTGGGGCCCTGAATTGCAGGCTTCCGACTCGCATTGTCATCCTTATCAGATTCTGTATTATTCTCACCACTCTCACTCTGTGAGGTAGAACCTAAAGTGTCAACGAGCGTCGAGGATTGCACAGGCGACTACGCACCCTGGAGAACATAGCTTTGATCTGGGCCTGGGTCATTCTCATACCTGTCTGATTGTTCGCAGTCGGAATATCTGGAGTAGCTTTCCTTTTCTGAGGCATGGGTCAACTCCACATACTGCAAGTTTCAAGTCAGTTAACCTCTAGACATTGTCAGGCTTAGGTTATATTTCAGCTGCATCAGGTTCGATGCCACACCTTTGGTCTAGTACCTTATTCCGATCGACATCAAGGTAGGGGATGAGAAGTAAGCGTAGATGGGACATAACACGCTTTTATGGCCATGAATACATCGCCTGGTAATGGTGACATAAGATGAAGAATAATGGCATATTGATTTAAAGCCCGTAGAATATCTCAAAACGATCTAAGGAGATTCAGTCAGTGATCCAGGCTATGCCCAGCTTCCTAGATTACGAAGATGGACACCCAGATGGGGATGAATAGAGGGGTAGACCAACGCTTTCCACTTGTTGCCATCATATTACGCGTCTCATATGATGATTGATGACTCGGTACGCTATATTCAGTGCCTGGATAGAGGATACCCAACTGTACTGAGAAGAGGCAAAGCCGATTTTTAAGGAGTCTCAAATTTCCAGTTGGCTGGCAGTCCACGTGAGACCACATGTTACTGTTATATGCGGCCATGTGTTCATCACTGCCAGTCATGATGAGTGGAGACTCCTGCTTGTAGGAAACTCGATGTAAATCTCTAAAAGATAGTCAGTTCCAGTTGCTTCCACAAAGCCCAGAAATAAACTCGAGAGATCACCAAGAAACGTCAAGAGTACGTCAACTCACCCCTGACTAGCCCCACCTGATGTACAACATCTTAATTGATAAGGTCTGGATATCCTAATTATCACCACAATCCACATCAACAGGATATCATGCAATTCTTGCACTGGATCGTCAGGGTTAATGCGTCTGCGCCGTTCGGATTCGGCATGGTGCTTGTTTTCCTTGGCATAGGTGTACGTAACCGATGCTTGTATGATCTATGCTGCAAGCGTATTGGCTGCGAACTCGAGAATTCCGTCCTCTTTCGGCACGGGATTCGCCTTGTTCACAACGTAGATGTATCGTAACCTCGGCATCCACTGGGTATCGTGTGTCCCTACTATTCTGTCCGCAGCTTGTCTCCCCTTTCTGTTCGTTTTATATACATGCAAATATTCTGCGGAATTGGACCAGTTCGTGCGCAAGATAGCGGAGAAGTCTCTTCATACAGGGACTATCGTGAATGAGGAGGTGGAGAACGAGGTCGTAGCGAACTATCATCGATGAGGATCTGGAGCGGCGGATTCTTTCTCCAGTGATGAGCGGTCTGGAGGGACATACGAGTCTAATTCATACGATATCGACCGGGCGAGCATGAGGAACTCGGCAATTACTCAGCGGTCGAGGTCATGGTCGACAATAGGAAGGAAGAAGAGATTTAGATTTTTTTTTAAATGTCAGTACGAATCGATACTACAGCAATAGTCTCATGTACTGTTGTGGTCCGAGGAGGAAATACTGTCTTAGACAGAAATTCCCTTGCATGGACGGAACTGAATTAGGAAGGATCCTCCCACTTCATCCTCTTTTTTTTTTTTTTTTTTTTTTGCCCCTCTCTCTTTGCTTTTTTTCTTCCACACCTGACACACGTTCAGGACATTGACCACGCATCTTCGTACGCACCTCCAATATCTCAACGATTTGCCTTTAGCCATTCAATCGAAAATAGTTTAATCCTCAATTACGGAAGCGAAGTATCACAGTACTACTATAGAAAAGAGAATAAAATCATGAATTCGTAACGCATGCAAGCATATCATATCTACTTCAAGTAATGACTAGAAATCCGCCGGCGAAGGCAACTTTTCCGGCGTATCATCACGGAAGGTATTTGTGATGAGATGATTAAAGTTAGGGGACCAAGCGACGCGAGGGGTTAAGATATCAAGATCCCAGAGGTCGGCAACGAACTTGAGGATGGAAGTATGGGTGTATTCACCCGACTGGTCGGAGGGGCTATTCTGTACGATACCCTTTCCGACCCAGGGGGAGATGAGAACGGTGGGGACACGGATTCCCAAGCGATCGAACCCGAAGGTGATGGATTTACCGTCCTTGGCCTTCTCGGTGTAGGTAAGGTCATCACCGGCGGGGACGTTCTCCGGTGGGGAAACGTGGTCGGCGAAACCGCCGTGCTCGTCGAAGGTCAAGATGAAGAGGGTCTCATGCCATTGTGGGGAGGAACGCACGGCTTCGTAGATGCTCTTGATGAAACCCTCACCCATGTTGATGGGGGAGGGTGGGTGGAAGGACATGTACGAGCAACACTCGGGGTTGATCCAGGTGAAGCGCGGGAGCGAGCCGGACTGGGCGTCCTTGAAGAATTGGTTGAGGGGCTTCACGTTTGTGTCGGCCTTGCCGGACTTAGCCGTCCATTGGTAGAACTGGGCGTCTGGGAGGAAATCCGTGGTATTGGAGTAGTTGATCCAGCTGATGTTGGCGTTCGAGAGCTGCTCGAAGATGGAGACTTGGGGGAGGGAGGAGGTCAGGAAGTCGTTGTCGTTAGTGCCGTGGCCATGCGAGGTGCCCGAGGTAAGGTAGGCACGGTTTGGGTTCGTGGGTCCCGGGACGGAGGCGAACCAGCGGTCAAAGAGCACAAAGTTCTCCGCCATGGCGTTGAACACGGGGACATGCTCTGGCGTGTAGTAGTTGATGACTTCAGCGGCGCGCTCAAGATCTCCGTCGAGGCCGTACGAGATGATCTGCTCGGTGACGAAGCCCTGCATGGAGGGAACATCGTTCTTGTTGGTGGGGTGGTAGGTGCTGTAGACCTGCTGATTTCCACCGCTAATGCTGTGGTCGGGGTCATCAGGGGCGACGTTTTTAGCGATGGGTTCGGCGCAGACCTTGGGCGAGTTGACATCGGAGACGTTGGCCGGGTTACAGTATTTGGTATTGACGAGACCGTCGATATCCGGGTTGTAGGTGAGACCACCAGCGAATGTGTCGAAGGAGAGGTTCTCTTGGACTAGAACAACAACATTCTTGATGGGACTGCCACTGGATTGGGCGGCTGGGCCGTGCGGTAGGCCGGCCACGCCCAGGGAGAAGAAAGTGACCAGGGAGAGAATGCTCATGGCGAGGAGCAACAGCGTAACGAGAAAGGCTTGGGTCCGAGAAAGTTGTTTGCGTTTCCCGGCAGAGGCTGTATTTATATCTCCCACCGCCGGGCGAGTGATCAGATCATCTGTTTCACGCTTGAGAATCGGCCATTTCTCCGGATCCTCTGTCCCACGTGTGCCTACAGATTGTTCCCATTGCATGATGAACAAAGAAGTGCAGAGAAGTGCTACGATAGCAGATGCAGTATGGTAAATGGAGGGGAAGTGTTTTTGTGATGATCGTAGTCCTTGACCCTGAAGCGGTAAGGCAGAGATGCAGTGGGTATCTCGGTGGGGCTCGTCCAGGCGGCCTTGGCGTCCAGTGACCTGCCCGCATGCCTGCCCAGGCAGTTCTCATTGGAGGCACGGGATCGGCATCTCGGCAACCCCTCTCGGCCAGTCCCAAAAAGGGGCAACGTTTGGAAGGTGGAGCCGTTCTATAGGCCTGCTGAGGACGATCTGCAGAGTCCATCACCTCGATTGGCCGTTTTTTAAGTTCTTAACAATCAACCTGCAGCATGAGGTTGTGCTCTGCATTGTGATTCGAAGCCTTAGAGGCACAATATTAGGAATCTGAATCGTATCCTTGACAATCCCAGTCGTTGTCTGCAGGCACGGCTCCACAAATGGAAAGTTCAATAAATTCAGACAGCCTCTCTGGAGTGCACCTGGAGAGCATGTCGCCCTCAGTATTGGCTATTGGCTGTCCTCGGGGTAGCTAGCATGGGGTAAATATGGAACATATCGGGATGTTTCGTAGCTCTGTACGGGGTTAATCGGCAGAGGAGGTTAAGTGTCATGCCATCTCGAGCCAACAAATTTACCAGGTATAATGGCTAGGGTTCGGGCAGCAACTACCTCAACCTCCTCATAGTGACTGTCGAGGTTGCATGTGTTGCCTTAGTTAAGTGTTCATATTCTTCCTAAGGTGACTGCCTGCGCTGTCAGGCGATCTCTAACTTAGTTGAAGAATCGAAGTGCATAGGGCAGCATATGACAGGAACATGGCAGAAGTTGAATCATCAGACTTACCCCTCACTGCACTCTACACACCTTTATATATTAGCATAGGGCTAATAAATAGGGCGAACTCATGCTATTTAATTAAGGAATTAATATATCATAATCAGATGACGCTATCGCCTGGACTGATGTTGCAGTATGGACATTTTTTACTAAGAATGCCGGATACGATGCGCTGCGATTCGATCCCCTACCTCATGCACATTGTTAGCCCGTATTACTGATGCAGTACTCTCTATTTCGAAGAGGAAGCATAACCAATCCGAATTAAGCATTCCTTCTGGATATCGTGAGTGGCTTGCCAAGCCCCATTGATTGCCCAATGAACTACATTCAATAGCACCTTGTACAAGGCTTTCACAAACCACCAATTTGCATATAACTTTGTTAATTGTAACTTCTCACAAGACTGACGAGCTAGATTGTTGGCCTGATAGAAGCCTAGGTTGTTGCTAAACGCCATTTATACAGAAGAATCCTCGATATGGAAATAAAGCAAATAGCTGGGGCTAAGGTACGCTAAGGACGGAAATATCGCGGAGCAAGCCTCTTTAGGTCTTTAGAACTCTCAGTATCTTCGGATGATATGGACTCAACGTTAGAATTGCCTCAATATTGGTGGAGATCAAAATTCTATTTTAAGGTGAAAACAATTCAGGCTCCTTGCGCCTCCCAAATGTAGCACCCTTAATATAGCGTCCAAGTACATAGGGAAATAAATGGGCGCCTTCGTACCTTTTTCTATCTATCATTGTCCAGGCACAAGACACCAAAGTCAATCCTCGGTAGGATAGCGAGATCCGTAGGCATCGATCAGACTCTGTCGAAACTTAGAACCTTGTGCCTGTAGGTCTTTGTGACTTGTGGGTAGTCGTTTATAGCTCTAGATTGCTCTTTGAGCGACTCATTCTCGTCCACCCTCTTACCAGAGGTTCGCGTCGGGATATCGGTTGCCTTTTCACCCATTTTGCATACTTCTCAACGTGCAGACGGTGATTCGTGAGTACGAGTTGGAGAGCATCCTGGTAAATTTGAATAGATCATCATAGCCAGAGAAACAGCAGAGGAAAAGAAAGAGAAACAGAAAGAGAAAATGGGACAGAAAACAAACAAAAATGTCATCCAGTTGATGAGTGTTCGATATAGAGTCGAGACATGCCCCCGCATTCATCTCGAACGTGGCGAGGGTAAACGCGATGCGTACTTGACTGACTCGATACCTAATGCCTGAGTGACGGCCAGGTCGTAGCCGAATATGGAAGCAATACTAAACAGGAAGGCGTGACCTCGGCCACGTATGACCATATTCCAAAAGGGGCTAAGCTTCCAAGCCATAAGATAACTTTATATAGCATGTGTTTTGTCTATTACAGACTATAAAGTTTCTTTATAGTGGAAAGGCTAACAGTATCTAGTAAACCACTACCAGAAACTGCAAAATACTTCCTTAAAAAAGATCCTAGGGGCTTTTAAAATATTACCTATACAGGCCATGGAATTAGAAGCATCCCTGCCTCCTTTATTAGTTAGATTTAATAAAATCTGCAGAAACTACGTCCTTAGAACTGCGTATTTTATAAAATCCCATGCAATCCAAAGCAGACTCCCAACTATATTTATACTAAACCCGGGGGAATTCTCCATTGACCAATCAAGGTTTTTGGATTGGAACGAGAAACCAAGACTATCGACGCTTTAATCTCGTGCCTAGTTTAAAGACGATATAATCGGCCCGTCAATTGAAAGAATGCATATTAATTACCAGTTTCCTTTTATTACGTTTGTCGATCTTCAGCAACAAGTATAGAAGTGATCCAGCTGCTTGTCAAGAACAACTCCGGTGCAAAGCATCTGACGTCGATACCAGATGCAGTCAGAAACATAAAGAACCCTGTAGTTAGCAACAATCCAACTCTCCAGATGATAGGGATGATAGTCGATATACTTATCTCACCATCATCTATCTCACTGAGGGGAACACCTGTGTTTGAACTGCTTGAGTCGCCCGAGCTGTCCCTTTTTACATCATACATGTTACATATATCCCGACGCCTGAAGTCATAGAGAACCTTCAACCTTCCATCCAACCGGAACAAGCCCCGCGACTATCGACAGCCAGCTTGTCTTGCCGTTATGACTGCGATCGATGTCGAAGCCGTAAACTTCGCTGCAATAGGGACATGACAGCCTCGGCGAGTAACCAGTCCAACGATGCACAAGGGCCTGCTGACACTGGAAGAGCTAAGAAGGGGGCGGCGGGTCAAGACAACGTGCATCGTATTTCTCCACGTAATAGAGGTACGTTGCCATGTATCTGCTGGCTTGCTCTTCACTGACTGTGTCCTGTGCGTAGTAAGCTCCCATAACGCCGTAAGCACTTTTGCGCAAAGCGAGCAGTCGGGACACCAGCACCATAATCAAGCCATCATGCCCCAGTCCTCCCACCAGCAGTCCTATCCTAGCAATAAAAATCACAGAATACATCTATCACCAGCTCCGTGGTTGGATATGGTCTCGTTCGACGCAGCACAGGAGCTAGATTTTGACGGATCGGCATTGGCCCTCCCAACAACATCATATGCCGATAGAGAGCGAGTGCCTAGTATACCTGTCATTCTACAGAAACATCTGTTCCTTTCCCCATCGTCCACCACATATAATCTCGAAACCAGTCCATCATCGCATCTCCCTTCTACTCGCAGTGGTCGGCGGAATGATCAAGAATCAAAAGGTATGCAGCCGCTGAACCAGCTTCGCAGGACAAGAGTTGCTATAGATCCTGCAGCTGCTCTAAATGGCAACCTTCCCTCGGCTTCGAGAAGCACTAATCGAATCGCATGAAGAAGTGTTTGTCCCTCCCCAGACCTCGATAATATCGGAACCAGTCCCCGGGGACGATTGTCCCGCTATCTTATTCCCCCGAACTGGTTCCAGCCCAGGTCTTGGTCTGGGTCCACTCCATCTCCTACCGAGGTAAAGGATGCATGCATCTAAAATTATCTTAGCTGAGCGCGAGTCTTATGAAGGTCCTGGACTATGTTATTACCTGCAAGACTGCCAGCTCATTTCTTTTCATACAGTCGGATATAACAGCCGCGGGCTACTTATTCAAAACTCTAGACAGTTCCATTATGGAAGATAATGCAGTGGCACGGATGCTATATGGACCCAAGAGGTTTTTATTGACATTATAGAGCTCTTTAGCTAACTGGCTCGCGTGCCGATATTGTCATCATAAGTGGCGGCGGTGGCAGCAGCAACAGCGGCAGCATCATATGCTCATTCGCAGCCAACGGGCGATCAAGAAACATAACTCCAGAAGACCGTGGTGCAGAGCGCTGGTCATTATTCTGAGTATTCCTCGGTGGGTCAAATCAACTCCCAATTCCAACATCTCAAGGGCCATCTCGGTCGACTGCGACAAATTCATCACCATTTGTAGAAGCACAGAAGCCTGGTGTCTCTTCAACCCTGGTCATTCTGAGCTACTATACCTGCTTGCTTAAAATATCAATTGATTCTTTCTCCAAAACCACCGTAGCCTGCAGGTAAAATTATTAATTCAAGTGAGCACCTACATGTTAGATTCGGTTCAGAAGGCGCTTGTGGGAATTCTCTCCTACTCTATGTTCTAGGCTTTGTTGAAAACAATGATGGAGAATAAAGGTGCACAACCACTTCGCAGGGTGAAGAGAGGGGTATGCAGACTGTGCAGGGCTTAATTCGTCGGGTCAACGACATGTTGGCGTAAGAAGAAAAAAGAAGTAAAACAGAGGCGTCACTATTTGAAGTAGACTGTACGAGCTTGAATGCAACGATTATTTTCCTTCGCCCCATAAGATGTTACATCCACGCGTTACACTGTCCACTGCCAAATCTGTATGGCTCTGTCCCAACGAATCCACCAGAAGTTCCCTATCGGTCGAGGTCCTGAAGCTGACATGCGTAGAGGTCAGGCTGAATTAGGACTCCCAATATGGCAGGCTGCTCACTGAAACTTGAATTGCAAGGAACCAAAAGAAAGAGCTTGTTCAGGGGCCAAGTTGAGATGGGTGTTTACAACAAAGGACAGCGCCTATCGCGTGCATAAAGGGGTACAATATTCGACATCCTAGTTATATTCGCTTTAATTAGCTGCTAGCCAATATAGACACCTTGAACCTCTCCGACAAATTACATTCATCTCCTAGCTCTTGCAGAAGCCATGTTGGAGGATATTGTTGAACAGTGGCAGATTGTGCGACAAGCATTCACACCACTCAGTTTGACTCGGTGGGATAACAAATGCGCTTACTGCCCAGAATTATCGTGATTATCCACTTGGAGCTTTGATAGGCTTCCCACTTGTCGTGATATTTCTCATATGGCTTATCTCGGTCTAGTCAAAACCGAGGGAATGTTCACGGCATATCAGGACTTGGTGAAAAGTGATTTATTGCGGATTATCGAGGGCAAGCGGAAGGTGACGCTTCTCCTGACTTTCATACCAGGGTCACTTATAATTTACTTCGTTATGTATCCCAAAACCACGTACATAGTAAACGCGTCAGGGCTTCAAAACGTGGTCCACCCGGCCATGTACTTCGACGAAATCAAGCACCTTATCGAACAGGAAGCCTCTGCCCAGGACTTCTTCCATACGGTGACCTACCGCCGTTGGACGCATATCGGTGAAGAAACCGGCGCTCTGTGTAAGACGATCGCCGTGGACAAGGTTTCGGTCAAAGTGCCATCCAAAGAAAAGGATGCGCGCATTGTGTTCGGTAAGTATGTGGGATATTGCCCGGAATACAAATTGGTGACCATCTTTGATACCATGATGAAAATCGTCACAACGACGAATGCGTGTTCATTTGTGGAGTGCGAAGTTGGCAGAGGCGAATGGCCTCAAGTGATTCAGCAGCTGCCCATGTCGGTGTATTTTGTGGTTATGACTCTGAGCTGGATCATAAGAGTGTTGAGCCCCTGTTACAGCCCATCTAGGCATGGACTTCCATCCGGAGGAAGAGCTGACTAGCTGAGGTATCTTTTCATAAATCAGTCTATGGTTTACGGCGTACAGGATGTGAGTGTGTATCCCGGCAGAAAACACTATCACATCACACTATGTGATGAAATTAAAGTAACATAATTACAAATTAAAGCACACTACGGATAAGAACATCCAGTGCGAGAACCATTGCAATTGGTGCTGAGAGGACCAGGGCTCACAGTGTAGGACTCAGAAACGGCAACGGATATCAGGTACTCTGGTCGATAGATTATGTGAGATAGAATTATAGAGATCTTGTGGACTGAAAGCCACATTGCTGTCTTAGCATCTTTTATTACCGGAAGTTGACATTATACATGAAATACTTGTAGCAATTGGCTTTAGGACACCAAATTCGGAAATATCAAACCGTCAGCTGGGCAAATTATTGTAAGCTTGTTGGCGTTATTTTTAAAAACCAAGTTCTTAGAATGACTTTGACTGTTAAACTAGGCACTTTCCATATTGGGAAATCAATGCCTAAGGTGTCGTGTCCTCATCCTCTTCAGTACACGAATTCAATGGGGTAACATAAAAGGTGGGCGTTCGATTGACCCGAAAATTACGACCACTGCAGGCTTATTTCCACTATTTCAAGATATTAAGGAATGGCATTAAGACATGAAATAGGTTGTTTAGACAGATACATAGCCACCTAATTTTAGAGAGAGAAAGGCTTATATTTAGTGGACTACATAAAGGCCAAAAGGACTTCAAAAGTGTAGAAAAGAAGGCAAATTTTGGTAGATAAAAATTAGTGACCAGGGACCTGCTTGTGAGCTAGCCCCCGGCTGCGTGGCGATGATGATCTTTACTACTACGCCACAGCCAAAAAGGCGCAAATCGATGACCACCGGGTCATCGAGCTCAGCATACTATATAGCAAGATCAGGTCCGTGATACTGCCACTCAGCTGAGCCAACACATCGGGATGATCAAACCTGACAAGGAAAGATATGTCTTATGGGGAACTCAAACTGAGTGCACAATTACTTCTTCTGTACCAGCATTAGGGAGTCAGCCATCACTGTAAAAACCCGGATGGAGGATCTCCCTCCACAGGACTTGTGGCAGTCAACTTATGATCTGGTAGATCCGCAAGAGCAGGATATTCTGTCGAAAATACACATTTTCGTTCCCACCGACAAAATGAGGAGAGCCACTGTATTTAGAAACAGCTACGTATTACCATCAATTAAAAATATCAGCAGTTTCTATTTTTTGAACCATTCTACCCGTGTATTGAAAATTTCAATCGTTTTTCAACCCAAGTATTCCTGGACGAGCTGGATGTGCCCTTCCCTTTGGAAGTCTCGCACAGCCAGCCACTCTCCGGGGAAAAAAAAAAAAAAGCAAAGGGGCCTGATTAGACATGCTGTAAGGTGATTACATCATCTGCTGTTTGAATTGATGATCGTTTCCAAGTGAGTTAGTTCCTTTGACTGATGCACAGGAAGAGAAATGATGGTTAGATTCGTTACCAAGACTGTATTGGTAGATCATATACCTGATTCGCACCGTAGTCATAGCAGATCATCTCATGAAAGCGAGCGGTAGAGGGACCCTTAAATATTTCTAATAATCGCGGTAGACGTTCTAGTATCTCATTCCCCCGAAATTCAAAGCTCTACTATCACGCCATCCAAAATGGAGCACACAAAGTATAAACAAATCTCTGAGTATCAAGAAAATGATAGAGGAAGCAGCATTGAATGCGAGGACCCATGTGATAATGATTCATTTATGAAGCATGTTGATGGGCATTCCAATGGGACTCGGGCTCGGACTCGGCGCTTCTTTTTTCGAAATCCCTGGTTCCTGATACTGAACATCATTTTCCTTATTGTCAACGTCATTGTAGGCGGGTGTAATATCTGGCTCAAGAAACCTCTCGAAGACAGACAGAAAGAATGTGGACGACTGATCAATCATCATGAGTGGTGTATGTATTTGATTTCCTTATTACCAAAAAACAAAAAAATGGGACTCCGAAAACTGATAAAAAAAAATAGTGCCAGATTTCGAAGCCGGAATAAAATATGAGCCACAACAGTTGAACAGTTCGCATTCACCAGCTTTTACAGGAATAGGACCTGAGGTGGATGCAAATTGGCATGCCATTACTAGTGAGAAACCCAGAATCCAGGAAGTTCACTGTGAATAGCGCAGGACCATCTGATCTGATCGAGGATTCCCTTCCACAGGAGGCGCTATGGGGATCACTCGGGAACAAATGGAGAAATTGAACCCTAATCATGACACGGCAGTACAACTAGATGGGCCAGGACAGGAGGGGCTGTATATGGCTACATTTGACGTTCTGCACCAAATTCACTGTGTGGTAAGGATCAAGTATTTATATTTGAAGAGGTAGCTAACCGGCTGTTCTTTCTTTCTTTTTTTTTATAGGATCTTTTGCGAAAAGGAATTTATCGAGAGTACTACAATGACCGTGAGCCTAAATTCATCTACTATACAGAGCATGAAATTACATATCATCTAGGTAAGTATCTGCCCATTCTTCTCACTTAGCATATGTAATCTAACAGGAAGCAAACATGAAAAAGATCATTGCATTGACATCCTACGCCAAACCTTGATGTGTCATGGCGATCTATCATTAGTGACGTATAACTGGGTGAAACCCAACGACGTTCCATATCCCAACTTCAATACGTACCATACGTGCAAGAACTGGGATACATTCTTTGCTTTGAATCAGAAATTAGATGTTAGTGCGAGATGGGAAAATGGTATGGTGGTGGAAGAGTTTCCAATGCCGAAAAAAAACCAGGGCATATTGAGGGGATGTGGCCTCCTCCTTGATGGATATGTCAATAGGTGGAGTTTGAGAATAATACAATATGAATATCTATGTTTCGTTAACAGGTGTAAATATAGCAACTTAGAGGATTTGACGATCTTGTATCGGAATGGTGAATATAGTATGACAGGCTAATACTTCTGTATAGTGTAAAAATTGGCAGGGAAAGGGAGTAAGCAGTATCAATCGCAATGCTTCTCCCGTACAGGGGTTATGTGTCAAGACCACAGTTCTATAACAGGCCGCTACGTAGTCAGGACGAAGGGTATGCCTATCCTGAATGTAAGCGCCACGGGTTGTCTGTCTCAAAGACTAATCGATGATCAGAACAGATCATGGTTCTTCGATGAGCTGATACGCCTCATGATTGTTGTGATCACATGGAGATCAACAGCGGGGAAGCGGACGATCTCAGCCTGGCAGGTGCTTTTAGGAATGGCAAAGATTGCCATCTAGAGAAAATATTTCGGTCCTCTCCGATCCGCGCAAGCCGAGTTTAGCACATTGGCAGTGTAACATTCCTTTTGCATCGATGTCGATCATTCCGTGTTCTCAGCAGTCTGATCTGCCTATGTCGTAAGTTCTGGGCCGATCCGCGCGGGCTTAAGCTTACATTTACAGGGTCTATCATCGCCACGATTAACCGCGACCCTCTTTTGATAATTTTTTTTTTTTTAAAAAAAAACGGCAGTATGTTTAAAAAAACCAAGTAGAAGTATTGTATTCTTGGCTCTATGTTACAGATACCCCGCTCTGCATGCATCCATTTCACACTTGGATATGCAGCGCATGAGTTTGAATCCTCCCCAACATTTTGTCCAGCCGATATCTCTCTTTCTTTTACGAAGTTTATATCTACGCTAGTTGGTAGGCTACATATTAGTGCTAAAGATTCATAAAACTCAGATTGGATGACGACATCTATTACAACCAGATCCATACAGTGTTTTTGCAAAGCTTCCTTATGAAGTTCCGTCAAAACCAAGGTGAGGGATTAACTACATTTCTGGAAAGCATATTTTTGAATACAACGCTAGCAGTACCTGCTGTTCATTTTGTTCCTCAGCTGTTAGATTGTGTTATAGTAGAATACGATGTCTAATTTATTCATGCAAGTCAAAGTCAATTTCATGGCTTTTGTTGGCCAGCACGACAGCCCATGGACCTTCACAACCTGAAGGCACCAGCGATTGAATCTTAGGAGAACATTGAACTTCGACGTCCCAAAATTATTGAGAGGTTTAGACTTCTGTGGATGTGCCTAACTAGGACGATGCTAGCAATCTCAGTATAGATCGTAATCATGATGACGCATTCTGACAACTGCGACAGCAGTACACATACCCTGCAATTTTCTTGCCCCGTTGATTTCAGCCTATACTTTAAACTCAACCTTCGCGGAATGATGATAGATATTTACGTCCTATAAGCTCCATTACTATACAGAGTTCGTATTACTGATTAGAAACTTGCTAGGTAACTAATATTTACATCTATCTTAATTCTATTGCATGTTGAATAATCCCTATACTACCATACTATCCAGAGTAGAAAACTAGGAGGATCGATAAGAGTGAAGCGTAAGCTTTCTTTGTGGTTGGCTGGCTGTACTTGTGCATAAATTAGCTCCGGCGCCATCCATTACCCCACTATAGAGGGAAATTATTATTAGTGAACACCACTGGGAATTGTCAGAAAATGCGCGATTAACAGTCGTGGCAATTCCACCTCGTTGATCAGCTGTGAAGATCCCCGTGCTAGATTCTGCAGGTTGAAAACACTTTAACTGGTGGAAGATAATGTATACGAGATATCCTGATCGGGCAGGTGGATGGAGCCTACATGCGTTGCCACATATAACACGCATTGAACAAAGTACTATACTCAGAAATTGGACTTCACACTCAAGGCATTCTCCTTGAGCCAATCCGATATTGGAAATCGTATCGGATACAAGGCATTCCCTGCGCTGGTATGAGGGCCATGAGAGATTTGCATCTATTTCTGGGAGATCTTCAGCTTACCAGCCAATCCTACTGAATGAAAGAGTGGCTGGCTGGGGTGAGGCATAATGCGTACTATACAGAAACCCTGGCGTATGGATTGTGCATAACTGGATTATACTACAATATGGTTATAGAGGTAAGAAAGTACAGTATAGAGAGAAGATACGTCAGCTGATAGCACAATACCTTTGTATTTTGCTCCAGACTTGTACTATAGTGTATCAATAGATGATTGGGCCTAGTATGCATTTAGCCTATTATCAGGTAGGTGCATACTTTACCATCACTAACGGAACCAGCTATGGTATTGGTAGTGCCAATCAGAGTTCGTAGGCATTTGGAAAGAAGGGTACATATATATATTTCCTTCCTCCTGAGCAGATAAGTTATCTCATCTCCCCTTTGATCTACCTCACTGCAAAATTTTGTTGACTCAACCTAACTATCTTCTCCCTAAATTTTACTTTGCACAACGCATACACTCCTCACTATCTAAACCATGCGTCTCATAACCGTTCTCGTCTTTTCCATTGGTTTCGCTGTGGCTATACCAGTCGGTATGAATCCGGCGCCAAAGGATGTAGCCAAGCGTGAATGGACGGATGGATACGTTAGCGGTGGCGGTGGATACGGTGGTGGCAGCGGTGGTGGTGGATACGGCGGTGGTAGCGGTGGTGGTGGATATGGTGGTGCCATTGATTCTAATGTGGTAAGTTATAGGCTGACAAATATTCTTTTTATTGTCTCTCTATCAAATATTGATTTACTAATTACTTATTAGGCGAAGGATGCAGTCAAACGCGAGTGGACGGATGGATACGTTAGCGGTGGCGGTGGATACGGTGGTGGCAGCGGTGGTGGAGGATACGGTGGTGGTAGCGGTGGTGGAGGATATGGTGGTGCTATTGAGTATGATGGATCTGAATAGTGGGTAAATTATGAAAGCTCATGAGGCAAATCGTGATCATTTTTGCCTAAGAGACTAGTCAAACACCAGAATATAGTATTTCAACAATACCAAGTATATGGAGGGAAATCAAATATTTGATCTATATTCTATAGTATAGAGATACAATATAGCGGATAGCACCATACCCTTGCATTGTACTGCTCTTAACATGTTCTACGTGTAGAGATAAGACACAAAGACACTCATAAGCAATAGTATTCGAGAAGCTATCAGAAATTCTAATATATACAGTGCCTTGAAAGTCGACAGCTGGTGAACATGCCAGCAAGTTTCCTCCACATCCAAAAAATAGGCAAAAATGCGTGTTGGCTAAATTCTACTGATGCTGCCGCCGCGGGTAGAAAGTCGATGATCCGTCACAAGAGAGTTCCGCCCCTTTCTCTCACACACATAATTCTCATTCTGGTTATCACAATCGTTTGACCATGTCCCAGGTATAAGGAGACTCTCGGCTTCTTCTGACAGCGTAGTTATCAGAACTGTTCATGCTTTCTCCTCTAGTCTGTTCTAAAAAACGCTATTATATCGCGCTGAGGGCTGTGGGAGTCTCAGATGTGTATAGAGCTATTCCTCCAGCATGTTAGGAAAGTTATGAAATAAAGGATCTCTTTGATCCTGGACCCAATAATCCTGCAGTCTGTCTCCTATTATAATTGGATGCATTTTCTCTTTAGGGCTTCAGAGAAAGTGGCATGGCAGTATATGGAACAGCTCAATGGTCCCCGACAAAGTCCGGGTTAGTACCAAGACTTGGGAGGAACACCGTCATGTACATCACGATAATTTCCCAGCGTCCAATTTCCCGTGCATGATAAGTCGAAATTTGCCTTCTTCAAGCTCCTGCTTTGGATCCTTAAGAAGGTGCTTAACTCACACCAACCATCACTGCGGTACTCGCATTTCTTAAAGCTATCATGTAAAGGTATTGTACGCTGGTTCAGCAGAAAGTGCACATAATATGTATCTTCTGTGCCGCGGATATAAGGATCCTTATTTACATCGTGAGACCTGTGGCGTTTTACCTTGTAAGGCGCCCAAATAATCTCGATATTCAGTCTTGCAGCAAAAGGAACAATCTTGCCTGAATGAAATTCCTGACCGTCCGGTGGTCCATCGGGAGGCAAGTATTTATTGAATTGCTTCAATCCGAATGCCGTTAGAACGGATACAAGGATGTTGTCATGTGCGAAGTCCAAATAGAGTGATTGATTAACCGGGAAGGTGATAGGGTTTGTGTTTAAAGTCATATTGGCTGCCGTGTTACCGAGCGGGTTGAAAGGAAGACCTTGTACCCTAGCCAGGAACTCTTCCACCCATGTAATTCCTAGAGCTCGGCCCACAGGACTCTGAAATCCACTACTGGCAGTGAAGAGGATATCGCTTGCATAGGCAAACCCCTTCCAGTCTTTGTAATGGAACAACCTGCAGAAGGGACTGTATCCAACGGCGACTGTTTCGTATGCGCACAGTTGCTGCGCCTTATAGCTATCCTCCACTGTCCAATTGTAGTTGTGCGATAATCGTCGAAGCTTCCTTGTTCTGTGTTGGAGATAATTGTTCTTCCATTCGTTGAGAGGAAGGAGTGAATAATTGCCGAAGAGATCCTGTGAGCGGGGACACGCATAAACGGCCATCAAGGAGGTGTTGAAATTGAAGTGCTCGATCATCGCTAAGAGGTTGGCCTTTTCCGTCCACTCAAGATTGAAAAACCCAGAGAGGAAGTTTTCAGCGCTCTTCAGCATCCGATCCTGTGTCGTTGTGCGAACCACAATTTTCGTCTCATTGTTGAATAACGCCCCATAGTTATAAAAGTTGAGCACACCGCTGTCGAAGAGCTCCTGCCTGCCACGGGTAACAAGCATTTCTGCACCGAGCTTATAAGACCAGTTATTCAGGAAGGCGAGTTTTTTTTTAAAACGTGCACCGAGACTTATGGCGTTGGAGATGTTATCAGCCCACTCCTGGAGATCCTCGCCCTCGTAGACCGTGGGATATCTCGACCCGTGTCTATGGATCATATGCATCTGGGTGATGTTTGATCCTGGTGGATGAGGATATTCATCGACCCCTAAGCCGTTGGCACGGGGATAGTAGGGACTGCCAATATGTTGTCAGGACCGACTCGTCTTTGATGCAAAAATTCTCTCCATACCTTAGGTTCCCCATTAGGTGGAAGGCGTTCTTTTTTCCTGCGCCATGAATAGGCTCTGATGTTTCAAGGGGATAATTTGCCGTCCAAGTTTCTAGATCAAATGGAGCGGGGTTCGTCTGAGCAAGGAATGGTGGCGCTCCGGTGGCCGTATGACCTGTTGCTTGTATTAACAGTCGAAGTACTCACGTATAGTCCTGCGTCCTAGAAATATTACCCTGGTAGCTTTGAGGCCGGGTCTTAAACCAATCCGGAACATCACTAGTAGTGGATGTTTTGCTGGGTGGATTAACTAGAACCTGCTGCTCCTGTGCGACGGCAGTGGCATATGCTGAGGTTGCTAGAAGGACTGTGACCCATGAATGCATAGTGACTGTAATGGTAGGTAGTCGGAAAAGGAGGGGTTTTTGGAATTTTTTTTTTTTTTTTTTTTTAAATATCTGAAGGTGGGAAAATAAGACAAAAAGGAAAGAATACATGGGAGAGCCTGCATACTACGTCTATCTTTTTATAAAAAAAAGCTTGACTTAAGAATGTCCAAGAAAAACGCAGATGGAGTAAGGTAGGAAGGTATTGTAATCATGCGCCTATGTTGCTTGCAAATACCATGGAAGATTTGTGATATCAAGTCGTATTATAGTCCCTGGCCTGCATATTGGTAATTTTCCAATGCACAGATGGCCGCAGCCATTTTCCATAGGTTTTAATATCGACTGTGTTTTGTAATTTTTACAGCATTTAACAATATACTTATATAGGCACTACGCAATCTGTCCAAGAAATAGTACTTTAAATACTGACCGGTGGCTAAAGCATTGTTATGAGTGGCTGTATGGAAGGTTGAAAAATTACCAATGTGCAGGTCAGACACTGTAGCTGAAGTGCATCCCCGCATTGCGGGCGTCTCGGATGCTTGTGGTTCTGATTCCCGTGGGCTTCAAATTAAATTCCACTTGTTTAGTAGACTATATAATATAATGCAACCAGATTTTTTCAGTACAAAGAACGAACATTACTAATAGGAATGGTCTGCGCGTTGGTGACCAGATGTGCAGCATTTACTGCACGCCTTATTGGGCAGCTTCAGCTGGTTCTTTAACCACTTCAGCTACCTACGTCACGGCCTCAGCTTTTAAACTCCTTTCCAACCAAGAGCCCCTTGCTGTTACGGAAACGCTATGATCCGTCCGACTTGGCGGTGCGGAGTATCCGACGATCCATTCTACCCCTCAATCCTTTGGTTCCTTGAACGCCTAGGAATGCAAGAAACTCAGTTGAGATGCTGTGATTCCTGGTGTTTCCAAAATAACATCTACTTACTAGATAGGCTAAGGGTTGGCCTGTAGCTGATCCATAGCTTCCTGCATATCGCTTCCCCTGGATTCCACAACACTTGCAGCCTATCCAATTTTAATGTACACAGCAGACCTCCACAGAATTCCACGGGTCCTTCTCCGGGAATAACGGACTCCAGTCGGTGGTGTGATGGGTTGGTTGTCTCCGCCTAGTAGAGGTAAAACCACTTGACCATAAAAAAATACAAGGCGACTGATCTTTCGATCAGTCGCATCTAGCGCCCTATATAGTAGGTAAATAACGAGGGCATCCTTCCTAGCCTGAATAATACTCTGGGTTTAACCCGTGACAAGTGGTGCTGGTTGTAAAGAAGCACTGAACCGGGCTGTTTAGTTAGTAATAATAGGACAGCAGTTTACCATATTTAATAAAAATTACGGTAATTATCACCTCTCGAAAGGTAAATTAAGAAAATTGGTAATGTACTGTAAATAAAGCTATAACTAGTTAGCACATTAGGTATGTACTAAACAAAATTGGGAAGCGTATTTTGATACTTGCCTTGGCATATTATTATTATTCTATCCCGTAACAAGACAATGAAGTGTGCCGATACCATTATTGCTTATTCCCGTGGGGCCAATAATCAACTAGCTTTACTCCGCCACTGCCAACAAGAGATAGACGGCCTGGAGTAGGTCCTTATCCTAGTTCTCGCCCATCTTAAGCATCTCAAAGATGCCTTAAAGTCCTTTACTCGAGATATTAACAATAGATGCGACCAAACACAATACTCTCTCTAGGCTAATCCTTATAAGCTGTGACCTGAAGGATCCCTTTCAAAGCGACTTAGCACACCAAAACTTACCCCTCCAAAGGACGGGAACTTGGGGAGTAGAACAGGAGCATATCCGACCTTAACCCGCCCGTCTCCCTTGAAACCCTTGAGTAATGGAGCACTTAACGAATAACACCGTACCCTTCTTATGATGGAATGACCAGGCAGTGATACGGTGCCATCTGAGCTCGTCCACGCTTACTCCGGAAAGGCTCGGTGATCCAGACTGCCTACTTGATAGATGGCGGACATGAAGACAGTGGCACGGGCTACGGGCTAGGGGGTATTCGAGAAGCCGATGAATCATACAGAACTTGGAGATTATGGACCAAAGAGCGACCCAGAAGCGGAGCATGAATTGTGGTTGCAGGTACGGAGTTGAGGAGCATTGATGATGCCGCTTAGACCCCGTTCCCGTTCACAGTGCGCTGGTCGAAAAATTAACCACCCATCTTGTTTGTGCTGCTGCAATAAGTCTATTAATAACTCGGTCCATCACCCCACACTGCTTTTAAACACTGTCTTTCTTTTATAATGAACGCCAAGAAATGAAGTATGGCAGGTTTTGAGATGTCTGCCTGTATCATAGAAACCGTTTTCCTCATCTATAGTACAATGTAAACAGGAGAAAACAAGCTATGAGGAGTTAGCTGTATCAGTTTTTTACGAAGACAAACACACTGTATCTGTGAAGCTTCCTGAGGAAATTGTTATTTATTTACTATTTAGGACCTTTGTGCAGGTTAAATGCTAAGGGAATAGGGACTAGCTACAGTGGCTAATGCAGACCCTAATGCTCAATAAATGCTTTTTTTTTTCTGGTATACGCTTTTCTTAAACTGTGAAGATTTCAAAGTATGATAGATATAAATACTCGTTAATTCTGTTGGACTTTTCCTCTCTCGAATCTGACTTTCTTCGCCTTTTTCTATTCTGTCTATAAAACATACCCTTTCCGTCACTAAAGAAATGTTCAGTAAACCAAGAACCTCGGAAAGGCTACAATTTTTTCAGCCCTTGGCAAATGCCTTCTCTGTGACGTTGAAATGTATCTTGATAATGGGATTAATTACAATCTCCGTGACAACGAAAATAAGCAGAATAAGGGAGACAACTATTGTTATATGTGTTATAGCCAATCTCACGACCTTAACAATTCACTGGGCTAAAAGATCACTATCTGATCCCATTGGGATCAGATATTCCTGAGCACCTTATCTAGTAGGGCACTGTAATGTTAGGTGACGCACCATACCTAACAAAATGTTTCTAACAATGACCATACACGAATAATCGAATTCCTTATAAAACATCGTGTCATTTTTTGTCAATAAGATGGACTTTTATGGCTGAACTCTACTATCCTGGGTAGCTGAGTATGGTTCACTTGGTGCCGGAAACTACTTATTTACCATGGCACAAATGTCAGTACAAAAGATAAAGTGTGGACATCCTCTTCTGTGGGTAGTTGATGCAGACACAGGAAATACAAAAGAAGTGTATGACTACCTTACATCTAAGGGCGCCAAGATAAAACTGCACCATAAGTTTTTGAATGGGCTGAAGCATTCACTCGCTGGAAAATGCAACGAGGTGCTGTTCAGACTTAAAAGTAAGAGCTCTAAGTCTGCTATCATTTACAATCCACACTAATCTCAGAGGCCCTGGCAGTGGGGTTGGAAAAAAAAAACCGGCCGATTTCGAGAGTGGCTGTATAATGGCTTGCACAATTGCCCTGCCCACCCTGCGCACTTCAAGATTCTTTCCCAAACTCTAGGCCAAGAACACGGGTTTAAATACAATTAGGAATTTGTAGATCCCGTGTTCCTGAAACTTTACAGTACTATATTTTCGGTGAATACCATTATGATTCTTTCCCTATGTGTAAAGATGATACGAGAGTATAGACTAGAAGTCTGGCGCAAAAAAGCAAAACTATCAAGGTACGTGTCAAACAGACCCGGCCACTGAGAGGAAACAAGGGTAAATAGGCGACACAAGCCTTGATAATGCTTTAAGTTCGTCAGCATGAAATTGTAGCCTGTAAATAGACGTACTCGGATCCCTATAATTGTAGTAGCATGCATATGGCCGAAGGCAATGGGTCAGGGTACATGAACTAATTTTCACAATTTGATCAAATAATCTAAACCCTTTGCTCGGTCACGGATTCGAGACCCCCCAGCACGTTGTTGGTCAAGAATATCGCTCAGAAAACTTTGAGTAAATTCTCTGCTCTCACTGTCCGCAATTCATTCCATGAGGTAACATTGGACTTGATGGTTCTGCTCTCTGATCATATATGCTGGCCCATTCACTGAGCCTCATGCTGTTTATAAGGTTCTATAAGCACAGTTTTCCTAAAAGAAAAGTTTCCATTCCACAAAATCCTCCTAAAAGCCACGTGGGTTGTACAGCAGTGGAGTCAGAGATGTCTTCTTGCCGGATTTTGCTTGAATAGGCTACGATTTTGTCGTAAAAGGCAGTTCCTAAAAGCCTCTGAGGTGTTTTCGTGCATTTCTCAGTGAACGCAGTGATTTCATAGAAATTGCTACATTGCGCAAGGACCAGAAACCCCTGCAAATTCCCACCCTCGTTGATTTGTCATGCGTCCAAGAATATTGCTGATATAAACTTTCTAGCCTTTCAAACCTCCTCAAATGGGTGTACAAGTTTCTCAGATTTTGTAATGTGGCCAAAGTATATGGATGATTCTGACCCAGAACATTGATGCGACCCGACAAAGCCTGCCGATACATGCTCTCGGCCTCGGCCCACCTGTTCAGGTCGCAGAATAGATTCCCAATATTGTTGATAGTTGACAGAGTGGATGCATGGTTATCGCCCAAGATTCGTTTGCGCCCTATTAAGGCCTTCTGGTACATCCTCTCTGCCTCCTCAAATCGTTTCTGACGTGAGTACAAATTCCCGATATTGTTGAGTGTAGCCAGCGTGAGGATATGGTGATTACCTAGGATGTATTCGCGGCCTCGAAGTGCTCGCTCATACAGCTCTTCTGCCCTATCGTTCAGACCTTGGTGTAGGCACAGGTTGCCTAGGTTATTGACCGCCGCCAGAGTACACGTATGATCCGGACCGAGGGTCTTCTCGCGGCCAATGATGACATGCTCATACATCGCCTCGGCAGCCTTGTTATTCCCTTGATGGGAATAAATATTTCCAATATTGTTGATCACGACCAGTGTGGAAATGTGGTCAGGGCCCAACTGTTTCCTTCGACCAGTCAAGGCACGCTGATACATTGCCTGTGCCAGATCAAGCTTTCCTTGCCAACATAGAAGATTTCCCATGCTATTGACTGTCGCCAAGGTGGTAAGGTGATTAGGACCTAGGATGCTCTCGCGTTGGATGAGCGCCCGCTGATACATATGGTAGGCTTCTTCTAATCGACCCATACGAAGATACAGATCCGCAAGATCATGCACTACGGTAATGGAGGAGTGGGTAGTACCCAGAAGCTCCTCGTATTCCGTGAGAGCTTCTCTGTATAAATTATTTGCCTGATTAAGTCGGCCATGATTTGAGAGAAGATTGCCCACCCTATGCAGTGCTTTAGGAAGCTCTGTGCTATCATTGATTTTCCATCGATGTTCCCTTCGTTGGAGGATTGCAACTGCATGAGGAAACAGTCTTCGCTGTAAACGTGACTGAACGAAGTTACCCGGTGACATAACTAAAGAAGAGATTGACACCAGTACCATATTTTGATACAAGATTTCTCGATCTCTGTCAACTTGGCGAAGAGTGTGACGACACCAGTCCTGGACGACAGGATGCATGGAATAAACCCCTTGTCCGTTATTTGTTTCTATCAGAGAGAATTCAACCAGGATTTCTATGACTTGTGCAAATTGTAGTTCATTTTCAACAACTTGATGGAGCCATCTCGGTGCATCAGAGTAGTAAGCGGCGTTTTTGATGAGCTCGAACCATATATATTTATTGTCAAAGAAAGCAAGAAAAATAAGCAGCTCTGCAGCCAATGGACTCCTCTTAAAGATCTCATCATAGGAGATAGACCATGCAAGAAGGATGCCTTCGTGTGCATAATGACGCAAGGATCTGAAGCTCCGATGAAGATCCCACCAGGATCTCTCATAAAGATCTAGATATTTAGAAAAGCCCAAGCCAGTACGTTTGATGAAGGCACCCGCTATGACTATTGCTAATGGCAACCCGTCTAGTCGCTGAACTAGACGGGATAAATCTGTTGGAGTCAGTAGCTGGATCGTTCCTCTTTTCTGAGGGAAAGGTGCCTTGCCTGGGTTGAGAGGCCCCCCGGCCCTGATATCTGGTAATAATCCGCAACTCTGGGAAAATAAGTGAATCGTATCTTCAAACCCCATCTTACCTACAGGAAGCGATACTCCAAGTTCACCAAGGGATAATAAGCGGGTAGTAATGATTATCGAGCCATGATCTGCTGACGGGAAGAACTCTCTGATGCCGTTTCCTGTTTCCCCGTCAATTTCCCAGTGCCGATCGACATTATCAAAAATGAGAAGCCATTCTGAATTCTCAGGAATCGATAACCACTGCTTCACTCTTTGCACTCGCTTCTCCAGGTCACCCTCAGAGGAGATACCACACGAAGCGCTTTCTCCTGGAATTTGAGTTGATATGGATGCTAAAGACTTGGTTAATGTCACTTTATCCTTTGCATTGAGGATGAAAATTGCTGTGAAGGAATGCTGGTTGATACGCGCAAATCGTATTGCTAATTGGCTCTTTCCGATGCCTCCTAATCCGTGTAGCACTGTCACCTTGCGAAGTGGGGATTTACTTGGACTCAATTCAATTGCCAGCCGATGTAAGATATCTGTACGTCCCACATAGTTATCAATTGCAGGAAATTTACTGAGATCAAATGAAACGCGAAATCTCTGATCTGCGTACATACGTGTTACTAGAGACTCTTATACATTTAAAATTGGAACATAAAGGTTTGAAAGCATACCCCATGTTGAGAGCACGTTCTGTGCCTTTTTTGTTTGAGCAACCTGACTTACTGGAACAACTTCGAGAAGTTCCTTTGCGTAAGCGGCCGCTGCTGCTGCCGCATACCCTTGCCATGTATTGTTTTTATGCGAATCTGCATAATCTGATATTCCTCTGATTAATATGCACGGGTAATGGTTCATCAGCCCAGCAGCTTCCATCTCAACACAGTAGGCACCAAAATCTTGTCTCAATCGGTCCCTCATGAGGCCATCTTTGATGACCTGGTTTCCCGAAGCTATCAACCCATAATGTATTGCTGGTCCGTTGATCATCCTCGCTGCTCGTGTAATTACTCCATGATGTCCCACTGCGTACAGTTCATCGAACAAGTGAACCGGAAGATACTCCTGTTGCATCTGTGGATACTTCGCTATCATGTCGCGAATATAAGGCGACACTTTACTTCCGTTTAGTCGATGCTTCGCCTGTAGCCTGGCGAGCGCGGTTAGAAGCACTTGCGGCGGACGATTCAACGTTCCCATCCGTTGGAATTGGCCACCATGTAGTGCTTTCCCAAAGTCATATTGTACAACGCCACCATGCGTTCCGCAGGGTTGGCTAACAACAATATCGCCCAGTCGAATGTCGGCGTCTGAGCTTGGTATTCCCCCTCCAATCCCCACCATGAGCCCAAACCGAACGGAGCAGAAGCTCGATAATAACTGAATGGCGACAGCCGTAGCAGACGTAGTCCCATGCTGACCGCTGGGCAAGCAGGCAAGCACCACATTGTGGTTCCCAACCCTTCCCAGAGTATAAGCATTTGTGTCATTCGGCTGAACTGGTAAGTCTTCATGAATTTCATCGAGCATGGCAGTTGCAGCCGCCATCTCTAACGGCAGTGCGCATATCCATCCTACTGTGTAGTCATCGTGTGATAGCCTCATGATTCCACAAATCCAACGTGACAAGAATAGCAGACCAAGAAATAAGTTCCCAACTTTGCCATGTGTCAGAAATATCTGTTAACTGCCTTATCAGATATCAAAACTAGAAGTTCATGAATGCCTGCTGCTGCTGTTATAGGTGTGTGATGGAGGAAATAAATAATTTTCGCCTATTTCCCTTTGCCCAACCAGTAGGGTCAGTCTCCAGTGAGGCGGGGAACGATCTTATCTCGGGTAGATACGCATATACTAGTATGCATTAGCCTCTGGAAAGTTGCCACTAAGGTTATCGCTGTAGCGTATTAGAATAGAATGGTTAATACCAAGCTTGATTCTTGGCAAATTTAACAACGAAGCAATGCGGCGGAGACGCATGCAATGAACTAATTTCAAAGGCTCCATTCATCCACAAGTGAGGCCGAGTCTTCGGGCGAAACGCCCAAGTAGGATAACAATGTGGCTCATCGCATTCTCAGGAGGTAGTATCCTCTTTCCCAACCCGGGCGGAGAAAGTACATCGCAGGCATACGAACATGTGCATCTGCTTGAAATTCTCCATAAACGCTGGGCCTGGGCTCTTCTCGCCCAGTCGGTAGGGGATGAGGCTAAGGTGAGGTTGCCGAAGCCAGAGAATACGATGACCAGACTGAGGAAGACTGCCATGGTAGAGGGAGTTAGTTATTTCGTCTTTCTTCTCACTCAGTGCGGTCAACGATATGTACTCTTCGAGGACTCCATGTAGAACTTATCCAAATAGTCATTGAATAAACCGATTAGAAAGTAGTTGAGAAAGTTTAACGGGAATCCAAACACAATAACATAGTCTACATTGAAAAGAAATCCCTGGCGGTCCATTAATGCCGGGAGGGACTATAACACGAGAGATGTGTAGCCCAGAATGGTGAACTTGGAGGAGAACTGGAGATCGGACCAGAGAAGCGTCATGAAGTACCGGGTACAAGGACCTACCAAAGCCATGTCCGCAGCGGATTAAAGACTAGTTCATTGCAGCCGTACGCATATCTGCTTTCCCCACGTAACATACATTATTTCTGCACTGGATTATCCACGGGGTCGATTCTCCCATCGCGCAAGTTCATCGTAAATGGGTGAGAGATACACGCTTGAATTCCCGATAATGATTGGCCAGCCGAATAATATTGCTGGCGATCTATAACAGCAGAGCCAGGTCAAAATTCTCCAACACATGGCTCTCGGATCGGTGGGTCACATAGCCATCGGGGATCGTCACGGCCAGCGGATTGCACCGCTACGCTTGTTAGTTCAGGGCTTGAGAGAGAGAAGGAGGGTGTTGAGATCGTTATAAAGACCCTAGCTATCCAGAGCAAAAAGGTATTGTGACCCACAAACGGGCGCGGTCTCCCCATTGCACACCGAGAATTGAATTACCGAATACATAGATAAGATTGGTGAAGAACGCAGTGCTGTTCTCGAAGTAATCCCAGGATACCCGCATGACACCCGTTGCGTGCTGCACAATCGCCACTTCAACTAAGTCCTCTGTACTAGTGCCCTTGTTTTTATGCTAGTCACCAGCGGGTTACTACTGGGGTGTCAATGCTTTGGTGTAATATATCCGCATAGATTGTACTCCACAGGAAAATAGTTGATTCCTTTTAACACATTGGATTCACTGACGCATGGCACAGATACGGGTAACATTTAGATATATTCAAATATTTCGTCTCATACATAACATACCCTAGTAGGAAATACAAACGTATACAAGATACTATTGCCATCGATGCATCCATTCATCAACGATCCCTGCATAGAAAGGCCCAGATACACTGGTCAACTCTCGCCAAATCCTCTCTCGAATGAGAGAAGAGCTTAGTCCTAGGCTCTGTAACAGAATTTCATTGTACTATCTTTACTCGATCCAAATAGTTTCCCACAGCTATGGGATATTCTTATGGATTGAATCCACGTCGAGTCCAACTCCAGTGACCTGTCTTCAAACTACATCTTCCTAAACAGCCTCACAAATACTCGTGTGAGAGGTTGCGTTGAGGCGCAGCGGAGATTGGATTCGTGCCTGGGACTCCATGACTCTAACTTACCGGTGAGGAATGCAGCTAACTACAAGGCTTATACTTCGGCAACAACGGCGATTGCCTCGGTTAGGATAGCACCCAGAATGTCAGACGATCGATCTCTTTCCACGACTAACTTTGGCGACACCATGCGTCGAAAGAGTGAGTATGGTATAGCATTACGGTCTTAGTGGGATGACAGACTTAATTCCGCAGTGCAGGAAGCAAATATGCTCTTGGTGTTGCATGTCGCTTGTGCATTGAAGGCATGCCAGTCATTTTCGTGAATATGCGGTTGTTTTGGTTCTCGAGCGCTACTACAGTTGGTTTGGAATTGGATAGAGCACAACTTGGTCCAATGGATTCTGAAAACCCGTCTGGTTAAAACTATATTAAGACCAAAAGTGTGTACCCCGTCGCCTGTACGATTAATTCGACTAATGGAACTTATGTTCCGTCAGGCAATGCATGGTGGGCGCTGAGGACTCCGAGACATTATTGGTCTGTGCCCGATAGACATGGATGTTTAGAAGAGTGAATGGTCTTCCAAAGACCGGGCTGATTGGCAATTTCTCCGGACGACATACAGTCGATAACCCTCGGCTTTATTCGACGAATAACTGTAGTGGATTAGCTTACCACTTAGACTGTTGATGGACGAAGTTTCCCCTTCTTCGGATCCGACTGGTAATCGGCAGACTGTTGGAGCTACCGCTTTCCACATCTAACTTATCACAAACCATTCTAGCATATTCCGTGGATTCTGCGTATCTATGAACATTCTACCTTGACACTCCATCCCCATGGAGATTGCGAGCCAACCAGCTTGGTTCGTGTAGGAGGCGAGCATACACACGGAGTCACTATCATAGAGTCTCCTAGTGCTTGCTCCCTTGTCACTCGCAACTATTATCCATTAGGGTGCTTAGTTATCGGAAGAGCCATGTTCGCGGATGATCTAGCGTACCTTCACTAGTTCAGATCGGTGTCCAGTTGGACAGTAGGAGTGGTTTTATGGAGGGAGGCAAGTCGAAAGAAGACTTTGCTCAACACTGGATGGCCACGGTTCGAAGATCTACGTTGCTGTTCGCGGGTTCGTGAGCTTTCAGCGCTTCGGAAACATTCATATATGTAGGAAATCAGGATACCTAAGGCAGCTTTGGGTATCCTAGTCCCGCAGCGATCTGATATATCACACTCAGGGGCTAAGCAACACGTAGACATAAAGAAGCCTTTGCTCACTCTAGACAATAGAACACACACCTTGCGATACTAGATCACACGATGGTTTCAATATAAAATGTAGTCACCGCTATCCTACGGCCTCACAACATACCTTCTTCCCCTAGAGACTTCAACAGTATATACCGCTTTCCAAGACAAGGGAATAGGGAGATGTCCGAGGTTCTACTGTCAGTAATTTCCCCGGTCTTTGGCATGGGCAGTAGGAATTTTGCTCAGATGCCCGTCGACTTTAGGTATAGCGGGTATGTTGGGCAGGCACAGAGGCCAATGCCTTGACGATGATTAGCTTGTCTTACACAATCGTTATCGACTGGACAGGTTCAATTGTGGAGCCTAGATCAAGCTGCCATTATTTTGTTGCTAGTCCACAAGCACTTGATGCATAAAAAACATTAATGTTAAGGTCAATAAACCCAGCTCAAGACACTGACCGACCTTCCAGTTAAACCGCATATGTTAGCCGAGGTCTTATTTCTCAGCCAAAGCGTGAAGTTAGCGATTGATTTTCCACCCAGCGATATATTGATTATCTCCATCTCCAGGATGAGGAGGTACGACTAAAGCTAATGGGAGAACTCATAGAGACTGTAGGTGCTTTGACTGAGCAAATTGGTGCAGTGTTGGTCTACAGCCCAAGTCCCTCCCAGGCGGGAGCGAGTGGCTACGATGAGCAGCGCTGAGTCTGGATCTTGATCTGCATCTATTGACTTCGACAATGAATAAGCGGAGCAAGATCTGTTTTGTAGATTCCGACGGTATCCGTCTTTGAGGTACACGCCACGTAACTGGAGGTAGGTTTTGGAGGTGTTTAATCCACAGAGACCTAGACAGTGTAAGCCAATAAACAATAAAGATCAATAGCTGTATCTCTGCTCCGGCCACAACAACTCTAGACATAGTGCTGCAATGTCTCGGTGCATAATAATGGTAGGGTTACAAGTAGCAAGTCCGAAAGTCTGAATGGCATCCCCCAGGGGGTTAGTACCGCCCCCTGCTGTCCCCTTAATATTGCCCTTGCGCTTACTCTATTAATAAACTATTCCATAATCCAAGCTGTGCATTTGGTTTCTCACGGGTTAGATAAAGAACTCGCTCTGCGCGGTTTCTTTGTCTGATACGAGGTGGCGGTGTACTAGGGCTAGATAGGATCCATACCCCCTATCTTGATTTGCTGCAAGATCCGCCGCCTCCGGTAAAAGCATCCAAAATAGGTGACGAATGATGTGCACTCAATACGATTCTTTCTTTATGTATCGAGTGTCTGGTGACTTGCTTCTTTGCCTCGAGATGCATGTGGGCCATGATTCCAAATCTCCAAGGAAAGGACAAAGAATTGAGCAATGAGATGCTTAGTATATATTTCAGTCTACCATCTCCATTCCATCCAACATTGGTTTCATCTATAAAAGAAATCATCCAATATTCGAAGCATAAAAATGAGATTATATGCCTCAGCATTCACTAGAGTATCACTGTCGTTGCGCCGAACCCCGCCACGCTGTCTTCCATTGCAGCCGTTCCGCCAAAGTTCCCACGCCGCCCTAGCGAATACCAAAGAAACTACGGATACCAAAGAACCTACAAGGCCGCCATTCACCGTTAATAGCTTACGTGCGCTCTACGAGAAAAAGGAGCCAGTGACGATGCTCACAGCTCACGATGCTCCCAGTGCCTTGGCCGCTGATCTTGCTGGCATTGATTTAATCTTGGTAGGAGACAGTCTGGCCATGGTAGCCCTAGGCTTGGAGGGCACAAGTGAAGTAGCACTTGATACAATGCTGCTTTATTGTCGCAGTGTCTCGCGTGTTGTGAAATCATCCTTCATTGTAAGGCTACCTTTAGTGATGCACCATCACTAGATCTAAATTCATGGTTCATACGCTGATATTGACTCCGTGGTAGGTCGGTGACCTACCCTTTGGCTCTTATGGAGTCACCCAAGAGCAAGGGGTAGAATCAGCCATTCGAATGATAAAAGAGGGACGGGCGCACGGTATCAAACTTGAGGGAGGAGCAGAGCTGGCTCCAACCATGGCTTCCATCAGTCGAACAGGGATCCCAGTTTTTGCCCATATTGGACTCACCCCTCAACGTGAGCACGCTCTGGGAGGGTTTAAACCCCAGGGCAAATCGGCTGCTAACGCAGTCAAGATTTTCCATGATGCACTAGCAGCCCAGAAGGCCGGAGCCGTAGCCGTCGTTCTGGAAGCTGTTCCGGCTGAAATTGCTCGGGAAATTACGCAGAGGCTCCGCATACCTACCATTGGCATTGGGGCGGGAAGCGGGTGCTCTGGACAAGTACTTGTTCAAAATGACATGGCAGGGAACTTTCCGCCAGGTAGACACATTCCTAAGTTTGTTAAGCAATATGGCAACGTTTGGAAAGAAACGGAGTCAGCCATCAAAAGTTTCCGTGAAGAAGTTAAGAATCAGCAATTTCCAGAGTACAGACACACGTATGCCATGAAGTCAGAGGAGCTGGAAAAGTTCAAGCGAATCATGGATGGGATAGAAGGAGAGCCGATGCAAATGGAAAGATAGAGACTTTACCCTGTTAGCTAAAATTGCCACGCTTGCCGTAGTAATTGCAAGTTTTTGCCCAGTATGTAGGCCGCTGCTGATAAAAATAAATGAAGTACAATTAAACTTCAGAGGTGACAAGCCTTCCTCCGTCTACTGTTTGTCCTTTCCAGGGCATAGGAATAATGCCAAGCATATTTGGTAATATATTGGTTAAATTTAGTGACAGCACTGCTGCTCATAGATAGTATTTTTCACGATCCAACCTAGGGAGCGTTCCTGAGGCTAAACCGCTGCGCAAGGAACAAAAGACTAATATTCTAGGAGGCCAGTCCTAGAGTCACTCTTTCTTATATAGTAGGTTGCCAGCGCCGTCACAGTATGATAGAGATATTACATAGTCCATACTAAAAGATAAACTTCTTATCCATAGTAAAATATGTCTATAAAGAAAACAAGAAAGTAGATGGAGTTACAGTGTGGCAAGTCTAAGGAATAAACAGTTAGAAGACGTAAATAAAACTTCATATTGTCTAGCACCTTTATAAGAATAATAAATATCATTAATAAAACCATAAGAGCAATATACTAACTAACTAGTTTTATTAATTTAGTTACATTACAGGAATCGGGATCGTCCTTTCTTTCCTTTTTCTGCTAAATTAAATACTGTCGACCAAAAAAAATACGCGTATTCGCAAGTATCGATCCTCCATAGAATTAGGTCTCTAATTCAACTAAACTACCAAAACATCTCGCTTTATAAGGCGAGGTAAACAAACGAAGAATGTATACCAACTAATATAGGAAATATAAGCGATCCGATGCAATATTTGACCGCGAAAGGTGCCGAATAATCAATATTACCATAGCTAACTAGTTAATTGCCAACAAATACGTAAATACACATGACCACTTGCAGCGGAACAAAGCTCCCCGCTTTGCTTCATCGTGCTCTGCCGCTGGACACTACCTGTGAATTTGTCATATTACCTGGGAGAATAAGATGAAAATATCAACATGTGGCGTCACATATTATCCAGTCTTGCTTGCTCCGATGTGTTTCTGTTAATGACTTTATTAGCATTGACCGAAGCACTGATTGTCGCCTCGAAAGTACCCATGCTCAATGCCCTGGTCTGTCGCAATTGGCATCACACCACTGTACAATCCTGCGGACAGTCTGATATCCAGAAGGAAACAGCCTATTTAGCTGGGGGTGACGAACAGAGCCTATCTTTCATGGGCATGGTAGTTGCCCTTCCAAGCGCGTGGGTAGCGAACCAAATGAATAAACATAAGTTTCTCACGGTCTGTACCGTAAGCCACACAGTCAAAATAATTGCCTTCTATCTTGGGTGCTGTTATTTTGTGGGAGATTCGCGCTTGATTTGGCTCACGAACATATTTGATCTCGCCGGTGCTAACCGTGGATTCATGTACACACGGCTATGGGCATTACTGGCAGAGGGGACTCCAGAAAGGCTAAGGTACGAGATTCCAATCTATGTTTGTTGTTATGTTCAGAGTTGTTTAACATAAACAGGTCGTCCACCTTCCTAGCGGTTAGCTCTATCCTGCTTACTGTGCAATGTGTGGCAACAACAATCAGTGGTTTTCTCCTCCAACAATCTCTATGGACAGTAGGACTGTTGGCAATCGTTGTCTCTCTATCTCAATTCGCTGTTCTCATTGTCCTATTTACCCGTGGAGCTTCGGTTAAAAATATAATATCGAGGCAACCAAGCACAACCACTTTAGGCCATTCCGAATCGACTGAGCTCCAGGATGAGGATGAGAATTCTACCCTCCTCAATCAAGCGGAAATTATGTGCATGGAGAGATCAGAATCTACGGATAACACTCAGTCTCATTTTTGCTGCGTATGGTGGCGATCCCACAGTCTGCAGCGCAGTAGGCATTCTCCGGTCGGATTCTTCAGTCTATTTTATCAGGAATTTCTTCGGCGCCCTGAGTTCCTCGCAGGTTTTACACTAGAGGCCCTAGTAGTACTAGGGACAGGAAATAAGATAATATTACAGACATGGGCAAGTCTACAATTTAATTGGGAGCTGGCAAATACAACTTTTATAACATCCTTCACGCTACTCACAAGTCTGGTGGCTCTGGCAGCGGCGCCTTTCATAAATGCTCGGCTACTCCCTTGGTATCAGCAACCCCGGCAAATGGATTTATTTCTCGTTCGAGTAAACTTGGCACTATATGGATGTGGCGCCTTGCTCATGGGATTTAGCAGCTCTCCTATTCTTTTCTTTCCAGGGCTTCTTCTTTACACCCTAGGCGTGGGGGTCCTAGATTGCGCACAATCTTTGCTCACTAGCCTCACAACGCCTGCCCATTTTACAGAGCTGAATGCCGCGAGATCGATTATCCACAGTCTAGCTGGTGTAATCGGCGGCCAATTATGGCCGTCTTTACTAAGTCTACAGATGGCACAACCCGAATTTTGGCCAGGCTGGCCCTTTTTGGTTAGCCATTTACTCTTCCTTGCGGCGTTTACCGTAACCTCTGTCTTCTATCGTTCGTTTCATAGAGTTAGCTCTTCTTAAGGAATATTTATGGCATGGAAAGACCTATTAAATCGTCGCTAAGTAGGCAGTGCCCTCTTCCGCTCCGTCATGAGTTCGATAAAAAGGAGTGTTCTTGCATTTGGCTGCGGATTGATTAGAGGTTGATAAATCTATCCTAGAATATTTCAATGCATTTAACTAAAGAACATTTTAAAATGCAGCCTTTGGTATATCTTACAGTTTTCACACTTTTGGGGCCTTCCCGGAGAGCCAGCGCTCTTTCACTATTCCCATCCAAGGGCATCTCTTGTTATTCATAAAACGGCGCCTTTTATGATCACTTTTTTGTGAATATGGCTGGCTCTTCATCTTCGTCCCAGAGCCACCGAATGCTTGTTGCCTTCGAATTAGTCTTATTCAAGTGGAACTCCAGTATGGTCATCCTGTAATCGCACCAAAGCGGATATATGGTTACCAAATGATCATCGTGCGACAGGGGGAAAAAGCTGTATGTATCCTTTCTGTAAAACTGCAAATCACAAACTGAAGCAGCTTGTCGGTTGAACACCACAGCTAGAGAGAATCCAGGTGATGTGTCGCTAGGTTTTGGAACGATGCTTAAAACAAAAGTGTCGTCGAAGCCATAATAGTCGCCTAGGTATAGGGTTCTGCTCCGTTCTTCATCGGTTTCCCTTCTGTTTCGTCGCCATGGACCCGCAAATTCAGTCTCATACCACTCACGTGGAATCTGGGCTTCCATCCTGACCAGTGGAAGTATATCTACATGGGGCTGAAGGTCGAAAAGAGCCTGGATTAGTATTTGTGCGGTGAAATCACTAGCATCTCCGCTATTGAGAGAATTTGATAGTGCCACCACAGCACTTTGAGTCTCAGGGAATGTATAAACAGCCGCTGTCGAGCCGTTCATGATCCCATTGTGGCAAATAGTGACCATAGGTTTTGATCGGGTCCCAAGGATATATTTCAGATGTTCGTTCCTTTTGCGCGTGTCTGTATTACAGCTCAGTGAACCTATCATTGAAGATGGCATCTCGACTCTTAGCCACCCCATGCAGTATGCTGTTTCGTTCTGGAATGTGTCATCCACAGGCCTAGTCCAGTAGGCTTGCCGAATTTTCTTCATCTGTCTCAATGGGTTTTCCGATCCTATGCTACCGCCATTTTGATCTGTCTCTTGTGTTTCAGCTTCCAGAACGGCCTTGGACCAGGTGAGCATGTCATTCAAACTGCTGCGCATCCCCATGGCAGCCAACAGTGGAGAGTGGTCATCACACGGCCAAGATTCCGAAGAAAGCTTGGCATATTTCCCGTCACTTGTGTATACATAGGGGTGTGCAACATTGTCCTTCTTCCAGTCCCTGCTTGAAATAACTGTTGAATGCATTTGGAGGGGAGTCAAGATATGTTCCCGCACATAACTTGCATAACTCTGTCCACTGACTACCTCAACTACCTTCGCAACCAGTCCGTAGGGGTAGTTATTGTACATCCACCAGGAATTGAACCGTTGTCCTTCATGGTTAGATGTCGGTAATGAATTCAGTAAACGGATGTAATCCTTCTCATTATTAAGAATGGTTGATCTCGGCCCAAGACAGAGCAGAGTTGGCTGTGCAAGTCCTGTAGAATGCCGCAGAGCGTCAATCAGGTCCGCCTTTAGACCTATATTGGGGTCCCCGCTGGGGTTAAACTCAGGGATGTATTTCTGTATTGGATGAAGCCATGAGAGTTTCCCCTCGTCGACGAGTTTTCCGACCGCCGCTGACAAGAATGATTTTGAGATTGACCCAATAATGTACATGGTATCTGGGTTGGCGTCAAGTTGATTCTCTACATCGCGGTAGCCGATGCTCTGTCGATGGATCACTTGGCCATGGTGTAGCACGCCCCATGAAATGGAGGCAACTTCGCATATCTGCTTCACTTCTTCAACCAGGGGAGTTGTCCCAACAAGTCTAGAGAGAAGAGTGTCGTCGTTCATGATGGTCTGACGATCCACGCCTTGCTCTCCCGTTTTGTCCCTCTCTTGGCGCTCTCTATGCCTTCGAAGTGTTAGGGATGCCGCCAGAATCTGTGGCGGTTTTAAGCAGCACGAAGTCATGCATTGGTGGATTATGTCATTGTTATATGTAGATGACGACTATTGGCATATTCTTACACCATGACGGCAAAAAGAGGGGTAACTACTAACGTGGGACAGATCGCGGCCATAGGAGCAACGCGGATTGTGTAATCTCGTAGGTTTAAAGAGAACTCGAGCAGTACAGATGATGAGCGGTCAGACTATGAGTTGACAACTCAGTGTATGCAGGGTACTATCTCCGGTGAGAGGGGAAACGCCACATCAGAGATCTGCACTTAACGGTGTGAGGGGTCGGACCTATAAAACGAAGTTAAATAATGGTCACTTCAGATCGCGGACAATATCTGCGGATAGATCCGCATGGTCACCAGTGAATTGTTCTATAAGCCAGTCATAATCCAAGTATGTGCCAGGTGCCTATCATCAAGGTTCAGTGATCATGTATAAACGAGGTCAATGCGTAGAATAATCAGCATATTCAACCAATAAAGTTAGCACATATATGAAGGTAGACACGTCACCTCCAGAACCCCTCACATTGTAAGGTGGCGTTGCAATTGACATACGATTTGATGTGCAATGACGGCTGGAAGATAAATACCCATCCTACGCTCCATGTACGAACGAGATGAATGCAGCAGTCTTTATGCTTTAAAGAGTAAGTATTAAGAGCTCGTGACTTCTAGAAAATTACTGATGAATATACTAATTAAACTTGATAGAAAGTTATTCAATCTGCTAAGTCAACTCTAAACTATTTGTCTCACCCGCGCTTAGACATATAATCAAGTGAGGAAACATTCAGATTTCCATTCTTGACGGTTCTTAATATAATCCACAGGATGCCGGGTTCTATCGGTGCATCTGGAGGCAATGGTGCAAGTGGAGGCAATGGTGCAAGTGGAGGCAATGGTGCAAGTGGAGGCAATGGTGCTGGTGGTATCAAGGGAGGTGGCGGCCAACCCAAGAACAAGTGAACGGACAGCTTGATTATTTGGTCGTTATCGGGCCATTTTTGCGTCGACTTTAGCTATGATGGTAGTCAATAAAACTGTACCGAAGGTTTCCGTGTACTTTTTAGGGAGGAGGCTTCGGTTCAACATACCTCTACAACGTAGATAAGTACTTTCTCTATGGTTTCTATCCATACTCTCTCTACCTCTAGAGTTAATGTAGTTGTTCTTTAGAGACATGAACGAGGTAGATTGTCGAGGGGTGGCTAAACTGGAGTTGTGATAGCGAAATGGATATCTACTGGTAAGTATTGATAGATGTATCGTTTTCCCTTCCTACATTTGAATTGCGAAATATAGTTCGACAGAGTATATTGGTTGGTCACCCAAAATAGGAAGGGATATAACATTCGTTTATCTTATAGGTGTTGACAAGAAATGGACTGGTTGAGTTTTCGTATCAGGGTTAGTATGGCTGCGCAAGCATAACTCCGATTACCAATTTCTAGAATGCTTACTGGGCATTTTGATGCCTCCATAAGTGGTTGAAGATCCACAGAAACTCGTATTCCAATCTGCCAGAAAGGGTTAGCCCAGTAAATACGAGAAGCTTTACACTTAGATGTACTCTAGACTTCAACCACATACCTTGCACGGTGAAAATTGTGTAACTACCTGCAAAATGCCTGGGTTTCAGAGTCTCCCACCAGAGATTCTCCTCTGGATTTACCACAGTCTAGATTCTATCGCTGATGCGTATTTTCTTGCCCAATCATGCAAACATGCCTACCATGTCTTCGGTCGGTCACAGGACCAACTAAAGATATTTGAATCAATTATAGTATGCTATCATATGCCAATGTCTGAAATCATCCTAGGTACCAGCTGACAGTCACTTAGAGCAATGCAATTCGTGGTGCAACTCCGAGTCAATCCTGGCTGGAGATTCAATTCGGTGCCGGGTCCCTCTGGCAACCGAAAGAATCAGACCTTCCAGCAGCCCTCACAGAAAAACTGTCACGAGAATTCCTTCTAAATGTCGGCTTTCCTTCTATTAAACTCTGCCGCGCAGGTTTTGAGTCTGTCCATCTATCAAAATATGCAGATGAGGGCAAGAAATTACATGAGTTCGATAGCGATGACCTTTATGGGCGACGGGTCCCTGAAAACCCACAACCTCCACCAACCAATTTTAGTTTCCATTTTGGGGACATGGATAACTATATGGTCATGCTGGATAATGAAAGCGGACTTGTATCACTTTATGACCCGGACGGTTGGGACCATGCAAAGGGTTATCTTGGTCGAGTCGCATTTTCGCTGGATAATTTGGCAGTGCTGTTGGGAATGGTAGCGGCCGTAACTAAAGATTTACGTGAACCGCCATCAGATGATGTGACCTGGGAGGAAATGGAGCGGCGTGTCGAGATACTTAAGCGCCCTCTTGACATACTGCGGAAGAAATTGGAGGAGTATGATGACTGCATACATGACGACTCGGTCTTTTGGAATGAGCTGTTCTCGCATTTGCTAGACGATATGGACATTCGGAATTAAACCATCTTTGTTAAAATATATAGGTGTGTCAACCAGAAATACAAATCGCCGGGGAACAAAGACGTTAAGTTTGTAGTTCGTTATGGTGCTATCCATCCTTTCCGGAGAAAAAGATCCTTTGGCCTACTGCTCAATCCAGCTGGTGTCGTATAACTAGCGATTCTAGAGGCCAATCAGTCGCTCACTATTTTCAAATTTGCTGAATACTAATTTTTCCTGCTTTTTATCTACTCAAACCCTAGTATGTACATATTACATAGCCGCCGCAATAGTCAACCTTAGGAATTAGGATGAATGTCAGCATTATGTTGGGCTGCGGAGTGTTCGTATATTATATTAAATTTGGCCAATCAGCACAAATGTCCTTTCCACGGTTGAACCCTTCCAGGGACCAGTAGAGTTTCCATTTCGGGTACAATATCTCCAACCAACCGAGCAAAACGCTACGGACGCCAAGGCCATTGTTGATCCTGTTCTAGTATATGAGCAGTTCCGCCCTGGAGTCGCACGACCACAGTGAGCAGGGTGAGTGGACGAGCAGTTGGGGTGGTGGGCGGTGCGATGACGCAGCTCATATCAACTGTAGAACCCATGACTTTGCTAAAACTTTTATTGTACGCAGACTTAGTCGTAGCCATCTTCACAGCCAGAAAGCCGGCGAAAGACAGGAAATCCGGCCCTCAGACCTTACGGTAACTTATATTGTTAAGCTGACTCTGCACTCGTTTATTATCCTTTCATAGAGTAGCTTTAGGGCACTTGCTCACGGAGACTATTATTCAATTGATCTCTGCCCTCAACTTGTGTAGATAGAGTAACTGGTGAGATATATTATAGATAGCAACCAAGAAGCAATAAGCCACCTACAACTCTCATAACTAACACATATAAACTGAGTTTTGTCTCCCTGGTTGAGAAATGGTTTCTGCGTCTTGACCATAGAAGAATCGGCCGACAATGGTCCCTGTACCACGTCCGCTTCTTTTTGCTCATCCGGCATTCGGAAATCTGTTATGAGATCTGCAACCAAGACGCCGCCAAAATGCTCCACTGTTCCTTATTCCGGTTCCAGAATGAAATTTTTCGGAAGTCGGTGTTCTTGAATACGTAATTTAGCGCGGCGCCGAGATCCTTGGTGGCATAGATTCCGGGCCCCAATTTATTATCAAAACTAGTACTGGAAGTTACAGGTAAAAAGAAAGTCATCGATAAGCACACAGCTAGACGTGTGAACCCCGTGAAGAGAAACGCGCTGCTCCCCAGGTCAAGCGTATCCCGTACTGATTTCTCAAATGGGCTTCTAATTTTTCTGTATTTTTATGGCGTTTCTTTAAGCATAGGACAGTCTCCGGTAATGTTTGCGGGCGACAAAGTTGGAGTGCCACAACTACGCGCATAGATCTTGGGTCCTTGATGTACGCCTTGTTTGCGGACGATGAGAGCTGCGCAAAACAGTCAGTGAGCCCTAAAGATTTCATGGGTACTATGAGGTAAAGTTCAATCCTACGCACCGTACTTTCCATACCACTTCTGATACTCCCACAAGAACTGCCCTCCAGGACACTTAAAGCACTCGTACTAAGTTTCAACACATTGTGTCCACGCCGCTAGCTTGGAACCGGGGATGCGTTGTAGGGGTAGAAGAATGTTCGTTGTACAGCAAAGCCAACAGTGTAGCGGACGTGGAGTCCACGGACAGCAAGTCTAACCTTGGTATAAATGATATCAAAGTTCTGAAAGTTTTGGGCCATCATGGGTATACTGTTTAGTGTGGAGTGTATTAATGGCTTCTTGGTCGCCCAAAGCCGGTTCTTCACTATGTTAAAGACTCGCTTCCATACGTTTCAAGCTGCTGGAAAGTATAAGTTCTCCGCATTATCCCTCCTCCGCCACGTTCAACCGCTATTCTACATATGACACTCGGCCCTACGAGCTGCAAGTAGCGCATGCATTAAGATGGTAATGAGGCACAAAGACAGTGTCTTATAAGGAGCGCTGTAAGGCTTATCTGGTCTAAACACGGACTAAAATGCGACTGAGCAATCATAAGACACGGCCAGGCGGCCACGCGCCTGCTTTCCGCCAATGAGTAGGTTAACGGTAATTGCACCTGCCGGCTTAACGTGCAAATCATATGGAGTACGGAGCAAGCAGTGACTATTCAATTGCGCGCCCGGAACGTGCCGTCCAAGAGCATTTGCAGGATTATATCCCTGTCACATGTTTTATCCAGAACTGGGACACTATGCTGGCAAGGGCTGCCAATTGGCCGTGTTAAGCGGTTTGTGTTGGTCCTGGGCGGTTATGCCCACACCTGACTATGTCGTGGAAATAACTCAATGCTCTTTGTGCTTATAAACCCATTTCGATTCAAATTCGAGAGCAACCTGTTTCCAGGCTTCCGCCTTGCGGTCCCCTGCTAGGCCTAGTATGGTTACTTAGGAACCAGTCGCCGCGCCATTTATTATCCTTCCAGATTCCATCCCACCATACCCAGTAAAAACAGAGTATATTCGACTATCTGACAGGCCTCTCTAAAGCTTCCACACGATCTTAAAATCTCTACACAATGTCGGGAAAAACATACCTGATTACCGGCGCAAACCGAAGTGCGTAGGAAGGACCCCCAGAATGAATAACCCCTAGCACCTGCTCTGGACCTCTGCAGCAGCTGCCGTCTGACAATGAAGGGGATTTATAAGAGGAATCGGGCGCGGTATGTTTGATTACTATGTCTCCCAGCCCAACAACACGCTCATTGCTGCTGTGCGCAATGTGGAGGATGCTCAGAGCCTTCTAGACGTGCCCAGGCGCGCCAACACGCAGGTCCTCATCGCCAAGATCGATTTGGCCCCAGCACGGAACCTTTTTAGGCCGTGAAGGACATCCAGGCCTGGGTGTCGACCACATTGATGCCGTAATCTCCAGTGCAGGCATTGCTAAGCTGAACACAATCGAGGATCTGCCGCTGGAGGAGTTGGAGGAGATGCTGAGAGTCAACGCCTTTTCTGTTATGCTCCTATAAAAGGCAACCCATCCCCTGCTGCGGAAGGCCGCCCGCGCAGCTCGATTTGCCTTTGTCAGTGCCGCGGGTGGCAGCTTGAACGATATGCCCAAGTACCCCTGCCCGAATGCCGCCTATGCAGGCTCCAAGGCTCTGGCCAACGTGCTAGTCGTTAAGATGGGCATGGAGAATGACTGGCTCATCACTTTGTGTATCCATCCCGGGTGGGTCCCCTTGAAGCCCTATTAACCTATGTGCTCAGCTTAGTTGCCTCTCGTTATGCTATATCTTTGGTTACTAATCTGTACTATAGTAAACAGACTGGTCCAGACCAATATGGGAAATGCCGGTGCTCGTCCCTTTGGGCTAGAGAAGGCAACCCTCACCCTGGAAGACAGCAGCAAGAACACTGCTCACATCGTAAGTTACTTCTTATTAAGACTCCTGTTCTTAGTTTTATCATAGGATGCTATATCCTGCTGTATTACATAAGTGACTGGCTCGGTGGCCGTGTAAGATCGATAATGATACCAAAAGGACCATTCAGAGAAGTTCTTTAACGAAGCAATTGACCGTATTCGTCCCTGGTAACGGCCTGTTGAGCGAGTGCTGTAAGCAGATTCTATCTGAAAGAGTCGATAGGGGAAAACATTAGCAACGATCTAAGATCAAGTCCAAGTCGAGTATACTATGGGGCCCCAAAAGTCGTTCCTCCATGATGTTCCATACTTGCGGGAGTACACTGAGTAGGAAAGTAGTCAGTGGCTTGGAAAAGAGTTTCGGTACTTTAGACATATATTAAAACCGCACAATAGCCAAAGTACCTGCGTTTTCATGCACATCTATCTTAATACAAAGTCTAGCCTCCGACTCACCCTACGTTGTATACGCTTATAACAACCTGCAAATGCTATTCCTATTTCTGTTCTGAACAATGCTTCTTAACGGCTCCGGCCGGGTCCAGCATATTCCCAGCGATGTTCCACTGCATGCTGTGAGCCAGCCACAAAGTTATATTGTTGTATAAATAACTTACATTTGCAATTGCTACAGCCGAACCTATAGTTACTGGAGAATATCTCTGAGTAAGATTTTCGAGAGAAAGATACAATGAATACATAAGAAATATTCTTAATCTAAGGCTGCAGGCTAACTGGAATAAATAAACTTCATACATATCTGTACAATATTGTATGCAAGTTACGTAAGAGACATAAGTTGATAAGCAAGACTGAACATGTTGAGAGATAAATACAAAACCACACTATGGAGCATATTAACACCTGACTCTATCCCCACCGGTTTATCCTCTCGTCCGACACGCTAAAGATCCTTCTCCAAATGCCTCAGATACATATTTGGCGAATATGTTGATGTTCCGGACGACGAACCAATTACCCTTTATCTCGTCCTTATCATCTCCTGGGCCACCGGCCAATGAAACAGTCAAGAGATAGAACAAACTCGGACCCGCCTGTGCCCCGCAGGTTGGGGTAGGTTTCCCCAACTGCCGACTATCGTCTCCCGCTCGGATAAATGGACCTGCCCACTATGGTTGTAGAGGGTGGCTAATATATGGCTGTTGTCGTCTTGTGTGTCAGTCTATACAGTTGTTTGTTGGTTCGAGAGCCGGGTTCCTGTATAAGTAATATATATCCTTATGTCCTCCCGTGCATGAGGTTACCCCATACTGGTATTAGTATAACAGAGAGCCGAGCCTAAGAGTCTGTGACAGTACATTGTGGTTGCATATTTTCTCTGAACAACAGACATCAGTTCAACATGACCTCCAGCTGGACAGATCGTGCGGAAGCCAAAAGAAGTCAATTGTCTAATGCCATTCCTAGCGAGTGGAGAGTTCAAAAACTACCGAGCGGCGACTCGGCGTTTGAATACACCAAGACATGCGGGATACTCTCTCCCGAAGAACTGAGTATCATTTCTTCCTCAGCCACGGATCTTGTTTCACAATTATCAACTGGAAAACTGCGAGCCGTTGATGTGACCCTTGCTTTTTGCAAGTCTGCAGCCATTGCACAGCAGCTGGTAAAATGGCCTTCCTTCCCCTTTATTCCAATGTTAAATTGACAATTAACAGACGAACTGCATGCACGAATTCTTCCCTGAGGATGCACTAGCGCAGGCAAAACAGCTTGATCAGTACTATAGTGAGCACAAGAAACCTGTAGGGCCGCTACATGGCCTTCCTATTTCCCTGAAGGACCAGCTTCGTGTCAAGGTAAATATCAGTACCTCGGATCAGCTGTTCATCGTGTTAATACAGGTCAACATCAGGGATACGAAACATCCATGGCATATATATCCTGGCTGGGAAAAAGCGACGAACAGGATTCCATCCTCACCAACCTTCTGCGCAAAGCAGGTGCGGTCTTCTATACCAAGACCAGCGTTCCCCAGACTCTAATGGTTTGTGAGACTATCAACAATATCATCGGTAGGACCACTAACCCACGCAACAAAAACTGGTCTTGCGGTGGAAGCTCCGGAGGAGAGGGTGCCATGGTTGGTATGCGTGGGGGGATTATTGGAGTGGCCACAGATATAGGTGGCTCCATTCGGGTTCCTGCTGCCTTTAATTATCTGTATGGAATCCGCCCCAGTCATGGAAGGTTGCCATACGGACGTATGGCAAATAGTATGGAGGGCCAAGAGACTGTTCCTAGCGTCGTGGGTCCAATTGCCCATTCCGCTGCAGGTACGGCTGATAACCACTCGCGTTGTTGGAATCCGCTACTGACTACATTAATAGATATCCGGCTGTTCATGACGGCGGTGCTTCACGAAGAGCCGTGGAAATACGACTCGAAAGTCATTCCCATGCTGTGGAGGTCCGAAGAGGAAGTAGCAGTGAAGAAAAAGATTGAGGCCGGGGAACTGGCTGTTGGATTCTATAAGTCTGATGACAATGTGAGAGTCGGTACGGCAGTTAGGTTTCTGTACAACTAACTCTTGCGGAGGTACTTCCACATCCTCCGATCCTTCGAGGCGTTGACATGGTTGTTGATGCCTTGAAGCGGAACGGACACAAAGTGGTGCCTTGGGCACCTTACAAGCATGCCTTTGCTGTTGACATGGCCAATATCATATACGCAGCGGACGGTGGCACTGTATGAGATTGAAAGCATCCCAAGACAGCTAGCTAACCAGGTGTTAGGACGTCGCGCGTCATATCAGTGCCTCTGGGGAGCCTTTCATTCCCAACATCAAGGAATTGCTGAACCCCGATATCAAGAAAAGGGACCTAAATGAGGTATGGGATGTACAATTGCAAAAATGGAATTATCAGATGGAGTATCTCGAAAAATGGAGTGAGGTCGAGCAGCAGCTTGGTTCGGAGCTGGATGCCATCGTCGCTCCTGTCAGTGCAACTGCCGCTATTCGCCATAATCAATTCAAGTACTATGGCTACGCAACCGTCTTTAATGTGTTGGACCTGACGAGTGTTGTTGTTCCTGTCACCCTTGCCGACCGGAATCTCGATCCGAAAAAGGAGAATTACCAGCCTTTGAATGAGTTAGATGAAGTGGTGCAGGCTGAGTACGACGCTGACGCTTACCATGGGGCTCCTGTGGCAATCCAGGTCGTTGGCAGGCGATTAAGTGAGGAAAAGACATTGGCCATCGCGGAAGAGATAGGCAGATTGCTGGGTAACATGGTGACTCCTTGACCATGTACTAGATAAGTGGAAGACTTTCAGGTGCTCGGTTGGTGGTGAATTGATATCATATGTAGGAGACTGTATGCTATGCATTATATTTTGATTTTTGCTGCAAGTTTATGAGACCCTTTGTGGAGTTTGTCAATATAGCCAACATTTTACTTAGCATAGTTATATAGTTTTACATGTTACTTTTTTTAATCTTTATTTTTTCGGCATAAATATTTATTCTATAGTACGTACCCGGCTGCTCAAAAATAATAATTTGAAAACGAAGAAAATACGGATATTAGGACAACTGTTTTCTATGAATTGTTTCAATAGTACTACTCCATTGTGTCAGGGGCTGAACCCGTAGAACCTATAGGATAGGTTATGTACAAAAAGGAATCGAAGGGAAGAAAGAAAGCGGAAAAGGAGCGATAGGGTGAAAAGTCACGTGACATAAATCGAGGACCAATGGGACAAAGGGCCTGTAGGGACAGTAGGACAATAGGGACAACAGGGACCATAGGCCCGAGAAGGTAAACGGGCCCTAGCCCTTTACACATTGAGTCCATTCATCTTCATTTTGGCGGATGTGCCCTGAGGCATAAATCAAGCCAGCTAGGCATATTCGATATAAGCGGACCAAACCAGTTACAGCGATTTTTCGGCCTGACAATTCTGGCGTGAAACGGCCCGACACCTAGTTATTCAGGCACCAAGGCACCCATCCGCACTCGGTTATCCGCGGCGCGTCCCCGCATGATGACGCCCGCCCAAGGAACTCTCCATATAAGTGCCGGGGTACGGGGTAATTCTTCCCTTTCCTTCTCGGGGCTCTCCTGCAGCAGCGATTTCTTTGTTGATCCTCTCACATTCTCGCCAAAATGGCTGCTATTCGTGTCCCCAGGTTCTTGCAGCAGCCCCGGCGGCTGTATTCAGCCGTCGCATCCCCTTCGTCACGACTCAACCTACCAATTGACTACAAGACCACTCCTCTCCTTCATCACACCTCGTCGTCTCTCACCCATAACCTTGACCTACCTAGCTCCACGACCTCGAAGTCCCTAAACCTCTACCAGGCTATCAATTCCGCCCTGCGAACAGCCCTCGCGTCATCGAATAAGGTAATGCTTTTCGGGGAGGATGTCGCGTTCGGCGGTGTTTTCCGATGCTCCATGGATCTCCAGACCGAGTTTGGCTCGGAACGAGTCTTCAACACCCCGTTGACGGAGCAAGGGATTGCCGGATTTGCGATTGGAGCTGCCGCGCAGGGAATGAAGCCCGTCGCCGAGATTCAGTTCGCCGATTACGTGTTTCCCGCATTCGATCAGATCGTCAACGAAGCGGCCAAGTTCCGGTATCGTGAGGGTGGCACAGGAGTAAATGCAGGTGGATTGGTAATACGAATGCCTTGTGGTGCGGTCGGTCATGGAGCTCTGTAGGTATACCAGGAACTTTGCTATTTGGGTTGGAGCTCATATCAGGCGTTGTCAGGTATCATACACAGTCACCGGAGGCTCTGTTTGCCCACATCCCGGGTGTCCATGTGGTTATGCCGCGGTCACCATCACAGGCCAAGGGTCTTCTCCTGTCTGCAATTTTCGAGCGAAATGACCCCGTGGTCTTCATGGAGCCGAAGGTCCTGTATCGAGCAGCAGTGGAGCATGTTCCGAACGAATACTACACCATTCCCCTGAACAAGGCAGAGATTGTGAAACCTGGAAATGACCTGACGATTATTTCCTACGGTCAACCGATGTATCTCTGCTCCTCAGCTATTGCTGCTGCTGAGAAAGCCCTGGGTGCTAGCATCGAACTGATCGATCTCCGAACAATCTACCCGTGGGATCGGGAGACCGTGCTTGACAGTGTTAGGAAGACTGGGCGAGCGATCGTGGTACATGAGAGTATGATTAACTATGGAGTGGGCGCTGAAGTGGCCGCCACGATTCAAGACGGAGCGTTTCTGCGGCTGGAAGCTCCTGTGAAGCGGGTTGCGGGATGGAGTACACACACTGGACTTGCGTATGAGAAGTTCATCTTGCCGGATGTTGCTAGTAAGTATTGAATTGTTGTTTTATGGGTCCTAGGCTAACGTTCTACACAGGAATATATGATGCTATCAAACAAACTCTGAATTATTAAAGTGGAGGGGAGTTCATAAGCCTGATCAATCCATGGGCCAATAATATAGACTATTCCAGCAGCCATTCTTAGATAAATGACGACTTTTCGGATGAACTGTGCTCATGATACCTTAGTACTAGTAGGTCTTAACCTCGTCCTTGGGCTGATCTTCTCCTATGGAGTAAACAATTAGAGAAGAAAAAAAGGTGGAAAACAAAATGCCAATATCTCAATTTGCTAGTTGAAATGCTCGAGCTCATTCTACTAAAAGTAGAGCTGACACGATACTGACCTCCCAACTCATCTGTCGTTTCTGGCGTACTGTAGCAAGTCTTTCCCTTAACGAGAGTGCCTTTGCCCCATTCCAAGCTCATACCGAACCTCGCAGGAGACAGCAGGCAGTAAGAAAAATTAATATTTTATTGTATGCCATACTCTGTAGCTTACTGTATGTAGGTAAGTGTCAGGTACAGTTGCAACATTTGGATATCTCACTTGGAGAACGCTTAATCAACTTCGCTCTCAATTCGAAACCTGGAGAACACTCTTGTCTATAGGTCTTCGTGTGTACATGAATTAATTAACACCTATTTTATTTGATTTGATCGAACAGGGTGGCTAATCGATCATGCAGAGCTCTCTTGAGCCATCATATAAGCAGCCACATTGCCTGATGCCTGAGGATATTGAACCTTCGGTACATCGACCTCATTATCAGAATCTTCATTTGATTCAGATCTTCCCCTACCTCCACATCCCAGAGTAGTATAGGCGAAGTTGGCTGTATCAGGCTATCAGCCTAGCATAGATTGGTCATATTAAATTAGTGCTGGCATTCCACCGAAACCCTCCTAGTCCCAAATCCGCATAACAGGGTCATATAGCCGTCATGTGATATCAATTTTTTGTTGGAGACATATTGTCTCAGTGCGGGTCCGGGACGGTCGGCTATTGCGATCTCAAACAGACATAAGCTTAGCCTGGGCAGTTAAGTGCAAATACAGTAAAACCCCTATATAAGCAAAGAATTCGGACCGGCTAAAAGTTTGCTTATACCGGATTTTTGCTTATACCGAACAAGGTAATAAATATATATATTTATATAGCTTTATATAAATCTACTGCACCATACTGAATTAAAGAACGCATATATTAATTATTATAATCATTCTATAAGATATAACCTATATTCTGCATGTTTTTGGCAACCAGGGGCCCCGCAGCTTAATAAGGTGGAGGTGGGTGGTCAGGCAAAGAATGACCGGATATCTGTCTGACGCTGAGCTTGAGCTCTTCTCTCCAGAAGGAGCCTTTCTTGGTGTGTAAGAAGCCGAATAAGGGCCTTATCTCCATCAACCTGCTGTTCCTGATAGAGTCGTAGTTTATATAAGCCCTCTAAAGCGTCTGTAGGTGTAATTATTGGTAGAGGCTGTAGATCTTCCTCCTCATCACTATCTGAAGCTGGAGGCGGTGCAATTTCAGACAGAACTGCGGAGTCAATATCTATAAGACTATCATCAACCTGCTCCTCTGTGGGATTCAAAAACTGATTAATATCCATAATGTCCTGGATACTATTTGAGAGTTTTAGGCGTTGAAGTCCTTGCTTTATATCGTCAATAAGTTGCTCATCATTAAGCTCATTGACATATTCAATTGAAAGGGCCTTTTGAAAACAGTTTCTGACTGTATCTCTAGACAAATCAAATTCCCAGGCAGAAATTGCCCATCGAATTGCTTGTAAGATTGTCATAGTAGATAGCGGGTCAAAACCACGGTCGTACTCAGCCATCATATATAAAACCCACTGTTTTTTCCAATATGCCTTCCATGTGCGTATAATCCCTTGATCAAGAGGCTGATACCGTGACGTTGAGCAGGATGGAAGCCATATAACCAGTGTATTCTTTAGCTGCGGGTTTACTTCTTTATATGCAGCTTCATGTGCAGAAAAATTGTCCATTAAAAGAGCAACTTTTCGGCCTTGCATTCTTCTATCAAACCAGAGCAGCCATTCTTTAAAGATATCACCAGTCATCCATGCCTTCTTATTTGAGCGCCAAGTGCAGTTAAGGTTCTCAATATTAATACCAGCTGCAGTAAAGGCTCTGGGACGTTTAGCTGTCCCAATAAACCAGATAGGAAGGAGTTCTGAAGCGTCTGAATTACAACAGAAATGCGCAGTTATTCGAGCCTTTTCTTTCTTGCGGCCAGGAAGCAAACGTGTAGATAAACTCCGGTCCGGGATCATCCTCCAGTATAGACCTGACTCATCGCAGTTAAAGATATCCTGAGGCGCATATATACTAAGAGCGTGACGGATTATAACCATTTCAGTAGCTGCATCTTCAGATACACTTCCAGCTTCACCATGCTGACTCCTCCACTTAATATTTCTGCGTGATTGAAAGCGTCGAAGCCAGCCGTTGCTAAACTGCGGCATCTCCCTTTCTGGATAGACCTCCGGCCAGAAATCCCTTGCTTTTGCCGAATAATCTCCTGAGATATTGTTATTTGTCCCTCAGCCCTCCGTATCCAGTTGTAGAGTGCCTTTTCTAGCTCTGGCCAGGATTCTGTACGGCGTCGTTTATCTTCAGATTGATGCGCTTGAATGTCGTCAAGGAAGGCAAATCGAGAGGAGAGGATTCGGCTAATCGAGGAGCGGTCAATTGGCTGTTTATATGTCTCTTCAAACCACTTAGAAAGAGATGCCAGAGAAAGATAAGGCTTTAAATGATGTTGAGCGCGTAGGGCAGCCTTCTGGCTATTTGAAATAGCGCGACGCGTCCTCTTAGCCATCTTTAAAGCAAAGTGTGATATCTGAATAAGCAATTTTGTGACTTCGATATAGGCAAATTTATATAGGAAAGGGCGAAAAATTAAGCAAAGATCTTGTATCGGGGGGTTAAGCATATTAATATGGAAAATCAAATTAGACACCGTGTTCATTTGCTTATACCGGAGTTTTGCTTAAATCGGGTGCTGCTTATATAGGGGTTTTACTGTAGGCGTATTTGGCTACCCCACCTGCCCACGCCGAAATTTTTTCCGCTCCGACTCTTGCCCACGTCGAGCTATTGTTAGATATTCGGCTAGTACTAAATAGGAAAGAAGGCACAATTTTTGGAAAGGTCTTGAATGGATGGTTTTGAGCTAGTTGGGCTCTTCTTGATTATATTGATAATTATGGTGGTTGATTATGATTGTTGGTTATTATCATGTTCTTTCGCTCGTTGAAAAGGCCCTTATGACCCCTCCTTAGTCACATGATCCTGGCCAAGTATAGCCATATTATTTGACAGCTATACGCACATATTAGCGGAGTACAAGTCATCTGCAACCACTCAATGGTGTTGGCCTTTTCGCTGCTCACGATGAAAAGATGGCCACCCCGGCAAATGTGAGAACACACACTAAAATAGCTGGCGCTCCAGACTATGACGACCCATCCTACTGGGATGCTAAGTTTGCGACCGGCCAAGGTGTCGGTGAATGGCTGAATCCTGGCGAGATGCTTATCGATGCGGCTTTGTCTGACTTGCAAGGCAGGGCATCCTTCGCAGCCGGCGTGATGCCACGTGTGTTGCACCTGGGACCAGGTATTTCAAAGCTGGGAATAAAACTTCGCGATGCCTTCGTCAAGCAAAACTGGATGGGAAGTGGTATTGTGGTGTGTACCTTCTTGCCTTCCCTGCAAGCTTATTTCATAGTACTCAGTCTTCTACATGCCATAGAATGTGGACTTTTCTGCTGAAGCCGTCCGTTTGGGCCGAGAACACGAGAGCACGGAGGACCCGTCTCATGCCATGCAATGGCTACAGGTGGACCTGCGATCCTGGGAGGATATGACTAGTCTTTTCTCGTTTGCGCCGTTTGATCTAATCCTAGACAAAGGCACCAGTGATGCTCTTGCGACAGCCGAGTCGATTTCCTTCTCGGCTAATTTTAGCTTGACGGGCATTTGTCCTACAGTACTAGAAGTTATCGACAACCATGGGGGGTTAACATTATCTCCGGTAGAGCTGTTGGGGCTGTATCTGGTCCCGTTAACAAAGCAAGGTGCTGTGTGGATTGCACTGTCGTATTCGACCATGCGGTTTGACAATCTTCCTTTTTTAGCGAGTCATTGGGAACTTGTGTCCCGTACCCCAGTGAAGGCGCCCCAGGGAGAAATTTCGTCTTTTGCGTATGCTCCGGAAGTGTTTCACTGGATTTACATATTACGCCGCAAGTAAATCCCCATTTTGAGTACAATAACCCCTTAGTTCATTATGAATAGGTCGGACCAAATTTGGAAATCAACATTATGACCTGATTTTCGACCGGAAATGTGTATTGTCAATACCTGCTTGTAGCAATGCCTGAAGTCGGCCATTTCTTTAGCGGACATTCTCCGACGGCATTCTATCCTAATGTCAATACTACATAGTATATTCTTGCAAGGGAACTATAGACTGTCGCTATATTGAAGTAATGGATAGGACCGTAGATGGTGTACGAGATGTTTACCTTGCTCAACAAGCCCAATGTTGGGGTAACACTCTCGGGTGTCTAAGTCCCCCACAGGGACGTCAGCCGCTAGTGGGAATTGGCCAGAATATATGGCTAACCCAGTCTACATGGCGCCGGTGGTCTGAAAGCTGAAACATGGTAATTAGCTTATGCCGTGGGTGGTAGCAACGCAGGCAATAGACCTCTCTAGATTCCCATGAACAGGTGCTTTGTATATGATAATAATGTACGCACAACTACACAATTTTGCTTTGCCTTTTTATATTCCAATCTGAGAAACGCTAATCACAAAAGAGAGTATGCTTTTCACAATAGACAGGGTGAGGAGGGGCTGGGTGAAATTCACCCACTGGATCGCACAGCCGCTGCACTGATCCCTTCAGCTGAACTGCGGTACAGTTTTTATTGGATCACATAGCTCCACCTATAACACTCGGCACTTTGGCATCTGTATATAGCCACCGAAATGTTTCGGGGTGGATGCAAAGCATGCATCTTAGAGAGCATGGAGGTACTTGTTCCACTGTGGGGAAAGTGACGAAAGGCGCTAAACAATACCTAGTCAGCCTCAGGCGGCTACGCTTGACTCGGCGCTACCTTGTCGCTCTCTGTTCAACAAATATCAGTCTTATCGCACTTCTGGTCACCCTATCTCTTGATCTTTGTTGAAGAAGTCGTATTCGGACTGATTCCTTCCTAGCACCTTGGCTACGCACAACGGTGTCAACCCCCGAATCCTCTATCCCAGTTAAGAGAAGTGAGTGTGGCATCTAGATGAGACGTTGAATATATATCTAGTTGAATATATCCGCTCCTTAGTAGGCTACGTGCGTGTAGCTGGTATAGCTTCTCCTGCCCTATTCCCCATTTCCCCTGTGCACCGTGGACCGTATCGAGGTTTTCACAACAATCTTCGTTTTTCATCACCAAAGTTTGAAGTCAATAACATAAAACTCTACATGGCTGATCCATTATCTGCAGCTGGTAGTGCAGTAGGCGTCATCTCGCTTGGCCTCACTGTTTGTCAGGGAGTGCTAGCTTACTATGGGCCGTTTAAAGCATTCCACGAGCAAGTCGACGAGGTCGCCTGTCGAATTGCTGCCTTGGATGGCATATTAAAAGCGCTGCAGCATGTTCTCACCGATGCCCATGTACTGTCCGCCTCTGAAACAGCTCCATCTGCAGCAGTGGGAATCGATACTATTCTGGACTGCCAAGAAGGACTCAACAAACTGAGAAAAATGCTCGAGAAATGCGACAAGACAAAACAAGCCGGTAGCTCGATCGCGCCTAAGAAACGGATTGATCGGCTGTCATATCCTTTCAGGCGCGAGACACTTAAGGCACTTATGGAAACAACGAGCTGGTTGCAGGCCAACCTTGATACCTCACTGCAAATGCTGAATATGTAAGTGGTCGGCAATGAGTGCTTATATGCTTGTCGCCGACTGGAAAGGGATACAGTTCTATGATGGCCGCCAGTCAAAAGCAAGTGGTCTCAGTGACCAAAGCATCAGCGTCCACTGCATTATATACAAGCCACATTTTACGTCGTTTAGACCAACACAGTACTGGTATTGACAATAGATTAGATGTGCTTGAACATCATCTCACTCAAATGGTATGCAACCAAAGTCGATTCAGGATGCTCTTGCTGTGATGATCCAACTAATTACTGCTGACATTCAGGAATCCAATATTCTTTCCCACCAGGCACGTCCAATCCTAGCGCCAGCTTTGTTACGATCCATTCTGGATGACCAGGAAATAGTTGATGAAGATGCAAAGTGCTTAGTGGCAAGAAATTGGTCTCCTCGTGAAAAAGGACGAGTCAAATGCACGTGCCCTCGCATCAGTCAGACTGCATTGTTGTTGCCCCAGGGGAATCGGAACTTTCTTCAATATCCTAATCATGTTTGCCCATTCCATGGCCGGAAGGAACGCACCGCTTTCTTATTCAAGCGCTGGATATTTTGCAACTGGATAGTAAGCTTTTCTGTTCAAGTGTCTTTGAACATGACCAAGGGGGCTGGAGGTTTTTCTATTTCCCCTAACCTCGAATTCCGTGCAACTGTGCCGATTGATTCGCCCGTATTTAAACTCCTCCTTAAAGCACAGAAAAGTATGAAGTCTGAGGGGGCTGCAGTTGCCATAGAAAATGCCCATAAAGAACTGCTGTCACTTCTTCGAGAAGGGAAGGGGTCATATTCAGATACTCTACCCGACGGTAATACGATTCTCCATGTGAGCAAGTTCCGGTCCTTGCTAATATTTGACCCCACCTTTAAAAGTTGTTGATTCATATGAACACATATTGCTCTTGAAAGCTAATGGTCGGTCTGCCCGGTTAGGTCGTTACTGGCTGGCAATTGTACAGTTCCAAGTGGGATGCCTGCTCGTGGTTTTACTGGCGTGCATTTATAGGAACAATTTTACAAATAGGCTTACTGCCAGATCGTACTAACGATCGAGGCGAAACTCCCGCAGACAGGATGATAGGTTACTTTGAGGTGTTTGGCGGACACAAAGATTCTCGTCAGCGGCAAGGGACCATTGACATTTGCTGCGACTTGTTAAATTCTGGGGGCTTCATGACGGTTATGGCCCTCGATTCTAGACATATACCGAATTTTTTTGATCTTTCATACCATTTATGCCGAGGAGATGGCCGTATGAACGATCATATCTATGAAGATTATAGTATACAGCTTATTTGGCAACTTGCCGATGAGAAAGAAGTTCAAGGTAAGCTTCCTGCTATCACAGAGATAGAATAAAGCGAAGGCTCATTTAAATACAGATATTGATCTTCCAGAGGAGCTACTTCCTCTTGTGTATAGGTCAAAGAGCCACCTGATTTCTCTTCTGAGAAAGGGTGTCGATTTGCAAAATTGGGTTGCTTCGTATACACAATGGCCTACCGGACTGGCTTTGCTGTTTGAATCTGGCTATACGCCAACCTACAGTTGTATTAGAGAAGCGTGCGAAGTGAATTGCGAGGAGAGTATCAAGCTCTTGATCAATACACAAAGATGCTATATCGGACCAATTGAACTGCAGATTGCCTGCAGTCACCATAATGGAACGATTATGGAACTGATAGTGAACGCACTCGTTGGCCGCAGGAAACGGCTACAAACTCTTGCGGAGACTCACTTGCCGGACGAAGTGAATTCAGAACTGGGTAGTAGTCCCAGTACTCTAATGAGTCTTCAAGCCTACAGGGCCTATCAACTTCTTAAGGCAAGCTCTGTTCATGTAGACAATGTTGAAGAGACAACCCGATGGTCCGTATATGACTATATTGGGGTTAATCTCAAGTCAGCAGACTTACTTTGGAATTCCGGGTTTCAAGACGTGGATGAGCTGTATGGCAATGAAAAAACCTGTCTGATGGGATTGTGGTGGAATTCGCCGCCCTGCAGCCTTAACGCCTTTTTGGAGAAAGCAAACTGGCTCATTAACAAAGGTGCGAATATAAATCGCAAAAGCAGGGATCTCACGGCTGTGCACTTCTTAGGACATGATGTGGGAAAGCTTCTGCATTCAATCAATGATTCTGAAGATGTTTCTCTGCAAGTGCGCGATCTAAGTCAGGATTCCATCGGCCTGATGCTCAGGATATTCTCCGACGATACTCGAGATGATTGCTGCTGTCCCTGTTCTTCAGCTGGTTGCATAGGACTTACGGCATTTTTGCGCGGACTTTTTCCGACACGATCTGGTCGAGACTTGGAAGAGCTCGTACACAGGCTTGCTATGGTGATTGAATGCCTTGCAGTCTCACTTGAGCCAGAAAATCAAGAACGCCTCATCAAGCTAATTGCTCCTTGCGTCCTCCGGTTTATCACCTATCAAAGTTTGAATATCTCTCATACTTGCACCCATGAGTATTACAGAGGAATAGACGCAGAGGAGATCGAGGAGATTCACGACGAGGAAAGATTTCTGATACTGGAGCTGGATGACCTGCTGGCTGAATTTCTCGCAAAATTTAAGAGCCCTGGCCTCTCGTTTCCGGACTACTTGATAAGGAGTTGGTGGGTGCGCATGAACAAGATTCGCTTATCTTGCGGGCCACCCAGTGAAAAGGAAATAAATCAAGTTCTTGAGACTGGAGTGGTTCTCCATGGATAATGAACGAGACTGAAGTATACAGTAATGCCATTCAATTCACATGAGTGTCCTCAAATTTAATCTTGCAAATAAAAATCTTCTTCCTTTTGTTCTCACCGAAGACCACCTATATTGATTTTTGGCTATTCTCATGCACTCCTAGGTGATTTTGTGTGCCAACTTTCACTTATTGCCATTCGATTGCGAAGGAACCTGTGGCATGAGTCTAATATACTGTCGACCAAAGTGGGTCAACATATTACGCATTATTCAGCATCCGCTCGGTCCGACTTTGTTCCTTTGTTTGTTTTTCACCCTTTATCCAGCTCTCCCAGTAGATTCAGATAGAGACCTTAAGAGACCTTATCCTTTTCAACTGTTGTGGAACTCAGGAGAAGTGATGCGCAGGGAGCTATTCTATCAGCTACAGGCCAACTAGCCTAATTAGGAAGTAGATGTCATTCAGTGGAAACACCAGGAATCACAGTATCTCAACCAACTGAGTCTCTTGCATTCCTATCTGGGTGCTCAACTAACTAAAGGATTAAGGGGTTGGATGGATCGTCAGATACTTCCGCACCGCCAAGTCGGGCGGATTATAGTGTTTCCGTAACAATAGACAATCAACAACCTTCTTACATACCACGGAGAGCACCTGCGTAAGGGGAATGTTGTCTTCTCTCTTGCCAGGAATTTGTAGGCTCTGGGCCCACAACTTCTGAGCTGTCTAAGAGTGTCTCCTTGACCTACTCCTTCGGAGTTCTACCATTTCCCTCTATTTCACTAGTTTGCATATAATAATGTGTCGATCAAAGTGGGCCAATATTACGCATTATTCAGCATCCGCTCGGTCCGACTTTATTCCTTTGTTTTTTCACCTTTTTAATCCAGCTCTCCCAGATAGATTGAGATAGACAAGAGACCTTAGAGACCTCATTCTTCAATGCAGATCCATATTATGATTATATGATCGGTGATACTAGCTCATACGCGTATTTAGCTGACCGACAAAATGGTATCTGTTTATCTGACAGCAGGACACAGGTCAGTCACAAGTGGGACGAACCTCGCGCAAATAGCTTAACTGCTTTTGGAGGTCATGTGCTGTGTCACCAATAGGCTAGACATGTAGTCACGCTAGACTGGCTAACACTGCCCACAATCCTGATACTACGCTTTCAGACATCTACATTAATTATACCAAGAGGCTTACATTAAATCCGCTGCCGAAATACCATATATCAACCTCGAATTATTCAACACAGCTAAGAGATTTCTGCCTTCCTGCCCTGTATTAAATAATTAAAACAATTAGATCAAGAGTTACAGCGTCTGCTGTCTATTCATGAGGTGTTGGTCATCTGAATATGCGTATGAGCTAGTATCACCGATTATATAAGAATATGGATCTGGATTGAAAAAGATAAGGTCTCTAAGGTCTCTAAGTATCTGAATCTATCTGGGAGAATTGAATAATAGGTGAAAACAAACAAAGGAACAAAGTCGGACCGAGCAGATGCTGAATGATGGGTAATATTGCCCCGCTTTGGTCGACATGGGGCCTTAGGAGATAATAGGTAGATAATTGGAGTGATTTGGAATCAAGCGAGAATTTAGCTCAAGCTAACTTTAAGAAGCGGCATGGCAAAGGAATGATCATTGACTATTAAGTGGGTTCGCCCGTAATTATCACTCTGGGTGAGAATTGGCACAACATGCTCACCCCGCCCTCGCCTCTCGCACCCTAATCTCTAAAATCTCACCCACGTCAGTCGCACTGACCTTAGAGTGCCACTTGGGTGCTGAGGGCGCATTAGCAATTGGCTGTGCAGAGTATGTAGTAATTGTGAGCGGGCAGCTATATATTAATTTATGGTGGCGCTGGCGCAATGCCGAAGAGGAAGTATAAGACTCTTGACATAATATGCTACGCCGGCAGGATAGGCCAAGAAGACTGCCAAGCACTGACAACAAGCTAAAGAGATCTTTGAATACACTTAGTCTCATCGAAAATTCTCTCTATTTGGAACGCCTTCTCTTCATTTAATATGGCAATTACTAATACAAAGATACAATGACCGGCTAGTCCATGAAAGAAACTAGAACCCGCTTCTGGGTTGCCCACCTCCTAATGGATATGAAACTGAAGCGAGGATTGGCCACTGAACTAGCCCAAGGGTAGCTAAAGGCAAGCGGGAGACGGTTCTATGCACCCTTTCCGCATGATTCAGCAGCGCCAACTTGGATCCAGCCCTTCCCTGGAAATAGAGCACCCACAGCACATGTTAGTTAGGAAGGGCTTAATGTGTGTGTTAACGAAGCATCGGCTAAGGGATCCGGAGTTCTTGTATATCTCTAGTCGTTCACTTTCTGGCAGCTTGGGATTACCAAGGCAAAGAAAGCAGATTTTTGGTCTCTCTTTGGGAGATGTGATGCAAACTGAGGCGCTGGCTTGGGTGATAGTATCGTGCTCTTATCAAAGGGGTTGACTTCTGCCTTTTGGGAAGGGGAGCAGCCGCTGGCATATGGACTTTGACGATCGTGTGACGATCGTGTCTTTACTAAGTTCATGCCCACCTCCTGCCTTGTAGAACAGATGCCACCGCTTCCGGAATATTTCGAGCGAGCTTTAACATTTTCCCGGCGTATGTCGCGCACTGCTAATAGCCCTGCATCCTAGTCAACCCATCTCACGCCTGGGGCTTCTCGGTGAAAAAAACCCTCATAGACCCAAGAAATCTTCAACCCCCTCCTAGAGAATAGGGCAGCGGGAATGCTGTATTATAGGAGGAGCAGCCCGGTCATAACTTATTAACTACCTCGCACGTGCTACAGGGCCGTGTCAAGTGTTTTTGGGATCACCCAAACTTCTGGTACGCAGCCTAGACCGAAGGTCAGCTTCACCAGCCGAGCTTGCTACAGTGCCAGATCAATTCTGAGTAACTAGAAACCTCATCCAAGTGACCTGCACCTGCTCTGGATGTAGCTGTAGAATATCTGAGTCCACAGCCAGATCATTACCTAAGAGAAAGAAACTATATATACAAACCAAAAGCAAGTATATCATTAAAATCTGTCCCGCTAATTATATATCCAACCAAACCAGTAAATACAACAAAGACAGCCATGATCAGACCTGGCTGTAAGAAGAGAATATCTTCACCGAACACTATTTCCTGTCTGAAACTTTGCCAATCGTCCTTTCAAGTTGCTCGTCTTAATTTGTCGGACCTGAAACCCATCGTCGGTGGAACGCCTGTTGATACGTGCATGCTGTGGGTGGTCGTTTATTATTAACGACGACTCGTGACCGCCAGTCGTACTCTCTCGGCTTCGGCGGCGTACTTGCATCGCTTTCTGATCCTGGCACCGTACAGAAACAGCAAATACGGAAGCGGCACACACGCCAGGGCTAAGAATGCTGGAATACAGCTAGCCCAGTGAATCCCCAGGTTGTGATACATAGGATCTGTAAAAAGGGGGAATACGGCACCAAAAATCGAACGCAGTAATGCATTCGCGGCCAAAGCTGAAGCCGCGTAGATAAGATATCCATCGACCAAGTAGTTAGCGATAGACAGATAGATGCTCACCATGCCAAACCCAAATGGCACTCCACTTGCAATGGAAATCGCAGCGGAGAGATTAGGACTATTTGTCCAAGCAAACCAAAACATCTAACAATCATGGTTAGTCCTGTTTAGGGTAAGAAAACAAGAAGACCAGAAAAGAAGGCTTCCCTTACCGATGCCGGAATTAGAGGAGCTCCAACAAGAGCGGGCCATAGTCGCTCCTCTGGAGGCATGAAATCAACCGTTTTAGCTTTTCGATTGTAGCGCAAATTTTCCGGAATCGCGTACAGCACCCCCACCACCATGCCCACGGCAACTCCGACAAAGGCGAGTCCACCGGGCCCAGGGCTCCAGCCGCGAATCTCCTGGTAGACTATTGGAAAGGAAGCGAAAAACATATAGAGCATCCCATAGACAATGGCAATCCACAACGACAAGAAGAGTACAATGGGTTCCAGAATAAGCAGAACCCAAGGCCGGATAATGGCGGTCCGCAGCGTCTGGGCGAGTGTTATTTGTCCTTGTTCTACTTCCAGCTTACTGCGGTAGACTAATCCAGTCAGCCGAGATAACACTCGCGCTCGCTGTTTAAGTAGAACCGGTGCATATGTCTCCGGGGTCACCAAGGCAGCGAGTGCTCCTGCCCAGGCAGTAAACAGGCCCATAAAACCTTGGACCCAGCGCCAGCCTCCAGCCTCTCCAATATAGCCTCCAATTATAGGGCCTAGCGCGGGGCCCACGAAGGGTGCGAGCACCAGCAAACTCATGGCGAGACCTCGCAGATCGGCCTCGAAAATATCGGCCACTTGGCCTACTGAATTAGTAAGAGTGGACGAACCACAGACGCCAGCAAAGAATCGGAGAATAATAAGTGTCCAGATATTTTGAGATGCTGCTGCTGCGCCGTTAAAAATCGCCAAGCCGCTGTAAGAGCCGATGACGACAATTTGGCGACCGTAGAGCTCTGAAACAGGAGCGAAAAAGAAGGGTCCGGCAGCGAAACCTAAGACAAACAACGAGATCCCTAGGACAACTACCTGTGTGGCACTGGTAAGCTTCCAATCCTGAAATGTAAAGGCGTCTATTGCGTGAATAACTGAACAGCTTGCTTAAATGGATTGTCGGATAAACCAAGAGGAACCTCGACAACGATGGCAACTGCGGACCGAGATTTACTCCCAATAGACCGAAACTGTACAATAGCAATTCGTCGCAAACTTACCTCAGACCCAACATTAAACTGTTCGCCAAGCTGACCACTAACACCCGCGTAAGCAGACGAACTAAGCGAAGCCGCTAGAGCAGTCATCGACGACCAAAATATTAGATTAATTTTAATAGTCATTGACCAATTATAAGGGTTTCGAGGATCGTTATCTAGCCATTGCACGACATATGGGTCTTCCTCCGTCCCTGATCCGCTGTAAGAGTGGGCTCGGACTCTAGTTATACAGCAGCTTTGATCAATAAGCATACGCCACAGAGAAACCTTTTCTCTTGTAATACCCAGCGCTAGGGCAGGAGTTGAGTCCCTGTAGGGTGATTTATTTTCCATCGCCCCAGGCAGTGAAGTTCTTTCAAGACAAATAAGGTTGCAAACAGGAACAGGTTGATCGGTTTACACGAGGAAGACAGGTTCAGGGGATAAAACTGGGGACGAAAATCATAATGGAGGATGGGGAAAATTATGACTGGCAATAGGTTTATATATAATATGCCCGACTATATTTTTGCCAGACAAGAAGGAATGATTTTCCGAAAGGAGGATAGGATGTCCGGCGGAATCCTTGCTGGACTATTGCTTGTGCGCTCTCAGGACAGGATAAGAAAAACAAAAAGTGGAACAACGGCAAAACCTGTCTGGCTTGAGAACTTGTACAGAGTTATCTTCTGGAAGCTCCTAATTTCTCCCGCGTTACCCTAGGCCCGTGCGCAATTTTTCAATGATTCCGTGCGGTAATCCTAATATCTTGCGCGTTACCCTACTTATTGTTTATTGTTCAATTCTCGCAGGCCCTAGGATACTGCCGAAGTACTCTGAGCCTAGGCATAAAGCCTTCCATACCTTCCATCCTAGGGTCTCGGTCCATTGATATAGGGAGTCTGCCATTCTTGTTTAAGAAATCCCCAAGCTGTGTATTCATCCTCCTCCTGCTGGTTATCTAGAGTCGGCATGCGACAATTTCTCTTCTACAATACTCTAGTTATATTGCTGTACCAGGTATTGTATTAGGTGCGGAAGCCAGCTACTCTGCCGCGGCTGCTTATACAGTAAGCCCTACTGCTACAGATTCAGCAGCCAGCCCTGATGAGTCTCGGCCACTGCAGGTATGCTTTGTATGGGGAGTAAGAAACCAATTCTCATTCTTTAGAGTGAAGCGTATACGGAAGGAGCATGGCGTGCTACGACATGTCATAATATATCGAGATGCGCCTCTTTGGTACGATTTGTAGGACTCCCCGCGCGCAACAGTATATCGAAGTGGCACATTTTTAGCTTCATCTAGGAAGTAGAAGGCCATGCCCTCGGTTAGTGGCGGAATTGAAGCCATAGCTCAAGCTGAACAAGTGCGGTATTCACGTAGAAGTAAGGTTTGGATTTGTCGACAATTATGGTAATATTGATTATTCAGCACCTTTCTCGGTCAAATGTTGTTGATGATCCAACATCGTCGGATCGCGTCTATTTCCTACATTAGTTAGTTTGCATTCTTAATTTGTTTACCTCGCCTTTATAAATGCGAGATGTTTTGGTAGTTTACTTGAAGGAGAGACCTAATTCAATGAAGGATCGATACTTGGAATACGCGTATTTTTTATGGTTGACAGGATTTAATATCGAAGGGAACTCGAGATATTAGGATTACCATACGGAAGAATTGAAAAATCGCGCACGGGCCTAGGGTAACCCGGGAGAAATTAGGAACTTCCGGATTCTATGGGTTCGTTGTCATCGTTATTACGCTGGATGTGATGTACAGCTGCTGGTGCCGCTTTTCCTTCTCCGCAGCCACACGCGTCTGCCTGCCGTCCCACCACCTATCAGCGCGCGTCCTGCGGTGCTTGTACAGGCATCATCCAGGACCCTTTCCCACGTCCGCTGCCGGCCCAAATGGAAAGTCTCCTATTTGGAATCTTTACTCACGCCCTAGTATTACATGGTGCTGTCAGCTCAGTAGCTATATTTGTTTTTTTCTTAATGGACATTATTACTTACTTGCTGTTATTACGTGCCCCTGCTATCTCTGTGGGCACAGTCATTATTATTTTAACAGAGATCACTACTTACATGCTATCATCGTGTGTGTTACGGCTCTGTGCAACCTGACTATATAAAGCGAGAACAGTTTAAGGATGTTGTCTTTGAACACGAGTTTTTACTCCTGACTCTGCGGTTTTCTCGATCGAGTGTTCCCGATCGTGTAGGCCGTGACAGTTTACTTCTGTTAGTTCTGTAGTTGTAGTAGTTTTTTTCTTCACAATCATCGCTCACAGGCTATTATTATATTTTTTTTGTCAGTTCCACATTCATGGTATCTTTATCTAAACAAATGCTATTACTTACAGACTATTGTTGCTTGTCTGTCAGCTCCGTAGTCGCAGTTATTGCTATCTTAACTTTGATCACCACTTACATACTATCATCGTGTGCCTATCAGCTCTCTACAAAATGCATTACTCACGTCTTAGTATTGCATGTCGCTACTTAGCAACGATCATTTCTCACGAACTATTAATGCATTAAAATTTTCTATCAGCCCTGCATTCATAGATCCAATGCTATGCATAATGTTGCATTCGGCATCGCGTTCAGCTCAATGCAGTGGCGATGTTTATGTGGTTTGCAGGTAGACTGTATTGGGATTAGAAAGGGCTGGGGGCACAGAGTTAGGGCTGGGAAGCTCCTTACCATATTCTCGCTCACCATGACAACGCCCTTCTACCTTCTTCCTTTCGTCTTTATCTTTAGCATTCTTGATATAGGACCTAGTATGATTTCATCTATTAGATTTGCTAGCGATTACATCCAACCCTATATATCTGATTGGCCATAATACTCTCTAATATGGCACTCAATACGCCACCTAACCGCCCTGGAGTTCGAGGAGATTCCATATGATCTCCCAATACTCCCTGATACCCAGATATTCGCCATAACCGGATCAAGCAGTTGATACAATAAACGATATCACTCGCCAACATGGCTACGTAATTTCTAAATGCCGTTTAGAGATGTGAAAAATGGAAGACTTTACAAGCTCAGTATGGATCAAGTGTGGCCGTGGTGGAGAATATGACGCACGTGAGAATTAGCAGAAGCGGGCCGGGAGCTCATTTCTAACTATCCCTGTAGACTGATTCTTCGGCGCGATTCTAAGCATTTCTCCCTAGTATTTTAATACAGATCCAAATATTATGGAAACTTATTATAATCATGAACCCTAACCTACTTTAACTTGTTATATTCTCCGCTGTCAAGATAATAACGAGCATGCCGACTATATTAAGGCCTAACTTCACATTAGAGTTGCCCTTCGCCACGTTACTACAGGTTTCGCACGGAAGTGAGTAGAGGGTATACAAGATCAGGATATCTATAACTTTTGTTGTGATATAGAGGCACAATTCTTAATACCTCTCTTCCAGCTGACATCAGCAAAAATATCCTGGTTGCCCTCCACAAGATCTACAACATGATGGTGATATTCCTGCCATAAGGGCCAGGTAAGAACGTGCTTAATCCAGAATCCAGTGGAGGGACAAACTGAGGAGCTGCTTTGTATTCATCTAGTGAAACAATCAATGGAAGCTGGAACTCCATTGCAAATTAACCCTTTCCATAGCCACTAGCGTCTTTACAGAGATGATCCCTCCCCAGTAAACCCCACCCCCCGATCTAGTATTGGAGCCAAAGATGGTAAGTCAAAGGGTCATCCACCGAGCCCCGAAACAGGCCTCGACCGGATTCAACTACAACAAGAGAGCCTTCATTTGAGTATGTATTATTCCAAGAACAAACAAGCGGGCTTGGCCGTGGACGTGGTGGTGGTGGGCTCGACAGAGCTACCAATGAACCAGTGGTCGAACCAGTGGTCAGTATATCCATATCATGAAAGCTAAGAAAATTTTTGTATTTCACCCGAGGAGCTCTTCTGATGAGTTCTAAGTCATTCAAAATGAAATAAAACCCGACTAACATCTATGTCTTATTCTAGATTAACCTATTCTGACTGGATCCGTCTGCTCCCTGCCTAACTTACTGTGAACCTCCACCTCTCGGCCAGCCACCTTCACATCCACAGCCACCTCCACAGCCACCTCCACCACCTCACTACTTATCTCAGTAATTTCAAGCAATAAAAAGTCGTGGCTTTAGTGCATTTTGGATACGATATAACGGCCTGCGTGCTTTAAAAAGCATTAGTTTCCTGGACAAGAAGATAGGTATTAAACAGCTCCGTTCTTTCCGCTGTGTACAGAAGTAATTTAGAGATATTTGTTCTATATTATATTAGTCTTTTATTACATAGATATAAATTTATAACTGTCTTTAGAGTGGCTTCTATATAATTTGTAATTTTCTACGTTTTGATTATTTCCATGTCAGAACGAGCTTCCTTAGTCAACAAAATCAGGGTCCGGTTTTATTGCACAGCTCCATCGCTCGGCTTACTTTCCTTGAATATATAGCTAGCTCAGCCTTTTAACAAATTTGTCTAGCCAGTCCTTTCCAAAGGATCTTACCTATTTTATTAATGCTAGCCCGGTACGCGGTTACTCAATGCAGCCGTTTGCTTGAGTAGATAGCCGTAACGGCTATGCGACAGCTAAGCCGAGGTACAGTCCAGTCGAGATTTGATATAAAAGATCTGCCTATGCAGCATGCCAAGCTCAGCTAAATATAGTCTAAAAAGCTTCAACCTTTCTTTTTATCCGAACATGACTGACTTAAAGCAAACCCCGTCTCTTCTTGAGACCTCACTCCCCATCATATCAGACAGGATTGACTACCCCAAATGGTTCGGCGGGTCGGCATCAAGTATGGCAGTGATCGTATCACATCCGTTAGATTTGAGTACGACCTTCGCCCCATTTAAGATCGTTCTATTGACCATCATAGTCAAGGTCCGTATGCAGATGAGCGGCGGAGGCAGACAAGGGACTGCCAAGACGGCTATACGGATTGTTCAAAGTGAAGGGCTGTCGGGGCTATACGGTGGAGTATGGCTAGTCCACCCTATTGCTGATACATCAAGCTGAACATGGAAGTTATCTGCAGGTCTTATGAGACAATGTACGTACGAAGTCTGCATTCAGTCTACTGGAGCTAACGCGCGCCAGTAACGTATGGGTCTGTTCGCATTGGACTATATGAATCCGTCAAGGACCTATGCAATGAAAACAACGTCCAATTAAGTCCACCACTATTAGCGATCGTTGCTGCATCAACTGGGTTTGTGGGCGCCATATTCGGCACACCGTCTGACATCGCCAACATACGAATGCAGAACGATCGATCTCTGCCAGTCGCAACGCGAAGAAACTATAGCCACGTTCTGGATGCATGGATACAAATGAAGCGACAAGAAGGTTGGGGTGCATTCACCCAAGGGATATGGCCAAATTGCGCTCGCTGTGCACTAATGACCAGTTCGCAGTTAGCTTCCTATGATGTTTTCAAGGGAGTGCTGATGAGAATGAGCGGATCTGAAGGAGAACATTCCGCTCTGCACCTGTCTGCATCTTTACTAGCCAGTTTGGTTGCCACTACTCTGTGCAGCCCTATGGATGTGATTAAAACCCAGTTGATGGGATGCCCGTTCCAGAGATCGACATTCTCGGTAATTAGGGAACTGACTGCTGCCGAAGGGGTCAGATGGATCTTTCGTGGATGGATGCCGAGTTTCGTGCGGTTGGGCCCTCAGACGATGGCTACGTTGGTTCTCCTGGAGCAGCATAAGAGGATGTATCGTGCGATAAAAGGTGTCATTTCAGAGCCATGCAGTAACTAGAGATGATCATTATGGATAGAATAGATTTATTTTTTTTTTGTCTTCTAGAGAAACATCGAGTAAAATGGGTCTGTTTTGTTAGTCGGCTGCAGAGTTAAGGTCTGTGGATCCAATCCGGGATATCAAAGTTATGCGGTATTTGACCCCAATAGGGATCTAAAACAAATCATCCCACCGCTTAGAAGACTCATCATATATAAATATCAAGGGAAAAGGCCAGGGCGGCCTGCTATGTTCTAGCCCTTCACGCTTGCCATGTCTCTTCACGGACGAAGTCTCCTACTCGCTCAGAACATCTTGGTCGCTTTCCCCAGCTTTATACTTTTTGGATATAATCAAGCCGGTGTTGTTGGACTATTAGCTTTCAACAGCTGGACTCACACAATCCTGGAGATAGATACCACACACAGTAAGAGTGACGCCACATCAAATAACTCCATCATCCAGGGTGTGTATGTTTCGTCCACTCTGGGTGCTCTCGTGGGAGCTTTTTCTTGTTCAGCTCTCGGGGACTGGCTTGGTCGTCGCAAGACTATCTTCATTGGAGCTTGGCTGACGTTGGGGAGAACATCTCCTGTACCTCCCTACCGCAACTTATTGTGGGGCGTATAATTATTGGACTTGGTGTGGGGATTCTGAGAACCATTACTCCGGTCTGGCAGTCTGAATGTTCCCCAGCAATCAACCGCGGAGCCCACTTTGTTGTCGACTGGATCTGTGTCACCTGCGGCTATGCTCACCTCCTGGATCAACTACGGGATTTCCCACATAGAAGAGTCATCTTCCTGGCGTGTCCTACTAGCTATCCCGTGTCCGTTCTCTATTGTCTTGATTGTGTCTGTTTTCTTTTTCCCTGGATCCACGCGCCGGCTAATCCGTACTGGCCGTCGCGATGCAGCAGCCAACGCATTAGCTCGAGATAGAAAAACCACCCCCGATGACCCAAATATCCGACAGGGGGTGGCAACCATTGAACTGTTACTCGAGGAAGCTGCCGAACAGCCGCGACCATGAAGGACATTTTCACCATGAAAGACGACAAGCTTTTGTATCGCTTCATGCTCTGCATGGGTCTCCAGTTCGTCATCCATATGACCGGGCCAACGTGATCAGCACCTACGTGACGACTATTTTCCGGCAGGATCTGGGTCTCTAGAACGACCTTTCTCGCATCCTTGCAGGTTGTGCTTCGAAATAAAAGTTTCTATCCTCATTCGTTGCCTTCTTTGCCATTGATCGCTTCGGACGACGCAAGCTGTTCCTTTTTACTAGGACCGGGCTCACGATCTGCATGGTGGAACTTGCTATTACCAACAGTTTTCCTAATACAAACAAAACTGCCTCTATATTCAGCGTCATATTTATCGTTCTATACAATTTCTCTTTTTCCATAGGGTTCCTCGGTCCTTCGTTCCTTTCCTGTGCTGAGGTTGCACCGGTTCGGCTGCCCGTCTCCATGACTTCTATTTCGACAGCTAATCATTGGCTCTGATACGTTCATCCTCAATTTAAACGATATAGTCTAATAATTACAGGAACTTCGTCGTCCAGATCATCACCCCCGTTGCATTGGCAAAATTAGGATACAAGTACTATATTATCTACATGTTGATTGCGTTTTGTTTCCCGATAATAGTATTTTCTTCTACCCTGAGACAATGGGTCACAGCCTGGAGAAACTAGAGAGACTTTTCCGGTATGATATGTATATTTTCGACACTGTGACGGAGGCACGGCGGATGTCCAAGTATCCCGAGCTATCTGATGAGCTGAATCAGAATATTAAGGCCAAGGTTGACCTGATTGAGGACTCGGGAAATGAAAAGCGTGTTGTTTTATATATATAGTATCTTGTTATCTCTCCTCGCTGTCTTGCTAATGTAAGCCTAAGTTAGACTTAAGAGTATATGCTACAGTGTGCAGTCATATTGCAGAAGCTATAGAAATGTAATGTTATTAAGTCAATATGATAGGTAGGACTCCACAAACCAACAGAGCTTGAATGGTCATGATTATTCACAAATGGGGTGGCCAACATTTGCAAATAATACATGCCTAAACACGAGCTGGGTTTCTCTATGTCTATATTCATGTTTGCTTGAAGAATGGAATGCATCCACATGCACTATACATTACAAATCTATAGGTAATACTAGTTAACACAAATTTCCTGTGAATCCCGCCAGAGTAGAGGTAGGGAACCTACGTGTACGAGTGTTCAATCGCATGATTACTTTTGAATATTCATCGGGTCAAGTTATCAGTCTAATATCTGAGTGGTTGCAGCGGAACTGGTGGCATGATAATACTAATACTTTATTATTTATATGAGTCGGTAGAGTCTCCATGCGCTGTGGTTAATATGAGTGCCATAAGCAGTGGCAGGGGGCTCTTGGATTGGCAGGATGTTAAATTTTGGGTGTAATAATCGGTAATAAAAGCTCTCCATTCCTGGTCTTGATTTGATGATGTTCAACTGTAGTAAACAAAGGTTTTGCGATATTGTTAAGGTAACACTGCGTTTATAGGTGCTTGGCACCTTTTATTACAAATAGGATGTTCGCCATTGCAGTCTAAATATCTAGCTCTTACTCCCAGTGGGTGCGTCGATATTTATGCCCGCCTGCTCAGTGTCCGCAGCAGGCCTGCTCCTTGCATAATTATATAAGGAGCATCTTTTCTGCTTGACCTGAGGGGCATTAATACTCCTAATATAGCTCTGTCCCACAAGAAGCCCGTTATTTATAATATATTCGGTTGCTTCCAGCAAATCAAGCTCGATACCCAGCGAAGCTAATGTGCCTAGAGGATTGTTGTTCCTCTTAAGCTATGCAATATTATCTAATTTGTATCAACTAGCCATATTTTTCTCCATGATTTTCTCTATTCCCTAAGTCTTGTTTCCTTCCAAGTTGTCTTCGGTAGAGGTGTGGTGGACCACAATGCCAAACAGCGGTTTTACGAGGTTCGTGTTATTACCTAGTTTCCTAAGCTATTCTATTTTATTCTGAGCCATATCAACGGACTGAGCATCCTTAAACTTAATAATATATCCCGTTTTGTTGTTCCGACGCCGGCTACTTGCGCGTCCATAGTCCACGTATAGTAGGGCAATTCTAATGTGCGTGTTGGCTGTCTGTTGGCAGGTGTCGTGTGAGCTGGTTTTCCTCGTTATTTTCAGTGTCTGGGGTGCGCTGTGTGCTTATCCGGCACGCAATTGGGTTCCTTTCGGGGCTTTGGCATGGTACCGTTTGAACCCTGAGAAGCGCTGGCAACTTCTAGCCATAGCGACGTCAATCAGGACGTCCGCTCCACCGGGGATCTGCTTCCAGGGAAAGGATACGGTCCTCATGGAGACCTCAGAGGTTACCGCTGCGGTCGTTCCGGTGTCCATTACAATCAACGGACATGCCGTTCGCGATCCCCATTGCCTAAGATACTACCCTTCGTTAGTACCTTCGAAGTGTATCCCAACCATCTTGGAAATCATCAGCGCCTTCTCGACCAGTACGGGCCTGTTATTAAAACAAGCAACTTGGGCCGCGTCACCTGTCAGACCAACAATCCCAATATTGCTGCTATTACCTTCGCTGAATCCGACTTCTTCACCAAGAAGATCAATTAATCTCATCTGCTCTATGCTTTGCAGACCCATCGCTGGAGTATTCCTGGATGATACTGACACTGCGGAGTGGAAGTTGGCTCATAAGTTCTTCTGCCCTAAAGTCCTGGTAAATAGTAAGAAGTGTATGATCCATTGCTGTCGACAAAATAGTGGAATGTTCAAGCCTGGTGTTTAAGGTACTTAGTCAATGGATACGGAATGGCTAGGATGAAAATGGTATAGTTAACGATATGATTTCAGTGCCACGGATGGGACAAACACCACGCACCTTACCATGAAGATGCACCGTAGGACTTTTGGTCCGGTTTCCAAGTCAGCTTATTTTTGACCTGTATTTTAACAGAGGCAAATATAATAACCGCCAGAATATGATTAGCCATTACGCTTGTATTAAGCAGAAGTACCGGTTTGCAGACAACATCAGCACCCTATATTAATAACCTTAACTGTTGCTATCTTAAGCCAGCCCAGCAAGGATGATGGAACCTTCTTATCGTTCCAATAATACGCTAATAATAGTTTGGTTTAATACCACTCAATCTTTTAGGCTCCGATTCGCCCCCCGCAAAGTTACTCCACCGGCTGTCGCGCGGAGTTTCTCGATTAGGAAACGTGTGTGGTACATCTTCTTATCAATGTCGCTCCTTGTCCAACATGTCTTGACCCAATGGCTCCTTCATGAGTTGCCGAGCCCCACGATACGCCACTCTTAAATACCTGTCTGGCAGTGCGGGAGACTGAGGGTAGATTTGGCAATTTGACTCAACCACCATGAAGAACAAGGACGAAAATACCCAAGTTTTTGCAACGTCAACGGGCGAAGAAGCTCGTTTGGAGCATCTAGGTTATGAGCAAGGTATATTATACTCTACTCCATATACAGTATGCCAAACGACTGATCCCACCAGAGCTTAAACGCAGCTTCGGCTTGCTGGGTATGGTCGGATTCAGCTTCAGCGTGGTGACATCGTCCGTTCTCCTATCTCATTACTCTCTTCTCTCCTGACAATTCCAGATGGACTGCCCTCAGCGGCGTGTTTATAGTGGGCGTCAGATCTGGCGGCCCCCCAGTTATGGTGTTTAGTTTTCTTGCCGTCAGTCTTCTCACTCTGGCTGTTGCCATTCCCATGGCCGAAATGTGCTCCATGTATCCCGTGGCGGGGGGCCAGTATTCATGGGTTGCGGCATTAGCACCGCCCAAAATAGCCCGAGGTCTGTCCTACGTTAGTGGATGGTTCATGCTCATCGGTATGTTATTCCCCTTATCATCTACCTTACTAAGAATGATATACTAGGGATCCTTGCCATGGGAGCAACCAACAACTCCATCGGCGCCAACTTCATCCTCGGCATGGCTAATCTGGTCTTCCCAGAATACACCATCCAGCGCTGGCAGACCGTTTTAGTCGCATACCTGATCGCTTTTGTTTCCGCAGGGATTAACATCTGGGGTCCGCATCTCCTAAACCGCATCGCGCGCTTCATCCTCATCTGGAATGTCGGCTCCTTTCTGATCACCATGATCACTCTCCTCGCTACAAACGACAACAAACAGCCCGCATCTTTCGTCTTCCATGACTTTCAAAACTTCACCGGCTGGGGCTCCTCCGTGGCTGCTATCGTGGGGATCCTGCAAGCCTGCTTCGGCATGTGCTGCTATGACGCCCCCTCCCATATGACAGAGGAGATGAAGTCTGCGTCCAAAGAGGCGCCCAAGGCAATTATTCTCTCTGTCGTTCTGGGCGCGATAACGGGGTTTGTATTCTTACTGACTCTGTGTTTTTGTATCGGCGATATCGACAGCACCGCGAACACTACCACCGGTGTGCCAGTCATTCAGATTTTTTACGATTCCACAGGAAGCAAAGTGGGGACATGTTTCCTAGCTAGCATGATAGCTGTCATTGTACTGGTCGCGGGAAATAACATCCTCGCGGAGGGATCGCGATCCATCTACGCTTTTGCGAGAGATCATGGACTGCCGTTCTCGGCTGTCCTGGCTAAAGTCGCACCCAAGCGTCAGGTCCCTATTAACGCGGTGCTGCTGACCCTGGTAGTGCAGTTGGCTCTGGATGCAATTGATTTCGGAACTACCACGGGGTTTGAAACTGTGATTGCAATTGCGACAGAGGGTTTTTGTTCGTTTTTCCTTCCTCCTTCCTACGTTTCTTGTACATGATGAACAGTATCTGATATGAATATAAACAGATCTCTCCTACGCCATTGCCCTCTCATCTCGTCTTCTGGGATATATAACCGGACATAAAACAACCATGAAAGGACCCTTTGCCCTGCCCCAGTCTATCTCACTGACTCTGAATGTTCTCGGACTCCTGTTTCTGCTCTTCGCTGCCATCACGTTCAACTTTCCCACTACGTATCCTGTTAGTCATGATTCCATGAATTATACCAGTGCGGCTATCGGTGTCGTTGCGTTGATTGCCCTAGTTACTTGGGTCACGACGGGGAGGAGACGATTTACAGGACCTGCAGCGATGAGCGTTTTGCATGGACAAGAAGGGAGTGAGCAGGTCATTGCGGTGGAGGAGAAGAGGGGTTGACGCATATATGTGGTATTTACATTTATCTATTAACTTGACATATTTAATTTATGGAACAAAATAAAGTCGCCAATGCTTCCTTAGGTACCAAACTTAGTTCTTTTATAAATACTGACTATCATATGATTCTGTAGTCGAAAGTTATCTGCTCGACTAATTCAACTTACTATATGCTCTCCTCCATAATCAATACTAGCAGAAACTTCCTAAACAGCCTACATTTATTCTCCCGACATGTACCCCGAGCCGAGGCAATCCATGCTATATTCATCACTCAATCCACCGATCTCGAACAACGATAGAATCCGGAAACGGTAAGCAATAGGTATCTGATGCACTGACTGTATTCCACTATCTGCTCTCCCGATAAATAATCAGATACAAAATCAACCCATCGAATAGATCTAAATTTGTAAGATTGTATCACGTCTCCCGGCATTATCCACCGGCAGCCGAGGATCGTTTTTGACATGCGCTGCCTCGAGAGGGGTAATTCGGACATATGGAATATAAAACTGGCCAGAAGAGACAAATAAATTTATATCACACTCACACTAACAATATTAATTCCCTTCTAGCGTATTCTCAGATAAAAGGGCTCAATAAAAATGGACACCGAACCCAATGCCGTCCAAACCACCAAAACCACAGAAGGCATCACCACAATCACACTGAACCGAGAACACCGCCGCAACGCCGTTGACGGACCAACCGCAAAGAAACTGACCGACGCAATACTTTGCTACGAAACCGACACCACCCAGAAAGTCTGCATCCTTTACGGCGCAAACGGGACATTTTGCGCGGGGTTCGACCTGCACGAAGTCGCCAAGTTCGCTCCCTCCACCAACAACAATGACAACGAATACAACGGTCCTCGAATCGGAGCCACCGAGCGCGTCTCGGGTCGCAATATAGGTCCGATGGGGCCATCTCGACTGCAGATTCGGAAACCAGTCATCAGCGCCGTATCCGGGTATGCTGTTGCGGGGGGCCTCGAGCTCAGTTTACTAGGTGATATTCGAGTCGTTGAGGAAGATGCGGTATTCGGGGTATTTTGTCGACGGTGGGGAGTTCCTCTTATTGATGGGGGTACAGTTCGTTTGCAGGCGATTGTGGGACTCGGTCGTGCGATGGATATGATTCTTACCGGGAGGGGAGTCGGTGCTCAGGAGGCTTTGAATATGGGGTTGGCTAACAGGGTCGTGCCGAAGGGTAAGGCGCTGGAGGAGGCGATGAAGATCGCTCGGCAGTTGGTGATGTTTCCTCAGGGGTGTATGAATGTTGATCGTGCTTCGTGTTACTATGCAGCTTATGAGGCTGGGTCGTTTGAGGATGCGATGCGGTTTGAGTATGACAATGGGATTGAGGTCGTTGAGTCGGAGAGTGTTAAAGGGGCGGCGAGGTTTAGTTCTGGTGCTGGAAGACATGGGAAATTCGATTCTGAGGGGAAACTTTGATACTACGCACTGTAGAATAATATAGTGCAAACGTTGCTTATTATTTGCTCGAATGGATGGATAAGATTTTCTTGTCTACGGTTTAAGCTGTCCTTAATTTCTAATAAGTACAGGTATATCTAGTTCTCCTACTAATCCATTCCGAATAGATGTATTCATATAGGTGTAGCAACCATCAATCCAAGTAGTGAATGCGCCACCTCCGCCGCCGCCAACGTCGTCGTCTCAGCTGCAGTATCATAAATGGGCGCAACCTCGACAACGTCGGCACCAACGACAGGGAGTCCGCGCAGAGCGTCGAGGATTGACAGTAGTTCGCGGGTTGTGAAGCCACCGGGCTCTGCGGTGCCGGTTGCTAGGTATAGTTAGCTTGTCTGAAAATGTATCAATGTTTTGGAAGGCTTACCAGGTGCATAAGCAGGATCCAGCACGTCAATATCGATAGAAATATAGACTCTGCTAGAACCGACTCGAGATTTGATCTGATTGACAATACCGTCGACTCCAAAGCGATCGAGGTCCCGCGCTGTGATGATCTCAAACCCACAGCGCTTGTCGTTCCGATAGTCGCCTTTGGGACGCGATACGGGGGCTCGGATGCCAACGTGGATGGAAGTATTTTGAATTAGGCCCTGGGAGTTTAGTAGTTGCTTGAAAGGGTTGCTATCTACTTACCTCTTCATGAGCAAGATGGAGGAACGTGCCGTGGTTGACGCCACTGGGATACTTAGTCTCATTCTACCAGACAAAGATATACTCACGCATAATGCGATATTCCGCCGCCTGGTTCAGTTAGTATACCGAATGGCTGATAGATATTCATCACATACCTAGCACCTCTGGGTCCCACGTGTCTGCATAATCTATTAGCTATATCCAGTATAGGCAAGGGAAACAAACCGATATGACTATCGAAATGAATGACCGAAACGGGGCCCCATTTCTCGTACGTCGATCTCAGTGCAGACAGCGTTGTGGTGTGATCACCCCCCAGAGTGAGTATACGAGGAACTCCTCCCAGAGGGGCATTTATAGGCCGAGAAGACACCACCTAGCAGTATCAGCTCCGCTCCAATACTAATATGACAGCATACCTTATGCGCCAGATCTAGCTGCTTCAATGCAACCGTGTTATCCAACCAAGTCAACGGGACATCCCCGCAATCAACCAGCTTGGCCCAGCTAGCAAAGACATTCTCCCCGGTGTAGACATTCCAACCCCCTAGACGTCGTGATCCGAGACGGATTCCTCCTGGTCCGTACCGGGCTCCTGGACGGCCAGTTACAGACTAGATGTTATTGTTATCTTCTATCCAGGACTAGGTCCAGTGGAAGATAAGATATACCGTGTCGAATGGAGCCCCAAGGATAGCTATATCATATGCCTGCGACTCGGCCTGCTCATCGACGAAGCAATTAACATACGGAATGTGCGCGAACGTAGTCAACCCAGAAAATTGACTTCCGGTGGAGATATCCACAGGATCATGTCCTGCCAAGGGCAATTGATCGGATGGACCTCGGATAGCCGCCACAGGAGGGAAGACGATCTCCCTGGCCAAAATACAAGTGATGTAGGATAAAATAAGCGTGAATTTATGCATGCCGTCAAACCTGCATGTAGTATGTATGTATGTATGTACTTACCCCAGAAACTTCACTGGCCAGAAATGGGGTTATATATTGTGGAGACGTTGGCGCCTACGCTAGACCAAAACAGCAGGCCCAGGCGATATCTAAAATGGTGGAATCGAACGGGGAAATGGCATTGTCTTTGTCGTCTCGTTGGGTTCGTCCATGCCCCACTTTTTATCTTCGTTGAGTCATTGATCTCCTGGACATTCATCTCACACTTATCCTTCGCATCCATCATGGTATGATACCTTATCATCCTCCCCAAATTGAATTATCTTGTCTCACTGACAGATTAGCCTCACGCGGATTCCTCTTACTTCGGCGTTACCAATGCCTCCAAATCAGAAATCTACGCTCAGGTCCTGGAGCAAGCTAAGGGCTTGGTAACCGGTCAGCGGAATTGGGTATGTTACCCTTATCCTTCACTGACAATCCCTCCATTGATATGTAAACTAATGATAACTAACAGGTCTCGTAAGATCAGAACCCCCAAACTCAACCCCACAAGCTCCTAACTAATAATAATAAGTAATCTCTCCAACGTCGCCTCCCTCCTCTGGCACGCCTATGCCTCTCTCCCCACCCCTTCGTCCTCCGTGAACTGGGCAGGTTTCTACATCCGCCAGGACAAATTTCCGGTTCTTAAATCCTCCACCGCCGACGAGTCCTCAAAAGGTACCCTCCTCCTTGGCCCATTCCAAGGCAGACCCGCATGTCAGGAGATCCGATTCGGGCGCGGTGTATGTGGAACCGCGGCGCATAACCGTAAGACACTTCTGGTTCCCGATGTATGGGAGTTTCCGGGCCATATCGCCTGTGATGCTAGTAGTAGGAGTGAGATTGTGGTACCGATTTTGTGGGGTGGTGAGGTATGATTTCCCATTCCCATCCCCTTTGTTTTTCCTTCTTTGGTTCTCTGTTTTTCGTTTGTATTCTGTCGCAGCTGGGTAAATAGCTGGATACTGATTGATTGATCTGATGGGTAGACTGTCGCTATTATCGATATCGACTGTACGGAACCGTCCGGATTTGATGATACAGATAGGAAGTATTTGGAGGAATTGGCGAGTTTGCTCTCTGAATGTTGCGATTGGTGAGCATGTAGCGGTCGGGTTTACTTGAATATAGAGGATTGCAGAGTTTCGGTGTAATGAATGATAATGACAGATAGATCGTACCTTAATGATAGAGATGTCGATGCATGTGATTTGTATAATCCACAGCCAGGGTAAGTGGCCGACACTTAATTTGCAGTAATTGTAGGCTACGCAATAAGTAGTGGTGGGTATCACGAGATCTGATTATCAAATGTAAATGTTACTACTGTGCTACGCAGTAGCCATTTGAACTCAACATAAAATATTGCTGATATAATGATAATTGACCCGAAACTAAGCTTAACACATGCCAGTAATAATTAATTGCAAATCGCTAAGTCAGAAGCAATGCCAGCCAAGTCTTGGAAACTCGCTATTAAAGGGAATCCCAGCCCGTATCCATACACTTCCATACGCCAATCTAGTGTGCCTAGTATGAGAGCAACCACGTGCAATGATATAAGGAAGATGACAACACGATAAAGCACTACATACTAAGTAGGCTCATCGAATTATCGTTTAATCGGGCTGATAGATCCCGCATCGCCATCCTCACTAGGTCCCAACCCACTATCAGTACCGGTTAACCCAGCATCGGTATCGATATCCCATTCTTCGTCATCATTTTCTTCGTCGGTCGGGCCTGCACCGACCTCGGACCCACGATGCCAACTTTTCTGCACCGCTCCGCGCGTATTCCATCGCAATGCACGCTGAACGCTATGGAACCACTCCCCACTCCCAGAAACCACGGTCGGGAATGGGTATTGGCTGGCTTCGACAGTGACATAGTCTCCTTGGTGAAGTTTGACGCGTCCCTTGCCGTCAAACGAACAGTACGCTGTCGAGCGGGATCCCGCCGGAACGGCAATGCGGAGTAGCAGAGTATCTGATAGAACCATCGGACGGAAAGAGAGTGTGTGAGGACAGATAGGAGTTAGGAGGATTCCGGGAATGGAAGGATGGATTAGGGAGCCGCCGGCGGACAGGGAGTAAGCCGTGGACCCTGTAATATACAGTCAGTCAATACTCCAGGAGCAGGAACGCGTTACATACCGGTGGGTGTGGAGAAAATGCATCCATCGGCCTGAACAACTGTCAGAAGGTCATTATCCGCGTACAACTCCAGGTTCGACACGTAAGGCGATGGCCCCCGATCAATAACAAGTTCGTTTAGAACCTCAAACTGCTCCCCCTCCTCCACTGCGTCGGCCTCCGCGCCCTTGCTGCGGTCCTTGCGGAACACAGTGCATGTAAATCGCATGCGAAGGTTGACGCGCATACCGACATCACCCATGACCGCATTCAAATGCTCTTTGTAGTTGTGGAACTCAAAATTGGTTAAAAATCCTAGGCTTCCCAGAGAGAAACTGAGGATGGGAGGAACGACGCGCTGGAAGAGCCACGAAGTGAATAGGACAGTCCCGTCTCCACCGAGTGTGAGGACAAGATCAAACATCTCCGGCGAAGTCCAGCAGAGATCAGGCGTCCAGTATCGTAGCATCTCCTCAAATCGAGGTTCGTTCTTGATTAGCCCCTGGGCATCAAACCTCTTCGAGTTGCGTAGCTTCGCATCCACGTACACATTGACGCCAGTAGCGTTCCCATATCGGGGTGTCGAGAGAAGCCATTCCGCCAATTCACGTGTTAAATGTATCAGACTATTGTCTCGCGCCTTGGTCACAATCATGACATTTTTCACCGCCCGTTTGATAGGCCGACGTTGCAATTGTTTCGATACCTCTCGAACACCCGTCGCGGTCTGGACTAACCGCGAATGGGACAACCACTCGTCATCTGCGATTTCTTCGAGGACCTTCTGGATATTTACAGCGTCGTCAAACCGCTGGTGAAAGAAACAAGGCGATTGCATCACTAGTCGTGCAGTGGATGGCAAACGGTCCAGGTAGGTACCGAGTTGCAAACTGGAAAGCGCCGCAGAGAGCTTCCGCGACGAGGGATTGTCGCAATGACGTTCCGATTCTTCTGGGGGGGTGGACGAGGTGCTGGGGCTTAAAATCCCCAAGGAGGCCGCCAGCGGCGCGTTGGAGTTGTGATTCTGTCCTCCGGACGGTCGGGATGCAAGGGCTTTCATTATGGTCTGTAGGGGAATTGAGTCGGTGGAAAGGGCGTTTCGGTGACTTGCCAGCGAGTAAGGGCGAAAAGGAAGAAAAGATGATGATGGCAACGATACGACAGGGGTGTCCTCCTGGGCCAACTCTGTGTTCCGCGTGGAAGTGAGCGAAGGACCAGAATGTCCCGGGTCGGGATCGCCACCACGAATATTGTTCAATGACTGCGCGGGGTCTATGTGACTCGCATAGTCACGAAGAAGTACTGTACCGATAGTCGGAGTTAGAGTTTCAGAGAGAGTAGCACAAGGAGGACCTCGCAGTGGGGCTGACGTCGAGGAGGACGATGATGGTGGTGATGATGATTCAGGTGATGTTGACGGAACAAAAGTTGGCGTGGTGTTCGAGCGAGGAATCTCAGAGGAATCGGACAAATTTACGGGACCATGGCCAGGATCAGGGTAATAAGCCATGGACAATGTAAGAAGAACAGGTTGGTCAGCCTGCTCTGGTTGGTTCTGAGCGACTTCTTGGAAGAATAATGGAGCGTCGAAATAAGCCGGGGGTGGTGAGCGGGCCGCAAGACGAGCTCGGACGTAACGGGCTTTAGGCGGGCCAGAGATCTTCCTTGAATCGAACCAGGGAACGAAGGTTCAAGGGGGAGGAGTCATTGGCTGCGTAGACACAGATGACAGCCGAGGATCATCTTCGATAGGCTTCTACGGCCTGTTTAGACCGGTTTGTCAGCTCCTCATACCGAAAAGGACTCCGCAGTGAAATCTGGGAGTGGGAGAGGAATTGTGTAGTCTCGGATAAAGGAGCGGTGTCTGGACGTATTAGTCGTCGTACTTATAATCTCCCTCGGTCTCGCAGTGAAGATCATGATCATTACTGGCACGATGACGAGTCGCAATCACTTTCTGTAAGTCTGAATAATTGCCGCATTCTTCACGGCCGTCTCGGATGCAAGGGGTAACTAGAACTCCAGTCTGTTTGTTCTTCCTGCCACGTTGGCCGATCCGCCTGACTAATCCCACATATCGGACAATCTTTACTCTGTACGTTTCATGGATACTACGCATACAGCTTCCACTCTCGCGAGCTGATGTGGCAGTGAGTCGGCACATCCCTGTGGTCGTATGTGGCTTGCGTGGTTCGGTTGGTAGGTATTCTATAGTAGTACATACAACATGCGTCTCCGCATCAGATTGACCGCCAGAATCGCCCCTGATGCTGAGCATCCGAAGTTACGGTCGCATCGATCCGGTGTCTTGCAGACTCGTACCCGCCTATCATATCAGGTCTCTCTCGTAAAAGTTGGTCATTCTATGGGTGCCCATAATCCCCATGCGCACCAGCGGTTGAAGCGCGTGTGGCCTTGTATTCTTACGCCAAGTGACGTATATTTGAGCCAATCCCCAATCGTGACGGTACTCCGGAGTAAGATTACGAGCAGATCGAAACGATGCCGGATGTGGTGGCCTGCATCCAACCAACGTGCTTGGCAGGCCACTGGCCGCCACCAATTGATGAACCCCTTGTGCATGGCGCCCCCCCAAACCCTCAAGCCTCATCAATTTTCCAAGCATAGTCCTGATGGAGTTTGTCCTCAACAGCCTCCCGTACTATCCCTTCGAGAGGTTGGCCATCCACATCTTCCGCCATAGCCACATCACCGTCGGAGCTCTGAGCCAAGGTGCCATGGCAAATGGTCAAAGCGCGTTCACGGACTCTCTCCCAGGTGTCGAAATCGAAGGCCCCTTGGCTTTCGGTGAGCAAAAGATGGCCCTTAGAAGAGAAGGCTAGAACGTGAAGCGATGTTGCCGATTGGGCATCATTTGGTGAGGGCTCTCGGATAATCTTTCCCGACGGATCAACTCCTAGCACGGTCGCAGAGAAGGTCATGGATAAAGGAACCGATGCCGATAATAACGCCAGTAGGGAGGTATGGAGTAGTGCAGGTAACAAAGTCAGGTACTACAGAGTAGAGGTTCCCAAGTTAGCGACTTATCTAGCGAGACGTGCGAAAGGCATACCGAATCCCCCCTGGGCACACTTTCACCGCCAACAATGGCCAGTGTAAGTACAACGCCTCGTCTTGCGTATCCCTTTTCTCTCCCCAAAATTAATCTTCCCAGCAAGGTTTTTATAATTCCCTCGACGTATCGTTCGCCAACTCCACCGGCAGCAGTCCCCGGCTTGACGAAAACCTCCACGGTTGCCTCTTCGGGTTTCAGAGCATCACGACGCCCAGGAAGCTCCACGGGGGCATTGACGGAGCCCAGGATGTTTGATCCGGTCGAGGGGCATTTGTAGGAGGCCGAGCCATCGGCACGGGCAAGGGGAGTCAAAGAAGATGCTGCTGGTCCGACCATTGTGAAGAAACCCGTAGCGATTGCTGTATTGGATGATGGAAAGCTCTGGCATGCGCTCCGGGCGGAATTTTTTAGCGGGAGATTGGGCGGTGCGGGCTGGCTTCTAATTGGCCGATGGCTGCTCTCTGGGATTCCACTTCATTGTCTTCATAGCCATTATTGCGGATCATATGAGCACATCTACTACTATACGGAGCAGTTCGAAGTACAGGTGTCGAAAGAAACAGACCCCGCGAAAATGACCAGGAGAGCTATTATAAGATTCCACCGATTTCGACGCGCAGCAAAACCATAAATGCCAGCTTCCGGGTACCGCTTGAGATTCGGCTCTTCTTCGAGTTCCGAATTGGAAGGAAACTAAGCTATTTAGTATCGTGGATGAGCTAACAAAAAAGGTCATTTTATACTCATTCGGCAAGAGTAAAACTATTGCCCGGGACTATGAAAACATTCGTGTATCTTTTTATCTTCCCCACGAACAAGGACGCGAGGTGGACGAGAATAGGAGCTGCTACTACAACCATACTATGCCTAATGCAGACTAATATATACCGAAACTAGTTACATATCCTTTTTTAGTGCAATGGAATTTTATTACTCCTAAAGGCATGTCAGCGCACCTCTACGAGCTGAGCCCACATCTACAGGTTCATCATGCTTCTACCCCCACAAGGTGGGCTATGAGGAGACACTTATTAGTCTTTCTTTTGCTATTTTATCTTATAAGACCCTTCTCGAGGAACAGAATAGACGAGAGAATGCCCCGCAATCGGCGGCCATGACATGGTCAAAGTCCATATGGAGTACAGTCCCTGGCCTGCATATTGTTAAATTTCCGAAATCACGCTGTGGAACGCCATTTTCCAATGCATTTTGTAGGTGACTGTAATTCGTCATTTATACTGTGCCAAACACTAAAATACTATGGTTGCTGGGCCATATATGGGACATCGTAATTTGAAGACAGGCCACTAACAATACGACTATTGCAAGTGGCTGCATACTGCAGTGATTTCGAAAATTGATCAAAACTTATGCAAGCCAGGATAATTCAAAGCAAGGTGAAGATCACTTGCCAGGGTAGCTAGATACTTTTGTTACTGTTGTCGTACTAATGTTCTCCTCAATCCCTTATGTACTCTGTACTGTTCATCCATAGCTAACCATTTCCGTGCTTAACCATTCCCGAGCGACCTAAGTCTCCTCTTGCAATAGACAATAATTAATACTCACTGCTAAGGAAGGAACTACAATCCTACAGAGCGTGCCCTGATCTGCCTAGCCTAACTCTACCCTCAATTCGGTGCAATGTGGACATGCATCTGTTCGAAATCAGCGCAAACAGCCATAGTCCCGATGGATCAGGTTATTCCCATCAGGTGCTGACACGCTGTGTAGTACAGTCTCGCTATATTCCTTGATATTTCGATGCGATTCGATGAAGTCTTGGATATATCAAAGCTGCGTAGCGCTTTAATAGACTCATCGTGATCGACGACGGGTGATAACTGGGAACTCGGTTACGAACTAATGTAAGCGACACCGCGTTCCCAGTCAATCAAGCTGATGCTCTCGATCTGACCGGCTGCTGAGATCTACAGTCAGCTTTGACGATGCTACCATCCTTACGGCCGGCCACCTGGACATACACCCTAGCAGACGTGAGGTATCTCCGCTTTTCTGAATTCATGGCCCGCACTTATACGGGGTCAAGAAGATGCTGTTCCCATATTTCTAATCTAGGGAGGCTGACGATTCTTAGACCAACTGCTGTCTCGCCAAGATGAGCGTCACACCAAATGGCTACCTCGCGCTTCCGTCGACCACCTGCGCAACCAGTGCCTAAACGATATCTCGGCTTACAAAACCAGTAACTGGAAGGAGGAGCTGTTTCTCAGGGACAGCGATTTAATACTTGCTTTGTGGGCACGCTCTGCCTGCAAGGTTCTGGGCGTTAGACCGGAGAGAAAGGTAGCAGCCAACAACGTCGCGAACATCCGCACGACGCTGAGTACGCGCTCTCGCATAAGGGCAATGCCGTATTCCTGGCTCCCAATATCTTCCGTCCAGGTGCTAGAGGAATCATTGGGTTCAATGATCTTACACATTTGTATATCGGTGCTCGAGCATCGCTCAGTCGAGTAGGTCGAAGGGTTGCTTGCACTCCAGAAAGGCATGGTGAAGATGACAGGAACCGTTGGTGGATGATTCTAGAATGCAGTTTCTCAGCCTCGAACTGGGGGAAGGCTGGGTTGTTCGATGTGGATAACCATTACGGCCATCGGGAGCCCATTGACGCAGCGTAAGAATGGACGTGGAAAAGTATCTTTTGTCATTCCCGTCCAATACTCGCCTGCATTTTCTGCGGATGAGTGGTGGCCTATATTGGACTGGTAGAGAGTTGGAGGGAAGGAGCATTGGAAGTGGAAAGAATGCACGGTTGATGCTGGGAGACGCCGACCGCGAGGTCATCTCACCACGCCTATCGCTATATAAGTGCCAATGACAGCGTAGTGGTCAAGTAATGACTGTGTATTAGGATTGCGAGGTCCAACCTGGGACGATTTGTTTGGTCTAGGTGTTCAAGACAACTATTGCCATTTTTCCATTCCTGTGTGCTGTCATTTCCGAATCGACGAGGAATACCACCTCTCAGTCATCTATTTATTAATCTTGGCTATATTAAGAATCACCTCGTATTGCAGTGTAACCGGCCTTTTTCGCAGCGTGAAAGATGCAGCTAGGTGGGGCAGATCTGACATGCCCAGGGGCTTAGATTACATGTGGACTCTGAACAGTTCTCCTCCATCCATCTCTCTATCTATCCATCTGTTCTTCCTCCATCCTATATATCCATCGAAATGAAAATCCTCTGTCTCCACGGCCAAGGAACAAGCGGTTCCATATTCCGCTCACAAACATGTACATCCCATCCCCTTAACCCAACATCACAACAACTAACCACAATACAAACACATCACAGCCAGCATCCGCAACCGACTCCACGACCTCCCGATCGAATACGACTTCCTGGATGGACCGTATCCAGCGACCGCAGCCGCGGGGATCGATCTCTTTTATCCCCCGCCATACTACAGCTACCTGGAATCGAACACCCCGGTCGGGATACGCAACAGCGTGTCTTGGTTGAAGGAATACATAGCGCAACACGGACCGTACGATGCCGTGATGATGTTCTCACAGGGATGCACCATCGGCGCCAGCCTCCTCCTGCTACACCAGCTGGAAACCCCCGACCGGCCGGCGCCGTTCAAAGCGGCGATATTCATCTGCGGCGGTCCACCGCTGAAACTCCTCGAGGAAGTCGGATACAGGATCTCTGAGAGAGTGTGGGAGCGTGACGCGACGAGTCGAGCCGAGTTGGCTGCAGCGGCGCACTCGGAGTCGATCCTAGCGAAGGGGTCTGGGCGGTGGAATGCGGATGCGATGAAGGGGGAGACCGAGGAGGGGATCAGGGGGGAGATTTCGGGTGGGGTGAAGATCGGGATTCCGACAGTACATGTCTACGGGGAGAAGGATCCTCGGTACGTTGCTGGGATTCAGCTGAGTGAGGTGTGTGAGCCCAGAAAGAGGAGGACGTATAATCATGGCGGGGGACATGAAATTCCGCGGTTAGAGAAGGTGACGGTGACAGTGGTGGAGTTGGTACGGTGGGCGTTGACGGAGGGAGGGGCGATTTAATTCATTTCGTTTCTTTTGTGAATGGGCAGGACAATAGACAATAGATCATATCTAGGTTGCAGCATACTATAGTAAGTACCAGAAATATAGGAACCAATCCGTCTGCAAGATGACATCTGTTCATCCCGTGTCTTGGTCTCACGTAATGGCCTTGGCGGGGAACAATAAATACCCCGCCTCGATCATCCGACATTTCCAACACAGAGAGCAGACGAAATACTCAAACAAAAGAAAGAACAGAAATGTCCGACGTCCAACAACAGTGGAAAGACAAGCTCCTTGGCAAGAAATATGTCGAAGGAGAAATAACCGACACCTCCACGGAGGTATGACTATGTTTCTGCAATCCCAGTCAGTGATCTAACCAAGGCAGACGTTTAGTAGCAACATCCTTCCTGAGAAACATCGGATCTTGAAACCAGACAGTATGCGGACGATGAATTTTGACCCTCAGCGGTGAGTTGAGTTGGACTCGATCCACTATCTGCAGACATCTAAACTGATCGGCTAGTGTGAATGTTCATGTAAATGATCAGAAAGTGTGTACGGATGTGACGATGGGATAGAGACCTCTTTAGCACTGTCCTCTAGTCTTTTAAATACAACTATCCTTTCTCTATATCCTCTAGGGATTAGGCACAAGTACAGACAGGTAGATATTGTTCTCTACATCAATAAGCTATCTCTAGTGCGCCGATATACTGCGAAATATAAGCTTTTCTAGAAGCTTGTATACTGCTTTCTACTCGGGACGTAAAGTCAACTGATGTTGTACTTACCAAACGCAGTGTGTCATCCATCCATTCCCCACTCCCCGCCGCAGTAGCCCTCTTTTCCGCAACAGCTAAAGGGACTGGGACGACTGACTTAGCGTTTGTCTTGGATTCCGCGGGATCTCTAATGACGTTGAGACAAGATCGTTCCATCGCCTACAAGGAACGCTACTTTTACCCATCACTGCATGACACATCTCTGGGAGAAGGACAAAACCCAGTGAATATGTCGATGGTACCAGAACCGTGTATACCATCTACTGTATTGTCCCTTTCTTCTCCCTCCGTACCAGTGAGTGAGAACGGATTCAAGACTTGATCAATCTATAAACCGGACAGCTCCTACAAGGGAATCTATTGTGTTACATTGTCTATGAATGAGCATAGATGTCACTATATCTGCTTCGGCTGCAATTGTATATTAACAAGCACGAGAACCACATCACTGGCTTCAGTTCATCCTTGTCTCCACAGAAAATGCGACTCATGTAGATTCGTAACCTATCTAGGTGCAGCACATGCTGGAAGAATAAGAATATAATAGTATGGTGCCAATAAAAAAAAATATACGCAGGATAATGCCAAAATCGTGCTCATTTAAAGCGCAGGTATTGTTCTTTCAGGTTAATATATAGTTGTTTCGGATCCACGATGGGGATCATGCTGGACAGAAATACATCGAGACGATATTAATTATATAAATATTTTCAATAAGTTTCTGGACTGAAAGCAGCCAAAGCTACTGATTTGGCAGGTAATCTCTTGAATATCAACATATTTCGGTATGTTCTAAGATGGTCTTGGTGGCTGCAGGGGTGAAGCCTAATTTCCAGCCACACTCTATTTCAGCGCTATCATTGCTATCTTTCCCCATCAGACCAATGATCTTCGTCCAACACAGCACGATCATCTCTTGGCTTCTGATAGGTATTCTGAAATCTGGACCCACGATCACAGGCGGTAAACGTCAACGCGATCATGATGTGATTTGGGTTATCTCCCTTGCATTCCCTCCCCTCCACACATTCTGCTATCAACCACGGTACTTCTCGTCCATATGTACACTTATATATACAGGAATATGCTCTGGAAAATACGTGGTCTCTCCCGGAGAGCACTGAAACCATATTTTGCCGAGTTCCTGGGAACAGCCCTACTGATCGTCATCGGAGACGGCGTGGTCGCTCAGTGCCTTTTATCGAACTACCAGTATGGCACCTGGTTATCCATCAATATCGCCTGGGCAGCGGCGGTCTGCATTTCTGGCTACTTGAGTGATCCCAGTCCCACTATCAATCCCGCCATCACCATCTGCATGGCTCTCGTTCGTCCGGTTCCGGAACAGTGGAGAAAGCTACCAGGAAAGCTGGTCGCTCAGTTCCTGGGTGGATTCGTGGGCGCTGCTATTGTATATATTAACTACCGATCAGCAATCAAGGCATGGGATCCCGAGTTCACCATTCCGGGTGGTTCCATTCTCAGCCCACAGGGTCATCATTCGGCTGGCATTTTTTCGACCTACCCGGCTGATTTTTTTTCGAGTCGAACTGGGAGGCTGCCTTCTCAGAATTGCTAGCGTCAGCGGTGCTCATGTTCGGATCTCTCTGCATCTCGGACCCGGCGAATGGTCTCCGTTTCCAATCGTCCCAGCTCTCTGTGTTTCTGCTTCTTCTGGCCATAGGAACCGCCCTAGGCTGGCAGACTGGTTATGTAGGTTTGTCTGCAAAGGTAATTCTGTACTGAGCTGACGGTCGCGTGTCTAGGCCATTAATCCCGCGAGAGATTTCGGTCCGAGATTATTCTCTGCTATTATCTACGGTAGAGAGGTGTTCACTGCGAAGAATTACTACTTCGTTGTCCCGATATTCGCCCCGATTTTCGGCTGCATTATGGGAGCCACGGTGTATGACTCTACACTTTATGAGGGAGACGGATCTCGCGTTACCAACGCCGTTACCAAATTGGAGGAAGAAGATGGATCTCTTCGACTCGATTGAGTGTGGTGATCCCGGATTGGCAGTTAAGAGGCTTGCATCCTCAGTCACCTGATGAATCTAATTCGTTGATAAGGGTTCTTCGCGTTGAGAATGATATGCAGGATGGATGATAGGTGAGCTGTTAATATCTGTATGTTTGTTTAAGCTTCATGAATGCTGCTGTTGGTTTGCTGTCGTTTTATATTTATCCATTTGTTTCATAGTCGTCAGGAATCGAGATGACAATAAGATTCTTTCTATACTATTATAATATCTCCAATATTAGGACGCCAGTAGTAGGGAAACTGTTTCGCGATAGTCTTCTGGCTATTGGCATTCAGGTAAGAGCCCTGTAGTTGTATTTGGTACTCGTAGCAGGCTAATGTCTGCTTACAGAGTAATACACGCAAAGCTCATCTTCGTGGTGCTCGCAGGGGTGCCAAAATAATCAACAGCATCCGAGAGATCCCACTCCATATTCACATAAGGCCAACAGATACGGCCATCAGCCATGGTCACCATATCTCCAGCGACAAAAGTATCGGTACTCTGCAACGCCCTGCCAACCTTCTTTCCGTCGACATCCACCAGCTGATAGAATGTACCGACGAACTGCCCGCGACAACCCATCGCGACAGCTTCACAGATCGGATCCGAGATTTCCTCCCATGTGATCAGGGCATTTTTATTCCCAAATGTAGCCGCATGAGCATTCGAACAGTCATTCGAACCCTGAGTCAGCCAGTTAACCTGGCTATCACCGTCCTTTGCACCGACTTCGGCAGAAGCCTGGGGCCCGATCTTGGTGTACTTGTCAGAAAACAACGCGATAGCCACGTTGCGATTGCTCGTCCGGTTCTCAGCGTGAGTATACCCACTACCCATCCACTCGTTTGCTGTCAGATCGATCGCGCCGCGAGACACCCAAGTAAAGATATACCGAGTGGTCTCTGCGAATCGAGCAAGAGCACTGTAACTACCTGACATGCCGCCCATGGGTTCTCCTATAGAACCCATTACAGCCTTCTCATTGGAGATCTTCACGCCATCCTTCGACATGCCCTGCGTCTTCGTGTTCAGCCAAATTGCGTCCCCCGTGTCCACGGCGCAAATACTCGCGAACGGCGGTTCGTCCGCGGCTTCAAATGCAATTCCCCCATTGTGACTACAGCCCCACGAACTACTGGCCCCCGGAATCGTAGTGAGTTCTCCATTTTCCTTGACATACTGGATGCTATCCCCCCAGTGGCCACTGCCGAAGCCGGCATAATTAGTCGTGGTAAAGTATGCGCCGTAGAGACTTGACTTCTCAGAGTATACCAGGTCGCCGTTGATTTGGCCTTCTGGAGATGAGGAGAGGCCATCAGCTGCGTGCACGCCGGGTCCTCCGAGCCAGGTCTTCCATGTCTGTTTGCCATGGGTGTATCGATATAGAACAGGGACGGGGCTATTTTTGGGTGGTGTGTTTGCGGTCCCGGAGGGCATGACTTCGTTTGTTAGGAGGGCAAAGCCGTCGTTCTGGGCGATGAGGCCCCCAGCTTTAGTTAAGTTAGCATACGCTGTTGTCAACTAATGCAACTTCTTCACATCTGGTGTATATAATATAGAATGAACTCACCTTCCTTTCCACCGGAAACTGTCACCGGTGTTCCCGTTGCTTCAAATGTATCCACGTTCACTTGCTGGACGTGAATGTCGGTTTGGCTTGCGTCTAGATAAGCGATGTATGCGGACTTTCCATCGGGAGAGACTGCGAATGGAGTACGTCTGTGATGGGGAAACCGAGTAAAGTAGGCCTCTTGGACGGGGTTAAAGGAATGACTGAGGGTCAGCACGTCAGTGTGCTTTTTGAGGTTGGACTCGGTCAGGTCTGCGGCTGCGCGTAGCGCTGCGGATAGAAGAGAAACAGCTACGATGGCCCGCATGTTGGATTGGTCGTGTACAATGGAATGTCTTGGGGAGTTCTATTATCTAAGAGCGGTAGACTCTATATGTATAAATAGAGACTGATAGGAAGGTCCTCATATTTCCAACTGATTGCCTCTCGTGGTCTAGAATAAGCCCGGGGCATGTACAGCTTAGATGATAATGTATAAACCCTTGATTGAAGGGTATTTAACCAATGACAACATCATCGTCCATTCCGCTGTGGAGATGGGAGATGGAATTAAGTACCGAGAAGTAACCATAAAAAGTGGAAATGATGGTTTCATGCTGGCCACTATGGAGTCTCTCCCAATAGCTCAAACTTCTCTGGGGACTCTCCACTACCTTGACGAGGGTAGTTGCATATTCTGTCATATAGAAAAGTTCAGTCTAGAGGATAGATCATCTGTAATTAAGGAATTAACAGCGCTGAGAGTGAGTCTGCATCCCAAGGTCGAAGATCACGAAACTCTAAGTGGCCTCTAGTTCTAATATAATATATTATGCTTATAAGTTTAAGTTGTTTTGCATCTACGTATATTTGACCCAGCATCCCAATTTTGCCAGAATTTTTTCGAGAGCTATAAAATATGAAGGAGAAGTATGAGTCCATTCCGAAGGCTGAGCAGCATTTTACTTTAAATTGTGAAACAACCTAATAGTCCTCATTCATATAGTTAACTGTATCAGATGTTCCGGACCCACCGAATAATGGCACTTTCGGGTAGGCAGACACTCTCCGTCTATTATTTGTGTTATTTATCCGTAACATGAACCCAACCACGCGCAGAACTAATATCGAAAAGACCCTGCGCTGTCCCCACTGCATCGTCTCGAATGCCGCGTCGCCCAGGCCCTCGGGAGGACCTGGAGAGATTTGGATTAGAAACAATCCGTCTGGTAATCGTGCCTCCGTGGTGGAAGCAACCGGAGACCACACCGAGACGAAGCTATCCATCAACGTAACCATCTCCCTTGAGACGTTACCAATGCCTATACTGATGGTAGCAGCCGCAGTGGCGGAATTTGGGCGTCGGCGGTCATTCCACACCAATCCCGTAATCGCCCGCTGGGGCAAGACACGCACATGGTTTATGCAGGAGAACTCACGGGAATTGATCTGGCCCTCTCTCTGCGTACCGTCGACTCCTCCGTGAGCTTGGATGAAGACATGGCAGGAGAGGTAGGCCCCCACAACACACGGCATACACACCATACAGATACTCCCCGAGCCCACAGAGCGGGTGCTGAACCTCCATTAGGACCTCTACCGCGAACAGAGCTCGGTGCTTATATAGATGCAGGTGGACCAGATTACGTTGGCATCCTACCTAGGAACATTTAGTGCCGTGGACGCGAGCGCATGCCCGTATGGGACACAGTCAGTTCAACATGTCCTGATCTCACGCAACCGACATGCAGATCTGTGGTCCAGAACATTGCGGAATGGCCGCTGCATGATTGATTACTGGCGGCATCTAAACGTCATGTCAGCTGTGGCTGGCTTGACGCAACGGATAATCAGATTTATGCTACAGACATGACTCCTCGGCCAATTTAGGAGTTTAAAGACACTATCATCGCGCCACAGAAACCCGTAGGCGCACGCCTTCAATATGCAATCGGACTTTTATTCAAAACGAGACCACTATACCTCCAATCCTTCGGGCTTGCAGGGACAAGACACAGACATACGACACGGGGCACGGAACCGACCACCAGCGTAGTCAAGCTTGGAGGTGGAGCGCGGTTATCGGTAAATAAACATATACAGAGCGGTTGGATATGGTGGTCAGGGGCGAGAATTTGATTTTTCTAACCCTGTGACTTAATTAGTAACTACATGCATCTAACTACCCCTAGCGGAGGACCCGGCCGTCAGACCGTGACCTTTTCCAGCAATCGGAGTAGAGCTGACAGATCCGAGTATGAATACTACTACTACTACTACTACTACTACTATTATTATTATTATGACCTTTTAAGTTATTTTGATTATTTTAGTAGTGGTGATAGTGGAAAAGCGGGTGCGCGTGGCGGTCCGGGAACTACGTTAATGGATATGATATATTAAGTATGGCGAGGTGGTGGCTGAATCCGGAGATATTGGCAAGACTAAGAAATAGCAGTGATTTTGGTTGACAATTTCGTTATTTTACCCCCAGGCAGTTTCCCAGGATAGGAGCATGTCTGTGACATGAGATGGCGAACAGTTCACTACTCATCTTTAACCCTGTCCTCTATCAGGCTAATTACAGAACTGTCACCAGGCATTTGACGATGTTTTCGCCAAGTACCGTAACGCCCGCAGTCAGTATACCGTGGCCCCCACCCTACCAGTCGTCCTAGACGTCGGTCACGTAGCAGATAGCGATCTCAGCGGCATTCTGAAGCAATCACTCGGTGCCACCCTTACGATGGCGGACATTCGCACCATCGTTAAGTGTGCCATCAGTTGGTCGGCTTCTACCTTCGATATGGTTGAACAGCCACCCCGTATCAGAGGAGGCCTTCAACTACTTCCACCGGCGCATATCAGAGAACGCCTCAAGACGGAGCACAGCAGACAAGGAACAAGCAGCGCAGGTGGAAACGGCGATATGTTGCCAGCTTCATGGGCTGCCGCTGAGGACGCGCTGACTGGTGTGACCAAGGCACTGATCATCAAAATTGCAGCCATGATGATGTTGGAACGGGATGAGGTGCGTGCCGATGCTCCCATCGCGTCATTCAGGTTGGATTCTCTTGTGTCGGTTGAATTGCGCAACCGAGTTCTCAGGGAGACCAGCGCTCAGTTGGCTCTTGGCATCACGTACGCTGAGAGTCTCCGAGCCCTTGCAACGCGCATTCTTTTGCAGAGAGAGTTAGGCCAAAAGGCGTGATGATTCTTACACAGCTCTACTCTTTTGTTGATTCGAAATCGTCCTTGCTTTCACGGCCAATCAAAAGATTTCTTGTGGATGCCATTTTGAACATAAGTAACTAACCTCGTGGATCCTGAGCACGTCTCCGTCCTGCTGCGTTTCAACCTGGAGAAGGAAAGGATGTAATCTTTGTATACTATTGAGCGGTTAATTCCAATTTTTTTTTTTTTTAGATGCCCGAGGTGTTTACATCCTCGCTTACCACCATGTAGTGTTTGTAGTCATTCTAACCAGGAGATGTAGGGGATAGTTAGGACCATGCCTGACCTTCCGTCTGAGAAGACTAAGTACTGAAGCACATGATCTAAAGTCTCACTTGGACACTACTTATCATGAGGGGGGAAAGAGGGGAGAGTGCCTATAGCGAGATTCAAGCTGATGACCTTGGGTCACCAACGCAATTTGGTCTAATTGAACCGCGGGCTAAACGTCTAATACCAGGTAGGCGTGGTCTTTGATTATGTTACTCCCTGAAAACATGATAGTCAGTACTGTAGCGACGTATATGGTATAACCGCGCTGTTCTTCTAGGGCAACTGGCTGAGGTCTACCGCAATCTGCGTCGCTAACATGTACGGCCTATCGAAGCAAGCATCCCAACGCGTCTCGCCTAAAGCCCAATATTTCTCAAGTACGCCTTTTACCGTCAACGGGACATACGAGCCGATATGGCGACTCATCTCTGGTAGCTGCTCTCGAACGAAAGCACGCATCACTGGGCCGCTATTCACAGCTTCCACCCCGAGCACTACCAACGGCCAAAGTAGGAATCTTTTTATCCTTGGGGATGACAATGCCTCACTGAGCAGCACCTGTAGACGCTGGCCATGGCCCGTACAACTAGCTCTCAGTAAAGGGGTCAGAGGCAGAACCGACAGGCTCTGCAGCGACAAGATGCAGTATAATGCCACAGCGGCCTGGTACACGTTTCCTACAATCATCCAGTCCTCTTTTGACGACGGCTTGGTTTCACTCCACTGTTCTGACGAGAAGATATGGATACGGCTGAGTATTCCGTACGCATCTTGGATGTGGTCCTCCAGCCCCGCGGGTTCTTGTTTCGAGGCTCGCACACGAAGATGATTAATCTTGATAATCTCGGCAAACAGGGGCTTGGGACACATCTGGAAGGCAAAGATTTCACCGCCAAACTTCTCTAGCATGAAGTCAATTTCCTCAAGGTGCAAAGTAGTCATTGCCAAGTCTGATGCAGGCGACGAAGTGTCCCCGATAATTGCAACGCTCAGAGGTGGTCAGCTTTATGCTACTTCAAACCGAACCTTCTTGCACACAGTAACATACAACAAAAAGCAATGAAGCAGCGGCGCTAGGCTGGTTGACCCGGCCAGTGAGCAAATGCCGCCGCGCAGCGTGATTAGTTTCTGGAGTCCCTCGATGTGGCCTCGCCAGTATGGAGAGGCACCTTGCTGGGCCTTGTGTGTGGGCAACACATGGGTTCAGTACGTGCGGATGGTTTTTATTACCGGAGAATCGACTTACATCAACGAGAAGAAGCGTGATGATTCCGGCAATGACGACATCGCGGGTACGCTTATACCCTTCATCAATATCGCTACTGAGAGAGCGAATGACAAGGCCCCGGTATCGGAAAAAGTTCACCGCCAGGGTATTAGACTGAGGGTCATTCTTCGTTCGGTTCATTCGATGGCTGAGGGTCATACAGACTATGCCAAGTCGTAAATAGTCGGGGTGCGCAGCCCCTCGCTGAAGGTGTGTGGGCGAGATCCTGTAAATGCCCTGGTTTGGCCCAAGGTCATTAATGGGGACTAAGTCTGGGTATATACAGGCGTTGTCTGTCCCAGGAGTTAGTCTTTTGTTTTGTTATATCATAATGTCATGCATGGCTTTCACTTGCAGTATTCGGCTGCCTGGGCCAAGACCGGAGCATCAGTAATAGTCTCGAAATGGGGAATACTAGTCGGCTTTTCTTTGCGATTAGTGTTGCCCTTAAGTTTCCAGGTCCTAGATTTGACCCTTCCAGGGGCAAGCCACTTTAATCTAAAAGGCTCCGTATCGTTATATCCAGGGCACACGATCGCAGAGGAAGTACACCGCTTACATAGGGGACGGGTGAAGTCACAGACTAGACAACGTCGGAGACATTCCCAACAGTGGCGCTTTCGATCTTCCTCCATTTCCCATTCGCCCAATCCGAGACGTTCGATGGATGGAGATATGAGTGAATTTAGGGAGAACGGTGATAACTTTGACGGTGTTGGGTGTGGTTGATGCGTTGATGTCGTCGGTAGGGGAAGAGAAAGGGATTGTGTTAACATATTCAGTCACAGAGTGGTCATTCCCACGTCTGCGACCACTGAAATTGTCAGAACTACCAACAGTATCAGCGCTGTAATGGTATAGTCATTCATACTAAAGTGCTGTTGTAGGGCGCCCATCTGACTATGCCTAATTAGGAAGCCGCTTATTTGGCATCTCCCATATCTGCCCTCCACTGATTCAGGAACATTCCTTAGATCATCAAGATGGATATCTCGTATCATTGACATTATAATACATCGCTCAGCACAAGCGAGCTGTAACCTCCCACTTAGCTACTCCATCAAATTTCTAAACAGGCAACCACCTCAGGATGATCGTCACTCTTCCATGGTTAGCGTCTTGGCGACTCTATTCTCCTAATTCGGTAAAGCGTCTCACGATTCAGGATGCCCTATAATAAAATGGGGTTGAAAAGGAAGAAAACATATCAGCAGCTGATGGGACCTATATAAGCCACCATGTTCTGCTGTGCCATCCCAAGTCACCTTCTGAAAAACAATAATTCACCCAAGAATTTTACTTCCATTATCTAGTACATGATGACAAGTGGGCAAGTTGGTAGGGTGGTCCTCCTTCACAGCAACGTGATACTGACAAGCCCAAGTCCCAGGAAGCCTTTATGTCTACATTCCCAATAAGGGAGCCCCCATCTTCTTCACGATTGCATTTGCTTCCTCGGCAGTTGGCTATATCTGGCAATGTCTGTGAGTGCGGCCCGGCCGTTGTGATTGACAATCAACCCTTCTGATTCCCACAATTAGCCGGTACAAATGCATTAGAATGATCGGCCTGCAGCCATTCTGTGCTGTACTGTTTACGGTTGGCTATGCTATGCGGGCATATGGAGCCTATGGACACCATATGTACAACTCACAAAACCTGGTCATCTATATTCTCAGCCAGGTTTTTATTTATATATGCCCGTGAGTTATGTATATATCTAAGCATTTCAATGCCGCTTGGGTACCGACTGAACCTGTCTCACTTTATAGTCCGCTTCTCGAGCTCGCCAACTACCACGTTCTCGGTCGGATTTTCTACTACGTCCCAAATCTTGCACCTCTTCCTCCCGACAAAGTTCTTGCTATTTTCGGTGGTCTGATGGCTCTCGTCGAGGCGTTGAATGCTCTAGGGGTAGCTTTCAACACTAACCCAACCGGCACCCAGCAAGAATTGGGAAAAGTCTTGATCCTAGCCGCGCTCGCCCTTCAACTCTGCGTGATTGCTGTATTCGTTGCTATAACAGGCTCCTTTCACTGGCGGTGCGTGAAAGCGAAAATCCGCCGCAGGTCTCTCCCGACTCTCCTAGTCATGCTAAACATAAGTATGGCATTGATCTTGATCCGTTGCATCTACCGTCTGGTGGAACACGTAGGTAACACGTCGGTGGATCTCAATGACCCCGAAAAACTAAGAACCCTGAGCCCCCTTTTGCGGTATGAGTGGTTCTTCTATATTTTTGAGGCATCCCTCATGCTCCTCAACTCTCTCCTATGGAACGTGTTCAATCCGGGCCGCCATCTTCCCAGACACCATACAGTTTTTTTGGCGGCTAACGGTACGACCGAAATCGAAGAGGTACAAGTCCAGGATGACAAACCGGTCTTCGTTAAGGCTGCGTATGTCGCCATGAATATCCTGACCTTTAACCTGTTTCGCCTTTTTGCCCGCCACAAGGATGAAGAAGGTCATCGGCTTACAGAGCGGAATAAGCACTCTCGTCAGGCTTGAACGCGGACTAGAATACTACAATCATCTAGCTTTCAGGGCCTCTTCAAACTTCTTATCTAGGTCCTGCAGAATGTACATTAGAGGGTGACACCAGCTTAACTTCGGTGATGCAGCTTTGGACCTGAATGGCACATTCGGCATGGATTGCACGGTAATAGAGCGAATTTCTTAGATTCACTCCTGGGATGTAATTTTTGACCCTATACACTGTACAGTGGGTCATTTGCCAATGATATTAACGAATACTTTTAGACCTCCCGGTATAACTCCGTTGAACACTTCGACTGGTGATGAGCATCAAGGTAGATTTATCACGTTCACTGGTTCGGGGGAAACTAATCGCGGATTTGGAAGCTATTACCATCCGAGGAGTTTGATCTTGTCCTTTTTGCCTCATTTCTTGATGTTTTTTGATGGTTTTGACGGAAGTAATCATATATAACCTACTGGTTTGAGAGAGTTCTTTAATACTAGACCAACCTAGTAAGTTAGATTAACAGGAATTTGCTGTTACTGAAAACAACCATCTTTAATTACCCGTCCATTCTTATCTTTAATGCGCGTGTCCCATTTATCTATGTAGGGACAATATCCATCCTTGACACCACCATTAGTATGTTGCCATAATCCCTAACCTCGGAAGAATACCCAAAAATGGAGCTACATAAAGGTCCATGGGTCCATCAATCCAGGCCCAGCTTTCATAACCAGATTCAAGTCGACCCAGGATCTTTTAGTGAATCCAGCTTGTGCATTCAAACTTTCAGGCGGAACTGTAATAACTGGTTGGATGGATCGCAACACATGCATCAAAGTCCTTTTTAGTGGCACCATTTTAAAATCGAAGCCAAGGCCGTGGAGCATCTCAGAAACACCCGTACCAAGAATATGAGCTCCTACCACTTTCTCCGATTCACTTACACATATTACATTGAACTGAGTCGGGCTCTTCTTCTTGTCATCAGGCGAATGACAGAGGAGAACCTGTTGGTAACAAGGTTTGGTAATTTGGCCTGGTACTTTCCAGAGATCCTGACTGGGGCCAACGCTACCTCAGGTGCGAAAAGTCGACCGTGGGGAGGTTTTCATATGGTAGCTTAGATTAATTCAAATCGGAAGGGCCAACGACGATTCCCAAGTTGGGGGCCGGCACTGAAAGTAACCAGGAATATTATTGGTGCTGAGCAAAGCAAACAATATTATGAGTCCTACCTGGTATTAGTTCAGCCTTGAAAGTCACATCCCCTATGGCATATATTCCTTCCACAGATGAGTTTTGGAATACATCTACTGCAATAAGACCATCGCCATTCAGGGACGACAGCAGTCGGAAGATGGAGTTTGCTCACGGCTGGTTTACAAAAAATTGCCCGGAGTACGTCGTTGAACAGCAGGTTTTTGCCATTGTTGAATACTATTTTGAGGAACTTTGTATTAGACCTCGGCAATACCGTACGTCTACCTGTTTTGGTAACCTATTATCAACTATCAGAAGTGGTGCTATAGCTGCACGTTGTGTATCTAAACCTTAAAACAAGAACCAAAAACCAGTATCACGAACCGCTGAACCTGTCAGGGCATGCATGTCATTTTACTGGTCCCTTCTCATCATGCACAACCAGGTTATGTGGAAATTGGCTTCCCGTTGGATCTGTGGCTGACGTACTCTCGAGACTAAATTAGAGTATCGTAACCGTGTTTTTTGGCTTGCAGATCTCATGAATGGCATCCTGACGTCAGTAATCATGAAGGATGAGTAATGCGTTGCCTATTCTGTATTTGAGCAGTATCATGCAACACTCGTAACACTAGCACTAGGCATGTAGTTCTATACAAATATGTCCTCTTGACTTATTACATTAGGTGTCCTAACTCAAGCCGATAGCTCCAGAAGACTCCTGATCAGGAGCCGGTTTGTGGAGTTTCCAAATCCATCCCAGAGGGTCTAAGCCCAATGTGCGCGCCACCGACTGAGAAGACAGGTTGTTTCCCGCTATACTATAAAAGAGAATCTCTTTGTTCCGTCTCTCACACTCTGACCACGCGGCCACCACCGCTGGAGCGATACGACGCCCACGGAAGTCCGGATGTGTCCAGATACCGGCCTCAGCTACAGTTGAGTTCATGGCTGGTGAAAAGCAAATAGACACTGGGGATTTCTCATGTACTGCCATAGCCCATTCTCCCTTAGATCCTGTGATTAGCTCGGCCCATTCGTCGGGTTCCCAATTGCTGGGGCGAATGAATTCCCGAGCTGCAGCTTTGCCTGCCGAGTCTGACACGTAAATAGGCAGTGTTATTGAAGGTGGTGTCAGCTGTCGGTCTGGAAATGTAAAACAGGGACCTCCTTCAATAGTGCCAGGGAAAGTTTCTGAAAGATGAACAAGAGCCTCTGGGACGGTTCCTGGTTCGTAGGCCTGGTCGATACAGCTATGACATTGAGAAGGGCCAAAAGGTATCTCAGGACTAAGCGCAAGGAACTTCGCGGAAAGGGACCAAGCATATATCGCACGATATTTTGGGTCTTTAAGTACAGGTTGCGATGATGTAGAATCGAGTCCGAAGATGGCATCTACCTCAAGTTGCAGCAGTCCTTGATCGGTTCTTGTTCCGCGCATGGCTAATGGATCATATATGGGATAATTTATTGGCCCGAGTCGGTTGGAAATATCTGACTGGATGCCTCTTGGCTGGCTGTTCGTATAAAAACGGCCACTGGTGGGCTGGTTTAAAATGATTGAGACAAGTGGAGTTTCTGTCTGCCAAGCCACTTTATGAGTCATTTCTGGCGGTGCTAATGCAACTGTGATAATAGGAGGTTTGGTCAAGAGTATGGTGATATTGAAATACTGAAATAATGTACCATGTGCTCTGCATTAACTCCACTATGCAAAGAAATAAATATTTCCATGGCTCATAGGCTGGTTGCTATAATACGAGTGTTAAAAAAATATATAATAATAACAAATATGGATATAAAAACATGGTCAAAATATACATTTATAGCACGTCCTCCAAGCTGTCCCCTCACGGAGACAGCAGTAGTGAGCAGTAATTGGATGCCTGTTATACTGACTGAATATAATGGTTTTGTATCCTAGAAATACACTATACATGCAAGAGGTGGGAATAGATTGAGCGCATTCGAGTAAAACGTGACTAAAAAAGAAAATGTATTTGTACGGTTATATTAATAATTTAATTCCCTACTAATTTAGGATTTGAATCTATATAGTTAATATATATATTTTCAATGTATAATATATACACCCAGAAGAACTAAAGCATAGTTCTAGTGTTCAAAAGTTTGCCTTTAATATAAATGCAATAAACAGCTATGTTGTAGAGTTTATTGTAGATCTAACTATAAATAAGCTATTTTTACCATTTACTACTTTATCTAATCACTGCGAGTGTAAAACTTAAGAATATATAGGGCTGTCTTGGACGCGTCCAGCAAGCACGCGTTTGGACTGCCTGTTGGAATGGAGTCAACCCGGCACGAAGACGAATCGGAAGGTGAACATAACAGTAGAATGCAGCAGGGGACGAAGTGCCTATTATGCAGGGCCACGGTGCAGCTGCGGGTGGCAAGACGGTTGAGACATTGCTTTCGGATGTTTTAGCGGTGGGATGTTGGATTATATAGCGATAGCTGATTTTCCTTTCTCATTTGCACATTAAGGGGGCAATTGATACTTTCTTTCTTTATGGGATTTCATATGGCGTTGAGGACCTCTGGTGCTTGTTTCATTAGGGAAGCACCTGCATAGCTAGACGCTTCAGTAGACGGGCTGCTACAGGCCAATAGAACTTTGAATTGAATATTGATGGCTAAATCTACTGCGTTCGACATAAGTTGATATCTGCTGTTAATTTCTATTAGTGCTTCTGGCGGTCATCTTCGGTTTTCCGACGACATAAGTTGATATTCCCATATGCTAGTAAATAGTATACCCACAGGACAAATGACCAGGAAATTTCTGAAAATCTTCATCTGAAATCTCGCTTCCTTCTCTCCCTCCGTGCCTTGAGATCTACAGTCACCTGGATATCGAACAGATTGTGCAAATAAATTTGAAACATGCGTCTCGCAAACTTGCACTTCTCCAGGTCAAACCCATTTATCCAAGCCAGCCTAAACCCACCAGTTGGTCGTGTCCGACCTTCCATTGGCATCGTCTTATCATACCCCATTGTGATACTGCTAACATTAAACGCTATTTCCATTTCGCGTAATTGTTCGTGCTTTATGGTGGAGCTAATCAGGGCATATTTCTCGTCACCAAACAGAGGCACACTGTAGCCCGTTCGCGTCTTTGCTTCGGCCAAGCAAGGACCGGTCCATCCTTTACCGCAATAGAGATCCACAAGGGAAGGGAGAAACCAAGGACCGTATAAATCCGGCCACTGAGGGGAGAATCGCAAATGGATCTCGATTATCTTCCCCCCTATGGTTTCCATATTCACCATCCCGGTATATCCAGCCACGTGAGACTCAATGAAGGCGGCAATGTTTTGCTGTACAGTACAATCTGCTGTGACATTGACCTCCCAGTAATCCCATGTTTGGTCTTTATCTGCCATACCCCTTGTATGAGCGAACCAGACTGGTCTCCCCGCAATTACTGCGATGTCCGTGCTATAGTGTTTCCCAGTCAATAAAGCCGACCACATATGCCCAGGGGTATGGGAGCGCCAGTAGTCCTCCTGCGTCCTTATCAGTCGTGCGTCAGCTCCCAGGCCTCCGAGGTTGTAAATAGGCTTGCTGAAGATAGGATAGAGATCATGATCAGGCTCAGTCTCATGCGGCCCACATTTGATCCCTTGTAGCTCGGCAACCGTAAGCTTGTTGTAAGCCCAGCGAAATTTGGGGTAAAGGTCATAGGCATCAGGATCACCAGTGGGGATAATGCAGCGTGCTGGACAGGGAGTGGATTCAAAGAGTCGACTACTTGAACGGCAAAAAAGAATTGGCATTTTGGAAGTATCTTTCAGATTATAGAACTAATCTGCGGGGTCGCATGTCAACGCACCCGCTTGTTTCTCAAGGTAGGTAGGAAGTTATCCATACTCTTTCTAATTACCCTGTCATATATAGGCACAGAACCCTGTCCTTGCCGATATGCAACGTTGCACAAGCTCAGCTTCTATCTGTGCGGAGCTGTCTTTGAGATAGTATCTCTTGACGTCATACTATCAACTATTATCGCAGATGAACGCTGCTTCTATTTTGCAAGGAACGTAACATTGGTACGGACGGCGAAGCCATGGTTCTAGGAATTGTGACGTTCCAAGAATACCCAGCAGGAGTTAGCAGTAAATTTCAAGTAGTAACGCTATGAGACTATCTTTTGCTGCGTTGAGATTATGTATGTGACCTGTTATTCTGCGACTTTTTGAACCTCCTATTATGATGCCTATTCCCTTTTTTAGGTAAATGATCTTTGAACTTATAATCCTCCCTCCACCATTACAGTCTCAGAGTGATTCAGGCGATCAGATGACGTCATGCACTATACTTACTACTTACCTTGCCCTAATTCACAAAGCATCTCTAAAGGCCACATACATTCCGAACCAACTGGCGCCAGTTCTACGAATATTATGTAAGATAGTATCATTATTAACTTAGTTACTCAATTATTTGAATATTCATAGATCTACATCCAATTCCAAGTGTTATTTGTTGTGATTCAGAGGAAGATTAATTGACATTCTTCTCTTCTGTAAGCTTCAGGGTTTATACAAGATAAACATCAGATTGGTTGAAAATTGGAAATCAATCTAAATAAGTTCTGTATATGAAACTATTGTACTGAATCGAGCCTCAATTCACAACATTATTCACTAAAAATAGTAGTTTCATTAGAATGATGTTTAACAAGTCCACCAAATTTGAAATAGCTTAGTCACTAAAACAGTTAACTACTCTGGGGACTTAAGAGGTTAGAACGATGTAATTTACAAAACCCATCGAGCCTATGTCCTGTCGCCCTTGCGCCTACAGGAGAAACATGCTGTCACCGAACATGTCGAACTCGTATCCTCCCCTTTCAGTAATCTCCGCGTAGCTGCGCATAACAAGTTCCTTGCCCCCAAATGCCGCGGTAAGTACGATGTGGCTGGACCGCGGCCGGTGGAGATTCGTCAGCAGCCCATCTACCATCTTGAACTTGAACCCAGGATAAATATAGAGATCAGTCCACGACGCTTGCGCCTGCACGGGGGCTTGAGGGTCCTTGTCGGCCGCAAGTGTCTCGAGAGTTCGCATGACAGTTGTCCCAACGGCAATGATACGGCGGCCATCCTCCTGAGCCCGATTGATCTGTGCAGCGGTCTCGTCTCCCACCTCGAAGTACTCGGATTTCACTTTGTGATTCTCGACCTCTTCCTCGCTAATATGGCGAACTGCGAGAATCTCAGTCGCTCCGACATGCAGTGTGATATATGCGATCTCAACCCCCTTGGCGGCAATCCGAGCTAACAGTTCCTTAGAGAAGTGAAGCCCAGCCGACGGAATCTCTAGCGAGCCAGGTGACTTGGCATAGACGGAGCGGTAGGCCTGGGGCACCGTTTTCCAGTATGTTGGATTGAGGTGGATACTCTGGTCTAAACGCTGTCCGTATCGATCCAGCGTCGGCACTAATAGCTCGGAGGGCTCGAACTTCGCCTTCCAGAGTCGGTCGGGCTGCGCTTCGAGAAGGGTACAGGTAAGCCGGTCATCGTTCACTGATGTCAAGACGAGTCCCGGCTTTTCCGACTGATGCTGAGATTTGATTTCGATAATAGTTGTGGCGTCGGCCTCGTGACCGTACACGGTTAGCTGCACAGACTTATCGCCATGTTGAAACCACAAGGTGTTGGACAGCATGTAGCTGTCATTCAACACTAGAAGATCGCCCGGACGAAAATAATCACAGATAGATGAGAACACCGTGTGATCGATCTTCGCTGCGGAGCGATCGAGCACGATCATTCTTCCGCTGTCGCGATCCTTGCCGCGCAACTCAACAGGATCGTGGGGCATATCCCCTGCATCTTGTTTAAAATCAAACTCTTTGGTCTTCATGATTCGTTGCTTTCTGAAGACCCGTTGTTGCGGTAAGGCTTAAATCAAATATATTAATATACCACCCAGGAATATCCAGACTAACACGAGTAGGAACGTTTTATAGATTTCTCCTGTAGAGAAAGCTTCCTCTTTATAATCTGGTTCTATTATTCATCAAGTTAAGATACATCATAAAAATGGGATCTAGACGTCATAGATATGCATCTAGAGCCTGCATGATTATACAGTCTGAGAAAGCTACTTAGCGACGCCACACATAGTTTTGTTGTGAAAAGTTCCAGACAGTCCTACGCTAAGGTTACACTAGACCTTGACAGACCCCCCAAGACGACCCATGGGCCGGACCGTGGGTGGTTAGACCCGCCCAATGGGCCAAATGGGAGGCCCGCGGGCATGTCCTACATATTTGTAAAATCCTAATTAGGATAGATAACTCGCTGATTCAGCTAAATCTGATACCAAAATCGCTATATTAGTCCCTGCGCAGCATCTGCAGGTAATTAAAATAGTTAGAAATACTCAAAACAAAATCGCATAAATAGAACTAGTCATGTGGATTACTATTTTTGCTTAATTTTGGGCGGATGGGCGGATGGGCGGGAGGTCGAGGGGCCCACCCATGGGTTTGTCAAGGTCATGGTTACAGAATCAAAATCCAGTAGGTTTAAAGCAGTGCGAAAGGGGTTCTTACGTCATAGGAACAACTCGAAAATGTTACATTGGACTGCTCTTACATCCTACCATGATTTCTGGACAGGAATGAGATTGTGATACTTTCCATTCTGGACTTGTTGATGACGGGGTGAGACAATAAGATTACATAAACAACAGCAATCCATATTAGTTAGTGAACTACCGGATGTCGAGTCCAAAAAGGGTATGGGACTGATCGGACTCGACATAAAGGATGGAAAGATCATCGTCAACCCTATATAGCCTTATGAACTTGGTAGATAAGTTTATTACCAACAATGCATTGGAGGGTTTTTCATGCTGCACCTTACCGACATACACAGACCAGAGGAAAGGATACATTGATGCAATGATCAAGCTTTCCCACAAATTGAATATCATCTAGGTAGACATGGTCTCAGTGGCCATGGTTGATGCAATCCAAGGGAATCAAGCCGACATATGATTTCGGACTGGTTTACGACTAGGAAATGAAAGGTGAACTGGGCTTCGCGTAAGACAATCGTCATGCGAACGTCGCCCTCACAAAAGCACGTGCATGTTTGATTGTTGTAGCGAACGGGCAAATCATTGCAACGACCGTCTCAGTGAAGCAAAAGCTATAGACGTACCCAGAAATCCTAGTACTCTGACAACACATCCTGTAACAATGATCTCATTGTCGTATGTCTGGTCGATGATACCGTGATAATCAGTGAGGGTCAAAACATGGATGCAGATGCTTCGGGGAACGAAAACGATGGTGCTTGGTATCTTTATCCCTTGTCATAATAATTATTTGTCATCACTTCATGATAGCTTCAGAAAAACGAAAAGAAATAAACGATAAAAAAAATGTGTTGAGCATCGAAAGGTCCCACATATCCAGATCTGCTTAACTGTGTTTCGTTAAATACTATCTTCAATTTATTCTCTTTTTTTCTACTCCCAACATCTCCGAGTCTTCTAAATCCTCTGTCATCAATCCCTTCTTGCCTCATAGCTCTGGCTTCCCCGTCCAGCAATAGCATCTTCAATTACGTGTTGCCTTTTGCTGATTCTTTCCTCATCTTTGGATTCCCCCTGTTTGCACTTAATTATTTTCATGATGGCCCTCACCATGGCACATGGCTAATCTCTCGTCCACATATTGGCTTTATCTCCAATACGTCAAATTTTAAAGCCACTAGAATATCCCAAAATAGTTAAGAAAAAGTTCTATATGTAGCTATAGGATATATTACTAATCTATTATATAGAGAAGAATGTAAAATCCTTGTTCTTGCGTAGAGGCTGTCAGGAAAGAATTCTAAAAATAAATAAGAGAATTTGGCTGATGAATATCCAACCTGACTAGTTTGGAGAAGAAATGAAATACTGTTGCAATCTACTCTAACTTAATACTATCTTATTGTGTCTCTTTGCCTAAAATATTGTGATCTGGTAAACAGCATTCCAATGGGTACTGAGGTTATGGTACCTGCTTTTGGTTGCAGCACTCTTGGAAGTTACCTGACATGGGGAAAATTAAAAGATAATTAATCGATCCCGTTATCTGTAATCGACTTCAGTGGAGTGCCGCACGTATTTAACTACACCTTTGCGCCATCACGTTCTGTATCTTTTCATAGTTATACCAAGTATGATTGTATCGTCGCCTTTTATCGGCCTGCAAGTAGTCTCGTCAGCGAGCTATTTTTTGTCACACCAGATATCCAACAAAAGACAAGGTGATCGGCCTGTTTCTTCTAGGATAACAGCCCTCGATTAGATGAGGTCGGCTTTCGTAGAGGCACTCAAAGACAAGCTTGCATATACACCATGCATGAAACGGCAAGTATGCTGCTTCTGAAAGTGGTTGAATGATTCATTAGTATGTACCATATTCTATCTAATCTGAACCCTTGGTATGATTGATATTCAAGTATGATATATGATCATTTTCAAGGATGAGATAATTAACTTGGGTTTTGTCAATATTTAAAGGAATTGGCTATTCAAGGCCATGGTACCCATTTTAACTCAGTTGAAATTTTCCACCCAACAATTAACAATACCCAGGAGACATCTACTTTCATAGAAAACGCTATATTCCACATTATATATCCTACTTTCACTCTGGTATCGCAATACCATTCATGCCTCCCTTCTCAATCGACAACCTTCGCACATCAGCATGCTCCTTCTCCGTTGCGATCGCCAACGCAGTAGTCCCGTTCACACGGGCCTCATGGGGGCAGAAGCAGAGTTTCGACCTCTGCACATCCAACTCTACCGCTCCAATCACCGAAGGCTTATGTATCAGCTCCGCGTCGTTTGGGACAATATCGACCCCGTTTTCCCATATATTGCGACCTTGAGCAGCTCTGCTGGCGGGTAGGAGAGGTCGATTGTGTTTTCTAAACCATGTTGCAGCTTGCGGGACTTGTCTAGTAGACGAGCTACCTTGGCTATATTACCGGTTGCGCAAGCTTAGAGGAGGTTTGGAGTTGTGGACATGAATGAAGTGTACTCAAAAATAGGGAGGGAATAGAACATGAAAGGAATAAATCTGGGTTATAATGGGAGAGGGTTAAGATAGGAGGCTACTTGTCTGTAGTGATAAGTAGATAGCTACTACATATGCACACTAACGGACAAGTCTATTACTCCGTGTTTCATATGATATATTCCTCTAAGACGAGCTATACTTGCTAACTAAAAGTAGTACAAGTATTTTAACGTGAAGTTACCGGGAAGGACCCGTCTAGCGAATTCCTCCCCCAAAGGCTGAGGGAAATGAGATTCATCGTATCATGAGGAACCGGGCGAGTGGCGCGTCAGATCGAGCTGCAGGACGGATATATAAATATAACTAGACTATAAAAATAGGCAGCAACGATGGCAGCAGAATAATGCTGTCTGGCTGATATAAGGTATGTCCTGTATACGTTGACTTCCCGAATGCTCATAATTATGAAAAATTATAATGCTCAACGTTTAATTATTTATACCATTAACGTCACTAAATAATCATAATTTCTATATCCGTAGAAAATTTTGCCCGAGCCGAAGGGTTGCTCTAAATAAACAACAGGATACTCTGGAGCATTGACTGGTTATCGTATAGGATAATGCGAAAAGTATAGACACTCGCAACTCAACACCATAGATCACCCATAGGGTAAATCCGCTTATTCAAAGTCCTGCATACAGCAGAGTGTAATATACACCTAGAGTACATTTTCCAAGCCTATACTTATAACTAGATGAGTGTACAGGAAGAATATATCAGTCATATCTGCCAATACATCGTACAAGTCGCCTAGCTCCTAGCCACCAGCCACCTTCCAACACAATCACCTTCCCAACTTAACTGAATACGCAATCTGACCGCGGGGAAGTTTGGGATACTCGGGATCCCCCTTCTTCCAAATGATCTTCGTGGTAACCTTGTCGCCTTGGAAACTAACCTGGATAATCCTGTCGACGTTCTGTTGCGAATCAGGGCAGGATACTCCCAGCCTGGGGCATTTTAGTGCCATCATTGCCCTCCTTGGTGAAGAAGTGGACCATCCTGTCGGATGCCTCAGCGAAGGCCTGAGATAGAAGCTTCTGGAAACTATCTTGCTTGTTTTAAGGTAATGCTTTACCCTGTTCCAAAAATCACTCGTCATCGACAATCGCGTTAAAGGTTACTACTAGGCCGCGTCCGTGTGGTGCGTTAGCTTTGTACCATTTCGTAGCCACGTCGATGGCTTTGCCGGCGTTCATTTGGCTGCAGAAGAGAGTCTTTTTTACCGACTTGTCCGTGCTCCTTGATCCTGACAACCAGGTCGGCCACGGATGGGACCTCACTCGTGCAGACCAATTTGGGTTTCTTGCCCTTCTTCGGCTTCACCGACACACTTTTACTAATACAAGTTTCCCCGTCTTCACCCCTGCCATATATACGACTCTTGGGATCGGCTAGGCAAGCAGTATTTTAAGTTTTGTTTCGGACATCTTGATTCCGGTTCCATTCTTGTTCTACCGATATGGACTGGAAATTTGAAAATAGAGTAGATACACGACTAAGCACATCCACGAGGGAACCCTCTCCCACGGCGGCAGAAAGAATGTATAGGCTGATCGGAGGCAAAGATTGCAATTTGAAAATGCTTCTACTGGATATTTTCACAATATATTAGCATAGTGCAATTTTCTGCGCTTGTTGAGAATATAATGGTTTATTCCTAGGCCAATCTCTTAATAAATATATTATATTCCCTATATAGAAGTACTACTATAATACATCTAATAACATGGAACAAACCCGACTATCACTGCTTAATAAACCAATCATTGAAGTTGTCCAAAGGAGATTCATCCTTGACTTCGTCCCACACTTTCCCGACCTTCCCCGCAATATCATCACTCAACGGTCCTTGATGCAGCCCATGGAGTGTCTGTTTCAACTGGTCAACACTGCTAGCCCCAATGACTAGTGCATCTCCAAGGTCGCTCCGAAGACCTGAATGATATGCCATCCATCGATACGCCAGTTCTGCCTTGGAGATCCCAGCTTCCTTGGCAATCTGGCCCCAGTTCTCCAACGCACTCAGAAGGGCAGGCTTGTTGTACATATCATTATACAACTTCCCTAGAAAAGTATTCGGGTCCCATCTTCCTTCCCCTCCCTTCAGCAGTTGCTCCACCGTCTTGGTCAGAAATCCCCCGGCAAGAGGGCTGTACGCATAAAATGCCAATCCGTATTTCCGCAACAGGGGAAAGAGTTCAGTTTCTTGCTTGCGCGAGATGGGGTTGTAGTTCCCCTGGTAGACGGTGGGTAACACCAGCTGGTTCTCCTTCGCCACGCGAATAACATTTTCAACCTCGTCGGCTCGGAAATTAGAGATACCAAAGTACTTGAATTTACCCTGCTCGTATAGCTCATTGATCCCCGCAAGTGTCTCTTCCAGAGGGGTTCCACGGTCCGGTGCATGGAGGTAGAATATATTGACCTTGCTGTTCGTCAGAAGACTGTCCATGGGTATATAGTTCCCATTATGTAAACTCACCTTGTCCGTCTGGAGCTTCTTCAGACTCTCTTCACCTCCTGCGATTACCTTCTCTTTGGTCCCGCTCCCAGGTGAGAATCCGCCGGGATGCTTCGTATCTATAGTAAAACGAGATGCGGCCTTGGTTTCGCCTAGAAGTTGCTCGCTCGTGCCGTAAATATGGGCCGTATCAAGGGTAGAAACTCCGCTTTGCTGAAGCGCTTGCAGCATCTCTTCCACCGCTGGTACATTAGGTTGGCTACTCCCTTCCGAGAAGAAGGCGGCACCGAAAACAATCTTCAGAGTCAAAGTAGTGGTGGCCATGTTGGTCGTAGAATTAGCTTCCTTGTATCAGAGTCCGACAATTGTCAAGGATGTCTGAGTGTTATGTTGTTTACCAAAAAATGGGAAGACAGTGAACAATTTATATCCCTTGTCTCATGTGTGGCATAGATGACGTATATTGATTATAAATGGAGGACGATATACAAATGGAGAATATGGATTATAAATGCAATCGAATATGGTAGATTATTTTATATAATTCTGCAACTGATTGGTCAATTCTACAGCAGTAAAAAGGTAGAGGTTTCATTCATAGGCCTGACCAACCTCGTATCCTGGTGATTGGCTAGTTTAATAGCAACTTCGTAGATATGGTTTTATTTAGCGGTTCGAAGTGGAGACAATCCATACCATTGTATAGTAGTGAGTAGTTTAAAAATGATGTGTTTTTATCTTTATTTTTAGAGCGACTACAATAATATGTCTGACAGGAATGCAGCACCAGCACTGACTCAAATCGCAGCAAAGGGATAATTGCAGCAGTCCACATACCTATCTACCCCAACACAAGGCTTCGCTCCTAGTATCTAGAAATTCTAGCTAATTTCTATTAGTGCATCCGTTACAAAGCTTGTTCATATATTGTATCGCGAAGACAAAACCATTCGACTATTAGAAACCCGAACTGTCAGTGAGCTGAAATAGTACATTATAATAGAAAGCCAGAGTATCAACATAATTAACCTAGAATTCTATAGTAGGATCTATAAAACAGCTTTATAACAGCTTCTAATACCTATCCTCTAGGATAAAAGAAGATACATAATCACCCAAGTACCATTAAGATGCAATGGACTCATGGCTGGGCTATAATATAGACAGAATTTCCGGTGCAAAAGCCTTCTTATAGGAATCGCCCCGTTCAGTTACTCCACCCGTCTTCGTGTCTTGCCGGAAAGATATACCTACCCCCATGGTATTACCACACCCTGGGTAACAGAGCCTATCTCGGTACCAGGGGCCATGATTTGGCGGGCACGGAAGAGTCATCAACCGATCAGGGATTCCACCATTTGGCCCGTATCATGTCAGCTTGAGCTGCATAGTAGACACGAAGATTGGTACCGTCCACAGCGACATTGGTGAATGCACTACGAGTAACATTGGTTCCAAAGCCTATGGGCTGGTCGTTACTCCAACCCCGCCCGTTTCTCCAGAGCCACTCCTGTATTGACAAGTTCGGATCCTGGTGAAATAAGACACAATGTATTAGATTCTCACAGGAAGATAAGGTGCAAATTGTAGACATACTCCCGATAGTTGTAGCCATTGGAGATATACGCGACACTGTTCAGAGAAGTGCCGGGCAAAGTGCGACTGAATGAGGTTTCATTTTTTCCAGTCACTTCTTATATCTAATCACTGTTAGAACTGAGCAAAGTACATCCTTTGCAATAGGGAAATACGGGGTACTCACCAGTACTGTTGTAGAGGTAGATCGTATTATGGCGCTTGATAGAAAACGGACAGATAATACCTACATGGTAGACGAGGCAGGTATAGCTGCGCGTACTGGGCGTCAGCCTCCGTATTTAACTCCTGCGAGGGGTAGCCCGTGATCATGAGCAGGGCAGTCGGATCCGTGGTGTCCTGGTACAGCGCATGCATAGGACGCGAGATCTCGGGGTTGGTGTAGGAGGCACAGAGGGAGAAGACGTCGGATGACCTGGGTGGGTTCTGAAGATGCGGTGCTTTGGTTGGGCTTCAGAGTGCAATGCCGGAATTTGGTGATGGGAGACATTTTGGATTCGATGATGTGGTCAGTGATGGTGGTCGCAATGGTTCTGGCGGGGAAGGGGGGTTGATGGAGGGAAAGAAAAGGATCGAGAGGGTATCGGATATACCGCCCCAAATCCATAGCGAGGGTAGTGCCCATTCAGTAGTCCATGTGGGTTGCTGTCGCTGTTGGCTGTGGTGTGAATCCTTCAGTCAGTGCATGCGACAAATTATGGTGCGGCTGCGACTTTCTCGGCATCCATCAGGTCTCACACGTAGATGGCGGTAGTTCACTAGCTGAACTGGCTGAATGGATGGTTCAACTGTGACTGATACTGTCATATCCCCTCCTTTGATTATCAACCATCGATATAGAGTTGACCGAACCATTATGACCGTCGAGGGACCCTTGAGGGTGTGCAGGTACTGCCCGCTGCTGGCATCCCGGAGGCAGAGGCGAGCCGCTGGGAGTCAGGCGAGAAGACCACAGACAAGACCGAACCATTATGACCTTCGAGGGTCTGTAGGCAAGCACCCCAGCTTTCTTCAAGATTTGGTATACCAATTATCCAGTCTGGTTGCTCATATTGATTCCTTGTTATGCTGCTCCGAGGGCTAAAGACCAATGCTGAACTGTGTACTTGGCTGTGATACATATTTTTGTATGGAGGTTTGAACCATAGTTGGGTTGCGAGGTACCAAATATTTCAAACATTTGGGCGGAACTGTACAAAGTACAGTACAGACTTAGGAATTTTGCCACCGACTGTGGCTAAATATTGTCGCTTTACGTCAGTCGGTCGAGACCTATGTCGACATTGGAGTTAGAGCTGTTGTTTGGTTCGAGAACGTCATCCACATCGCGCGGAGCATTTCATCGTTTTTCTTTTTAATTAGTTTCTTCGGCAATCGGTCGTTGCCTTCACTTCTCAGCTTATATATTAAATATTGGTCATTGCAATTTATTTTACCTCCTCTTCATTCTCCTTACATACTCCCCGGGTCCGTGTGAGTATGTTGATTGAATTGCGAGAAGCGGCGACCTCACACACATTTCTATTTAAGGAACTAGACAAAGCCGGGATTACAATGGGACAAGGTGCGCGTCAGTGGCATCTCAACAACTTTAGTGCTAACTGAAGATTGCGATCAGAGAGCCTGGGCCCCCAAGATGATAATGAGGGACAGGTTGCGCCCGACCATCCTCCTCTCACCAATACCACGGAGCGCAAGCTAATGGCCAAGATTGATTGGCATACCGTCCCCTGCCTGTGTATCATGTATTTGCTTGCCCTTTTGGACCGGTATGTAAATTCCCCCCTCTTACCTACCCCAATGCGACATTCGCAGTGGGTGGTCTGACATAGCTATGCGCATCCAGCGTTAATATTAGTAACGCGGCTGTGCTCGGGCTTAAACAAGATCTACATATCTTTGATGGGACGAAATACAATACCGCATTGACGATTTTCTTCGTTCCATATATAATATTCGAGATTCCCTCCAACGTTCTGCTCAAGAAATTCAAGCCCCACGTGTGGTGTACGTATGGATCCCCTCCTGTGTTGTAAAGTGCGCCGACTGACGGAGAAATTCGAGTGTCGATGTGCATGTTTCTATTCGGATTAGTAACAATCTGCCAGGGGCTGGTGTCGAACTGGGGTGGTCTGATAACCACCCGCTGTTTCCTAGGTATGGATGTTTATGTTCTGTGCCTTGAGCGAACCACATATTGACTAATCTTGTGTGCTTCTAGGAATGTTTGAGACAGGAATGTTCCCCGGATGTATGTGTTCAGCCCTCCCCTTCGCACCTGATTGGTCGAGCAGTGTCGACAGCTGAATCAAGGCTTCTATCTTCTGGGAATGTGGTATAAGCGTAGCGAGGCGCAGAAGAGATTTAGTTTCTTCTTTAGCTCTACGACCCTTGCGGGTGCCTTCGGTGGCTTGCTGGCCAGTGGGCTGGGGAAGATGGACGGAGTTCGAGGCTACAGCGGTTGGCGATGGGTTTTTATTATTGAAGGCCTTCTCACTTGCGTTGTCTCGTTCGTCTGGTTCTTCGTTATCCCGGGCTTCCCGGAGGAGGTCAAATGGCTCACAGAGGAGGAGCGAGAGTTTATTCGCGTGAAACTGGCTAAAGACACCGGAGGTGCTGCGCATGATGCCAAACTTGGTTGTCGCGAAGTTTTGGATGTCTTCAAGGACTGTGAGCACTTCGTGATTGCCGTCGGACGATTCACAATTCGGATCCTAATGGAAATTTTTAGACAAAATTTTCCTTGGCGGACTTATGTACTTTGGCCAGACTGTTACAGCATATGGTTAGTCTCCTTGCCGTCCGATGCTTCGAATATAGAAGAATGTCGATGCTAATAGACTGCAGGTTATGCCTACTTTGCGCCGAGCATCATCAAATCCTATGGCTACAGCCGTGCGTTACTCTGGATTTCCCGCTCTCTCTCACACACTCTCAGCTTCACCCGCTGATTTGTCCCTAGCTATCAAGACACAGCTATACTCAATCCCACCGTGGGTGGCCGCATTGGGTTTCTCCATGTTCATTGCCACTCTTTCCGACAAAACCAGACACCGGTTTGCATTCACGATAGGACCCATGCTGATCGCTATGGCCGGATTCGGGATCTTGTTGAACGTACACGGACAATCTAATAGGCATGTCCAATACGGTGCCCTATTCCTGGTCGCCAGTGGCTGTTACAGTGCGATGCCGGTGATTGTGTGTTGGTTCACCATGAACCTAGGGGGTCATCGCCGACGAAACGTGGGAACAGCTTGGCAAGGTGGCTTTGGAAACAGTGAGTGTTGGCACTCCCCCACACGTGCCTTCTATGCCGCTGACGCACATTTAGTCGGTGGAATCATTTCTACGTACTCGTTCCTGGAACAGGATGCCCCGGAGTATAGACCGGGGAATATCATCAGTGTATCTTTCCTCTGCTTTTCGTCTGCCTGTTGCATCGCCTACTTTGCAGCGGTCTGGAATGATAACCGGCGCCGCAACCAAGCGGCGGCCACCGGGACGGTAAAAGAGTACAGCGAGTCCGAAAAGGATCTTCTTGGTGACATGGCACCTACGTATCGATATGCGTATTAGAGAGGGCACAGTTTTGTGTTCTTCCTGGCTGTTATAGAGGTTAACGACGGATTTTTAAACACAGTCCCTGCACCACTATTCAGGCTGGTCATCGATTTAACGTATTTCACTACCTGCCGCCCGATACCGCCTGCCGCCCGAAATCTTTACTCACCGACTTCGCAGACGTAGTTGTTTAAACCACCATATCTCATTCAATATGGCTTCAATGGAAGCAGCGTTAGCTGCAATTAATTCGTTGGAACCAGGAGAAAGGATTAACTATACTCAAATTGCAAAACGGTTTGGTGTTGACCGATCATTTCCTAATCGGCTAGAGCAATTTGGTGTCCCTCCCTCAGTAAAGCGAAGCAGCAGGCCATCGACCTGCCCGAATCCAATGTCTCTCCCAAATTCTGGCTCTGAAGACTTGCCTGCTGGATAGCCCGATCCTCGAGATCCTCACCCCCCGAGTACAAGATCTTGCTCTCCGCGACGAACACACTGACGGCTCGGCCTCTCCGTTTGTAGCCGCACTGCGAAGGCAGAATCTCTCGCCGATTGGCTTCTTATCCAGGCCTCTCGGCTTCTCTTGCCGCGGCGGGATCGTCGTTATATCGGAGTGACCGTTCTGACTCTATTCACCATGATTACATGGGATTCAGCTTTTTATTTTCTTTTTTTTTTCCTCCTTTCAAACTCTCGATAGAATTGGTTGGAGAGTTTGTTTGAAAGGTTTGCATCCGTTGCAGTGCGCCAGTGCCAGTGTTGCCCTACACGATTCCCTTTTCAATTATTAATGCACAACACGTTAGACAACAGAAACCACCAATCCCCTCCGAGCATATTAGACTTATTCAGATCTGAGATTGCCTTTATAATACTGCACTTAATCGGTCGTTTTTAGTCTGACCTGCAAGTAAACAACACCACCCGCATCAGCCTGCATTACAGATGTCGGATGACTCTCATGCTTTGTCAGCGCATGAGGGGCAGTGAGAAAAACAGACTCAAGACGAATTCAAATCTAGTCCATCATAAACACACATCGACAGCGACCAGCCAGCTGAAACCGATTATTCAATAGACCACCAAAGACCGCATCATGTCCCCCAAAACCGTCATCGCGACCGGTGCATCCTCCGGCCTGGTACTTGGTCCCTCTGCCCCATCACCACCCCGCAAAACCCCACTGAACACCTACTGATCCAACCGACCAGGGCTTCGAAGCAGTGAAACAACTCCTGGCGCAACCCGAGCCCTACACCTTCATCCTGGGCGCCCGCGATACGGCCCGGACCCAGGCGGCATACGATGCCCTCAAATACGACCCCAAGCACTCCGTCTCCATACTACCGCTCGATCTATCCAACCTCCGCAACGTACGACCATTCGCAGAACAGGCGCTCCAGAAACTCGGGGATGCTCGATTAGACTATCTCTTCCTGGTTGCGGGATCACTAGATAGTGCCGAGGGGCCGGGCCCGCATGGTTCGTCGTGGTGTGAGGGGTATGTGGTGAATCATCTAGGTATGTTCTCGACCACAATAAAATCACATCAGTGACAAATTCGGCAATTCTGATCAGTTCGATAGCACAGCATTACCTGATCCATCTCCTGCATGACACGTTAGCCTCGTCCCAGTCGCGACTGGTGTTCGTGTCATCGGGCTCGATCCGGAACGTCCGGGGACAAGATCCAGGTATGCCTCTGCGCCATCCCCTCATTAAGTCCTGTTCCCGTGATTAACCATACCCAGCCACCCTCGACGTCGATCTCAAAGCGAACTCCGGTGCCGGAATCAGGTCCGTGTACAGCGCCTCCAAGTTCGTCCAGCTCCTGGGCGCGCACTACTGGCGCCGCCACCTGCCGACGTGCACGGTCATCGCCGTCTCGCCGGGCCTGATTCCGAACACGAAGCTGGCGACAGACATGGGTGTGTCGATGGATATGCCAGATGCCAAGACCATCCCAGAAGGTGAGTAGTCTATCTGATCAACACGGCATCCGCTCTGACAACGGTAGGCGCGGAGAATCTGCTGCGCGCGTTTACAGCCACCGACCTCCCCGCGGATCCTGAGCAAATCTTCCTGACGAGCTGGGGTGAGTGGTGGCCCAAGGATGTGTACGCGCTCAGCCTAGATCGACAGTTACAGGACAAGTGGTGTTTGGGGAAGGCAGAGATTGAGAAAGCGGAGCGGCTTTGAGTCTTCTTGTAGATCTGGTTCTACGTAAGCCATTATATGTTGTTGTTGTTGTGGCTGTTGCTGTTGTAGTATTATTCATACTCGGATCTGTTAGCCGTGCGCCGATTGTCGAAAAGGTCACCCTCTGACGGCCGGGCCAGGGTAGTTAGAGACAGGCATATGATTAAGTCACTGGATCAGAAAATTCAAATTTAGTCTCGCCCCTAACCTCGATATCCAACCGCTCTGCATATGTTTCGTTACTGATAGCCACGCTCCACCTTCACGTCTGACACGCTGGTCGTCGGTTCTGTGCCCTGTTTCAAACATCTGCGTCGTGTCCCTACATGCCCCTTGAACTACGCAGAAGAGAACTTGGTTAAAGAGAATAAAGTGTGCGTCAAATGGGCTAGAGAGGTCGAGAGGAAAGCACGAGTGATTGATGAAATAGGAGTGTATACAGGCTGGAATGGAGCTGTATCTCCTGTCGACTATAGCGAAGTTGTTAGGATACTTCGTCTTTCCAAAAAGAGGTTTTGCGCCAGGAATCGAGAACTGCAGAGGAACGGGTGTTGTGAAGGTTTGGCCATTTGAGGATAAACCCACTCTGTCATAGCATTTCATCAAGCATACTGATATGACGCAATCTACCGACCTTGTTTTTCAACTTTCCCGGACGAGTCCGAGGCAACCTTGTGCCTAGTTTACTTGGATACGTACTGTACTCGAAGTGATGCTGCACTTCTGTTCGGGAATGCATGTACTCCTGCTCTGCCAGTCTTGCTAAGAGAGGCCCTCCAGATTAATACGGTCTGCTGTTCTAGGAATCCTAACTGGTTGGAAGTGCACACTTAGTGTAATGAGGGAATATATTCTGTTGGTTGTCTCAGCACTGAGCTGTGCGGTAACCATGCCAAGAGTCGACTAGATGGCAACAAATTTCTAGGCATGGTTGGCAGGAATGGATCGACGTTACAATACTAAGAAGGTTTTGTCCTTTGGTGCTGAAGATGTCATTGCCCTGACCGGCTCAGACTGGAGCAGATAGCACTCCCATGGCGGCCACCGTTTCTGACTAACCGTATCATATACTCTACATATGCAGCCTATTATAAGTAGAGGTTGCTCAGATCGCGATTGATCTATTACTAAGAAGCGTAGATAAAACTATCAAGACGCTTATTTTATCTTTAATTACCTTATAGTATCAACTTTATCAGGTGCAGCAATATCTACGGAGCCTCAAGATTAGCACCACGTATTCTTGTTTCGAATATTCAAAACATCAGGAATACTCCTCTTCTCTTGTTGTTTTCTCTATCATATTTCTACCTACATGGCCAGATGACCCAAGTAAACCGATGCTGATCTCTCATCATCCTAATATGTTGTCGATCACCAGTGTCCAGCAAGACAGAGACTGATAGAAACCGTGGCATTGGCTAGTGTCTCTCACACCACCATACCACCTACGTCGTAACAGAGATGTCTCATCTGATGTTCATCTCGATCCTGTTCCTACATAATAACTGGTTGAAGAGTTGGGAATTCTAGGATTATCCCCTAGCGTGGATAAAGAGAATAAGAACCTTGTATCTTTCCATAGGACCGGAAATTATCCTGCGAAACATGGCTAATGAAAGACGCTGTGCGTAAAATAACTCATGTCTGTCGGGCAGTCCTTTATCTGTAAATATTGGCGAATTCAAGATATAATTGTTCTCGACCTCGCGAACCTCTTTCGCTTTTTGACATGACCTGAATATAATCTAAAAAGGTCGATGAGGATGCGCATTTCAAGCCGTTATCAGGATCCCTTTTATAATTAATCTGTACCAAGGATGCCACTCTCCATTTTCTCCCCTGGTAGTACTTGACGGTGACATCGCGTGATGAAAAGGACAGATGGCGGGGTGAATTCACCAAATCGAGCAGTGTTAGCGCAACATCTGCCGATCCAACAAATGTGGAATATCCACAGAGTGTCTCACAACCCCGCAGAACGTCGACTTGGGCTCCGCTCGGACCTGCAGAATGCCTCCCAAGTTGCCATATCTGTCTAATCTCCGGGTTGATCTGTCCCACTCCTGCCACTGCCGGTCCCACGGGATAAAGTACCCTGGCTGGACTACGTAAATGTGCGTCGACGGAGAATCATCTGCGCATCCAAAGTGACAGATGCCTGAATGTACCGCCATTATCCCATGCAGGGCACGAGATACAGATACCTGGGGGATCCCATGCCGGAAATGGAACAACTAGAACTTGTATCCCAAACATCACCAATCCTGATATTCGGATCGCGTGTGAGGGTTCAGTTGTGTTGATGCCAAGGACGCCTCGCAAATAACTTCCGATAAAATATCTCGAGCCATGACACATGTGTTCCCAGGTTTTGAGGATGTTAAATAGCAGCCACCGGTCTGCACTCTGTCTGGTTTTTCAGATTTGGGCCACACAGTCGTTTCGTATTGATAGCTATCTAATATATACTATTCATCTGAGTTCATCTCTCTTTCTCCTGTTGATATTCACTCTCGTTGTCTCTATTGGTCCATATCGTCATGAAGATCCACATTGTTTCTCTCTTGCTTATCTTGGGCACCGTTGGTGTTGTTGCAACCCCAGCCAACGTCTATCGTCATCCATTAATCGTTGATCGGGATGAGTCCCATCATACTACTTCTGCCTCGACTCATACTTCTGTAACCACAAGCCAAAGTACAACGGAGCCTGTTCCTACCACGACGGAGACGCCTACTACCACGTCTGATACCCCGCCAGGTACAACTACGACAACTAAGCCGGGTCCTACGAGTACAACTACGACAGATACAGGTACAACCACTTCAGGTACCACATCAAGTCCAGGTACAACTCCACCCGGCACAACCACCTGCAAAACAGAGACAACCAGCGGATCTGCCACCACCACCTGCGAAACCCAGACTAGCACACCAACCGGAACCAACGGAACCATAACAGAAACAAAGACCGTCTCGACCTGCCCAGGAACCACCAACCCAGGCCCCATCACCACCACAACCAGTGTCCCCGGATCCACCATCGTGCCGCCAGACACCACTCTGTCTACGTCCACCAACACGGGATCCGGAGGATCACCCGAGCCCGAACCCACGGGTGAGGATAATCCCACTGTGCCTTTGGCGCATGGGGCTGCCCCACGGATTCAGGGCTCGATGTGTGTTGTCTTAGGAGCTGTGACGGTGATGATGATGTTGATTTAATTTGATTGATCGATTTTACTGATCTGGTTTGATTTGATTCATTGATCGATTGATTGATTTAAGTGAGTTATGATTTTTAATCAGATTGATATGATAGTATGAATGCACGATTTGAGTTGTATATTGTAATAACTCCATACCCGATCAATACCCGTCATCGTAGACACCAGAACTAATTCTGTTAATATCGGAATTCACCTTCGGCAACTATCGGCCTTTGACGGCTATTGACGTCCCATAAGTATAATACTCATCCATCTTTACATTATCACCACATAAATAATATACATTCACAGTATATAAAATGAAGCATAAAATTCTCTACCTAGGCGACCCGATAAAATACAACCATGATGTATACGCTCGATTCTCACAATCCTTCGACGTGATCCAACCAAGCAACACAGACCGATCCCGCGACGCATTCAAACAGGCACTGAAGGACCGACGATGGGGCGACTTCCACGCCGTGTTTCGTCCGTTCTGGAATACCGGCGGCGAGATGGGCGCGTGGGACGCAGAATTGATTGATTTGTTACCTGCCTCCGTGACAATCATGGCATCTGCGGGTGCAGGGTATGACTGGGTTGATGTGAAGAGGTTGGCGAAGAGAGGTATGTTTTATTTTTTTATTATTTATCATATTTACGTTAATTTGCTAATAAAATTAGGGATTGTCTACTGCAACGGCGCAGCCGCCTCCTCCGAATCCGTCGCAGACATGACCCTGTTCCTGATCCTGGCGGTATTCCGAAACCTAGGCTGGTCACACCAGGCGGCGCATTCGATGAACCCGCACCGATTCCTGGACGCACATACGAACTCGCCATTGACGGCGCTGAACCCGCGTGGACGAACCCTGGGAATCGTCGGACTAGGCCAGATCGGGTACATGATCGCGCAGAAGGCCTATCTCGCCTTCGGGATGAAGATCCAGTATCATGATCTCGTGCGCAAGAGTCCCGAGCAGGAGCGGAGCGTCGATGCGACGTATTTCGCGCAGCTGGATGATCTGCTAGGGAGCTCGGATTGCGTCGTTGTGGCGACGCCATTTGCTGGATCCACGCTGTTGACGCTCGAGCGGTTCAGGAAGTTTAAGCGGGGATCAAGGTTTATTAATATTGCCCGAGGGTCGTTGGTGGATGAGGAGGCGTTGTTGACGGTGTTGGACGAGGGGCATTTGGTCGCTGCTGGGTTAGATGTGCATGCCACTGAGCCACAGGTGCATCCCCGCTTGGCTACCCATGGTAGGGTGTTTATGATGTCGCATAATGCCGGAGGTACTGTCGACACCCATGTTGGGTTTGAGAGACTGGCTATGGAGAATATCGAGGGGTTCTTGCTCCGTGGGAAGGCTTTGACCCCGGTCAATTTACATCTGATGCAACAGGACCCCAAAAGTGTGTTATAAGTACTGTACTTCAGATGCCTGATGATTCAAAAATTCCCACCAGACATACACCCCTGGCTAGTGACATCCGCCCGCGATATCAACTACCTATCTCCTGAAATGCTTATCTACCATGAAAACGTCTCCTCGTAAAAATCCATCGTCTTACCCTCTTGCTTCCCTCGTACCGCCTGGCGTACGTCATCGCCCATGCCTCCCGGCCCGCAGACACTCACAGCCATGGCACCTATCTGTCGTGTTTGTTCCCCCGTCAGGATATCCTCGAAGCACGGCTTGCCGAAATGGATGCCAACAGGCACCGTTGGGGGTGGAGCGTCGGCCCAGGGGCTTTCCTCGCTCTTAAATTCCTCGGGACTGCTCTCTCGCAGCGTCACGTAGATCTGCACAGACAATGAAAACTCGGACATACGGAAGTGCGGGTATTGCTTCTGCTCGTTGGGTACTTGCATCACCGGATGATTGAGCAGGGCAGTCATCCATGGCTGGATCCAGGATAGGTGGTCTGGAGGACTGGTTAATTGGCAGTTCGGCATGTTGCATTGCAGCTACGGTACTTACCCAGGCTGCGGACCACCCACACCAAACACACCCTGCGCACCGCGGTCGACCGCGCGGCAAATCCATTCACAAACGCCTGCATATAGGACATGGGATGTGTGATCCCGATCCCTCCCGCAATCAGGACCACCGTCCCATATGACGACAGGGAATGGAGGCCACCTGGAGGCCAAGGTCAGCTGCGCACTACAAGCACAAACCCAAGAAGTCGTACCAAATGGCCCCTCTGCAAGGGCAGTCGCCTTGAATTTTCCATCATCGCTTTTGTTGACTTTCTCCACAAGCCTATGGGTGAACCCGTGGCGCCGCTTGATCAAGAATGACATGGTCGCTTGCTGCGGTTCTCCCAATAACCCATTGAAAGAATCACTCGAGCTGCTTTTCTCCGGGCAGCTGGTCGCGTCGGACAATGTCCAAGCCACGGAGAATGGATGCGAGGTCCACAGACCTAACGAAGGGAGGTACAGGTACATGTACTGGCCAGCTTTGAAGTCCCATGCCCGCGCCATGGCTACGTCAACACGAGCTACATCCCCCGGGAGCAACTCCACGGTAGCAGTAGTTCGTTTCCGGCCAAAATTACGCCAGATAATTATGCCCAGCCGTCCAGCTCTCTATCACCAAGGTTAGCACCACATACCGTTGGGCACGAGAGACCACTCACGTCCAATCCCCACAGGATTAGGGTCGCTAGCAAAACATGCTGCTGGGCGAGTCCTTTGAGATGATACCAGAGTCCCACAAATGCCATGATTGCCAACGCTATGTGGAAATGTAGGAATGCCTCATAAAAGGCATGCCGCATTGGTGAGAGCGACTGGACTAATATCGTGGCGAACGCAATAAAAGCCTATCCACATAATCCAAGTTAGAGGTCTGAACCGCCTTATCTACCACGGCAGATTACATACCACCAATCCCGCAACAAAGAAAGGAACGTGCCAAACTTTGTAGGTGACTTCCGCCATGCTGTCTTGTAGTTCATCAGTCGGTAAATCCAAATGAACCGGACACCCTGCTCACTTACTGCCGGATTCAACCTTGGCTACTATAACACAGGTCACGTGTACTATCGCCGCAGATACGACCAACCGCCCGATCCAACGATGCATGAGATTAAATGTATCGAATGGGAGCCCTAGAAGCCGAATCAGTGGGTTGTTCCGGCCGGCCGTTAGGACAAGAGCTGTTGTATTCAACACAGCCAAGTGGCCACCCGCGTATTTAAGCTGGTACATCATTTCTTCGTATTCTGCCCACCAATCAATCAAGGCGAAGAAGAAAACAATATTCACAACAAGGTATCCCAGTAATAGTATAGCCTCGACCCTTAGCGGAACCACTCCCATGTGTATTCTATCCATCAAACGGAATTCACGGCTGTGGCGGGTGGATAGCAACGGCGCATAGAGGATATGTTTCTTGAAGCTGGCAGATAGACGATTAGTATGAACAAATTTCGTCTGATCGTCTTTATCGAGAGTCTCGCGCAGACGTCTCCTCTGCTGTAGCCTGATGACGGTGCGGCTCAAGAAAAGTACAGCAATAGCGCCGCCTAGAATATACAGCGGTGTTGCCAGTGCTGGATTCATGGGAGGGTGTTCATGGTGATGACGATGTGCCCCCGGATTTTGCAACTCCACACCCATCTTGTCTAGCCTTTGGGATCAATGCTGTACACTGTAAAGTAAGAGACAAGATATGCAAGGTAGCTAGAAGCCACGCATCCGCTTCAAGGGGTACTGCTGTCCGAATCACTGGAAACAGTAGGTGTCGTCCATGTACGTCTAAAAAACACTGCATCAAACAAAGGCAGCCACGCTGCATGATGACGCGCCAGGTGTTATTCTACTTTATACCTCCCCCTGGTGCGTCATCCATCCCCGGTGATAGCTCCGAGTTGTCCAGCCTCTTGCCAAAAGAAGGATGGCATGATCACAGCCAAGTTTTTTTTTTTTCACGGGCCCGTCCGGTGCAAATGGGGTGGCCATGGGGAACGGGTGTGTGCAATCAAAGGGAATGTGGGGAAGTGATGTTGTGGAATGTGAGGATGCAGTCATGGACTTGCCTCGATCCCTCAAGGGTGTTATCAAAACCCGACATTCGATCTGCAGTGGTGCATGCTGTAGTATACTGAGCGACTGGCGTGCGATCGCAAAGCAACAGGGCTGCATGGCGGCAGAATTGGCTCGTCCGAGCGAAACAAATGCCGGATGAACGCGATGAAACGCAATGACGAAAACGGAAATATGGGACACGACATAACTTCCGCCCGCCCCGAAGCACCCACACTTGCCCGCGTGAAATACTTTGCGTCATTGAAAAGCATCACGGCAGTTGCCTCGCTCGTGGGATCCAAAATTAAATTGCATACCCCTCAATAATATCTACCTTCGTGAGCCCGTCACACGGTGTGTATGTGTCTGTGCGTGCACGCCTGTGTCCTCTTAAACAGACGCCGCAAGCCCCTTGTTCTAGCATTCCAGCTTAATTCACGGGATTTCCGCCCGTATTGGGCGTCACCTGGACTGTGATGATCAGTGGGACATCGTGGAGATAACGAATATGCCGGCAATCTTCATCATCCAGCCTATCGTGCCGTCGTGTGGGATATCGTGGGAAAGAAAGCTCAGATGAACGTCACCACCTCGAAGGGAAACAAAAGATTGCGCACTCCGACACGACCGCCGATCAGCTATACAACCTCGATAGATTAAACATATTGTTGCATTTTAGGTGCAGGGAGCGATGGATGGGCATAGAAGCATGCCAAGAGGTCGCTGTAACGTTACGGCGTGGGATCGTTAGCCCAAGCCCCGCGGAAAAAGTGATGGGCAGCATCGCCAGCAGGTGGAGCCAAAAAAATGCCGTCCGATTCGATCCTGCATCAACCCCATACAGTGTCAGCAAGAATACCACCGTAGTTTTCTGTGAAGAACCAAGGTGGATCATAAGCTTTGTCACTCAAATTTAAGCTTAGGACAATAACACCCCATCTCCCACCCACTTTCCACTTCGAGCGTTTGACATATCATCATCCACTACGTACTGGCGGTTAGCAGTTCCGTATGCTCCGGCAAGATTGCAGGTAGAATAAGATAAGATGTAGACCTTTTTTCTTTTCTTCAATGGCAGAGCTCATTCATCCATCCGTCTGCTGGGCCTGGGACGATAGGCATATATCCATTCCTGCCTCCAACCGACCAACCAACAGCTGCCCCCTTCACTGAACGTGATATATCGGATCTCGCCATGAGCCATGGTAGCAGCTATCGCGTGGAAGAAACCGGCGATTGCCGGAGATCGGTCCCACACGGGCGATATCTGGGGGGAAGGGAGCATCAAAGGCTAGAACGTCGGCCTGGCATTTTTACCGCATGCAACCAAAGGCCTAGGTTCGACCTGACAAACCGCTCCTCGATGAGGAGCTGAATGGCACTTATAGCCATGTCTTGCCACCAAGGCATTCCAAATACCCCCTGATCCGAGCCTAAAATGTTGAGGTCAGTAACGCCAAATGATTTCAAGTGGAGCAAAGCATAAACGACAGAGAGAAAATCCGCATCGATTTGTCAAACGGTGCATCTTTGACATCGCATTATTAGTCTAACAACACAATGAACCAGATGAGGGATATGATCCAGCCTGATCCAACTTAAATTGACACTTGAGGGAAGATACATAACAGACCCGCACTCCTACCATAAACGCCGTGATCCAGAAAATATTCCATCGCCGATCCCATATTTCATCCACCCGAAGTCTTCACTGTGTCAAATGAGCACAATTTTGTATCCCACATGATATATAGTAACGTGTAAGTGATACAAATAAAATATCAATTCATTAAATGAACATAAAAGTGATACTTGCTTTTTTTTGGGATTTCTTGGATTTTTTGGTCTTGATCATTTTAGTACGTCGGACACTTCAAAGGGTTTCGAACTCCTAGGCTCTCGCCTGTAGTGCCATCACTGTTTGACATCATCCCTGAACTGAATGTCGGTTTTGATAGTTCTGCGGAGGATCCTGGATGTCTTTGTTCACCTTATCCCTCGACCGCTTGGACGATCTTTTCTCTTTCTTGTATTGCCGTTGAGCTTTACTCCTCTCTTCTTGGATGCAGGAATAGGCAGTGACGTCAACACCGGCACTGTGACAGAGAGATGTGCATTCAGACTCGATAACTTCGACAAGGTTGGAAGTGAATCCGTAAAATGCAGGGTTGTAGGCGTTGCGGGCCCAGTACATCAGTTCAGATGCTACACGGCCTAAGTTCGGAATTGATTGCGTGGGGATCTTCTGGGCAGGTCTGTCGTTGTCGGATGATTCATCACAAGACGAGAGGGCCCTGGACATGGGGGATGAGGGAGAGGACGAGTCGGATGAGAACAGGTAATCGGTGTCGGAGGCAAGGACATGAAGTAGGTGATAGACCGCTGCAAATCCCAGCAGGGTCAGCTCCACTGGATCAAGCGGCAATCGATTGAACCATGAAATGGCTTTCTCCACTGTAAACGAGGTTGGCAGGGAGGTGTCGCCCGTGGCTCGTGCGGTAAATATGGCGGCAATCATGGCGCAACGAACTGCGATGCTGATTTCTTCCCGAACCGACACAGGTAAAGATGAATCCAAGAAATTGATTGTCCGGTTTTGTTTATTCTTGCCCTTTTCTTTGGGCAGAGCCGCAAGGACGGTTCCGATATTAGCCACACGGTCTTGTTCGAAAAAGACGGCCTTCATGACGAGAGCACGCGTGTGTGCAGCAGAAGGCTGGGGAGCCACATCTAGAGCAAGCTTAATTTTGGCCTTGAAAATGGTACGGCTTTTCTTCGCTTCTGGTCCGCCAGAGCTAGCCTCGAAGTAGTTGAGAAGTGCGCGTTGCAAAAGATGACTCGACCACCATGCAGCGAGTGCATCCAACGTGGACTGTATGGCGGGGTCTTCCTCTACAACATCAAGGAGAGCCTCGTCATCATCAGCTCCCTCCTGTGTAGGACGGTTCCATGTGAGGTTCGCCGCTCTCTGAACAATGCTGTCGATCATGACCTCCTCGCTGTCGAGTTCAAGCAAGGCTGCCAAATGGCTAGGAAGAACATCAGGGTGGTCTTTCGGTAACGAAGCATTCATCTTCCGTGCCAGCTCCCACTGGTACCGAGCCAAAGTACGAGCAACCTCGTTGGATGTGTTGAAGGTCCACGAACCAGGGATACCAACGCGCCACATTAAAATGCGGCAATGGAGGGCCTTCAGCATCATCCTCATCGGGCTCCGCGGTAGGGTGCCTGCAGCAAATATAGTAAGGACAAGACGACTCTTACTAATTTCTGCGTCACCGCCCACAAGCTGTGCATCAATGGCGATATCCCAGGTTTTCACTCGGCCTCGCTCATCCTCTTCCGTGATCCCCGTGGCCCACGAGTATAATTTCCAGCCCATAAGACAGCGTAAAACGTACTCCAAGCACCGCGAAGTAACAACATACCACTCATGGAAGAACGTGTGCCGCGGTACGCCAACCTGTTGGATGCTTGTCAGCCAGGCTTGGCGTCTGAAATTACTCGAGGACATCGTAGCATCGGACTTGCAGGCGACCTTTGGCGATGAATTTTGACGGCTCTGTCCGGAGTTGAACAGATAAACGAAAACCACAAATGCGCTGCCAACGACAAGCGTAGCAAGGACAAGGAAGTGGGAGATAGCTCGAGCATGCCACGAGTACCAGAAGCTTCGGAGCGCAGTTGCCCAGTAGGCATTAGAAGGTAGCTCAATACTGTTAAAAAGGTTGATGGGAACCGCGAGGAGGCCTTTAGCGGACGATTCTGAATTCTTCTCCTTGCCCATGCCCTCCAGGACCATGAGACCAGCAAGGGCACCGAGCATGTATTTATTGGGGTAGTAGGACCGTCTGCGCCCTCCAGCAGATGACGAAGATCCACCATTGCTGCTGGGGTATGGGATGTACGACTGTGAAAAAGACGCATCCCGTGGTGGCGCAGCGCGCATACGTTTGAAGGCATCCGGGACCTTCATCAAACCCTCCGGTGGGTAAAGAGGGTCCGGAGGATGATCACTCGGCGGATCCTCCACATTTGAAAATACGCTAGGGGACGAACTCGAACCGGACTCTGTCGACACAGTGCAGTTACTAGGCGACGAAATCGAGGCTGCGGAGGTCACTGTCTGATCGACTGCTTTATCCGCCAGTCGCAATCGATTCTTTAAGGCAGTATTCTCCTCTTCTAGGCGCTTGTTCCGAATTTCCAGGTGGCGAATATACTCCGTTGCCTTGGAAAGGATAGACGCTTTGTTTAGCTTGCTGGTAGGGGTGACACCTTCCGCATCATCGTCGTCGGCCAGGCCTCCATTCGCATGTTTCGAGGCTCTCAGACTGGGCACACTATCTCGAAGTTCTGCAATCTTCTCATTCAGGTTGGCTCGATATCTTTTTTCAATAACATTGTGTGCTCGCTTCTTCGCCGGCATTTTCTTGCCGTTCGGAAGATGGGTACTAACGGTAGAGCCATCGTCATCGCTACCTGACTTGCGCTTGCGAGAGGCACCTTCCAAGGAAACCGGGGAGCTAGATGCGACAGAGTTTCCAGACAATAATTCTGCACCAATTGACTGGGGTTGGCAAGGCATTCCCTCGCTGGGCTCCTTTCCCAAGAATGAATCAAATGCAAGGTTGCCGCAGTCGAGCGAGATATCAGGCGAGAACTCGCTCTTCGGGAACATGCCAATGCTTTGCTTCCCTACCGATGGATTGGGCGAAGTGAAAGGGAACTCAAGCGGGGACTGCGAAAGCTCCTTGGTGTTCTCGGAGAAGGCGTTATCATCCCACCTCATCCATTGGGTCCAATCCTGACCCGAGTCATCTGTGCTGAAAGTCATGGAGTCGGCGTGCGAATCCCGTCTGTCGGGAGAGAATAGCTGAAAATCACCACCCATACTGGGCATAGCCATCACGTCTAGCGGTCTGGGCCTAGACCATCAAGGCAATATGGCCAGGGAGACAGGGTGACAGTGATCTATCTCGTGTCAGGAACAGGTAAGAACCGTTGCTCCTGAAAGCGACAGAGTGTCAATAAAGATGGAACCAAAGACATGCAAGACTCCCCTGAGTTATTCAGTCAGGTGAAGCCACACACATGCGTACCTGATGAGATAGGAGGAAAGTTTGAAGGCCTAGCTAGGTGCGGGCTAGGTGTAGGGTGATTGATGATCAGCCAGAACCGAGGGCGCTAAGGAGGCTAAAAAAGTGAACTGTGGAGTAAGGTTAAGAGATATTTCTGTCCCACCCGAAGGTACCAAGCTGGACTACTGCGAGCGGCAATTCCAAGGCGACGAATAAACAAATAATTGACCGGTGAGTCTTGAAGACAGTCAGGGATAGTTCCGGCATAGTACGTACTTCGAAGCTAGAAGGGGGAGAGACAGAAAGGCGGAGGAGATTACCTGATTGCTAAGCTCTTATCAAAGTGTTGAGTGGTTGGGTCAAAGGAGTGTGGTGGTTCAGATTTCTTTCAATGGAACGGGGGGAATCCACAGTTAGCTAGGTAGGTTAGAATAAATGTAGCTAAAAACACTAGATACCCAAGCCACAGGATGATGGTTGGAGGAGATATGTGAATGGTTGTACTGATGATAAGGATGGAGGGGAATGAATGGAATGCATGACAGACAGTAGATGACTGCACGTCTGCCCAGAGAATGACTGACTGATTGAATGGACGAAGCAAGAAAGTCCTGCTGGGATTCTCGGCCAACGCTCGGCGGAGTCAGTGACCGTCAGTCGTATGATCGCGGGTCTGCTTTTCCGGCAAGCCGACCTGCGGTTGGTTGGTACTGGTACCGCTGTTACCTGCCCGTACAGGCGGTGGAGACAGATAGCCCTATCAGGTTCTGTCTCTGCCCCCACTTGGTGCAGGCTGGTAATAATACTGTTTCGGCGGGCAATAGAATCCGCAACGTAACTTTGTCAATAGGAGAGAAAGAGATTCATAGAGACAGAGGTCCGTGTCAGTATTTATATCTTAAACTATTAATATGAGAGACGAGACTGGGCTAAATATGCTGTGGGTTATATTGTCCTTTATCTTCCTTTCGTCCATCTCCATGTGGAGTATCTTTGAGTATCCAGAGCTAACAATAGTACTCTGTGGGCAGATCATGAAATCCAGCCACTCCGACGCCCCAGGCATCAATGCTAACTCTGGTTTGACTGTCCAGACCTGCCGCTGAAACCGTCAAAGTACCAAATGGCGATGATGCAAAAAACGATATTGTCGCACTTTGGGCTCCCTGGTCTAGAAAGACTTCGAATACCGATCGATCGATAACCCCGGAGTACCTGAACACGCCAGCCTCGAATGATGAGACACTGGTGTTGACCATAAGCGTGAAGTGGGGATCGTCTTCATCTGTGAAGTGATGAGTCCCTGCTTGGTTCACCTAGAAGAAACCAGTGATGAGAATCACCCCGTCAAGATAATCCTTTGAGGATGAAGTAAAGTTCAACCCCACTTGTCCAGTCGGAGAGGAGAGGAGACAGCAATACCCCTCCCTGATTTCCACCCCGAAGGATATGGCTCTGGAAGGGAGGTCCGAAAATATGATTGTTGTTTCTCCATTTCCCATGTGCTTGTCTAAGATCCGCTTGTCCATCACAGGCGAGAGCACTTGAAATGGTGCGTTCGTAACGGTCCACACGTCGTTCACCTTGATAAGGCTATGCACTCTGGGCAAAGCAGTGGAGCCTCTCCATCCCTCCAGCGGGCCAGTGGGAACGACTTCAGTGTAGTTCCAGTTACTCACCCAACTGATAGAGATCGGAGATTCATCCTCCAGGATACCAGATATCACTGAACAGCATAATTGTCCCTGGCAAAATCATCAATAATCTCCCACGAGTCCTCAGGTATGATGTGGGTTTCATTGAAATCGCCCACCATAATAAAGTGCCCGATCCGCCGAGAGGTATCCAAGATTAACGGAGATGAAGACCACATATTTACTAGCCTCCCCCCGCAGCGATTCGGCAACCGAAAATTTCACCAAATTTGGACTCTCACTCAAACTGATCTCCGGGTAGTCCCGCCTGGCTAAAGCTCGACATATGGGTCCAATCTCGCAGGTTGGGCGACGTACAGAAGCTGAGACCAGATCTTTCGCGTATGCAACCGTCATGACCCATATCTCGGTGTCTGGGTGTCCGGGTGCCATGTCACTTGCGGATCACGGAAATCCTTCGAGCTGCTATTGATGACAGGATTATTTTCATACTTGGTGAAGCTATACCCACCGTCGGTGGAATAAGCAATGTGTTGCGTCTTCGTGTCAGAGGCGCCCACTGTGTATATGGCCACGACGCCATTGTCTTGGTCAGGGAAATCCCCGGATGTGTTCATACTGTCTACCACAGCCGATCCTGAGAATATATATTTCTCGGGCTTGCTGGGGGAGAGCTATCGATCGGCGCCCTACTTTAGGGATGGCTCAAGCTAGAGATCTCAATTCGACTAACTAGGTGACCAGAGAGGTGCAGCTATCGGGAAAAATATATGATTGCGACCAGTGATTTGGCGAGATGGTCGCTAGCATTATAGCTCACACAGGCAATTTGATTATTTTCTCCTTGCGTTGTGAAGTGTCGTTTCCTCCGGAATTTGTCCTGATTACTTGGCTGCGTCCTTCAATAACACCTGCTAGCCGACGTTTGTCTGGCATCTTTAGATTAGCGAGGGGAAGTCGCAGCCACGTTGCAGTGAAAACGTTCCATTCGTCCCTGGCGTGCTTCCAGGTCGTGAGCTTTCGGAGGTCCGGGTTTTTGAAGACCATCATCGCGCCGTTCGGGTTTGCATACTAGAGAGCTTCGCGAAAGTCATCGGTAGCATTGATTCTGGACCCAAGTTCGTTATCAACATTCGTTGGAGACGGAACGGGTAGGGAAAATGTCATGCATAACTCAAGAGCCTGAAGATTCACCCCACTGACCAAAGCTTGTTATCCTCGATATTAGGACATCCTAAAGCTTTCTTAACTGCATTAACCGTCTTACCTCCCTTATCGTATCCCTTCGCGCCATTTGAAGGGTGGCGCTGTATTTATAGAGGATACTTCAATACCTTCCGGAGCTGAACAAACCAACTAATAGCCTCTTCATGATTGTTCCATTCTAGCGCCGAGAGGGTTCAGGGCGGCTTCGGGCAGTGGTTTGCTCGGACTGCTATCTGAGGGAGTTGCAGAACGGAGGACCAATTGGCTGTTTTCGCACTGGCTGGTGATAACTATACTGAAAACCGCCAAGGAGGCAAGTTAGGAACTTTCTAATGGGGATGTGGCTGTGGCAGAATATCCGGAGGTGTGAAATAGCCGGTGCTTTCCGCTGAGGAGGTGAAACAGGCTGAAGTTAGGACTTAGATGGATTGGAGATGGCGCTTGAGAGAGTTGGAGGTAGGCAGCTACGTAGTATAGAATTAATTAGACTTTCAGCACTGTGTGGATCACGCAAAGCGCTGGCAAAGCTCAGGTCTCCCAGTAGGTAGGGCCGTTCAGGTAATAAGCAATAAGCTCAACTCTACAATACCATCTGTTTAAAGACATACCTCTATTTATCATTATTAAATACTAGAGCCGTACATATCTATATCGACTCATCTACGCCATTCCCATCACATAAAATCAATCAAACCCCCTCTCCAACTCCGCCACCTCTGCCATAACCTCCCTAACCATCTTTTTCGCCCCCTCCGAAGGCTCCTCATACGGCGTCCTAGGCTTCAGCTTCTCTTCGGCACTGTCAATCCCCGCCGCTACGGCCGTAAACACCGCCGCCGCATACTTCGTCGACGCAATCCCACTCTTACAAGGACTTTCCGCTAGAGCCGCCTTCCTTTGCAACTCCAACGCCTCCGCGACTTCCCCACTCTCATACAAAGCATACACCCTGGCCGCGGTCTTGGGAAACACATTCGCAAACGCGGCAATACATCCTGCTGACCCAACACTCAGTCCCGCTATGAGAAAATCGGACTGTCCTCCGTACACCGCGAATTCATCACGGGAAAACGTAGCCCCCAACCGGGTGATTTTCCCCACCGACGCACACGTGAGTTTCACCCCGACGACATTAGACACCCCTCCGGGGTTCGACTCTGCCGATTGTTTCACAATGGACGTGATGGTCTCGGAGTCTAGATCCACGCCGTTACAGACCCCAGGAAAATTGTAGATCACGATGGGAAGAGGTGATTGGCGCGCTATGTCCGCGAAGAAGCGCTTGACCACTGACATCGTTGTGGCCTTGCCAAAGTATGCAGGTGGGAGAACAAGTGCGTAGTTTGCGCCGGCGTGGGCCGCGTCAGAAATCAGTTCCAGGACTTGTTTCGTCGAGTGGGCGCCTACGCCTGCCATGAGGGGGTAGTTTGGCCCCACGGCTGAGCGGGCGGTTGAGATGCATTGCGCGCGTTCTTCGCGGGTTAACAGGAATGCTTCTGAGTTCGTGCCAAGGATAACCAGTCCTGTCAGGCCTGTCGTCGAAAGGTACTGGTAGTATTTCTTTTGGGATGCGAGGTCCACTTCGTCTGTCTCATGGTTGAAGAATGTCACAGCCGGACACCAGACCCCAGGCGGCGGGACGTGGGGTTGTGCAGTTGGAGGGGCAGATTGGGAACCCATTGTTATAGATAGAGTAGAAACAAGACGCTTGTGTAGTATCCGGTATCTGGATGGAAGATGTACAGATACGAGGAATGGAGGGGTTCTATTCTACGGTTATATACTTGTGCGGGGAAAGGAAAAGTATCCGGTCGGAAGTAGATCCCGATGCCTCTATCTGATCGTTATCGGATGTCCTCCCGAGATTCATCCACAGATTGCATTCACTTCATTTTCTCTTCACGTAACTATACGCTAAATATGATGCAACTAGAACCCGAAATATACCATCATTCAAACCATCAAGAGATTCAATGCTGCCACGAGGTTAGATGGTTCAGCCTAGGCATTCCAGGAGTCCAGCACTTACCGTCACATCCTCCCACTTCTCCCAGCCACGGCCGCGCACCTCGGCCAGCTCCTCCATAGTGTAGTTCTTTCCTGTCGTGAAATATCCGGCGTTGATTTTGGCATCGATCTCGACGCGCGAATCACTGGGGATCATGTCTTCGGGAATCGGCACGCGTTCATAGATCGGGATGCCTGTTTGAACGATAGCGTCGTATTTCATGTTCGACATGGACAACATGCGGTCGATTTTCTTGATCCCGAGCCAGTGCAAGATGTCCGGCATGAGAGCTTGGAAGCGCATCTACACGAGTCAGTATAACCATGTCTGTCTGCTCAAGGAAAGTGGACTGCTCACGTCTCTCACTCCCGCAATGTTCTCCGTCCGAGTAAAATACTTATCGGCAGTGTCTCCGCCGCGCTTACGGGCATTGTACACCAGATACTTGATGACTTCGCCGAGGGCTCGACCTTCCTTTCGGAAGTAGATGACCACCCCGCTGCCCCCGTTCTGGGCCTCGCGGATCGCCTCGCTAATACCAAACGCCAAATAGGGACGACACGTGCAGATATCGGATTGAAAAACATCGCTGCCATTGCATTCGTCGTGGATACGGAGAGCCAGTCTCACATTCTCATCTGACACCCGCTCCGGCGGTCCGAAGATATACACCGTCAACCCGCCGATGGGAGGCAGAAAGACCTTCAAATCAGGCCGGGTGATCAATTCAGGATAACTGCCGCCGGTGTGTTCAAACAGGGCGCGACGTAGCGTCGGTTCATCCACGCCGAACCGATCCGCAACTCCGGGCAGATACCACACAGGCTCGACTGCCACTTTGGTCACCCGGACTTCACCTGACGAATCCACCACGATCGACCCGTCGATTTCCAGGTGTCCATCGCGCACGGCTTCGCCGACCTCTGCTAGCTTCATATTGGCGCGAGTTACCGCCATGGTAGGTCGGATATCCCAGCCGGAATTGAGCTCATCTCGGAATTGGTTGACGATGTCGTGGCCGTAAGGGTCCATGGACACTATCTTCGTCTTATCGGACCATGCAGGCTGCTGGGGAAAGTTGAAGGTGGGTTCGCTGTTGCGGAAGTCCGGGCGGAAATCCGGGTCCAGATCCCCCGACGCGATGGCCAACGCATTGTAGATACTGTAACTACCGCCGTGGGCTCCCAACGCATTGCGTCGTTTCAGCAACGGCCCACTGCGGGAGACGACAACCGGACCCCGGGATTTGGCATCTGGAGCGCCCCATTCCAGGGGAATGGGGTCGATGCCGCTTTGGCCAGGATAGGTAGTTAACTGGAATGATTAGGTGGCTGAAGGAAGGTTTTCCAGGAAGAGGACTACTCACGACAATATGCGTGCTGTACCGGGAACTTGTGGAAGCCTTATCCTGTACGGTTAATGATTCCGCGGCTTTTGAGGGAACATCGGTCTCCAACATGATGGCGATGTGATGTGGACGATTGGACAAAGCAAGAAGTTGTCGGTATTGTCAGGAGAGATGGAGAGAAAGAAAGTCTGGAAGGAAATGGAGAGGAGAAAAGGCAAGCTGCATGTGACCTGCAATCCTGGTGGCACCAAATAGGGAGGTTCGGGTGCCTGATTATTTGGTTATCCCAACGTACTTCTTTTTCACGAATCCGGATGGAATCGAATTTAAGTATACTAAATCAGCTCGCCCTACTCTACTCTACTCTTCTGTTTATTCATGCTGCGATACGCTATCTCGTCTGCTGCCCTACAACAATGCAGGAGATGAGGAGAAACTCAATGCTGGACGCAAGGCGGGGTTACATCAAGAGTCTCGACCCCTCACTTGCTCCGATGTCATCCATGGCTGTGCAATATCAGTCAATACGTGGGCCATTCTCTGTGGATATCACTCCGATTGACAGTATGTTACATGATCGAGGATAGCGCTGATTCACTTAAGCCATGCTGCTGGGAAGTTGAAAGGTTCCTGTTCCCCGACTCTGTTATCTTTCTTATCTTATCTCCCTTGTCATCCTTATCATCGCCATTTAGTCCTGTCATCTTTATCGCCTCCTTAATAATAAGGATATCCTATGTGTAACATTGTAAACTCAAGTAAGGAGACGGGAATTGACTGGATTTCATCACAATTGGTGCTCAAAATCGATGTAACAGACAACTGGGTAGATTCGTGGAAATAAGAACACGCTCGCATTTCTCCATTCTCCATCTCCATGTACTCAAAAGGGAAATAACTGGTATCTACTATTCCTCTTGACCTTTGTCGCCACCAAGGAATCTCATAACTCTTCACGCGTAAACTCACATTTCAAGCCATCCATCCATAAACCAATCGACTCTAAAGCAAGGCCGTCGGGGGCTGACGTGAAGGGCTGCGAGCCAGCGACGGTGAGCCAACACAATCATTCCTCCGCGCCCGCGCTGCCAAGCGCCATAGCTGAGAGAGCATCGGATGCAGTAGAAGCATCGATTCATCGAAATCCTGCTTGCGCACGGGTGTTCTTGATTGTCTTCTTGATCACATCCTCCACCTCGTCCCAGTCCCTGGTATCGATCCGCTGGATGTTCGTGTTGAAGTATTTCTGGATCTGGTTGAGCATGTTCCACTCGTCGCGGTTCGAGACGAACGAGATCGAGACACCGACACGGCCGAAACGTCCTGTACGACCGATACGGTGCAGGTAGGTCTGGAAGTCGGCTTGGCGCTCGCGAGCTCCCGGCTGATGGACCTCGGGGATATCCTATTCGATAACGAGTTAGCCTCCCATCCCGCTATTACACCCACCGCATACGACTTACGTAGTTGATAACCATGGAGACCGTGGATACGTCGATTCCTCGAGCAAGAACATTGGTCGTAATCAAGACCTTGGCATGGCCAGCACGGAACTGATCAATGACAGCATCACGCTGTGAGCCCTCAATGCCACCAGTCAGGGAGGCAATCGTGTGGCCTTCCGCCACCATGCGCTTCTCAATTTCCACCGCAGACGCACGTGTCTAGTCGACGTTAACGGACATTCAGCTTCAGAGGAAAGGGTCACCCACCTTGACGAAAATGATTGAGGATCCGACAGTAAGAAGTCCGTACAGCTTCACAAGGGTATTATACTTGTCTTCCTCATCGGAGCAGTCAAGGTACAATTGTTTAATGCCCTCGACCGTCAGTTCCTCATGCTGCAAGGTAATTTCGTTTGCGTTCGGCGCAAATTTCGACGCGTATTGGTGAACGTGAACAGGGAATGTGGCGGAGAATAGAACGATTTGGATATCCTTTGGGAGCAGCCTGTTTCAGTATTAGCCGAGTAGTGCACAGAAAAAGACATCGGGTACTGGAACAAGCTCACGCTTTGACACGGATACACTGGTCACCCAGACCTTGCTGATCTAGCATGTTATCGGCCTCATCCAGAACAAGCACCTTCAACTTATTAGCGACCATAATGCGCTTCTTGACCATATCCATCACTGTTCCCGGGGTACCAACGACCACGGAGCATTCCATCTTGGCGACACGGCTGTTGGTGTCGGCGGGAACGGCGGTACCAATGGCAAGTCCATCCAGGAACTGACCCATGACCTGAATGACGCCGACAATCTGACGCGCCAACTCACGAGTCGGAGCGAGGATCAGGGCCTGGGGCGTCTTCTGCTGTTGTTCTGACGAAAGGTCCAAGCGACTTAGGATGTTCAAAACGAATGCGGCGGTCTTTCCGGTACCCGACTGGGATTGACCGACGAGGTTCTTCGCGGGGGTGCTCAGAAGCAGGGGAAGTGCTCTTTCTTGGATTTTCGATGGTTTGCGGAAATTCATGGCGGACAGTCCTTGCAAGATGCGGGGGTCTCTGTTGATTGCGGCGCGTCAGCGAGGATCAAAAGGACATACATTCTAAAGAGCACCTACAATCCCAGGTCTTCAAAGTTCTTGACAGAGTATAGGGGGTTATTAGGATCGGCCTGAAGATCACTCAGCTTAACCTCCACTGAGTAGTCAGGCTCCTGAAGGTCGGAGCCTCCTAGTAGTGTCGGGGTTCCATCGGTCTGCTCGGGCGCCTCCGTGTTTTCTGGAGTTGACAGTGAGAATCAGACTATCCAGAGGCTTGGAAATCAATATTTTAGGATGATGCTCGTACCTGATGGCTTCTCTTCAGGCTTTGCTTCATCGGGCTTGGAAATGCGATCTCCGAGGGAGCCACCGGAGGGCGTTTCGGTAGGCTGTTCAGACGCCATAGTGTAGGTCTGTATGGTGTATTATGGCGTATATGGCCTGTAGGGCGTATACAGTCCGTATATTCGATAGGCAATGTAAGTGTCTCAACTCCAAGAGTTAGGATGAACTAGGGAGAAAGAAAGATCCAAGCGACGCAGGTATGATTTAACCCGCCTTTCTTTCACTTTAGAGGCGGAAAGGCCAAAAAACCCAGCAAACAGCTCTAGTCCGCTTTGGGTTGCCAGCCGAGCGTTTGGCGCCTATCCAACCAGGCAGGCGGTGAGTGTACCTGTCGGTATGATTACCCGAGACGATCTGCTTTTATGACGTCGGCTGCGAATCGGACGCCCAGCCGGGGCAACGCAGCGGCCAAGCAGGGGAATCAACGTGGCCTGGCAACGGTTTTCGTATTGTCACGTTTTAGTTACTCCAACCGTCTTCCCCGCTTGTTGCCTTCACCATCGTCGTTGTTTGGTCGCCCTCTTTCTTGATCTCGCTGCACAACGGAGAGTCCTCCTGCTGAGAGAGTTGCTGATCGACGGTTCGTCCAAGGACTGTCCGCACGTGGGAGGTAGGTCTCTGATCCTGGAATTGGTCCTTGGTTATCCCTGCGGCCCAGTCAATGATATTGGTTGGGTCTCGCTTGTCTCATTCCCACTTCTCATACGCTGCAGCCTCTGGCGATAATGGCCACGCCGGACGCCACTCCGCACTTTGGAGCCGAACTGAAGGTAGGTCCTTAGTCTGCTGAATTTGGGAGGTGGAGGATTGACAGCCATATTTACAGGATGCCTTCAAACCCGTCAACAATTGGGTACGTCCTCACGCCGCCGATACACCGGACGACACTGACCGGATTTCTTACATTAGGTATTTAACGGCATATCATGGATGGACGAGATACAACAGTTCTACCGGGAACGGAGCGTGATCGAGAAGGAATACGCAGCCAAGCTAACGGCGCTGTGTAAGAAGTACTATGACCGCAAAGCAAAGAAAATCAGCACATTGAGCGTGGGGGACACCCCCAGTATGACCCCGGGCTCTCTCGAAAGCGCTTCCCTGACTACCTGGACCACCCAATTAACCGCCGTCGAGTCGCATGCTGCGGAACGCGACCAGTTCGCCAATGACCTTGTTATTCAGGTGGCGGAGCCGCTGAAACAGGCGGCGGCGCAGTACGAGGAACTTCGGAAATGCCATGTGGACTTCCACGCGAAACTCGAGAAAGAGAGAGACTCTTCGTACAGCGACCTGAAGAAGGTAAAGGGGAAATACGACGGCTCATGTCAGGAAGTGGAGGCGAAGCGGAAGAAAATGGAGAGTTCGTTTGACCATGGGAAAGCCAAGGCGCAAACTGCGTACCAACAGCAGATTTTGGAAATGAACAATGTCAAAGTGGGTGGGATCAGTCCGGTTTCAAGACTTCACTAACCGTTGCAGAATACGTACCTAATCAGTATAAACGTGACGAATAAAATGAAGGAGCGATTTTACCACGAATACGTGCCAGAACTTCTAGATGTGAGCTTTCTCCTATAGGTTTTGGCGACCCGTGCTAATCATTCCGGTAGGGCCTACAAGACCTCAATGAAACCCGCGTTGCAAAAGTAAACACACTCTGGTCCCACGCCACACAGCTGGAGAAGAATTCTCTCTCAAAAAGTGTGGACCACATGGCCAATCTCATCAACGAGATTCCCCGAAACCTCCCACATCTTGACTCCCTCATGTTCCTGCGCCACAACTCCACGCCCTCCCAGGAACCTCCCAACCTGGGCTTTGAACCTAGTCCGATCTGGCACGACGATGAGACGCTCATTACCGACGATGCGGCCAAGGTGTTCCTGCGCAATCTTCTCAGCAAGAGCAAGACGCAGCTGCGGGACCTGCACGCCGAGACCGAACAGAAGCGTCGCACCGTGGAGGATGCCAAGCGTATCCGGCAAGCCATCCAGCAAGGCAAGGACAAGCGGAACGAGGTCGAAATTGTGAGGTCGATCTTCTTCCTGCAGGAGGGACTGCACGAAGCGGATCGCAAGCGGCTTACAGCCGAGGTCGAGACATCCACAATCATCTCCGTCGTGGGCGACTTATCTCTTGGAGCCAAGAACCATAACTTCAAATCGCAAACCTTCAAGATCCCGACCAACTGCGACCTTTGCGGCGAGCGGATATGGGGCCTGTCCGCCAAGGGGTACGACTGTCGGGATTGTGGGTACACCTGCCACAGCAAGTGTCAGATGAAGGTGCCCGCCGAATGTCCCGGCGAACAGACAAAGGAGGAGAAGAAGAAGCTGAAAGCCGAACGGCAAGAACAGGCCGGCGCAACGCCCGCGCTGGACCTGGAGCCATCCGCCAACCCATCGGCGGCGCCGTCGCTCGCGCGGAAAGACACGATGAACTCGTTGAGTTCGGGATACGCGGCCAGCGCCAATCGATCGTCGTCTAATGCGGCCAGCCTCCCCCCGCCGACGGAACTGGCAGCCCCATCAGCGCCCGCGCCAATACCTTCAGCACCGACCTCTGCCGCGCCGACGCCAGCGCAGGAGTCCAAGCCTGCCCCGGCGAGGAGGAATCGCATCCTCGCACCACCCCCGGCGCAATACATCAGCCCACCGCCGGAACCTACCCCCAAGCCGAGCGAGCCGCGAGGGAAGATGCTCTACGCGTACCAAGCAGGCGGGGCCGACGAGGTTACAGTGCAAGAGGGCGACGACGTGGTGGTCGTCGAACCCGACGGTAAGTCTACTAGCTCCAGATCCGAAGCAGTCTACGATACTGACTGAAATGAAGATGGGTCTGGATGGATGCGAGTGCGCGCTGGAACCCTCGAAGGACTGGTGCCGGCTTCCTACGTGGAACCAGCACCGGCACCGTCTCCGGCCTCAGTCAGTCCCGGATTCACAGATCGACCTGGATCCACGTATTCGAGCTCGTCGGCGTCCCTGGCGGGAAGTGCGGCGGGAACCGGAGGGAAGCGCATCGGACCGGCAGTGGCACCTCGACGGGGAGCCAAGAAGCTGCAGTACGTGGAAGCGATGTACGATTACGAGGCGCGCAGCGATATGGAATGGAGCATGATGGAGGGGGATCGATTTGTGCTGGTGAATCGAGACGGAGGCGACGGATGGGCGGACGTTGAACGAGGTGGTGTGACGAAGAGTGTGCCGGCCAACTACATCCAGGAGGTGTAAATTGGATAGCTAGTATATACTGTTTGATTCATGAGCGTTATAATGCTGTATGTACAGGCAGTGTATCCCTCATACAATCAACTCATCAAATCCATTGATGCAAGCCCAAGCAACAGCCCCCAAACCATCAACCAAGCTGAAGTAGAAGTCAGTCTGCTGAGGTCAGATGTGCCCACCCTGGCATTGAAATTTTTCAGCCCATTATCCCCAGCACAATCACTGGTTATACTCTCCCCCTTGACGCTGGCAACGACCTTATCATCTCTCTTCACCTGGACTTTGACCTCTCCATCACCATCCACCTTCACACTCCCCGTATACACACCCCTCCCACCATCAGGGACACGACTCCAGTTCCCCATGAGTCGCACACCCCCAATACTCACCTCCACGTCGGCCTCCCTCTCCAACAACGCCGAATAAAACACTCTATCCTGGACAGTCTCCGCAGCAGGATACTCCCTCTGACCCTGGGCGGGCGCATTCTCCGTCGTGCCACCATCTTTACACCCGCTACCATCCCTCTCCCTTCGATACCAAACAACCACCTCCTCATCATCCGGGCTTACCTCCGGAATCCCACTTCCAGTCCCAATCGCATTCCCACTCCTCTTATACATCTCCACATAGAACGGAAGAAACGTCCTCCAGCCATCATGTGGTACATCCCTCGCATAATTGAAGGGCGCCTTTCCCCTTCGGAACGCACTATACACATCGATATTATCATGATACCTCGTTGGTCCGATATAATGCGACTCGCCGTAATGATTCCATGAGATAATCTGCCGAAATCCGGCTAAATCTCACGAACCTGATCCCATCTAGTCCGCCAGAGGGTATCACCCCTCCAGACCCAGTTCTTCTCGCAGGCATATTCGTATAAAACCAGGGTGACACGGGCTTCATATATGCCTTCCACTGTAAAGCGGAAAGAAATGCCCTATCCAGCGTTGTGTTAATCTCGCGAGATCCCTCAGGCCAAGCACCCCAGTTGAACAACCCGTCGATGACGGTGTGGTTTGCCGCTTCGGCGGGGGAAATAGACGACCAGTCCGGGATGAAGAAGCAGCTTGTTTTGGATATGATGGTGAGCCAGTCGCTGTGGGAGGAAAGCCCTTCGAAGGTGGATACGAGGGGTCGGCCCTGATGGGTGTAGTAGGCTGGGTGAGATTGATACTTTTTTAGTAGATCGAGGACTTGTGGGACGGTATAAGAGCCGTTGGCGGCGTAGTCGAAGAAGAGTGAAGTTTTTGTCGGCCGCGACGGTGAAGGCGTTGGAGATGGTGTTGGGAGGAGTTCGTTGCGAGCCATGTTTATGACGAAGGCGTCGATGTGTGATTCTTGGGCGAGTCAGATGTCGGTTTCCCAGTCCTGGGTGGTGTAATTCTCCGAGTTGCCCAGCTGTAGTAGTAGTTAGTAGTTAGTAGTTAGTTGGTGAGTGAGTAGTGGGACGTACCATGAAGTGGGCGAAGACGGCTTTGCTTGCACTTGCATGCAGATGCAGGACAAGATGAGAAGGAGATACATCTTGACTTGACTAACGGAAAGAACAGACAGCAAAAAGAGAGAAAAAAAGGAAAGAAAGAACAGAAACCTTTATAGCCATCGTCAATATCCATTAGGTCGTGCTGGTGATATATCTCCTGCAGTTCGGATATAGTTCAACGCAAGTTCATTTCATCTGACATTTCATTTCTGCATGACTGAGTTATTAAACTCAATAAACACCACAAATCTAAACCCTCGTACGCCGTGAAACAGCGCGTATATACAAACCGCTATATACAACGAACCCACACTCAAACCGCCTGCGACAACCATGTCCAATCCCCCAACATGTCGACATCAAGGTCATTAAGAGAGAAGGTGCCGGCGTCCTCCAACGCCGGGTCAATCGCATGCGTATGCGCATGATCTTCCGCTGACAGCGGTCCAGTGACCAGCGACAGAGACATGGGCGCCACTTCTGCCAGGGATGCCAGCGGCGATGCGAACGTAACGCTGGGATCCAGCGGAGGATTCGACGAGGGATGCGACAATCCCGACAGCGTGGTTGCCGTCGGACCGGCCTCCGACATCGCCATCGACATCGACATTGACATACTCAGGGCCATGTAGTGATCGGCGCGAAAATCGGCATCCGTCCCCTCGGGCCGATGATACGACAGGTCCTCAAGACGCAGACCCGTCGTAGTAGGGCCGGCGGCGGTCGAGGGGGCCGGACGCGGCGCAATGGGAATAAATGCGGCGGGGTGGGAACGCAAAGATGGACGTCTGCCCGGAGCTCTCTAGAGAACGCGAAGACAAGAAAAGAAACCCATCATCAGTAAATCAGTGAAGTAACGACCACGGCGGCGCGACTCTCAGAACAAATAACACACAAAAGGTTTTGTTGACATTGCCAAAGAGGGGATATTTCAGGGCAGTGGAGAAGACGGTTGGTGCACATCTACTTTTGAAGATTTGGCCTCGGCCTCACGACGCATTTTGACGTGGTCCTCGGGGGTAGGACAGGGCGTACAGTGACATACAGAGCAGGTCGCGAAGGGGCGACCCTTTCTGTTGATGCGAATCAATGATCGATCTGGAGAGTGAGCTGGATATCTGGATATAGAGAGAGGGAGCGATGGAACTGACCATGGTGTTTGCACGTCGTCACACGATGGCCGCGGACACACGCTTCACAAGCCCACTTTTCGCCGTCGATGAGCATCCCTTGAACGATGGGGGGAGACGACGACAAAGGAATCGTGGGCGGGTTTTATAGAGGCGACACCGCCACGGTGGCTTGCGGCATTTTGTGATGAAAAGATTTTAAGCGAGAGGACGCAGAATAATGCCTCATACATTTGGCTGCTGCCTGCCATTGCTGGATCGGTCCGGGGAGATCGACGGAGCTCTGACCACGTCGTTGAGCTTATCTGAGAATTTTCAAGTGCAAGCAATCAGACACGGACTTTGTTCGGTCCCGTCCTGTGTGTGAAGGTGGCGGTGCCGATGAGGCATTTTTCCCCTTCCACTCCCGTCGTTTGCGCATGATGTCAAAGGAAGATCTCTCCATCCGTTTGCCGTTTTGGTGTTTTACCCCTCGTGGAAGCTTACAGTGGGAGCTTACCTCGAGAATCCCGTGCTTGCGAATCCTTCTAAAAAGATGAGTTCGCCCTCGAGAGTTTCCCCTGAATTCGAATTTCAGTTCACTAAACCAAAGCTTCGCGGAGCTTAGCATCAGGCCACCGCCATCATTTCTATGGTCCCGAGTGGGCGGATCCTCGGTTCATCTGAACTAGGTCATATTAAAGGGAGGGAAGGGCTAAATCACGGTAGGCCCTGATCGCTTAGGCACAATCATTTATTTTTTTCATGCTGACATCAATGAAAATACCAGTGTTCTCGATTTGCGGAAAAATCAATTTCCTACAGATCAATTGAAAGTGGATTCCTCCCAATTACACAACAATGTCTGCACCATCTATCCCCTACGAAAAGTCGACAAAGTGATGGCCGTCCCAGTGGCTGTCGTCGTCTCGGTGACCGCGGGGTCCGCTGTAGACATCCGAGTTGGCGGTGTTTCTGGCGGTGACGCTGGAACGACCGAGGTTAGATACTGCCACTCGAATAGACTCGAAACCATGTCAGAACAACCTCGGCCAACTTGCGTAACCCGTCGACAGGTCGGGTGAATTACCATCATCAATGTTAGAAACTAGAAACAAGGCAATCATTGTCGATCGGACCAAATTCTGAGTACCGTAGACCGTGAATTTGACAACCACGGTACTGTTGTCGCAAATCATCAGTACCGACAAAATAGTCACCGCTGGTCTTCTCGGAAGAATATCGAGGCAGGCTGGTCGGAGATACTGAGCCCAGATCCAGACTTCTTCATAACGTCGAGCAGGCCTAAGGAACTCGGTGATGGCCTTCTTGCCGTTTTTGGTCTACGGCAAACAAACAAGGAAAGTCGACAGAGACAAGAGGTAGGGGAAAGAAGCTCAGCGCTCGAAACTACACATCATGTTCTTACTACAAACACAGGGGCGTGAGACATGCCAAGAACACCTTAATATTAAAGTTTCACTAAGACATTACGTCCAAGACGCATTGTCGCCAAAGCATATAGTCGAAATGATATCTCAAATAGTTCAGTCAAGAGGATTGAGCAATAAATCAGTGCACTTAACCTTTCATCTGGACTCAGAATTCCTTTCAAAATAAAAACGATAGCGAACGTGTCGAAGTGCATCAGCTTCTTCAGTATGAAGTCGGCCTGCTCCGAGTGGCTCATCTGGTGTGCCTGGAAGACTCACGGCCATGGAGCTCGAGTCAGGTCAACCTCATGACCAGGAGATAGGACGTGCGTGATGGCCTGTCAGGTTAGATGAATATATTAGTCTTTTATATTACTCTATTCTCTGGATCAGGCCAAGATACAAAGTGGGTGGAAAGCTTAGACTTCACTATAGCGAAATGAAAAAAATCGTCAGATATTTCTCTATACGCAGAGATAAAGCTTAATTGGCTATTAATGAGCCGACCAATTGTACAATTTGGAAGCTCTGGTGCCGGCGTCCCAGGTTTTCCGAGAAACGCAACGAAGTATTCAACACAAACTACTTATGAACTTCCGCCAGCAGAACACCGACACAATAAAGGAGGTTTACAGAAATCATAGAACAGGAAAACTCTCGAACTGAAACATGCATTTGGAAATTTAGATCAAGATGAACCCGGCACCGAACAGGGTCGACATGATAGTGACTGCTCCAACAACAATGGGCGCCAGACTAATGCTGGGAACATGCAGGCCAGCAGCAGCACCAGAAGAGGAGCTGGACTCCCCACTGGAGCTAGAGCCTTTGGCAGTGGAAGAGCCGGAGCCAGGCTCGGCAGTACCGGTAGAGGTGGCACCACCGGCGTTCTGGCTGCCCTTGCCCTTGAAGCCGTCACCCTTACCAGCACCGTCCTTCATGAACTTCTTAGCGGGTTCGGGGATCGCAGGAAGGTCATCATTATCAACATCCCAGTTGGGAGAATCCTTAGCGGGGCAAGGGTTGGGACCACCGGTCTTGTTGTATCCACCGTCTCCCGAGGGGTTTTTGGTCTTCTCGAAAGCAGTCTTCAGAGCATCATAGTCAGGAAGCGTCTTCACGTCGTTACCGCTGATCTTGACGAGACCATAGTTGCTAGCTTCTTGGGAGTACTCGTAGACCAAGCCACCGGAGTAGACGCCGGTCATCTCTTTGGAGTATAGAGAGCCAACTTCCTGGAACTGACGCTTGTTGGTGTTGCATCCATACTCGGAGAGGAACAGAGGCAGACCATATCCGGTGAAGTTCTCGACCTTCTTGTCCCATCCAGAGGTTTGGAAAGAGGAAGGATCGCACCAGGAGTAGTCGTTGAAGGCAAAGAAGTCACTGCGCTCGTCGTCTGAACCGCAGTTCATGTACTGGGCCATCTGAAGACGGTTGGTGTTGATATCGGCCTAGCGAAGAGCGAGTTAATAGGGGTAGTGAAGGGGTTTCATAGTTCGGCATCACTTACAGCAGAGTACCCAACAGGAATCTCACGGTACTTGCGGCTACGGATGTACTGGCGGAGATCACGGGTCACCGCCTTGACGTAAGGAGCAGCCTTGGAGGAAGGACCATCATTAATGACCTCGTTACCGGAGAAGAAAGCCAATGTGTTCTTGTACTTGGCGAACTTGTCAACGGTAGCGAAAATGTACTGGAGGTAGATATCATTGTAGGACTCCTTGGGCGAGGCACGGTTCAAAGAGTACTTGGGGGTGTTGACATCGAGCACCAAGTAGATTCCAGCATCAGCCAGAGCGTTCATGCATTCATCGTGTTCCTGGGAGTTATCAACTGAGTACACACGGATGGTGTTCAGGCCGAGATCCTTGAAGTTTTTGATATCACGCTTGCAGCTATCAGCATCGGCGATGGGGTCGGACAGATCCGAGGAACCACCGGGCTGGTAGTCAACACCACGCATATAGAAACGTTCGTCACCCTTGAAGAAGGCATTGCCCTTGACGGTAATGGGAGTGACATCGTCACGGGTCTGGATCGATGGGGCAGCAAAGGCGGTGGAGGCACCGAGAGTGAGAGCCGTCGCAACAGCGTAGCCCTTCATAGTGAAAGTGGTAGAGATAGTAGTAGTTTGCAACTAAAATTCTATAAAAACCGATCGAATAATAAATACAACGGCTCGAAAAGAATGGCGAGGTGTGTCAGTTGATGCGAGGTTATACTGAGGTGAAGGCAGACAGCGCCGCAAACGAAAGAAAACGAAGACAAGGTCAAAAAGGTTTGAAGAGGGCGAACGAATGACTAGAAGATGGGTAAAAGTATGAAAAGGACAAAGAGGAAAAACGAAGGATGAATCTCAAAGATTGAAGGGATGGAGAAAGAAGGAACAAAAAAGAGGCAGGGAAAGAATGGACGAGGGTGGCGAGCCTTAAAGCGAATCAGCGATGCCATCCATCCCTGAGCAAGAGGTAATCCAATTATCCAACACTGTGCTAAAAATGGGTTTATTGTTGTTAAGCATTCTGGCCAGGGCGGTATCATGGTCAGGGAATTACAGCATGATGCTCCCTGCTCCGCTCTAGAAAAAAGGTGGCCTTAAACCCAAGGAGGTAATTTACAGCTGGCCATAACAACTCCGTACTGAACAACCCAGATCCACTGCTCATCTGGGGCCAGAAGAAGGGACTCGTCATCCACCCTGGAACATGCACCAGATCGGCCCAGGGTCAAAGGGTCTCCCACCATCTGCTCCCTGTTACTGGCTGGAATCCTAGGACGGTCGGGGCGTTCAATCAATCATAAGCTGCCAACAGCCAGGTGGGTGTACAGGCGTCGTCACGGAACAAATAAAAACTGGGCAACGGCGAGAATGAATGAAGATAATTCCCATTTGTGCTGCCGCAGTGGGGAATTATTTGTGAACATCCAGGGGGAGTGGGTCTAGACTGGAAGTCGGTTGGCCAAGGCAAGTGCGTGGGATCCAAGCTCGCACTTTTTGGCGCTTTTGAAAGGAAATATTATCAACAGAAAAGACGCTTGGAGCATTGGAGCCTTGGAGCCCTCCCCTCAAATATGTAGCATGAGACTGTATAAAGATGGCCATTGAGACCCTGCTCTGGACCCTTGAAGATTCCTCTCGCCCTGTTTGTCATATCCTCCCTCCTCTCCTTGGTTCATCTACAGAACACCCACATTCCAATATCTGGAACGTCTCATCAAAATGACTCGATTAGTCTTTTAACCTCTACCATGCCTTGTCTCCTGTGTTGAGCATTGTGCTCCGTAATATGTAGAACATAGTGTTCATAAAAGTACCTACTCCATAACTACTCAGAGTACGGAGTAAGTGGGATATTTAATCCCGACCAGATAGATCTCTGTAAGTGTGGGAGCGGTATGAATTACATCCCGTCCTCACAGCCACACTGATCTACTCTATTATAGGATGGTTCCTTCAGTTTGTGAAACTGTTGTTTCTCCTGAAAATAGGATCAGCGGAAGTCTGGAACCCACATATTCCTTCAACCTTCATAGCAAATCACGATTCGAGACGTACTCCACGCTGCTCAAAGCGGGCTAAAATACAAGAAATGGGTATTATACTTTCCCGCTCGGTGAAACACAGTACCCTGAAATTTGAACCAGCACTAACGGTTCATTGTATGTGTTTCATCTGTCGCAGAGTTTCACAGGACTAGGCACTGAGTCAGTAGGTATGGTTCCCATACTTAAAGAGAGTACCTACACGGCCCTGTGGATAAACACTTGAAATTGCCCCTGACAGTGTTCTGCAGACAGCAGGCGCCAAAGACGAAGACCAGTACAATGTGATCTTTTTCCCTTTGGCACTATTATTTCTCGGACTGAAACAATGGATTCTTTGCTAGCGAAAGAAAAGTAAAAGCAAGTCTTAGTAGAAAAAATAACTTGAGCTGTCCACCCCTTATTAGACCATAGTAATCAAATTCCCCTCCCCAAAAGAAAACAATTGATATCTTTCTCCCAGTCAGTCTTCATAAACTTCCTTATATAGGTACTCCGCTAAGATACCTACCTACCCCGTATGTACTTCCGCCCACGGGTTAGTTAAACTCGGACATCCCGCAGAATAGGTCGATCGGATATGATCAAAAGTTCGTTTAGGGCGAAGGACGGTACAAGGTTCTAGAACCCGACTTTAGCTATGAGCCATTGGCGGATCGTACATAGTTCCCAGAACGGAAAAAAGAGATTTCGTCATCTTTACCATCCTCAAGCGATGGGGGGTAGTCTTAGATGATTGCATCAAAGGAAAGGGGCAAAGACTACACTTTGTTAAAACCATTATGCTCCGCACCTACATCGAGTGGTTCCTTACATTGATCCAACTCGGAAGGCCGTCGTCACGAAACCCTTACCCATAGGACACAGACCCCTCTCTAGCATCTTGACAAACTGCACGATAGCGTCTCGTTCATACATCGACTTACAGTAGCATCAGTAACAGTACACTACATTGGCAGCGGGGCTCTTGCCTTTGAGCGTGATGTTAACCATAATCTCCTGAACCCCGATGTTCCTAGCAGACCCCATCAAGCTGAACCTCCCACCACGAAATGGTGCCTTTACAGCGCTCCTTGTATGCTTTGGCATGGACGCAGCTGAGGGCGTAATGCCCAAAACAGCATCAGCAGTGCCAAAAGCTTGCAGAGCAGCCACATCCTTATCTTCATCACCTGTACCGTCTCAATATCCGCCCCTTGCGATCTTTGTTTAAAATTCTCCTTTAATCTCACCAACATCTCTTCGTCTCGACCCATGGCTAAGTCACTACAGAATCCCGTCGCCGGGCATGTATAATCGTCCCACCAGACTCGAGCTTGATGTTACTTAGCCCACAATGCGGCACAAGCAGATGAGCCATATACACCAAGTCCTGGAGCGAGTACCCTAAAACCTTACACAACCTTTCTTCAAGCGGAATGCAGTTCTCCAGTGGCACCTTAGCGCCCTCTGCGAATATCCCATCGCGCCACGCATCCCACATCCACCTTTTGCTGCCATCACTTGACCCGGGTAAACCCGCCGACAAGAAAGAACGATCTAGGTCATAGCGAGCGCGTATAACGCAATCAATGTAAACAAGTTGTCTGTGTTTCAAGGCCGTCGCGTCGGACCCAACTGCAGCGGCGTGACTGATGGCACCAAACCACCTACCAGCGGTGTAAGGAACAGGAGGTGACACTTGCCGCTGTAGACCTCGCGGCGATAGGGTAGAATGGCAGGAGCAGCGATGCGAGCAACAGCGCTGCTAATGTCTGGTTGTGGCGTTTGTGGGAGTTTTAACCTGACAACCTGACTTCTTTCAAGTACGAGGGCGCGATGCCCGGAGGGTAAGTCAGGTTTGCGTAGTGAGGATTAAGAAAAAAAAATAAAACGTTCGGACAATAAAGAGGATACAACATAAACAATGATATCCTGTGACCATATATTACAATTCTACTGTAATGGGCCGCAAATGCAAAATAATGTCGACTTGTAAGCATTTTTTCCACAATTTAAGGACGTCGGTGGAGGTGAAAGTGGACAGGCAACCAGCTCAAGCAGATTTGTATGTATATTGGAATAAGAAATAGAAATTGATCAATTTTTATTGCATTTTGAGCGATTTAGACCTTCCCGTGGTGTCCTTGTGGGTGGCCGCGCACGAGTCAGGTGCGCAGGTAGGGGCCTTTATCAGCATTCCAAAGACACATGTGTGAGTTTCCTATCTTCTTAGACCTCTGCCGTTTATTGGTGAGTGGGAAATATTTGTAAACAAGGAATAAGTCGAAAGAAAAAAAAAAAAGGGAGAGATAGAACATAGCATGTCCTGGTTTCGATCCAGGGTCCTCCGGGTTATGAGCCCGGCGCTCTTCCCCTGAGCTAACATGCTGTTGCTTGATGATAAATCATAGACTTATGCTATAAAACGGGAAGCTTGCAAATCAGAGGACGCTACGTAACATGACCCGCCATCTCCAAATCATGACAAACACAGTTGCATGCTTGAGACACATAGAGTGGGCTCAAATTTTTATGGTTTCCTGAGGTCAGTGGATTCAAAAAGGGATCTTCGAGGTGGTAAATGATATGCGCTAGATAAGAACCGGCAGGACCTTAGTTATGCAGAGGACGGGCATCTGCATGTACGATGCAAGGTCTCCACCCGCTAAAGACATAGAACAAATAGTCTTCGATATCGTCCTTGTTCTTTTTCTGCTGACAGACATTATAGCCCCCCAACTTACGCTCTAGCCAATACCTCAAATCCTGGGACTATGTAGACAGCGTGTTAAATCCCAGAAAAGTATTAGTCTTCATATAACAAAGGTCATATGTATTCCTACAGCCATGTCGGGATAAACGACACAAAATCGCTATCAATGTTCACATATCGTACAAAGTATGCTCGACTCCTCAATATAGACCATATCACCTGAGAAATAGATCGCGTTAGGGCGTCCATCGGTACATGCTCCAAATATCTCCGCTTCCAGAATAAATCTGGTACACTTCATCATAGATTCAACAGCCTTTCACTCTATCAAAGACCTGGAAATATAAGAGGAGTGGGATGTCCCCTTGATTTAATTCCACTGCCACGAATTCATGATGCCCACTAGGAATCTCGACAATAAGGCTTCGGGTTGGTTCGTTGCAGCATGTATGGACAGTGGCATTTCCAAAGGGGGGCCAATTGGTAAAACCAAAGAGTGAGGGGACAGTAAAGAGATAAACCTCTAAAGAGGTCAGTTCATTTGTGTTAGTTATGGTGATCCTTATTCCATATCTTTGATAGCGTATGCGCCTCTGGTTTGTTAATATAATCCATGACTACACATCCGTGCTGATTCCATTTCCTAACAGAGAGAATGCAGAAATTAAAACTAACATGTACTTGTTCATTCACACTCTCGAGCTGGGAGGTATCCAAGGGACTTAGATCAAAAGTATGTAATGCAATCTTCTGGATATTTCCACGGTTAATGTAAAGGGATACAAAGTAATCATCCGCTACTCGGGATAGACAGGGACATGTCCCATTCTCTTTCTCGAGCTGACTTCAGAATAGTATTATACCCTGAAGTAGTGGAAAGTAGTTATCACGATATTTGTATGGTATGTGAACATATTGACCCCCGCAAAACCACAATGGTTTTTATGATTCAATATATATGGCTGGCATGCGCATTCATTTGACCACATAGAAAATCCGGCTTGAAGTTGTTGATTCACAACTCAGTTCCCTACCCCAGAAAAAGGCGGTAAAGAACATTCACCGCCTGCTGTCTTCAGCAGGAAGACAGTTGTATCCATGCACTAGCTTAACTATCTACATGACCCACAACACCAAATACAGCTCGTCACAATACTGACATTTGCTCGGAGTACAAGAAAAGTTATATGCCAAATCTGGGCTATTAACAGGGTGGTTTTTACAAATCAGAACGATTCTATTACATCGATCGGTTCCTAATCTACCCACGTAAACATATATAACTACTTAGATGCCAACGACTACCAGCATCATTCCATGCAATAACATAACAAAATAGCGTAGATGCTTGTACCAGAGAGGATTTCAAGGCATATACCAAAAAGAAATAAGAGAAAAAGTAAAAAAAACATTGAAGACTTGCATAGCATGTCCTGGTTTCGATCCAGGGTCCTATTTTAGGTTAGAGAACTGGTTCATTGAATCATGAAGAGTGGGAGAAACATACCTCCGGGTTATGAGCCCGGCGCTCTTCCCCTGAGCTAACATGCTGAGGATGTTTCTTTTTCCGATTTAGTTGCTCCATAGTGTACGCCATAGAGAATAAAGATAGAAGGAGAATTTGCTGGCAAAAAAAAAGTTCAACACTAGCATGTCCTGGTTTCGATCCAGGGTCCTCCGGGTTATGAGCCCGGCGCTCTTCCCCTGAGCTAACATGCTGACTGTTACAAATTTTTCTGTCAAATATTTGCTATATGAGTCAGGGTAAGGCTATAATTTTTTGTTGAGAAAAAAGAAACATAGCATGTCCTGGTTTCGATCCAGGGTCCTCCGGGTTATGAGCCCGGCGCTCTTCCCCTGAGCTAACATGCTCTCTTTGTTAATTTCGCATCGGAATTTTGACATTATAGACCAGGAAAATGTCTCTTAGTCACCATTCCCGAGTTCGTCTCCAATCACACTTGTGAGAATTTAGCTGTGCTCCAAGAGTCTAATCTGCGTATACCTCTACTTGAAATAGGATCTGAGCTCGAATAGACGTTCCCGCCGCTGTCATGGTCGTCACTGTCGATGCTTTTTGTATGTTGGTGTCATTTGGAATTGGGCATTCCGTCGGCTTGGGAACTGGTACATTTTCGTCCGTTCGCCTTCGGCTATTGACCATGAGATTCGGATTATCACATGCACCTTTGGGTCAATAGATATAAGTGAGGTTGTTCAATTTAGACAGTAGAGCTTAATAATTCTAAATTCCAACTAATTATATATTTGGCTGATATACTGAAGCTTTCGACAGTGCCAAAGATCTGTCTGTACGGTCTCGCAAGAAAGGTTTATTTCTCATTACATTAGAGATGCTCGTAACACAAGCTATAGACAACGGTAAAGGACACGGTCAATTTTGGTTATGTACTGAGGATAGAGAATACTCCGATATACAGCCTCAATCCTTCCGGCGTTTCTCGAGCGTGTCAGTCCCATGAAACCAGTCCAGAAGACCAATCGAACCGTAGTTCAAATTAAACTTCTCATGATGCAAGTCATGCATTTTGGCCTTGTTGTGGAAAAAGTCATACCCACTATGGACAGTTGCGGTGTTGAAGAGCTCGTAGGCCAAGTAAAGCCAGAAAGTCAACACATGGCTTCCGAGAAGTTGTGGCGGGAGTGTGATTGGAAGCGCATTTGCGAAGATCTGCTCAATAGGATGGGCGTACTGCGCTGCGAGCGCGATAGGTGCAGTGAATTGGTGATGGCGCTTGTGAATGCGGACATAGAAATACGGCTGATGGAGGAATCGATGGCCATAGTAGAAGAGAGCTTCCCTCATGAGGAGACTGATGAATAAATCCCGAATAAGTTCTGGGAATGCAGGGAGAGAGGATTCAACTCGGTACGATGGAACACCTCGTCTAAGGACGTGGATCTGGAGGAGGTGCAGGACCGAACTAATCAACTGATTCTGAGCGACGACCACGAAACATTTCCAGATCTCACGCCGGGTTGGCTGTTTCGGCGCTGGCTGTATTTTGTGTCTCTGGGAAAATGATGGCCATGCCACATCCAATAGGAGGTAGATGAGCGAGGGACTCCAGAAGGAGAGGACTTGCACAACAAGCGTGCCCACGAATTCAATGGATTGTGGACTGTACGACTCGACGATACTAGGCCAGAGGCGTTCCATGGTAGATTTAAATTTGTTTTTTTCTTTTTTTCCCCTTGACATGCACTCCCTGGCATCTCTGAATTGGGCCCTTCATGAGGCTTATAAACCTGGTGATTCGGGGCCTATCATATGCAAGTCTACCTCGGCAAAGGTTAGCGATCGCCCCCCCGCATTGGATCAACGGCCAGTATCGGGGTATTGTCGATGACTAACGCGTTGGATCCTAAGTTACCTGCCACTCCACACGGTGTTACCCCGTATATAGCTATAGGCTTATGCTCATCCTTCCAGACTAGTGATAGGGATAGATATGGATGTCACATTGTTTGATGAATAGTAGTAGTCTATATGTTATTAATAGTGTCAAATTATTTATTTTAGCTTTACTTATTGCCCCCATAGAATACCGTAATTTTACGAACCCAGACCTACCTGTCAATATATATGTACATTTGCGGCTTCAAGAAAAACCTCACACAATCTGCATCCTTCATCCGTAGTAACACCTGCATGCCCACTTCACTGAAGATGCTTAGAATATGCTTTTTAGTGTCCCCAAACTCTTGCCAGGATTGGCACCACACTGAACCAACAATTCCCCAGTATGCATATCACTATGCTACAAACTACATGAAGCAGGACTGCTTATGTTTCTTGGATGATGTGGGGTCAAAGGAAGTAGATGAACCCAGGAGATTTTGTTTAGGTCTTTTAGATAGTGTGTTGTTTAAAGAAGTAGAGATTGGAAGTTGTTTGGCAATTTGTATTTTAAACTAGTGCCAGGTGGCAGTGGTGAAATTGAGGTTACATTTTCCAAGGAGCGACTTTTTGTCTTTCTTTAGCGAAGCCATGTCAATGATTTCTCTAAGTGGTTGTTCCACTCCGAAATTGTCCCAACCTCCGTTGATGTGTATAATAGAGTGCCAACATATTCTGCATGACTCTCCATGCAGGCGGAAGACAAGAAAGTATGAAAAAGCAAGGAATGTGCGGAGTAGGTAAAGGCAAAGACGAGAAATTCAATTAGTAGTGAATAAAGGGAGCGAGAAGACATGAGAGAAGTATAAAAGGTACGTGGCCTAAGTACTAGAATACCTAGGGAAAGTGTTCTATATATCTAAAAAACCCAGTATATACATATCTATGAATGCGTAGCGTACTGTCAACAAGTCGGTACAGTAAAACTGAATCTACTTGGCTATCTTACTCCACAAATAATCATAGAAGACTACTGTATTGTAGTGGATGAAGCAAGCAAAGGGTATGTTGACTTATACAGTAAAGATACGCGAACAGAGCTTCAGGATAAAATTGACTCATATAATACTTAGACAACACCCATTTCTGTTATCCTACAATGCCTGTATAAATTTATTTCTTTCCATCTAAACTCGTCTAAATTCTTATTATCCAGAAACAATCTATGTTCTACAACATCAGAGTTTTCCTATCTGCATGGTCTAGCTCTAATTCTAAAAGCAACCTTCGATACCCCACCACATAGAATATCTGCCATCCAAGGAGGTCCAGCGCTGAAATATATGTGTGTCTCACTCGTATTGCGGTCATGTTGTACCCAATTCAGCGTCCTGATCCCTCAGTTGACTTTCTGACGTGTCTTTTAGCAGGCATATCCTTTCCAGCAAGGAGGGGTCAGCTCCGAGGGCGTGGGTGGCGTTTCAAGCTTGCCGAACACAATCTAAATCCAAGTTGGACGAGTATGCAAGGACGTAAATAGAAATAGATAAGAGAAGTCGAGACATTGGCCGTGGATATGTTGTGTACCTTGACGTATAGGCCAGCCTGGATCCACGTTCCACAGACATGGTGAAGTATGACAGATATCTTTGCATACATTCAGCAGTATGAGTGGTATAAACATCTTCAGTGACTGTATCAATGGAATGATCGAGGAACTGCAGAGTAACTCGACAATTATGCTCTAGATGGCAAAATTCGTAGACTGATTAGTCCGGCTACTTACAAGCTTACTTGTGCTGAGTCTCCGTATTCGGACTCGGCTTCCTCGGATCTATCACATAGACAAGTGTTCTGATCCAGACTATGCGGTGAGTTGATTCCGGCCATAACTGCTTAGATACCCAAGAATATTCCACAAGGTAGCCATGGAGACCAGTATCCCGATATCACCGTTGCATACAAAACGCAGCCCATGATAGAATCAGCACGCTTCCGCCATCCAACTCCCTGGTCCCTTGCATCTGTTCTGGGACAATATCGAACAATATCCAATGCCACATATCCGATCTTTGCAGCAGAGGAAACTGGCTGAGCAAACTGCGTGGATGGACATATAAATACGTCGCCTAGTCCTCGAGAACCATCCTCATTCTTGTCATCAGAACTTCCCCTAGGTTTCTATACTCGCACTGCCCATCAATCTTAGCACTATCTTCATCAAAATGCAATTTTTCACCTGCGTCATCTCATTACTCGGCCTGAGTGCCGGGTCTCTAGCTGCAGCTGTGCCAGACACTGGGTCTGTCATAGCCGGAGACAACTGGCATGGGTGTGGTGCAGGAACTTTCGTACGATTTCCGCTTACTTATACAGAATATTTATTTATTCGCGATTCCCACTCAGTTCTATTCAAGAATAAGCTGACTGGAACCTCAGTGTAAGAAAGATAGTGATTGTCGCTCAGAAGCAACCTGCTTGACCGCATCTGGCAATGTAAGTCGGAAGCCCTTCCTTCTGAGAAAGTATAGCTAACATAGTATAAGAACATGGCCCAGATACATTGTGGTCAGAATAGTTACCCCAATAGCTGCTGGGCGGTAAGTAATCATCATTCCTAAGTTGTCCTGGGTTGGATTTCTACTGGGAGAGTCGACGTGCTGATGTATATGTAGAGCTATCCTAACTGAAATCTGGGAACTTGCCTGATTCCTATGGCTTCATCAAATGAACGAGATACTGCCGAGTATCATAACTGATCGTTTTGAGCCGAAAAAAGAGCGATAAAGATGATAAAAAGATTGAGTAGGAAAGAGAAGATTGTGCTGAGGGGTCTAGTGTATCTCTTTACAATTGATACTTACTGAATTAACCGGTGTGTTTTCTAAAACTACTGTGCATTTTATAGGTTCTAAAGTTAATGTGCGTAAGACGGTGTATATCCTAAGAAAGCAGGTATTCTGTACAGAAGGAATACCTCGGTAACCCCGAACGGATCTTCTTTATTAAAAACGAAAAAAAGGTTTACACACGCTAGCGTACCTGGTGTATCCCTCAAATACTATATGGAATCCATCAAAGATAGGCATAGCATTCTCTGCCATTACAAAATTGTGTTAAATTGACAGTACAGACGTTGTGACACAGGAACTAGGACCACACATGATGACTACAAGACCTTGACACTAAGCGCTAGATATGTGGATAAAGATAGTCAATAACTACATCAGTGTTATGGTCTCCCTGGTAGAACTAATAGAGTAGGGAGCCTAGCCGCACTATATTCTTACACCTCACAGGGGATTCTGTAGTGGATATCTGCATTCTAATATGCAGAATTCAGATATTGATTGGAGGAGTAAATTTACGGAATTTAAGTAATCATTCTCAATAGAAAATTTTTAGTATCAAAACTAACACTGACTCAAAAAATACTATGTAACTAGAAGTCACCCCTGTTGATTCCATAGCATTCCGCGAACTTATTAAATTGCTGATTATATATTGCCAAGGTATGTATGGTCTTCCATTGTATTAATTTGCAGAAATAGCTTATCTATAAATATGCAGTATGTTTTTCTCGAAGATATTCAGCTGCCTTTTTCATCACTCTAAGAGTAGCGAAAAAACTTGGCCAAATATTCCTTTCATCATTTCATGTTTATGATCATACCCACTTGGATTACTGAATGGCTCCATAGATGAGCCCTTATATATATACTCAAGGGGACATCTAAATTCTAAACCCATCTTACGTCTCCGCGTATACATTGTTAACAGATTCTAGCCTGTTCTTTATCCTCTCACCTATTTTCTTTCTTATCGTGTTCGAATTTGTATATTATAACTATACGGCCTAAGGCTAAAGTTAATGGGATAAACAGGTTGAAGATATAAAATAGCAATAAATCTTAGTAATATTATTATACATAGTTAGTGTTCCGCCATAAAGCCGTCAAGCGAAGCAAGGGTGTACGACTTGTTTAACTATAGTAAAATATGTCTCTCGTATCTCTCTTATTCTCAGCACTGGTAGATATATTAAGTTCTATCGCGGTAAGATTCTTGTTTATTAGCCATTGAGAATATACAGAGAAGACGTTGGAAGAGGTGCTGCATTCTAGTTCTAATTTAAGGTTCATACTCTACGTATTAACCGACTTTAAAGAACGTATCGAACACGTCGACGCAAGGAGGTGGAATATCAGAGGTCTGCATCATTGAAGCTAAAATAAAACTTGGAAGGGTGAGCTAGTACAGTTTGTTAACTAGGCTCAGTTAAACCCGTATGGATTAGTAGAATCTAAGTATAGGATAAAGTCCTAACACTCAGTTAGGTTTCATGTCGTCATTGATCAACACAGTGTCACACTCAGCCAAGAGCTGATTCCACCCGAGCAAGACATTTTTTCTATTTCGGAGACGACAGGCTGTGCGTTCCAAGTTTAGCTGCACCAAAGCCAAGCCTCTTAGGGCTAGTCCAGGAATGGGAAGGTGCAATTACAAGGCTGAATCACCGCCAATGAGAGGTAGGAATGGCACCACACAACTCAAACCTATTAACGATGGAATAACAGATCGCCGTGTCCCGTTTTCTTCCATTCGACGGCAACCTGCTGAGTCAGAACCTATTTGTTCGGCTTCGTTCGAATGTGGAATGTGGAGGTTTCGGGATGACGAGTAGACTTTTGCTTGCCAGCGGAATTCACAGGCAATGGGCAGATGAAGGTCCAGTCACAATGGTAGGAGCGTCTTGAGTTGGGCAGACCCAAGGATATGACTAGGAACCAGGGACTTTGACGCCCCAGACTGGGTAAATTCGCCGACGCAAACAATGGGATTGATATCTCGCTACATTGCGAGAGGATGAGCAAAGTTCGGAGTAGATACTTTTCAGGGTCAATGAATGCACTTTCACTCGAATGGAATAGCGGTGGTGGAGGGACTTTGAGACCCACGGCTCACTGACCTCACAATGGTGTCATGATACTCGTATCGGTCACCGGTTCGGCAGTATCCCGGCTAAGCTATTTTTTTTTTTTTTTTTGTCTTATCTTGGGTCTTCAATCTTGCCTCTTTCAAAGAACCCGGGAAGGAGGGTATTTGTAACATCAGCCTCTCCCTCAGCTTACATCCAAGATAATCGGAATGATATTGATATCCGTAAGCACAAAAGTAGCTGACGTTGCCAGCTACCTTGTTACAGTAGTTGCATTTGTTCATAAGCCAATCATAGTGCAAACTCGTCCTACCATAATCTAGTCTATCCACCATGGTCTCTGCCGGATGAACTGTTAAGTCACTATTGGGATTTTTTAGCTGATTTTCATCGGAGCTCCACTGGCGGTGCCAAGCAGGACAAGGCCCATTCGTGCAGAATTCTTGATTTGCGACCGTTCTGTGAATTCATCCATACTAATTGGCTGGATTGGTGGTGGCACTGCTCCGGCCATAAAGGCCAACGGCTGATTTCTTTCCTCCTTCTCTACCTCTTTGTATTTATTTCTTGTCGGCCAAGTCATCAAAGCTTCCTCTCTTCATCATCCTCTCCATCATCATCTTCAATCTTAGGCATCTTTTCGTCTTTTGCCTGATAAGTGCCAGCCCTGCCTGACCCTCAAAGCAGCAATTTTTCTTTCTTTCTTTCTTCTTTTTAATCCCTCTCCAAATACATCGCAATAACTTTTAGACGGTTGGAACCTCTCAGATCATAATGGCTTTCAAGAATGGTCTGATTAAGTTTCTTTGCATCTCTATGATCGCATCCTCTGCAGTGGCCGCTCCAGCACCCGAGCTGGCTCAGACTGATGTGGCCTCGGGCAAGCTGGAGTTCCATGAGTATTTGAACAACATCGACAAAGAATCTGTGAAGAAGGCTATTGAGATGATTGGTCAATACAGACATGATCACGATAGTTCGCCGACTTCTCCCGCAGTCGTGAAGCTGGGGAAGCGTGACAATAGTTCTTCTGCTGTAAAGCCAACTCATGTCACGCCGCCGGAGACCTCCAGCTCTCACTCGGATACGGCACCCACCACGGCGCCAACTACAGCGAGTACCCCTTCTACTACGGATCAGCCGCCTAGTTCTTCGTCGTCGTCCAGCACGAGCAGCGACTCCAAGAGTCAAACTCGTGAGGAACCGACTTCTACCAAATCTAGTGCTACCCACACTACCGAGTCCACCTCTTCGTCGACGACCAACTCCGAACCAACCTCAAACACGCCGACTTCGACCTCGAGCTCCAAATCCAATGGCCGCACGACCATGGAAACCACTTCGTCGACGAAGGACCTTCAGACAACCAGCGAGCCCACTCACCCAACGACTCCCTACACCTCAACCTACAAGAGCACCACTACACTTGCCAATGGCGAGCGAAGCACAGTCACCTCTGTGACGGTCGTCCACCCCACCCAGACCAACAGAGCGGGTGCCGGTGGTACCGGCACTGGACCGGCTCCGGGTCTCCAAACAGACTCGGCTGCTTCCAACAACGGCCTCACCCATGAGTTCCTTGTCATGATGGGAGGAGCTGCCATGGTGGCCATGGCTCTGTAAAAATCAAGCAGGACTTATTCGCTGGCCTTTGTGGAAATGTGTTTTTATTATTCTGCATACATATGGTGTTTCTCTCTCGAAAGGGTTAATATGTATCCATTACAATCCTTATGCATCTCTGCGGCGTCCAACATTTGTCTCTCTTTTACGCGATCAAGATCAGCGAGTTCGGAGTTGGGTTGAAGCTTTTTATTCTCATTTTATCCCATTTTACGATCATGACATGTCTCTCCTTTTTATGGTTATGTCTTCCAAGCGTGTGCATATTGTGTGGCCATTCAACCTGGAAATAAGTTGAACTCAGCATGACTAGGAAATTAAGCCAGAACGCCCTGCAGCTGGAATTCGAATTGACTGTAAACAAAACAGTACATAAGATCGTAAAATTATGACGTACAGAGAGCTTCAAATCACTATCAACAGATTTGCAAGAGAACTACACCGTAAATCTACCCTACCTCTTGACTTGGATCCATACAAGAGCAGACCACAGCCAAACCTAACCTCTCACAGTCCACTACGTCAAACCTTCTGCCCCTGTCCCAGTCCCTGTGCACCCTGCCACCTCTCTTCCTCCGTCCAGAATCTGACAATGCTCTCCCACGCGGGAATATCCCCATCCCTCAACAAGGCCGCGACATCGACGTTTAGCGGTGAATCAGGGCTCGGGTCCGTCAATAGATGCTGAATTGCCGTGAGGGTAGTGGATAGCGTGTACACGGGACTCCAGTGCTCGGTTGTCAATAGTGTGAGACAGATCTCGCCGGTGGTGAAGGAGATATTGGGATGCGAGATGCGGGTTTTGAAGCGGATGGTGGGTGGTGAGAGGGGGTAGGTGGGTGGGATGTCTATGGATAGGGACCAGAGTCCATCTGGTTATTTTTCAATAATTTAGTATGGTATTATTATTATTGTTATGGGGGTTTGTGATTAAGGTGGGGAGGTTGGAACGAAGAATGGGAGAATGGGAGGTTGAGGTTATGTGACAGTGGTGATACAGTACCTTCGTATGGTGTTCCCTTGACTCCTTTAAGGACTGCTTCCCAACGGAGGAGATCATCATCGGTTACGGGCCCTAGGTGTAAGAGGGCCTCGTTCGGAGAATTCGTGTAGTCTTTTAGTTCGCGGAGGAGACGCTGCGTAGTGGGAGCTGCAGAGGATGGCGCCATTCTGGTTGGTTTGATTCGGTTTAGTGTCGGGTGGAAGGGAAATGGCTTGGAATGTGGGATGGTGGTGGTGGACAACTGACTGGATGTGGTCGGGAGGCTAGAGGATTGTCGTGTCGAAGGTCTACCCTGGAGATAGATAGATATTAGGTGTGTATGTAGTGACTGTGCAGATGCAAAGGAGAAGGTGTTTTGCGCCGAGGCTCAACACGGGCCGTGGGTCGCTTCTGTTCTCCAAGGACCATTTCCGTGGGGAGCTTCGGTGGCCCGCTAGCGCCAACCACCGATTTTGGAGGATCCATTCACATCAACCTTTTTGTCATTTCTAGCGAACTACCTCACATCCTAATATATTCTATATACTGTGGTAGCAACTACTTTTCAAGCCCTACGGAAGCTGACCCCCTGAATTTCTACATGCGGACATCTCGTGCATCAAGGGAGACGGCAAAGGTCCTTCAGGCGCTCTCACCCCCTGGCGGGCGTCGTCAGACGCGCAGTGCGTCTGGGGCAAATGTACTTCGCGAATTTGCATATAATGGGGGCGTGAATGATCGTGCTGGGTCGGACATGCCTACGAGTGATGACGAAATCTCGTCTCTCTCATCTCTCTCTTCTGATACGGTCGACATAGAGGATATCTTGGAACCACCTGCCAAACGACATAAAAGCAAAATAGACAAACTGCCGACGAGGGGAACTAGTTCTCGGTTTACTCCCGCGAGAATGCGAACACCCGAGAAAAAAACTAAGAAATCGGTCGAGAGTAAGCAGGAATCTTCCAAAGCTCGGAAAGAGCCAGCTAGAAAGGTCAAAGGCGAGGACGGCTCATTTAAAGTTGAACCACCCTCTAACTGGGAGACCATTTATTCCACCGTCAAAAAGATGCGAGAGGAGAACCCAACAGCACCCGTTGATACCATGGGTTGTGCTGAGCTCTACTGGCGCGCATCGTCCCCCCGAGACAAACGCTATCAAACTCTCGTCGCGTTGATGTTGTCGTCACAAACCAAGGACACCGTAACGGCAGTGGCTATGCAGCGATTGCACACTGAACTTGGAGAAGCCCCACTCATAGGGTCCGTTATGATCAAGGAAGAGGCAGAGGATTCTAAAACCGAGCAACCCGTCAGAGACAGTACCCTGAATTTGGAGAATATCTTGGCTGTCGCGCCTGAGCGCCTTAATCAACTTATCGGGACAGTGGGTTTCCACAACAACAAAACCAAGTATATAAAAGCAGCAGCGGTCATTCTTCGAGACCAATACGATTCCGATATTCCATCGACTGCTTCGGAGCTGATGAAACTTCCAGGGGTGGGTCCGAAGATGGCGTATCTTTGCATGAGTGCTGCTTGGGGGAAGGATGAAGGCATCGGAGTGGATGTCCACGTCCATCGTATCACAAACCTCTGGGGCTGGCACAAGACGAAGAATCCGGAGGAAACGCGCATGGCTTTGGAGTCTTGGTTACCAAAGGATAAATGGCACGAAATCAACAAGCTGCTGGTGGGTCTAGGCCAGACAGTCTGCTTACCGGTAAGAAGGAAGTGCGGTGACTGTGACCTCGCAGGGACTAAACTTTGCAAGAGTGAAATCAAGGGGCTTGTCTCGAAGATTAAGGAGGAGAAGGAGGCGAAGGAGAATCTTAAGCTGGAGGAGGGTGAAGGAGTCCAGGTAAAGTTAGAGGGGGAGTAGGCACTATTTGGTTGAATGCCCCAGGCACATGAGCTTCGCGAGATGGGCGTCTCCTTAAGTTAAATCAATCCTTTGCTGGCAGGCTCCGATTTTTTTGTCCGCCTTCTTACCTCTTGCCAACTAACCATTGCCAATTGCTTCCCCTACCTCCCTTGTGTAGTGTCCTAAAGCTTTGTATACCTGTTTCCTTTCTCGTGATCCCGTCATTTAACTCTCGTATCTCTGTTCGCTCTCGATGAGCAGAGCCATAGTTCATTAGGTTGCTCCGAGGACGCGAGGGTTTCTCGATCGCCGCGTTCACAACACGTATGTCCCCACTATGATCATTCACTTACAGTGCCTTTCCCCTATTTCCTTGATAGTCCAGTCAGCGTACTGACCCTGTTCTTCAACACCACCACAGCAGGACGTCGATGGAGTACCTTGACGACGAGGATGTGGCATTCTCGCCCTTTTTCAGGGACTTGGATGGCCTCCTCTTGGGCAAGGAGGAATCCATAGAGATGGACTCTGGAGGCGGAGATACCGATTCAGAGACCGGCGTGAAGGTGGATTTCTGGATGGATATCTCAGGGAGGCCCACCAAATCTCTGCTCGATCTTCCGCAGAAAGTCCAGATAAAAATATTGCAATATGCGGGACTACTAAGGCCTTGTCTGATCAACATCAGCTTCGAGCAATACCGCATGAAAAATAACAATGGATCGTCCTGCAATCGCAGTCCTATGCGAGCGACTCGTGGTTCTTGGACTACTTTTGTTGACGGATCCTGCGATCACCCTCGTTTGCCCTTGGAGTTGCTTCTCGTTTCTCGCAATATTCGCCAGGGCCTAGGTCCCCTTTTCTTTAGTCAAAACCGGTTCAGTGCTATTCTCTATACCAAGGCGGACTTTTACATGTTTCGCGAGGCTACACACTGGGGTATGGGCCATTTGAAATACCTACATTTGGATCTAGGCCCTAGGGACAATCGTTTCCTCAAGTTAGCAGGGGGGGTCCATCGCACAGTACTTACAATGTGGGAGAGCTTCTGTAGATCAGCCGCGCAACACATGTTTTCTCTCCAGGACTTCAGTCTTAAATGCCGTGTCAAGGATTACGATGTCGCTTGCCGGATCATGCGCGAAACAGATGGGTTCCCTGTCCTATCACGCTGTGCTATCCACTTCAACCACTCGCAAGATGACGAGATTAGACCCATACTCAGAAGGGCCGTTTGGAGGTTGACAGACAACCTCGGAGACAACAAACCTCCTTTTCCATTTGAGTGTCTCCCTAAGGAGGTACAGTTTATGATCCTCGAACTGCTTCTAACCAATCGCTCGGATCCGTATATCCCGATTTCAGAGTGGTCACGCGGGATCGTGACGCTTCAGGAGCGCAAGCGCCAGCGGAACTCTGTGTATCCCCTCACCTGCTGTGGGACCTGCTCATCTTTGCAAGCGATGTGCTTCTGCCATGCCCGCCAAACGGCGTATTCCTCCACTTGTAGCTGCTTCACCTCTCCACTGCCCTACTTCCTTACCAGTCGCACATTCTATGAGGATGCACGTCGCATCTTTTACTCCAAGAATGTCTTTGCATTTGTGGAAGAAGACCCCGACTTCATGATGCGCTTCATGCACAATACCTCGGACTCGACATTCAAGCTGATACGCCACTTAGCGTTCAAGTTCCCGTCGGTCTATCGTACTCCCGGTAAAACTGCACACCGGCCCGAAGAATCGGCGCTGGTATCATGGGGTGTATTTCGTCGTTTCATTCGCGAGCACTTTGCAATTCCGTATCTTTCGATATCGATCGTGGATTTTGGCACAAAAAACTATATGCCTAATGCAATCCCGAATCGGAACAAATACCTGCGCAAGTTACTCAAGACATTTGCTGACCTGCAAGGACTCCGCGATTTCCGTGTTTTCCTGGCTGACGACGGCCCCTTTGAAAACGAAGCAGAAAAAGCTGTTTTGGGACCTGCATACCTCGTTGGAAGATCCAAGTACAAGACCATGCCGTTTATTGGTAAGAGATACATGAGTGGACACGTGTGAAGCAGTTGGCCTGGGCTTGGTGGGTTCGCAGAGTCGATAGACATCTTATGGCTGGGAGCCTTGTACCATTTGTTATTTTTTCTTTCATGTCATCTCATTTATGATTTCATTTGTTCATGGCAGCCTCCTTTGAGGATTTCCTTTATATTTCTTTATCCGGTTCGCTCACTGATTCTTGTCTGTCGTTGGAAACGGGTTGCTGGTGGTCATATTGGCATCGGCATCTGTTTGCCTGAACTAGCTTGGGATCTGGGGATAAGTCAGAAGAATTCCATGGACAGTAAGATCGGATGTACCTCATTCGAATAATTATGGCTATTTGTTCTTATGGTTGCCGGTTGCTAAGGAAATGGAGGATAGAGTAGGTGTATCTCTGTATCTAAGTGTAATATCTTGCGGTTCTGAACATGGTGAGACAATGGTGAATACTTCCTCAATTAGTAGCTAGGACTCACCACAAACACAAGAGCATACAACAATACCAACTACCTGATTTCTTGAATAAAGGTCATAAATTAACCACCCATTCAATCCCCTGACTGTTATCTACAGACTTGAACCACCATGACTAAGCATGAAGTCACCTCGGACATAACATCTAACTCTTAAATCCGACTTGAAATTCCCCGCCTCTACAACACCACCAGCAAGCAAAACCCAGCCAACCGTCTACGCCCATCGATGACTTCCCCAGAGGGATTACAGGATCCTAAAATGGCCGCGCAATTACTAATACCGATCCCTCTCTTCGCCGAGGTGCAACAACACCTCCTTCTGCAGGAACACGAAGCGGAAGTCTCCTCGTCCACACTCGCTAGCACTGCCGCCTCCGTCTCCCCTGCTACCCGTCGCACCCTCCAAGCAACCGGGTACGCGTTAACTGGGATAATACTCTCGCAATGTCGGACTGGTCTCGGTGGGCGTGTCGTCGGCGAATTTGGTGCGGATTCTGCGATCGCCGCGAAGAGTGACGAGGATGGGAAGAATCGAGGGGAGGCGCGACTTGGTTCGCACGGGATCCGGGTCGGGGATGTAGTGAGGGTTAATGAGATCGGGACTGGGGGGAAGAAGATGGGTAGGGAGAAAGGGAGTGGAGTTGGAAAGGAAGCGAAGACTGGCGCTGGGCCGGAGGGAGTTGTTACAAGGGTTGGGGAGAGAAGTGTTTGGGTTGCTTTTGGACAAAGAGGCGGTGGGGGGAGGTCAAAGGAGGATGATGAAGCGATTGAGGAGTTGTGGGGGAAGAAGCTTTGGCTGTATGTTCTCTCCCCTTTTTTCCCCCTCGTACTTGGGTGGTGGTTTGGTCTGATGATTACGGGTTGCAGCATAAAACTCGCAAACGATGTTACGTATCGACGGTAGGAGCTTTGATACACTGTGCACGCTGGGTATGTGAACTGATGGTATGCCTAGGATGAACCAGACGATGGAGAAAATGGGCAAAATGTCGGATACCGAACATACGCATTTCATGCGCGTTGCGTTTGGTCATACCACGCCACTGCAGGCAGATTACGAGGCAGTTGGGCCAGTCGAATTTATTGATCCGACTCTGAATGATTCGCAAAAAGAGGCGATCCGGTTTGCCTTAGCTTCCCGAGACATTGCTCTGATCCATGGCCCACCAGGAACCGGGAAGACGCATACCCTGATCGAGTTGATTCTTCAGATGGTTCAGCGAAAGCTCCGGGTGCTTGTCTGTGGGCCGTCCAATATTTCAGTCGACAACATCGTGGAACGTCTGGCTCCTAAGAAAGTGCCGGTTGTGCGCATAGGCCATCCGGCCCGTTTGTTGCCCTCGGTTCTGGAGCACTCTTTGGAGGTATTGACCCACACATCGGAAGCAGCATCTATCATCCGCGACGTGCGGAGGGAAATTGATCAGAAGCAGGCGAGTATCCGAAAGACTCGGTTCGGGAGGGAGAAGCGGGAGATCTATAACGATCTGAAGGAATTACGGCGGGAGTTCCGGGAACGAGAGTCTAAATGCGTTGACAATCTGATCCGAGAGAGCAGTGTCGTTCTGGCCACACTCCACGGGGCGGGGGGGCATCAAGTGAAGAACCAAAAATTTGATGTTGTGATTATCGATGAGGCTAGTCAGGCCCTGGAAGCCCAATGCTGGATCCCGCTACTGTCCGCATCCAAAGTCGTTCTCGCCGGCGACCATCTGCAGCTTCCCCCTACGGTGAAATCTACCTCGCAAAGGCCGAAGAGTGCGAAATCGCCAGAGGCAAAAGTGGGGAAGAATGCAGGTAGTGATACCAGTGACAAGAAAATTATTGGGAGTGTTTCGCTCGACACCACTTTATTCGACCGGTTGCTTGCGGTCCACGGACCAGGGATCAAGAGAATGCTCACGACGCAGTATCGGATGCACGATTCAATTATGCGGTTCCCGTCTGACGAGCTCTACGAGTCCAAGCTGACGGCTGCAGACACGGTGAAAGCCCGGTTACTGAAAGATTTGCCATATGATGTGCAAGAAACCGACGATACTAAGGAACCTGTGGTGTTCTGGGACACCCAAGGAGGGGATTTCCCGGAGAAAACCGAAGATAGCGAAGTTGGGGCGAAGGAGGCGCTCCTATGGGAGAGCAAAAGTAACGAGACGGAGGCCTTGATAGTTGGGAGGCACGTGGATAATCTGGTACAGTCCGGAGTGAAGCCTGAGGACATTGCGGTGATCACACCGTACAATGGCCAATTGGCTGTCTTGTCCCAAATGCTGCGGGAGAAGTACCCTGGCCTGGAGTTAGGAAGCGTGGATGGATTCCAGGGTCGAGAAAAGGAAGCCGTGGTAGTTAGCCTGGTTCGCAGCAATAGTGAGCACGAGGTTGGATTCTTAGGAGAGCGGCGAAGGCTGAATGGTATGTGGCTGCCCATGCTATCGCTCGTTGCATGTGAACTACCAGGTATCGGATCCTGACGACGATTATAGTTGCGATGACACGACCCAAACGACATCTATGCGTCTGTGGTGATTCAGAGACCATCAGCAAGTGAGTCCCATTCCCTGTTATCAAACTAAGGCCCAAGGGGAAACCCCGCTCCTTCTACTCCATGGATCCACCTGGTCAGTCGAAATGGAATAACGTTAACGTGGCAATCGATCCCCACAGAGGCAGCGGATTTCTCAAACGCTGGATGACCTTCCTTGAGGAGCACGCCGATCTACGCTACCCGGATGCTGGGGAATTACTGTGAGATTAAGTGCATTGACGGCACCACCTGACACACTGAGGTGATCAGGCCCGCCGTTGCTGGATGGCCTAGACAGTAGATAATTGGTGATCAGCGGTGACATGCCGTGGGAGACTCGGAAATCTGATACACGCCAGCGGGCTCTTCATTCGCACGGCCTCGGTGGCATCCGAATTGGACATTGATCGCCCCGGTCTGAGCGTTGGACGTCCTGACGCCCATGGAAGGAATCCATGGTTGCATTGTGGTGAGAACAACTCATCGGTACGTAAGTACTACTAAATAGTAGCCTGCAGGTCGGGATCTCCACCGAACCAAGGATCAATTCGGGAAGAATTCTAGAGAGGGCTTGAGCGGTATAAATAGAAAAATTTCCACTGGTGGTTTCAGAAGTGACTAGTGAGCTAGTTGTTGGAGACCGAGTGGATGCGATGATATCGAGTGCGACCGAGCCATCTACATGAAGTTATCTAGCGACAGAATATTCCGTACAGACACAGATCTGTCTCAACGACCAGTCGGACTGATCGTGGCAAGACCAGACAGGAAGATTTTTTAGCAGTGTATAACCATAACTACTGCATGTTCGAGAGTAAGCAGTAGCACTGGCGAACCAGGACAAGGCACGCACGCGTACCCAAATCTCAAAGAAATAAATGCCATATGGAGCCGATGGGGGCCACTTTGGCGTGTCTCAGGATATGCAGTTTTGATGCAGGCGAATCCAGAGAAGATTTGGGGGCTTACTGCCGTCTTCCTCGATCCAATTATCCGTGTCTTAGTGTGTTCGTTGATGGGGATGTGTTGTTGTGTCAAGGGGCCAAGTATCATGGTGGAGTCCTTTTCCACATCAAATCTCGGACTTTTTACGGAATCTGATGGACTATGGCCATCATCATTGATCCCAAGTCACTGCGCCAAGAATCTGCGGTAGCTTCTAGAACGTCATGAGGATACGAGATGGAGATGATGACATCCCTTCCGATCATGATGATCCTCAATCACATCGATTCGGTAATTATTAATGGCCACCTCATCTGGCCCAGGCTAAATTCCCCCCTGAAACCCATCGCATGGCTCCCGACCAGCTGGTGGGCCATGGGCCCACTTGGCCACTGTCGTTGTGCACGATATCACTTGATTCATTTCTTCTCCGCCTCTTCCCTCTCTCTCCTCCTTCCTACTAAGCACCCTGTAGCTGCAGCATCCCCGACGACGGTTGGTCGCGGCCCAGTCATGTCTCGTCCGGATGTCTGAGCCCTTCCGTTGGTCGATTAGGTGTTGACTGCATCTAGTACTTGTCCCGGTGGAGTGGATCCTTCTACTGCTCTCTCTTGCCTTTGTTTTCGTTTAATTCTGGTGCACGCCATGTCGGTCCTTTGATCTGCTCTACTCCTGCCTCACTTTTCTTCTCAACAGCCGGGTATGGTTGAACTCTATTGCCACTTTCGTGAGAATCGGACGTCACCTTTGCTTACTACTCGCGAGCCTCAGCCTATAGCTAGTGATGGCCTTCGCTGCCAAGGTCAGCAACGCTGCAGGGTCTTTGTTGTTGACCGGATTGTATGCTGACTCGTCGCCGCAGCCGTAGGTCCCGTGCGATACATTCCTTCCCATTCTTTCCTCCTTAGATAGATACTGGGCTTTCGTTTGGCGTTTTGTGTATCTGTCTCATTTGTTTCGCCTCGTATATCTCGACCAACCGACCCACATACCCCTCCAGTTCAACTCTCATTTTCGCCTTATTTCTTGAGGCTCAGCGCATGTGTATTCTCTCCGGATTGATCGTGCTTCTCTATTTGCAGCATGTCCGGTGTCGGTATCAGTCCCAGTAGGAGTGGTTCGGCGAAGAGTCGTCTGAGGTCCCGTGACCAGGCCGATCCATGCATCGACACAGCTCTTCCCCCAATGAGTTCTAAACAGTTCACCGCTGTGAGCTCACGTCGTCTCCTTCGCGGCTCCGAATCATCGGTCGTTTTGGGAAGCGTCCGCGGGAACCAGCAGGCTGCCGCTGCACTGGGTGGTGCTCCTATGCCCGGCATGACCCGCGGGCCTAACGTACATCGACGGACTGGAAGCACATTGAAGACGGTCATGAAGAAGATCTTCAACCGCAAGCGAGGCAGCCAACTAGATGACTTTGATTCCGATGTCCGGCTCAACGGTTCCAACACGTCGCGGCCGGATCGAGGGGACGGGATCCCCTCATACTCATTGTCCAGTTCACTGAGTTCGAAGCGAACCTATGCCGTCCAGAAAGAGACGGAGGCTCCACTAACGCTGAACGATGCTCTGGAAAAGTTGGAAATCCAAGTCCCGCGACAACGTCGAGCTACACTACCTAGTTTGATCTTCTCCGATGACGAGTCCCGCGGCGCGCTCGGCGAAGTGGTCCCTTCGGGCCGAGCAGCAGGCGGTAGTCGCAAAAGCTCCCTACATCTGCATCCAAATTCCGATCAGGAGAACCGACGACGAAGACGACGGTCTCGAAGTGCCGGAGCGCTGCGGGGGATGGCCAAGGACCATCGCATGTCGCCGATCCAGTGGAGGAGACGAAGTATAGAATCCTACGTCGGATCGACCGCTTACACCGTCGCCTCGGACAATGAGCTATCCCTGCGACCCCCGACAAGGGCGACTGTCACCAGTCTCCCGGAACCGTCCACCGAACCGTCCATGTACGAGGTGCACCAGGTCGAGGCCGAGGCCGAAGCCGAAGCCGAAGCCGAGAGCATTGCCCCGAACGTGGGGAATCTCGTGAACACCATGCAACATGACGAGAATATCTCCCTGGGCCAACGACTGACCACATTAGAGGTGAAGCTGATCGATTTGGAGTTTGCCATTGCTCGCATACAAGGCGGACGGAGCGACACCTCGCCAGTCGAGACGCCACCGTCAAAGAAAGCCGATTCCGCAACGAGTCGACGACACAATCGCGGGAAATCCACGGCTCGCTCATCCCCTGATCCTTATCAATCGTCCGAACGTCCAGCGAGCACCGGCACGATCCGCCCCGGCACCACCGGTAGCACTAGCGGTGGCATGCAACGATCGACAACCCTCCAACAACCATCTTCCACATCCCTCAGCGACACCACCTCGATATCCGTCGAACAATACAGCGCCCTCGTTACGCTCCTGCGACGGGAACAAACCGCCCGTCGTAACCTTGAAGCGGAGGTCTCCGGTCTACGAGAAGACATCCAACAGCTACAGCGCATGGCTCGCAACTCGGTAGGCATCGGAACCATGTATCCCATCCGGAGCGCGGATTCCCAGGAATTCCTGCGCGTGCGTCAGGGCCGGTCAACGACATCTTCCTCACACACGGAGGATAACCCGGGGTCCGGATCTGGGTCTCTGTCTCCGTCTCCGTATGAAAGTGATTCTGAATGTGATCGACCCGCGTTGCCTGCCAAGGATGATTTCTATAAACCGAGATGGCAAGCGACTCGACGGATGGAAGTTGCGGGGATGATTTAGCGCTTTATTTATTTCTTTCTTCCTCAGTCGGCCGACTGGCGACTGATGACTTCATTGCATTTTTTTTTTTTTTTGGATACCTTACCTCTCTTTATGATAATTCCTTCCTCCTCTCCTTTTTTTTTTGGATCCTATTCTCTTTCTTGCGTTACATTGACATTGCATCCTACATGCACGCTCTACTTAGACTGATACCATGCACTACACTACACTACCATTCTGGATTTTATTTATGGCTGGCTGGCGGGCTTTATTCATGACTATTGATTCATATCTAACGATTGGTCTTCCGGATATTTCAGTGTGATTGATTTGCTTAGATGTACGGATACTAGTGCTGGCTGCTATATCCATACATAAACTTTGACTCCCAGGACATGAGCCAGTTAGCTATTGTCTGAGTAGATATAGATAGACTTAGATGACTAAATCTAGACATATACATGCTGAGTATGATACCAACAGACATTGACCATAGTATCAACAGTGTCGATGCAGATATTATAAAGACATAATTCTAAAAGTTGATATCGCGGGCCAGACAGACAGAATACAACCTCTTATTTTAAGATCTACATACTCTTCATCTTACTTGTCTACAGAACATACAACCTACAAAAGAACACGAACATCTCGGAAGAATCAAATTCATTAACTTCCATCTCACTAGCTACCCATCCCCTCTCACCTATCAGCAACTACCAGATCAGCCCCAAACACAAACACAAAGACCAACAAAGACAGCAGAAAAACCCACTCTACTCATCATCATCATCATCTTCGTTGCTCAACAGCGCCCTCAAGATAAGTTTCGCCTCGTCGACATCATCAAAATCAAAGGGCTTCAAGCCAAAACACGTCATGAACATTGTCCAACCGCCGTAGGATTTGACGATGGCGCGTTCGGCGGGGGTAAGTGGGGGTTCTATAGTATATTTCTCGTTTATTCTATTAGCGTTTTTTTCTTATTTTTTCCCATGGCTGGCTTATTTTGTATTTACTCTTCCTAGAAACTAGGTGTATCTAGTTTATGTACGGGTATTATACTAGGGAAGAGGTAGTGTAAGACAGCACGTACGAAGACAGTCAGTGACAGGCATGTTCCTTGTTCTCACGTCGCGACAGAGTTTGTTTGAATATGGGTATGGGCAGATAGAATCGGAAGGATTTGGGGGTAGATTAGTTTCTGGTGGCTGTAGTATGTAGAATGTGGAATGTGGAAGAGGGGAAGAAAAAGAGCGGATTTTGGTTTGTGGGTTGCGATGCTGGAATAGGAAGGCGCAAGGGACACAGATCCGGAACGTGCGAGTTACATGTTCTTCTTCGGGTACCTTGGGGATTGGAAATATTTACGTTATGATTGTTGTTAGGCATTGTTAATATGGCATAATTTCTCTTAATATTTAGTAAGAATGCCTTAAAAATAAATGTACAATTATCAAGTGAATGTATAAATAAAAATACCGCCCTATAGTTACCTCTTACTAGATACACAGAGCAATATTAACATATCCAACCATCTTTAATCAACCTTCGTGTTCCCCTTACTCTCATCAAAATTAATCCTCTTCCCAAACAACCACGACCGCCCCAGTCCCAGTCCAACTGCATATCCGATATACGCGCCTACCAGAATCGTAATGGGATAAGTCTGCCACGGACGGTCCCTGCACCAGTCAGCAAAGCCCATTCTCCCCAAAGAGGTAGTAGAAAACTCACCAATCCAAAGGAATAGGCACCGCACCAAACCAAGCGCCCACTCCCGTTCCCAATGCACCACCCCAGACGGCATCCAACGGTCTCGCCGCACCCCACACCTCTTTCCAGGTCGTTCCATCGACGCCATGTGCGTAGATCAAGGCAGTGGAGGAAAGAACAGCCATATGTGCTGCGCACAGAAGAGTCTCCCAGTGGTGGGTTGTGATCGGGGCGCCGAAGAGAACCAGCAAAGCGGCGAGGACGGGAGCGGCCAGAAGGAAGGTCAAGATGAGTGATAATACGGCCGGCTACCATGAACAATTTGTACAATATTAGTGATCTCCATTCCACTCCATATCCGAAAGTTCTGAAGATTCCTCTTCCAGGGGAGGAAACGTACAATCACTTTGGCGGAAAAACAGGTCGAGGAATCAGTCTTCGGGCCTCGACGCCTATATCCGATTTTCCCGGGTTTAATAATGACGCCACCGTTGCCTACGGTGCTGGAAGGGGAGGAAGGGGGCTTTTTCTCGTCGACATCGTTACTCTCCCCTGACGCTGACTGCCTGGGTGACAGGGCGGACCCCGCGGGAGGAAGACAGATCATGACAAAGACCACCTGAAGCAGTGCAAGTAGCGGGAGATCACCCAGGAGCTCGCCGACTGAATCAGCCTCGAGTGACCGAAATCGAAGCGCTAGAAGACTGAGGAGAAGACATGGGTGGACAAGGGCGTATGTTCGGGCTAAAGTTGTAGGGAGGATGTTCACGGCAGGGGATGCTGATGGAGGCGCAGAAGGCGGAGAGGGAAGTGCTGAGGCCATCCTAGAATTAGTTTTGGGCTTGCGCCCTGATATAGGAGGAATTGAGTGGTTAATCTGGGAGGGCGGTACAAGGAAGAAAACATCAATAATCCATGGACAGTGATGGTTTTGGACATTTCGAGAATGTTTGATGGGTTTGCTTGTTGTTTGTGCCTGAGGTGTCTGCATTCCACTTAGGCTTACGGAGGCGGTTTAGAAGGTATCTCAAAGAGAAGAAACAGAGAAGGATTAAGTCTATTGCATACGTCCAAACAAGCATAATCAAAGAGCTATATCATTCACTCCATTCAACATAGGCTAACCCAAGCCAACAGGTCCACAAGCAAAAATACATCCATGATTCGTAATCCATAAAAACATCAGCAAGTGACAACAGGGTATGACAGGTAACCGGAAAAATGAAAACATCCCTTTCAATCATCAATCGAAAATGCTGGCCTAAACCAGCAACATACAGACATGGGTCACAAAATCATATCGGTCGTGGCCACCTATATGGAAAAATGAGCCAAATCTTGAATCCATACCAACCAACCCTCGGAATGTCTATCCAGCCGAATATTCCAAAATACCACCAGAGGAGAAAAGGATAAAAAAAATACCGCTCAGCATTGGCCATGCATGCACTAGTTGCCCAGAAAGTGTGAGGTCTCGTTATCTCCCTTGTGGGACTCAAACGTTGGAAGAGTGCCGGGTCCTGCAGTCTCCGCTTCGGTCGCCCCATTTTCTCGCTTTGGATCCCTTGGAACCACCGTCGCAACGGGGCTTTCAGGAGTGTGAGGCTCCTCGGGAATCGGCGGGGGTAGTCCCGAGCCAGGCAAAGGAGAGCTTGGGGAGCTGATAGGAGGCGGAACCGGCTCTTTGACAACCTCAATAGGGGCAGGGCGATTAATGTGATCTTTACCAACAGAGGGCAGTGTCTGACTAGGAGCTGATTTATCAGGATCAGACTGCACTGGGCTCCTGGTCCGTTCTCGTTCGGATGAGCTTTTCACTTCATCCCGGACTTGTGCTACCTTAGCCTTAAATTTCCCGAAGAGACTTCGCCGCTCAGGCTCCGAGCCGCCGGAATCCTTGCCATTGTTGTTGACCTCGGCATCTAAGCTAAGTGGCTGATATGATGGATCGCTAGCAAACTGCTGTAGATCCGAGGGAGAGCTGCGACTGGAGTGATGCCAGCTGCCAATCGAGCTTGTACTGCGGTCGGCCCCTGGTGTCGATGCTAGAAGGGGCGGTGAAGCAAGGCCAAGTCCTATCTGCTCGTTGCTGCGCTTAGATGAACGAGGAAATCTCCAACTTCGACGATGCTCTTTGCGCTCCGCTTTGGAAGCCTCGTCGGCTGCATCAATATCCGAAAAGTCAGTGAAGGATGAACGTGAGTTCATCGACGGAGTTCGTGACCCGTGCGGCTTTAGGGACGTGTCGACTGTTGATGGTTGCTGCCCATTCTCACTTTGGGTAGCCGGCCTTTCTTGTTTTGCGAAAGTAAGATCTTCCGAGCTTATAGGATATGGGGGCCGAGGTGTAGCTCCTCCAGCGTCACTACTGGCATCAGCTCCTGGGGTTCCTTGGCCAACATTTACAGCCGAATCAGAAGTTGCAGCCTGCAGGGATTGGGATGAGCTTTGGGCACTTTCGCTGGCACTTCCCGGAATTCGCTTTTTCTTCAGGCGATTGGGCTGCCGTGGTTCTTTCTGTTCACCGCTTGACGGCGGCGACTTAGAGAATATACTAGATATCTTGCGTTCACGTGTCGGCGTAACCACAGATGGTGGAGGAGACGATGGCGGAGACAGGTTCTCCTGTAGGTGTGGCTTTTCGTGTTGAGCTGGCTTTTCGGCCTCAGCTTGCTTTTCCGGCTGGACCGGCATTTCAGCCATGGGTGGTTGAACTGATGTCACCTTGGGGATTGGCCCATGAGTTGACGTATGGACATACACAACGCCAGCTGCAGGTTGTACCCCCTGCGCAGGAGGCTGTTGCGGTACAGCCGGTGGCGGATCCTCCTTGTCCTCCTGGGGAGGTGGGGCTATACTTGAGGATCGAGAATGTTGCGCGGAGGTTCGCTCTGAAGAGTTGACCCCGGTTGCTTCTGTGACCCGACCGTATCTCATCACAGGAGACATTTTAGAAGGAAGGGTGTTGCTCCGATGAACGCCTACCCCGCTCAGGGATGTAGGAGTTGCAGGGCTTTGGGCATTGTTGGAGTGGCGCGAATTCTTCGACGAGACGGACACGTTTCTGCGGAGGCCCCCATACTTGCGGAAGCTCTCTGCGCCGCCGCTTGCGCTCGAAACAGAGCGCCTGATAGTGGAATGGGTTGTCGCCCGGTGAGTCATTCCACCTTCAACTTCCTTAACAGTCTGTTCATCAGCAGCGGTGCCGTTCATGCCAAACAGGAAGTGATCTTGGTTTTCGATCAGGAATATCAAAACATCCTGGCTCAGCTTGTATTCGTCCGGTGCCATGTCATGCTGGGGATGAGAGATCAATCCGGGTTGGAAAATTGCAGAGAGATTTGCCGATGTCATCCGATTTTGATCCGACTTTGAAGCGAAGACAGCCAGGAGATCGAGAATATAGAGGAGTAACTGCTTGTTCAGCGGAGGCAGTTCCCGGATCAGCTGCTGGTAAGATGCGACAGCCTTGGCATGATCAAACCCCTCCAGCTCAGTCGAGAGCGCGCTGTTCTGAACTTGGTTTTGATAAACTCGTAACGGCTCGCGGAAGCGTTCATAAAACTCAAGTGGAACGATCGGCTCGGGCAGCTGGTTCAGGTAACGACGGAGGACGTTGGCGGCATCATGGACCGTGTAGCCTGTCCAGTCTAGTCCTTTCCCATACCTCTCTGGAGAGTCGAATGCTTCCTGCAGGTCCTTGATACGTTTGGCGGACCCGCTTAGACGGAAGATTCCTTCAACATCCGTTGCTGTTGTGGTCAGCAACTTGCCTGTTCGAGTTTAACTAGCAATCTGCATACCTTTCTCCTTCAAAAATACCCCACATTTCGCAACCACGATGGGTACATAGCCGTAGATGAAGCTCTCACCGTTGTCGTTTGTGAGCGAAATGGCGACGTTGGCGTACTTAATGCTAACGTTAAGGGGGATACCGAAGATACCTTGAGGTTTTTCTGGAGCTAGTTAGTAAATGCACGGAAGATGAAAAAGCAACCGTGAGCGAAGAAAGCGTAAAGTAGGTGACTAGGATGGCAGCGCGGATAGCAAGAGTTTGAATGCAATCAAGGTAGCATTCACAGAAGCCGACCGCAAGGGCTAAAAAGATCCCAGGATAAACCCCCCAACTACGCGCACGCCATACGTACCTTTCGGCTCATCCTTTCGAGTATTTCTCTTGAATTGTCTCCACCAGGATGCTAAATCGCGTTTCGATGGCGGGGAGGTCGTGACGAAGCCATGCTGGGACGTTTTGGGCGGTAGTTGATGCATCGGCTCTGCACCGGGATGCGACTTCCCGGTGACCATGATGGACAGCGCGCGACGAACTGGATGTTGAACAGAGTGCGAAATCAAGTACGCCGTACAGGAGTAGACAACCGAGTCCTCCGTCACCGCCTTCGTGTTCGCGCGAGAAATTCCGGGGCTGGGACCGTCGAAATCCCAAAATAGTACGTGGACTAGTCAGCCTGGCAATGGATGATAGTGCCGCGCCGTCGGTTATGGTTAAGAACACCGTGGCTGAACGCTGGAGTAGCAGCTTTGCAAAGGAAAAACGGGCGGAGCGGTGGTGATGAGAGATTAGGGCGGTCGCAGCGACAGAACACAGTGAGAGAAAGGATGCGGAGAGCGGAGGGGATGGATAAAAGGAAGGAGAGACAGGGATGGGTGGATGGATGGATGGGGAGGAGAACGAGTGAGAGGAATGGAAAGGGAGAAATGAAAAGAAAAGAGCGAACAAAGTGGAAAGAAGGATGATGATTGATGAAAGTGGATGTGCGGATGGAGGGGGAAGAAAGGGAGAGGCAGAGGAGATTATTGATTCGATTGATTGATTGATTGATGGGGGTTGATTGATGATCGGGAGGCACACTAGTGGGCAGAGGGCTGACAGATGGAGAGAGTGATGGGCTGGGCTTACTGAGCTGGGCCGGTAAGTTTGACTTAGGCCCCCAGAAAGCAAGAAGGGGCGCTGCTCGGGGGGCTGCAGATCAGTATCTCCAGAGGGCCCAAAAATCAGCTGGTGGGATTTTTATTAGATCATATTTGATATTAGTTCTATTTGTATTGGTATAGACCCCCTGTCATGTGTCCCAGAAGGGGCGCAGATGTTAATTTGTCCTCCATATACCTGGTAATTGGCAATTCTAGTACCAGTAGAGCATGGCAGTTACCCCAATAGGCCAGAGATGGTATTACTATGGATGGGTCAATTAATATTAATTAATATTTTCATCATCAGGATCCCAGTCACATTGCAGAAATAGGAGCCCGACCCAAGGAACCAGCCTTTTCTCCTTGTTCGTACCGTTTTTTTTAATCTCGCTCTTAGTCAGTCTGGAAGAAGAGTTCAATACGCCACCGGAACGGTATTATTGGTATTTGCCCGTCGGTTACGGCTGTTCCCCCGAATTTGATTGCGTACGGATTAGTATCGTTTAGCTTCGACCTGGATTCTAGAACTCGAACCCTAGCCGAGACTCTAACAAAGATGAAACCTATAGAATATAAAGTAGAATCAAATCAAATCAAAGAAGCCCTCCAACTATAGGACAACAGATACCGTACCATCTGCTCGGTCGTAGGATAGAGAGTCTGTAGGACCATGGACGTATACCACTTTATCCTTTTGCCGATAATCGCTCAGTCCATCGACCATGTCCACTCAATCAGCACAAATGCAACGTCTAAAAAAAGACACCGCCCTCAGTTCTCTCCATCCAAACAGTCTGAAACGAAGCATCCCCTTGATAGGGGTTCTGTCCACAAATCGTGGTCAACACCATACTAAGATTTTCAGTGTCCATGGTACGTACTACCACTGATCACAGGGGAGGGTCACTCGTGACAGCCTAGAACCTAGGCACCAATAAACCGCTAGTACCTAGTGCAAGCTAAATTTATTGTTGGAGTGCAATGAGGGAAGTTTGCATGTAGATATAGTTAGCTTATTCCTCCGGCCAACGAATGACCTGCCCTGTCCATTGAATATATCCACTTTAATTAACATCCCACGCAGGAGGTAGATACGTACTCTGTACTCTGGAGTGCATCGATAGAGTTAGCTGTAAATCTTCGACAAATGATCCTATCTTGCAACAAGGCAAGCCAATAAAACAGTCTCATAAGCGTTAAACTTCAAGCTCTCGGTTAAAAGGCGCATGTGAATTCGAACAGCTTATTGTGGAGTGGACATGAATCTTCGATTTAGGATGTGTCATTCTGATACCTCGAAACCAACTCTAAAACATAGTAACTTCGAGGCCAGTGTAAATTGCACGTAAACAATTAGTCTTCGTCAGGAAATATACTCAGCAATTAGCAGCATTTGGCTCTTTGCTTTTCTCGTATTCGTGATTGGGTTGTTGCTAATTTAGACTAAGTGTTCCCTGCTGATAAACTGCAGGACAAACCTTGATTGCGTGTAGCAAATGACATTCCTTTAAATGTCCATTAGTGGTTTCTCTAATGTGACCAATCTAGTGAAGACTGGAATAAACCACAATCCACAACTGAGGCCTACTAAGTAGAGGCATATTCACGACAGTCAACTTCTACACTGGTCGTGCGTGCCTACTTGGACATAATATAAGCTGCTGTTGCTCTTGGGATTATATGACAAGCACAGCATATTATTCTGTCCACTGGAGCGGCCTATACCCAGTATTTCCGTACTCGCTCGAAAGAGATAATTTCTATATCAAATGTACGCTCTTAACGTACCAATGACTTAACTATAACCACTACAACCACTGTGTTCAATCCCAAATATGTCAAAATCTGCTGAAGCCGTGGAGACTGGTGTGCATGGACAGCTCGTATAACACATCATATGCCCACATCCATGGTGCTCCGGGCACATATGGCCTCGTGCAATGTCCCTGCTTAATTCCGCATGGATGGGTCAAGATTGACCTTTTTATTACCTGATTAGGATCATATACTTTGTCCTTATACAGAGCAACTAAGCTAGCTTGTTAGTTAATACAGAGTAGTCCGTAGATAGGTCATGGGATAGCTCAGCAGAACATATCACGTGGTATAACCAATCACATGATCTCATGTGACCAAGAAGAGCCTGAGCTCCGAAACTGGACCGAACCGTCACCTCAGATTGTTGTTCGTTATTTCCCTCACCATCCACCTATACTCGGTTTCTTTAATAATAAATTTCTAATATCACAATGGAAGGGTTAGTGTGATGTCACCTGTCGGCCTGCATGCTTCTATGAGAGACGGCGTCCAGAAGTCCTGCTAACATTGCCCAGACTCAATGCCTCGGAACAGCGCGAGTTCGCTTCTCGCATGGAGAGAAAGCAGCTGAAGGAATTCATGAACGTATGTAACTTCAATTCTTCCTAGTATTTGTCCCTATTTATTTGGCTCCCAATACCGATGCATTCTATTCTGCCACTCCTGTTCTAATTGTCAGCATGACAAACCTTCCTTCTCATACTAAATTCCCATTCTAGATGTACTCCAACCTGGTCCAGCGCTGTTTCGATGACTGCGTCAACGACTTCACCACCAAGTCTCTGATCAACCGCGAGGAGGGTTGCGTTATGCGTTGCGTGGATAAGTACTTGAAGGGATCTGCCCGGTTGAACGAGCGCTTCCAGGAGCAGAACGCGGCCATGATGCAGAGTGGACAGATGCCTGGGCGGTAAACCATCAAAATAATTACTCCAATTGCGCGTTTTCTGTTATTTTCGGGTTCAGTGGTTCGTGTATAAATTATTAGATTTTTGCGAATGATGACAACTCTTCTTGGAATGGTCCGGAACTGTTGTCGGGCCTGGATTGATTTCAGGCCGCTTAGAATGTGTCAAATGCTGTGTCTGCTTGTGGCATAGGACAAGCTGTTCCCTACTATTGTACCATATTATGATTTAGGGTAGGATGTGTTACCGGAGCCCTCTAGGTATTATGTTAATCGAAAACCATTCAATATCTAGATGTGGCTCTCCCTATATGCGCTCTACATGAATCCGCTGAGCAAATTAAAAACCCAGCTGTTGTTGACTGTGTTGTGTATATACATCATGGTCCAGATTGTGATGGTATCTCCAGGAATGGGAAAAAGCTCCCTCCCGATAGACAAATATGGTGTATTAGTCATGCCAGAAAAAACTGCGGGTCTTCATGCACGGACGGACCCCGGAAAATATTGCCTCTTTGAGTTACACAAGGTGTTCACTGTGAGGGGAGTAATCCCTGGTAGATAGCTGAGGAGCTCTAGTTACTCCGTAGTCCGTACTAGTATGGACATAGGCCCTTCTGCTAATCATTAGACTATAATCCTTCCAATTTAGCAATCCTAGCTCCGCATAAGGTTGTCCATCTACCTAGAATATGCAGGCGGCTCATGACTCACCTCTACACTCAACAATAGTTGAAACAGCCCAACCACATCTAACCAGCCAAGAAGAGATGAGGGGAAGAATTGGAGAAGACCCATTCATCCAAGGATGGCAGTGCTGCTTTATTGCGAGAGTCTCTGAATACGGCCTTTTGCCCCTCATAGACACCCCACTCTCCCCCTCACCTGAACACCCCACCACTCGCTCGTAAGAGTCCGGTTTAAGCAAATTATTCCCTGGGTGTTCCTTTGTAATCTTGGTCCTTTTCTTTCTTCTTCACTCTATTCCATCTTTAATTTTCCCTTCCCATATCTGCTCAGTCTGAAGTCTCTCTTCTTACTTCATCATGGCTAGCACTGTCGGACAGGTAAGAGAGCCTTTTCATGTTGCCTGGTCGCGACTAACATTGACTTCTGTAGACCATCACCTGCAAGGTAAGACCTCTTTGAAATACAAATCGGTCGCGCGTCTTTAAACCCATCACTGAATCTCTGTTACGTAGGCCGCCGTCGCCTGGGGTGCTGGAGAGCCTCTCTCCATCGAGGATATCGAGGTTGCGCCCCCCAGGGCCCACGAAGTCCGCATTCAAATCCACCACACCGGTGTCTGTCACACAGGTCTGTCGACGCGCATCAACCTTTTTCGATATTTGTAGCTGACCAGCTCGATAGACGCCTACACGCTGTCCGGAAAAGATCCTGAAGGTGCCTTCCCCGTTGTCCTGGGACATGAAGGTGCCGGTATTGTTGAGTCGGTGGGTGAGGGTGTTACTTCGGTGAAGCCCGGTGACTATGTTGTTGCTCTTTAGTATGCTTTACCCACTGGTTCTGATGCCTTCCCATATCTGACAACCCGAAGCACTCCTGAGTGCCGTGAATGCAAGTTTTGCAAGTCCGGCAAGACCAACCTGTGCGGTAAGATCCGTGCCACCCAGGGTAAGGGTGTGATGCCCGACGGCACGTCACGTTTCAGGGCCCGCGGCAAGGACCTTCTGCACTTCATGGGCACTTCCACCTTCTCTCAGTACACCGTTGTTGCCGACATCTCCGTCGTGGCTGTGACGCCCAAGATCCCCACGGACCGATCTTGTCTCCTTGGCTGTGGTATCACCACTGGATACGGTGCTGCCGTGGTCACCGCTGGTGTTGAGGAAGGGTCCAATATTGCAGTTTTCGGTGCCGGCTGTGTCGGTCTATCTGTTATCCAGGGTGCGGTTCGCAACAAGGCCGGCCAGATTATTGTTGTCGATGTCAACGATGGCAAGGAGTCGTGGGCCCGCAAGTTCGGAGCCACCCATTTCGTCAATCCCACCAAGCTCGAGGGCAAGACAATCCAGGAGAAACTGATTGAGATGACGGATGGTGGATGCGACTACACCTTCGACTGTACCGGAAATGTCGGCGTGATGCGTGCCGCTCTGGAGGCTTGCCACAAGGGTTGGGGTGAAAGTATCATCATTGGTGTTGCTGCTGCTGGACAGGAGATCTCCACCCGACGTAAGCTTTGAGCCTTTGTTTCGATGGGATGACAATACTAACGGAGATATAGCATTCCAACTTGTCACCGGCCGTGTCTGGAAGGGCTGTGCCTTTGGCGGTATCAAAGGTCGCACTCAGCTACCTGGTCTGGTGGACGATTACTTGGATGGGAAATTGAAGGTGGACGAATTTATCACGCACCGTGAGCCTTTGTCGAACATCAACCATGCCTTTGAGCAGATGAAACAAGGTGACTGTGTACGCTGCGTGGTGGATATGTCGTAATAGTGGGATCAGAGAAAAGTGTTTAATACCAGTAAAGATAGCATTCAATGATGATGATTAGTGAATGAAACGAACAGATCAGATGAGAAGGATACAAAAAGGGTATATATATTTTGCTTGTTGTCTTCAAGGTCCTCAGCAGCGGGGTATTCTGTCTCCGGCAACCAAATGATCAGCAGATGAACGGTGCATACCAGTGTTTAACAGCAGTTGTATCTCTTACGATCTCAAATCCAGGTCCTAGAGTATCATCCTTGAGTCATGTGCAAAATGAACTACTACGAATTATGTAACCATACAGGTTAACTACATGATAGTGGTACGTAGTACTTGAACAGCCAGCTTCTCATACAAAAGATGAGAAGATGAGAAGAAAACAAATATAAAGCAAAGATCTCTAAACAGTGGATGCACATGCCAAGCCAGGCTAATATCTCTAACTGTAAACAGCCAAAAAAGATATTTGGCCGCCGGAAAACTCGTAGATGAACCTCTGATATCTGACCCTGGTAGATCCACCTTTGAGCATCTAGACCTCATCAAGGAAAGACTGAATAATATACAACGACTCCAGTTCTATACCTGAATTATCAACTCGTAATCCCATTCCGAAGCAGTAGTTAAACTCCCTTGTGAAGCGTGAGTTCATGAACTTATACGCATATATAGATGGAGATAGACAATCACCAACCAAGTGCGGAGTACATATGGACATTATGAAATCTGAATTTCCTACGTAATTAGCGTCTTCCCCTCTTATCATGGATATCCACACCTCGGAAATTCCCTTCTTTCTCCGGCGGAAGTACTTCTCGGATATAAATATGAAGGTACACTCTTAGGTATTCACCTCTAAATACAACAGTCTCTCCTCTCCATCTCGATTCAACTCTACGCTACAGTTGATTTACCTATCGATCAATATTTACATCTACGTCTACACCAATAGTTATAAACAATGTCCTCTATCCTTCTCCCAGCACCCTTCTCCACCATCCCCCGCACCCCTCTCACAATCGGCCCATCACCAATCCACCCCCTACCACGCATTACCGCGGACCTCGGCGGACCGGTAACCATATACGCGAAACGAGAAGATCTAAACTCGGGTCTCGCATACGGGGGCAACAAGACGCGAAAACTGGAATACCTAGTCGCGGAGGCAATATCTCGTGGCGCGACGACACTGATCAGCATCGGCGGGGTACAGAGCAACCATACGCGCCAGGTAGCCGCAGCGGCAGCGCGACTGGGTCTGCGGGCACGACTGGTACAGGAGCATTGGGTGGAGTGGGAAGACGTCGGATATGAGCGGGTGGGGAATATTCAGCTTTCGAGGGTGATGGGTGCGGAGGTCAGGATGGGGAGGGATGGATTTGGGATCGGACATAAGGAGTCATTGAAGCAGGTTAGGGAGGAGTGTGAGGCGAGAGGGGAGACGGTGTATTATATCCCTGCTGGGGCGTCGGATCATCCGCTTGGAGGGATGGGGTTTGCTCGATGGGCGTTTGAGGTGCGCGAGCAGGAGCGGAAGATGGGGATGGTGTTTAGTACGGTGGTGGTTTGTGCGGTAACGGGGTCGACGATGGCTGGGATGGTGGCTGGGTTCAAGTTGATCGAGAAGTTGTATCCCCAGGAGTCGAAGAAGACGGTTATTGGCATTGATGCGTCGGCGAAGCCCAAGGAGACAAGGGAGCAGGTATTGCGGATTGCGAGGAACACGGCAGCACAGATCGGGTTATCGGAGGAAGATATTGGCGAGGAGGATATCATTCTGGATGAGAATTATCATGCCGGAACATACGGTATCCCTAACCGACAGACGTGGGAGGCCATCGAGTACGCCGCACGCATGGAGGCGTTCATCACGGATCCTGTCTATGAGGGCAAGAGCTTTGCCGGTATGATCGATTTGATCCGCAAGGGCAAGATCAAGGAAGGGAATGTCTTGTACGCCCACCTCGGAGGACAATTGGCTTTGAATGCCTATTCGGATCTGGGCCGGACACCGCATGGAGGCCCTATTGAAGCTTAAGATACATATTACATATATATATACCACTAAGGCAGGATACGCGAGATCAAAGCGGTAAATCAATGTAATTCAGAAAGAGTGGCTATAGTTGGCTAAACTAGACTAGCAAGACTCTCGGCCAGTTAAAACAGCTTGTGCTCCAAAGTCATCTCCGATTCTGGCTGGAGGCCAACACAGGCTCGGAAAATATTGGTCAAGGCACTGCGCTGCTTGTTCAGTGAGTTGACGACCGGGGTGCCGGGGGGTGTCAAGGGCGCCTTGAGCATATAACTCAGAACGCTGAGCACGCTGTGGAAGCCCTTGTACTCGGCCTCACCGTCCGCCTTCCAGCTGATGCGCGTCATCATTTCGGCGATCAGGACCAGATCGATGATCAGCGGCGACGCCAGCAGAGAGTCCTCGCAGATGTTGAACAAGCTAATGATCTGATGTCCGCCCATGAAGATCTCCGCAAAGTACTCATCCAGAGCTCGCTTGTTGTCGCCCACCGCTGGCATGTACTTGATCACGACAGTGTGGTCCGGGTGCTCATCCTTCTCGTACAGTATATGGTTAGCAGCTACCATGTCGTCGACTACGTTGGACTTGGAAATCTCCTTCGAGCGGAACTGCTTCTGAGAGCTCAGGTTCTTGCCGTCGTTGTTGCCCAGGTGGTTGTAGCTGGCAATTGAGGTGAGCTTGATACCGGCGTTGATCAGGAAGTCCACAAGGGCTGACTTCATCTTGGTCTGGCCAGATTTGAAGTCATCCCCGCCAATGAATGCTTTGTGCTGTTCCGCCAACTGGATGGCACCAGGGACGAAGGTGTTCTGGGGAGACCCGTTGATGAAGGGAGTATTCTCCAGAATAGAGGCAACGGCGAAAACGGTGGACGGGGCCACCTCCTCGTGACCGGTCTTGATGGCATTGAGGAGATTTTCGGCCGTGTCATTGACACCGGGAACGATATCAGCATAGCGCTCAGTGTTAGCCGTCCACATCACAATGACCTTGTCCAGATCGTTCTTAGCCTTGAAGTTGCTAGAACGAGTCAGCTAACATGCACTTGACGAAAAAGTTGAAGATAACTCACCGAATGTCCTTCTGAATCTGCTCCACATGAGTCCAGCTGGCCTTGGAACCCTCGAGGACGTTGTCGGCGCGGCCCTCCTGGTTGGAAGCGATGAAGTCGGGGTAGTAAATACTGGGCAGCGGCTTCATCTCGGCCATCTCCTTGCGAACCAACTGCTTCAGGGTAGGCTCCAGAACCTGGGCCCGATCCATAGCATCGGCGATGTTCATGCCGCTGATATCCCAGCCACCAATGGCGAGATCATTGGGGTGGGCCATCGGCAGCATGTCATGGAAGGGAATGTTGATCTCCTCACCAGTTTTGGCATCAGTGCCCAGCTTTATGGTTGAACCCATGACCACAGAACCATAGTAGTTGGCAGCACGCTCGCCTTCGCGGGTTTCCCAGACGAGACCGCGACGGTTGGCCAGAAGACCAGCCGTCACGGTGGAGCCGTTGTTTCCACCCCATCCGACCATCATAACACCGACCTTGCCGACTTTGCGGTCGACCTTGAACTCGTAGGTGGTAGTCTTGGGGGTGGCGAGCAGCTTGTTATCGGCAGTGCGAGTGATATCAGTGGTATGGTAGGCATACTTGCTCTTGATCTCATTGTCGGTGTACTCGACGTTAGGGGAATTGACAGTGAACAATGGGGCGGCATTAGAACGAGCCGACCCGTTCACGGCGCCATTGGCAGCAACATCCGAACTTGCGTGGGGGGCCATTGCGTTCACAGAATCTTTGGCGAGTGTGCAAACAGAGTATTGTCAAGAATGGCGGGATCGAGGATGTTCTGTGAATGCAAAAGTGATTTACTGGATGTAGAGTGAATTATCCGGTGCCCCCCCACGGGAAGATGAGCGCCGGCCGTTGAACGGGTGGTGACGCCTACATGGAGGTCAGCTCTAGCTCAGAAGAGTAAAAGATTTCGAGGGCCGAAGCAATTTTGCAATCCTCGGAGAGCTTTCCCGGAAGGAAGCTGCACACACGGGTGCCACTTACGAGTTAAGAAGTGTGCCGAAAATTTTGACGGTTTTAAGTGATCACGACCCAGAGAGAGAAGTGATCTGAATAAATCGACGCAGATATTGTGGAAGGAAACGCAGATACCAGGTCAATGGAATGAGGTGGGAAGAGAAGGAAGACGAGAGAGGAAGGAAGAGGGAGGGAGGATATTTAAGGGCCCTGCATAAGGTTAGTCTGCAGTCACGGGGACGGCGCTTCCGTACGCCGCATCTGCCAGACCATTGATTCTACAAGGAGCGGAGGACTGTAGTCCTCAACTAATCCCCTGCCTACTACGAAAGGAGCAATGCCTAGTTGCCAATGAGCTTGCGTTCCCAAACAGCAAGGGTAAGAAGCGGTCAAGGAAAATGAAGTGGCATCATTTCTTGTTGAACGTATTCTCGTATCTGCCCCTCGGAGGCCCCTCCATCGAATGGCGTCGGGTGCACACTTTGTGCACCGCAAATGTCCACTTTATTCCCATCGATAATTTTACCTACGTTCTACTCTTCATCGATGTAGAATTGACTGATTCCACAGCAAACCAAAACCATAGCTGTCGCTCTCCACCGTAATAGATGGTTTGCCTGGGCGTTGTAAAATTACCCCTCACCTCCAAATTAACTCTGAATGGTACGCTTGCAGGTCCAACGTGTCTGCCCCTCAGCACATATTTTCCCGCGCTAGCTCGCGCATTCATTGACAAAGCGAAGAGAGGAAGTTTAATACTCCGGGATAGACTAGCGAAGCCATGAGTGGGCAGAGTTGGCAGAAAATCCAATCTAGGAGAGCATTTCCATTGGACAACTCGCACAATAAATTCTCTGCCTGACGCCCCAGTTGATCCCATAGAACCAAGACAGTGTGTGGTTTACGCGCTATGGCCTGCCGATAGTTAGGTGATACTAGTGGATTGGGCTAGGTGTCCTACGGTGTCCACTAAGGACAAGGCAGGATTCAAGGGTATAGGGACTTGGTTAAATCAACTGTCAAGAACACTCGCACTCAATCGAGTATTCGGAAGAAAAAAAATAAAAAATAAATGAAGTTGTAGGTAAAAATTGCGTTAACCTGACTGTGGAAGAGGAAAATGGGACTAATAACGGTACCCCTGGAGAGTGTTACGGTGGGTACGTAGCGGAAAGCTCGGCAGGGTGTTCCATGGTTGCATTTGGTTGGACTACCCCTGAATCAGCCTATTATTAGCGAAGCACATCACGAATGGCTGTTTGCGGAGGTATGAACACTGACCCCTGGCTAGGTGCAGGAGTAAATAGGTTTCTCCGTATTCCGTAATTAGATACTCTACTGAATGTTTTGGAGAGCTATGAGACGAAGTGTCACATGATCTGTTCCTTTGCAGTGCGAGTAATTCGTTCTGTCGAAAGTCAACAACGAAAGTTTGGTTCAGAGTTTATCGAGGAAGCTCTGAATAGTTGGTCAATGATGTAAGTTGCTGTGCCGTTGAACGGTCTAGAGCCATCCAGATTATCTGTGAGCCCGATTTTCAAACCATCGAAAGCTAACAGTCAATGCTTTAGTTGGAAGTATAGCATGGTGCCCCAATGACAATAGCTATGGAGTAAAAAAACTGATATGGTCCTACTAGTTAACTAGTTAGTAACGTGGGAAATTGACTAAGCCCTGAATGGCCTCGAAAATGCCCGAACTATTTTTGCGTTCGTTTTTTCTATCTTTACGGAGTGCAAAGTGCTCTGTGCTACGCAGGTGCTGTAAGACAGCATTTAAGAAATAACAAAAGTGAGACCATCTAAGAAGACCGATGGAGCAGGTCTCAGTTTCAAGCGGAGATGATCAACGGATTCTGCGAACCACGGAACTGGTCTTGACCAAACATGTGGTAATCCGATCTCGATACTTAGACCCAATCATTACCGTGTTACCCGGCAACCTCCCAAGGCTGGAATTAGCTCAATCGGAAGTTTTCAAGAATATGTATATGGAAGATATCTGGTGGACGCTGACAGGTCTGGACTAGGGTGATCAATAAATTCAGTCTCGGGAAACAAGACCCAACGTCTATTGTGAAACCTGAAAATCCTTGCATTGGGGAAAATCCTTATGCAGGATCTGGAAACTTTCAGGAAGGGGATTTGCTTGTGCCGGGATTGGCGTATTGAGATGAAGAAGATCTGATAATATGGGTCCCAAGGGCCAAAATCAATACGGAAGCAAAGCCACAAAGGAATCTAACGAAAGGGTTGTGCTCAGCTAGAGAAGGGAACGTAAGCAAGATCAGAAGTGCGACAAGGCTGATCGATGACAGAAGGGACGGGAAGTGCAAGATGGATCAACATGAAAAGTTGGTACTCGCTTCGACAGTGTCTGCCCCTGAGGATGATCTGCAGAGATGCCACTTTGGTCCAGGAACTGGCAGAAGAAGAATATCCCATCACCGGGACCGTGGTAAAGGTAGTTAGCTAGTTAACATCATGGTTCACTAGCTACTGATTTATCGGAGCAAGTTGGCTGTGTTGTGCAGGCCGCATGAAAGTATACAGAAACAGAAAATCGTAGTGGTTTTAGTCCAAGGGAGGATTTGACATGTGTTCTTATGGTCGACCAAAAAAGGGGGCGACAAAAATAAGCCCATAGTGACTAGTCGGAAGGGGAATCTCCTCCGGATTGACGACTGAACTTGCACGACATACCCCGTACTGCAGGGTTTAAGTCGAGGGGATAAAATGATCGCTTGGTTGATAGGTCGTTACCTGCAGCGTCTGGACTCTATCGAATTATTAAGTCTTTCCTTGACTTGGTTCGGCTAGTTCATGGAAAGGCAAAGGTCAGTGTGGTGGAAGAAAAGAAGAACACGCGTTGTTTTGGGCTGACGGGGGCCAAACCAATCGTTGCTCGTGACCAACGAGCTAAACCGCAACTAAATGGCACTAATCCTCTGTCTCAAGTCTCTTTCGTCGCACGAGGGTCTTTTCTCTCTTGCCAAGTCGAGTTCCACTCCTGACGCTACAGTATTCTTGTGATGATTATTATTAGTACGTCGTTTAGTCTTGTTCTTCCTTTTCTCTTCTGCTTGCTTCTAGTCCTCTACGATCACCGACTCCCCAGAATTCCTCCCACCTGCCCCCTTCCATCATCATAATCATAACTTATTTGCCCTCCTCCCATGTGTTGCTGTTCTCTGACCGCTTAGACCGTTACTGTTGTGGTGTTGGCGTCGGGGCTACTGGCTTGCGAGCAGACGTGAGGAGGGCTCGCCACATTGTCGAGTATAGTCATTGTAAAGACACACGTATGACGCTCCTTGCTGTGCGTCTCTTCTATGAACCGCCCTTGTGTCCCTAACATCCTTGGAAATGGTGATATCAATGGGCTTGGGCCTCTTGCCCATGATCAAATGCTCGAACTGTGGTATGGATGTCGAGATCTCTGCAATGGGAGACCATATCTGTGCAAAGACTGATCCAGGTATTGTTCATTCTTCCAATCTCCTCAACTCACAACTGACTTCTGAAAGCTGCATCGCCTTTGCCTTCAGCGCCTACAGAAGCCGATGATAGCATCAATATCAAAAGCTCTGGACGACCAGGTCCTCCTGCACCCATCAATCCTTCAATTGCTAGTATGTCGCTATGTTAAATGCGAAACTTCATAAGCACCCTAACCTTTTTTCTTTTTTTTCTTTGCCCCAGATCGTCCTTTCTTACGCCCCGACGCCACTATTGATCATGAATCGACCGCTCTCTCGCCGCTACCATCCCCGCTTCGCCAGGTACAGCGAAGCCAGACATCCCCTCTTCCAATCGAACCGCAGTCCTCGGAAATTGTCAGCGTAAACTCTGATATCCCACCTTTTCCCCTCCCCCGCTCCATGTCAGCCAAAGAGTCCCACTTCATGACCAGTCTGAAGGATGCAAAATCAGCACCACCAGTTCCTTTGCCACCATATGCAAGCTCCATAGAGCGACAGGATGTCGACCGGCTTCCCAGCAGTGCACATCGTCCATTTGAACTGGACGATGAAGCCGCCCCACCGCCACAACCATCGGTGCCGAAAGACGAGCTGTCATTCTTACCACGGATCGCACACAAGTATGTTAATTCCATTGACAGCAAAAGCAGCTACAGGTCCTCCTTTGCGAGCTCGCGATATGGTGACAATAATTCCAAACGCTCGACAGCAATGTCAGACCAGCGACCTTCGTTCAGTAGTGTGGACCAGCCGTACAAGTACCTTGAGGAGGATGCACCGCCTGTACCTTCCATCCATCATGGATCATTCACTGGCCCGGAATCCAACATGCTGCCATACTCGAAGAATGGGAACAGGGCAGAGGATAAAAGCACGTTTTATTTGGGATCTTCAGAAGGAACAAACTATAACGCACACCGCGAGGAGGCACCTTCTGGTTCGCTTCGTGTATCGTTCCACACCAACTCTGACCGCCTAAGTAGTGTTCGTGGATCTGCAGAGTTATTTTTTCGAAGCCCATCTCAAACCTCCTTTGAAAAGTTCCCTGATCCTCCTGACCATTCCGAAGAGCGAGCGGCGTCTACAGCACCCGTGGCTTATAAACCTTTCAGATCCCCTACCAACCACGCGCACCCTTCGACCCCAGAGATAGACCATGAGGAACATGATGACATCTACAGGAGGGGATCAGACGCTTCCATTGAGAGTACCCTGTCTGTATCCAACTTTGCTCGCGCCTTGGGATTAGATATTTCCGATCATACCGTGGAGAATTCGACAGTATCTTCCGATTCGTCACATTCTGACATGCGGAGTGGAACCTCGTTTTCCAGCCTCGCATCGGAGACGAGTATGTCAAGACGAAAGCCCTCCGACCAAGGACGTCTTGGGCCTGTAATCGAGGAGCAGCGGATTGATACGCGAACGCAACACGCTCTCCATGCTGGTGACCGCACGGAGAGCCCGGATGACCTTGTACCCCCTCACATCCACGACCCGCTTTTCAGTCCTGATTCTCCCACGGATCCTGCGATTCTTCAGGGTAGTGTGTCTCTTGTCCCAGACAAAACCAACAAGGCCCTTCCGGAAATCCCTCTAAAGGTGCGTTCCGCAACGGGACCAGTGTCTCACACCGCAAATAAGTCATCACAGAGCGACAAGACTCTTCCAGAGTTGCCAAGGTCTGCAACTGCACCAACCTTCCATATTCCGAATAAACCGTCACAGAGCGACAAGACTCTTCCTCTATTACCAAAATCCCCTGCGGTACCGGTGTCTCATATTCAAAACAAATCATCATGGAATGACGGGGCTTTTGTAGGGTCGTCGAATTCTGCAAGAGAGCCCTTTTCTCACACTCCTAAGAAACCGTCCTGGGATGATCGGAATGTTCTAGGATTGCCGAGCTCTAGAATGGAGCCAACTTCTCACACCCCGAAGAAGCCTTCGCGCGACGGAAGGATTACCCCGGAGCAGCCAAGATACGCAACGCAGACAGAGAGTCATACCTCTAAGACCCCTTCACAAAATGACAGGACTTTTACAAGTCCCCAGCGATCTTTAGAACCGGCGTCACATATCTCTAGACCGTCCTGGGACGAAAGGGCTTCTCCGGAACTACCTAGATCCAGAGGGGAACCAGAATCGCACATCCCAGTCAAGCCGTCAGGGGGCGACAGAGCTTTGCCAGGCTTACAGGTCTCTCATATCCCTAATAGTCTATCACAGGACGAGGGGACTTCTCCTAATTCTGCAACGGATCCAGCGGCTCGGACAGCGCCGCGCCCGAAAGGGCCTTGCCGGGGCTGTGGTGAGAGGATCCTTGGAAAGTCTGTGTCTTCTGCAGACGGGCGTCTTACGGGCCGGTACCATCGGGAGTGCTTTGTTTGCTACCAATGCAAAGTTCCTTTTCAAACTGCAGATTTTTACGTTCTGCGCGACCTTCCGTTCTGCGCTCTGCATTACCACCAGCGTAACGGGTCTCTCTGTCATACCTGTCTCACTGGTATTGAGGGACAATATGTCGAGACAAACGAACGGCAGGGCCGTGGCCCCGGCGACCTTCGGAAATTCCACCCCGAGTGTCTTACGTGCCGTACATGCAATGTGTTGTTGAACGGGGAGTATTTTGAGTGGAACGGACAGGTATATTGCGAACGAGATGCTCGCCGAGCTGCGGCATCTACACCTCCTCCTCGAATGCGTCGTCCAACAATGGCATCACCTCCAATGGCACATTCTCGCGGGCCTTCACGAGGACATCTTCCGCCTCCGGGCTATCCAGGTCGTGGTCGTGGGGGGCCACGTCTACCACCTCCAGGGGCGTTCAATGGGCCATATGGACCACCACCTGCCGCTCGTCGATTCCCCGAACGGAGAACCACAAGATTAATGATGATATGATAATTTCGACTGTAGATATTTGAATGTCTCGGTCATTGTCCTTTGCCTGTATATGCATGGACGGTGTTCAGCTTTATGTTTTATGTGGACTGCCATATACCCTCCCCTTCTTGTTAATAGATTTCCCTACGGGCTGTTATATTGATCATTGGCAGGATCTGATGTACAAATATATTGTATACTGCGCATAATATTGGTGTTATGACTGATGTTTGGGTATAGTCTTAATTGAGCAACTATGCCGGTGGACCGTATTGTTAATATTTGTTGTAAAGAATATCTATATCTATCACTAATTCGTTCTCGAGAATAGAAATTAAGTCCAGCCATGCTAGTAATTCTTCAAATATACCTATCCGTCACTATGGTCACCTCTATATACAAACCAGCAAAATATCCCATACACAATTGCTCGACTAAAAATAATCACAACCCCTGAAACAGTACCACTCCTCAGAGACAAATTCTCCTCTTTTCTCTAGTTCATTTTATTTTGAGCGTCAGTCAGAGTCAGAAGTAGGAATAGGATGTTGGTCTGCTTTGAAGCTGCCTAACAGGAGCCATTGACGAATGCTATCGTGGTCTAGAGCGGGATTGCAAAATCTTGAAGCAGATGATGCCAGCGCACTACGCTATACTGGTGAGTCGACAACATGCTTCCGGGTAGGTTAGTGGGGAGATCGAGATCGAATTGATATTATTCCAAATGCGCTGAGTCTGTCTTGCACTATTGACATTGTCGTCAGGTGAAGGCTTTTTTTTTTTTTTTTTTTTTTTTTAGAATAGTCCCCGTAACAAGAATACTTCTGACAACATGAATGGTCGTGCAAGAGCACCACTGCATCATTTCACATTTATATTACCATACTATTATCCGGGTGACATGCAGATTGTTGTGTCACTGCAGATCAAGTCTGAGCCGTCCAGCCACCAGCCAGGTTCATCATGCATGTGAAGGATACAACTGCACACCCCGCAGATGACGTGAGTTATACGACAGCCAAACCCTATATAAATCCAAATACTCCGCATAAGCTCATCTCTCTTCACCATTCTCTCCAGTATCTTTCAATAATCCAACAAATATGACCATCAGACCGGGCCAACCCTCCAACCTCCCCAACTTCACCCGCTATATAACAACCCACAACTCCGCAGGCGAAGCCATCATCCACTCGGAAACACCCGCAAACTGGATAAGTTTACGCAATGATACCCTCGGCTTCAGCGTTGCCTACACGACGTCCGAGTTCCCCGCGAACCTGAACAACGAGGCGGACGTTACCCAGAGCGAACAGGCCGTCACCTCCGGGTCTCTGGGTCTCGTCAACCCTGGCGGAACGGTCTGTCGCGTCGTGGACTTTGCACCGGGTAAACCGGGTATCATGCATCGTACGCGGAGTCTGGATTATGGGATTGTGCTGGAGGGTGAAATTGAGATGATGCTGGACTCGGGGGAGAAGAGGCTCTTGAAAAGAGGCGATATTGCGGTTCAAAGGGCTACGATGCATCAGTGGCGGAATCCGAGCGAGACGGAATGGACGAGGATGATGTTTGTGTTGCAGGAATGTCAGCCTGTAATTGCTGGGGGGAAGGAGATAGGGGAGGAGTTGAAGGGGAATAATGATATTAATAGGATGAGGTGATACTCTGCATCGATATGAGCAGTGAATCTGAGTGATGTTTATTAATTTGTGCCATCCTGTCAACATTCTTAGCTGTGGATGTTTATATCAATCTACTGTCCTACTTTAATAACAACCTTTCCAAAATGATTCCCACTCGCAAGGAATTTGAACGCCTGATCTGCCTCTGCGAATGAGAATAACCGATTCACCACCGGCCGGATCTGATGCTTCTCATAAAACGCCACTACCTCCTCGAATCGGTCCTTGGGCCCGTTGATAATCCCCTTGAGTGTGACATTCCTTCGCAGCGTAAGTAAATTGAGATTCGTCCGGTCATCCGACGCATCCACTTTGCCAGAGACATAGCCGATACAATTGATTAGGCCGCCGAACGCGATGCAGTCGAGACTCTTCCTAAGGGTTTGCGCGCCTCCTGTTTCAAGAATAATATCTACGCCGTGCTTGTCCGTCACCCGTGTCACTTCATCTTCCCAGTTTGGCTGGGTGCGGTAGTTAATGGTGTAATCTGCGCCGAGGGCCGTGGCCTGTTCCAGTTTCTCATCAGAGGAGGAGGTAATGATCACTTGTAGACCACGTCAGATATCGACCCGAAGAGTAAAAGAAGCAAAAATCCATGATGGAACCAAAATGTTACTAACCCTTAGCCCCCGATGCCTTCCCAATCTGCAACCCAGCTATCGCAACGCCCCCAGTCCCCAGCACCAGGATAAATTCCCCCTCTCCTCCATTCTGACCCATAGGTCTCATACCATTGATGGACATCCAAGCCGTCACGCTCGCAATGGGAAGCGTACTCGCTTCCTCATCGCTCAGGTAGCCAGGCGCGCGGACCAGCGCCGACGCGGGAAACACTCGATGCGTCGTCAAGACACCAGACAATGGTAGACCCAGGCTGCGAGACAGCTCCTTCTCCGTGACCTGACCGGTCTGATGATCGGGAAGGAAGGTGGACAGTACGCGATCACCGACTTTCCAGGTCGTGACGCCCTCGCCGATCTGGGAGATGACCCCGCACATGTCGGAACACGGGACGACGGAGTGGGTTTGGTTGACGGATTTGTGGTGGTTGTATTCGCCGCTGCATACTGCGTAACTCTTAGCTTTATATATTCGAAAACGACATCTTGATGATTGTGGAAGTGATGGAAGTACCCTCCACATCGCGGAAATTCAATGACACTGCGTGTACTTCAACAAGAACCTCGCCGTTCCCGGGTATAGGCGCAGGGGCCTCTGACAATTTGAACGAGTCCAGTCCCGTGAGGGTGGAAGTCCATTGCTGAATGGTTGCCATTGTTTCGACGTCTGTTTTCGACTTTTCTTGCAGGAAAAGAACCTTGCTGGGTTTACAAGGTCAATTCCATGGAGGATGTTCGAGAAAAATTGGAGATATCCAAACGCTTAATAATAATTCGGTAATAACTTACAACCTCACTAGAGGCCCACTGTGGGGAATCGTCAGGCAAAAAGTTGGTACGCAGGAGTTATTCTGGTGGACGGGAAATGGAAATCAGCATTGAATATTGTAGAGTCGAATTTATACACTTCTTACGCAGCGGAAACTATGCATAAGTCAAATCAGCTCTTACGAGGAAAATAACATTGATTAGAGTTCATTATGTTGAACTGTTCCATAGATCAGGAGGCTGCGACATCTGATTATTGAGCTTAAAATCAATAATAGATTGAGGTGCTATTTTTCTGGTCTTTAAAATGCCAAATATTCAGTTGTCTAGGAAGAGATATAGCTACGAAAATTTGGGACGAAATTGTTTATACTCTTATTTAAACAAAGTATATGTCTATTAAACCCTCGGCAAAGCTTGGCCGAAGCTCTCTCATATAAAAAGAAAGCAAGGGGGATTCTTAACTATCCACTGCAACTTTGCCTCGTTCCTGACAGTAAAAGGTAGTGGAAAAATTTGTTAAAAAATATACTTACTCATAGTGCAACGTATGGCTTCTGGGTAAGTATTATTTTCTGTGCAAGGATCGATCCAAAGTATAAACGGGACAAAATTTCCTAATGAAATAAAATAAGACTATAGAGTGTGATACTGAATCTTCCTGTTACCATATATGGAAAAAAAGAAATTATGTTGGCAGCAACTTAACCACTGATTATAAGTCCAACCATGCCGAAATCACGATCATCGTCTCCTGACGCTCCCTGCAAAGACAGGATAAGACCGCAACCCTCAGCTCATCTTATTGCATCTAGATGGAACCACTCCGGCTAGCCAGTAAGTAATTGACCCTGTTCCCGACTATCTCCACTAATTCCATAACTTAATAGGTAAAAATAAACGACGATAAATCATGCGTCATGCGCAGGGGGTTTATCACGCATTGATAGTCACAGGACTGTACACCGTGCTTCAAGATAATCGTGTCTTTAATCCTTCCAGCGTTAAGAGCTATACTCACAGGACAGTAAGGCGCCTGGTGTATCCTCCATTTATACGCGCTTGGACTGCAAGTAGTTCCCTATCAAACTCTAGGGCTACGTATATGCGAGCCATCCATTCTTCTCGTCTCTTTCTGTCGGTTAAGCGTTTTCTGCCTCCTAGTGATATACTTTTATGTTCTGTAGAAGTCAAGGGAGAGTCACAGGAAGAGGAAGACACTGTCAGGTATTGAACATGTAGAACCTATAGGATAGGCTATGTACAAAAAGGAATTTTTGAAGAAGGAAAGAAAGAAAAAAAGAGATTGGTAAACAAATACGAAAGGAGAATCATGTGTTGTGGGCCATCAAGAGCCAGTAGAGACTTCAAATAGGCTACAACCCTTTACAGACACAGCCTGCTTTTATATGTACCTTCAGTTCCAGTCCACGATTCTTTACGTTGGACATGCTCCGCGATTGCGACCCATGCTCTCGTTTAATTTTCTTTCAGTAATAGATAACGTCTTAACTCACTTCAGCCCATGTGTGCTAAAACCGGGTTGATGACCCAAATAGGGGGTCTACCATGGGAAAATAATAGCAGCCCCCAGAGCCATTGCAGCAGCAGAAACCCCAAGAACAGCACCCAGTCCATCCCAAGCAGACGTCCTTGGACCCAGCCTACCTGCAGCATTCGACGTAGATGCAGCAGTACCTGTAGATCCAGTGGCCGTGGACTCAGCTGTGCCAGTGCCTGTGCCAACTGACTGAAGATCGGATTGATGATGGACAAGCGTCACCATGGGCATGTAGGATATGGCAGTCAACAATGACTGATCAATACCATACAATGTTTCCGTGTAAGTCGTCAGAATGGAATCGGTAGCTGTGGGTGTTTCCCAGACGTGGGTGCGCGTGGAGCTACCGTACGTGTATAGCTTGGTGGATGTTTCATATTGGTATTCATCATGCTCGTAGACATAGCAGCCTACAGTTGGCTTATAATCTGGCACCAGAGAGTAACATCCGCCCAGATTGTCTGGGGTCATAGTGCTGGGAGTTGCGTCAGCGATTAATGCTCTTCCTTCTTTCCTACTGCATTGCAAAAAGAACTCACCTCGGGCAACAAAGTGCCATGGTTTGGCTCGGTTCCAATATTCTCGCCAACAAAGTTGCTGGGTCGTCGAAGGAGGGATAACGCTCGCTTGTCGAGGTGGTCAGGATTCCCGACTTACTGAGCGACTTGTTCCCGTCGCGTGCGGCCAGGCCCACTGTCGCCCATCCAGAGGGGCAGTACAGGCCTGGGGAGTAATACCCTCCATACCCAACCCACATATCATAGTCGCGCGATGCTGTTGCCGTCACGGTGGCGGTTGGAAGGCAGCCAGAATCGAACTCTTTGGTACATTGAACAGCATATTCAATACGCGCGAGGGAGTCAGTCACGTAGCCGAGTTGAAGATTGTCTATCGCAGAACAGCTCGTGGGCTGGGTGAAAGTCGTCGTAACAGGGCCATAGTTCTCAAAGTTCCACCATCCACCAGCGACTGAAACGTTAGGCATGGCTGCGATTGCTGGTCAAGTCTACGGTCTTAACCACTTCTCGAAAGATTTAGAACAGAGCATGTGAGAGGAGTAATATCTGGATTTTGAAAGGGGAGCGGGCCCATGGTCATGTTAAATGCAGGGGTCTCGCTTCTGTGGCGCAACAACAACACCCTCGAAAGCTGTTAGGGTGTTCAAATGAGACTTAAAAGTGCTTGACTTATCGGCGGGCAATCTCCTCTGATCCTCTCGCTCAGCAAGCGAAAGGCCGCCTAGGCCGGCTTGACAGGGACCAAAACCAATTTCAACCTCCTTCTAGTGCTCAGTCGGGTTAGTGATGTCTTTCAGGGTTGCATGGTGAGGTCAAATACTTCTCTTAGCCCCAAATTTTCGGGCTCGCCAAGACCTCCGCCAATATCTAGCGCCATGACAGTGGGCAAACTGCGGACACTATTGGATTCTCTAGGCAGCATTATCCTTGCCGGGGGGAGATTGCGTGAAGTAGCGCGCTTTTCTATATCCGAACATTCAGGTCAAAAGCTCAGAGTTCCCCAAAAGGAAACTTATCTCTGGGCCTTACTAGAGGAGTAAGAGGACCCAATAAGTCGCTTCCTGTTAAAGCGTATACGTGTTCTGTGAAGGAGAATATCTGCTTATTCGGTCAAATAGAACCTGCAAGAGTAACAAGGGCTCCTCATAAAGAATTCCGATGGGGCTCTACTGCGTGACTTGCTTGTAGTAGGAGCATTGATTCAGGAGCATTTTCCACAGGGAGGGCTACAGCCACACCTTGCTCCCACCACACACACTACACCTAATTTAATTTCGTGATCACCAGATAGGGCATAACTTTAGGGCGTATTACATCATTTTTACCTCCACATGTAACCTTCTTTTTAACCACATTGTATCTGATTACGCATACCAACAGAACAGTATAGCGTTGGAATGTACTCCCAACACCTTTTTAAGGCTTTACACTGGCCCTATTTGTCCAATAAATATAATATTAATAAAAATTTATCATTCCAGAAGCGATCCCGGAAGCGGCCTAAAATTATTATTACAGAGCATAATCATGGACCTAAACCTATCGACATGCATCCAACACTACGCCATATCGGTGTTGGGGAGAACACAGAGATATATAGATAGTAGAGTGGCCCAATTAGGTGTAGTAGGTATGGTGGGAGCGAGCGCGATATGGCCGTAGCACTGCCCTTTCCAGATTGATACTGCCCTCCCCGTAGCAGACGCACAGTCGACCGGTCTTGCCTTGCTTACTGTTACAATCGATTTGGCTAAACTCATCTGGAACCTCAATTGAAGTGGCATTAAGCGTTCGTACGGGATCAACCGCATTCCCCTCCTTACATACACCAAGGTGTGGGCGAACTAGCTTGGCTGTACCGGTATTACCAAGATATAACAGTTTAGTTCTAGGAATAGTTAGGATTCACTTAAGAAACGGGACGTGACGCCACTGAGAAAATAGGCAAAACAGGACACTATTCTCACCAGAATCGGATATTGTACAGTACACATTAATATTTCTTTATTCACTGCCACGAAGGCTGGTATGATCTAAGGTATTCTATGAAATAAGTTAACTGCATTCCACACAGGGGGATGTCTCAGCTAAAGCCTCCCTTTGCTCATCCACTACAATTCTACCTTGCTGCGGAATGAGAAGTGTGACACTGGGCTTTGTATAGTACATTGATAAGCGACGAATATCAACACCAATGGTAGAAACTAGCTTGCTGCTAAACCCTCCATGTAATCTCGAAATTTTGCCTCACTTCCTTACTGTTCTCTGAATTTATCTGTCTTTTCTAGTGCATTTTTTCCTTCTAGTCTATTGCACAGCACATTATTGTCAAAGTCACGTAATGAGTGGCTTAAAAATGAATCCTTATATGGAAATTGTCCCATCTCTTGGATATATTTTGAAGGGTTGTAAAAGCTGCTTCTGCGAGCACAATACGTTTCGTTAAATATCCCTTGATATGGCGCATTTGAAAATGCCGCTAAATTGTCCATTATTGGTAGAGGGGATATCACATATAAGTGTTAGAAAGGATCTGCGCAACATAAGTAGAAGTTACTGGCTTACCTAAATAGTACTAGACATAAGGTAATAAACTTCTGTAGCTGTTGAACAAAAAGGAAGGGGGCCTGTGCCATCGCCACGGTCAGACAGAGGTATGAGGTGCGGCACTATTCGGCTGCTTTAATAATAGCGGAGCACAGGAGGAATTAGGTGACAAATACTTCTTGGAATCCCTTCAAAAGATGGATTATAAACAGTCCGTCCACTTATTGTTTCGAAGAGGATCTTGAAATGCGAGCGCTGGCAAGAAGTTCGGCAGTGACAATTGATCGATCATCTTTCCAGAGATGCCATATGTGTTATCAGAGAAATCCTGATATGCAACTACGAACGAAGCCATGTATACGTCAAATAGCCCCGCAAACTTCTTTGGAAGGCAGAATTAATTTTGAAGCCTTGACGCGAGCTGGGGGGCTCTGGAATCGCGCTGACCACAGTTGTATCCATTAGCCATCGTCCGTCACCTGTTTGGGACATAGTTGATGTGTAGTCATTGAGGTTTTCCTCCTTGGTGAGGCTGAAAGTCTTGGGAGGCTTACAAACTATAGAAACATTGCATCAGACATTCAGGCTGTTTGCAATGAAACCAAGCCAATGGCTGGCGCGCGTGAATAGGGTCACTCACATTTACCTGTGAACAAGTTGTCGATGGTTCTTTGGATACGCTCCACAGGATCGTAGGTAGATCTGACCTAGTAGCTGAATTCCATGTTCGAACCCCATGTCGCATTATTCCACTCCGGACTGGTTTCCTTCCAGACCAGCTTGTTGGCGTGTGTGTTACGTATGCACCCGCATTGGCAGCTAATTTGACATTGAACTGGACAGCACTGTGTGGACAATGAGGGTCCTGTATGGGGCGGGAGAATGGAAATTGAACTGGCCGGTCAATTTGCTGTTACATTATTGGGCTTTAATACGTGCATAAACCAGTCACAGCACTAGTGTGGGTGGAGACGTACAAAGGTACCTACATGGGTGCAATTTTTATTCCATGGCTTGGCTGCGACCACATAGATTAGGAAGAAGTAGAGGTCACTATGCTACCCAGGATGGGGAATATGATAGCTGAGAGCCATTGCCATTGCCTGACTGATGAAACAATTGGTGGATGCTTATGCACGATTCATGATCTAGAGCGACCTTACACTTCTTGGAATCTATTTTTACTGGTGACGCGCGCTGTCGCACGCGGATGCCCTGAAACGATGTGGAAATATGGAAAATAAATGAAAGTAATAGCAATGGGGAGGTGATTAAGTAGGGTATTAAACCTTGCTGAGTTGTTTTTGTGATTAGTCTCGGACATGAAAGAAAGGTGTCCGAGAAAATCGAGTGTCATAAGAGTCGAGGAGATATTTCCGAGCAAACTCGGTCAGTGCTAAACACAGGCATGGGAGATATGTCTTGCAAAATCTGCAGCAAAAAAAAGTAGAGTGCAAACCTGCGGGACAGGTAAGTTGCATTTAGAAGACTGGAAAATGTGAGGGGTAGAATGTCGACATGATAAGTAAAAAGCATAAAAGTCTTGCTGGTGGAGAAGCAGGCTGATGAGAGACATTGGAGCCTGATCTTAACGAGAGCATCTAGATATCTCCTAGGACGATATAAGCAGGAAAGTCTCCATATACAGAATCTAACAGGTAATCCAACAGGGTTAGATCCGTCGTAGTATACAGGCGTATTTCATACCTATTTACTCCATGTTATATATTCTGACAGAATATGAACACTAAATGTGGGATGGCGATAAGCCAGTATGCAAGTAGAAGTAGAGCATAGACCGGAGGGGCTGGCGGCCATGAGATCAGAAAGCAGATGCAAAATTGAGAAAAGGCATACACAAAGCTCTTAGCTGTGTAGACCAATAAATTAGTATAACCTTAGAAGACCATGTAAATGAGACTTCCCTCGGAACAGGCAAGTAGAAGAACTAATTCATGCACAGGTTAAGGATATTACAACCAACAAGAATCTTGGGACATCGCAGCAACAGACCAAACGGAGAGCGCCTTATGTGGACGAGTGCTCCATTATTAATAATAGGGTCGTCGCTCTCCTCTGCTCGGTATGTCTTTTCATCCTCTTTAAGCGCATATTCAAATTGGTTACTAGGGGCCGAGGATGCGGTCCCCTGAGGCACATGAAAGCGGCGTCCGTAGACAACTTGTCCAAAGACAACAGTGTACTGGTGAAACTTTCTGCAATGGTTCCGTCATTCAAGCAGTGCTGGTCCAGATCATCTGTCTCGAAGTCGTGGATGGACATAGGCGATTTTTTCAATATTTAGCTGGGCAAACAGGTCATTGTCGAGGACGACAGCCGTACGGAAGAGAACACCCGGTCTCGGTTGCAGTCCAAAGACAGCGCCGCACAGTAGTAGCGATATCCCACAACCTAGAAAAGAAGAAGGCAAAGCTGCCCCACAGTCTTCCTGTAGCAAGATGGTTCGGAGCCAAGAAAGATTTGCGTACTTGATGCACGTATCAAAGAAGCACTGCAACTTTACCGCATTGCCAGTAGAATGGGACACAAGACGGGCAATCGGTGGTAGAATCTCGTGCGGAATTTGAGTCCTTTGATTTAAATACTCTGATAGATTCACTCAGTAATTGATTGATTGATTGTACATTGTTAAAATGGAATCAGTACATTAGAATAGTACACTATAAAGCTATTAAAGCCCCTTTTATTACAAACCCTCCGAAATGTGACCTTATTTACTTCATGTGTCTACATAATAGAGCTATATGATTTTCTGTGTCTATTACTGGAGTATGTGACCTTGCCTACGATCCTGTCTTGTTCTCGTGCAACTTTTATTATATTACAATCTTCCGAACTTCTGCTGATCCTAGTTAAACTATATCTAATTTGAATATCATACTAATCGCTTCTTCTTCATCATCGAACACGCAGTTTCGCGAATCCAACCTTATACTACTAGATTGGACCCTGTACAATTCAATATCATGATCGATGGTACCTCGAATTTCCTAAGAGAAATACGTGCCATATTCTATTGCTGTAGAGTAAGATTTATACAACACAAAGGAAAGGGTAAGTAGATAACTGTTTATAAACATAAGAGACCATTTAAATATTACAAATGCAGTGCATGTCTATCATCTATATGCACACTGCACCAATATTTGTAGTTCAATCTATACTATCGCCGCACCATACCGAAACCCCTTTTTGTAATGACCCCAGCCCCAGCCAAGGCGCCTTTTCGACCGGGCCCAAAGTCCGGGCGACCACCCAGTGTGCCAAATATATCTCCAATATAATTGCTCGGCCTGATACCAGCGGCAAAGGTTGTATCCCATGCATTCAGAATGCCACTGATGACTTTAATACCGGCAATATACAAATTCTGCACCGCGGGCTCGAACGCACCCTGATCGGCATACATCAGATTATCAATCGCCAACTGGCCGGGATACGGACGCTCGAAGTCCGAAGCCGTGCGCATGACGATGATACGAGAGAAATCCGTGCGATTATGGTAGGATGAACGTAGCAGCGCCTGGAGTGTGGCGTTATCTTCTTGTGCCGTGGCACAGTATTTGCCTGTTCCGTTGGTGAGGAGCTGGGTGGTGTTATCGAATCCTTCACTGAGAAGCGTTCCGCTGTAGTAAACGTCGGAGGTAGCGACGTCACATTCCACTACCGACGGGGTCTGCGTGGCCGCCTCGTAGACGCCATTAGCTGTGACATAGTTGCTGCGGTATTTCTTTGCCATGTCGGAGTCCGCGAGGGCGGCCTCCCTAGCGAACGAAGCAGCTATGGATCGTAGCTCGGAGTTCACCTCGAATACTTCGGTGCCGTAAATACTGGTCGGATACTGGTCTGGCGCGTGCGCACCTTGTGGAATATAGCCGGTTGAGTAGTTATGGGGGAGTTCTCGGAGATCAATCTCGTACTGGAGAGCGACTTGGATGGCGAACCGTGCAAAGGTCACTCCGCAGATCGTGCCAACCTTGGGGTTGATGCCGGCAATACCGGCAACGAGGAAGTAGGTATGGGTCAGATCGAAAAGAGGGGAGAAAGCAATGGATGATACTGTCACGGCGGCGTTGATTTCTCCTTCGCCGGTTATGAGCTGGCAAACGCTGTAGTCGGCAGTGCAATGCACATCTGGGAAGAGAGGCGAGGCACCAGGAATAGTGATATTGTGAGCCAAGAGGTCGAACTCGGGAATTCCCCACCAGGCAGATGCTTCGGGTTCAAACTAATGCTGTTAGATGTGTTTTCTTCTGTCGAACAGTGCATACCATAGACACAATGAACACTTTCGGTGTAATCTTATGGGGTGCATGTTTGACCTCTGCATTGTAGGGCCATGATGCGGGTTTCGCGGTGACAGCAGAAAGTAGAGAACTGCTGGCAAAGAGCAAGCCAGCACTGAGAGACCGGAAAAAGAGCATGACTTCTGATGTGTGTACTGTGCAATTCAGCGGCATCTTCCAGAATATCGACCGATATAGTAGCTATTAATATAGACCCCTGCAAGACTCTTCAGTGCATCAGCAACCGGGGGTCGCCGGCCGAAGCCTCAGGCATGAGTAAATCATGCCGGCAGTACGTACGGCAGTGATCCCGATGCGGCATGATCAGCGGGGATAAGACAATAAGGCGTAAGCCGCGATAAGCACCTTCAGGATTTCCATTGGCCGATGGGAGATAGCAGATATATTAGTATTCTATATAGATTAGCAGTATGGATTTGAGTGTTACTAATGGGAATCAAGAGCAGATACCGGGATCTTAGCCTATCGTAGATATTAAGACATGGTCTCTAATCATAGCGTTTCCATTTGCCTAGCAGATTCAGTTAACTTACACTGGATGCAGTTTAGATAAGTGATGGGTCAAACAAATTAAAAAAAAAAGATTGGCCAATCATACATACATACATCGGTGTCGTTAATCAAACACTTAGCTAATTCATGACTCAATACCAGATATTCCTTGAATATGGCATAGGACAGAAACAGGTAATTCCTTCAGTGACTAGCAATACAGTTGACTCATAATTCATACTCTACCTTATACATCAGAATTATCCCTAATTAAACACACAAAATCAAAGCAAAGTATGTGTAACAATTCTCCATTTCCCATCTGACGCCTGACTGCACGTCGTTGACCCAGTCGCCAAATACCCCTGATTACTACGGAATGAGCGTCTCCTTCATATACGGCTTGCTATCCAGCGTCAGGATCGGCGTCTGCAGAAGAGCAGGTTTGCTTCGGAGTTGGACAGTTTTTCAATTCGGGCCCAGGATTTGCAGACGTTATGGCCGTCCAGAGCGAGCGTTCTTTGATGAGGAGGTCTTCGCGGATGCGGTCGTGGATGGGTGGCATGGTGTGTAGCGATTCTCTAGGGTTTGAATGGGTGGATCGTTGTGTTTATTAATTTACATATTTTGGATATGTCAGGTACAATGTGATACGCATTTTAGGAATTCTGGTTGAAACTGGATTGACCCATGGTATAAGAATGCATGCTGACAGTACACTGATGTCATGCTCCTGGCTCAAGTGCATGACGTGTGATGCCGATCGAGTGAATTACAAGGTCCGGTGTCTTGTCGAGGAACTCCAATTGGAATGACTAAGATCAGCCATCTCTGCCTGTTGTTTGTTGATTGTGGATAAATTGTAGATAGTGAATGTACAGTGGGTGAGTGGTTTGGAAAGTGACCGCTATCAGCCGTGAGCGTTCTGGTTCGGTTATCGGTAGACTTGATGGAGAGCATTATAAACTTGACCGGGGGCGTGTTAACGTCCTATAAGACGTAATCTTGAATTGCATGTTTAATTAACATGATCTTTGTTACATTGTTCGATTTCCGTAGCAAACCCGGTCGAATGTATTCTTTTCCATAGGCTAGGGCTCGACATACTACATATGGTTAGATTCTACATTATTAGAAATTTTGGCGATATGATACTTATAGCACTACGATAGTGGACGCAGGTCAATAAGATTTAGATGTGCAGTTCGCTAGACACATTTAAGCAACTAATAACTCCAAAAGCAAGAAAGGGACCACAACTTTGTAGCAATCAGAAAGCCCTACACATTAATATTCAGCATTCACAAATCCATAGGATACTCCATTAAACCTGAGCTCGAATTTAATGTATCCAGACATAGGGGTCATAACGATATTGTAATTAGCTTTATAGTACTTCTTACCTTTAGAGTTCTTTGTTTCAAAGTGATCTTTAGTGACAGACCGAAGATCGTAGTGGAGTTGACATACAGAGACGTCTAAACATCCAAATTAGCTTAACGGTGCCACGGGACAAGCCTTCCACCACGAGTTTTCTCGCAGGAGCATATTTCTTGTGACAAAGGTATAAGTCGGTCGTCCCACAGAGGTTGCTTGGATTATATGGGCCGACTATCCAATAAAAGGAAGTTTAGTGGGATTGTCTTCGGTGATGGATTGACTCTATAAGAAATGGCTGAGAAATTCATGTCTGGACATGGAACGGTTTGTGTCCTTTTTGATATACCAACGTATCTGATTACCCTCTTTCCATTGCTCGTGAGGACCACCAGGCCTCGTTGGGCCTATGTCTCTAGGGGTTATAGGTGGCGTAAAAATCGATTCCATAATGTTGATGGGTAATTCATTCAATAACTGATTTCCACTTGATCCGTGTTGGACCGCGCCTCTGCATCCATTAGTAGTGTCATGTGCAGTGTCATCGGTACATGCTGTACTACAGCGGACCATCTGTAGATCATTAGCCTCGACTAGATAGAAACATTGGCGGGTGAACTGACGTGTTCCGCGGCTGTATCACCTTGTTAATCCCGAGAACGCAAGGAAGCTATGCAACGCACCCATCCAGCTGGATAAAGCCTACCTCTACCCCGATCCCAATATCGTCTTCGACACTGGGCATCGGCACAGAATACACCATCAAGTTCCTTATCAAATTTTGGCTTAATGGTGTCCTGACAATATTGAAGAGCCATGTAGTGTGATTTTTCGGGCATTTCATGGTGTTTTTCTCGACCAGACAGCTGGCTCAGCAAGTTTTCGAAGCGATCGTCCAACACTGTGGATCCGTACATTGCACCTATCATCTTAGCTGCATTCCTCTGTCACTACACACGAGAGAATGTACCTGCTCCGGCTAAGACCCCCGATACACTAAGGGATGGTCTCTTCAGAACGTAAGAGACCAAATCGACGGTGCTAACGCCGGCATAAACCACAAGGAGCGTGTCACCGTTCTACAAACTGTCAGCGTATGGTTCCAATGACAGTAATAAGTTATTCCCCTCGATCAACCTTCCATCCATCGCTCCCAGACAGTACAGTGCTGCTGCTTCGGGCTCAGACACCAAAGTGACACGACCGGCAGACATGTCTGCCTTCAAAGCCACTCTCATGATCGCATCCTTTGCCATATCCGATCAAACTGAAGGCACAGTCAGTTGCAAGAGACCCTAGATGTGAGTGACCAGATGCGAATCGTAGGCCCCCGCTACATCCACGGCGGTCTTGTCGTGCTCTCTCAGCAGCAGGTTAGAAGCCACAGAGGGCTGGTACTAGGATTTCTGACAGTTATCGAGAAGGAGCCTTGAATGACTTGGTTTGATAACTCCGTAGAGCTTGGAGCCCGAGTAGGTGATTGTTGTCCGGTTCTTGGGGGCAGTTCCTGGATTCATTAGAGTAAGCAGAGCTGGGGAGACAAGAGACATACTGTTTCCGCACCCAGGCCAAGTAGAAACTATTTCAGTTTCGGCAGCTCAGCTATCTAGGCATCATGATATACCGCTATAGCTGGTCGAAGTCTAGCGCGAGTGGCCTGGAGCGTTCAGAAGAGAGCATCATGTGAGCAAAGTGGGTTCAGAACATCCTGTTTGGTATGTGTCGCTCACGGAAGAAAATCATCAAATTCTGATTTATATACAAGTGCTATTATCACATATTGGCAATGGAAATACACAACACAGTCAGAGTTCGATCAGAATGGCACATTGACCACACAGGATATGAGCCCTCGAGCAAGCCTTCCGCGCATATTTGGCTTGAGCTCTGACCAGACATGGCCATGGAAAATTGTACTCCTTATATACCATTTGCCAGGAGAATCGTAACCCCATTCCTCAGAGATGGTGATAAGCAGTAAAACACTCCAGGAAGCTCTTCTCCACAAGTAATAGCTGAAGTCGAGATGATTGAGAATAAAAAGCCACATCAATGCGATAGCGATCTATAGAACTAGAGTACTAGCTCGGGAGCGAACGAGAGACCAACAACAAGCAGACCCTAAAACTTCTAAAGAAAACCAACACATTGAACTATTATCCTGATCCATTAAACGATGAGGAAGCGAGTAGCATCATGACGGTGCTCCCTCGACGCGTCGACGCCTGGGTGATAAAAAATTTCGCAGACATAACCCGACTGAAAGGTCCGCCATCGTTGAGAATCACTCAGGCTGAGCGTCCACATACCATGCCCTATTTTTTGGGCTCCTGCACATGCCGTGATGAATACATCTGCCGGCATATCTTCTCGTGGACTATCCCAGGACCTGAAACCGTCCGAAAAGAAGATCACTGGAGACTCATGCAAGCGAGGATCGTCCAAGACTGTATTGTATCTTCCGTCCGTGCCATTGGACCGAAAGTATTAACCGAGCAGGCCCACATGTCGCCAGCCACTGACGAGTCGCTAGTAGCATGGCATTCAAGCACATGCACTATGGCACACCAAGGTTTGCGCTACGATTCTCTGGCCCGAGTTCGGGCTGGGTGAATATGCATGCACCCCACCGGGAGGCAGGATGGCGCGGTTAGCACAAATCATGCAGCAAATGCGCCAATTTCAAGTGGACAATTGAGCGACTGGAATAAGTATACTATTTGTCCACAGTGCGGCGTGCCAGGTGCACACGGATAAGATGAAGAGCGTCACGAGCGGAAAGCAGATGGTACGGCTGAGTCTATGGCCGGGATTATGCGAAGACACTGAGGGCGGGAAGCAAGGGTTTGAGCCGAAGCTAGTATGGGGGGTTGAACCGACGGGGACATAAGACTGAAATCACCAGGAGTGATTGAGAGAGCAGTGAGCTGTGGAGCAGTGAGCACTAGTTGGATACGAGGTCGGGCCTAAGTACGGAGTATTGGCGCCAACCATCTTGTAGTTTTTACCGGGGTTAATCTTAATTTAGTTAATTTAGTTAATTTGAATGATTGATGGTAAAATGACCAAGTAAACCGAAGAAAACGCATCATCCGAATTAAACGCCATTGGCAAATCCACTTCCCCCAGCATCCGTATCAATCCGCACTGAATCCATCAACCCACAGACTTCAAACAATTTCTTTGGTCCCAACCCATCCGGAATACCAGTAATACCATCCTTCTTCAATCTCTCTAACGCTCCCTTGATACCTAGATACGCCGGAGCCAGAGACGCAAACGAGAAGATCATAATCCGGAACCCCATCTCCTGAGCCTCCTTGGTAGTAATCACCGGCCCGGCCCCATTCTCCACCATGTTCAACAACAACGGCCAAGGAGCTAGATCCTGCACGGCCTGTCTTGCCTGTTCCTTGGAGGTGAACCCCTCGAGCAGTCCAACGTCGGCGCCTAGATCACGCGCCGCTTTCAGTCGCTTAATACACTCGTCGTAGCCGTGTTGCTGCAGCGCGTCGGTGCGCGCAATCAACACAATGTCAGAGTGCAGTCGGTCCTTGGTGAGTTTCGCAGCCCGGATCCGAGTCAGATATTCTTCGATGGCCACGACTTTCTTACCGGCGAGATGGCCGCAGCGTTTGTTTTGGATTTGGTCTTCGATGTGGAAGCCGGCGACGCCGGCTTGGATGTATTGTTGCACGGATTTGGAAACCATTAAAGGGCCTATATCGTCAGCATTTTTATATAGAATATATTGGAGGCGGAAGAAGTATACCTCCATACCCCGTATCCATATCCGCAATGAGAGGCGGTCCATACGGATCCAAATTCGCAATCATCTCGGCATTAGTGCGCATATCGTATAGCTGAGCCAGGCCCAGGTCGGCCATACCCAGTCTGGAGGCCGTTGTTCCAGCTCCAGTCTAATTTATTAGATATCTCACTAATGGCATGGATACGGTAGAGGGAGGTACCATGTAGAGAGCCTTGAAGCCAACCTCCATAGCCACCCGCGCAGACAGCCCATCATACACACCGGGGCACACGATCAACTCGTTGGAGTCGTGGAGTTGACGACGAAGTTTGGAGGCTCCGGCCAACATGTGCAGCGACACGGTGGGCTCCTGCCGCGTGCCATTGACTTCGTAGTAGCCGTCTTTTTCAACGGTGATGGTGATGGCCATGCTGGAGGTGGAGTGGGAGGCGGAGGTGGACGTTGAGATGGGGGTGGAGGGTTCTTCAACTTTCATTATGTGTATCTAAACTCAAGAAGATGAGATACTATCTTTTCTGAATCTTAGAAGTGTCTGAACTAGGAGCTTCTGAGGTCAAAGGAAGACCTTTATATAGGCCATTCTCATACCTCGGAGAAAATTCCCTCCGGGATGAAACCCTGGCGCATCCTACCAACCTCCCCATGTACCGAGTAGTATAGAATGCAACTCAAGTACTTGGCTGAAGAGAAGGTCATGCTCAATTGCTCATCATCAACCGGGGTCCCGACGAATGACAAGACCGAACCAGATCATTGCAGCACTACCTGGGACATATCCGGAGTCCGGAGACCCCGAAACGAAACCTTCCAAGGTCAGATGAGGGGGGAATACCCCCCGTCTCTTCCCAGAGTAGAAATTGCAGACACGATCTTGGCGAAGAGATAAGCAGTTGGCCCTGACGATGTGGAGCTTGTCCCCAGACAAGGGGATGGGATAAGTCCGTGTGAATAGGCGAGACTTCCTCCAGACCAGAGGTGACTGCACGCCAAGGGTTGGCAGCGAGTCACTGGCTCAAAAACTGAAAAGTAGGGCTTGTCAAGATGTATGTCAGACTGCGGGTTGTGATCCGCATTGCTCGGTTCTTGGCCTCATATCTTTCCCTTTTTATTTTATTTCTCATTTTTGCTGCATGGCTAGCCCCGTGTTTGTGGGTTGATCTGCGTTTATTCGGAGGATTTCTCATTTATTTCCCTTTATCCTTTTTTTTTTTTCATTCTTTTTTTAAAAAATTCATTTGATTCCGTGTCCAATTGTCAGTGTCGAGAATATAAAATATGGAATATGAAATGCGAAAAGCAAACCTAATCAGAAGCATAAAAAGTAAGTCTAGACCAGAATTACTCAATCAATAGCGTAATTCATCCATCGACTCCATCAAAGTACATACCTACATATAGGCATTTGAACTGGCTGACTCCACGACAAGTCTAATAAGACGCAGGTGAAACGACAGGCTGAGAATGATGGATCCAGACCAGTCAGCCATCCACGAGGACTCCAACCAGGGACGGGTGAAGAGAAAGCACCGCAGGAACCCTAGTAAGAATCAAAATTAATATCCGGCCATATATCACCGAGTAGTACTGACTGTGGCTGTGCTGAATCCCCGGAAGTCGAATTTTGAACTCTTCCTTCGGGACGAAATTCGCCGGAGCCGTCTTTCTCTCTTCTCCCAATACCTCTCTACTCCATAGATAACTGAGAACTCAGCCTGGTAAGGAGCAGATCCACCGTCCTCAGTCCTCTCCACGGAACGGCCCGTAAAAGAAGGGGAAACGGAAGATCTGGTATGGTGCCGAGAATCGGGTTTCAAAGCCAAGGACCTTGGCTGGGCCCGGCGGAGAGGAGATGAGCTCAACTGCTGAAGAGATGGAGAAGAGGGGGAATGTCGTAATCGGGGATTCCTCCGGAGTTCTGCGGTGGTGATTGTCTGTCGATCAAGTGGTGGTACACATCCCGTCTATCCAACTATCCCATCCATCCCATTCATCCCATCCATCCCATCCTATCCCGCCTATCCCGCCTATCCGTCCATCCATCCATGCATATGGATAGTACTCAGGTTATACAGCATTGAGGCGGAGTTGGCATGTGCTTTCTTCTTCCTTCTTTTTTTTATTTTATTTTTTAACAAATAATGAAATAAATAAAAAATAAAATAAAAAACGAAAAGAGAATGCCAAGATAAGGCCAAGAAACTAGTCTTGATAAACATCCGCACGGCACGTTCGAAGCGATTGGACAGGATCCGTCGGGGATGGAGCCTTTGAACCGGGGCTTGATCCTGGTGATTGATGCCGAGTTACGTAGGCTGCGGGAGTGACCCGGTTGGATTTGTCATGAGGCATTATCTGCTGTCCATATTTGGGTTGTTATGGCTATTAGCGTCATGGTATCAGGGTTATCAAACATGGAGGCTCTGCCGTGCTGCACAAAACATCATCCGATTACTCAGAAACTTCTCGCCAAGGAATCTCTGCGAATCAATCCCCTCAGCGCTTAGGTCATATTTGTCGATCGCCATGTTGAGTAGTAAGTAGTAAGAGGGCCTCATACCCAAGTAATCCTGCAGAATTCTCTGCACGATGGAGACGGAATTGGACCTGATTCGTCTGATGGTTATCTCCGTATAGTGTCAGTCAGCTTTGACCCACTAATTGCTAACTAATGTTGAATGACAGAAGTCTCGGCTTCTTGGCTTCACAGTAGAGATATTTATTAGACATTATGGAAATATTTCCTGTCTATATTGGTAGTTCATCCTCTCTATTGCCATGTTAGACCTGAAGAAGAATCGTCTCTCGACCTTTCTGAGAGCGGAGATCCAGCCTCAATATGCCCATTGGCCTCTTCTCGCCTGCTGTTTTTCTTCAGGTTTAGTGGATAGCACGATTTACAATGGTATGTATCTCATTCCCATGCTCAGACATTCCTGACGGCTAATGATATAGCGTACAATACATTTGTCTCGATGCAAACCGGTCCGTCTCCGCAAATCGATACAAATACATAATCCACATATTCAGAACTGATGGAAATGCATAGGAAATACAATCTTCGTCGGCCTCGGCGCATCCAATCTCAACCCCCGTCCATACGGCTGGGCTCGCTCCCTCACCTCCATCGGCTGCTTCATCATCGGTTCATTCATCTTCGCTCGTCTGAACCGTTTCCTGGGCGCGACAAAACGAGGAACCCTCATCCTCTCCTTCCTGCTCCAGGTCATCATGCTGATTATCACGGCCGTCCTGGTACAAAGCGGTGCCATCGCCGGCATCCCGAAGAATAATACCTCTTCCACCGATACAGAATGGACCCAGGAAGCACCCATCGTGCTCCTGAGTATCCAATCCGCCGGACAGATCGTGGCAAGTCGCGCGCTGGGATTCAATGAGATTCCAACTGTGGTTATCACGAGTCTTCTTTGTGATTTGATGTCGGACCCGAAGCTGTTTCTTGTGCGGAACGAGAAGCGCGATCGGCGTGTGATTGCTTTCGTGCTCACTATGGTGGGTGCTATCGCTGGTGGTTGGATTACCAAGGGGACTGGGAATATCTTCGCGGCGTTGTGGATTGCGACGGGGTTGAAATTGGGGATTGTGCTGGGGTGGATGGGGTGGTCTTCTTCTATATAATATAACTATATTGTGGTTTAGTATTAGATTACTGAACCATTAGAGTACTGATTATTCGATGATATCAAGCAACCCAAATATTATCCTCCGCAAATCCACCCACCACCCAGGAATCAGGAAAATACCGCTGCAACACCACCGCCTCATAATCCATATCATCAACGCAGTAATCACCGCCGGAAGGCGCAATATGCGCACAGTGAACATCCGGCCGATACGAAACCATATGTTTATGAACCTCCCGACAGAGGAGTGTATTCCTTCCGAGTTCAAATGGCATTCCGAACCGCGTCTCCATAGTAAGAAACTCCACACACTGCTCATGACTCTCGTAGTGTTCATACGATGCACAATTTTGCATACTAACCTCGCACACAGTGTCGGCAATCAGTCCCGCGACGCGAGTCTTCGCCTCGTCTACCGTCGTCTGGAATTCCTCTGCCGCGAGACGAAGTAGTCGGTCGACGTAGTAGTCGAACCAGCGGAATGTAGCGTCGTACTGTATGATCTGGCCATCCTGGTTGAACTCGATCCAGGTGTCGATGGTGATGGGGAGGATGGTCTGGAAGGCTGTCACGTTGAATGTGACCACCGTTGTGGCGGACGCGATGCGGTCGTTGCCGCTGAATTGGGTGATATCATAGGCGATAGGTACACCGGTTAGACTGACAGATTCCGGCTGCGTGAAGAGTCCGAAGATGTATTCGTTGTTGAGATCGCGGCCGGTGAAGGTTCGGGTGATGTCGACGCGGCCGTGGACCTATACATAGATATTAGTGATATAGGATGTACGATGTAGGATGGGATGAAGGCTTACATTCTCAGCGAAGACGGACGTGTCGGTGGCGTTGATCTGCTTAGTATTGGCTGGATAGAGGAATTGCGTCCAGAAGTGGTTCTCCAGCGTCCAGAGCTGGTCCACGGTGAATGCCTGGACCAGGGGGATTAGAAGAAGCCAGTACATGATAGATAGATAGATAGACGGGCAGATAGATAGACAGAGATACATAAAATGAATAGAACTAAATTAATTGATGACTGTTTGACTGAAGATGGAAGAGTATTCAAGGGATGGCGTAAGGGGTTTATATGTACACAGCCACCATTCCAGTCCTTGATTCAAGCCATCTGACAAACTTGTATCACACGATCGGGTGCATCTTATGGAAGATATTCCTGGAATCATATCTCTTCTTGACCTCGCGAAGTCGAGGGAGATTCCCCCCGTAGATGTTCTTCACCACCACGTCGCCCGCTATTTCGTCAGCAGTCAGCATGTTATTCTTTGATCTCAGTCAGGGGATCTTACGTTCGGCATAATTGATATACTGAGGAACATCCTCCTCCGGTCCACTCCGATCAAACTCCTGCTGGAACCGGGACTGAATATCTCGAGCCCACTGCCGATACACGGCATCCATCTCCTCGCTCGTCCACCGCAGTGTCAACAGTCCATTCTGCGTAGCACTCCGATTGGCAAACGCTGTAGCCTGCAAGGGCACATCGCAGGTCCGACGCATATCGTACCACTCCAGCAACAAGGCGGGTATCAAGTCGGGATGCTCGTCGTTCTTCGCGTTCATCTCGTCCAGCACGCTGCGCAGGAACCGCGCATCCAGCGGCGTGCGGAAAAACACCCCCTTGAACGTCTTGCGATCGCCGTACGTCGCCATTGGATTCTGCAACGAATTCACCTGCGAGTACGGGATCATACGGATCATGTTGACCATCGGTTCCAGCGCCAGGAGGTCCGCGAATCGACGCTCGCCCTCCTCCTGCGTGCCGTTATAAAACACCAGCACGTTTGCCAGCATACTCGGCGCCCCCGGCGGCTGCGCCAGAATACACATCGCCCCCGACCGGGGATCCGTTTTCTCCATCAGCTGGTTCAAGGCCTGCACCACTCCTTCCAGCTTCTCCGGCGCAAACGACGCGATCCCCGCATACACGGGGTCGGACTGCGGATACGCCTGGAACGTGAACTCGACCACGATGCCGAAATTGTATCCCGCGCCGCGCAAGCCCCAGAAGAGATCCTGATGGGACTCCTCGGACGCTGTAACCACCTCCCCGGTGGCCAACACCACCGTCGCCGATCGGAGATTGTCAATCGTGAGTCCGTACTGTCCGCTCAGCCAACCGTACCCACCTCCCAGCGTCAATCCGCCCACTCCAGTGTGGTTCACTGTGCCCCCGACCGCGGCAAGCCCGTACTGCGCCGCAGTCTCGTCCACGTCCTTCCACACTGCGCCGCCGCCCACCCGTAGCGTCTGCGTCGTCTCGTCCACCGTGACGCGGTTCATCCGAGATAGATCAATTACCAGTCCGCCGTCGCTGGAACTGGTTCCCGCCACGGAGTGTCCGCCGCCTTTGACGGCTATGTCTATCCCGTGGGTCTGGGCCCAAAGTAGCGCTGTGCGAACATCGTCCGTCTCAGTGGGCATGACCACCACTCCCTGCCTAGTTAATATATGCTTATACATACCGAAGGATAAAGGATACTTACAGCGGGTTTAACTCCCGTCTCGGACCATCGACGCAAACTCTCCTGATACCCCGGGGAATCCGGCGTGTAGACAGTGGAGGAGTGCAGCGTGCTGCGGAGGGATTCCAGAGCAGTATTCTCGATAGCCATGTCGTATAGGTGTATCCTCTAACAGGGAATAGTAAGAAGGACAGATCAGATCCCTGAGTGGGATCGACGCGGGAGTGGTGGTTGCTAGTGCGCTTAGCGAGCCGATCTCCACCGATTATACAATCGATCTTTCGGAATGCTTCCGGTCAAACATTAGTACGATTTATGTTTGATATTATGCTTGATACTTACGCATAATAATATCAAATGTAAATATACAGTAGAGTCGGCTAGTGAATTACCCAGGTAGTTTTAGTAATGTATAAAGCGGTATCTATGATATTATATTAAGAGTATATCAAATACTAAGTGTTGAAAACATTGATTGGTAGAAATATCAAGCTGGGAGGTTGCTAGAATAGTTAAGTAGACTGCAAGTCTTGACCACAACTATCTATAGGGAGAATATGTTGTGGAGTCAAGTTTGATTATGTGTATTTCTTCAGAGCAGACTGGAGTTTGATAATTTAGTTAGGGGGATGTATTATTTTTCTGCAATTAACACATTACTAGTATATAAACTGACTAACTTGTAACTGCTAAATATACCTGTAACTGACTACAGCTGGACACATGAAGTTGGAGGTCATATCTATTTATCTCAAAGTTAAACCGTAGATCTTTCTACCCACTACATAATATACTCTCTCCGAGTCCTACTTAGAATATCGCTCATACAACTCCGGATACCACTTCTTCCCCACGTCAGGATGGCTAATGATACGATTTCGAAGGTATGCCTCGCCGAACTACCCAGTCAGCACAAAAGTAGCTAGTCAAGGATAAGACCTACACAGGAATACAACGGCGAGAGAAACTCGCTCGGAACATCGACGGCGCGTTTCTTGCGATCATCACTGGCGGGGATACGCTGCACAATATGCGCGGCGGACTCCTCCAGCTGTGGGAGCGTCAAGTCCATGCGCACGCCCATGAAAAATGGAATGCTGTATCGGGTTCGGGAGATGGGAGCCTATTTTATTAATACATAGAGAAAAGTTGGGGGGAGGAGGGGGAGGGAGAATACCACAACCCGATGCGTTGTCGCCGTACAAATACCCCCCGTGATGGCTTCAAATCCTTGCTGGATATTCACAACCAAAGTCCCCGGGATAGGTGGTGCATCGATCCATTCACCATTTTTGTTCAGCACTTGCAGTCCACCGGTATCGTCTTGCGCCAGGAAGGTGAATAACCCCGTCGAGTCCTTGTGGGGACCGACGCCCTGCGAACCAGGCGCGACAGGGGGATATTTGATGAATTTCAGTCGGTCCATGTTTCCCAGGAAGGAGTCGAAAGTGGACGTCGGCAGGGATAGACATTCTGCAACGGCACGCACGAATTGTCGCGCCAGAGAGGCGCTGGACTGGATGTATTCCTCAACAAGGTCTTTGGTGTGTTCCGTGGGATACTATATAATAACTCTTAAGGTCGTCTATTTAACCCGAATAATTACGGTACTTACCTGACTTTCCCCCTCAAGCCGTTGCCAGATGGGATCTTCCAGAGCCCATTTCTTCATACCGGGGGATCCGAAATCATATTGCTGTCTATGTCAGATGCGTAGAAGTATCAACTTATAGAATTGGACGAACCTCCCGCCAGTCCGTCCTGCTTGCGGTCGTCTCCGCACCTAGACAGGTATATCCCACGAAAGAGGGAGAATGGATCATATTGACGCTCTGCTTGACCTCGTCGGACAGGTCGAAGAGCTCAGGGAGATGGGCATGGGCACGACGGATGAGATCCTCCAGGCCGTGGTTGGTCAGGTAGAGGAATCCGACCTGGAAGATGGCATCGCGGAGCTGGGCAAGTGCTTCCGGTTTGGTGTCGGAGTGCAAAGCCTGCCAGTCAATCAGGGGGATAGAGGAGAATGTCATTTTGTTGTATTCACCGATCTTGTCGTGTGTGTTGTTGGAGTCATCGTTCGGGATGGCTGACTCGGTGGGGTCGGCCAATCACCTCGGCTATACGATTCATGTCTACGGACACGAAGTAAGAAACTACCTATAGACAGATGTTTCTCTCTCTTCAACTCCTATCAATTCAGAATACTAGGATTATTCGTATGCCATACATCAGCTATCAAACCTTCTATACCCAAACACTCACCAACGCCAAAAAAACATACACAAAAAATAACATAAAATAAAAATGAGAGAGAGATCATAGTGATATCCTCGAAAAGTAACCCTTCTCAAACGAATATGTCGACGACGAACTCTGCTCCTCCACCGGAACAGGAATACTGATCTTAGTGGCATCAAACTCCCACGCCGCCTGCCGCGCCTCTCTCGAATTGCGCAGATAAAAAGGCAACGTCCATTCCTTCAACCGACCCTCGAGGAAGCTCATATCGCGATGTTTCTCCCACATGCGTCGCGATGATCGGAACGCCGCGTTGACCGTCTCGCGTCGCAGGTCTTCATAGGCTTTGAATGCAGCGGACGGTGGCTCGTGCCGATGTTTGGATAGGATCCGCGAGAAGAGAATCGCGTCGTCGAGTGCGTATGCGGCGGATTCGTCTCGAGGGGGCATCTACATATTTAGTATAACCCGGAAATATAGGATATAGGGTATAGGATATAGATAGACTTACAGCATGCGCAGCATCACCTAATAGCATCACCCGTTCCGTATGCCATCGTACTCCCGGCCGGACCTGATATACAGGATACATCATCCAATCGGCGGGATTGCTCGTCATCTCGCGAATACAGGGCAGACCGGATTTACCGAACCGAATACGCATCTCCTCACTGAGGGCGCGTTTAATGGTTGCTTTTTTGCGCCAATCCGCTCCACTCTCCAATCGGTACTGTGAGAGCAAGTTCTCCGGAACCTGCACGATAGCCGCGAGGAAGATCTGCTCGTGTTCACGGTCACAGTAACTGGAGATGAGCGAGCCATGTCGCGAGATATTCAAGGCGGTGGATCGGAAATGGATCGGAGCCTTCACCGTCTTAGACTCCACGACGGTCTGCACAAATGATATCCCCGTGTATTCGGAGACGGATCCCGGAGCCACCCATTTGGTTCGAGTGGCCGAATGCACGCCGTCACATCCCAGCACCAGATCTGCCTTCGCGGTGGTGCCGTCCTGGAAATACAAGATAGCTTGGTCGGAGGTTTCCTCGCCGCGTATCAGTTTCTTCCCGAACACTACGTTGACGTTCTTCGTACGCTCCACGGTCGTCAGCATCGCCATGGAGAGCATAATCCGCATCACTCTTCGTCCCTTGTATCCGCCGATGCCTTTCCCGGACGAGTCTGTGAAATCGATAGACCCGAGCTGCCGTCCCGATCGACTAGAGAAAACCTCGATGGCATCGACATCCGATCCGCCCTCTACGCCGAGTCGGTCCAACTCCTCCAGCACGCCTAGCTGGTCGAGATGTCGTTGTGCTACGGGGGTGAGGTTGATGGCGCCGCCGGAAGTGGAGAGTATCTCGTGTCGTTCGAAGATATTGATCTGCAGGTCGGGAACGAACGGGGTCAGTTCTTTGGCCAGAGACAAAGCACAAGCGATACCGGCGATCCCGGCCCCGACGATAGCGATGGTTCGCGGGGCCATGATCGCGGTCAGAGAGCGTTCACATTCGCTTTCCGGTTCTCGCACCCGTTCAGATTCTGTCCAGAAATTGCACCAGTCAATGGGGGCGGGAGGTTCGGCCGCGTTCATCTCAACGGTGGACATGGACATGAATTCGGGGATCGCGCCATCAACATCAATCCTGTGTATTGTGTTATGGACGATTGACGGGTTGATATAGAGTGATTGGGCGAGGGGTCGTGAGCATAAATCCTTCGCGGGACCAGGACGCGGCCATAAGGGGCGATATAAAGTAAAATAAATCAATCTACCGGAAAATGAAAATAAAAAATAGCAATTAAAAATAACAATTAAAAATAAAAAAAGACAATTCGGCCGGATGGCGACCGTTCGGAACCAAAAATGCGAAATCTCTGCAATCCACCGTCGATGCAGATGCCGTCACTGGCTCCACCGGCTGTCTGTCACGGAAGAACAGCCGCTCGGCATTGACACTAGTATACCTCCAGATAGTACTAAATAAATGGTTGCATCACAGATCCTACAAATTGTACAGCGCACAGAATACAAAGCAGGAGAAGAATTCATCATCCATCCTTAACATTCTCCTGCAGATTCTGCTTCTGCACCAGCATCTGCATCCAGGAACCCTACGCTAGCATTAGGTACATTGTTAGACGGGGAATATTGATAAGTTGCATTAGTGCCTCGGTAACAGTCGAACCAGTTTTTTCTCCTTAGCCCTCTTCGGTTTTCACAATGCACGGGGATTCTAGGACAGATTGTATCTACTCTGCAGAACCATTCATGATTCCACGATCCATAGAATACCCAAAGAAACCCGATAAAGTAGACTTTCTGTAAATTTATCATGCCCCGAATGCAAAAGATAATCTTACCCGTTCAGACACCGATCGAACAATCCAGAGCCTGAGCCATCCCAGGTATTCCAGTACTCCGATTCCGCTCCGTTCGTTCCATGGTTTCTCCGAAACAGGCTACCACCGTACTTCCTTGTCTTGACCCTGACTGACAGTCTGACAGCCACTAGACTTGATGATCCATGGAATGTCGATCACAAACGTCTGGACGGTTTATCCGCCACGTCCCTTTCGATTGGCGTAGTCGGTGCATCCACCCGCAGGAAAAATTAACCCAGTCCCCGTGAGTTCTGCGGAAGTTGAGAAATGCACAGACTTGTGATGGATAGACTTTTCTTCTCACTCTCTATACCTTTTGGGGGGTTTTAGTGGAGTACGGAGTACTAACTTACGAGTAGATACCTAGGGGGACGTTAGACTATGGTTGAGTTTGACACTTGTCTATCCGTACTGAATTGCGTTCCATGTGAATTGATGGGTCGGGCTATATTTATGAGAGACTAATCATTGGTTCAGGCTAGAGAACGATTTCCGGGCTAAGGGATTATCATCTTAATTTTATGGATGAATAACTGTTGGTTATGAGTTAGCCGGGTAAATCTCGGGAGTACGACTTCTCTACGGAGTATTTGTGGGGGCTACATACAGTTAACGCGCCTTGAATAGTCTACTATTGATGATATGTCGCTTCTATTCAGGTAACCATGTTGTATCTCAGACAACATATACTCCGTACCTGGCTCGTCCAACCGGCTAGGTATCCCACGACAGGCTAACAGTACCCCAACTCTTGGCAGAATATGATAGATCACCCACTTAGTTGAGCTCCGGCCTTCATATTCTAATCTATTTTAAATGCTCAATGTTTAATTGTCGACGTATCATGCATCACATTCGTTGGCTTTTCCGCCCCTGGACCTTGGAATCCAAATTGACAAAGGCGTTGATGCCAGAGAGCAAGCACATGCCAGCTACCCACGTTAGCACGTTAGCGCCGATCAAGCAGACGAGAAGTAAAACACACCCAGTACGCAATTCATCTCGTAATACCCAAATCGCTCAGTCAAATACCCAGACAGAATTGGTCCGATTAGCATCCCCGTAGTCCAGCCCATGCTGGAAACGGATAGCGCTCGCGAGTATCCCCCATTAGGTCCAAAGATCCCCGGGTGTTTCTCTTCGATCTCATCGACGGTCACTGTATCCGGATAGAGTTAGAAAGCAGCAACTGTATCCTGTTCATGGACAAGGATAAGGAACACACCTGTAGCCTCGATAGTACCGGCCCCGTTCAAAAGACATGTCAGAATCCCCGCCCCCGTCATAGCCAGAGTGTAGACGATCTGTCCCCGGTCTTGATTCACCCACGGAAATCGCTCGTCACCCGGCGTCCCTAACAGCCACAAGACAGGGGCCACGCTGATGAAACCGACCGTCGTTGGCCAGCGGGTCCCAACCCGGTCTTTCAACCATCCACAAAGAGGACTGAGCACAATGCCCGGCCCCTGAAATGCAAGAAACATCATCCCGGACAGCATACTCCCCCAGTGGAACACGTCGCGGACGTGCAGGGGAAGGGTGGTATCGAAGCTCGTCGTCAGTATGCCAAACATGAGGTAGCTTACAACCCCGCAGACGAATTTCCGATGCCGGAACATGTACGTGTAAAACTGCAGTCCCGTCTTTTCTTCCACTTCGCTGTTGTCGCAGGTATTTGATAGTAAAGGAGCGTTCTCCGAGTCACCATCATGCGACCCTACTGCAAATCAGTAACGCCACCCAAAGGAGAGGATCTGTCGGCGTCATCGTACCTGGATGTGCTCTCGGTTTCTCGACCATAAGCACGCGACAGATAATATCGAGAAGGAGAATCGCAAAGGCACTGGACCATGCCGTCCAGTACCCGCCCAGCTCAAACAGCACACCAGCCACGATGGGACCACCGGAGGTCCCGGCTCCGACAACCACGGAAACAATGCCGTATGTCTTTCCCAGATGCTCTGGTTGAACATTGTCCGCTATGGTTGCATATCCTACCACCCAGATGAACGAGCTAGCGACTGACTGGATGAGCCGACCGATGAATAGTACGGTCGCTTATTAATTTTCCTCGTCAGCGCGCACGATCGCTATTCGAAATTGTCATGTACATACTTGACGTCGCGAGGGCTAACACAATCGACCCTACCAATGCCACCGCGAGGGATACCAGCAGAATCGCCTTTTTGGAAGGCAATGTATCCGCATAGTGGCCGATAAAAGGACTGCAGACGAGGGAGACGATGGAAGATTCAGCCAACAGGGCGAAACTCAAGCGCTGAGTCAAGGACGGGTCGACGGCGAGGCGATTCTCGAGAACGTAGGGGAGGATGGGCACTAGAAAGGTGTAGAGATAAACGTCTGATTGAGTTAGCTCGCGTTTGGGTAGGGTTACATCGACTGCAAGTTACCGGTGAACAGGGCCATTAACATGGCACCCACGATGAAAACCGGGGAGGAGCGCCATCGTTGGCCCCATGTGGCTTCGTTGATGCTCATGATGCAAGGTATAATGATGCAAGGTACTGTAACCTGAAGACGAACACATTACAAAGTCGTGATAGGGATGATAACGTATCCAATTACTCACCGCCCGATATCACTCAACACCCAATTTTCATCTACACACCGACCTTTTAGATAGACTACAATACCATCAACATAGGCTCAATTGAAGAAGCAATTGCAGATATAAATCTTTGAAATCAGGTAATAAGATTAATTTATACAAAATTTGCTAAACGGCATAGCGTTGACCGGTCATTGCTATCGAGACATCACCACAATATATAGAACTCTCGCAAAGTAGAGAGCGAAGAGCTTATTAATAAATTAATAATCGCACTGAGCGCGTCTACCACTATCTTTATAACGCGTGTAGGATAGAAATAGAGAGAGTGGATTACTACAATTGCTTGTATTTGCGCGGATGGAATATCTTTTTCTCCTGGTCTTATACGGTAACTTATACCAAGCTGTCTGGAAAAATTCAAGATAATTGTCAAGGGCTGGACCCATAGAACCTACAAGATAGGTTATGTACAAGAAGGAATCGTTGAAGAAGGGAAGAAAGGAAAAGGAAAATAAGCGGTAAACAAACAAGGTGGGCAGTCACGTGACATGGATCGAGGGCCAATGGGCCAAGGGGACAACAGTGCCAAAAGGGACAGTAGGGACAGTAGGGACATTGGCCCGAGAGGTCAAACGGGCTCTAGCCCTTTACAATAATAATAGCTTTAGGATTTTAATCCTAACGACCACTACTACTTCTTTAACATCACCTAGTGGCCAATTAATAAATAATAAGTTGGGATACGCATGGCTTACTCCTTTATTTAATCTCGAAACAAAAGCAAAGGCACGTAGGTGTTGGCAACTTTTAATTCTTGATGGCCACGGCTTCCATATTAGTTAGTATGAAGTTTATTAACTTCTGTGATACAAATAAGATCCTTCTAGCTATTTATCCACTATATATTCAACGCATAGTTTGCAGCCTCTTGATATCCACCTTTTTAGTCCTCAGAGCAATTTATGCATGAACGTAAGAATTTAGTTATATTACAAAGGGAGATTTCTTCAGGCTGTTTTGGCCAAGCTGGAATAAGGCTTTAATCAATGTTCCGAAATTTTGAAAGGAAATCACAGGAATTATGCCTGGAAAATGCTGGCCGAGCCGCTTCTTAGAGAGACATCAGGATAAGCTTATATCTCACTATATAACTAGGATCTATTCTTCACGCGAAAGGGCCCATTGTGCCTACAATTATACTCTATGCTTCGAGCTTCTAGCTAGAAAGATTAAGGAATATGGCAGTAAACCGAGAGATATGTACAATATGGATGGATAAGAGGGGTTTTCTTATTGGAGTGCTATCAAAAGGCAAATGTCGACCAAAGTGGGCCAATAGATTACTTACTATTCAGCATCCGCTCGGTCCGACTTCATTCCTTTGTTTTCACCTTTTTATTCAATTCTCCCAGATAGATCCAGATAGTTAGAGACCCTAAGAGACCTTGTCCTTTACAATCCAGACCCCATATTCTTATATGATTGGTGGTACCAGCTCGTACGCGTATTCAGCTGACCGATAAAAAATGATCCTCTCACGACAGTGGCACGAAAATAGAGAGAACCAACAACTTCAAGATAGGAATAGGGAGGGGATTGCTACTCTAGCTTGTATCTGTGCAGCTGGGACATCTCTTCCACCAGGTCTTATTTACTAGGCAGTCTCTGAGATATTCAAGATACATGGCTGCAAGATTTTAGTCTCGTTAACCACTAGTTACTACTTTTTCCAATGCTAATCACCTACTCGCTGGACGAATAACAGCTAAGGTACGCCTGGTCTACCTTAATATTTAATCGTGAGAAAAAGGAGAAAGCCTAGAGGCATTGGCAGCTTTTAATTATTGATAGCCGTAGCTCCTATATCAATATGAAGTTATTAACTTCTATAATGCAAATCAGATTCTTCTTGCTATCTATCCGCCTCATTCAACACACAATTTACGGCCTCTTGATGTTGCTTTTTTAGTCCTCTTTCCCAGGCATACACTGATAAATTGGAGTAATCTATACAAGAATGTCAAGGAATTAGCCATATTATAAGGTGAGATTTCTTTGGGTTGTTTTGGGCAAGCTGGAATAAAGCTTTTCAGGTCAAAAATATTAACTGTGCATGAAAATCTGTTGGTTTGAGTCCTTGGGATCCAGAGATTATTTTGGCGCACTTTACTAGGAAAGAGGAAGAAAGGCCCTCTTCTAGTAAATCCTTATAGTCTAACTTACAGGCAGAAGTCTGGGGTTGCATTAAGTAGCTTCTTGAGCAAGTTGTTTCTGATGTTTACAACCGAAAAATCCAGAAACTGAATGATACGATGATACATTTTTCTACAGAGAATATTCTTCTTAAACTACGGTGTACGGGTCTAGAAATTGCTCTATAGACTGAGCAGAAGAAGCGTAAGCGTGAGAAGCCTTTACAGCCTTATTTTTAGTCTCTATAAAATGGTAATGCAGTCTTTTATACCCCAAAGAAGGTTTAACAGAGCGCGCTAGAGCTTCTAAAGCAGAGAATAAAATACATCGTTAGCAGGAGAAGGAAGAGAAACAATGCTTGATTAAAGAACTAAAGAAAATAGGGCTTTTAGTAATTGTGTGCGGATACAGGAAGCAGAGAAAAGAGAGCCGGGAAAAAGAGGAGAAGGCCGCAAACAAAGCTGCTATACAGCTTCAGAATAAAATCAGAAAGAAGGCTACAGGGCCTGCTATAGCAAGGGAAAAGGAAGATATTAATAAAAGAATGTGGAAGAAGTGGAAGATGCACCTATTCCTGTAAATAAGCGTGGATGGCAAGCAAATACGGCTTCCCCAGCGATTCCACGACACAAAATATCCAATTATTCGATCATTTCGTTGTGACAGTATGGCTTCTTTTCTACACTCGCAGCTAACCCTAAAATCAGGCGCAAGGGATGTCTAGCGTTAGGTGATTGGGTACGGTAGTCTCCATCTCATCAAATTGGAAATTAAGAACCATAACTTGTGCTACGTACTTGTGACCGAACGTTTAGTTTGTGGGAAGGTTTAAGTCAGGAACCTCTCCCCACCAGCGTTCGAATCCTGTCAGTGTGGCAAACTGGCAATATTTTGGCAAGAAGTCGTAGTATAAATCGGTGTTAGTGGTTATGACTGCATTGGAATGCCAAAGTAAGACACGAGGTCGCAAACTCCACGAACTGAAAAAGAGCCGTGATTCAGCTCAATGATAACATTACTGTGCTGACGGGTTGGCCGATAGTAACACATGATACCAAATTCGGCCACGCAAGGACTAAAACACCTTGCCTGTTTTCTTGACGGTTTGTCAGAATAGCTCGGCTTCGATGTTTAATGCTATTACTAAATGCGGGTAATATAACATCCAAGTTTTCAGCTCATTGTAATAACCATGCAAGTACTACAATTCATCCCATTTACATATCAGTGTTCATGTTAGTATCAAATTCAAGTGTTCATAAACTAGATAGGTTACTTACAGTGTAGAATCACGTTCTGTCCCATCCCAACTTACTCAAACGGTGATTACTCGTCCGGCGAGTGCAACCATTTCACCTTGACCCATCCAACCCAATCCAATCCCTACTAAACAACCAACCCATTAATTAACCACCCCAGGACTGTTATACGAGATATCGCCAGCATCCTGCCCAATAATGACCACCACAACAGCAATCTGAACACGAACACATCAGCCTGGAATTCCTACCAACCAGGAAGAGAACGCAGCTCACCAACGATAAGTCCACTCCCTGTGCAATCCTCACCTCCCACTTCGGCCGCAGTCGAAACGGCGACATCTGACCCTCGGTCAACTGCTCGGGATCCGTAACCCGGTGAATATACGCCACATGACGATCCTCCACCACGACGACATGGATCATATTATAGAGATCCTGCGCGCGCACTTCCATGGTGACATGATTTCCAGGGAACCGTTCACTCGGCCCCGCGGACGCAAGAGCATTTCGAAACGTGATGACCGCTCGGGGAGCTCGGACTGCAACGCGCAATCGAGCCGTTAGAAGATTGTTCTCTCCGCCGGGGAGTTTGAGGTCCAGAATTGAGGAGCTGTACCATCGACTGCGCAGGTCAAAGAGGGGCAGTCCCGAGCGGTCGTAGAACGTGCGACGCTGTCCAATGCTGAATGGGTGTCCGAGGACCGTGAAGACCGTTACCCCGTTATATTCGACAGTGTAATCCAGGGGATGCCATGGTTCGGGTCTATTATGGATGAAGAGGGTGATTTCCTCGGCGGCGATGTTCTCCGTGCGGATGGCGATGGGTCGAGGAGGTGGTCTGGGGGACGGTGGCGAGGACATAGTGTTGTTGGACGGGTCTGCATGGTGTTCGGTTCGTCTCTATGGATGGACATATATAGGGAGTGGGCGTGAAGGAGAAGTGGTTTTCTCAATGGTGAGTTCCTGTAAAGCTGTTTGTCAGGTCCCTGATAAGGCGGATTGGCAGTTCGCCTTGTTGCTTCCTCCGGTCAGCGCCGTCATGGGATCTGTTGGTCGACGCGCGTTCTTGATTGGTGGCCTTTGTTGAACCTGGTAGTATATTTGCCTCGGTGTGGCCGGAATGAGGTTCCAGGAGGGAGCAATTGGGATTGGACGGTATTAGGCGATTATGCTGGGATTACAATGTGATAGACGAGGTTCATTTTACTTCTCTGATGGTTTGCCGTTCTCGTCCATGTAGGCATTTAATAGGGACTATCCTAGCTAACACATGCAATTATCATTAGGTCCTGGCTTGTACAGCCCACCGAATATATGATCGATCCCTAATTTTAGTAGACAACTCCTTGAATGGATTCGTGTATAGTTTTTTATAATCCTACTAGATGAATTAGATAGTTAATATTGCATTGTTGCAGTTCTAGTGACTTTGGTCTGTACTGTACATCTGGACATCTGTCCTTAGCATGTGAATTAACCATCTGCTATGCAGAGAACCCAGATAAGGATTCACCACCTTGCATGTTATAACAAACTTTGATTCACATTTTACTTTACTGAATGATTCAATTACTTTTGCCCCAGAATTCCTTGTCTTGTATGTATATACATAGCTAAGTATTATTACGTTTCAGATCACATATATCATAATTTTGGAAAAGCCCAGAACTTCTCTTCGGTTGTGAAAAACCTGGTATTGTCTGCAAAATGGTCTATAATGCCAGAAATGTGGTAGGAATGCCTAGCAATAGAGTGATAACAGCTAGTCTAATATAAATAAAGTATAAAGCCAATTAAACTAGCAGTCCGATATTTATTATTCAGGCACGGATCTACTATTGTTTATAACTAAGTATCGTTAGTATTGGATTTGAATTATATATGTGTACTGATCATGGAGATATTCCTACTGTAAAGGAATTATTAATACCTATAGTATATATACATGGCAATGGAGACTTGTGGTCTACAGCAATCTTCAGTAGTACAGTTTATACCATAGTCTGCTTTACACTATCATCCCTATATTAAAGTAAAGATATCTATATGTAGATATAGATTCACCAACACATATATAATATATTCACTTGATTTCCTCCCCCAGTCAGCAATTCACATATAGTGATCTATGTTTATCCAATAGGACTCTCACACTTTTCTTCCTCACAACCTACAGAACTATGTCGACAACTCCAAGACATGTCCTCTGAACCCTCTGATTTTGAGGACTACTGGGCTTACATGGTTATTAAATTTAAACAGCCAGCAAATGACACGAAAGATGTCATCCTGACTACCAGTGGTGCGGCTGTTACATTTACGCACGCCTTAGCAATCTCATGTAAGAATGGTCTTATCCTGATCTGAACACGCGAGCGCTGCCTATGGTTAGTCGATGTGAAGCGTTTGTGTGACATAGTTGGTAGTATCAGAAAATCCCTTCCAGGACCGCTTTATATTATGTTTTTTAGCGAGGAGAACACAAGAGCCTTAAAATCATGTGAGTATTATTTTATTAGTGGAGGGTTAAACTAGAACACTACAACTGCTAGAGGTCATCTTGTTGCCAGAATAGGTTCAAGAACTCAGTCACCTATGTCCAGTGTTGGTTAGATAGAATGTTAAAATATCTAGCAATGGTTTACTAACACATCTATACTATAGTATTCTTTCAATCAGGCAAATATCAATCCATGTCTTCTTCAACTCCAGGAGGACAAAACTTCTTGGGTCTTTGAACAATATCAAATGGCATATATAAATCTTATTGATTGAAGTATTTACAGCTCACGGAAAAGATAAAATTTCCGCCCTTGATCCAGCATAGCACCCCCTGTGTTGCCGCCTGCCTTTGCGGTTTGGAATAACCATTTTCACTTCACTTGATATTACGAAGGTTTTTTTCCAGCAACGAATAAAATACTACAAGATGACCGTTGGAAAACCGCGTCATGGGCATGAGCAAAGTACGGTTGCCTCAATGGCCCTTGCCAATTCACTTGGGGTTTTCCAGTTAAAAATGAAGTGTATCGTGTCTCGGGCATCTTCTACTATGAAGTTACTGCCCTTCGGAATCTCGAAGTTTTTTTTCCAGAAAAGCACCCGCTAGTCAACATGCCTACTCGGCGAAAGAAGTTAGTGACCCCCGAATACAGTCACTAGGATTTGATGGTTTCTTTCACTGCGTTATATGACCGTTTTCCTGATCCCACTGAGAGACGTATTTATGGCGCACATATTGCTACGAGCAAGGTTATATGTCGGGAATATGCACTATATACATGATAGAGTCAGTTTGGTCATAACCTATTCTAGGGCTGCATTACATCGAAGACAACCTAAGTTGATACCACTACTCTCGAAACTTGGAAAGCTGTTTCAGAGACTCAGGACTCCTGCCGAAATACATGCTCAGTGTGGATGTACTTTGCTAAGCCCATAACTTTCTCACTGCTGGGTGGCCGAGACCATTATCCACAAAACGACCGCAAAAAGAGCACATAGGTGGCCAGGAGACTTTGATGCACACGGATATGTCAGGAAGACCAGGATCCCCCAGGATCCTTTGGTGATCGCAGAATACAATGGCAAGTGCTGTGCCTTATTTATAAAAACTACTATGCTTTACTTGGCCTATGAATATGTACCTTGGAAAATGGCGATACTAACGTGCTGTAAATTGGCTTTTTATAGTATCCAGAATTGCTCGGTCTAGACACTTAACCTGTTACTATCTTACCCTCTTCAGCTTTCGATACCGGCAACCTCCTACATAGCTTTGAAAAACCAATCATTCATACCAACTCTGCTACTCTGGAGATGGCGCACTTACGGTTATCGAAGGACGGAGTGGCTTACACAAAGATCTTCTCAGTAACCCTCAGAAACCAGTCTAGACCAGTACCGCTTAAAAACCAACGGAGCAGGAGACCTCTGAACCTGTCTAACCTCAGCCGACTGAACCACAGTCAACCGAACCTCAGCCAATCGAGCCTACACAGAACGAAACTCTGATTAACACTCCTAACAAAAAAAACGCACTAATAAACCCGATCAAACTAAGAAGTGTTCGGCCGAGCATGCGACCAACCCTCAATCTAAAAGATCGAAGCTGATCGTTTAACGCTTACGGATCACATCAGCCATGCGGTTAGGGAACCGTACGAATGCATGCAGCCCTAGGGTTCATTTACATCTTTGATTAAATTAGAACAGTTTAAAAGAGAGCCTATTTCGGGATGGCTGAACGGTCACCGTTCTGAATTATGGCAGTTGCATGCGGAGGTTCCTCAGTATGTACTACATCTGGCCAGTTTGCTATATATCTTAATAAAGATGTATGGAAATGTATGGACCCGAACTCCTAGCGATGTATTTCCCCTGAGGACCTGGTTCCTATTCTTGGGTGAGGGTGTGCGTTCATCAGATAGTATACAAGACAATATAGATACTATCAAATACGGTTCTTAGTAGGCTACGTGCGTGTAGCTAGTATAGTGTTCTCTTTTCCCTGAATTATAGTGATCGTGTCGACAGTAGGGACAGTAGAGACAGTAGGGACAGTAGAGACAGTAGGGACAACTGGGACAATAGGGACAATAGGGACAACAGGGACATTGTCCCGAGAGGTCAAACGGGCTTCAGCCCTTTACAGGTGGCAACATATGTTAGAACTGGTTCATTCCATGGTTGGAAACTCGGCCATGGTGATATGCCTGTTATTCTGGCCGAGATACCCATGACTATAGGACAAGTAGAAAGGCTTGTTTAAAGGTCGGGAATATCAACTCTTATACAATAGAGGATGACATATTCCAATAATCGTCAAGAATTATCGTTCTGCTATCTAGAGAAACAGGCTATGAATATTATATTTATTATCCACGGCCATATCAATTGGCTGTCATTCTTCTCTTCTCTCGCACCCAAAACGCCCTGAGAACAAACACCATCACGAACATACTCGCATCCAAGGCCAGATTCCAATTATATCCGACTAGATACCGCGGCGCATCGACCGTTTTCCACACACTGAACCGTCAGTCCATACCAGTCCATAGAGAGAGGGAAAAAAACTTACAATAATGGAATCCACGCCCCAAACGCATTACCCACCGTATTCATAGCACTAATCACCAACGCCCTCTCCTCTGCATCCCCCGAGCAGATCTCATTCGCCCACGCGTACACGATGTCCGCAATGCCGTTCGCCGTCCCCGACAGGAAAAACGCAAAGAATTTGAGTCCGACCGGTACATTCCAGATAGCGAGAACTGCACACGCAAATACATTTAATCCCGCCGTCGTCGCAATCAACCCTACCTTTGCATCGTAGATATCCGAAACCACGCCGCAGATGATCGACGCCACGATGGTCACGGCCGGAGCCACCGTCGTGATCGTGTTGATCGATTCGACCGAATAGGATTCCTGGACCGTGGATTCTGATGGTCGTCAAGATGCACAACAACGGATCGGTAGAAGAGGGGGACACGCCCCTGCACAGAGCTGAAGATGGGGCGTTGATTGGAACTATCTTCCATGGAGTCTCTCAGTTGGACCGAGGCATTGCCGATAAAACTTTGGCAATCCATTCTCTCGAAGGTACTCTCCCTCAACCGGTCGTGGCTAGCCAGGTCTCGGAAACTTCCGTCATGCAGACAGCAGCGAACGGAGGACCGGAAATGCAGGATGGAGGCAATACCACGAGCACCCCAAGGTGTGGATCACCCACTTCCGAGACGCCAAAGCCTACTGTTGGTCTTCTCAGCAAAGAACCGGCTACAGATACGGTGCCCGCTAACTGCGGACAGCAGATAAGAGAGATCGACCAAAGCGGTGCAGTCGAGGCCACTAATCCGACATCGGAATTTTCTCGTCCCGTCTCTGACATATCTAGGCAGACTCCCTGCTCGATAGATTCCACTCCTGCGGATGCACCGGTCACAGCGATAGCGGCTGGTCATAGCCGACCATCAGAATGTGACGAGTCCCACGGATCAGCCCTCTCCACAGCATCGATTGTACAGCAGGAGGGGAGCTGCAGGGATCCCGCTTGGTGGAAAATCTGGCTGGGGAGTGGCCACAATCCACAGGAGGGAATATCTCCAGAGAGCTGTCCTCCGTCCAGGGTAAGACCTTAAACTTAATTATTCCTGCAAATTCCAATCTATGTCTTCTATCTTCATTTCTTCACCCTCCTCTCTATGATTTCGCCGCTTCCATTTGCATCCATATCTCCACCAATGGTGTGCCAGAAATTGGGAGAGAGGTATTGACGGATATCACAGGTTAACGGGCCCTGGGGTTCATGGGGCGAGATCCTAAGTTCCTTAAAAGGTAAATATATTCAAGCCACGCTAAGGGCGCCCAATATAGCGTGTGACAGGGCCAGTCGCCATGTGCTCTACATCCATGAAGTCCAGACGTCTGCCAATAATGTGCCTTCCCCACAGCTGGTCGCTACAAAATACTCTTTCCTTGCCGACCACCCAGCACTGGAGACTGAAGAGCCTATTGCCAGGGACCGAGAGCTCCTTCTTCACTTCCAGGATGCCAGTCAAATGGCTGAAAAAGAAGACGCAGAAGTCATCAATTTCGTAAGCGACGTCGTAGCAATAGATGCAGTGGAATTGCCTGGTAGGGTGGCTTACATCTCTGAGGCTCCCGGTAAGATAACCTCGTTTTTGGTCGTCGCCTACCACCGTCCTTCTCTGGCTATATCAGAAACCCTACTAATTTAAATACTTTGCAGACACCAACACGGGCTTCTTCGCACGTTGCGGCATTCGAGACGGTTCCCGAATGAAGTCTCTCTTTGTGACTCCTCTAAGACCCAGCCTGTGCGCTGCCAGCAGTCAACTTCCACCTCCACGTTTTCCCCATTGCCTGCTGCTTCGGTTTTTGACCTCTCCCCGCAAGATCCGAGGCTCTCTGTGGGATTTTCAAACGCAGGATACCGAATCCGGCCGCTATTGGCTTCCAGGAGGACTGGAGTTGTCACCAATTGTGGAAGGTACGCACTCACAGAACCTCAGTCTTGACTAACAGGAACACTTGTGGGCTAACGCCAATTTTGCAAAGGCACGATATCCAGATGCAGCAATCTATTTAGGCAGCGCAGCATCGGTCATTGCCGATCTGGACGGCCAGCGGTCGACGCTGCCAGATTGGGAAGAGGGCCGAGCACCCCGCATTGCTATTATCTCAGGAAGTAGTTCTTCCACATCTCAGCAGTGGTTAGACCCCCTGGACCCTCTTCGATATTGCGACCTCGTTGCAAAATCACCGACGTTGAGCCCGGATTTTATTGTATTGGCCTTGCCGCATATTATCCTTCACGCGCGGTTTCGACGTTCGATAGCCAACACGATGTGGAACCTCCTTAGGCAAGGCTACTCAGTCTCCTTGAAGCCGCTCTCGCTCAGGAATTCGGACAAGGAAAAAGAGCAGTCGGTTCTTCTTCTTGCTGCACCTTCCGTTACAAATCCACTGTGGGTTGATGATACCTTCTCTGATCTCAACGCCACTTTCGTTATGGGAGACTCTCAGAGTGATAGTTCAACATCGCCCACCACTAGCACAGAAATCTGCTGGTCTGGGCCTCCAAGTGCTGGTGAAGTCAAATTTGAGATTCCAGAAGCTGGCCTATCTACTTCGTCGCAAGGTGAGCTGCCGGCAACAGCGTCCGATGGTGAAGCAAATGACTCAAAGGAAAGTCTGGGTGGGCTTCTGTACCCACCTAGTCGAAATGCTGCGCATCTTATTGCAGCCGTTATTTCACGAATTATCGGGGAACTTTCCAAGGAAAACCACCCGACTACTTCTAATCTACAGGTACTAAATAATGGAGTCTCCAAGGGAATCAAGCGAATGAGAGTGTAGGGATTGCTCTGTATTAGAAGGCCGGGATGAGAATGCTACTATGACGAGACCTTCTTACAATTAGATAATAAAGCTGGCAGCCTGTTACCTAGACAACAATTAGACCTGCCAAAACCCAACCCGGAACGTCCCGATGGAGCCGGGCTGGGCCTTGGACAAGTCTAACAACAATTAATATATTAATGAACGTAGTATACTGCTTGATGCAATGGATTGTTGCGTCACCACTGCTGCTTGCTGTAATAGTATATTGGTGAATGTAGTGGTATACTGCTCGACGTAATGGCATTTTACATCACTACTGGCGGCGAAAGGTCACCGAGAACTATAAAGTAACTAAATCTCCCTAGAGGTAATGACACATTAACCAACACTAATAGTACCGTAGAGCTTCATAATACAGAATTGTTAAATCGCTGTATTCTGAATCAAATATCATCTTGCCAACATGAGGCTTCAATTATTCTTTCGCCTATCCTAGCTTGCTTAGGAACAGCGAGATCTATACCCCAGAGACTATGGACACAAGAATCTGCTAATGCATTAGCACAAGAATATTCTAATGCAGTGGCACATAATGCACCTAAAGATGTTACCCAACGTAGTATAATGTTATAGAGTATGATGTGGTCCTTAGCCAAACGCGAGTTGCAGGTTGATCGGCGCAAGGAACATGACCGGGCTGCGTCACCCGTTCCTTGGCAGCGACAAGATAGACCCAGAGATAGCTTGCACCGCCTCCCACGACAGTGAAAGAGTATTAGCGCCTCACAAGGGATACTTGGCTGACAGGTTGAACGAACAGGGCAGAAGGGAAAAAAAGAAAACGACAGATCCAATGCCAAAAGACAGGAAGCAAAGGGTGCGAGATTAGCCAGTCGTACTTCGGAGGATCGGTCTAAAAGTACATAACGTACACGACAGCGTTAAAAACTTCAAAAGCCACCACTAGTCTACCGTTGGTCGAATCCATGTGGGCGATCTAACGTCCCCTGCGCTAATTCCGGGGCGTTAGCCACAATGGCCAGGAACACTGAATACTACACTCGCCTTGACATCAACAATCCTTCGGCTAATCCATACGAATCAAACAAGGAAGTAAAAGAAAACCATGGAAAAACCCCTAGGAAAAACCAACGCCATAGAACCTATCGTGCCTACTTCCTACGCATCGCTCTTATATATATGTAGATATATTTATTGTAATAATAGTATATATACTGTAAATATTAGGCCATCTTTGTATGTTATTTTCGAGGTATTAGGGCTCTAAAAAGACCCCATTTTATATGCAATACAGAGGTGATCAGTTTGCTTCCCAGATACGTAATCAATATTACATTGGTCTGATTCGGTTTAGAAATTGGGCTGCGGATAGATTGGTTTTTTATACAGCGCGGAAATAAAATACAGGCGGGTCTATCATAGCTTTGATTTATACTTGTACGCACTCCAGCTTGTTGTTTTTTATCAGTGAAGCAAAGTGCTTTGAACAAGATGGATAGAATTAGCATATAGAAACCCATTTAGAGTGTCTGTTTAGCATCATATTCGTAGTTCAAAGACAGACTAGATCCCTCACTTGGTGGTCTATATGTAGTTTGAATGTACAAGTTTGCTGAAGTGTGTTTGTCTTTTATTGTTTCCTCAGGCTAACGCAGGTGGAGTTGGGATAGAAGCGAAGATAATATGAAACAGTCAACTACCTCTCTTACATGGATATTTGGCAATCTATGAACTGGGAAAGTGTTGGATAGTGCGTATATTTCTCTTCAACCCCAATCAGTGCGGGCGGAATAGCATGGAAATACGCACTGAATATATACTAATACTCAGCATCTATTTTGACTCTAACAGATCTTGGTGAGAAGTCCCATCTGAAGGATTTCCTAAGTATGGGGACTAATAAATAGGCCCCCAGGGGTGGAACATAGAAATATAAGGTGTCCCTCTAGAATACTTTTACCGTGATATTCAGATTACGGATTGCAAAAACCCTTTATATTATTTACTTTTTTCCTTTTTCTTCACCTTTAAAATGCCGAATCATGCGTTCAACAAGCATTTTTCCGGTTTTTATGGCAGCTGTCGGCAGTTATGCCGTCGGGGGGTTATCTACTTCCACCCTGCAGGGGAACCTAATGAAGAAATCATTAATGCTATATGTTAAGAAGAGCACGGCCATTCAAATTCTGCCCGGCCAATTAATAACAAAACCGTTAAGAGAGTGATACACTTCTATATTCCATACAAAATCGCACTGTTTGAGAACACAATATCTCAACCAACATGTTAAATAGAAGACAGTCAGATAGTGATAAGAACCAGATCGCTTGTTCAGTCGTGATAAACGTCTAAGTGTCACTCCATAGATTTATCCATCTAAGGTAGGCGACAATTGAGAAAAAAAAAAAAAAAGAAAAAAAATGAATGAAAATGAAAGTAAACAAATTAGATTCGCCGATAAGACGCCATAATTTCGGCCGCATAGAGTGTCTTGGACGCAGCCCGCTGCGGAAAACCCTTGACACCGATTGGCAGAGGACGATCTGGATGAACGAAAATCACGCCGTGCTTCTTGATGCTGGCATTATCAATGGGACACTTCTCATTTGCAATCTCGACCGCCGACCAGATCGAGTCGATCCAATCCTCGCGGCGGCCGCCCCCAACAAGGGCCGGATCAACCTCCAGCAAGACGGGGATGTCCCCGCCCTTCTCGTCGCAGAGCACTGCGGCGGTGATCCCCGGATGCGCTTCAAGGGCCATTTCCATCTCCCGTGGCAAGAACCGTCCCTCAGTCTCCGAGTTCGTCAGGTCATCGATCCGGCCGCAATACCGCCAGAGGTCCTTTTTCCGAGGGTGTTGCACAAACAGGTCCTTCATTGGATAATCCTGCATGTGCGGAAACATGTAGAACGCACTCTGACATCGGCCCTCGTCATTCCGCAGCAGAACTAGTTCGTGGTAGCCCTTGACGACGGGGCGGAATTCATGCGACAGCACCGGGTCCAGTTTCATGTATGCCCAGTCCTCTGGGTCGTCGGTAGTGTGGACGGGAAAGATATTGGCTTCGGAGGAGCCGTAGATGTGGGCGAGGCGGGTGTGGGCGCGCATGATGGGACCGAGATCAGTGGGGAAAGGGGCGCCCACGACGGCGAGGTGCTGCAGGCATCGAAGCCGATGGAGATAGGTTGGGTTGGCGCAGGTGTCGCGCAGGAATTTGGGACTGAGAATACAGGCCGTGACGCGGCCGTGTTGGAGCACGTCGTCGAGTATGGCGGCGGACATGCGCACGCCCGGGATCGGCAGCACGATTGTCAGGTTGAAGAAGATGTTAATGCCCAGGACGTTGTAGAGCCCGGCGGCGATGGAGAGCGGGGTGAGTAACGCTACGCGGCGGTCCTGCCAGTGCGTGAAGTTGATCGTCGCCAAGGATTGACACCTGGCAAAGGCGAGAGATTGTTGCGTCATCGTGGCGTGAGTCATGTAGATGGGTTTGGCTGCGCCAGTGCTGGCCGACGTGTGGATGATGGCAAAGGGATCGGAGAGGGCATCGGCCAGTGGTTTCTCATAGGGGTAGACACGCATGGGAGAATAGGACTCCGAGAGCCAGGAGTCCAGACTCGGGGTGGTGATCAGCATCAAGTCGGGCTGCCGGAGCTGGATGGCATTGGCTTTGGGGTGGCCTGGGCTGGGGTGGAGCAAAATTCGGCAGTTTGTTTTCTCAATGAGAGAGAGATGAGTATCGACTTCGGCGGCGGGATGGCATGTCAGGGTCTGATGATTTTTAGTCATTTGCAAGGGGCAACATTGGTAGAACAGTAGAATAGAACGAAAGGACACTAAACACATACCTGGTACCCTGTCTTTACTGCCGCCAGCATGATAATCATGTACGAGAGGTCCTGTGGTGCGACATAATGCAGCACTTCAAAGTTCGTGCTGCATGACCCGAGGGTGTCGACAATCCAGGAGGCGGCGCGATTCACAGCGCGAGAGAAGTCGCCATACGAGATGTCACGGTATCCAGCGGCTACATCATGGTTGTCTCGTGGGAGAGAGATCATGGGATGATCCCGATGGAGGTGGGCGAGCTCATCGATCAGAGCTGGGAGGGGAGTGTGATGGACATTGTGTCGAAAGTATTCCGAGATTGAGGGCTTCATATTGGAGTGGACGATTTCTAAAAGGAGAGTGTATAGTGGGGAGATATGTATATAGGAGAGGCTGGAAGACCGGGCGTTGATATCCAGGACGCCTTGGACGTAGTCCAAGGTAAGTAGCTATACAGGAAGATTCGGGTGGTATAGCGATTTCTGTATCTACAGGGATGAGGTACGGTATGAGACCGTATCATCCATGCCCGGTGCCTTACCGTACAGCAAAGTGGGTTTTTGGGGGCCGAGATGGGGGCCCAGAATCAGACTGAGTCGGTCAATTCGATTACATCTTACTGTCTATATTACTTGGACCCCAAAAACACGCAACGCCTTACTCCGTATCCCGGATGCTCCGTTCATCGATCGTCCCAAACATGGCTGCCCACCTGCACGTCGTTCTTGACGTAAATCTTCCCCAGTGGGATATCCTTGCGTTCCAGCTCGGGGGTAACTCTAGATACCCCCGCCTCAAGACTCCCGGTGTATGGGGCGCCCCCAGACGCTAGGCTCTCAAAGCCATGTTTGGCCCCATACACTCGCGTGGACTCCGATGCGGTACCTTTGCTGCTGACTGAGATGTTGAATTTTCGAAGGCCCCACTTGAGCAGCGGACGCATGGTTGGAAGACATGCCGAGATAATGCCGAAGGACACTTCGAGAGAGGTCCAGATGACGGTACCATTCATAGCCCCTGTGGGGGGTCAGTAAGCATTAGGGAGGGGGACAAATCCTTGATGGAAGCCACATGAGGCATGTGGATATACGTACAGGTAAAATCTGGATCGTCCACTTTGAACTGCTCAGAGAGCCGGACACAGCTGCAGATCACAACGCTGAGAGGGAAGCATTAGCTATGTGACCGGTTTCAAAAATAATAGAAGTAAATCACTCATACAATGAACCCAGCAGAAAGATAAATGACAGGGAGATTTTTTGCGATCTGCTTGCCTGTAAATTCCAGACCATTCGAATTGGCATGGCGAGGATCAGCACGTCCGTCATAATGTTGGGCACGGCGTTGCCGATGTAGAATTTTTTGGAGCTCACGCAGCGGGGCTGTATGGACTTATCCCAGAACCCATGGATGGGCTTGCAAGAAAATATGGAAATAAACACCACAGCAATCCACCAGGAGAGGGTCATGGCGCCAACAATGTAAACGGTGATTCGGAATGGCCGAACGGAGAAGATGCGCTTGTAGTAGGCGAGGATCGAGGTCTTGATGAACAAGATGGCGGTAGCATAAACCAATTGATACGCGTAGAGACACTAGGACGACCAGAATCAGCGAGCCTGTCAGCGACGACGAGAGGACAATGAAGTTCTTGCCTTAAGGTACTTGGGAAAGTTTTCTTCCGGGACGATTGTAACATGCAACCCGGACCCTAGCCTGACCACTAGAGAAGGGAAGGGGTCAGTTCGCAGAGTCTAGCAGATGAGGGTGCGTTATTTCCACAACAACATACTAGTGACAGAAAGAGAGAAGCACCCAATAGTGAAAACCTATGTATGGCAGCATGAATGTGAGACTGACTTGACTCTCGATGAGTGCAAGGGGTAGGACTTACCAAGCCAAGAATGCATAGATAATCATCTAGTCCGATGCGCAGTTTCATTAACCGCCGCGATGATAATCGCAAGCCCATTGCCAGAATTGCCAACACTACGAACGTAGTAATGACGCCCAGCGTCGGTCCCTGCTGACTCTCCTGAAGATTAACGGTAGTATTCGGAGTAGAAGCCATGATGCGGAGTCATGTCCAGACGGACAGACGGGAGGAACAGTATTGCAGTGTCTGGACAGCAGGGGTGCCTCTTTCGAGCTGATCACGCAGCACAATTTATTCAGCGATCAGGGATCAGAACATACAACCGAACAAGAAGACGAATTCAGAGTTTGGTGCCACATTTTTCCTGATGGACAGCATATAAAGCTGATTACCACATAGACAAAGTCGGACCCCAAGGCAAGGGGCTAAGTTCAGATGAAACCCCGGCCAAAGAGAGTGCTTAGTTTTACGAATCACGGACAAAAGGACCGATAGTGGGCTAAATTTTTGACAGGCAGTGAGTACTCCAGAGTACATTGTGATTGGGGCACTGTCTATCTACTATCTACGGTGTCAGAACGGAGAAACCCCAACTCTCAAGCTCTTGTCTCTCGTCTATTACAAGATGGAATCCAGTGTTGGCATTGGCGCTATTGTTCTTGCTCCACTGTACAAGGCACCACCGACAAACAGTCAAGATGCAACTGCATGAACCATATGAAGATCAGCAAACCTTGAGGGCTGAGGGCCCCATAATAAATGTGATGGACGTCAGCGAATCTTACACATCTGTACTGTTTTCTTGCTACTGGAAAGACCGTAATTACAATACATATTGTACGGCATTGTCCTAATGGCCCCCATTTTGTCATCCGAAACAAGACGGAACGATAATCTATGGGTACCAGGAAGAAAGAAATTAGATCAATTTCTCAATTACCAAGAGACTGTATATTCCAGGTAAGTATACTAGGTTAGGCCTAGAGCCAATGGAAACACAGGAAAAATGCACCGATGACATCCTCTATCAAGACTGGCTGATAACACATAGGTAGCTATGGATCGCAGTATCAGCCGATACGGAACTATCCTGAGTCAGGGCAATGAGGGGGATTGCGGCGAAGCTAAGCAGCCCGAGCGGAGGGTGGGGAGTAGCGGAATCGCAGTAAATTATAATATTGAATTAGAATCACTGTTCTTATATTCTATTACCAGAACACTCTCGCTATCTTGGTCCACTCGGACAGAGAGCTCGGCTACCAGCAGATCCAGTCAAGATGGTGACTTCGGTAGAAGATGCATACCCTCTTCGACGGAACTACCTGTCTTCCATGCGGTAAGGGCCAGTGCTAGGTACACGATTGGCAGGGAGGCATAGCTAGCTCACTACCAGTCTCAGATTAAACGCGCAACACTACCTGTGGAAGGATACAGTCGGATCGAACTTGCACCCTGGAATTCCAGTGCCCAAGTATGGCGAGGGTATACGTATTGCGGACATTGGAACGGGAACCGGGTATACTAGTCATAACAATAATCAATCCAATTGGATTTCGCTCACGGTCCTCAATGCTAACACTGGTTCAGCATATGGATAACAGATATCAGTCGCGAGTATCCGGCCGCCCAAATCGACGGTTTCGATATTTCCTTCGACCAATGTCCACATCCACAGTCGTTGCCACATAACACGTCCCTTCGTTCGGTTGACATCTACCAGCCCTTGCCAGAGGACCTCTACGGTGTCTATGACATTATCCACCTTCGTCTGTTTCTGGTCGTCATTCGCAACGACGACCCTGTTCCTGTGTTGAGCAATCTGGTGAAAATGCTGAGTGGGTGTTCCCTGGTCTTGGTCGACGACAATGACCCCACTTAGTTAATGAACGTCTACTACAACTAGAGCCCGGAGGTTGGATTCAATGGGCCGAACATAATCTAGAATCATGGTCTGTGAAATCCATAGGGAACGTGAAAGCCTCGGCGATGCAGACGATGCGAGATATGATGGTGGATACTGGACTAGGGCGGTAAGTTGAAATGCAATGAATCTCTTGGAACTTCTTTTTTCTCTTTTTTTTAAGTTTCTTTTGTTCATCGTTTTCTTCCCATTAGAATCTGCTTCACAGGCTAATTTAATCCAACCTCTACCCCCCTACACAGATGGGTTCCTCGTTTACCGGATTATTTCTCCCAACAGGAACTAGTCGAGGTGCGAAAGGACCTGTACCCGATCACACCACACAGCCGACTATTCTGGAGCCAGCTGCAGTTCAACTCTAACGAGGAATACAGCTATCTCGGCATGGATAACAGCACTGCAAATTCTGCGGGTCCGAAATTCCGTAGCCTGATTGCGCAAGCGGGTGACGAGGGTCGAAATGGCGCGGCGTTTGATTTTACACTGGAAGTGACGATCGGCAGGAAAGCATTGTAATTTATCTGTGTCGACCTAGGTCCTGTCAGTTAATTACGAAATACCGTCTGAATTTAGTTAACTAGGTCGTCATCCTTCGGGGAGCTGGGATGGGTCGTCAACGACGACGACATCTAATCATTCTTAGGTAGGCAAGTCGGTACGATTTACATTGGCCAATCCCACACATCCGGCTGAAGGGAAATAAGCAGCTTACAAAAGTTAGAGGCGTTTGTTTATAGATACTATCCATGTTTGGCAAATCGAACTTCTGTTTGGTTGGGGGCCGTAACCTACCGTAAAATGCCTGGTGTATTGTGCTGTATCCTAGGGCATTCAGGCCGACATAACCGAGTATTTCAGGTTAAACGGCTGCCCTCTATTGCACCTGGACAACATCAGTTTTGAAACCACCGTCGAAGAGAAAGAGCAATGACAGCACAAGACGAAATTCTGGATTTGGTCCGCCGTCTAGAAAGTGCCCCTGGGGTGTTGGCCCCTCTGTCGATAGAGGCCGCTCTTCACTCCCGGTTGCTGGCGGCTGCTCAGAATCTCGTGGCATCGTTGAAAAAGCCTGAGATTGAGTTAAGGAATCTTGCAAAGGCGGTAATGACGCCCATTCCAGAGCCTGGTTCACAAGATTAAGAGTGAATAATAGCCCGTGGCGAATGCGATATTGCGAACAGCATTTAAGATTAATCTCTTCGGCGCATTCGACCATGGAGCGACCACCGCACAAGATCTCGCTAACTGTACGGCGGTGGACCATTTGCTTATGGGTATGTATCTTCGATACTTCTGCATTAGAGCTTTGGCCGGGGGTTCAACATCTAATTAGTCCAGTCCGCATAATGCGCACGCTGGTTTCTTTGGGAATTTTCACTCAAACAGGGCCAGAATCATACGCCCACAGTTCACTCTCCGAAGCACTCCGAAACCCCAAGATTCGGGCAGTTGTCCGGGGAATGTCAGTCTCTCCTCTAACCTCACTGTCCATAAAATAAATGAAAAAAGGATTAATAAATCCCAGGGCCGAAACAGCATCGGTAATGGTGTCGCTCCCCGAGTATCTATCCTCCATTAATTTCGACAACCCGGCAGACCATCGCCCATCGTTGTTTGGATTCGCCCGGGACACAGATAAGACCATGTTCGAGTGGTTGGAGTCCGAACCAGAGCAGCGTAGGATCTTTCTCGAGTTTCAATCTGCTTCGTCAGAAATGTCCGATTTTCGTCTCCGGCCATTGCTGCAGTCTCTCCTAACGCAAGGCGACTCTAACGCAGAGGTCGCATTCGTAGATGTGGGTGGGGGTCAGGGGGGAAACACTGCGAGAAGTATCGAACGCAGTCCAACCCCGGGGTCGAGTTATCCTGCAGGATTTACCCAAGGTCATTGAGGACCTTGGAACGGACGGAGGTGTCGAAGTTATGGTGTACAACTTTTTGGAGCCGCAGCCGGTCAAAGGTATGCTTTCCCTTCTCCTTAGCCTCTCCCTTCCAAAGAAGGGGGGATGGAAAGAAAGAAAATAAAACGAAACTAACTGCCTGCAGGTGCGGCAATCTACTTCTTCCGCCACATCTTCCACAACTGGCCCGATACAGTATCCCAGCAGATCCTCCGCAATACCATGTCCGCGATGGGGCCCGCATCCCGTATTATTATTGTCGATGAAGTCATGCCAAATCTCCATGCCCCGCTGTACATATCTTATATCGATATTAGCATGATGGCCTTTGGGGGCTTGGAGCGCACGGAAATTCATTGGCGGCAGCTACTAGAAACGACTGGGCTGCGGATTGGTAAAATGGAGCCTCTAGACCCATCATCGTCGAGCTCAGATTTCATAATTGAGCTGTCTTTGTAGGTAGGTAGTTGCTGGATTGAATTTATGAAATTGAACAAATTAGTCACTTCTCTCTGTAGTACCAGTTGTGGCCTGCATTAATGATTTTCCCAATGCCAAGTGCCGTTGCCAATTTCAAGTATATTGTATAAACTACCGCGGGAATTGTACGTAATTTACCGACCAGTCTGATTAGTTACGGCATGTACCTTTCCACCTGCGGATGTAGCCTTATTCACATTAATCATAGATCGACAACCCCCCAGTCAAATCACAAAGCCTCTCCCGCCTGTTTCCTTAAATACTCCACGACGACATCAGGAACCACCAACCAGGGTGTATGCGAGGTTTTGACTTTTTCGGTGACAATCTGCGCGCCCTGGCTGCGCGCCTTCTCAACCATTAACTCCTGTACGAACAGCGGGATCGCGCGGTCATCTTCGCACAGAAGGTACGAGGTAGGGATATAGAGATAGGCCGCGCTAATGGCGGGGCTATTCTTTGTCGCCCAGGCGTGGGGGCGCAGGGTTTGGGCCCACTTGTCACTATCCGGGACGTCATGGAAGAACAGAGGGACTGGATCCCTGGCTGAGACGGTGCCGTTTTCCTCCTATTGTCCAAATTTAGCTTCAGGGCTTGTCCCGCATCGCATGCCATCTACTGTATCTGGAGAGGGACGTACATCACGAATGTACCACTCTGGAGGTGTACCGCCAAAAGCTCCAATTAGACTCTGTCCGATCTCTGGAATAAACGCAGAGATAAAGACCAGGCGGATGACACCGCCGGCCTTACCATCCTGTTCACGCTCGGCCTTGCTCAGGCCATCCAGGGCGCTGTTCACAGGTAGACCAGACCAGCTGTGGGAGACGACAATCACATCCTTTCCTGCGTCGGCCTTGGTTTCCACGAGGCTTCGGACGGCGTCGATGTCCTGGTGGAGGTCCTGAACAGCGGGTTTCTGCTGGATCGAGGGGAAGGCGACTGTGTCACAAGTATAGCCATGGGGAGTGAGCTTCTCAATGATGGGGTTAAAAGCTGTGGGAGGGTACCAGGCACCAGGAGCGAAAATGAGAGCCGGTTTAGCCATTGCGATTGGAGATGAGAGAATGGAAATGGAACACGGATATAGCACAAAGGAGGAGCGTTAGATATTGGCTTTGTTGTTCCGTTAAGGGGGTTGGTTTAAATGGCTCCTTCTTGTATGGGAGACAGCCAGGGAAGTTGCCTCCTCGTCAAATACTGTCAAACTAACCATTACGCTAAAAGGTAGGGCATGATACAGTCTTTTATCGTCATCAGTAAAGACCATGTAGAGTACAGTTTGTGAAATACAGCTAGGAGGCTACTAGTCGTAACATGAAAATATCCATCTATAATGCATATTGGAATGGGTTAGCGCTGAGATGACTGCAGATTAAGAGGGGCGGGATTATGGGGCCATCCCAAACTTTGACGCAGACGCGAGATAGGCTATACCCGAGCTCTTCGGCTGGAATCTGGACGAACGCAATGGTCTCGGTCTCCTCGCGCTGTTGTGGCCCGTTTTGGCCCGTTTTGGGCCTTCGATATCGACCCTCCTTGAAGCTTAATATCCTATGGCTTTACTCTCTTTTCTTTCTTTCTTCCCTTTTTTTTTTTTTTTTTTTTTTTTTTCCCTTTTTTTTTTTTTTTTTTTTTTTTTGAGGTATCTGATCAAGGTCTCGTCAGAGGAGGTATTCGGGTGTTACCGAATAGCCACCCATACCGCACGGTAGGGTGGTCAGACTAGTCGTTCTGTATATTGATTTGTCTTACAATAATTTTTATGTTAATATAAATTACCTCTATTACTTGGAAGATTACGCGTTTTCGCGTTGATATTCAACATATTCATCAAATATTTAAAAGATTTGACTACCGAAGCAAAAAAAGATAGATAAGGCAAGAGACATTATCTTTAATAAATCACAACTTTAGAACCCAAATAAGCCATTTCTTAAGGACTTAATCAAAAAGAAAGCTTTTAAACCTTCCGGACAGATGCTTCAGTTATTAAGGGCTGAGGATTTAAACAGCAAACCTAGAGATATAGCACTAGATAAGTCTAAAAACAAGAATGAAGAAGTAGAGGTAACTCTACAGGAGTCTTAAAAGACTACAGAAAGTTAGGTGACTCCCAACTATAAAACAACTACCTCCACCGCCCCTACTACCTACAGCTAGATCAATTCCAATACATTAATTAAGGATTTAGACATCAAATTGTTGGGACGACTTACGTAGTCGAATACTGCTTAAATTATTTAATTAAGCGGAATCTAAAGAGCTTGTTAGCTTATGGGGTAAAGACACCTCTAAATCTGCCCAAGGCAGATAACCTAGATAAGAAGTTGATATAAGCAATAATATTAAAGGCACACAATTAAAAAGAAAAAGTATAGATGAGGATTATCAGCCTTATTCTGTGACGGGTGCACGTGCGGGAGTCCACTATTCGAACTGGCCCCATCTGCCTGCGAGAAGAAGAATGCAAACGTCACGAGGACCCAGAGTCGCCACCCTTTCAGCATCCGAATCACTCGTGCCATTCTGAACGCTTGTCATGGTTCAAGATGCTCTGCTCTCATGCGCTCCCGCGCGAGGTGGATTTCAGCTTCGCTGAGGAATCGAGGTCGGGAATGATCCGGGGTGCTGGGAAGGAGGAAGAATCCAAGTATAGCAATGGGAATGGTACATGCGAAACCTACTATCTTAGTACCCACCCACTTATTTATAATATATAAAGCAAGGAAGGGGAAGTACAGATGATGTATAGCCATCTCATACGCTCCTGCTTGGATGTACCCCAAGCTCATGCTCCCTACCTGGCTGGAGATGAAGAAGATGGCTCCGCGTCGAGCTAGCTCGGAGCGCTTGTACCAGCTGCCAAGGTACCATTGCACAGCGGGGAAGAAGAAACCGCCGAGTGCGCCGACGAAGAAGCGCAGGGCATAAAGCGTTGTCACGCTGGTGGCTTTGTACTGGGCCAGGGTGAAGATGCCCCAGAGAAGGTCGGCGGTGGGGAGGAAGATGTTGATTGGGGTACGAGTCATCTATCATGGTTAGAGTATATTATTATCTTGAAGAGGAAACTAACTATAAGGGTCAGTGGGATTTGCATTGTGATAAATTCAACCCTATCTATATTAGCATGGAAAATCTGTCGTATTGGTCTAGTGTGGAACAGTACATGTACACGGTGTTCAGATAATTCAACTCATTTCCATACAGGGATAAATCCTCCTTCATACCTCTCACGTAGGCGGTACTTGTTGCGGACGAATCGAGCACCTTGGCCCAATGCGCGAGAAACAGAAACACAATGATCAGGGCGTCCAGCTTGAGAATCAGACGTCGTTCCGCAGGGGTGTCTCTGGGCGCGAACCATTGGTACCATTTTTGTTTCGGGTAGACGATGGGTTCGTCCTGGGAGATTTTTTGTCCAACATTTTTTTTATTTTTTTTTTTTTTATGTTCTTGTATGTTCTGGATGAGGGGTCAATTGACTATTTATCTGTCTGCATAAAAGCACGTCATCAGTGGTGGGGATGGCGTTAGTCTAGAAGTAGTACAATATGGAGATTTCCATAGACAAAGTAGAAATTGTCCCTTGCATATATTGGTTAATATCTGACCCAGGTGGTGTCTAGTAAGAATCAGAAATCAGGACGCTCATTTATCTGATTTCAATTGTGCAACCAAGAGTATATCTTTATTCGTTTGCACACGATCAGTTATAGTCTCCAGAATTTTAAGTGATAAATCCCCATGTTTCGCAACAACCGGTAAAATCCACTCCCTGATCCCCTGCTCATGCATATATGGATATTCTATTAGAGAACAAATCCACCACCGTAGTGGATCGTCCGATGCAGTCGTCATGAACAATTCATCCAACACGTCCGGAAACTTGTTGTAGACTTGCCAGTTATTCTCTGCAGTGCGCATGAATCGCTGCTTCGCGAGAAGCTGTAGCGCAGGGACGTCGTATTTATCTCCCATAACGTACATACGCAATGATGTGAATATAGAGATGGGTGGAACGGATGTGATCTCAGTCTTAGCGGCCATTGCGTCTGGTTTGGCGTCGTCGGCGTCGTCGGCGTCGTCGGTTTCGTCGGTGTTGTCGGCCTCGTCGGCGTCCTCGGCGTCGTCAGCGTCGTCAGCGTCGTCAGTGTCGTCGGCGTCATCAGATCCTGACTCGTATTCTAAAGGCTCCGGGTCAGGTTCCTCCGGTACGTAGTCCACGTCGTTGGCAGGGTCTTCCATTTTGGTGGTTAGGAAAGCATCTATTCTAAAGTTCTAGCATTTCATACAGAACATATATATGGAGGGGACATACCGGACTTGGTTTTCACCAGCGTTTCAACCTCCTTTGCCTCCATCATCGCAGGAATTGACGGCATCTCGTCGAAATACTCCCCGTCCGAGTAATTCCCCAAATACAGGAACTGGAAGAGCCGCTCCACCATGTCTGGGTCATCATCAGGTAAATCGATACATCCTTCGAGGGATTCCTATTCCCTGTATTAAAACTGTACCTATAGAAGAAAGCTCGAAGAACACACTTTGAATCCTCCTCCACACGCCGCGTTAAAAAAAGAAGATTGCGCACAAACCACCGCCTTGTGAACGTGGAATTTTCGCACCCCGCAGGTGACGGTCAGGTCGGTGTGCTTTCCACTCTGATAGAGTTGCCACAGCGCAGTCTGCAGAGTTGAGCTGCAGTAGTGGCCGAGGTCAATGGGCACCATGATTGTACTGTAGATGGGTTATGAATTCTGTTATGATTTGGCGTCGTCGTCGTCGTTGTTGTTGTAAATTTAGGTTTGATCATTTGGACACATCAGTCCGCCGTAGTTGTTGTATTGTATGGAAATTCAAAACATATATTGAACTAGTCCAGTTGTCCGTTACCGTGGGTTACCACATGACGCCCAGTATTATCAGCAAACCCCCGATTTTCGTGGCCAGCCCCCCCCACTCCCCCGCAAAAAAATTGAAGCCACATAACCACATGTTAAATATTATACAGAGATCTTTTTGAGTAATAAAATATGCGCTATAAAGAAGCTACAATGCTTTTGCCGTCTTGACGATTTACTGGAGGGGGAGTTCCCTCTTTAACACCTCTATTCATCTGGCTAGCGTTTTTTCGCTTGGAGATCCTGAGCTTGCTGGATATTTTCAGGAGAATAAAAGACAGCATAATCATTTTCTGGAGACTGTACTGGAACAGGTTTCCCACGCCGGCGATTCTTTTGCTTATTCTGTAAGGCATCCTTAAGTCTCTGCAGCGTAATTTAAAAATAATATTCTATGTGGACGTTGTATTATTCAATTTTTTGACTTTTTGGTCATAAGCATTGGCAGCAACTCGTTAAAGCTTTTTGATCCAGCACCAGTCTTCTGCCTTTAGAATAGAGTTGGAGGAACTAGAAGAAGGCCTTTCTTCCACTATTCTAGTAAACCAGTCAAAACAATCTCCGCAACCCAAGGATATAGGTCAACAGATCTCCATAAATTCTTAATAATTTTGCTTGATAAAGCCTTTTCTCAGCTTGACCAAAAGAGTCGAAAAAATCCTGTTTTGTAGTATAGCTTAGACCTTGGCATTCGTGTAAAAATTTCTCCAAATGGTTACTTACGCCATAAATAAAAGACCAAAGATCCAACCATCAAGCGGCTGCAAAGCACGATTTAAATAAGGTAGATAAATAGCCAAAAGGGTCTTATTCTGACCACAGAGGTTAATAAACTTTATAGTAATATGAGATCCATGACCATTAAAAAATAGAAGGCGCCAACGCCTCAGGGTCTTCTTTTATTCCTGATCAAATATGGCATATCGTCAATCCTAGATATTGCATGAAATGGCCTGGTATATAAGACCTGGAGAAAGAAAACTTCCATCTGCACAGATACAAGCAATTGTAGTAACCCACTCTCTATTTTCATCCAGGAGTCTTGCTTGATCCCTCCATATGTTTGTCGGGAAAAGGCTCCTTTGCCTTTGGATAATACTCCAATAAGAGAACCCCTTTTTATCCATGCTATACATATCTTTAGGATGGATATTATATTCCTTGACCTTGCGGGCCAGAAATTCAAAATATAAGGCATATTTATATGTTGAATCAGCACGCTTTCTTGAAGCATCCATTCCAACTATATAATAAGCAACAAGCTTATTATTATATCCCTTTGAAAAGCGTCCTGGCCACTACTTCCTGTGACGATTCAGTTATGCAATCGAGGATAGGGGACCTTCTGGTTGATTTTCTTAAGTAGACTAAAGCCCCAAACAACAAGATATTGTATAGAAGGCAAAAGATGCGCGTATGTAGGTAAGTTAGTACTCGAGCGTGGAGGTATATAAGAATGACATGGCACAAGATCGCATCTTCCCAATTCAAATACCTTCCATAAGTAACAGCCTTCTGCCCAAGGCCGTGTCAATCCTTTGGTTCTATGGAAGAGAATTCACTATATCAGACAGTCACTATAAGATAGGATTCTCTACAGATCAATAGAAGTAGTTCATGTCGCTGGGAACATTCCTCAGATTAAACTTAACCAACTCAGGTAGAATTTGAATGCTAACTTTGTGCATGCTGCTATAACTTTGTAATGCTTCTAGGGTGACTTGTTAAGACTTCCTTTTTATATGTACTTTCCTGGCTGTGTTCATATATTGTTTGAACCTAAGGGTTTATATGGAACATAGTATCCAGTAGCCTATGAGATTCTTAATATTGATACAAATTATGGAATAATGTCTGCGTCTCAACTTCTCAGTCCTTATCCAGCTAGAATTGTCCATATGTACAGCCATCCTGGCCATAAATTAATACATATGCATGGAATACTCATCTACAGTACTAATGCTGTCCATTAAACGCTCTGACCGTCAACCTCTTAACCCCCCCCTTCACCCACTCCAGCGGCGCCACAAACGCCATCTGACTCCACGAGAACAACTTATTCTTCCCCCCAAACACAAACACCTCAAACCGTCCCTGAAACTTCCCATCCACCCACACCCGACTCCCACCGATGACATCCGTTTTGATCGTGATCCGCCCGGACAGTGGTACCTGGACCTCCTCGTGCGTCGATGCCGTCTGATTCACCCAGATACGTCCCGGATATCCCTCGTCGAAGCCGTCGGTTTCCTCGATCGAGCGGAGCGGGTATCTCCATCCGTCAGAGACGAAGGTGAGGGCTCCATCGGGGGAGAGTTCAAGGGTGACGTCGGGAGAGTAGAGATGGAAGGGTCCGGTGATGTCAAGGTCAAGAGTGTAGTTCATTCCTTTGCTGCCCTTTCCGAGGCGGGTTTTGTCGTCCCGCTTGTCAGACGGGAATGCCGTCCAGTCGAAGAGAGGACTATCCGGGTTGGTGTCATTGGTGGGGAGTTGTCGGTCCAGGTTCTGAGCCACCGCACGGCCGGTTAAGAGACCCACTGAGGTCGATAGGCTGGACACGTCGAGTTGAGGACCGCGGTGGCCTGACCATGCGCGCGACGCAACGGTGGGAATGCCGTTGCGGAAGGCGTAGTAGGATTCTAGCTGGGTGGTTGCGTCCGGTCCGTTGTCGTTCCACGCGGCGAGAATGGACCCCTTCACGATGTGCAAGTTGGGCTGTTCGCTGGCGTTGAACGGGTTGAAGAGTGAGGGGTCCCATTGCCAGCCCTGGATGCCAGCAAAATTCAACAGTCGGGTGTTGTTGAAGAACTGAGGATACGCTGCGGGGAAAATAGGCGTGTGATCGTTCTTCAGAGACATGTACGCCCACCAGTCCTCCGAGTTGATCGTCTCGTAGCCTTCGTTAGCCAGGGCGACGGGATCGGATTGTCCGTACTGCCAGTGCTGGATGATGATGTCCTTCGAGATGGTCCGGTTCTCGGACGGCTCGTACGTGCCCCAGATCCGCACCTTCTTGCCGGATGTCTCGTCCACGAAGCGAGCCAACTCGTTGACGAAGTCGATGTATACGTCTGCCAGGGTGGGGTCGTACTCGTCCGCGCCGACGTTCACCTCCTTGGTCTGGAACCATGGGAGAAATTCCGCCCAGATGGACTTCACCAGAGGGATGGTATCCGGATGGGATAGGTTCAACAGGTCCTTCTGTTCCAGCGCCAGCTCGGGTTTCCATTTCGTCACGAACAGACAGTGGCCGGGAGACTCGATCTCCGGGATGACGGTGACACCCCGCTGAGCGCAGTGGTGCTGCAGATCTTCGAAGTCCGCCCGCGTGAGTGTCTCGTTACGTCGCTGCACGATCCCCTGCAACTCGGGGCTCTCCGGGAGTAGGGCAAACTGCGCGTACATCTCGTTCCAGGTCTCGTTGTGGCCGCGACTGAGCGGCACGTTGTCGCTGGTGTGGTAGTGGAACTCGGACATCTTGAAGAACGAGGCGTAGGTGCACAGGTCCTTGAGATACGAGGGCGAGTACCATTTCCGGCCGGCGTCGAGGAGGAATCCCCGTGTGGAAAACGACGGCGCATCCACGACTCGACCTGAGGGGATTGGTTTCTTGTCAGCGAGGAGCAATTGTTGCAGCAAAGTTCGCGATCCCCACCACATCCCCCGTGCACCAGATCCACGGATGAGGACTCGGTCGGACTGCACGTCCAGCTCGTAGCCTTCCTCTGTCGGCTTGCCATTCTCATAGATGAATTCATGTCGGTAGATCTCTTCCACTTGGTCCAGGAAGATACCCGTCCGATCGGGGGGAAAGACATCCACCGTCTGCACGTCCCATGAGGAGCCGGTGACTTCCTTCAGGTCCTGACTGAATGTCTGGGCGAATTCCAAGGCCGACGGTGGAATCAGCGTCAGTCCACCTTGGTCCCGATGCGACGCAAACTGGTCACGGATATAGATAGTCCGCTCCACGGCAGCGATGTTGAAGTCCTCAGGGCCGGTTGGGGCCCATTGGACCGGCGGGAGGGATTGCAGCGCCGAGACGACTGCAAATGATGTTAGGAGAAGTGTCGAGCGCATGGCGGATGATCTGGAGAGCTTTGGGGGAGGAATGGGGGTTAGTTATAGCATCATATACTACTATATTATTTAGAGCTCTCCGCATCGGTTCGTATCGGACGGTTGCATTTCGTGGGGGTGACAAGGTTGCATTCCGATCGCCGAATGCTTATCGAGTCGCATTCTTGGGCGGTTGCCAAGGCAATGTTGGTCCTGGGATTGGGCCAAGGCCAACGAGTGGTGATATATTTTGATGAGCTCCCCGGAGCTGACATTTTCCTGGAGCTGTTAGGGTTTCTCCCCCACGAGGTACCACATGGCAGAATGTAACTCCCACAGCGATGTTGCATCCCTGACTCAATCGTGGTTGTGCACGCTCTTGGCAACTCCTCTTTCCGCTTGTCCGATTATCAATCATCTCTCGTGGTTTGTTAAAATCAAGTCCAACGCTAGAGTATCTCTAGGAAATACAGTGTGGGTGTTTGTAAGAAGTCCAACTTCGGACTCCCAAGCTCAGCAATTCAGTCCGTGCGTTATCCCAAACACAGATACGCCTTAACGTGCTTAAAATGACATCCCTCCTGCATTTTTCATGATACCAGGGAAAGCCTTCAGGTTCGAAACTGAATAATGTCTTCTGTCCGTCGGGTTCCCTAGCTGAGCAATTCTCATAGTGATCATCAAGCGTCCGCATGTGGTCGGTAATACGATATCGATGTCACTATAAGCCCCTGCGATCAACAATTGACCGTCAAAATTATCCACATATTCGAACCATCCACCTTGTCCTGTTTCTCGGTTCTTCGGCTGAAGCCGCTGGCTCTGGGATCCCAGGGCCATCTTTGATGAAGCTCTTGCACCAAGAAAGACCTGGCCGTCCCTCTGCGACGACCTCATTCAGATTGCGCACCGGATCGCGGATCGGGGAATTGTCAATGAGGATGCCAGAAGGAGGAGCCCCGTTGTACACGAAGATCCATGAAAGAAGTTCCAGGTGTTTATGATTTATTTTGCATCATGTCATTTTTGCAGAGTGTCCGGATGAAGAGGGGGCAGCGGATATCTCATGCTGAAGTATTTGCAAGGAGGATTTGTCTATCATCAGTCTGCTCTGTATAAACAGCGGGATGAGGATTTCAAGCTGGACGGAGAAATACTGGAAGCATCGCTATACAACCTTCAGATCAGAGTCTAGAGAGTTGGAGATCTAGACAGGAGGCGCAGCGACGAGTGTCATGCTGCGCCCCGACAAAAGCTAGCTTCGAACCGTATGGATCAATTCATATGGGAACAAAAACGGAGGGAAGTTTTACTGATATGTCCAGCTTCAGTAAGATGGATTTTGACCTAAGTCGGCTCAGTCCCACTTAGTCACTGCTAGACGAGTCTTGCTGTGATGCACTCTCCAGCTGTATATGCTCTGTCAGCATTGCCTATGTTGCAGCCTCCGAGAAAAGAATTAGCCGTTAGCGCGGTGATTTGTTTTCTGGTACGGTGGCTGAATTCTGCACGATCCGAGAATGAAGTATGATGGTACGTATCTCGTATAGGCGGCAAATGTCTTGCACTGAAACACCGTGTGGCCGGTCACCGAAAAAGGAATGCAGCCAAGGGCGGGTAGTAAAGCAATCTGTAACGGCTCCATGCAATCTATTTAACGTTTATCTAGTATTCTGAAAATAACGGGATAGCAGTGGTGCTTCGCTCGCTAATTTCTGTGTTCTATACTCTGAACCTTTTGAGCGAATAACTGAAATTTCGGATTTCCGGGATCACTTCAATGTTGATCTATCTATCTTTGAGTATCTCAAGAGCGGTTAATACTGCCATGTCAGATTGAGGAGTCATCACTCAGTTCATACCTGACTGACCCATCCTACAAACCACTCATATTTTCTACTACATTTCTCCGGATAAGTTCACCACCAAATATCTACCGTCCATGGATATCAATTAACTCCTAAAGGAAGAAAGACAAGACTCATGTTTACTCAACTTATCATGGCTGCCTGATTAGACTTCCTTCAGACTTGCTACTTGAGTCGATAATTCGTAACTTTGACAAATGCTTCGCAATCACAACCCAACCCGCTCAGAGAAGGATACTACTCTCGAAGCCATCTCGTGGAATCCTGATTCCGTCCGAATCAGAACGGACACGTTCCGTGAATCCTCGGATGATAAATCCATTGGTAATGGATCCCTGCTTGGATATACTCTACAACCTGTCCATCCGAGCCACAGCTACAACTGATCACAAATAACTAGCTCATCAGTCCATCACATGCGTAATCAATCTTCTAGGCCTGGATAAATCAGCTCCTGACCGTGGTTCAGTAATTCTCTCAGCACCCCGTATCTATCCCTGAAGCGCCGGCATGTAAATTAAATTAAATCACTACGGATGCCCTCCTGCTCTTTCGACTGTCCGACATCAGACCTCTGACACGAGGATCTTCTCCTGCATTACCCAATTCTCTCCAGCAGATCCATCGGGTACCCCACAATCGCCAAGATGTTGTAGTGTTACCTAACCCGTACCAGGAAGCGCCGGTTGATCCTTCCTTGGGTGTTTCAACTTGCCGCAGGATATAGTACAATTTCTCCGAATGGCTTGTATGGGGGAGCTGACCCCAGCCTCGGTTTGGTCTAACTATAATAGGAAATTCTGTCTCAAGCTCTGTGGGCTGTGTGGAGTCTAGACTTGAAACCCACATTCTTTATATAATCCGGTTAGAACTCAGGACACTTAGAAATAATAATATACCTTAGCTTCTGCTACTCTAGGTATCTTGATGCCTAGTTATACTATGAAACACGATAGATTATGATATTTTGGCACGGTCTACAGAGTAAGCTGTAAAATACTGCGGACCCAAATCAAGACTTCCCGGGACTAAGCTTAGAAGGTACTAGTACTCATGGTATCTGATGTGTCCTGAATTTTCATGGCCTGACACGCCAAGACGTCACACCTGTTGCCGTGTCCACTTTGATGTTTTTTTTCTTTCCTCCTTAATCTCGACACCGGATGCTTCCGATACGCTAGTTCTTACCTGGGTCCACGGAGTAACATTCTTTCTGCCGTTATGACGATTTACATTCACCGGTGTAGGGCTGATGGTCTCCATGTTAGAGGCGGTTTTCACTTCGAGTCAATACTATGCCGCCTATATTCGCATCATGGGCAGGCCTAGATCATGCCTCAGCCCGAATCATTTACCTGAAGCTTTCCAAGCATTCAGATGCCGCTCCTGACTCCACTCCATCCTCTGGTACACAGTCACATTGTTTCCTCGATCAGTGAATAGTATCCTAGAGAGAGAGATACAGCGGCATCTCCCCGTCGACTCCCCATCGCCAAGCCACTGGAAGACCCTGTCCATTGGATGCGGACTACAGGTCCACTGGAGCTCCTTGTGCCGCTCCCTTCAACGGTGAAACAGACCGCGGATGGTTCTATCGGTCGATATACCTCTCATCTTTGCTAGCCCGCATTTCCAGAAGCAGTGAATGTATATAAACATCACCATGTCCGTCTGTTACATCTTGTCTCTTGCCAACACATCCGTTCTCTTCTTTCGTTTCATCTTTTTCTTCTTTTCCCCGTCGTTCCTTCGTCATGGCCGTTCTTTTCTTTCAGCTTCTCCCACTCCTTACTTTGGCTACTGGAAAGCCAGTTCTTCCGAGGCAGGCCTCGGATACCCCACAGGGCGCTCACGACCTGATCGACGTCCGTCTCGACGCTATTGGGAACTCCACCGTGAAAGCCTACATCACCAACAATGGCAATGAGGACCTCCGCTTCGTCAAGAGTGGAAGTATCCTTGACAATGACCATCCCACCAAGAAGGTCCAGGTCACCGGTCAAAGTATATCAGCTCCCAAATCCTTCATGTTTCAGCCCACCCAGTGCATGACTAACTCGTGTATTACCAGAGCACAACCCCACCTTCAACGGTGCCGAAGTCACCTATGTCAACAGTCATCTGACCAACGATGCCTTTGTGAATCTGCCCCGCAAGCAGACCATCGAGTCCGTCTTTGACGTCGCCGACTCGCATGATCTAACTGCCGGAGAAAAGTACTCGGTCGTTGCCGATGGCTCCCTCGAGTACACCCGCGCCAGCGACCCCAAGAAGTTCATCATGGTGCCTTATAAATCCAACGAGATCAGCTTCGAAGCCCCGGAGGCTAAGAAGGGCCTCACCAGTCGTGCCACGCTTGACTGTTCCGGCGAGTACAGCCAGAAAGTGAAGGCCGCGCTCGAACGTGCCGCGAAGATGGCCACCGCTGGCGCTAAGGATGCGCGTGACGGAAAGACCGGCCTGTTCAAGAAATTCTTCATGTCCGACTCTCAGGCTGATAAGACGGAGGTTGCGGACCGTTTGGATGCTATCGCCAAGGAGGCCACTTCAAAGGGTACCTTGACTTATTACTGCCAGCCCACAGGCCAGGACTCCTGTGGTGGTAATATCGCTGCTATTACCTACCCAACTGAGAACCGTGTCGTTAACTGCCAGGCTTACTATGAGACTCCCGCTGAGAGTGATCAGTGCAATTATCTGGATCAGGCTGCCATCTCGCTCCATGAGTTTTCCCATGCTACTAGCGTGTACACTATCTTGCAAAAGCGGCGTCACCATCTTATACTCTTTGATTGTTTCTCAAACCCTAATGCCAAGTAGCGCTAAACTATATAGGGAATAATTAAGGACTAACTATGTTCCGAATAATACCTGTCATTGTTGGAACAGTATAATACTATGATGTCATGTAAAAATTGTGTACCGGCTTGTATGAGCGATCCACGGGTGACTGGAAGCTTCTATGCAAACTAACGCAAACCGCAAGAAGTGGCGACAAACTGTCAACAATCACCTTCCTGTTCCTATCTGGCATTTCACGTACTTTGAGTTGTGCAGGAAGTTACTGAGTGGTGTACCACTAATGGCCCTGCTTATTATTCTTCTCGGCTTGTCAGCATTAGTCTTCCCCTATGATAAGCACCCTGTGAAAGCTGACAGCACATGATTCCAATGTTAGGCTCCTCGGCGGAATTTATTGCCTTGGGGAAACAAGCTCTACCCCATTTAATAACGATATTGCCACTCAAATGAGTGGATGGGAACGAACTCCATCGTATGCCCCTACCCCTGGTGACTTCGGCCGCGAACGTACGCCATCCGTATATTGCCCCTCCCCCAACCATACATATGGCGAACCTTCCACCCCATTGCGTCGAACTGGCTCTGGTCGTCTCGGCTTCCTTGATGAGGCTGAGTTCAACAGCGGAGGCACATATGACGAGGATCATCCTTCATCTATATATTATCTTATTGAGTGGAAAGTAACTCTCAATAATCGGTTCTTAGCCAAGGATACCGAACAAGACTTGGTCTTTAGGCCCAGTTGGTACTGGCAACAGATAAAAGAGAAGGCTGAACGTATTGTGCAACGCAAAAAAACTCGTAATCAACGAGTGCGGTCAGATGATACTACTATTATTGTGTCTGTAAATGATCGTTCACAACGTGATCTTACTAAGCGCTTTGAAAACACAGATATTAATTGGACATCTGTAGAGAAGCAACTCTTACAGTGGGAAAATTTATTTCGTCAGGGCAAGAAGCTCAGACTTTTTATAACCATTAACTATATAGAGGACAGCAACCCATCTCCCTCAAAAACTGACAAAAGAGGAACTACATCAACAACCAACAGAATGCTGCGTGACCTTGATGATCAAGTAAACGCTGAAGACTCTTCTGGACAACCTTCAGTTTGGCGGGACGTGTATAGGAAAATGCGTTGCCCTGGGCCGCCATGTCACCACGAAGGACAGTACTGCTGGCTGGATCCAGTGGGAAGAAAGCATTACAAGTTAAGAACGCATCATATGAGAGCCCTAGTTAAATATGTGCAACAAGGGGGAATCCTTGATACCCATGACGACATTCCCGATACTATCCGAGACCAGTTGTATGCAGAAGAGCGGCAGCGAACCGAGAAACGACAGAAAGCCCTGGATCGCTCCGCAAGTGGATCAGTGTACCCTCCAATTAATATTAATGTCGGGCCGACTCAGGCATCCATAACTCCCCACAATTACGCTGAAACCACTCCTTCTACTCAGGCTGATTCCGTGGATATTCCTGGGCCAATTGAAGTCGCGGTGGAAGAATATACCAATTGGCATCTAACACAAGTAAGCACCGAGAATTTCAGGGAAAATATTCGGAAAGCGCGTGACGTAGTGTTGGAAAACTGCCTTGACCTTGGTCAGCTTCTTAACCCCAACATTGGTCCCGACTTCTTCGTCAAAGAGGGTGTGAAAATTGGTGTCGCCTACAGATTTGTCAGCGATACTAAGAAATGGCTCAGCCATCGTAAAAGCAAAAGGGCTGAGGACTATGAGGACATCTCGGATTAGCAAGTGTTATACAGCATGCATCTATATACTAGAGAAACCGCCTTCATTGGCAAATGCATTATCTTTTTCCAGCTTATGATCACTGTATTATAATAATAATATGATAATACCCACCCATCAATATTAATGTTCTGCCGTCGCAGTCTTACGCCTCTTGCTTGGACATCTTGCTGCAAAAGCGGCTATAGATACAACGTCCAAGAATCTCAGTCCTCTCGAGATTTCTGGACCCCTAGAGACTTAGATTTCAGGGAATACGGCTAGTGATAAGAATCAAATGTCATTGATGACCTGCTAAAGGCATTGTTTTCTTTTGGAACTGCTGGCGCAGTAAAGATTGCATTTTCTGTTGAGGTTCTGTATTCGAGACTTTGTTGCCGGCTGAACATTTTATTTTTCTAGACCTGAATGGCACTGCGCTCACAATTATGATCATCAGAAGAAGTGCGTTGGTCAAGATACTATGGAAGACAATCTTCTGTGGTCGGAAGTGAGTAGACCATTTGCCGATCCTTACCCGAGCGATGAGCCAAGTTAAGCGGTGAGTTTGTGGTGAAAACATAAACCCCTTGAATAGTACCCCTGATTTCCTAAACAACCATCATAAAAAGCAAAACAGGAGCCACAGGAGTGAAATTACTTTCTAGTTCTTTTATACATGGCTTTACTTTCTTCCAAAAGACGTGGCTTTATAGGGTCAAGTTGAATTCCGAACTGTTTCACCAGAAGTGGGAAAGGAATTTCACATGAGTTATCTGTTGACCTGAACGAGCCAACTTCTGCACACAATGGTCTTAGTATGCTATGAAAAAACTGATATCCTATAAAATACTGATTGCTAAATAGTGTGGACTCCGCCGCAAAATCGAGCAACCATGCCAACAAAACATTATCGGTGTCGGTCAATTCGCTATCGTTCACAAGCTGAATAATAAAATCGTCCGGAAAGTTCCGTTAGATAAATCCTTCATCTATAGCACTCGTGCTCTCGAAATTGAAGGTCGCGTCTATAGCCACCTTGGCAAACATAAACGTATTGCCCGGTGTATCAGCTGGAGCGATGACTTCGTCGACTTGCGATATGAGTGTAATAGCGACCTCGAGTCCTATTTGAAGAAAAACTCCTTGACTAGCCACGCTAAATGTCGAATTGCTCGGCAGGCTGTCGAGGCTGTCGTCTTCATTCACGGAAAAGACGTTATTCATTCCGATCTTAGCGCTTGTCAGTTTCTGGTGGACAAAAATTGCAATATAAGATTATCCGACTTTGGCGGGTCGTCGTTACAGGGTTCAGAGGCCATTGTCATGGAGACCGCCTCCCACTTTCTACCACGGGATGAGGGTTCTCCAAATACTATCCAGAGCGATCTATTCGCCCTCGGGTCTACTGTATATGAGATTTTTCTCGGCAAGAAACCTTACGAGGGAATGGAAGAAGAAGAAGTCCAGCGCCTATTTTCAGAAAAAGTATTTCCAATACTAGATGGACTAAAGGATCAACAATGGAAGAATGTCATCCGAAAGTGTTGGATGTGCGAGTACGAACGAGCGTCAGATATTTTTAAGGACATTCCATCTGTTTCATACTTCAGGCACATCTTCGCCAGGGTCTAATCTATCCTTCCGAATGGTAATTTGGGTCCTACAGTTCACCAGAATTTGATTGGCGTTGACTAATGATAGACGATTGATAAGCATCGGCTACTGGGCGCTAGGAAATATAGCAGGTTATTCGCTATCCTAAAGATGAATTAGAAAGCATAAGATGACAACGAGGTGGTTTTTTACCTAACGATGGGTAGGACACTTTCCCTTTACTCTATTCGATGCCCCGTGCCGCATTTCATAGTTGCGACAAGTACTCCTGGGGCCGACCGCCGGTTTGTCAGGACAGTCAGGCCCAGGGACAATGCTGTATTTGTTGCAGTCTGGGTTTTTACATCCCTGACTAAAGATCGTAGTTGTTTTGTAATCGACGCACATTTTTTTCTCGCTTATTGTTAAGGATAGGATTTGAGTAAATTCAGATAATGATTTTGATTGAGATGCATGATGGAACAAGTGACCTTTTATAGTTGCTCTAATACAGGCGGCTAGAAAAACGTGCTCCTTGGACAAAAGCAACAGCCGCAGACCCCATACATGAGAGGAGTGCATGATTTTCTCTCGCTGGCAAAGTATCGGGTTGTAGGTGCCCGGGCCCAGTCTCAAATGTCCAATAACATATAGGAAGGTGGAGAGATGCATGGGCCCTTTTTTCTTACTGTAATCCTAAGAGCCTATGTGATGAGGACTGTAAGCGCCGTGTCGACGCATAGGTAATAAACATCCCTTGAGGTTCCAAACACCCCACCTCTGCCAAGTTAATTAGATCATGTAACAGATTTGTACAGGTCCAGTCATCACGTGTGTCTTATTTTTGTCGCCTTGATTCTAACAGAAGTGCTGCTCTTCTGGTAAGAACTGTTGTCAAAAGTATATTAAGCATGTATGTTTTTGAAAAACCCCGCTCAAGTCGAATATTGACTTACTTGTCATCGACTCTTCTTGAGTGTTGCTATGAAGCTCAGGTTGACTAGTGCAGCTTTGGCTTCGGGTTCAGATTGAATCCGGTCCCGCTGTAACCTATCCAATCAAGCAACTCCTGAGTGACTACATATTGAGGTCACACAGAGTGAATGCCCCTCCATCAACATATAATGGAGTTGGCAGCCGTGGATTTTGTCTCACAGAAATAACAATCAACTGATCAACAGCACGTATAAAAAAGATAAAAAAAAGAAGTTGTTTTAAATTATGCCGAAAAAAAAAGGAAGAAAGCTCCCGTTTCATAGCAAACAAGAATCAGCGCATGCATATATAACTCAGGAGTATCAGGACACTATCCCCGGTCGAGAACTTCTAGATGCCTTGGCAAGGTATTTTGTCGATGCTTGGAATTATAAATAATTTCTAACTAGAGTTTAGCCTACGTTATAACTCGAAGTATAGCGATCTGACTATTTTGTGTGGCTGTGAATCTTATGCCGTCCATCGAAGTATAGTCTGTACACGGTCCGACTTTTTTGCCAAAGCTTGTGATGGAAAATTCAAGGTGGGCCTTGAAGAAACGCAAGCATATAAAACCGTGTTTAGCTAACATGCTAATACTATACAGGAGGCTTCCACCCATAAGATTAGTTTAGATGAGGAGCCGGCTTTGGTGAAGCAGATGATTGAATACCTCTACACCTTGGATTATCAGGTTGACCCTCATGTCCCAGTATCTGATGCATGTGTCTCTGATGAGAACATTCTTGCCAAGTCCTCTGAGTTACAAGAAGGTGAAGACACTCCGTCTACTTACAGTAACTAGAAAGCGAAGGGCTGCTAGCCAATTTAAATCAAGTTTCTAACTTATCCAAAGAACCAGCGTGTACATCGGACCCCCTTTCCTTTCACATCTTGATGTATTCACTTGCAGATCGTCTGTTTATACAGGGCCTGAAAGCTCTTTCCCGACAAAATGTTCAACAGGAACTGGTTCAACGGTTGAATGCGAATTCGTTCCCTCAAGCAATTCTCGAGATCTATAACTCAACTCCCGAAAACGACCGAGGTCTGCGAGATTTGGTTGTTAAAATTACTATGGACCACTTAACTACACTACGGAGCGCGGATGAAGCAGAAGCCGCGGCTTTTCAAGACGATCTTTTAAAATCGGTTCCTCAATTTTCGTATGACTTGCTCGTGGCGATCATGAATAAGTCCGTATCAATCTGGAACCAAGGTGAAGAATGTAAGAAAAATTGGTTAAAGAAAACATGGGTCTGGCCAGTATAATCAAGCATGATGGTCCTTATAACAGTCAACTGGTTAGTAAATATAATAAAACAAGGGCGTCTTACAAATACAATATGTGCACTATAATCTTTCAATTGTCAGGCCGGAATTTCGGAAATGCCCTTCTGCGCTTTGTTCCCTACTTCCCACGGTATCAACACACCACTCTAGGAAGGAATGAAATCCCTGCTCGGGATTGTCTTCATAGGATTGCCAATGCCGTCGGATAAAGGCTTTCAGCTCGGAAAAGAACTCCTCAATTGGATTTAGATCTGGTGAGTACGGAGGCAGATATACCAGTAAAACCCCTGCTTGCGAACACATTTCTTCTATTTTCACAGAGTGATGGAAAGAGGCGTTGTCCATAATAAGAATAGATTTAGCAGCAGGATATTTTCCACAATGATGAAGAAGTTGCTCGATAAAATCTTCAAAGAATGATGCGTCAGTTGAGCCTTGGAATATGCGAGAAAAAATAATGCCGTCTTGAGTATATGCGGGAAGAATATGATACCGTTGGCCACGATGGAATTTAGCAACTTGGGTTGGGGTTACCCCAAGAGGTGACCAGCCTGTCCTTCTGGATCCTATCCGTTTGTCACATCCGGATTCATCCACATAAACAAATTGATATGAATGAAAATCAGATATAAGATGAAAATATGCATCACGCAGGTCTGGGTTTCTCTCCTTCGCTTGCTTCTTGGCCTTCTTTTTTGACCACTGTTCACGCTTCAGCGCACGGCTAATGCTAGATGTGGCTACTTCTACTTCAAACTCATCCCATAAAAAGAATGCCATTTCATCGAGATATAAATGAGGCTTTTTAAGAAGGTAATCGAGCAGAGTTTGAAGCATAACTGGTGTGAGACTTGGTGGCCGGCCGCCTTTATTTGGAGGCGCTCTCATGCTGCCAAAGAGCTGTAGGTTGGAACGGTGCCTCATGATGGAACGCTTGCTGCAGCCAGCAGCTTCAGCAATCTGAGAGACTGAGAGCTCACCACTCTTTATCATACCATCGATAAATTCCAGGACTGACGGAGCTAAATTGGGTGCCATCGTGCCTTGCTTTACAAGCATGATCAACATGATCTTCCGGAAGGATGTTTTGGTGGGTGGATGGAATAGCCACGTTTCCACTAAGGTAGCACTTGTACGACTGGGACAGAAAGCGTATATTACAGTCTGTCATGTGACTTTATCATACAGTACAGTACAGGCTACACAAAGGCTAGACTCTCGGAAAACTATTAAAGTAGTTTAGCGCCACTTGGCAGTAGGGTTTGAGAAACAATCAAAGAGTATAAGATGGTGACGCCGCTTTTGCAAGACAGTGTACAACCCGGGAACTGAGGATGTTGCCTACGGATATGACAGCGTCCTGCAGTTGAGTACTCAGCAAGCTAAGAACAACGCTGATTCGTTTGCCTACTATGCTTCAGGTATGTTCTTTATTCCACGGAGGTAGAGTATACCCAATGCTGATGTCGTCTATAGCCGCGTTTTTGAAGTGCGATGCCGACGGCAATAGCTCTGGTGGTGGCTCTAGTCCTGGTGCTGGCGGTCCTTCCGGTGCTGGCGGTCCTTCCGGTGCTGGCGGTCCTTCCGGTGCTGGCGGTCCTTCCGGTGCTGGCGGTCCTTCCGGTGCTGGTGGTCCTTCCGGTGCTGGTGGTCCTTCCGGTGCTGGTGGTCCTTCCGGTGCTGGTGGTCCTTCCGGCGCTGGTGGTCCTAGCTGGGGTGCCGGTGGTCCTTCTTCAGGCGGTCCCAGCTCTGGCAATGATGGACCCGGAATGGGCGATAGTAACACCACCCCCAACTTGCCATTTGGACAAGGAAATAACGATGGTTCTGAAGGTTCCGACTTTAACACTGGCTCCTTCCCTACTGGCAACTTTCCCTCCGGTCCAAGTGGTAACAACGGCAACTTCGGGCCAGTGGGAGGTCAGAACCAGGGCCAGTTCCCGGGTCAGGACTTCGGTCAAAGTTCCCCTCAGGGCCAGTTCCCCGGTCAGAACTTCGGCCAAAGCCCCTCTCAAGACCAGCAGTCCGACCAACCTCAGGAGTTCGATCAGGCTCCTCCTACTCCTTCCGGAAATAATGGAGATATCGGCAATGGCTGGTCTCCGCTTGGCCCTTCAGCTGAAATAGCCAAAGGCGTTCCAGTCGAGCTTCCTGGGGAATGGCGTGGGAACTAAGAAGTCGGAATTCCATAGCTCGTTGGATTGAGAATACAGAGTGCAGTGACTTACTCTTTTACATTCTTGTTTCTGGATGCCATACAGTATCCTTTTTTTTTCTGAGTATTTAGTTAGGATAGTTTTCACTGAGAAATTTATGATGCACATGTTATCGACTTTAGATTTGTATCGATACTTGATGTTGATTGTAGGAGTTTGCTGTCTGCAAAGTAGAATAAAGTTCGTATCTTCACTAGTAAATTTATTCTCTCATTGTCATCTGTCAAAGAGCCCCTTTCCCAGTAATCATATCAATTTCCCCTTTGGCCTACCTGAATAATTATACTTCCTCGATGTGTGAGGTTATAGCTATCAATCACTGGAACAGTATATGAAATATAAACCATAACAAAGCAGACATTTGAAAGCAGCTGATTAAGCATTATGTAAATCTCAGCAGAAGCACTTGGAAAAATAATATTGGAAAAATAAATAGGGGGGGAAATATAAGGAATATCATCATTTTCCATCATATATCTGGTCAGACGACAGCTTAAATGCTCCCTTCTGCAGTTCGTTGGCATCAACATGCTCTGGCTTGATATATCGGGCGGTCAATGCAAACCGTAGCTTTTTCTCCGGTACAACCGAATGCTTTAAATTATTAGGGTGGAATTTCAATACGGGGTATTGGTCTCCTCATACCTCGTAGTACTTCTGAAGACTCTCTCCATGCATCACCACGAGATCTCCATGGTTGAGTTCCATCTTGATAGCAGGAGGCGCTTCTCCACTTCTACTTTTCTTGAACATCTCTCTTCGCAGCTTGTCATATGCAGCTCGCGACAATTTGCCGCTCTCGAAATCATTCTTCAAGGCATGTCGTTGATGCTGGGATGCACAACCTTGGAGGACTGGATCAATATCCAGAAGCTTTTTGGATTTGCTGAATCCATGATAATACTTGTTCTTCATCCGTATAAACATGGTAGACCTGCTACCTAAAGATAGAGTGGCGATAGTTGGCCCTAACGAGGACTCTCCGTCGTCGTGGTACTTCACCGCATTAGCTTGTAGAACCTGTTAAAGGGAGGCTCACATACTCCAATTTTCATATCTTCAAAGTATCCTAGGACAAGTAGTTCATTTGGGGGAAGGAAAGTATCTCCGGTTTCATTAACCGCTCTCTCTGTTGCCCATGTCAAGCGTCCCAGTGCCCGTAGAATCTCACTAGGAGCTTCATCAAATGCCTTAGATGCTACAGACACGACGTATTTATATGGCATTCCCTAAGACGATGTTAATATATCTGAGGCACCAAAATTTTAAGAGATAACTCACATAATTGACTGCAAAGTGGGCAGTAAGTGTCCCAGCGACTGTGTCATGTAGTGGAATTGAGCAATCGATCATCTCACTGGGATCGTAGTCCACTTACCCACGCTTTGCTGCAGGGGATATCGTCTCAATCCCAGGTCCCTAACCTGCAGTTGTTCGAACAAGTCATTGGGACCATTACTAACGCTATTAATGGTCTTGTTCGAAATAAAATGAGTTATAAATCCCACTCCGTCAATCTTATACGTGAGCCTTCTATAAGGGTATACCGATTGGTCGTCAACCTCTGGAATCATAAATTTTGGATCGAAAAACATATTTCGCTTGATTGGGCTCAATTCAAACTCATCGATAACTGAGCGCAGAGTAATTGGATGCATTTTCGTCATTTTCTGAAACACACAGGAGCTACCAGTTTGACCTGACGTAGAGAGAATGTCATCTGCACATTTCCATCCGCTCCAAAATCTCCGAGAGATACACTTGGAGCATCGTGGACATACAATGCCCTTCCATGCAATGCGCGAGAAACTAATGTCCTGATTTCCTTTTTCCAGGGTCGATAATAGATCAGGGACAAGACTGTAATGCGGCTGCATCTCTGGATCAGGTGGCGTACGGTAGTTGATAAAGCTGGAGTGGAATGTCAGGTTAGATGAGGGTGTAGATGTATGGAGAACCCAGAAATTATCGCAAGCTGGCTGAAGACACATCCAGCCTTCTTCATATACGCGTGGACTCGTAAAGCCACACGCAGAGCACCGGGCTATTTCCGGCTTTGTCTCGGGATTACGCTCATGAAATGGAAGAGGCTCTGATGAGCCCGCGGCTGCCCACCAGCTCTGAGATGAGAGATCTAGCTTCTCAAAGCGCAACTTGGCCCCTGCCTTATCTCCCACCTTCTCATACCAAATATCTGTTATACGAAAGTATGCCATCACATTATATCGATGGGGAAGCTTCCTCCCTAGGATAGTGTTACGATCCCCTATAACATGGTTAATAACAGGGCATAGGTCTGGGGTTTTGAGGACTCACCGATGATCAGACCGACAGGAACCTTTAGGTTCATACTATTTATAAGACTTTTAAGGTGAGAGCTATCAGTATCTTGATCTTTTAGGAGGATCAAATTTCCTTCTGCATCTCTGGTACAACCACCGCCACTATTATTGTCAAATATAATACTACCAGAAGGGTACTAGAAGCCTGAACTTACACCCTGGTAATGACTACCTCGTCATTTATGTAAGAGCGGATTCCAGAATCTGCGTCAAGAAGGAATCCCCAGCACAGACTTCCATTATGGTATACACCACCTTGAACAGCACGAAACCATGGCAGTGCATCACACAAATCTGGACGATACTACGCCTAGCTCAGTAATGTAATATGCATTAGTTAACCCAGGAAACAAACCTCCGCCCAAGCTGGTGGTTCTCCGCAAACGGGAATGGTACGATCATCCTGATCAATAGCTTCCCTCACTTTGTTTATAGATGAAACTGAATCCATTAGTGATTTGCCAAGTATATCTGTAAATCACTCACCTGGTGAATTGAGCTTTCTTGGTTTTGCTATACGCCCCGTTACTACTGCTTGCGATCCAGCCCTAGAGGCTGTGGGTGAAATTCTGGGAGGCATTTAACAATTGATTAATTGAGTAGTCATTGCACTATTGTACTCCTTTAGCGTCGATGGAAGCGTAGACTTATAATGTGATTCTTTTAAGATTCGGAAAATTATTTTGAAATACATACACAATCTTCGGTTTCTCGATGGGTTTTCGGTTCAGTCAGCAACTTGGGTTAAATCTGTAGTCTGCAAGATCATTAGGCCTCAATACGAGCATATGATAAGTGATTCAAATAAACAGAGAAACGAGAAGGTTCAGACAGATGGTTTCACTTACTGGATGTACATGAAGACCACAGCACGTCTTAATCCAGCAGCTACCGGTCTGAAAATACCAACCTGTTATCTCAGTCTAGCTAATATGGCATACTCTGAGACACTCTTTGTATAGGCTAGGCACAAAGAGTTGACATACTCTTTATACTCCCTCGATGGAAATTGATAACAATTGATGAATAGAGAGAGCAGTTGTTGATCTCAATGAAAATTCAAGAAAGAGAGAAGAATAAAAAAGCGCACAACCACCTTCTAGTCACCGCCTGTCACGGGACTTATGGTCGCGTGAGAACACAAGTAAATAGTGTAAAGGTGTTTCTTATTTCTTTAGATAGTAAATGGGCTGCTAGCAATTTGTAATGAACTTGTTTCATCCTGTATGCTACCAGTAGAGAAAGAAAATCAGGAAATGAAGAAAGATTTCCTTAATATTAGCAGCTGCATAGGCAGTACTTCTGTTCTGGATATAGTACACAGCTTATATAGTGAGCATTAATCATTTTTAATGTGATAAACCTATGTTTGAATTTGTTCATTATACATTTAATCGATTTTTGTCTAATACAATTCTGTCAACTGAGTCCTGCTATGGTCATAGATAGGAAGCAGTTATATTTCCAAAGTATACATAATGATGTCCTGTTATCAGAGCCGCCATACATGTGTCCAAACTCTTAACCTAGAAGCATATGTCTAGAATTATATACTAAACAGAAAAATAGCATGTTAACTAACTATAAATCGCTATCCCACTGGCAGCTAGGGGCTAGTGCTGCGTCTGGCCGTGATTATTAACAGTCCTCGTTCGATATTCAAGAGTCTTGGCCAATCATGGACCGAAGAATCGTACAACATATCCTCCCTCGGTTGTCGGTTTCCCGAGGCGTAACCATCTTTGCAGGGGCATTTGTCTATATGTGCAAATTAATTACTGTTAATTCATTCTTATTACTTTCCAACAGAGAATAAAATATTGATCCAATCAGTTCAATAGACTATTCAGTGTTTGTGGCACAAACAAGGTGATCAAGGATGTGGTGAATTGGACATAACGATACATAGCAAAAGCCGACTACCGAATCTTGGGAGCTTTCCCCGCATTTTCGTCTCCCGATACTCACCTTCTAGTATTATTGCCCATTAATACTCCCTCCCTTCCTTTAACTCCGTTTCTCACACTTCTACTTCTTCTCCGCATCCTCGTCTTATCCCCCCCTTTATCTTACCTTTCTCATTCGCATATCCATTTCCTCGAAGGTTTTATTCGTATTATACAGAAGTAGCAATCCACGGCTGGAAAACCATGGTCTTCACTCCTGAAAGCTTCGCAGGCCAGCTAGGCCTAATTCCTGACAATATCCCGATCAGTGAGTTTATGCTTACAGATCTTTATGGACGTGTTCCACTAGGATCCTCGAGGGATCCTTTTACCTGCGGCTTTACCGGAAAGTCATACTCCTCATTAGAAGTGGTAGAGCGTGTGGATTTCCTGGCTCGAGCTCTTGGCAAAGAGTTTGGCTGGAGCCCCAACAAAGGCACAGAATGGGATAAAATCGTGGCGATTTTCAGCCCGAATACAGTATTATTCCTGAATCGAAGTCTTATGTACTCGGTTTGGCTGATAGTCTTTCTCTGACTAGATTGATACGCTACCATTGTGTTGGGCAACCCATCAATTGGGAGGAGCTGTATCGCCGGCTAATGCTGCCTACTCAGCCGCTGAGCTCAAGCACCAGCTACTTGATTCCAAGTCGACAGTATTGTTCACATGTCTTCCTTTGCTCTCTACCGCACTGGAGGCTGCTTCAATGGCCGGGTTCCCTCGAAACCGCATTTATTTAATCGACATCCCAGCGCAACTGACCGGCAGTGCAAAAGCACCTGCAGATTTTAAGTATGTTTCCCAGCTTATGGAGGCTGGGAAATTTCTCCCTAAATTAGAGCAACTTCAATGGTCGGTCGGTGAGGGTGCTCGGCGAACGGCATTTCTGTGCTACTCCAGTGGAACATCTGGCTTACCCGTAAGTGGACAAGGGCACAGAATGCTCGACGAAATTGTGACTCACCGGTATGTTGTTTCCAGAAGGGCGTCATGATCTCCCATCGCAATGTTATTGCCAATGTTTTGCAAATCAAGACTGCGGAAAAGCCGTATCGTGATTCTTTCATCCCTCCTGGAAGCCAGTCTCACCACACTGAAATCATATTGGGCCTTCTTCCTCAAAGTCACATCTATGCCCTGGTAGTTATCTGTCATGCGGGTCCCTACCGCGGTGATCAGGTCATTGTGCTGCCCAAGTTTGAGCTCAAGTCCTACCTAACCGCTATCCAAACCTTCAAGATAAGGACGCTGTTGTTGGTGCGTACTACAGCACATATTTCTATACAACTAATGTAACCGCTAACAATTTAATTATCCCAGGTCCCCCCAATTATCATTACAATGCTACGAAATGCCGAGGAGTGCGCCAAGTATGATCTTAGCTCTGTTACTTCAATATTTACCGGTGCAGCACCTTTGGGTATGGAGACAGCCGTCGAGTTTAAAAAAGGTTACCCAAACGTTATATTGCGGCAAGGATATGGTGAGGCGCCTCCAGTCACTTGTATCTTGTACAGCGGATGGATACTAACCAGTCTGTGCAGGTCTCACGGAGACATCAACTGTTATCAGTACGACATACCCACGTGATGTGTTCCTCGGGTCGTCTGGCTGCCTACTTCCTGGAGTCGAAGCCCGTATCATGTCACCAGAGGGAGAGGAAATCACAACTTATGATACTCCGGGTGAGCTTGTGGTCCGTAGTCCGAGCATTGTCATCGGATACCTGGGAAATGAAAAGGCCACCAAAGAAACCTTTGAGGATGGCTGGATGCGCACTGGTGACGAAGCTGTCTTCCGTCTGAGCCCGAATAATAACGAGCATCTATTCATCGTTGATAGAATTAAAGAGTTGATCAAGGTCAAGGTTCGTATTATCTGTTAAAACAATGCAGCACTGCATCGACTAACCGCGTCATTATAGGGTTTGCAAGTTGCACCAGCTGAGCTTGAAGCTCACCTCCTTACTCATCCTGCTGTTGCAGACTGTGCCGTCATCGCTATCCCAGACGAAGCTGCTGGGGAGGTTCCCAAGGCCATAGTGGCTAAATCTCCTTCCGCTGATGCAGACGACGAGGCAACTGCGAAAGCCATCATTAAGCATGTGGAAGAACATAAAGCGCGGCATAAGTGGCTAAAAGGTGGTGTTCGTTTCGTCGATACTATCCCCAAGAGCCCAAGCGGCAAGATTTTACGCCGCTTGCTCCGTGACCAAGAGAAAGAAGCTCGCCGCAAAGCTGGCGTCAAACTATAAAGAGAATCTAAGTATATTAAGACTCATCTGATTCAATGCTTAGTTATGTTTTTTAAAAATTTTTATCAGGATTGCCAATGTCTTGGGTAGCGTTTAGGGCTGAATATAGCTTAGAACTAGTTAGACAATAAAATAGAAATGCTCTATCAGAAATCAAATATTTTACCACAGAGCCAAAAAGGCCGTGGCTCTTTAGTCAGAGTAATGTTGGCTTCTGCTCTTCTGACCCGGATGTTTCAGTAAGCCATGATCGCTGTTTGCACTGTTTGATCACCGCGGGGACCGAGGAGATGAAATCGAATTTCTAAGCGGAAGTCCGAGATTCTTGATCAGCAAAAAAAAAAAAATCGACTGCACAGCTTTTGCCTTTGGTCGCTACTGGAACATTCATGTCACGTCTCTCAGCATCCAAAGTACAGTGTGGGATTCGCTGAAATACACCGAATTGCCCAACGTTGACTGTTTCCCTCGCTTCTATATTTTCCCATCGCACCTTCCGCCGTTTCCTCAACGGAATATCACCGACACCATGTCCTCTTCACAAGACCCTCGCCGTGAACACGAGGATGACGCTTTTGTGGATGCTGACGAGGCGGAGGAAGTCATAAATCGCGATGAAGACCATCCAATGGATTCCGACCCCGAAGATGAAGACCAACCGATGTTGGAACAGGAAATCACTCTAGAGAACGACTCTTCCGCCCATTTTGACCACCACAATGACTCTGTCTTTTGTATCGCTCAGCACCCTGTTCACTGTTCTATTGTCATTACTGGCTCTGGTGATGATACTGCATATCTTTTTGATTCTACCCCACAGACGGAACGCCCTGTCCTGCCACAAAGTTACGAGTCTAACCCACAGCCAAAAAAGGAACGGGATTCCTTGCTGCCTATCCTTAAGCTTGACGGACATACAGACACAGTCAATGCAGTCGCATTCACTGAACCTAAGGGAGAATATGTTGTCACAGCCGGTTTAGATGGTCGATTGCGCGCATGGCGCGATACCTCTCCTCAATTAACTGGACTTTCGTGGGAATTTGTCGCAGAGTCTCAAGAAGTGGAGGAAATCAACTGGGTCGCTGTTTGCCCATGTGAAAATGGTGATGAAGAGAAGCGCAACGTCATCGCTATCGGTGCTAGCGATGGTAGTGCCTGGGTATTTCGCATCGACCACAAGGATGCTACTCAGCCGATATCCATCATCCAGACTTTCTTCCAACACACAGCATCGTGCACTGCCGGTGCTTGGACGCCCGATGGAAAGCTCCTAGCCACTGTTTCTGAAGATAGCAGTTTCTATGTGTACGATGTCTTCGGTGCTGCCGCCGCCGCAGGTGTTTCTTACTCTGGCGGAACCAGCGCCGTTATCGGATTGACCGCCGAAGACCAGCGGTTTGCTGTTGACGGTGGCCTCTATTCGGTTGCCATATCTCCAGGCGGTGGCATTGCTGCCCTTGGTGGTGCCGAAGGACACATTAGGGTGATTGGTCTTCCCCGTCTTACTTCTCCTGGTGGCAATACGTCGTCCAAGTCGAAGGGCAAAGCATCTGGAGCGCAGGCACCCACGAGCGCATCTGCCGCAGGCACCCTTCTTGCATCTCTCCAAGCTCAGTCCGATGGAATTGAAACCTTGTCCTTCTCCACCCCACCCTTGACTCTCCTTGCAGCAGGTTCAGTTGATGGATCAATCGCGCTATTTGACGCCGCACATCGCTTCGCTGTTCGCCGTCACATCAAAGAGGCGCACGAGGGTGCCGTGGTCAAAGTTGAATTCTTAAATAACCGTTTGTCCTCCTTGGCCCGGTCTAACCCTCCTGCATCTACTGCCGCGATGCAGGGCCGACCTTGGCTTCTCACTTCTGTCGGTATGGACGGTATTGTGAGGCGTTGGGATGCACGGGGTGGAACTGCAGCTGCAGCATACGGACTGCTAAACGAGTGGAAAGGCCACCTGGGCGTCACCGAGAATGAGGAAGGGGAGGAATCAGGCGGTATCATGGGCTTTGTTCAAAGCCCGGACGGAAAGCGCGTTGTTACAGCGGGGGATGATCATATAAGCTTGATATTTGAGGAATAATTTAACTACCAATGACAATAGTGACTGTTGAACTGGGGGTATATAGACATGGATGATAAAAAGATGACGTTAAAGAATTCAAAGAGAGTACGCTGGCTAGTTCTCGTCGTGGCGCTACGAATTCACTGGTAATGTCGAGAATAGCTCTAATAGCTCAAATACAAACGGCAGCCTTAAAGGAGATAGCAATGCAATTTTAATATAACAGCCAACAGATAGTATGTACATCCGACAAAACAATCAACCCAAGCGCCATTTGTAGAGCAAGGGCTCATCCCTGACAAATCAGATCCTGTATTCCATCGAGAAACCAGTCTTCCCGTCATGACACCAATACGGCCTCCATAGAACCACTTCTGCAGAAGTGATTTAGGCCAAAAACCCCTTCTATCATGTAATGATGCGTCCGTTTGCATCCCAGGGTATCTCTCATGTCTTCTATCGTAGGTGGGCTTTTATTGATAACATTCCCTCCTACCCCGACATCTCGGTATCAATTGCTTAGTGATGGGCCTCGCCATGATGGTGGTCGTCCTTGAGGAAGAAATGCTCATATGCGCAGTAACCGGCGAATGCAACGCTGGCAATACCGAAGCCGGGGAAAATACGCTTGAAGCGGTTGGCGCGGCTGAAAGGACCGGTGTATCTCCAAGTCTCACTGGGAAACTGTTAGTGGGAAAGAGAGGAATGGTAAATGAGCACATTTATCCGTACTATCGAGCCCAAGGGTCTCTCTTGGCATACACCGACCGAGGCGATGCCGCGGCCTTGAATTCCTTGATGTCGAATCCGGTGGGGTTCTGGGCGGGCATGGTGAACGGATCTGAGATGGTTGACGGGAACAATCGGTATTGAAGAGAAGAGGACGAGAGGATAACGCGTCTGCACCTCAGTCCACAAATTCCGAACCAGTAATGGGTGGGTTGGCTAAAAAAGGCGAGGGATAAAATAGCGGGCACAGGACGGAAGGGAGCGAAGTTGAAGCTGTACAAGAGCGAGAACTGCCTCTTGGCGCGCTAAGCCGTATACGGCGATGTAGCTTTCCGCCTCTTTGCGCCTGCGAACCTCCCTCCCCCCAGCACCAAAAAGAACCGACCGACCACGCATCCGCTTGACCTCTCCCTCCACACTTTCAGATGCATGACCGCCACATAGCATTGACACCTACACCATGCCACCTCCTGTCGGCAGATACGGGCCTACTGGCCTAAGTGCTCCCTATACACACTTACAACAAGCCCACCTACAGCAACAGCAAGCCCAACATCACCCGGGTCACGCCCAATCGGCCAACACGGCTCTTCCACCTCCCTCCCTCGGTGGCCATCCAGGTTTTGCGGCCGGGAATCCGAATACCAACATTAATCCCTTCTCGATGTCCGGGTCCGGAATTGCGAGCGGCATGTCCGTCGGGTTTGGTGCCGATGGCGGAGGCACCGGTCTCGCCAGCCATGCGGCTCAGATGGGCTTCGCGAGAGGGGCCCAGATGCAGCAACAACAGTTACATCAGGCCCATGATGGTCGACTAGCACTGGACACAAAGGCAGGCGGTGTGAAAACGCGGATACGTGACGTATGGAAGCACAACCTAGCGCAAGAGATGACACTTTTAAGACAATTGGTGGAAAAGTATCCTTATATCAGCATGGTAAGACTACCGCCAGAACGGCTTTCTGGAAGCTCTCTGGCCCCGAACGATTTCGATCGAGTTGTCCTTGATTGTGTATAGCGAAGATTATTAACTCTAGGTTAGGACACCGAGTTTCCCGGTATTGTTGCACGCCCCATCGGTGCGTTTACGAACAAGGCCGACTACCACTACCAGACCCTCCGGTGTAACGTCGATCTACTGAAGATGATCCAGCTTGGAATTACACTCTTTTCCCCCGAGGGAGAAGTCCCTCCTCCGAATGCCACCGACGCTAATGGCCAGTCCTTGGGGAATGGCCTCGTGCCGGCCCCATGTACTTGGCAATTCAATTTTCGGTTCTCATTGGAAGATGACATGTATGCACAGGAGTCGACGGCTATGCTCGCCAAAGCGGGGATCGATTTTACGATGCATGAGAAGAACGGGATCGATCCACATGAATTCGGGGCGCTCTTGATCAGCTCAGGTCTCGTATTGCTGGATGATGTGCACTGGGTTTCATTCCATTCTGGCTACGATTTCGGCTACCTGATGAAAATCATGCTTTGCACGCCTCTTCCGGAGAACGAGGAAGAATTCCACAAACTTCTCAACATCTTCTTTCCATCACTGTATGACATAAAGTACTTGATGAAACATGCAGGCCGCAATCAAGCTGTCAACGACTCCCCGTTGACTCAAGCTGCTGTTCAAATTTTGACGAATCTGGGCCAAAAATCGGGGCTTCAAGACATCGCCGATGAACTTGGTGTCAAACGAGTCGGTATCGCTCACCAGGCCGGATCGGATTCTCTTGTAACGGGAGAGATCTACTGGAAGATGCGACAGCTTGTCTTCAATGGCACCATTGATGAAGCTAAATACTCCGGTCAAATATGGGGGCTGAACGGTCAGATGCCGGCACTACTGTATCACATGCAGCCTCACCAAACACCTAATCTCAACGGGGCCACTATCTACTCAACCACGGGCACCCCAAGTACACCTAATGCCCCTCAGCCTGTGACCGGCAATCAAACTCCTCAGCATCATGCTGGTGGAGTTCTGACGCCTGGGGCAGTAGGCGGAGTGCTGGGGCAGTTTCAAATTGGAAAATCATGAGACTTGGTTTGGCCGCAGATTTATTCCATATATCTAGGCTGTTAGATTGGTTTGGCTGGGTCTGAGAGCTTCATCTTTAGTTCTTGTGTTTTTCAATTCTTTACACTTGTTTTTGTATAGGTTCCGGGCTTCCTTGTTAGAGGAACCTTGGTGGCCATCTGAAGGGCCTTTGGCTCTTTCCTGTCCCAGTCATCACACTCTTTTCTTTTGTTGAATTCTCTCTGTCATCGCCGGGTCTCCACTGTAGGTTTACTTACTTTTTTTTCCTTGGGAGAGAGGATAAGGAATTGATACGATATGAGGGATGTACATACCATGCGGCACCACTGGGGTGTCTCGTTTGTCTTTTTCTTGTGGCATTTTCCTGGCTCTTTATGTTTTCTTCAGTTTTCGGTTCATCCATGGGGTTCGTTGCCTAAGATCCTTTGCATGACCTTGGAGGATGGTGTTCGCGCGGGGTGTACGGTGTTCGTGTACGCTGGAATATGATTTTCAATTCATGTAGCTTTACTATCCTTTTGCATTTCCGAGATCGTAGGCGTTAGAACTGGCCATGTGGATGTCTGTTGGCTTCTTCAACGCTTTGTACGTGTCTTATTAAACTATCCTTAGGCTAGGACTGCTATCCTAGGGCAAGGTATCCATACTATTGTCAGAGGGACTGTTGACCAGCAGCCTCACAGAGTGTCCTATCCCGTATGATAGGCTACAGTCTCCATCTGGTAAGGCGATCGACCTTCCTTCCCACGAGCTTTTCCAAGGCAATCACATCTGATACCCCACGCTCTGTGCCTCTAAGCCCGTGCGGGGGGACACACCAGGCAAGGGTTTGTGTTACCGCATTAGGGATTAGTGGCACAAATTAGCACGCTAGACTTGATCAGGCTAACCAATCCGGGGGCGCCTTATCGCTCGTGTTATCTGCACTGTCAGATTTGCTTTCACCCCCAGGTGCCAGCTCCTTGCATTGCCAGCAGCGATGCGCCAACTTATAAGATTGGCTACTCCTGCAGAATCTTAAAATAAATGTCAATCTTTTGTGTGACCGCCTGGACTATCGCATCTTGCCTTGTGTCACTGTTGCATCTAACGGCAACTTAATCTAAATCAACCGATACTGCGGTCATATAAACAACACCGTGGTAGGTAGGCATCTAGATATACATGCCTGAGACGCAGACTTCCTCACCCGCAACAAAAATTGTCTAATATCTCGTCCTGAACCATGGTCTTTGACCGTCTTCAACAGTTGACCTACCAGGTCAATGCCACCTCCCCTCCAGCGCATCCTTTTGACCCCCTCTCAACAGCAGAAATCGACGCTGCTGTTGCCCTTATCCGAAAGGAACATGGCACGGTGAACTTTAACGCTGTAACCTTGTATGAGCCGCGCAAGGCGGAGATGATGGCATGGCTGTCAGATCCACAGAAAGCCCCTCGTCCCACACGCGCGGCTGATATTGTTGCCATTGCTCCGGGGGGCAAGGTTTATGATGGAATCGTCGATCTAGATCAGAAGAAGATTGTTCAGTGGAAACATACACCCGGTGTGCAACCGCTAATTACGATGGAGGATTTGCAAGATGTGGAGCATATTGCCCGGAAAGACCCGAAAGTCATCGAACAGTGTGGCATTATTGGGATCCCGAAGGAAGATATGGATAAGGTGTATTGTGATCGTAGGTTATTTTTGGTTCTGAATCTGTTTGACTGTCATGGATCAGAATTAATAACAAAGAACAACAGCTTGGACCATTGGGTACGACGAGCGTTTTGGGACGAGCATCCGGTTGCAGCAGGGTCTTATGTACTACCGTCCTCATGTCGATGATATGCAGTACACGTATCCTTTAGATTTCTGCCCTATCTACAATGCCGAGACGAAGGAAATTATCCACATTGATGTCCCTCCTGTACGGAGACCCATCAGCAAAGCCCCTCCTAATAATTACCACCCGGCAGCGATCGAGAAGGAGGGGGGTTTCCGAACAGACTTGAAGCCAATTCACATCACACAACCCGAGGGTGTGTCATTCACAGTCAATGGACGTATCATTGAGTGGCAAAACTGGAGCATCCATGTTGGTTTCAACTACCGAGAAGGGATCGTTCTCAACAATATCACTTTTAATGATAAAGGAAATATTCGTCCCGTCTTCTACCGTCTTTCGCTGGCCGAGATGGTGGTGCCATATGGAAATCCCGAGCATCCTCATCAACGGAAGCACGCTTTCGATTTGGGAGAATACGGTGGCGGCTATATGACGAACAGCTTGTCTCTTGGTTGTGACTGCAAGGGTGCTATTCACTACATGGATGCCGCATTTGTTAACCGTGCAGGAGCTAGCACCATTGTGAAAAATGCCATTTGCATTCATGAAGAAGATTCAGGTATTCTATTCAAGCACACTGACTTCCGTGATGGATCGATGGTTATCACCCGTTCCAGAAAATTAATTATTTCCCACATCTTCACTGCCGCCAACTACGAGTACTGTGTATACTGGATCTTCCACCAGGACGGTACTGTCCAGCTTGACATCAAACTGACTGGAATCCTCAACACCTATGCTATGAACCCAGGCGAGGACACACATGGCTGGGGTACCGAGGTCTACCCTGGTGTCAATGCACACAACCACCAGCACTTGTTCTGTCTGCGAGTGGATCCCAATATTGACGGGCCCAGCAACACAGTCTTCCAGGTTGATGCTACCCGTGGTTCTGGGGAGCTCGGAAGTACTGAAAATAAGTATGGTAATGCGTTCTATGCCAAAAAGACCAAGTACACTACACCACTTGAGGCGATGTCGGACTACAACGGTGCTACTGGCCGGACATGGGAAATGGCCAATACCAACAAGCTGAACCCTTATAGTAAGAAGCCTGTTTGTTACAAGTTGGTCAGTCGTGAAGTTCCTACCCTGCTTCCCAAGGAGGGTGGGTTGGCCTGGAAGCGAGCTGGATTCGCCAGGCATGCTGTGCATGTCACCAAATGTAAGCCTTTGTTTTTTTTTTTTTTTTTAGCTCCTTCACTAAGTGGCTGGGACTTATCTAACATTTCAAATAGACTGTGATGATCAGATCCACCCTGCTGGTCGCCACGTTCCACAGACCTCTGGTGAGCCTTCACTGGGTCTACCGGCTTGGATCGAGGAGGCTGGCCCTAGTTGCTCCATTGACAATACGGATGTCGTATTGTGGCATACTTTTGGTCTGACGCATTTTCCGTCTCCTGAGGATTTCCCTATTATGCCAGCAGAGCCGATGACTTTACTTCTTCGTCCAAGGAACTTCTTCACCCGCAATCCAGCTTTGGACGTGCCCCCGAGCTTTGCCAGTACCCCATCCCAAATTGCAGCCAGTAGCACAGCATGCTCGTGTAAGAAGAGTGATGGATCCAGCGTACAAGTTTGAAGATGTTCTTTGTTTTCATATTCTGCTATTTTCACAAAGTATGCCTCTTATATTAAGCCTTTATGGATCATGAGCTTCTTACGATACATTGACATTGCATACTGGTTTGCCAAGTTATATTATCCTTTTCTCATCTTCAGCAAATCTCTAAGTAGTTCAGTTAGTATACGAACGCCTAACGGAACTATAACCCGCAGACACGTTTGTAAACATTTATACCCATAAGACTCCAGGCAATAGTGATGTTTATCACCGCCATTTAAGCTGCTTCCTTAATGAATAAGTAGTTTGATAGGGATAAATTGGCCACCATCATTGGCTCATATATAGATGTGGCGTCGCCGTGTTGATTAAGCAAGCAGTCATATCGATTCACAGTAAGGGGTATAAATACCGTGTGAAATTTTCAATGTGGTAGTTATGCTGTTGATGAAGCTGGTCTGTATATATATTTCACAGCAACTATTTCTCTTTTTCTAACAACGTTCATAGAAGAAAATGCTTCCATATAAAGGCGGAACAATCTAAGTCATAATCTACTAATCAATATAACAAACCACCTGATTTACTTCAACCATACACAAGTCTTCTCAACCCAGAGTGCAGAGTATCTCATTGAGATAACCCTAATCCAACCAATAAAACCCTCGGAACCAAAGCCATGGCTCCACATGCCGAGAGTGTCCTAGGTTAGGCTTTATATAGCACAAAACCATGTAGTTGTTCAACAATCCATCCGATGTGGTGTAATGGTTAACATCGCTGTCTCTCACACAGCAGCTCGGGGTTCGATTCCCCGCATCGGAAATTTCGAAGCTTTCTTTTCCACATCCGATGTGGTGTAATGGTCAACATCGCTGTCTCTCACACAGCAGCTCGGGGTTCGATTCCCCGCATCGGAAATTGATGCTTCTTTTTTTATTTTGTTTTGATAGACTTATTTTTTGCTACCTTTGGGTGTGGATATGGGTGGGTGCTCTGTAGTTCTTTTTTCCTTTAGAAATGGGTCTTGGCAATCATTATATTGCTGGTCTTGTTCAGTTTGGATATAGTGCCTTTTCTACTATGTTATTTCAACATTTAAATAAAATAATTATTTCTTTCTACTGTGAGTTACCATTGGATTGGACTTACTAGATGAATATACCTATTGAAACGTGCTATGAAAAACCCTTGTGATGATCACTTACTAAAAACGCGCCTTGTATAAATTAAGTTTATTCGCTTCTTCCCGTGTTTAAAGTGTATATACGACTGGTTACTCTTCGTATAGCATGATCAGTACGTTTTTGTGATGGACGGATTAAAAAGGAACGGACAACGTAAGAGGCATGGATTTTGTATATCAACCCAGTAGCCAGAGAATCATATTGCCAAGTCCGAGGAAACTGTTCTAACCTCATTCTAACATGCAAGTCATGAATACTTACCCCAGAGGAGACAGGTATGTTAACTACTTCAATCAGGTATCCGGTATCAAACGCCAAAATATAAACACGATATAGGCTCATAACAGAAAGGGACTCGAAGATGCATGCACAAGGAGAATCCACAAACCGCCGAACAATCATAACAGAAACACGTAAAATCCCATCCATGCCCAGTCAATTAATCAAGCGGACCGTTTGAGGCCTTCCTCAACCTCCTCTAGCAAAGACATCAGCTCCTTTCCACCTTCGCTATTCCTCCCTTCGGTCTCCAATCCACGTTCGAGCAAAGTCTTCGCCTCCTGCCACCGGGTCATCTCCGCCAAACACTTCGCCGCACGCCACCACGCCTTCACGTTCCCCACATGCTTGCTTTCCACACTTGTCTTGGCATCCAGCATGGCCTCAGGCCAATTCTGCTGCGCCATATGTGCCTGCGCCCGGTTGGCATACAGACCTGATAGCTCATCTCGCGCGAGAGTCACGGGCTCCCAACCAGGACGTCCTAGGGCCATATCGATGGCGTATGTATAAAGTTTGATAGCCTCGACGTGGTTGTTCTTGCGGTAAGCGGTGTTGGCTGAATCGCGCAGCTTGGTGATTTGGGCACTGCGCTTCGGGTTGATAGGGAGAGGAGGGGGAGGGACGTTGGGAGAGTCAAGGGCAAGGAGAGACCGGTGCAGGAGATTCAGTGATTTAAGCTCTTCATTGATGGACGCTGTCTGTTGGGCGGATTGCGACGATGAGGGCTCCAGAGATATAGCCTTGGAGGTGGGATCGAGGTGGAGAGGATATTGGTTGAAGATATCGATACTGCTGGCCATGGTGATTGCGTTGATGCCGAGGGTGGATCTTTCGACGGTACTTAGGCTTTGTAGTTGTCAGTAAGGGCTGGATTAATTGAAGACGGGAAAATACATACTGGGGAAATAATACTTTACCTTTTGATGTAGGCGCGAATTTTAGAGTACTTCTGGTAGTAGTGGCCGGCCCAAACTGAGGGTTGAGAATATCGAGAGATGGTGGTCCTAGTCCAGGCCGCAAGCTGTCCAAAAGAAGCACTACAGACCAGTTCCTAGAACAGAAGGCGGTGTAATAATTCCACAAGCACTATTGAATGGCACCGTCTTGGGCATCTCAGCCAACAGTTCTAGTTTTGTCTATATTTCCTTTATGCATGCAACTATCCCATAAAAAGTCTGGATATCGAATCCATAATTGGAAACACTACATTCAAGGACTATACCGGGCACTCTATGTAAATCATATTCTTATAAAGTCGTCCGAGAAACCTAGTATCTCAACGCTAGACACAGAAAGGAAAGTATGTCGTCAAAATCATCATGTAATAAACAATGTAAACATGTCCAGACAAGTCCCTCCGCTCAGGACCCAAATAAGCAACACAATCAGATGCAGAGCTTTGAGTACTGAGGAAAAAAAAAAAAAAAAAAAAGGCTAGAGAAACAAAGATAGTACAGCAATTGCAAATTGCGCCCACAAACACCACTCCATGGTCATTTCGAGATACAACGAAAGTTGAAACATTTCCCAGCTAGCATTCCTAGCGTCCGTAGCCGCTGCTAAAGTTTGAGCCGTACTCCGATGGCGGCGCGTAATGCTGTCCGTATGCACCGCCATAGCTGGTGTACGGATCATGTGGAACGCCTCCGCCAGTGGATGCGGTCGGATCGTAGGTACCGTGCATCGCAGAGCGTCCATTAGGATTCCCAAGCTCGTCTACTTCGCTCTGTTGCAGGAGAGCATAGTCCTCATCCCGGTCGCCACGGACCGAGGAACCCATGCCGGTGGCCCTTCCGGACCGGAAGTCATCCTCCTCCTCCTCAAATTCGTGCGCTGGGTTGGAAGAGAAGGCAGCCTTGCTTTGAGCGGCGAATGTAGGGTCGGAGACCGCATCGGGCAAAGTCCCCGTTCGACGGAAGTGCATAACATTGCGGAAGGACATGAAGGCAGTTACGATGAAGAGAAGGCTGCAGAAAACGAGGTTAGACATAAATAGCGGGAAGGAAACAAATGCACCACTTGAACTTACAAGATAACAACTCCCATGATCACCGTGGCGGTGCTAACTTTGCATTTACTGGCACTGCCGTATTTGAAATTATCGCAACCACCTTTCTTGCTGTCCTTATTCTTGTCTTTGTCCTTGTCGTCATCCGCTTTGCCCTCACTTTTACCCTGCGCAACATAGCTGGCGACGCATACCCATGCGGTGAACCACAAGAGAGCATACAAGCAATCGACGGTTGCGAAAGCGTAGACATTTCCGAAGCGTCGGGCGCGGGGCCACATAGGCACTGCCACGAGATATACTAAACCAGGGATACTGAACCAGCACTATAAAAACAAATTCATTAGAGCTGCGATTGAAGGGTGTTCTCAAGGAGATGAATGGACGAAACCCACCAGAGCCCAGTACCAGGCTGACCGCCCATCAATCCCACCACCCTTTGTGAAGACGGCTATCGTTAAAGCCCATGCCAGGAAGATAAGAAACGCTTGTACTCCATGGATGATGTTTTTTGTCCGTCCAGGATTGAATGAAGGTCGTGCCAATTTCATCTTCGTTGGATATGAAGGAGAATGGAACGGTGGTGCCTAACGAAAAGCGCTTCCTCAAAAAAAGGAAGGCTAGTGTTACAGAAGGATGTACAGTCGCTGCTAATGATATGTAGGTATTTAACCGATCAGATGCAGTGACTCAAGTCGAAGGTCAGATAGTAGCCGAGAATGGTAGAGGTGGGAACAGAAAAGGTCGTTGTGTGCCTCCGAGAAAAATGGTGGAATGGAATTGTTTATGCGAAGCAGTGAAAACCAGCAACGGGGCAACCCGATCAATGCCGCGCGGACACTAAGGAGACTAGTAGGCGGGTCTCAGGCGGATGGAAAGCAACGACTCGACCGCACAACGGCAAACCCAGAAATAGATGGTTCAAGGATAGAACCACGATAGTATAAGGGAGAGAAGGAGAGAAGACCAAAGAGATGAAAGGCTGCGAGGGAGACTGCAGCTATGAACAGGTGCTGTACGATACAGTAATCGATCCAAAAGTGGCTTAGGGTTGCTTACTCACCCAGCATAAAGTAAGTCAGCATCCTGTTGTATCATAGGGAAATTAATTCACAGGTGGAGACCTGAATGGCTGTGCAGCCAAATACCAAGTGCTCCATATACTCCGTAGAGTTCTGGAGTCTGGACACTTTTGCATCTGTTTGTTGCATCCACTACTTCAAGCCGGCATTTTATCCACGGATTCCTTGGATATCGACACGAAGCCCTTCCAAGCATGGAGAGAACAGGAACCTTACAAGGCGGAATCCTAAAAGAGTGGACTATAGAAGACTAAAGAAATAATAAAGCCTATCAATTTAAGAAAATTATGTATTATAGATTTTCTGTTACTATATATAGGGTGCAAGGCTACACAGCACCTTTTCTTTTTTTTTTTTGGCTCAATTATGAAACAATGTTTAACAAACCTAAATATCTAACTGTTAGTCATAAATATTGTAAGAATACTTGTATGTATGTCCAGACAATACATCAATTCTCTACATCCCTGTTAAGATCACTACTCTCTGCATTTTAGGATAACATAAGACTAACATTTTTAAGCAGACTATGGGGGAAATTTTCTACCAATAGCCATGGCGCAATTGTGTCCGAATTCTTTTCCATTGATTGGTATGTTAAGAACCCCCTCACAAATTCCTAACCTATTATAGCAGAAATATGCTGGGAAAGACGGGGTAGGGTAATAAATAGGTGATAAGCACCTTGCTTGTAGAGTGAAACATAGGACCTATGCTGTATCCAAAATCTCAATGACACCTGACCTTCCATCCATGCTATTTACAATCAATTTACATTAAACAGAGCAAATTAATCAAAAGCCCATTGGCCAATCATGAATGTAAACAAAGGTTACACTAAGATATCGTTCTCCTGGAAACGAGTCTATTCATGGAAACATAGAAACGCCACAATACCTTTAGCTTCTCGGCTGTGCTCCACAGATCTACAAACTTGAGGATTCTACATAATGATAAAACACCCCTATAAGAAGTATGCCCGCAACACCTTTCATTAGTCATAATAGAATATCAAAAGGCTGTCGGAATTTCATCATGTACGGCATACGTACTACGAGCTGGCTGCAAGCTTTTTTGAAAATGGATATCGCGTCCTGGTTTGCTTTACTACACTTGGTCGGGTCCTCGATCACAATGAAAAGGTTGAAGATGAGGTCGCTGTCATGGGATATGTCGCTCAGCAAACATAGATTCCTCTCCTAAAGGACCTAGGATTTGGCAAATGTGTGTTTGGTCCATGCATTGTGATAGATTTTATCGAAATTGTTTGAGCGGATATCTCAAAGATTCGTCTTAGGTGACGGTCAGATTGAGCTCGAGAATCCCTGTCTGTCTTGAAGACAGCTCATTTCGGCATGGCTGAGGTCCTTCTGGAGCTTTCAAAGCCCAAATTTCCGTTTATTGGTGCTATTATACAGGATGACTCAGGTGATTGGACCGTACAAAAGTGCCTGTTCACTTTCAACATGAATCGACTTGGTCTGTTCCGGCTCTATTGCGATGACCTTTGCCCCGACAACGTCATCCTTGATGCATCAAAAATTTGTTGTCATTGGAGTGGTCGATTGTGAGTTTGCTTAGCCTGCTCTTGTTGAATTTACGTGTGCTGCTACTTGGTAGCTCTTATTAGAGCGTTTGGAGGACTGGGAGCTCGATCTTAATCAATTTTTGGTATGCTTTATGCTGAGGTTTTGCACTTTCTTGAGGTACTTCAAGATTGTGAGACCATAAAAATTAAAGATGGTCCCTTTTTTGGATTTGCCTTGCTTCACCACACAGCTCTACGCTTGATGAGATCTATTGGAACTTTCATTGATCCGAGAACTATTTTGGTCCTTTTACAACAATTGAGGATGGACTATGTTAAATAGAGACGAGGGTGTGAACATTGACACCTTTATTAAGATAAAATTCCACCAAGAAAATGAAGACAGTTTGGTTTCTCATTACGGTGTTCATGATCTAGTTGACGACTAAGTGTAACTAGTTGATTTGATTAATCCACTTATACAGTCACCGGTGAGGCAAAAAATAGTTGTGTTTTACTCAAGGTAGAATGAATGCATGTACATTTTTGCTTTGAATGTTCATTGTTTTTTTATTTTATAACATTGTTGGATGGACGTTATCCAACAATGGCCGGTTGGTGTAGTTGGTTATCACGTATCGTTAACACCGATAAGGTCGCCGGATCGAGCCCGGCACTGGTCATTTCTTTTTTCTTGTTCTGTTTTCATTTTAATTACGTTGTTATTTCTTTCTTTTCTATTTAGGCATTTTGACTAGGATTTTCCCTCCCCTTTTTTCTTCTTTGCTGTCCTTAAATACCCTCTTTCATCTCTGTAACAGTTTGCATCTCTGCATTGTTCTCAGCTTTATTCTATGTTAAGCTGGCTATAGTTCCGAAGGAGTGTTCGAAATTTAAATAAAGTTACTACCGCTTTTTCGTTTATCAACTATAGAATGAAACCAATGAGAAGCCAAGGATGTTAGAGTTAAAATAAGGCATTTTATGGTCGTTTTGTCTCTCTCTAGTTATTCTATAAATGCATGAATCATTAGGCACCAGAGGTCCAAGTAGAGTAAACCTATGATTAGTGTAGCTGGGGCTTGAGGCTTAAGGAGCTAATTATTAAAACAGTAAATGGTAAGACAATCGATTTTGAAATATATAATTATCTGTAAGAAGAGACTATATAAATGATAGAATAATGCGGAAGTTAACGATTCAATCATCTACCTGAGTGGTTGCCTACTAAGGGTCCATGCCAACACCTGTTTTATCTCGTTATAGTTTTGCTGAGTCGAAGAGTAAAAAGAAGGATAAAGGTATGATAAACGAATGAAGGTAGAGGGAAATGAGTATGTTGCAGTAATGCTGAGCGGTTTCATGTTCTTTTCGTATCGCTGCTGAATATCGATTCCAGCACTTTCAATGGTCGATAGACATGGGCATCACACCACCATGGTAATGGGTCATGAATCGAGAATCGCCAGCCCTTCCAGAACCCAAGAACATCTTCCATTTCACTAAGCAGTCGGTCAAATTCCTGAAGAATTGGGTAAAATGCAAGAAGTACGCTTCGAACATCCCATTCTCTCACGCTCTGATAAAGACTGAAGTTGGGACGTGGTGTTGTAGATATGATGGATTTGGCTTCCTGTATGCGTAGTGTGTCAACGGAATCCGTGGACACTATGCCGTTGAGATGTGGTGATTCCACTGTTAAGTACCCACGGATGAGTGAATCTGATGCATCTTGTAGTAGACTTGCGACAGCAATTGCGCCCTGTGTGCAACCGGCAATGCTAAGGGCGTAGCGCACATGGTTGGTGTCGACCTCCTCATCCACCATCAATCGAACACAGAGATGACCCGTCATCCGATGTCCACCTTTTAACGCAAAGCGCTCCATAAGCCTATGAATTGCCACCGCGAGCCCCTCATCTAGGCGCGATTGACCCCAGTTTGGCACACTGTCTGCCGGGTGCACTTTGATCGACCTGACATGACCCCGGACCACCAACAACTCAGCCAGAATCTCTCCCACACGACTCTCTTGTTGTAAAATCCATGGACTCTCTTTCGAGATCTGGATCTCACTAACTTCTGAATAGGTTAAACTTATAGTTCTCTTCGGCAGGATGACAGTTTTGTCGTCTCCCATGATGGAATTCGGTCTGTACATGCGATAGGTCTTGGTGGGCGACCGATGTAAGATTTTATGGATGGAATCGCGCGACTGGACGTGGTGATTCTCCACTACTGGTAGGCCCTTTTCAACCAGGTACTGACGAAAGGTCTCTTCCCTGCTGAATACCGTCGCAAGCTCCGTGTCTAAAGTTATACATTTGCAATCGGTCCGACCCTCAATTACCTGCTTGGCGACTGCATCTTCAAAAACGGTGGCACTGTGAGAACAGGGAACCCAGACATCGATTTTTTCACGGTGGATAATGTCAAGCAGCCGAGAGACATAGTTCGACTTCGGGACACGATAGAAAGTGACAAGGCATTTGGACATGCTCTCTCCCGAGGGGATTGACGAATCCGTGAGATTTGCGCCGACCACCCGATGACCTTGATAGTACCAACTTCGCGCAACTGATAATCCGTATGGCGTATCTACTCCCGTTACGAGGACTGTTTTTGGATAGAACTGCACATCTCGCAGGGCCGCTTGTCGTCTTTGAATCGGGGCCGAGCGCGAAAGTGAGGAGAAATACCCCGCAATGTAAGCTGCCAAGAGAATGGCATTGTTGAAGGGAAGAAGAACAAGAGCTACAGTTATGCGGAGCAATTGCAAGAATAGTCCAAAGTGGAGTTTGTCTCGAGCAGTATAGAACGACCTTTGCTTCGAAATCGAGCTGAAAGCTCGTCGCACCGTAGGAACAGCCATGGTGTCGGGTGCCTGCATTCATGGAGATGAAGAGGAACAGACAGCTGAATCTGGTGTTTAACTGTTGACTGTTGACAACTTTTCCTACCCCTCCGGAATGCTGCAAGGCGACCACGTCAGCGATGCATTACAACGACAGCTTGAAGTGGCTGGGCTGAGACCCTCTCTTTTTTTTTTTTTTTTTTTAGCATCTTCACATGAACCGTAGGGCAGCAAGCTCATGAAATTAAGACCAGAAACGTCGTGGCTTCTTCAACTGACATTTAATAGTCCTGATTATGACTAGTATTCTGCGGGTAAGAACTGATGACCATGGATACGGCATTTTTGCAAGGGCTTGGTTGGTATGAACAGAGTTTCAATCTCAATTTGAGACAACACATGCTTGAGAAATGTAACCCTGTAAAGCATCTGAATTACGTGTTCGAATTGAATTCTCAGACAAAATTGCTTAATGCCTTGATATAGGAAACTTGCTCAAGATTTTATTTTCCTCATATAAAAAGTTAATATTTAGGCAAATATGTCTATAGATCTCATTGTCATTCCACCAAATTTATCACTACACTTTATTACCTTCCTGTTTTACCTTAATATTAATATATGGAATTTCCTCTAGATGTTTTAATAAATGACCGCGCCAGGGTAGTATATATCTTTATTTCTTAATATAAGTATAGGACCTTCACTTCATATTCTAGAACTTCCAACTATTTAAACAAAAGAATAGGACAGGTTCTTATTGACCTTCAATATTCTACAGTCCTAGCTTGTCTTTGATAAACCGCCTTCTCTCCTACCCCGAAGTCTTTAGTCCTTATAGTAGCGCCTATAATAAAGGAATGGATTATTTTATTTTTTCCAGTTGGCTTCATACCCCAAATATTATACCCATCATTATATCCGGGAAAGATAGGTCATTTAGAGCACATTGTCACCAGTATATCAGGCTCATACCAGAGTAGTGGCACCCATGTTTGATAGAGCTAAGGTTTTTAAGTACCCTAATGATGTCTGTTCCTCTAAGTTCTCCGGGGGAAGCACTGAGTGAACATCTAATTCGTCCACCTTCACGCATCGAAATCTGTCATCTTACTCCCTTTCACGTACTCTTCTTGGCCTTAGACACCGCACCGTTGGCATCCACAATAGATCTGTTCCGGATCTTCCGATGCGCCAGATGAACGGCCCTTCAATTTGGAAATTGTAATTTGCCTTTGCATCTAGAAAGGCTCGGTTAATGGCCTGTTTACTCGCCAATTGGGAGTCCTAAATCCGATGGTATGTTACTGCACTGTCCTCCATCTCCTCATAGTAGTAAATACAGGCTCGACAGTAAGTGTCTGGCTTCAATATCTCTTTTTAGCGATCCCAGTATGGAAATGAAGCTGTCCCCTACAGCCTCCATTATGAAGTGGTGTCGCAGTCAACGAGTTTCATACGAATTCTTCGACAACAAAGTGATGGGAGTTTAAAATCTCTCCGGATACCTTTACGCCTTTTACTCCATTTTATCCATTTTAAAAGCGCAAGTTCTTCCTTCTTCTTGCGCTTGTCTGGACGATCTCGAAATCCTTGTTGCATTTCTTTTAAACATCCGCGGCGCCGTAACCCAAAGGCTCTAGCCTGAGCAATGTCAAGCATACGTTGTTTTTCACATTTGCTAGGAAGGGGGCGGATAATTGGGACTGACTTAAGAGCTAGCTATGGTAGTCCAAAGTGAAGCATCACATCTGGCGTTGGCGCCACTTGATACTCTGGCTGGGAAATGCTGCAATTAAACAACTGCAGATGATGGTTGGAAGGTAAAGAAAAGGACCAAAATCAGAACATGTCCGGCACCGGGAATAACATAGCTCGTTAAATAGCCTGTCAATTGAGAAATATGAGGTATAATTTGTTGCGTCTAAAACGCGGAATGTGTCTGAGGCATGCTTTCTTAGCGGAAAGTAGGCTGGGAAAGATTCCACTAGGCTTCTTGTTCTTGTGTTGACACGACGCAGAATCCCCAGACTGGTTCGATCCAGATAGGAAAGTGTCTGATATAGCAATTTGAGCGGAAGTTCGCCCAGCAGAGTTGTGGATGGCGACTTATTATTTCGCATTTTGTTAGAAGGAGCTTTGCACACCCCAGTCTCGGGATTGCCAGGATAAGGACGACGATGTAGGTTTAAGACATCCATAGCTGGTTCCTTCCGGCGATATGCTGTGTCTGAAGCTATCGAGGCAAGCATGAGAGACAAATATCTCTATAGTGCGATATACTCCAAAGTTGCTTGCTTTAACTTATATACCAATGAGGCTATGATGAACAGACTACATCTCTGCATTCCCAACAATGGTACAAACTCGTCATTATATTCTTCTGCCTCGCCCGTCGTTCATCTCAAAGACGTGGCCTTGAGCGCCCACTATTATCGTGGACCCAGTCAAAAAGAAGGTATGTGAGTGCTCAGAGTATTTCGAGGAGGCGTGCAATGAATTGGGAAAGTTAAAACCAAAGGCCGAAGAGGACACCAATACAGTACCTTTCGTTATCTTTCAAGCTCTGCGAAAAATACTCAGTCTGATATTATTTGTGAGCTAATGAGTGTAAGATCCTGCTCTCTAGCCCTTATTCTATCGAACCGCGCTGGTCTAGCCTCGTTATAACGAGGTTCGCTTAACAGTAATCGATTCTTCGAGCGATAAGTGTGCACCGGTGCATCGATCCTTTAGGAGAAAGAAAAGACCGCTGATAATCAGTGTCTCTCACTTTCGCATGGGCGCGAGAGAGAATGTGAAGCCCCCAAGTCCAACTGATACTCTAGCAATCAGCGGCAGCGCTGACTTTTAACTTCCTCATCATTTCGCGCGAGAAGAAGCGCTACGGCACTCAAAAGTAGAACCAGAATTCAACCATCCAAGAATACAAGTCTTGAGAATGATATGCGGTAAGATTATGCAAAACAAGACTGGTTGACAATGATGTCCCTGATACTAGGACTGCTGAGCACGTTCAGCATACCAATGCTTCTAGCGAAATAATGCAGTAAGCCATTGCAGGACATCGGTCAGAAGAGCTGATACTTGAGAGTCGATTATTTTGAGCAAGCATGTAACCCATCCATGGATATAGTACAAAACACCTTACAATCGTTCCTCCAGATTGAGTATTGTCCGAACATGTCTTTGGGACAACCGATCCTGGGGGCTAATGAATTCACAACGTCACTTTTCTGCAGAGAAGAAGTGTCAGTGCCGTGGACGCCTTCTCCTTTTGGGGCCCCTACTGTGGAGAATTTAAGCTTGGAGGTGAGGGACGCAACGGACATGACCATAGAATTCTGTCGTGGGAATTTGGGTCAATTCTTCCCACAGTCCACTACCTACAGCATGCAGCATCCGGCAATGACTTTGTTGTTCCCTTCAAACGTGGATACTGGTGCTAGTACCACTCAAGCTTTTCGGAAAGTTTTCCAGTCACACCTTGTCCGACGATCCATTTTGATGCGAGCATGAATTCGGATGAAAACGCAGCGGAACAACAGTCGCTAAACGCAACGTCCCGACTCTTCCACTCGCACCGATATTATGATGATGGCGGGCCTCTGGCTTGACGACGGAACACAGCGTATCGAATTCACCCGTAGTTTACAGCAACATCCGTGGCTCGTTGACCCTTTGGATCTCGACAATGAGCCGGATACATCGCGAGATTCCACCCAGCCTAGGCGAAACGATAATACAATACTGCAATGGATGGAGTGGGTTGAGACAGCTCGAAAGTCTTGAGCGGCACTTCCCTGGCAAGCAAGCCGTCATCTGTCAAGGTTTAGTCTGGTTATACTAGGCCAAGCAATTTCAACTTCGCGGCACGGAAGGGCTGGTAGCGCCAAAATGTGCAGCAGAGAACGGGAAGTACATGAACTAGTTGCTGGCAAAACGCCTGCGGAAGCTGAAGGTTGGAAGTCGGGACAGCAGTTGGAGGACATACCCGACGATGACTTGCCCCGGTGCCAGAACCTGCGAAAGACTTCAAGTCTATCACATCGCAGCTCAAACGTCTTGACGAGTTAGCCAATTTTCCGATAGCTATGTCTCATCAACTACAGCTGACAAGTTGGAAGAAGATTTTATCGTGAGGAGTACGAGCTTGTCATTGCTTCTAATGTGAGAACCATTTACTTTGCAACTCATGAGGAAATCCCGCTAATTGCTGCGCTGGAGTTGCATGCAACCTCTGTTCTGCATGACACACCCGTTAATCTCAAGGCTTTACTGAAACCACTGGGCCGGCTATTCTTGCAGGAGTTCTCACCGGGTAAGTCATCGCAGTCCAAGATCAGTGGAAGATCACCCGCTCACAGTCACAGAGGTCAAAAGCATGGCATATGTCATGTTAAGTAATTTGACTCAGGTCCTGCAACTACGAACAATACAGAATTTCCAAAGGTAACTTGCTTGGTTTGTGGCTCGGCGACGCAGACGGCCGTGGTGGCCAGCCGTTCGTCTCCCCTTCGACATTATGCCTTTGGCAATAACGAAAAGATTGTTTTGCTCGTTGAGGGCCTCTTTACCTTCGGACACTCTAAGTCAAGAGTTGTTGATAGAGAAACATCGGAATTCGGGGATCCGATTACCATCCCCCTGAATCGCTTCCATTCCTTTAGATAGTAAAAAAGGAGAGTGAGCACGTTGGTAAGCGTGTTGGTTGCGCAGTCAATACAGTTGATATTGTTATTCTCCCTAGTAGTCTACCGGCGTGTAGCTGCTACAGTGTTTTTCTGCCACACATTCCTTCCCCTGAGCGAATGATCATAACAGTTGTATTTGAAGTACTTTCCCTCCTGCGCTAGCTTTTTCACTATCGAGCCACTCTACATAGTAATTAAGACCTTTTGACCCAGTAGCATACTCGATCTGTATTTCTAGGCACCTGCGGAATGCAGAATAAAGCTGTATCTTTAGAATCCAAGCATCCATACTTCTTCGAGCCGTGGAGAAGATGTGCTCGCTTTCAGACGCGCTTTTTTGTGAGTATATATATATATCGATAGGACAAAACAGATTTCGAATCTTTACTTCCTGGGTTAGCGACTTCCTCCGTCTCTTAAATACCGTGATTCCCATCGATACTGCTCTGCCTCGAGCTATGATGCTGCCCTAACTTGGGCGGTGTAGTGGGCGTGAGCAGAGGAAGGCCAAGGAAGCGAACATTGGATTGTGAACTTGAGACAATGATTGATGGATCGTCACACTTATCCTTCGCGTCGAAGGCTAGGCCAGAGGGTTGCTTATAAAGAGGTTGTTAAAGAGAGCATGCAACGAATGTGTTTTGCGAAGCAACTATATAGCATCATGTCAAGTCATAAATATACTGATTCCTTCCTATTCATGTAGTATTACTGAGTCCTACAAAATTGGCTCAAAGATTGAAAACACTGAACAATCATTGATCAAACTGATAAATGATCTGGTGATAGCAATCCTTTGTGTGCTTTCTGGCTCTAAGACCTAACTGTATGTTCACCCGGTGCGTATGGCTAAAGAATGGGGAATCAGTTGGCGCACCTCAAGGAGCCATTCATTGCTTGACCAGCCTACACATTAGTAAATATATAACATATGTATACTATATTCCATCACATACGACCATAGGGTGTGGAAAACAGGGCTTCCCGTCCGCTCAGCCGTACTTAACCCACACGCCGGCCGGTTAGTAGTTGGGTGGGTGACCACCAGCGAATCCCGGCTGTTGTATGTTTTTTATAATCATTTATAGTGATTTGTTGGGCTTAGTGCCTTGAATATCTTCAGGCTCTTTATCTGCCTTTACCTGAAGCTCACCTGAATGTTCTGAACGCCCCTGGACTTAAATAATCCGCACCCAGCCTACATTAAACCGTGTAATGGCGACGTGTTCTTTTAACCATTAATTACACTTATGAGGTGACTCCTATTTGAGCTGGCTCTGCTCGGTACGAGATGAATTTGCATAGTAGCTTGGCCTCTCTGCGTGATAGGTTAACAAGTCCTCTAGAACATCAGGGTTGGGGTTGCGAGCGGCTTTAACAGCAGGTGTATTGTCCAAGTTTGACACAAAACTCACGCTTTGCCAACATCCTTCTCACGATACGTGAGATAGGGGCCCATCTCCTTGATCGTCAAGCGCGATTTATCCGTCTGCGCCCTCATAAAGGTGAACGTGGGCTCGAGAATCCCATCGGCGAGATCTCGGTCATGGGTCCGCATACTTTCCCACAGGTAGTACATGATCCATTCAGCCGGGACCTTTCGGTCAGGGAGGACATCTCCTCGAGCAATGGGGATAAGCTTCTCGTTATAGGCTGAGCCATCCTTGAACGACATGTCTTCGAGGAGATCTATACGTCGATTAGTTGCTGCTTCGTCCCGTTGCCACGGTAGGCCGGGCCATCAATCATAATGATATGTATGCATACCATCTATGAGAAAGAGCAGGGTCAAGAGCTTGCAGGCGAACTGGATGCGGTCGTCCTTGGCCATGGGAAAGTACAGGCAGGTCACATACGAGAACCCAGCGCCCACGAACTTCTTCTTCGCCTTGTCATCCTTGAAAGGCCAATGTGTAAGGAAGTACTCGTTGACTTGGTTGGTTACTTCTGGCTCGAGAGGATGGCATCGGACTTTAAATCGTGATGCAAGTGGGACATCTGCCTTTCCAGTAGGACTCGGAGGTGGGCTTTCTACGCCAGCATCATTGTGGACAGGGTAGGCAAGGTTTGGCTGATAACTGATGACTGCTGCCATTGCGCAGGAGATCTTAACAAGGAAGATTTGGGGTGTGAGAAAGAAATTTACGAGTATGGACGGCACTGAGAGGCACGACTATCTTGCTCAAATGTGCAAGAAACAGACTGAGCCCTAGATTGGCGACAAATGTTGCCATTTTATAAATGTTAAGACATATACTTGTTCTTATAAGTCACACAGATTCGATTCTCCCAGAGGCTTGATTACCTCGCCGTAAGTAGAAAGCCCGACTCAGAGCGGCCGTGGTGGAGTTGTTCTAGCTGGACTAGGTGGAAATGGAGGCCGTCAGAATCACAAAAAGACATAGCTGCTGAGAGTGGCGATCCATGGAGCTTGGATTCATAGCGGGAGCAAGAGATAGGCACTCAAATCGACCGAATGGGTGCGATAGGGTCCTCTTCCAATTCGGGTAGTCTGTATTTGGGGCTGTGGCAGCTACCACACCGGTGAAAAGCCTAGTCTAGGGCTGACGGGATACGACACAATGGTGGGCACAACACGTCAGATTTACAGTAGCCTCGCTAAGCACGATAGACATGGTTCGCCAATTGGAATTACTTTCTCAGTCTCTGCGCCGAATTCCCCTTCCATCTTTCTTCTCAAAGACTAGCACTCGGATAGACCGCGGACATGGCTTGCAGCAACCACAACTTCCTCCCAAGAAATCATCGGGCCCTTTTCCTGAAGAGAACCTCCTGGTTGGGATCTGGTTTAAATGCAACGTCGTACGTGATTGGCCTCGGGCGCCCTTGGCCATTGGGAAGAGCCATATCAAAATTCATGATCAGATACGAGACGATGATTTTGACCTCATTACTGACAAAGAAACGACCTGGGCAGCTAGATGGTGTGAAATCAGTTAGTAATAAATTGTAGATGCAAACCAGAGGGAGGCCAGGATCAGGAAAAACACTCACGCATGGGTTCCGTAGCCGAACAGTAGCATCCGTGGTCCTGTTGAGACAAACTTGTTTCTCTTAATGACTGGCTTCAGCCGTCGCCGATAGGGGAATTCAACCTACCTGATATTTGCTTTCCGCGCCTGCCTCCTGCCTCATGCGGTCAAAGCGAAACCCATCAAAACGCTCTGGATTGTCCCAGAATTCGCCGTCCATAGCAATCTGGCTTGACGCCGCGGCTAGATAGGTTCCCCGCGGGAGATACGTGCCGTTTGACAATGTCATGTCCGATGTCATGCGGCGGTTGAAGGTCATGATACCGGGAGGGTTGTGGCGCTGAGTCTCAGTCATGAAACTGTCGAGCTTGCGTAAACGAGACAATGTGCTTTTCGACCACCCAGCACTACCGTTCGCGCTGCTCCAGCAAGTCTCAATCTCCGTCCTCAGGGGCTGAATATACTCCGGCCGAGATGCCAGCTCAAAGATGATGTTTGTCAACAGCTTGGTAGTGGTATGGATGGCGGCAAAGCTCACTTGCAGCTGTTGCATGGCTTGATAAGCAACATCTGTACGGAGCGACGCTGGCGAGTTCATATTCCAATCGATCATGTAGTTGTCTCTCGCGTTTCCGGTCCGACCATGGATGCGCGCCTCAACTAACGGACGAAGGAGCCGAGCCATGTCCGCCAATTCCTTCTGAACGGCATTGTGTTCGGGTATCAAGCGGCGGATGAGAGGTCGCAGAGATGCTGGATACCGGTGTAACTTCTCCGCTGTGACGAACGAGTCGATGGTGAACTGGACAATACAGTCTAGAAACTCTTTCTCACGACTCAGGTCCGAACCGACAAAAACACGACCAGAAAGCAGTGCAACAACGCGGAGCATCGTTGGCTGCACTTTTGCTGACTGCCATCGCTTCGAGTCTTCGAACAAGGTCTCAAAAGCGTACCTTGTTTCCTCTTCGAGATGCGTGATGGTCGTGTCTTCAATACACACGTCAGCTGCAGCTGTCTTCTAGCCTTTCGGCTGTGGTTAACGTACCCATATTTCTCGCCAAATCTTCTCGAATGCTGGCGAGCATAGTCGAGTCATGCTTGCCGATATATGTTAAGTCCCCGAGGAATTGCTAATCGGCGGATGTCAGCTTCACAACACAGTTGCCGCTCCAGGAGGGGGATCTTCAACTCACCCCACTGAGGGATTCAACTAGGCTAATCTTGCTCTCGGGAAGTGATTTCAACTCATCAAGATATTTCGCCGGAATGACCAGCTGGTCGCCATGAGGGGGCCGTAGCAGAAACACTTCGTGCTTGAACTAGTCGAGTCTTAGGTTAAATTTCACGGGGTTGGTACAGAGCTTCGTTTCACACCTTTTCGTATCCATGTCGCAGGAGATCCAGAAGGGACACGGGGCGGTGCTCTGGGTCTTCGTTGCTTTTCTCCGATGGGAGGCTGGTGATCAAAGGAATAGTGTGGGTTAGCCGTCGTCGTGCTGTTTTAGAATAGAAGACAATGGCCGCCACGAGCAATAACACGCATGCGCACGATGAAATGACATCCATCGAGCTATTTGCACTTTGACCAAGGCTCCCCTGACCTAACAGGCTCTGGTTGAAGGGTAGGGGACGGAAAGATGCTGGTTGCTGCATAATGGTGGAATCGCTATGGATTGACAGTTCTGGCTACTGGCGAGATTGCTGCGATACTCGAGGGCCCGGTCAAGATTTTACTGGTCTGTTATGGGCGGGTTTACCCTAAACAGTAACTTTCCGACAGACCACCTCGAGCGAAGATGGATGCGACCCGCGTGTGCCAACAGGCCATGGCTGGCCTTGTTCACTTACAGTCTAATGTGAACTACTCGAAGCACGAAAGAGATGTCCACAGTGGTAGGAACGAAGGTATATACATGTATTGGCTATCGCTTTTGGGTTACAGTATCTCTTGTGCAGTGAATGAGACATGTAGGTGGCTTGTCCAGCAGTAGCCGCTGCATGGCTTCCGTATCCAAGTAGAGGGCTACATCCATTCCGCTATCGTCCACCCCGGGATCCATGACTTGGACACATCCATCTATCTTAGGCATGACAGCGTGAACATATCTCGGCCTCTGGCCTGAGCCCACAAAGTCGACCTGGTAGAGTTGCAGCCGGAGCCAAGACGTCACTAGCGTGTGCTGTGTGCCCACGAATGCCTGCCACAGTCGCTGGGGGGAAACCTCGTGCGCGGCATCATGTAGCATCGCGCCCATCTTCTCTGGAGTAAACAATTGCAATGTCTGCCGAATCCGAGATGCCGTGTGGCCTAGACAGGCGGATGCGCCTGACATGCGAATGTGCGTTATAAAGAGGGGAGACCCAATGAAGGACTCCGGCAGGGACAGCCGTGACCGTGCCCCAAGCGTGAAGTTTAGAAACACATTATCCGACGAGTGACTGTGGCCTCGGGCTCGGTTGATCATGGCCCAAACGTGTGCAAGCAGGGCATCTAACCTCGAGATGTTGGGGTCGCCCTCTGTGCTGGCTTCCTGCTTCAACTCGGCGACCATTGGGCCTGGGAAATGCAATAACGCATAGCTGACCGGCTTGGACAGATCCCAAGTCGTCCAGGGGGCTGGGGTAGACGGAGAGTTTTGAGAGTGGATCCCATCGACAGGCGGGATCGAGTTCTCCGTGGTTGGAATCAGAAATGGCGAATAGCCTGGATCATCGATTCCCCACCAGTTGAAGCGATGAAGAGGCAGCTGACGAGCCTCTTCCAGCAAACTTGGATCTGGTACCGGGGCATCAATATCTCCTGCCGCACAGGCATCCAACTGCGCAGGATCGAAAATCGGGGGTCCGGCAAAAGGCAAGACACGATCATCCGCGTTGAAGGTTTTCCGGGAGTTGTCCGCCCAACTGTGGACAAAGACCATCAGAGACTGTGCATCAGCTAGTACATGTGCCATCTTGATGCCGATGCCATATCCTCCATCCCTGAAGAGATTGATCTGCACCTGCATTGCGGGAAGCCCGTCGCAATCCCGTAGGTTGTGTAACGGCAATCGTGTCTCTGAGAGAAGGGGTCTCTGGTCAAACTGATCACCCCTCCAGACTCCGGAGCCTGATGCGCGCTCCTCAGCGGACGGCGCCAGCGTTTTCACTGATAGTAATTGATGCCGCACCACTGCCCATTCGACTCCGGGATCTGTTGTGGTGCCGTAGGTCACCATGGGCCGATTGAAGCGCTCGGTGTGGGATCCTCCTGGTCGCACTGGCGCCCAGTGAACCTGGCCGGCCCAGTGAGGGAAGTCATTCAGCGTGGTCACAAAGGAAGATTGCAGACGGTGGAGAAGATCCTTTTCACTGAAACTGAATCTGCTGCCCTTCTGGTCCGCAGGATTGTCGAACAGCCAGATCGCCCCAGTAGCGGAAAAGCGGGCGACGGTGGCATCGAGGATGGACAGCGGGGTTGAGACGGGCGTCGTGAGGCGACGCGACGGGTAGACGCGGATTTTGTCCATCTTTGGAAGTTCGATTCTCAATCCTCCCCAGAGGCGCACTTCTCAACAGGATAGATATGGAGCGCTTGATTGTTATTATTATTCTTCCGACCGAGGATCTTCGTAGGCTGACCGTTGGGAAGGGGTTCTCTTCCCATAAAATCGGGACAATTTTTTTGAAAATTCGAGAAAGGAAATATCCAATCTCGGATCCCTATAATGGGAATCCCATCCCGAAAGTCTTGGCACGAGGTGGGAATTTCTTTCTACAATTTACTTCGGGTAGGGAATTGAGTCTACAGCTGAACTGAAAGTGGAGTTTCGGCTGACGGTTAAAAGGAGTTAGTGACGCGCTATCAGCTGAAGCCCCACTTTCAGCGCAACTGAAACCTTTAGGGAATTTCCCATATGGGAAATGGGATGGAAAAACAAGACTTAATTTCTAAGGTAAGTGGGAATGGGAATCTCCCATCCCGAATCCCTTCCCGAAAGAATTGGCGAATCAAATGCAATTCCCATGGGATTATGGGACGGCACTGAAACTCGTTCGGGATCCCGAATCCGTCCCGAAGGTCAATAATAATAATCTTCGCCATTTCGAAGTCGCCACGTCGGGGTTTCCCCTTTGGGTTAGGACCGTCGGACTTCTCTGACCACAGCCCCTACTAGGCTACTATGTATCAATCTAGCCGGTGACCGCCGGTTTTCCATGCCTCGAGCCACCGTTTACACACCAAGGCGGAAATATCGCTTTTTAGGGGTCCAATATAGGTCCGATCCAGTTCCTGGACGGTCGCGGTGGTGCGATCATACGGACGGAACGGAGGGAGGCCGACTGCGTTAGGATCACCATGAACAGCGAAGCGGGTGAGATAGCCCTGCAGTGCCTGAGCCACCTTCGGATCCAGCTTGCTACTACTGCTGCTGTCCGCCTCGTAGAACGTATACGGCTCATCGTTGGAATGCCACCCGGGGGGTACACCAAACCGGTAGGCGTAAGAATTCTGGGGGTAGGCATTCAGGAGGTACATCGCATTGCAACGGATGACAAGGTCACCAAAGGCGGCCGCCACTCTTTCCGGCTGGGTTGCGTAGCCCAGAGCACTATTAGCATTGGCAGTCCCGTTCGGCGTCGGTGGCGGATAGAGAGTGGTGGCGATGCGATCAACAGTGGCAGAAAGGCTTTCTGGGAAAAGATCGACAATGAAGGCCTCGAACGCGGAGGAGTTGGTGACAAAGGGCGATGCGAATAATATGCCTTCGTTTAAATTGTAGCTCACCATCGGTTGGACGGATGAATGGAAACGACCTTCTTGGAGAAGAATGCCTGGAGGGCCGGGAAGGTAGCCAGTACTTCCGTCGATCACGGGTCCTGAGAGCCATTAATGGGTGACTCAAGAGATGGGTGCGTAAGGACATGCTGCTGCTCACCGAAAGCAAAGGTACCGTAGGGTGCCCTGGTCCCAATAACGTTGTTTGCTTCCATCAGAACTTGGCTGGATGCCCGCTGTAGAGCGTCGAAGGATGTCACATTCGCCGCGCGAAGCACGGACTGAAAGAGATTCTCCTGCTGTCTTCGATCGGGGAACGGCAACATCCAGGGACTCTGCAGAATGGCTTTGCTGAATGGTAGAGGGCCCCGGCCACCTGCATACGACGTGAGATGGGCAAGAACTGAACCGGAGCCTGCAGATTCCGCCAGAACAGTGATACGGGTTGGATCCCCGCCGAAGAAATGGATATATTTCTGGATCCAATCGAGAGCGAAGTGTTGATCGAGCAGCCCTAAATTCGCTTGTCCTTGAGCCCCAAATGTAGGACCAGAGGACCAGCCCTAGAAGCTTTCCTTAGCGCAAGTGAAGGTGACAAATGAGTCTCCTCGCAAGAAGAGGGGGCCGTGGAATAGTCTTACAAAAAGCCCAAGTCGGTAATTGATGGCGACGTAGACGATTCCTGTTTCGTTGTATTGCTCGCTCGCCAGTATCAAACCGCGTCCACTGCCCTCTTGCGACTTGTACCCTTGGATATATCCACCGCCGTGAATCCAGACGACCACAGGTGCACCTTTGCCTGTCTTTCGAGCATTGAAAACTGTCTCCGAAACGCGCACATCCAGGAAAAGACAATCTTCTGTTGTTCCGGGGGTAAGGGCAGGAACTGCTGCCTTGGAATAGTCAATCGGGGTCACATTGACAAAGCTCACCCCTTGAATAAATTCAACAGCCGTGTCCAACCAGGCCGGGGACGTCTGTGGACAGATGATATCATCTGCCCCGTCGAGAACAGCGCTCCGGTTCGTTGTTGGCGCTGCTGGTGGCGCGAAGCGGAGCGTGTCGAGTGGCGGTGCTGCATAGCGAATATTCAGGAATGAATATATCGCGGGCGTTTCATTCTGCGCCAGATTTAGCCGCTACAAAAAGAGCCATCTACGATGGTGGAACTCACCGAAACTATTGCGCGATGAATTTCATAGCCCAAGTCAATTTCTGGGCCGGCGCGATATCCGGATTCCGGAAGGGCTGTACAGAACCCAACGGCACCCCAAAGAAGTGCTACGGCTACTAGCATGTCAGACTGCTGCATAAGGGTAGCATTCTTCAAGAGACTCGAGACTAATCATATGATAGGTGCCGAACTACCTTTGTAAGGACGCTGCGACCCGACCTTCGGCAAGTCTCGATTAAGGTAGTCCGAACCTGGCGAGCGCCTATCAATCATTTAGCCCAAGCTCAATATCTAGCTCTACATCAAAGCAGAGGTCCGACAAAGCTGTCCATTGATACTGCCACCGGCTTTACACCAATTATACTCAGCATGAGCTCTCTAGAGATCCGTCAGGAGGACATTCCTGACCTGCACGGCAAGCGTGTCATCATCACCGGCGGTTCCTCAGGAATCGGGCTCGCCGCAGCAACAATTTTTGCACGAAAAGGGGCTAAAGTTTTGAATCTGGACATCAATCCTCCATCGGAAAACTTGGGCAATGAGATCGAGTATCAGCAATGCGATGTGTCGAAGTGGAGCGAGCTTTTAGAGGCGTTTAAGCAGGCCGGCAACATCGACATCGCCGTTTCGAACGCAGGGGTCTCCGAAGAAACTGACTATTTCGCAGACACCTTTGGCACTGATGGCGAGATCCTGGAGCCAAGTTATGGAGTGCTGGATGTGAACCTCCGAGCAGTCCTCAATTTCACCAAATTGGCCTTGAGCCACTTTCGGCGGCGGAAGTATGAGGGAAGCATTGTCATCACATCGAGCGCAACAGCCTACGCACCAGAGCAGTCCTTACCGGTCTACAGTGCATCCAAGTTGGCAGTATGTCTTCTATACCTGTCTCTTCATTGATTATTTTCCTTATATGTCCTTTCTCATTAAAATCATGTGCAGCTGATTGGCCTTGTCCGATCCCTACGCTCTGCCATTCGCGCGAGAGTATCACGATCAATGCTGTTGCGCCGGCAGCGACAATCACAGCTTTGCTGCCGAGTCATCTTGCGCAGCCGATCATTGCTGCTGGGCTACCAGTGAGCTCTGCCGAGTTTGTTGGATTGGCGGTCGTCTATTCAGCGGTGGCGACTCAGCAGCGACTAGTTGAGCCGTACGGGAAAGACAAAGACGAGAAAACAGGACCATCACGGTGGAATGGTCGCACCATCCTTACGCTTGGAGACCGCTACACCGAGCTGGAGGAACCGGTTGCATCCTTACGGCCTGAGTGGTTTGGGAAGGAGAACACTCGGTTGACCCGATTGCAGCAAACAGCCACTGATTTCCGGACGGGCGTGTAACGAATTTGGGCGAAAGAGAATGCGTACTTATTATTATTAACGTAAGTAGTCACGTGGAGCGATGTTTTTTTAATTTCAGTATCAAACATTCAAACCTACGGGCGTTCAGATCACTTTGCGATATGGTAGAGAGACTTGAGTAGTAGGGAAGCCAAAGGAAGATCAACTCAATTGGAATTGAACAGGACGATACAGTAACCTCCAATATATACAATTAATATGTCTACTATCGAGGTATTGCCTAAAGTGAATTATATGGCGAAACACTCGCGTATGTATTCCTATTTGTTCAACTGCTCAGACGAGTCAATATTAGAATGAGTACCATCGCTTCCCTTGCTATGGCACCATCTTACACTTCATGTTACTCTTCTCTATTATAATTACTATGTGAACATCGGTTGCCTGTGGAGTCTGCTTTGGAGAAGAAATGACAGTAGTTCGGGAGTTCAGCTCCTAAGTTCCTTGAACATCAACTTGAAGTTTTATAACTTTGTCTTATGATTACCATTCTTTTAGTATTCTAAGTAGTTACATTTATTTCAGTTTGTAATACATTAGGATTCCCTGGTTTCTACCCCGTAGAAAGCAAGCGCCTAAAGTTAAGTATGGATTATCTAAATATTAGCGTTTTACGTGAGATCAGCAAGGTCTGAGCAAATCTAAACAATTTTAAATGTTGTATTCATTCACAAAATAAAATTAGCTGCTTTATCTGAGGCATTGCTTATGTGGGAATTGCTGATATTGAGGTTATACTGTAGTAGCATATACTGAGATAGTAACCATGAGAACTGAAATAGGAAAAGCTTCTACATAAACAGCAGTTGGACATGTTTAGTGCATCCTGAAGCATAGAAGTTTCGGTTGAAATGCACCCAGAGTCAGGCTTGACTCAAGCGAGAGCCATGGACCCTGCCAAAAGAAGAGGAGTATCAGGCAATACTCGTATATTATTGGTATGACCTGGTTTGCTCAAAGCGACCGCTACGTAGAATTCCCCCCCCCCCTGTGTCTTCACAATTATTAAAGATTCACGGGTTCCATGGCGAGATGCGGACCATCAGTGGCGGCTTTTCCCACAATGTATGCATGCGTGAGTCCCGCAGCCAATCCACGTCCTTATTTACCAGTTCGATATCGTAGCTAAAGATCAGCTTCGCCATGATTGTCTGTAGCTCCATCCATCCCAGACTGTACAAGATACAACCGTTAGCTTTGTTCATCATCTAGCTCAGGCGGTGCTCTCGAAAATCGGGCACTGACCTTCGACCCATGCAAGAACGTGTGCCCAGGGAGAAAGGTTGGCTGGCTTCCAAATCGTCTTTCTCGTTCTGTCCCAGCCAACGGTCCGGATCAAAGTCCCACGGGTTGTGGAAGTTGGCAGATGACATACTTGCAGCAAATGGGCTGGTGGAAACGATTGTCTGCATCGTAGGTTGTCAGTGTTTTGGCGGCCTCAGCTGAAAACGTTCTATTTCACAATCTCTTCGGAGTCAGAGCAGAAGGGACTTACGCCAGCTGGCAGATAGTGGCCTTCTACGGTGCTACCACCTGCGGGAACAATCCGGGGCAAGGCGAAAGGCAAAGGAGGAAAGATCCTCATCGCCTCTTGCGCAACCGCTCGAAGGTAGGTAAGGGAATTGGTGCTTGTCGCATTAATCTCCTCGTACTGACTGAACGCAGTCCGGATTTCCGTCTTGAGCCGGTCCATGATGGCCGGGTTTCTCAGAATGTAGTATGTCATGCAGGCCAGTGCCGTTGCTGTGGTCTCGCTTCCTGCAATGCTGATGGGAAAGAGTGTAAGATCCGCCGCAAATCCAAGGAAAGAAAAGAAGCCATACGTACACAAAGTCAGAAGAATGTGCCGCAATCTGCGTGTCACTGATATCGGCATCTTTTCGAGCTTCGATAATTTTGGTCAGAAAGTCTCTGCGCCCGCTGTTACTCGCTAGGCGTCTATTGGCAACGTCAGCTTCAGTCAGTGACAACCGCAACGCACACAGTCGATTCTGGGATACTTACCGCTTGACAAGGTCCATCGTGTAGTTCTGATGTCGACGATTCTCTTCCATGAGCTTATTGACGGATCCCGAGAAGAGCCATTGAAAAACAGCCCCTGCAGCTGGAAATCGACGAAGGCAGTCAGCGAGAGCGCCCAGGCGCAGGCTCTTGGTGACTATGGACACCCAGAAATGCTGACTGCCGGACTCGACGCCGCCAAAGTCCTGCCCAAACGCAAGACTGCCAATGATGTCGAACGTCGTCAGGTTATACCACATTACTAAGTCTGCTCCCTCGGGGCACTGCCCAGTTTGCCCGACATAACGGCCGCTAAAAGGCCTAATTCGGGCATAAGCTTGCGAAGAGCTTGCTTCTCTGCAGTTTACTTAGTATGGTCCAAACGTTCTCGGGCCCTGGTCAAAATTTTCCAGTCACGCTGACACTGAATTTATTCAGTTTAGTACCGCTAAAGCGCCTTGGAATACCGCTGTCTTAATAATGTTGTAGTCACACTTCAGGTGTTTAACATCCTTGTCTGACTCTGCATTTTGGATTTCTGTGGCTTTGGTGACTAGACGTAGGTCTGCATCGATCGTCTGTTCCTCCTTTATAGGCATTCGGCTTGGAAGGCCATGTTCATTAAATTGGCTGTAGCGTTGAAAATACTTAATGTGAGTGTGCTCGGCAAGTTTATTTTTTGAAGTGTTAAACATACCCCCGCCAGAATAATTGGCGAGGCAGTCATTTCTATAGACAGCTTTAGGATTATGTGCCAGGATCTGGGCGATATAGGCGGAGTACTTCGCTGCGCAAGTTATTAGCCAAATGTGAAGACAGGTCGAACGGTGGACAAGCAAGACTGACTCTTGACAGCTTTCCCTAAAGTTCGGCGCATTGCACAGATGGTGGCAGTTAAAGAATAACACGCATTTGCCAGGATTTTCTTAAATCTCCTTGATACTTGTCTTTTGTCAAGGGATCTTCACTAGCTCGACCTGCCGTGACGCCTCTGACAATGCACTAATCTTTAGCTTCTTTATTCCATTTAAAAACCAGTTCGTCCTTCCCTTTCGGTATTCTTTGTTCGAAAACTTCTCCAGGAGATATAAGCTCGGCACAGTCCCAGATGACAATGCCAAACCTAGAGAGTTTGATATCAGTACCTATGCGAACGCGGGACACGAAAAGACCAGCAGCGTGTTGTTACGCTGCATACATTTTATTTTGGGATCTTGGTTGTTCTTGACGAACTGCTGGTCAAGCCGCCATCCAATCCTTCAAGGAGCATTCTCAGCACGAAACAATACAAGCCCGATGTTCTGACTAGCGTTAGTATTAGAAGTAAACCAAGGCATGGTGGAGCCCTTAATTTACAAAGGAGTCCTCGTCCAACTCTGTCTTCTAATGCCAGCGTGAAAGAGGACACTCGGGCACCTGTGCGCGGAAACTGGAGAGTAAAAAAATACAATTAAACGCGATATCTCCCAGATATGAAAAATGGGTTATTAATAGCTCAGAAAGCAATTATAGCGCATTTAAAATCCCTTAGCTTAAAATCGTACTTTGGCTTTTAGTCGTCGATACCAATTCATCTTCAATCAATTGACGCTTAATCCACCGGAATGGTCAGCGAAGCATCCACTGATGTGTGCAATGTGAGCTTACCTGATAGAGCTTGGCCCGGTTATAAGGAGGGATCTCATTTTCAGTCTCTAGGTAAAAGCCCTGGATGAGTTCTTGGGCCCGATTTAAAACGGAGTCCATAGTCGGCCGTCTATCGGGAGCAAGCTTGCCCTCTGTAGAATCGATAAGCCAGCGCAAGAAAGCTTTGAGTTCTTGCATAGAAGATGTCTGAAATACTGGAGCATGGGAGTTACTGTTTGAGGCACCGATAAACTATTCTGGTGGCACTGCGGATATATAAGATGGCGTACCTGGGCAGTTAACTACCCCCGGTTGGGTGAGAAACGGACGCTACCTAAACCTAATAAGAAAGTGCTAGACGGATCTGGTGGATAAGAAAGCCAGAGCAGAAGGTTCCCTGCGGCGGCTCTTAGGGCGTTTTTCTTAGCAATTCTCAGTGCGAGTCGCCATTGCACTCACCAGCTGTGACTGGTTCTGACATGCTTCGGACAGTTCGATGCCGCAAGTCGCCCTGCCCTTTCTACATCTGCCGTTTGCCATCCTCTACCTTGATGGCGGCGAGGCCACGCGTACTTTGCCACCGAGACTAGTAAGCACTAATCATATACTTATAGGGCCTGTCATCGGAGCAGAAACGGCAAAGCTATTTATTATAGGATTTTACTCGCCTGTCATAATTGAACTACTATCTTAAGGTCCATAGGCTTGCAGACAAGGCCCACCTAGAGCTCCTGGGTATTAAGCAAAAAGGAGTAGGACTCAGTCACCGAGTATTTTCAGCGCCTTGTGCCCCTGTGGTCTAGAACCGGGACCCTCGAAGCTAACAAGGTTTACAAGCTGAAGCATACAGTTCTCATATTGCTAACGCAAGCGCGTGTAGACTAAACATAGTGAGAGCAGCGTATAACACTCCAGGGAGTACCAGGATGGCTTGTCGCATCTATCGTGATAGATAGTGATAGAGCGTGCTCTTTTTCTAAGGTGTTCAAGACAAACTGGCCACACAATGCTAGCAAATAGAGCAATGGACCAGTTTCAATTATTCCCGCTATCCAGACTGTGTTATGAAAAGACTATACCTAATCCGCCTGGCTTGGCGGTGCGGGGTTTCTACTTGAGGATTCCATTCTACCCCGGACACCTTGGAGAGTAGAGCACCGAAGAGTTAGAGTACCTTAGATAGGAATGTAAGAGACTCAATTGGTTGAGATACCGTAACTTTTCAGTGTGGCGCTAATTTATCACTAAATAGTGGACGCGAGCGTCTATCATTTTCCTTATTATGGTTCTCTAGTGGTTTTCTTCTGGCTCGGGGTGTCAAAATGCGGACCGGGCGTTTGTACACTATATAATGCTCTGCGGCACAGTGCACCGTAAGCTACGGGAAAATATTAATCATAGCCAGAGGCAAGGGACATGTATCTGTCGGATGTCCAATTCGTGATTGGCCTTTCAGGATACTTCGTGAAAGACCTCCAAGCCGTCCGTCAGAGTCCATCTTACAACCCCCTGATTGATAATATCCGTCCTCGAACTCCTGGGTTCAAAAATGTGGTCCAAGCTGGCCAAATCATTTCCGTTCTGCTGCACCTTCCCAACGGTTCAGTTGTAGTGGGTGACTGCGCCGATGTCATTTTCTCCGGAGCTGCGTCTCGAGATCCCCTGTTCATCGCCGAAGAGCATCTCCCTGTTTTCGAGTCGATTGTCAAGCCATGGCTCCTGGCACGCAATGTCACCGAATTCCGGCCGAATGCAGAGAGAGTTGACGCCCCATGGCCCGAGCTGCAGCACGCTAGATTGCATTCTGCGATTCGATATGGCTTAACGCAGGCCCTCCTCGCGGCCGCCGCGTCAGTATGCGGTTGCACCATGGCTGAGATTATATCGCGCGAGTGGGGTACAGAACTGTCGCGTCGTCCAATTGACATCCTTGCCTCCTGTCACCGGAATGACAGTCTTCAGCTGGACCGGATGATTATGAAGAGGGTCGCTATGCTGCCACATGCCTCCTTCGTCCACGTCCATGATATAGGGCTAAAGGGCATGGTTCTCAGGGAGTATGTAGCAGCAGTTTCCCGCCGTATCCAGGAACGAGGGGGCTCTGAATATCAACCCCGACTTCACTTCGATGTCTACGGGACGCTGGGCGATGTTTTCCCCGATATCGGAGAATTGGCACGATTCCTCAGTGAACTCCAACAAGCTGCGCAACCTTACGATCTGCTCATTGAGTCTCCAATTATTGCATCTTCGAAAGCCGAACAAATCTGGCGACTCACAGAGCTGCGCGCGCTTCTACAGAGGCATTCGATTCGCGTTTGGATAGTGGCAGACGAATGGTGCAATACACTGGATGATATACGGGAATTTGCTGATGCAGGTGCTGTGGATTATGTGCAGATAAAGATGCCCGACCTCGGAGGGGTTCACAATAGTATTGACGCCGTCCGTTACTGTCAGGGCAAGGGTGTAGGCTGCTGTCTTGGAGGCTCAGCGAATGAGACCGATATTTCAGCCCGAGTCACGGCGCATGTTGCAGTGGCGACGAAACCGGACTTTCTCCTGTCCAAGCCGGGGATTGGGGCTGATGAGGGGCTGATGATTCTTACGAATGAGATGCTGCGTGCCTCGGCATTGGCATCGAGGACGAGGGCGAATAGACTATAGGGATGGCTATGCAGGATACCGGTTTTTCCCCAACCTCAATAGGCCAGATAGAGTAGAACAGGTTTAAGCAACTGCAAAGCTGGACCAGGACTGCATAGGGTTAACCTGTGTTCCGTCCCTTTTATTTCCCCCTGTCCTTGAGTATACAGTCCCCTCTTCATATATGCATACCCCTCATTTGTTTTCCTTAGCTGCATGAAATCACACTTGAGAGCGGGCCGTGCTGCGGGGTTTCAGATTCACTTCGCAGGAAGCTGATGTTACGTGTCAATGCGAAACTGGATGGCATTATACGTACTTCCCCGCTGTATCGGCGCGCAGAGCGTCTATCTAGGCAAGTGGCAAGTCCCATACATATATATTACTCCATTGCCAAGTACAGACTGACCGTGATATAGCATTCTTTTCTTGCTGTGCTTGCTCAGCATGGAGACTAGAATTGTATGATACTCCGGAACTCTCGTGGAGCAAGTATCCCAGCTCCTCGAACAAAAAATGTAAGGAGAATAATCGCGTCTACATAGCCTAGTTGCCAAAACTGGATCACTCGTAGAATAGCTTCGCCTTGAATCCTCCCAAACTGACATCCCCGTTCACATCAGTAGGAGACCTTGTCCAGTTTCTCCGAATTCGAGCCCTCGTCCACTCCAGCGCAGGGATATCAAAATCCACATTCTCTTTATGATACCCTTCCCTCCGGAGCAAAGGGCTATCGACACTTTTCAGCTTCAAGCGATCGCTTGGCCTCACAAAGTACAACAATCCAATGCGATCATAATGCTGCTGATCCTCTGGGGGTACAATCACCCGATGCACGCCACTCTTCAACCACCCATTCGACAGCATGGTCATTATATCTGCAATATTCACGGCTAGTACCCCTGGTGGAATCCGAAGGTACTCCCAATCTGCATCTTCGTGTTTCTTCACCTGCAGTGCCGCAACGGGCTGCTGAAACACGAATGTGATCGTGCCATTGTCCGTGTGGCCGCGGGAATACAGATGTTTGTATTTTTCGTTTTCCTCGCGCGAGCGTGCGCGGTACATCATGTAGCGAAGACCGCTATCACAGTTGGACTCGTACAGATGGCCATTCATAAGCTCATCTTCCGGCAGCTCGAGGATGATGGCAAGCAGTCGGAAAAGCTTATATGTGATCTGCTCGTGGCAGTGGCGGTGGAATTTCTCGATCTCGGCCGAGTAGCGTCGAACCACTTCAGGATGCGTTCGGTCGTACTGAGGGAGGAATTTCATGATGTTGTAGAACTCGATGTTGTCACGGAGCCCGGGAAGGATCTCAATGGAGCCCAGCGGCCGGTAGCCATTGTAGATGCCTTCCTCGAGGGGAGCGCGGAAACTGCATCTTTTCTCCTCTGGTAAAGAGAAGAATTCTTTTGCTATGGCAAATTGTTGATCGATTTGTTCTTGCGTGAGGCCGAAGTTGGTCACATAGAAGAATCCTGTATGTATCAGTGTCCTCCTTCCCCTCCGTAATAAGTTCCAAATAAAATATAACTCTGACGTAGATGGGGATTTACGATACCAACTTCATGCACAGCGTCTTTTAACTGCGCTGCTAGTTTCTCTTTGCCACCCGGCCGATCGAATTCGGACAGATCAATAGTGACTAGGTCTGTATACTTGACTATAGTGGGCTAGTTTCTTAGGCCTTCTTGCACGTTGAGATTACTAATGGACTCACGGTCTTTCTTTGACTCTGCTGGATGGATGTACTTTTCTAATGGACTGCTGGAGGTAGTCAGATGTGCATTCACCGCTGATTCAGTTTGAGTGGCCATGGTGTGTAGTATTCAGCACCGCAGAAAGGAAACAAGACCGGCTATTTTAAAGGACTCTGATGGCTTCGTGAATGGTGTTTATGGCATGATCAGAACCGACCAGGAGCAGGAGAAGTAGGTCCCCCCGCAGTAGTCCTTGCTTCCAACTTCGGCAGTCCAAGCCCTAACCATGCATGGTCTACGTAATAACGCACTTAACATGCACTTTGCCCCCCCTCAGTTCATATTTCCTTCGGGCCGTCTGAGGGGAGTATACATTGCAACTGTTGATTTCAATTAAGACATGCGTCATGCGATGGGTCATTCGTGCCCTGTGCTAGGACATCAACGTCCACTCGTCCAAAGGCCTTCCCATCCCAGGCTTAGAACCAAAAAACCTTTCCAGATAGTACATTCGTAGCCCACGCTATTGTAGGCGAGATATGGACCTAAGTCTATATTTGATTCCGTAACTCAGCTGCAAAGTGCACCTTGTGAGAGCGGGGAAGTGGAGGGCCCTGAACCGATCCTTAGCGCCGCAGTCGCCCTGCTAGGTATCAAAAAAATGAGGTCTCATTGCCCCATTATATTTATTTACCTGAGGAAGTGGGGTACCGCAACCACCTCCATTTGGTGGTTTAACGAGTCCTTGGTTGGCAGTCCATTTGCCGTTACTAGTTTAGAATAGTATAATTTCCCTGGTCTACTGCGCCAGCGCGTTTTTAAAAGGGCGAACCAATCGGTGTTTATAGTATTCGTATAGGTGTCTCTTAAACTAGGACAGTGGCTTATCTTGGTTATAGCTATTGCATGGCTTAGGGATTTATAAAAAACGTAGATTAAGATATCCTTAGTACTTAGCTAACTAAAAAAGTGCTACCACAAACCTGCTTAGTTAACCTTCTGTCAGATAGGTTATACCACTATACCACAACAAGTAGCGCTGTTTCAGCTTGCATATAGTAATGGTATACCTGTTTTATCTGACACCTTCCTGTCGGGTTTCTACTGGCATGGTGGCGGGTTGGTTGGCCGCACACAAGACTGGTGTTGGAAAGCGAAACACCAAAGCTCAAACCCAAAATCTATACACAAGTATACCTTGAATCGGCCGAAACACCGCGACATTATTATGCGAGCCACTTTCAATTCCCTATTACGGGTCCCGCCGCTTTTTTGCGGGTGTTGTAGAATTCAGTTGTCGGTCCTCCTCGTCAAGGAATTCAAGCGTCGAAGTCAGACCGATACAAATGCCACCGTTGGTCACAACCCGCACAATGACGTAGCTGTTTGGCAGGGGAGCGTCGTCAGCGTGCTCATCCCCTTTTTTCGACGATTGCTTCTCAGCTCCTTGACAGTGTTGTTCGCGAACTCATAGTACCTGTGGGCATGGAGTTCGAGAAAAGCCTTGTGTACGATGTTCAAATCGTGGTGAACGGCGAGACCGATAACGAGCTTGGCACCACAAACTCTCGCCCTCATGTTGACACGTCTCTTTTTGGATCCAAGAGAATGGAAGATACTTCTGTTTAGGGTTTGCGTTCGAGCTCATCACATGCAAAACGAAAATGAGAGTTCTTCTATTGTGTGCTGTTGAACTTCTTCACGGCCTCTGAATCCTTCGGCTGAACTGCGATGAGCTTCTGAGGGCCGTCTTCCTGTTTGCCGGTCACGATGCTAGGAACCTAGTCAATCATCAGCAGGTTAGCCAGTTGCGTCATGACGCTGCTGCTACTCACAAAATCGCGCTCATAAACAAACTGGCTGAATTTAGTGTCGTCGGGTTCGTGCTGTTCAGTGAACAGAGCTAACTGAATCAAAGAAATGCCCTGAGCTGGGATATCCTTAACCTCGTTGAAGTCTATCTCCCCACCGTGGTTCTGCTAGATTCTCATTAATCCACGGATCGTTCTACGCTCTAGTTAATCATTATGTATTTGGCCAAGAACACCTCCTGGGGATGTTGATCATCCAGTATTGTTGGTTATTGCAACTTCAGAGAGTAGTGGGTTAGAGGTTTAGTGGTTCCTGGGAGGGTCCATATTACAAATCCACGAGGAAGGCAAGTATATTAGCACCCAATGGCGATTTATTTCAAAAAGAAAAATAAACACTGGTATAGCCAGATGGAGGACCGCAATACCCGGGCACGTACGGAAAAATAAAGTAGAAGAAGAAGAAGAAGAAGGCATGCAGTTGTGACATGTTTTGGGGGGCTGAAGGGGTTATTCTCGATTTCAATTCTGGCTCCAGTCTACGTGAGAATCGCTGAAAGAGAAATATGTGCCTTCTCCGGGCGTATATTGGGTTACAATCTAGACACCCACAATAAAGATAGTCTATCTCACATTAAGAAGCAATGCGCATCTTTTCTAGGCTAGGGATAATCCATGCACGGTTGTCTTCCGCGATCCAGTTACAGAACGCCTCCAAACCTTTCCGCACTCTGTAGAAGTCTTCTTTGCTTCCCGAGAGGGTCCAGGAGGACATTAGGAAGTGCTCATACCAGAACGTCGAGTTTGTCGAGTCACACTGCGTCCAATGTCCATAGACATTTACATGGTTGCGAGTCATGGTGGCCGTAAGAACGCGTACTTTGGCGTCAAACTCGTGCGTACTTCCGTGGGACTTTTGGAAGAATAGACGCAAAGTCCTGAGCATTAGAGCTGCAGTGTGGAGATTCTGAATACGTGCCTGCTCTGAACTATCCGATTTTGCCTCAAGAGCAAAGAATGGCAATGCGGTTTCGAAATCGCCAGGAATAGGGAACGCGTACTGGGGCCTTGCTGACTGTGGAGGGTGACATTGACCTTCGAACAGCGACCTCCAGTTGAACCCAATCGTAAGATCCGGTTTAGGCATACTGAGTGGTCGTGTTTCCTCCCCCAGACTCTCAAGCGGCCCAGTTTTCCATTGGATAGATAAGGCAAATCTCAACTGTGACATTTCGACGAGCCATTCGGTTATGAAAAAAGGCATAACGAGATAGTACGTTGTTTCATTGGGAGCAGAATCCCTGACGGCCATCGCATGACCCAGAGAGGATTCGAGTTCTTTGGGAATGGATACACTGGCGGCCATTTCGTTCAGAAACTCGGGTTGATTGTATGATGTAGGGATCACAGGGCCAACAGCCACGTTTCTAGAATCAAGTGCGCTTTTGTATGCCGCACCATCCAAGTAACTAAGATTCTTGGATTTCGTGGAGGTTGCTGTGGAGCATACCGATGCGTCCATGTCCGACAATTGCGAGAGCGACGGACAAGATAACGGCGTCGCGACTTCCGTGTCGGGCCAGGAAACGAAACTGATGCTATCAATATAGCCTAAGACACGTTGTAGTCGATAATCATCGTCGATCTTATCACCATTTGACTGGTGGAGGAAAACGCTTTGTTTGGAAGCAAGCATGTTAGCTATCCAGCCAGCAAATCGGGAAGGAGGGCAGGGACAAGCATGGCAAGTGTGTTACCCTTCATCACTTGGAGATGCCATTGCTAGTGGAATGGATGGCAGAATGATAGTAGGGGATTATGCAGTCCGAAGTTGAGAATGATTTGAAGGATGCCGAAGGCCAAAAAAGGTGCGGTTCGATAAAGCACAGGTTGAACCGAAGACGAGGTATGGGAGAGATGACGAATATTTTGATGGCGAGTGGTTGTTTGCGAGGCAAGTGGTAATCAGGAAACCACGAACTTATCGAGCGGCCGATACGAGCGCTTGCACAGGGGAAACAGTATCGACAAGCATGTTCTTTAAGGGGAAGGATGAAGGTATTGATTAAAGATGGAGGAAAAATTCTGGAGTTGGGGGGCCCGAGTTGTCATAAGATCGAGGTACGCCGGAAATGTGTTCCGGGACACAGCTTAGGGATGATGGAGAGAAACCCTGGGAATGGCCCAACTTTGAGAGCTACGTATGAGTGAAAATTGTGCGTAAGAGGGCATCAAATGCCTATTCATGCTCTATCTTATACAAATATAAATGTCAAGCACCCTCCATACTGCATCTCACAGCGACCTATGAATTATGTCTTTGGTCGTTCCCAAAAAGTTCCTTTTCTTCCTCCTCCTACTTCTTGTATTTAACAACACATCGTGCCCTATAAGCCTTCATAAACCAGCCTGCTTTCGATGTATCCGGTATGAACGTGCTATTCGGGCGCCCGAATAGCAATATTTTAGAATAGCAAATGTTAACTGTGCTCTATATCCTAGGTGGATGAAAACAGGTCATTGTTATTCTATAGTGAGACAAGAATATTTGTGAGATTACAGTACCTGAACATTTGCTTTACTTCTTTTATCTTTAATAATTTTATTTTTAATACGAGATTTTGTTGCATACTCGACCACCGAGCTGTGCTGTATACTATGTATATATAATTTTAACAACAATAGGTTTATACTGCTTGCATTGATGTTGAAATAACTGCTTGTCTCCTAGAAGGAGAAAAACCAAGTACTGTAAGATTAACTATAACTTCTATATATTTTACATGTCCAAGTCACTGGTTGTCCGGACTGCGCCCCAAATCAACCATCAACCAATAGTACCTAGTTTAACAAGCCCCTCATGGGTTCTGGAACCGATATCAAGTTCCACATGTGGGGCAATTACAATAAGTAGTAATATCTGGTTTCCGGCCCTGTTCTAACCGCCACCCCTTCTGCAAACACATGTTCCAAGTATATTGTAATCGATTCTATAAACATATAATGTTCCTGCTGGTGATACTGTCCTTTTCCGCTTGTTAAATAAGTTTTTTTATTTTAATACAACGCACGAAAAGCCAAGCTTCCCAGTTAGTAGGATTGGAAATTAAAGTTATAAAGTTCTGTATCAGTTAAATAACACTGACCCTGTCTGGTTTCTCGCCTGCAACTCTCTTAAGACATGTTAATACTATATGCCTTCACATTTTGCCATCAACCCAGGGGAGCATTCGAGCCATTTTTCAACCAAGCCGATAAGAATTCCATTTATTTTTCACAAACCACAGAACAGCCTCCTAACTGGGTAGCAACAACTACCAAAGTCGTTACAGTTTACACTTAATCACAAAAATAGTGCGCTGGTCTCACTCTTTGATCTTTTCTGGGAAAAGGTAAAGTAGCGCATTTGTGGAACTTGGTAGATTCTAGGCCAGGGTAGAAAACGGTGGTTGCTTTTGGTTCCGATAAGGGAGACACAAATATATGTTCATATGCATGAACCATGATTTGCATCTTGGGGGCCAAAAATGAACACATGTATTTTACAGATCGATGATATGCAGGAAACTTGAAATGGAAGCCAAAGCGGAAACCACTAAACCAGATATCGGCTTTCACTTACTACACATTTGCAGAACACAAAAACATGCTGCATAGCACATGTGAGAGCTATAACTGTTCCAGATACATCACAGTAACAAATGATCATATGATTGATGCGCGAAGTTTTCTCGGAGCATATTTATATTCCAATGCGACCTGTGTATATTTTATGAGTGAGAAACGTCCTTAATGACGCTTTCCAATTAATCGCACATTTCAATGCTTGCCCTACCCTAACGGCCACTGATAGTTAATGGCCACCATGTGTATTGATCTGCTGAGAGAACCTTAACGTAATGGGCTAGATATATTGAGCCTTCTTATGATACACTTAGTTATACCTCAGAATGCCTGCTGGTATCTAAAACTAATCTCTATAGGGTGCTTGTAGGGGTAGCGTTACATGACTTGTAATTTGCGAGGAAATATTAAGCTATGGTTTTTCCTGCCCACTAGAGTATGGTAACAAAACAGCGAAGAGGGTCATGCACGTCAGATAGATGGTGCAGAATCCTGTTGCATACACAGCTTAAGCGAGTATGTATCTACAGTGGATCTGATAGGTTTAACAGGTCGGTTAAGGAAAAAATGCTTTAATTTTGCCATAAGCGGGCTCTGCGAGCGCATGGTTAAAGTGCAGACCACATATACATGAAAAGTAGTGATTAACACTTCGCCAATAATCTTTATGTATGTGTGTCAAGTACATCCCCTATATCTTTAATATACATAATCCAAACACGAACCTCCTGTGAGGCTACTGCAGTTTACGTACAACCCAAGCATCACGATCCTTGATTAATGCCGGAAGGGGAGCTCCACTTTTACTGAACGCAATTGTGCTCTTAGAACCCCCAAAAAAAAAAAAGACCATCTACTAGAGTTACGAATGAAAGACGAACACAACCAGGTGCTATTAGAAGGCCCTGCACCTACCAGCGCACAAGCAAAAACAGGATTGCAAATTTTTAGTGCAGGCATGACTTAACTTTCGGTGCATGTTTGAATCTGATTACAAATTTAAATGATTTAGCGGAAGAGAAGCAAAAGATAAAGGAACTGATGCTGGATGGAAGTAAGAACAGCACAAATCTGGCAAGCGATGTGCAGTCTGCCATGTCAAGTACTTAATGGCTATGGAAGGGGAGCCTTTGGGAGGGCAACGACCCTGAAACCTGTCCAAAATCGGTGCCCTTAGATCAGGAGATGTACGATCCAGAGTTATAATATGAAGCGACCCATGGATCGATTTCTTAACGATTCTACTTTACCATTATCTGCCTCCTTTTCTTCTTGTCTTGCTTTTTTTATGGTCCTAGTTTTCAACATTTTTGCAAACCGACTGGGTTTTAAGAATTGGAACGCAGTGGTTATTTTTACTTAGAGTATATATAAACTGCTTTCATCTGTCAGAGAAGTAAAGCACATACTAAGTGAAATAATTCTAAATATTATCTTTTCCTTTTAGACGACGGATCGTCCTACATAATCAACTTCACGTAAGGGGGAGTCACGCTTCACAACCAGGATCAACTGATATTGTAGCGCGGCTTCTTAAGCTTGGTTGGGGTTGCCCACCGGATTCCCACTGCGCTTCAACAGAAGCCATCTCGAGCACCATATTTGTGAACCATTTCCATCATTTGACTCTGATTAAGCGGCTTTGGAAGGTAGTCATCCATTCCAGATGTGATGCATTTTTCTCGATCACCGAACATTGCATGAGCGGTGAGGGCGATGATAGGGGTGTGTGGAAGATTATGGACTCTCTCATACTCCCGAATTCTGACTGTCGACTCAAATCCACCCATGACAGGCATTTGAACGTCCATCAAAACAACATCGTATTGTTTGCGTCGCACCTCGTCTAGGGCTTCCTGTCCATTTCCTACAACAGTGACATTATGGTGGTACTTTTCCAATACCTTGCGGGCGACTCTTTGATTGACCTCATTGTCTTCAGCAAGTAAGATGACTAAGGGACGTGTTTGCTCCGATTTATTGCGTGAAGGTCGGCTCTCGAGAGCAGGAAGTATACCGTTAACGAGATCAACTGGGCGACAGGGCGTCGTCACGTATGATGTGATACCCAAATCTAATGCGGAGTTCATACACACCGACAGCACGGGGCAAACCAGAACGACGGGGAGAGCTTTGAACTTATCAAAGTCTCGGAAATGAGGTATACATTCTGTCGATTGGACCAGCAAGGCATCATACTGCCAGCATGGATCTTGGAAGTGCGAAATCAGGGCTCCAGGAACCGAAGCAGCATCTGTTAGATGCACGGTATCAATGTGGAGACCAAACTTGAGTAAGGCCTGTTTGATTACCTCCGAATCCTGATTGTTGCTCCCGCTGGGGATTTCGACGAACAGGACTCGACAGCTGTTAAAAGGCGTAAGCTTATTTAGAATATCTGTGATCGGTGGATTCAGAGACGAAAAGGCGCATGTGAAGTGGAAGGTGCTCCCTACGCCTACGGCCGATGAGACCCAAATATCCCCTCCCATTAAATTGACCAGCTTCTTTGAGATAGATAAGCCAAGACCAGTACCGCCAAATTTTCTCGTCATGGAACCATCTGCTTGCTGAAACTTGTCGAAAATCACGTCCAATTTACTCCTATCGATCCCGATCCCGGTGTCTGAAACGGAGAATTGCAGCATGTACGTATATGGAGAGCCGGAAGGGTTTCCCTCGCTAATCGTGAGCTGGATCTCACCAGCCTCGGTAAATTTTATAGCATTCCCAATTAGGTTGAGGATGATCTGCCTCAGACGGAAGGCATCTCCAACGATATAGTCAGGAACTGAGCTGTTAATACGGTATGTGAGCTGGAGGCCTCGTTCGCTGGCTTCAACCGCGAGAATTTTGAGCGCTTTGAAAATAGTTTGCCCTAGACTGAATGGAACAGCCTCAATCTTCAAATGATTGGCTTCAATTTTTGAGATGTCCAGGATATCATCAATAATTACTAACAGGCTATCCCCGAGGTTATGGACCACATTCAACATCTCTCTGGTGGGGGGTGCGAGATCATCCGTATCCAGAGCTAGTTGGGTCATTCCAATGATCCCATTCATTGGCGTCCGAATCTCATGGCTCATATTCGCCAGAAATTCCGATTTACTCTGGTTGGCAAACTCTGCCGCCTCTTTAGCTGCGGTGTTGCGCTGGAGGCTGTCACGCAAGCTAGATATCATCTTATTGATCTTTTGCTTCAGTTCGTCCATTTCACCCGACGCGCTCACAGTAATTAACTTGCTGAAGTCACCATCAGTGGCCGCATTGGTGATCTGCCCAAAGGCTCGTACTTGTGATGTTAGATTGTCTGCCATCATGTTAACATTGTCCGTCAGCACCTTCCACTGCCCCTCCACATTGGCAACCACTGCCTGGCCTCCAAGGGTTCCGCCCACACCAACTTCTCGAGCCACTTTGCAAACTTCGAAGGCAAACTGGTTCAACTGGTCCACCATCCCGTTGATAGTTTCCTTGAGGCCTAGAATCTCCCCATTCACGTTTGCTGTGATATGCTTGGTAAGATCACCCCGAGCAACCGCCGTGGTTACATCTGCAATCTCCCGAACCTGGTTCGTCAGGTTCATTGCCATTCTGTTAACACTTTCTGTGAGATCCTTCCACACGCCCTCAACTCCATGGACCGTTGCCTGTCCCCCTAGGGCACCATCTGTCCCGACTTCCCTTGCAATTTTGGTAACCTCCTGGGCAAACTGTCGGAGTTGGTCCACCATGGAGTTGATAATATTCTTCAAAGCCATGATCTCCCCTTTACAGTCTGCTTGTACTTTCTGCGTGAGGTCTCCATTGGCAACTGCGGTGGTGACAGTTTTTATATCACGAACCTGCGTCGTTAGGTTGTTGGCCATTGCGTTGACGTTCGCTGTCAGCTCATTCCACAGCCCTTGAGTGCCAAATACCTGGGCCTGGCCGCCGAGAACGCCTTCAATACCCACATCGCGCGCAACACGGCTCACTTCCGTGGCAAATTGTCGCAGCTGGTCTACCATGGTATTGATTGTGTCCTGCAGCTGGAATATTTCACCCCTGGCCGTCCTTTCGATTTTCTGACGCAGGTCCCCGTGGGCTACCGCCGTCGTAACTGTTGCGATTTCGCGAACTTGGTTCGTCAAGTTTAGTGCCATCGTGTTGACGTTGTCGGTGACCTCTTTCCATACCCCGTGCATTCCAGCCACTTCGGCCTGGCCACCAAGAAGACCTTCAGTTCCTACTTCCCATGCCACCCTTGATACCTCACTTGCGAAAACTCGCAGTTGGTCGAGCATGGTGTTCATCGTGACCTTGAACGTGATAATATCGGAGTCCGTTTCCAATGGATTGACGGGGACCTTTGTCCGTAAATCTCCGTTGGCGACTTGGGTAATAATCTGCGCGATTTCTTGCAGCGCCTTTTGGAATGCGGTATTCATCTGTTGATGCTTTTGGAGCTCGACCTCGATATCTCGATGTCTACTAGCCGCACGACGATGGAGTATCTCACGGAATAGGCTAGACACCACTTCTCGTGGAAGTCTGATTTCCTCTTTCTGTTCGTCCAGCGCTTGCTTTACGCAGGAATAGGTGTCATAGTTTGCAGGCTCGTCTTCTGCAATCTTATTGGTTTGGTTATCGCTTTGGTCTTTTTCTAGCCTGCTCGATGAATTAATGCATAACCTTTTTGTTTCTCGTGAATTGCATTACCACTGAAGCCTTTTTTTCGCTGGAGGACTCCCGGTCCCATCAACAGGAGCGGACATTGTGGGCATGTATGACTAGCAACGGCAAATCCTTGCTTATCGAGAATAAAACTATCTAACAGCGCCTTAACTAGATAGGTAAGATCCCTGATTAAGGTAGCGTTGGGGGAAAAAAATTGGTAGAAAGAAAAAGAACAATATTTGAGAGATTATTAACGAAGCTTTGGGCTCAGTCCTGTTAATACGCAGGTAAATAGACGGATTTCATATGCCAGTAGCGTTTTTAATAAATATTGGTGGTGCTGGTATATAAACTAGAGTACGCACTTCCAATAGCCAGAGACTAGATTTTAAATATCTAAGCATTCTCATCCGGAGAGTTTCATTCCTCTGCTGCCATGCGGTCTGCATGTGGGTGGTGGTCCGAGACAGAAAGCCTAGAATATACTCCACGACCAAGGTAATACTGCATTTATACGGAATGAAGTCGTCAGAGGATAAAAACGGTCGGGATTATATTTGTTCCTCCCTTGAAACCCACCAGTGAGAAACGTTGTTATTGAAAGTTTGTACCGTCGGAAACGAAGACATGGGATTCTAACAGTCTTGCCAAGAGATCGATATGACTGGCTCTCCCCAAGTTGAATTGTCTCTTTAAGGTAGATTCGAAAAGGCTAAATTGTAAGGAAACAATGAATGAACGTATTTCGCCACTGGGGCTTCTTATCGCCGGTACTAGAACATAGGAGGCATACAACGCTTCCAATTGTCTAAACTATTCATGACCTCATCATTCCTTGTAGTGCGGCGGAAGTAACTTTTTCATGCCCATTTATTCGATTGCTTTCTGGAAAAATTATCTGAACAGCAATGAAAGTGTGGAAAGAAAGTGCGGGTTAAAGAATATCTTGGTAGATATTTGGAGAGTGATTACCCTTTTGGCTTGAACTGTATGCAGGCTCCTTCCAACTATAGTGCTAAGACACTATTGGTAGGATGACTGCAGGTTCATATAAACTTAAAAGTCTAATTCGAGAGCACATCATCATATGGTCCAGACATGGGAGCAGTACAAAATGAACAATTCTTTGACTATTGGCGTAACCGGGTAGGGACGGAGTTCGGAAAGGTGATCCCACAAACTCCTTCCGATCTCTGAAGACTGCAGACTGGCCGTGGATCGCGCAGTGTGATTGATATTAAGATATGCTACTACTACCTATTATTGAAGATCTTCTAGTTATCAATGAGTTGTAAATCAGGGAATCTGTCGCCATGTAATACCAACTGCGTCGCTCTGGCGGCGAAGGTCACAGGTTCGATAGTCCCGCGACGACCAAGACCGGCGACAATTAGAGCTGCGCAAGAAATTTAACACAAGGGGGGAACACCACACCTACGGTTATTAAATTCCAAAGAGTGTTTGCTCAGTCTTTGACGACAGATGGCGCAAGTCCGATACTCCGAAGACGTCTATGGCTTCCTACAGCTGTTCTTGCGCTTTCAGATGAGAACATAATAATTCAATCTTCCGCTGAATCAAAACAACAACAGCACAGGATATCGCTGACTACTTTAACGATTTGGAATAGATGCATTCTGTGGAAATATCAGGAATCACAGCATCCTAGTGATTCGTCACGATCCTTGATTAACACCAAAGGGGAGCCTGCAAAACAGATGACTCCCAATCTAGCTCTATCGACCCTGGAGTTTATCCATGACATGATCTTAAGCAATGACCTTACCCTCTCCCAGATTGCCGAAGCTGCCCGCTGCTAGCCAAGTACCATCGGTACGCATGGGAGAACTAAGGCGCTCCTAAAAAGGGTACAATCACGCTCTAAGACGAGTTTTCAAGTAGAAGCACCAAAGTGCAGTATTGGTTGCTCTCAAGCACATTGTTCAAAAAATTGCTGCGAAGCATACTATCGTTCTGGACAATAGATTTATTGACCGTGCCGTTCGACGACATATTGACTAGTATTCAACCACCTTGATTGATGAAGATCTGATTCTTCTAATCTCAGCAAATATTCAAGACTAAATACATCAGGAATAGGGGTAAATTGGGATGACAAAATATGGCGGCATTATGGTGAAAAATAACTTCAACGAATGACTGAGCGGACGATGATTAATCTAGTGTTGAAGCGGAATAGCGATATCTAAAGTAACGACTTAGCGAATGCAGACGATAGTTCGCCCACCATCCCATGTAACTCTCTTCCTCATCATCATCCTAAACGTGCGATGTCTGGTATCGATCACTACGTCGTCCTCACCCACGAGATGCGCCGAAGGAGCAAACACAATAGCCTCGCCAGTGCGTAGGTTAGCAATCCGATACAGGCCATTGGGAATACCCTCTTCGTTGCTTCTAGTATTTCCACTATCCATCGGGACATGTCTCTGAAGAGTCTTGTACCATTCAGGACTGGTGAATCGGTGGATAATGATTATTGAGCAGAGATCGATCAGTTTAGGTGAGATTGTGGGCTCCTGAGTGGAAATTATGGTGCGAACCCCCAAATGTCGTTGCTGTCGGATTATGGTCAGAAAGGTCTCAGTGAGTTCTTTTGCGGCCGGGGTATCTGTCATGTACTATGTATAGAGGTTACCGAAGAATCATTTCAGTGAGGTCAAAGGGGATACCTTATGTGCCTCGTCGGCAACGATCATCTTGCCACGGGAGGGGTGAGCATAGAGAAATAGGTCAATAGCGATCCGGAAAAGAGTACACGCTGTGCTCTGGTCAACGAACGGGCATGATAGGTCTAGGATCGTAACACCGCCGTCAACGAAATAATCACCCGTAACTTTTCCGGTTAGGTCAAGATATGAATCAAGCAGGTCCAGTCTCTGGTACAGGAACGGAGTCTGAGCACGATCGAGACGGAGAGCACTCAAACGGTTCCGGAAATCAGAGTAATCAAAATGGCCGCCGCTCTCCATTGCCATCTCCCGAAGAACTCGAGTTACTTGGGCCATGTACAAAGGCATGCCGTCGTTTTGAGAGACGGACATAAGCGAAAGCATCATACTTATGTTGAGATGTCTAGGCTGGATCTTGAAAACCTGAACCTGGACGTTCGGTATCTGTGAGTACATCTTCGCAAGGTTATGGAAGTTAGTTGGGGAGACGAGAACGCGCAGAGGAATCGGCTGCTGCTTCGTGTATTCAGGCATGACACTCGCAAGGAAAGCCGCTTCACTGGGCTGGGAGCTGACCGTTGAACTGTACTCGTTAAAATGCAGGACGAGAGTTGAAACCGATTTTCTGAGGTTTCCTAATGCCGGCATTTTTATGGAACAGTTTTCTAAAGTGGTATATCAGACTAAGGCTTATCCATCGGCATGTGAATGTGGAACATACCGATCATACAAGAAGTGGTGTGCGACTTGCCGCTACCTTGCACGCCACAGACAAAAGCTGAGAACGGTATATTCGTATTAAGTATGATTCTTGGGTCCGGTATTGCGTTCACCGCTTGAGGGATCTTCCCGACTAGTGCAAACTGGGGGGGCATGGAATATCCGCAGCTCTCAAGAGCAGGAGAGACCAAAACAGCATGTTCAGTGGGTATAGTGTCCTTCATCCTGTTGTTCTTGTTCTCACTAGAGGCAAGTAAGTGCTTCTGAACCTCCAGAGGAGGAACTGCAGGAGTGCCATGGGAAGTTCTCTTGTCAAAGTTTCCATAGAGGTCGTCCTTGAATTCTATCCGGGTTAGTGTAGGTTCTATTGTAAATGGGCATACAGATGGAAGTTCTACCTTGCAAAAGAACATTATCCAGATTCTCATTGTCACTGATACTGGCCGAGTCGACCACATCAAAACTGCTCGATTCCTCGCCCGATCCACTACTGCCGCGGTAACCAGCGACTGGATTGAGCTGTGAAGACGAGGCTGAAGATCCTGTACGAGACGACTCTGTTTGATAATGAGATTCAAGTGATTTTGAAATGTCTCGTAACCGTATATTGTTACTGGGACGGTTTTGGAGGGTGGGAATTGGTGATGGTCCATTTGAAGGCTGAGTTGGGAGTGGGCTCTTAGCTGAGTTCGCTGTCTTCAACTTCGACTCGAGATGATCCGAGTAGCTCAAAGCCTCGTTAGCGATGAGATTAACCGAATCCGTAGGCTTGCTTACCCATCGACAATGTTGTTGATGTAGTTAACGAGGTCCGGATTCTTCTTCAGATACCTTGCTTTGATCTCCTCCCGATTGATTGGCTTGTATTGTTGGTGGCAGCTGCGTATCTCTTCGCGGATCGCTTTTCGCAGGATGGGATCAGTCCCGCTGTTGGCTTTTCCGGCCATGTTGTCTAGCAAGCTCCTTTTGGAGGGAAGAAGATGCCAGAGGGGAGTGTGTGCTAACAGAAATCCCTTACATGTTGAGATAGGTGCCGGCATTCGACAGTGAATATTTGAAAAAAGAAAATTCTTTCCGTTTTTTTATTCACTAAGGAAAAAATGAAAACGATTGCTACAGTATCTCATCACTCTTTTTGAAATGCGTGGTATAGGTCTTGAGTTACTTTATAGGTATTGTAGCTGAAGTTTGTTGACGTCTAGAGTGGATATATACTCCGTATTCTTTATGCATCCAATGCCCCTTTCCCCTAATAGTCATTCCCGGAACGATTCTTGTGACAGGTAATAAATATCTCTGAATTAGAAGGCGGTATTCTAACATTCGCACGCTTCCTCGAGTTGCCCTTAGGTCTTGGCAGATATTCATATATATCAATACTCTATCGTCCTCGCACTCGAGAAACTCCCGATAATAACAAGATTCCACTGCCCTTACAAGTCTATTTCAAAACGAGGACTACAGTGAAGTGTGATCTTCTCTATCGCGAGCAGAAAATAGGTGAGATATGTCTTTCTAAAATGTGAAACAAGTCGTTATGGTGCAATCGCAGCAAACCTTCGCTTCCTATTCGGAAAAGACTTATATCTTGACTTGCGTTGTGTCCCATACAAGCAACGTGGCTGCCATAGCATATAGGGTCGGAATTGATAGAGAGCTAATTAAAGTGTTGCAAGTATTAAGTTTGGACATGATAACGGCGTTGCGAAAGTTGACTGCAAAGACCAGCCCATCTATTCTAATGCTCTCTGTTCTCACATTTTTTATACCCAAGTACCTGCCGGCCTGAGCCCCGAACTTCACAAGAGTGTTGGCTGTAGCCACCATCCGATATATGACTGTATTATACCTTGGGTTTAGCCCGACTGAAAGCAGCATACTATAGGATGATTAATAATGTCATAACGCTTTTTCTTTTCCCCAAGAAACACCCATATGCCTACATATGTGTAGGTACGTCCATACGCTTCGGAATAATATCTTTACTCTGCCTCTACCAACTACCCACGGTAGTATTACTTGGTATCAACACTACCACTTGGTCTGCCCCTAATACTTGCTTGCCTGCCTGTATAAACCCTGTAAATAATGCATCTATCATATACTTAGCACCTTGCCTATATTTAAACGAGGCCTCAGAGATGGAAGACAGAGAGGGTTGACCTTCCTCTTCGGAATCGTTCCTGGGCTTCCCACCATAATACTGTGCTGTAGTTACCAATTTAATTCACAACAATTACTCCTCGGACCCCTCGTCCTCGGGCATATCTTGATTCCAGCCTGGAGACTTGGGCAAAGTAGGCATCGAGAAGCGGAAGGGGAAATTTAACCAGCCAAAAAGATTTGAATATGTCTGACAAGCAGCCCAACATTCGTCACCTATTTTGCTTATCCTTTTTGGAATCCTTAACTTTTCTTTTTCTCTCACCGGAGATAATGCGGGTCGTCCTCGCGGCCCTACTACCATCCCTGGTTGCCGCCGTTACCTTCATGGCGTGGAGCCGGTTCCTTGTCTCCCAACCGAGCACAACCAATTCAGTGGAGGGACGACCACAACGACCACCAGCCAGCGAGGTTGATTGTGTTCCCTCCAAGCCTGACCGAACAGCTCGTGTTTCTTCTTATGATCGGGGGTCACGTTTTATGGGTGGCCGTCCAAGGGTGGTTTTTATGCCCTGTATGCAGTCGCCTTGGGGTGGAGCTTGAATTTCTTGGTTTTGACCGATTCAATCCATCTAAGTTACAAGTAGGTTCACGGGCTGAAAAGAATGCACATTGTGACCGGGGTTAGTTTAGCCTCCTCCCACTCCCCCTTTTTTTAAATGCCATGTTTCTAACTTTCTTACCCCGAACACTGCGTCAGCTTGGGGCTACCTTGTGGAAAAATGAAATTGGAATGGATCTCTTTATAAGAGAGATAGAGGGCCCAAGCTCTCGGATGAATACCTCCGAGTCAGCTGGCCAGCCGGGGGTGGTGTGTGGGTTTTACACACACCGTCGAGGTAGCAGCCGAGAAAGGCGATGGGTTGACGCATAATGCATATAACATGGAAGAACGATGTAAAGTGATTAAGTAGATGGGAGGCATCTTATACGCGGATCCTAAAGATTGGCCTTATCTCAATTTTCCCTGATATTAAAGGCCATTATTTGACTTACTAGTACTCACGCCTGGTAGCTAGCGAATCCAAAGGATTTCCCTAGCCCCTACTATAATACTACAATGTAATTTCCGGCAACCCTCAGTCTAGGTGAGTGTTATAGAGGAGCCTTCTATAGCCTATCTGCACTGTCCTAAGTCTTTTTAATCGAAGAAGGAGAAAGGGGTAAGAGGAGGGGGGAGGAAGAAAATGAAGAAGAAAAGGATGAGGATCCCAGTAAAAGGAAAGATTCCACTTTTACTTTCTTCCTCCCAGCGATCCCTCTTTGTGTATATCTAGTCGTTAGATAGCAAGGCGTTTTGCTCCTTTTACAAATTATATGCAAAGAGTCTAGTTGCAGAATATTCGACTAGAAGTTCGTTTCAGATCCAGAGGCTTTTACTTTTGTTAGGTGTGGGTGCGTCACCTAACATTACAGTGCGCCACTATATAAGGTGCTCAGGAATATCTGATCCCTATTGTGGTCTTTTAGTCCAGTGGAATAGTTAAAGATCCTGAGCTTGGCTATAACAACTTTCCCCGGACAGCTGGTTGCCAGATTTCTCGAAGCAGTGTTGGGTTAGTTGGGACTCCTAAATAATTAAACAGGTTCTTACCAGGCAACATTAATACTAATTTTTATTTTTTATTATATTTTTTGCCCTGCATAAGTAATATTATATATATATATTTGGTAGCTTATCGACCCATCGACAAAATTTCGCTTCTGCACGAGGCTCTTGACCAGTTGTTTCAACCTATCACGCGAGCTTAAGAGAGGGCAATTGGAGAGCTGTAGATCTTTTATTATTGAGTACTTTATGGAGAGTTCTATAGAACATTCATGGTTGCGAGAAATATTTCAAATGTACACGCGAAGAATCATGCGTGGCAAACAATCCTAAGCAATATTGCCTGCCCTAGAATGCCTTGTGGTAATCAATGACAGCCTGCTCGACATCTTTGACAGTCTTCTCAAACTGACTGGCCTTGACAGACCCGATATCCCGGAATTCGAAGAGGGGCACCAAGCGCTTGCTATCACCAAAGACTTCCTCACGAGCCGAGTTCAGTCCTCCCACCTGTCCATCAATAAGCCTGTCCGCTTCGGCCAGGATATCCTTGCCTTTCTCTAGCTGGTCCATCCAATCCTGAAGTTTAACTTTTGCCGATGTCTTCTTAGTCTCTGGGTGCTCTCCCTGGAATTCGAAGGTCAAGTTATCAATATCAACCTTGGGCTTGGGGTTCTCAACGTCACCATCACACAGTATACTGTCGAGCCTATTCAACCACTCTGTTAGTTTCCACTAGACTGAAGTCTGGGACAACCGGTAATTGGAGAAACTCACTCGACTTTATCATCATCGCCATTCTTGTAGCAGGCAAGCACTGAGACTAGTTTATAGAGGTTCCCCTTGATGGCAGGCTTAACGTCTTGGTATATGTTGGCGAAGTCTGTGCGCGGCATGATTGGTGATAGCATCTTAGGGCTATAATCTGGACCCTTGCGTTGCCGAACGTTCTTGGCGTACGAGAGAATCATCGAGAAAAAGGCCATTGCTTCGTGGCTTATGGACTCGCCCGTGTTGCCCTCGGGAGAGGCCTGGAAAAAGTTCTTGTTTACCCAGATCATTCGACTTTTTGAGGGATGGCGTCCTCTTGCCAATATGGGAGTGTCCTGTCCGAGGTGGGCCTTCTCAAACACATTGTGGATTGCCCCTAGTGGCATTGGGACGGTCACTTGGTACTGCCACTCAATTAAGGGAAACATAGCCTCGGTCCTCGGTTGTGACAGGTTCCAAGCGCTGCATTCTGCATTTGGAGCGCCAACGATAGTAATGCTCGGGACCTCCTTCTCCTTCATCCCGTTGAAGGGTTTCCACTTTACGAGCTGTTCAGCGATGGCAGTATCAGCAATTTACTAGGTATGCCGCAGATGGAGAACCATGGGGGAACATACAAAATCATCGGCCGCGGCTTTCGCGGCCTTGTGAGCTGTTTCAGTACCAATTTTGAGCTTCTTCCCATTAAGGATATACTCTCCCTGGAGATGACCCTTCTTGCTGCTGGTGGTATCGACAGTTAGAGACCAGCTATCACCCACTCGGCCGTTAACGTCTTTTCCCTTAAGGGAGAAGGTGTCCTTTGCATTACACTCTTTGTTGATAAACGATAGCTGACCGGACTCAAACTCTACACCTATTCCTGGCTTCTTGTCTAGAGTTGGGCCGTCATTAACCTCGTTGATGTCCTCAACCGCGTGGTTATCGGAGAAGGGATCAATATCATTAGAGTCGCTGAACGGGTCGTCGTCGTCGCTGCATTCAGATACAGGAGAAGAATTGTCCTTGGATCCACGAGGAGAGTTGCGGTGTGTCTTATTGCCAGGCTTCTTGCAAGCCGGGTTAGGGCTGGGGTTCCCGGTTGCGGCTGCCTGGGGTGGCCCGCCGTCATTGGTTGTATGCGAGACAGTCGGCTTGCTGGGGGACTTGCCATCATTGGTGCTATGCGGGCCAGGGGGCTTGTTAGGAGGCTTGCCATCATTGGGGTCCTGGCCAGGCGGCTTTCCAGGAGGTTTTCCGTCATTGGGGCCCTGGCCAGGCGGCTTTCCAGGAGGCTTTCCATCATTGGGGCCCTGACCAGGCGGCTTTCCAGGAGGTTTTCCATCGCTGGGGCCCTGGCCAGGCGGCTTTCCAGGAGGCTTTCCATCATTGGGGCCCTGACCAGGCGGCTTCTTTGCGGGCTTTCCATTATTGGAGTTACCGTGTCCGAAGAGACCTCCGATTCCATGGCCTTTTTTATGGCTGCTAGAGGAAGCGTCGCCGCCAATGCCTTTCAAGACCCCCGGGAGTGCGGAAGTGGGCTTAAACGCCGACAGAAAGAAGAGACAGAGCAGGCATAGTGCCACCTGGTTCGTCACCAGGCGCGTAAGCTGCATTGTAGCAAAATAATGAGTGACAGGCCTGAAGGAGTGACAAAATAATAGTGACAAAAGAGTGACAGAGAATGAGTAACAAAGGAAAGATGGTTGAATTGACAGCCCTCAAGAGCAGGCCACCACGGCCATTATATGTAGGCTCTTTACGCCATCCTCTCTAGCTCATCTAGGCCTGTCTACATTTGAGCGGACGCGGGACTGACCGGTGAAATGCGTTGGGGGCGGTGTCACCAATAGTTAGCACTATATGCAACCACTATGACATATACAGTGCGGCCACGCTTAGTTGATATGAAGACATCCGTACATAAAGTATCGCAAGAAATTTTTTGGTCAGCAATCTGTAGGTAATTTAGCCAATCATAATGCTTAGTATCCTCCTTTTAAAGCAATATTAGGAGGCCTTGTATTTTATTCTGTAGTATTTGATATATGGCACATGATTGTAATTTACATACTACTCTCTAATTGGTTTACATAGTAATTTTACGCTAGGATGAGCTTTTCATTTAGACGATTTGCTATCCGATATATCAGGGGTCGGGGTTACTTAGAAAAGCGAAGTAAATTTATATGGGAGAGAATTCATCCCAAGAAGGCATATCGGCTTGGCGAGGTTGCACTGTATGATCTGACACGCCTTGAAAACCATATCTGCGTGTTTGGACGAGGATGATCCAGAGTGTCCTGACCGGCTACATCTGTAGAAACCGACGATTTTGCCACGCAATTGTCTTGTTCTGACATGCACATATTCCATGTCGGAAGCGGAACACTCTTGTTCCTAGCCGTGTGAGAACCAACGGTGGTTGCAGGTCCACAATCCTCTGATATCGGACGCTTCAATCGTCCGCCCACCGGCAACACCCGGGCCCCCTGATTCCGATGAGACATGGAAACATTGGAAAGCAGCGTCGGGGGCGAGGTTGTACCCGTGTAGATGTCGGTCCTATGTAATATGCCCTCAACTCCCTCCTGGATGAACGGGATGATAAGTGGGGAGGACAAGCATGTTGGCAGCTGCTGGGCGAAACGAAGTCCGACGTGTGGACCGGGAGGACGGACAGGGACGGACAGTCCAAGGCGCTAAGGAGTGGTCGGCCAAGCAGCCCCCACGTGCCACCGGCCTTTAAAGTGCCTCCGATAGTCCCGTTCTACTTCCGTCGTGCGCTCACAATGCTACATAGAAGGATGACACTGAAAGTTCCCAATATGATGTCCGGCAGCCCCTTAGAATGTCTTCCGACTGAGGTTATTGTGTCGATTTTCACTGCCCTTCCCTCGTTCTCAGATGTAGCCTGGTTCGCCGCGACCGGGCGACGATTTCACCGAGTATGGACCGAGAATGCTTATTCCATCTATCAACAAATCGCCCCCAGGACAGTCCCCTGTCGTCGACATGCACGCATACTGCTGGCGGACCAAGGGGGTCCGCATCCAAATGCCGCGAATTTATCCTTCCCACACGTTCTCCGGTTGATCCAGAATGCCGCGATACTGGAGCGATCGGCGGAGGACTTTAACAAGCACCACAGAGAGCGCGTTCAAGGCACGGATCTTTTGCTACATTCTGCTCCCCTAGGTACACTACCTTTCTTTGTCGGCTAACCGCCCCTGTAGAGCTCCCTCCATTTCCACAACACCGTCCCTGTCTATCGCGCTCTGAACGCCCCCGTTTCATTCGGGGACTATATCAGCTATGGAGCTTGGTCCTCCTCAGCAATCCCGAGAAAAGACAACAGCGTATCCGCCAGATGAAGCTCAAAGACCTGTGGGTTGTTCGCGATCTAATCGTGGGGGATGTAGTGCGTATCCCGGCACCCATCTTTCTCGCTATGCAGGACCCCGGGGTGGCCTTCGAGCAAGTACATCTAGACCTGTTGCCATGGCTGGAACAGATGCTGGATGATCTCTACGGTGAACCCATCGGGAGGTGGTGTCAGCCATTTTCTGAAGGACTTAATGGGTGTATCAGCATCTGGGATTCGTATTATAACGAATTTAAGGATATGGTGCTGAGGGGATTCCTGGACAAAAAGCCCCACCCGGACCCAGAGACGGTATGGGATGATACGTCTGATGAGGACCAAGTGGAGTAAACAAGCGAGACACTTGCATTATATCTATCGTCTTTCGGAATTCAGCGTCTCGGCTGCAGCAGAATGGGCTCTCTACGAGCCCAGTCATGTATATTAGCATAGATCGGCCTCCGATTACGGACTGCTAAGCTGCTTCACAGGGTCTCCTAGATGTGGATGGACCCTACAACCGTTTCTAACCATGACCTTAACTGTGGAGTAGATCCTAAGGATGATGAGTCTGACTTCGACATCAAATCTTGTAAATGGACTCATCTGTTCATTTTATACCTTTTGCTACCTCAGGCATTGTATATAAAAGCCAGCGATGTAGACCGAAAAAAGCCCCAATGAAAATTCGAGTTGAAAATGTGATGATAGCGCACCTATGGCAACAGATGCAAGAGACGATAGCTGTGCGGATGCCACCAAACCTTACATGGATTTGCCTAACTCTGGGCATACTGTCAGGATAGATCGGAATCTACTGAAAAGGGGGGGGTCAAACAGGATTGATTAATCACGATGTGACGGCGAAACGTGGTTTCCGAATCGCCGTCTATTAGGCATGCATGAACTCCCACTGGCGAGACAGCCTCTGGTAAACGTAACTGCCGCTGAACCAGATGTAACAGCACAGACTGTAATTTGACCTTTCAACATGGACGAGGAAGAAAGAGAATCCGGTGGAATTTTTAAGATCATTTCTCGCTAACGTCGTGGACTTGTTAGACACTTAACCCTAAAACATAGAGAAACCTTACAGGAAGCTATTAACCGAACAGAGTTTTGGATGACGCATTGCCATAAACAACATATTGAAGGTGATCGGCTGGCAATGGAACGCTTGATTAGGTATCCTCAGGCTCTACGGAGTTACTGACTTGTCTATTCTAGGGCGGCCGATTGGGCGATGAAGAGCTTGACAGCCTCAGGGGCTTACTAGTTTGTGGTAATTTATGAGACTGATAGCGGCGGCTTGCGAAAACGCTATGGCCGAAAATTTCATGTAAAGAGATTTGTTCATCTTTCTCTTCTATAGCTGACCCAAATCGATTGTTTTACGGTTGGTAATATTCAGTTGTTAGGCACAATATCCCCTGTGGCAGAAAGCCTGAGAACATTGAAATATAGAATACGTAGAAGGGCAACTAGTTAACAGTCCAACGGCTGCAAAAAAAAAACATAGATTGTTGCACTCTTCTCAATTTTCTTACTGGAGAACAGAGTCTTCTAACCATAAGTAATATATCTACATAGACCAGCGCAGCATATATCGCTCAAGTGTCACCTTTTCTGCATATTAAACAGTGCACACGCTCATGCAGTATTATCCAGTGTTTAGAGCTAGCTAAATGGGGCGGACTGGCGTGCAAAACATCCAAAATGTATGCAAGACTAATGAACAAGCATTTTCAATTATATGCTAGATGCAACAAATCCGGCCTTTGACAACCACGACGTGCCCTGCAAGGACGATATTTGAAGAAAAATTGGCCATGTTTCCTCGTCTGTATCTTACCTATTCTAGCCCACTCGTCACTCAGTGACGCAATACTTTATGCAAAGGCATTATTCATGCATATTTACAAGTTAGGGTGCATGAGTCGTCATCTTGTAAGCCTATTATAGGAAGCCATTACTCACAGACGCGACAATCAGATTCTGCAGGATCCCCCTATTTGTTGACAGGCTAAAACAACATCGGAACATTATTACCAGGACCAGTAGCAGGAGCCCGGCATCCGCACAAAGCATTTCAGTCGGGCAAATCATCAATTGCACCGATGATTAAGGAAACAAGCTGAGGAACAAGAATTCCCACTATCCCATTCACAAGAAAGCCGGGAACCGGCAGCAAGCTAACGATTTTCTCCACAAAGCTGCAAATTGCCTTGGCAATTGGCTGGCTGTTCTGGGTTTTGACCCAATATTTGATTTGTGCTTGAACGGGAGTGGGAATATTTCCCAGACCTTTCCAACCAATTCCTTAACATCAGATATTCCAAAAATAGGTTATAGACTTCCGTCAAGCGTAGCAGTTGTGGTTCCTGAGGAAGAGTCACCGTCCCCATAGTTCTGGGTTCCGCTATACATAGTCAGGACGAAATGGAGAGGTTTGAATTCGTTCTGTTTCTCCTGTTGGTAGTTTTGGGTCCAGAAAAGCATACATTCATCGTCTGTAGGCGTTGTCCAAGCGCTATCCGTCGTAGGCACTGATTCTTCAGCTTCCTACCATTTGGCAGCCAGAGTTGCATCCTGACGAAGGCTAGGTGACCATTGTTCCCATGACACACCTCCTTTTTGGATGATTTGGAGATCTGGAAGTAAGGTCAACAGTAATTATCTAGAAATTAATAAAAGTTATCTCGCCTAATGAGGTAACTGTATCATGGATCATTCTGACTGACTCTCGGCAGGACGGGTGGGAAGCTGAGAGGGAAGATAAGAGTGAGATATCAATTCGTGATGTGGTTAAGTTGATGCAAGCAAAGGGAATAACCTTCTCTTTATACCATCACTGCCACAATGGTTTATGGGGATTTGGCTAGAATGATGGGGTATATTATTTGCCTCAACTAGCTTCTTTACTACTGAATGAGATAACCAATCATATGCAAGCCATTTTCCCGATTTGAGCAAATCCTACCCCTACTTTTTAGTGCTGGGGAGACAGGATAAATGTTGCTTCATGCACTAACAAGGAATTTGCCGTGTACGTTTTCTGTTTCCAATCGCCTTAACTTTGTTTTATATTTTGTATCTTTATGGTGGGGTATTATCTTATTAATCTCATAATATTCCTAGTATATGCCTAAAACATGAAAGGTGGACCCCGAGTTTCGTCGGATGACATATATATCGTTTCTATGTCTTCCTAGTCCGTTCCCTGCTTATTCTGATGATGATCAACTTGCTACCCTTTACACTTGTTGATTCTAGTCGCGAGAATATAATGTGTATATTGTTCCATTTCTTCTGGTTACATTACCTTTTCCTTTTAGTTTAGGGTTGGCCAAGAAATATAAGCTACAAGCCCTATACTAAAGCACCGCCTGTTGCACTATTATATTCCTGTAAGATAGAGTGGTTTGGATTTGAATTTGTTTCCATTAGACCAGTCACGTAGCGTTAGAGTTCCAAAGTTCCAAAGATGTTCAAGCACAAGGGCCAGTATTAAATTTCACTGGCCGGTAACAGCCTCTCTGTAACCAGTTAATTAACCTTGCTTTGGCGCCTCGTAGATGCCAAGTGAATAAAGAATATACGCAGCAGAAAGATTCACGAAGTAGCAATATAGTCAATCCTAAATTATGATTGCCTCCCGGGTCTAGCGTCAAGATACATCATATTTACGGAGTATCTAGGCGAGAAAGATCTAAACTACATTATTCCTAAGAAGGAAGGAAGAATACAGGATTTTTATGGTTATACTAAGTTGATACAGTGGATCTACCATAGTGGTTCGAACGTTCGCCGATTTGCTTATACAAAGTAGCCCAGGATCCAATCCCTGCGGCGTGCACACACCACCACCCTTCCGGGTGTTGGTGCTCCCGGTCTCAACGGTCTTATTTGAACTATTTGGTCTATTATACAGGATCCCTGACAGTATCATGCCAAAAAAGTGGATCAACAGGATTATCTGTGAAATTTCACTTAATCTTTTTTTTGCAAGTTCGTCTTTATATTTAAGTTGTTGGCTGGCCTGTTTATCAGCTTGTCTCTTCTCTCAACGGACCTGAGTCAGTTTTTCTCGAGCTGCCCTATCCCTAATTTTGCGTTTTGCGTGACAAGATTCTAATGCACCGGTAAACGAGAGCTGCTACTTTATTTTAGGATGTTTATATTGCTATTTAAGGCTAATAGCTGTTGTATAAAGTTATACACGCAGTTACCTACGCGCGTTGATTCCGCGTCGGTCGCGTTTTGCTTTAAAATCTGGTTTGCACAGTCTATAATCATACTCGTGTTGGGTAAAATAAATATTAAATCAAAGCGCCGGATCCACTGAATAACTGCAAGCTTTTATGCCTCGCTAAGTCATCTAGTTGGTTGATGGCGAGTCGAACGAGATTGACGGCCATTAAAGCGAGCCCGTAGTCGACCTATTGGCACGTCAAAATCACAGGATCCTATCGCTACTTATATTTATATATGATTCTATAACCTACCTACTCCAGGCGGAGTTTTAAAGAGTATAAAGGAGGATGGCAAAGGTTTTGGCTCCAGCCTGTAGCACAGCAACACCACGCATATGTATTTCACACGGCGTGGCTTTCAATTACTACCGTACTATAACTACGTAGAGTACAGAAATTTCACATTCCACATTCTCTTCTCAGCAGATACATCTTTCAAACAAAACAACCAACCTACTACTATCCTGACGTCGACCATTAGTTTGCTCAAATAGCCTCTTAATGTGGCATCTGATTTTCAGTTTGCTTTTTAAATACGTCGACATATGCCTGTGCAACACTCACGACTTGCTCCTCAAAGGGTTTGAACTTGATTTTGAATACATCCTCAGTACGAGATGCATCGAATCGTACCCGAAGTGCCTCAACATGCCCACCTAATGGGAAAATACCCTGTTCTATTTCTTTGGGGAATCTCTTCTGAACAATTCGGATGGCATCGTTGTAATCGATCCCCTCTATGGAAGCATTAACTGCAAAGTTCTGGTGACTCTCCGTTTGAACTCGCAAAGCAGCAACATGCACATATGCCACATCATCAAGGTGACAGGTAAAGCCTGGTCTAGGATCCGAGATATGAATTCCTAGCACAGGAGCAAGCATATATGTGTTCGTTCCTGAATATATACTCGTTGTCGTGGTGGCCAACTCATTCTCCCCAATCACCACAGAGGGCATGATATTTATGATTGTGAAATGAGGATTTTTGCTGGTTATAAAGTCACGTGTGCGGTTATATGCTAGCACTTTTGATGCACGATAGGCAGCTCGATAAGTTTCGTATGGTCCATTGGCATCAGGGACAAGGTTATCTGAGGTGAAAGTAACCTCAGGGTTGTCTGGAGCTACCGCCGCTGCAGAAGACGTAATGATCACGCGCTTTATACTGGGTTGCGATAAAGCGGAGTATAGAATGCCAAGAGTACCTTGAACCGCTGGCATGACAATATTTTCTTCGTAGTCGCCGGCCGATGCACCAATTGGTGAAGCGACGTGGATAATGTAATCCACATCTTTAACCGCGTCATCATATGCACCTTTCTCTAAGATATCTGGTACTATGATAAATGACAGGGCATTTGTATATGGTTGAATAGACCGTGCATCCTGGATTGCCCGGGCTTTCGACTCTGATCGCACAGCGGCCCGGACCCGATAACCTTGTCTTAAAGCCTCGACAAGGACCCTGAACCCAACATGGCCACTGCCACCAGTAATCAGGACCAAGGAGTCAGACATGGTTGAGACGGAGAACTGCTAATGTAAAATAATTCAGAAGCACTATTTTCTGTTTTCAATTTGATGTGAGCGAGAAGATACGCCTATAACTGAGCCTTAGTTCAAATTTTATATTCCTCAAGGTGGCAACCGGGGCTTCTCCGCTGCCAAGTATTCCTTGCCTGATCACGACACAATCAAAATGATTGATTAGCTCTGCTAGATCACGAGTACATGCTGATTATTGATCATCAAGTGGCAAGTCAGAGCTGAAAGAACGTTACATTGATGATGTAAGAATGTATTAGTAATACCATTGGTAATTTAGCTAACTAACTATGGTCGGAGTGTTGAGTAATCACTATACAATAACAATCAAGTTCTAGTAACAGTGAATCAAATGAGCTACATAATTGCGTGATTTGAATGGATATGTTGGAAAGAGAGAGAAGACCAAGGACACTATTTAAGGAGCCCTTGTATTCATCTGGCACCACTCACATACCGAACAAGCGAGAGAATTTGATTTTATACATATAATTAAGTTACGGAGATTTTTATCCCAAATATTATAGCTTCGGTCAAGTCGTCATGCCCCGCTGGACGTTTCATCTCTCTTCAGGTATTCTTTCTGATCTCCAAAAGGATCAGCTCGCAAATGCCATCACTGAAATCTACACAAATATTGGATTCCCTGCTTTCTGGGTGAATGTGTTTTTCAATGAATCCCCGACTCGTGGTTACTACGTCGGCGGAAAACATAAACACCGCAGCGTGTTTCTCATAGTTGACCACGCTGCTCAGTCTTTTGGGTCAGAGGAAACTCGTCTCAACTTCCTCGCCAGCATCGACAAAATCGTCCGCCCAATCTTCGAACCACAAAATATCGATTGGGAGCTCAATGTTTACGAACATCCCAGCGACAACTGGAGAATCAATGGTATGATACCGCCAGTTGGAAATCCAGTTATGTTGGAGAAGTGGGTACAGGCAAACAAACCTGTGCCTTTCTAATCAAATCACATAAAGACGAGTCTCTCGGTCTTTCGGTGATATTCCCAGCCATGACTCATATTGGGCACTTTTGTTTTTGTTGTGTAATGCAATTTTCATGCTCATGCACTAGGGTGTGTTGTACATGTTGACCTCTATTATTAATTGATACTGTTATTATCCTCCAGTGCGTAGGCCTAGAGACAGCGGTTGAAGCATAATAAGAGTAATTCAGATGTAGAAGAGACCTTCTTGTTGGAGATATTTCTACTCATGTGCACCGGTAGGTACGGGCTGTTCAAATATGAAACTAAGGCATTGGCAGCATGATCACTGACCACATATAGAACTCGTCAGCTCTCAACCCTCAAGGGTTAAAAGGGAAAAGAAAAGAAAGGAATGCCAATAGAGACTGTTGTCAAATCTAAGAGATAATGCATTATCTAATGTATAATTGCATACTTGAATGCATGTGGCACGCAGAGTGAACTTTGCAGAAAAGACTGTGGTAAAGGCATAGGCGTTATATCATTGCTGCTTCCAGGCAACGGCCACGGATATCGTTTTGGGGCTCATTGTGAAAGTCACACCACGATGTAAAAAGTGTTTTCAGGGTGGAAGATTTAGTATTCTGTGTGTTTAGTAGGTTATTTCGAGGTTGTTCCATGCTAGATTAAAGTGCTTTTCAGGTAGGAGTATTTTCTGATACCATAAAAGTACAAGAATCTTGGTTATAATGTGCTAGACCTAGCCCAACCCCTTTGCAGTTGGGTCCCTCTAGTTAGTTGAGCTGCACACTGGCTCCCACCAATGGACAAGTATCCATCGCTTTGCATGATTAATATTGAAGTGGTCTCGACACGATCACTATAATTCAGGGGAAAGGAGACAGAAGAACACTATATCAGCTACACGCATGTAGCCTACTAAAGACCGTATTTACCAGTATCCATATTGCCTTGATTACTATCTAATGAACGCACTCACTCTTCCGGGAATAGGGGCAGGTCCTTAGGCGAGTACAGTGGCGACCGCTATCGCCTTCCATGCCAGAAACAAAGAGATGATCTTTCAAACCCTAATCACATGATGCGCTAAACTTAATATGGATATTGCATAAATTACCTGTTTCGTACATACAAGGTAATGAATACTGGGCCTTAATGACATTAGTACGAAAGATACGAGGGTCGGGAACATATGTAACTATCGTAAGTTGACTTCCAGTAAAGCTTATTTACGAGCTCCTCGGAAAAAAAAAAAAGGGGTGCTATGATTGATCTGCACAGGCTCGTCGACGATTCTGACGATCCAAGAAGCTCCCAAAACGAAGTCACTTGAAAACCATCGGATTGAAACGTACCGTTCAGTGATGCAGCTGGCGATGGTTATATTACTCCTCACCACGAGACCATGTAAATTTCGACCGAGTGGCGCTATGGCTGAAAAAGCCCATCATCGTACCCTTCGAAGATCTGAGGCATGTTGGCCCTGAAGGAAAGCACTTGAGCACTCGATCTCGTCTCTGAGCACAGTGTCTCTCCCCAGTACCAGAATCCGTATGAGGCAAGAAGTCGCTCAATGTAGTCTCCAAAGGTATACCGTGTCCTATAAAGTTCCTCCCCAAAGTAGTGGTATGCGACATGGTCTTCGGGGATTCCACCTGGCGTCTGAATGAAACACAAGCAAGCCTCAGGAGTAAAGAAGTCAAACGGTAGTACTCTGCGATAGGTAAATCTCCACTCATCATCTGGTCGTGGTTCTATATGATCCGGTAGAGGGAACCAGGTGATATCGCGCCAGTTGTCACCAAAAGTTTCGGTGATGGGGAGAATTTGGATGCGGCCCCTAGATGGAAGGTCCCCTACGGTCAGCTCAGGAGATGTATGCTCCCATTCGAGAGTAAAAGAGCCGACTTGGGAATAGAACTTCTCGACGCCGTCGGGCAGAATACCATGAGCGTATTCTTTTGCCTGATCTATTTTAGGCTGCGGTGTAGGTGGATCCAGTCTTGCTTCCGTGACTCGTATGTGTGGATGCTGCTGAAGGGTTAAGATCATTCGTTTGAGGCGTCGCTGAATATCGGAATCTATGGCCGTATCCGGAGGGACACAGATTGATGAATTAAACACCTCACGTTCGGTAGAATGTGGAGAATCGTCGTCTGCATGGAACGCTCTTGGTCCCTTGCTAGGCGGGCTGTCTCGATCTCCAGTATTATACCGGTGTTGCGTCAGCAAGCCACTTCCGCCGCGGGTTGACGAGAGCTCGACGGGCTCGAGGTGAAGCAGGCCCGACTGCTGAGGTGAGATAGGGTCGGTTTGAGCTTTCGCCTGTTCGAGCTCCTTTAACCATGCGCTATAAGTATCTGAATAACGATTTATAAATACGAAGGCTTCTCACCAACGATGGATCATGCAGGATTCGCCTTGCCAGAAACAAAAATGGTCGGATTGGATTGTAGCCTTCTTTGACAGATATATCGTTGTACTCAAGGCCCTTTTCTCGATGGAAAGTAATTGATACAGGACCCAGTCTCCTGTAAGGGAGATCTACTTTGTTGCCACACAGGGCGACGGGGAAATTTCCCTTTTCTATGGGGAGCTTGTCTTGGGCGAGTCAGTTGAAGATAGCGACGACGTGTGAATCGACATGCTAACCATACCGTACCACAGAGGGATGCTGTCCAGAGTCGATGGGCTTTGCAAATCGAACATCAAGATTGCAGCATCCGCGTCATCGACGTGTTCCCTTAGCGTGTCTGGGGAGTCGACTTCACCGGGCATGTCCCATATGTCGAAATTGATAGAACCACGGTTCTATCGAGCGATTTGTGTCAGGGTTGCGCAAGCGGATAGGTAATAATGGAGAATTACCGTGTCTACCAACAAACGATATACGGATGGCTCATGACTTTGAGAGTACTCGTCTGTATATCCTTCGGATTGGCACCACTTTGCGAGGGACGTCTGGCACACAGTCAGCAGTGAGTAGACTTAGCACTGAGCCGGGCCAATGCGTGCAAAATATGGGAATACCAACCTTTCCCACATTACGGTCACCAAGAAGGACAACCTTGAATGCCTTGCCAGAGTCTTGGTATTTCGCCATGAGGACTCGCTTCTGGCAGTCGTGATTGAAAATTTCAGTCGAATTGAAGACACTTTGTACAAGACAGTTGGGAGATGATTATGTACCATGAAGAAATCTTGAGACGCGAAGTTCATAGGTGAAAACAGCGGCCACCGCGAGGCACGTCTCGGAATGAAACTTCAATGGTCCAGTACCAGTGAAAGTTTTTCATTGGAATTTTGAGGAGAAATGTCAGCAGCGGCTCGGACTTTGTCCGAGCAGGGTTCAAATGACTCTTCGCAGAAGGAGCTTGAACAAGACAGATCACATCAGGCTTCCTGTCTCACAGTGGCCAGCCACACCTGGAGGGGTAAAAGTCAAAGCAAGCCCTTCTTTTGGGTCGGCTTTGCGGGGCTGGGCCCGTCAAAGAAAGGGGCAGCACCGGGGGGGAATGTGTGGGAAAGCACGTGTTTGGGTGACATGGACAGCATGGGTTTATTTTAGGAGGCGTAACAATACATAGCCATACAGGTATTACTCGTTTGGTATATTACCATTCAATTTCGGAACACATGTTCAAATACCGGAATAACCATATCTGGATTACCGCATCATGTGATTAGGGTTTCAAAGAGCTTCTCTCTGTTTCTAATATGGAAGGCGATAGTGGTCGCCACTGTACCCCGCGTACCCCACAGGGTGCTAAGAGTCTATAGCTGAACTGAATGGGGTTGGTAACTAGTGCAGTATTTAACAACCCACTCTCTACAAGTTTGAAGTGATCATATGACGGTCAAAAGGAGTTAGTGACGCGCTATCAGCCGAAGCCCCACTTTCAGCTCAACTGAAACCTGGGGTGCTAAGGCGCTAGGCATTCGGGCCTTGACATTTCCATATCAAATATTATGATTAGAATTATGATTATTATTCCCTAAATTATAAATATGCCTAATTATACGGTTCTGATTAGAAATATGATTATTATTCCCTGAATTATAATTATGCCTGATTATACGGTTATGATTAGAAATAATGATTTCGGCACGCCACCCGTGCGTGGATGCACCGCCTATTGTCTTGGACCCGGACGGATAATGATCATCTTGACAGTTAAACATTAACATATCGCTTTCCACTAACTTTGAGATGCATTTAGCACATTGACAGTATTGCACACAATTTACAATGTTCACAGACTCTGGTACCCAGTCCATTAAAAAGATCAATATAGTCGATGATCCTCGGATCCGCCGCTGCTCTTCTACAATCAACGGCAAGACTTACGGTACAGTATTGATTTCTCGATTGTTCGAGTTGTCACTTATGGTTCTTTAAGGATATCTTCTAGCTGAGCCAGAGGGTGGTTTCACCCGTACTGTATTCTTGGTGCGTGGATTCATTTATTCTTCATACCATCGCCTAATGTATCTATCTAGATCCATGGCTTTCCGGACTTATCAAGCGCATGGAGGAACCAGATCCCTCTCTTCTTGAAGTTTGGGTTCCGAGTCGTCTGTCCTGACTGTATTGGATATGGACGATCCGTGAGTTATATCTGCCCCGGAGGGATAGAAATGGGCACTAAGATGAGAACCAAGGATGCGCCGACTGGTTCGATCATCCCGTATACATTCAAGTCACATGCAGATGACTTTGTTCAGCTTGCAAAACAGCTCAACTGCGAGAATATTATCGTTGGTGGACATGACTGGTCCGTATATTCCAGAGCCCTTTAATTAATCTGTGCAACATCTTATATCCAGACAGGGGTGCAGTAATTGCCTACCGTTGTGCGTTATACTATCCCGACTTCATCACACATCTCTTCACATTTGTAATTCCGTATATCGCTCCTTCATTTAAATGGGTGGAAACCGACGTCCTAGTGAATCGCTTCCCATCGCTGGGATACCAGCTTCAATTTGGCAGCGATGACGGAGTTATCGAGTCCTTTACCAGAGAGAAAGCGGGGATACGCGCATTTCTAAATGCCTTGTACGGCGGTACATCGCCAGCCGGAAAGTATGCGATGGATGTAACTAAGGGTGTTGATCTGGAGTTAGCACCAAAGCTACAGCACACACGTCTAGTTAGCCCCGAGGAGTTGGATTTCTATGTTGAAGAGTTTGCAAGAAACGGACTGCCGTGTAGGACACTCTTAGATCCTGTTTAACCATATGTGACTGGCTAACTTAGTGCGGGGTAGGCAATTATTACAGGAACCGTAAGCAGAACTTTGAAGATGAGCTGGTCTTCAAGGATAAGCCCGATGCCGCCTTCATCACATGTCCGACGTTGTTTATACGTTCAGTTGATGATGCGATTGTGACATCTGTTATGGTCGCTTCGATGGGTACAATGGTGCCAAATCTGACCTTGAAAGATGTCAAGGCGGGGCATTGGATTCTGTGGCAGAAACCCGTGGAAGTCAACGACATTTTAACTGGGTGGATGCGCCAGCAGGGATTGGTTGCAGAGGACACATTTGGACACCTATAACGGTTCTACTGGTCGGCATTATAACTGGATCTGAGACAAAGATGTTTTTGGTGAAGGAATAAGTTTAATTGAACTTCGTCTGCTATTATGATTGTCTGTTGCTACTTGGTACCCAGGTATCTGAGAATACTATAATCTTCCTTCTATACCCCACAACTATCAGAGCCTATATTATAGGCGGTTTGGTCTTCTAGGAGCAACATTGCACGCATTTGTCTCGCACATTTCTCGAATCTCCACAAGATTCCTCTCACCTTTTATCTGTTTTGTAGTTTTCGGACGAAAAGCCATGTCGCCCAAAGCCGCAAACATCGAGTTCCATGTTAAGCCTTATCTCAAGGCCGAGCTCGAGGACTGGTATGGTACATTGACAGTTACAGTAATGAGTGACCAAATACTCATCAACAAACTTCTTGCTGTGTACTTCAAGGTTCCCGAGGATAGCCGCGGTATAGCACTGGAGTCTTACTCGCTTAAAGAAGGCTAGGTACTGATTACTCAAGTGATTAGCATGAGGGCCGGCGCTCTCAGCCCGTACCTCGGATTCCAACAAAGGTCGACAAGGGTGACAATTTCGTATTCGGTATTAACAGTGCGCATGGGGGAGAGTTATATAAGAATAAAAAGGACATTGAGGATTCTGGCAGGGTGGAGGCTGATCCCGATATCAGTGCCGCGGTCAACATCCACTACTACGAGCTACTAGTTCCGGAGCTTCAGGGTAAAAAACCTAAATATGGATTTTATCGGGGGTGGCGGAATGTCTCTGTGCAGCCAGGCACAACTAAGACACATCCAATCGAAGCTGAAGAGTACATTGTGTCTGCCGAGGGTCTTTACAACCCGGTGGACACAGTTGTGGTTACTGCTCAAATTTCATCTACAAGTCTAACAGTAAAGCCACACACATCGACCATCAAAGTGGGGTTCGATGTCCAGAGATATAGCGCGATGTATTTGATGATGGACAAGACCATTACCACAAATTACTCGGGGCTCACACACGAAGGCGTCAAGGTAAAGGTAGAGAGGCACGTTAACGAACTGGGTGGCAAGCTATCCTACTTGTTCCGGAGTCGCCTGCCTCGGACAAGCAAAGTGCACCGTAAACTTCTGCCAGCGAACGAGGTTCCCTCTGTTGATGTCGGTGTTGATTCAATCACTAAGAACAACCTTATATATTCATTTCACACTGAGGGAGTTAGTCTATCGGACAAGCCACCGATCCTAGTCTTTTTCTTGAACACAGATGTCGAGAGACACAGTGTCCCAACCACTGGTTTCATACACGTCAAGGTCGAGGTGGTTTTTCCTGTGGAGTCCTGATCCCAAATGGGACTGTCCTGGTGCGCCTTACTTCGGAGGAAACGGGGTTTATCTATACAAAGAATGTGAACGTCCAGGACAATGACCCCTACTTCTCGGTGCCGGTGCAGCCAGGGAAATACAAGGTCCAGGCAAAAAATTTTATCGACAAGAATCACATCCTTCACAGCATTGCATTCGGCCAGCAGTTAACTGTGAAAAACGACCCTACCACACTGACACTGACGCTGGACTCCAAAGTCGATCTTAATGCCGTTAGCTTCCCCGCTTCCTGAGCTTCGGCAGTACCACTGATCTCGCGATTAACTCGAAAGAGTATGTCCATAAAGATAACTTTGTGGAAGCCCGCGTTTTTTCCGTTTTTTCCGTTTTTTCCATTTTCCATTATACGGTGAACGCTGGTGGTTCCCCGGATCCGCAGGAGAGGACGGGAAAAGCTATCGACTTCGCGAACCAGGTGGAAGAGGAACTCAAGAAAAAGGATCCGAAAGCTTCGGTGGTACTAGTGATTGTTGCCTACACCTGGGGCAAATCTAGCTTTTGTAGTAAATATTTTTAACACTCCAGACTACTTCACAGCCATGCTCAAGACCCCATCACTTCAGTACGCCCAGCGGATTCACGAGCACTCAGGACGTCCCATAGCACATATCCTGAATTCAGACTTACTGTGCAGTGTAGATGAAACCACCCATATGAAAGTTGGGGAGTCTCTGGAGAAGGCACTCAAGGATCTGAAACTCACGTACAAAGTTCTGAAGAGCATCAAAGAGGATAACGACAAGCAATATGCGCGCACAGTAAACTGGCTGGTGCGGAGGATTGCGCCGGATGTCTCATTCGCATGGCAATTCAATATATGGGGGATTGGGAAGCCGGGGGAGTCTGCCACCTGGATTTACAATAAGGACAGTATGGCCAAGATCAAGGCTGAACTAGCATGTACCCGCCTCAAAAATCTGCGTGTGTTCGATATGGAAGATCTCGATGATGATCATGATATGAAGAATACGAACCCCCCTAATTTTATAGCGGTTGACTGATTTGAGTTCGACGACTTCTTCTCTCCGTGCTATGATCGTGGGTACCGCTCCTGCCCAAGCGAATGGAGCCGGTATTTTGAATTTTGTGGCGAGGTCAGCTCTAAGCTACAGGCGCCTGTGCTGCCCTGGCAGATTTCCGCCAGTCGCACGTCGAACCACCGTGATAAAATTGATTTAGGACTTGACGGCCAGCAATGGGGTACAGGTGGCAGCTACATCCTAGGCGACGAAGATATCAACTCCGACTACCTCAACGTTCACTAAAGAACCCTGCAGATATCGTTTCCCCATCCATTACCTGGAGTGCCCCATACTGTGGAAGAGATATTCAAACGTGCTATCCCTTTGATGGGACTGATCCAGTCTATGAGGACCTCCTGCTGCATGCATTTTCGCAGACTACAAGGCGGAGGCAGAACAACGGGCATCCCTTCAAATATCGGCAAGCTGGAATTTCCCCAGACTCAATGGGTGCGGGCCAAGCTGCACGAGTACTTGAGAATCCGACAAAATTTTAGGGAAATACCTCACTCTACGTGGGGTGACAAGAAGTAATGCTTTGCCACTATTAACTACCACTAATAAGCGCTTGCGAACTGATAATCTGCAGTTATGAAATACAGTTCGCCAGAGTGGTAGTTCTTATTGATTGAGGTTTTGTTTACCATTTTTTTCTTCGGGTCCATCAAATTGAAAATTCTTTATATAGGACTATAAATTAATTGGCTCAAGTAATGGGAGCGCATACAGTTTGTGACAGTGTCCATAAACGATCAAATCCACAAATACTTCAGATCTTCATCTCCTGCAGCCTGCTTGTTGCCTTCAACACCTTGGTTCTAATAGGAGGAATAGATATCCAGTGGACCAGCTACACGTATCACATCCAGTATAATCTATGATTTGCACCAGCCCTTCGTAGACGGTAGTGTGACGACTACAACAACTTTATATCCAGACCACTCGTAATTTTTGTTCAAATTATCTGCATGATTCGATTTGATCTGTCTGGCTTTATATTTATTAGGCGTTGAACTTAAGATCTGTACAATAGAATTTGTGGAAGCTTTGTAAACGAATAACAGAGTATAGTTAAGAAGTATCTTATATACCTCCGCCCCGCACGGAGTCGAGAGGTTGTAACTTTTCCTACTATAGTATAGCCCTACTTAGTATAGGTGATCATAAACGGAGCCCGGTACGCCTCACAAACGTCATTAATACATCCGATGAGCCAAAAAAAGGGAAACAAGATTACTGGACTTGAGTTACTGGACTTGAGTTAGACGAGGAGCGGCGTTTTCTGGTGTATCTCATCCTTAGTGGGTGTAATGTATTTTATACTGGATCTTTGGATGTGGTAAGAGTACGGTGCTCAAAGTATCTTGCGAGATCGTTTTCTATACCGGTCACAAGCCCAGCAGGTCCAGACGAATAGGACGAAGTGAATGATCACGCCGGGCCCGGGCTAGTACTAACAAATAATAACATGCTCGCGTCACTTGCGCATGATGGGAAAGGACGGTGAGGGTAGGTGTGATGGAGCCTTTGTGTGCGGTTCTTTGAGCAAGTCCTGATAGTGCACTCTTTTATGATATATTTTAGTAAGATCATCCCAAACACTGTATGTCTGTGATGGAGACTGGCGAGGCTCTGGCCGTCGCACACGGCCGCCGAGAAAGGCTCTATGCACATGACAGCAATAATGCTATGAGGATAGGTAAGCAGGGGCTGTACAAACCGAGTACTTATATGTACTGAGTTACCAATGAACCATCATAGCAGCATCCAGTTTGGCAATTCTGGATCAAGCCAATCCCAATCATGCATGTTTTGTGAGGTGAAGTCAATGTTGGGCACTGCAGACGCTAGCCAATTGTCCTCAATACCAGGTAACGTGTTTACAGATGAAGATGGCATTATCTCCGGCTGTATCGATTGGGGTTGCTGATCTATAAACCATTGTCAGAATATGATTATCCAGCCTTACGGGAGAGGAAATATACGGTGCTGGCCCCGAAGCCTCACAGCCTCAAATCGCCGACGATAGTCGCGCAAGGCCCGAAGACCGTGCTGGGCAGATGCTTCTTGCGACTTGTAGAATTCGAAAATATCAGTGGCATGGTCCCATGAGGTTTTTATCGGCTCCTGGTTCAAATTGATATCCATATCAGGGATTAAACTAGCTGCCAGCAAGACTGTCGCCGAGCCAAATGTCACTACAAGCGTGTTAGAAATACGCACTCTAATTTACTCTCCAACTGCGGTAGTGCTCTCACATCTCAACGTGTGCCACGTCGATGATCGATAAATAAGTCGTAAATTCTGGCGTAGTTCACGAAGAACTGTGCATGCAGTGGACACGCAAAGCTTATTTGTGTCCTTGGTCAAGTTGCTAAGAAGACCTGGTATGGCAGCATCTTTGCAAGCTTCTTGTCCTATGATAGGATACCGAATTGTCGCGAGCAAACATGGTCGAAGGATAGTAACCCGGATATAGAGTGCCCTGTGGCTGTTAGTTTTTGGCTGGGTGACTCCACTAATCTCAAACCGACCGTGTTCTCAGGATCTGGCCTTGCATATGGAAACAATCCTCCAGCAGGCCATGAATGCCGTAAACATGGTTTTCAAGATGGCTAGGCAAGCCGCCCAGGAATTCGTCCAACCTCAGACACAGCTTGGGCATCTCGCTAAGATATTGAGTCAAAGCAGTGATTCCGTTTTGTTCTGATGAGTTGCCCCCAACCGCATTTAGTCTGTCCATGATGTCTCTTGATATGTCGCAAAGTGTAATGTAGTGATTGAAGAATGCTAAGCGAGAAGGAATGTTCTCTGGCTGGTGGCCCTCTTCGCTCTCTGACAGATACTCATCGTCTATGGCCTGAGGTGTTGGCACTGAATTGATCTGATGTATGACTCTAGGCCATCCAAAATTGGCAGACGCAGTACTACATTCCTAGGTGTTAATACATAACGATTTAGGAACTTTTGGGAGAGAAAGTAACGGTCCAAAAATCGAAGAAGACTTGCCTTTCTATGACTATGAGGGTATACCATAACCTACGTCTCATTTCCCTCTCTAGCTGGTTGGTCTCAACGGTATCAGTGTTGAGCCGTAGTCCCTGTGCTGCTCGTACGACTACGCCCAGCATGCTCCAACAGCGAGCAGAATGAGAGGTACTTTGCAGAAAAATAGCTCTCAGAAGGAATAACTGCACGACCTCCAAGGAGTAGAAGTCCAAAGTTTCGATGGAGACCAGACGAAAAGATCGTTTGTATAAAGCTTCCGCATCCTTCTGTCTTCGTTCAGCTGAGAAGTCATAGCACTGCTGACAACCAACGGCGAGAACCATATTTACTACAGCAAGAAACACAATATCGCTGTTTGTATTCTTGCGGAAGGGAAGAGAGGCTATTTCAGGTTGCCAAAGCTTGTGATATTGCTTCATGAAGGTTGGTCGATGTAGGACGGGGAAAATCGGGTGTAAGTATTGCCAGTAGGCCTCGAGAAGGGAATCCGAGAGCTGCTTTTCAGGAAGCGACAGAGTCTCGCTGTCATATGGTTCTTCCTCCTTGGCAGAAACCGAAAAGCCGATGGCATCGGGAACGGTCTTTTGATTCAACGACGATGTAAGCGTGGGGCTCCCATCCCTCCGCATTCCTCCTACGGGCTCGACTGCGGCAGCTATCTGCTGAATAAAAAAAAGAGTCGAAGATGGACCAAAACTTGCTCGTTCTGGGCGAGGGTTTTCTGTGGGACGTATATGATGGCTCGTCTCGCCTGTTCCACGAACAGTCTCCAAGGAATCTGATTTCACTGCTCGTGGTAGATGTGTTCCATTAAAGCCAGACCTAAGGACGGCATCACAAGAGTAGCGAGCAGAGTTGTCGCCCGGCATGCCGGGACCGGGACCTGGAGATAAATCGTATTGAGAACTAACGCGGCATCATGTTAGCGTATTAGCAAAAGAAGATCGGTCTTTGAACACGACTCACCGAGCCAACGCTGCCTTGTGTTTTCCGGCAACAGATTGCTGATACACACACTTGTCGGCATCCCCCCTAATGCTACACATTCCACAGGGTCTGGAACCATCGCAGGCTGACTTGCGAGTGCGACAAAGATCACATGCCACTCGAGTCCTCTTACGCTTAAGACGTGGCGCCGTCCAATTGATCGCAGAATCAGCCTCCATTACGTTGCGCACACAAGACTTAGCTGCTTCAGCATACTCTCACAAAGTGGACTTGATAAAAACAAGGTTTTGTCATCAGTGGTGCTAAGTGGCGGAATTTTGCCGGAGCTTGTCATGGTTTTAGAGTAGATAGCTAGTTACCTAAGTTGGTTAGATCGATAATGACTAATCACATCCCACATCCTGGCGACTCGAAGACGGCCGGAAAAACCTCTCGACGATACCCCGAAAACTTCAGGATGAAAGCCTCTGAATCACGTAACCTTAATATGACTTGAATTATCTGATAACCCTAATGATGTCACGGACCTGACATTGGTATATAGTGCGCTGAGCTCAATGACCGTTCGGTCATCGATTTGCGCCTTTTTGGCTGTGGTGTAGCAGTAAAGCTCAGCACCACTAAACAGCCGGACTTAGGTCCTCACAAATGTTAAACTAACCCTGAATATACGCTATTGTATGCCCTAATTACCCTAATTACCGTAATTCTCCTAATATATAAATAGTCACATCTTTAAGACCTGAGTATTGGGGCGACGAGTGGACCATATCTCAGGATACTACTCAGAACACACCTCAGAATCATGCAACCAATTTCTGAATCATCTGGAACTGAGATCCCCTTACCGCTAGACCAGTGACCCGCTCGGCCGGACCGGTTGCTAATTGGATAGTTACGTAGTTGTCCCGAGTTGGTGCCTTAAGCACATAATTCCCCGGATGGACGCTACCCGCGGATCCAAAAGTAGGACTCGAAACCCGCGGATCTTTGGCTGAGTCGGGGAGGTTACCCGCAGGCCATATCAAGCCCTAGTCTACATATTTTAATTTAGGACAGCACCTCGACCAGTACATCATTCATTTGCATCAACAATCTTGCGGCCATGCCACCACCCAAGCTGAGCAAGAAGCTCGCGTCAATCCAAGGGGTTCGACTTTTTGGATCCTCGTCCACCTGGGACATCAACATTCAGTACTCGCCCGACTCCCCTCGGGGCACGATCGCATCAGCTACCCCGCACGACAGGTCCTCTGCTGATGACACTGCGCAAGCGCCGCTGGCTCTGCCAGCCTTGACTCACCCACACATCCACCTGGACAAAGCATTCGTCCACAGTGAGCGCGAATATGCAGACCTTCTTCCCTCCACTGGCTCCTTCCAGGAAGCATTGTCTTTCACCACAAAGGCCAAACAGCAGTTCTCCCTCCCCGATCTTCTCAAACGAGGAGAATGGCTGCTGGCCGAATCAGTTGCATCGGGAGTGACGGCCATGAGGGCGTTTGTGGAGGTCGATCATACGGTTAAGCTGGTTTGTGTGGATGCGGCGGTGGCATTGAAAAAGCAATGGAGCGACGTCTGCGAGATCCAGATCGCGTGCTTCGCGCAAGATCCGATATTCTCCACGGAACATGGAGAAGAGAACATTAGCTTCATTGAAGCGGCGCTCGAGCAATATCCTCAAATCGACGTTATTGGAACGACGCCTTACGTGGAAGCCAGTGTCGAGGCGGCAAAAAGGAATATCGAATGGGCGATCGACCGCGCCATGCAACTTGACAAACATCTTGACTTTCATCTTGACTACAGCCTTGACCATGGCAAGAGCCCCTTGCTTTGGCATGTCTTGACAACCCTTCAACAACGCGGCTGGACAGCATCCTCGATGACGAAGCGAGTGATGCTCGGACACTGTACACAGCTTACTCTTCTCACTGACGAGGAGTGGAATCAAGTCTCTCGCATTATCCATGAGAACAATCTCTCAGTGAGTTTTGTCGGCCTACCGACCAGTGACATGTACATGGCATCGCCGCTGAACCGGGAGAATCTCCACAGCCAACCCAGAGGCACCTTGCGAATTCTCGAGTTGATCCGCAAGCATGATCTTGACGCGGTGATCGGAGTCAACAACGTCGGCAATGCCTTCACGCCCTGGGGTCCGCCAGACCCGTTGTTCCTCGCTTGCTTAGGGGTGGGAGTTTATCAAGCTGGGACGCAGGCCGATGCTGAACTCCTGTATGAATGTGTCTCCACGCGTGCCCGGGCGGCAATCGGAGTGTCGGCATCCAATCCGGGAATTACTTTGAAAGTGGGTGGCGAGCCGGATCTTCTATTATTTCGCGATCGGGACGATACTGGGTGTGGGGTTCCCCGGCCACGCACCAGCGTTGCTGAGATTGTATGGGATCCTCCCGAGCGATTGAACCGAGATGTAGTTTGCAACGGACGGCTGAAGAGCTCCGGGACTCACACTAGTCCTGATCCTATGTATCAGTTTTCAGAATAGGCGATGACCGCCAGACCAGTCGAGGAGGAGTGGAGCGCACCATGATATATGCTGATTCTACTTTGGAGGCATCAATTCCTGTACATAGGGCAGAAATATAAGAAGTATAAGGTTGGCTACCTACGTATGATTTAGACTCAGGCTGGCTGGTTCGTTTCGGGTAGCCAGGCGACGAACTATTTATAGCACAGATCACGGCACAAGTCGGGGAATCACGGAGGCGCCATAATGAACACGCTCCAGAGGTAGGGCTGGGTCCATATCCGGTTGAAAATTGGGCATGGAGAGAATGATAGACACGTCACAAACAATGCTAGGTAGTATCGCCCGAGAGTGTCCATAGGCGGGGGTATAGTGTACATCCACCGAAACGTCGTAGTGAATTATCTCAGCGTAGTCAGAAATATTTAAGCTACGGTAGAGGATCCCGTAGAAGAGTTCCGTGCCCATCTTGACATGGGAAGCTTGAGCGCGGCTTGAATTTAGTCAACAATTTTTGGACTGAGGTGACCAACGAAGACCTATCTTAGTTAAACAATGAGCCGTGGGCCAGAGTGAACAGTTGCAATAGATAAACCCATCATCATAATCTGATATAGTATATTGATTCAGAAACAAATCTAAAAAATGTACATAACCAATGACGTGTCCTACGATACCCGATTCTGTCACAGCAGCCTTAATTGATATCTAACTCATAGATGATTAATTGGCATTGGGTTAGATATATATGTAAGAGCTTCTCAATACTCAGCCTGTGTGAATAGCGATCTTATAGAAAAGCATATTGCGACCTTGCTAGCAGTGATAGGCTCTCACTTTTTGAATTAGCTGTAATACACTTTAATATAGTTCTTATCTACCTCAACCACGAGACAGCTCTGGTATTATATATACTGATATTCAGCAAAGTAAGTCGACGTTAAGATTAGCCTTTTCTCTTCTCAGGCGAAGAGACTAAAGGAAAAGGACTACAATACATGGATTTGCAATCTAGTGGAGAGTAAAACGTATAGCGAGAGAGAAGAAAGTTCCATTGCAATCACAGAAGAAAGGAGGTTGTATGCATATTCATGGGTGTTGTAGTTATTGTACAAAAATACTTAAATCTGCCAACTAGCTGCTCCCGTGCGCTCCCGGAGACGCAGACACAAGCCCTTTCCTTTCCAATAGCCCTCTAAAAGCGAGAGTAAGGGAGCCTAAGATAAATATTAGTATGTGAAATCCTAAAACAAGGATAGGGGCAGCCTCCCAGAGGAGAGAGAAGACGTACCATCTTCCGCGCAAGGTGATAACGGCGAACGTGCCATTCTCGTCAACTTCCTTCTCGACCTTAGTGGTGAAGTTGATTCCGCTCATGATGCCGTCGCCGAACTTTTCGTTGAGCACCGCCTTGAAAGAATAGCCATAGTTCTGGATAATCTCGTACAGCCGGTAGATGAGGGGTTCAACAGGGGGCATGGGCCCCGAGCGGCCTCGGTCAGGGAAACCCATCATCTGGGCGGAGAGGACGTCACACGGCACATCTAGCAGCGCTGACAGCTTGCTAACGTCCTCTGCCGTCGCCTGCGCCTGTCCGTAGAAGAGTGCCGCGCAGGCAACCTCGTTGCGCCCGATGTGCACCGCGATGTCCGTGAAGGTCAGCTTCTTGGCCGTCTTCGCGTCGAAGAGTACTTGGCTGTACGCTGGCAGGCGGTCCACGATGGACGCCTATGCGATTTATAATGTCAGTGACTTCCGTTCTATATGCTTGGACGATAAATTTGCATATGTCCATATGAGTGCTGAAGTAGTCATCGGTAGGGACTTACATCGAGAGCGGCGAGTCTCCGTTCTCCGGACATTTTGACTGCTTCTGATGGATATAGATTGAAGAGTGACTGAAGAGTCGACTGTAGGCAATGATATAGTAGGTAAGGCAGATAAGGTGAATTGAAACCTGGCGATACAACAACTGGGACGGCTATGGGTAGATATTTATACCTGAATATGGCTCCCCTGGACACAGTCTTTGGTCATGATGTTGATTATTACTGCTATACAAACCCTTCCCAACCTAGGAATCGTAACGATCTCCGTCCCGAGGAGCGGAAACTTGATCCGCGGAAGCTGCGACGAAGGACATTGGTCAGTCGTGTATCTTCTGGGACCCACTGTGGCCATCCGAGAGCTCAGCCCTAGCGAGCCGCGGAGCGGGACTTGAATCCACGGAAGAGTGGATATGATGACATGTCTTGGCTGCCAATTGACACCAGCAGATCATACTATATAAACTGGAGACCATCCTGGCCTCAGTTTGTTCTTGTCAGTCAACTCGACTTAACTTAATACAACTTCGTTATCGACCTGCTCTTTCTTTCCACAACACAGCAGCTTAATCAGCCCCATCTACAAACCCAACATGGCTGGCAAAGACACAAAGACAATTTCCAAACATCTCCAGCAGACCTATGAGCAGATGTTTGAGAACAACCTCGCCTGGGCTGCTGCACAGGGCGAGAAGGACCCAGAATTCTTCAAGAGGCTCGTCGAGGGCCAGAGCCCCGAGTACCTTTTTATCGGATGCAGCGACTCCCGCATTCCCGCCGAGCAGGTCACAGGCCTACAGCCCGGTGAGGCCTTTGTACACCGAAATATTGCAAACGTGATTTGCAACATCGACCTTAGCGCCATGAGTGTTATCAATTATGCCGTCCGCCACCTCCAGGTTAAGCGCATTATTGTCTGCGGTCATTATGGCTGTGGCGGCGTCCAGGCTGCCATGAGACCCCAGGACCTAGGCCTACTCAACCCCTGGCTTCGGAATATCCGTGACGTCTACCGCCTCCATCAGGATGAGCTAGATGCCATATCCGACAATAGAGCGCGCTACGACCGGCTCGTCGAGCTTAATGTGATCGAGCAGTGCCGGAACGTCATCAAGACGGCGGCTATCCAGCAGTCGTATGTGGCCAATGGATTCCCTGTTGTGTCCGGGTGGGTATTTGGGCTCCATGACGGTCTGATCAAGGACCTGAATATTGATTTTGTGGCGACACTGAAGGATGTTCAGAAGATCTATGATCTTACATCCTAAAGGCGAGGTCTACTTGGCCAAAGAGAATAAGTTATTCGCGATCAATAGAGACGATGTAGGGGTCTGTTTAACTGGTAAATTGACATTTCAAAATGACCCGTGACATTCACAGCAAAGCTGCATCCGTGTTTCCCGCGAAGCTTCTAGATAAAGCGACTTGTTGCAATGTCGAAAGTGCATGACGAGCGGGCTGAGCTTGCGTGAGCCGCCCTCATGTGTTGCTTGTGTTAGGGATGTGATTGCTGGTTGATATATTCCTTTTGTGGCAGACGCCTTGAGCTTTGTTGGGTTTATGTGTATGCAAAACAAAATTAGCGACGTGTTTGATGCTGAAGCAATGCTCACAGATTCTCTCCATCTACACGGCTAAAAAAAAAAAAGGAATTCGAGGAAACTTGCATTGTTGGACTATTCAACGGTATGCACCACCTCACACAGGAGGAAGTCTACGTTTGGCAACTATAAGTGGGAAAGGTCCTTGCTGCAGTTACTTAAGGATTCAGGGCCGTCTACATGCCTACGATGATGGATACGGTCTCGCAGCTGAGTTCAGGAGCTTTTATATTATACTGTTAATGTAAGTTAGTGTCACGTTGCTTTGTTGCAAATGCCTTGTTTTATCATAGTTTGATTGCTCCATTATATACATTATGGTCTGGATGAGCTTCTGAATAAAATTGTCAGAAATAGCGTCATCTGTCGCACCCTTTTGAAAAGGCCAGACAAGCTAGTTCCCTCCTGCGAAATATGCGAGAAGCATTTGACAGCGCTGACCAAGAAAATAAATACTTGAGCTGATGCAATACCATGATAAGCCCAGTACAGACATCAAAGCCCTAGCTGCTTATCCTATCCGGACTTGTCAATAAAGACCAGATGATATGGGCCAATGCGGAGAGTCTATTCCAGTTGAGATATCATAAGCACGGTTCTGCTCACTCTTTGTTGGGCTTTTTCTACTTCTTTTCTTTTCTATTTCTTTTCTTTTTCCCTTTGTTTTACTTTTTTTACTTTTTACTTTTTCTTTTTCTTTTTCTTTTCTTTTTCCTCATAAACACCCTTGTATTCAATGCTTGTCAATGCAATGCAGAGCATGGGCATCAAAAGCATAGTGGAATCAGGCGAAAAGACCTACATAAAGCGGAAAGAAATGCACGCCGTGTGTCAAGACCATTTAGGGACCAGAAGCTGCTATCATTTTAGCAAAAGATTAGGCTGGAAGTCTTAAACGGCGATGAATGTAAATGCATTTATATTCCTCTCTGAGCAGCTTCGAATCCCCTTTCAAATGAGGGCAGGGCGATTATTTATTTGGAGATCGACGGCTTTTGGGAGTTTGGAGGATATCTTCGTTCTGATTAGGGCCACACGGTAAAGAATATTTATTGCCAAAATATCCTTGGTATAGCTCATAATTGTTACAAGGGTACATGGAACAAAGAGTATAAGCTAAAGATAAAGATGCCAATCTTCTAAAAAGTAGACTGAACTGGTTGAGAAAAACAAAAGCTGTGAGTAATAGTGCACCCAGTGGCACCGCGTTACAATGGAAAAAAAACATGAGAAATATGTTCAGATGTACAGATCCTGCAGAACGCTGGAGTCAAAAGAAGGCGTACCAATAACATCACCGACAATTCCTTAAGGGTTAAATTCTTTCAAGAGCACTTGCAGTGCAGCTTGGCGGTCTGCAAATGCAGCAAAATTCAGCTGGTAGCCCATAAGTCTTATCCTTTCTAGGCAGCTAACATACTCGCACTCAAGCTCGTTACTCTTCAAAATACTTGTCTCAACTCACAAGCAAGTCTCACCGTGTGCCATCGGATCATTCGTCCCATAAGCCTTCATGGACCCCTTCCACAGAACACATGGCCCTTGTTCAAATTTCCCATCTTCTTCGTATATTCCATGTCCAAGAAGTAAAATATTTGTAGTTTGCGATTAAAGTTCAGTGCCCCTAGCACAGAATCGCGCAACTTGCCGCTGCCAGGATCATAGCAGACCGCCAAAGGCGCGTCAAAATGCTGGAACCAATAATCCTTCGATGGGAAATAGTCCTGTCCCTCGATGACATAACATAGGTTCTCAGGAAAATAGACCATATGAACCCGCCCATGTCGGATGAACTTTCCCTGCCTGGTCATGGCAAGTTGGAGGGCTCCCCTTCAGCACCGATGCAGGCCGTATCCACACGATATTTAGGGATCCGATCATAATAACATCCCTAGTATCCGGTTTTCTCTGTCGCAACGTATGGTCCCAGGTGCACGAGTCCGTTCTTGGCGCCTTTTTTGTTTGTGCGCCGTTCTTTCCGGTGAGATGGTGAGATCCTCCCACCATATACCTGCGTCATCTGAGAGAGAGGCCCAAATGGAATTGACAGATGGGCTGTTCCACCATTCTCGATAGTTGCTGCGGGAAAGCCAGTAGGTGAACCGGATCTGGATTGGACCAGGCCCATCTTGTTGAAGTCTGTCGATGTGGTTTGGGGTTGGGCTACTGTTTAGGAGAACGTCCGGTTTGGTTGTTAAGGCTGCAGCGGTCCCTGACTTTGATGTCGATAATGGTGGGTACTGAATTCCAAAGATGGAATACACACGGGCTCAGCTTTGGGGATGGAGACCGCATACGTCATTTTGCATGTTTGTGCTTGTGATTTTCGCTTTAGGTGCGAATTGGGATAGAATGGATGAGATGATAGGGGGCAGATTATTTTCATAAAGTGCTAGGCATCACATATTTTGTCATATTAGACGTATATCTCGTGAATCAGAAACGCTGGCCTCTATGCCAAACCAGCACTGTACAAATCTAACTTGCTTGGGAGTATGGTTACTGATATCTGTCTACGACGATCAACAACATGGTGTAAAGGGGCGAAATGCCTTGCTATCTAATAACTAGATATACACAAAGAGGAATCGCTGAAAGGGAGAAAGGAAAGGGGAGGAAGTGTGCGTTCTCATACTACAAGGAGTCATGTGACTACGATAAGCGGACCAATCATATGTGTCAATCGCAGCGAAGGTGAAGCCGAGCAACATACAGGCGTAGCCCGTGACACATGGTACAAGGATCATTTATAGCAACAAATTTTCTAAGTGGACGTTTCGAGAGATATTGCATGCATGTCAAGCAAGGTAAGTTTGCATTGTACAACGTCGTCATTTATGAATAGCATGACATATAACTCGTCTTACTATCCCCCAGAAACATATATTGATATCACTAGATTGACAATCCCGCGATACCAAAGCGATATAAAGCGCTCTCATAATACTTGAAGCTGATAATCCACCACGTCATTTACGTCGCTCGCCCATGACCTACGCTGCTCCTATACACCATCCCCACGAACGACCTTCCGATATACTCTTTTATCTTTCCATATGTGCATAACATGCACAAGAAAGCCTGGCAGTATAATCATCTCCCACAATGGGAAAGTCACGTTGAAGCGCAGTCTAGCCCTGTGCCTGTATTTGCCTTGGGAGCCATCTTCGGTGCTTAAGGTAGGTATTTGCATGGCAGCAGGAAATTCTGCTGCACTCAGTGCAACATATTCATGTATGTGAGCGTTTCGCTTTTGGGAGGCTTTTTCATTGTCCCGGAGCACCCTGGGTGTCTTGCCGGCCTATAGCAGCACTACCAGCAGATGCACGAGTACTGAGCGAACGATGCTCTTTCAAATTACCACGCTTCCTGGACTATATATGATATAGGCTGCATCAGATAGGTGACAGCTAGTGTGTAGCTGAGGATAGTTCACGGTATTGCAATATCCGAACCAAGGAGCCCTCTACCTTAGCCAAATATATCTCAAAGAAAAACATTTATATCTAGTCTTGGAGTGGCTAGAATTCTATTCTCGCGTTCGAACCTCTGCGAAGGAAAGTAGTCTGTTACATTCAAGATCGTGCATAATGATACACCACTTCGGGATATCTTACTTTCAGAAGTGGATTTCAGTCTTGTTATATCCACTTTCCATTCTAGCAAATCTTTCCTTCAATCACAATCAGAGTGAGAGCAATATCAAAAATCAATCATGGTTAACCTTCCGACAAACGTCCTGTCTCTTCTGCCTAGCGCCAAAAGAACTGTTTCACTCCCCTTGGTACATTGCTACTTGGACAAGAAGAGTCTTCCGGTTGACCTTCAAAGAAAATAATCCTGGAATTATGTCAAGTCTAAGCTGGTGGTCCTTTCCAGGTCTCTTCACTTACCGATGTTTATATCACGACCCTGATCTGCTCGCAATCATTCCTTGACGTTGTTATGGAATGTTACTCATCTTCCCTATCAAGGAAGCATACGAAGCCTTTCATGCGCAAGAGGATGAAGGTATAATGGACTACAATGGATTCGGTGAGGAGGAAGTGCGGTTCACAGTTTATAGGAACTGGGTGCGGGTTTATCGCACTTTTGCATTGTTTATTGAATGGCAGAGCTCGCTCTTTCATCCAACCTGACACTGATCTTGAACGATTATTCAGACAAGTTCTGCCACTGCAGCCTGTGCCGGCGTGTGAATGTCTTGTGTGACAGCAGTGCTGTGGAGATGGCAAATAAGCTGCCCGCGAGTGAAGGAGAGAGCAAAATTATCCCAGCAAATACACCGAATGGACTTGTATTTCGTTCGCTTCGTGAAGTCTGGTGATCACGAACTTGATGGTTGCAGGAAGGGTCCACTCAATCAGGGCTTGCTAGGAGCCGAAGAAGACGTTCTTAGCGAGGCTGTCTTGGATCTAGGGTACGAGCATTTTTGAGGAGAAAGAAGGAGCGTGATTGTCAAGATCTGAGGTTCAGTCTTGTCGCGCCGGTACCAAGCTCAGGGTTAATAGCGCGGATAGCATCCCCCATGAATACCACCATTAGGCAGGGAGAATAACAGTTGACATTATGGAACAAGGTGCGCACTTGATAGACAAACCTGCAACTCTACTACAAGAAGTAATTAAACATCCATAGGACATAATAGGATTAACACTAACCTGATAAGGAATGTGCTCTTTGTTTGGCTTTTGATCAAGGTCACATCGATAAAATATGAACAAAACAAATCACAAGCGGAGATAGAAGAGACGAAAAACATACAATGGCTATTGTATGTTTTGATATTATCATTTACTGGGCGGCCTGGTGCGAAAATGGCACCTGGTAATCGAAGTGCTTCTAGAGATGATTCAGAAATGGTGGAAGTCATTCTGGGAGGGCCTTCACGAGAAAGAATATGCTTTTAGTTAACATTTTGCTTTGTTAAAAAACAATAGTAATATACCTACGCGAAGTCTTCAGTGAGCTGGAATCGTTCATCCCAACCTAGATGATATTCACCTGGAAGTACGCATGCGTATATCACTTATACAGAGTACTAATAGTTAAATAACATTGTTTTCCATTCCTATTCCAAACAATCCATAGTCTAGTGAGGAAATCCTTAAGGTTAATTATCAGACCTAGACTGAGTGGGTTGCTCGGACTTTAGATCTGAGTTACCTACTTAAAATAATTATACAAAAGCGGCAGTTGTCTCTGATAGGCAGTTTCCTTAGGCCCCTAATAAGCTTATTTAAAATACCACCAAGACTATATCGGCTAGTCCAGCTCAATTGTGCCAATTTCATCTCTTTAGGGATAAGTTAAAGTTTCGGGAATCATGAGTTTATTTTAATATAGATCACAAATTTATTACTTCCCCTCTGCTTTATAGTCTGTCACTTTATAGGCTATCTCTAAATAGGCTGTTTTTGTAAGTTTAAGCTGGGCTTGCAGGATTACTTCTTGGAAATAAACACCGCTGTTCCCGGCCATTGGATTTGGAATTGTATGACTCGTATTGCATTTCTCTATATATCTCCTCTGTTTGGGCATCTGTATATTGACACTACAATATTCAATAATGTCTGACAGATATGGGGCTACCTCTGCACTTCCACCTCAATCGGGAGAACCCTTGGTATGATTAACTGTCGTGAAGAACTGATGTACCTGCTGTTATACTTTACTGACGACCATGTAATATGCAGCGGAGGGAGGATGCGAGCTCAAGCTCCTTTACTTTGTCTATGACCAACCCAACCTGGACGAGATCCAGGGAAACCCTCATAAGGTCTTGGAGTTGATCCATAAATTCGAGAAAAAATTTATTTCATGAACGTTGGGGCAGCAAAAGGCAAGATTCTCACCAATCTCATCGCAAAGCTCAGACCTCAAGTCATGATTGAGCTCGGCGGATACGTGGGCGACTCAGCCATTCTGTTCGGAGATTCCGTGCCTCGAGCCGGAGGCGAACGCTACTATAGTTTAGAAATGAACCCTGAATTTGCCGCCATCGTAAACACCCTTATTGATCTGGCAGGGTTGCGCGATTTCGTCCGCATTCTTGTCGGACGAAGTGAGACCAGCCTTCACAAGCTTTACACCAGTGGTTAAATCAAGCAGGTTGAGCTCTTGTTCCTCGACCATTAAAAGCCTGCGTACATGACGGATTTGAAACTGTGCGAACAGTTGGGTTTTATTGTGCCTAATGTCTCGTTCTAGTCGCCGATAACGTTATTTATCCTGGAAATCCACCGTATCTAGAATATGTCCGCAGTACGGTTGAACAAAAATGTGAGATCACCAAAAGCGGTCCTGCTCACTGCTACAACACTGAGGGCTTCGCAGAGCGGACGGTACAAGCCTACATAGGCAAAGATGCGACACCGCTGTTTGACATTATCGGAAATCCAAATTTGGTGTATAGTAGCACTCTGCAGTAACCCGAAGGATCCAAGTTTCTGTCCCTGCACGGGGACCCGAATGAGACATCCCGTTGACAACCTGGGCAGGACGCTATCGAGGTTACTCGTTGTGCGGGGATCCAAGAGTAAACGAAGGTCCAGGGCGAGTCGCCTGTAACAAAATGATAGATGGATCATGGAGAGCCAATGGATGGGTGCTGCAAGAGTGTATCAGCTGGGAGAGGTAAGTTACTGGATGCTCGGTTTGTCAGCTGAGGACGCCATCGACTTCCTAATTAGGGAGGTGGGTCAAAGTTTCGACGCAGACACCCAGGTTGTTAGTTAAGGACGACAGCTAAACCTATTAGGATAATTATCACGTGTATAAGCTTTCCCTAAAAAGAAAGAAGACTTTTAACTTCGAGGACCGTATTCTTCTGTAATTTAACCCTACTTCTTAGAAGCTAAACACACTAAGCGTTTACCTTGTATAAAAAGTAAATTGGCTAAGAAAACATGCTCTGGAAGTGCTTAGCCACGGCGCTAGCTTAAAATTTTTAGTTTAACCACGTGATCGTGAGCTATTGTTAGGGACCTACCGTATTCGGTATGGTCACGTGGCCTCACTTAGTCACCCATCTAGATAGTCAGCTCGCCTGAGCCCCTTGAATTCAGAGAATTGTGCCTCGCGAACAGGTTATGAGACCCTCTATATCTTCCTTTTAGAGCTGATATTACGTGGTTTTAAACCACCTGTTTTGTCTATTCAATTGCCCCTCGAGGAATTGATAATAACTTCAATTAAAATGGGCCCGAAGAAGGGAAAAGCGCCTGCTAGGGATGAATCTCCATACTGTACACCTGGCCCATCCTCTCCTGCGATAATAAGACCACTACCACGAGATACTGCGTCGGAGGAGGAAGAGGATGATCGCATGGAATATGTGTCAAGGGATCAATTTAGGGATCTCCAAGCGCAGCTGCAGAATCAACAAACGCAATTGCAGAGTCAAATGCAAACTCAAATGCAGCAAATAATAGAGCTAATTCAACGCAGTTAATCGCCCCTTTCAAGTACGCCTACTCCAAATCCGAAGCCCACATCAACAGCTCTACCGCCACCAAGCGAGGATAACGCCGGCCGCGCGAGTATAATACAGGCAGTCAGCACCATGCGGAAGGATGTTGGTCGAAAGCTTCAACATAAACTACGATCCCTGAAGATTTCTAATTTTGCAGATTGGAAAGAGGATCTATTTAAAGACGCCCGTATTATAAACGCGGAGTTGATTTTGATCAACAAGGAGCTCAATCCACCACATAACAGTGAGGAGCTCAATTCAGCAATTTGGCAGATAAAGAATAAAGCTTTGGCTATCCGAATTACCATCAATGTCCGAGAAGTGCAGGATCGCCTAGGTGAGATAGATATCTCGAAGGCAGCTGCATTATATATACGAATCTATGAGGCAATAGGTCAGACGAAGGCCCAGGAGCGCTATGACCTAGTGCGAGAAATTATTAATATCGAATTATATAATGGCAATTATTTGGCGTACAAGAGCAAGCTTTCAACGCTTCAGGCACGCGCGAAACGCCTCCATGTGACTGTGGATAATATATTTCATGATATCCACTATATTCGCCTACGCAATTGGCAATCGAATTTCATAACAAATAAGCTTGATCCATTCCTTGCCTCAGGGGCAGGAAATCAACCGATTAAGAATACCAATCTAGTTGAGATTGGACGATAGTTAAAATTGCAACAGTCTAATACGCACCGTTCAAAGACTTCTAGATCAAATCAACAATCTGATGGCATCAAAAAGAAGCCGGATAACGAGTCACCGGACTCTACCTCTTCTAAAGATGCGAAATCGTCTTGCAGTTATTACAGACGACATTCTCTCACGAGGATATACTGGTATCAGAATCCCGAGGCAATTCCCTCTGATAGAGCAACGCCAGTGTTTCTCAAGCAAATCAACAAGTATAGGGCTACAAAAGGTGATCCTGCATATGCACCACCTGCACCGAAGCCCTCGGCCTCTGCGAATTATGTTGCGGAATCAAGCACGCAACTACCTGAATGGTATGTGGATACATGCGCATCGTACCACATGACCCCCAGACAAGACGTCTTTTCAAGTACGAAATTCTACCGACTGGTATGCCTAATATTGGCGGATCCTTAGGTGGACAAAAGCCTCCCCTCGCTGAGGGAACGGCCCGAATAACGTTTAATGATGTTACCCTTGATATACCAGAGGTGCGCCACGTACCTGGTTTGTCAGCGAATTTGTTGAGTTACGCGCAGCTCCTAAAGGCAGGTTTTAAACCATCGATCCCAGAGGACGCGTACACCAATATTGTTTTTACCAACGAGAACGGCTTGGCTATTACTGCAGTCCCTTCAACAACAAACTGTTATAGGATTAATAGTATAGCATACAAGACATCTCCAGAGGAGTTAGCCCTCGCGGCTATAGCCTCTAAAGCACCTCAGGTGGCTACTATAATCCAATGGCATGACGATTAGCGCACCTAATTACCCCGACATTTTGCGATTATCTCGTACGCCTGGCAGTCAGATTAAGGTTTCCGATCCCCAATCTCGGCCCTTTTGCGATATCTGCCATGCGGCGAATCAGAAACGCAGCCAATCTCATACCTTGGCAAAACGTGCCACGAGACCTCTTCAACGCATTTTTATTAATATTGCGGGTGGAGGTAATACTCTGTCTGAACGCTATAAGCAGCTTAATGACCCTGCTTCTCGTACGGGTTCTCGCTATTATATGCTGATAACAGACGACGCAACACGGTATTAGTGGATTATATTTCTTAAAGATAAAAAGCTCGTCCATCAACATCTCGAATAATGGCTTAGCCACATGAAAAACCAAGGCTTTCAACTGCCTGCGTTCGTGCATTGCGATAACAAATTTGTGACTGAGGAAATAACGAAATAGGCAAATAAAAATAGTGCGAAGTTAGAGTCAACTAATCCCTATTCCCTATAGCAAAATAAACCAGGCAAATACACCAACCGGATTATTATCAAGCATACGCGCGCGATTCTGCATGATTCTGGATTACTATATTAGCTCTGGCAGGACGCCATGCAACACGCAGTCTATATTACAAACAACGTCCCTCCCTACGTCTACTACGCTGTACGCAGATTACTTAGTTCCAGGGGAAGTATCTACCAATCCAGATATTTAGCCCTCGCAGCATGTTATACCGCATTCCGTATTTTTTAACAAGTATCCGCAGATTGCTCACATTCGTCCCTTTGGTTGTTGTGTTTGGTATTATAACGACCCAGGACATCAAGATTTCAACAAGATTGTTGGCCGCGGCGCTCCAGGCATCTACATCGGCAGCAATTCTTCAACCAATTATAAGGTCTACATCAAAGAGACAAACAAGGTTATTCGGACTGGCCATGTTTCATTCAACGAACAGGCTCAGAGGGAACAGCCTACGGAAAAACTGATTAATTCTACCGTACCTCCGGACCCTGAACATCTCGCGCAGGAAGCGCTGCATCTCATGGGGATTCTCCCGCGGAGGATAACGGACAATCTGACTGGGTTCGACCTGCTAAAGGCTTTGCTCCATTCGCAGGATTTACCCCTACTTCGCCTGCTTCTGCTGAGGGCAAATCGGCCCCCGATTCCAAATACTTGGCAGGAAGCAATGAAATCACCCGATAAAGATAGATGGTTAGCAGCTTGCGAGCTTGAAGCTTCCCGTCTTGACGAAATTAAGGCATGGGATTTGATTGATAAGCAATCTATGCCTAAAGGCTTGAAGCCTATCCCTGGCCGTTGGGTTTTAGCATTAAAGACCTCAATGACAGCACTTTCAAATACAAGGCACGTTGGGTTATACGTGGTAACTTGGTCAAGCAAGATCCTTATTTTGGGGAGACATATTCGCCAGTGGTTTATCCCCAAACAATTAATATCCTATTCGCGGTTGCAGCTTATCGCAAATGGTATATCGCTCAGGCTGACGCGGTGCAGGCGTTTCTTAATGGTAAAGTTAATATGCCAATATATATGCGCCAACCAACCGGCTTCTAAAAGGGTGATCCTAACACCATGGTTTGCAAGCTGAATAACACCCTGTACGGTCTCGCGCCTTCCGCACGTATATGGTACGACCGTCTCCGCAGTGATCTTAAAGCTTTGGACTTTAAAACAAGCGACTACGACCCAGGCCTATGGATTCACCAATCTCGCAAGAATCTCTATGTGACTGCTCATGTAGATGATTTTGCTATTATTGCAGCGCTTAAAACAGACGCAAAATGGCTCCTAAGCGCAATGCAGCGAAAATTCGCGATTAAAGAGACAGCTCACCTCAAGCATTTCCTCGGCATGGAGATTACTCAATCTGATAGTTAGATTAAGCTTATGCAGACATCTTATATTAATAATCTCGTTGCTTCGGCAGGGTTCGCAGATGCCCATCCAGTCTCTTTACCTACAGATCCGGGTTTAGTTATCGATGACGACCCCGATCCCACCCTTAACGAAGAATATAATCGACTTACGGGTAGTTTTTAATGGCTTGCCTCAAGAACCCGTCCAGATATTGCGTGTATCGCAAGCTTGTTAGCGCAATTTAACAAGGCCCCTACCAGAAAGGCATTCGGAGCGGCCAAACACTTAATTCGATATTTAAAAGGATCTTGTACGCGTGGTATCACCTTTCGCATGTCAAATGGACCCCTACCGCAACCACTGGTTTTATACCGATTCGGACTGGGGAGGTCCTCATCATAATCGTCGGTCAGTATCAGGCTATATCGTACTTTTTAGCCGGTGCCCTGATATCATGGCGATCTGCCAAACAAACATCGATTGCCTTATCATCCAATGAGGCAGAATATATGGCGGCGTCGGACGCAGCTCGGGAAACTCAATAGCTTCGTCGCCTACTTAACAAAATAGAGATCTACTCTGCGCCTTTAGACCCCATTGCATTCCACATTGATAATAAAGGTTGCAAGGATCTCATCAGTTCAACGGTCACCACCAAGCGCTCTAAGCATATTGATATTCGGTATCATTATACACGCGAGCTCGCTGCGGACCGCATTATTAACATTCGGCTATGCCCTAGTAAGGACAACGCTGCGGACGGCCTTACTAAATTGCTTCAATCCGAAGGATTCATGGCTTTTCTCGATAATATAGGTTTAGCTTAGCTTTTTGGCTTTTTGGCTTTTTGCTTTACACGCGATTCTGTATGTAATGGTGCTGGGTGAGCACGCTTCGGCCAAGGGGGTGTTAGGGACCTACCGTATTCGGTATGGTCACGTGGCCTCACTTAGTCACCCATCTAGATAGTCAGCTCGCCTGAGCCCCTTGAATTCAGAGAATTGTGCCTCGCGAACAGCTATACTTAATGAAGAAGTGGGGTGTTATTTCCTAAACAGGGTTGGAGGGCGTCCTTAACCCACAAACTGGGTGTCCGTCTACTATCTCATCATCGGCAACAGAGAGAGAAATCCGAGTCGGGACGTAGTCGGCTTTTGGTGCCCCGCCAGACCCAAAGGTTCGCATCGCCAGGACCTTCCCCCGCACCTGCTACTATTCTACGAGCACTTGGGCATTCAGCTTAACTAGACCATATCATATAAATAGATGAACTCGTTGGTTTCCGTATTTCTCCCCTTTTTTTCAGAAAATTTCTTGTTCCTACCAGGTCTACATTAGTGGCTTCTCTGCGGTCAATTTCACTATGGTATCGAAAACTTGGAACGTTGGAGTGGTCGGGTACGGGCTCAGTGCCAAAGTTTTCCATATCCCATTTGTCCATGAGGTCCCCCAGCTAAGCCTTTATGCTGTGGTGCAGCGTACACCGAAACCTGATGATGATGCGGAGAAGGACCACCCAGGAATCAAGTCCTACAGGAGCGCTGAGGACATGGTCAAAGACGAAGCTGTCGACGTGGTGATTGTTACTACGGCCCCAGATTCACATTATAGTTTGGCCAAGTTGGCATTGGAGAATGGAAAGCATGGTGAGGCTCTATCCATGAAACGTGACAATGGAACCTTGGTTTCGCTGATTTCTCGGACTCGTAGTTGTTTGCGAGAAACCATTTACCCCTACTTCCCAGGAAGCCGATGAACTTGTTGCCGTCGCCAAGAAGCAGAATAAGCTGTTGGCTGTATACCAAAGTATGTCTTACTTCTTTGCATATTACACACGTGGCATTACATGTCAATTGAAGTGATTGGAGTTTAACGCAGACAATGTACAGACCGTCGGTGGGATGCGGACTTCGTTACGCTATCGAAGCTGGTGAAGAATGGCTCTCTTGGTCGCGTGGTGGAATACGAGTCTCACTTTGATCGCCACCGTCCCCAGGAGCCTGCTGCTGATGCGTCCAAGTGGAAGAACAAGGTCATTCCTGGCGGTAGCGCAATTTATGATTTGGGAGCCCACCTGTTGGACCAGGCCGTACATCTGCTAGGATTGCCAGATCGAGTTACCGGGTTCATTGGTTCTCAAAGAGAAGTGAACACTACAGGCTTCGAGGATTCATTCACTGTACTGCTGCACTATAAGAGTGGCCTTCTCGTCACGGTAAAGGCGGGCGTTGTGAGTCCGGAGGAGGCGCAATTGAGATTCTGGGTTCGAGGAGAAAAGGGTAGCTTCAAGAAGGTATGAAAATGCGGGCTAAAAGTCATTCATGGGTGAAGTACAGGACCGGGATGCTAACGGTCTACCTTCTCAACAGTTCCACCTCGATATCCAAGAGGACCAGCTCAAGGTGGGAATGAAACCCGGTGACAGTGCATATGGTCGGGAACCTAGTGAAAGATATGGTATGCATACTTCATCCAGGAAAATAATCAAATGGATCTTGCGCGCTCGAAGGCTAATTCCACTGCTTCAGGTACCCTCACCACGATTCAGGACGGCAAACCCGTCAAGGAAATCACTCCAACTGTGGAGCCACCAACTTGGACTGAATACTATAGGAAGCTCGCCCGGGCTCTTGCCGGCGAGGGCGATCTTCCTGCCAGCGGAGCGGAGGCTCGTGAAGTTATTCGACTTATCGAACTGGCAAAAGAGAGTTCTCGACTCGGCAAGACTATGGATGTTTAGGTCGGATGATTTAATGTAGAAAATACTATGCCAATGATATGCTGATTCCATTTCTTCTACGGTCGGGAAATTTGATCTAGATGTGAGAGCTCGGCTGATATAGATGAATATATATAGGTAGCATATACATACTTACCATGCCCTCATGGCCATCAGTGACACAATAAATACTTTGCTCCCGGATAGATCGGCAACTGTAAGCGCTGCCTTAGGCAGAAGTGGACATGGGTAATCGAGGGAATGAATGTGGAAATACGCTTCCAAGCGGGGCACTAAGCCCTAACAGGAATTTCTGTTACTCAATGTAAATACACTGAGGGGGAAAGAACAGCATTCTGGCAATAATTCTCTTTTCTGATGCTCTTGCCCTGCCGAGAATTGTCGCTATTAGGGCTTCCTTGGCTTGTTCCGCGGAGATGCGATTGGTGTCATGCTGAAGTCCCTGCCCGACTTTTCCGTACATGATACTAGTATTTATGACTGAAGTTGTGGTCAGAACAGTTAAATTCCCCTGACAGCCCACATGGCATTAAAAATGTGTTACTCCTTACTCCAATTGTACTCCGTACACCTATGAAATACGGCGATGTATTGTTTTCTTTGGGTATTATAAGCCAGCAATTGTTCCTATTACGCCATTCCCATTGGTTTCGGGCATAAGGAGTTCCTCTTATAGAAAAACCTACTCAGTGCTTTAGCTCTTTTGCTCATTTGCACAGAAGTGGTTCCGGTTGTTCCATGCTGTGTGGTTCTCTTTCATTCCCCATGGCACCGTCCAATTGATAGCGCCTGTCGTTATATCGCCGTTCCCACAGCTGGTCTTAAGCTTTTTAGCTTGGTTTAACAGGTGGATCCTATTATTATGTTGTTGGTCTAGCATAAGAGCCTCTTCGACTGAAATTCATCAGTACCGATATCACCATGTCTAGGCATATCGACTTCTCTCGCTGGCATGTTGATATAGATGCCTATCTTAATCCTTTTCTTCCAGGCCCCCCCTGGCGATGGCTGCCTCGTCCTGTCTCTCATTTCCTGGGATACAGAGGCAGAAAGCCTCCAAAAGCCCTTGGAAATATTCTGATTGCATTCTGGTCTCTCGTTGGGGTTTTCTGCGGCGTACTAGTGGTTGCCGAGGTTTCTATGCATGTTCCATCTTTTCGTCAGAATGCCCCTATTATTGTGGCTAGTTTTGTATGGTTACTATCACTTTCCTTCGATTATTTCTAGATTAAAATATGTCTTTACTAACATCCTCCTAGGGTGCCGTCGCGGTGCTAGAATTTTGCGCTATTGAATCACCCTTTGCCCAGCCACGAAATGCAATCCTAAGCCAACTCTTTGCCAGCGTCATTGGCATTGGTATTGGAAAGCTTTTTACATTGAATCCAAATGCAAATATTAAGCCCGAACTTGGAGGCTCTCTCGCTTGTTCCATCACTACTGCCGTTATGGTTTTAACAAACACTGTGCATCCCCCTGCTGGGGCAACCGCCTTGTTAGCCGTGACGGAAGGCTCCAGTATCGGCTGGTTTTTGATCCCTGTTATGCTTCTGGGATGTGTGCTTATGCAATGCGTGGCCTTATTGATCAATAATATCCAACGGCGGTTTCCGGTGTATTGGTGGACTCCTACTCCTCTTTCACGACCGAAAATCGAAGATCGCGAGACTAATGGAGTTGAAAAGGGTAATGATAGAGCATCGAGTACAGATGAGATTGGGGCAAGTGTCCCAGCTCAGGTCGTCATCCAAAAGGGAAAGGTTTTGGTGCCTGATAATATCTGGATTACAGCAGAAGAGATGGAGATATTGGAACGAATTAGCGAACGAATACAGCAATAGAATCCTGCGAATAATACTTTGATAATTAACTAATATGATACGATGGCTATATACGAACTATGAGTGTTGTACTTGGATATATAATCTGCACCTGCCTAGGCAGGCATTTCGATCCGAAAGAACGTAGCACGATACGGCTTTGGTATACAGAAAAACAGGCAGCATCTAGATATGGAAGCAACTGAAAGGGGAGGCGGCTCTTTGATGAAATTATAAACAAGCCTTCCCCTTGCATATTGAATTATCCATCTCACTCAAAGGCACATTTGACTAGTATCAATCGTTTGTATGTACTCCGTAAATAGGTATTTAAGGCCTATCAGCTCTTGGAAGAAATTGAGTACCTAATTGTATAGTTAGTGGACTACAGCTTACGCAATGAAAACCAAGGCGTTGCTATCTCCGAGTAATTTTCATGATAGTACGCTCATTCAGCTGATATTTTCTGGTTTGCCAGTGCTTGAGTTGAGTCATTCATTTATAGGCATACTCTTACAGCTCTTGTGAAAATAGAACTGGCGTCACCGATGTTGACTGCTGCAGTCTTGATTACCTGACCTATCCTAGAAAGAGAAATAAATAGCGAAGAACACAGTTGTTGAAATCCTCTTATTTCTCAAGCAATATACCACTTTTGCTTTCTAGTTTTATTTTTATCCAATAGACCGAGCTGTAATTTTGTACAGAAATATCAATATCCGGCAGCACGCGAGAGTTCCAGCCAATCAATCGGCTTTGAACATGTAGCCTGGTATCTTAATTCGTCAATGCATGTTTTATAAGAGGCAGAGTTACCACCAGGGGCAAGCTCTCGTCCTAGCGGGTATATTACCAGCCGTTCAGTAAAAGCTTGTCTTATTTCTCCTAGCATCCGGACCAATTCCGTCGACTGATTTCCAACAAAATTAGTCTTTATGCAGACTTTGCAGCATATAATCACCGGAGCATGTTAGATAAGTTCTAGTCTTATCGAGTTCATGCCTCCCGAATTAACAACAAAATCAGAAGCCTTCAACATGATAATCCTTGCGTATCTGCTGCTTGGTGTTATACAACTACAACCCTAGCTGCTAGCGCTCCAGATGCTAAGGCCGAGTGCGTAGCCCTATGAGTCATGGAATTTGATCCAAATGACTTCCCCGAGGGGGTTACTGCAGCGGATATAGCAAGTAAAAAAACCATCCCTTGGGTCACACGCCTTATCCCGGTGCCGTCCGCAGTTGGTTCCCAAGATGGTTCTTTTAAAAGATATTTTGGCATAACTATGGGACTTTTTTTACCTTAGCCTATTATGTTTTAATCTTCAAGTTAATGGACTAAATCGGGTTGATGAAACTTCATCATAATATCTGTTTTGTCTGACAATATGCAATTCTTACTCTTATATTTAAAGCCGGCATGACATGTGTAGCCCGTACCTTCCACCAGGTAGAATTCCCCAGCTTAGATTTCAGGGATAGGTTAGTTCCCAAGGAGGAGTATTATTAAGTTAATGTAGTTATAGTTTCTCTGTAATGTTTACTACGTGGGATAGTGTAGGGGTTTCTGTATTCTGGGGTAGTAATGCTGCATCAGCACCCCTTGGTCTTCTGGATTTGGGATAGACATAGGCTTGGTTTTGGGTTATACTAGGGCCGACACGCTTCGACTATCTGTTCTGCATTGTCTTTCGTGTCAGGGGCGGATATTCGAGAAAGCCGAAAAAGATATTTGCAGGGTGGGCTGATGTTGAGCGTTTCCCCTCTCCTTGTTGGGCTGAGAAGGGGAAATGCACCTTATTCGACTATCTTACTCTTTATGAATACTGCAAAATAGATAGATGATGGTTACCTGTGACTTCGAAAGCCGACTTGGCTTACGAGTAGCTAAAAGGGTTTATGTTACCTGATTTAAAGCCACTCTTTCTCAATTTTTCGTTATATGAGGAGTTATATATAGAGAGGTATTACTGTACCACTCAAAAGCGGCATGATCTCATGACCGACTACAGGTGTTATTGGCGGTTGCCCAGTTACAGTAGGTATTTCTTGGCTACATCAACACATCAGAAGCTGCTTTGACCCTTGTGATGGGGTTAGAGGCTAACAGAGCCAATAGAATACTGTTCCTTGTTAAGAGTGTGGTATATATCGGAGCAAAATTGTCCACTTAACCAGCCAATAGTTGTTTAAACGAAAAGACTAGTATTCGGTGTATACCGGGACCCGACAGCAAGAGTTATAAAAGAATATTTCCATTTGGTCGAGTTATCTTCCCACTGTTCATCTCTAAAAACCGTCAGATATTTGCTTACAAACTTATCCACAAATTCTAGTTTCACGCAGTGCTAATAGGTCTTTTGTTTCTCAACTTACACTCTGATATATGACCACAAAACGCTGACATTACCCTCCTCGAATGCCCCAACCTTGATCTCTATCAGCCTCTTGGGCACGATTGCCCTATCGTCAGCTATGACCCTCTCGACCATCATTGGAGACCCCGTACTCGAGTGCGGGGACATCGAAGTCATGGCTTACGATCCTAATAATCTTCCCCAGGGCGTGGCCCCTAGCGACGTTCGCAAGATCGCCCACTGGGTAACAATTAGGTGGTGAAGGGTGTATCGCTGGCGACTATGGATGTGTTGGACCAGTCCGTAATTAATACAACCGTGATTAAGGATGATCCTGAGAGCTTAGATCTTAATGTTTTGAGTAAGAGGGTAGCTATAAGGATGCTCCTTATGGTTGCTCCAGTGGGTTTTACTGGAAGGTTTATGGCCCCAACTTTGAGTGATGTTGGACGGAAAAGAAGGGAGGGATTGGGGCTCAGTAAACTTGTAGTAGTATTAAGGATTGTGGGACTACTGCCATACCTATGCCTGTGAAAGGGTTGTCCGAGTAGTGGGTATAGTTATTAAGCAGTTTCTTTATGCTGCTTATTTTCAGGAGAATGGATTTAGCGCCGCATGGGGTTTAGTAAGATGTGGGAAAACATGTTGTCAACAGCACCACCACTACACTAAAAAGACGCCGTGACGCCAATTCAGGAATAATCATGTTGTGTGGAGGTTTCAGGGGACCAAACTCACAGCTAAAGGGAATATGATTTGCAGTATGTTAGAACCCGGCAAAAAAAAAAAAAAAAAAAAAAAAGGCCTGAAAGACACTAGTGTCTAGTTTAGAAAAGATACGGAAGTACTAGCTAGCTCCTTATTTATTTTTCAGAGAAGTAGAGTAGTTAATGTAATATCCACCACCCTGCACTTCAACTGCTTCTAGTTAAACCGCCGTTTATCACAGCCGTCATACTGTAATTCCCTGCGTTCATCGGGATTTAAGAGATCTGTTAATGGATCTTTATCATTCCCTGCCTCCGTATGTGCTCCAGTTGATATATCAGATATAATGCAGTAGAGGTATCGCTAGTTCCCTTACAATCTAGAGTATTAAATATCAGCTAACTTCTCGCTTGTGAATAAACGCCAATTCTGAGTCGCCTTGTGATCCAAAGAAGCGGAGTTTGAGCACACTCAGAGCGATTGATGGTCCCTCACAGACTCATGTACATTAACTATGCGATGTAAAGTTTTAAAGCATCGAGTCAAGGAGACCCGTGGTTTGTTTTATTTGCTCTATGCCTCTGTTGAAGATCGTAACATATGGGGGTTCGAGAAAGAAGACGATCGTCCTCTCACTAGCTATTATACTTGAAAGGTAATACATACAATAATTGAATAAGAAAAAGGAAACTTTATATTAAACGGGTTCAAGTGGCTAGCATCTCCGTCCTAAATGGGGGACCCTACCTAGGTCGACTGTTTATATTTATTAATTAACTTGTTAGCCGCAACTTTTTCTGGGTGTACCCATTGATCATCCTCGGGGCCATATCTACGCCAGATGCTCGTAATTATATTATAGAAGTATACACATTAGTAAATTCAGTGGAAAATATTGCCTCGGATGCTTCTTAAAGTGCCTTAATAATTGCTGCCACTAATATTTTCTACTATTATAACAGCCTTCAACTTCCTTACATATCTCTCGAACAAGTCTTGTAAAAGGTAGCTTTCAAAATAGTAGTTTACGGCCCTTTTGGTGTTTTTGATTTCCTGCAAAATGTTTCCTTTAACATGGTTAGTATAACTATTAATTAATGTAATAATTAGTATTAATAGTTGTATAAATAAGAGAACTGCTAAACAACCAATCTCTGTGCTGTTTTTAGTGAGCAAATGCGGAAATCTGCCTTGCTGCCTTGGGCGTAAGGCTTAAATCACGTGAAATTGATGCCCAATCAGGCTAGGCTTCGCCACGCTGCTTCGATGACGTATTTCAACCACCAGCGAGAGTCTCGGCAGCCCACTGAAAGGAATTTTTGAAGTCCATCGTTTTCCTCGCCATCATCCTTTTACATCTCTCCCTCTTCTTCTCTATCTTCCGTTTTCCTTTCTTCCTTTCCACCATCAGCAAGGCATTATCCTTTTCGATAATCGCCCCATCCGACCGCACTTTTGAGTCCTCGATCTTGCTGTATATAGCCGGCAAGCTTCTTTAACAGAGGATTGGTATTCCGAGGGTTCTCTATCGATAAGGGCTTCCAAGGAACTTTCTCCCTCCCCACTCCCAAGTCTTTTCGGTCGACCCTCTCACCCCGCTATTCTCGATCCACCTAATTGTGTTCCTTTTTTTTTTTTTTTTTTTAAACCTCTTTTCCCCTTTCTCTCGCCTTTACGACAGGCTTTCTTCTCTGGCCGCCACCCCCCTCCTTCCCGCACATCCACGCGTACCTCGTCCCGCATATCTCTCCTCCACCAGCAAGATGGTGTCTGCTTCGAAAGCCGCTCGTTTGGCAAAGCGTGCCGCCGATGGTGACACTAAGAAGAAGGCTGGCAAGTCCAAGGCCGGTGCTGCCACCGATGGCACGGAGACCCCTGGCACTCCCGGCACTCCTGGCACTCCCACCGAGGACCAGCCCGCCACCACAGAGGCTAAGATGAAGGAAGTCGAGAAGCTTACGGCTCAGATGGATAAGCACGGTCTTTCTGATCGTGTCACCACTGGTGTGCTCTCTTCGTTGGCTTCCTCTCGCGATACCAAAATCACCTCTGCCTCGCTGGTGTTCCACGGAAAGGTTCTTATCACCGATTCCATCCTGGAACTTAACTTCGGTCGTCGTTATGGTCTGCTGGGAGAGAACGGTTGCGGAAAGTCCACCCTACTCAAGGCCATTGCTCACCGTGAATATCCGATCCCTGATCACATTGATATCTATCTCCTGAATGAAGGAGCCCCTCCTACGGACCTGGGTGCTTTGGAATGGGTTGTCACCGAGGCCGAAAACCAACTGAAATCGATGGAAGAGAAAGCTGAGCAGATTTTGGAGGAGCAAGGCCCCGAGAGTCCCATCCTCGAAGATTTGTATGATGTACGTTTTTCCTCTCATTCTTGGGTCAGCCCTCTCAACTATCGACTAACTCCACTCCCAGCGTATGGATAAAATGGATCCCTCTACTTTCCACACTCGCGCTTCTTTGATCCTCACAGGTTTGGGCTTCAACAAGGTTACGATCAACAAGAAGACGAAGGACATGTCTGGTGGCTGGCGTATGCGTGTTGCCCTTGCCAAGGCCCTGTTCGTCAAGCCATCTCTGCTTCTGCTGGACGACCCCACCGCTCACTTGGATCTTGAGGCCTGTGTGTGGTTGGAAGAATACCTGAAGAAGTGGGAACGTACTTTGGTCCTTGTTTCCCACTCCATGGACTTTTTGAATGGTGTCTGCACCAACATGATTGACATGCGGATGAAGCAGCTCCTGTACTATGGTGGTAACTATGACTCGTACCACAAGACGCGTTCCGAACAGGAGACCAATCAAATGAAGGCGTACCACAAGCAACAGGAGGAAATTGCTCACATCAAGAAGTTCATTGCCTCTGCTGGTACTTACGCCAACTTAGTCAGACAGGCGAAGTCCCGCCAGAAGATCCTCGACAAAATGGAAGCCGATGGCTTCATCCAGCCCGTTATTCCTGACAGGGTCTTCACCTTCCGCTTCGCCGATGTGGAGAAGCTTCCTCCTCCTGTCCTGTCCTTCGACGATGTCAGTTTCTCCTACTCTGGCCAGTGGTCGGACACCCTTTATGAGCATCTGGACTTTGGTGTTGATATGGATTCTCGAACTGCCCTTGTCGGACCTAATGGTGTCGGCAAGTCTACTCTGCTTCGTCTCATGACTGGCAAGCTGCACCCCATCGGTGGTCGTGTTAGCCGTCACACTCACTTGAAACTGGGCATGTACAGCCAGCATTCTGCTGAACAGCTCGACTTGACCAAGTCGAGTTTGGAATTCGTCCGCGACAAATTCCCCGAGAAGAGTCAAGATTACCAGTACTGGCGCCAGCAGCTTGGCCGCTACGGTCTCACTGGTGAAGCTCAAACCGCTCTGATGGGTACTCTGTCGGAAGGTCAGAAGAGCCGTATCGTGTTCGCTTTGCTGGCGATCGAGTCGCCGAACATGATTCTTCTTGACGAGCCTACCAACGGTCTCGATATCCCCACCATAGACAGTTTGGCTGATGCCATCAACGCCTTCAGCGGCGGTGTTGTTGTGGTGTCTCACGACTTCCGACTGCTCGACAAGATCGCCAAGGACATCATGGTCTGTGAGAACAAGACCATTCGCCGGTGGGATGGCAGCATCGGTGAATACAAGAACTATCTTCGCAAGAAGATGATTGACTCGGGTGCAGTCTAAACTGCTACTGACGAAAGGACGTATACTTCTTCTTATGATTGGAATGTTAGAGATGACAATGAGCACAAAAAGCTGTAGGGGAAAAAGTTTCTTACAGGAGAGATGAACCGTCCTGGGCGATACCAATCATGAAGGTGGTTTTCATTTTATTTTTACACATTTGGGAGACATCTGTTCTTATTCTTTGGGGTTCCTTGTTTTTTAGATGGACTGTTTCATACCTCATCCCCTACTAGACCTGAGCGTTTGAGGGCTGAATTTGATATTCCTGTTTTCGTTTCTGATACCAACATGTGTCCGCCTGTTATAGACTTGCATTTCCTTTCATGTAGGTTTTTATCTCCATAGGAGGATGGAATCGGCTTTGTGTTATCGTTTTCCGTCCTCGGGTGATCGATGTCTCGATAGGTACCTGCTTGGTAGCTACATGCTTGGTACCGTTTGGAATAATAGATGATAGAAGGGTATAATGTTTTGGGTCAAAAGCTGTTGTCTTTCCCTAGATGCTGTTATCTTTATAGCTTCCTTTAATTGGACCTTATCATTAACTCTGGTATCTAAACAAAATATTTCCACTAATATTTAAGATCCAACATACGACATCCTCTCTAATGGAGGTCTAATATCCGGATGAATGGTATAATCCTATTAGGTATATTTAGCTAAAATGGAACTAGGCTATTCCAGCTCAGATCACAACCCTGTGATTTTCACCCCATTCCTTATAACTATACAAATTCCCCAGCTGAAATAGCTTAGCCCATTGTATCTGATTTTCTTCTCCCGTGGTATGTACCGCTCCCATCCCCGACTGGCGACTATTCCTGCGGTGTTTTCTCCTTCGTTCGTTGTGCTACAAGCTCCCCTCCAAAATTATCCTTGGCTTCCTTATCTTTCTGTTCACACTCAAGTTTCCGTTTCTTGGCGAGACGTTCCATTTCACTTTCTGAAGTGCCCACTTCACCGGATGCAGGTGTTGCTACCGCGGCCGTCGGAATCCGCTTCTGACCCGCTAGGTTCACCTTTTCGGGATTCTGGCAATGGTATAGCTTCTTTCCAATCCGTCTTAGATTCTTCTTTTGATCTGGATCGGAAGCTAGCGGTTTATATGACTGAAGGAGGGCGGAGCAGTCGGCAAGGGTCCGGGTAAGTTTCGTTCGAAGGTCAGAAAGCGGGTTCCCTTGTTGTTGGGAAGTGGGGTCGACGAGAGGTCCGCCGAGTTTGGCGTCGAGGTAGAATTCACCTATGGGACGGTCTGCAATAAGAAAGGCGGAGAGCCAGATCTGTGAAGGCGTGTAGAGGAAATATGCGTCCGTCATTTGCGCAGCGGATTTGAGGAGTTCACGCGTCGTGTGGTGAGCTCGCGCGAGGCGGTCTGTGATGGATGAGGACGAGGCTGCTGTCGCAGACGGTGTGAGGGAGAGGAGTTTGCGCCGTAGATCTTCTGGTTTCTGTTCAGGGAAATGAGGTGTTGGTTGCGCTACGCCTTGCGCTATGGCTTGGAGCTCCATGATTCCGCCTTCTAATCCGCGGAACGGATGACGCACATCGAACGTGAAACGCAGACTTTGCATGACGAGGAATTCGGGAGCGATGATGTCCTCGGCAGTGGTGTCGCCGGGAACTACTTCGGCGAACTGTCGTAGAGATAAGTAATAATTCTCGGTCTTGGTGGCGAGGAAGAGGGCACAGGGCATAATTGTTTTGGGATGATAGGTCATGGGCGAGTTGGTGAGGTAGAAGCGACGAAGGTACTGTATTGCCGTAGCCTATGGTAAATAGAATCGCTCAGTAAACTTGTCCTTGAAGATATCGATGGGACGCGATAGGGATCACGTACTCTCACTATTGTCGGCAACGGTGGTTTGTAGCTCTCCCCAAGCTCCACGAGCTGTTCGCAGAAATATCTCACTAGCACTTGCTCTTCTTCGGGTGTCAAACATTCGATGTCATTCTCTTCGCCTCCCTTGCTATCTGCATCGCTTCCGTTCGCATTTGGTGTAGGTGTCCCTGCTGCAGACGAGGCAGCTGATTGTCGCGACTCCCGTGCCCTTCGCAAGGCAGCTCGAACACGATCACTTGCAAGAGAATTTGTTTTTTCTCTTAGAGATTTTAACGACGTCTCGGTAAAGGACCAGAATCGGAATTGAGACGAGGAGCGATAGATATCGTCCTCAATCATGGTGAATAACGCGGAGTCAGAACTGTAAGAGTTTTCTTTACCCTCGAGATCCTTCAGATAGTGAAATGATGGAGGGAATTATTTCCCACAAAGAGGGTCTTTCGAGCCTGTGGCTAGCTTCATCGATCCATGCCCGAGAGTCCCAGCAGAGAATGAAGTGGCGGGACGCAGATCCACGTGCTTATCGATACGTTGGAGAAGATACACAAACTGCGAAACTTCTTTATTCGCATTCTTATCCTCTGTTGCTCCATGCTAATATAAAGTGGAAATAGAAGCAGCACAAACAAAAAATAAAATAAAATAAACAAGGGAGATCCCAACATAAGCAAGAGGGAGTGGCTTCCAAGGTACAACGTCCGGGCATACTTGTAGGGAACAGTGAAGAGTAACCCAAAAGAACAAATCGAGAGGATGTACCCTCTCTCTCCTCGAGAAGCAATTAATTATCTACGGCTCACCCAGAAGCCGTGCCGTAACGTCGCCCATATAACCTTCCTCCAGCTCATAATCCTCCCCATTCATCTGATCTATGTCATAATACCGGAAAGCTGCCACAACGCGGTCCACGTCAAACCCCATACTGCAAAACCGATCAATTAAATCTTTATTATATCCATCATACCTATAAGACAAGTTAGGAGAAACATTCCAGTTAAACAAAAGACAGTAAATAATCATGAAACACATACTTAGCCAGGTCTTCTTTTTCCCGCTCTTCTTTTGACTTGAGCTCCTGCTGGCGTAGTGATTCATCTGTCGCTCCGCCACTTCCTTCTCCGCCCTGCTTCTTTGGAGCTCCGGCGTAAATATACGCCCATTCCTGGGCCTTACGTTCAAATTCCTTCGGTTTCCGAAGGAGCATAGATGCAACTTCAGCATCCTGAGGATCTTTGGGTTCTGGCGTGCTCAGCAAAGACTGGAGAGACAGAAGAGCTGACTTGATTGTGAGAACCGGCGACCATGCTGTCGATAGGGTATCAAGACAGATGGCACCCTAAAAGAGCTGTTAGACGGCTACCCCAGAGCAACCCAACGTAGATTGGGTGAGGATGATAGACACACCGTTTGGCTGCTGACATTGGGGTGCCAGACCTTGGTTTCAAACTTCATCACGGGTGGCCGGAACGGGTAATCTATTGGTATTTTGATGTCGATTTTATAAGTCCCACCTTCGTATGGCGTGCCTGGGGGCCCTGGGAATGACCCCCGAAGATGCGTAATGTCGTCTTCGTTGCCGACTGGCTCTGCTGTGATTTGAGAATGGGCATCCGCGTGGATATCGGCGATTTCCTTCGCAATTCGCCGACCACGATTGGAAGCCATGAGAAAGACTCTTATACGGCAGAGGGATTAAGAAAGAATACGGTATACTGGAGCGGGTAAAAGAAGGCCGAGGTGAGGGACCAATGCAACTACAAGTCCAGGCCGTTAGTCTTGATATCCTAAAGCTGCCACAGGCTATGGAATACAGGACGATGAATTTAAACCAATGAACGGAAGATGTGAAAGAAAAGAAAATAGAAGTAGACGCTGGAAGAAAAGAGCCTCACCTGTTTTAGAGGGGCACTTCTTGTAACGATGAGAGAAGCGATACTGCGGGGAACTGGGAGATCGTGAAATCCTGAGAGATTGTGAGAGCGAAAGGAATCGAAGAGTCAGTAGACTAGGAAGAATGGGCTAAAAGTTAGATAGCATTCTGGATCTGCGCTCGACATGCAGTGTTTGCAGCAGCAATACCCAAGGTACCGATTCCCTGCCATAGTCTGGATTAATACATACGTACTACCAGCAATTAGTCAATAGCTTGGGGCAGCAGACCCATCACTGATCGGCCCAGGCACCAAGGCACATGGATCACGTGTGGCGCGCTGGACACTGACAAAGCGCCAAGGCCGCCTTGATGGCGACAACAGCTCCCCAGCTCAGCATCACCAACACTTCTCAACCATCCTTCCCTCTTCATCCGCCCATCTCTATCTACACACTCTCCATTTCTCAGCCACGTTAGATCTAGAGTGTTTTTGATTCCACGATCAGTCGATTGCATATTTTCGTGTCTCCTCTGAGACGATGGTGAGCATCCAAGCAAACACTTTGCATCACGGCCCTGTCAGGTTCCCTTCCAGGAGTCTAACATGTCTGAAATCAGGGTAACCAGCAGTCTAATATCAGTGGAGGCCCCGGTGGTGATGGAAGGGATGATAAAGACAAGAAGGTAGTGCTCATTCCGATTGTCATTACCATTTTCCGTCCACTGACCAGCTTCCTGGAACACAGAAAGACAAGCCTAAGTACGAACCACCTCCACCACCCACCACCCGTATTGGTCGCAAGAAGCGCAAGGCTGCCGGCCCAAGCACCGCTTCCAAGCTACCCGATATCTACCCGACTTCACGATGCAAACTGCGATATCTGCGAATGCAACGGGTCCACGACCACCTTTTGCTAGAAGAAGAATACGTGGAGAATATGGAGCGTCTGCGTAAGACTAAGGCACAGGCTACACAGGATACTGTTAGCCGAGGTGATTTTGATATCATGGATCGAAATGCAGACGAGAGAGGCCGAGTCGATGACATGAGAGGCAGTCCTATGGGAGTCGGTAATTTGGAAGAATTGATCGATGATGACCATGCGATCGTCTCGAGCGCAACGGGCCCCGAGTACTACGTTTCGATTATGTCTTTTGTTGACAAGGACCTGCTGGAGCCGGGTGCTAGCATTCTCTTGCATCACAAATCCGTTTCGGTGGTCGGTGTGTTGACGGAAGAATCAGACCCTCTCGTATCAGTAATGAAACTTGATAAAGCACCCACCGAATCCTATGCGGATATCGGTGGCCTGGAGAGCCAAATTCAGGAAGTCCGAGAGTCCGTCGAGCTTCCTTTGCTGCATCCCGAACTGTATGAGGAAATGGGCATCAAGCCGCCAAAGGGTGTCATCCTGTACGGTGCACCAGGTACGGGAAAGACATTGCTTGCAAAGGCAGTTGCGAACCAAACCAGTGCCACCTTCCTTCGGATTGTCGGTAGTGAGCTGATTCAGAAGTACCTCGGTGACGGACCACGCTTGGTGCGACAGATTTTTCAAGTTGCTGCGGAACATGCTCCTTCTATCGTGTTCATTGACGAAATCGATGCCATCGGTACTAAGCGTTATGATTCTACATCGGGTGGTGAACGGGAGATTCAGCGGACCATGCTTGAGCTGCTTAACCAGCTAGATGGTTTCGATGACCGTGGTGATGTCAAGGTGATCATGGCAACAAACAAGATTGAGACTTTAGACCCTGCCTTAATTCGTCCTGGTCGTATCGACCGGAAGATTCTCTTTGAGAATCCAGACCGTAAGCAGACCCTCGAATAGTTTTGCTATGGCTTTTTTTTTTGCTAACTAGGCCCAGAAAACACCAAGAAGAAGATCTTCACCCTGCACACCTCGAAGATGTCCCTCAGTGATGACGTCGACCTTGATGAGTTTATCAACCAGAAGGATGACCTCTCCGGTGCCGATATCAGAGCCATTTGCACCGAAGCTGGGTTGATGGCGCTGAGAGAGCGCCGCATGAGGGTGCAAATGGAGGATTTCCGTTCAGCCAGAGAACGAATCATGAAGACCAAACAGGATGGAGGTCCTGTGGAGGGATTGTATTTGTAGATGGAGCAAGTGTACTTAGGGCTAGTTTAGATCGAAGGAGCCGTACCATTCTGGGTTGAAATGTACTAGGGATGTATTCTAATTGAACTGGGATCGTAATTCCCTATTATTTGGTCGGGTACTTACCATCCATCATTGCTACTGCCGTAAACGCTAAATAATTATGGCGGATTTACCATGTCGGGCAGATCTTGGCATGACGACGAGTCGGACTTGTAAAGTAAAGCAAACAGTGCAAATGATGTTAACCCTGCAAACATCATAGCTATCGCCTCCAGTCAGTTCTGCGCATGCGAAAGAACAGTTACATCAGACAGTGCCAGACACAATGGACGGTTTTGATGAGGAAGCGTTCAAGAAATTCTTCCCAACCAGTTTTGGCAGGCAAGAAAAGACAGCAAATGTTAATGCTCAGATAAACGTCACGAAGCGGGCAGAGATCTCTGCGGCGTCTGGGAAGGATTTGATATCCGCGGTTGTCGATACTGACACCAAACCCAGCGACGAAAAAAAGAAAGACGATGATAGTAATGAGAGCGACGGTGATTCAAATGATTCCGATGACGATTCCGACGAGGAGGATGAGTTTCCTGTCTCCCATGAGCTTACCCTTAAAACCCACGATCGCTCCGTGACAACACTGACCGTGGATCCATCCGGGTCGCGACTGATTACGGGGTCGACTGATTGTACGATAAAACTTCATGATTTTGCTTCCATGACTCCGTCAACCGTGCGCGCATTCAAATCTGTTGATCCTTCCGCGAAGAAGCAGTCTGCCGTGCAGGAATCGCATGCCGTGCATTATGCTGCATTCAATCCTCTGTCGCCAAGTTATGTTATGGTCGTCTCTGCTACTCCACAACCGAGAATTTTGGATCGCGATGGAGAAACAATCACGGAATTCGTGAAAGGCGATATGTACTTGAGAGATTTACATCATACTAAAGGCCATATATCAGAGGTGACTAGTGGAGATTGGTCGCCTACAGATGAGAACCTCTGTGTCACCGCCGGATCGGACAGTACTGTCCGCATCTGGGATGCCAATATAGGAAGATCTCAGAAGGAGGTAATTATGCATAAATCCAAGGTAGCGGGATCCGCTGGTCGGAGCAAGATGACCGCCGTCAGGTGGGCCTCCCCAAAACAAGGAGGACCAAATGTACTTATCGCTGCCGCGCTGGATGGAAGCATGATGATGTGGGGCGGAAATGGACCGTTTACTCGGCCCAGTGCTGAAGTCCGGGATGCTCATACCCGAGATACATGGACAAGCAGTGTGGACATCAGTTCTGATGGGAGACTTGTCATTACTAAAGGCGGAGACAACACCATCAAGCTCTGGGATACCAGGAAATTCAAGCAACCTATCACAACGGCCGCACATCCATCTAGTTCATTCCGATACCCATCGTCTAACATCATCTTCTCGCCTACGTCCGCAAACATCCTCACGGGATCTGAGACTGGCCATCTACATATCTTGAACCCAGCCACATTGAAGCCAGAGTTGGTTACACCGGTAACTCCAGGGTCTCCGTTAATCAGTGTCCTATGGCATGAGAAACTCAACCAGATTATCACTGGCTCGGCGAATGCGGAGACCCATGTGCTTTACAACCCGAACATGTCGACCAAGGGTGCCGCGTTAGTCATGTCGAAGGCTCCCAAACGTCGCCACATTGATGATGACCCAGCTCTCACCATGGACCTCAGCCAGGGCATTTCAGGTGATTCTGTCGTTGTCGGGTCGAACGGAGTACCTCATTACAGCTCGTCTACCTGGTCTGCTCGACACCCGACCATCGGACTCACGGCTTCTGGTCGCCCGAGGGATCCGCGACGGCCTCACCTACCGGCCCAGACTCCTTTTGCGAAATCGCAGCCGGATGAAAGACATATTCGGGAGAATATTCCTCTTAGCTCGATGCGCGATGAGGACCCGCGGGAAGCACTGTTGAAATATGCGGAGCAGGCGGAAAAGGATCCGGTGTTCACCAAGGCGTGGAAAGAAACGCAGCCTACGACAATCTACCGGGAGATCAGTGATGATGAGGAAATAGAGCCGGAGAAGAAGCGAGCAAAACGGTAGTACTGTAATCTTCTACATGATGGTCAATTTTTTCTTTTTCTCTGAACTCAAATTCTCAATTGTACATATACCTACCTGATTTATGAGGCGAGAATAGTTGGACGTTCAAAAAATAGATACGTGTGGATGACCGGAGACATTAGTCCGATCTCAAAGAACCCCCTCACCGAAGGTCAATGCTGCATCAGCTGAATACTTTAACTCACGATGCAGCGCGATGCTTGATGACGTTGCCAGGCGGGGTGGAGCGGATTAATCAATAGTCGCGACCAGCAGGCCAATAAGGCGTCGGCTATGGCTTCACCTCAATAATAGTCGATCTCTTGATCGTTTTCTGCTCTGGCTTGGATCTCGCACCAATGCTCTCTCTATCGAAGATGCTGCGCTTGGGCTTCTTCTTACCACCACCCACCCTACACGTACACCCGTTCGTATTTTAGTCTGTCCTCCGGCTGCTACTCGTCGACTTTATCTCGGTTGCCTTCCTAGGCTCTTTCCTCGACGCCATCATTAACCTCCCTGCTGAATCCCAAAGCCAGCTTTCCCTGTTTCGTTTCTGTGGAGGCGCGAGAACGAGTACGACTCAGAGGTTCTCCTTTTCCCCTGGGATCCAGATTGCCGAAGCTCACGACCACCGCTAGTGATTCAGTATGCGACTCCACCTAACAGCATGAGCAATTCCTCTCGGTCGGCGCTGCGAATACTATTACAAAGACCGTGGTCACAACAGAAGAGAATATTCCACTCGTATATTTGAGCTGGAAAACTGAGGCGACGTAATATTTAACGGTTGTTGACCTCTTCGGAGCTGCGGAGTCGTCGGAACTCCATTTCCCCTTCACCTCGCCTTACCTACCTTTTCTCCCCTAATAAGCGTGTCGCCCCCTGTCCAAATTCCGCATGGACTACTTCCGAGAGGATCCTCTAGCAGCGGGCCTGCTCACAGCTTTCGTCGCGTCTGTTACCCCAACACCGACTTCGTCACACTTTCTCGCGTCGCTTTCATCTCAGCCTCATCCGACGTGGACCCCCGACCCCGTATTTGACGACGGCGGCGATGGCAAGGGGAGTCTACATGAATGGTCTTCTCTGATCGGTATTGCAACCGCGTTAGCTGGAAACGTACTGATCTCCCTCGCACTCAATATTCAACGCTATGCACACATCAGGATCGATAGGGAATTGGAACGTAACAAACAACAGAAGGAGTTGGGCTGGAAGCGCGCCAATTCAGGTCGCGGTACTTCGGGCTTATATGGCACCGTATCGGAGCATGATGGAGTTGACCGTGGACGAGGGAGGAACAGGGTAAATCGAATCGATCGCTATCGCGACGAATCGCCGAATCCCAACTCCATGTACCATGATCAACCTCATATTGATGTTGGAACGGATGATGAGGTGGAGGACAATGCACGGGACTCCCATGATCAAATGCGCGAGTCCTTTTCGTCGGACATGACCATGCGGCCTGGAGATAAAGACCTGCGCCGTAAATCCTACCTTCGTTCGCCATACTGGTGGGTTGGGATTATACTCATGTGTTTGGGAGAGATCGGTAATTTCATGGCTTATGGATTTGCTCCGGCATCGATTGTCTCCCCTCTAGGTGTTGTCGCGTTGATTTCTAACTGTGTCATCGCCCCGTGTATGCTCAAGGAAAAGTTTCGGAAGCGCGACCTCTGGGGAGTCCTAGTTTCAATTGCCGGAGCTGTGGTGGTCGTTCTCAGTGCCAAATCGTCCGAAGAAAAGATTGGACCTCATGACATTTGGGTGATGATCACACGCTGGGAGTTTGTGCTGTACCTAGGCATTTCCACTGCCTTGATTGTTGCTCTCATGTCGGCGAGCAGCAAGTATGGGCCGCGAACTATCCTGATCGATGTTGGGTTAGTTGCCCTCTTTGGTATGTTATATCAGTTAAACCAATCCATGGCCCTCATTTGAGCAACTACTCATTTTCATCATCTAGGCGGATATACTGCACTGTCAACAAAAGGGGTTTCTTCACTTTTATCATTCACCTTGTGGCACGTCATCACTTTTCCAGTCACTTATCTCTTGGTGTTTGTCCTCGGTTTTAGCGCTCTCATGCAGATTCGCTACATTAATAGAGCTCTGCAACGGTTCGATTCCACCCAGGTGATTCCCACGCAGTTTGTGCTCTTCACCCTTTCCGTCATCATCGGCAGTGCGGTTCTATATCGGGATTTCGAATCATTTACAGCCGAACGAGCCAGAAAGTTCGTCGGCGGCTGTCTCTTAACTTTCCTGGGCGTGTACTTCATCACCAGTGGTCGAGTCCGTGCCGACGACGAATCCTCTTTCTCGACCGATGATGAAGAGGAAGCTATCGGCCTACTGGGAGGAGAGCGGTATCGAGACCGAGTCGACATGTCGCCACCTGCACGGCAGATGAGAATACACGATGCTGGCCAAAAGATTCCAGAAGGCCATGATGATGAACTTCGATCTCCGGCGGGTTCGCTTCTCAGTCATGGAATGGACGATATTGATGAAAGTCAGTCACCTGTTGGTTCACTAACTGCAGAATCCGCCAAACCGTTACTCGGACCCTCTCCGTTCCATCCAGACTCGCTCTTGACAAACCCCTGGGCGGACTTTCAGGAGTCAACAATCGAAACACCCAGATCCGAACCCCAGATGCCCTGTCCAGCTACTCCTCTGGAGCCGTCAGACTCCACTGTTCTTCTCCGCTTCCCTTCTGTCCCAGGCGCCGAAGACCACCGTTCTAAAGTCGACGCTTCATCCGGGCCGGAACAGCCCAGCTCTCGAAATAACCTCGCTCCACAGACTCCCCCATCGCGCCGAGTGCGCAACTCCATATCATCTCGCTTTTCTCCCGGGCCTCTCCTTCCCACCCTATCGGCAGGTTTCAGTGCAGTAGTTGCGGAGTCCCTTCGCCGCGACGAGACCAGTCCGGCGAAGGAGCGCAGACCACGACGACGAGACCGAAGCAAACAATTGAGCACAACAGTATTGGATGCATTTCTCCGGCACAGGGATACTAACCCTAGTGCTCCCAGCGACGACACTACCGGTAACCCTGGTGCTTCTGCCGATGCTCACGATCCTCGATTTGCCCTGGCAACTGCCCGACTCTATTCAACAGGCGACCTTGCTACTGTCCCCGGCACAGCGGGCCAATCGACTCCCGTTCTCGATGCTGGAAGTGTCAGACGGACCCATCATCTAGATGATACTACATCGGTCTCACGACTCCGAAGTCTAAGCGACTCATGGAGCGGGGGCTTATCATGGCTAGGTCAAGCCCTCCGTCAATCGGACGATACCAGATCAACGACGACATCTTCTGCTATTGAACCAGTCAGCCAGGGACAGGAAAATACCAGCGACTTCCACAGAAAGGACAAACAGGGACATGCAAGTACAGATTAGAGATGGAATATTCAGTCCCCCACCTCTTCCTTTTTTTCCCTTTTTCAATGTGACCGGCTCACTCCAGTTACTGGTACATATTATTACCATTCTTACAGTTCGGAGTATAGGCCGCCACCATTTCTTCTTTGAGCTTTTGCTATCTATCTGTACTAGTATATAATCTAGGTATATATGTTTATAGGTAATTATGCAGAATTATATGTCTGTAGATGCTTGGGCTAAGTTCTAGATAAGAAGATGTGGAGAGATTCTTCTGTACCAAAATAATATTTTATTCTCAAGAGAACAGGCCCAAAGTTACCTATATACACATAGGTAATTTCTGCATCCCTAAAGTATACCTATTCTATCTTTTGAGGACAGTTAAAATTAACAAGAGAAAGGAAATCAATGGTTACATTAAAGCTGTTAAGACATGCAGTTGGCACTCATGTACATGATGTTTATTTACTCTCCAAAGAGCAAATCAGAACAGACCATGAACATTTTATAAAATTCACAAAAGAAAACAACAAAGGAGACTGCTTAGCAGTAAGTAATGAACCAATCACTGATTGGCTTTGACGGGATTTAGATAACATCAATATAATCCCAAATGCCAACATGAGAGAGTCTTTACATATGAGATAAGGAACAAGTGAATAGTGACTCATGGTCATATTTTTTAATGAACCCTTCGGGAATAGAGCTTCCCATTTTGCTTCTTTTTCTTCTTCTCTTCTTTACTTTTTCTTTTCTTTTCTGGAGCAATAATCAACACTTATTATAGTTCGGTATGCTCCATCTCTTGTTTTGCTGCTGATTGCGATTTGCGTCTGGTCAATATTCTTTCCAATGTATCGAGTCTCTCGCGGGTTGTACGTATAGCATAGTCCATTTCTCGATCCGACATTTTGTTTTCACTCAGCTTATCGATAAACTGCCGATCACCCGGGAGCCACCGAGATTGTTCGCGCATTTGCGACTCAACCGGTTTGTTGACCGTGGGAAAGGACATGCCGTCCATGCCTACTCGGTCCTCCAACCAGCTCCAAAGTTCACTTTCTTCCCTTCGCCACATCTCCTCGTAAGCGGCCAGGCGTTGTGGTAATGTATAGCCGGGACAACCAATATCATGTGACATCACAGGTGGCCGTGACGGACTTCGGAAGAAGAGCATAAGGAGCAAAGTAGCAATAATCAAAAAGGCAATATTTCCGCTCCATAATGGTTTGAGTATGTCAGATATGGGGCCGAACAACTGATGAAGGGGCTCCAAGAACCCCCAAGACTGCGCTTCTCGGGCCTTTGCATCGTTGGCTGCTCTGACAGCCGCTGCAGCCGCTTCTTCAGCGGCCATGTCTGTCTTCGTACGTCGTCCCTTACCCTTGCCACCCGGCCGAGCCGTTGTGCGACGGGCAACGGCAGCCTTAAGAGCGTTGATAAGTTCGTTCCCAAAAGTGGTCTGGCCATCAATAGCACCTTTCTCGATGGGACCTAGAGTTTATTAGTACCGCCGCGTATGGAACTTAGATATGCCGCAACACTTACCCTTCAACCAGCTCTTTCCCGACCACTCAATAGAGCAAGTCATAAGAAACCGCGTTTGATTGTTCGCAGCCCACGTAAATAGGTATTTTGTCTTGGTGCAAAATAGGTTACCACTAGGGACATCAGGAGTCTGAGTGCTTAGTGTCACAAGAACCGCCTTATCCAGCTCGAAGAAATCCAAGCTCTCCGTGCTGATGCACTTGGTTTGTTTAGGCCCGATTGACCCAGGGAGGGGTTTAATATATGAATAGCTTCTGGTTTTACTTTCATTGGTGAGGCCCCCTTTTTCAGTTTCGAACTGAAGGTCTCCAGACTTCTGATTATCAACAAGGAATTTGGGTATGAAGGTGACTGACGCTGGCCCGAAGACATAGGAGTAGACTTTCCCTAGGGGAGCGGGGATAACCTCATCTTTAATCACCTTATCGTACTGACCCGAAGGGTCAGTATACTCCGTGGGCGGATGAGTAGCAGAACCTGGAAAGTCTGCGTCTCCATCTCCACCTGACAAAGACTTTCCACCCTTGGATTCACCATTAGAAGTCACCGCTGTGGACACCGCACCGTTGGCGTTGAGGAGGCCGGAAGCCTGTCGGCTTGGACTCTTCATGGGTATAGATCTCTCACTCCCATTCACGCTGCCTTCCCCGGGTTCGAAGAAGCTATCCGCAAGATCGCCCTCTTCGTCCTCATCATAGATCTCGTCTTCATCATCGCTTTCAGCATCGCTCTCGCCAGCCTTCTCTGTTTTGTCTCCAGTACCCTCAGTGACTCTAGTACCATTAACGGAACTCTTCAGGGTGGGGTGGTTAATCTTCCAGATATTAACCATCAGGTCATAGGTAGATTCTCGGCTGAGCAGGCTTCGGAAGGTGTGTCGCGCATGCAAAGTCTGGATGGCAATCGCATTCGGGAATACCATTGCAGTCGACTCTTTCTCGATTGCAACGATCTCATCAAAGCTGATTACCAGGGTCGTAACCCACCCTAGAATGTTACTAGAAAAGCAAATATGTCCTTCCGAAATATAGATTCGTCCTGCGAGAATAATTTCGCGCTGCAACGCGCAACTATAGTCTTCGATTAGGTAATCATCCTCGGGGACGCTCCGGAAGAGCTGGTGGAAATCCCTGTTACGCTTTTTGCTCGCAACAGCAAACCCAGTAAGTCGTGGCATACTAGAATTGGCACCGACAGCACCGAGGGCTAGTGAGCTAGCCCCAATCGCACCAACCGTCGATGTTGTTGCCCCTGACGAGCCTCGGTGACGCCGTCGAGCCAACCGACTTCGAACGCTCCCACTTCGGTATGGTCGGGTGTTTGTTTCTCCCTCGAGTATACTGCCGCTCGGAGGGGTGTGGTCACCAGGGTCGCGCGAGAGTGACGCGCTTGACTGTAGCTCTAAACTGTCATCGGAAGGGGGTACAATTGATATATCCGACGGCTTCTCATACGCCATGGTTACAGCACGCAAAGCACGCCTGTGTTCCAATCTTGCAGCCTGATCATCGCGCTCGTAGACCGTGTTACTTCTGTGCTTCTCCGGGGGCATGTCGGGCTTGGTGATGACAACCCCGTCAGGGGTTGAGACAGATCCACCAGGGGGGATAGCGATATCCAAATGGCTAAAGTCCAGGTCTCCAGAACCTAACGTATCAATGGCCGAGGGTTTGCTATCGTCCGACTTGTTGCTGCCGTCTGAGTCCTTGATGTTATCTCCGTCCTTGCGGAGTGAAGTTTGGGATTCCGTAGGTTCAGGCTGTGGAAGGCTGCGGGGCTTCGATTGTGAATTGAGGCTGTTACTGAGACTCGACGCTGCATTCTGTGCTGCAGAGAAGACGGAAGAAAAGAAGCCGCCTTGCTGAGCGGTGGACTGATCTCTCGAGGCGGCTTTTGTTTCTTCAATGGTTGGACCCAGAGCAGATATAGAATTCGACAGTTTACTGGGCTTGTGGCTAGCTGACGAGGCGGACCGCACACGTCGATGAGATATCATATTTCCCGAGGGACTTACAACAATCTCTGACTGCATTGAGTCCTTTGACTTCAAAGAATCCGGAGAAGTAAAGAAAATCGGCTGTTCAACATGAGGAGAGGGGGGTGTGACGGTGGTTTGCGGAGCAGCGAGAGCAGTGTGAGGAGGTGTTTTTGGGTCGGCGGCATCTGAGCGCTCAGAAGATTTCTCTACCTGAAGATCAGTACGAATTGGAGGTGGTAGAGGCGGAGGAGGTTCGGTGATGGCCGAGGGATCTTTCTTGGAAGATACACTGCTTTTTCTACCTCGACTACTAAAGGGGATCGTGCCCTTCTTGCTCTCTCCTGACGTTGTGGAAGATGCCCGGTCTCGGTTTGGATCTTTCTTCTTATCCTGATTTGAGCTAAAGGCATTTCTAAATCGTCTTCCCGGGGAAATACCGCGTTTCTTTCCATTGTGATCTGTTGGGACATTCAATGTTGATGTAGGTTGAGGATTCGGAATGGAAAATTCCGTATCGGGGTTAGACTCTGAAATAGAGTGTGTGGCACTTGGTCCACTGCGAGCAGACTCGACATCAGCCTGAACACCATCCGTATCGTTTGCAGTATCCACCGAGGTTGTGTGTATTAGGGGCGAGGAGTTTGTATAGAAACCGCTATGCGAGTTGTGACTTAAGAGAGGGGGCGGGGTTCTTGAGAATCGGAGTCGGATGTCAGAAACCGTTTAAAAAAGACCCAGTCCGTAGGCTTGCATAAGAATTCCACTTACCGATCAGGTTCAGAATCATTAGTCAAAAGATGAACTACTTCTGCCTTAGGGGGATCTCGATTGTCGTTGACAGATGAAGCTCCGTCTCGCGACGCGGTTAGGCGATTCTCCTGGGTATCACCGTCTTTCGCTATCTCAAATTGCGTCGGTAGCTCATCCATTTGTTTTTGTTCGTCTTTCTTTTTCTTTTTCCTCCGGGAAGCGAGTAGCTTTGAGAATCCGCTGGAACCTGCCTTAGCGGAATCAGATGTCTCTCCAGCTTGCGATTTGGGCCTGTCGGAAGAAGAATCGATCGACGAGCGCCCATTGCTACGACCGGAGCTACCAATTGTTTCCGAATCAATAGGGCTCGTCTTGGACCGGCTGAATTTGTTTGGGCCTTGCTTCTCGGGTTGGGGGGCCGTCGGGGGGTCGAGGATTGGTGGGTTATCCATATGGAGGAAGGTAGGATGATGCAGATGAAGATAGGAGGTCAGAATCGCACAGGAAAACGAAGCAAATGTAACTATTCAAACTCAATCGAATCGCCAAAACGAAGAGGCTACAGCTATAGCTGCGGTCATGGTAGCATCTAGCCTTGTTTCTCTCTGAGAACCGAACACGGACACAGGGAGGTTGCAGCGTGTCACAAAGTCACCGAGAATATAGTTTTGCTTTTCTTCCTCGGGACGAACCACGACGAATGCGAAGAGGAAGAGGGAGGAGGGGGGAAAGAGGATAATAGGGGGAGGGTAAGATAAGATGAAGCTGAGCTGTCGTTCGGTCTGGTTCTCCGCAGACAGCTGCTACGGTGGTATTGTTCTGTACCGCGGTTGGATATCTGTCGGTATGGTATGTATGTATTATGTACGCACCTTCCCAGAACTGGCACACAGACACAATCGAAATAATTCTGATGTTCAGTGTCTCCATAGAAAGGTGTTATCTGGACTGTAAACCAGCCACTAGCAATGCTTCGAGCAGAGAACTGAGACTAGAAACAAAGAGCTTGGACAACAGACAGCTAGATGCTGATTGAGCACAAGTGCCGATAGACTAGATAGCCTTCATGTGTTTCTGTCGAATTGGGGATTTTCTAAACAGTCAGTTCAAGTGACGTATTTCCAATACCATACATACTATACCTCTAGAAGCATGGGCAATATTTCCGTCACATCGAAACAGCCCGTGATCGTCTCAATTCGGCGAATGTCGTCACTTTCGGTCTTCAACGGAGCAGGTTCTAATCTCCAAGTCTGCATTCCATCCACCCCCGTTAGTCACTCCACGAGGCGAATTGTTGTTGCTGCAATATTTTTCTAGAAGAGAGGGCCACACTTACCTTCAGCCATGGAAACAGCTCCTCTGACGCTGGTACGTTATTGTCCACAGCCTCGCACACCTAGATCTTATATGCCACATTCAATACACAGGCTGACATACCTCCTCCACCAAGGCCCATACCCATGCCCGGAATGCAGTTCTTGAAACTCGCAAGTCGAACCCCGTGGCAGCCAGCGAGGAACATGACCTGGCAGCCGGCGAATTTGCAACTGCTGCCCAAAATAGTTCTAATCGTGAAGTACATCCGCTCATATCGCTTATTACCTACATAAGCGGTGAATTTTGATTAACAAAATACATGTTCTTAATGCATATAGGCCCTACGAACCCTCCATCTACTCGAACAGCATCACAAGAAACTTGCTCAGATCCTTCGTTTCCAACATGAAAATCCTCCTTCAGCAGGAGTGACTACCCCTCTCTCAACCCCGGAATCCGGTAGACCGAAAGTGTCCCTTGCCGCTCCAGATGCTCAACAACAACCCCCGAAGCTCGCAGGGAATACTCGGTTGCCTACGAGAGAAACTTCGTCTATCGCAAGCAACCTGGCGTCGGCGCGAGGGATACCGTCGCAGCCACGCCGCGCTTCCCCTGTGTCACCAACACTTTCCTCTCAACAGGCAGGGGCCAAGATGACAGATGGTCCCGCAAGAATCAAAACGAGTGACGCTCGATTACGGGGAGCACAGCCATCCAGTTCGAGAGACCGTTCGTATCGTACATCTACGTCCAAGCAACCCTGGGTTCCCCCGACACCCAGCCCAACCGATGTCACGTCCCAGCAATTCGTGCCCACTGATCCTGGTGAAGCCTCCCACCGTATGAATCGAACCCCAGATACAGAAGAACCTTTCCAACGGTTTTATTCGACGTTTGGGGGCCTTATTTCTAAGCTGTCGGCTCCATTGGCATTCGCGGGCCTTCCATTAGGTTCAGATATGTCTGCACAGGCAGAGCAAAGCCGTAAATCAACTGCAGAGACGAAACTAAATCGACACCATGCTACCTCTGAGCGCATAAATCAATCTGCAGAGCCGGACGTCAGCAAGTTATTCTCGCGGGCAGCATTACAAGCCATTCGAGACACACCTGGCGGGGGCGGGGGTGGAGTAGGAGGAGTTGGTAATACCGCCGAGTCGTTCTATGTTGTACCCACAACAGGAGGCACTATCTCATATGCTGGGATCTTAACCAGGGCAGAGAAAGAAGCTCGACGGAACAGTCTTGAGGAAGGCGACGAGGACTTTGTAGATGCTCGGGAAACACCATCATCACCGGAATTGCGCCAAAATTTCGTGGGAAGTAAAGGCAAGACGGGCAGAGGCAACGACAAACTTAGCAATTTACAGGGGCCAAAGAGCATGGAAGAGCTTCAAATGGAAAACCAAGCCCTGAGGCATTTGTCCGATACACTGTCCAAACGATTGCATATGTGGGAAGTGAACGCTCAATCATCATCCATGGCCTTGCAACAATCCTTAAAAGCAATTCACCATCAAAATATCCCATCCCCAGAACAGCAACCTCAGGCTTCTTCTACAGTTGCCTCGCCAATCGCGCCTCTCTCAGCACCGTCGACATCTGACCAGGACTTACGCATCAAGGAGCTTGAGGACCTGGTCCGTCGAAGCGAGAAGGACCTTGAAAAGGCCGGCCGCGAAAACGAGAAGCTAAGAAGTGTCCTCGGACGCTACCGAGAGCGATGGGAGAAACTCAAAGAAGGAGCCAAAACCAGGCGAGCCGAGGGTAGATCCAGCACTGACAATACGGCCGTGAATACTGCAACCCTTTCTTCAGCTACTGATGTCCGCGGGAATGAGCGCAGACCGTCCGGCGAAACCGAAAATGAAGCGAATTTGAACGACGAACCTGATGTTAAGGCTGACGTGTCTGCCACGTAGATTGACAGACCGTATAGCTAACTTTGTGTCCAATTTGTATGGCCGGAGCGGTTTTTCAATAAGAAGCTGTCAAAATGGAGGTTGGGTAGGAGATGAACGGAACTATATATGGTGAAAAGCCCCAAAAAGCTTAATTCTTAATAGCCAGTTAGAAACATTAATGAGTTTTCTTTTTCGGTGACATGACTATTCTCGCCCTCTTGTACGAATAACTTTTACCTTGGATATCCAAAATGTGCACTTGATTCAGGAATGCTTTACAGCAGTGCAGAGCTACGCAAACCACAGAAGATGCAGACAAAAAAATATCTTATATTGACAGAGCCTATATACTCGACATTCACACCCTCCAAAACCCCCGTTCCATGTCGTCTACCACAAAGCAAAGTCACTGCACAGAAAAGGTTGCATTGCCTCGAATATCCAGGAAGCTACAAGACATTAAAAGCGCCGGTTCCACCACATACTTCATGGCTGTATTCTACAACCCCAAGTCCTCGGCTTTGATGGGGATTTCCACAATATTGGCCGTGCCACCAGGATAACCACGTTTTCAAGCCCCTTCAGAAGTTGATTCGGCACAACCACCGACGCAACCTCAACGACAATATACACCTAGGCTACCTCGGTGCTCTCTTGATGCGGTGACATGAGTGATTTCCACACTGACCGTGGCGGTGTCCGGCGCTGTGACCTTCGTCTTGTATACGCTGACAAGCCCGTACTTGAACTTCGGGTAACTCTTCCCGTACCCGAACGGGTACCATGGTATGGGACTCCCAAGGACATACTGGTGGCCAAATACAAGTGTCGGTTGTCGTACTTGGTGCCGGAGTCATGGCTCGAATCCAAGTAGTCATAGTAGATGGGCAGGTCACCGACGTACCGAGGGAAGCTGACGAAGAGTTTTCCGGAGGGATGGTAATCACCAGAGCGGACGTCAGCGAGGGCGTGTCCGCCTTGTTCGGAAGGATAGAATTGTTGGATGAGGGTGGAGCTCGTCTCTGAGAGCCATACGTCTGTAATGGGCTTGCCCATGGAGAGGACAAACATGGTTGGGATCCCTGTTTCTGCGATGACTTCCACAAGGGACCTTGGGCTCCAATGATTGAGTTGTCATTCACGTCATTCGCCAGTGTTAGTGAATTTGTTAGTTCGGACGGAGAGTATATCAATAAAATTCCACTGCACAAAATTGGGTACCGACCTTAGATAAGATAATACATCTGATTTTCTGACATATTCTTTATGTGGATAGGGGGAAGTAATGGGGCTCGTACGTTGCAAGACCTTCCCAGAGCTCTTTCTGATCTCGAGACCAGGTTCCCACGAGCACAACGGCTACATCGGAATTTTCTGCAGCAGAAATGGCTTCCTCTTCGAAGCCGTCGTTGCTCCATCATTCACAGCTTTTTGCATAGTGGACTTTAGCTTTATCGCCCACGACTGCCTTGATACCGTCCAAAGGTATGACGCCACGGTGTTGGCTTTCATAAACGGAGTAGTCACCGTGAGAAGAGTCATGTATCTCGATAGGATTTTGGTAGGGAGAGCTCACGTTCATAAATCCATGCGCCATCAGTCCGATGACGTCGATGCTGGTGTCCTTATTTAACGGTAGAATGCCGTAATGATTCTCTAGTAGTACAATAGACTCCCTGTCTAGCTCTCTGGCGAGGTCTACCACCTCTTTGGTATGGACAAGCTTATGCCATTCAGACTGAGGAGCAGCGGTACACGGATTCTTGGAAAGTGCCATCTCGAATTTTTCCTTCAGCACTCTCTTGACTGCGGTGTCAACAGCCCTGATATTAAGTTTCCCCGAATCGACTAGTTCGGGGATCTTTTGGAAGTTACTATAATCATATTATATCTTGCCATTTAGATTGGTTGCCACCAGGCAACACTCACAATGAACCTCCACCCAAATTCGACGTCACTACCAGCGGGGAGTGCCTGGAGTGTGACGACGTCCATATCAATTAGAATGCATCGCATAATCTGTCAGTCGCGCCTGCATCACTGATCACAAAATAATCGTAACTCAATTCATCCCTCAAGATTTTTGTAAGAGTGTGATAATCGGACACCCCAAGAATTCCGTCGTATCTTGAATCAGACATAGATAAGCAAACCCCCGAGTATCTTACCAATGGTATGCGCTCAAAATACTCCAAGCACCGGCATCATTGATTGCTCGTTTGAAAGGGGGCACTCGCTGTGATGCTTAGTATCAAATGGGATTGTCCATTAGGGAATTGCCACATACATTCTATGCAAGTATCTCTCTCCTCCATGAACCGGCGCAGTATTTAATCCTTGCTCAGGGTGACTGAATCCCGCAAAGTGTTTAACGGTTGTTGACAAGTTAAGACTTTGCATTCCTTCCGTATTGCTGTAGTCAATTTCTCTCGCAAGATATGGATCTTCCGAAAATTTCTCTTGAACCTAGAACGATTGATCAAATTACCTACGCTCAGTAGGGGGATTGTTGGTGTATTCTTACCCTGACAGACCGCGACTCACGGGTTAAATCGACAACTGGTGCAAAAGGTTAGTTCACACAAAGAGCGAGAGCCTCTTGGCTGATCAGTATGGCCATCTTATAAATCAACTTAAAAGAATACGTTACTTACTTCCACCGCGTACGGTTTCGAAAGATATGAAATGGGAAGCCCAAGCAAGAGGTCACCTCTCCGTTAAACTGACATCCCGTATCCAATTGTGGAGTTGTACATCGTTGCGTTATCAATCTAAAAACCGTGGATTGCTAATGCTCGGATACGATTGTAAGTACGAATACAGCAGTAGAAGTAGTGAATCACGCACATTCTGTTTGAAATAGAGCGGGGATGCCGAGAATCGTGTTTTCAAGCAGGTAGTCTTTTGCTCTCTTGATGTTGGTTACGATCCAGTCCCAGGGGGCAGGGTATCCAAGTGCCCGAATTGTCAATGGCATGTTCTAGATCAGATTTAGTGTAAGCTCCATACCGTAGAACATTCTAACTTTCAATTTCATATTTTCTACCAAACCAGCGTAGTTGAACACCCCAGAAGTATCATTCATCCAGTTCGTGATATCTCCTGTCGAAAAAGTGAAGAGTGCAGAATAAGCGCAGAAACAGCCCAAAACCAGCGAGTAAAGTCTTGATTGAATTTATACATACCTTGAAGCAACTGAGCTATTTTGTCCTCAATTGTCATCCAATCCAACAAATCGGCACCCCGTTTATCCACCGAAGCACGGACATCCGTGTAAGTGGGCTTGAGGCATTCTGGCGGGATGTTAGGCTAGAGCAGTGACCGAGCAGCAACAGGCCCCCTGACAAGAAGCGAGTAACCATTTCTGTCAAGCAATTGAAATCCACCGTAGGGTGTTCAGTCAGCGAGCCATGTAGAGACGAAAAGAACATATTTTGAGGACAAATGAAATGCCGCATAGGTATATACTGTGTGATAACCCCACGCCCAATTACCGGGTATTGTGAAGCAAAGGGATATCTGCACAGCTAAATAGGAAACGAGAGGGGATAAATTGACCGCTGGGTAAGAGGGCTCAGTGAAAGGTGCCAAAAGTCGCTGCAAGATCCTACATTTTTCCACCTATCATAGGCAATGGAGCCAAGGCTAAATACATATTCACAAGACTGCATTCAACGTATATCAGCCAATAGTATGAGACTTCTTGGTTCATGGAGAGGTCGTAGGGATTCGTACACGGTCTTGCCTATAGCTCCGTTGCACCATCCTTGGGCTGGCCGGCCATAAGTACGATCTACGAACAAGCAATACTGGATTGGATCTCAGGCGATGGGTTAGTAGACCAGGGAAAATAAAGAAAAACACGAGTTTCCAGATTAAGGTCATAATATTCTGTGTATTCAAAGCACCGAAGAAAATCTGTTAAAGTCCTGGCCTGACAAAAGCTTTCAAGAAGAAATTGAAACATTTAACCATCCTGTTAACAAAGCCAGGAGTCCTATGACACTGTCACCATCTCATCCCGCCCAAGTCCCTAATTACCATAGTCCAGCCAAGTAATCTTGCGTAGCATTACTAGGCTTTGCCTATCTCAGTAATCGGCCAGCCCTAGATCCAGCAACACTCCACCACCAGGACGGAGACGCCGGCGTCGTTCTTCCATATACTTTTGATGCTGAAGGGCTGCGATCTCTTCCTCAGTTAGAATAGGCCTGTAGTCTCCAAGCTCGTCCTTATACACCTGGCGCCTAACCACTGGCTCGCGAGGGGTCCAGGGCTCACGAGGCCGTGGTTTAAGCTGAGCAAGTTTTGTGCGTGTTTCCCTATCTGCAAGGGTGATCTCCTTAGCTTTCTCTGGAGTCGCTCTAGTTTCTAAGCTCATATCACGAGGGGATGAGGAGGCAGAAGATGAGGCGTTTCTTGGGTTGTGCGAGGATTCATGAATCTGGCTGGAAGTTGGTGGGGTTTGGGGATCTTTCGCAGTAGTCGTGCACGAACTGTTGGCTGGGGTGTCCCTTGAGGAATCCGACACCGGTAAAGTCACCCGTCGAGCTTTCTGTCCTATAATAGTGTCCAGGCAAGGGCTGGATGACCTCGATTCGACGCATTTCTCGAAGAGATCGTCTTCTGAACTGACAGCCGAACTGGTGGTAGAACTGGTCGAGGTGGGAGTTGAACCTTTCGCCGTCATTTTGGCCTTTTCAAGTATTTTGTTGTAATGGTCAGCCCAGATTTTGATCCTATTCTGGCCGTAATTGGCAATGGTAAGCTCAGGGTTTTCGTGCCATTTAAAACTGGGATCTGAGAGGACGACAGCAGTGACAGCCTGAGAGACCTCGCTACCGCTACAGTGATGAGCTGCGGCGAAAAGCTCGAAGGGGAATACCTGAACCACTGTATTGGCGAGATCAGTGAAGAACTTGACAGTGTAAGGGGATTTGGCGGTGACCAGTCTGGCCTTTTCTCTGACCACGTCCTGCTTGTTAGCAGTAGGAGGGCCCTTAGTGGTGATATTACGAGGTTTCTTTGCTGCGATACCCTTGGATGTCTTGGGTGTTTTGGATTTCTAGTTGTCCTTGGTCTGTCTGGTCCTCTTCCGGGGAGCATTTGCCTGGGGTGTAGGAGATGCTGCTCTCTTTCCCGCCATTTCAGTGATTCTTCTTGAAGAAATGTCGACTTACACGCAACAACTGCTATGATCTGTTTAATCACAATGCAAGAGGCCAGAAAAGGTGTCTACAACGAGTTACTGAGCTGATTTCCATGGGGTCTCACTCCTCCAAGTCATGGTACTTACCGATACAGGACCTGCCTGATCACCTGAAGTCCAGTTGAGTTAGATTCGGATGAAAATCTTGTCGATGCCCACTGGTCGACCTCCACTGTAGGAGAAAGGAAGATTAATCTGTTGTATAAAAAGGTCCAGACCTCTCTCTGTATTATAGCGAGATCGAGAGGAAGGGCTTGCTGAGCCATTGGGGATGACTGTGAGCTGGTTGAGGTGAATAACTTGAGTACCAAGTAGGGCTTGTCTCTTGTTGACCGATGGGCTGAATACTCGAAATGCATTGCATGCATTGGCGTCCCCAACTTGAGTCTGTCCAGCGGAGGTCAATACGCCTTGCAGTTGAATTATGGTGTTTCTCTCAGTGGAGAATAATCTTGGATTTTGACGCCGAGAATGGGGTTGTCTGCCGCTCCAGCTACGACACGGTTACGATACAATGGAGTCCATCAACGAGATCTTTGGGACAAAAAGGCGTATCATTCTCGAAGCGTATCTTTCTCGTGGAACATAGAAGAATAATCGATTCTTACGTTCCTCTTTCAAGTCTTTTTTTCCCTGCATCTTTCTCTTATAGTTAGTACCTACTTATCGTTCACCATAATGTTACGCAGGCCCATACAATACCCGGATGATGTCTGACCACCACCATCTCCACCGAAATAATAACAAATAATAGTAATGTTGTCGACCACAACCTGCAACGTCGTTAGAATTCAGATTGAGCAGATACCACGTCTTCCCATCCTCCGGTGGAGCCAATCCACGATATATCAAACCCTCCACATTCTTAGCGCTGCCTATCGTTTCTTGGCCTCCATCACCATCTTGGCTGGCCCGCAAAACAAAGTTGGCGGCATCCCACGGATTGGATTATTGGTCAGCTTAGTCAAATGCCCGTTTCCAGGATTGACTATTCTATGTAAGCAACATGAGAATCCTGGTCGTCATCCTTTTTCCCCACTTCGCTTTCTTTTCCCTTCCTCCCCTACGTTGTCCATCTTCCCTTTCCCTCCTTAACCCCCAGGCTGCCATCAATGGATCGTATAGAGCCAGTCAACGGCTCTCAGGATCCTGAGGGTCAGCAACCCCCGTCGACAAATATCTCGTCCTCGCCAAGACCAGTGTCTATGCAACCTAGCCGGCCGCGCACCTTATCAACCCGTTCCCGTCGGCCGACGATCCGCCTGCAACGCCTCCCATCATGCACGTTGGGTCAGACCGCCTCGCAACTTCAAAGTGAATCAGAAAATGCGGGCATACAAAACAGCGCCAACGTTAATCTGAATGCGTCAAGTCCGAAAATCGTGTCGCCAACCGCCTTGCTCGATGTGGATGGGGCATGGCAGGCGAATCGTCGTCGCAGCAGCTCCGAACCCAACCGCGGTCGATGGTCTGCCCCCAACCCAACCACCATCCCGGGATTTACAGTCGGCGGCCAAATGTTGCCACTGCTAGAGGAGCAGTCTCCAGTCGCTAGAACGGCCACGAACCTGCCCTTTCCTTCGGAAAGCCTGTCTGCCGTTCCTATACCAAGAAGCCGCAACCTCTTCCGTAGGACGAGCGAAGCTGCCCTTATTCGGCTCTCTAGGTATCGAGCGGGTGGAGTTGAACCATCCCGGGATGATGAAACGAGTGATGAATACCACCCTCATATAGTCGATGTGTTGGATGTCATCGGTATGAACTTGCCATGCCCTCATCGTTTTGACGTATGATTCTGATTATTGAGGGGCATGCTCTCTCACAGACCCCGAGGTATCGGCTTTATCTACCCTCACGAACGTCCAGAACTCTTTATTTGTCCCAAATTTGGGTCCTTTCCTGAATCGCAACCCAACCTACACGCTCTCGCCTCCCAGGGAAAGCTCGGAGGATGAAGGTACGACTACAACGGACGAAGGCGAGGAGATACCTGAAAAAGAGCCCGATGGCCGTCCAACCCGTCCACCGCTGGAGCGCCCCCTTACTAGTCTTTCCGCCGTACTTGAGAAACAGGACGCCCGGTTTGCCGTTTTACCCGAAGGAAGCAACCTCGAGGGATGGACTGAACGGGATGTAGAAGAACTGAATGATCACGTACGGCACATGCTGCACTCTCGACGGTCGAAGTTCAAACGGGCGATGAAAGGGTTTGGGAAATACGTCTCAAAACGTGAGTTCTTTGGATCTGTAATACATTGTACGCCTTCTGACAATCTGGGTGGCAGCACTGGGATTTCTGATCACACTATATGCTACCTTGATCACACTCTTTGGACTTGCTTGGGTACTCTTTCTTATTGGTATCACCGCACTTTCGATTGAGATCTGTAATGTAGGGTGCTAATCGATGCCAGGCTGGATCAACGTCGGAGGGCGACAACTGTACATTATCAACGTCATCGACAACGTTCTTGTGGCGTTATTTGCAGTTATGGGAGATGGTTTGGCTCCCTTTCGCGCAGTCGATACGTACCATATGATTTATATCGCGCATTACACCTTTTTGACGTATAAAATCCGCCGGAAACGCCGTCTACCCGATCTGAAGGACAAGAATGATCTGCCATCCCGACGCGAGATTGATGTCGATGTCGAGTTTGGCGATACCCCCAAAGATGAAGAACACGAGTTCAGTGTCTTGACTCGTCTACAACAGCAGAAACTTACCCACCACCAAAATAAATTTTCCCGGTCGCATACATTCTATAAACCTCACGAGACGCTGACCCACCATGCCTTTCCTCTTCGCATCCTGATCGCCATTGTTGTCCTGCTGGATTGTCATTCCTTACTCCAGATCGCCCTTGGCGCTTGTACATGGGGTATTAACTACAAAGTACGGCCCTTCGCTCTCACCACCGTCATTCTTTGCTTTTCGATTGCGTGCAACATCACCGGCGGCGTTCTTATCATGGTCGGTGATCGAAGGACGCGGAAGAAAGAGGTCGTCGAGCGATTATTCCGCGAGAAACTCACTCAAGAGGCGATGAAGAAAATTAACAAGAAGAAGAAGAAAGTTGCAAAGCAGGTTGCAGAGCAAAACGGCGAGCCTACTCCCACTCAATCGTCCTCCACGTCTTCGTCGCACCCTCAGCCGTACGAAGGAACCTGAAATGCTTCCAATCTTGCATGCGACTTACTACTATACATAGTCTCTCATGACCGACCACGAACATTATATTGAATATACCACCTGTCATATACCACCCGTCATAATCTGGATATGTAACATGTATGATACTGTATTTATCTCTATATTCTTTACATTTCTTTCTTTCTTTTTTTTTTTTTTTTTTTTTCTGAGCTCTGGCTTTGGCTTTGGCTTTGGCATCAGCCGTGATCTATTGCATGCTCTTGGCTCCCGCGTGTGTATGTTAGGATTATAAAGTTATAATATTAGATTCTAGATTTTCTACTATTAGGACAGATAAGTATAGAGTTTTGTTGACTGGCGTCAGTGGAAACACTAGTTTCCATTGCTAGTACGGGCGGAAGTTTATCCCGTATATATCTGGTGCGCCGATCGATCGGCAACCATGCATATTATGTGACGCGATGAGATCTTTACCAGGAATACCGTAACTAGCTATTCCAGAGTGTCTAGATATTTGTTCCCCACATATCCTTACCATATATATGACTGCCCCTCCTTCGGGGAAAGGGATTAACGATCTTATTCTCGTCCGTTCTCTGGTCCGATACGATGGCTCATGCTGGTGGATGAGGCCGCTCAACGAAGAAGGCCATGAGAAACGAAACCTAGGGTATCGAATTAAGAACAGTAAGGACCCAAGACCGGTAAGAGTCCAAAGAGTCCAATGCTAAATTGTTGATCCACTAAAACGCAAGATTCTCGTGCGCTCCACTAAACAATGGAGTCGTCGAAATGATCCCTATCTACTCATGATTTCCATTGCACGAAGGCCGTGGAGAATGGTAACGACGGAACTGTGATGAAATTGACCAAAAAAATGTTGGCAAGTGGAGAACCGCTACGGGATGGATTCGATTAACCTGAGTTGTTGAAAAGTTTGGCGGCCGTGTATGAGGCGACGATGGAAACATATGAAATACCTTGTCACGTGGTGTCTTGCGCTTTCTTTTCGTTAAGGAAGAAAGGAATACTATGTAGATGCGGTCGTACAGCACACATCCAGGTAAGTACTCCGTACTCGGGAATCAAAATATCATTCTTAATTTAGGCGGTGATGTCAGTTCCCAGCCTCAAACACGCTAGAGCGCGGGCGGGAGAAGGTGCCTGAAGGAAGCCTGATGGTGTTGGCCAGACCGCCCAAAGTACACGTCGTAATTACCGTCTGGCCAGGCATCATCAGGCCGCGAACTGCCCGCCCGGGCCTAGCGCCGCCACCGCCCTCTGCCTGCCCTTTTTCTCTCCTTCTCCTTTCTGCCTCGTCGACCTCGTCCTTCCTCTCAAGGCAAATCTCCATCCGTGTTCAACCAGATTTCCCCCCAAGTCAACTCATCGTATCTAGGGCACGAAGCTACCCTTCTCCTCTCCCCCCCTCTTCAAGTTCTTCCTTCCCATCCATTCAATAAGGAAACTTCCAAGCACAGGCAGCCTTTAGCTACCCTGAGTCCTTGACACACACATTCGGTCAAGTTCCTCGCGATTGCAACTTGCTCAGTTTAACCTCATCAAACGACCCTTTGTGTCCTCAGCCATCAAGATGTCTACTGCCGTCGACAACCACGCCGATACCCAGGCCGCTACCACTCCCGCCCCCGCGACTACTACTCCGGAGGCCACCAACGGCACTGCTCCCGCCACCGCCCAGTCTACAGATGCGGCTGCGGTCAGTGCTGATGAAGGACGTCGGCTGTACATTGGGAATCTCGCTTATGCGACCACTGAGGGGGAGCTCAAGGAGTTCTTCACGAACTACAAGATGTAAGTGCGGTGTATTTTTTTTTCCCGTGGTCCGAGTGTTTGTCCCCGATGCTCCCCGCCTCTTCTTGTTTTGCCCTTGTTAGTAGCAAGCCTTATGGAAGTCTCGGGTTTCGTCGTTTCTGACCGGAAGCTACCAAATCAAACCCATCTGGCTTCCAAGGTTTGAAGTGAGGAACGTGGATGATATCGTGCGAGTTCAAAACCAGCTGTTGATTTTCTATGCCGCCATCTTTCGTCATACTACCTACCGTTCCCAGGACTAATCGTAAATTAATATACAGTGAGAGCGTCTCCATCCCTGTGAACCCTCGTACCAACCGCCCGGTTGGCTACGCCTTTGTGGACCTTGCTACCGCGCCAGAGGCTACCGCTGCCATCCAGGAGCTTTCTGGACAGGAGATCCTCAAACGTAAGGTCTCCGTCCAGCTGGCTCGTAAGCCTGAGCCTGCCGAGGCTAAGGCAGAAGGTGCTGCCAGTGGAGGTGAGGGTGCCAGCGGTAACGAAGGCCGCAAGAGGAATGGCGGTCGTACTCGTGGACGTGGCCGCGGCCGCGGCCGTGGAGGTCGTCTTGGACGTGGAGGCCGTTCCGTAAGTTTGCTTGCTTATCGGGTATCTTTCACATGTAAATTAACTGCATTCTAAAATAGGTCCAGCCTCAGAATGGACAGGCCACTGAGCCTACCAATGTCCCCGCTCAGGCCGCTCCCCTCGCTGAGCTCACCAACCAAAACGATGCTGCTGCTGCTAATACTGAGGCTGGCAAGCAGGCTGGCAAGCCTCGTACTCCTCGCGCTCAGAAGCAGCGCGGTCCCCCCGAGGATGGCATTCCCTCCAAAACCAAGGTTATGGTTGCCAACCTGCCTTACGATCTCACCGAAGATAAGGTATGCAGTTTCGGACGCTCATCTTTGATAGGCTGGAAGTACTAAACCCCCTCCAGCTCAAGGAAATCTTTGCTGGCTACCAGCCCGTTTCTGCCAAGATCGCTTTGCGCCCCATCCCTCGTTTCATGATCAAGAAGCTACAGGCCCGCAACGAGCGCCGTAAGGGCCGTGGCTTTGGCTTTGTCACCCTTGGCTCTGAGGAGCTTCAGGACAAGGCTGTCAAGGAAATGAACGGAAAGGAGATTGAGGGTCGTGAGATCGCCGTCAAGGTCGCCATCGACAGCCCCGGCAAGGAGGACGACGCCGTTGTCGCGGATGAAAAGCCCCAGGAAGCGGCCACCGAGGCTCCGGAGCAGGAGAACACTGCCCCGGCAACTACTCCTGCTGCCGCTACCGCCTAAATGACAAGTCGTTCTATCCCAGAACGAGTTGGATCCACCAATTGCTCCGATGCAACCGTGGGGATCCTGTAGAAGTTGTGACCGTGGTATGGACGAATATCTTCATAGTCGGCGTCGTCAAGGTGTTTTTTTTTTACCTTGAGAACACAAACAAGGCCAACCCAAAAGAGAAAACCTACAAGAAAAGCTATGGATATTATCCGTGTTCGATATGGTCTTTAGGGGATATAGTGAGTCGGAAAGGAGGAGGCTATATTCATTTTATCATCTCCATTTGAGCGTCCGGGGTCAAGGCCTCCGGACGTGGGGAGACGGAAAACGTCGTAATGTGTTGTTTTTGACGGAGACCTGCTAACGAATCTTGTTCTTCTGCTATACTGTATCTTAGCAATCATTTAGCTTATGATTAGCCGCAAGGCTGGCCTTGTAGTTGTTGTTCTATTCAACTCGTCCCGGCGTATCCATCATGATGTCTCGAGCCCAGGTGTGGATGTATCATCTCTCCAGATATTCATGCGAACGTGAAGATTACAATGTGAGTCCTGTAAATGTCCTATTTGTATATGTAAGTTATGTAACTATACCCATACCCAGGCTAGACTCGACAAGTGCCGCATGATGATGCTCAATCTTCCTCTGCGAGCGCGAATTCTAGCACTTAATTTTGAACAACATAAAAAGCAAACAGGACGACAAACTCGTCGCCTCCCACTCCTTCCAATCTTGAACGGTGCGTGGATTATCCGAGCAAGGGTGGCGAGGAGCCGAGAGAGACAATGGGTAAATAAGGCCAGTAGGCAAAGAGGGGCGCCTCCGAACTTCGAAACTTCCCCTGCACTACCACGTCCCCAACACACCAGGGACGGGGCCAACCAATTGTCGTTCCCCTTTTCTCCTGACTCTTTTCATTTCGCTTCTCTTTTCATTTTATAGTTTGGTCCCGCTGGTCGATTGAACCTGTGACGCGCCATGTCGAAATTGTGGGAGGTCGATCCGGAAACGAAGGCCAAGGTATGCCGCCGATTCCCCTCCTCCCCGACAATAGAAGTCCATCCTGAGCTGACCGACACGATATGTAGCTCCTTCAGTACTCCAAAATAAACGGCAATGGTCGGTGTTGCGACTGTGGCGCACCGTCACCGCAATGGGTTCGTCTCTCTCCTCCTACTCCTGACCTACGCCGGCAACTCCAAATACTGGATCGAGGTTTCGTCTGAACCTGGAGTTGACTATTTTCCCCCGTCTGTTTCATCATTAGGCGTCGCCCAAATTCGGGACCTTCATTTGTCTCAACTGTGCGGGCACACACCGCGGACTAGGCGTGCACATCTCCTTCGTCCGCTCGATTACCATGGACGCCTTTAAGAACTCTGAGACCCAACGTATGGAGCACGGTGGCAACGAGACGTGGAAAGAATTCTTCGATACGCACCCAATCACGCAGTCCGAGGGCCGCACCTTCGAGGACTCCACCATCAAAGAGCGATACGAGGGGGAAGTCGGCGAAGAATACAAGGAAAGACTATCCGCCAAAGTCGAGGGACGAGAGTACGTTCCGGGACAGGTGAAAAACAAGAATCTGGTCGAATCACCCTCGTCACGATCCAGTACGCCGTTGACAAATACCGGACGTGGCTCACCCTCTTCCCACGAGGGACTGCAGAGAAGCAGCAGCAGGAAGGAACGCAATGAGATGTATTTCGCGAAGCTGGGATCGGAGAATGCTACACGCTCGGATTCCGTACCGCCCTCTCAGGGTGGGAAATTTACGGGATTTGGAGGTGGATTGCCGGTTGATGCGCCGACGAGGAGCTCTTCTACTGGTGGCAATGTTCCTGGGTTGGATGACTTCCAGAAAGATCCCGTGGCAGCGTTGACCAAGGGGTTTGGGTGGTTTACCACGGCAGTTGGCAGGAGTGCAAAGAGTGTCAATGATGCGTATATTCAACCTACGGCGAAAAGTGTATGTATCTTATCTTTTCAACTTTCCTGGGCCTGAAATCGCATGCTAACCTAGACCTATCGGGAGGGGATGTAGCTCGCAGAATCAGACTTCGCCGCTCAAGCTCGTATGCACGCTACTACACTCGGCCAGAATATCCAGACCGGCGCTCGTGGTGCTGCGGATCACTTCCAGAAGTTCGTCGAAGGGCCCGACGAGAATCGGCGTCGCGGACAGCAGGAACCTGAAAACAAAGACTTCTGGGACGATTTTTCTTCTCTGGCGGCTCAAGATCAACCTCAAAGAAATACATCCCGGTCCAGTGCTATTGGGACAGCGGCCATGAAACCATTGTCTACCTCTACCAGTGCTGCCCCTGCTGCTACCACTACCGCCAGTGCTTGCGGTAATAAAACAACAGCCCCCGTGGCGGGTGGAAAGAGCCAGGAAGAGGGATGGGATGATAATTGGTGATGGACCGTTGTAATTAGGGTCATGGATTCTTTGTTTGGGAGTGTCGGGAACTGGGGTTTATCATGCCTTTTTTATTTTGATCAATGAGGATGTTTATATTTACATGGATTATTCCATATCTTATCTTGTGTCTGCTTGGTTTTAGTAGCGAATGCTGTTGGTTTTTCTTTTTTTCTTTTCTTTTTGGAGATGTTTATATATTAGAGACGTTGCTAGATTAGCTATTGCTATGTGTGTTGAATTGCCTCGTATGTTCGACACTGTAGATTTCACGATGAGGGTACAGACTGAGGTATCTATCGATTACATAGCATTCTATATGGCTTCGTTCGGAAAGCCATAGATTGACCAAACCATTACCAGATTAGTCTAAGTAGATTGTCTTTGGTGTTATGTTCTTGTGAGATCCGAGCTGAGACTGGGTAGCATATTGTCTAGCTTATCACGCCTGGTTAATTGATGAGTTAGGGAGTTGTTGTTTATACTTTTCTGGTGGAGTCTGTCTGTTCATGGGACGGGTTGGTGGTTAAGTTCATGATTATAGATATACTGTACAGAGTAGATATCAAAGATTACTCTTAGTCTGAGAGGGTTGGTATTATGTTTTAAAAACTTACAGTCCAACGACAAAGTTAATACAGCTAAGCCCCATATGTCCTTTATCTTTATTTATATAGTACAGTGTATGATACAAAATAGAGCTAGTATTCTGCTCTCAGTTCTGCAAGTACAGCCCTCTGCCGAGGAGTGCTCATCTTCTCGAACCGATCCACACTCATGACAAACGTGCCGCGACCCGCACTCAAACTGCGCAGATGCTTGAGGTACCCCACCATCTCCTTCAGAGGAACTTTGGCAGTGATTGTCCGCGGTCGATTGGCGGATATCGGGATCTCATCCCCGATCGAAGCCGCCTCGAATGGGTCCGGTGGCGAGTATACTTTGCTCGGGTCGATTGCCGGCATATCCTCTGTCGATTGTGCGGACAGGGAAAGATCTGTAGCTGGAAGAGGCACTTCTTCGTCAAGTGAGACGATATGTCCACCACGCGAGGAGGAGATATCGTGGACGACGGCACCGAGACTGGACTCGTCGACGCTGATAATCACGTTCATGACGGGTTCCATGAGGGCGGTTCCGGCCGTGCCAGAAATGGAATAAAGGTCGCGCAGTGCAGAAGAGGTCGCGAGTCGAGCGGCGGCGGATAGGGCAGAGGAGGTGGTCTCATTGCCGAAGATGTGTTCCGCTGGGTCCAGCGTGATGGTGACGCGCGTGTTGTGCATGGGGAAGTTGAACTGGGGTCCGCGGGCGAGAGCCGCGAGACATCCATTGGAAAGAGAGGTTCGGAACGTGTTCAAGTCAATGCCAGGAGGAAGCAGCGGGCTCTCCTCGACACCTTTCTTGTTCGTCTCAGTTTGGAGATTAGGCGCTAGGATGACGATCTGGTTTCCGTCGAACGAGAGAACGGATAATGCTCTGTCGTTGGGGGGAGAGCTATCCGGGTCGTATGGTTCCACGATTGCGCTGCAACCGGCTTTGCCCTTCCGTCCTGCGATCTCCTTGTCGAAGATCCGCGTCACCTGGCCAGACTGATCAAGTGGACACTCTCGATATCCAATCTCGATGCGGCCCATGGAAGCTTTGGCCTTGAAGTCGTTGAGCAGGCGATCACGGGCTATCTCGAGATGAAGCTCACCCATACCGCTGATGAGGGTCTGACCTGAATCCTCGTCTACCGTAACGTGGAGACTTGGGTCTTCGCGGAGAAGCATAGTCAAGCACTCCTGCAAGCGCTTCTCTTCGCCCAGACTATGGGGCTCGACGCTCGCGAAGAATACTGGAGGCGGCACCTTGATCGGACGGAGCTGAAGCGTGTTGAGAGGCTCGGGTGGTTGAGGCTTGTTGCTACCATATGTGACCAGAGTATCCCCAGTTCGGGCATGCTTAAGACCAACCACGACTCCGATATGTCCTTCGGGAATCGAGTCCACCTCGACGGCATCGTTTGCATACATTTTGAGAAGACGTGAGGCGCGCTCAGAGACGTTCAGGTTGGTATTGAACAATAAGCTGTGTCGATCCAAAGATCCCGAATAGACACGCACGTAAACTAACACTCCTCGTTTGGCATCGTTGACCACCTTGAATGCCAAAGCACAGCTCTGGAGCCCCTCGATCGCGCCGTGGGATTCCGCTTGCACTGCAGACTTCTTTTTCGTCTTCCCTTTGCGAGAGGCGGTCTTTTCGCCTTGCTCCACCAGCAGGTCACCCGAAAGTAGCCGTCTCAGGCCTCCCTTGACACCTCCGATGCTTACCTCGGGATCCAGAGTCTCAAGCGGGCTGGGAAGGAGATTCACCACAGAATCAAGCAGCGGCTGAACCCCGATATTGCGGAAGCTGGCGCCAGCGAACACGGGGATGATTTTCCTGCCTTGTTCCCGCAGAAGGCACCTGCGCAAGCTGTCGCGGATATCGCTGGGAGACACTGCAAGATGATCCTCGCATTCAAAGAACTTTTCCACCATGATTTCGTCGTGCTCGCTCAACAACTCAATGAGGGCTGTTCTCGCGCGTCGCAGCTCCTGTGCTAGCTGACTTTCCTCGCTATCCAGTTGTTCGAGGCTGTACATTTTCACCAACTTGCCGTCCCCTTCATCCCATCGAAGACCCTGTAAGTTGATAACATCTGCGACACCGACAAAACGGCCCTGTCCGCCCTCGAACCATGGAATTTGGCATACGGCGGGCCAGCCCTCCAGTCGGGAGGCAACCTCCCGCACCGTCCGTCCAAACGCGGCTCCATCTCGGTCTAGTTTATTGACGTAGACCACTCTGGGGATGCGATAGGTGCTTGCCTGGTGCCACACTTGCTCAGTTTGAGCTTCCACTCCAGCCACACCGTCTAGAATACATACTGCCCCGTCCAGAATACGCAAAGACCGCATGACCTCAAACGTAAAGTCCGCATGACCCGGTGTATCAATGAGATTTATTGTATGTGGGAACGCAGATTTTGGGGCATTTGGTGTTTGCTGAGAAGCTGTATCTCCTACCCCGACTGTTTCTGGCGGCCAATGGAAGGTAACAGCTGCGGACTGGATGGTGATGCCTCGCGCTCGCTCAGCGGGAAGAAAGTCCGTTACTGTAGAACCCTCGTCCACATCTCCGAGCCTTCTGGTGAATCCACTATAGTAGAGCATGCGCTCCGTAGTTGTCGTTTTGCCGGCATCGATGTGTGCAATGATTCCGATATTCCTGGTATTGTCGAGGGCATCCACTTGCGACTTGGCTGTGGATGTTGAGAAGCCATTAGATTTGGGCAGAGATATCCGTGTCGAGCTCTGAGTCAAGGAAACATGACACCCCAAACGATTTACAGCAGCTTGGCCTGACTGTAGAGCAATCGGCCGCACCGTTGAATGGGAGGCGCGCAGGAATAGAGCTGCAACCATGACAGCAATTGACCGTCTAACATGGAAGAACGGATTGATGCACCTTACGCTAGACTAAACATGTCTTTTTTGCAAGCCAAATGCGAGGACTGGCGTGACGAGCACAAGAGAATAAAAGAAGAAAGCGAGGCGGAGCTTCAGGAACCGAATAGAGAGGTGGGTGCCTGACCAATCAGGCGGTGGTACAGGCACCAAACGACGTAACCTTCCGTCCGCCAACGTTGTGGCATTCTCTATCTCTATCCAAGCGTCTACCAGCCTCGACTCTTTCCTGCCTGCGCTTTTCATTGTCTCGTCATCTCTTGGTGGCTCCCAACCCCTATCGGAGGGACTGCAAGTACGTTTCACTAGCCCCCATACCCCTTATCCCCTCGGTTGAATCGTTGCTGATGACGGCACGCCCGCAGCGGACCCTGATTGATCCCTCCACACACCCACGAAGACAGTGACCGACGATGGACTACTCCGCTATAACGCAAGACACGGCGACGGGAGCCTCTCCTTGGGCCTCCCCTCGAGCGGGCGAGCCTACCTACCCTGCCACGACAACCAGTGACATCCCCCCGTCCCCCTTGCCACCATATCACCAATCCCCGTTCGACGCCGAAAGGGATACGCAGTCCGGCGAAGGCTCTCGGACTGAACACTCTACAGGAGATAGTGAAACCAATTCGGCAGATCTGTCGGGGCGTCTACAGAATACTCAACTAGATGACCCCGGCAATCAACAAACCGCCCAACCCCGATCTCAGCTGCCCGCCCGGTATCAGACCGGAGCCAGGCAGAATGCCAGGCAACCCACTCCGGTGTATAGGATACAGGCCAAGATCACGGGGCTGGAGAGGACAGGCAAGAAGGACCCTATTCTACGTTTCGATGTCCATGTGAGTTGGCTCTCTCTCGTCACTGTCACTGCTGAACCCGAGCTAATCACCCGTGTGCAGACCAATGTCCCCAAGTTCCGAACCACACAGTATCGAGACGTGCGACGGACCCACAGCGAGTTTATCAAACTTGCCGAACATTTGATGTCGGCGAACCCTGAAACGTTTGTCCCTGCAGTCCCCCCACCAGTGACCCCTGCTGGCGCCGGTACCGAGGAGGACGAGATCCGAGTTAAGGCTTCTATGCAACGGTGGCTGAATTGCGTGATGGGTAGCGAAGTTCTCATTCATGACGATGAGGTGGTCCTGTTTGTGGAGAGCGACTTTGGATACAGCCCCGTCGTTCGGATGAAACAGCCTGCAACGGGAATGCGAAGGAAGGTGCTGAAGCAGTTTGCGCCACCACCAGACGATACTCCTGAACTACAGAATGCACGACCTACGGTAAAACTGTTCTACCTGGGGACTATGGATGCAAGCCATAAGGTCGATCGAGTGGTTAAAAGCCGGCGAGGTACGTTGACATACTGCGAACTCCATCGATGAAATGCTAAAGGCACGTTTAGGACTTGGCCTTGCAGAGTCCGACTTGGGTGTTAAGCTCGGACAGATGCATGTGCAAGAAACACACCCAGGTCTGGCCAACGCCTACCGGAAACTGGGCAAGATTATTCAGACAGTCGGAGATTATCATGCGGTCCAGGCCACGGCCGAGGCAACCACTCTTGGAGAACCATTGAGTTACCATTCTTCGGACGCATTCATCGTGAAAGAAACTCTCACAAACCGCCATATTTTGCTCCGGGAGCTACTCCAAGCCCAGCAGGCCACGCGCAGTAAGCGTGCCGCGGCCGATCGGCTAAAGGTCAGCTCATCGGTTCGCCCGGACAAAGTGGATGAGGCTATCAACGCACTGGAAGAAGCACAGAACAATGAGGACTACCTGACCAAGAAGACGCAAAGGGTGACGTCGAACCTGCTGACGGAGAAGCGCCGCTGGTTCGAAAGGACCTCCAGCGACGTCTTGACCAGTCTGCGTGAGTACACGCTGCGTCAGATTGAGGCGGAACGTAGAACTCTTGCAACCCTTGAAAGTGTTCGACCGGACATCCGGGCGATTGATGCATCAGGTGGGCTGAGCCGCCTGGGTCGTGAAGCCCATCCTGCCGTCCGGCGACCCAACCTGAGCTCAAGCCAAGGGCCCAAGGGAGACGCATGGAGTGGAATCCCTCGTCGAAGTGACAGCCTGGGACGGAGCATCAGTGGCAGCGTGGTCTCGCCGACGCCGGACGATGAGGAAGAGGTGAACGGCCAGGGTAAGGGACGAGTACGCTCCGCCAGTGGTGTCAGCTCCATCGCGGAGGAAGGCGACGACGATCGACTTGATGCACGCAATGCCGCCAGCCGACTAGCAACGAGTACCTTTTGAACGGTTTCTGTAAATTATGGGTATACATGATTCTGTGAGATTCCCCTTCAACTATTACTTTCTTTAGCAGCGAGATCCGAGTGGAGGTTAGGATTGTGGATGTTTCTTTGAGATTGTTCTGCATTTCTGTGTCGTTAGTCCAGCAGCCGTGTGAGTGAACAATTCCTTGTCTGTATTACCTTGATGTCCCCGGCCTGTTCTCTTTGTCTCCAGATCTAAGAATATCATCACATCGGATCGTAAGCAATGAAAAGCATAGCCATTACTTTGACTCTTGTCCCTACAGTCTGAATGTATCTCCCTAGCTCCAGGGAAAGTCGCATCCCATGTTTCTGCCCCATCCCCAGCACATTAAATCACCTCACCTTCAGAATTCAGATAGATATACTAGAGCCACCGCTCCCTAATGGATCATCAATCGTTCCGCGGCGATGCCTATCGTTCCTGGACTAAAAATCCACATCATGCTAATACGGTCCGCAAGAGAGTACAGGAGCAGGGTGCCTGTCAGGATAGGAACCATTAGTTGGAGCTATCTGGGGCTGTGTTGGGGCAGGTTCCTGGGCACAGAGGAGCTAAACAAGATGTGCGGAGACTTAGTCTATGGCTACTAATTCCTTTGCAGGCTACCGTTGAAGATCGGCTTGTGCTGCCTGGTTCAGCATTCCCACCCCAAGCGCAAGTATAAGACAGTATCTCTCGTTGGTATTCAGTCATTGTTTTCTTCTACCATCCAAATATTGATTGATTGTACCTGCGATTCATTAAATCGACAAAATGCCATTCACAATCATCCTCTCAGCCGAAAATGCCTCGGTCAAGGTATACTACTAATACCTATACAACCCCAAGACAGCAAGACCAAACACAAACTGACAGCTACTTACCAGAAAGTCAACAAAGCCATCCTCCTCATGGAAGACTACGAATACGGCTGCGACCATTCATGGGCTCTACTACGTGATGCCTCGCTCCCCAAGAATCCCACCATAGTCCCCGCCTCAATCCCGCCTCTCGATGTGAACGAGGATACCTTCACATCAGCCAATAATTCTTTCTGCGGCAAAACTGCAGATCAAATCCATGACTTCATCCAGGAAAACGAATCCAAGCTCTCGAAAATGGACCTAACGGTCTCCCATTGGGTCATCATCGACGAGAAAGGCCTGGAAGCCGAAACCTGCTTGGTCTGCGAGAACACAGAAGACGATGAGGACGTCGAGGAGCCGTATCGCATGGCGAGACTCCCGTGGTCTCAGGCATGGGCGATGTTCAGTAATTTGGATATTGCGAATATGGATTTTGACGAGTGGGTGGATGAGGAGGCCATGCGGGATGAGGACGGGGCGTGGAAGTGGGTTGGACCGTTTTCGGAGAGTGAGGACGGAGAAATCGAGAAGAAGATACAGCTGGCGATTGAGAAGGCACGAAGGGAGGAGATAATTGATTAGGTCGGTTTGGTTTATATAGGGGATTTCATTGACGTGATGTTTTTTACCATGGATACTAGGATGATGATTTCGACGATATCCATAATTGAGAACACCGCAGACACCGGATGGGTTATAATATAATAAGAATTATGAACAAACAACTTCGAACTTGATATAATCGTGACCGATTGACTAGATTCATTGAATATGTAGATTAAATCAAAACAGGCACTGTTGACGTCATTCGCCTGCGTTCCAGATCAACATGCTGCTGCCTCTGTCTGCAACATAGTAAGTCTGCTATTTCTTCGTGATTCGCTCAGGACGGGATCAAGTTCCAAAAGACCCTGGAATCACCTTTGGTGCCAGTACTGCGCAGGACCATCTGCAGCACTGTTATTTCTCTGGTGGTCAACCCCTCCTCCCCCGCTTTTGGTCGGATCTGACTGTCTTGATTTCAAAGCGATACTGTTGTGGCCTTGCTTTTGATACAACTATTCCCTATCGAGCTATTTAATCTAAATATTGCCCCGCCCGCCACGGCTTCTTTCTCTCCATTTCCACATCTTGATCTGGGCCCGAATAGTTGTTGTCCTCATCACCGCCATCTCATTCACACGACATGGCCCCACCCAAGGTCTTTCTGTAAGTTTAGGGTCTCCCACTGAGACGGACGAGCCTTTTCTCTAATTGAACTTTGTTGTTTTCAATAGCACTGGAGGCACCGGTTACATTGGCGGAGACGTCCTCTACGCCGTCAGTCAGGCGCATCCTGACTGGCAGTTATCTGTCCTGGCTCGGAGTCCAGAGAAAGCAGCTCAGGTTTCCAGCAAATACCCCAACGTAAGAATAGTGATTGGGGACCTTAGTTCCTCCTATCTCATCCAGGAGGAGACCAAAAACGCAGACATCGTCTTCCGTATGCCTACTGTCATCCCCGCCTACCAGGGCTACCCAGCCCCAGATGTTCATCACTGACCTGGTTCAGACTGTGCCGACTGTGACCATGTTGCCGCGGCAGAAGCCATCGCCAAGGGTGCCGCTCAACACAGCCCCTATAGGCCGCTGTGGTTAATCCACACTTCTGGGACCGGTATCCTGACGGTTGAGGACTTCCGCACCAACACTTGGGGTCTATACCGGACCAAGGAGCACGACGACTGGGACGGTGTGGACGAGCTCCTCAACCTTCCGGATGACTCTCTCCACCGGAACGTGGACAAGATCATCATCGATGCTGGCAAAAGCAATCCCGACAGTGTCAAAGTGGCTATTGTCTGTCCTCCGACAATCTACGGCCCAGGCCGCGGACCTGGTAACCAGGAGAGTGTGCAGGCATACTGGCTGACTGCTGCGGTGCTGAAGAGGAAGAAGGGGTTCCTAGTTGGTAAGGGAGAAAACATCTGGCACCAAGTCCATGTCCAAGATCTGAGTAGCGTCTATCTGGCCTTGGGAGATGCCGCTTCGGTTGGTGGCGGAAATGCGTCCTGGAACAACGAGGGATATTATTTGGCGGAGAACGGTCCATTTGTCTGGGGTGATATCCAGCGTGAAGTGGCCCGGGTAGCTTATGAGAAGAAGCTGATCCCATCTCCGGAGGTTGAATCTTTGTCCGATGCTGAGGTCACTGAGCTGAACGAGTTTGGGCTGTATGCTTGGGGCAGTAGCTCGAGGGGGCACTCCTACCGTGCTCGGAGGCTGCTTGGCTGGTCTCCCAGCAGGCCCAGCTTGAAGGAGCTTATCCCACAGATTGTGGATATTGAAGCTAAGAGTCTAGGTCTCTAAACTGTGACCCTTGTAGTTAATGATAACATGAATGAACTCCATGATATGCAAACTAGTCCCTGAGGCATATAATGATCAAATAATACCGATCTGTAAGGTCTTCCATTGTTGAGAATCATTAGAGCTGTAGTACTTGGGTGAACGCTCATGTGAATTTCAATATATCTCTATATCCGAGGAAATTGGAAGTGATTGAGACTTGCAGCCTGTAGTTTGACCCATGTAGGCTTACAATGCAAATATATATATATTACAGAGTTAGAAACTAGGTGGATAGATTAAACTTGTTTTATCAACAATAGTTCAATAATTGAAAGGGTACACAATAGCATCCCCGTGAATAAAGGATTAACAGACAATGATCGTAGACAAGTAGAATCAATTCCAAGTTACGTGCTTCCTAATAAGGAAGGCACCTGTTGACCAAACAAGCTTAGCGCCTGGCGCGGTAAGCGACATAAGCGCGACACTTACGCCCGCTGAATATCATCATCGGGCCCTTTATTCTATCCAGCGAAGAGCCAACTTTCCGCCTGTCGTCCCTTACCTCTCCTCCACATTGGATGAAAATTTTGCAGAAGGTTGTCTTTTCATCTTTCCACTGCGTCCTTTGGCCCTCTCCGGCTGTCGACTCTGACCGCGCATTGCAACAAATGAATGCTAACACTGCCAACTCCCAGGTTCGCCCTATGAGTCGCATTCTGTCGGAAGCACACCCCTTCTCTGCCTGAGCTTTCAAGCTTCAACCAAGCTGTCATGGCTCCAGGTGTCGGGGGAAAGAGGAAGAGAGGTGACAGATCGTGGTCGGGCGATTCGATGAACGACAACCAGCGACCTTCGCCTCATCGACCAGGAAATCTTAACATGGCGCAACATAACCACGGTCCGCATACCCCTCAGACTCATCATTATTCTGAAACACGTGGAAGGGCACGAAGGCAATTCAGTCGAGGAGGGAGGAATAATTATCCCGGCCGGAGACTTAGCAATGATAGTCAAAACTTTGCCGGTGGCCGGAAGGATGTAATGTCCCCCACCAATACAACCCCGGCGAAAGACAATACAGACCAAGGTCAGATCAATGGTGCTTCTTCAGCAGTGAGCCAACCGCCGCAACCACTGTCTCCTTCGCCTGCTCCTACGTCTCAGTCACCGTCTCAATTTCAAACCCCTGCCCCGTCGCAATCCCAAATGTCCCCTGTCATCCCCCCTCAACCTCCTTCAGAGCCACTACTGCCATACGCCTACGAGTACGTCACCGATACTAGAATTGAAGAATGGGTTTCTACAGGCAGGCAAAGATATGTAGAGGATGGAGTTCAAGCGAGGAACGAGCAAGATTTTTCAAAGCTCGCCTCTATATATCAGGAGCTTATTCGAAGTGCTTTTTACGGACGACTGGGACCAAAGGAGGCAGGCGAAGCAGTTAAGAATATTATTGGAGAAGATGCTGTTTCTCGAGATGTCGACATGCAAGGTGAAGATGAAACAGAAGCTCTCGACACGCGTGCTCTTTTCCTTGACACCCGTCTATAATGACTGATTCCGACACGTCGAATGCTGCTTTGAAGCCCCTAGTCTTTGCTACTAACATCAATGCTGGTCTCATGCGTCTCCAACTCGACACCCCACTTCTGCAGGCCTTAGGTCTTGTCCGCGACACATTCGCTCGAATGGGTATTCGTAAACAGACGAATCTCCTGTATCGACAATCGAACTACAATCTCTTGCGGGAAGAATCGGAAGGGTACTCGAAATTACTCACAGAGCTTTTTACAACCAGCAACAATGAACCGCCCTCCAGCGAAGTTGTTGAGGATACTTTTGAGAGGGTGAAGGCCATGGTTGGTGCATTTGACATGGATGTTGGACGTGTTCTCGACGTAACTTTGGACGTTTTTGCTGCTGTTCTTGTGAAGCAGTACAGGTTCTTTGTGAAGCTCCTTCGCGCTAGCTCCTGGTGGCCCAAGGAGGACGTCTTTCGTAACAGCGGCGACAACCGTGATTCGGGGCTTCCTAACTGGGCTCTTCCCGGATCGTCGGGATGGGTCACAACGGATGAAGAACGGGCTGAAGCGCTGCAGGCCAATGAGCAACGCGACAAAGATTTCTGGCGCAGAGTGGGAGAAATTGGTATCCGTGCTTTCTTCGAGATTGGCCGTCGACCGGTCTCTAAAGAAGAGTTGAAAAGAATGCTCCCAGAGTCAAATAGTCTCTCCGAGGAGGAGATTCAAACGCGGAAATGGATCGAGGAAACAGGAACATTGCCTCCCAAGGGAAATCGTGTGGCGGCCCAGCTTCTCGGGTTTAAACTCCGCTTCTATTCATCCAGAGCCCGCTCGAAGTCAGATTCCCTACCGGACAACCTTATATATTTGGCTGCGCTGTTGATCAAAGTTGGTTTTATTTCGCTGCGCGACTTGTATCCTCACCTCTGGAGGTCCGATGACTCCATGGACGTTCTAAAAGAAGAAAAGATAAAGGAAAAAGCAGAGAGAGAGAGAGCAGCGCGGCCGGGAGGGGGAGTGAATGCATTGATGATGGCTGGCGCCCTTTCGGATGACACTCTGCCTATCCCACGTATTCGGGAATCCGAAACCCGATCAGCAACTCCCGGCAAGGACCAAGACGCGGACAAATCCACGGCCGCGAAAACCGAAGAAGACGAGCTTCCCGAGCCGTCAGACCAGAAAGTGTTGCTATTAAAGAGTCTACTCGCAATTGGTGCAATTCCCGAGTCCCTTTACATCATCAGCAAGTTCCCTTGGCTTATGGACACCTATCCTGAACTGCCTGAATTCATCCACCGTATCGTCCACCAATGCTTAAGCAAGGTCTATTCTTCTTTGCGCCCATTGCCATTGTCAGATGATATCAAGGGCCAGAAGCAGATACCAAGCCATGATCAGAGTGGAGTGGCAAAGGGCCAAATCCGATCAATCGAAGCCCCGCCGAGACGAGTCCTGCGGTGGGCTCAGCTAGACAAAGAGGATACAAATGATGGGACGGATTACAGGTTTTATTGGGACGATTGGGCCGACAATGTCCCTATCTGCCACTCTGTTGACGATGTTTTTGCTCTCTGCTCCTCTTTCCTCAACCTGTCAGGGCACAAGCTCGGACAGGATGCAATCTTATTAACAAAGCTTGCAAGAATTGGCAAGGACAGTCTCAACAAGGACGGTTCACCAGAGAATTTGTCTCGCTGGCGGGATCTTTGCAAACGTCTCTTACTTCCGTCGATCAGTTTGACCAAAGCAAACCCTGGTGTGGTCAACGAAGTGTTTGATCTTATTGGTTTCTTTCCTAGGGAAACACGGTACAATATGTACGCTGAATGGTACTCCGGCCAAACATCCCGCGTCCCCGATATCAAGTCAGCGTTTGATCAAGCGAGAGCAGAGACAAAGGATGTTCTCAAGAGGCTCAGCAAGACAAACATACGGCCAATGGCACGGGCTTTGGCCAAAATCGCGTATGCTAACCCTGCAATTGTTATTCACGTCGCCATTGGTCAGATTGAGTCGTATGAGAACCTTATCGAGGTCGTTGTGGAGTGTGCAAGATACTTTACTTATCTTGGATATGACGTCCTGACTTGGGCGCTTATCAGTTCTCTTGGCCATAAAGGACGAAGCCGAGTTCAGGAAGGTGGATTATTGACAAGTCGATGGTTGAATGCGCTGGCCGCTTTTGCAGGAAGAGCGTTCAAACGGTATTCGGTCATGGATCCCACTCCTGTATTGCAGTACGTCGTGGAACAGCTTCGGCAAAACAATTCCACAGATCTCATTGTGCTAGAGCAAATGATTAGCTCTATGGCGGGTATCATTACCGACACCAACTTCAACGATTCACAAATCCAAGCCATGGCGGGTGGTGAAATCCTCCAGGCCCAAACAATCCTTCAATTGTTGGATCGGCGCCATGAGTCAAAGACAACATCGCGGCGCCTCCTGAAGGCACTCACCACCTCCAAACTTGCTGGTCAGCTTCTTATTGCCATTGCCCAGGAACGTTGGACTTGTATTTTCAAGGAATCCGAAGGCGATACCGAGCTTAAGTTGCTGGGAAACGTATTCGATGAAATCCACCGCATCCTAGCTCAATATCTTGATCTGCTTCGTAGCAACTTGACCGCTGATGAATTTGATTCCTTCGTGCCGGACCTAGCCTCCCTTATAAGCGAGTTTGGCGTGCAGCCTGAAGTCGCGTTCTGGATTCGGCGACCGAGTATCGCTCGCAAAATATCTGAAAATGAGAAGACCATGCAGGAGGATGGTTCGCTCAAAGGCGGCGACAGCCAAGAAAAGACTCCATCTAAGACCGGGACTGACAAGATGGAGACAGCCGATGAAGGGGAGACGATGCCTGCAGAGGCTGAATCATCGCCAGATACTTCAATGGATGTTGACAGAGACCAGGACGAGAGGTTGGGAGATGCAGACGCAGTTGTTATGGTTGAGCAGGCCCCAGTGGTTACTGAAACCCCGCCACCGACACTGAACCCAGTCATGCAGGACCTCCAAGAACAAGTGAAATCCACCTTGCCCCACGAGACTTGGGGCATTGTCGGCTTGCACTTTTACACGACCTTTTGGCAATTGTCGCTCTACGACGTACACATACCCCAGAAAGCATACGAAGATGAGATAGATCGCCAGAAGAGGAAAGTCATGGCCATAAGTAGCGACCGAATGGATATCAGTGTGGCCGGGACCCAGAGGAAGGAGAGGGAAAAGAAGCAAATTACTCAACTGCAGGAGCGGATACTGGAAGAGAACAAAGCCCACTTGAAATCCTACGGCCAGACGAGGACAAAACTACAAAAGGAGAAAGATCGATGGTTTGCTGGCATGCGAGGCAAACATGACTCTCTGAACATTTCTCTCCTTGAGCAGTGCTTCCTGCCACGGCTGCTTCTGTCCCCGATTGACGCATTCTACTGCTTCAAGATGCTGAAATTCCTTCACACCTCCGGAACCCCCAACTTCCGCACAGTTGGTCTTTTAGACCAATTGTTTCGAGAACAGAGACTAGCTTCTCTTATTTTCTTATGTACGTCAAGAGAGGCAGACAACCTTGGCCGCTTTCTCAACGAGGTAATACGCGACCTTGCTCGCTGGCATGCCGACAAATCGGTCTATGAGAAGGAAGCTTTTGGAATGAAGAAGGACCTGCCTGGATTCGCCATGACGGTTGATCCTGACGGTAAACCTACAACCTTTTTGGAATACGAGGATTTCCGTCGACTTCTATACAAGTGGCACCGACTTCTAGCTTCCGCTCTCAAGATTTGCTTGAATGGGGGCGAGTACATGCACATTCGTAATGCTATTAGTGTGCTTAAAGCGGTCGTGCAAAATTTCCCTGCCGTGAATTGGATTGGCCGTGACATGCTGAATAGTGTGAACAACTTGAGTCAAAACGATGAGCGAGACGATGTGAAGATACCGGCTGCTTCCTTGATCGGTGACCTTAACCGGCGGGAGAAGAAATGGATGCTTCCGCAGGCCTTCATGATTACTAGCCAGCCACTGCCGGCGAAGGGTAATCTGCCAAAGACCGAAAATTTAGCGACTGATAAGGCTGGGAAGCCAGGTACTCCTCGTCCTCAATCCACTACCCCTACGTTGAATGCTACGGCACCCGTATTCAAGCCACCAGCCACCAACGAGTAAGTCGATTGAAGGAAGCCAGCCTTCCGATCATCTGTGTGTCTGTGTAACAGTATCTGATGTTTGCAATTATAGATCCCAGGGTACCCCCAAACCTGAAACATCCACCAATGCTGAAGTTGAAGATGGTGAAATCGAGGATGCGAAGATGACCGATGTGGTTACGAAAGCTGCAGAAGAGACAGAGCAATCACAACAGGAACAACAGGAGCAGCCTGATGTTGCGCACAACCAGGGCGACGATTCGACCGCGACAGGACAACCTGGTGCGGAAATTCCAGCCTCCGAAGAAGGGCCCACCGACGATAACCCTCCAAGAACAAATTCCGAGAACCAAATTGAGGAGGACCCGTCTTCTCATCCCCAAGCTTCACCTCCTGAATCTCGTGCGACACCTAAAGGATTTGACCAAAGTAGGCTGTCGAGTATCCCCAAACGCCCTGAGACGGAACGCACCCCATCAAACAATCAAAACGTTCGATCTCAAACACATACTCCAATGCGTAACTATCGGGATGAGCCAAGGTTGCCACCCCGTCCGGATCTACTTGAGGACCGACGCGATAGAACTGCGGATTATCGGGCTGGCAGATTTGGTAATGATCACGATTTTAACCGTCCGTTTGATCAGCCCATGGCCGATGGAAGAAACTTTGGTCGCCTCGATAGGGGAGAGTATCCACCACGGGGGCCCATGGATGAGCCGTTCCGTCCGCATCCCTATCGAGAAGGACGCCCTCCACGCGAACAGGATTGGCATGATCGTTCCGGGCGTGTGCGCCCTTCCGAAGTGCGCCCTGGCCCATCCACGCACCCTGATCGTGTAGATAGAATCCGTTCGATGCGACAAGAGAAAGATGACAGGAGATCCTTACCATCGAGAACGCTATCACCTCCAAGAGCGGAACTTCCTAACCGCCCAGAGCGGTTCCCAGCTGATGACCGGCGATCTGCCAATTATACCCAAGCCCAACCACGGCATGAAGATTTGCCTACCGGCCCGCGGAGTGAGCGACTTGGACGAGCTCCTATGGATGGAAACGACTCGAGAGAGACTGTGCCTGGCATTGATCTTAACCATGGTCGTCTACGTCAGCCAGATGCGCCTGCGGATATTCCTTCGGGACCTAGAGGAAGGAATATCTCAGGCCGAGGTGGGCGCGGTGTGTCGGGTATGTCGCATCCACCACCGTCACCTGGAAATGGCCCAGCCGAACGTCAGCCGCCGACCGGTCCAGGCCGACAAGGGATGCGTGGTCCTGACCAAGGTTCATCTGCGCCCGCGGGCGACCCCTCACCGGGTCCTGAGAAGCTCGATGTTAGTGGGATGCACCCAGATCGACTTAAGGTCCTTCAACAGCAGCCTCAGGACGGTTCATATAGCGGCCCGGTACGCTCCCATCATCACCAAACCTCAGCGCCAGTTATGCCACCATCTGGACCGCGTAGTGGACTTGGACCCCCTTCAGGACCGTCTTCTGCAAGTCGTGGCCCTGCTTCGGGATCTGGTCCCGGCGGTGAGCGAGGGCGAGGAGATAAACGTTTTGCTGGCATCAACAACATGCTGCAGCAGTCTGGTGGGCCATCGGAGCGCGGATTTGGCCCCGCGATCCGTGGCCGAGGTGCGAATCGACAGACAAACGCTCCACCCCAGACAACTCGACAACTGAGCCCTGTAGGACCCGAGGATAGTGGACGTTCTATATCAGTTCAAAACCGGCCCGATCTTTTGGCCGGTAGATCGACTGTTTCGCAGCCAGACGATGCCCCTCAGCGGAACCGACGGGTTGATCCGGCAGATGAAGGGTCGTCGGAGTCACGACGGTCTCAACGCTACTCATCAGGAGGTAGCCACCCCCACGACCGTGATCGGGATAGGGATAGGGAGCGAGATCGCGACCGGGAGCGACGAGGAGGCGACGAAGAGGGAACACGCAGTAGTAGTCGTCGAGAAGAGTACAGAGATCGGACTCGGGATTATGAACGCGAGCGCAGTCGGCGAGGTGATGCAGGAGCGGGTGGTTCCCGAGAGGAACGGCACGAGTCTCGGGAAGTTTCACGACGAGGCGCTGGCTCTCGCGACGATAACCGCCGACGGCGAGATCGGGATGAGAGCGCCGCCGACCCTGCTCAGACGGGCCAAGAACAGGAAGGGCGCCTTCGGCCTCCATCCTCGCTCGGCGGCGCACCTCCGCCACCTCCACCACCCCCTGTGACCAGTGCTCCCGAAGAAGATCGCCGTTGGGGTGGAAGGGAGGTGCGGGACCGAAACCGTGATCGCCCGCGGGACCGCGATTACCATCGTGATGGTGGAGGTGGGGGGCCTCATCGGAAGCGTGGACGGCCTGGAGGAGACGATGGCGGCCATGTGGATCATGGCGGCCGTGGAGGTACGCGGATGGGAGGTGAAAGCAAACGACCTCGCCGTGGAGCTTGAGTGGATTTTTTTTCTAGATGTATGATGGAATATGTTTTTATTCCCCTGTTTCGCTTTATTCCCACTCTCACTTGACTGTCCTTCCTTAGTTTCTTTACTACTTTATGCATTTATCGGACGGTGTTTGGCATTTCCACTCCAATACCTTTCTAGGCTCTTTTGGGGGGAGTCACTCTGTATTTTTTATTTTTATTATTATTGTTCGTTGCGATTGGAAAGGATAGGAGCGTCATATTGGGATATAAGTTGTAGAAGGATTGATGCCGTGTAATGGTGAATCGGACATAGATTTCATTGATCTAAATGTCTCTTGATATCAGTTGAGGCTAAAGCCATGTGACCACTTGACGGGAGTTGTCCATCATGGAAACAAGAACCATCCAAGATTGCATATCTACTCACTCTTCATTCCTCCCCATCACCTCATGGCATCAGGGCACGTCGGTCCCACACTCCGCCTTGTCCACTCGCCACATCACCCCCTATCGGCTAAATGTCGGACTCCCCTCCGTGTCCTTTAGGTGTATGGCCGTTCTCCATTATTCAGGGCTGCATTTAGGATCACTCCGCGCCTTCCTGCGATTCATTCAGTCCCCATGCCCAATGTTTCTCCACTAGGAGGACATTTTCGGACGTTCAAGCCGGCGAATCCTTCCTTCTGCGATCCACCTGCCATTACTCAAAGATGATGAGGCCAGAGCGGGTAGCGCGGGACGTGAACCGTTAGTTGATGACGTTTGGCAGGATTATCTTTCTCTGAAGTTATATCTACAGCTTGGGTTCCCCTTTACTACTGTGGACTTTTTCGTTTCTACTTCCTCTCTTCACATTGCAATACTCCCCCATCTTTACCCATCTTTACCCACCTCTACCTCACCTTTTTTCATTGGTCTCCGTTAATTGAACTTCGCCGTTTTCTCTCCTGTACTTATTGGCTATCACTGCAGCCTTGGGAGATATATCGGGAAATTTTTCCAAAATGACCCGACTAGATGTAGAGAAGACTATCGAGGAGCTTACACTAGGAGAAAAGGTAGCTCTGACTGCTGGTGAGTATCACATCTCTCCTTCCGAGAGGAAACGCTGGCCTGCAACCTTCTAACGGTGCATGTCATGTTGTCGACAGGGATTGACTTCTGGCATACGGCGGCCGTTCCCCGTCTCAACATCCCCAGTTTACGTTTTTCTGATGGACCCAACGGGATACGCGGAACGCGATTCTTCAATGGTGTACCTGCTGCATGCTTCCCCTGTTCCACGGCCCTAGGTGCCACCTGGGATACCGAATTGCTGCATGAAGTGGGGAGACTGATGGGCGAAGAGTCCATTGCTAAAGGATGCCATGTTGTCCTGGGTCCCACTATTAACATGCAAAGATCGCCACTTGGAGGTCGAGGATTTGAGTCTTTCGCTGAAGATGGCGTACTCTCGGGCAACTTGGCTGGCTACTACTGCAAGGGCATCCAAGAGAAAGGTGTCGCCGCCACTCTGAAGCATTTTGTGTGCAATGACCAAGAACATGAACGTTTAGCCGTCGATAGCATCGTCACCATGCGGGCCATGCGCGAGATTTATCTTTTGCCTTTTCAAATTGCGATGAGAATCTGCCAGAGTGCCTGCGTGATGACCGCCTACAACAAGGTCAACGGAACACATGTCAGTGAGAACAAGCAAATTATCACAGACATCCTTCGCAAGGAATGGGGCTGGGACGGTCTTGTCATGAGCGACTGGTGTGTTTCTGCTCCAAACACCCGCTATCCACTAAGGACATTATCAAGCCCGGATGCTAAAGTATTCTCTAGGTTCGGAACATATAGTACATCGGATGCCATTAACGCTGGGTTGGATTTGGAAATGCCTGGGAAAACTCGATGGCGTGGAACAGCACTGGCACATGCCGTATCGTCAAACAAGTCCTTCGAGTATGTTATAGATGAACGTATTCGTAACGTGTTGAACTTGGCCAATTATGTTGGTCCATTGGGAATCCCAGAGAATGCACCAGAGAAGGCCCTTAATAGACCACAAGACCAGAAACTTCTACGACGCACCGCGGCGGAATCAGTGGTCCTCATGAAGAATGACGATGATCTTCTGCCTCTCAACAAGGACAAGTCAATCTTGGTCATAGGTCCTAATGCCAAAATTGCAGCATACTGCGGTGGAGGCTCCGCGTCTTTGGATGCATATTACACTGTGACTCCTTTTGACGGGGTCTCAGCTAAGAGCAAGGGTGAAGTCCTGTTCTCTCAGGGTGTATACTCGCACAAAGAGCTGCCACAACTCGGTCCACTCCTTAAAACAGCCGATGGCAAGACTGGCTTTTCGTTCCGCGTTTTCAACGAGCCTCCCTCCCAGTCCCACAGAGAGCTTGTTGATGAGCTGCATCTTGTGTCATCCAGTGGCTTCCTCATGGACTATGTCAACCCCAAAATCAAATCACTGACCTTCTACATCGACATGGAGGGCTTTTTCACTCCCGAGGAAGACGGTGTCTACGAGTTCGGCGTCACAGTTGTGGGCACCGGCAAGCTGTGCGTTGACGGTGAAGTCGTTGTCGACAACACGAAGAACCAACGCCAAGGCTCTGCTTTCTTCGGGAATGCAACCGTAGAAGAGAAGGGGAGCAAGGAACTGAAGGCCAGACAGACGTACAAGGTGCTCTTCCAATTTGGCAGTGCGCCCACTTCCGATCTAGACACCCGCGGTGTCGTGGCATTTGGCCCTGGGGGCTTCCGCTTTGGGGCCACTCGCCGAGTCGGTCAAGAGGAGCTGATCTCGAAGGCCTCCAAGCTCGCCGCCAAGGCAGACCAAGTGGTCGTGTTCGCTGGTTTGACGAGCGAGTGGGAGACCGAAGGCTACGACCGTGACCACATGGACCTGCCTCCAGGCAACGACGAGATGATCTTCAGGGTGCTCGAGGCGAATCCAAACGCCGTGGTGGTGATCCAGAGCGGTACTCCAGTGACAATGCCGTGGATTAAACGGTCCAAGGCACTTTTGCAGGCCTGGTATGGCGGAAACGAGTGTGGCAATGGCATCGCCGACGTTTTGTATGGTGATGTGAACCCCTCTGGGAAGCTGCCCCTGAGCTTCCCAGTCCGCCTTCAAGACAACCCGAGCTACCTCAACTTCCGCTCGGAGCGTGGCCGTGTCCTTTACGGCGAAGACATCTATGTCGGATACCGCTACTACGAAAAGGTCAACCTGCCGCCACTATTCCGTTTCGGCCATGGCTTATCCTACACGACCTTCACACGGTCTGACCTGTCCCTTACAACCAGCCCTGAGAAGCCACAGCTCGAGGAGAGCGGCGAGCCCATCACTGCCAGCGTGATAGTTGCTAACACAGGCAAGGTAACCGGCGCTGAAGTTGTCCAGCTGTGGGTTGTGCCGCCGCCGACAGGCGTGAACCGTCCCGCCCGGGAACTCAAGGGCTTCACGAAGGTGCTGCTGAACCCTGGCGAACAGAAAAGGGTTGAAATTACAGTGGAAAAGAAACTCGCTACGAGCTGGTGGGACGAGCAGCGCGAGAAATGGGCCTCTGAAAGGGGCGTGTACGAGGTAGTCGTCACCGGCACAGGCGAGAGTGTGCTGAAATCATCCTTCACTGTGGAGAAGACTCGGTTCTGGCTGGGTCTTTAAATTGATGTTGCATAAATACTTCCACTGGCGTTTTTTTCTTTGCTGACGGTCTATCAATATGATCTAAACCTATAGTTGCTTTTAGAATATCATGATAATCGTGAGATCAGCTAATGTGGGTGTTTTATAGATTGCATCCAGGCTCCTTAACCCACCATCGGAAAGTATACGGGACTCTTGGAGCACAAAAGAACCTTATGAGGCAGAAAACCTTTCATCTCCTGAAATGGGTATGTGTTCTTACCTCCAATAGTTACAGACATCGATAGACACTGTTCCTTAGGATAGAGCATCATTCACTGAATCTTAAAAAAAAAAAAAAAGCTGCTATCTATAGTAGGTTCCAAGATAGTAGTTACCTGATTTACTGCTGATAGTTCTTTATGCATGCGCATATACATCAAACACGCCTTAAAAATTAGTCTAGATCGAATCAAGTTAAAGAGACTCGAGGTTATTTGAACATAACGCAAGTCAGCACCAGTCGACTAATAGAGAATATGTATCCCACCCCTTTTCAGACGTACTATGAGTATCTAGTTCAATACATAACCCAGGCGTTCGTGCTTATATGGTTCAGATTCTGTGCACGTTACTTGGAAAATCTGAACGGGATTTAATACGGAACTGCCATTGCAAGATAAACCGAAAATAAGTCTTGAAAATTTTGTATTGGCACAGCTAACCTATGGCAGTAAATCGTGGTCATAGAAGAAAAAAAAAAAAGGTATAAAACAGGTTCGCAATGATCTCGGCACCTTGACTTAATAGTTTGATGTAAATGCTTGGGAATTTTGGTCTGAGCTGGCCTCAAGCAAGACTGTTTATAGTTGTACAATTGACATGCGAATTGGCTTGCAAATGCAGTGTGGTAAAAAGAAACCCATATTAGCTATCTGCGGCAGATACTTGAGGAATGGCTGCACTTAATAAGCCCATGCTCTCTCCTGAATGCGTCGTTCCCCAAAAAATCTAGCAATCTTTTGGAACAAGGTCGGTCTTTGGGACTGGCTGTTTGTTGGCACTTCAGAACGGCATTTCCATTTAGACAGTGTTCCCCCAGTTTTGGAAGACCATGATGACTGTAGACGGGATGCGACGGATTGCGGGCGTTTATCGGATGTGCAGGGTCTTTTGGCCATGTTCTTATTTGGTTGGGCATTCTGTGCATTTAAAGACTCGGGGCTGGCTGGAACAGATTTCATTTTCGCCATTACAGCCTGTTGCAGCTGCTTGTTACGTTCAGTTTCTTCCTCCACGGTCATGACATGCATGTAGCCGGTTCTGTCAATGATGATGCCTGGTTGATGCTCCGATTTCTCGATACCTGACGTGCCGAGTCCTATCATCTGCGTTTCGTCCACCTGGGTATCACTCGAAATATTCGGCTGAGACTGACGGCTTGGGGCGTTATTGCTGGAAGACTCGAAATCAGGAGAAGGGAGATTCAACAAAGTCTCCGGAGAAGAGAAACTGGCAACACCAGTAGACATTAGTGTAGCATCAGGATTCAAGAACACCTCAACATCATCTGGTCTATCGTCTCCGCTGCTTGATGGCGGAGACTTACCAGCACTAGCTAGAAAATTCATGGTGTCTTGGTCCGGAGTCTGGGCATGACCGATAGCGCTGGCACCAGTCATGGATTGCATTTGGGTCTGCCCAGAGCTGCTGGTAGGAGTCTGACTGATTCTTCTCCCAGTGTATTTAGTATTTGGGGCAATTGTGGAATATTGTCTCTGGTCAGCAGGTGAGCTTTCTTTCAGCTCACCTAAATCCGATGGTTTGTCCGAATGGGAAGACTGCAACATTCTTATTGTCTGTCGACTAGGTTGCTGGGTTAATCCAACTCCGGAATCATGTTTGCCTTTCATAGCAGCTGCCTCGGGGGCGACATTTGGACGTGAATATTTAGACTCAATCTGAGTCTCAGATGATGAAACGCCGGACGTGACTGCCTCGTTATCTTTATTGTGCGAGGGTATTTGCTTCGTGGCACGCGATGGCACCCCTCTCTCAACGCGATATACAAGTAATGAACAGGAATATCTGATATCCGCCTCCAGTGCTGGAGGAATCTTTTGGCGATCGATCAACGGGGGAGATGGCCGGAAGAGAGTGGGTGTATCAACGAAGTCATAGTAGCGGGTCGGTCCTTCCTCCCAGAGTGAGAACGTGGGCTTCTTGATGCTAGTCAGTCTAATTGTAGTCCTGGTAAGAGTTGTGTTACGAAGCTATCCATACCTGGGAGTTGAATAGAAAGGAAAAGGAGGTACGTTTCCTCATGGTATACGGTTTTTTGGAAGTTGTGGATTCCATACTCAATCAGCTTGACTGCAGGAGCCAAAAAAAAGAAGAAAAGAAGGTAGAAAGTCCCCACGGGGAAGGAGTAAACAAAGAATGGATCAGAATGAGGTACTATCCATGGACCAACTTCTATGCTCCTATTTATCTGATATTTCAGACGACAATGCCAGAGCAATGGTAAATCACCGATTCAGGAATCCAGACCTGGCGGATAAAAGATCGGTTAAGACACGAAAGTAGGCTAAGATGAACTGTTTTGTGTAGTGAGTATTTTGGTTGTCCAGAGTAATGGAGTGGAATGTGGGGGGAGGCTTTAATTGGAGTTATGAAAGAATGGCATCGTCCAAAACAGGAAACAAAGAATGACAGCAGCTAGTAGTAGTCATTCAGTGACAAGGCACCGAGGAGAGAGGAAGTGAACTAAGATCAATGGGTGATCTCATGCGACAGGCGCATGGCCAGGCTGAAGATCCCGCTTGTATTGTAAGGAGAGGCGTTGGGGTACATCTGTGGCGACGCAATAGAGGGAGTGTGAATCGCCGACAGAATGCTCCAAAGATGTGATCTGATCAAACGAGTGACAGAGTTGGGATGGTGCATCGACACAAAACAGGATGCGTGGTGAAGGGAGGGAAGAAACTCGTCGTTTGGAGTGACACGGCATCACGGGGTTGGTTGTGCATCAACTGCTACGCCATGATTGCTTCTTCCCTCCTCCTCCTGAGGACCTCGTCAACCAGCCAGGCATCGGAGAGTTTGTCGTCCATGCATTCTGCAGCTGAACTCTGCTTTTGGAGTAGAGGACCAAGTCACCACCATCGAAGACAACGACACTAGAATCGTTTATGGGAGGGATAGACATGGATTGTCACACAAAAGCAAGCCTCGTTCTCCATCTGCGCATCCGCTGATCAGAGCAGGGTTCGAGTGCGGCTGGAGACTCTTTGAGAGAAATCTGATCTAAGCTATCTATACCGTACACCAAGAACTGATCGCAAACCATTCCATCCCTCACGATCGAGACACCCTTCCAACCGTCTAACTTCTTACAAGGAGCGGAATTATGGAGAGAGAGCAAAGAAGAAAAGGGATGAATCAAGGGGTGGATGGTGGAGTGATCCCTGAAATGATCGATCCAGTGATGGGCACTCGGGGATGATACATCCAGTCGCCGGCACTTCCTTCCCTGTAATAGTGCCTTCTTGACCATACATACGCTCCACTCTCTCTATGCGGTCCGGGTTCTCGATTAGGCTCCGTGCACTGGCGAGAGGCCCGGATAAAAAGGCAACGGCTGTATTGTACTCCGTACTCCGTATACAGAAAGTACATATAGCCAGATGCCATATACGCGACTTGCATTTTCATATCATATATACCGTGACGGATACGCATGATATCACATTTAGACGTCGAATACGCAGAAGCAGGAACGGCAGAAGATGCCCAGTTTACATTCCCCTTCCGCGGTACGGAGTACGGAGTACATGAGAAGCAGATGATCTTGAGAGCAGCAAAAAGGGTTCACCATAGAGTATATGAAGCGATGCAACAAACTGCAAATTCCCCCAACCCATCCACATCGGACCTCTCCGATGCAGAGTCGTCTTGATCCTTAGTTACGCGGGGGGGTGTCATTCGATATATATGTCTTGCCTTTCACAATAGACCTTTTGGCTAGATCGTTGATACCCTTACGTTGCCAATCGCAGTCTGCCGCAAGGGCGGGCGACTCTCATTTACAGTTCTGCTATACAGTCCTACAGTGGTGCAATCTATGAACTATTTTATATGTAATAACAATACTTACGAAATGGAAAGAATAGTTTTGGTATCATATCATTTCCATGTTATTCTACCGCTAATCCCTATGGCGTTAAAAAAAAAAAAAAAAATTCCCTGTACTATAGGTAGTAAAATCGTTGCCCACCTCCGTACAAGCTTTGTAAGGCGGGGACTAACGCTGTGGAGGCTTGTTTGATGGAGAGCAGTTGGATGCTTCTTTTACAGCCTTACCTGTGAATGAGGTGATGAGAGAGGCAGTTGGATGCTCTCTGTCTGGCTTAGAAAGAAAATAAAAGTATATCGGCAAAACTACTTCCCAAATGGACGTCATGCTGGCGGCGCTGGGTCAATCGACATGGCCTCTTTTCATCGGGAGAGGACGCCGGGACCCCTGCATGCCCGCAGAGCATCTGATCGTAGAGAAGGCTGCAACGTATGCGCCAAGCGTGGTAGAAGGAACTCCCTATCGGTCTACCAGGCGGTAATATCTTCCACCTCCGCTTCCCCAAACGTACTGCTCTTGGCTAGCTTGTTTACCCCATCCGTGACGGCTACACCTTCGGCCGGAGTTTTCGACATGATATCCGGTAGAACCTCCCGGAAGAACTCAAGGATGTAGCGGTTAACCTGCTCAAATTGAAGAAGGAAGGCATCGTGACCCTCTGGGCTTTCAATTCGCTTTAACCGTGAGTCCGGAATACCTGCTGCTATCTCCTCCTGTTCCTCGAAGGTGAACAACCCGTCACTTTCGATTCCCAGGACCAACGCTGGCTGTTGGACTTGTGACAACGCCTCCTTTACAGGATCCGCAGAGATTGGGCTAACCCGGTGCCTCGACACATCGTGCGTATCAAGCTTCCGTGTAATTGCAATGTAGCAATTGGCATCAAATCGCTTGACAAACTTCTCACCCTGATACCGGAGGTATGACTGGGCTGAAAAGTACGTCGCAGGCCGCTTCGAGCGGTCTCCATTCGCGGTAGTGTCGATGGGTTTGCTGTAAGTTTTGGTCCCAGAGAACTGGGGATCCATATATTGGACCTCAGCTAGTTGCCTCAGCCCTGGAGTGGCTGGCTCGCCTGGAGTGGTCCGTCCACTCTTGTGGCCATCGTTGTGGATGGCCCAATGTTCATTAGGCGGGGTAGGCAGTTTCTCGGTCCCATTGATATTTTGGCGCTTGGATGGGTCCGGTACGTTTCTACCAAACCGAGACTCAAACGAATTGCGGCTCCGGTAGGTGAGGAGAGCGGACATACGAGCCGCACCGAGTCCCGTCGTTGGGGGGTCATCGAACGGATAATAGCCATCATCATACTTCGGATCACTGTAGATGCTCTGCCGCTGGGCTTCACCCCAGCTGATACACCATGCGGAATGGCGTGGGGAAGTCGCAATTGGCACAATAGCGCGCACGTAGTCTTTGCCAAAGAATGCGTATTCCAGAGTGAGCATACCGCCCATGGAGCCACCGATCACAGCCGCAATCTGTTGCACACCCAAGTCATCCAAGACGATTTTATGGATCCTGCGAAAGGTAAGCGATCTGCGGCGACAAGTGTGAATCATGAGTAAGTACATACCTCACATCATCGCGTACAGTGGTGAGAGGAAACTCAGGTCCGTACAGACCCTTTTCAGGGTCGCCATCCTTGTGAGTGACAGCACTAGCACTTCCGTACGGGCTGCCTAAGCTGTTCAGGCAGACAACGTAGAACCGCGACGTGTCAAATGCCTGACCGGGGCCTCCTAGCAGGGGACCCCACCAATCCGCTACATCTGCGCTGCCACTCAATGCATGACAAATGACCAAAACGTTGTCGCCGTTCGGGGACAGTTGACCTCGCGTCGTATACGCCACCGGAACACTATACAGCGTCACGCCAGATTCCAGCGTGAAGGAAGGAATAACGGCATAATGCTGGTCGGTAATGAGCTGCGAAAAGGGGTTCTCAGGTTGCGAGTCGATCCTCTCTACGGGATTTAGTAGCCGTTCGTCTGGATAATGTGGGGGTGTGGGGGAATACTGACGGAGGGGCGGAGAGGTGCCGTTGGATTGAGAGGCCATTGCAAGCCAACTCGGACTGCAATTGATAGGACTAGAGGAGAAAATATGCGAGAAGAGAAGACGGGAGAGAAGAAACTGAGGGGCGATGAATAGGTGTAAAGGACACTTCCATGAGTCACCGAAAGCGGAACGAAAAGGAAAATGAACTTGGGGCCAATCTAACCATCCGCGGAAATTGATGACTTAGCAAGCTCCAACCCCTTCTGGCGTCATCTGCAGCCAATCATCTTGCTTCAGTTGGCCAGGAGCTATGCCTTTTCCGATCCGGGCTAAACCTAACTACATTTGCTGAAGACTACTAATAACTACACAATACAGCCTGGTTAACTTATTGTATCTATTTAACTAGGGATACTGCACACGCTTCAGGGACGAGAAGCCCAATCACATGCCTAGTCTATCTGAGTCATGCTCAAGCCAGATATCCTCTCCGTTGGGTCTATTCTGTGCCTGATGAAGTCTCTCTGTGGTTGATTTAAAGAGACGAGGAAAACGGTCATTTTCGAATCTTCTCCCATCATGAATCATTTCAGCGAGTGCCTTGTTTGACAATAAGATAACTGGCATCCCATGCCCGTTGAACCCGGCGCAGATTATCGCCCACTTCTACCTGGGACTTTCCCCACATGGGGATTGGTGTCGAAGGAATATCCCACGACTGTTGTGAGTCTGCATGAGCAAAAACCGCCGTTCAAGAGACTTACTCCCAGTCCAAATCTCCTTCACATAAGCCCCGCTTTCTCCCCAACCTTTGAATGTACGCTGCATATAGACATCGTAGTAGTTCTTTGTAGGAACGGTGCTTCTTTGCCCTCTGGCAGAGCGATGTGCAGCATAGCCCACGACATGGTATGATGCTCGCTGAATATTCCGGCAGTAAGCCGGCGGTGTAGGCATTTGACGCATAGACGACCTTAGTCACACGGATTGATCCTCGCGGCGTGTTGACAATATGCCCAAAGCCGTCCGATACGACTGAGGTGACGGGCGTATAAGTTGGCTAATTGACAGCAGGAGAATTTGCGAACTTTGAGAGCAGTCTTAGTATAAATTTGTACAGCCAAAGCGTGCCTGCCGTGTAGGAAAGGCACTCCTGAGCCTCCTTGACACCAGAGACGTGTTCAAACCGGCTCCGTTATTTCCGTTGCCCCTCTGAATTTTCGGATCAATTCATTTGCACATACTCCTTCGGCGTTCATCGATGTGTAATGGATGTCGTCGACAGCCCAGATATAGGCTTTCTCTCTCCGCACTTTATGAGTACCGACCCGGATATCGCTTGGATAAACATGGCAGCGCGCAGTTTGGAAACCTGGGTCATGGTATACGACAACCTTCTGAACGAAATCTTGGCCCTTCTGACAAACCATCGACACGGAGTCGGAATGAATACTGCCGTGCATCCCCAGTGAAGAACTGGTAAAAGTTTGCTGGCGTTGCATCCTGTAATCCGTCGCAAGACCCGAGGTGGTTTGGTCATGATAATGACGCCAGGGATGGCTTCGAACCAGACACACCTAGTCAACAACCCGGGAGCCCCGCCTTCCTCACCCCTCAGCTTTCCTCGTCCTTAGCGGCAGTGGAAACATCACAAGGTTCACGCTCTAAAGGCAAGTCTCGGCAGTATTGCACCCAACAGAGCCTCCTGGGCCTGATTAAGAGAAGGGAATTGGATCAGAAATGTCCCAATGTGTCGGACTATGGGATTGATCGGCACTGACTAACCGGACAACACTTATTGGACGCAAACCGTTGCACGTTCACAGAAGTCGCGGAGTGCTTTTTATCACGATGCGGTCACATGGATATACATTTGTGGAAAAGATGCGCCATACGAGTTCGTCAAAGGCTCGAAGAACGAGGAGCTCGTGTATTCGCATCTTACTTCAATCCAAGGAGTATCCGTGCCAGTGCTACTTGGCAGCCTGCAACTTCGCTGCTCATTCTTTTATAACGGCATTACCGAGATTGTCTATCTAATATTTATGGGCTACACCAGAAGAATCCTTGCCAACCGGCATGATCTCAATCGCCATCGAGTAGTTCAACAAGCTGGGAAATCATTGCAGGTGATTCATGATCTACACGTTCTTTAGTGATGTTCATTAATTTTGAGAGGGCAACGCTCCAAAGCCAACACCATACCAGTGCTGCGTGTCTGGATCAAATACTCAAGCAGCAGCTGGACTTGGGTTATTATCGGGAGAAAAATATTCGTGGACAATATTAAACCTTTATAATCTGTGAGCAATCATAAAATTATGCGTTCATAATATTCAACCTTTTAATGTTCGAGCAGCAAGAATATTTAATACCCATAATGTTAAGACCACTCTAATATTAGAAATGCCATAACATTCTGTTCAGCGTTATGGCGGATTTAATGCCGCAACTAAAATAAGACGTGCATGATATCTCTCATATTCCTACATTTGTTAGATGCATGGCCAAGCTATATTGCATTCTGTCGGTGTCGTGGGAAATATCCTGCAGGCACTGCCACAGCCTAACACGCATTCAACGGTGTCGTGGCCGCAGAGAGTGCAGAGGTATGCCTTAACTGCTATACTTTCCGCAATATGTTAGCGTCTGCGCTCTGGCTGCAGGGACCATCTCTTACCTTTATCTCGCAGGCTTTCAACGCAAGTATGCGAGCCACTTGAACATACATTATTCATGGTTCAACCTCCGTTGAGCTTGCTATCAAGCTGTTAATATCTTCTTAATAGATCCAGGAAACTCATCCTAACTCAGCTCGTTTCCAAGTAGTTTCACTCGCAAATGACAACGTCGCCGGAGATGTTGAAAGTATAAGACATGGTCAAGAATGAGATGGACTGAAGAGACGCAAGGGAAGTCGAGTGGTAGATATATGGAATGAAGAATGATCTGACTAGTGGGTTCTCTGCCTTATATAGCGGACCAGGCAGTCTCCATGACAGACTGGCATATATAATTAACATCTATATTTAGTGATTAAGCATTATGATATCAACCAAAAGCAGTGCCTGTTGTTGTTGGATTACGCGGAATGGGAAAGCCTTTGAGCTCTCCTGAGAATCTCCTCTATATTTTAGAAGGGGATACAATTTATAAAAGTCCTAAAAACAAACGGAGATTAGTACTGTCGCGGAATCTCCATATAGCTCCCGGCGAACCCTATCTGGGTTTTTAAGGAGAATGTGGAATGTTTGGAGCCGCAAAGGGCACGCAGCATTGTCACAGAGACTCCCCAACCTCAGAGTATAGGCGCTGCCAGGACTGCATCTGGCTCCCCCGAGCCCCCTATCCATATCCCTGAATGCGCGGTTCATGTTGATGGTAAGTGCAGCACCTTTGCTTCCCTGCTTGTAGCTATTGCTAATAGATCACAGAGAGCATGCAAAAAACTGCCCTTATGTGTGGCGAGAGACCAAGATACATTGATGGTATGTATTATATTCAAAAATTTAATGGTACCTGGCTGATTATAGTTGAAAGTACGCAGACAATTCCTCACAAAACACCGGAACAGACTGGAGTTGATACGCCCAACGAGTTAAAGGCTGACGAGAACTCTCGAAAGAGGAAAATTAAGGATACCAGTCCAACCTTGGGACCCGTGAGGAGGTCCCTAAGAGGACGAAAAAATCGAACAAACTGACATAGATGTTTGGAATCTGTGTGATTTATGTAGAAAAAACATGTTTTCAATTTTCCAATCCCCAATCATTTTTACCTTACTCTGGAATTGCTTAAAGAAACCTGATGTGCCAAGTAAATCGTCCCTGGGTGTAGCAAGGAGCAGTACCGTCTGTGATTATACACAATTAAAGATTAGATATACCGCTTCGGTAGAATCTTTGTGGCACGTACGAGGACTTGTTAACTACTAGGGCACTCTTCGTGGTCTGGAAAGAGAGGGCTCATCAGTGAGTTTATGGTGCTGCTATACCAAAAATGGACGCTCGCAATCAGTAAGTGTAGGTCAGAGAGGCCAACGCGCTCTGGCTAAGCCAGGACAGCCGCAAAACATCGTATCATCACTGACACTCAACAATCAAGCTGTGGGCGAGGACGCCTGCTATTCCTTCATCCTCGTTAAAGGCGCGGGTCGAGCATATCGAGATCAGCGATGATACTAATAAATAAAACAACAGGCCCTCTGAAGTGTTTTGTGGAGATCCGCCTATCTGTTATCGACTAGGAATCTAGTTGGCTGTAGGATTACTAGCGCTCTAAACGGTCCATTGTTGCCAAATATTCAGAGGGCGAACTATACACAGCATACAATGCAGTTCGAGCACATCGGAATAAAACCGGGGCTGAATGCCCTAAAACCGGGGCTGAATGCCGACTCCTCTAATGCCGTTTTATGTACTGTACATATACGGATATCTCTCATTTCTCACAGGAACTCAACAGCCGGTCCGCCGTGTCCTTGAAAGAGCCCATCGCAGCGCGCCACAACTCCGGTCCAACACTGATCCTCGCTACACCGATGGCTTTCAATTCCGGCACCGTCAAGAATCCATCCTTCAGCACCAACTTGACATTGACCTTCCCTCCCAATGCCGCAACCAACTCCTTAATCTCGGCACTGGAAACGCCTCTCCCTCCGGGTCCCCAAACAAATACCGTACAGGCTCCCGCTTCCAGAAACGCCTTGCCTCTTTCGATTGCATCTTGAACAGTTCCTCCCGGGGACCCTAGAACATCTGTTCGCGCATTGACCACGAAATCTGGAACGCCTACCTCCCTCGCAGCTTCAAGGGCGTATTGAATCCGCTTCACAGCGGCCGGGAGTGACCGAAGATGGCCGGTATTATTGTCGAAGTCCTCGATGTTGCATCCCACGGCTCCCAGTTTGATGATTTCCTTTACTGTCTGGGCCACGTTGTCGTAGCCATCTTGTACGTCGACTGTCAGGGGAACTCGAAGAAGTGAATTTGTCGACTCTTTGTCACTTGAATCCCGTTTCAAGACAGATGCAACGATGCGAATTGAAGCTAGATTCTGTGACAGTGTTAAACATTCATCGGGGATGCCTTGGGATGCGGCAATAGCGTAGCTAGCCGTTGCGATGGCCTTAGTCGCGGGATGGTTGGCGATATGGGATGCTGTTGCTCCATCATAGACATTCGTGAGAACTACTGGGTTGCCGGGGGCATGGAGACTGCGGAAGTAGGCGGCGAGGTCGTTTTGCGTGGCCATGACTGTTTATATTTATTGGATATTAATGCAATATTCTCAATATGCAAAGTGCTAGGATTCGTGAAGAAGAAACAGACGAAGATAAATGTCAAGTGCTTTGCCCATTAGTACTATAAGTATTATAGTCCGATGTTGAGTCATTTCCTCGTATCCTGATGCTACCTGATAGTGGATGTTGCTCTCAAATTAGCCACTCAGGATGCAGCATGGAGCGGCCATGGCCACAATTAATTAACGAAAAGCTATGAAGTAAATACATTTTAACACTAATCTGCACTAGCATACTCTCCTTAACACTTTCTGCATGCACAATAGAGCTACCACTGGATGGGACCATGGCTCTTCCTAACAGTTAATCTTAATCTCTCTGTGGGTTATAAATGCGGGTTAGAGATCCGGTGGGCCGATGGTACTGTGGCGGATAATACCAAAACGCCCATTAGCCATCATATTCTAGAAAAATACTAGAATATATTCGACTGCATAAGTCCTTATTCACAGGCAGTATCAGGATGCCTACAAAGCACGCTGTTATCCACTGTAGTTATTTGATGCGTGTCAAAGACTGCATGAATATAATCTCCGCTAACCTTATTGGGATAGTTCTTCCACAAACGGAATGATGACTAACACTACATTCCTCGATAGTAAGCTTGACCAGATCAGGAACGTTCTTTGTTGTAAGCTAGTCCCTGTTAGGGCTAGCGCACTACATCATGCCCGCCTACAAAGTTTCCAACCGCAGGACGCTGGACTCGTACGACCGCAGGGGCGATGTCGCGAACAATGGCTATGACAACTCCCGCCTGACATTCATCCCCAAGAATCCCCCACGTCCTACATGTCGCCAATTTCCGATTGCGCGCTGATTCCATCACAATGACTGATTATTCGAAATGGAAGGTGACCGATCTGAAGGCAGAGCTGAAACGACGTGGCATTGCGCAGACGGGCCTTAGAGTGAAACAGAACTTCATTGACAAACTTGTGGAGGATGACGCTAAAACCCAAAGTGAGGCCGTGGGTACGGACTCAGTCGTCACACAGGATGCACCAAAGGAAGAGGTGCAGCCTGTCGAACCTGAGCAACAAGCGCAGCCTACTCCAGAAGTTGCTGCCCAGTCACAAGATCGCAAGCCCGAAGAATCGCTGCAGGAACAGCAGCAACATCCGGAAGCACAAGGCGATACTGGTGAAACCCATTTAGACCAGAAGCCGGTAAAGTCTACCCAAGATGTTGGTGAAACTTCTGAACAGCCGCCACAACAATCAGCAGAGGACGCACCTGTCGCTCAGCCTGATTCTGGCGGAAATGATTTGGATAAGACCCTTCCTGCTGATACTGGTGGGGATCTTTCCTCCACTGCTGCAGTTGCTCAACCCAAATCCGAGATTGAGGCTTCAGCGCAACCGGTTGAGCAGGCTCCCGGTTCCGCAGAGGCCCAGCAGTCTAAAGGAGCCGAGGAAGATGATACACAACCGCCTGAGTCTGCCGAAACGGCCGCGCCAGCAGTCCCTCAAAATTTAGAGCCGAGTACAGGACTGTCCACACCCTTGGCTCCTGAAGAAGTTATTGAGGACCGTCGCAAACGGAAGCGTCGTAGCCAGAGCCCCGTTCCAACGCCCGAGGCTATCGCGTCCAAAAAGGCTAAGTCCCAAAACGAAACGCCCGAAGTGATTCTGGCCGAGGATAGAGACTCGATGAATGGTGATCGGGATGTCCGGCCGGAATTGGCTCCTCCTGGCTCACAAGAGGAATTCGCAAGTCGCGCTAAAGTAGAATCCGACAACAAAGTGCCAGCCCACGATGAAACAAATAATGCACCCATCTCCGAAGACTCGAAGACCAATAAAGGTGCGCCAGAAAAACAGGATGTTCGCTTCAAAGGGCTTTTTGCACCCACAGAGTGGGAGCAAGCCCGCCCTGCGTCTCCACCCGCTGACACTGTCATGGAGGAAGCAGCAACTGAGCCGGCCAAACATGTTGCCACACCAGCTCTGTACATGGATGGCCTGATGCGTCCACTCCAACATAATGCGCTCAGGAGCCATCTCATCTCCCTGGCTGCCCCTCCCGGAGGATCTCCAAATCCCGAGGTGATCACAGAATTCTATTTAGACTCAATCAAAACTCACTGTTTCGTGGGTTTTGTGGACGTCGCGGCTGCTTCACGTGTTCGCGCGGCGCTTCATGGCACTGTCTGGCCCCATGAACGTAATCGGAAGACCTTGTTTGTGGACTTTGTCCCCGAGAACAAACTGCAAGAGTGGATCAACATGGAAGAGGGGTCTCGTCGGCGCGGCGGCCCTCCACCTCGCTGGGGGATCAAGTATGACCAAACAGATGACGGGGTCGAGGCCATTTTAGAGGAGATCGACTCGCGAGCTGCTGCGTCTCAGCCTTCCCGCGGTCGGGAACAGGGAGACTTTGCTCGTCCTCCACCTTTAGGGCCTCGGGCGGAAATGGGCGATCCCAACCGGCGTCCTAGTGGCCCTCGCCCAGTCGGTACGCGGACCCAATCTGGGCAAGGGTTTAAACCACTCGATGAACTGTTCATGTCTACAACCACCAAGCCAAAACTTTACTACCTGCCCGTTCCTCGCTCGGTGGCAGATCGTCGCCTAGACCGGTTCGACGATCTCCTACGAAAGGGGCCGTATCCGCGTCGTGGAGGTGACGAACCTCGACGGATCACTTTTGAAGACGGAGACTTATTTGTCGACCATGGCCCAGAGTTCGGTATGTCAAACAGGGGACGAGGAGGGGGCCGGGGAAGGGGTCGCGGTCGTGGGTTTCAAGAGCCATGGAGGGATAATGGACGTGGCCGTTACTGATCTATGTATTCTATCGTGTATTGTTTCCTTATTCCGGTTTTCTTGCCCCGCATCTGGAGTTTTAATCAGGAGGAATGGGCATCTACTCATGATCTCTTTGGTTTACTAATGAGGTTGTGGACGGGGGCAATGATTATGTACTTGGATATAGCAAGATTGGGACATTTTTCCTGTCAAAAGCATCCGGTCGATTTGGAGTGAGGGATGTATAGATGTATGGGTATATATCTAGGTATATGGACCGGAATTTCACGAGCACCTCCCGTATTATTGCCTTCTTGACCTTCTGTATGACTATTCTGTAGGTACTTCGCCTGTGAGAAAGAAACACATGCCTCGTCACATGACCCCAAAGCAGGGTTAGTCATCTGCAATGCTTGTTCGGCCTTGTCCGGCCTTGTCTAAAGCTTAGCCTGTTGCCTTACATGAATTTGTTTTTTGGTGAGTCTCACTTTAACCAGTCCAGGTTTGACGTCGGAGTCTCGCGTGGTTCCTCAGACTCAGCAACTGCTCTATCACGCAGGATTCCTTGGCGATGGACACTACATTCTAAGTTCTTAGCATTGTACTTATTATGGTTCTGATTGTGAGTGCGAACATTGGATAGTTAGTATCTCGGCCATTCCAAGAACCCACGCCTACCTTATTCATCTGTCTTATTAGTTATCTATTATCTTTTTCATTTTTGCTCAACTTGTTCTTTCTACCTTGCTATTGCTAAAGAATCAGTGGTTGACTCAACTGCATTTGTCTTCTTATCAATTGCGCATCCCTAGGGGAAAGTCCAAAATCAAAGCAATCCACTTATTCCAGGGGTTGGTCCATCACTGTGGAACCAGACTCGACTAGTGGATAAGTTTTTGATCACTCCAACGCCGTTGATGCTAAGAATAAATATTAATACTCCGTATCCATCGGAACAAATCTTCGCGCCGGCGATCCTTCCCCCGTTCCTCGCCATCGCTCCTTTGTTTCTACTGAGGCCCATCACCGTCGTTGGCCTCCCTCGCTGGCGTTAGAATGGGCTGGCCAAAGTGTAATTCGTCCTTAGAGAATGAAACCAGTACGCGTTTCCCTCGAACTCGTTCCACATGCAAGAAAGAAATAACTGATCAATGTGAAATTGGGGGGAACAGTTAACGAGGGCGACTTATGGGATGGCGGGATCACATTCCATCAACTCTGCCTGATTGTCGTGGGTGTTTTTGCTCTCATCGCGGCCGGTATTTCCTTCGTTTTGATTATGTGTCATGCCACTCATTACAGCAAACCGATTGAACAACGCCAGTACGTTCTCTTGCCGCGATCACTGAGTTCTTCGCCTTACCACAGTAACGCTGGACTGACATCTTCTCTCCTGTGGTTCTAGTATTATTCGCATTCTTTTGATGATTCCTGTCTACTCCCTCGTCGCATGGCTAGGGACCTACGATTACAAAAAGAACGTTTATTATAGTGTGCTGGGCGACTGCTACGAGGCGTTCACGATTTCGGCTTTCTTCTCCCTTCTCTGCCATTACATTGCACCCGACCTACACAGTCAAAAGGATTACTTTCGTGGCATCGAGCCAAAGCCGTGGGTCTGGCCTCTATCATGGCTGCAGAAATGCTGCGGCGGGGAGCACGGAATGTGGAGGACGCCCCGAAGCGGATTGACCTGGTTTAATGTAAGCTAAGCGCCGGACTCTCCTCGTCTTGTGCTTTAGCAAGCCGACCTCTACATGCTGAGGCTTACGTCGGTCTTTTCTTCCATAGGTTGTTTGGGTCGGTGTCTTCCAGTACTGCCTTCTACGCGTACTCATGACCATCGTCGCAGTCCTGACGCAGAAGGCTGACGTTTACTGCGAGGACACGCTCAACCCAAAATTCGCGCATGTCTGGGTATGTTTTAACCTGCATAATGTAGCTATCGCTGTGCGACTCCGCTAACCTGACATGGATCGATAGGTGTTGGCTATTGAATGTGTTGCCGTTACTATCGCCATGTACTGCCTAGTTCAATTCTACATCCAGGTCAAAGAGGATATCGGCCAGCACCAGCCCTTTTTGAAAATCTTGTCCATCAAATTGGTCATTTTCCTTTCTTTCTGGCAGTCGGTAAGTGAAAGACCCTGTCTCTTGTCTTGTCTGACGGCAAAACACTCATTAATGCACCATAAAGAGTTTGATATCTTTCCTATATTCCTCTGGCGCTATCAAAGCTACCAAAAAGACCCAGGCTAGTGATCTCAAAGTGGGACTGCCGAACCTCCTGATCTCCATTGAAATGGCGATGTTCGCTGTCCTGCATCTGTGGGCATTCGCCTGGCAGCCATATTCGCTCAAAAATTTCCAGGCAACTGAAGTCACCGACTTTTATGGCAACGGTAAAGCGACGTATCAAGGAGGCCGGTTTGGAGTGCGCGCTCTCTTGGATGCTCTGAACCCAATAGACCTCATCAAAGCCATTGGCCGGAGCATACGCTGGCTGTTCGTTGGCCGTAAGAAGCGTCTACTGGATCCCAGCTACCAGGCAACGAATGAAGGAATCGGGCTCAGCTCTGCACATGCTACAGGCACAGGTGCAGGTACCACAATGACCGGCAGCCGCACAGGCCGCTATGGATCAGCCCCCGACGAAGAAGGCGATGTGCTCCTGTCTCATGCACAGCCCAATCCCGCCTCCCACTCCGGTGATCTGGGCACGGCACCCCCGCCGTACGAGTATAGCGATCATACCCGCTTCAATTCGCATGACCAACTAAGCGGTGTATCTCTTCTTGATCCGGCGACGCATTCCCCTCGGCCCTACTCCCCATACGAGCAGAGTTTCCACAATCCTTACACGATGTCGCCAGATTCAGCAACCGAACATTATCAGCACACCCAGGGCCTAACAACCCCTCACAATCCTACCGCCACCAATATCCCTCCCTACCCTTCCGACCATCTACAAGAACAGGCCCCAATCCCTCTCCCGGACGCATATCGCCCGCCTCCATCGCATTACGACGCTGACCTCAACCCACAGAGATATCCCCACTAATGAAGATTGAGCGTTGCTGGGTTTCCATTACCTTGGTGTAGGAGATCCGGAATGATCATGCCTCTCCTTTATTGCATTTTTCTATTTCTCATGCTATCGACGAACATGACGTTATCTTGGCATTATCTTGTATGTTTATACCCTACAGATGACTTAAGGTTTATGTTTTCTTCTGCTCCTCTTTTCCTCTTTTCTTTCTTTAATTCGTTTTTTTCTTTATTCATATTTCTTTCGTGTACATACGTGACGTCGTATCGAATACATGGCCTTTTTTGCCTGTGATACAACTATGTCCGGTTTGAAAGATATTATATCTTTTAAGTTGATTGCATATAGAATGTACATTTATACAGTCGACGTTATTTCTTCCGTGTCTGCAGAAACAGGGCTGCAGGAGTATCCAAAGGAGAAAATTACGGTATTTTCCATCACTTTTATCTTCATTTCTCATCAGATCCAGCTATTCTAAGCCACTTAACGCCGCTAAATCTCATTTAAAAATAAAAGCATTTGCATGACACGGTGAAAGCACGAAAATGGCACTAGGGTGTCCGAATTGAATTTATCAATGCTCTTAGCCATGCGCATGACCATCACGAGAAAGAAATTCATCCTCGAAACGACTCTGCACGGCCATTTGCGTCTTTCTGTTGAGTATGCTTTTCCTGACGTTGTGCATGATAGCTGTTTTGCGGCCTAATTCTCGCATACCGCTGATGTTCTGGCTTAGTTGTCCAAGTAGGGAGACTAAATGAACATCGTTGTTTTGTGCAAGGACTTCTTCTGAGAAGGCGCTTTGCTCTTGCGGTGTGAGGAGAGAAAGATGCGAGAGAAGAGCATTGATGTTTCGAAGAATGGGGTGGAATAAAGTTGCTGGCATTGGGGATCCTTCGTCACTCCCCTCGGATGACATAGATATACTAGATAGGTAAGACTTGATCAATGAGATTCGAGACTCGAGAGCCCGAATTGCGTTTATGCGAGTGTTGAGGCTGGCAATGACTGCGGTGAAGACTAGCGTTAGGTACAAGTACTTTTTCAAGAAATAGGTAGAGGATGACTGTTAGTTTTTCACTCACGTTCTTCTTCCTCGGGTGAAAGCAAGGTAGTATCCGTCTGCCCTTTGCCGCGGTCTTGTTTCTTCTGGGTTTCAGTAGACACACTTCCTGTGCCTGGCGTATCAATCGCGGCGTTCCTCGCACTTCGGGCGACAGTGTCAATGCCGATCATTTCCGCCTCTCCAGTTTCCACGAAATAAGGCAGTTCCCTGAACCGGATGTTTAGCGATTGCTCTTCACCGTCCACCTGCATGGTCTTTCCGCTCTCCGCAGCATTATCTCCCTCATACACGCTCTCGTAGATGGTAAGTGGTAATTTTCCTCCATTTGAGGATGCCCCTTGCATTTGAGAAGGATGGAATGCGAGAAACACCGCAGATTCGTTGTGGTCTTGGAGAATTTGGCGATGGATGGGAAGATGAGACTCGTCGGGGCCGGATGGCGGCGCAGTTGACCACCAGCCCACAAGATCAAGAGCGGGAATTTTGTGGACATCCTTGACTGTTACATAGGGTTGTCAGTTGAAGAGAAGATGAGTGCAAGCTGGGACCAGTTGCTCTCTTACGTTGCTTCACCCTATCAACAAACCAGTCGTGTGATAGCTGGGCTTCGCCGTTCTGTCCCTCCACTACGACACATTCAAATGCATGCTCCAAGGTTATTTCCCGCCCATTTTGCTGGCCCAGCAAAGCTCCGATGATTGGTCCTTGCTGTCTCCGTGCGGCATATCGGGTGATGTGGTCAGAAATCGTCAGCAATATTAGAGGATGGAGCTGGATATGAAGTCCTGAATCCGAGGATTTCTGGGATACAAGCGGACTGCGTTGATCCGCCATATCTGGAGCTACCGACACAGAGACAATTCGCGAAGGTGATTGACGACTTGAAACAGAGAAGTTGAGGCCGACGAGCTGGTTGAACCTCCCCCGGACTGGAAGCGGAGATGGAGGTGTTTGGCATGTTTGCACCGCCTCGGGTTTCCCCGCTGTTGATGGCGTTCCTGAAGTTGTCAACCTGCCTGTCACTTGCAGAAGTGCTCCAGCAAGATGGCTGTTCCTTCGTCGTACGATGATGTGAGACTTCATTTTCAACAGATCCAGGACGATCCATCCATTCGTCTGGACCAGCCACTCCTTGACAAGCTAAAGTTAGAGCTGACGGAGGATACGGACCGTAGAGTCCCCGCCACACTTCTGACGCACATATCACAACTTTTACCACTTCTTCAGGAAGACCCGTCTCCGGTTACTACCCTTGCAACCAAGGCCACTACTTACTTCAGTTTTACGGAACTCCGTTCTATCGATCCTCCGATCGACTTTATCGCAGGTTTCAAAGCACCGTCGCCACCCATTAATCTACTGGCCCTGTCGTTGCTGAGCAAAGCGGGAAAGGTTCCCAGTGACGCTGCCATAGTCGCTGGTGACTCGAAATTAGTCGCCTCCCTGGTGGACCTTTGGCTTTCCACTTCGTCAACGGCGGTCGCTCAAGCAGCCCTGGATGCGATATGGGCTCTCTTAGAGATAGATCTAGCTAGCCCCTTGGAGAATGGGATATCTCATGATGGCGATGAAACAGTAGGAGGACAAGGCCTCATGTGGAGAAGAATGTTTACCGACAAGGGCGTCTATGGCCGTCTTTTTTCATTTTGCGACCTCGCCGACGATACCCAGGGTAGCCTACCGAGACGCGAAAAGACGTTGGCGCAGGGCAGATTGATGGGGTTCCTCGTGAAAGCAGGTCGGCTGCGGTGGGATATCATCTCTAGCTCCCAGATTCCAGAGGTTGAGGCCAGGCACAGCAGCAAGAGCCTTCTACATTTCGCCGCTTGTCAGATGGTTGACCAAAGTGATGTGCTGATGCATATGACGTTGCTAAACTTCTTTCATGACCTCCTGGAAATTGACGCTCCGGGACTGATGGCTCGAACTTTTGTACAGTCGGCGTCCACGTTTTCTTCACCCGCCCTTGATTTTTTGATCGCACACAATCTGCATACTACTCTTTTGGGATATTACTTGGATGAATCGAAGCTAGACCCTGTGGACCTGAATTATCTGTGCGGGCCGATCATGGCGTACGTTGCCCAGTATGCCGAGCTGTATCCTAACCATTTCTTGCAAAATCCGCAGAGTCTCTTGGATCGAATACTGTCTCGGATCGCGGCATCCTTGGCGATCTCTTCTTCGCAGTGGGCACATGGCCCAATACCAAGTGGACAGCTGAATGTTCTCTCTTGTCTTCCTCGAGTGATGCTAGTTGAGGCAAGCAAGCAGGGTGTGAACCCTGTGCTTGCTTTGCCAACTAGCCCTGCCAGCAAAGAAGCGTTGGATGCGTTAGGCAAGATCCTCCATGGACCATCGAAACTAGACTTAACCGACTCGATAGAGCTAAACGCGTCCGGTCAGACTCCTACGGACTGGCACAGAGAAGCTGCGGCAGCTCGGGTCCTATACTTTATGTACCTAAACCATCGCTCAAGTTTCTGGACGGATATTGTAGTTGCTGCTGATTTGTTGGCAATGAAAGATATTTCTCTAGCGGCTATATCGCTTATGAGGAGTATCATCACGGCAAACTGGCATGTATTGTCAAGCGACGTGACCTCTTCCGTCCCGGGCAGCACACGATACCAACTCCCCTCTGAGGAAGGTCTAGGCCGTCTCTCTCCCGCCTCGCAGGGGATGCTTCCTTCATCGGGCGCATGGGCAGCTCTAACGCCGCCAGCCTTGACGACATTGTTGCCGTACCTTTTCAAACCGCCACGTTCGTATGCCGAATTTGTTGGCGGTGGAGCTGGAGACGTGCAGAATGCGGTGTGGAAAGTCGCTACTGCGAAGTATGAAGCCCTGGTGGCCTTATATGAATGTCTCGGCGATATTGATGAAACAGTGCCGGGATTTGAGGATATCGTGCGAACACTCAAGCAACGAGTAAATGAAGGGCCATGGGGACCGGTGTTGCAAAATGGGAGCCGGGTAGACACTGTAGGACTATGAAGGAGAATAGGTTGATTGGTTTATGATTCCAGTATGCTGTACGTAGTATGACCTCCATGAGATATCTTTCATCGTAGTCTACATTGCTTCTGGAAGCAAACCCTAATATCCGCATTTGTCCTAACCCAGAAGGCGGTGAAGCAATCCCCGCCGGCGACACTTTTTTTTTCTCCACTGTTTGTCCTCCGACGCTCCAGATGAATGCCTCACATCCAGAAAAAAAGACAAGCAAGGTTGGGCTTCCTCACGAGTGCATTGAATCCAGTCCCACCTGCAGTCCATGTCCCGATTCGGAGCCAAAAAAGGCCGGAAGCTTCCCGGTGCAGAGTTCACCTGGGATGCTGATCCCAACGGCGAACCAGACACGGCGCCTACCCCTCTATACCCTGTACGTTGAGAGTTGTCTGCGGATTGTTTGTCTCAGAGCACAGTTCTGTCTGGTGCAATTGTGATTGTGACTGGTGCTGGCTTGGCATTCCTATTCCCATTCCCATGTCCAATTTCCCGTTTGCATCTGTCTATAGTATCTCGACATCTAAATTAACTGACTCACTTGCACCCCCATGCAGAAATACGCCGTTCCGCGCGCCAGACCCCTCACCTCTCGCGAAAAGCTTCAGGTCAATCTCTACCGTGACCTCCGCGAACGATTCCACGATGGTCCTTATTACTCGGTGCTAGACACGGCGTCATCCGCTGCCAAAAAAGGTAGTGCCGCGCGCGCCAACTTCGATCCTTTCCATGGAATGCCTTCGTATTCTGGCAAGTATCAGAAGAAAAAGAGGGCGATTCCGAGAATGCAAGGTAGACAATATGGTAAGATTAAGATTGTTTGAAGTATTGCTATCTTCATACATGTATAATGCATTTGACTTGAAAAGGGGAAGAGGGAATTGATAGAGTCTAATAGGCGTTGTGCTAATACATTGGGTCAATAGTTTTGAAGTTCTTCCCGCGCGAACTATGGCAGACTATCCAGCCGAGTTTTAAACCCGATGCCGCGATGGATGGGTACGTGTCGCAAATGCCAAGGTTGGGGGTGAAACGGGGATTTGAAGACGACGATGAGGAGGATGATGAGGACGATGCTGCGAAGAGGCAGAGAACGGGTGATGAGGATGGTGAGGGCGCAGAAAACGCGGATCTTCTTGAAGGGGATGAGGAACAGGAAGAGGAGGAGATTATCGACGATGATTTCGAGGAGGATGAAGATGAGATGGGCGGGGATTATAATGCGGAACAGTACTTTGATGGCGGAGATGACGAGTTTGGTGACGATGGGTTCGGCGACGGTGGTGGAGGTGGGGACGAGGACACATACTAAGACAAGCTTCTCTTCTCTCTCTCTATCTGCCTGTCTTTTTTATTCTTCCTTCATCGATACCCTTAATGTTTGATACTATTTTGTATATGGCTGGACATCGTTGACCATGTAATTGATTGCCGCAGTGGCTTCTTTGCTCTGTGCCCATGAGAAAATATGGCTAATCACCATCCAAACATCATCCTATATATAGAAGTCGATTAATGTAACAGCTCACAGCATCCCTAGTCTTGTATCCTGATGCCCATTTATTAATATGCCCAAGCTTGATACCAGGCCAATAGGAAATAAATCACCGTGGTGTCCTACATGTCCCTTCGTCATCCCAATTCTCGCTTCCGACTCCCGTCCTGCTGATGAACAGTCTACCTTGTCCCATTTCTGCGTCACTTGGTATAGTCGCTCATAGTTGCTCTCCTACAACACTTGCTTGGAATCCTTATCTCTAGGGCCCGCTGTATTAAGTATGATCCGATTCGATTGGAATCCAAAGAACGTAGGAGTGGCATCTGAATGTTAGCTCATTCTGGACTTCCTCTTGGACTTGAAAGCTAGCATTAGATGGCATTGCCCGTGAAAGATCTATTAAGAAGGGTTTCTCCCCATAAGGGGTGCACAACGCTATCAATGAGGTCTTTATATGCCGTCACTTGGCCACCTCCAAACGTAGAAATATCCGACCTGATCCCCCGGCCGTAGCTCTAGTCTAGAAAGAACATCGACGATTTTTGAGGGCGCGCCTGTGCTCCGAGCAAATTTTAATGAGACCAGTATTGAGCTATGAATGTTAGCAATTCCACCTGAATACAGATAAAGGGACCAAGTCTGCTCCAAGCTGTAGCTGGGAACGAACTTGTATTCGTAGGCATATGGACTGCCGCGATGCTGGCATGACAGACAAAGCCTACGGGTTGCAACGTATAGTGTGCCGTACGCAAGGAATAGGATCCTATACCCAAGACTGCGGCATCCAGCGGACCGTTTTATCCACATGGCCTTGCCAAAGATGGCAGATGGTCCCCATGATGCATTCCTGTCGTGGACCACTTGCAGGCAATCTCATAGTGGAGTGTCGCATTCCAAAGGTACTAATATCGGATGGGCCAATAATCTCCAATAATTTGGTTCTGTTTCCCCGGTCTTGATCATCGTAGGTCATTCGTCCTCCTTTGTATAAACTTATTGGCTTTGCCAATCATAGTATTCTTTCATAGGGAAGTTCTGGTTGGTCGAGAGTCATAGACCCGATGTAAGAAGACAGTCCATTTTTAATGTCGCATCAATCGCTGTTCTAACTTTAGTGTCATATTTTTCCACCCTACCGGCAATAATTCTGCCTTGAGAAAGCTGGGAATTATTGTATGATGGCTTGAAGGTGGTGCAGAAAGAAAAAGAGAGACAGAGGGAGAAAGAGAGAGAGATACCGTGACATCACACCCCGCCCCGCCGGCAAAAATCCGGAGCAGCAGCTGCAAGACTTGAATCACTTCCGACAAACACACAGGATGAGTGAGAGCCAGTCACCAACACTACGGAAGCGATCTGCTCTAGTTCTGTATGGCTCAGAAACTGGTAACGCCCATGAGGTAGCGGAGGAATTAGGAGTCCTCGCTGAACGTCTCCATTTCGTAACTCAGGTCTCTGAGTTGAACCATGTCAAGCCGGTCTGTATGCACCGTCAGATTGAATCTCCGAGAAAAGTCCCGCTTATGAGGGTCTTAGGAAATCTTGCACTCATTTACAGTCACGATATTTGCCCTTTCGACTACGGGCCAGGGTGACTTGCCTGCAAATGCGCGTTCCTTTTGGCGGTCTTTGCTCTTGAAAAGGCTCCCACCCACGTTTCTGAACGGTGTCAATTTTGTATCGTTTGGCCTGGGTGATAGCTCCTACCCTAAGTGAGTTTCCCTGCCAGGCCCTGTATGATCCGATAGCTAAGAATTTACATGAGGTTCAATTGGGCTGCGCGCAAATTAAATAAGAGATTACTACAACTGGGCGCAAAGGAGATCTATCCGCCTGGGGAAGCCGACCAACAGCACCCAGAAGGGTATGTGTATACCGTATATTGTTTAAGCCTCGCGTCTAGCATTGTCCTGACTGTCTCATAGACTTGAAGGTACCTTCATTCCATGGCTAACGGACTTCCGCCAGCACCTACTAGACACCTACCCGCTCCCTCCAGGCCAAACTCCGATACCGGAAGACGTCCAGCTACCTCCCAAATGGGTTTTGCAGCCACAGGTTCAGAGCACATCAGATCAGGCCGAGCCTACTGTTCCTGGAATGCAGGAGGGTCTAGCAGACCCCAGTGAATTCCCGCAACTCACTCGGTTGGATCATGACCTTCGGCCAATACCAGACACTCTGACGGCCACGCTCACCGCGAACAAGCGTGTGACACCGCCAAAACATTGGCAAGATGTGCGTCATGTCACTTTGACTGTTCCTGACGCTGTTTCGTACGCTCCTGGGGATATGATCTCCATTACTCCTAAAAATTTCGCGGACGACGTCCAAGCTCTGATCACGATGATGGGTTGGGAAGAGCAAGCAGATCAGCCGGTCACTTTAGTCCCTAGAGACAGCCAGTATTTGGGAGACGAATCGCACCCTCCCCCAATTCCAGGTCTTGAATCATACCCCCGACTGACACTACGTGCGCTTCTAATGGACTACTTGGATATCCGGGCTATCCCTCGTCGCGCCTTCTTTTCGACCATAGCCCATTACACGAGTGATGAGATGCACAAGGAGCGACTACTGGAGTTTACTGATCCCGAATTTTTGGATGAATTATGGGACTACACGACGCGCCCGCGGCGAAGCATTTTGGAGGCGTTATATGAGTTCGATTCGGTCAAGATCCCATGGCAGCATGCGGTTTCGGTCCTCCCCCTCCTCAGGGCAAGACAGTTTAGTATTGCTAGCGGGGGAGAGTTGAAGCGGACTGCTGAAGGGGGCACGAAATTCGAGCTCTTGATCGCAACAGTCAAATACCGAACTATCATCAAGAGGATTAGAGAGGGCATCTGCACCAAGTATATCTCCGTGCTCCGACCGGGAAGCACTTTGAAAGTCCAGTTACAGCGGGGCGGTCTCAACTCCTCCGTGAGCCAGCTTACTGGACCTACGGTGTTGATAGGCCCCGGTACTGGAGTTGCACCCTTGCGATCTATGTTATGGGAGAAAGCGGCCCTCGTCAAGGAATTCCAGGCTCATCATGGAGACGCGGAGTCGCCTTTCGGACCAACAATCCTCCTTTATGGCGGGCGCAACCGGGCCGCCGATTTCTTTTTTGAGGAAGAGTGGCAGAAACTAAGCGATCTGATCCAACTGCAGGTATTCACGGCATTTTCGCGAGATCAGGATCAGAAGATCTACGTACAGGACGTTATCAGCAAGAACCTCGGCCTGTTCTACCGATTTCTCCACGAACTGTCGGGGACCGTTTATGTATGCGGCTCGTCCGGGAAAATGCCAGAAGCCGTCAGAGAGTCACTGACTGAGGCATTTCAGCGGGGAGGGGAGCCAGAAAGAGAACAGTGCAGTCGAGAAGAGGCCGAGGAATATTTGATTGGAATGGAGAAATCAGGGCGATATAAGCAAGAAACCTGGTGAGGGTCACACGCTCTGGACAACGTTGCGCTGTCGGTGGAATGAGATTATAGGATGCATACAACGCATAGTCTTCACGGATATATAGACCTGTAAATAGACGCTTAGCGATGATGATAATATCTCGATCCTCCCATTTCCATAGCCTACTTGGCGGTAACCTCGGTTGGCAGCGGAGGGGTGTCTTCGGGCCGCGACGATGCACCCGCTTCTCTCCGCCCAGGTCACCTGCTTTCTGCCGCGGGCGCTGCTCCGTTCAATCGGCCTCTTCCATCGTCTCCCCTCGTGGTGCTCATCCTCTCATTTTCTCCCCTCAGATATTCCATTGACTCTTTCCCGAGAAACCTCGATAATATTTCCCAAATGGCCAGTGGCTTGCGGATTCTGGTGCCCATCAAACGGGTGATCGACTATGCGGTGAGTTGGATCAAATCTCGTACTCCGTGTTCGGTCTAAAGAGTCACGCACGACGTCGACGCACTCAATGCGTTAAATCCGGAAGCCGGGGGAAATCCCCTCAAGTGGTTTGAAATAGTCACTAATTTAAGTGCCGTAGGTCAAACCGCGGATCAACAAGGCCCAAACCGGAGTCGAAACAGCCGGCGTCAAGCACTCTCTGAATCCTTTCGATGAGCTCTCCGTCGAAGAAGCTGTTAGTCTGCGCGAGCGCGAGAGTAAAGGCAAGAGTCCGATGAAGGTTGAAAATATCCTCGCTCTCTCCGCAGGCGGAGCCAAATGCGGCGATACCCTCCGCACAGCCATGGCCATGGGCGCCGACCGGGCGTTCCATATCGACGTGCCGGAAAGCAACGATGGGGGCCTGGAGCCTTTGACCGTAGCCAAGATGTTGAAGGAGGTGGTCAAAAAAGAGAACATCAACCTGGTGCTGCTAGGGAAGCAAGCGATTGACGGCGACCAGGGCCAGACCGGTCAGATGCTGGCGGGTCTCCTGGGTTGGCCTCAGGCGACTCAGGCCAGCAAGGTGGATGTGAAGGATGACAAGGGCATGATCGAGGTCACCCACGAGGTGGATGGCGGTATCGAGACACTGCGGACTCAGCTGCCGATGGTGATCACCACGGACCTACGGTTGAATGAGCCTCGGTATGCCACCCTGCCCAACATCATGAAGGCCAAGAAGAAGCCATTGCAGAAGATGACTCTGGCCGACTTGGGTGTTGAGGACAAGAGACGGTTGAAGACATTAAAGGTGACTGGTAAGCTCCCCCCCCCGGGTTTAATCACCCCCTTTTCCCCCACACCCCAACCTTTCGGCCAATTTGGGTCATTATTAGATGCGTGGCTAACTTGATCCAGAACCCCCGGCCCGACAGGGTGGCGGTAAGGTCGAGGATGTGGATGGACTGGTCTCGAAGCTAAAGGAATTGGGAGCTCTGTGAAGCTAGTGGGAAGCGAAACGGTATAGTGGGATTGAGTGTATGTTTATGACTACTTAAGAGATTGGTCTGCGGACCCGACATAGTTCTTGCACTTTTGTTTTTTATTGAACAAAAATATATATAACCTCCATGTGCAAATACACCAGTCACATCAGATTGAACAGGGTAGCGCACGACCATCCATGTCCGTTTACGAGCCAAGTGTTCGAGACGAAGTCTAGTCGCAACACTTCGGCACTTCTATACTACCTTAACGCATATCCCTGCTTTAGTCCTGCTTGAGGAGGTACGACATACGTAAGTAGATGGTAGATGGTAGACCATTCCGTAAACATCACAAGGTATTACAGTGAAAGTATATATACACCCCAAGCGACACCAACCGATGCAAAGTACGTTAGCGCTGATAGCCAACATCAGAAACTGACAGGGATGAGTGTAGGTAGATATCGTGGGCGATTCTAGGTCCCGCCGAACTATTTTATCCATGTAAGTCGGTATTTACTCCTGATCCTGCAAGCCGATCGATCGAGTAATTTTCGTAATCGGATGTGAGGCGTCACCAACCGGGACGAACTAGGAATCTATCTACACTATGCTGGTTGGAAACAGCTTAGCATGGTTCATTTTATTCCAGATGGATCGATCGATCGATTGACATATTAGCTAATTGAGTTTAATTCTTCAGTTGAGTTCACCATGCCTACTGGTTTCAAGACGTTGACTGGTTAGTCGTGTATTGATGGCACGCAGGACAAGTCAGACGGGAGAGAACAAGTTGGTGTACTTAGACTGCCTCGGACAGGGATCGTGAAGGATTGAAACGGATCATCGTAGTACCACAGTAGTTAACCATACCAGGAATGGACTAGAATAATGATGCTGAGTGCCATCTAGACTCGCCGATCGATCTTGATTCATGACACTCGTCGCAAGTTAGGGCCAAATAAATAGTCTGGCGATCGACCGCAAGAGAAGAACATGATTGACATGGTAGATAATTGAGAGTCTCCATACTTCGTACAGACTATCCTGCTACCTGGTACCTGGGAGCGTAATATATTGGATCCATTTGATGTGGAATCCGAGAAAGAGACGACTTAAGCTTCATCCCATCGACAAGAGATGATGCCATGTCACCAACCAAATAAATCCTCCATGACAGTAACAAAACCAAAGCCAAACCATATCCAAGGGTAGGACAGGGACGGCACTGCAGTCGTTTCCTCAACAACGCCCGATGCGACGTGTCAAAGACGCCGCCGCGATGGATGAGAAAGGATGGGGGCGGTTCTCTCCTGGCTTCTAGGCAGAGAGAATTGGAGCAGTCAGACGGCGAGTGGATTTGTATGCACCTGATGGTATAGAAATGAGTTGTTTATGTATGTAGTTGCTATTCTCTGCATTTTCCCTGGTGTTTAGGAAATCGTGGAACGACGTCATCGACAATGGCATTCACCTTGTTTTATAATCCATATTATAATTAGTTAGTGTATTATAGTAGTTATTATATCCAGATGACTCCTGCAGGTGATACTGCCTCTGTTTTGTCATCTGCTTATGCACTTTCCCCCCCTCTCTCTCAGCCTTGTCTCCTCCTTCTCCCATCGCATCTTCTCGTCCCTCTCATCCATTCAGCTATTCATCATCTCAGCGGCGCCACTCCGCTTCCCGCCATGCGTTTTCCTATCTTGCCGTCCTGGATTACATTCCTGATTCCTTGTCGGCTCCCTCTGCTTCTCGATTTCTTCCTTTTTCTTTCTTTCTCGCTTCCCTTATATCTCGTGCCCTCCTCTCTAGACCCAGCTCCCTCACTCATTCAGAGTCCACTCACATACATATACACACACACACTCTCTCTCCCCCTTGTTGCTCCTTGTTGCAGCCACGCCTTGTGCAAATCCGGTTGTATCCCATCCCTATCGGATCTACTATCAAACTTTGATACTCTCGTACTAGTCTAGAGCAAGGTAAGCTGGTTTTCCTTTCCTTGGTTCGGCCGTTCCATACTTGGTCTCTCCGTCATATTGCGTACTTCTGTTCCGAGGGTCGACTCCAATTGCCACCCCATATCCCCGGAATGGTTCTCGAACACGGATCGGACGGATTGACTTTCTGCTTATGTTTCGGCCTGTAGCCTTTTTAAACCCCTTCTCACCATCGGTTGCATAATTTTTTTCTTTTTCTCTTCTTCTCTCTCTCTCTCTCTCTCTTTTTTTTTTTTTTTTTTGACCCTCCTTCTTCCGGCATTCCTCCATCCTGAGGAGCGCATTCCGCGGCTGTGTCAGCAGCCGTTTTCTGTCTTACCTCGACATTCCCCGCGTCGCATTAAGGAATTAGGTGCAGATCGGTGTTTCGTATGGTTACTGTTCCCGTCGCATATGCTTCCCCCCGGGGTTTCGCACCGTCGATTATAGGTCCTGTGCCTTCTCTTTGTTGTGCCCTCGGGCCCTTGGGTCCTTGGGTCCTATCTTTGTCCGCTTCTCTCTCTCTACTGTGCACCCTCGGGAATTGAGTGATCATTCATCATGCCATCCATGTGGAAAAAGACGAAAGGGTCCTCCAAAAGGGGATTTGACAAGGCATGGCACACGCTCGACAAGCTGGGCGACCCTGTCAACCGGCTGTCCAACCGCGTCGGTGCGGAAGCCTTCTGGCCCATGACTATTGACAAGGAGAGCGACAAAGCCGCTCGCATCCTGCGCAGCTTTTGTAAGGATGGCTTCTACTCCGACGATGTTTCTGAGCATCAGAGTCTGGACAGCGAGGCAAGTAAAAAGCCCGGGAAGATTACCAAGCCGAAGGGGAAACAGCGCGTCATCAAGAAGATTCCGACTTCGGTCATCCAACGGGCCAAAGGCCTAGCGATCTTCACCACCATGCGGACCGGTTTGTGGCTCAGTGGCTCAGGAGGAAGTGGCGTGCTCCTGGCGCGCATACCGGAGACAGGCGAATGGAGTCCTCCTTCCGGTATTATGCTCCACACGGCTGGCATCGGATTTCTAGCCGGCGTCGATATCTACGACTGCGTGGTCGTTATCAACACTCATGAAGCGCTGGAGGCATTTAAAAAGGTCCGCTGTACTTTGGGAGGAGAAGTGAGCGCATCGGCGGGTCCGGTAGGAATTGGAGGTGTGCTCGAGTCGGAAGTTCACAAGCGCCAGTCTCCAATTTGGACGTACATGAAAAGTCGCGGTCTCTACGCAGGGGTTCAGGTAGATGGAACCATCATTATCGAACGCACAGACGAGAACGAGCGTTTCTACGGCGAACGTATATCGGTCACTGATATTCTGGCGGGGAAAGCGAAAAACCCTCCGGCATCAATCAAGACCCTGATTCAGACCATCAAAGCCGCACAGGGTGACTCCGACATAGACGAACGCCTAGTCCCTCCTCCTGGGGAGACGCCCGGCGATGTCGACCTACAAACGACTCCTGGAACCTTTGGGATTCCCGACCCGGAAGATCCCGACCCATTTGGAGTGAAGGCATTAGAAGCAGAAGGTCTCTTCATTCGGGAGGCCGGTACGAGAGCTCGGCCCAGCGTAGAGGTCTTTGACTTCAAGCCCAGTCCGAATAGTCCTGTCTATGCCACCTTCCAACGCAGCCTCGACAGCTCACCGCGAAACAGCTGGCGAGCCAGTGTGCAAAGTTACGCCAGTATTGATAGAGGCACTCAGACTGATGGCGCCCCGGCAACCGCACCCACGTCTATTAGCCGGGCATCGTCTCGGAGCAATCGAGACTATGCAGACCGTATCGAGATGAGCACCTGGGATAGCGAGGAGAATCGCTGGGAGACGATCATCCCGGAACGAAGGAACGAGACCCATGTTTGGGAAGCCAACGAGGAGGAGAACGATGATGATGATGATGAAAAAGAACTCCTAGATGATGACGACGTTGAGATTCACGAAGCCAGCAGTACCACTATCACCAAACGTGAGAGTGCTGCGAACTCACCTTCCCCCGCGTCCTTGGAGGATCCAACTGTCCCCGCTGATCTGAGAGGCCAGTCGCCCACCTTCACTCGCGCACGACTCGTCACCATTCCCAAGCGGGTTCCCCCTGCACTGCCCCCCCGGAACCCTCAACGAGCACCTTCTTCCATCTCCACCCCCACCTCCCCTACCTCTGTTCCTTCATCTCCCGATGGTCGATACTCAGTGACATCCACCTCCGGACTTGCCGTAGTGGATGAGCTCAACGAGCTTCCTTTCCATCCCGCCAATGACACATCTAGCGTCGCATTCAAGGACGCTGAAGTCCACAACCCCCTCACCCGGACTTGCCCCGACAAAGACGAATTCCACTCCTTATCAAGTGCTGTATCATCATACTCAGTATCGGACCGCGCATCCGACACCGAGTTCAGTACCAAAGAGGCCTCCCTCTCCGACTTCACCCCATCCAAGACGGAAAATCCATCCGACAGTGTCGAATCCGCCGAAGCACCACTGGAAACCACCAAGACGATCACTAAAAATGATGCCCACACGACCACAGCTCTCCACTCTCATGCTGTATAATCTCGTTCTTCATCGATCTATATTCCATCTACCTACCAACTAAAAACCCATATCAAATCCGCGCTTTTCTCTTCGCCTGTATATATATTAGATTTTGGGGGACCGGGGCTTCATCCCGTTTTGTATATGGATGGTGGACTCCCATCTGCGTGTATCATTATCGCGGTGGTTCCCATCGGGGTTCCACCCTCTGTTTTACTTGTTTACTCTACTGGATCTTGCTCTGACGTATATTTGTGACTGTCTGAGTGTCTGTTTTTCTTTTTATGTCTTATTTCGTTTAGCGTACCGGCGTGGGTTGATGTGATTGGGATATTCAGCTGGGAATACCTTGGCGTCTGGGATCTTTCTTTTGTGTTGGATGGCGCATATCATGGCCAGGGTCGTTTATACTCGAGCCAGCCGGAGAATGACACCAGGCATGTTTCGATGGATGGACGGATTGGATTCACTTATATCCCATCGTGTTATTCAATCTTTCGCGCTGTATCGTGAATGGTTGGAGTACATTATAGGTTACAATATATCTAAATAAGCCATATCTGCCCCTGTTGACGGGAATCCCGTGGAGAAACGATCATGTTGGATGATCCTGAAGAATAATGATCCTGCCATTCGAACGATGATGCATCATAAGCCACGATAAGAACGTATTATTCTCCCATCCACTGTTTCCTCCCAATCGACCGGTTCCCCAAGTCTATCACCAATCAGTCTCCTGCATCGAACCCCAAGGAACCTCAAATCCGACGCAATGAAGAGAAAGAAGAATAAAATAAAGTAAAACTAACCATTAATCCAGCCATCTGAGATGTCCGCCGAGCCAACTCAACATTCTGTTATACAATTCCATCACAGTCGTGGGACGATAATTGTAGATCCATCCTACATTGTTCCACTCTTGCTCATCTTCCGCAATCGCAGAAAATCCCCAGGCCCGCATCTGGCGCCTGATCTCCTCTTCCTCGTGCACCAAACCTTGAACCCGCAGATCTATTGCCCACAGATCGCCCAATTGATCCCCCATCTGGTCCAGTCCTTGCTCGATGCGCTCCCAATTCCCCCGCGGCAGCTGGTATATCACGTTCACGATCTGCTCGCGGAGGTCCCGCTGTTGTTGAAGGACGACCCGCATCTGTTGGTGAATCTCCCGGAGAGAACGCTGCAGGCGCTCGTGTGTCCTTTGATGGCGACGGTGGATGTTTTGGATCTGTCGATGGAAGTCTTCTGCTGACATCATGGGGCGTGAGGACATAAAGATAAAGGTCTGGTGTTTTCTTGTTTCTGAGATGACAATGATGGACCCCGTTCGAGATGCAAAGTAGAGCTGAGTATCATGAGATTGACTACGCGGCGCGAGACGAAAGGGACACCCGGACTGCGAATGTGTTCTCTATATTTGGGCATTGTTGCCATTGCTCTTGCCTTGCTTGTACCTAGTCATCCCATCTGTCCCTTCCAGAGATGCTGGCACGGCTCCTGCTATACTGGGACCACTAGTTCCTACCTGCTGCCTTGCTCACATTGTTATTGTCTTGTAGATCATATGGTATCGTCTACAATAAGAGACCCTGCCTCATCGGGATACGATGCCGTCCCCAGTCAGCACTGCCAATTACTAACTGGCTACAGAGTAGAAGCTAAGCAATTCGATCAACTAGATAAGCTCAGTAGCCCCATCTGGCCAATCATGACGCCAATCGGACCGTCCGGACGGTCGATGTAACGATCGACATGCGCTTTCCCCCACTATGGGTGATACCTTGATACGATTACGAACTCTTAATTAACTCTTTTACAAATTCCCAATTTCCGTTGATGCCTCTAGTCCCTATTTAAAATGCCACTATCCCCTCCCTCTGGATTCCGTCCTCTTTGTAGTCAGAAATGCCTTCTCCGTCCCGCCTGTTCACCACCGTCGCCCTGGTGGCCGGCGTTGCCGGTCAGTATTTCCCGCCAACCCCCGAGGGCCTGAAGGTCATCCACTCGAAACACCACGAAGGGGTCACCATATCGTATAAAGAGGTAGGCATATATTTCTCATTAACGGATTTTGGGGCTTTTTCTGACCGGGTGCATACACTACGTGCCAGCCTGGGATCTGTGAAACCACCCCAGGCGTCAAATCATACTCGGGCTATGTACATCTGCCTCCGGGCTCGCTCGGCGACGTATCGCTCGATCAGGATTACCCGATCAATACTTTCTTCTGGTTTTTCGAGTCGCGGAATGATCCTCAAAATGCCCCTTTGTCGATCTGGATGAACGGTGGGCCCGGAAGTTCGTCAATGATCGGCTTGTTGCAGGAGAACGGACCGTGTTTGGTCAATGCCGATTCCAATTCCACGGAGATCAATCCCTGGTCCTGGAACAACTACGTGAACATGCTGTATATTGACCAGCCTAATCAGGTCGGCTTCAGCTATGACGTTCCCACCAATGGCACCTTCGATCAGCTCACAGGCAAGATGAACGTCTCCGCATTCCCGGATGGTGAAGTTCCCAAGCAGAACAACACGTTCTATGTGGGCACCTTCCCCAGTCTGAACCAGTCGACAGCTGCCAATACTACGGAAAATGCTGCCCGTGCGCTGTGGCACTTCGCGCAGACCTGGTTCTCGGAGTTTCCGCATTACAAACCCCAGGATGACCGAGTCAGTATCTGGACCGAGTCGTATGGGGGCCGGTATGGCCCGTCTTTCACGGCCTTTTTCCAAGAACAGAATGAGAAGATCGACAACGGGACGATTGATGCCGACTTGGGTGCCCATTACATTCATCTGGATACCCTGGGCATCATCAACGGCTGCATCGACTTACTGATCCAATCACCTGGTTACCCCCAAATTGCGTACAACAATACCTATGGTATTGAAGCGATTAACCGCACCGTTTACGAGGCGGCAATGGACGCTTGGAGTAGGCCTGGTGGGTGCAAGGATTTGATCACGGAGTGTCGCCGACTCGCCAAGGAGGGGGACCCTGAGATGTATGGCAATAATGCAACCGTCAATGCGGCTTGTTCCAAGGCGAACGACTACTGCAGCGATCAAGTGGAGGGGCCATATCAACTGTACTCCAAGCGGGGCTACTACGACATGGCACACCCCGATCTCGACCCGTTCCCTCCAGAGTTTCTCCTCGGTTTTCTCAACCAACACTGGGTCCAAGGGGCGCTTGGAGTCCCCATCAATTTCACGGAGTCCATTGACAGTGTTTTTGGCGGGTTTGGTGCAACGGGCGACTATCCGCGATCTGACGTGCGCGGGTACTTGGAAGACATTGGGTACGTTCTGGATTCCGGCATCAAGGTAGCCTTGGTTTATGGTGACCGGGATTATGCCTGCCCCTGGAATGGAGGCGAAGAGGTCAGTCTGCTCGTCGATTATGCCGATGCCGACCAGTTCCGTTCGGCGGGCTATGCAGCGCTCCAGACGAATGCGACGTATGTCGGCGGTCGCGTCCGACAGCATGGAAACTTCTCCTTCACCCGCGTCTTCGAGGCGGGCCACGAGGTGCCCGCGTATCAACCCCAGACGGCATATGAAATCTTCCATCGTGCGATGTTCAACTGGGACATTGCCACCGGTAAGATCTCTACAGCTGAGAATCATGATTATTCCAGCGAGGGACCCTCGTCGACTTGGAATATCACCAACACGGTGCCCGCCAGCCCGGAGCCCACTTGCTACATCCTCTCACTAGGTTCCACATGTACCAATGAGCAGATCGAACGAGTGGCCAACGGCACAGCGTTGATCAAGGATTACATTGTGGTTGGCTAGGATTGGTTGTGTGGGACTATGGACGGAAGGCACAGTAGTTGGTATTTTTTGACGACAGCATAGATAACCAACATTGTGATATATGTGATTATATATGCACCTTCCTAAATAGGTTTAATAGTTATACATAGGGATTACCTCAGCCTATACCAACCCAAATAGGCAAGTCGCCCACTAGGAGCCGACAATGTCGATGGAAGACGACACAACGGCTCGAGAGATGCAGCTCATCAAGGGCGCAGGCTCACCTCCGAATGTAGTTTGTCAGTTCATCCGGACTGGCTCCGCGATCCTGGCTGCCCTCATTCATCCTGAGCACGAAATCAACTGACGGGGCGAAGCTTCTCGAACCTTCGATTGGGCGGCGGTCAAGCGATGTCACACGTCACAGCTGGGCTCCATCCGGACTGGCTGTCGTCACCTGAAAGAACCCATTCATCAATGCCCCTCTCTTCCTCCTTCCTGCAGGTAGGTGATTTATTCTGCGCAATCTATCATCTTCCGTCTGCATTCACGCAGTTAAAATCCCTCCCTACAGCTATTGTATCAGGCCATATCTGAGCCGCTGAAGTATAGCCGTGCCGACCCCTCGATCGTCGTTCCGTGAATCTTCTACGTCATTCGAGATCCAACCAGCTGACGCCCTCGTCTTCAGGGTTGATCCCGTCCACCTGTGGTTGACAGACTTTTCTTTCTTTTCTTATCTTTTCTTTTTTTTTCTTTTTGTTTTTTGCCCTTCCTGCGCCGTATTTATTACCAGCGGATCGAGCATTTATATACTCATTTGGTTCATCCAATTAGCGTTTTGTTGGTTTTGATCTCGCTCATACCGACTTACCGCCGTAACGATCCCCCCTGTATCTATCTGCACAATGGTGGCAGAAACCAAGCTCTACGATTCTTTGAGCATTAAACCTGATGCTTCTCAAGATGATATCAGAAAGGCATACCGGAAGGCTGCATTGAAGTACCATCCGGACAAGAACAAAGACAACCCGACTGCTTCTGAGAAGTTTAAAGGTACGTTGATTCTGCCATTTATACTCTCTCCCGAATTGTCCCCCCCCCCCTTTCTGCACGGTCTCAATAGCTTATTAACTTTCAACAGAGGTTTCTCAAGCCTACGAAGTCCTGTCCGACCCCGAAAAACGCAAGGTCTATGACCAATTCGGTCTCGAGTATCTCCTTCGCGGGGGTCCTGCCCCATCACCCGGCGGTGCCGCGGGTGGCAGCCCCTTCGAAGGTGGGATGCCAGGAGGATTCGCATTTGGCGGCATGCCTGGCGGTGGTGGTACCCGTACATTCCATTTCTCAACTGGTCCCGGTGGAGGCGGGTCAGGCTTCCGCTTCAGCTCTGCAGATGATATTTTCCGCAACTTCGCCAAGGCAAGTGGTGGTGGCGGTGGCATGGGTATGGATGATGATGATCTCTTTTCCATGCTGGGAGGTGGCCTAGGCGGCGGAAACGGTCGCAATTTCCGATCGAGCCGTGGACCTAGTGGGTTCCAGCAATCCAGACGCGCGCCTGCCCCGGAACCTACCGTGATGGAGAAGGAACTGCCGCTGACTCTGGAGGAATTGATGCATGGCACGACCAAGAAGGTTATCGTCAAGAGCAAGACTTTCGATGCCAGCGGGAAACGGACCGTTCAGGACGTCACCCTGGAAGCCAACATCAAGCCAGGTCTGCGGACTGGGTCGAAGATCAAGTACCGAGGTGTAGGTGACCAGGAAGAAGGTGGCAGGCAAGATGTGCATCTTATTGTCACAGAAGTAAGTATAACCCTTTCACCAACAGGCAAGACCTTACACGAGCGAGCATCACTAACGCATGGCCTACAGAAAGAGAACCCCAATTTCAAACGGCAAGGAGACAACCTCATCACAACGGTCGAGCTCAGTCTCAAGGAAGCTCTCACCGGCTGGGAAAGAATTGTACGCACGATCGACGGAAAATCAATCCGAGTCTCCAAGCCCGGCCCGACACAGCCTGGACACGAAGAAAGGTTTCCTAGCCTGGGTATGACGATATCGAAGAAACCTAGCGAGCGGGGTGACCTTATCGTCCGAGTCAATGTGAAATTCCCAACCAGCTTGACCTCATCTGAGAAGGATATTCTAAGGGATGTGCTTCCATAAATGTCTACCTTTTTATTTTTATTGTTTTTTTTTTTTTTTTTTTCCTTTTTAAGGTTCACATCAGTTTAGCATTATTGGCGTTTGGAAGGAGGGCGGGCTTGTTTAATGACCATTTATGACGACGACTGGGGCGCTGTGCTTTACATTGCTTAGATTCCTAGTATAATAAAAGCATTTATTAACAGTATTCGAACGGAACCCAGTTGACCGCCCTCGGCTGCCAAGCCGCACTGGCCATCTGACTTATCTTATCAACCTCGTGACGAAAGGAGCATGACCATGGAGGTGTCATACCTATAACTCTTCCTTCCCCTCGGCATCAAATCAAATCAAATCAATTAATTCTATCCAAAATGCGCCGAAGAATCACCTTCGTCCAACGACCCACTGCCCCTTTCGAACTCGACCAAGCCATCCTGACTTCCGACTACCTCTCCATTCGCGACGTGGATGGTGTCCGCGAGGAACGCGCAACATTCAGCTTCGATGAGCTGCCTGACGATGTAATAGCCCTCATCCCGTCATCTCATTCCATCATCCCTTGGTGTAGTATCTATCCCGTAGCCTTGGAGATAAACATAGAAAGGAAAGAGTGACTCTGACTATTTCTCTCTCTCCTGCATGTTATACGCTTCTACAGCTTCGATATGTCCTGAACCAATCCCACCAACTACATATTCGATGGGCCTCAGAAATCCCATTTCATACCGTTGCACCGTTTTCAAGTCGGGTTTCTTCAGGTTTGCATGTTTTTTTTACCCCGGTTAAGGTGGGGGATGCGTGAGTTCTCTCTCGCTTTGTCTTTTGGAGATGTTGTGGATTAAGTTGATTGCGTTGAAGTGGTAGGGTGTCGTTGTGTGAGTTGTTAAAGGAGGTGTTTGATCATGGGTTGGATTGTATCACTCCTCTGGTTGGTATCCCCCTCTTCCCTCCTCTCTTGGAGTTTACCCTCGTGTATGGATGGATGCTGATATTGATGTGATACGACACTAGGATTCGTTCATAACTCCTCCGATCCTCTCGACGCGGTTTGCTTCCACCGCAGCGTTTCAGTACTATACTCGGCTACCGTCGCTGGATAAGTTCATCACTTATATCCAGAAAAAGATCTGTTCGGGCTCCGATGAGACGTGTCTTGCTCAGGCCGCGTCAATTGCCGCCGCGGACTCGGTCGATATCAACTTTGATGGTATCTCGCATGCTCTCACAATTACCGGGTTCTGGTCGCGGTCTCCCGCTGGAGGATGGACAGAGAAGATCTGGAAACCTGTTAAAGGGGTGATGGATCAGGTCGAGGTTGGACTTCTGGGTGCCGAGAAGGCTGTGGAGCCCGAGGAGATCAAAATGGGCGGGTTATTGGGTGTTGTTGGGACAGATGATAAATTAAGTAGGTCTCTTATTACTCTACTCTGCTCTGTTACTGGCTCTTGTCGTTTCTATCCCTGCTCGCTTTGGGTTCTGGATGATAATGACAACTGATCGGGCTTAGAACCCACTCTGTTTTCCTTCCCGTCTCGTCATCATCCTCTTCCAGACGATGCCACTTACTCGGTCTCTTTTCCGCCTCCCACCGGGCTGCATCCCGCAATGACCATCTCGATTCCTCGGACTTCCCTTGAGCCTCCACCGGCCCCGCTGGACGCGACTTGCGCGCTCCATACCTATCTGACTCTGCCATCGACGATATTCGGCGACAAATACCAACTCGATACGACAGACCCGTTGTTCCTGGACTCCCATCATCTGAAGGCGCTCCGGGCGGTGGCCGGGGAAACGGATCTTGAAGCCCCGGATTGGTTCGTATCTCACTGGGGCTCGAACTGGCTGCTCGAGCTGGCCATCCCGGACACTGGGGATCGTAACACAGATGATTGGAATGTCACAATTCCGCTGCACTTGCGGTACTTGCGGCCATCCGAATCCGGGTATCGGTCTGCTTCCATCCCGTGGCCAGTAGTCTTCTGGGCCTGTACGGCTGAAGAAGGCACTAAGATGGGCAGGAACCCATTTGACCGGGTAAACTTGGGATGGGAGGGGCTGTTTGGCCCCCGTACCATGTTCTATCAGCTCCATCCCAGTCACAAAGACGGACCTTCTTCGCGCCGACTGGTAGAAGACTTGGAGATACCCGTCCTCCGACTGAAGGAGGGCAGTGGAATCTTCCAGAGCAAGTCCATTGAGCTGGGCACTGTCGTCGTAATTGTCCTGGGGTTGCTGTGGGTGCTATGGAAGCTGGGTGTAGTGGCACGTTCTTCCGGGACCGGGTCCCAAGTGCGAAGGCATAGTGACAAGCAGAAGAAGTCCCAATGAGCTGGATTACTGTGTTTTTTGATGAGATTAGCGTCGCTCTTGCATTCATCGTCTGGCATTTTCCAGGTCTGTACCTTAGATTATATTATTCTTGACTATACGAGTATTAGACATTCATACCGTATGCTGTACAAGAATAATACAAGAAAGATCGATGCCACCTCAAACCAGGGGTCTATTCAGACCCCCGTTTCTTGATTAAACGGCACGTCGGTTGTCAGAAAATTATCCAGGTCGAAATTTTGAAGACCCGGCAGATCGATTAATATGTCACTCAGCCACGAGAACCCCGGATAATCCGCCAGGGAATGCGTTGACTCCGACGCTATCGGTTGCTGTTCTAGGGCCAGGATCGGCGGAGCAGAGACAGAGGAGCTTGTGTGAAGGACATCTCGCAGTGCTTTTGTGTCTTCCTCTTTGCGCTGCTGGTGTAGGAGGATCAACAGGTAAGCGGTGCTGTGGGCCTCGCGCATCACCTCGGTGTCATAGGTCATGGCAACCTCGCGGAGCGTTTGCATGGCCTCGCTCAGCAATGTCAACGACGCGCGAGTGTCGATTGCCAGCAACGTGCAGACTATCTGGAAAGGTACATTGGCTATTTGGTGCCAGGGACAGACCGCCGCCACCATCTCGCGGGAAGCTCGGAGACCTTTCTTAGCCAGTACGAGGACACGATCCAGCAGCTTGCCGGAGATGACGGAATTCAGAGCGCGCAGACGGCGGTATAGGCATAGCATCAGATTACATTGCGCTAATATTAACGTCGGCTGCACGTGGACATCGTCGAGGACGTCGCTCAGGGCGGATTCTAGATCCGAGGTGTTCTGCGACTTATTAGGATCCAGACTTTCAGATACAGGGAGGAGGTTGAATATTTCAGTCGTGTAGCCCGTAGGTCTAGGGGTCGGTGAAAGCGATGTGGCACCGTGTAGAACGACTCGGGTTCGGCCAAGCTCGAAAGAGATCCAGACGTTGAGATGACGCGCCATACCGTATAGTCTCCGGCGAGTTTCTGGATCACAGGGCTCGGTAGATTGGCCGAGGATCGTGTCTGGAAGCTGTTCGAGGTGCAGACCAGCCGCCTCAACCAGATGCATTAGGGAGCAGCTCGCCATCCACGCGGCATGAGGTGAGGCCGTCATGCGCAGGTAGGCGACTCTGAGGACCATGCCAGTAACAATGTCGATGGACGAACGCTCCGAGAGCATGTGGTGCTCTAAGATAAGTCGAGCCGTTTCAACCAGCTGCAGCTCAGTTGGAATGGCCTGTCGACGCGAGAACAGGTACCCGAATGCCGCGACACCGCAGAGTACTGCATCATAGGGCCCATAGGACAGGGCGGACTCGCTGGATGAAGGCAACCATCTCCTGCTTACTTGGCGCAGGACACTGTCACGATCCAGAAATCCGTAGCACGGGTCCACCTTTTCGAAGAAAATGGTGATCAGGGCTCGCATCTCATCCTGAGAGAGAATGTCGACCACAGGCACCGCTACGGCTGCTGACGGCGGAGGCATCGGTGGCAGCGGCGCATGGCGAGCGCCGACATTCCAAGCAAACATATGGAGCCTCGGTGCATTGGCTGGGTCGATCTTGAGTCCCAATCTCCGCACGAACGCCGCTCCGGAATTGGCTTCCAGGGAGTTCAGGTCAACTGCGAGCAAGTCACCAGGCGTCTGGTCCTGATGGTGGGACTTGGAGGTGGCAGTCGTCTCGTTGAGAATGCCGGAGCCAGACGGGGGCCGGAACAATTTGACATCTTTTTTCTTGCGGGATAGCAGATCATAGTGGCAATCGACGCCAAATTGGCAGCAGGTGGTACATGGCTGATCTCCTGAACATTTACGTTTACGGGACTGACATGAAACGCAGGCGACGCGGGAGCGCTTCCGTGCGGGCTCACCCATCGTCTGGTGATCCGTCATGATCTAGAGCATTTCGTGGATGGTTGTTGTCGAGAGGAAGATGAGCTGGAGAATGAGGAGAAGTACGAGAGACCGGAGTAGATCGCTTTAGTGAAACTGCACGGGATGCTCTTCCTGTTCGGGATAAGCGTCAACTGCCAGAAGTATCTCGTTAAGCTCCAGTATCTCAGCACATCTCATCTACATTCTACACGGCGTCCTTTGGGATCCTAATGAGACCTACTCTGGGTTTGCTCACTCTGATCTGTAAATCGATCTTCATCACATGTAATCACAAGGGTTATAGCCCCATGGGACTCCAACAGCCGCCAGACCAGGTGTATCAAGTTTGGCTCTTGGAGAATGCAGATATGTTGGGTAATCACCAGCTAACTATCTCTCAATTCACTATAAATAACTACTGTCTGGTTTGGTCATACATAGGGCCCAGTTATCAACCCGACACATATCTACTCCGGAGTACAAAGCGAGTCTTATCCACGTTGCGGAAGCAGAAGGACAATCACCGCAGTATCTGCCGTGTAGCCGGTCAGGGTCTGTCATCCTATCCTTACATCATTGCGTGCTCTTTCAGTTGTACTTATATGCTGAATATGTATTCTGCGTACTGTACGGAGTAGGGTGGAGTGCAATCATAAGATAAAAATTCTTTATCTGTCATATTTCTGATAACAAGGTGACTCAGATCCGATTACGCAGGGATTTTGGTACCGCTGATTGGCCGACGGGATGACGAGTCGGTGAGCCAGATCACGTGCCTCCGTCCGGGCCGAAAATCGCACTTTTCCGCTTTTTCTTACTTTTTCCTTTTATTTCTCTGTCTCTCCCCGTCCTTGACTCACTCAGCTCTTCTTCTTCCCTAGACTTCCCATCCAACTCTTATATCTTGTTGACTCTTTTCTCTCCCAACCCATTTCATTCATCTTTTATACTGACTGGTACCGCCACCGTCGCGCTTATGCGTTTGCATTCCATCTTCACTTCTCAGGTAGGTTACCCCATATCACCACCGATGTCATCCCCCCTCCGCATTCCGGGGGTTGCCACTGAATAAGGTCAAGCAGTCACAACTAACTTACATTCTCTCAGGACTACATCTCGGATCAGATCTGGAAAGCTTCCGGAAACCACTGAATTTCTCAATATACTCCCGAATCTCACACGTATCCTAAACAAACTCTTAAGAATGTTTGCTCGACTCTCCAAGGTCATGCCCATAAGGGCCTCTACCTTCCCTTCCGTGAATGCTTCCATCCAGTCTCGCTTCATGGCCACGGTGCGTCAAGGACGACCCGCCCATGAGCGTGCTACTTTCACGATCCGAGATGGTCCTATCTTCCATGGCAAGTCATTTGGCGCTCGCACCAACATCTCCGGAGAGGCCGTCTTCACCACGTCTCTGGTCGGATACCCCGAGTCTCTGACGGACCCGTCCTACCGTGGTCAGATTCTGGTCTTTACCCAGCCCTTGATTGGGAACTACGGCGTCCCCTCAGCTGAAAAAGACACCAATGGCCTTCTCAAGTACTTTGAGTCCCCCAACCTCCAGGCTGCAGGTGTTGTTGTGGCCGATGTCGCCGAGCAGTATAGCCACTGGACCGCCGTTCAGAGCCTTGGCGAATGGTGTACTCGTGAAGGTGTTCCTGCCATTTCGGGTGTTGACACTCGTGCCATTGTAACTTACCTCCGTGAGCAGGGTTCCTCCTTGGCCCGCATCACGGTGGGCGAGGAGTATGATGCTGACCAAGATGAGGCATTTGTGGATCCGGAGCAGATCCATCTCGTCCGTCAGGTTAGCACAAAGGCTCCTTTCCACGTGAGTGCTGCGGACCCTCAATGCCATGTTGCAGTCATCGACTGCGGGGTTAAGGAGAACATCCTGCGAAGTCTGGTCAACCGCGGAGCCAGCATTACTGTGTTCCCCTTCGACTACCCCATCCACAAGGTTGCTCACCACTTTGACGGGGTCTTTATCTCCAACGGTCCTGGCGATCCAACTCATTGCCAGGCGACTACTTATCACCTGCGCCGTCTGATGGAGACCTCTCAAGTACCGATTTTCGGTATCTGCTTAGGCCACCAGCTTTTGGCACTTGCCGCTGGTGCTCGTACCATCAAGCTCAAGTACGGAAACCGTGCCCACAACATCCCGGCTTTGGACCTAAGCACTGGTCGCTGCCACATCACGAGCCAGAACCATGGCTATGCCGTTGATACCACGACTCTCCCATCGGACTGGAAGCCTTACTTCGTAAACCTGAACGACTCGAGCAATGAGGGTGAGTATAATCTTCTTATTCTTTGGATTCTACAACCAATGTACTCACATCTTTCGTATCAGGTATGATCCACAAGTCTCGTCCCATCTTCAGTACTCAGTTCCACCCTGAGGCCAAGGGAGGCCCTCTGGATTCTTCGTATCTCTTCGACATTTACTTGGATAGTGTCCGCAAGTACAAGAACAACCAGCTGGCATTCTACCCGAATAGGGAAACCACCCCTAGCCCTCTTCTAGTTGATTTGCTGGCCAAGGAGCGTGTCGGAGTGCAGCCTACGATTGGTATACAGAACGTTCAGGCTGCCGCTGCCGCTGCCGCTGCCGCGTAATTGTTTTGTAGGGCTGAGTTTGTTCACGGAGTACTGGTTTTGGTTTTAGGTTGCACTTGCCTTGGTTTCCGTAAATACTTGTTAATACGTCAATTCGGTCTGGTCATCCTCCATCTGGAAATATATTCTGTCTATGTCCATCTATTCTTAAAACGTATTGAGTAGGTTTTCGATGTAGAAGCGATAGTTCTCGTGTATGTATGTGTCTTAGACTATTCTATGGTCTGCGCTCGCGGGTGGCCATTCAATCATTAAGCGACATATCATGATCTGAGACACCGTCAATGCTCCAAAATTTGAGATCCTTGCTCTAGTTCTCTGCAACTCCACCGTTTTATTTTGCAATAATCGAAACTACATCTTCATCGGCCACCACGTGCGATAGTCCAACACGTTGGGGGATATGTCTCGCACTAGCTCCCCACACCATTGCATACTTGAATGTCTCTTTCAGCGTCCGATGGATCTGATCGCAAACGTCTTCAATGGTAGACAGGGACCGCACAATCAGAGCTTCGGAGAAATCCGGCTCCTCGCCTTTCCTAGATTGGATTTAGACCAGGGACGGACTCTTAAATGGAAGTTGAGAACGAAAGAACGTACCGCTTCGTATATATTCTGATCAAACGAAGTTCCTTCCAAATCCGATCTACTACTTCTTGGATGCCGAGGTCTAGTTCACAGCTCATTACGGCGGTGTGCGGCTCACGCGCGAGCTTGTCCAGGAAGTCGAGGCTGACGCTATCGATTTTGTTGTATACGTAGAGGCTGGGTGAATTGGGGTCAGCTATGCCCGGGATACAGGAGCCAGCTATTTACCATCGAATGTATTTTCTATGGTCTTTCATGATCACGTCGATGAAGTCGTCGACCGTGGCTGTCACAATCAAAGTTAATTGAAAGAAGACCCTCAACGGCATTGAAATGAGAGCTGGGCCATACCATATTCGTCTCGAACCAGAACTTCACAGTTGAGTATTTTGTAGTCCCGAAGCACATTGTATATCATCTTCTCGTCGAGATATTTGGGTGGTGTTTGGAACGTAATCTTCATTCCGCCTGCCTTCTTGGCTTTCAGATAGATGTTCCTGAGATACAAATCTGTCAGTGATTCAGCCGAGACAGCTGGCAATGAGTGTGATATGCTTACGGGGGGTCCTTATTAAGTCTGATCCCAACGGCATCCAACTCCGCCTCCAGCAGCGCCCGTTGTTCAGCTCGCTTGGTGGCATCAAGAACCATCAAAACCAAATCACTCGTCTGAATGGAATAATGAGCCAGATATCCAAAATAACATAGGGAGGAGGACCCTGACCTTCGCCGCTGAAATCACTTGCCGTCCTCTTCCCTTCCCCTCCGCAGCACCTTCAATGATACCCGGAAGATCAAGAATCTGGATCTCAGCTCCCCCGTATTCCAACACACCCGGGATGGCTGTAAGCGTGGTGAAAGAGTACGCGGCGGCCTCGCTTTTCGTCTTGGTGATTTTGCTCAGAAACGTCGATTTACCTACCGACGGGAATCCAACCAGAGCAACCCGGGCATCGCCACTCTTGCTGACATCGAAGCCTGCACCGCCACCACCTGAGCCGCCTGTCGGTTCTAGCAGCTGCGCTCGTAATCTGGCGAGTTTTCTGCAGGGTCGTTGGTATCATTCTGGGGCAGTATTCTGGAATGGGGTTGAGGCGTGACCTACCCTTTCAGTAGACCAAGATGATACTCTAATCCATGAGTCAAAGTCTATCCATTGTTCACTGCATCAGGGGGAAGCACCGCCGTACCTGTGGCCTTGTTCTCTGTCTATCTGTTAGCTGCGGGGTTACCGGGAGGAGTGTTCGAGGTCACGACTTACTCTGCGTCCTGCGCATCTCATCTTCGATCCTGCAGATTTGGAATTAGTCTTGACTCCATTTCTGTGCATCCTGAAGAAGAATCTGTAAAGCATACTCCTTGATCTTGTCTGTGATGTTCACCATCTTGCCGGTTGAGGGAGCCCCGCGGACCGAACGAACTCCGAAAGGGGGCTCTGTAAGCAGCTGGCGTTGGAAAAACGGTGGAGGAAGTAAGAAGCAAAAGAGACCTAAGGACAGACGCTACCATATGCGACTATATCCGACTTAGCCACTGCCGTGGACCGATCAATGTCCGACTGTCTGGGGAAATCAAATAAATCGCCTTAAATTATTGCGATGCCAAGCCTTACGTAATCTCATCCGCCAACTTCTCGCCTCCGACAGAGCGAGAGTGAAGCATCACTCTCCCAGACTCTCCTTCTTCTGCCCACCACTCTCCCACAATGGCTGAAATAGACGTTGTCGACTCTGCGGAGTCTGTATCCATATCTGCAGAACCCACTCAGCCAGACCAGCTAATCTCCAACGAGGAGACTGCCCTCACGACTCAATCCGCCCCCGCGGATACTGAAGCAGACGCTGGGCAGAAAAAAAAGAAGATAATCCGACGAAAGCGACGACCAGCCCGGCCACAAGTCGACCCGGCCACGATCAAGTCCGAACCACCTCCACAGACGGGGACAACGTTCAATATTTGGTACAACAAATGGTCCGGGGGCGATAGGGAGGACTCCATATTGTCGAAACATGCGGCGCCGTCGCGGTGCAATATAGCGGAAGACAGTGGCTATACACGGGCCGATAAGGTGACCGGCTCATATTTCTGTCTCTTCTTTGCGCGAGGTATCTGGTAAGTGGACCGGCACTTATGTGGGTCAATCTACGCCGGTTAAAACTAACCAATCCGTGTCTATTTCTAGCCACAAGGGTCATGAATGCGAATATCTGCATCGCCTACCCACGTTGCATGACATCTTCAATCCGAACGTTGATTGTTTCGGACGCGACAAGTTCAGCGACTACCGCGACGATATGGGAGGTGTAGGATCATTTATGCGGCAGAATCGGACGCTCTACGTTGGTCGGATCCACGTAACGGATGATATCGAAGAGGTGGTATCGCGACATTTCGCGGAATGGGGACAGGTCGAACGGATCCGAGTTCTGACCTCTCGCGGGGTGGCCTTTGTCACGTATACGAATGTCGCGAATGCTGAGTTCGGGAAGGAAGCAATGGCGCATCAGTCTCTCGACCATAGTGAAATCTTGAATGTTCGCTGGGCTACAGTCGACCCGAACCCATTGGCCCAAAAACGCGAGGCAAGACGACTGGAAGAACAGGCTGCTGAGGCAGTGAGGAGGGCACTACCAGCTGAGTATGTTGCGGAGCTTGAAGGTCGGGATCCAGAGGCGCGGAAGAAAAAGAAAATTGAAGGTAGCTTCGGACTACAAGGATACGAGGCACCGGACGATGTGTGGTACACCAGGACGAAGCAGTTGGAGGATGCCAGGAAGGCTGGCCAGCTGGAGGAGCTAGACCAGCCTCATATGATTGAACCCGCTGCCCCGTCGGCTGAACCTCCAGCACCGGAAGCAGCAGGTGGTGGGATCTTCTCCAGTTCCACCGTGGCGGCGTTGAAGGGGCTGGCAGGTAGGAATGTCATCACCCAGGCCCCTCCTCAGTCCTCCGGGGGTCCATTGGTGGCTTATGGGAGTGATGATGAAAGTGACTAATTCTATGGCTCATATGAGGAGCCTTTTCTATGATATGTATGTACAATAACAGCGATACCTTGGAATATTCCCTATGTTTCTCCTTTACTGGTTGCTGGTTTGCATGGAATGAATACGGGTATAATTCGCTATAAAACAGAGAGGAGATCTAAAATTAGGTCACATAGACGCAAATCAACATTGAAGGAAATGCATAACGCATGGAAGATCATCTCTTCATCTCTCATTTCTCCTTCCCAGATCATAGTACAGACAGGATCCCGTGCGATAATTATATATGAAAGCATTGGTGAAACTATCCGCACCATCCCCGACATGGCTCTCGTTGGCTAGGTCGACTAGTAGTTCGTGGACCTGACTGAGGTACTTTCTCTCGGTCAGCGGCGCATTCTGTATGACTGCGCGCCAGCTGTCGGGATCCGATAGACGCGTGTCTCGGATTGCGTCCAACAGGTCATCCCGAGTGTCTATGGCCGCAATGGGCCCATTCAACGCATCTTCAACAACTTCTCGAGAACGGAATAGGGCTGTTACGGTCAGAGGACATATATGAATGAATAGAAGAACACAGTTAGAACATACCCGACTCGACGATGTTTCTCCTATTTGTCTTCTTGCTCCTGTGCTGTGGCACTAGGATGCGCACGTCATTCGCACGTTCACTATTTCCTCCATATAGATCAGGTTGACTCGACAGTCGGCACTGCCGTAGAGAATCAGCAGTGCCTTCGCGCTGATTACGTGCTCGTATCTCGTTTCGAAGCCACGGAATGAGCTCAAAGCTCCGTATATCAAGCTCTTCTCTAGGTACCATGCATCGGATCTTGAAGCCTCGCTCCTGGCTATCTTGCTTTGCAATAACGATCCAGTTATGGTTGTGATCCCTGTACTTAGTAATGAGCTCCTCAAGCGAGCCCGCATCAACTGCTAATTCTGCACTGATGTCACTCGCCCAGAGATCCTGAATAATCTTCACCCCCATGGTGCGCAAAACAGTCGGGTCGAAGCTTGCAACAAGGACGTCACACTAGTTCTATTTAGCAAGGCTAAATTAAGGTACCGGCGGCGTTTGACTTACCCTTCTCGTCTTCCAAAAAGGCCCGGCTTCGGTCTCAGGCTGCTTCATAGAGGGCTTAGTGGAGCCCCGAAGGTAGTCAAGCATGGATGAACTAAGCCTGTCCCAGCTCAAATTGAAACCCACAGCGTGTGTTTGCGAGCGGCTCGTTAGCACTTTTGGACGGAACTCTTGAACGAGCGAGTCATATCGACCACCCGCTGCAAAGACATCTCGGCGTTTACTGTCAAAAACACACTGAAAAAGAATGCTCCCCCTGAAGAATTTGTCGTTCAAGCTTCCAAGGGGATTGACATAGACCTTGCGCTTTACATCGAACCCCTGCAAATAGGCCACAAGCAGGTTTAAACGGGCAAAGATAGGCGCCAACCGTTCAACGAATTCTGTGCCCTCCATAATAGCCCGGAGTCTTTTCTGTGTTTGCTTCGGGGAGTCTGCTACACATTAGCCTAACAGCTATCTCCTTCAGACATCTACGAACGTACCTCTAAAATCAAACCTTGCAAGATCATCCAAAGAAGTGGAGGCAACACCTATGGCTGGAGAGCGGAGCTCACTGCGAATCTTTTGCATTGTCCATTTCCCGACATTCAATTTGCTGACAACCTCTTTTACCAAAGGGATCTGTGATGGCGTTATGCGGCAAAATTCCATGACCAGTTGAAGGAGGTCGGAATGATTTATCAGGAAACACATAGGAGCGGATCTCAAGGGAGGGAAGTCCTCAATTATCTCGTCGAGAACCTTGATCACCTCAGCTTCCTTCAAGGCCAAATCGAGTGTATTGTGTGACACAATATCAAAGTCCACTTCTTTATGCGTCCTAGGCTCCCCCCCATGGGGCATTTCCCTGTAAACCGTACCAAATGCAAATGTCTTTTCGAGCGAAGCATCCTGCCGAGGAATCGCACGCGCATTGGGAAGCGTCAGGTCAAACGGCAACTGGAGCAAATTGCCGGTGGAATCCAGCAAACGCACAGCACTGTTGCTATAATGCTGAGACCTAGGAAACAGCATCTGCCTCCCAGTCTCAACGGCTCCGTGTCTGCGAAATATTGATGTAAGCCTTTCCTTGACCAAGCCCTGAATTAGAAGCTCGTTAGCTGCCGGAGCCCCACGTGATTCCATGTCCCAGGCGATGTCTTCAAATTTCTTGGGCGACTGCGAGAATATTGCCGATAATATCTTCTTGTAGTCGGGAGAATTAGGGTCAGACAGGAGATGCATGATCGCTCGTCGAAACGTTTCTTCTTCCACTTGGAGTGGAATTTGGCCACTGTGGAGAAGCTCTGAGGCCGAGGGGCGTTCACTGGGGTTATGGCTCAGAAGGGATTCAATGATTCTACCTTGGACGACCTTTTCTGAATAGTGGAATGTGGATGGAAGCTCATGGTTCTCTTCTCTAATGGCTCGTAATGTCTGGTCACGTTCCATATTCGTTGGCAACGAGTGAGACATTTCAAAGAAGATCACACCCAAAGAAAACATCTGCATCTGTCAGCCAGTGTCTTTTCCCCACTTCTCTCTGTCTCTTTTCTTTTCTTTTCTTTTTAATTTGGTTGCACTTACATCGACCTTCTCGTTGTAGTTGTCAGTGAAGCCTGATTTCATTTCTGGCGCAACATAATATGTAGTACCCAGACTTCGTGTGAAGTTTCCTTCAAAGTCTGCTGTAGTCGAAGACCGCACAGCTGTCGTGAATTGCCCGCTAGTAGCTAGACCAAAATCTCCGATACGTGGGTTATTGGCTACGTCAATAAAAATGTTATCAGGTTTAAGGTCACGATGGATAATCCCATGACTGTGGATATGGCTCAATCCATCAAGTATCTGCCGGAACAGACGCCAGGATCGGTCGACATCATCGTACAGACCATTTCTGATCAAGTCCCGTAGGGTCTTAAAGGGTTAGTGACCAGAGACGGGTCAATAAGTCTTTGTATGTTGGACTTACATGCTTCTCGCAATATTCCATCTGTATGTAAAGTGTAGTTAAGACGGCTCTACGTAGCGAGCCAGACCTCACGCGACTAAGTCCCATGCCGTTACCACTCTCAGAGCCATATGCTTCCGGCGTCTCGCGCTTGTAGTTTTGAGACGGTGTTGTCCCATCCCGCTCTTCATCGCTGTCGGATGCAAACTCAATCTTGGGGTAACCGCTCGAGCTAATGAAATCAAGTCCACCTGTACTGTAGTCGTATCTACTGGGGTCACTACTTGCAAAGAAGCCCCCATCAGAAGACGAGATGGCCTCCTCATCTATGTGGCCGTGGTCCTCCTCGAGCCAGGCGGTGTAGTAGCGCACCACATAAGGATGATTCAGGCGTGACAGCAACATAATTTCAGACAGGGTATCTTTTAATGCAGCAGTTGATCTCTGAGAAATTTTCTTGACCGCATAAAAGCGGCCATCAAGCTTATTCCTGGCCTTCACTACCTGTCCAAAGCCGCCTTTACCTAAACGGCCGGCCTCGTCGAAATCTTGATTATAACGTGAGAATGCTGGGAATCCATTCATTGAATCCAAGCGAGGACGCCTTGGTAGCGACATTGAATTCGAGGTGCTTGACCGATCCACCAGAGGGGTGTCAAGGCGGAAAAACTCTGAAGGCTGAAGCTGAAAAGCCGTTGGTCGCTTCTTTGGATCGGGTCGGAAGAATTCATGCAATAAGTCCTGTAAGGAAGCCGATAGTCCAAGCGTCTCCATTAATGCATTGGCAGACGTATAACGTTGCAACACATCTTTCCCGAATCCCATCTGAAGAAATACAATGCCCAGGTCCCAAACGTCCGTCTTCGTTGTCGACGGTGCATTATCTGGGGTCAATTCCGGAGGGAGCCAAAATGGGGATTTGGAAGTGGTAAGTGATCGTTTGCCGTCTGCGGGATCAGGCAGAGTTTCCTCAACGGCCGCCAGCAGCTTCACAATCGTGCCCCCAGTGGGGTTCCTGAACAGCATAATGCGTCCACAATGGATATCCCCGTGGACAAACCCACTCCGGTGGTAGAACTCCAAAGCCTCAAGAAGCTGAATAGTCCAACTACGAACCATTTCAACAGGAGCAGTCCCAACGATATCCAAAAACTCGGACAGAGAGCCCTTGTTGGCGTGTTCAACGAGGAGGTAAACCTTCCAAAAGTGGTCATGCGAATCGAGGGGATCGAGGGGCCTATATATCTTAAACCCAACAAATTCGACTAGATTAGGGTGCCGTAGTCGTTTCAGAGCTTCCAACTTGTCCTCGCTCGTACGCATCTTCTCTCGAAACGCCAGCGGTTCTAGTTCTTTCTCATCAAGGGAAACCTCCTTGAGGACTAAGAGGGGGGCATGGGGTCGGGTCTCGGGGGTAACCGGCCGAACTGTAAAGGTTTCTTTGCCCAGCGAGCTTTGCAGCAGGGTCTTCCCGTATACTGCCCGAAAGACAAGAGGTACTCCATCCCTATCGGTCATGACCAGAGGCGGATCGAAGGAGATTGCACCGGGGATACTCTCCACGACATCGGTATCTTCATCTGAGTCCATTCCAGGAACTCGACTCTTCCGTCTCGAGACCCGTGCTTTCGTCCGTTCTCTAATCTTGTCTTCCAGGAGCTGTTGTAACGCCCGCTCCTCTTCTGCCGTGGCCGCTTCCTGTTTCCGCAGCTCTTCCTGTCGTTCCAGTTCCGCTCGCTGATTGGCCGCGGCTTCTTGCTCCATTCGCTCCTCCTCTAAGCTGGGAAGGTCCTTATCTTGAGCCCGAGCTTCGGCCACATCTTCGAGAACATCTTGAATGGACACGGCCAGCTCATATATCATCTCCGAGCCTAGTAGTGTCCTCGGCTTGTTGCATATAATGTCTTGTATCCTCGATCGGGCGCCCTGTCGGAGATCGTCTAGGTTTTCCAAAGAAAGATTCGGATAGGTCTTTGGGTAGGTAGTCGGTAACTCGACCAGTAATTCAACATGGACATCGGGGTTGGAAGAAGCACGCAGATGCAGCTTGAAGGCAACATCGGAAGATTGCTAGATTAAAAAGATTGTCAGCGATCGCTGAGTTGACACTGGTGATACGGATCGGATGCCTACCTGCCAAGCAGAACGGCGGTGCTGAACCTCCTCGAAATCATCGCTGTAGATTGAGCGGAGAGCCTCAACCTCGTTCTGGTGGATTTCCTGGTAATTAGTCGGCGCGACTACGGGGGAGACAAATGAAGAGGAATCCAGGCCGAACTGCTTCTTCTTCTTCTTCTCCGCCCGGGGAGAGCCATGTTTAGGCGCATTGGTAGAATTCTTCTTCTGCTTGTGAGGCATAGCGGGGTGTGGGGCGGTTTGGAAAGCAAATCAAGCACCCAGGACGTCTCGAGACAGTCTTTGCCACGAGTAGCAGTGACAAAGATGCAGCCGAAGCTGCAGCCCTCTATATCTCCGAAAGGGACATGTCGTTAGGTCGGGTAGCAATCAAGGGGGAACGGCGTGGGGGATGGAGAGGTAGAAGATGAGGGAGAGTAGTTGGCACCAGCTAAAAGAGCGGTAACTCACTAAATGCTTCTAACTGTACTCCGCAACAGCGTAAGTACGTTACTTACTAGGACTAAAGAGTAAAGTACCTTACTCCGACCTACCGGAGTTTCGGACTAGCTGACTAACCCTGTTCTGTCCGTTGGCGCTGAGTCAGCCCCGCCCCGTCATTTTTCCGCTGACCGCCCTGTCCGCATTAGCACCGCCACTGGAGAAGCGTAAACAAAGCACAGCGTTCCACGTCAATCCGCCTCGCGCCCCAGAAGACGCCAATGGTGTCGCTTTTACCATGCTTGTTTGGTTGCTTTTGGTAAATTGAATCCTCCCTATCCTGCAGACGCGATGCTGGAGTGGATCAAGGGGTCGAACGAGCAGTTAGGTGGGTGTCCATTTCGCGCTCCTCCCACCCCATATGACCCAATAATGGCCTAGCGACACTCACCTGGCCAACGTTGTTTCGGCCGTTGCGTGCTGACTGGAAATTCCTTTCCGTTGTTTGTTTTCATTAGACGGCTCAAAAGCGCTGGAGCCACCGGAGACCCCTGCCCCTGTCTTCGCCATTCGCGCCTTCAAGAGCGCTCTCTTTGGAACTCCGGGGGCGGACGACGACGAGAATAGCCAGCAGGGGCCGATTACGAAGAATCCTGCAGCTAGTGTCCGGCAGGACGACGTTGATTCGCAGAAGCTCCTTGCGACCGGAAACGGAACAAATGCTCCTATGGCTACAGCGGCAGATGTTTATACGGCTGTGAACGCGATGGCTTCTCCCACGAAGAGTATCCTCGTCACCCCCGGCACTGCATCCAACAGGCGAAAAACGGTTTCGTTTGGCGAAAGTGTTGTTGATAATGAGCGCAAGCGGGCGGAACCAGCTACCAGACCATCCAGAACCCAAACCGTTCCGTCCGGTAGCCTTAGCAGTCAATGGTCCTCTAGTTCATCAAACGGCAAATCTAAACCACGAAGCCGACTTACTCAAGCTTTGATGGATTCCCGTGAAAATACTTCTATCATCGATGCGAGCCCTCCGCGAAAGGTTAATCAGAGCCTTCCACCGGCTGAATCGAAGGACATTCCGACCTCGCCAGAAGAAGATCCTAGCGACGACACTGTCAATTTGAACGAACCACGATCTCAATCTGGCAAATACTGGAAAGCCGAATTTGACAGCTATCGAACAAAAACTACTCGCGAAATTCGGAAGTTGATTCAGTATCGCTCTGCGGCGAAATCATACGCCAGGAAAAAGGATGAGGAAGCCGTGCGGCTGGCCGAAAAGCTCAAGGAAGAGGAGGTCAAAGTTTCCGAGATGGAGCGCCATGTCACACAGCTCGCCTCCACCATGGTAACTGAGAAATCCCATCCGGACAAGGAGAAACTGGTGCAGGATCTCACCAAGCAGACGGCCTTGGCGCTGCAATATAAACATCGGGTGGGTTTGTTGCGCAAACTCTTGGAACGGCACGGGGTTGTCGGGAGCGAAATCGATGATATTCCCGGATCCCCTGATCTGAATGAAACTCGCGCGGTCACTGGGGATGAGCTTCGTAAAACCCAGCAGGCACTGGATCAGGCGAATGCCAAGATTGCGGAGATAAACCTGCAGCAATCTGAGTTCACGAACCTGAGGGATCTGGCCCAGAGCTCGGAGAAGAAAGCGTCAGAGTTGGAAAAGGAAAATGTCATGCTCAAACAAACCCTGGCACGGGTTAAGCAGGAAATGACCAAGTATGAAGCGCGGCGCAAAGAAAAGGAAGCAAAACTCAAGCAAAGAGAAACAAGGTTGGAGACACGGATCCAAGAATATCGGGAACGTCTCAGGACCGCTTCTCAGCAGCATCGCGAACTAGAAGACGACTTGAAAGCATCTTTTGATGAGGAGCGACGCCATATGCAAGAGCAGATTGACTTACTAAGTTTGAAAGTAGCAACACTTGAGCGGCTACCAGAGCTCCGTGCGCGGAGACGCACCTTGGACAGCCCTCGCAAAAATTACCCCGGAGTCGAAGTATGCGACTTTGCGCACCCCAGTCCTCACAGAGACCCCAACCGACATGACGAGACGACTGACGTGGATGAGCCACTGAGTCCCAGTCCTCGTGCCAAAGACAGACGCTCCCTCGGCCCAAGAACTGCCCTAGCTGAGATCGATGTGAAAAAGGCCAGCAAGGGGCTGGGTCTTGATGACAATAGCAACAATGAGCGATTAATGAACATGGGACATTACACGCATAAAGCCCCAGAATCCCATTTTCACGATGACGAAGACCCTGTTCCACCATCCTCGCCTCCCGATATCCCATCTTTCGAGCCCACTACTCGGACGCGTGCCGCAAAGCAAAAGTACCAGCCAGACAGTTATCGGCCATACCTACCATCTCATACAACCATGACCTCCCTGGCGCATCGCCTAGCAAACATGGACGATAGTCAACGAGTCCACTCTGAACGCCTTCGCAGTCGCCGCTCTACCACAAGATATAGCCTCGATGCTCTATCAGCCCTACCTGAAAAACCTCTAATGGACCGGCCGAGAAAAAGACAGAGTCTCAATGCAGTTCAACGAGGTTATATACCTATTGAGCGCATGATCGCCGCCCAAGCCCGGCTCAAGCACAAAAATGAAAGCCGCAAGAGCAGAGATGACGGCAAGGAGAATATCCAGGCATACAACTCTTGAAAAAAAATAAAAAATAAAAATCTTTCGATCTTTCCCTCCTTTTCCTTCATCCCCTTTATCTATCTATCTAGTCCACGGTACAACAGTCTGGGATATGGCATAACAGAACAACCTCTTTACTTTCTCTCTCCTTTTGGTTGGCGTCGGAATTGCGGATCCTCGAGGCGCTCTTTTTTTTGAACTGTGTTGTTTACTTTGTTAACGTACTAGCTGTTATTTGTTTTTGCTACACTTTCGTTTGTCATGTCGATTAACATAGTCTTAATGTCTGGATACCTCATATACCCTGAATAAAACATTCTTTTTCATTTTGTTTTGGTTTCTGCAGTTGGATAATTTTCTATATATGGATCTCCCATCTCTACGTATCTACTGTACTGTGATCTATATATAATGTCGTTAAAACAGTCTCAGAGGACAGAAAACAGCCGTTTATCAATTACACATCCTCTATTAGTTTTCCGATTGTCCCTCTATTTTATCCGACACTATGGACCCTCGTCTCAATTCTATTCTATTCATGCCTTTCCATCACAGAAAGACACAACAGCCCACTTGCCATTCCAGGCCCATTTACGCGCCTCGGGGCCGCCGCCGCCCGGAAGCTGTCGAAGCCTCTCGTCTTGTCCCGGAGGCAGTCCGACCACGGTGTCGGCTTTGCAGGTGCGGAAGGCGAGCACACGGACGCCGGAATTGGGGCCAAGAGGACCGATGGCAGTGGTGAATGGGGTGGTGGGGTCCCATGCAGCCTATTGGGGAAAGCAACGAGATGTTAGAAATCGTCAAGAGATTTACAGAGAGAGGAGGGAGAGCAGAATTGAACTCACGTCGTTGGTCAACTTGCGGTAGTTGAGATCACCTTTGAACAGAACAAGCTCGCTCTCCTTGAGATTATCGAACAGGTCTGGCGCCACATGCGGCATACGCCAGTAGCCTCCTGGTGCAGTCCAGAAAGCATGTGGGCGGATAATGAGCTTCCCATCCTGGTGCAACTGGGTCCATTGATCGAAGAGAAACTTCACCTCTGACAGCTCCTTTTCGGACAGCGGGTCGTGCTGTCTCCCGGAGTCGTCGGGGGCCGTGTAGAAACCCTGCGGGTCGGAGAGTGCCGTGATGAGATCCATGAAGTCCGGAGGAGTGACGTCCGACACGAACCAGGGAATCTGCTTGGGGTGCAGCACTACCGTGGTCGCCAGGCCAGCAGAGAGAAGATATCCAGCCAGGACGAGGTCCACAAAGAGCTCAAAACCGGAGTTATCGAGGACGATGTCCACCCGACGCTCTTCGGTCTTTCGTTCCTTGCGAGCCTTTTGAAGGACATCAAAGGCGGTGTTCAGGTCGTTGACGATGATATTCTTCTCGGCGGCCTTTCGTGCCTCAGAACCCTGCAACTTCTGGATGTCCTCGTAAGTGAGAGAAGTCAAGAGCGACAAATCAGTAGCATTGCCCCACAAGCAGATCTCACACATCTCGGAAAAGAGCAGTCGATCTGCTTGTTCAATTTCCTCGGGGGTCTTGCCACCGGCGCCCTGGCCTTTCTCTGCTTCCAGAGCCAGTTCCTTGTACCTGGCAGCCAATTCCAGAACAGCAGGCCGGGAGGATTTGAACGTGGATATCTTCTGGCGGGCGAACACGTCATAATCCTTCCAATGCGTAGACAATGCGAAAAAGGTGCTAATGCGCCTGTCTGTTGTTCCATCAGCACCGCCATCCTGGGTAATATCTTCGTTCACTGGGGTAGACCGGACGCACAGAGGTAGCATTCGGAGTACAGCCATGGAACATTGTGCCATGAAGGGTTTCCCCGTTGTTCCAACTCCTTGTTATACTCTGTAATGCCGGCTTTGCCATCGTTGGGAAGGGGACTGGAGAGAACATCGAGCGTGAGCAACTCATTCTTGGATGGACAAATTTATACAACGGGGAGCATACGTACGTTAACTGTCTGTTATGCTGGAGTTCATACTTCAACGTGGCCAATTTTTCGATGATGGCCTTTCCCTCCCTGCGCTTCTCCTCGTCGGTCACATCGCCAACGGTGCGATAAAGATCGTCAATGGCACCAGTCTAAATTCGGAAATAAACGATCAGCAGAGATCATCACAATCGGAAGTAAAGTCACATACGACAATGACTGGCCAGCGCTCATGGGCAGAAACAGAGGCAAAGCTCGACTTGTCGGAGGTGAGGTATTGCGCTGGCAACGGGAAAGAGGCGGGGGTTAGCTGGGCTGGTTGGTGGGGGTTGCGGACAAATTAAGACACCCACGGGTTTTGGGATCAAACTCCATCTTTGAAAATTAATTGAGAGTGGTATACCCACCGTTTCTACTCGATCAGAAGATAGAGGAGGAAGAGAGAAGGGTTATCAACAGGAGAGAATGACGTCCGGACGAAATCGCGGGGTTGCCGCTAGGTCGGAGCAGGAACAACTCATCCTCATCTACATCAAGGACGTTTCCAATTCGTCTATGGGGGGATTAGGCCAAGATCTGTCGAGGTCTATTTGAGACAATCAGGGACGAGATAAGGAAGTAGAGAAAAAAAAAAAAAAAAGTATCGCACAACACAGCCAAAAAGAATCAATCCATTGTCTCCGCTATGCAAGAGTCAAATCATCATTCAAAATACAGCATATAGCTATTTCCTTCCCATTGATTCTTCCAATGCCAGATACGTGGTAGGAACCCCAGGTACCCTGTCTCCAGTTTCTATCGCCCCTTTATTCCACCATGAACGCCTTCCAGACCAGACGGTTTCATCTCACATCATGGACAAGATCGAGTTTTGCGCATAAGCCTAGAGAAGAGCAATCAGTCAAAGGCTCCAAGGTAGAAGGGGAAATATGGCAAAACTCCGAACATACCATCGGCTTAATATCAGGGTGAGGCACTGCCTCAAACACTTGGTACTCCAATTTGAGCTCCGGACCGATTTTGATAAACGCACCCTTGTTCTCTGTGGTGTCGCAATACTTGGGAGCTGAGAATACGGTAATACACCGGCCATCATGTTCGACCTCGTAGCCTTCCATGCGAACCTCATGGGAGCGAATGATAGCCTCCAGCCCATTCTTTTCGCAAAATCGCTTCGTCACATCCGGGCCGAACTGAAGACCGACGCCGCGCTTGCTTGGTCCCCTGCCAGGTTCTGTCTGCGGATCGGTCCACAGCATCTCCATCATCAGTCCCTGTTGACCCGGCTGCCGTTGGTTGTGACGGTTCAGCTTCCGGATATCATCCAGGGTAGTGTTGTCATCGGAGAAAAGACCACCGTGAAGGACCAGATACTTGTTGCCGATCAGAGTGGCCAGGGGTAGGGCAGAGAACGACTCAGAGAACACCTTGAAAACAGTCTCGTTGTACTTGGCCTTGCACTCGCCTTCAAAGCCGTAGACCTTATTCATATCATCTGTCTCGTGATTTCCACGGTTGAGGAAAATTCCATTGGGTCGGAGCCACTTGTAGGCGTAGAGGAGCAATGCAATTTCCGTAGACCACGACCCACGGTCCACGAAATCGCCGTTGAAGAGATACGCGTGCGTATCCGATGGGTATCCGTTCAAGCGGAAGATCTCTAACAGGTCGAAGAATTGGCCATGGGTATCACCGCACACCGTCAATCTCGTGCCTTGGTCCACACCAATCTCGACCATTGTGGGTTCTGCGTAAACAATGTCCTTGACGGCCTTGATGATCTGAAGGACATATTTGCGATGGATCTTCTTGCCATTCTTGAACCGCTTGATCATGTCGTCGATGAACTCCTGCGTCATCTCTTTTTCCAACCGTACTCCGTCGTAGCTGGCGTCGACGGCAATCGCATCGATGTTCAAGTCTTCAAAGGCCGAAGGCGGATCTGCTACCTCGATGGCCTTCTCAAACTCCAGTCGACGCACAAGCTTCTCACAATCCGCCAGCTTGATTCTGGCATCACGGTTGTTGGGTTCCCTCTTCACCACGGCTTTAAAGTCTTTTAGGGCCTCGCGGTAGTTCAGGATAGCGGTGTTCGCAAGGGCTCGTCTCCAATATGCCTGACAAGAGTTAGAACCCGATAAAAATCTTCTCTCCCCCTCTCTTATGGATATATATTATTATTCAAATAGAGTCGACTAATCGACTAACCTTGACATAAGAAGGGTCCAGTTCCAAGGCCTTGGTGGCATCGGCTATCGCAAAGCCATAGGCTTCGAGTTTGATATGTGCCTGCAAGAAACACTTTGGTCAGCATGACATGATTTTGCAAATATCAGATCGGAGAGGGCCAGTGGTCTCCTAAGGAGCGCTATTATCGCAAACGTACCTGAGCTCGGTTGCTGAAGAACGAGGGTTCGTGATCATATTTCTGAATTGCCTGGGTATAAAAGTCCACAGCTGTCGGCCATTCATGATCAGCAAATGCCTTATTTCCCTGCACCTTCAACGCGGTGGCAGCTTCGAGGTCGGGCGAAGCCATCGGCAGGCGAGACGAGGAGGGGGATGAAAAAGGATCGTCCGGGGGGGGGCTTGTATCGGAGAGGCACGCGAGCAAGAGGAACGCAGACAGAGTATTAAGGATGGATAGACGAGAAGGGCGACCAGTAAAGAAGAGAATGGAAGGCTCAACAACGACCCGTGAGGGATTCTTCCGGCTTATTGACTTACTTTTCTTTCTTTGATTGTTTCCGACGTCGCTTCTCCGGTCTTGGCATTTCCGCAACTGGTCCATTCGAGAACCGTCGATGATCGATCGTATCGTTTGGCCACCGGAAGCCTCCTCCCTCTGTCACCAACCACTTGGGTACGGTACCTATTTGTCGCTGCAGAAGAAAGCCGTCCCTGACGAATTCGATTATCCTATCCTCCACATTCTTCGCTTCCGACCCGATTCAGTACATGTCCTTCTACGTCGCACCAAGCCAGCAGCGCACCCTTCGCGCTTGCATGGTTTGTTCCCTCGTTCAACTCCACAGTGTAAGTTGCTCGATACGTGGCAAAGCTTGTTCTCTCTGGCCTTGTAGCACTGCATTTAGGCTGACAGGATCCTTTGCTCCTACTGCAGAAGTTCATGCGTGAAGGCTGTCCCAACTGCGACAACGTTCTCGGTCTCCGCGGGAATAGCGATGCCATCCAAGAATGCACCTCCCAGGTTTTCGAGGGTTTGGTAACTCTACGTGATCCGACGACTAGCTGGGTTGCCCGATGGCAGCGACTGGACGCCTATGTACCGGGGACATATGCTGTGAAGGTGACTGGATCGGTAGGTTTATCTTTTTTTTTTTTGTCTCCCTCCCTCATAGGAGGAGTCGACATCTCTCCTTGTGCTCGAAAGAATGCGACGCTGATGGGTGTGGTTTCTACTGAGGATAGCTTCCGGATGAAATTATTGCAAGTCTTGAAGATTCCGGTATCAAGTATATTCCGTGAGTCTCCCTCTCGATAAACGTTATTATTCCTTACGGCCGGCCTTCTGACGGATCCTCAGGAGGGATGGAAGCACCGGTGAGGAAGAATCATAATCGGACTGCGCTGTTCCTGTTCCACTCGAGTTCTTGATCGACTCTGCTGTATCTCCTCCGACTGGTCCACATTTGTTGGAGAAGATGCAAAGTTCTTTCTTTTTTTTCCGGTTGCACAAAATTGGAGTTCTAGGGCCGTTTTCTTTATGCTACTGGAGCATTACAGGGCTTGTTTTTGGTACTGGAGTTATCCCGTCTCCTTTCCATCTCCTTGCGCGCTTGACATTTGTTTAACTCGAAACCAAAGAAACTAGATAAATTCGATACCCAATAGACAACGTACTGTTGCCCTGGGCAGCATAATATTGCTGTTATCAATAGCTAGGCAATTTCTTAAGAAATAAATGCTTCAGGACATCACTCGTATGACAGGCTGAACATGCAAACCCATCCAAAAACCCAAAACGCCACGGATTCTACAAATCTTAACGAAGGAAATCAAAATAGCATCTCTTTACAGCTGCTTGATGATCTTCTCGATGCTCTCCAGGAGAATATCCGCTGCGACAGGTTAGCACTGTTAGGTTGCGGATTAACGTGAGGGTTAGCCATCGCTTACCATGGTGCTGCTGGAAGATCAGCATGGGCCGCAGACGGACGGCATTCAGTCCACTTCCACCAATGTTAATACCAACCCCCTTGGCCTTGACCAGGAATTCATCACGCTTGGGTGTATCCCAAGCGATGAAAGTTCCCTGGCCCTTGCCACGGAGGTTCTGCAGATGTCCGGGGTATTTCTGGCTCAGACGCTGAAGGCCGGCAAAAAGATAATCGCCAGTGACAGCAGTGTTCTCCACAAGCCCCAGGCGCTCAATCTCCTCGATGATGCCACGGAAGATCAGGGCGCGGGAAGGGTCACCCATCCATGTGTTGAACTGACGGTATGGCCTGTTGGGGCGCAGTGCCGGGTTGCCGTAGTAGTATCCAGCAGTTTGGGCCTTCTTCGAGAAAGTCACAATATCCGGCGGGGTCTCGAGATTCCAGTGGTCGTGGGCCCAGAACTTTCCGGTGGCACCCACTCCAGTTTGCACCTCGTCAACAATGAAGAGCACATTGTTCCGCTTCGTGATCTCACGAAGGCCGCGGAAGAAGGCTGGAGAAGCGTGATTGTCACCACCCTCAGATTGAATGGGCTCAACAACGACAGCAGCGACAGGGTTGTGGAACTCCTTAATCAGGCGCTCCACCTCCTGCAGGCAGCGCTGCTCTTCCTGGGCATTTTCCTGGGCATGTTCCTCAAGAGGGTATTTCAAAGTTGGGAAGGCTGCCTGGGGCCAGTCGAAGGCGGGAATATCCAGCTTGTGGATGGGCTTGCTGCGAGTGGTGGACAGGCTACCGAAGAGACGGCCATGGAAAGCCGACTTGAAGGACAGAATCGACAGCTGAGGAGAGCCAGGGCTCTTGTTTTGCATGGCGCTCTGCAGTTCCTGCTCGGTGAAATCGGTCTGAGGGCCGCCACGCTGGAGCTGTCGGTAGTACATGAAAGCGGCCTTGTAGGCGGTTTCGTTGGCATCCGAGCCAGCCATAGCGGTGAACACCTGGTTAAGGCCCTTGGGAGCAACTTTGAGAATACCGGTGTTCAAAATATGGGCCCAATCCGCAGAAGGGAAGTTACCCAGGGCGGGTCGATTGATCAAGGAGGTCAGCATCTCTGGCGACTTGGCGATCTCCTTCAGGTGAGGGTTGTTGTAGCCCACCGGAATAGAGGCAATCTGAGCATAGCTATGTGCAGGATTAGCATCCAGAACGATGTATATTTCAGGAGAAGGAGGCCAAAACAATCATCACGTACACATCCAAAAGCACATTACCATCCAAATCGGCGATGCTAAGTCTCTCCGTTAGTCGTGGATTCCACACAGTCTGTCTCGAAAGCAGGTGCCACTTACTAGTTACCAATCGACTGGGTGTAATCAGTCAACATGTTCAAGCTTCGTACGTCAAAAACCTCATTGAGCTCGGCCGTTGCCTTCTGGTTGTTAGGACCAGGAATTGCTGTGGTCATCTTCGGAGCCGCTGGTTCATCGGGGAAGTAAGGCTTCGCTGCTGCCCGCAGATGGGAGGTGGTTGTGATGGTGCGAACCGCCGGCAGACGCATCACAGAGTGCAACCGGAGGCTAGAGCGGAACGGGGCAGCCATCGTGATAGTTGACCCTTCAGGTAGGGAGAAGAGGGGCGATGAAGGCGAGAGATAACAAGAGGCACCGCAGCTGGATCAAGGATCAAGTCTCACGGAATTGCTAAATACAAAGACAGGGGATGATTCGGAACCAGGTAGACCGACCTGACCAAGGGGCACCGACCGCTCTTATATAACATTTGTAGGGCGTGAGTAACGCTGCTAGTTAAGTACCAATCGCGGTATGAAGCTCGACTGCATCATTGGCAGCAACCCCGTGGCTCGCAGCTCTTGTCGGCGGTTTGGGCCAATCAGCGTGCCGAACGCCACCGTCATGTCGGCGCCAGGAGGAATTGATGGAACTGCCATTGGAGATAGAGAAGACAATTCCCGATCGAGGTGTATGCTGTCCCAGTGGCGCCGAATAGATTCCACAGAGAGGTCTGCAGAGAAGAGAAGAGGAAATAAGGAACCGTCAGAGACTACCTAGAGTTAGTATTGAAATTTGAAGCTCTGATCATCTGATGCCGATCTCAATACCTTATCTCACGCCAAGACTTGCGATAAGGAGCTCGCCCGATTAAGTAAGTCCACTAACCCTAAGTTAGTTAGCTATCTTAGTTTGGAGTATTGTATTAGTAGTCACTTATATTAGTTGGCGATGTGGATGGACTGCTCTACAGCACGCATACCGGCCATAAGTCTTCAAATGGAAGATGAGTTGTGTTGCATGGATTCTGGTAACCTTTGCATTAAACTCAAACCACATGCGGTGTGAAAAGGCCTTCTAGCCGCCAAATATGCATAAATATGCCTTATATCCCAGACCCAGATCGCCTGCACTACTCACAATCTTCAAAACACCCTGCCTCTAGGAACAGCAGAATCCATTCCTCTACAATCCACTTGTTAGACTGAGAGCCTATCTGGAGCAGATAGCCGATAATCTACGCATTAACACCCCAACCACAATTAGACAAAAAAGGCGCAATGACCTCGGGGAGACGGCAAAAATCACCCAGTCCCTCATCGTATCTGAAACGGAGAGTGGCCCATCCGCAAGAGGATGACGATGACGAAACACCTATTCTCTTTGCCAACAGCAAATCTCACCAAAGTCGAGAGCAGACGGCTTTCATCCTGCAATGCGTTTATATGGTTTTCGGTTTGCTTCTGGTCATGAGTATATGGGCAATAATGCGGGGTTTTTGTACCCATGGATAATAATGTACGCTGCACTATATTTCAAATCATCCAGTACGTAGTGATGAGCAGTTTCTATCCAAGTCCCGAGACCGGATGGATGATTCATTTGCTAGAACAAGGGGAAGGAAGCTGGCGACTATGCCAGGAAAATCTCCGGAAATATGTCAACGATTTCCGGACCAATTGATATGTTCCACAAGCCTGTACAAGTCAGGAGTAACAGTGTTTTCGTCCGGACAGTAGGTAGTGTGACATCTGGCTAATATTTGGGTGACTCGGTGAGAATCTGTGGCTGAGAGACATCGGCGGTTTTGTTCCTTTGTGCCCGGCAATACATATTTATCAAAAGAAATGGTCATAAAGTATATGTCTATACACAGATAAAATGTGACGACAAATGCATGTAGATATGTGTCGTATAATCCAACTCCTTGTTAAATAAATAAGCCGTTATGATTCAACCACACTGAAGGTGTTGGTGAAAAACGACGATCAAATGGAATGCTTGTCGCCAAATGGGGACTCATCCATATCTCGCGTGAGAGACACGGTCGACTTGTCGCTGCCTGGGGAAGTAATCACCCTGCCGCCGTTCTTGAATTCGAAGGGATGTATTGGCGATGCAATTTGGGTGTGGTTGGACGTGACTTTGCAGCTGCTGTCAGCTACCTCGCCTGGAGCTCTCGTCTCAGTCCAGGTTTCCATTTCTACAGTCCGCAGAACCTCCATACGATCTAACATGGTATCTCCGTACTGGTGCGACTCGTTCTTGGAGCTTTTGGACGGACCCGTAGAGGACCACAGCTTTTGGGAGCGGCTGCGTGGAAGATACGAGGCGTAGTTGCGACTGGATTGAAGTAGACGAGGCAAGAAAAATGCCGCAAGTGGCCTCAAGGCTGGAGCAGACGCACAAATCTAGAAGCAGAGATGGTCAACGCACAGTGCTAGTGCTAGAAGACTCGAGAATAGTGTCTTACCAGGCCCGTATTGATCTCCACCGATGCGGCCAGCAGGACTGGCCAGCCCATCCAGGTCGTATCGTATGAGGCGATCATGCTCTTCCACACATAAACGGTTCGGACTGACCCAGCAACATTTACCACGATCCCCAGTCCGAAAATAGAAATCACTGCTATACGTTGTCGGGCGGGCAAGCTCAAGTTCCAGATCAGTGGCATTGGAACCACCGTGGAAAGAAAATCTGTGAAGATGTTGATAACGCTGGCGGAGAAAACCATGGCGCCATCATTCAGGCAGTGATAGGAATAAGTGGGTTGTAAGTCCCAATATGCATGGATCGGACTAGCGATGATTTCTGTAAGCAAGCCATTCGAACCGTCAACAGTGTATCTGGACGCCTTACTTGCATTGGAAAATGCTCACAAGCAAAAAGGCCGCACAGCATAGTGCAACAAACACTATGGACGAGATCAAGGCCATATTATATGTCCGGTATAGCCCCTTACTCCCGGCTCCAAGTAGACGCTTGCAAAACCACAGGAGCGACAGTTTGGTAAACGACGAAGACAAAGAAAAAAGCATCTGAAAGGAGAGATTAAGCTGGTTAACACCGGGAATCCAACCCAACGGTACATCCCATATGTGCCTATTCCACCCATACTGCACAACCGCCAGGCAGATGACAGCGCACATGCCGACTGCAAAGGCCTATCTTCTATGTTAGTGGACCGTCCCGCTGAAAGTTTCACTCTCCCATTACATACTAAGCCAATTATTACAAGAATATCGTCAAGGCCAGGGCTGCACGTAATTCTCAGGCGGGTATACAGGCGAAGGCAAGTCACAATGAACGCCAGAACAATGCCGACAACATTAATGATCAGTGCAGCATTCCCTCGAGTAGGAGGATCAACATAGTTCGGCTTCGGCCATGCTGCCATAATCTCGGGAGGCGGACGCCGCATGTTTGATAGTCGGAGTCAAAAAGTCGGTGGTATGTCGTTAGTTGAGTCCCAGAAAGGAGCGTAGGAATGGCAATGGAGTGCTAAATAAATTCAAGCATAACTGACCATCCCAGTCAAGCAGCTAGAATTGCATTGGCCATTTCTCAGCGTCCAAGGTCTGTCGCTAGATGGACAAAGTGGGTGCACTGGCTGGAAGCGCGACAAGCATACACGTTCACACGTTTGAACTGGGGGAAAATGGTGAGAAGATATACCTCTGTACCACCTAGCTATGGAATAAGTGGAACTTTTTGGAATCAGGGACCTTGTTCCATAATTTGTGCCGATTTGACTTCATAGACCCTGGAAGGTCTCGTTCTCAGATCAGGCCCAAAGTAATTGGAAAGCAATACCATCCAATAATGTTCGTTCGCCTCCTCCACTGCGGAGAGAATAAATTGCACGATTGCGAATGCAGTAGCGTCTCCGAAATCTACCGAAGTTGCCTCCACCGGCAGGAAGATCTTGAGGTCCTCGAGACTTTCCGTGAGTGCCACTGGATGTCTGTCCATGGGCCCTGTCGAAGCGATGTCTGAACCTTGGGTCCGCTAAGGGCACGGAAAGCTACAATCGATTAAATGTTTAGACTTTGACGCATTCGCTGCTTCGGATTGGTCACTAGCGAGCTGGGAGACCCCTGTAAGACATTACGGGACTTAGTGTTACGTGAGAAATCTGGCCCAGGGTACGACAGGGATATAAAAATATTAGGGATAGGAACCAAGGGAAAGTCCAGAGCCAAGTCAGCGAGCCGATTGCCTTTTTCCGGTAAGAGGGGCGATCTCCGCACTCTTTTTTTGTCCTTCTTTATTCCAACCTGATATACTGTCTCCATGATACACATGATATATGCAGACACAACGTCTAGCCGTCGCCAGGATCTTTCCCCCAAAAAGTGCTCCCGCCCTACGATCTTCCGTTTCTCCATCAACTATGTCGAGCCATCTACCAGACTTATGGGGATTTTTTTATGCTATTTCTACAGGAAAATAATGGCCATAATCACTAACGTCCCAGGTCGATAAAGAGAGACAGCCAATTCATGTCGTGGACTACTTTCTCGTATTAGTGTTCGGCGGTAGTTCCCGAGGTCGGCACTTATTAGCATGTGCTCCCGATGAGAGTTGAGTTTCCGGTGGGAATTTTTAGGATACTTCCAACACTAGACATGCGAGTAGATTCTCTCTCTCTCTTCGAGAATGCGGACTGTGGATTATTAGTTTCCTTAGCCATAACGTGATTTTTCGACGTTGATGTAGTCTACCACCTCAGATATCCAACCTTGAAGTAGCAAGACAATATGAAAGTTAAAATGTAACCCCTTTGCCTCTTTGCACTGGGGATATCGCTAGAGGAGTGCGCTGGAGTCGGTTTCCCAAATTCCTGGACTGACACTAGAGACAGATTTAGATTTCCCTTCACCCGAGGTAGAATCCGATGTTAGCTAAATACCTATTCCATTGCCCAAACATGAGTTAAACCTGATACTCTGGCTTCCTTAAATGCTGTTACAGGTAATTTCCTTTAATATAGTGTTTTAAGTCACCATGCATCTCGAACCCCTATTTTCGGAATTTCCACAGGGCTGAATCCCCACATAATGTAACGACACAGCTTTGGAGATCTTAGACTGGATTCTGTGCTGACAGGATGAAAGTCATACTAAATCTCAAATCAGAATTAAATCAAGATAAGCCTATCTTGCCCAGAAAGTCCTCCGAGGGTGCGGTCTGGGAAACTTAGTAGTCGACGAAAATCAACAAACCCTAAACTGGAACGGTTCGACTACCCATTGTCCTCGCAAGGCATTTAAGAAGAAACGAGCCTTCCCAGAGAATGACTCTTATTGTCCATATAAAGCACTATGATAAACGGGGATTTTGACTGCTATTCCGATTAATTCCAAATACGGCAAGAATACTACTGCAGGTCGAGGTTCTCCAGACTGATGGAACCGCCCCCAAGGCCCACTTTGCTTGTTGATCCTTCTGCCAACATTAGTTGTTTATAATTTCTGTATATTTTCTAGTAAGCTTCAGGAATTGTGGGTATATTTTGAGTTTGGCTGTGTACGCGTGGTTTTCCAAAGCCACTCTGCATATACCGGTCTTTTGAAGAGAGTTTAGGTATCATATTAATATGTGTGGGTATCAATTTAAATTATGCATCAATGATGCACATATTGAGCTTCTTAAGATGTGCGGGTTACTTCAAAGGTTGGTAGCGCTACCTTAAGGGCTTTTACGCCTCAAGAGACTAATCTGTATGTCGAAACTAAACAAATGGCAAGGCTGCAATTCTACTAGTACCCTTCTCTGGTTTCCGTCAGCCATCGCTGCTTTTGAATACCAGAGTTTGCTTCCTCTTGTGTTTGCTATCCTATTAAACTAAGTTTCTTAAGAAGGGTTTTCGGTCTGGACGTACATCCTTTTGTTACTTCTGTTACTTCTGGTCAGCCAGATTGCAAGTCGCAGTTTTTTCCTGCGTTCCGTGCTTACTGCTGACTACAACTCACTTTATTCTATGTAGATAGTCTACTCGTTCTCCCATTTTCTATAATAATACTAAATTATCCTTTCCTAGAGCCCATTGGTTTTTAGTGGTCGAATAGTATAGTTGTGTCTTAAATGATCCATTTCTCTGTCTGCGAGTTGAGGTAGTTTGCGAGAAAGACACTACTACCGTTGGCAAAATATTCCGTCAGCTATGATTCTAGACTGGCCACAGGGAAGTTGTCATCGCGTCAGTATTCAGAAGATTCACTTGGGCTATCTAAAATCAGACACCCTTCTTACTCCACTGGATTGATACATAGCTGCAAGAATATTCTAGTTCGCTAAGAAATGATATTTATGGACGAAGCTCAGAGGTCATACCACGACTCGGGACTTTGGTTGGGTGTTTTTAAAATAGAATGATCGAGATTTGGACCAAGGTGTTTTTGTTCTCACCATACAGAAGCCCTGCTGGCGGCCCAGATTAGTTCCACTCGGAGAGGACTACAATATCTATGATGCAAGATTCGCCATCAATCAGTCTGTTTATAGCCGAGCTGAATTCGACATCTCCTGCTCAGTATCGACACTCTCTAACCACTGGGTGCTAGAGAATCTGCCCAGAGATAATATTGATGTGTAAAATGTAAACCAAGAAACACCACCAACAAATTTCCATATTCTGTGTAAACTTAACAAGCATTTCTAACGGTTCATATATTGTCGTTCCCATTAAATTCTGTAATGGATGAAACTCTTCCTAGTACATAATGAGATTATGCTTTTATTTGATAATGCTGCTAACGTTTATAGTTTAGGATAGTCGTGGCCCGTGCATTCTTGTCCTCCATTAGTTATATGGTTTCTCTCGCCCTGCCTTTGCTAAAATTATACATATGATTGCTCGTGCTATGTCCTGGAACACAAAGCCATATATCTAGATGGAATAAGAATATGATTAGCCGACAGATAGAATTTATTCAATTCTGCCATGTCCATTGAAAAGAGTCTACTGCTTCAGCTTTCTTCCAGTTTCTCAAATGCTGCAAGTAGTATATTTATACCACTCCTATTCTACGGCACTTTACTCCAATCTCGAATAAGAACGCATATGGCATCTATAATGCCTTTGCTTTGGACAGTTGCCCGTTGAAAATGTAGCATGGGATCTAAAAAGTGCAGGCAATAATTTACCTCACGTGTTCTACATTGTTTGAGACCTATTCCATGTAATAGAGTACCCGTACGTAGTTTGTGCAGATATACACTATCTCTAGTAATTCTTGATCTTTGATACAGCGCTTGGGTGCATGCATGCTATATTTTATCAACTCTTATTAGTACTAATTAGCAGAAATTTACCAGTTTGAGCCTAGTTGACAAATTAAAAATGTTCCCAGTTTGTGCTTGAATATTTAACCTTAAAATGGAGGATTTGGGATAATACAAACAAGCTCTTTTCTTTCTTTACCCTCCCTGTAAAAGTGGTGTAGGAGTAGGCTTTGAGGGGAATCGATCAAGTGGAAGATATATTCTGCCTGCCGCCGAATGCACGCTGTCCAAATGTATGGAAAATATATTCCGACTATAAACACCTAAGAAAATGAGTCCCCTGGTTTTGTCATGGAGTGATTCATAATACTAGTCGTCATGCTATACAAGCAATGCAGCGGCTTCTACTACTCCATGCCTGGGCTGCTATGCCGGTGGCTCTAACTTGCGGTTACAATAAAAGAGAAATGCAAGAGAAAGGAACAAAAGACTGAGGCCGTGCAGCCCGAAGTCCAGCACGATGATCTCGATTCATCAGAGTCCTTTCTGGTACAAAATCCACCAATGAAGGCGCTGTCGATGTATGTATTCGTCCCGGTCAACAGTACCTACTAGCATAGCTGGTAAGATAGTCGATATTCTGGCAATTCTCACCCCAGTTCCATTGGCCCAAACTATTGGAACTTTGTCTCCATGAGTGAGGTTTTTTGTTGCGATTTGCTTGCTCTACACGGAGTACTCCGTGCATGCTACTCGAGCCTTTCGGCAATAGCAAATTTAAAAGTTCTGCTGGAAGTGTTTGCTCACGCAGGTTCAGAAGGTCCCATGTCCCACCTATATACAGGGGCTGCCAGATATACGAGTGCGAAGCAAGACTGTAGACTGACAGTATCGGATTATTGGGAAAGGAGGGAGAACACGAACAATTGTACTCTATGCTACACTGCCTACCCTTTTTTCCCAGACATTCCATATTAATCCGGTTAGCGCATCGGGCCAACTCCAAAACTGCAAGCAAGGCTATGGCTCTGATTTAATTGGCTCTGGATTCCTAGCGTACAATAAGATGTTGCACCAGAAGCCGAAAATGCCGCACAAGTTCAGGGCACGTGAAAGATCTTGGAGATATTCTTCTTGTATTCTATATTAGTACTCCATAGTCCATACCCCCTACCTGTTATTGCGCTATGTATGCATTTGCCCAGACTCTGAGTGTCACGCACTAAGTAATAAATAGCTGGGAGCTAGTACGGAGTAGTTTTACCTACTCTACCCCATGGGCAGGCCATGGACGATACCCGGAAAAAAAGACATCGAGAGACCCTGCTGGAGATGGGCGGGAGACTGGCCGAAAAAAGCAACAGCAAAGAATGCGCTGGCCGAGTTTCACCTCATCACATTGTCAACACCGACAGGGGGTTCAATTGGACCCCAACAGGCCAGAACGGCAGCCCGCAGACCAATAAGCGGATGGCCCTGAATGGAGCGGATAGTCCCGTATGACATTTTAGCCCGCGAGGCGCAGTCACTGGTGCCGTTGAGGGATTCTGAAACAGCGGTCCAGACCGAACCAGCGAAGCCCCGCGATTGGTCCAGAGGGTGGCCGCTGTCATGCCTCTGCAGACGCTGGATCCACTTACTCCACTCGGGTTTGATGGCTGCCACTTATAGGTGCACCGAAGGGCCTGGATGGTGCCGTATTCGTCAACGATATACCATCCTTCTATATCTCCGTCTGTAGTACTTCATGCACTAACCCAGTCAGACTGGCCAGCGATGAACTAATCTAGTAGTACTTCATACCTTTATTACCGTTTTCTTTTTTGAAGTCAGATTTATGGAGTCCAGTATTCCCTTCAGTCGATCGCATTATTCGTATTTTTTTTTTTTTTTATATATTCATTTAATCTGTAGTCTAGTCCATCTGTTCCCTTCTCTCTCTGTTACTGGGTAAAGCCGTTCATTCTTTAATTTTCTATCTACTGTATCATCGTATTAGTTTCTCTCATTATACTTTCGCACTAGCCCTTAATCTCCTTCCTCTCATTCAATTCCCAAAGGACTGACCTGTTTTTGGGCGGAGGCTTTGCTTACTCTCGTTGAACCCCCCCCTTAAATCGTATTCCTGATGGAAGGCAATTCTGCCCCCCCTGCGGAAGTAGCAGGTTCTACCGGAGACGCTCCTCCTCCTGTTCCATCGAATATCCATTCTCATGCAGTTCATAACGATCAGGGAACTGCTCTTCTGGACAATAAATCTTTGACCTCGAGTCGTCCTGCAAACTTAACGCCCCGTCCGACCTTCTTGGAGAACCTCGCCAATTCTCGTGACTCACAATTCATGCTCGATCGACGCAATTCCAGCGAGATAGATCGCTACTTTGTATGTCTTTTCCCATGGTTCATCGTCCCGTTCCTTTTTAATTCGGATCCTAACTTGCATCGACTACGCAGCATGGTCCCCGAGACCTTGAGAAACACTCTAAATGGCCGACTTTTCTTCGAATGCACGGCAGCGTCTTGCCCAAGATGATTCTTCCGCTCTCCTTTATCGCTGCTTGGGCTACAGTGATAACCTGCATTTCCAAATTTGTACATAACAGTAAGCCTCGGACAGGGAAGATTTGGAATCGTCTGGTTGACCGTCTCTAGTTGGAATCAACAACATTCTCCTCACAGTCACCGGTTTTGTTGTTGGCCTGGCCCTGTCCTTTAGAAGCTCCACTGCATACGAAAGGTAGGACTCCTTCGTGTTCAAATAGATCCTGTCTAATTGTCATAGGTGGGCTGATGGACGCAAGTACTGGTCACTACTCATCCAGACTTCGCGTAACCTCGCTCGTACCATCTGGATCAACACCAGAGAGCGAGAGGGAGAGCTGGGCAAAGAGGACCTGCTGGCAAAACTGTATGTTTCGTCTTTATTGTGAAAGCGAATAAAGAATCTAACAGGGAGCAGGACGGCCATGAATCTTATTCTGGCGTTTGCAGTTGCCCTCAAACATAAGCTGCGATTCGAACCTGACGTGGCCTATGAAGACCTTGCGGGTCTAGTCGGATATCTCGACACGTTCGCCAAAGAAGCCCATGATCCCCAGGTCCTCAAACCGCGGGAGAAATCTATTTGGAAAGCGGCAGGAGAATACTTAGGCGTCTCATTTGCGGAATCCAATCCCAGGAAGCTGATCAAGCGGTCGAAAAAGCCATTAGGACATTTGCCGCTGGAAATCCTTAACCACATTTCTGCCTATCTCGACAGGTGCATTGCAAATGACACTTTGAATGTCAGCCTTCATCAGGGCCAGGCCAGTAAGCATATACAGTCTGCAGACGGCAGCTCCTATCGTGAGAAACTGGTACTGACCTAGATCAGTTACTGCCCTGTCTACTCTCAATGAAGTGGTCACCGGAACCGAACGTGTTCTAGATACACCTCTTCCAGCAGCTTACAGCATTGCCATCGCTCAAATTGCTTGGCTTTATGTCTTGGCCCTCCCATTCCAACTATATGACGCTCTTCAATGGGTCACGATTCCCGGCTCTATCAGTGAGTTCCGCTCATGCCCCTTCCTCTCTTCAAAACAGGGTATGCTAATGCTGTGGAAGTTGCTGGATATATCATCCTTGGACTCGCCACGATTGGCAGCGAAATTGAGAATCCGTTCGGCCAAGATGTTAACGACTTACCATTGGACACGTACTGCCGGCAGATCGCCCTGGAACTGGATATCATCACTGCTATGCCTCCCCCGAAGGTTGACGACTTCGGCACTCGTGACGAGAACCTTGTGCTGTACCCTTTGAGTACTGATGGATATGCTGATTGGAAGAATCGCAGTGTTGAGGAAATCCGTGCTGCGCTGAAGACCAAAGTATTAGCGAATACCCCCCCTCCCACATTCTCGGACATTTCCACCATGGTTGGGAGTGAGGGAAGCATGGAGAGCAAGCATTGCGTGTGAGTTCTGGGGCATAAAAAAAGGCGTATATTCTATCAACAGAAATCTGTTCTCTCTTTTTTTTATATTTTTCTGTGACCGAACCAAACCATCGGAGCGTGGGAATTTAGCGTTAGTATATAAGCATATAAATTCTGGTGTTTTCGTGTCTTGAAAAGGGAAGTGTGTTATTTGTTAGTTATTCTGCTGTTGTGAATATCTCGGAAGTTCTTGATCTCCAGTATCGTTCCATTTACTAGAATGTTTATGTGGGATACGAGCTAAACGAATATTATGATTGATTCTGAGCCACGAGTTTGTCGTTGCACTAACTCTTTCCACCTCTAAGCTCTAGCTCAAGGAATGGGATTCTGCTGTGCCCAGAGCTGTGAAGCAACAGCATCTTGACACTTCAAAATATAGTGGGCTTCCTCTTCGGCGAAAATGAGCTCCAGTTTCGATATCTGATGGACATCCTCGCGACACCACGTTTGCTTTCAACGTGGTTCTCTGCGGTGGTTAGAGCACCAATGCGTCACGTCATGTCCCCAGTCCAAACGAGAGCATCCACCTACACTTAAGTGTGCTACAGATGTAAGGTGACGAGGATAGTATGCGTGAGCCGTTACCACGCGAGTTAACAGCGGCTCGATCAATCCCCTAGTCAGTCACTGTCACGGTCCCAGATGGTGTAGGAATATATAGTAACAGGACACGGGATATAGCAGACCTCTCCAGCATTCTTTCTCCCTAAGGAACAAAGAGATCATCCCCAGGACCTTGTATTAAAGCTCCGAGAAAGTTTCCCTTGGCACAGACTTTCCATGCCACGCTACCGACTACGCCTCCACCGGGATTCCCACCGATCCAGGAACTCAACGCCGCCACTACAGCAGACGCATCTTCACATGGAACGCGGATCCATACGATCTTGTTGGTGGAGTTCGGTTTCTTCCGCTGGGATGTTTCGGGCGAGATTTGGAGGATATCAATGGAGATAGCGGACCCTGCTAGTCCGAGGAATTGCGACAGGGCGGAGGTCAGGTACGTTCGCACAGTCAGAGGGTCAAGGGGTTGGGATTGCACGGTGGTTGAGGTGCCTGGTTGGTGGATCCTAATTGGTAACATTGAGTCAGTTCCATAGTGTTTTATTTTTAAAAAAAAGAAAGAAAGAAAAGAAAAGAAAAGAAAAGAAAAAGAAAAAGAAAATGAAAATAAAACACCGGGGAAGGAGAACCCAATACTTACAATTGGAGCTTGAGGTAGGTCCATGGAGGATTACGCGAGGTGAAGCTGGCGACGGGCGGGGGTGTCTTGGACGCTGAGGAAGTATCCGTATCCGGGGCTTTTCGTTTGACAGAAGTGGAAGTCATTTCGGAAGAAGTACTCGGAGATATTGCGATGTACAGGGTTATGTTGAAAAAGAACTATCGTAAATTTGGGATGTTCTGAATAAGTTGAGCACTCGAGTGGGTCGATAGTGGGAAAAAAATGTCTTGGAATTTCCGTGGTCACACCGTGTGTTTGATAATTACCATACGAGACAAAACATAGTCCTCAAAGTAGATCAATGAATTACCATGGATTATTTCTGGATAACAGCCTCTCTTAGCTTCCTTTGAGCTTCTTGTAGGAACTTCTCCTCGCCTTCAGCTCCAATATCAAGATCTGAGATCCTGAGAGTCTTGTCACGCGATTTCAAGCCACGAATGACGTCCACGTTGGACTTGGGGACTTTGAATATCTGTTTGCCAGGTTTATTAGCGGACCTGTGGGGATTGATCTGGTTATAGAATCAAGACGAATGACACGCCTTCGATGGAGAACGCTTCCATGTATGCCTCTCTGTCGCAAGGAGGGAGAAAATTACCTGGGCGAAAACTTGCGACACGGCTGTATTTGCCTCGCCGTTCCTCGGCACAGCAGCCACGCAGACATCAACCGTATCTGCCCCCACGGCCGTGATTCCTACTCGATTGTTGGATGCATTGGGCTTTACATGGCATGAGATCTGCAGGCTGTATCCAGCGGGATGGCGATTGCTGCGGCCCGATTTGGTGGTGACGTTTTGGACGAGGCGGAGAAGAGGCGAGGGGGAACCAGACATGAGGAATTGCGTCGGTAAAGTATCGAGTAGAAGATGAGTTTGAATGTAATAATTACAAGAAGGAATCTATAATGTATCTAGTCCAGAATCACTGTGCTTAATATTATGGTCTGAGGTGGGAATTAGCAGTGTCAGCCCCAGGAACCAAAGTCTTGGCTCCCGGGATCGGAAACTAAATACGGCGTATATACCCTGCAGCCTGCACGTATCTCTTAGAGACCGGGCCATCGTGGAGGTATAACTACCATGACAGGTAGCAGATTTGAGGAAATATGAATATTGTGATATACCTATTGATTCCTTCATATAAGAGACTTTCTACTAGTAATAACCTATCCACAGTCCTCAGATTGATTGATCTAGGGTATACAATCTAGAGAAGCGAAAGTTCCAATTGGGATGGATGGCATAAACCTGACCCTCCAGCAACTATCCGGAGAAAGGTAGCAAATTTCTAGAAGAACAGAGGGTGAGGGAGGGGTCAAAATCTGTGTTGGGGCCTTTCATAGCAACAAGAGAGACTTCTGTGTACAAGTGCACGGAAATGTCAACAAAACAGAATGTATATTCACTTCACTTACCTATCCTTCCCTTTTTATATTTTATTTTATTTTTTTATTTTTTTCAATTATATCCCTTATCTGTGGCTTTACTTGCACTTGTTACCTTTGTTTGTCTTTTCCCTTGTCCTAGCAAAGCACTGTTTCTCTACTGGCTTCTATCTAGTCCTTCTTATCAGTTCAATTCCAGGCAAATAAATAAAGCTGTTTCCATTAACTCTAATTGGCTGTGAGATCTAATTTTGACTAATAGAAACACCCAGTGATAAGTTGTGTGGCTAACACAGGAGGTACTTGTAGGATTCACCTGGTAAATAGCACACCATGAGCTTCAAAGATAAGCCAGCTTACGCGGACGACATCGTTCCTCTCAAGTCAACCAATACCTATAAGTCTAACCTGAAGAGCCCTGGACCCACAAAGGCCAAAGGGGAGGGCGACAACAAAAGTAAACACAAGCGGCGGGTGCGACATAAACCAAAACCTATAGTCATCAAGTTTGTTGTAAGTAGAGGACAACTGTGCAAGCTGCTACTAGTAAAGTCTCTTAAAATACTCACCCTCTCATTTGACAGCCTCTGAGACCTCTCCGGCCCAAGTCTCCCAAGATACCCGATCCCATTCACCCTGCTCCCGGGCAGCAGCCAGACGGTAGTATGATCGATAACCAGGATACGACTGCTCCGCACTATGGACAAGATGACTGGAGTCTGCACAACTTGCCTGATATTCTGTACACCCTGAGACCTGGCTCTGAGAACAGCAAGTCGAGACAGCGTGTGCGTATCAACATTGGTCCAATATTCGGCAAGATGCTGCGTAATTTGCCCGTGCTTCCAGATCGTATCTCCTCCAAGGTAGAGGGATGGCGCCTGGAAGCGTGGTTCCGTATGGACCGTCGTATTGAGCCCGAGGACATCATTGATCGTGTCGACCCCCTCTATCGATCGGGGATCACTGAGGACGACATCGATCTTCGCCGCAGAATGTTTCGAGAGGCGTTCCATCTGGCCACCTGGGGTGCCCAGAAATCTTTGAATGACGTCTCTCGCATGGCCAAATATGCCGGAATCGACCCAAAAAAGAACACCACCCGAGGCATGACTCCCGGTCTAATTGACCCATCCAAAGGTGAAGCAGGTGGTCGCATTCCTCTCCCTGCTTGTATCCCCAGTTGGGATTTGTCCATATTTGATATCCCACCGGTTGTCGTGCAGTCCAATGGCCTTACGCAGGAGCCTGTGGATACCCAGCAGCCACATCTCAAGCAGCCTAATGACCTAATGCAGGAACCTATGGATGTCCAGCCACAGCTCGTTCAGCCGCCTACTATAACTCATTCGCACCCTACTGTGGAGCAGCAGCCGGTCGTGAAGCAGCCAATGGGTTCCATGCGACCACAGTTTCCTATACGGGAAGCCGCTACTGAAGAGTACTATGCGTCTATCGCAAGACAATTCATGATTCCAGACCACCTAATTCCAGACCGCATCAACAACCACATCAACAATGTCAAGAACCAATCGAAAAACCAGGGAGTTGAGGATCCTTTCATAGGACAGTGGCAGATGAGAGGTATGCCGGTGGGCCATGATACAGCGAGCTCCTTTATGGCTTTCTCTCCAACTCCAGGAGTCGGTCTCAAAAGAAAGGCTACTGAAGATCCTGTGAAGTAAGTTTGACCGACCTGCTGCAATTTCCAAGCTGAATCAAAGGTGCAGCACCCACGGCAGCGTGTTGGCGAATAAGAAAACAAAACCAGAATCTTCTTTCCTCCCCGATTATCCCGAATTCCCCAGTGAATTGGCATCTCACAATGGACCTTCAGCTCATAGCTGTTTGGGCTCTCTCGAATCTCAGACTGGTCCAGTCATTGGAATGGAAGATTTCCTTGGAATCAATAATCTCTCATTTACCGAGTTACTGAACTCGCGTTTGGGTGATGAAGTGGCCACCATGCTCTCTTCGGATGCAGCCGCCTGGCCTGGATTTTCGGACCAAAACCAGTGACTCCATAAACCTTGGCAAATTGGCTGGATATTGATTACGGAGTACTATGGAAGGCGTAGGTTTGGAGGGTTGGGAAACTCGTGAGATGGCATAGGTTTTGCTTTCTTGTTCGCGCTGTTCCACTAGCCTATTTTAAGATCCTATTCTTCTTGTATGTATGGAGATTGATTTCGTTGGCCTTGGTACACTTTCATCTAGGCGCGGAATAACAGGATTGTACATGGGATATTATGGAACTCTTTTCTCTAGGATGCTTATTGTTGTGAAAGAGAAGCTCCACTTTGTCTTCTTTGCCTTAGATAAACTTCTCTACCACTACCATCATTTTCAAAAAAAAAAAAAATCTTTTTATGCAAGGCTCCCCTTTATCTAATCACTGCTGAGAATGAATAGTTAAGAACCCAAAGACTATCTATCCCGCTCTAAGTGGCTATAATTCACAGGACCCAGACTCTCTTAAGCTTTATAGCCCAGGTAGGTCTGAATTGGGTGGCGTAGGATCATATTTTTAGGAACTTAATTCACTTTAACATTATATCTTCTACTCACACCTTTGTTACTGAGCTTAACAATGGTGAGTGTTAGCTTGCTCCAAATGGAGCCAATCGAATGAATATAGCTTTGCCATGCCCCAGCCTCCTCCCAGACAGCTGCCACATCTTTAATAAATCACTCGCGGGACCTGTTCTGTTCTTGCTAGTGCTATCAAAATGTGGGTCTGATGGATCCAGGGAAAATATAGCAGTTGCTTTGCAGGAACTGCAAGATGGATTGTTGTCTTCGCGTCCGGTTTTCCTATGCGAGGTGTTCTCTTGCCCCAGCGTTCTCTAGATATTCCTGTTTTTGCACTCAAAGTTATTACTTTATTGTCGATGTTGTTCCAATTTCCTATTCAAATAAAAAAATTTTCAACCTATCTGAACTTTGCAATCAAATTTGCAATTCCTTTTCAAAATCAATAAGGCGTGCCTTCGGTAGGCTTAGAGTTTTGCTATCTATTATGCACAACAACATAAACCAGCATGCACGCTCAAATTCATAGAGTTGGCTTTATCATACGGCAAACGCCAAAGATGATCGATTTGACAAGAATCGCCAAGCCTGTTCAAACTTCCGGTGCCTGTAAGAACCCCCAAACCCCTAAGAACCTCAAGTCCATCAAAGATGCGGGGGTGGCTAAAGCCACTAAAAAGAGCAATAAATCGCTAATAAAAGTAAATTAAAAATTATACACCACAGAAAACTCTAGTACTATCCGTGAGATAGAAAACATTCCCAGACAAGATAGCCCCAAGGCAAATGACTCTCGCAATTACGCCTCCTCCCGTACTGACCAGCAAGACTTATCATGGCAGAATTTACCTGATATTCTGTATCAGATAAAACCAACCAAAAAGACAGGGCCTTATCTAGAACCTCTCCTGATGAGGTACTTAATTCACGGTCACATCCTTCAAGAAATCCCAGTCCTCTCTGACAACATTGTTTCGGACGTTAAGGAGTTCCGGGTCGAAGCCTGGATGCGTCTCGATAGCCGCAGCTATCTCAAAGATATCATCGATAGAATGCATCCCGATTTCAATGCAGATGGGAACAGCAGCATTTTATTCGGTTCCGCAAAGATGAATATGCTTGCTTGGGATTCTAATAACAAGAAAAGTCAAGAAACTGAGGTGGGCCTGATTGAAGAAATGGTCAATCAGGGGATCAACCCGTGATTGAGCTCAACCGAGGCCTGACCCCGGATCTCATTAATGAGGCTCTCAGAGAAGAGGGGGGCAGAATCGAGCTTCCTCGGAAAACGAAGTTTAATAAAACGCCCACGGTTCGTCTTGTGGCGATACAGGAAGCTATCACCGAAACTCGAGAGAATGTCGGAAAGTCACTTTCTTCCTTGGTGCCTCTCCTCAAAGATCTCATCAATCTCACCGGAAACATGACACCGTCAGAAGAGTAGACAAAGGAGAAGCTCTCCTGAGAGGAGCCCAGAAATTCTTAACTTCTAGCAACAGTTCGTCCTGTTTGACAGAGAGGATAAGTCATATGGCCCGCAACCTATTTAACGATCTGATTCCGCAGAGCAGGGTTATATGCAACACTGGGCCGTCTGAATTACTAATGGTGCGAAAGTCTTTCTAAAGCTTGTGTAGCCATGTGGTGGTGGGGGAGAACAATGCTAGCAAGAGTCCGACTGGTGGGCTTATGCGGTCTCCTGTGCCGGTCTTCCAACCTCCTATGGTATTTACCCCATGGAGAGAACACCTATTTCAGAAAATGCGATCCCGGAAAAGTTTCGCGGTGTACTCATCAACAAAATGCTGAAAAGGTGCTTCCGGGGCGAGGGCTATATTTTTCAGTTACCATACATGTGTGAAATCTCTGACGACATGATGGAAGCTGATGAAAAGATACTGTGATCACAGTCCTTCTTGCCTTCGTCTTTAGTGACATTTCACTGCTGTTCTCGAACATGATATTCCTTCAGTATGGAGTTTGTCGCAATCATTGCAGTATCTCTAACGACCTATCCAGGACTATCTTAGTTGCATAGTTCGGATCGATATTTAAACAATTCTGTTTTCTTTTTATTTACTTTATTTCTTTCTTTTTCTCGCCTTTTTTTTTTTTTTTTTGGTAACGATCAATCTGTTTTGAGGCGTTATGGATGAGGTTCGATTAAGGTTGGATGCCAAGATATTCCCCGTCAATAGTGGGATGCATGAAAGGCGCATATCTCTGTACGACAATGCACTGCCGAGCTGAACTTGGGATCTCTTCAGAACGAAGTCTCAGACATATGTTCTACGGTTGTTGGAATCCAGGTAGGGAGAGTTGAGCACAAAGTCGTGTGCATTTAACTTTCTCTTCTTCCTATGCAAGTAGAATAGTAAGTAAAACTTTTGTCTGGTAAGTTTAAATTCCTTCACAAAGAACCCCTAATATTATAGGTCTAAATTACTGGGAACAAGTGGCTCCGCTACAACTATCTAAACAAACATCACATGGAGACACGCAATACGGAGGTTTCCAGTATTGACTGGCAGCATACACGTGATATAAATAATTCCATGAAGTGAAAGTTGATTGCTTCTGTTCTTTAATTCTTCCCTTCCGGGTAGAATTATAGTATATATACCTCTTGATCTATCTTTTATTCTTCTCTCACTTCAAAACATCCATACAGCCAGTGAGCTTAAAAACAGAAACCAGATTTACCATGGCTGACTCTTCACCCCGCGCTTCTCCTGCTCCTGGTAAGTATTGCTTCACCTTTAGCATACATATAAATACTTACATTATATTCTATCTTACAGAGCACCAGGAAACAAGCAACGGTCCCTGTCAGCGTGAGAATTTCTCTTCCTATCTCCTATGTCTCTTTCTATGTCTTCTTTATTCTTCCCGGCTAACATGTTTCCTAGATACTACTCCTCCAGTTGCAAATCATACATGCCACCATCCATATCATTCCCAGTACTCAGAGAGTAATCTACCTCCTCTTCTTTTTCGCATGGACCAACCTCTGAATACGCAGCTCGGGGTTCTCAGCAACCTCATAGAGAACGGGCAAGAGGTCACAGACCACGAAGGCTCTGCCATCCGTGACTTCCCATTCCTTCCACGATATATCTCCTCCCAACCACCAACATGGCTTCTGGAATACTGGATGAGAACGGACTACCGGCTGACATACCGCGACATTAAAGCGCGCATGACTACTCCCGAGGATCAGAAACCCACGGAGAATGCACTGAACATGCGTCGGGAGCGTGAGGTGAGAGCTCCGCTGAGTCTATCCTGCTGGACTGCGCGTCGAGGCCGGGCGAACAGAATCTCTCGAATTGATATAGAACGGGTGGAATTCTGGACCATTGACCAGGTCAAATTCAATACAACAATGGAAATTGAATACAGACAGACAGAGACTGAGCTCTATCCTGTCCCTTTTCGTCTGCGTGCAAAGTCTCTTGCCTCCGCTCCTGTCGCCACGGTCTACTATCCACTCGACACCTTCCTTGAAGGCGATGGTTCCCATGCTCCTAGTAGCCGGATTACAGTCGCTCTTGACATTTTCTATGAGCTATCTGAAAGAGCGTTGGCTAGAGGTATGGATTCCTGGAGACAACTGCCGGCCCATGATATCCCGGTGAGTTGGAAACCCTACTCTGATACCGGGCGGCCGTCCGCCCAAGCTGGAGTCATTGTAGATCTCGAGGAAGAGGATGTCTCTTTGGATGATGCATCCTCTGATCAAGCTGATGAGTCCGAGGTTCATAGTTAAGGTTTGCTTCAGCTCTGTTTATATCATTTAACGTGTTGTATCTATCACTAACATTTGTAAACGGATGGTAGGATTGGTAATTGATTTCAGGAACGATCTGATGTCATGGAAGGGACAGTCTAACATCATAAAGTCAGACGTGGAATTTAATCTTTATTTATTGTCTCTCCTTGCTCCTTTCTTTATATCTTCAGCCTAGATTTCTATGACAGATCAACTGTTTACTTTCCACCTGGTCCCTTTTATACCTTTTCAAAGAATAGTTTACTCTCTGCATAGCAATTAACTATTGATTGTGATTCTTCCCTCGTAAGGCCGTGCACTGAAGCATATATACTTCTATCTAGAAAAGCAGAATACTATCTAAACTAGAGAACCCGGTGGCAACTCCTCCTTCGTTGACATCCCGTGCCTTCGTTCTCATGAGCCATCCACCTTGCTCGTTATGCAGGACTTTCCCCCCGGCTTGATTCCACAGGATTGTTCCGTACACGCCCAGTTCCCCAATGACTTCTCCACCGAGCACTTGGCCATCACTCCTCAAAGCCACATTCTTTGCATCGGATGGCGGGCTGATTAGCTCCATCAAAATCCAGCGCTTCCATTCCGTCTCGGGAATCGAATGCAAGAATTCAGGGATCGCAGTTTTGTAGATATTGTTGCCACCCCCTTCTCGCTGCGGCTTGAGAACGTGTTTCGCCGCTGTGTCAGGGTTGAGAGCCAGGTCCCTACCACGCCCGTCGGAAGAAAGATCATACTGAGGCGCAAATGTCGCCCGTAATCTTGCAACCACGGACGGATCAACATCGGCCAAGAAATTTGCCAGGTGGTCCGGACCTGCACTTTCCGCTAGGACCTGTTGCACAATTTTACACCCAGACAATTGATTTAGGACAGTTGGGCATTTAATTGCCGCAGAGCGTTCCAAGTGAGTGCGCGCCTCCCAATCGCGCTCCGACTTATAATCACTTGGTGCATAGAAGCACCGCAGGTATACGGTTGTTACCTCGAATGCCCTCGAAGAGTAAGGGGGGTGGTATATGAGGGGACGAGAAGGGTTGGATTCAGGAATGGACGTGTGATCCAAAATCTCCGCGCTCAAGAGACGAAATACGGGTATCCTGTGAAAGGTTGTGAGTTGTCTTAGGAGTGCCAATTGGTCAAATGTATTCCTCTCGTTCTCCTGAACAACAAACAGAATGCACGTGGGGAAAGTCGGCGCTGATTTGGACGTCCCGTACGCGGCGTGTGCAGCTGCCAATCCCGCCGACAAAGTCTCCACTGCGGTGTTCTTAGGAGGCTCATTGGATTCAAACAAGGGATGAGGTGGATATGCGATAGGATAGCCCAGAGGGGAATTGACGAGTTCGGAGTGGAGCGATGTCACGAGAGACGACAACCCACCGAAGGATGACGAGATGGTGTTGAACTCAACCTGCTTCAATGATGGTGCTGTCGAGTTGGATGGTGCATGGGCCATATAATCTGACCGGAAAAGACCAAGCGACAATGTCTGGACATAGCCCTCCTTCTTCACTGCAAGATGCGTCTTCCACAAATTTGAAATGAAGTCGTCCACGTCAATAAGGCTACCAGTCAAGAAAGTGTTTAGTCATGGCCTCTCCGCAACACAGTTGATCCACAGAGCAATGTGGACCAGGAATGGTAGGTTCAAGCTTACTCTTCCATGATCTTGCCAAGCCATTCTTCGTTACATGTTATCACGGCATACAGGTGATTGTATACGGTCTGCAGGGCTTTTGCCTCTTCAAAACAGGCCCTCGGAAAGGGACTCGGGAATAGAGTCACAGGAGCATTTGTCGCCAGCACTCCACGAGAATCCGATTCCCTCGGAATAAAGCTCGGGGCTGGCCGAACCATCAAGCCATTCTGGGCCGCCCAATCCTTGATGGTGGTCACCAGGAAGTCCTTTTGAGCGGGGCTCAAGGGAGGAGGGTAATTGGCATAGATAGACTCGCCCATGGCTGGTTCCTGGCCGTTCTGAGGTGGGATCAGAATGAATGCTCATCATGGTGAGGGGGATAGTTATGGATGGATTAATAATGGAGGGGTGTTATCGCTTAGTCATCGAGTAATCGATAAGGGCTACCGCCTTAGATGCCGCCCAATAGGCCGGCAGAAAAGCTCCAATCGCCTGATTTGATTTTCTCCGCAGCACGGCGCGAAACGCGTTGCTGGTGTCCAAAGTGAGGTTGTCTTGATGCCAGCCCTGGGAAGAAACACCCGTGATCATCGCTTTGATCCGGCCTTACTCCAATTTTAGACTTTTGATGCATATCAAATGTAGATTATTGGTGACACTAAGTCTTCGGTCCCATGATTCGCTATATTGCATCAAAACCAGGGGACTGTCCGATTGACCAGGACTTGATGTGAACTCGCCTCCACCCTGAGACCAAACGAAGAAAATGGTCTGATGTTCCCTCAGACAAGATGCAATTTGATCACGGAGACCCCATTGACTGGACAGTCGATGAGGTAGTGAATTTTCTCTGCTATAATCCACAGGAACCATGGTCTCAGTCGGCGTCTCGCGGTCCTAGGCCTGATCCTCAGTCCTTCGAGGCTGCACTTCGCGATAACTTTGTCACGGGAGAAGTTCTTTTGCAAGATGTTGACAAAGCCGCATTGCGCGAGGACCTTGGATTGAAGGCCCTAGGTCATATTAGCTCCATGCTTAGGGCAATACGATACTTGCAAGGGAATTCTCCCAAATTCCAGCGTCTCACAGGGCATTTACGCTCGGTTGACGACCGCCAAAATGCCTTTTCCCCAACGCCATTTGCTTCTGTGGGATCCGCTCCTCAATGGTCTTCCCCCATATGCCATCAGAATAACACTACACCCGGAAATGTAACCACACAACATGGAAATCTCCTGAACCCAAGCATTGTATCGACCCCGTTTGCCCCGGCACAGGAACCAGGCCAAGAGACTGCTTCTGAGTACACGATGGACGAGGAAAGACCTGCAGAGGGCTCTATTGGACAGGCTCGGCCTCGGGAGCGAATTATAGTCGATGATCTAGGGAGAAAGCGGCGAAAGCTAGACCTAATATCACAAGCCGAAATTGAAAATATTGAGCGGGCTCCAACTCCTGCGATGCATCCGCAAGGCGTGAAGTGGTTTATGGGACCAGAACGGATGACCTACTCAGCGCTATTTTATTCACCCGATTCGGACGACAATGATAATTCATTTGTAATAGTTGGATCCGAATTTCCAAGAGCGCAGCGTTGTTTTGTGAACAAAGCCCTTGGGTATAGCTACAGGCAGCGGCCGATCAAGCTAAGCTCTGGTAAAGGTCGCACTCAACGAGCCATGGTACTTTACGATGTCCAGAGGGTTGTCAAGGACAGCCAAAAGCACTTCACATTGTACACACACCAAAATGGAGAGGTTGCAGTTAGTAAGGAAAGAATAGAAGATTGGCCGCAACTTGTTGGAGTGCAAGCTGGTTCTCAAGCCTCAACAAATACGCCAAGTGTCGCTGACCCGTTCTTATATCTTCTTCAAAAGTATCCAGCTCTACAAGATGATGAAGACATCTGCCCTTTGTATGGCGATTCAGGATCAGAAGGAGAGTTTGATGAGGAAACCTGGCAGGAAATCCAGGCTGAAAAAGAGGCAGTCCAGCACAAACCAACAATTCTTTCACGAGCAGAGGTTGAATCTGTGATTGTGGACTGTGTCTCGGAATATGAGAGTCGATGGCACGGAACTGGAAAGCAGAAGGAAGAAATGAAAGCGCGGCGACTTTGGCTAATGGCCAAAAAGAGCAAGAGTACTAACCAGAAGATCAAAACTCTGTCACAAGATGTCAGTAACCTAGAAAAGCGCTTAGGAAAATTGCAGGAGGCTATTTGTCGAAGCGAGTATGCATCAAAGTCTGAGCTACGAAAACAGTGTCAGAGTATGGAGCAAACTGTCATGAGCATACAAAAGAACAAATGGCGTGTGGTGATTCTAGAGCGTGAAAAATGCCCCCCAAGAGTAGCGGCTGCTCCCAGGAATCTATCAGCTCAGAAGTCACCACCGGCTGCAGGAGATGAAGAGTCGCTCTATTCCGAATCTGACGGCTTTACTGACCTTGATGACTTTATTGATGATGAATCCGACTCTATTGAGCGCGTTCAGGGAAACAATAGTGCGACACCGACTCCGTCCACATCTGATAGTGACAACGACATCATCAGTCCTTCTGGGATTTGGCGGAACTCGAAGCGATCCAGGAGACTCCCTTTTCGGGAATCCAGCTCTCCTCCTTCTAGCCCTACTAACAAGGCATCGGCCGAGTGTATTGATCTTACAGCAGATTCCCCTTGTGCTGATGATTTAAGGATTGAGACCCCTCCCTTGAACCCGGTTCAACGAGTAAGCTTGAGACCCACCAAGGAGACTGCTACAATTAGAAGGAGTCCATCTATCTCCCCTGAACCTATACTTGGTCCAAACTTGAGTGTTCAAATGCCAGTCAAGCAGAAAGACATTTTCCCTAACAAATCCGAACGGAAGCGGTTATCATTGCCTGACATTGATGACATTGAGAAAGTCTTATCGATGCCATGGGAAGTCCCCGAAGAGCGTCGCAACCGTCGCCTACTGTTGGCGAAGCTAATTGGTAGTTTGTCTATTGAAGAGCGAAACCGAATGGCGATATTGATACGCAGATATGAAACCCAGGATTTGCAGACGCTCGCTGGGGACGCTCTAAATAAGCTGCGTAAGAGTAAAGAAAAGATTCCCGGGATGCCCAATCCCGAAAGCCAGCTGATTATGCGGACTGCGTCTCTTTACATAGCATGGGTTAATTGTGTTCATCCCCAGTTAAAGGGGATTCCGAAGAGCCATATTATAAAGGCCCAAGGGGAAATCGAGAGTTTTCCGACTTTTTTCTGGGAGCTTTGCACTCGTCTTGACGCATTCCTTTCTTATGACGAGAAACAAGCTTCTGATAAATCAGAGGAGGCCGATGCAACAGTTCCGGGTACACCTCACAAGAAGAGAAAAAGAGAAGTCAAGGAAAATCGAGAAGTGAAACTGAACCAAGCAAGTGCACAGATGCGTGTTGCCTTAAATGAAGAGCAGAGACGGAAGGTTCAGCAGAAGATGGAAAGTATGGGCCTCAGCAACACTGACCCAACGCATCAAGCAGTTAGCTTTGGAGATCCAATAATTTATCTAGATCCACATATTGGCAAGCGTGTCAAACCCCATCAACTCAATGGCATTCAATTCATGTGGCGAGAGTTGTTTGAGGACGAAAAGCAACAGGGCTGTCTGTTAGCACATACGATGGGTCTGGGCAAAACAATGCAAGTGTAAGCGGTTCCAGCCACACCTTTATTGCCAGTTTCCCTTTCCTCTGCTCACCTGCGGACAGCATCGCTCTCCTAGTCACTATATCCAGTACTGCATCTTCCAGTGACCCAAAGATTAGCCAGCAGATTCCCGCCAGCTTCAAGGATTCCAGATTTCTTATCCTTTGCCCTTCCTCTTTAATTGAGAACTGGTATGAGGAATTTCTGATGTGGAACCCTCCGAATTCAAGCATTGGCCCTATAAGGAGACTCACAAGTTCACACGCGCCTCCAGAAAGGTTGCAGATTGCGTCCGAGTGGGGTACGGAAGGGGGAGTTCTTATCATGAGCTATGACATCTTCAGAGCGTGGATTTCCAACAAGAAGACTACCAAAAAAGGACAGCCTCTTTCCGAGGAGGTCCATGGGAAGGTCTGCAAATGGCTGTTAGAAGGTCCGAGTGTTGTTGTTGCCGATGAAGCCCATAAGATGAAGAATCCATCCTCTGCTATTTCCCGGGCCGCCATGCAGTTTCGCTCAACAAGACGCATCGCACTTACTGGATCTCCTCTTGCCAATAATCTTATCGACTACTATACCATGGTTAATTGGATTGCAAAGGACTACCTCGGAAATTTTGTGGAGTTTAAGGCAAATTATGTGGAGCCTATAGAGGAAGGCCTATACGCAGACAGTTCTTATACGGAGAGACGGAGGTCTCTCGTTAAGCTTCAAGTGCTCAAAGAAATTCTTGATCCCAAGATTAATCGTGCGGATATCACGGTGCTCGAGGGTAGTCTGCCACCCAAGATTGAGTTTGTTCTTACTGTTCCCTTGACACAGCTACAGAAAGCCGCCTATGATTCATATGTTGCGACCCTAGTCCAAGGCAGAGGGGACGTGGGCACTGCAAAACTTTGGTCCTGGCTGGCAATTCTGGGACTCTGTTGTAACCACCCTACTTGTTTTAGAGATAAGCTACAAAACAGAGCAAGTGACGCACAAAAATTGGATAAGAGAGTGGAGGAGACCGAAGAGTTTCCCGGGGATGAGCCCATCACTCAAGCCGGACTTCCTGACTCGGAGAAATTAGTCGTGGAAGAAGAGCAACTCTTTTCCACTGTTCCCGACATGAAAGCCCTGGAGCTATCATATCGGGCACAGATTTTGGACAGGATAATCGACGAGTCGATCAATGCTGGTGACAAGCTGTTGATATTCTCTCACAGCCTACCAACGCTCAACTACATTGAGCATATTTTGAACCGGGTCAATCGAAAATACTGCCGCTTGGATGGAACGACCCCGATTGCTGGTCGGCAAGCTGCGACAAAACGATTCAACCACGACTCCTGGGAACAGGTCTATTTGATCTCAACACGTGCAGGGGGGCTGGGCTTAAACATCCCCGGTGCCAATCGCGTCGTGATCTTTGACTTCTCCTTCAACCCTGTCTGGGAGGAACAGGCGATTGGACGGGCCTATCGCCTGGGTCAGAAAAAACCAGTCTTTGTCTATCGCTTTATCGCCGGTGGCACTTTCGAGGAAATCATGTATAACAAGGCAGTTTTCAAGACACAGCTTGCATTCCGCGTCGTTGACAAGAAAAATCCCGTCCGCACTGCCTCCAAGTCCCTCCGCGAGTACCTTTTCCCAGCGAAACCAGTCCCTCAGGAGGATATCACTGATTGTATCGGGAAAGACCCTAACGTGCTGGACAAGATCCTCGTAAACAGCGGGCCCGACAATCCGATTCGAAAAATCGTCCTCAGCAAGACCTTAGAACGAGAGGACAACGACAAGTTAACGGAGGAAGAAAGACAAGGCGTCCAGCAAGCCTTGAGCGATGAACGTCTGAAGCGGACCGACCCAAACGCATATCACCAGATGATCTGTGAACGTGAACGTGAACGACAGAGGGCTCTTGTGCAGAACACTACGAACACGACAACAGCGCTCCAGTACCCTTCCGCATATTCACACACATCATCCCATGTGCAGTTCGAGCCTAGTATCTACATGAATCCTCCACCACAGTCTCTGTCTTTTCACCAGTATCAGCCTCATCATGATCAGCAGCTGTATCAGCCTTATCAACCATATCCCCCCCCGACCACTAGGCCATCGATTCCTTCCAGCGCTCATAATGACGGCCCTCCTCCTTTGGCCCCGGATACCAGTCTTTAAAGAGAGATCGGATTGCCGTGACATTCTTTCCTTGGCATCAAGGAATCATTTTCATATCTCCGTACTTTACAGTTTCCTGTTTTGCTGAGCGACCTCTTTTCCTCCAAAATCTATCGAGTTATCATCTCTTAAGCACGAGAGTAGCGGCTTTTTTTTCATACCAATTCATATCCAATTATATCCCCCGCCAAATATGTTTAGTAGGTTAAGCAGCGTACATAATAATAATACCATTACTCCTGATTGCATTGAGAACAAAATTAAATTGAAGGCCTACAAAGTGCTTAGCTCATGGACTTTACTAGCCAGATAAGACAAAGGAAAATTCCGAAGTTAGAATGTGATGTGCAATCTGACCAGCAGAGTGGCCTAGTATTTGACAGAGTAGAATATCAAGCCCAATCCCTTGCGCTTAAGGGAAAAAAGGAAAAGAGAAGGAAAAACGAGAGATTCTGTATGACCATTCTTTCGAAACCAAAAATCTGTCTCCATATTAACACAAGTAAACCCGGAATATGTAAAGTGGAATTCAATTGAATATGAGATATTAGAAGTCAGGGAAAGGGCAGGGAGTTTGAATGGGCAGCGAAATCATTTAAGATAGAAGTTTCTCAAGGTCAGCAACGCGGGTGGCTCTATCATCGACCATTTTCTTCTTGGACGTTTCGCGAAACGCTTCAAGCATCAGCTTACGCTTCGTCTCTTGGATGGCAAGAACACGGTCCTCGATACTATTTTCCATGATGAGACGCCAGACGGTGGTTTCGCGCATCTGGCCCAGACGATAAACCCGGTCGACAGCCTGGTCTTCGATGGCCGGAGCCCACCAGCTGTCCGCAAGAATAGCTTGATTGGCGGCAACAAGATTCAGACCAACGCTGCACACGCTCAGACTTGCAAGGAGGACTATGCAGTTGGGGTCTCGGGAAAATCGGTAAGTGGAGTTGTCGCGGCTCGCCGAACTCATCTTACCGTCAATACGAGCAAATCCAATTCCGTGGCGATGGAGATGAGGTTCGAGAAGATCGAGGAAGGAGGTCCACTGGCTGAACACCACGGTTTTTGTACCGCTGGCCTGTCCTTGCGCTGTCAGAATCTTGATCAGAGCCTCGATCTTACTACTTGGATGGTCTGGGTCGGCAGAAACACTATCAGTACTTTCGCCCATCTCAGCAGCAGGAGACACCAAAGTGGTAGTGTTCTCTATATCGGCACGACACATGGGGCATTTGTGCTGTCTCTCGATGACTTGCTCAATACAACCTCGATCAAATGAGTGACCACAGGCTGTGATAATAGGCTGCTCTAGGACATCAAGGCAGACGGGACACGTCTCCTGGCTCTCAATCCTGATCTGCAGCATGTCTTGAAGGGCTTTGATGTTCTCGGGTGTTAGTGGAACGACTTTGTCTTTCTCCAGAAGTTCAGTGAGGTTGTCAATGCGCTTCTTGCAAAGCGCCCAGTGATTGCATACTTGGCGCAGGCGAAGAATGACCTCGAGAAGGTGAGAGTACGTGGTGCCAGTCTTTTCCTTGGATCTCATATCCAGAAGCACGCCCTTTGCTTCCGACCTATGCAGCTGTTAGCACGCCCATATCACCTATAGGGTTAAGCCACACATACTGGAACATATTGTACTTTTCCTCTTCGTGAGGATGGAATTTGACCCGAAGAACACGGGACGTGAGGGCTGGCAAACGCAAGTTCACAAAATCCATATCCTTTCTGCGACGCAGGCAGATTGTACACATCAGGGCTTGAAGGAGCAAGCGCGCATTGGGATCATCAGACATAAGAGGCCGGATCAGAGCGCCATTGAAGACTGCCATGTCTTCTAGGCCGCCGGAGAGTCCCAAGTAGCGGACTTGAGAGTACAGGTCCTTGAGGGTGTTGACAATGGGCGTTCCGGTCAATGACCAGCGGGAATCCGCTCGCACGTTACAAGCAGCCAGAAAACCTTTGGATCTTGGATTCCGAATTGTATGTCCTTCGTCTAGAACGATGCGACGCCAATGGACAGAAAAGATCCCTCTCTTCGGCGGCGTCCTCGCATCAGGATTATATTCCATGGCCAGAGCACCATAACTCGTGATCACTACATCATACTGTTCGAGATTGGCCGCCTCCTTCTTACCTGTACCATGGTATACATGTACGCGTGGAGTGTTCTCACTGCGGGTATGATCCTGGATTTGGTTTCTCCAGTTGCTCATCACACCCACCGGAGAGACAATCAGGGTACACTTTGAGGCACCCGGCATTCTAGGCTGAGGGTTCGCCAATATCAAGGAGATAATCTGGATCGTTTTTCCAAGGCCCATATCATCTGCTAGAATACCTCCACTCGCAAGAGGCGGCTGGATGGCTGTGGAAAAGTTCGTGGCGATGTTGGTGAATCGACCACCGGTCCGTTTCCACAGCTGCACGACGTCTTCGGATCCAGGGCTAGGCAGGACAGGATTTTCTTTGCTAATCATCCAAGCCAGTCCTTGCCGCTGGTACGGCAGGAGCTCCGTCGACAAAGCTGCCGGAGTATCTGTCATCGGCATGTTTGCCAGATCGGATTCATTCATACCAAATTCTTCTGTGACTTTACCGATCTCGCGGGGGTTGAATGTGCTACTTTGACCGATAAGATCTTCCAGAGACTCTTCACTCTCGTTGTAGCCTTCCCCGGCGAACAGGTTGGCATACATGGGGTTATTTTGAGTTTCCCATTGCCGTCCTTTGCCCGACGCCAGTGCACGAGCCATCTTGGCAACTTCCTTTTGCGCTTTTGCACGCTCTTTCTGCTGTTTCTGCTCATCGCGCTCCCTCTGCCTGACACCCCCCAGAGGAAGCCTGTCCTGTTCCATACTTCGCTTCAACTCGTCTCGACTTTCTGGGGCACTTGGTCCAAAAAGCCGCAAAACAATGGGACAATCAAACTGCCCAATAGTGCCTGTCAACCTAGCCTCAATAATCAAAGAATTTGCGTCCTGCAGAATTTAGCGGCGTTTGGAGGACGGGGAGAGTAGCTTAGCTCACCATATACTTCGCCAGCTTGGCCGCCATGACACGAGGAATATGACCAATCTGAGAGCCCATGACATTATTCACACAGATGGCATTCCGGTCGTACTGGTTCGTTGGTTGTCGGTTCAAGACCACATGTTCGCCGAGAGTCGCATGTCCATTGTAGAAACGAACACCCACAATCTTTGTGTTTAATTCTCCGTAGAGCATCGAGTTCCCAGCCAAGGCATCATCGGCACCTTGAGTTCCCTGTACCAGATCTGCAGCTTGCGCATCATCTTCATCATCTGCAGTGTAGGCTTGCGAGGATTGACTAAGAGGCACAAAAACGGTGCTCTCACCCAATCGCCGCCCATGGCTGCTGGCACGCGGGTACTTGGGAGTTCGTCCTGGATCAACATGTTCGTCATCGCTGAGAGTGAGATCAACTTGATCTATGTTACGCTTATCCAGAAGCCGGCCCATGATGACGCTGTCCGAAGATGGATACGAGAGGATACACGTTGGAGGGAATTAGAAACATGGCAGACGCGATAGTCCTGATCAGGACTAGTGCAACGCGCTTCTTCGCGGCCCCACGTGATCCACTCGTGATTTGTGCGGAGACTATTCCGGATTGGGAATTTCGGATGCCAATTTGATCTATCAAGTTTTAACATGGAAATACTATCTATCTTCTATGTATGTACTACCATATTATATACAGCTGTCGTATTAACCATTCCAGCGCCAATGGAATCCTGTACCAGGGAGTCAATGTTCAATTTTCATAGACTTTCCTCGGACTTCTCTAGTGACTGTCCTCAGTGGGCTGAGCGTTGGCAGATTCAGCCCGCCGGAACTGTTCTGAATCTCTCGAGCGTCTCCGGTCCATGCTAGCCCGCAAGGAGGCCCCATTGTCTGCGCTTACATCCAGCGCTGACTGGGGAGACACTGAAGTTTGGCTCGACGGCGTCTCATTTCCAGTAGTGGAAGTGACTACCTCTTCCTCGGGATTGTCGATCGGGCGGGGGGGCTTGGTAGCCACTTCCATCAGTTTTTTCATGAAGGCGTCGGATTGTGCGGAAAACTTGCACCGTTTCCGGATGGCTGGCCCGTACTTGTAAAACAGGAACGGGAATGGCATGCAGGCGGCAGCCAGGAACGCCGGAATGCTCGAGGCCCAGTGGACCCCCAGGTTCTTGTACATGTATGGGGTAAATAGAGGGAAAGCGGCACCGAATATAGAGCGCAAAACAGCACTGGCCGCCAACACCGAGGCCGCAAAAATGGTGTACGCGTCAATCAGATAGTTCATCAGCCCTAGGAAGACCAAGACCATGCCAAAGCCAAATGGAGCACAGCCGGCAATACTAGCCATCCAATGCACTGATGGCCCATTTGTCCATGCAAACCAAAAGAGACCAGTTGGAATAGCAATGGCCGCCAGCATGCATGGTATGAGGCGTGTTTCGGGGGGTGCAAATCCATTGTGAGCCGCCGCTGTCCGGAGATAGCGCTTGTTGTCGTAGATGGTGTACATCAAGGCAATGACCATCCCCACCATAATTCCTAGAAACGCCAGGCCCGACACACCTTGGTTCCATTGGCGCTGCTGTCGGTACACGATGGGGAATGCCGCGAACATCATGAAGAGAGTCCCGTAGATAATAGCCTAAATCCAGATTAGCTCTGCATCCCAGAGAGGTACAACCTGCGGGAATACTGAACCATGTAGATCGAAAGCAAAAAAACAATAGGTTCACGAAAGAGAAGAATCCAGGGGCGCGAGAGGGCGATCTTGAATGCCTGCGTGACCGTCTGCTTGCCTTGCTCCGCGTCCAGCTTGCTTTTGTAGATCTGGCCGGTGACCTGGGAAAGCTTTACGGCTCGCTGTCGCAGAAGAACCGGAGCGTATGTTTCGGGGACACTCAAACAACAGAAGACCCAGAGAGTGCCCGAGAAGATGGCCAGGAAACCCATCACCCACTGCCATCCCGCATTCATCCCGAGGAACCCGCCGCTGATCGGCCCCAACACTGGCCCCAGAAACGGGGCACAGGCGAAAATACTCATGGCCAGGCCCCGCTGGGTTGCGGGGAAGAGGTCCGCGATCACCCCGCCGGCATTGGTGAGAGGGGACGAGCCAAACGCACCGGCCAGGAAGCGGAAGATGATCAGGGACTGGATATTCTTGGACCCAGTAGCGGCGGCGTTAAACACGGTCAGCCCACAGTAGCTGATGGCAAAGAGGTACTGTCGGCCCCAGAGCTCACTCATGGGGGCCCAGAGCAGAGGTCCGATGGCAAACCCAACAACGAACAGAGAGACCCCCAGCGTGGCCACCGTCGTGCCGACCTCAAAGGCTTCCATGATCTGTTCTATTCCCCCAGTGAAAGCGGACGACTCCATGGATACTGCCAAGGTTGCCCAGGCCATGGATATTGTATAGAACCATTTGGTTTTTGTCGGAGTGTTCATTGGGTTTCGGGGATCATCCGGGATCCAGGTGACAATGTATGGGTCATCTTCGGTTCCCGAGCCAAGGTATGGATAGTCGAGGATCTCTGGAGTGAGTATACCTTGGTCGATGATGAGGCGCCAGTGCGGGAGTCGAGTGGGCTGGACAGCCTCAGCCGCAGCCGCAGCCGCTGAGGTCATTTTTATTTTTATTTTTATATTTTTTTCGATTTTATTGTGGCAGCTGTTCACACCATATATCAATCGAGAAAGGACGAAGAAAAGCTGAGAGCCTAGGAAGCTGGGAATAGCTGGGTATTAATGAACGCAGAGGCCGTGAGAAAGCGAGTGGCAGGCAAGAGAGTGAATGGAGAGACATTCGGGAATTCGGAGCTCCATTCTGGCGTTGATGCATTCCCAGGATTAAACTGAACAGATCCTCCAGAGCCATGCAGTGTGATGGCATGGTCTGGTCGGCATTAACTGGCCAACCAAGTAAGAACGGAGATATGGGAAGAGCGAGATATGCCTCCATTTTTGGTACAAGCCTTCACAGCATAATTTCAGGCGAAGGCAAGCATGGGACGGATCCAATCAGAGTGAATTGGAGAGGAGATCCCTGTTGGTGATGACGATGACGATGATTATTATTATTAGTGGAGGATAGTCCCTTCTAAGTCCTAGTAACTGAATCGTGGTTAGTGACTCCGAATTTCGGCATCGTTGGCCCACGGGGATCTCCACAGTGAACCACGTTATGGAGATTCATGGCAGGACTGTTGTGTTCCACAGCAGAATGGGTCTTCCAATCCATTGGAATCAACCTGCATGAGTATGATGAGTTTGTTTGCTGAGTAGAGATCGAATCGAAGCCACAGATAAGTTCATGCGTGGCGGATGTTTGTTTTTTCTTGCTTTTCCGACGACGACGAGCCCCGATCTTCTTTCTCTTTTCTTTCGTATCAATAGAGATCGCAGCTAATTAAATATTATGCCTCCTAACTAGCTTCTGGCCTCATGACCAATTCTTTACCTCCTTCATACATCCGCCTCCGCGATCGTCGTCTTCAGATCGACTCGCTCATTCAACAAGGGCACGCAAAGCCAGTACTTCTCTGGCATCTGGTCCTGTTCTTCACTCCACTGGCATTAGTCCTCCTGATTCCTCGTCGGCAATGCACCCCTTATCTGCGATCCCTCGCCCTCGTCCTGACTCTCGGTCTCGCGGTTGAGGCCATCCAGCATCGACGAGCCTCGTTGGGAGCCAATGGATACATCCTGGGGGTGGCGGTCGCATGGTGGTGCATTTGGACGGCAACGCTCTTGGTCACCCATGACGTAGAGCGGGACTTTCTACGCATTGAGCGTCGTTTATGTGCGAAAAACGAAACGCGAGACGACCCTGATGGAGATTTCGTCGTTGTATCCAACGAAAGTTGGCGCGAACCCCTTCAGCGCTTGGTCAGCGAATGCCAGGAATCCCTTGTGTGGCAGCCATACCCCCGTTCCTGGTCGCATCGTCTGGGTTGGGTGTTGAGTCTTCTCTTCAGCATGCGAGGCCCCGAGTGGAATTGGCGCATTTCATCCATCGGTCCATTGCCCTCCTCAGTAACTGTCCAGCTCGATTCTGCACGTCGACCGTCGCGTCTGCTGGGTGAGTGTCAGGCATTCCCGGCATGCCGCAATGGTCGCGGCCTCCTCCGCGCGACGGCCTGGGTATTTCTCCGGAGCTATATCCTAATCGACATGATGAAGGTGCTGATGATACGCGATCCGTATTTCTGGGGCGTCGTGTCGCCGCCGCCTCCACCACCAACCCCGATCAGCTACATCCTCCCCGCCATTCCCAGCGTGTTCCGTGTATATCGCCTTGCGCTTTCGGGTCTAGCGATTTTCACAGCCCTCAGCTTTGTGACGGCCTTGAACCCACTCATCTTCCTAGGTCTGTCACTCGCATTCCCCAACGCCTCACGCTCCGTTACCACCACCCCGTTGGATGCCCCTTGGCTCTACCCGGAGACGTTCGGTCCGTTCGTGACCTCCGTTCTGGACCACGGTCTCGCCGGCTGCTGGGGCCGATGGTGGCACCAGTTGTTCCGGTTTGGCTTCTTATCCACGGCCCAGTGGTTCCTATCCTTCCTCCCGACTCCACTAGTCTACCATCCCGGTCTTCGCCGGCTCGTCCTGGCCATGACGGTATTCAGCATGAGTGGGCTTATCCACGCCTGCGGCAGCTATACCCAGCTCGGCACGACTCGGCCGCTGTCCCGTACTTTCATGTTTTTCTTCCTCCAGGGCGTCGGGGTGGCGGTTCAGAGCCTCGCTACTACGGCCCTGTCGTGTCTGTTCCCTTCACGGTGTCTCCCACACTGGCTTCGCCGCACAACGAACGTCACGTTTGTAGTCGTGTGGCTCCTTTTCTCGGGGAGCTATATTGCGGATGATTTCGCCGCGGGCGGAGTCTGGCTGGTAGAGCCGTTGCCTGTGAGTCCGTTGCGAGGACTGGGACTGGGCGTCGAGGGCGAGCGATGGTGGTGTTGGAATGAACCCTGGTTCCAGTGGTGGGATGGCGGGAGTTTTTGGGCCAGCGGGCTGCGGGTGGTGTGAGCTTGTTACTATTAATTCTACAGGAGACTTGATTTAGACAGCTGAATAGAGCGTACTGGTAGGTGTCTATATTATATAGATTCATAGAGTGTAGGTATATATTACAATGGACCGTGGAGCAGTTCCTCCTACATTGTTACATTGAATCAATTTCCACTATATGTATAGTCTATGACTCACCCATCGCGACGTCCTCCTCGTCCTCGTCCTCGTCGTCCGTGTCCGGGTCAAGGTTCAACGCCGGTATCTCATCGTCGCTCTCGTTCTCACCTGCCTCCTGCGCGGCTGCCCCTATCTCCGTAGAGGAGACTGTGGACTGCGGGATGAGTGTGTCCGATAGCAGACCTCCCACGTTGTCAGTGGATGGTGTATTGACGCTAGCAGTCCGAGCACGCGGTGCTTCGGTCGAGGGGACTGACGAGGTAGGAATAGAAAGAGCTGCAGTGCCTGTGAATGCACCGGGCGACGCCTGTTTCAGGGAAGGCTGGCTTGGGGTAGCGATGTCGCTGGTTTCTACCCGCTGCCTCTTGCTCTGTAAACTCGCTCCTTCTGCCTGGTTAGAGCCAGAGGGGGCCAACGGTGGTTTGTGGAGAGCTTCCTGGTGGCTCCGCTTGCTGCTGGCTGAAACAGGTTGTGGAGAAAGATCAGTATCCATGAGATTGGCCTGAAGGATTGGTGTGGTAGATGGTTTCAGGAATCCGGTATTAGCAGGAGTGGTGTGAGCCACGGACACGGCTGCTTCATCCTCTTCGTCCTCGTCGATATTGTCGTACGCAGCGAAGCCAGGCGATGCATTCATAAGCACAGGCATTCTGGGTCTGATAAGTCCCTCGACTTCCAACTCTGCTGCGTAGCTTCGAGTCAAGAATGGAATAATACTGGCCCCGGCTCCACGACCCTTCTTGGGTGGGAGGGGGTTTAGGACACTGGCAAGCATGGCATTCTTGTCGGAGGTCATGATGATCGTCCGGTCGATTTCGGCTCGCAGCGATGGAGCGAGGAATTCAGTTGGAGCATGCGTTAGCATTACGGAAATAAGTTCCGAGGCAGCTTGCTTCAGCCCAGACAACGATGAAGATGCCTCCAAATGACGACTCTGCTTTAGTCCAGGATTCAAGAAGGCGTCGGCATTGGTGGTGGCCTGGTTCGGCTTGGATTTGCCTTTTGAGTCCGATGATCGTTTTACTGATGCACTATCATCGCCCGGTTGGGGGAAGAGATCGTGGCAGGCGGTTTGGAGCAGCTTGGTCAGAGATAAAACGGCTTGTTTGGTCAACGATGGCCCTATGTACGTAATCAAAGCGTGAATCAGGTCATATATGGAAGTCCGGACCTCTCGGCTGGATCCCTCCGCACGGAAAACCCAGAGGGCCTGTTCCAATATTGTTTGTGCAACTGGAACAGAGCCAGATTCCAACGTCTCCACAAGATTGAAAAGAACTTCCAAGCACGCAGTGTGGATACGAGGCAGTTCGGCAAACAGGCTCTCTCTTTCTGCGCGGCCAATCTGGGGGTTGTACTGGACGTCGATTCCATCGGACGGAACCATCACCGAAGTAAGTCGTGAAGTCAAATCCAGGATCAAACCAACAGGTACTACCACTGTCGAAGCTGTTGGGGTACGTAAAAAGGATGACAACATTCGCAGTACCACAATGAGTCTATCCACACCAGAAGCAATGCCCTGCCAGCTAGGGAGCCCCAACGGGTCTGGTCCGGAATCACGCATCTCCTGGCTGTAATCTTGCGGCTTCGCAAATTTCTGTAAGGACGGGTCACTGGATTCCCATTGCTCGACTACAGCCCGCAGTACGTAATGCGCAGTCCCATGGAGGGAAGCAATTGTCATCTGGCACCCAGTCTTCCATTCTTCCCCTGAAGTGTTCTTGGGGGCACAGTTGTGGAGCAAGACGAATAATCGCCCAGCTAGCTCCACCACAGGTTTCGAAAATGTAGGCGAAGTAGATCCAATGATTGCCTGGAGAAGGCTATGTATTTGCGCTGAGAATGGGCGAAAAATGGTAGGGTGTCGTGCAATCAGCTCTCCAAACGCATACAGAACGGTTTCCAAGAAAGGAGTCGCATTTAGTTTCAGCGTTCTTATCGGCTCCGAGGACGGCTTGACCGAGATCAAATTCAGGGCGGAGGTAATGAATCCCGGTAGCGAAGGCGTAGTGATCTCGCGGACGAGTGTAGGGTACTGGTAAGTAAGGTGGAAGATTCTCGTCAATGTGATTATGGACATTTTCTTCGTAGAAGTTGGATCCGGTTTCTGTTCAGAAATAAAATTCGTCAATCCCTACTATCGAGCTGCAACCGGCACCATTGATCTCCGACGAGTACATACTGCCAGAATTGCCATGAGACCGCGAACAAACGGCTCACACCCTCGCAAGACTTCCCACTGACCAGCCTCCACAATGGCTTTCACGAGCACCACAGCAGTCCATCGACCTTCGGGGGTCCGGTCTTGCAACAAGCTCGTCAACCTGGTCATCAGTTTATGCACTTGCACTGCATCTTCTGAATCGGATTTGCTCGATTTTTGGTGCTGAGAAGAGAGAAGCTCCCCGCAATTGCTCAATGATGTCGCCAGACATGATGCAATTGGAGGCAACTGCTTGACGGGGATATTTGTCAATCGGTAGTTGACTGCATGCAGCGACATGGACAAGGAAGCCATCTTGTCAATAATGAGACTCGACACCAAGAAAGAAAGCCAATATTGGCACTGGGGTAAACTTTTTTTTTTTTTTACCGGCAGAAAGAAGCGGACGCTCGGACCACGTGAAGCCTCGGTACGGTAACCCCGGTACGGTACCATACTGGACCTGGTAACAACCAGTATGGCTGGACTCCCCTTGGCACCCGGAAGATCACCGCCATCATTTCAGGCAATGTTCACGTTCAGCGTTGTCCATTACTTAGAGTTGCCGGAGCCTCGGGGTGGGCATGAGTGATGGGCACTTTTTCGGCTGCCCTCCCCCAGTTTCAATTACCTTTTTCCCACCTCTGACCTCTCTCAATCATGACTGTGAGTTCTAGATCTCTCACTGCCCCCAACCATCCCCGCCCATCCCAGCAACCAACGCATGGCTGCCTGCCCGTCTCCCCTCTCCCCTGGAGTATCCAGCTTTTCCATTAACGTCTCGCGTTAGGGTCGAGACTCCGATAAGGGGCACCGTTATGTCGCTGCCCTGGACACTGCGCGCTGCCAGAATAAGTGGGATGAGCTCCCCGAGCTCATTCGGAAGGTGACCAAGCATGCGCCTCAGAAGTCCTGTGAGCCCCGTCTCCCTCATTTAGGGTATTTGACCACATATGGATAAAGCTAAGACTGGTTCCTCGCTCAGGTCTATTGGAGGTAGCCTCGGCTGAATATCAAGTTGCTACATACTGTCAAAAAAAACCCTCAGCCGCTCGACCTTCTTCGGACTCCGCGTCCAGCTTGCCCGAACTAATCCCGTCACTCCTATCAACAGTTGAGAACGGAAGCGGGCCACAGCAAGAAGTATTCCAGGCACAGGTCTGTTTGGGATGGGTACATTGGACGCTCAATGAACCAGGATTAGCGGTGGCTCGTTTGCCGAAAGACTTTGGTGAAACGAGCAACGGCCTCTCAACGGAGGAAGCCATTTCTCCATGGACTCAAGTGTGCATTGTTAAGGGTTGCTATCTTAAAGGTAAATCACCTTCCTTTTAGGGGAAACGGCAGTTCTAACGGGTCGATATTAATAGGTGCCGCACAACGCATGGTTTCGGGCTCCATTGAAGCCACCAAGACGTTCAATTCCCTTGTCCCTTGGATAACCAACCATGGCGAAGCATGTTCAAATAACCCTCAGTTTCTCTACTGGTCTGAAAAACTGTTAGCTGAAGGTGCTCTGCTAGCTAGCGAGGAAGCGAACAACCAAGTGCCCGCTGTTGATGGGGAACTAGTGAATACTGCCTTAAGGCTATTTAGGCTATGGTCTTCTCATCCCTACGTGAAGCAGGGGATTGCACACCGTGACCAGCAAATCGATAGCGGCTCCGAGTCTGTTTCAAAGTCTCTAATCTGGAAATCTTACTACAACTTCCTATCCGCTGTTCTGAAATATGACCTGCCGTATTCCCCTCCGGCCCATGGACCAGAACGCCCTCAGTTCTCGAGCGAGCTACGGCATGTGGAGGGTCTTTGTGAAAGCAATCTCCTCCGCGAGGTTAAGTTTCCTACGGCCGATTCTCAAAACACTCAGGTGGAAGATTGGGTCGAGCAAGTAATCCAGAACTGGGAGGTACTTTGTGGCCCAAGATGGACCGACGATGATCTCGGTGAAGGAGGCCAGAATGCAGTTGGAAGAAATGTTCTTGACGTATGTACCTGCATGGACAGAGTGACAGTTTTACTAATATCGACATGGTAGATCCTTTACCGCGCTGCTACCAAGACATACCACTCGCATTTGATTCTTCGACGTCTATTCCATGTCCATTCAGCTCTGGCTGATTTTGATCTCGCCCTCAAAGCCCTGGACTCTTACATAGAAATCGTCACAGGCGCCAAGGAGAGAGCAGAGAAGGCTGCTGGTGCCCAGTATGGTAAATTGGAGAATGATGGGACTTTACTCAGGACAGTCTCTGAGGGTATCACTATGCTGTGCTGCTTTGGCTCCGACAAGGAGGCTGAAAAAGCAAAGGATTTAACCTCCCTTTTGAAGGAATTTATCGAAAAACACGTACAAGACAGTGACAATGATCTAGAGGATGGAAGAACTAATCTCCTGCCAGAATCGAGCTCAACTAGCTCTCAAGCTGTGTCTCCTTCTGACATTGCTATGGCTTACAGAGGCATCGGCATAGGGCTGGCAAACTGGTCCAATTGGACCCCTATAAACGAGGATCGGAATGATATACGAGCCGAGGCAATTGATTATCTGGAAAGGAGCATTGACCCGGAGCTGAAGGATGAGGCTAACTATTCGTCTCTCTACACCCTTGCCCTTCTGCTGGCAGAAGATCGCGACCTAGACGGTGCGATTGAATATGTCAAATCTGCTCTGACGACCACTGCACATCCCGGAGCTAATGAAGGACACTTTGCCCGGGAACGAGACCTCGTGCCGTTATGGCATCTACTTGCGTTGCTACTGAGCGCAAAGCATGATTTCGATATCGCTGAGCGCTCTTGTGAAGCTGCGTTCGAACAATTTCCATCTGCTGTCACATCACTTGCGCACCGTGATCGGCGACCACAAAAACAGCATCACCATGCTAGGGACCAGTCAGGTTCGCCCGGTCTAGATCACACCATGATTGGTCAGCTGCGAGGGAGAGAAAAGGAGCGCATTGTTGAGACCCGGATGACCCAACTGGCGTTTGTCGAACTCCTTGAGGGTCCTGAAGCTGCCGTGAATCACAGCGAACAACTCCTTGGGCTCTTTGCAACGCTTTTTGGCAACTTGAACCTCGAGGTTGACGACCAGAAGACTGAACACACTGAACATCTCACCCCTCCGAAGAGCTCTGCAGGTACGGTGAAAAGCTTCCGCGGGAGCATTTTTGGGCGAAACAGGGGTTCTCGAATTGCAGATCACAGGACGGACACCATGAGCGACAACCAGACGGCTAGCGTGAATGCTTCGGTAGTCCACAACGAATCGTCTGTCAACATGGATGCAGCACCATCGATACATGTGACGGATGAAGACAAAAAGGTGAGCCATGATGGTATAGCAAGGTCCGACTCGCGGAAACTCCGAAAGCGCAGCAGCACCCTCAAGAAATCAGACATGACTCCGGACCAACAAATGAGCCAGACGAATGGGGATAGGACCAACACCGATCCGCAAGGGAACACTAATTTCACAGGAACACAACAGCCACATGAGGAAGGGGGTGTATCTCCGGACATGGTTGGGCTTGCGGTCTCTAGTACGGACAAGGAGCAAAGTGCAAAACAACCATTAAAGCCTATTTCTCACAACATCAAGCACACCAAGTATCCTCCTCCAGTAGGCCATGCAAAGCAACCTCCCGAACAGGATGTTCGATTGCCAACATCGTACGGGTTCGACTCACCTACTAGGGCAATCACTAAGCTCCCGCTTATTCTGGCTCAGAAACATGCCCTTTGTATCCTCGTCAAAATATGGCTTCTCATCGCAGGACTTTATCGACGGGCATCCTTATTCGACGATGCACGCGAAGCATGTGATGAAGCGGCCAAGCATGTCACGAGAGTCGAGGCTCTTTCGGCAACACAAGGCCCGTCGGCTAGGTCTTTCACCGAGCGTGCATGGGGCTCACCTAAGAGCTCCGAGGAGCTCTGGGCAGATCTCTTGACGGAACAAGGGCTCTTGTTGAAAGCCCAGTCCCACCCCCATGAAGCAATGGAACTTTTCGAGACGGCATTGTTGCGCGACCCCGACCACCCCAAGGCTACGATTGGCTTGGCCAACTTTCTTCTCGACATTTGGGACCAAAAGTTGGCCCTCGAGCCCCCAGAATCGGATCTCGAAGCAAATGTATCCCTGTTGTCCTTGGCTCCTACACAGCGACCAAGTTCAACGTCAAAGAACCGGACAAGCAGACAGTCAACTACAGAATCCATGAATTCCCGGGCAGATGAAGCGCCTTCTGGCACCCAAGACGACGAGCCGAGGCTACTGAACCGTATTGCTGCCCGAGAAAAGGCGTACGGCTTACTCTCGGCCTTGACCAAGCGGGGCAGTTCGTGGGATAACAATGAAGCTTGGTATGCCCTTTCCAGGGCATATGAGGCGCAGGGCCATATTGAAAAGTTGAAAGAGGTGCTGTGGTGGTGTATTGAGCTGGAAGATAGCCGCCCGATCCGGCACTGGTCTAATATTGGCTCTGGTGTATATGTTCTGTGAAAGTGTCGCCCGATTTTCCTCTCTATCTTGGCCTTTGGTACGAGTCATATTTCGCTATTCTGATCTTCAACCAACATGATACCTTGAGGAGCAAGTCTTGTCTATAGAGAAAATCTTGTAACAAAAACCAATTTATCTTTCAGTGAACGTCCTTGATAAAATCAACACTAGCAATAGACATCTTTATTTACACACGCTCCCGCAATAGGACATTACTAGGGGGCATTCCATACGAAGTCAAGGACAGAGCTCAGGGCAAGACACGGTAAGTCCTTCAGGCTGGAGTAGAATTACCGGGGAGCCGCAACAGGTTCCCAAGCCGAATACTTGGGTCGGACACTGCATCACTGTCGTTAGTAGTCACCACCGTGTAGCTTGGAGAGATAGAAGGCTCACGTGGAGTAGGTCTTGAAAGCACCGCGGCTCAGAGTCATGTTGGGCCTGTGTTCCGGCAGCTCCCAGGCACGAAGGCCAGGCTGCATGAGCTTATCGGCAGTAGGGGGCGCATCCACTTTGTACGATATCCAGGCATGCCTGAAACGGAGAGAACGCAGTTAGCAACTAGAGCACCAGTATCCAGCACAATTCAGATATTTCTCACCAGCCAGGCTCAATCTGCGAGGGATCATATTCCTGCTCCTTGTAGTCCACCCAACGTGTCCGGACTACCTCTCGGTTAGCAAAGCTCATTGAGCACCATTCCATACCACTCACGAGGAAGTTCCTCCTCCATATTCTCGAAGTATTTGTTGCCGTAGCGATCGGTGCCAATCAGGGTTCCAGCTTTGGTATCGCCTGCAATTGAGATTGCGTCAGTCACCCGCAGCACCAGACCTTACACTCGGACACCATACCAATATACTATTCATCGCAAAGCACGTAGCATTAGAAGTAAGTATCCAGCTTCCGAACAAAAAATAACAACAAACGGGCCCATTGACGACTCCAATTCGCCTCAATGCCGAGTGGTGCGTACCTGCATTTGGTGGCCGTATTCCTGCGGAAGGTTAGTGACGTCTGAAGTCCATGGGAGTTCAGAAAACCCACCTTGAATCCAATCCTTCTCAGGTTCCGCAAAGTCCGAATGATGGTCGACATCTTGGGCGACGTATAGCAAGGAGCTGTAGCAAGTCCTCTGGCATGAAGCGGAAATCCGCACAAGTCGAGGTTGAAGGGGTTCCCCTATCCGGTCTAGCGCCGGTGACTTGTTTGCAGTGTTTGCAGCCCCGTTCTTCGTCGACGCTTGTCGCTTTAGTCGTCATGATGGCCCTGTTTTTCAACCTGCAATTGGCCTGGATATTGACATCCCGTGGCTTAGTCGGGGTTGACAAGATGTTTGGGCGCATTAGCGGCCAGGCTTTTCGATGCGCCGTGCGCAGACCCGTTCTGCGAAGGAAACTCTGCGAGCGCAAATTCTCGGCCTATACTACGAGCACCGGCGCCAGCACCACAGGTTCCTCGACAGCTTCGCCCTTGGCAAGTATCACCGCGGAGCTAGATCGGATTGCACCGTGCTTTGAGGTGCCCGCTTCCCGGATAACGATCTTGGACTCCCCAGCATCCTTCTACAAGACCCTCAAGGTAGATCTCCTGTGCGTCCCAGACTCCAGCTCCAAGCTAACTGGAACGCTCTAAGGACAAAATACGAAAAGCCCGGAAACGCATCTACCTTTCTACGTTGTATATAGGGAAAACGGAATATGAACTTATTGAGACTCTAAGCCAGGCCCTGCGGGATAATCCTGACCTCAAAGTATCCATCCTGACAGATGCGTTGCGAGGAACCCGCGAGACCCCCAACCCGTCATGCGCCTCGCTTTTATCTTCGCTAGTCACTGAACATGGCTCGGACCGGGTGGAAATCCGGATGTTTCATACACCCAACCTCACAGGGTTAAAGAAGAAGTGGATCCCTCGTAGAATCAACGAAGGTTGGGGTCTCCAGCATATGAAGCTGTACGGCATCGACGATGAAATTATTCTCTCAGGGTACGGATCCATCCTAGTGTGTGTGGAAAGATCAGCTTACTGATACCCATACTTTAGGGCAAATCTGTCCAATGATTACTTCACGAACCGTGTAGATCGATATCACGTCTTTAGTTCCAAGGAACTCACGGATTTCTACGCGCATATCCACCACGCCGTCTGTAGCCTTAGTTTCAATGTCTTGCCTGATCCGCACAATGCATCTAGATATTTTTTGGAATGGCCCACTGCTAATGGCGCGCCCTCACCTTTGGATAACCCGGACGACTTTATCACCTACTCGTCAAAGGTTCTGTATTCGCTCATCCAGCCTTCACAAAGCAAACCTTCACTCCGGGAGAAGACGTCAGATCAGACGTTTGTCTATCCTGTGGCGCAGTTTACGTCGCTGATGAGGCCAGACACCTCAACGGAATTTCCTGTCGTCACTGCTATATTGCGATTGCTGTCGACCTCTTCCGCTTTTACAGGGGCGCGGTGGCTCTTTACGGCAGGCTATTTCAACATCCACCCCGTTCTGTCCTCCCTCTTGATCGCAAGCACTTCCACTTCCGAGGCCGCATCTACCACTCGCGGCACCGTGCTCACAGCCTCTCCGTGGGCCAACGGCTTTTACGGCTCTTCCGGTATCTCCGGTATGCTCCCCGCCGCGTACACCCACCTCTCCGCCCGGTTTCTTGATCGGGTGGCCGAGGCGCAGAGGACGAATTCTATTCAGCTTAAAGAATGGCGGCGCGGCACAGTCGGCACACCCGGTGGCTGGACCTACCATGCCAAGGGGATGTGGATCACACTTCCCAAGGAAGAACATCCCAGTCTGACCTTTCTGGGAAGTAGCAACTACACCAAACGCAGCTACAGCCTTGATCTCGAGGTCGGTGCGCTGGTCGTCACCGGAGACCAGGAATTGAAGAAGAAGCTGGGCGCGGAGACGGAATGGGTGCAAGAACACTCGCAGACCATTTCCCGAGATGACCTGAGACGAATAGAACGGCGAGTCGGATGGAACGTCCGTCTGGCAATGTGGATTGTAGAAAAGGTTGGAGGCGCTCTATAGTCCCAGCGAGCCTGTTGCTTTCGTGTGGCGTGTTTTTCGATAGAAGCCGTATACCCCTGTATTCTACAAGAACTGTACAGTGATATATATATAGATGTCGCATGCCGACAGTAACGGTCGTACATGAGTGTGCCTCGAAATAGAATAATCATGGCTAAGAAAGCTGGACAGACTATCTTCTATCTACATCGACAGGACCAACTTCCATACAGGACGTGAGACTGAGATTTTTGACATGGTGCAGAAACCGAATAGCATCTATTGCATAAAACATGGATCATGATTGGGACCTAGCCGTGACGCCTTTAACCACATTTTCGTGAAATAAGTTTAAAAAAGAAAAAGAAATAAATCAAGAGGTATCGTTGCAATTCGATGATGCATGCTTTATGCTCGGCCAGGAACTCTTCCCGGTACCCGAGCCGGGCCCAAGCCCTGACGAACCTCGTCCAGCATCTTTATGCCAATGGCTTCGTTGCCGTTCTTGCCTCGCTTCGCTTTGGCGCCCTTCCGTTTCGCCTGGGCGCTGGTGTTGTTATCCCAACCGGCGAGGAAGTCGTCCATGATATCATTGAACCCATGCCGAGGGGCCACGGCGGCTCCATTGGCGTCCACCAAACTGGGAGCTTGCGATGAAGCAGTCGAAATCCCCGACATGCCCGTCATGCCCGTCATGCCTGTCATCCCGCTAACCATGGACATGCTATCGTCGAACTCGTCTTCCTCGTCCAACGCGTAGAGCGCCTCCACCCGCTCGAACCGGTCGTCCAGCAGCCGGTGTCCCTCTGTACGAGCGAGCGAGGAGGAGGTCATCGAATAAGCCGACGGATTAGTCAAGGCGCCCTTGCGCTTCTTGCGGCGGATGGGAGTGCCCCCAGCCGTGAAAACTGTGGAGGCCAGTGTGCTGCGCTGCTCCGAAGGCACAATGCTCGGCGGAGCAGCCGGGTCGGCTCTGGTTTTGGCGTCCTTCTTGAACCTAGCAAACTCACGCATCCAGCTCTGATCCTCAGGGTGCATATCCGGCGCCGGCGCATCATGTAGGGGCAACTCCCCCGGTGCTGGGGCCGTGTGTGACTCTACATCCTGATCTTTACAAAGGGTATCGGATTGACTTGGCTGCACGGGGGCTTTCTCGGTGGCATCCGACTCCCAGCCCTCGTCATCGTCGTCAAAAAGCGTATCCTCCCAGTCACCGGGGTGCATTTCTTCCGCATTGGCAGTCAACTGGCCGAACAGATCGTCCCCGTCCTCTTCATCGACAAAGGCCTCGTCCTCGAGTGCCTCCAGTGTTTCGCGGAGCCGCGGGTCCATGTTCGGCTGGAATCCCGCAATCGCATCGGGGACATCCTGCTGGTCCTGATACGTTCGCTGGCGAACATAGGACGAGGCGGTTGAACGAATATCGGATCCGTAGATACTCACACCGCCGAGCTCACTCCTTGTGTCATCCATCGACATGCCTCTCAGCGCATCCTCGAGCTTCATTTTCCCCTTTCCCTTGTCCTTGGTCTTGGCCTCCACAAAATACGCATCCCCAGCGCCCGTCCCAAGCTCGCGTAAATGCTGCATGTAATCATACTTGGTATCGTCGAAGAAAACGCCATAATTGGCGGCTTCACCTTCGTTTTTCCGGATCGAGGTGGACCTGAATTCATCGGCCAGATCGGTCAGGTTTTTCCCCCGGCTTGAGGACTGGCCACTGCTGGGAGGCGGTCCGTAGACCGCATGCAGTACACGGTCATCGGCCTCTGGGTCATGGATCAACGGGTCATTCTGGGATCGGTGGAAGAGCTGATATGTAGTTGCCTTCTTCTTATCACTAGTCATATGGGCATCAGTTCCTGCTGGTGTTGACCAGTCGAAGGGATAACCTACATCCACTGCTTTCGAGGCGGCATTTTTAAAATAAATCCGGCTGCGCCGCTGACTCGTCCACGAGGCTTCTTGTCTTCTTCTTCTTCTTCTTTTTTTTTTTTTTTTTTGCCACAGGAGGGGTGTAATTGGCAAATATGATCTCCCAAACGAAGCGCCAAAAAAAAAAAAGTGGGATGACGATGTGGTCACGTGGTTTCTTATCGGCCCAACGAGGAATTCTTGAGGATTTCTGGACAGCGTCAAATGAAATGTGTAGGTCTCGATGTCTATCTATTGTATGCATCATACACTCCATCGAATTAATACAACCTGCTCCGTACTACTGGTTCCAGGTATTCCATTGCATTCCTATCCAGAAAAGGAATGCTGAGTCAGCGTTATCTTATCCGCGGGGTTATCCCGATCGGCGGGTGCCAGCTCGCCGTGGTCTAAAAAAACCTCGGCGTGGGCTAAAATTCTGCCACCTCCGCCACCGCCTTTTTAGACCACGGTGAGCCTTTTCTTGGCATGGGCTCGCGTGGTCTAAAATTAAATTTTCCGTACTTTTTAGACCATGTTGTAATCCCTTCAGCGTAGCTTGACCACGCTGACCTTTTTGGCCTAGCGTCAGTCCCCGGTCGGTGCATATACTGAGCATATGCTCAAAACATTAAACTGCGTGAGATTATTCATTGCATCATCAATATATATAATCAACATATTCACTATATCAAACAATAGAGGCAGATTTTGCAACACACTGTGAATGATCCTACACCCAAATTGGGTAATAAAAATGTTGGCCGCGTTTGCATTTATTTTGGAACTAGAAGACCTAATTTTTTTTCTCTTCATTCTTTCTCTCTTCTTCTCTCTTTAAACTCCCCTTCTTAGTAGTATCCATGTCCCTTCTTGGCATATACCGCGTATATACCTTGACCGGAAGACTTGAAACCTCTCCTTCTCCCCTTTCCTTTCTGTATGCCCAGAGTATATAATTACAACCATTTATATGACCCTTTCTTTTCTGCATACCCAGTGCATATACTACCAATCTGTGACCCAATTTCTCTTTTTTTGCATGCGAATACACTGATGATTTTAGTTCTTTAGGGGCCTTGTTCTCAGCATATACCATAATATGCAGAGAATGCAGCTTTCGCGTGAAGACTTTGACAATCCAGAGGTCGCTGGGGCGGTGAACCCCCACCCGACTACGGTTACTTCCACGGTGAGTATCTACTTAATATATTCACAACATGTGCTTAACATATGCAGGTCCCATCCCGAACCCAAACCCCACTTGGCGCCCACACCCGGACCCCCGCACACCTGTGACCACCGCGACAACAGAGTATGGCCCCCAGAGTGCAGCATATGCTAATTATTTACAGATGCCCCAACTCCTGGTTCAAGACTGTCAGGTATTAATAGCATGGTGTAAGTAATTAACATGCCTGGCACATGCTAAGCATGGGCTGACAACCTCGCAGATGCGACATCGCAGTCAATGGCAACCAAATGTGTGGCCAGCCCGTCCGTTCTTAGATTGCTGTACTCGTTTTAGCACATCGTTGGTATATGCTACCTATTCCATAGCTTCGCCGCCACATCCGGAACGCCCATCCCGGTGCCAGTGAGTTGTCTATTCCTTGTATAGGTCTAGCAGATGCTAAGGATTCATAGCTCTTAATCCCTTCCGCACCAACATTCCCCAGGCTGAGCGCATTGCGGGTGAAAAGTTAGTGGATACGTAGCTTCTCTTGAGCATATGCTAATAATTGACAGCGCTTTAAAGCGATGGATCCTTAGCAGAGGATGGAGAACTGCCCGTTACGTGAAGGAGCCTGGGTATGTGCTCCCCTCCGCATATATATATGTGTACGTTGGGCGTAGGGCTAACGTATGCTAGTGAGGGTCCTATGTACGGTATTATTCAGGATTACTGTAACTTCCTTTGAGCAGCTGGCGTGAGTAGAGCATATCTGTATTATATGCATAGTATATAACTAAGAACCACTAGCCAGGAAGATGACGACTTTGCTTAGCAGTTTGGGACTGAGTTCCATCGTCCTGTATGTGATCCGGGTATTTACTCTACGTATTCCCTGCGTATGCTAATATTTCCTAGAGGCTGGGTAAGGTCTCTGGTCACAAGGCATGTGCCCCTGGAAACTAAGCTCTTTATAATATACTGAGTATATGCAGCGCAAATCTCCCCACTACCCTCTGAGCCACCTACCCCACCGTCTGCCCCAAGCGCAAGCGTGCTCCACCGAAGAAGGGTCACAAGGGTAAGTATAGCACATCCCCCTTATACTAAGCATCTGCTGAGAACTTGTAGCCACCGGTAGCCGGAAGCAGCCGGCGCGCGCCAAGAAGGATGCTGCCGAGTCGGTGCCGGAGACTGCGTAGGGCATATGCACGGTTGGTTTTAGAGATAAATTATGGAGTCTAGGAATAAGTAGAGCAAATACTAGTCTAGCCATTGTTTAGGGAATTGAAATGGCTTTTTTAACATACTATACATCTACTAGGTGTATGCTCTGCACTTGCAGGGGTTTCCCTTTTTCTTTTTCTTTCCCCTCTACCTCTTCCTCAAGCTCCTCAATTCGCTCAACCATATCTCTTCGTCGCTTAAGTCCCTCAAGCTCCTTTAAACGCTCTTCTAAAGGGTCTATGTTTGGCATATACACAGCGGGTGATCTAACAGGGGTCTCGATAACGCTATCTTTACCAACACTCTGTACAGTGCTAAGTGGGTGTGTTCGTTGACTTGCAGGTACATGCCCGGCATAAGACGAGCATGTGTTAAGGCTAGATACTGATAGGGAATCAGTGTCCTGCATGGCCACTCCGTCTGTATTTTGAAGAGGTGTATCATATGGATTCCCTGGATTCCATGGCAAGTGTGGCTTCTTCTGCCGGCGGTTCGCTGCCTTTTTGCTGTTAATCTATGCATAGTATTAGCCTGGTATGTAAACAGCATATACACTGTTCATGTTGAACCATAGGGGCAATAGGGACAATAGGGACAATAGGGACAATAGGGACAATAGGGACAATAGGGACAATAGGGACAATAGGGACAATAGGGACAATAGGGACAATAGGGACAATAGGGACAATAGGGACAATAGGGACAATAGGGACAATAGGGACAATAGGGACAATAGGGACAGTAGGGACAATAAGGGCAATAGGGATAATATAGTAATTAGCTAGAGAAATTAAACAGGCTCCAGCCCTTTAGTTTAACATACTTTGCTTTCGAATAATCTTAGTGCGCCTTTGAACGTTCGTTTGGATTTTCCATGAAGGTGGAATACCCTCCTTAATCTGTATCTTATTCTGAGTAAAGGCCTCAAATGTAAACCTTCGCAATCTAAGTATATAGTTAGTATATTATTAACTATGCTCCGCATCTACCTTGGATATACTTTACTTTAAAACAGCTGCCAGGAGTGACTGTTTCCGGCCAACACCTTGATTATCTTGAAAATGACTACTTTCACTAATTCCGGTATGTTTCCGAGCATATGTCCAGTGTTCAATCTGTATCTTTGATTGTTCCGGGTCAGTGCACTTAAGATCCACGGCCGTTTCTTTCCCTCTAGCCAGGATTTAGTCTCAGGATATGTATTGCATATGTAGTCCATACGCTCAAGCAAATCAGGTTTGGACGGTGCTTCTAAAAGGCTGTTAAGTAGGTGCTCTGCAGGGTGGTCCTTATACTTTAAGCGAAAATTACGCTTTAAGTGAGTTTGGCAGAATATGATTACATAGGGAAGGTGCTCAGACCACTCTCGGGATGTGTCTAGCGTATGCAAATAATCTCCAAGACCTAATATACTTAACAGGGTGCAAATACCGGGCATATATTCTGTTTATTACATACCTGGTGCTTGCTTCTTACACATATCGATAGTTATAGTCCAGATCTCATTCTCACCATGTTGAATATGGGGAAACCGTATAGGTGAGCGAGCCACATTTCCAAGTATCTTAAATAGCTTTGAGAACATTACAGCATATGCATCGCGTGTTTCGAGATTAAGAAAAGCATATGCAAAGGTATTGATTCCTAGTAACTTGCAAGTTAGTGAGCAATATTAAAAAATATACTAGATACATACTTCGCACATATGGATTCCACCCAGAAATTGAGAAGACATTTGTCTTGCCATTAACTATTTTGAATGAGAGGTCCATCTCAATATACTTGATATTAATAAACGCCTTCGCCTGAGCATATGTACAGCATATAATAAGAAAATGCCGTGGATCAAAGAAATGGACATCATATATCCATTGCTGGTCGTCCTCTTTTAATTGGTCGAAGGCGTATTCACGTAATACCCCTAGTATCAGCTGAGCATATACCTAAAAGCAGTAGCTATTGTCATACCAGCAATATCAGTTCCTTCAGGATAAGTTAAGAGTCTCTGTTTTCGGATCAAAGCTTGAACTCTATCTTGAATATTAAGACTTTGATGTAATACACGTAGTGTTGAGGGACCAAATCGATCATATATATCAGTGAACTGTGGAGAGATCATGAACCGTCCTAAATAGAGTAGATACTTAGTATATGCTGTATATATAGAGTAAATATACTTACTTGCAGTTAGGTCAAGGATATTATGCTGGGAGATCATTTGGACCACCTCATCTGCAATATCTTTAGGTAATCGTGTTGGAGGTGGTGGAAAATGAATATGATTTAATCGACAAATCAAAATTAAGAAAGGAAACCGTTGCCAGGATGTTGGAATGTACAAGTCAAATTTAACCTTACACTTTGGAATGTAAAGCCTGCCGGTATGGTGAGTATGTGCTCGAGCTGATTAATCCTATACTTAGCATATAAATATAAACTAGAAATATACTTACTACACCATCTTCTTCGGGATGTTGGCTGAGCAATAAAATCACATTCTTCTATTTTTGGGCCTGTTCCATGTTCCATAAGAACTTGAAGATAAGTCTTATCAATCTGAGCAAATCGTCGAACTGGATGAGCATAATGCCAAGGTTCAATATCTGAATTCTTGGGGCAACCAAGAAAATGATTCTGGGTTAATTAGTATATACTAAATATATGTAGTAGATGTACCTAAAGCATACCTGATTTTGATAAAACATTACCGGTGGTGTTTCACCACATGTCTTGATACCTTGATATTCACAAGGACCTCCATCCTGCCACCAACATTTCATAAAAGCATAGAAGACATCTTCAGTTTCTTTTTGATTAGTTGATCAATTGCTTGAGGATAAAAGGGTTCGGCGTAACGTAAGCGCTGTTTATTAAGTAAATCAAGATTAACCTGGTTATATGCCCGTGATATACTTAGCATATGATCATAGACCCGCTCACAGGCCTTTACCGAACCATATATATAAGATCTATGCCAAGCCTTGTGTTGTCCGTTATCATCAAGCTTGTTTAGAAGATCCATTTTGACGAGCTTTGCAGCCCCTGTATGGTTTTTTTGCAAACTGAATCTATTTAAAGTATTAGTATAGTATAGAACAGATATATACTCTACATACCTTTGACATAAGCCGTGTAAAAATATTATTTATTTCTTCCTCAGAGAAATCATTTGGATTCCTTGAGGATGGAAATGGATTGCAGTCATGAATAAAATGAAGAATACCTTCTGCTGCTGTTGCTGGATATTCAGGTATTAAAAGATGTTCTTGAATCTCTTTAACCTTAATCTTATGACTGGCATTTCGCGCAACGACAACACATCTAAGTAGCTGCTTCCTAACATAGACTTAGTATATATTATATATATTAGATATACACTAACCCGCTGTAGGCCATTATATTGTGTAAAAGATTCTTGTTCCTGTATATCATCTCCTGGATCTGACGGAGTAGACCTAGTACTGATTATACTACTAGAATCATCTCTATGAGATTCCTGCACCTCGTTCTGATAATTGGGTATATTAGTATAGGGTTTGTATATACCCAGTATATAATAAACATATATACACATACCTGGATTGGGATATTGTTGATCCATTCTACCACTCTTTCCCGAACTTCGGTACCAGCCATTGTTGTGGTTTGGTCAACCTATACAGAGTATATGCAGAGTGGATACCCTGTATTGTGTAGTATAAAATATTCTTAGGGCTACACCTTACCAATTATAGTAATTAAGCCCTAGTGCATATGCTCAGCGTGGTCTAAAAATCTTTTGAAAATCTCATCGTGGCCTAAGAATACTGACTAATCATTTAGGCCATGATGAGTTTATTCTTGGCATAAGCTCAGCGTGGTCTAAAAAGAGCGGTGAGTCTCGGGGCAGAATTTTAGCCCACGCCGAGGTTTTTTTAGACCACGCCGAGCTACAAGCCCCCCGATCGGGCATATCACCAAACCCTTCAAAATTACTAATTCGGTCCTTCGCTTTTCTTCCGTCGCCTCCTTCCCCTTCCCTTCGTCTCCTTGTCTTCCACCCATCGTCTGGGAAGGACCTTGTTTTTTGCAGTGGACGGATAAAAGTCTCGGATCGACGGAACTCTCATCCCTCTGCCATCATGGTGCTCGCCAAATCCAAAAACTCCGTGGGGCTGGGAAACAGCCTCATGAAAGATCGGTTCGGCAAGGGAAAGGCTTCCAACCAGAAGAAGGTCTCGCACAATGCAGCCATTGCCCGCAAGGATGTCAACGGAGAGACATACATCACAAACGCACCCGAGGAGGCTGCCTGGGTGAAGATGCGCAGTATTACGGAGCAGGCGGCTCTGGATGAGTTCCTGAGTACGGCCGAGCTGGCCGGCACCGATTTCACGGCGGAGAAAATGAGCAACGTCAAGATTGTCCACACTGACCAGAAGAACCCGTACCTGCTGTCCGCCTCAGAGGAGCGGTCGGCTGTGAAGAAGCACCAGAAGAACAAAGGTCGACTGACCGTTCCGAGACGGCCGAAATGGGATAAGACGACAACACGCCAGCAACTGGAGAGCATGGAGAAGGAAAACTTCTTGGACTGGCGCAGAGGGCTGGCAGAACTCCAGGACAACCAGGATCTGTTGATGACCCCGTTCGAGCGGAATTTGGAGGTCTGGCGACAGCTGTGGCGAGTGATTGAACGGTCGGATCTGGTGGTGCAGATTGTTGACGCCCGAAACCCCCTGCTCTTCCGTTCGGAAGATTTAGAACACTACGTCAAGGAACTCGATCCCAAGAAACAGAATCTCCTGCTTGTCAACAAGGCTGATATGCTTACGGAGAAGCAACGGCAAGTGTGGGCGGACTACTTTGAAGAGAACAACATCAGCTTCCGGTTTTTCTCGGCCCACCTGGCCAAGGAGCAGAATGAAGCGCGCCTCTCGCAGGAAGATCATTCGGACAGTGAGAGCGACAAGGAGGACACGGAGGAGACTGAGCTCGCGGGCGCCACCGAATCGATGAAGATCCAGGAGCAGACCGAGGGCGCTCAAGAGGAACATGACGGGGGACTGACATTGCCCGGTTCCACCAAGGCACGGAAGACAGAGATTCTGAACGTGGACGAGCTGGAAGAGCTGTTCCTGTCCAACACTCTCGATACGCACCTGGACAGCGACAACCCGGAGGCCCAGACCAGACGGAAGACCGTCATCGGTCTGGTGGGTTATCCCAACGTCGGAAAATCCAGCACCATCAACGCCCTCCTGGGCGCCAAGAAGGTGTCGGTCTCCGCCACGCCCGGAAAGACGAAGCATTTCCAGACCCTGTACCTCTCGCCGGAGATTATGCTCTGCGATTGCCCTGGTCTGGTGTTCCCCAACTTCGCGACCACCAAGGCAGAGCTGGTCGTCAACGGCGTGCTCCCCATCGACCAGCAGCGCGAATTCACCGGCCCCGCGGCGCTCGTCGCGCAGCGTATTCCCCAGCACTTCCTTGAGAATGTCTACGGAGTCAAAATCCTCATGCGACCGTTGGAGGAAGGCGGCACAGGCGTACCCACGGGCCACGAGCTGCTGCGCGCCTACGCCCGAGCCCGTGGGTTCTGCACGACTGGTCAAGGGCAGCCCGACGAATCTCGCGCGGCGCGATACGTGCTGAAGGACTACGTCAACGGCAAGCTGCTCTTCTGTCACCCGCCGCCAGTGCCCGAGGGTCAGGAGGCCATCGACCCGCAGCAGTTTAACGAAGACCTCTATGACGCAGCCCACCTCCCTGCCCGACGGCAGGCGATGCTGGCCAAAATGGTCCAGAGCGAGGCGACCGACGATCTCGACTCGGACATGCCGTCTCTATCCTCCGCCTCAGCTCCCTCTCGAGCCGTGGAAGGGACCCGCACCCGCAACCTCGACTCGGGCTTCTTCGGGCCTGACTCCTCGATGTCGGGGGGACGTCTTACCTTGCCGTTCAACCACCAGTACACGGAACAGGGCCAGCAGATACGCAAGCAGCTGACGGGCCGCAAGGAGCGGTTGATGGTGGCCCTGGAGCGCGGAGTGGATGTCTCGGAGGTGCGAACTGGCAACTCGAAGAAACATTTTAAAGCCAACAAGAAACGCGCCAAGAGCCAGCGAAAGAAGGCCACCGATGATGATTACTAGATTCGATTCGATTGACACTTTTCTTGGACTCGCGGGCGAGTGAGCATGATGGGATTGCCTGGGTTTTGTTCGACGGAAGGGAGGGTACATACATACAATTAAAAGCATCTATCTAGTTTCGTTGATTATAATCCTTTTTTTTTTTTTTTTTTGGTTCCTATGTTTATAGACAGGGGGATCGTATATGTCTCTTCCTTGACTATGAAATACCTATTTTTGAATTATGTCTAATGCGCTCAGATGAAGATGAATCAATGACGATCCTACACTTCTTTCAGTCTCAATCTTATTCAACCGACTAGAATAAATAGATAAATAGAATTGGAGGAATCTCCTGTATATTTCTCAACACATGGCTAGCCAAGTAGTCTGCGTAATACAAGCTCGTGGAACTATGTTGTTTTTCTTGTTTCAAATTGTTTCTTTGTTCATAGACAAAACTCCCTATAGATGACTCTTCAGAGCAGGATTGGTGAGGCCATTTTCAGCCAACAACCGCTCTCCCTCTTTCCGCTGCCAGTCCAAGCGCTCGATGATGGCATCCCGACGAGCGCGGTTCTCACGACGACCCAGCTGCTGCAGATGGACCTCGTCGGGACCATCCGCGATCCGCAGGGTACGGATCAAAGACCACAGGTACGCCAGGGGAGTATCCTGACAGACACCGGCAGCGCCGTAGGCCTGCACAGCGCGATCGATGACGGTCAGCGCGGTCTGGGGCACGAGGACCTTGGCCTGGGCAATCTCCTTGAGGGCGGCCTTGGCATCGCCCTGATCGATCTTGATGGCGGCGTTGAGGACGATGAGACGGGCGGCGTCGATCTCGATGCGCGAGCGCGCCACCCACTCGAGGATGACGCCGTGCGATGACAGAGGCTTTCCGAAGGTCTTCTTGCGGTCATCGTTGATGCGCGCAATCAACCATTCCAGTGCCTTCTCGGCCGCGCCGAGCGTGCGCATCGCGTGGTGGATGCGGCCGGGCCCAAGACGGCCCTGGATGATCTCGAAGCCGCGTCCCTCGCCCAGAACCATGTTGGCCACTGGTACTCGCACGTTGGTGAAGGTGATGTGGCCGTGGCCGTGCGGGGCGTCATCGTAGCCGTATACCGATAGCATGCGGTGCACCGTGATGCCGGGGGTATCAGCGGGCACCAAGATCACCGACTGCTGGCGGTAGGGATCACGGTTGGTTGGGTCGGATTTGCCCATAACCAGATAGATCTGGCATCGCGGGTCGCCAGCACCGGAGGACCACCATTTCTATTGTTGCACCGGGTGAGTTAGAGTAGAGTGGGCCAAAAGAGGAAGAAGTAGACGAACCGAGCCATTCAGAACGTATTCATTGCCTTCACGGCGCATATTTAGCTCGATGTTGGTAGCATCGCTGGAGGCCACCTCGGGCTCGGTCATGAGAAAAGCAGAGCGAATCTTCCCATCCAGCAACGGAGCCAGCCATCGTTGCTTCTGCGCCTCGTTACCATATTTTGCTAACACCTCCATGTTGCCCGTGTCGGGGGCCGCGTTGTTGGTCGCCTAGCTAATGTCAGCCCAGGCGGAGACTACTGGATGACAAAGAACAGACCTCGGACGCCAGCTTGCTCTTGCCCAGACATTCGGCCATCAGACCATATTCGAGATTGCTAAAGCCTGCCCCCTGGGAGAAATGGTTCTTGGGCAGGAACATGTTCCACAGACCCTGCTGGCGGGCTTTGGTCTTGAGGGTCTCCATGATGGCGGGATTGGTGGTCCATCGCTGTTTTCCCTCCCCCAATTGGGCCTGGAAGAGGGGTTCGGCGGGGATACATTCTCTCTCGACGAATTCTTCGACCTGTGCAGTAAGAATTGGTGAGAAGAGAAGAGAAGAGGTGGAACTCGGGGGGAGAGGGAAACGTCATACCAGGTCGAGTGTCTTTTTGGCGCGATCACTCACGTGTGGCTGGGCGATGGAGGGGATTCGGGTGGAGGCGGACATGATGAGAGAACTGATAATTTAAAACTATAGAAGGGGGAGAGAAGATATAGAGATAGGAAGGATGGCGAGAGAGAGAGGATTATAAAGGATGCGGAGAAGTGGAGCAGCCGAGGTCGTTTTCGGCTGAGGATCAGATAATACGGCAAAAAACTAATTGTCGTCCAGAATTTAGAAAGAATTCTAGAATCAAGGGTCGAGAAAAGAATGACGGGCAGAAAAGAGCAGAATGCACGTTGACAGTCCATTGAGTTCCATATGGCACTTCCCAAGTAATCCCAAGCCTTCTATGCACACCGGCCCAACCAGTACAATAGAAAGAAATCCATCATAAAAGCATCAATCAAAAAAAAAAAAAGAAGCCTCCCAAAAACACCAGGTCCATCCCAAAAAGCCCAGCAAGAACAACAATCCCGATACCAGTTCATCAACAGGACAAGGCCGGACGAGCACCCGGTCACCACATCGGCCCTCGGCGCCATCATCGGCCTCATTCGGTCCTTCATCATCCCCCATCATTTCATTTTCACGACTGCGCCACATCCTTGCTGTTCGAGGTTGGAGGGCCCTGTTCCGCGGTTGACTGTTCAAAGTTCTTCTTGCCCAACTTGGCAAAGAGCGACTGGGGTTTCCCGGCACTGAACATGGATCTCGACGTCAGCTTCGGTTCGAAAGACACGGAACGATCAATACGAGAAACAGAAAGACACCTACTTTTTGAATCGCTTGCCCTTCAGGTCGCTCAGTTTCTTGGAGCATGGACTCATGATGTCGTCCGAGGGTGACACGTAGTTGGCCGGTTGTCTAGAGAGTCGTCAGCACCTCGCCGCGCAGAATCCTCTCCTCTTCACTCACTTCTCGCCGCTCTCCAGCTTACCCTGCAGCACCTGACGGTGATATTCCATCGAATTCACGTTGGCCGGTCCCGTCTTGAGATCGTGGGCCTTGTCGGACTGGACCGGCAGATGCGTGTTGGTCGAGCGATCAGTCAACGGGTGCGAGGGGGAATCCATTGTGGTCGGATAAGATGAAAATGTTACTTGATCGGTCGGTAGAGGGAAAAAAGTAATATCCTCGTGGTGGATCTTGGTTTGAAAACAGGTGGTGCTGGAAGAACGAGACGGGAAGAGAGGGAGAAGAACGGGGCAGCAAAGAAAGTGCGGCCCACCTGATTGTTGGCATGGCAACGCATCTCTCGTCCACAACGTCACTTCCGTCCACACCACACATTCTTCTGGCTGTCTCATCCCGTCCCTGAGTCACACGCTTCGACGCCCTCGTCGTCCCCCTCGTCGTCCCCCTCGTCGTCGCCCGGCAACATGGGCGGGCTGCTGTGTGCTCGCATCAGCGGGGCCACCTCCACACTCTTCCCTAGCGTCTCCTCTGCCTCGGAGCTGGACGACTCCGAGGGAGGCGTAGGCGGCGCGTACGCCGTGGTCGGACTGTGCAGACCGTCCTGCGAGTCGTCCGATGGATGGCGTTGATGGCCCCCTGGCCCACGATATGACGAGGTCGGTCGCGTCGAGCTAGGACTCCCCGACGGCGTGCCGAAGATAGGCGATGAGGATCGCAGGCTATAGGATCGCGACACCATGCTCTGAACGCTAGGGAACTCCATGTAGTTGCTGACAGTGCCGCGCGAGAACAGTACGAGTGCGAAGCAAAAGAGGACCATAATGCTTTGGATCACCAACACGCGCTTCTGGAACACCAGCTCCTCCGCCACCACGCCCAGCTGCGCGCTGATCGAGCTGATCTCTTGGTGGTACTGGATGCGTTGATGCTCAAATTCCAACGCCACGCTCTTCCAGACCTGATCGTACTGCTCGCGCAACTGCTGGAGCTCGTTCAGCACCGTCACGTTCAGATTCTCCAGGAACGTCGACGTCTTTCCCAGCTGCCGTTTCTCCACCTTGTTGAAGGCATCCCGCAAAATCCGCGACTGCTCTTCAATGTACTGCAGGGACAGGGTGGAGTTCGACTCCAGCATCTGCAGCCGTTTGTGCACAGACTTGAAGAAGGACTCCTGCGTTGTCGGGTTCGGCGATGGAGGTTGCGTCGCCGTTGAACGCATTCCGTCGGACCCCCCTCTCTGCTCCTCCTTGATCACTGTGCCCGCCGACCGTGGGACGGATTCGGTAGCATTCTGGGTGACAGGGTCAGGAGTCGGCAGCGGTTGCGAGGACGCAGGGGAAGGTACGCCGTTCGCCTCAACCGGCCCAATCGTCTTGGACTCAACCGCTGTCTCCGTGAAGATGGCATTACGCACAGGGACAACGGGCGTAGAGACATCTGTTCCAGAAGTCGACGTCTCACTCGCCTGCGAGCGGCTGGGGGCTGCAGGGACATCTGCGTGCGAACCAGTTGCCTCGGTTGAGGGGCTTCGTAAACTGCACTTATCGGTGGTGGTGCAAACCGCCTGCAGTAACCAGCTCTCGACCTCGGTTGGGGAGTTCAGACAGGTAGTCTGGCCCGGGCTTCCCCATTCCAACGCCAGAGTCGAGTCACCTACGGCTCCCTCCGCAACAAGGGAACCAGAGCTTTCCTGTGGCTTCAGGTCATCTGCCCCAAGGGGACCCGGTTCCAGAGTTTCACCGGTCACTTCATCTTCCGCTCGACTGGCGTCGCCATCGTGCTTGTATTCCTCCATCATTGTCGTACCGTGCACCCGGATCAAACTAAGAGGACAGTAGAATTCGTGACCGTAGTGGGTGAGGAACTCAATCCTGAGATAGCGAGCCCAGATAAGCGGGTTCTCCACCGGGAAGGCCTGAACCTCGCGCGTGTTTCGAGCCTCGTAGACCCCCAACTCCCTCCATTGGTCGGGCTTGGCAGGATACCGATCCGAGACGCTCACCCGGAATGTGTGGAAGATTGAGCTGAAGAACTCATAGTTGGCCAGGACCACCGTGTCAACCAGGATGTCATCGCACAGCTCCAGGATCAAGAACTTGTTTTTGGCCCGGCACTCGTTGAGCATGTAGCTATCCTTGTTCTCAATCAGGACCGAGGATGAGCCCTTACATTCGGAATTCGTCTTGAGCACCGTAGCCGCACAATCGAAGGACGCATAATTAAACCGTTCCTTGCAGGTGATTCCGGCATCCTTTCGCCGCGAGACTCCCGCCCGAGGCACGCCGTCCGCATGGGAATCGGTCTGCAAATGACCCGTATTCTCCTGTGCATCCCCTTCATCCATCTCCCGCGTTGGAGACTCCCATGACGCCGGTGTCGCCGCCTCAGGCGTATTAGCCCCGAAGCCACCAAAGTCAAGCTCGATCTCGGTGTCGTCTCCCAGTGAATCCAATGCGTTGTTGATGCCAGTCGGCCTACGTCGATCTTCCTTCCCCACTGCTCTAGCCGGTCTACCACCTCCCACATTTTCCGCCGACTGCCCGGCCTTGGCAAGGTTCTGTTTTTTCCAGTCTTCGAAAGACAAGAACTTGGCGTTGTCGAGCGGGGATTCAGTGTCCAGTTCCAGTTCCTGGCCCTGCCCATCCTCTGGGGTCGGCACCGGCACCGTTACAGTGGCGGTCTTGTCCTTGGACAACTCCTCGGAAGCTGTAGATGTCCGCTCCCACCGGGTCTCAACACAGACGGGCCACCGAATATACATGGCCTCGCCATCCCTCAAGTCCCTCGCCAGACATTGGGTCGGCGACCTCTCCCCCCCAGCGGCTTGGACCCAGGTCGACACCAGCACGACCACGGTGGCGAAGCTGTTCATCCAACAGGGAACAGGCATGGTGAAACAAACACGTCTCGTATCGGTCAGCCCAAGATCCAAATGACCGATAAGGGGGAACGAATGGATCGTAGAGGCGACGATTGACTAGGCCAGTCGTCGTGCGCACATCGTCTTCTGTAGGGCTATGGCAATGACAGTCGTCAGTCAATATATATTCCAACGTCGTCTAGTCAAGAGCACATGAGATAGAGGGACAATCACGCACCAGAATAAATCTTTGTCTCTCCTCTCGATCTTGAACTTGTACGGTGTGGCTGGCTTCTCCGCACGTGGACTCACCGCCAGTCTTCACCGCCTGCCGCTCACTGCATCTACGGGGGATTTGGACACTGATTAGTTACATATTGCTACTATACTCATACGAAAGGGAGAAAAGAACACTATTCGCGTAACTTTTTTTTTTCTTTTTTTTTTTTGCCAGCTGGCTGTTGTACTGGTATTGCTGTTGATGATAGCTGAGATGTTTGAATAGTAGCTGACAAACCCAACACCACGGGTCGTCCGTCTTCGCCCCGTCGTCCATTGCGCCCGTGTCCCGCTCGTCTCGTTGCACCGTTTTCTCCTCTCAGAAATAATAAACGAACATTTTCAAAATCAAAACTGTCAACCGCCCCGGACACCATCTCCTTTCCAGCCGCCAGTTGATGAGTCGCTTTTGAACTGATCGTTGCCACCACGTTTTGTTCGAAGAGAGCTAGTATATTATACAGGAGTGGGAAGAAAAACAAGAACACAACGTCGGAGGAGGCTGCATACAAAGAATCTATCACATGAGAGGGGAAAAAAATATGTTGTTGAACCCTGATTCGTGCACAAATCAGTCGAGTGGAAGGGGGAGGCTCCAAAGAAAACGAAAGGAAAAAAAAGGCACAAGAAAAAAGTAAAATATTCTGTTTTTCTCTGCTCTCCTTCCCTAGTGATTATTATATGGAACAATGAAATGAGAACGACTTGGACACGCTGACGAGGGTGTGATGACGCGGCGTGAAATTAGAGGTGCAGGTCATGCCAGCCACCGACGAGGTCGAGATCCTCGTCGACGCTGCCATCGTAACTGCCAAGAGGGCTGGAATTGATGGGCTTCGGTGACTCCACGGCGTCTCGACGCCAGCCTTTCTCCAGGAATGGGCGGCGACGGCGACCTTGGGTAGGCGTAGCATCCTTCTTAGCCCACAAACCGTAGTCGAAGCCGGAGGATCCAAGACCCCAATCTTTCCGCCAGGCCATGCTGTTCTTGGTGGTCTTCTGTCCAAAGGGGACCGCAGGAGACTTGTAGTTTCGTCGTTTATCACCCAAGGCGGCCCACTTGTCAAGGTTGGACTTCTTCGGAGAACCGTTGGGAGAACGGGGAGGCGTCGCCAAGGCAGTAGCTTCAGGTCTAGCATCTACCGACTTCTCAATTGTTTCGTCCGATTCAATTGCAGGAGCGGCAGCGTTCTCCACGCCAATATTCAGGATTGGAGACTGATGGCCATCGCCGAGATCAGACAGAGGGCGGGAGAAATCCGGGTTGTTGCTTTCATGGCTCCAGCTACGGGAGTTCTGCTCACGTCGTTCCTGCAACGCACAGTCCTCACCTTCGGACTCTTCCTCCTCGTCCCAGAGGTCACTCCAGCTTTTGGAAATTTGGGATTCTTTGTTCCGGCCGAAGACCATGGACAAGGAGGGGAGAGGCTTGGTCACAAGACTCGGAAGAGACCCAGTAATTGGGACAGGGTCTGATGGAGGGGGGAACCGGGCCTCGGGCTTCCGAAAGGCGGATGACCGAAAAGAGTCGCCAAGAGCAGATTCGAGAACAGATGCCATTGATGGAGTGCCTTGGTGAACAGAGAACCACGAAGTACCCGCAGTCTCGGAAGGAGGGAACAGATCCTCCGAATAGCTCTCGTCGTCGGGGATAGCAGACAACTGTCGAATATTCTGAGGTGGGCTGGACTGAAGTGCCTTGGCCCATGGGAAAGAATCACCCTGGTTGATATGCGGACTCTGGATAGAAGGCGTCCGGAGGGGTTCACGGTTGGCACTTGCCGGCACCACTTCGCGGTCATCGGTGCAGAACTCATCCAACTCCTCGTCGTCCGTGGTGAACGAAACCGAGCGCAGGATGGCCTCACGAACAGCAGAGAGCGAACGTCTTTCGGGGTCGATAGCCAACGCAATTCTGAGTATCTCGAAGGTATCCTGGGACATGTTGGTGAAAATGTCGAACAGAGACTGTCGATCCCGAACGTAATCGGCGAACAAGACATCAGATTCGGTCGGCGTTGCGAAAGGGTTTCGTGCAAAAAGAACATTAAGCAGGCAGATTCCGATCGCCCAGATATCAGCCTTGGCCGGGGAATACCCGGTGTTAGCAGGATCATATTGCTCTGGGGCCATGTAGCGATCGCTCCCCACACAGGCCTCATAGGACCACGCCTCACGGGTAACCAAGCCCAAGTCCCCAAGCTTCATGATTCCATCCTGGGTCAAGAAGATGTTCTCTGGCTTAATATCGCGGTGGTACAGGCCATTGTCGTGCATAAATTCCACAGCACTCACGAGTTGCAGCATAAAGTCCCGCACGTGCTCGGTCTCAAGGGGACCACGGTTCAGTCTAATCGCCTCGTATAGATCACCATTCGCACAGTACTCCAAGACGAGGTACATGTGTGCATCGGTCTCGAAGTAATGAATGAGGTTGACGATGTTGGGATGATAAGCGAGGCGACGATGGAAGTTTAGCTCTTCAAAACGAGCATCGGTGGAAGACTGAATCGAACCATCACCCGAGTTCTTGACCAGGCACTTGATGGCGACATCTTGGCCGGTCTTGAGATCATTCGCAAGGAAGACCATGCCAAACGATCCATGGTTCAAGGGAGACACGGTGCGAAATCGCCCATCCAAAAGCTGCCCTTCGACAAAGCTATTCTTAAGGCACTCCATTTCGTCGAGTTATTCGGACTCGCCGCGGCAAAAATAAGTGTAAAAGTCGGAATTAGCGCGGTCGATCAGACAACCAAGACGATGGACACGACAGAAAAAAAGGGCAAGGAGTGCCGGCCTGCGATTCCAACGAGATGATGACCCTCCGAAAGGAGCCAAGATAAAGAGGATAAAAAATCAACGGTAGAACAGAAAAGAATAAAAACAAACACCGATCTGTTGGCTCAAAGACTCATATAAATATGGAGAGTGAGGATATGATAACAAAAGAAAATCCAAGTAATGAGTAGAGCGCGAGGCGCAATTTAGATACCCGCCGGGGTTGATGGACAAGTAGGAAATTGGAAGGACTGTTATAGGTTCATCTGTATATCGTTTCGCAATGGAAAGGGCGAAAGCCAAATGGTGACAAGTATGAAAAGTAAAAGAACGTGTCGAAGAGAAAGACTATGCCCGGTAAGTGGACACGGAAGAGGACGAATGAAGAGACGAAAAACGCTGCGTAATATCGTAATGTTATGCCAGATTTATAAACAAGTTTCGTGAAAAGGTTATAGAACGGCCTTCGAACACCAGGTTGAAGGGCCAAGATTATCGTGACTCAGGAGATCGAGGTGATGTATGACGCTATTAAGTCATATAGGTAGCCTGAGACGACGAAGATATCCTGAGCTGAAAAGAGGACAGTATATAAACGATGCTGAGGCTCTGGAAAGCTGGTACCAGACGTCTTCAGCCCTCCTTCTGGGCAGGTTGAAGATCCGAATACCAGCACCCAGCCCAGGTAGCGAAGTGATGGACAGCTAAGCAGAAATCGACCTCAGAGCAAATCAAGATCCTCACACGTAGTGTCAATGGGCGATTGAAACGTAGCACAGCGTCGGAGGATGGAACCGAGAGAGATGAGGGCCGTGGGTCTGCAGTGACTTATAGACGTAATTGGCTTGAGATGAGTCACGGACGGTGTTCGAAAGCTTAGGAAGAAGGCAGCGGACGAGGATATTGCCACGGACAAGAGAAGTGCACTTTGTTTGACAATAGAGCAGACAACGAACTGCAGCTGTACTATTCAAGGCTTTTGGAAGAGCACTATCTTGCCGTATGGACGCAAGAGGAGTTGAGTATCACAGGAAAGGTCGGGGAGTGTAGCACTGGGGCAAGTAGATGGGGGGTCGACAGGGGAGGGCGAAGGAGGAAGGAGCAACGGGCGAGAAAGAGATTAGGTAGGAGTGATGAAGTCGGTGAAGATGAAGTGGATGATAGGGGGAAGAGGTTGATGATGATGATGATGATGGTGAAGGGGAAGGAAATAGAAAGGGAAGGATGGGGATGGATGGATGGAATGGACAGACGGGTTGGCAGGCGATAGGGATAAGGAGGACCGGATGATAGCAGGTAGTCGCTGATAGGCAATGATGGAACAGGTTGAGGGGCGAAACCGTCGAATGAAAGGGCAGACGGCACTCGGAACTTGGAGGGAGGGAACAAACCCACTCACTGCAGCGATGGCGAGAAGGTGGGCGAACGAGCGAGAATCAACTGTTAGGTTACCTTTCCATGGAGTGGTGCCCCACCAGCCAATGACGACAGTTCATTACCGTACCGATACGTCGTCCTGCACCCTGAGAAGCCTATCAATGACCCCTTGGCCATTTCCTCGTGGTTATGATACGTGCGATCTCCTGGTCGGCCCACCAACTCAGTCAATGGATGCAGGTCGAAGGGTCCCTAGGCCGTTTTCGGATGGGCCCCACACCCCCTGAATGAATCATCTCTTTTGTTGTTGCCAGCACCGCAGCAGATGATAACTCAGCAGTTCCGACTTCGTCATGGCTTTTCTGCATGGAAATTATCAAGTACAGTTAGCTGCCTACAACGGTAGATAGTCCGTAGGTATCTTAGTAGTGCCCCAGTGAAGGTTTACATTCCCTTCTGCTTATTGGATTAATGGTTGGTCGATGGGCAAATTACATAATGCTAAAGTATGGTTGCTTGGAGAAGTCACCCACTTCCGCCACGTTAATGTTTCAGTACATACATATTTACCGGTTTCCAGTATTACTACAGAGCACCGTATGCGCGCTCTTCCATCTTCCCAAGCATTCATCAGTCCACCGTTGAGTGGTCAGCTGTCCGTCTCATGCCGTGGCTGGAATCTCGAATCTAGAATCAATTACCCCATGAATTGCTAAGTGCTACCTAGTAATGGTTATTTTCTCATGGCCTGGAATCTGATTGCGCAGAGCAAACAATTCCCCGAGGGATGAAACTACCCGTCATAGCAGAGACTCGACGGGATCATGTGCAGGTTGAAAGGTTCAGGCCCTCCAACAACAAAGTTTAGTATCAGATAGTTACTTGGGGCGGTATCTGTCCACAGCTCCCACGGAGTAGGTTTACACTCCATGCTTTGATAGTCGGCCACTAGTTAGACTTTTGGGGAGTTCGTAGTGAACATGATAGACAAAAGCTAATACTCTTCTAGTAATACCTGATAGAGTTGATGCCATAGCCATTTGCAGAGTACTCCGTACCTACGGAGTACGGAGTACAGACTACTACTGTGTAGATACTCTGTATAGGGCAGGGAACCCGGGCACCCAGGCACCCAGGCAGCATCGTGGTGGAACATAACTGGTCCTATTGCGGGAAAGTTACTGCAGGTCCCAACAGGGTTTCAACACCCATCATCAGAATCCATTCATACGTTAGGGTCAGCGGCAGGAGAATAATGCACAGTCGAGAATCAACCGCCTGGGATACGCTAAACTGCATCCATCTTGATGGACCCCACCCTGTGGAGTCCGAGGGAGCCTGTGAGGTGATGCTCCCATCCACCATACTTCCACTTTCATTTGCGCTAATCTCTCCTGGTTGATGGTGGAGGACTGGGTGGCGGCAGTGCTACTCCATTTCCGGCACAGTGTGCTTGCACTAAGGCCCCAAGAACCAATCAGGGGATGACGAGTTGGTACTATTTCCAGGCTGCATGACGCCAGCACCTCAATGGAGTCATTGTGGCCAATAATTGCTCCATTCGCTGGGAATTAAAAATAAAGATTCTGGGGCGGAGCCAGGATCATCATAAAGATTAATGAATTTAGGGCGTATGGGGAAGATGAGTTATGATTGCATTAATGTTACGACGACAACGATGACGCTGACAATTTGTATAAGACAGGGTTTTATGATTATCAATCGTCATGCATACCTGATGATGATTCCTCCGTACAATTGGTACCGGCTGGGTTGAGTGGCCGGATGAATAATCATCAGTTGGTCCACATTTTGAGCACGTCAACAGATTCTTGCAAAGTTTAATCGGGACATTCTCATGGTCGATTCCCCAGGGAAACCATGGGAATCAACAACGCCCTTATGTTACACAACCTGTATGATCAACATCGAAGATTGCGGGGGAAGTCTCAGGATCACCGATCAGATCATCTATTCTGGATACATCCAGGGCGGTTAACCCCATTGATCAGTTGGAGGGAACCTGAGACGCAAACATGTACTCCGTACTCCGTCTGAAGAGGCCCATAAATGAGATCAATGAGGTTGCTGCTGTTGACGCTTTGGTGTTTCACGTTCAGACAGACTGGAAGGCTGGTATGTCTCCGGAATGCATGTTGGCAAGCAGGTAGCCCAACTAGGTAGGTCGCCAGTGTCCGTTGGTGGTAGCCCAAGGTACCTGCCTAACATACAGGCATGTATGTATGGTCACCCAGGTACCGGGGGGTTGGCGGTGAAGCCCGTTGTACAGCGGGATGATTAGCCGTAGCTTGACCGCCTCCCGGGGTGTGGCGACAAGGTTTGACCTTGCAGCCTACTTTTTTTAAAACAGGGTGAGAAAAAGAGAGAAAAAAAAAAGGGCAGCAAGAGGGATATTGTTTTCGTGCAGACGGTACGATAGATATTGATAGATACATAGGAAAACAGAATACAACAATATGGATACTTCTCTACTGGAATTGAAGTTACCGTGATGGCAGAATACAACAATTTGTATTCTGCCATCTTGTATTCTGCCATCAGTTGACATTCTGAATAGGGGTATCACGCGATCCTCAAAAGCTCCAGCCATCCCATACTTGCAAGTTGACAGCTGACAAGGGATTCGTGGCGTTCCATACGTTTCCATGCCATTCCATAACAGTGCTCTTGCTGATGAGGGGGGATTTCTACAGACCCAGACAGAGTTCCTACTCCCAAGTACATCCGTAGGCTCCTTTAAAGGCCTGGGGTCTATCAAGGAGATTGGCGGATGGAATATTCCATTCCAAACCATTTCATACTCCGTAATAGATTATAGGACACTGGTAGTCCTTGGATTGGCAATTTATCTGGTATTCACAGAGCTCTGTTTATCCCTCACTTCGACGTTTTATGTCGCTAGCATATTGATGAACGAAAACATGCTGCTGATGAACAAACAAGGGTAGTTTACCCCGCACACGGTGGAAATTGCTTTTGGCTAATGGGGGTGTTTTCCTGTTCCCCGGATTCTCAACCGCCACATGACTGGTGGATTGCTCGGCTTCATTTTTGAGGCGTTGATTGCTTTGTTTTTGTTTTGATGTCTCCCTCATTCACCCTGTCTACACATGTGTGGATGGATGAACTCCATACACGAGGTGGCCCCAGACGGGGATAGATCGACAAGGAACATCAGATTTTCAAAAAATGGCGCATATCGTATGTCTGTCGACCTGTATGTATGTTTGCAGGGAGTCACTCCTTACCTCCTTTAGATGGGTGGCGTTGGAGTCGATGAGGGGCCTCTACAGGGTAAGTCCTTGGAAACTTGCGCATCGCGTTGGTAACGTCGATCAGTCTCCATGGTCGTTGTCAAGAGGCAGTGATAAGACCTCATCTATCTAGCTCTGAATCTAAAGTCTGACAGGATCCAGGAAGCCACGTTTCACCACTGAATCTTGAAACAGGCTCCCATCCCTATGCAACGAGATGGGTTACGCTATCGCGGGATTCTTCATCTCAAAAAATTCATAATTCTATGCATTATCTACACGTTCATAATCCGGATATGTATGCATGCACAGGCCGAATTTCATCATCACTTGGAGCGTTATCCAGCCCTAAGACAAATCTCACAGTTTCGCCTTGCTTTCGGCTGCAATCTGCAGCAGTGTCCCATCGGATCGTACTTGGTAGTCTCGTCCCTTCTCCCATCCCAACCAGGCCTGTAGGGTCTCCTGTCCCCCGGTTCCCGGCACGATACCGCCTCCCGTCCAGCCTCCGTCGTCTGCCGCAATGGGTAAACCCGGGGTCTCAACCAGATGCACGGCCGGGCGCTGCTCATACCCACTCTGTTCCAGTTCACCCTGTTCCAACACGGGAGTCGCGCAGGCATCGGTGCCGTCGAAGATGGCCTCCCACTCGGCGCGCGTCTTCTCGCGGAACCTCTGGGCAAAAGCCGCTCGCAGGACCGGCCAGTTCTCCCGATCCATCTGCGCCGGCAACTCGTCGGGACCGAACCCGAGCCCCTTCAGCAGTGCCGCGTAGAACTGGGGCTCCAACGCTCCCACCGCGAAGTATTTGCCCGTATCTTTAGTCTCGTAGGTGTCGTAGAACGGAGACCCGCCGTCCAGCAGATTCTCCCCACGTGGCTGATCCCACGTCACCGACTGGCGGTTCAACCGCGGCATCGTGGCGAGATATGCAGACCCATCCACCATGTTGGCCTCCACGACTTGGCCGCGTCCCGTCCGCGAGCGAGTCAGCAATGCCAGCAGAATCCCCAAGAAACACATGGCTCCGCCGCCGGCGAAGTCGCCGATGATATTCCCCGGTGCGTAGGGTGACGCGTCCGAGCGACCAAGCATGGACAGAACCCCCGACACGGCAATATAGTTGATGTCATGGCCTGCCATGTCCTTGTACTTCCCGTCCCGGCGGAACCCTGTCATACGGGCGACGATCAGACGAGGGTTGTGCTTCAAGAGCACCTCCGAGGGTGACAGTCCAAGACGTTCCAGGACGCCCGGACGGTAGGGGTCGATCAGGACGTCGGCCGAGGAGAGAGCCGCGAAGAGAACCCGTCGCGACGCCACATCGCGGAGATCCAACGTGATGGACGTTTTGCGTCGGGTCAGTTGGTCGGTGCTTATGGCATTGGGTCGATCAATCCGCAGGACTGACGCGCCGTAGTCGGCCAGTAGAAGTCCTGCAAATGGACCTGGTTATCGGTTAGTATGAATAGTACAGAATATAGTTACATTCTATCTGTTAGTTAGGACAGGACAAACCGGGTGCCAGTCCCGCCAGTTCCACCACGCGGGTCCCTGAGAGAGGAGGGGCTGATGCGGACATGCTGATCGTATCTTGTCAATGGATATGAGTCAGTCCATTGATGGAGTCGACATCGTGTCGAGGTATATATCTTTTGCTTCTGCGGCGTCTCCTGCCGAGGTCCGTCCCTTGTGCGGGGGCGCTTAGTCATGGATGGTAGATTGTAGTGATGTTCGAGTACATATGTTGATAGGTTTCTATCGATTGCACAAGGTAATCTGGAGTATCTATCTATGGTCCCTATGTCCATCACCAATCGCCCCGACCCTCGGCCTCTCCCGCATCGTATTCATCCCTAATCTCATCCCCGAAGTGTTCCACAGCCCCAACCTTCTCCCCGGTCCACTCGGCCGCATTCTCAGGGAAATCCTCCACGGCGTCGACGGTATTATCCCAGCCCTGTTGGACCTCACCGACCTGCCATAGTAGTTAGGAACCGTCGTCATAAACACAACAAGATGCAGAGACCGATTCCACATACCTTTTCACCCGTCCACCTGGCAGCGTCCTCCGGGAACTCTTCCACCCCATCTTTGATGCCCTCTGTATGTTCGTCCCACTCATGCATCAGAAGAGCACCACCGGCCACCCCGGCGGCCGCACCCGCAGCTCCATACAACATACGTCGGTCCTTCTTCTCCGGCTGTTGCGCCGGAGGAGGGTAATACTCTCCCTGGCGGGATCCCTCGTATCCATATGCCGGCTGGCCGTAGGGTGGTCCCTGTCCATAGGGAGGCTGACCTCCATACGACGGTTGGCCGTACGCGGGTTGGGGTTGAGGTGGAGGTGGACCGTAGGGACCACCGTCGATGGAACGCTGTCCATACGATTGTTGTTGTTGCTGTGGTGGTGGTGCACCGCCCGGACGATACCAGGTGCTCTCGCCGGTCTGCTGGTTCACGTAGTAGGAGCGTCGAGTCTGGTCATCCCACCGGGCGATCCATGGGTATGGAAGTTCTGGTGGAGGACCGGGAGGAGGAGAAGGACCAGGTGGAGGACCTGGAGGCCCCTGGGGACCAGGGGGAGGAGGAGGAGGAGGAGGAGTGGAACCGTATCCGTAGACAGGCGGCTGCTGTGGAGGATATCCGTATGCTCCTGGCGGTGGCTGTTGAGGGGGATATCCGTATCCTGCTGATGGTGGTGGAGGTTGTTGAGCCCCGCTGCTGCCTTCACCGCTCCTCTCCATGGCTTTACCAATCAACTTGTTCACGAAATCCATGATGGAGGACTGATCGATGAAAAGGAGTGAGTAATGGAGGAGAAGAAGAGGAGAAGAGGAGGAGAGGAAAGAGGGGAAAAAGGGAAAGAAAGAAATAAATTAATTAAATAGTCATCCCACACGGTCTAGACGTCCTGTTGGTGCCTAACTGGGCCGTCTATTTGCCGCAATCGCACCCCCTCATCCACTGCATTTCTTTATATTTCTCTACATTTTCTTAGGTCTGTTTCTCACGTACTTGTTTTTCTTTGGATACTCACGCTGACCGTTGAGTTCCCTGGTTCCGTCGGCTCGTTCCGTCTTGGCCCGAAGCTTGTCAAAGGCTGCGTTTCTGACTTTACGAATCATCAGGTATTGTCTGCATTATCCCCTAATATACGTCTACCCTGCATAGTCCTGCAATCATATCACAATAAAGAATAGTAAACATCAGAAGAGAATGGAAGAAAAAGAAGAGGAGGAAGAAGAAAAAGAAGGATGAAAGGATGAAGGAAGAAAATGTGAAATATCCTCAGATCATAAGAGCAGCCAGAATAATAGCAAGGACCCCGGCTCCATAGCCCTGCCCTGTCAGCCGGATTGCTGCACCACGGAATACGGGCGTCGTATGCTCCGCCGTGCCACTCGGCCCCAGTGTCTCCCGCGATATGCTAGGCGGGGGCCGGATGTGCATGGTCCATGAAGGATGCACAGTACCAGTCACCCCGACCGGAGAACTGGAGGCGCTAGTGGAATGGGAAGGGGTCGGTGTGACGTTGGGACCGGATGCAATGCCAGTATTGCCTGCAGAGCCACTGCCAGCGGAGGGATGGGGCACAGGGGCAACCTCGGTCGCGGTGGTCACCGGCAGGGTGAGAGTCACAGTGGTCGGCGTGGGTGCGCAGTGGGTGCAGACAGTGATGGTGGCCGTCCATCCTTCAGGCGGGGGGAGTGCGGTAGTGTCCGCTCCTGGTCCAACCGGAGGAATTGTCGCCGTCGCCCCAGTACCGTAGGTGCTTGTGTACGTCGTGGTGATCGTGGTGAACCCCGTCGGACAGATATTGGTGTACGAGGTAACAATGACAGTCGTAGTGCTGGACGCCCCTGAGTGGGAACCAGGAGGGGTGGCTGATGCCGTTGTCTCGACTGTAGATGTTGCACTAGTGATGATGGCCGTGGTTTCGCTTCCAGGGTTAGACGCGGTATGGATTGGTGGCGACGCAGTTGGGCTGCCCGTCTTGTCCGATGAGGAAACGGTATCAGTACGCGATTTAGTAGAGCTTGACTGGTTTGTCGCACTCGAGCTAGGGTTCCCTGGAGGGCTTGAGGTAGTTGTGCCAGATGAAACAGACGTGCTAGAAGAGGCCGATGTAGACGAAAGTGGTGGCGACACCGGAGGTTTACTGGAAGAGGTCACAGAAATGACTGATGAAGTCGACGGGTCTGGTCTTATAGAACTGAAGGGCGAGCTGGAAGGAATGCGACTGCGCGAAGTAATGCCGGTACTCGACGGGGTTGGTCTCACAGACAGGGACGATGATCTGGAAGGAACTCGACTGCGAGAAGTAGTGGCAGTCCTCGACGGGCTTGAGTGGGCCGACGTTGGGGTTGTAAACGAATATGTGCTGCTGGAATGGACGGGGGTGGAAGAGAATGTCGGCGTCCTGATAACGGACGAAGAAGATATCCTAGACGTAACTTGCGAGCTCGATGAGCTTTGGCTTCTGGAACTAGCAGACGAGCTGGAAGACACTCGCGAGCTCGACGATACGCTAGGAGAGGGTAACGTCAACGTCCCAGTTGACGCAGAAGGGCTAGAATGGAAGGTTGTATGCGTTGTTTCACGGGTGGACGAGGGGATCGACGTGCTGGAGTGAATGGGGGTCTCAGAGTGTGAATGCGTTCCGGTGGGAGCAGTGGACGTGCTCGAGGTAACAGGGATGCTGGTAGGGGTAGGAGTCGTAGGGGTAGGATGAGCTGGATCGCGTTGGACCAAAATGTTCTTCATATGGCCCGCATAGTTGATTCCATCGATCCTGTTTCGCTCTGACGCGGTTGCCTCCCAGAGCATAATACCGCCAAATGCATCCGGGTATCGATCCATATAATATGCCACCATCCTGTCAACTTCTCTAGGACTGAGGTAGTATCCTGGATTGGCAGCCTTCTCACTTGCCGGAAGCCCGATATAAAGCTTTGTAGCGGGGTTGCCCCCGTTCTGGATGAAGTTTACCCATGAATCGTAGTTGAACCGCTCATTGATACGGCCGCCGCTGCCACTGAAGTACTTGCGAGCAGAACAGCCTTCGGTGTTGTAGAACTGAACCCAGACAAAGTCAAAGACGGAGTTCGCGATGGCGAGGCTTAGCTGTTGGTCCGGGATTGGACACTGGGGCGCGCCCGAGATATAGAAACGACGGTCAGGTACCCGATTAAAGTGTTCACGGAATCGATTGACCATGATCGCATAGCCTGCAGCGGTCAGAGACATATTCCCATTAGTACATACACAGGATGAAAAAGAACCTACCGAAACCGCCATTATGCTCTATGTCGAAGTCAAACCCATCGACGACAACATCACCAAACGGACGGGGACCACCGGCGGCCGTCCACCTATCATCTACGGGGCCGAAAGCCCCCCAGAGGAAGTCGGCAAATTCAACGGCGTCAGTGTCAGACAAGAGTTTTTGGTTGTCTGGGGTGCCCCCTCCGAGCGACAGCAGGATTTTCTTACCCGCCGCCTGACAGATTGGGATGTCCTCCATCAATTGATGGCAACCCGAGAGCAGCTGTGTCTTGACCCCACCAATTTCATAAGTGTTGCCATCACACTGATTGCCAAAGTTACTCCCGGGCCACCCAGCGGCGCCTTGGCCAGGGAAAGTGTTGACGAATCCAATGTTGATAATATCCAACGAAGTATCCTGGCAGAAGTGACTGAGGCGTGGTTGGTTCTCCCCCTGGCCCTATAGAAAGTTAACGCATGCTGTACAGTCTAATAAAAAAGGTGGCATACATAGTAAACGGCAACGTTGGATTTCCCTTTAGCGTCGAAGCCCGACGCAGATGTAGTCAGGGACAAGGCCGCCGCGATGGCGGCGAGGGTTCTTCTGGGAACCATCGTTTATATAATGAATGGCGTGTGGCCAGAGGCCAACGGAGGAAATAACGGGCAAATGAATGTTCAGATAATGCAACGAAAGGACGCAGACAATCGTCTGCTTGGATAGTCCCCAGAGACAGGAATACAGTGAACGGTCGAAGAAAAGAAAGTCGGGATATCTAGACACTGGAGCGGGCTATATATGCGGACATCCAGGGGGAAATTTGTCTGCTGCTGGGTCTCCCAAGTCTCACCGGTCCTAAACTGGTGCGACCACAAAGTAAAGTGTGATTCCCCGCTCTAGAGCCTAGACAGGGAATCAATGTTGCCATCGTAGCAAACCTCAGGAACTATAGGGCGCTTGAGCTTAGCGTTCCCAGAGACATGCGCCACCGAAGTCGTCCGAGGCATTCGGAGATTACCACTATCAAGGGGACCATTGTGGAGGCGACGTTGATTCGGGCAGACTACTGGTATACCCTGGTGAAGAGCCGCAAGAGAGGGTCTATAGTTCTACGCTAACTGTTAGTGACTAGGCTTAGAGAAAGAGGGGCATTCGCACTAGCTGCTTACTAGACCAGTCTATGGGAGAAATAGGCAGTAGGCATTGACTCTCAGAGGTCATATATGGAGTACTAGCCTCAGGTAAGGAATGCTGGTGCATATCATATGGGGACTAACGAGCTTGAAGGAACAGCCCTGTAGGTGATCGACGAGGTGTCAGGATGAATTGTTGACATAGGGAATGACACAACAGTCCCTGGTAGTAGTACCACATTAACCTAAGTCCCTAGGTAGAGGACTACTATGGTACGTATGCCATAGTATGCGTTAGTATACTTTAGTGTCGTGGTTGGGCTAAAATGAGTTCCAATGGTTGGCAGTCAGGAACACCAATCAGGTGACAGAGTATGGACGGAAAAAGTCAGCTGTCACGCTAGACCTGATCAGGAACTCACACAGTATTCCCGACCCATCGCGCACAACGGCAGCTCAAGAAGGACAACGTTGGGATCTCTCGGATGGACGACCGGATCATCCAGATCCGCAGGGCTGTGTGAATCCTCTCCATGTCATACTCCAATCCGATACTGTTTCGTCGCGTCAGGTAGCACCAGGCCTGGACGACATCAATATACTATCTACTACGAGGCTCCGTGTAATACTCCAAGATGACTGAAGATGACCGCAGTCTCTGCCTGGACAGAGACAGAGAAAGAGACGACGGGGGCCCACTGGCTACAAATCATGTACGATACTAATGACAGGGAAAGGTCTTAGCGTCTTCGACTCCACTTCTGGAGATAAGCCATGGCCTAGTGGGAGTCAGGCTCATTATTGTTCCTTGAAGATAAAGCATATAGAGTTCCAGCTATCTATTATGTGGAAATTTTCCGAGCTAACAGGTATCATAATAGGCATAGTCTCTGCATAGGGTTACATCTACTTACATTTCGTGACTCATCGCCTTGGCCATAGAACTCACTGCCATCCACTACTTCTATATCCTGGAAAAAACCAGAAAAATAACGACCGAAAGATGGATTAACCCGGGGTGATACAGGAAAGGCAGCACAACTCCCGTCTCGCGGAAACAGTTGCAATCATGATGTCTACGTGGAGCCTAGTGGTTTATATCTAGAGGAACAGAAGAATCAGCCCATTATGATCTGCTACACACGGAATCGAATGAGATACTTGTACTGATGGATATAAAGATGCCGGTCGCCTTTCTAGCACGATCACAATGGACTGGATGCAGACGAATTATGTTGGCTAGTGGTACGACGTTCTCAAGTCAGTGGTAAAAGAAACGGCACGAGGTTCGACTTTCAGTCAAGTATTCTAAATTAATGGAGAAATCTAGCAACTTGATAGTATTATCTGACTAATATGGTGGCCGTTCATAATACAGCGTGCTCCGGCATAGAAATTGGAATACAACCCATGCACATGCAATTTATATGGGAAGCAAGTCAAGGTTACATTGACACCTGGTAAACCAGTTAAATTACGGTACTGTTTACGTTCTAGTCCGAATGTATGACAACTTCTCACCAACTTCCACCCCCCCTCTCTCTCTCACTCACTCTCAGATACAGCAATGCAAGTTAAGACCTGGTTCCAATGCCCTAAAGGCCCGATGGTCCTAGGTGAAGGACCGATCTACCGTTCTTCAGATTCCACCCTACATTGGTTCGACTGTCTCTCGACCCCGCCGGAACTGTATATTCTGTGCGTGGACGCCGACACTGGTGAACCCCTAGGCGAGGTGCGCGTGGTGCCGCTAGCCGATAGCGTCACGGTGGGATGTTTCCGCCGGGACAAACCCGGCAGCTACATCGCGGCGTACTACCAGGGGGTCTGTTTTCTGGACGAACGCACCGGGTCTATCGAGGTCGTTCGGGAGATCATCCCCGCGTCGGAGCGCGACGAGCGACGATTCAACGATGGCGGAGTCGATGCTAAGGGCCGGTTCTGGCTGGCGGAGATTGACAAACGCGCCATGGGGTATGGAGCTAATCGATTGCCCCCATCCTATGGAAGACCCAAGGGTCGGTTGTGGAGATACGACCCCGACGGGAGTCTGCATCTGATGATCGATGGGGGAATCGTGTGTGGGAATGGACTTGCGTGGAGTCCAGATAATAAAACAAGTATCTCCTAGCTATGCTACCTATCCTATCTATCCTAGCTGAGAGATATCTGGTCTGATTGATCCGCCAGTGTATTTGAACGACTCGGTGGCCATGCAAGTGTATGCGTTCGACTTCGACCTTGCGACGGGAGGTCTCTCGAATCAACGTATACTCGTCGATCGACGGGATTCCTTCGGGGAACCCGACGGGATGGTAGTCGAGTAGGTCGACCACACTCTCTTTGTCATAAGGCTGGTCTGCTTACCATACCGCAGCACCCAAGGCAATCTGTGGATTGCCGTCTACGCCTCCCACCGGGTCATGGTCTTCAGTCCCACGGGAGAGCATCTCCAGAATGTGGAGTTCTCCGCGAAGAACGTCGCCTGTACGACCTGGGGCGGCCGAGCGCATGATATGATCTACGTGGCAAGCGGCATGGATCGCGGGGAACATCCGGATCCAGGGGACGACGGGGGACATATGTTCCTGTATAAGCCGTTGACGGCGAAGGGGCAGCCCAAGTACGAATTCGGCGGGTAGATGGAGAGATGTAGGAATGGATTCTATGGAGAAGGCCTATCTTGGACATAGCAGATCAGGACCAAAACACCTCCTTCAAGAGATCGCACATCAGCGTAATCGACCGCTTTCCCTCCTCCAACACGCCATCCATGGCCAGGAAGGGATGCGGCATCCCCTTCATCACCTGCAGATCCACGGGCACGCCGGTATTCTTCAACTTCTCCGCATACTGCTCGCCCTCGGTGCGCAGGACGTCCAGCTCCCCCACCATGACCAGGGCTCTCGGCAGCTGGGACCAGTCCCCCTGGTAGAACAACGGACTGGCCTCGGGGTGGGTGCGGTCCGCCTCGTTGGGTAGATAATGGTTGCGATACCAGAGCATCTTGGGGGCCGGTAGGGCGGGCGTGTGCTCATATCGCCGGTAGGACTCGTTGTTGTCTACCGTGGCTGTGTTATCAGTGACGGGGACGGAGAGTAGCTGGGCGAGGAAGTGCACGGGGGGTGAGAGGGTGAGGGCCCTGTGGGTGATGATGGCAGCGAGGTTACCCCCGGCCGAGGAGCCCCCTGTGGCCATCTTGGATGGATCGATGGAGAGTCTGGCTGGACCTTCAGAGATCAGCCAGAGGAGAGCCTCCCAGCAGTCATGGACGGCGGCGGGCCAACGGTTTTCGGGTGCCAGTCTAGAGGGTCAGTTCTAATGTCTCTATATAGGATATGAGGAAGTGGAATGGCCCACCGGTAGTCCACCGTGACGACGACGCAGTTCCCCCTCACGCAGAGATTCGTACACACGGGGTTCTCGGTGTTGATGTTGCCCAGGACCCAGCCACCTCCGTGAAAATAGAGCATCACGGGCCACCCGGACGCGGGTTTCTCTCCGCGGGGAGTAAAACAGCGCAGGGGAACGGCTGGACCGTCGGTTTGACGGCGTGGAATGACAATGTCCTCGGTCTTTCCGACGTCGAGAGGCGGACCACCGCCAAGGATCAGGACGTCTGTTCGCGAGGCCTCGACGGGTTGTCGATGGACCTGCTCGAGATTGATGACATGTTGATTGTAGAAATCGACGTATTCGGGATGTAGGAGGTCTTTGACGGAGGGATGAAGGGGATAGGGAGGAGACATTGTGTAGTGTAGAGGACTGGCTGTGGTATGGAGGGAGAATATAGAGGATAACCAGGGGTATAAGAGAGAGGAATAATCCTTTTGTCCGATCTCCGGTTACATTCAGAGCGTGGGGGTTGTATAGAGTGGGGGATCTTGGGAGAGTAAGAATAAGAGAGAGAATATACACAAGAAAGAGAGAGAGAGAGGCAATTAATTCATTAGCGCCGTCAGCTTTCATGACGACGTGGGGGTGATCGCGGGGATTCCCCGCAATATTTCTCTTTTGTTCTCCCGCTCTTTTCTTTCTTTCTTCTTCAGTTCTTCACCGTTATCTTCTCAATATGAAAACTGCCATCCTCACTGATAAAGCCCCCAAACCTCTCCCCGGCATCTATTCCCAAGCCATCGTCTCCAACGGCGTCGTGTACTGTTCAGGGGCCGTGGCAATGGACCCAGAGACGGGCAAGATTGTCGACGGCGATATCAAGGCGCATACGGTACTCTCCCCATCCACGAGAACAAGAATCCCGCTGACAGAGTATAGCACCAATGTATTAAGAATCTCTCGCACGTCCTCGAAGCAGCCGGCAGTGATATCACCAAAGTGCTCAAAGTGAACGTGTTCCTCTCGGACATGGACAACTTTGCCGACATGAACTCGGTATATATGCAGTACTGGGGGGACGTGAAACCCTGTCGGACGTATGTTCTTTCTTCTTTCTTATGGAGACGAGATGAGACGATACTGACGAGAGTAGATGTGTGGCCGTCAAGACGTTGCCATTGAACACTGACGTGGAAATCGAATGTATCGCCGCGGTCTGATACTCTGATCTAGCATTGCGGCGTTCCTTGATGTCTTACTATCCTTGTATAACAGACATGTAGGGTGGTAGAATGCTCGACGCGTCTTAGAGAATCCATAGCTGTAAATACTCCTTGCAGTCTCCTTGATACTCCGATGATGTCCATCGTCTCCTTGATCTTATCCCTGTGCATCGCATTCCATGACGCTGTCGTTCGACTGTCACGCCACGCGATCATCAATCAAGGGGTGCAGATCTCTCGATCAATAGTAGTTTAAAGGGTCAATACTCCCTTTGAGTCAAATATGTGTCCCTCGATCTCCAGCCCTGGACCTGTCGATACATTCCGATCTCGCGTTGACGCGATGTATCTCGTAGCCCTGGATCGGTCTCTTATATGATTCTTAGACTAAATAGTTCCTGGTAGATGATTTCATGCACTATATTCGATTCTACACAGCACTGGATCCAAGATTGACGTAAACATGGCAAGAAAAGGAGGCTCGTGGACCAAGGTCGTCCTGTTCATCTCCTTGTACGTCTCGCTCTTAGAGTCGCTCATCGAATGGGCTTTGATCCTCTATCTGTATGGTCACCGACAGGTGGACTCGAAGATGACTCCGAGTTTGATTCTGGCTCTGATTGCGGTATTCTCTAGAGTATACATCTATATATGCCATAGATGCTGACTGTATTATAGTCGTTTCTCACCGTACCTCTGGTGGTACTCCATAGCATTCTAGCCTGGCAGTACAATCGTGTCTGCGGATTTGGAAGCCAAAAAGCCATTCTGAACACTGCATGTACGTATCTGCTACGATTGACCATTATCGTCTGGCTGGCTGCCAGTGTTGCCGGTCTCGTGGTGGTCTCGCAGAAAGTCTCCTGTCTCCCGGATACCACCGATATCAACAACAACAACAGTTTCTGGAAAGTCGGCGTCAGTTGCGCTCTTCATCGTGCGGTCGTCATCGTCTCCGTTCTCGCCTTCGTCACGGTGTGTCTGTACTTCTGTTCGCGGGAACTCAGTCCACGTCCGTACGACGTGTCCCTGTGGGGATTCTATATCTGTGGCTATCACGAAGGGAGAAAGGGGAGCACTATTCGATCGAGTTCGACGCTCAGCGACACCCGGAAGAGTGATCTCTTCTTCGGTCGTGTCAATGAGGAGAAAGCATGGCCTATCCAACCCACGCCCATCCACCCACGCCCACATCTATCCAGATCGCTGGACAGCGATCCAACGCACGACGACGACATCCTCTCCGGTTCAACCATCTCTCCCAATGGCACGCTGAGTCGAAGATCCCCAGGGAGAACCAGCCATGAGATGGAAATTGCCTCCATCTCGCTGTCTCGCCCGCTCACCGACGCGCGAATCTATGATCCCTATCTGCAGTGGCCGACCCAAACGACTCCGATCGAGCTGCCGGATGATCGGGATCCCCCGTCGACTCATACAAGACAGAGGTCGAAGTCATCGTCGTCGTCGTCGTCTTCGTCTCTGCGTCGTTTTTTCCCAAAATCATTCCCTCTGTCGCTGCCTCTATCGGCTGATCCGCAGATCCGCGCACTATCCAATCCTCTTCGCGACGTTGGGAAACAAGCTCTGGAATCGAGAAACCTACACCCATCAAATACTAACACTAATAATGTCGAAGAGCCAGATCGAGCAGAACAATGTCGTCGTCTTCCGCGATCCATTACGACGAATTCCGCCGACGCACCGGAAGTCATTCCTCAGCCATCCAACACGTGCACGGCTCCTATCCAGACTCCTATTCAGACTCCCATCCGTACTCCCATCCAGACTGTATACCACCACCCACTAATGCAACACCCATTGAACCGAGAACCAAGCCATCGAGGCTCCGTGGAAGATGAATCCAAATCCAATCGACCGTTAGGTCTCCCCCGTCGTCAAAGCATCCACGGCGATCGAGGGCCAATCGTCCCTTATTTTTCCTCGTCTTCTCAGTCTCACCCTGCGTATCCGCGATATACCCGCAGTCGCAGCCAGCATATCCCGAGTACGGCGCGATGGGGCCTTCGTGGTCGAGGAGAACAAGAGCTGTATCCTCGACGGATGTGGTCGCAGCGTCGGATCGATCAAGATGGTCTGCTCTATCAGTATCAGCATCAACATCCGCGCACGCGGACGCGACGATCGCGAAGCAGTACTTACGGTGCAGGGATGGGATATCTGGATTGCATTCGGGAATCGGGAACGTCGGTGGACGAAGCCAGGGGGGTTTGGTGTTAGGTTTCTTTGTCTGCGGGCAGACAATATAAAACTATAAAAAAGAAGAGAAAGAAGTCATGTATTATTCAATTGTCCTCCATAATGATATCACCAGTCAACGCCATCCATCTAGCTCCAGATCCAGTAAAGAAAGAAAAAGAAGAATCATTTATTCACATACTTATACCGATACCCCTGTTTCCGTCGTCCTTCAACAATATCCTCCGGAACTTCCTTCTCCCCCCACGACCACATCAGAGCCCGACTCATGCGTTCGCGCTCCTTGAGCAGCAGGTCTACCCGTCGTCGCCACTCCTGCTCGCGTTTCTCTACCGACTGCGCAACGCGTCGGTCCACCGCCGCTACTGTCTCGTTCTTGACCGCGATGGCCGATTCGAGCCGCTCGATCTCGGCCCGCAGTGTCTGTCGTTCACCTGCGTGGGTGGCTTGCGACGCGCGCAGCGCCTGCAGCTCCGTCTGCAGCTCCGATTCCCGTCTCTCAGCTGACGCTAGGCGGTCGTGCAGTTGTCGGTGGGAGCTCTCGAGGGCGGAGATCCTCTCCGGTGGCGGCTGGAGACGCTCGGTCTCGCGGGCCTTGCGGAGCTCGTGCTGGGTCTGGTTGAGCTGCGACTGGAGGTCGTCGGCGCGTCGGGCTAGACGCGTATTTTCACCCTCGATGGAGTTGATGAGCGTGTGTGCCTCGGTGGTCTGCTCCTGCGACCGTGTCAGCTGCAGCTCCAGGGCCTTGCGGGCGGACGTGGCGTCGCGCAGCTCGGCCTGCGCCTGGGCCAATTCGTCGTGAAGCGGGTCCAGGTCGCCGGACGCCGGGGGTTTGGCAGCATCGTCGGCGGCGCGGGCGGCACGGGCGGCATGGGCGGGCTGGCCCAGATCCTTGATCAGCTCCAGGATCTCGGAGTAGGTGTTGCCGCCGGTCTCGAGTGACCGGTCGGCGGCCATGGCCTTGAGGGCCTGTTCGTGGGCGGTGACCTGGGATTGTGCACGGGTCAGGTCGGCGGCCAGCGTGCTGTTCTTCTCCAGCGCGACGAAGCGATCCTGCAGCGTCTGGTATTCCTGGTGCGCCTGGTGTAGATCGGACTCGAGTTTCTCGATCTCGCGAGCATGGGTGGCAGCCACAGTCTGCAGTTTCTCGCGGGCCTCGTCCAGCGCAGTCTCGCGCTCTTTCAGTTGGTCCTGTGATCGTGAAAGCTGTTGGCGTAGATGGGCCACGGTCTCACGTTGCTCGCGGTCGGAGGTCGACTGACGACTCTGCAGCTCCTGGTGCATGTCGCTGATCTGGTTCTGCAGGGCCGTGAGCTCGGACGCTCCCAGGGAGGAGCGCTGCAGCAATGTATCCTTCTCCTCGTTCTGTTTCTGTAGCCGGTGGATCTGATCGCGTAGTAGCTTCTCGTCGCTACGCTGGGCCTGCCATTCATCTAGCATGGTAGACTTCCGCTGCAGCTCCGCCTGTAGATGCTTGATCTGTTCAGCGGCAGAGGCAGCCTCCAGGACGCGCCGATGGTTGCGCTGCAGCTGTTCGTCGCGATCTCGCACGGTCTGCTGCAAATCGGAGATCTGACGACGGAGGTCTCCCTGGATCGACGCGGTGCTTAGTCTGCGGACAGACGGTGTTTCTTCCCCTTTCTCCCCCTCCTCTTCTTCTTTTTCCTCCCCCTCTTTTTCCTCCTCTTCGTCGACATTTTCGAGATGGCTCACGTCCTTGGACCGGGGTCGACGCAACAAATGGGAAGGGGTGGAGATATCGATTGGGGGACCGAATTCGCTGTCTTCAGGCACATCTTCGATAGTAGGAGGCGGTTGTTTCTGCGCGTCCGGGATGATCTCTTTCTCAAAGGCCTCGGAATCGTCCTCGCCCAGGAGATAGCGCTCCAAGTTCGCGGTGAAGTCGTCCGGACCACCGACGTCGGACAACGGCTGGGGGGATGGAGGATGGGGAAGATCATCATCGGGAGGAAATTGACTGAAGTCGATAGAGTAGTCGTCCAAACGAGCGTCAATAGATGGAGAGGACATGGCGGGGCCGACAGAATCGTGCGTGGTGGTATTCATGATGAAGATGTTTACACGGGATAGATCGATCTACTGGAATATGGATGGATCCATAGGTATTGAGTATTGTACCATACCATCTGGTACATATAATACAATACAATACCCGATACCATCCTTACTACATACAGCATAGACAAACATAGATGCAATAGTTACAGGTAGATACAACTAACAATCATCATGCCCCCAATTCCCTCCTCGTCCTCCTCCTCCCCCCGCGTCGTCTGTTACCATCAAACCATTCTCCCCTCTGGCGAATATGTCTCGATGCTGCCGTTGGTGCAACGCCCCACGGGGGTCACACACGTCATCCTCGCCGCCTTCCACCTGAACGACGACCCGGACCGGCTGACACTGAACGACGATCCGCCCGACCATCGCATGTACGACACACTGTGGACCGAGGTGCCACAGTTGCAAGCTCAGGGTGTTCGTGTCCTCGGGATGCTGGGAGGCGCGGCGCCGGGCTCATTCCGCCGTCTAGACGGATCCCTGGAGACCTTTGAGCGCTACTACCGACCGTTGCTGGCGACGGTGCGACGACACGGGCTGGACGGGCTGGACCTGGACGTGGAGGAGGAGATGTCACTGGAGGGCATCATCCGGCTGATTGACCGACTGCAGGCCGATCTGGGTGACGGGTTCCTCATCACGCTGGCGCCGGTGGCCGCGGCGTTGCTGGGCCTGGGCAATCTGTCCGGGTTCGACTACCGTGCGCTGGAGCAGCAGCGGGCGGGCAAGATCGCCTGGTACAATGCGCAGTTCTACAACGGATGGGGGGATCCGCGACTGTATGTGGCCATTGTGGCGCAAGGATGGTCGCCGTCGCGCGTGGTGCTGGGATTGTTGACGAACCCGGGCAATGGCTCGCAGGGCTACATACCGGTGGAGATGCTGGGACCGATGCTGGGCCACCTGGTTGTGCAGTTTCCGACCTTTGGGGGAGTCATGGGCTGGGAATACTTCAATGCGCAGCCGGGGGGTCGCTCGAAACCCTGGCAGTGGGCGGCGATGATGATGCTGAGCATGCAATTACGAGAGGTTCTCGTGGGTTTGTCAGAGAGGATCCGAATTAATAGATGATGTATGTATGGCATACTAGCAGGTGAATGCACCAGACAATTAATTCTATGAGTATATGTTTCTTTTAAATTGATAGCAATAGATCTTTATATTTGTACAATGATGCCTGAGGCAAAAGCAGGGTGATTTCCCAAAGAGGATAGCAGATCACATGATCAAATTCAGACAAAAGGAAAGCGGTGAAACAGAGCAGAATACCCTTGATTCTTGCTAAAAGACGTCATCAAATGCATCAAGCGATCAATCGGGATTCATCAATTCGTCGATTATCCCTCTTGATACAGATATATATGGAGAACAAGAGATATGAACTATCCAATGCAAGCACACTGATAGCTAATTAGTGGGCAATTCTATCTCCGTAGCATAATGCTCCAGCTCGTCACCGCGGCCAGTTCGGCCATCGTGCGAATCGGCACCTTCATCTTTCTGCGCTGGGTATCATCGATTTATTCTCTGTATAGCTATAAGATGCTAATACTATATAGATCCCCGGCCATCCGTTTCCTCCGCTCATCTTCACAGCGCTGGCGGTCTATATCACCTCGTTACTCTCGAGTATATCTCTCTGCATTTACCATCCTGCATCTGCCATCTATCTAACATCTACAGAACAACCCCCGCGACGCTCTCGATCAGCTCTTTACACCCTCTTCACCGGCATACCATCGTCTCCCGCTGCCACTCGATTGACCGTCTTGATCAACCTGGTCCTCGGCCTCTTCACCCTCGACTTCCTCCTGCATGGCCTGATCCTCTATCCCTCCACCGACCTCGCCTTCTCGCGCATCGGTTATGTCGAACCCACCTCCGCTCATCTGCTCATCCGCGAACCGGATGCTACCCAGCTGCCTCTGGTCATTTCCTACCGTGAGGAGCAGAAGGGGGACTGGCGGCAAGCCAGCGTCATCGGCGCCCTGAACGAGTCTACCGACTTCACGGCCGCCGTCACTCTGCACGACCTGATGCCCGCCACGGCATATCGCTATGCGCTGTCTAACAATCGCTCCGGCTCCTTCGTCACCGCGCCGCCGTCGGGCTCCTCCAGTCTGGCCTTTGTCACTTCCAGCTGCATGAAGGCCAACTTCCCCTACTCGCCCCGGTCCCATCCGCTGCGCATTCCCGGCTTGGAGACCATGACCACCACCCTGGCCCAGCTGCCCGCGGCCGCCCGGCCTGCCTTCATGCTGTTCCTGGGCGACTTCATCTACATCGACGTGCCGCAGCGCTTCGGCTCCTCCGTCTCGCACTACCGCAGCGAGTACCGTCGCGTCTACGCGTCGCCCTCGTGGGCCACCCTCGGCGCGGATAACCAGCCGGCTCTCGACCTGCCCTGGATCCATACCCTGGACGACCACGAGATCGCCAACGACTGGTCCCGGGGCAACCTCACCGCACCGTATCCCGCCGCCGCCGACCCCTACCGTCACTACCACGTCAGTGTCAACCCGCCGCGGGCTCAGGATGCCTTCGCCGCCTCGGAGAACGTCACCTACTTCTCCTTCGTACGCGGTCCCGCCTCGTTCTTCCTGTTGGACACGCGCACCTACCGCTCGACGCCCGGCAAGTCCAACTCCTCCATCCTCGGCGCCGCCCAGCGCCAGTCGCTGCTGGCCTACCTGGCGCGTCCCGAGCCCCACGGCGTGCACTGGAAGTTCGTCGCCTCCAGCGTGCCCTTCACGAAGAACTGGCACGTTGGCACCTCCGACACCTGGGGCGGCTTCCTGAACGAACGCCAGATCATCTTCGACGCCATGTGGCGCGCCGAGCGGGACCTGGGCGTGCGCGTCGTCCTGCTCAGCGGTGATCGGCATGAATTCGGCGCCACCCGATTTCCGGATCCAGCATCTCGTGGGGTTGACAGTCTAGACCAGAAGGCAGAAGACGTAGGAAGAGAAGGAAATGGCCTCCACGAATTCAGCGTCGGCCCCCTGAGCATGTTCTACCTTCCCATCCGCACCTACCGCCAGACCGACGAGGAGGATGTCGCCATCAAATACCTCGCAGACGGCAATGTCAAGTACGGAGTCATCGACATTGACCGCCACGACGACGCTTCCGTCCTCACCTACTCGCTGTACATCAATGATGCCCTCGTCTGGCAATACTGTCTGACGGTGCCGTTGTCCGGGTCGACGCTCCCACCGGGACAGGTCCTCTTGGATTCTTCCTCCTCGACGTGGAGTTCTCTTCAAACGATGTTGGGAAGGATGGAGGAGATGGCGGGACGGTTGCGTCGGCGGTTCATGCGGACTTATTCTGCTTGGAATTCAAGACCTTGATTGATCTGTATGAGTACTAGACTGTATCCTGATTGATGTATGTACTTATCTATCAGTTAGACGGAGCCATAGAAAAGTTCGAGTAGACTGTACATTGAAACTAATTGGCATTCATAGCAACGTAGAGTAAAATAGGCCAAGGAAAATGAAAGGAAGAAAAAACCAACGCCATCAATGCTAGACCGTTCAAAATCAACGATACCAATCAAATGCATCATCGTCGTCCCCCCATCAGTCCACTCATCTGGCTCATCATCCCCTGAAGATCCATCCCTCCCAGTCCCGGCAATCCGCCGTTTCCGCCTTGTCCCTGCAGCATCTGCATCATCTTGGCCATATCCCCCATGCCCGGCATGCCGCCAGCACCACTGGCACCGCCCATGGCGGCCATGCGTTTCTGCATGGCCGCCAGCTGCTGCTCCTTGTTCCCGCCCTTGAGCATGTTCTGGGCCCGCTGCATCTGCTTCTTCTGGCCGCCCACGCGCTTCGCCATCCCCGCCATCATCCGATGTTGCGACAGAAGATCCTCTACCTCGCGCACCGTTGTGCCGCTGCCGCAGGCGATGCGCACCATGCGGCGCGGCTGCTCGACGAATACCTTTCCGTCGCCGTCCAGCTCCTTGGCCGTCATGCTGTCGAAGATGTAGATCATGCGGCGCAGCTTGAGCGACCCGTCTTCGTCGTCCAGCCCCGCCGTCAGGTTCGACAGGCCCGGGATCATCCCCGACAGCTTCGACAGCGGGCCCATCTTCATGATCGACGTGATGTTCTCACGGAAATCCCGCAGCGTGTAGATGCCCTCCGCGATGTGCTTGTACGTCTCCTTGGCCGACGCCGAGTCCTTGGTCACCGCTTGGACGTGCTCCACCAGTCCCGCCATATCGCCCATGCCCAGCAACTTCTGGATGAACGCCTTGGGCTCGAACCGCTCGAGGTCCATCATGTGTTCACCCGTGCCCAGGAAGATGATGGGGGTGTGTGTGGCAGCCACAGCCGAGATCGCCCCGCCGCCCGCCGCATGCCCGTCCGTCTTGGTGATGATGATCGCCCCGAAGTCCGCCGTCGCCTTGAACGCCGACGACTGCGCCTCGGCGGCTTGGCCGATCGTGCTGTCGAGGACCAGGATGGTCTGGTCCGGCGTGACGGCAGTCTGGATCTGCGTCATCTCCGTGAATAGCTCTGCCTCTTGCTTGTGGCGACCGCTGGTGTCCACGATGATCACCTCGAACCGCTCCTTCTTGAACTTGGTGACACCCTCCGCCGCCACGACGGCCGGGTCGGTCTGCGTCAGACTGCCGTAGTATGGGATCTTGGCCTTGGTCGCGTTCTGCTTCAACTGGTCGAAGGCACCGGCGCGGAAGGTATCGGCGCACACCAGCGCCGTCTTGAACCCCCGCATCTGATAATGCCGCGCCAGCTTGGTACACGTGGTGGTTTTACCGGCACCCTGCAAGCCCACGAACATGATGACATTGGACCGACCCTTCTTGGGCCGGAACGGCTCCGCATGCGGGTTGACGAGGGCGACGAGTTCATCGAAGACGGTCTTCTGGATCAGACGTTTCTTATTGACGGCGGATGGCAACGACGAGAAATTGACGCTGGACTTGATGGATTTCCGCAGCGACTGCACCAGGCGGACGTTGACGTCGGCCGAGAGAAGCGCCGCGCAGATTTCCTTTAACATATCATCGAACGCCTGGGCAGATGTCAGTGTCAGCATAAAGTCGAGAAGGGATAGTCAGAAACCACCTTCTCGTCCAGATTACTGGACCGGGTCAAATCATTGACGGCGGCATTGATGCGTCGCCCTAGATCCTGGAGGACCATGATGGACTAGGATATAATAAGGACGCACAGGAGAAAGAGTCGTCTTGGAGCTGATGAGACGAGGGAGACGAGGAAGAACAGTTGAGAAGAGGCGAGAGACACTCAAAGCCAGATTGGATATGCGGAGAGACACTGGCCAATCAGCGGCGGATATGGTGTTTCCGCCTTCGGCAGAAAGAATTCAATAATAAAAAAGAAAAAACTCTAGAAAATATCAAGAAAGGCAAGGAACAAAACAACTTCAACATCAGATTTTTATAAAGTTCAGCTACATCACATTTTAAGGCAGCGTCAGAATGCCCCCCTCCGTGTCCAAAAAGCGCAAGGTGTTGGATGGCCTCAAACCTGGCCACTCCAAGAAGTTCAAGAAGCAGCGCGACTATCACAGCAGCTCCGACGAGGCCGAGGGTGATGCCGATTTCCAGGCCGTCAATCTGGCCGATTCGGATTCCGACGATGCGGCGGCGACGGCGACGGTCCCGAAGAAGCAGAAGCCCACCAAGTCCAAGTCGATAGGCTCGAACGGGCCGAAAAAGGAAGCCAGCGATGAAAGCTCCGTTCCCAGCGAGGACGAGGGCGAGAGTGAGGATGATGCCTCAGGAGCATCCAACGAGTCGGACGACGATGCCGACTCCGATATCTCCATGTCGGCCGGCCGCAGAACCGTCCCCAAGCGAAACGATCCCGCCGCCTTTTCGACCTCGATCTCGAAGATTCTCGCCACGAAACTTCCCACCGCCGCTCGAGCAGACCCCGTGCTGTCGCGCAGTAAATCAGCTCAGCAGTCTAGCACCGAGATTGCCGAAGAGAAGCTCGATCGACAGGCACGGGCGCAACTCCGGGCCGAAAAGAAGGAGGAGTTGGATCGCGGTCGAGTCCGCGACGTCCTGGGGATTGAACGAGGCCAGACGGGTGCCGTCGCTGAGGAAGAGAAGCGTCTGCGCAAGACTGCCCAGAGGGGTGTGGTGAAGCTGTTCAACGCCGTTCGAGCAGCGCAGGTGCGTGGAGAAGCGGCTGTGAGGGAGGAACGACAGAAGGGAACCATCGGCATCGGGGAGCGCGAGAGGGCCGTGAACGAGGTCAGCAAGCAGGGCTTCTTAGAACTTATCAATGGGAAGAAGGGGAAGCCGCTGAATATCGAAGAGGCATGAGGTCGAATCGCTACATGGCTAGGCATTGATATGGCGTTATGGGATTTCTTTTTTTTAACTCTTTTTTCTTTTCTTTTACAACCTGTACATGTGGATCAATAGTCGCTATTTACAAGTTCTGCCGAATAGAATGGAGATGAGAATACCCAATACATAGTCGTTCCCCTATATCCCCTATCATACATGTCCCAATCCCATCTATTTCTGCTCAAAGTCGCTCGCCTGCAGGTTCCGAGTCATCGAAGGCAGCCGAACCACCAACCCATTGAGGTCCTTGTTCATCACCACCTGACACCCCAGGCGAGAGGTCTCCGTTAGTCCGAAAGCCAAATCCAGCATGTCGTTCTCATCATCCGACGGTTCTTCCATCTTGTCGAACATGTCGGGGTCTTCCACGATGACGTGACACGTCGAACAGGCGCATGAACCGCCACAGGCTCCTGACTCAGAAAGTAGCCGTCAGTAATCACATCCTCGATCGCGTCTGATTGTCTGTAGGCGTTTCAAACCTTCCATCTCTAGATCATTAGCCTGCGCAATGTCCAACAAATTGTCCCCCTCGGAGACTTGCAAGTCGACCTTTTCGCCGTCCTTGTCAATAAACGAGACATTAATCCTGGTTGTGATCAGTGGAGTTCACGCCAATTCCCTATGCTATTTCCTCGTATTGAACGATTGAATGACTCACTCTTCACCGGGCTTGGGAGGAGTGATATGACCGTGACGAACTCCCGCCGTTGCGGAAAAGCTTCGTCGTGTCGCTCTCAACCCCTGGAATGACCATCGTGCTCTCACGGCCCACGAAGGGCTATTTCGATCGCGCAGAGTCCGGGAGGAGGAGCTGAGAAACCGCATCGATGGTGTATGAGAGAAGCGATCTCCGGGGACAGTCCGGGGTATGGAATGCCGCAGATTCCAACACGCTTCCCTCCACAACGACATCATGCCCAGAACGAAAAAAGTAAAAAAGAAAACTAACCAGAATGAGAGACGATAGGATAAGACGGAAAGCGAGAGGCAGAGAGGGCAGCGAGGTAGAGAGAGAAAAAAAGAGAGAGGGAGAGGATCGGAGAAAAGCCCAAAGGCGGCAAACCCGGACAATTAAACCAACACTTTTTTTCTCCTCTACTTTCTTTCTTCTGCTACCCCCGACTCTTCGCAACAACACCGGAGATCGAAAGAAACGAAAGACAAGCAGAAACACAGACAGACAGACACACACACCTTCACCATGTCCTCACAAGGGCCCAATCCCCTGCGCCCGTACTATATCCCGCCAGCCATGGGACTGGAGGTCACCCACGCCACGTCCCCTCCAGATGCGTCATCGGCCCAGGTGTTTGGCAGTTCGGCGCGCGATCTGCTGCCGGATCTGGATTACTCGGATTATTTGGACAATTCGCCGTCCATCTCTAGCTGGCTGAGGGATGCCTTGGACCGGTCCATCTGGCGCTACACCAGCGTCTTGTCTGCGCAGCCTTTCGACGTCGCTAAGACCATCCTGCAGACCTACGTTGTCCCCGATGCCTCGGAGGGTCATTGGCCGAAGGATGAGCGACGGAGATCAGGGGCCAGTGCCCGGGGGAATCCGTATGATAGCAGTGGTGACGGGGAGGACAGCGAGGACGATGTATGTGAACACACTGGAGTCTGCGGGAAGGGGGAAAAAAAAAAAAAGAAGCAAGCAGCTAGCTAACCGTGTCGCACCATCGATTGACAGGAGTCTCTCTCGGACGATGAGAGCAGTTATTTCACATCCGCTGCGCCGGCGGAATCTTCACCATTGAATTCACGGTCTCGAAGGCCTCGACGCCATATCACCGACCGCAGCGGCTATATCCCATCGTCGACGCCCTCACCCCGACACGCCTTGACGATCAAGAACCCGTCCTCCTTGATGGACGTGCTGTCCCAGCTGTGGACGACCAGCGGAGCGACCTCGCCATGGAAGGCCACCAATGCGACCTTTATCTACTCTCTGCTGCTTCCCACCCTGAACACCTTCATCCGGAGTCTTCTGTCCGCCATTGTGGGATTGCCCGAGGAGGATATCTCGTCCTCCATGGCGACCGACATCCTCATGTCGACATCCCCGCTCGCCACACTGCTTCTGTCCTTCATCTCGACCTCCCTGTCGGCGATTCTGCTATCGCCCATTGATACCGCGCGTACATTCCTCATCCTCACACCCGTCACCCACGGGCCCCGCTCGCTGCTGCGGGCCATTCGACAGATCCCGACCCCCAACTGCACAGTCCCTCCTCACCTGGTCCCCATCACCATCCTCCACTCGAGTCTGCCGAATTTCATCACCACGACTACCCCGCTGGTCCTGAAATCGTACCTGTCGCTCGATCCAGTCCTGAACCCGTCCATGTGGAGTCTGTTCACCTTCCTGGGCTCCGGTCTCGAGCTGGCCGTTCGGTTCCCGCTGGAGACCGTCTTGCGCCGTGCCCAGATCGCCACCTTCACCTCCCCCAGCATCCGACAGCAATGTGCCGGCACACCGCGTGCCTCCTCCCTGACGCCTCCTTCCGAGGTCGAGACCATCGTCCCGACCCCGCGGACCTACCGCGGCATCGTAGGCACCATGTGGGGAATTGTTTACGAGGAAGGCTCACTGGTACCATCGGAGGCGGAACGAGCACAGGAGGTGCTCAAGAAACCCCTGGCGCTGCGCAAACGACATGGCCAGGGCATCCAAGGTCTCTATCGTGGCTGGAGAATCGGCATGTGGGGGATCGCGGGGATCTGGGGGGCCAGTCTCCTGGGAAATGCAGGTAATGGGGACGAAGAGATGATGACGGTGAGGAGATTTTAATCTGCCATCTTTTCGAATAGTCTCTTCTACCTCTATCTCCACCTCGACCTGGATCATTCTGATGAACCATTTTGATGGTTTGCACATGTTCTTTCCACCCCCCTCCCCTCTTTTGTGTATCTTAATATCATCTATCTATTATTTACGTTAGCACGGTGATCTATGATCGTGATCATCCTTTGGAGCAGTGGAGTGATGGCATGGCGTTGGAGTTATCTTGTCTGTACATATTATATTCCCCGAACAGTTAGCGAATCTCCTTTCTTTTATCTCAATCGATATCATTTTCAGTTCTACTTCTAGTTTCGTTCATCATTATTTCTTGTCCATGTATGACATCCGGAATGAAATGAAATAAAAAGTTTCCATTCCCGAAGTCACATCCCGTATATAGATAAGTAGATCAAACGTACATCAGTCCATGATCGAATCGCCAGTTTAAGAAAGCAAAAAGAACCTCCAGCCTGTCTATCCATCATGATCCATATCCGGCACTTTGTACTCAGCGTAGAGAGATTGATCTACCGGTAGCTTTTCGCATCGTAATAATAAGAACGACTGTTAAAGAGAGTAAAAGAGAAGAGAGAGAGATCATACGGATCATTCAAAGCAGTAAAAGTCATGCAGGAACGCCTGTCGTACCCGTCTATGTAAAGGGATAGGATCCACGTCTTTCATCTCCACTTCTGCTATTTTTATTTTATTATTGTTTCTCCCCGACGATCGGATGGAATCAAAAGATCCTAGACGAATAAACAGACGCTCCTAAGGAGAGATATAAAAAAGTGAGTCCTTGATCCAATCCAAGGAATATAATACAAACTCAGACTTTGAGTCAGGTTTGGGTATCATCGTAAAAAACATAAGAAAATCAACATCGCTCAAGACATCAATACCACCTTTTATTTGTCGGCGAAACGCCGGTCAAAGTACCGCAACACCCCCATGACGCTGGCCGCCTCGACTTCCAGCGCAGCGCGCGCATTGGCCGGGGCAACCTCTTGGGGATTCGGTAACGTATGGAGTTTGGGCAGCCACGCTGAAATTTCATCACTGGCACGCGAGAAGTTCGGGTGTCGGGACAATGTTGTGAACGCATCAGCACACGACAGAGTCAGTGATGGCGTCTTGGACGAAGTAGCAGTGTTGGAGTTGGAATTGGAATTGGGATTGCCCGTGGAGCCGGTCCGGGGAGGATTCGGGTTCCGGGACTGGCAGCAGCCTCCATCGGCACCTTTACCGCCGCAACATCCTGAGGAGGCGGCGCTGGCGGAGCGGGACGCCGCCAGCGTTTTGCAAAAAAGCGTACTCCTCGGGTCGGCCTGACATTGCGCGCAGGTGCCGGGTCCGTTGGCACAGGGATTGGTGGCCTGGCTGATCGGAGGGAGGATCATCTCCGAGCGCACATCGCCGTCCGATGGGGGCGGCGTGAACTGTGACAGGTTCTGGATGGGGGCGAGTCTGTTGTTTTCAAACGAGTTTCGTCGTCCCCGCTGCTCCTCCTGGGCCGCCATCTCGGCACAGATACATGGCGTGCCGTCCTGACAGAACCCGCAGGGGTCGACCGCGGGGGATGAAACGTTGGTGGTCGTGTCTGCGGGGGCCTGGGGAGCGGCAAACCGGGTCGTGAAATCGATCTCCATTTCCTCCGGATCCGGCTTAATCTCGGGCTCTGCGCGATTTTGTCTTGATGTACTCGGTCGCTTCGAATTCTGGGTCTCGATCCCAGGCATGGCAAACGCGTCCTCGATGCACTGGCAGTGAGTCGAGGAGCAGTTGCTGCATCCCAGGGGCACTTCCTCCCGCTCCCCGTTGGCGTGGTCGCCGCCGTTGTTCGACGCGGCTCTCTCATTTGCGTCACGGTCGGCCGAGGACACACGAGCGGCCGGACGAGCCTTGTCGTTCGATGCATTCTTGTCCGACGTCGAGGACCGGAACTCCCGTACCAGCGCCTCCTTGGCACCCCTCTCGACCGCAACCTCCTTCTCGAGGGCATGGCAGCGAGTTCGCCACCAGGAGATCTCATGGCGACATTGCTCGACCTCGCGTGACAGGTTGGAAATCTGCTCTTTCAGGGCCAGCACCTGGATCTCATGCTCGTCTTCGATCTGTTTCATCTGTTCCTCGAGCTCGTTGACGCGAGCCGCCCGTCGTTCGCGAAAGGCTCTCTGTGCGGCTCGATTCTGCGCTTTTCGCTTCGTCGGCGGCGTATCGGTTGCCGGCTTGCGACCGGGCTTGGGACGCGGTGGGATCACCCATTCTTTGGAGGTGACTGATCCGGGGGTGCCTGGTCCGGGAGAGGGTGAAATGGCAGGCTTGGCGGCCAATGCGGGAGCCAACGGGGCGACCGAGGGAGGTAGCGCAGGTGCTATCGAAGGAGTGGGCTGAGAGGCCATTATAAAGAACTAAATCAATGCGCGAGATCCTCTCGTTCGGAGAGGAGGTCTGTGGTGTGATCAGCGGTCATGTCATGTCAGATGTGGTGGTGGTAGAAGAGACAGAAGAAGAGTCAACGGAGGACGGACCAAGAGGTGGTGTCACTTGATCCTTTCGGAAGAGCGGATGTGCGCTCGCTCAGGTAAGCGAGGGATCACGCAGATCCAATTAACGAATTAATCAGTCAACTAAGGAAAGAATGCTGCTCGAGTGCAATTGGACATCTATGGGAAGCTTAATAGGAGCTGAAAGAGATGGAAGCGTGGGAAAAGAAGAGGTAGGATGGTGGACTGGTTGATAGGGAGAAGGAAAACGGAAGCCGAGGAGAGCAGAGAGGGGGAAAACATAAAATAAAATAGAGAGAAAATAAGAGGGAGGGAGAGATGATCAGATTAGATTATCGTGCGCTCCCGACTTCGGAGGAAAGTGGGGTGGGCTGCGTCCGCCGGCGGCTCTCATTCGTCAACCCACAGTGGCTGCGGGTTATCAATCAGTTACAAGTTTAGGGCTTGGGGTTAACCCTATAGGTTCTACTGAATTTGACACTGGTGACAGGGTATATAGGGCTGGGTGAGCTACTACCAATCCTACTCCAGCTACATATATACATGCATATATATGTCTAACAATAGAAGGGATTCAGGGAAGACCAGCTGCTGATGATGACTGAACGTGGCTACGCTCAGTACCCACGGGATAGAAAATTTGGTATGTGGGTACCGTAATTGTCTCTGCCGCGTTGGCCGCGTTTTACCTACAAATAGTTGTGGAACAGTGGAAGTTGAGTCCTACATGATTTGAACATGAAATGTACTAGAAAAGTAGAATTCTCTCCACCTGATCTTATCTGATCCCACCTTTTCCTCTTTCGGAGGTCCATCCCATCCAGAGCAGAAAACTCTGCTTTCTCTGACTAATTTCTTCGATGGAGTTGAGCTAGGCCATTGCCGGTGAGCGGAATTAATAGGCGAAATGCGGACTGACCGACTTTTGATACGGCAGCCGGGTAATGCTAGAAAAAGAGTCGGGTTAAACCTACAAGTCGAGGGATCTCATTAGTCATTGGAGCAGAGTAGTTAGGTAGAGTGTCAGTTGATCTGTCTGCGTAGTGCTAGTGATATTCAGCATGAATCTATAGCCTCCTTAATTTACCTACATAGGCCTATTATCGAGCCAGTTAGGTTTCACCACGGCGTCGTAGCTGGCCATGCATGCATTCCAGCCCGTCCAGATGCCCATGGACCAGTGAGATGTCCACTCTAGAGAGAATGAGTCATGACGTAGCGAGTCTCCTGTGCACTGCAGTTCTGTGAGTAGCAGAACTGTCGGTCAAGTCAAACTCAACACCACCGCAGAATATGATCGATCACTTTAGTCTCCCAGGCCAACTGTTCGACAGTAGACTGATCTGCCAAGGGTGCCGTTCCTTTTAAGCCCTGCAATTCCACAGCATATCTGAAGAAACCCGTCATTCCTCCTCATCTGTCGACAGTGATCCTCGTGGCTTCCCGCGAACAGAGACCATGAAACACAAATATCTGGATCGTTTCCTGAACCACGTCTTGCCTAAAGAGCAACATCATCACCACTATCAACATTGTCAGAATTGTACCGCCAATGGTGAGACTAATCAAGGGACACACCATTCCCAAGAACAGCAGCAGCATGGATCTACCCCGGGTGAGTGAGCCATCCCTTGCTATCCCAGCGATATGTTACGTCGATCTGCCGAATTCCAGACGTCTTCTGGCTTATCGGACTTGCCCTTTTATGTAGTCCTATAAATGTTTCCCAAAATGCTCATCAGACACCTGTCTCTTTTCTTGTTCGCAGTTCCAAGCACAGGTCAACATGAATCACCGAATGCATCAGTACAGTCTGAACCACAGAGAGTCTTCGCTCACTTCCTCGTAAGAAAAATGACCCAGTCAGCCAGCTGCATCCTAACAACCTAGGTCGGCAACGCATACTCGATGACTCCCCAGCACTGGGAGACGGATATCATTGAGGCGCAAAAAGCGCACATCGACGGGTTTGCGCTGAACGTGGCCCCTCAGGACGACTACACCGACCGAGTCCTCCAGACGGCGTACGACGCAGCGGAAAGAATAGGCGACTTTTCCTTGTTCATTTCGTTCGACTATGGATCCGGGGGCCCGTGGCCTGCAGAGAGAGTGATTGCCCTCATCAATGTCTACAAAAATCGCAAGGCGCAATTCCACTACCACGGGAAGCCCTTGGTGTCGACCTTTGAAGGCGCCGGGAATGTCGGCGACTGGCCGAGAATCAAGAGCGAAACGGCTTGTACCTTCATCCCCAACTGGACCAGTATGGGTCCAGATGGAATTCGGAGTGTTCTGGACGATATTGACGGCGCGTTCAGCTGGGATGCATGGCCCGTTGGAGCGGAGGATAAATCTACCTCCAGTGACCTGGCGTGGATGGATGCCCTGGCAGGAAAGCCGTATATGATGCCTGTCGCACCCTGGTTCTATACGAATCTTCCTCAGTGGAAGAAGAACTGGCTCTGGCGTGGTGACGACATGTGGCACTATCGATGGCAGCAGGTTACTGAGCTGCAGCCCCTCTGGTCCAGGTACGATGACGCCGTATACCTCATATCCGTACCCGTACCCTTTCGAGGACTCTAATCTCTGGCTTAGATCCTCAGTTGGAACGACTACGGCGAAACGCACTACATCGGACCGATATATGAGGCCGGGATCCCCGACGGAGCGGCGCGATACGTTCAGAATCATCCGCACGATGCGTGGCGAGAACTCCTGCCTCATTACATTGACTCCTACCGGCGGAATCTGATGAACCCGCACAGTCACAGTCAATACCGGTCCGCGCCTGCGGGTTTCCACAATCCACGGTATCCCATCTCCTTCGTCGACAAGATCGTCTACTGGTATCGATTGAATCCCAGTTCCTCCGGGAGTGCCGACGGCACGACGGGCAATAACCAGGCCATGGGACAGAAGATCCTGGATCCGGGACAAGTATCCCAGGATCGGGTGTTTTTCAGCGCGCTGGTTACGCAGTCCAGCGAAGTCTACGTCCGGATCGGAGCTGGATCGCCGACGTTCTTTTGTGCGAACTCCCCGGGTATTCATCACTTCTCAGTGCCGTTCTATGGACAGACTGGTCCGGTCCAGTTCGGTATCAAGCGGGATAGCCAGGATGTCGTAACAGTACATGGGCCTCCGATTACGGAGTGTGTTGGTGGTATAGTCGATTGGAATGCTGTAGTGGGTTCAAGCCAGGACTAACCCGCATGGCATTTACTAAACACTCCGAGTATAATTTATAAAGATACTAGAAGAATTTTATAATACTCTAACAAGCATCACTGTTGAATAGTCACCAGTTATAAATCTTAAAGGAGACACTATATCTATCCTTAGAATAAATTACTCCCTCTTCGGACCAACCTTCCCAACCTTACACAATCCCCAAGCCCCGACCCCAGACGCAGCCACCATCAGTCCAAAACAAGCCCAAAATACAGCCCGATAGCCGACCATCAGAGCTTCGGAAGAACTTTTGTTCTGGTACGAAGACCCCTGCGTCAAGGTGCTCGAGATGATGGCGAAATGGTGAGTCTAACAAAGGCACCGAACTGCGTGACGGTGTTGAACACAGCCCCCGCGAGACCTTGCATCATGGTGGTGAATGAGTCGGCAATGATCAAGTTGGCGACGGTAAAAATCACTATAGAACAATATTAGCAGATAGGTTATTTACAGTCAAGTGGGAAAAATAGCGATACCATCTGCCGAAAGGGGCCCTAATAACATGGCCCAAAAGGCACAATGCCACCACGGCCATTTCAGATTGATAATTGCCATCGACAACGGGGATACCGCGCTCAGAGCCGTGGTGACTAAGATGAGATGGTTGGCATGAAAGCGATGGATCATGAGTCCCGTCGCAAGATTGAGGACCATGCCAATGAGGACACTGGGTAGGAATCGAATGGCTGCCTGGATGGCAGAGAGATGTTGAATGTTTTAGAAACTATGTTTTTGTCAACGATGACGACGTCCATACTGGCCTGAGTAGACTCACGAGACTCAGGATGGTCTCGGCGCCGTTCAAAACAGCCCAGGAAAGGAGAATCACCACACAGATCGTAGCGAACCCCGTCTTCTTCCACAAGGAGTTGGGAATCAATGCGGACTTGCCTGCTTTCTGTCGCCAGCGCGTCCAGCCCAGAAATGAAGGGATCACCGCAGCGGCAGCGCAGAGCAAGACAATGTTTTGGGCATGTTGAATCCTAGATGGATTATCGGTGATGACTCTGCCTTTTGTTTAACATATAATGGTTCTTGACAGTAGGAAGGCACTTACGCAAACCCATAGGAGATAATCCCCAAGCAAGAGCTAGAGAGAAGGATTTCAATCCAGTCAGTCTCCGTCTGGAGTCTGCGAATCGTGACCGGTTCGCGTGGCTTGTCCTTTGGCAGCTTGGAGAAGTTCACGACCACTGTGATGCCCGCACACAGGTAGTATCCAAATCTCCATCCCAGAGGAAATTCTTGGCATAGCCCTCCAAACACAAAGTCAACCGAGAATCCAAAGGGCTGACCGAGTCCCAGACAGGCAAATCCAATATTCGCCGTTTGCCACTGGCATCGAGTCAGTTAAGATACGGAACGCAGTGCGCAGACACATGGAAGTTGCCATGCCTTGAAAGGTACGAAATAGAATCAGCTGGATACCGGTCTGAGCCACGCTGCAGGCCAGGATCGATACTCCTAGCAGCAGAGAGCCGACGAGGTTGACCATTCAGTTTCCAATAAAATCAGTCAAAAACCTACCAATAGCAAGCAGCATCCATTGGCAAGACTAGAATTAGAATGACTTAGTTGGTCCTCAATGAGGCAGGGTCAAAAGGACTCACGGGTAAAACGAGGCCGGCGTAAGATCCAGTAAATAAACATGTCAGGATAATCGGTTCGTGTCCACCGATCAGATTGCTCTCACAAGAGAAATAAATTGTCTGGAAGATGGAGATCCCATCGCAATCTAAGCAGACTGGTCGTCAACAGACCACCGCTCATGCTGCCTACGAACGTGATACCGGTCAGCGTGGCAGCTAGAATGACCGCCCAGCTTCGAGAAAGGCCTGCATCCTAAGCTTCGTAGGTGCTCTCGACGGATATCTGATCTCGCGTCAGCTGAATGCTGGTTCGTTTGATTCTCCCAAAGCTGAACAGTACCGGTGCAGCGTGGTGTGTATCATTCACGTCTAAGTTTGCTGTAGGTGTCTTAGTGTGGACACTGGCCATTTATCGATTATACTGCTTTACACCACGGTAACGAATACAACTGATGCGAGAGAATGTGACTTGACTGTAAATAGTGTGAATTATTCCTCTGGGTGTTTCCCAACAAGTCGTGTATCTTACTATTTACTAGTACTAAGTTAACCGATTGGTTGAGAAACGAGAGACTAAATGGAGCCAAAAGATCAAATTAGAATTATTAAGATAGATTAAACAAGATAGAATAAACTTATAAATAACCGAAATGTCTCAAACCTTCAGTCGTTGCAACAGCATCCTCAACATCCAATTCTTTCGCCCCGTGACTCCTTCCAGGTCTTCCAACTCCCTCCAAAGAGCACCATATAGCTCCCGCACAACACTCAAAGTATACTCCAAACTCCCCTTCTGACGCAGTTTATCCAAAATCCATTGCTTAACCTCGTAAGTAAAATGGCCGCTGCGCTTGCGCTGTTCAAAGATGCTTTCGAGCTCAGGGTCCCCTTCCTGCAGAGCATGAATGACGGAGAATGAAATCTTGCCCTCGTCGAAGTCATCACAGAAACCTTTGTTATTAGTGTACTGCTCCATGTGTTTGTCAGCCTAGTTGGAGATTTGGTTCACGGAATGGAGAGTACCTCGGGGGCTACTAGGTTTTGGTAGTCATCTCTCAATTGAAAATGCCTGCCTAGTAAGGTAATGAATTTGGAGATGTCCAAGGTCCTAGAACTAAATTAGTATATAATGTTCAAAAACGAAGAAGAAGAAGATGGGATGGAGAACATGTCCACACCTATGTGTCGTTGCTTCAGACTGCAGAAGCCGAGCAGCCATTCGGAATAGACCGGTTGTTTCTGAAGCATACGTTAGACCGAGTCGAACTTTAATCAAGTGATACGAACTCCCATCAATCATCCTTATATGATCCACCTCGGAGGGGACAATGGTGTGGTAAGTCCAATAGAGCTCCTGAGCCTGGCCCAGATGCAACCTCTGGAGCTCCTCTTCAATCCCGTTAGCTTGCATAGAACATCTGGGTGTACAAACCCACCGATGTAAATAGGGACCGCCTCGGGGGACAGAGAGTAGATCTTTTGAAGTGCATCCATGCAGAGAAAATATGCCGAGTTCATCGTTTGTGCTGACCCGTATATGACATGGGTGGCTGGCATGCCCCGTCGTAACTGAGATTGGTCCTGGATGTCGTCCAACCTGGCGAATGTTAGTCTTGCCTGTCGGAGGAGTTAGACTAGGCAATTTCACCCTTACATGAGAGAGGAACTGTGGAGGAGTCCCACGGCACTTTCAATGGTTTGCACGGTTTTCTCTGATGCCTGATACCACTGATTCAATGACCGAATCAACTTCTCTCTCAGACGTTTTGAAGGCAATGACATGATATAGTTGGATGGATTTTTGATCACCTGTTAGAGATAGTGAGATGTTGATTTTATTTTTGTTTTTTGTAATTTGATCGTCGATATGCCTACCTTTTCATCCAATGGCGCCAGACTTTCGTCACTGTAGACCGTCAAGTCCTCGGGGCACGTATCTGTAAGGTAGGCCTATAATTAGACTGTTTAAAGATCACTAAAAAGCACCCAAGCACACATACTTGCTTTCCTGCCAGTATGTCCGATATATGTATCGTCCTTGTTGACCCCGTTGGGTTGGAGATGGCCGTTCATCCCAGTATCTTCTACTTCCTTTCTGACCTGAAACCCAACAAAAGTCTCGAGTCTCGTGCAATCATCGGGGAAGGCATATCCTTGCCCATACCTCATCATGTAGTAGTCAACATATTGATTGCTAGACTTTTTGTGGTAGCGTGGACAAGTCAGGCTCCAGATCAAATTCCCAGCAACCATGTGCTCCATGATTTCCAGCCATCGCGTGGTCGCTGGCGGGGGATCTCTGCTTAAAAACTCCTCTTTGGCCAGCAAGTATTTCTCCTCCTTTTCGATGGCTTTCGCTTTAATAGCCGCCTTTGCGTCCTCCAGGGATAGAGAATACCACTTCATGTAGAGAGTAACAGCATTCGCCATAGGCAACTTATCCTCCGAGGAGTGGTAGAAGGCGTCTTCTTTTTCCCACGAGTAATAGTCATTATGAAGCGTTAAAACCTCCATGATAAGTTGCGTCAGCGGCAATACCAGTTCGTCCTCTTCTTCAGTTAGGTCAAGCTTGTATGCGAAACGAGCCATCGCGAATGCCCATCTGATATCTGCTTTAGCCATGGAAGCATCTTGAGGGGAAGATGAACTGTATCTCTTACTGGCAACCCCGTATGTAGTAGCAGAGACTAAGGAATCTCTGCAGGCTGTCGCATTGCTGGGCCTCCACCTCCACAAATTCTTTCTCAGAACGCTTCCAGTTCTCCCACTGCTGGATGAACTTGGGACCAAGCGTGCCGTCGATTTCTACCAATTTATACATGGTCTTGGCAATTACCTGTTCGTTGCGTCCCTCGTTCAGCCATTCTGGGGCATAGCTGCCAGTTCTGAGAGCCTCGTCTCGAGCGTCGCTTTCCGACGTATATTTTTTCTTCCATTGTTAGCGCTGGAGACCACACACATTAGGTCAAGGGTCAGACGTACCGTCTGGATAGTCTCCTTGTAATCCACATCTACAGAGTGTATCTAGACTTTAGCCTAGAGTACCATGTTTTGGGGGTTCATGTGCATACCGTCGTGGACAAAGGCAAAGTCTACCAAATACGAAGCCAGGGCCAGTCGGTCAGGACAACAGAAGGAAAACGTAAGTGCTGTCCAGTCGCCAGTGAATGTGTCCAGACCACCCATGACTTTGCCAATTCCCTCTTTCCCGAAGAGATCGATCTGGCATTGGATCACAGCGTCCGCAGATTCCCGGGAGTTCTTATGGATTCGCGGCTTGAAAGTCGAGAAGTAGTCCGGGTTGTGAGCATAAAGATCAGGAGAAACCGGAATGGAGTACCGATAAACATTTTCGCTAAATCGGTTCTTTTCCGGTGCCATTTTGAGTGACGAAGTGGTCAATAAATGGATGTACTTGAGATGCCAGTCCGTGGAGTCTGGGGGTAGTATACGATTGCACTTCTCCAATTGATCATCCAAATGATATAATGGCAAGACTATTTGAGACTTAGCCGTGATAACTGTTCTTTCAACCTGCGTATACTTGCGATATTTTTATATTCCTTATAATGTGCCTGTGATGGCTGACTAAACATCTTGAACTAAGTTATAAATTGAGTATAGAACGTCATGACTTCAGTCTGTTTAGCTTCAGAGGACCCATAATTCTATATCCTTTATTCGAATGAGAGCAGTGCAAATGCTACAGTTTCACTTGACAAGTGGGTATTACCGATTGTACCCATGGGATATACTTCATCGCAGAGATGGGTTTGAGGCATGCTGCAGATGTCATAGGAATCAGAAATCAGGGAGGGAAGAGGAAGAAAACAGGGAAACTCCTTATGCTTAACAGCAGTTGCCTCCTGGAGCATGGCGGCATCACAGAGCGAGAAATTACCACCCCTCCAATTCACTGCTCTTCTATTCTTTGATGTTGGATTTCAGGAATGTATATATTTGGGATTCGAGTGGATAGCACAGTGATTTCCTAAAAGGGTAGGTCTATTTATAACCGCAAAACTACTTCCACATTAGACAAATATGCCATCAATATCTATAATAAATTAATAACTATATGATCCTCTGCCTTTGATATAGCTGATTAAGACTGCTGCTGAATCTTTTGAATTGTGCATAACTTCCTAAATAGGAAATACGGTGCACATAGATCATGCTGACTAAGAATACATTCCTGTGACTCTCCCAGCCTCACTCTCACTCTCTCACTCTCACCCTCATTCCTCTCGCTCCTTTCTCTCTCCTTCGATTAGATCTTGATTGCTGCTCCAATACAGAAATTCTCCAGGAAAACTATATAGCCCCATCATGACCAAGAAAAGTGTTCTTGATCTCCGGGACCCTGCCATGGCTTATCGTCTGTCTGCTCGGCGCCTCGAGGAGTCGTACAGTTACAGTCCAGCTGCTTCAGCTTCCCCTGGAAAGAGCACTGTCTCCCCAGAAGACTATACCAAACCATACTGTGATTTTATGACTGCCAATCCCACTATTTTCCATGCGGTCGACAGTTTTACGCGACAACTGGAGAGGCACGGTTATCAACGCCTACCAGAACGGGAGCCCTGGACCTCCAGACTAGAACGAGGGGGTAAATACTACTGCACGCGGAATTCCAGCGCATTTATTTCCTTCTCCATTGGCAAGGACTACCAAAGTGGCAATGGCATGGCTATTATCGCCGGCCACATAGATGCCCTCACCGCCAAATTGAAGCCCGTCTCCAAGCTCCCCACGAAGACGGGCTTCCTCCAGCTCGGGGTAGCCCCGTACGCCGGCGCGCTGAGCGATACCTGGTGGGATCGCGACCTTTGTATTGGAGGTCGTGTCCTGGTGTGCAACCCATCCAGCGGCAAGGTCGAGTCCAAACTCGTCAAATTGGACTGGCCAATTGCCCGGATCCCAACCCTTGCTCCCCATTTTGGAGCTCCCGCGCAGCCACCCTTCAACAAGGAGACCCAAATGGTCCCCATCATCGGCATTGATAACTCCGATCTTTTCCACCAGCAGATCCAGTCCGCATCTGCTGCTGCCAGCGGGATCGAGCCGGGCACATTTGCGGCCACGCAGCCAGAGAAGTTGGTCAAGGTGATCTCGGCCGAGCTAGGTATCACGGACTACAGCACGATCCTGAGCTGGGAGCTTGAGCTCTACGACAGTCAACCAGCGCGAGTCGGTGGCCTCGAGAAGGATTTCATCTTTGCCGGTCGGATCGATGACAAGCTCTGCTGCTATGCTGCTCAGGAGGCTCTCATAGCTTCCGCTGACGATACGTCAACCGGGTCCGTCAAGATGGTAGGCATGTTCGATGACGAAGAGATCGGCAGCTTGCTTCGCCAAGGAGCACGATCCAACTTCATGAGCAGCGTGATTGAGCGCATCACGGAGGCCTTCGCGCCGACGTATGGACCCAATGTATTATCACAGACCGTCGCCAATAGCTTCTTCGTCTCCTCGGATGTCATCCACGCTGTGAACCCGAACTTTGCCAACGTCTATTTGGAAGACCACGCGCCTCGTCTGAACGTCGGCGCGGCCGTCTCCGCCGATTCAAACGGCCACATGACGACGGACAGTGTGAGCTACAGCTTTATGAAGCGCATTGCCGACCGCTGCGATTCAATCTTGCAGGTCTTCCAGATCCGGAATGATTCCCGTAGCGGGGGGACGATTGGACCGATGACCAGCGCTCGCATTGGCATGCGAGCCATTGATGTAGGGATCCCCCAGCTGAGCATGCACAGCATCCGCGCTACAACCGGTAGCTTGGACCCCGGCTTGGGGGTGAAGCTATTCAAGGGTTTCTTTGACCATTTCGAGGAAGTTGATAAGGAATTTGCCGACTTCTAAGTCGCTAGTGGTTGTAACATGTACTCCATTCTAGGGTAGATCTTTTGAAAATGATTAATCTAATATAGTACGGAGTACTTCGTACTCGGGTAACCGATTATTTACTCACTTCGTATTGAATTAATGAAATCTAATATAAAATGATATATGTGTATATATATAAATCGAAGAGAAGGGAATCAGTTCTGTTGCAAATGACGAGCTCAGAAAGAAGATCAAGACGAATGGCAAGCAAGTAGTGGATATCTCTCTTTTTTCTTTTCTTTTCCTTCTTGTTTCCTCCCACCCCGTCTTTCTCGATTCTTTACCAAACAAAGGAAACATCTTCTGTATATCACCGTGACGGTGACGACGAAGAAGACTCCGTCCGAGATTCAATAGTGACAGCGACCTCCTTGAGCTCCTCGACTCCCTTGGCGTCTTTCACCATGAGTTTCTCCTTCCCGCTGGCGTCCATCCCAGGGGCCAGTGTTAAGATGCGATCCGCAGGAGCAGAGGGGGAGATACAACGGCCGGGTTCCAGGTCTTCTTCCATGGCCGTGATGGTCGTGGATACAGTGCAGGTGCCGTGCCAGTAGGTGGGGGGCTGTGCTCGAGATGGAGGGCGATTGACGTACGCTGGACCGCCGTGACTCAGAGTTGAGAGCAGATGAGGTAGAATGTGAGAGATCAGAGGCCGTAGGGTTGGTAGACAGGCGCAGATGATTCCCGTGTTGCATTCGATGGCGGACCAGGTGGCTGCGTCAACGTTGTCGTCTTCATTCCATGAAGTACTTTGGTTAGTTCATATAGTTTGAGAATAAGAGGAATAGGAATAGAATGGGGCGTACAGGTGGGGTCGTCCGAATCTGCAATCTTTTTCAAGGCAACGAGACGGCAAACGCTGGTGACACACACACTGGAAGAAATACACAAGTTAGCCTTAGAAAAGAGCCCGCTTCCGAAGGTTGGCTTACAATCCACCCAGCGCAAAGATGGATATCAGGGCGATCTTCTGTCTCTTGGGAAGATCAAGAGCTGCCAATGCCGGAATGGGGATGATCAGGATGGCTAGATCGGTGGCGATATGCATGGAGGCATTCGAGAACCAGAGCCCCTTCATGCTCAGACAGTACCCTGGGATCGTTGGGTCCCAGAATTTGGCCACGGGAATGCAATTGAGAAAGGCACTTAGGACCGCCCAAGTCCCGTAAGTGGCTAGGATACCGATCATGACCCACGAGATACGGCGCATGCGTTGGATCGGAAAGACGCGGAAATATTGCATGAGGATGGAAGCTTTGGCGCAGAGTAAGGCGGCGTTATAGAAGGGAATCGTGACCCAAAAGGCCTACAAAGGGCGAATTTTTCAGTTCCTGTTCTTGGTGACTTGCAGAATAGGCTCCTCAACTCACCTTCATCTGCTTTATGAGGATATGAGGTGGAATGTCCGCACCATGCATACCGACCCCATTTAGGGCTTCCACTATAAACAAGGCCATGAAGACGTACGAAAACGTCTTGTTTCGCTCATTAGTTGTCTGAACGTGGCATGCCATGTGAAGCATGCAAACTGAGCAGAACCTCTTACCAAGGCGATCACAATCATCCAGTCATTCCCCTCCATGCGGTTCATCAGTCTGGCCCTCGTGTACAGACGGGCAAGCACGAAACATGTGGCTAATGTGGTGAAAACAACACTGATAGATAAACCCTTAACTCCCCCGGAGGAAAGATAGGGATTTCCCCCATGGCCCCGAGGGTGGAGGGTGTGCAGCTGAGGGTTCGACATTGCTGCACGCAAAAGAAAGGGGAAATGAGGACTCCAGCCGGACTTGGTCAAATTGATATGACCGAAAAATAGAGACAGCCCTGGGCAAGGTTTGAATGAAACCAACCAGCTATTGGAAGAAGTTAGAGTGGAGGTCTCAAGTAAAGTTAGGCATGTATGTATGCGATGGCCCTGGTGAGTATTAGAATCCTGGATGGCATTGCGAAGAGGGAAGAGGCACGAACATCTGAGGAGGGGATTTAATTATAAACGTTTCTATCCTGGACCCAGAAGCGGCCAGGGCTGATGAGGGATGGAGATAATAGCACCTTGCCCGTGAATATCCTCACTCAATATTTCATGGCTTCTCCGGATTGGTGGCCTAACGCTCAGACAGGGACCGAACAGGGAAAGGAAACAGGGAAAGGAGACAAGGAAGAGAACGAGAAGAGGAAAGAAAAAATCATAAAAATAAAATAGAATAGAAAAAGCAAGCAAGGGAGAAGACAAATAAGCAACCCACGGCAAGAAGCCACTGTCACATTTTGGCACAAGCTCAAGAGGGTGGAAAGGATAGAGCCTGTGCGGGAAGCCACTTTTCTCTGTCATCTCCCTTTTTTTTTTTTTTTTTTTTTTTTTTTTTTTTTTTTTTGATTCTTCTAGTTGTGGAGCTGACATTAGACTCCCTGCAGGACAGCGTCGGATGATCAGACATCGAATATCCAGCCCTCTGGTGTCGCTAAAGTTGGCGACAACGTCAATGATCGACTCCTACCTGTCCACTAGTCCAAGGAAATCATCCGGGCCGAGTAACAGCCTAAGAGGAAACAACAGTGGAGAATGATTGATGGATCGGCGACGTATCCAAACTCTCCCGCAGTCGGGGGGTGAGCTATGCAGAAAGAAGTACGATGGCCTACATGTGCGTCGGCCTTGGTTTGCATGTCCGGGGGACTCATGGAGCATCGTAAAGTACGATGAGGGCTGAAAGCTCCCTTTTTTTTTTTTTTTTCCTCCCTCGTTAGGAGGCAGACCGACAGATCGTGGAGACCCCTGTAGCCCTAGTCAAGTGAGCTGTCAGTGACTGAGTGAAGGGCTGCAGGTCTACTGCAACAGGGATTCTTTCCAAGCTGACGCATGTCTCCCTCGAGGGGAGAAGTGTCATTTTCTCCTTATCGACCGTGATAGTTCTGTTTTCGTACTGGAAAGGGGTTCGGTTGTAGAATTGAACGAAGCTCAATCGCCTGACTTCACCCTTCATGGGAGTCTCAGAGCAAGGGATACAGGATAGACCTTATTTTGTTTCCTTCTCCTCTCTAGGTAGGAAGGGATTCAAGGAGGTTTATTTTTGCTTTATAGTAGTAATAATTACTATTATTACTACCATTCGGATCCTTCCACGGGTCATCTCATATGAGTTACGCAAGAGGGGATGCGATGTGTCAATTTTCTTTTTCGAGATGACAGAGAAAGCCACATTGAATAACGGACTGCAGGGGATTCAAAGTACCGTACAGCCGGAAGGAAGATTCCTCCTGTACTGTTCCCCAGAATGCGTCAGTATTGTTGCTATTCTGGCCCTAAGAGGGGGAAAACGTCCGTTAGAGTGGGCCAGATGATAGATCACATCCGTGTATTCCACAACAGGCTGAGCTGATCACATTGGATTAAATAAAAAGAATTATTGTTCACAATGAACCCAATGGCCACACCGGATATGCCAATAATTTTAATTTATCGACAATATGTGGGAGCAATTATAGCACCCTTGCAACTTGCGGTCTCTTTGTGCCTCGAGGGTGTCACCAGCCCGCCACCGTGTAAATAGTGTCCAACCCAATGCCATGATGGATTAGGTTTGTGGTGAACCATACGAAGTACTTCGTATTCCATACTCACGGTAGATCTGGCATGATGGGCGAGCTGTATGGGGATTGTTGTGTAACTCTGCCTGGAACTAGTTGCATCTCGTGTTGTTGAATCTTCGTTTGCTCATGGACATGCACGGGATAAGGGTCTAATCACCTGCTAGTGATGCCATGCTGCTTAAGGAGCCAGGTAGTAAATACTTAAGTATATCCATTCGACTTGGGACTCCGTGTCCATGTCCGTCCAGTATATCGCTCATGGCCTATCGCTTCAGGAGGCGTCCATCTGGTTGCCTCACCAAGAGGCAACCGTCCTCGGATCGAATGAGTCAATTGACAATGTAAAATTCCCCACAAGAAAGAAGAGTACTATAATTGCGGGGATGGAATACATGGATGTTCGAGATCGTTTGACGGTACCGATGGATCTTGTACGATCTATTCCATTGATTCTCTAGATTTTCCTTGCTTTGGACTGACGCAATAGAGAAATAGAGCCCCGAAGACAATGGAGATAATGCATTGATGACAAATATGACTTGAGAATGAAGAAATGTATGTACTTCTCTAGCAGCGGAGAGGATTTCGCGCAACGGCTTCTTAATAGTCCATATCTTGTCTATCGGGTACGACGATGAAACAGTCTCAACCTAATCAGTGCAGTAGATTGAAAGTGTAAAGTATCTTCATCTGGCTTTAGCTGCTGAAGATAATATAGGTGATTAATCGCTGTAAAGACTATCACAGCGTCATACAAACTGGTTTCCCAGAGTAGCTATGCAGAGTAGGATGAATCATGATCCTTCCAGACATGGACGCATAAGCGCGTTAGCCACCCAGTACTGTCATAGCATTCCAGCTGCCTGTTTTCAGGTGTGGAGGAGCTGCAGTCATGGTATGTTGACGGAGTAAGCACAGCTGTTGTTTGCTCCGTATCGTCCTCAACTTCAACAAACATGAAGGGTAGCGTATTTGCTTTTCCCACTGTGTAATAGTCCAGCATCTCCTGCATAAACTCGACCAGGTTGAAATCCCACTATCCCCTCGCTGTCTATCCTCTTTGTGATGGATAATTAGTCACTTCTGTACTCATGTGTTCACTGCGACTGTACGCTTGACCGGTCAACTCGGCATGGATTACCATATCGCATCGGCAGACTCGACTTTCTTGGACCCTGAGGATTCGGCTTTGTAGACTGCCAGGAAGTGACCCTGTACTCCATACCTTGTGCGCCTATGCGAGACTCGATAGAACAAGCCCGCGTGGAGGCAGACGGGCGGAAGCGCGGCATAATCCTACTATCATGCCGTGACAGATAAGATCCAAGAAATTGACCTGTGCATCGTATTTCCCGATTCTGACCATGCAACGATGGGATGTGTTCTCTCTCTGCCTCTGTACTCTGTAGCGGAAGATGGATTCCAGACTGATAAGCCGCTAAGATAAGGATAACGCACAGACCAGCTGAAAATCCAGCCGAAAATTCCCCGCCGAACAAATTCAACACCACGCCTTCTCCCTCGCGTGCTTTTTCTTGCTTCCCTGGTCTGATCCAGCCAAGTAACGAGAGTACCATCAGAAACCATGGCGGACTCGACCACGCCGCCCAAGTCTGTGCACACCATTGTGCTCGACGCCGGTCCCATCCTCAAAAATACCCCGCCGCTCTCCACCTTGCTCGCACAATGCGAGGAACTCCTTATCACCCCGTCCGTGGTCGCCGAAATTCGTGATCCAGATGCCCGGGCAAGAGTGGAAACTCTCTACCTGCCGTTCTTGAAACAGCGAACCCCGACTCCAAAGAGTATGGCGGTGCTAAGCGAATTCTCCCGGAAGACTGGCGACAGAGCCGTGCTGAGTAGAACTGATATCGAGGTCCTAGCGCTGGCCTATGAACTGGAGTGTGAGAGAAACGGGGGAGACTGGAGATTACGGAGTGTTCCCGGTCAGAAACAGGTGAATGGCAAGCCTCCCGCCAAGGAGGGAGAAGAGACAACGGAAATCGAGCCTACACAGACCGACAGTAACACGGAGAGCGCAGGGGTGGACTTAGTCACGGAAAATCTGAAGAATACTTCGTTGGACGGTGGTAACGAGGAGACACAGCCCGACCCCTCTGCTCCGGAGGTAACGGAGCATAATGCTCAAGTTGAGTCCTCGGAGGAAAAACCTGAGGGTGAGGGTGAGGACGAGGCTGCTGAGTCGGATGGTGGAGAATGGATCACGCCTTCGAATTTTAAGAAGCGGCAGGCCCGCGACGAAGGACTCTCTTCGACGACGCCAGAGCCGAAGGTGATGCAGGTCGCAACCATGACAACGGATTTCGCGGTCAGTAGTACTGGATTTTATTCGGAGAACATAGACTAACATCCGCTCACAGTGTCAAAACGTCCTGCTGCAGATGAACTTGAATTTGCTTTCGACTACAACTCTACAAAGAATCCGGCATCTCAAGTCGTTCATCAAGCGTTGCCATGCTTGTTTCCTGACAACCAAGGATATGACCAAGCAATTCTGTCCCCGTTGCGGAAAAGACACCCTCACCCGTGTCTCCTGCACCACCAATGCCAACGGGCAATTCACTATGCACCTAAAAAAGAACATGCAATGGAACAACCGGGGCAACCGATATAGCGTTCCCAAGCCCGTCCATGGAAGCGCTAATGGAAAGTGGAAAGGAGGTGGAGGTAAAGGTGGCTGGGGGACGGAGCTTATCCTCACAGAGGACCAGAAAGAATACAGTCGGGCCGCCGCGGAGGAGAAGCGGAGGCTCCGTAAAGAACGAGATCTTATGGATGAGGATTATCTTCCGGCTATTTTGACTGGAGAACGAAACAAGCAGGGAGGCCGCATCAAAGTGGGCGCCGGTAGGAACGTGAATTCGAGAAAACGATGAGACACCATGACCTTTCCCTTTTGTTACTCACTCTCTGTTTTGCATTCATGCTGGATCGGAGTTTGGCCAAAAAAGTTCCTATGCCTTGATTGATACATGATGGCTTTACGACAAGGAATCGATTTCAATGGATTTATAGAGCACATAGGCACATATAAGGATATAGATCAAAAGCAAGTTCTCTCTAAAGTATAGGCTGTGGTGGATATCCCGACTAGTATATCACACCATCAAGAGGCCCCAGAAAGATCCTGTTCGCTTAGTCCAGACATAACACCATTCGCCATAAAATTGATTTTAAACAACACCCTCTTCTTTGCCGATTTGTATTATCCCATCACTGAGTACATTACAGCTGCGCAACCTCCTTGTCTGTAACCGAAACATTAGTTTAGCGCAGAATTCAATGATCAGGGCTGGAAGACGACATACCGGGCTGCTGGGTCATCAGCAGACCATACCTCTTCTTCAGAGTGACACGGTGCCTATATTGAATTCCAGTCAGGTTAGCTAGCCATGCTTGTAACCTTCGTCGGATAACAGAGGTCGACGAACCGAGAGTATTTATCGTCAGGGGAAAACCGAGCAGGATGAGCTGACTTCGTAACCCGTCCCTCTGTGTCGACCTTCTTAAGAGTGTAGACCCTCTTTCCTTCGGCGTTCAGGGAGTCTATCGTCAAGTGAGCGTTTAGCGTCTGCATGGTTTGAGCGTTATATGGGTGGGATAACGGTGCTGACGTACACATAAGATGCATCCTATTTAAAAGAATCGGATGTTAGAATGATATTTCCACAGCATTACTGCTAGGGATGTGCCTACTTGAATATAGCAGCTGCTTCAGATGACCTTCGGGTGTCCGTCGAAAGAAGTCAGATTTATCGCTAAACGCTACCGCCGTGTTGTCCTATGAAATGTGAACTCACGGTGCTAACTTGCGAGGAATTAACAAGGAATTCAAAGCTGTCGGGGAGTAACAACTGTCTGTGAATTGTGCCCCAATGTCAATCGCCGATAGTTTGGGTTTTTTTTTCGAGGGGGTGGATCCGCACCGGCCATTCTTCAGCTCTCGCTTAGTCAGTCACCCGGACATTTATTAGGCGACTTCAATGCCCAAGCGAGATTTTCTTTTTTCCTTCTTCTAACACCACGATTATTTCTAGAGCAATCACGAGGATTGGGATGATAATGATGAACATTCCTTCCTGGATTTCAACATGAGCTTGCTAGGATCTTTATTGTGGTTTACCTACTGTATTTAGCACCTACCACTTCCGGTAAAGACCTGTTGGATACCTCCAGAAAGAGATTTTCTGGTAAGCATCGGCGACTTCATGCCTTGGAAGTGTGCTTGTATTTGTTCTCCGGTGATGACACCAATTTACCTTATACCTAGGCAATGGCACCTTGATTTCTAGCTGTTGCCGATGATGGTGTTATTTGACTACAACGGTATCTGAGGAGAATGAAACAAGCCACTTCTTTTACTTCGGTGATTTTGTAACGAAGAGTTCCGTTCCATGGCTGATTCTTCGCTCTAAAGTAGATTACTTCATTAATTCAATTATGATCCATTAATTCCTATGGCGTCTCAGTCCAATTCCAGTCCCACGCCCAAAGCTGAAGCTGCAGCTAGCAAGTTGGGGACTACACAAAATCACAAACTGTCCGCTCTTCCTCGATCCTCAAGACCCAATTACAGACATATACACCGTTTCCCACTGCCCCTCAGTGTTCATCCGCTTCCTCCTTTGATCCCGCATAACCCCTTGTCTATTGTCAGTGTGCTACTCTCGTACCTGACGTACTTCATCTCTCCCCCTCATCATGAAGTCTATCCTGCCTACTTCGACTCGGACACTTCTTCTGTCCATGTCACTGATGAGAAGACTATCCGGGCATTGTGGGAAATGGGGTTCTTCGGCAAGGGTAATCTGAGTCGAAGTGAACCCAGCTGGCTAGAACGAGAAAAGAAGAGGAGGGGGTTACTCGGAGGGGTTACCAGTGAAGAGGTTACTCGCCAACGAAGATCAGAGCGCCGAGAGTTGAAACTGGAGAGAGCCAGGATGGAGAGGATGGCTATTGATGATAGGCTGAAGGCGGAGGCCACCGCGAACGGGACCGTTACAACGCTAACCGATCAATCGTCCATGCCAGCTACCGTGGATGGTGTTACTAGCAGTGCTGTTTCTACTGCCGAAAAATTTTCCTTGCGGAAAGCCAGGGAAACTAAACTACTGGGGTCACAATGCCCGGTAGCACAGAACTGGGAGGGTGAGTCTCCCGACCAAAAATCACCGAACGGTGGCAAGACCGTGCGGTTTTCTCCAGTAGTTGAGGCCAAGGAATTTGCCTCGGACTCAACTATCCTGCACCTACCGGGTTCCATGACGGACAAGCAGGAGTCTGGTGAGGAGCCTGTGTTGGTTAACGAGGAACACTTGCAACTGTCCAACGAGGAGGCATTTTTCCTGGCGTATGGGCTTGGTGTCCTCCAGATCTTTGACAGGGACCAGAAGACTACATTGTCCCCAACCACTTTACTCTCGATGTTTTGTCAGCATGCATACTTCCCCCCACGAGTTTTGTCCACAGATTTGAATCCGGACAACCCTTTTTTGATATCATATGTTGTGTACCACCATTTTCGTTCTCTTAAATGGGTTGTACGCTCCGGAGTGAAATTCGGAGTAGACTATATCCTTTACAACCGTGGGCCCGTTTTCTCGCATGCTGAGTATGCCGTTGTGGTCATCCCATCCTTCGATGACCCCTACTGGTCCGAAACTGAAGAGCGGAGAGTGCACTGTGCCAATAAACAAGCACGCAGCTGGTGGTGGTTCCATTGCGTCAATCGGGTCCAGGCGCAGGTACGAAAAACCTTGGTGGTGTGTTATGTCGAAGTCCCTCCCCCGTCTCCTCATGATCCGAAAGCATCCTCAGAGGTTGACATTGGGGCCATCCTTGCCCGCTACCGAGTGCGAGAAATGACTGTCAGGCGATGGGTGCCGAATCGAACCCGTGATTAGATGCTTGGTGATATTCATACTGTGCATGTACATACATACGCAGATTGGGAGACGGCGGCGGCAGCTGTTGCTGCTAGTATCATTGTAACAATATGTAACAATTCAACTCTCCCAAGTTCTCCAAATGCCGGTGCACAAAGTAGTACATCCTACGTAGGTATATCACACATGAAACTCCCGCCCAATGGGATCCTAAGCCGGAATCGGTAATATTACATAGTCACGTGCATGACGCGTTTCGCGTTTTCTAGCTTAAGGACGACGAGTGCTCTTGATGATGAACCTTGAAGTTTCTCAGTGGCAGCGATAAAGGCCTTCGAGCCATGAAGTTCATTCCTGTCTGTGAGTTAGTATTACTGAGCTGAAGAGGCCATGGAGACCCAGGATAGTATCGATATCGTAAAACTGCAACGCGTCGCGCTGGGACTAGTGAGTGCCATCCCGGCTTATTTGGTGGCGTTCTGATCTTGATCGAGCTAATGCCAATCATAATTCGTCCAGGACTCGGCACATTCCCAACCTTCTTCGAAGACGTCCGATCTGGTCCAGCACTCTCTCCCTGACTACCGTGAACTTGGATCTCCACGAAATTTGAACGACCCTGTGTCGTTGGCTAACCGGCAGCCTGCGCTTCACAAATCTCCGTCGCATCGATCGGAGAGATTCCACCGGTCGTCCCCCCAAGAGCTGCAGCATGCTACATCATTGACAATTGATAATCGACGGTCCCTTGAACAAGAAGATCCGACCCGTGTACTCTTGCAACGACCGATGGAAATGAGCTCCGCGGAGATGGTGCCTTCGGACACCCAAGTTATTTCCCAATCGGTTTACGACGATATTATCAGACGGAATAAAGAGGCTGCCAATAATGAGATAGACAATAACCTGGCGGATCGGGCAACGCTCGCAACACTCTATGAGGGCGATAGTGGTCATATAGATCTGCTCGCTGGGTTTGATAGCACAAACATTAATTCGAACAACGTTGATGATACTGAGGACCAGAGCAGCTTCAAGTTGGGTGAATCGTCCCCCGTGAACTATCAGCCAAATCTATTTCCTGAATCTCAGCGCTTTATCGTCAAAACTCCTGCCACAGTCCTGAAGCAAGGCCATGTCGAAGACCCTGGCACAGGGACCCCTTCTATCTCCCGGAATCCACTTGCTTCCGACCTTGGATCTAGTGGTGGTATCATGGCTTTAAGTCAGGTATTCAAAGCGACTCAGGCCCCATCCTCACCACTGGTCCGTGACCAGCACTCCGACCCAATGTCGGATCGGCCTTCCCCCAATATTCCGGTCCAGAATCGTCCACTTGCCACGGCTGTCTCATCCCCGTTGAACCATCTTGCAGCAACTTTCCCGCAGGACTCTTCGGAGCCGCAGTTGAACTATGTCACGATGAAAGAATCTCAGGCAGAACGTGACAGGATACTACGTGAGAGGCTGACGCGTTCTGCAGAGCATGTATACTCTGAAGATCATAGCGATGGCGAGTTCGACAAGGAGCCTAGCTTTGTAGAGCGTATGGCTCGTCGACGAATGATCGACGACGAGGCTATGGCGCAGTTTGCTGGTTTAACTGCCCCTGCGAGATCTCCAAAGCGTCGGGGAAGATTGGCAGACAAAAAGTTGGAATGCCGGAGTATCGTTGAGCAATCTAGAGTTGATGTTAAAAAAGATGCCCAGCAGGAGCATACCTCCGCACTGCAAACTGAAGGTACTAGTGAGGAAGAGACGGAACAAGAGCAAGAATACTATTCCCCTGCACCGCGGTCTCAGGAGCTGAAGCCCCCGACCGAGGAGGATAAGGAAAATTGCAGTGATCCATCAACCCCTCTTGTGGCTGCGACTAATGCACATGGTCGTCTTTCTCAGGTCCTTTCTTTGGATGACTCCCAGCCGCAACCACGCGGCCAAAGTCGGGACGAGCAAGCAGATGGGATTGGTGGGTCATCGCAGATATTGATTGTCAAAGATTCCCAGCGATCTCCCAGTGGCAATCATGATCAAAACATCGAGTATAATAATCCAGAACAATGGGCCCAGCATCATGCACGTCGTTCCAACTCGCAAATACGACCCCCTTTTGATCTAACAAATATAACATCCTCGCCTACTAAACAAATACGAATTCAATCGTCTCCTCCATCGGCATCTCAACGCAGCCGAGTTTCGTTCCATCTTGGTGATCGCGCGGCTCGAGGAAGATCAAACTCAAGCAGTTCTCACAGCTCTTCGGATCATCTTACGAGGAACTCTTCGGTTCCGGATGGCAGCATAACGCAGCACAGCCACCTAATCGACTCGAATTGTGCGGAGGGATATGACAAGACAGCAAAGTCCGACCCTCGAGCGAAATCATCATCGATGCCTTCTCTTGTCGCTGAAACACCCGTTCAAAGACCAAGAATCGTCGCGGATGAGCTTCCAGTAACAAGTATACCTGAGACAAGTCCCAACCGATTCCAGAATGAATTAATGGACCAAGAAGATGATGACTTGCCTCCCCTTCACCAAATCGTACATGAACGAGCCTCTCATTCTCAGCCAGTTAATTCAAACATCTCAACTCCTGTGAAACCCTTCCGTACTTCTAAAATATTATCAAGCCCAAGCGGCAGGCAGCGCAGGGCACTCACTGAGATTGCTTCTGATGCTTCACCTCAAGTTGGACTCGGCTCGTTTGACATGGACATTAACGTTCTTACAGCCGATGATCAGGAATTCAGGTCCGCGGTTGCAATGTCTCCAATACCACCAAGAAAGAAACGACGGGGGAATGATGGACAAAATATATGTGCATCGGATCCCGTGTTGCCAATTACGCCTCGCCCGATTTCCTATCTTTCCCGTTTTCAGCAAAATGAAAGAGCCGATGTAGAAGAAACGCAGTCGTCTGAATCTATGGCGGCGCCAGAGTGTGTTTTCGAGAAGCGATCGAACCCTTCCCGGCGAATTGACACATTTTGGGAAGTGGACGAGTCTCCTCAGGTCTATATACCACGAAAAGAAAGGTTGGGACTTCTCAATCGCTCTCGTTCTATAGGGAAGAAGCCTGAAAACTCCCAACCACCAATGAATAGTTCGGATGTACAGCCTGAGGTTGGCCATGATCACCAAAGAGCTACCTCTGATCCCGTGGAGCAACCAAATGAAGACGCCCATGGAAAATCAGGTGATAACGTCCCAAAAGAGTCAGACAGGATAAGCACCCCATCTGTTGAAAACGTTCCAATTGCTGTCAATCAGGTTTTTGCCCCCTGGAGTGGAGCGAAACGGGCGTATTATCCGGCGACTTGTTTTGGAAAGCCATTCGGAACCTCGAATACTAGGTACCTTGTTAAATTCGAAGACGCTGCTCCTATTGAGGTGCCTATGAGCGCTGTAAAAAGACTAGAATTGAGGATTGGCGATGCTGTCAAGGTGGATGTGCCTAATGTCCCAAAGGTTACGCACATCATCCGGGGATTTTCCGACAAACTCAGCGCGGATGACCTGTCAAGGGAAGTCTCTAGCGGAACTATGCGAATGATAGATATTTATGGACATGCAACCGTCATCTTGGGACCAAAACAGCGCAAGAGTCTTCCGAGTGGGACACTAACAGGTCCTGAGAGTGTTGTCAGGGTTCCCATCTCTCGGGTTTATCTGGACACTATTTTGTGGAACCAACTGAAAGACAGAACATATACCTACAGCTCTGGGCTAGGTCACACAGAGAGTCGGCTCCAGACACCTTCGGACAGACACCTAACACCGATGTCACCAAGCACGCGGCTGTCCCGCAGCATTCGCTACTCAAATGGTGTCTTTTCTGGGATGGTATTTGCAGTATCTTATGGCGATAATAACGGTACCAAATCACGCATAATGCGGATGATCTTGGACAATGGTGGACACATTTTGAATGATGGCTTCAACGAACTGTTCGATCTACCCTCAAACGCTCCTCTTGCCACCACCTCCAAATCCCCAGCACCAATCGTGAACGAGCGCCAGAGCCTTTTGCGTCTTACGAGGGGTGCCGAAGACATCGGATTTGCATGCCTAATAGCCGATAGGCATTCTCGCCGTCCAAAGTATATGCAAGCTCTTGCTCTCAACCTTCCATGTCTTTCAGACCGCTGGATAGAGGATTGCGTGGCTCAGGGTAAGGTTGTCGACTGGGATATGTACCTGCTTCCAGCAGGCGAATCGTCCTACCTTAATGGAGCTACAAAGTCAAGAACGCTTACATCTTACCCTGCCTTGATGGCTCGGTTCCCCGACACGATAGCTGCGCGGCCGAACCTGCTGGATGGGCAGTCAGTTCTTATTGTTATGGGCCGCAGTAAAGCTGACGAGGAACGAAGACGAGCGTACCTCTTCCTGACCTATGCCCTGGGCGCGTCCAGGGTTGAACGTATACCTGATCTCAAATCTGCTCGGGCCGTTCTTGATCAGCAAGGAGAAGCTTCAAACAAGTGCGAATGGGATTGGATCTACGTCGACAATGATGAAAAGGCGTCTGCGATTGCGACGATCCTCGGGTCCACTATGGCCCGTTCCCACAAGGCCCAATCTTCCCAGAAATCCAAGAAACGCAAAAGATCTGAGCTAACTGAGTCGATCAGTGATAGTGATCTCGGCCTGGGCACCCATGTCCGGATCGTGGGCAATGAGTTTGTCTGTCAGAGCTTAATTCTGGGGAAGCTTTTCGATCAATAATATTTGGTCATATCCTAAGCCTGGCTGTTCTCAGCTAGGTGCTCCGGTTTTTCTGTTCGTCTCTTTTCTTCTTTGATCGCGTGACTCCGTGGATGTGATCAACCGTGTATGTATGTAGCTCTACGGACTTGATTTCTAGAGCCACTGCTACCTCAATCCGACCACCATTCACTGGTAGCTCGATGAGTATTGCAATTTCAACCACAGTCTCAGCCTCTACGACTACAACGGCTTCGAGAACAACATCGGGCTGAAACACTGTCAAGGATCGTCGTCCTTCGATACCTGTTTATTTATTGGCCCCTCATCCGCTCACCACACTCCTTGCAACGGCTAACATAATTATGGTTGCTCCTTTTCTTCCACCGGAAATTATCGTCCAGGTTCATTCCAATTTTGCCCCCGAGTTGCTGCTCGTCCCTTACGCCAGTATCAGCACCCAATGGTAGGAGATCGTCGAAAAACTGACCTTCGCCCTCAACCTCACCTGCGCCCGGCTCTCCAATCTCCGACGCATCGTATCCCCACAGCGATACTCTCTTGTTTGCAAAATAGATTTAAAGGTCACGCTGGCAGAATATAGTGTCGCCAAGCGAAAAATTCAAGTCGAGAGCGACGAAGACTGCGACCGTAACAATCAAATCAAGTACTCACAGAGACAATCTGCACCCTCTTTGACATCTTGAGCTCATGGCCTACAAATGGCGAATATAAATCTGATGTCCTTCTAACCATTCGCAATTTCTCGCCAAGCAACTTCACCGAGGATCCAAAGCCCAGTATTAGACGCTTACGTGGTATGAAACTGCCGGGCACGGCCATTCTTCACTGACGATACATGGCGTCTTACGTGGAGTTACTCAAACTGGCAGAAGAACCCCTCTCTTCCGTGTGATTTCTCATATTATTGCTGATAGAGGGGTCAAGAGAAATATTACGCCGACTATGGTGTCAAAGCTCTGTCTTGATTATCTAAACTCAGTCAGTTGATGGCGGAGCTGTCCGATAACAAGAAGGATGAAAGACCTCAGGATAGGTTAAGAAATGGTATCTCCACAAACCCAATTTTTTATTTTCACATTCTGCTTGTTCCTTCTTAGTTATAACTTTGACATAGAATTCGCCGGCAGTCTTTCCCAATGGCTTTTATCGCCGGAACGTCTGGTCCTTAACTATTCCGGCGGTGCCCCAGAAGACGCAGGCTTTCCTCCATTCATGCTCTCCAAACCAGATGCAGATATCTGCCTTCTGCATAGCACAACTAAGTCAGCAGCTCAAAATTATATATCTGGAAAACATCACGGTCGGACCGGAACTGTTCTGGCCGCAGAACAATAATAATCAGCTGTACTGGCCGAATCTCACCTCCTTTCACCTAACCTATGCGGCCGCCACACTGTCGGGCCAATAGCTCTTCGAACGAGACCTGTAATACCCAATACCCAGAGCACAATTCGACTGTGATTTGGAGAACTTGTATATAATCCCACCCGTGGACAACACACCACAGGATAAATTGGCCGACGACTGTCGCACTGCGCTGTCTCTAATTCTAAATATACTTTGTACAGCTGCGTGTGGCGCGCAATATATACCGAATTGGAGACAATGACTCTTGTCGGGCAGGTCCAGTTTGCAGAGGCATGGCATTCTCGAGTGCGAGATGAAGCATGAATTTCACTCTAAACAAGAACAGGGCCAGAGCTGGGAGAGTTCGCCCGAGTGCCTACTTTCCTTTAATACCCGCGGGTGGGAGATGACTCTGAACATACATGGTCGTCCTGATTTGATTGTTAAAGTATGCAGTTCGCTCCTGTATAGCCGCTCGGACTAACGGGCTTATAGAATATTGTCGAGAAAGAGTCCATTCTCCTCAGATCCTACAGGAGACCGGATGAGGAATGGTATGGTTATATCTATTTATTTCTACTGCGATATGACTTCTATCTAACACCGACTATTGCTACTTTCTCCGTTGGTCAGAACGTTCTTGCTACCCTTTGAATCATCATATCTACTAGAGGATGATAGTGATCTTTTCGGTTACAGCAACTCCGTTCATACCTAGCCCCCGCCTCCCTGGAACCGATATCATACATATTTGGTCCTAGCTACTTGAACTTCAGCTTATTCTACAACCTCGGTGTTGGCAGTTGTTAATGCTCCATCAACCATCCGTGTCAATGTAAAAGGATCGATCTATGTATTTTACCTTCATGCATAACCACCCTAACTAAGTATGGATATCATCCCGTAGTTCACCTCTGTTTCCGGTATTAACAAACTACAACAGCATTTGATGTAACCCTGAATTGTTTTACGACGATCGTTGGAATCATTTCCCCTGAATGTGCTTTCCACTCAACCTGCAGCTTGCCAGATATGTACAGTCTCTGTTCTTGATTATCGATCAATTCCGGTCGGAATATCCATCTTGAGGGGGCAAGGATCACATACTCACTATTTGGGAAATTAAAAAAATGCATTGTCACTTAGCCCCCTCTACCAAATGTCATATAGTGATCATGCATCATAATAGGTCAGAGATAGCAAAAATGTTTATTTAACAGAGAATTTTCAAGTAACCAAACACAGGCAGGCTCTCCAGATTCATATTCAAACGAATCTGACTACAGAAATGGCTTCGAGTAAGAATCAGTCTGCCCATAGAGAATGGCCTGGGTGCATTAGACTCACCTATTCTACACACAGATATCCCATCTCCTATCTGGGTTCGGCCCGAGTTCAATGACTTGCTCTTGGCGATAGTGGGCAGAGCTGCATTCTACAGTCAAGTGATTTGATCTTCGTCAAAGACTCGAGCTTCCAGATGCGGTGTCAGTTGAAGCTTTGCTCCGAAAAAGATCGAGCAAACTGATGACGCTGTGGAAGGCGTGGGCGTCTACGGTCACCCTCAGCAAATCTATAAAGCTCTAGAATACATTACACTTACGGCACTTCTGTTCGCAGGGAGCAATGCTCCAGCGTGCGTGGTGAAAATATTGCTCTCCGTCGAGAGTGGCTTCTTATTGCGATCCGACTAATTATCTCAACATACGAATCTTCGGTTGTTCTCGTGTTCTGGATTGCGATACATTTGCGTCTGCGCGCTGTCAGGTGGATACCCTGTCTTCTGACCCTTCACATCTGTCCTTGAACAAACTTTTCAGAAGCTCGGTTGGAGCTTGGAGAGTATCCACAAGTCTGGCCGATCTTGAAGAGACCATGAAACTCCTGGCGCATGATATTGCGGAAAGGTTGTCGATTCGGTGGATTCTACCCACGCCTTTACTTCAGAACCGGCTCGTCATGATGGGAGTTCGTCTTCCAAAAGCCATGAAGCATATTCTCAACGTGGCGCGGGATCTTGGTATCTCAGTTATTGTACTGGGTCTTGCAGATACGTGGCTTCCTCTCGAGTACGACGCAAATCTGATGGAGGCATGTCTCCCAGTAGATCTGACCCCGATGCCAGTCTCCAAAACTAGGATTAAAGAAGCTATCGAGAGTCAAACCCATGATTTGATTGGAGTTACCACGTTTACAGACAACTGTCTCGTTGATGATTCCAGGATTGCACAGAAACTCAGACTTTGGAGTCATCTTCCCGAAGCTTCAGGGCGAGTTATGAACAAAAAAATGACGGACCCATTCAGAAAGTCAGATAATAACGTCATGATCGTGCATTACGCTCAAGACGTTCAAGACGTTCAACGATAGACCTTGTCTTGAATTTGTGCACGGGGCTCTTCCGTGTCGAAGGGAAGTTGCGCCATTCTGCCGAGCATTATGCCTAAGAAGATAGAGTTTTAAGACTTATTCCCATCCGAAGACAGGTCACCAACGGAGTCCGACGTGTTCCTATTAGAAATCAATGACCGTGCGCCAGGCCATGCGTCGGTGATGTCGACCAGGCTCGCGTACGGGGTTGATTACCAAGCTATCCAAATGATGGTGGCCATGAATGACTGGGACCACTATAGAGCTTTGGCACACCCATTCCGATCAGGCGCACAGCACTAGTGTGATGCCGTGTGTTTATCAACACTCCCGGATGAGGCCCGTTATGAATGCAGACCTGATGGGCCAACTTCGACTCAACAGGCCTGATTTGGCTCAGCATGTAATGTATTATCTTTTCTTACTTTTTTGAATTTTGGTAGTTTTCATTGTTTGACTTGGTCAATGTATGTACTTCATGCCTTGCAAGCTCTTTATGCTAGGTGCGCCCAGTCAGAGCAGTACAAATTTAGGGTAAATCAAGCCAAGTATATCGCCTATTAGAAATTAAGCAACAACTCATCTGACCGTACTAGTAGTAGTCACGGGAGTCGAGGCTCATATAAATGAGTCTGCCTCAGTCCGTCCCTCGTTCTAAACCGCATTGAATCCCCTTATATTCTCAAGCTAAAAAAGGTGGCCATACCCCCCACCCCCAAAATTTTGGTTAATCAGCTAACAGAGGTTTCGTCAGCTAGGACGCGAACATGGACAAGAATAGCAATGTTAAACAACCCACCTCCTCCAAGAAGAGTAGCAGGTGTCACCAGGTTGATGCTTTGGGGCTTGATGGGGTGGATTACGATATCAAATGGTTGCCTCTTAAGGAAATTGTTCAAGACATAGCGAACTATGTACCGGCAGATGTGATAAAGAAGAGGTGGGGATTAGACAAACGAAAGATAAATTGATAGTGTCCCAAGTCGCATTCATGTCTCTTACCAGTACATATTTCAGTATATGTTAGTGTAGTAACAGCAATATAGGGCTTTTTCTATTCTGTTGAGTCGTTCGGGTTTGGCAGTAGGGCTTGCACGGGACTATTTTAGATAACTTTTGCTTTTAATGCCAGTAAGCGAGAGTGAGAGCTACTAAATATGTTACGCCCGGGGATTCGTACAGGAGTTCTGCGAACCCAGTTAGCTATCTTGCGTAGGCGAGGGTAAAACCTGAGTGTCAGAATTTACAGAGCCTCTATGCTGATGTGCCGTGAGGGTGACCTGGAAGGTCCAAGGGTGCTGTAACTAAACTATAAAAAGCTCAAGTGCAAAAGGCCAGACCTATCCAGTACGTATACCAGACAGTTCAGAGAGTGCGAATGAGTCGATACTGGTTAATTTAGTACTAAAGATAGGTCTCAAGTAACAATGATGATTGATCAGGAAAATCCTAAATACATGAGAAATGAGTGTCCTTATATATCCATTTGGTTATATGCCAAAGCCATATACCTTGGTATATGAGTATTCATTTATTCATTCCTCCGGCTGTGCGCAGCCTAAGGCTGCATGTATTGTATCCCGTAAGTGAGCTGGCCACCTCACGCGTTTTGGCTCCAGTCAAAAGCTTTATGTCAATGTCTATGGTATTCGGAATACAGTAGTAATTCCATGGCCAAAGATATCAATTCCTGAGGGTTGAATTCCTGAATAACTAGAGCATTCTAGAAAATTAAATACTAATCAGTGAGGGTTTTGGGCACGTATATAAATAGCCAAAATAGGTATGAGGATGGAGAACAAGTTAGGTTCTGCGCGAGCGGATTGGGTTGTTCTTGGTAAGGAGTGTGAAGAGCAGGAAACAAGCTGGGCGAATTGCCCAGGAGATCCGAGAAGAAGTTGATATTGGTCTAGCTTAGATACATATAGCAGTTGGCCCGTGGCAAGTGGGCTCGAATGAGATGAGTGAGCCATGGGGAGAAGCCACGACTCACAGAGACAAGCTTAGTATTATAGAACCTCAGTGGAAGTCCCTTCATTGACCCCAGTACAAGAGTATCAAGACAGGAAATTGATATTCTCACACATAGACCGCTTTCAAGAGCCATGGGATAGAGCGATGTATGGCTTCTAATAGTGCAAGCAATACAGGTGTGTTCTGGAATTTGAGGCTTTTGACTGATGTTTTTCTTTCACACCTGGTACGGCTGACCACTTCTGAGAAAATAAGGGCCAGCCCTCTACTAAGGGATGGCTACCCCAAGAACTTCCATCCAGCCAGTTTAGGCAATCTCACAAGATAGAAATTCAGAAAGGTCTTGTAAGAACCTAGCGTTAATTCTCTCGCAGTTAAGCGCATTGAGCCCTGTCTTCAGGCTCTGTGGTGGAGGAGCCACTATTTGAGATGGTTGAGATTCTGGAACATTGTTGACATGAGCTACCGCTGTATCCTTCGATAGCCTGCTATCCTGCGCTACAGCAGTGGTATGATCCCTATCAGTCTCTTCATCCTCCGTAGTAGTTGTCATTTGTGTATGGCGCACCAGGAAGTAAGACGTCATTGAGCAGTCTGCTAATGAGCGGGTTGATCACTAAACAGGTTCTGTACTCTGGCCTATTCGGAAACACTGAGTTTTCAAGCCAGAAGACTAAGACGCTCAACTCGCGAATGTCCTTGGGACGACTGACAGGTGCTTGGGAATGGACGACAGGGCGATGGGCGACGAGGTATGCAACAGGGCAAACCTGGAAGTTCAGGCGTGCATTGTAGTGTGTATATACTAGACAGATATCTATTATACAACAGGACTCGTAGTGAGTGGTCGGATTAGAGTAATACAATTGTATTCTATCTATGTATGGTTTCTTTTTCTAGATCGTGCAGTCGCCGCATCTCGTTTAACAGGTAAGAAATTAGTTTAGACTGCAAATCTTTCATCTTGATTTTTTACAGGAGACGAAGTCCACTTAGCGACTGAAGCCTTGACAGCTAGACGTATGTCGATTAGTATATTTTGTAATGATCTTGACCTCGCGCTTTAGGGCTGTCTTTTAGGTTGATAATTGCAGATTTAAGTGTCAAGCCTTGCACCCTGTAGTCGGTCAAGCATAAAGCAGAGTACAGTGGAACCTGTTTCTATTAAGCTAAATAACCTCTTGCAGTGCTATAGACCTTTCAAAAGCAAACACAGGCATGACAGCAGATTCGAAGTCTGTGAATGTGGCGGCCTTTGGTTTAATGGGTCTAAGCGGAACATACTCGGGCAGCGGCGTGCGCAAGATATAAAGATCATTATGCTTATAACTAAAACATAGCTGAGATACGTAACCCCTCTGCTCAGTGAGCAAAAATCAGTGAGTGTGAGCACAAAAATGGAAAGGGAAAGACATCAAGCTCTCTAGAAAGTCAAGTACGTATATGTGCGGGAATTCTCTCTTACAATATTCGAGGATCTAAGGCATGAATGCTAGCGTATATACCCCATCCTTCTTCAATTTGCGTGTCAGGCTATCTGAATGATTTATATTTAATGCCTCCTATACGAAGTCCTACCCCTACAATTTCGGGAGACACTTGACATACATTCATTGTACATTGAGTAATGACTTAGTAATTGCGAATATCTTCCTATAATACAAAACAAAAACACCTATAGATCCCGTTATTGTGTGACACAATCAAAGCATGTACGCATATTAGAAGGATGGTAGGAGGGAATAATCAGACACGCATCATTTATCGGCCTCCTTTGCCCTTCTTCGACGACTTCTTCTTGTTCTTCAGGCTCTTCATCTGGGCAGCACGGTTGGCTCTAGCCTGTCTCTTTCTCCAGGCCATCCAGCGGTTGTTGCGATCATACGGCTTAGCTGTAATACCAGCTTTCTCCGCAGCGCGACCAATCTGCCAATTGGCTTCGCGATACATATAACCAGGACGTAGCCGAGCGCCCGTCTCAGTTTCCACGACTTCCACATTCCCAACCACAGAATCCGTTTCTCCCGCCGCCACCGAATTCGACTGAGGCTCGACGGGGGCATCGGACATGCGGGAAACAGCAACCCGATTCAGTTTCCGTCTAGACGGGGCATTTCGCGGTGTCGGTAGTTTACCATCCTTCTCGAAGCAAACTCCAATGTACTTCCGATCCGGATGTCGCTCGGGGTCAAGGTAGTAGCGCACATAACCGGCCTCGGTGGCATAGATGGTATGGTCTCGACCTATGGCGCAGTTCTCCCCAGCAAACCATTTCGTTCCGCGTTGACGAAAGATGATACATCCGGGAACAACGTATTCACCACCGGTTCGCTTTGCACCAAGACGTTTTCCAGCCGGATCACGGGAATGTCTATTTGCCGTACCCTGGGTGGCGTGAGAGGCATGACGGACATGGGAAAGAGGGAGGAGGAAGTTCGAGAATGTAGTCGGCGCGACGGTGGTTCGTGAGAGCATTGATGGCGAGGGGCGAGAGATCGGCTGAGACAAACGGAGAGAGGGGACAATTGCCCTCTCCAGTGCCCGTATAGGCGCCAGTAGTCTCGGCTGTAGCATTGCTTGTAGATTTGGGGCGAATGGAGGACACTGTTCGAGGTGGTTGCGCTGAGTTGGAGCGACTTTTTTCTCGGTGCAGATGGTCTTGGCAAGGTCACGTGTGGGTGGCTTTGGCTGTTTTGGTATAGAGACCACGATGACTTTATTGATGAACGCAGGCACTGAGACTACGCGATTCCCCGTCTGTCTCCTAGTTCTTTGACAGTTGGGTTTTCTTCCTATATGGGAATTGGGGAATTTAATTGTTGTGTTCTACTCTGTCCCATATTTCCCTCCTACGATGTTGCCAGCGTGGATTAAGACCCTCGTCGCTTGGGTCCTGTTGGCCTCTGTGGCACACGCCCAATTCCAGTTCTTCGAGCACATGTTTGGAGGTGGCGGTGGTCACCAGGAACGCCAACAACAAGCCCCTCAGAACGTACCTAGTGACAGTTCACGGTATCAGAGTCAATGGGAATCAGGTAAATGGCCATCCGAACCCTCTGAGTATCGGCCTGGTTGACCGTTGACTGACATGTGGTATCATCACAACAGCACATTGCGATAAATACCTCTGCCCTGGAACCCTCGCATGCGTTCATTTTCCCCATCATTGTCCATGCCCTCACCCGGACGTAGAGGAGAAGGTCGAACTGGGTGAAGGGAGTGCAGTTTGTGTTTCGAGGGGCGGATATCAAGCTGGGGAAGCATCGCGAAAGATTGAGTTGGCTCGGAAGGGGCTTTTGTGATTTCTTTAGACATTCAAGGTTCTCTTCTGTGGGGGGATTGTTACATCCAGATTCGTAGATAGCAAAAGGGCGGCGTGTTGAAGTATCTCAAAGCCTTGGATAAGATTTCCAACTCAGTTCAAATAACGAATTGCATCCATCGAAGTATGATGGCGATTCGCCTTCGTAGCAGTTGTGTCTATGAACGAGCATTACTCACGTGGAAGTATTGACATAGCTTTCGTCAGTACGACAGACCAGCCAGCGAAATAAGGCTAATACCACCCGAATAAAGACCTGTACATTCTAGAATAATGAAACTGAACTGACTTTAGCCAAACTCTTGCTCACCGTCCACGTTACTGTTCTGGTATGCTTCTGGTTACTTCTGCCACTATCTTTATCTCCGCTAAACTCCGCCTCGCTCTTTGTCATAATTTCTGCCCACCACGCATCGCATTCCTCTTCCTGTTCGTCTACAGCCTCGTTCCCTACTCTCTCCCGACGAACTAATATCCCTCCTCGCTGCGCACTGTCTTATACCATCTACTGCACTTGTTCGAGCAATGTGGAGTACAACACTCTGCCAGCCGCCATTGCGGTGGATTCAAGCGCCAGGTCGAGCGCTCTCAAGTTCATTCGCCAGAGGGCGTATTAATCCTCGTGGTCCTCGGAATTCGATACGGAGACCAGATCCTATTCGAAAGGAACGGATATCCCCTATTCCAGAGACGGATAACTCAAGTTCCCCGAATACCAACTATAGCCCTTCCCAGAACACGCTGCTCGCTCCCGTCCATATTCCAGAAGATCCGCATGCCGTGCTGAAAGAGACACATCCGGCAACGGCTATATTGGCCAACTCTGGGCTGGTGGTCCAGCGGCAGTTAGAGATGATGAATGTTATGATGTGAGTATCGTTTGGCTCATTGCAATCCAGTCGAGGACCCAGGCTGACTGACGGTGGTGTCCTGTGATAGTGGATTTGAACAAGCCAACAAGTACGTGGTTATGGATGCAAATGGGAATCATATTGGGTATATGGCAGAGCAGGAGAAAGGTATGGCCAATATGATGGCCCGGCAGTGGTTCCGAACGCATCGGAGTTTCGTGACGCATGTGTTTGATAGACATGAGAACGAAGTGCTTCGAGTATGTCTGTCTACGACCACAAAAGAGAGGTCCGTCTTTGATTCTGACTGTCCCAGTTTCACCGTCCATTCTCATGGATCAACTCTCGGATCCGAGTCTACGACCCTCTCGATAGTGCGAAGAGCGCTTATTCACCTTCCACGACTCTCCAACCCGTTCCGCTGGGTTCGCTTGCGCAGGCCACGGGCACCTCTAATGCTCGAATCTCGCCACTGGCATTCGAAGATATGCGCATCGTGGGAGAAGCCCAGCAGCAATGGGCTCCACTGCGTCGGAAATACAATCTTTTCACCTATCACCATTCACCAAACCCGACAACACACATGCGAACGGAGAGAATACCGCTGCGGCAATCGGGTCTGTCTGACGCACAGCAGATACAGTGGTCTCAAACGACAAAGGGCGCACAGAGTCTGGGTGAGTATAACCAATTTGCCTACGTGGACGAGCCTTTCCTGTCCTGGGACTTTAGCCTTCGCTCGGCGGACAGTCGGTTGATTGGGTCCGTCAATCGTAACTTTGCTGGGTTTGCGCGCGAGATTTTCACGGATACCGGTGTCTACGCTCTACGAATGGATTCGGCGGCGCTCGGTGCTGAACAAGGGGCCACCCCAGAGAATGCCGGTGACGGCATGACCCTCGACCAGCGTGCGATAATGCTAGCTACTGCTGTGGGCATCGACTTCGACTACTTTAGCCATCATAGTGATTCTGGCGGATTCGGATTCATGCCTCTATGGATCCCCGGGTTTGGAGGAGAGTCTGCCGCCGGCGCCGCTGCTGGCGAAGCGGGCGCTGTTGGCGGAGCTGCCGCAGGGACTCTTGGTCGAGCGGGAGCAGCCGGTGGCATGGCAGATGGTGCTGCTGCCGGTGCTGCCGGTGCGGGGGCCATGGCTGGATATGAAGCCATGTCTCGGAGCAGGCCAGGAGAAAGCACGTCCTCGTCCGCTCCGCCCGATCAGACACCGCCAGTCGACCAACAAGCGTCGTCACCCGGGCAGACAGGACCATATGGAGATGTCTGGGAGGACCCTTGGTCCCAGGATCAGGACCAGGACGATCCCTGGACTGCAGAAGATCCAGCCGATGGAGACGGCGAAGGGGACGACATGGATTGGTTCTAACAACAGTTGATGAACACTTGGCAAATGATAAATTAGCAATTGGCTCTGTATATAGATCTTACTATTCTCCTGTAATAATAATGATGATGTATTCGTGAATGCGTGGGAGAGCACTCCTGCAGTGTTGGCGGCAACTGATAAACCTCGAATGACCTCCGCCTTTTTTTAGCGGTGGCAACGAAAGCGCTTTTGCCCGCGCGAGTCCTCTTCCCTCCTTCTTTTCCCTCTCCCCCTTCAACCCCCAAAGGCTTCTTGCACCTCGAGTCTTGCGATCCTACCATCACTCTCTCTTCCTCTCTCTTCGTCCTTCGATTGGTCTCCGATTCCAGTCCATACATTTGCCGAGGCCAACCAACCAGCCGACTGATTCGTTGATCTGAGAACATCTCTTCCCCGCATTCTGTCGATCCGCCCTGCCGAAATTTGTCTCTTATCATGTCGTCTGTTGCGCAAAAACGTCTATTCCATGAATACAAGAATCTCTCGACGAATCCTCCCGATGGAATCACGGCTGGTCCGGTCACCGAGGATGACATGTTTCACTGGGAGGCGCTTATCCAGGGTCCGGAGGGCACCCCGTTCGAAGGTGGCGTCTTTGCGGCCGAGTTGAAGTTCCCCAAAGATTATCCACTAAGTCCACCGACAATGAAATTCGTGAGCGGTGGGGTCTGGCATCCCAATGGTGAGTGCCTCTCTCTCGCTCTCTCTCGCTCTCTCTTTTTTTTTTTTCTTTTTTTTCCCTGTGTCTAACTGACCGTCCACCAGTGTACCCAAATGGAACAGTTTGTATCTCGATCCTTCACCCTCCCGGTGATGACCCCAATCACTACGAGCATGCTTCGGAGCGATGGTCACCTATCCAGAGCGTGGAGAAGATCCTGATCTCCGTCATGAGTATGCTGGCCGAGCCGAATGACGAGAGTCCTGCCAATGTCGAGGCTGCGAAGATGTGGCGGGAACGGAGGAGTGAATACGTGCGTAAGGTTCGGGATGAAGTCCGCAAGGGTCTAGGATTGTAAAGGGAAGAGGCTGTTGTCAGTATATAGGTTGCCGGGTCCATATATGCTTTGGTCACCCAGCGCGTTGCATAGCATGGTCTGGTTGCACGCATTGTCTCTTTGTTAACGTGGCACTGGCGTTTGTGGTGCGTTCTTATGTCTTCTGAACATTCAGTTGGCCTTATATTCTTCTTCCATGTCATAAGTAGGTCAAGCGATGATAGAATTTGCGAAGGCTTTCCTACAACTTGATCCGTATCTAACAATGTCTGTGCTGTAGGCCACTGATGTGAATGCAATATAATTACAGTCTTCAGGATATCCCCTCCGGGTCACTCTGAACAGATCCGTCACTCCACAGTGGCCATCTTCTGGTCGATCCAACCCTCGATGCCACCATCCCGGTCATACAGAATTTCAAGCTCAGCTTTTAGATTCAACATGAGCATTTGCTGTAGCTCCGCACGCCATCCCGGCTCGGGCCCGTCAGCTGCCCACACGGGATTGTTTGACAGCATAGCGATGACCTTCTTCCTATCCCTACCGGTCAATCGAAGGAGGGCATCGTCTCCTAGTGGACTGGCATCCGTCACAACATCCGATGTGCGAAGTCCCAGCCACCGCAACCCGGGAATGTTCAGCCTCGCATTGTCGCTCGTATGCGCCATGGAGCCGTACTTGTACGTTGACATGATCGCCATGCCGTCAGGGTCACTATCAACCAGAGCGTAGATATGTGGGGACTTGTCGGACGGTCGGCTACTTTCAGACACTTTGCGGATGAACTCACGAGTGCACAGATCCGGATAACCTTTTCCCTGGGTCGAGATTGATTACTGTTCTGGGTTCAGCTCACGAGAACTTACCGTGATCAGAATCCCCTTTCCAGCTGCTGCCTTGGTATGATATCCATTCCTAGCTAGTCGACGATACACAGCCTAGATGCCTTAAGTACCAGGTTCACGCAGTATGGCTCTCCGGGGTTCTGTACCTCCTTTTCAAGGATCAAAATCCACTTGACGTCCGGAATATCGATTGTATCGATGTCATGTATCCTCGGCATCAAAGTATCCTGATGTAATGAACGAACCTGTGTTGCGATGATCATGGTGCATTTAACTGACCTTCTCTGAAGAACCACCATCTAGTATATCATGTGTCCTGGAGAGTAGCCGATAATGGCCCGTGACAAGCCCTTTTGCAGCGGCCTCCTTTGGTCATAAATTAGTTACTTCAGCACAATATCTATCTACATTGGAGAGAGTATGTACCACATTCAACGACGCTCGGTCAACTCCAATGGTGTGGGCCAGGTCGTCGATGACTGTATCAACAATTCTCTGAGAACCGAAGCACGCTGGATCGCTATAATATATGTCTCTACAATGCATCGGCTACTGTATCGGAGAGCAAGTGTCTCCTGAACATGTGAAGTACACACCTTTTGGAGATTACCAATCCCGTGTGAATTGCTTCCGTGATAACCGCAAGGATGCGAAATATAATGGCTATCAGGTGTGCGCTTAGCATCACAGTGTACTTCCGTCTCAAAGAGAACTCTTACTGAACTTCCACGCCTCGTAGGCATCTTTTCCTGGCCAAGTATAGTAGGTAACACGAGAGTCCGCTTCATTCGCCTTCAAGGCTCCAGTAGCAGGATCGATATAGCAGGAGGTCCTTGGGGGCCTCCGGCTCATGGCGATAGTAGGGCGACCATCAGGCGACGAAAGCTCCTCAATTGCTGCTGAGAGGGTGGTGGTAATGTACACATCGACGCGATCCCTAGGGATGAGTTCCGCGCGGTTGTGCGCCATCGAGCAAGGCAATCAAATTGAATAGCATAGAGCGACGACCGAAAGAAATGCAGATGGCCGAAGATCACGCCAGACCAAACAGGCAATCGTCATGTGCTCGAGGAGAGCATCCTACAGAATCCTTATTCCTTCCAGGCGGACGTGATTGTCTTCTCACTTTCTGGGCTCGATCCACAACAGCAGTTTTCTTCCGAGTTTCTCCAGGCTCTGAACACCGAAACCCACCTTCTCAGACCAGTATACTATAGCTCGTGTTCCTGCCTGTTGGTTTTCCATTTCAGTTCGGCCAGTCTTTTGATGACTAAGCAGCTTAGATCTTCCCCCGGGTTTCAAGTACTCCATTCCTCTCACGCATATCATTCCTCCATCCCTGGGAAGTCTCTTAGGCTGTCCTGTTATCTGCTCTGGTTGTCTCCCAAAGACTGTTTGGTGTCTTCGATCCCCAGAGATGGCCGCCGACCACATCGCTCCTTGGAAAACGGCCGCTGAAGGCCATCTTCGCGCCGATGCCAATGGGGACCCCAAAACAGACTATTCGAGATGGCGTCTCCGGGATGACCGAGGTCGCCAAACCTGGCATTACCTCGAATCGGATGAAGAGAATGAGAAATGGCCTCAATCGATCGCTGATAAATACTTCTTGGGTCTTCCTTTGGTACGAATCTCTGTTCGCCCTTAAATTCCTGGCCGTCCCGACCATCTGACTCCATGTTTAGGATCTTCCTGCATTGCCAAAGCCAAAGACGCCACTCCAGTGTGCCGAAAATGGCCTGGAATTCTTCTCTAAGTTACAACTTCCGCCGGGTAATTGGGCCTGTGAGTACGGTGGACCGATGTTTCTACTTCCCGGAATCATCATCACCTACTATGTGACCAACACCCTGATTCCCCCGGAGTATGCAACGGAGATTAAAAGGTATCTCTTTGCGCGCCAGGATCCGGAAGATGGTGGCTGGGGCCTCCACATTGAAGGTCATAGCTCTTGCTTCGGCACCTGTATGAATTATGTCACTCTGCGCCTCATCGGCACCTGTGAGGACGATCCTCGAATGATTAAGGCCCGCGGCCTACTCCATAAGTTTGGTGGCGCGCTCTATGGGCCGCATTGGTCGAAATTTTGGCTCAGTATCCTTGGGGTCATGGAATGGGACTGTGTCAATCCTGTTCCCCCAGAGATCTGGTTTGTTTATCACTTCTTTCCCTTGACCTTGCCCTGTCTGGTTTGTTACTCATGTGAACGATACTACTAGGCTCCTTCCTGACTGGGTTCCATTCGCACCCTGGCGGTGGTGGATTCATATGCGTCAAGTCTTCTTACCAATGTCGTACTTGTGGTCCAAGAAATTCAGCCATCCTTTAGATCGGCTTACCAACCAGCTGCGGCAAGAGTTGTACACACAGCCGTATGACTCTATTGACTTCAGAAGCCACAGGAACTCCATTCACCCAGCTGACAATTATTACCCTAAGACATGGCTTCTGAACACAGCCAATTTCTTCCTTGTAAATCTCTGGAACCCCTATCTTCGGTTGCCCGCGATAGTACGCCGCGCGGAGGACTGGACCTGGGAGCTTATTCGTATGGAGGACGAGAACACAGATTATGCAGGATTGGGCCCCGTGAATAACCCAATGAATATGATTGCTTGTTATGTTCACGACGGCCCTGATAGCTACTCGGTCCGTCGCCACCGAGAGCGCCTCCATGATTATATGTGGGTGAAGGACGAAGGCATGCTATCGAATGGCACCAACGGCGTCCAAGTATGGGACACTGCCTTCATTACTCAGGCTGTCGTCGTTGCCGGCTTTGCAGATGATCCCAAGTGGCGCCCGTTGCTCACCAAAGCCTTGGAATTCCTTGAAGACCACCAACTGCAAGAGAATGTTCCCGATCAAGAAAAGTGCTATCGCCAACACCGCAAAGGTGCGTGGCCATTCAGCAATAAGACCCAAGGGTACAACGTGAGCGACTGCACCGCTGAGGGCTTACGATCAACCATCCAGCTTCAGGAGATGCACAACTTCCCGAAACTCATTTCCGTGCAACGGTTGAAGGATAGTGTCGATTGTTTACTATTAATGCAGAATCCTACCGGTGGTTTTTCCGAGTATGAAATCACACGCGCGTCCCCCAAGGTGGAATGGCTTAATGCTGCCGAGGTGTTTGGTGGCATCATGATTAGTTACGACCACCCCGAGTGCACTACCGCCTCCGTTACGGCTCTTTCTCTGTTCAGCAAGTTTTACCCGGATTACCGCGCGGACGAGATCAAGGCGGCAAAAGAAAAGGCGGTTCAATACATCAAGCGCGTTCAAAGACCAGATGGAAGCTGGTATGGATCCTGGGGTATCTGCTTCACATATGCTGCCATGTTTGCTCTGGAGAGTCTAGCGAGCATTGGTGAGACTTATGAAACCAGTGACTACTCACGCCGCGGGTGTGAGTTCCTTCTGTCCAAGCAGATGGAGGATGGAGGATGGGGGGAATCTTACCTTAGCAGCGCGACCCATGTCTATACCCACCATGAAAAGTCCCAGGTCACCCAGACTGCCTGGGCCTGTATGGCATTGATGGAAGCGGGCTATCCGCACAAAGAACCACTCCAAAGAGCCATGAAGCTGCTAATGTCTCGCCAGCAGCCGAATGGGGAATGGCTGCAGGAAGCGATCGAAGGAGTCTTCAACCAATCTTGGTGAGTCCGATGCTTGCCCTTGAACTGGTCGATGAACCCGAAACTGACCAGAGTACAGCATGATTTCGTACCCCAACTACAAGCTCTACTGGCCTATTCGAGCCTTGGGCCTTTATAGTCGGAAGTTCGGCAACGAAGAGCTCTTGTGAGTGGCCTACTGTCCTGAATCGCAAGAGATGTGCCTGTAGAGGGATAGTTCAACCATTGTATGTACATTTATCTATAATGAAACGTAATAATCGGCTTCGTTCCAATGCATGTAGACATAGACCAGTCATTCATTGCTTTCATAAACTAGTTATTAACTGCAATCAGTAAACGAGCGCGCCAGAAAGCCAGGGGGCCACCTCTGTATTGCATATTAAATAGCACGTTTTGCGATCCCAATATCTCAACCAATATACTAAATGTACTGAAAGTTGATTCCTATTAATTAAGTACACACTGTAGAATGTTCCTTTATTTGGATTTAAAGATTTTTCCAGCCTATAATACAATGTTATTTCAAATACAGCTGTATTTAAAGACAGTTCTTTATAACATAAAGAACTACTTATAAGATTCCAGGTATAATATAGGTTTACATGCCATTATATCAGCCTAAATATGACGCTAGGCCCTATTAATATGTCATTGTTAAGATATTAAGATTTGTAAAGAGTGCCATTTTAAATGCAATACAGAGTTGGCCCGTCGGTTTCCTGGTTAAATTACGTCTAACATGAGATGACGCATGGCTGACATAAGCGCCAACAATCTCCCCGCAATTTCCAGAGAGAAAGCGATGGAATCAACACTGACCTTTCCATCTTCACCTGAGAATCTCCTGTTTTTCTTCCCCTGTTTACCTTTTTCCTTTTTTCTGCACGTACTGTCTCCCCTCTGATTCTTTCGATATCTTTCCTTCGCCCCAATTAATATCACTATTCAGATCGTTCATAGATTGAGCTCCGTGCGGAGAGGGAGCTAGTCAACTTGACAAGATGAACGCTGCGTCCCTGGGCGACAAGGCGCTCGCCAGCTCTGATTTTCCAAAGGCAATCTTACACTATACTCAGGCGCTGATCGAACTTCCCCGCGCTCCCCCCTACTATATCAAACGATCCACCGCATTCTCACGACTCAAACCCACGGACGGCGGTCCCAACCACCAGGCTGCGTTGCATGATGCGGAGATCGCCCTGTCTCTTGCCCGGGAGCGTGGGAAACGGGAACTCATTCTGTCCGCCCAGATGAGACGGGGCGTGACCCTATACCAGCTGGAGAAATACGGTGATGCAGCATTTGTTTTTGGAATTATTCAGGAGAAGGCCGTTGCGGATGTCGGATATGAGGATAAATCGGAGAAGGTGAAAAATGCGATGGCCGCCACTGGCTCTAGTTCCAAGAATGGCTACCAGCAAGAGCTCCCCATCTGGACGCTCAAGGTGAAAGGCAAACTTAACAAGCTGGCAGAAGGGGACGAAAAGGCTGCAGTGACCGTCACCGAATTCCCCACTGGCATCCACGCTCCCAGTGAGAAGGAACTCAAAAAGCAGCTGGAGTCTTTCAAATCGGGGAAGATTGAAGATAGTGATGCTGGAGCGTCGAATAAGGACGACGATAACACCAGGCCGCAGAACCCAGCCAACGCAGTAATTTCTACCGCCGAGAGCTCGGAAAGCCAACATAACGTTCCCAGTACCCCGGCTGCCCCTTCTGCTGACAAAGTGCGGCATGAATGGTATCAATCTCACAACTCCGTCGTCGTGACCTTGTATGTGAAGGGGGTGCCTAAAGACAAAGCGAGTGTCCAAATCACAAGTGACTCCGTATGACCCTTCATTTCGCTTCTTGGCCATTCTTATGGCGATATACCTCTCTAATTGTAAAACTAACGTAAACTACAGGCTACGGTTGGATTCCCTCTCCCGTCGGGCGCCGAGTATGATTTCACTCTTGATCCTCTGTTTGCATCGGTCGACCCATCTGCATCCAAGGTCTCGGTGATGGCAACAAAGATCGAGATGTCGTTGTGGAAAAAGGTTCCGGGACAGAAGTGGAGTTCCTTAGAAGCCGCTTCGACAGACGTTAAGCTGGCAGACCGACAAACCGTCGTCAGCTCTGCCCCATCAGACAAGCCAGCACCAGTTTACCCTTCGTCATCACGCCACGGGCCAAAGGACTGGGACAAGCTGGCATCGAATCTGACGGCGAAAAAGGCTAAATCCGGAGATAAGGGCAAGGCAAAAGCCAGAGGCGAGGAAACGGGTGATTCCAAGGGTGAAGATGCTGGAGAGGAATCGGATGGTGCAGAGTCGGCTGACTCGGACTACGGAGGTGGTGACCCCGTTGATGCTTTCTTCAAGAAACTGTACGCTGGCGCAGATCCGGATACCCGTCGAGCCATGGTTAAGAGCTATGTGGAAAGCCAGGGCACTTCTCTCAGTACGAACTGGAATGAAGTGAGCCAAGGGAAGGTGGAGGCCCGACCACCTAGTGACTAGAGTGACTGGAAGCGTGGCTACTTTGGGTTCCAGACAGGCTTCTCTCACTATGCAGTCGATGTCCATGGAGTTTACCAGGTCATTATTGCTTTTTAGCGGGTGTTATGTGATCGGTTGCATTTAATAGTCTTTGATTAATGCATAAGTAACTAGGTTTTCATTTCTTCTGTTTCACTTCTTTTTGATGCACAATGGCATAAACATATCTATAACAATAAAGGGGAACGTCACATATAGCGGGTAAAACGTAGAATCATTGCCCAAATTAAAGAATAACCTCCCATCCAGATAAACCATATCCTGACTCCTTGAGCGCCTACCTTTTTTAGCCAATACAGACTTACTCCATTGCTGAAATCCCCTGATATAGGAAAAACTGGACAAAAATACACATATCCAGGAAGAGAGTCCCCAGACTTCCAATCAGCCACGACAAGTTCACAAGGATATATCGGCCATATAAGCCGAAGGCTTCCCCAGAACGGCAACGGCCGGGCTCCTCCGGCGAATTTCCGCGGCAGACGGGGGAGTAGGCGAAAATGGAGAGGACGTAAGTCAAGTTACCGATACAGGCGAATAGGAAAAATAGCAAGGACACGCCTTCGGTGGATTTGCGCCTGTAATTTAAGAGGATCTGGGGCAGACGCGAGCCGAGATACAGCACGGCGCACAGATATCCAAAGACTTGCCCCAAGGGGTCAAACGAAAGGGAATCGGTACTATCGGATGGTACTTGTTTTCCTCCATTATTTTTTGACGAGCCCGGGCTGACATACCAGCCCACTATGCCAGCGGCACAAACTAAAAGAATTACAGTCACGTTGAAAACAAGGGCCTGGAGGGTGGAGATGCTGCGAACAGGTTTTGTTTCCTTAGGCGAAGGATCGACAAATGGGGTTGCCGGAGATAGATGAGTTCCATCGACTGAGGGATGGAGTATATCATGGAAGGTAGAAGATGTTGCCGAGTGTCTCCTGTGGTCCAGTTGGGATACGGGATGATGGGTGGAAGACGATGAAGTAGCCTGTGCGTAGCCACTGCTATGCTGGTCTTGGACGGCACGCGGCTGATCCAATGAGCCATTCAATTTTGAGGGCAGCAGAGTGGTCCGTTCTGAGGGAGCCTCGGTGTCACTTGTAAGTCTCTCCTGCGCATCGGAGTCAGAGCTAGACAGCTTGTCTCGAAGGCTGAAGCCTCGGTAATAGAAACACTGCCCTAGCAGCAAGATATCCGCAAGCGTATAGTAAACAGCAAGTATGACCATGGTGGGCAAAACCCCTTGCATCACGGCCCCTAGGATGTTGAATACATCGCCAGCCAGCCAGACGACGAGAAAGAGGAGTGAGAGGCCATCTGCAGAACCTCGACGAAAGTTTTCGATGATCTGGGGAGAGAAAACGACGACCCAGCAGGCAATTGATATTGAGCTTCAGAAAATGTCAGCGAGATGTTAACACTAGTCTGTGTGCTCGAGGACCTACCCACAGATTCCGCTCAAAGCGTCTAAGTCGAGGTTACCGGCTGGGGAGGGAAACATGGTCAGAGTGCGGGCAGTTTGGCGAATTGGCATGATCACCAATTCAACAGTCTAGTCCACGGAGTGGTAGGAGACAGAAGAAGGATCTGCCAAAACTTAGACCAAGCCGATGACGTTCGACAGCCGGTTCCAGTCACGTGGTTCCGCCGGGGAAACCAGCGGACGGACGGACAGTACATAGAATCATATTTCACACATGGGGCAAGCTGTGCTGATGCCAGCAAGATCTCCCATGCATGCAGAGCAATGCGTCCATCTCATGAGCGCAAATCCATTGTCAGCCATCATCATGTGATATACTGTGCTTAGTCATGTCGACAGTATCAACGACATCAACTATCTGACTCGCATCCAAGCATTGTTCCCATTGGTACGGTCGCGACTTTTCTTATCAGCCATTGTCAAATATGCGTCTTCAGTGAAGACGCCCTCGATTCCCATCTCTTTCACTGGCCCGCTGCCTCTGCCAATTATAGTCCCTCCGTCCGCACGCACGGTCTCGGGAGCCGTTGACGCTCTTCTATCCTTTTTACAGCGCCTCCGTCACCGTATCTACGTGGCATCGATGTTGGAAGATACTCCCAGACGGTACTTTTGACTGGTGCGGAGATCTTAGTAGCATCTGGCCTCTCCGATCATCGGGGTGAGAATGGCACCTAGGTCATCAATCGAACGTATTGACCGACTATTTTCATGAGTTCCTGACCCGTCATGAATCCCGTAAGAGGTACTGGGCCCGAAGCTTTGTTGGTTGGCCGGGACTCGTGAAAGCAAAGCCCAACATTACACACTGGGCCATTCGAGATCTCAGCGTCAAGGGCATACATCAACTCCATCGTGACGCAGACTGTCGATTCTTTTCACTCCATTGCTCATCCGCAGGCCTCTGTCCTGGTGCTTCATGGCTACCTAAGGTCAGAAGTCTACACCAGCTGTCGGAACCAGTTCTCACGCGCCCAATTCCAACAGTCGTTGAAGAAACTGAATCTAGCCTGGGCGGAGTTCTTGGCGAAGATTGTCGATATAGGAGCTCTTGATACCAATAACCCCGAGGAGCAGCGATGAAAAGGCTTTAAGCTCAATCCAGACGGCGACGTAGACTTGGCCGAGGGTCCCTATTCCACATTCAGGTATCCTTCCTGCCCAACTTGCTTAGAGAAACCTCCTCTGCTCGCCAACGATACTCCGGCCAGAGTAGATGTTGAAAGCGACGGTGGCTTGGCTACCCACCTCGACCGCCGGGATCCTAAAGCCCGCAGTCATCATGTTTGGGGAGAATATCGAACCCGCGGTGAAGGTGGCAGCAGAAGAGGCCATCGACGATGCCGGAAAGCTACTCGTGCTTTGTGGTGTCCTCTCGACCTATTCGACATGGAGATTGGTGGAAAGAGCTTATTGAAGAGGCATGCCGATTGGCATTGTCAACCTCGAGGGAGTGAGGAATGAGGCACTCCTCTTCGCAGAGTTCTCTTGGAGGCGCCTAGATGTTACTATATATATTTGGGTGGATCTGAGTACATATGAGTATAGAGTACCTAGAATCAAGAACCTAAGCATTATCATCCAGCCAGATCACATGTTCGCCATGCATACTAATTATAGTAGCACCCTTCTGGTAGTATTCTTTGGTGTATGTACATGCTTAAGAGTACATACTAGTACCTAAGAAGGATATGCATCTAGACGCCGTGGCGCAAAGGAACCACTGGATTGGTGGACTTTAGGCACGTGCGTGGGGGTACCAGTACTGTAGGAGCCTCTCTGTATTATACATATGGATACAGCATGCGGGCGATCAAACCAGCTCCATGCAACGGCAGGTCGGTAACGTACTGTACTGTGAGGCCAATACCTGACAGAGTCGGGTTGGAACTCAGTTGGACCAGCGCCGGTTTGACATGGACAATTGCAGCAAGTTAAGAACCGCAGAGGACCCTCCCACCCCTTCAGCCTATCATAACATTGTCTCGACTCTAGTTTCGCCCAAATCATTTCTCTACAACCACCAACGCTTGCAACCCTCCCCGACACACAATCCTGCCTCGCACGGAGGCACCACATCGCCCACGATGGATAAGGCCCAGCAACCCAGCTCGTTCCAACAACTGGAGAAGGTGCGCTGTTTCTGAGCCTGATTTTGAGAATGGGGAGTCAAGTTACTGACTGCTACTTGTGGGCTTCTGTCTAGCTCGGCGAAGGAACTTATGCCACTGTATGATGACGCTTTCTGCTGACACCTGTCCCACCAGGGTCATTCATTCCCCTTGACAAGCACATAACTAAAGGATGTTTTCGCGATAGGTCTTCAAAGGTCGGAATCGCCAAACGGGCGAGTTAGTTGCCCTGAAAGAAATCCATCTTGACTCCGAAGAGGGGACGCCGTCAACGGCCATCCGAGAGATTTCGTTGATGAAGGAGCTCAAACATGAAAGCATCGTTTCACTCTACGATGTGATCCACACAGAGAACAAGCTGATGCTCGTTTTTGAGTACATGGATAAGGATCTGAAGAAATATATGGACACCCGTAGCGATCGCGGTAACATGGACCAGGCTACGATTAAGTCCTTCATGCATCAGCTGCTCAAAGGAATCGCTTTCTGCCATGAGAACCGGGTTCTCCATCGCGATTTGAAGCCTCAAAATCTCTTGATCAACAAAAAGGGCCAACTCAAGTTGGGGGATTTCGGACTGGCCCGAGCGTTCGGCATCCCCGTGAATACCTTCTCCAATGAAGTGGTGACTTTATGGTACCGTGCCCCAGATGTCCTCTTGGGCAGCCGGACATATAACACGAGCATTGATATCTGGTCTGCCGGATGCATCATGGCTGAGTTGTACACCAGTCGTCCTTTGTTCCCCGGAACGACGAACGAGGACCAGCTACAGAAGATCTTCCGTCTGATGGGAACGCCTTCAGAACGCTCGTGGCCAGGTATCTCCCAGCTCCCAGAATACAAACCGAACTTCCATGTCTACGCGACGCAAGACCTTGGCATTATTTTGCCCCAGATCGACCCCTTGGGCCTAGATCTGCTTAATCGGATGCTTCAACTCCGACCAGAGATGCGTATCAGTGCCCATGATGCCCTGCAGCATCCGTGGTTCCATGACCTTCCTCAACTGCAAGCGCAGTTACAGCAGCAGCAGCAGCAGCAGCAACAACAACAACAACAACAACAGGTGGCTGGAACATATGGGGGGATGACCGCACCACAACAGGCATATTAGTAGTTCATAGCCTCCCCGGTTGATTTATTTCTTTATTTCTTTCTTCCTTTTTTTTTTTTTTTTTTTTTTTTTTTTTTTTTTTTTTTTTTCAAAAAAAAAAATCTTATGCCATCAGGTATTGAACGGCATGACGGGATGACGGGATTAGAATGGAGAGAGCGTGGCGTTTTGACCGAGACAAGCATATCAAAGACGATCATTTTCTCTGGCTGCATGCATGTTTACTATTACATAAATGAGGTCCTTATAATTACTATTGGCTTGGCTTGTGCATAGGTGATAGTTAGGTAGTCGGCATGTGATGAGAGCGACATAGCGTAATTTAAGCACAATCAATTCAAACCCTGACACTAGAAAACCGTAGCCTTGCTGCAGGTGCCGATACGAGCCAAAATTATTCAACAATTCTGGGGACCCAGAAGGAACAAAAGAATGAAAGAAAGGCCTACAAAAGGAATTACTGGGATTTTGGGATGCGCCCAAACACAGATGAGCTGACAGATATGCATCCACATTCCTTCCAGTTTGGATATCGTATAAGCACGAGGCTACTTCGGGTCCAACGACACTAGTTAACTTCTGGTAAAGGATCTCCAGATGGGCCCATCTGCTTTGTTTTCCCCTTTGAAGCTAGTTTCATCGGACTCGGGCCTCGCTGAATTTCTTCGTCCAGCCGCAGACTTCACATGGGTGGAGGCATTTACCCAATACGATCTCGTTGTGAATGGTGGCATTTACTCTCGAAGAATGAACATACTGCAGATGGCGTACATATGCCAAGCAACTCATTTCTTGGGCGATGGATGGCCAGTTAAGCCTCTTAACTTGCTCTTCTATCCACACTTGCGAGGGGTGCCCGGTTTAGTCGTAGATATCTGCTGTTTCATGTCTGCAGTAGTCAAAGGGATAGTCGGACAGGGTCTGACACGGTCCTCTTGGTGAACCTAATTTGGGGAAAGGAAAGAAAGAGGTCAATGCGAATCCACGTTGATCCCTGAAACAGGCGGCCCAGCCTTAGTCGAGATCGGATGAAGCCTTGGTTCCGTTCGCTCGTATTCTCCCCGCAAACACTTGTCCCATGCATTGTGGAATGCCCGGAGACATTGACCAGCACGCTGAGAATGGTTTTGGTTCTTTTCTTTTTGTCTCACTACAAGCTATTATTCAGATTTGAGGTGTCTTTGCTATGAACTTCGTTAATAAAACAAGCTTTGAGTCTCTGAATGAGCAATTTTATACTACGACGGAGACCCTCTTCCCATGGTTTATTAAACTCACTGGTTTTGGTTTCTACGTCATACACTCTCTTTGGTGGCGAATGAAGAAGGAGAATTGGCGTCCGTGAACTGAAGCTTTTCCTTTTTACAAACATCCTGCACACTATGATCTTGACGCCATGTCGCCGTCAGAAAACCAGTTATTCGCCATTTCCACAACGGAACGAGTATGTTCGGCTATCTCTCTGGCGGCAACTGCTATAGTTGTCGTTTCGTTCATCTGCTCGAGTGCATTTCGCAAGCCCATCAACCGGCTGGTATTCTATGCTTCCTGGGGTAACATAATGGCCAATCTGGCGACCGTTATCTCCCAATCTGGAATCCGTGCAGGACTAGACAGCCCCCTGTGCCAATTCCAGGCATTTTTGATGCAATGGTCGGTTTGATTGATGTTTTCTAAACCGGTCAATGGCACTGACTCAGTATCCATTAGGTTTATGCCAGCTGACGCTCTATGGACGCTTGCTATGGCATGCAACGTCTACCTGACATTCTTCCGAAAGTATGACTCGGAACAACTGCGACGACTAGAGTGGAAATACTTACTTTTCTGCTATGGGTTGCCGTTCGTCCCAGCCTTCACGTATTTTTTTATCCGAACCAAGGCCCGAGGGAGGGTCTACGGTTCCGCCCTAGTAAGTGCATAGCTTCCTTTGGGTTGTTTGGCCTATACGCTAATGTTGTCTGTAGATCTGGTGCTGGGTTGCCCCCTCTTGGGACTTTCTGCGAATTGCAGTGTTCTACGGCCCGGTCTGGTTCGTCATCTTCCTGACTTTTGCCATATATGCACGCACAGGGGGTGTGATCTACCAGAAACGACGACAGCTTCGTCGGGCCGGGAGTCTTGGTTCTGAGAATCTGAAGCCCAGCTTCTCAAAGACGACGGAGGTTAGCATCACGAGCGAGGTATCAAGCCCAAACGAATGCTACCGACCAACTGGTCAAATTTTTAGCCCAATAACTTCGAACCATCCTCACTTATTCATTAACCCATACTCAGTGACGATTGAAGGAGGGCCTAGCGGCGCCATTGCCCTAAAGACAGTGAAAAACGACCCTCCAAATCCACACTTGCAGCGTCGTATAATGGCGGCAGAGGCAAACTCGGCGGCTTGGGCCTACACCAAATATGCAATGCTGTTCTTTGTTGCCTTAATTATCACCTGGGTAAGTGCAAGGCAATCTTTCTTGAGAGGCTTTTTCATGGCATGCAACACGCATATCTAATAGATGTTTATGCTAGGTTCCGTCGACAATTAATCGGGTATATGCGCTCGCATATCCACAGAAATTCAGCTTTGTCTTGAATTATCTATCAAGTTTTGTTCTTCCCCTACAGGGCTTCTGGAATAGTATTATATATATGTCCGTCTCCTGGCCTGCCTTCAAATCTACATTTAAGAAGTTTCATCAAGGCAAATTGCTTGGGACGAGTCTCGGCAGTCACACTACTGCCGAAATGGGGAATGGCGACAGGCCGCCTTGTCCCTCTTGCACAAACGACAGTACTGAAAGGTTGACGAGCTAAGACCTTAAAGCTATCGTGTTCTTTATTTGTCTCATTTTCTACATATAGAAGCATAGACAAATGTGATCATATATGCAACCCCTGGATACTCGATGCTTTGATACTCCCTTCGTTAGAACCACATTCAGATGTAGACTGAAGAGGGGTTAATGACAAGACAAACTGTGGGATAGTAGTACACTGGAGATAAATCCTATAAGAATCTTCAATAGTATCAAGTTGAACACTGCATCCGGTTACATTCTCCAAGGTGGATGATCAATCTATACAGGCACGTGATCCAGCGCCTCCCTTCCGCAACTGATTGTTTCACATCCACTCAAACAGACAGCGCAATCCCACTTAACCAACCCCACCAAACCCTTTCTGAACCACGAGACAGCGACGAATCCGTAAAAACAAAGACAATGGCAGAAGAGCATGGCACTTCCCAGCCCGATCCGTCAAGATCAGCCGCTTCACCCTCTCCACCTCCCCCTGCCTCGGTTCCCCTTACGCCAGGGCCTCGCGCAGCCGTTCTGCAGAAAGTTTTCGACCAGGCGCTTGCACGCACGCTTCGGGCGAACTCGTACGCCAATTTCTCGGGTTGTTTCCCTACGCCGGCGAAATATGTCCCGTCAAGTTTGGAGTCGGTGTGGCGACAGCTGAATGCGAAATTGGAAGAGAGCGCTCGAGCGGAATTCGAAGATATCATTCGCGAGAGGGACGCAGTGCATCAATTAAACGAGCTAGATAGGCTCGTTGGGGAGGCAGTATATAGAAGGGACAACGGCCAGGGAGATGGTGATGTTGCGTATGTGTCCCAGCCCTGCCCCTGGGGTTCTGGTTTTGGTTCTTTTCCTCGGGAGGCCCCTTGACTGACTATTGAAATCTACGATCATCAGCGCCCATACTCTAACGCCAGATGAACTGTACCGTGCTCATCTTACACCGTACCTACAGGAGGCTCAGGAAACTTTGAATTCTAAAATTGAGTCTACTCAGAACGAAAACGCTGAACTTGCGCAGCGGGTTCAGACGCAGAGGATGGAAATCGAGAACCTACTATCTAGTTTTGACTCTGTGGTGGCGGACCTAGAAGGGGCCGCAGCTGCAGCGACCCAATTTTGCCAGGACCATGATCTCCGTAAAGAGGCTATTCAAATGGACGAAGAAGTAAAGGACAACTCGGACATCTGATCAGCGTCACGCAAACTGCGGACCTTTATATGAGTCGACCGCCTGCTTTTATTGGTGGAAAAGCTATCCCACTACGATAGTAAAGTTTCCATATCCGCCGCACTCACCCAGCCGCCCTCCACCATATCTTCAGCGACTGCCATCAACTCTTTGGGGGCGCTGTGTTTCAGTTGCTCCAGCTTCTCTTTTTGGCCTTCCAGGGCAGCCGTCAGAGCCTCTTTACAAGTTCCATCTCGTTCTTCTTCCACGCCCCCATCCCTTCTTGCCAAAGCCGCCGCGCCCCGATAGTATGTTTGAGCATTTCGAAGCAGCATGGCGGCATTCTGCTGGGCCACGGTAAACTCCCAGGGAGGCATACCAAGTCTCCATCTGTTCATCTCTACATCACCCCTTGCCAGGTGGATCTTGGGCTGGTTTTGCGGCTCTGGGAGTTTGGAAGCCTGGGTAAGGGCATCTAAAGCAGCGGACAGTAATTGCCATCGCAGTGTCAACGATTTCGCAAGCATTTCGGGGTCGTGAGAAGGAGGTAGATCCGTGACTGCTGTGTTGAACGACATCAAAGCGTCTGCTTTGCTGCAGAGGCCGTCAGGATCTGCGGAGATGTCTAAATCGGGCCCGAATGCACGTGCAATCTCTCCGTGATATGTTTCAATATCTATGCGTCCGCCTCGGTACAGCACCTCACTCAGAGCACAGACAAATTTTGCACGGGCCAACGATGCATCGTAGCATCTATCTGAACCATCGACATATAAGGTGATCTTTTCCTGGAGTAGATCGGAAGAATATTCCTCGACCCAAGCAAGTCCAACTCCAGGATCGAATGTGAGCAGATTGCAAAGGGTAGTGAGCGCTTCCAACTGTGCCACGGCTGTGTCGACGAGTGTATTCTTTGTCACGGGCTCAACGACGGCAGCCCATTGCTCTAGCTGTTCCGGATCCTTTGAGTCGACTGCCTCATCCGTCTGCTCTTGCGTGCTTTGAAATTCCTGTGTATCCATCTCGCCAGCTTCAATTCGTCTTATCTGCTCCTGCATTTCGGTGTACCTCATTTCTTGGAGGAGAAGGCAGCGCTGGAAGAGTTCAAGGGCCTCTTGGAGGAATTTCACAGCTTGGTTCAGTTGTTCATCCGCGGGACGCTTGATGTCGGTGATTGCCTCCGCAAGGCTCGTAAGTACCTGGGCCGTGTTGAACAGGATGTCCGCATTGTCCTGGTCCAGAGTAAGAGCCTCTCTGTGGGACTGCAGGGTTGTTTGCAAGACGTCTGCCAGTGGAGCGGTTAACTGAGAAGCCAATTTAGGGTGCTGAGTGATTTCATATTGGACTCTTGCTCTGATTGCCATCAGCCTATGTTTCTAACCGTCTATTTTGTCGAGATGGGGCTGTTAGCTACTTACTTGTTGTAAGCGAGATCGAAAGCATGGGGATGCTTTTTCAGGCCTTCATCATACGTTGCAATGGCACGCATGAAAAAGCGCATGGATTTGGCTGCATCTCCCGCGCGCCATTTCTCCCCAGCCTCTTCTTGCTCAACCCCGACTAGATAGGAATTTAATCAGTATTAATGTACGATGATATCATGAAAGTAGTAGTAGTGATGAGGATTCGTGGATGCATGCTAGAGAGGGCTTTACCAGCTAAGAACTCATCTGCTGTTACTGGAGCCTGTTGGGAGTTAGTATGCACATGTGACGCCGACCGGGTTGAGAAAAGATGGACTTAGGTACCTACCTGCCGTGCCCCCGTCTTCTTCTTGACGTTTAACTCCTTCAAAAGGGATTTCGGTTTCGGCATTTTGACCTGGGGGATACTCTATCAAGCAACATCCAAGGATGTTATGAAGTAGCCCAAAATACTAAGTCCTTGGAGATATCAATATTGGAAATAAATGGCGTGCTGTAACTGCGTGATTTGCCAACTCAAATTGAGTCCCGTATATATAATCAAAAACATATAAAAAAGACATGACGTTTCTGTATTTTTTTCGCGACGAGGGGCCCTATATAATAGTGCCGAAGGTTATAGACCGCCCTACCCACCGCCCGATCGTCTCAATGATAGGTCTAGTAGTATTAGTGTTTCAGCGAAACAAAGCCAGCAGTTTCAGAGTGACTTGACCTGCATGGGGAGCAATTGATCTTCTGGCATTGTAATGTAACCTAATTGATTTTATCTGCAGATGACGGATCGAATCCTCCGTACCTAGTTGTCGAAATCGACTCGGAGAGGATTGTGGCAATGCTTGCCCCTTTGGTCTCGCCAAGGTCGGGGACGGATCCATGACAATGGTGTGAGTGTTGACTTGTCACTGTCATCAATTTGCCACAAGAGGAGAAAGTGCGGTACAGGATAGCCAAAGGGATCGATCGGCCGCACGCTAAGCAATTCCTGGGATGGGATTACTCTCGGCACGTGGCAATAATGGGGTAGTAGTCTACGAAAGGTAGAGAGTACAGAACGGAGTTGATCGTCTTGCTGGTTGGATGTATAGGAATTGCTTCTATGTTTCAGAATCTCTCTTTGCTAAAATTTCGACTCTTTCTCTCTCCCTCCCTCTCTCTCTATCTCTCTCTCTGTGTGTGTGTGTGTGTCCTTTTTTGGACTGTCTTTTCCGTTTCATTCATTCTTCATGTGGTAAACTAATAATTAGACGCTCAAGTCTAAGCGCCATAGAAAGGAGGATGGTATGATGCACCCAGTCTTACCTACTTCGTAAGCATCACAAGGTCTCAGACCAATCTAGTGTACTTTGTACCTTGGCCGACGATCATCGTGCCCAAATATGCAGTAAGTGACCCTATTATCTCCCTTATGTAATGTACCGAGCGATCACGTAAACCTCATCACTGATCGCTGATTCTTAGACAGCACCAAGAATTTTTGACTCACTAAAGATAATTACTGTAGAAATGTATCTGGTAGATATGTCATCATTGACTCGTTCCCTCGTATAGTACATACTGCCCAGTAAACAACCTTTCATATTGCCTACCTAGGTAAACTTTCGCTGGTACCTGGGCAATACTTCGTACGACGTAGCCCAACCAACCATCCCGTCAATTCCCCTGGTTTCGCGTGGCCGAGTTTATCAGCTCTGTGTGGGTTGTCGCAGTGCCTCCGTGACCCACTGTGTCATCCGTTCCCTTCAGTCCCCGGCTCTCCTGAATTAATGGTCTTGCATATATTTAGCTGCCACGACTTGGGCGCGCTCGTCCACTCAATCACTGTGATTCCTTCGCTCGAAAGAGAAATAGAAAATCAACCCGGTCGCTCCTTGAACCTGCATCTTGTTTACGTCTTTCTCTATCGATCTCTTACTATTTGTCTATATTATATCCTGGACTTTCTGGGAAGGACAATACACGTACGTTGCTCTGCATACCCTAGAGGCACCTGTCAAAGCCATAGGAAATTTTCTTTGGAGGTCCTGGGGGTGCATGTCTACATTACATTCATGTCTCTTTCCCCCTCTCAACTTTTTTTCTCTTTTGTTTTTCTTTGAAACGTGGGGGTTTACTCTTTGTTCTTTTACTTTCTCTTTTTCGACTGATCCTTAAGTTGTGCTAACCGCTTTGATCTAAGAACAGCGCTCGACCTTACACTTCCACCTAAAGTGAACTTGTCTCTTGACTGAATATAACGCCCTCACTCCACACCGCGACATTACATCCAACAACCACATCATCATCAGTTATGGCCAGACATACTTCTTTGGATTCCGAAAGACCAATCATGACTCACTCGGTAAGTTGAACCAGGCTTTTTTCGTCCTCATTTACTCTCCGCAATATCCTCTGACTCCATCTAGAATCGGGGATCGAAGAGGTTCTCGACTGTCAGTGGAAGCCCCTCTACTGCTTCGTCGGAGCGTACCCTAGGAAGCCTGCCAAGCGGTGATCCTCGACTGGCCGAATTCCACAATTTGCGTGATGGATTAGAGCGCCTGGAAAACAAACCGCTCCAAAAGCAACGCTTCGTCCCTACACCGGAGAAAACCGATAATTTGAACAAGCTAGCTCTTAGTGCCAAGGTAGAACGCGCCCTTGACCGGAGAATGACAGGCCAGGATGCTATCATGCGAAAACCCATGCTGAGCGAGAAACCGGCCATCGAAGCTACCTCTGCGTAATGTACCAGCGAAAACTATCTAATGTCCCATGTACAAGCGTCCAAGCTGGCCTTACGTGATGTGATACCTCAATGCTTTGGTTTATATGCTAGATTCAGTTCTGGCAAATCTTTTCTGGATTTTCTCTCGGGATGCTTTTGCATGTTTTGTCCAGTTTCGTATTGGTTTCCCTTGGTGAATCGAATCCTATGAATGAGTTTGATACCTACCTCCTTTCTACAAGAAGCCTGCCTTCCTATGCCCACCATACCTCTCTCTCATAGCCAGTTGTCTTATGTTCTAAGTTGATGAGAATTTTGCGCTTGACTTACTGATTCGCTTTTTTCTTTCTTTCTTTCTTTTTTTGCCTCCGTCTCGATTTACCTCTCCTTATGTTGGATATATCCGTGGTATTTTGTGAATGTATTTGCCTAATAAAGATCATTAATAGACTCTAAATACGTAATTAGTAGATAGTCTGGACCAATTAATTTTCCCATGTAATTTAATGCCGCTCTTCACTAACAAACAAAGACTTGGGCGACGTGAAGGTAGGAAATACCTCGAGGATTCCTTCTGTTTACCTTGACTAGTTGATTGAGTAACCCAATGCCGTTTGGGGTCGGATGGTTCTGTTACCTAAAAATGCATTTCCATCTGTGTCGAACAGAGTCAGCAGCAGGTCAGTTAAAAAATGCTGTTAGCTCTCAAGGAATACAGGCTTTCTGCGCCCATTCCGACTAGAGAGACTGGAGTGCATCCATGCGGTACTCCAAGCGCGGTCCCGGCTTCGGCAGGCGGTGGGTACTGGCATCGATTCTGCCGCGCCTGCCAAACAAGAGCGTCCAGTTGGTAGTTGGGGGAACCTCCATTTGAATTATTTTGCACTGGCTAAGCAACTTGAACCCTGTCTTGTTCACAGCACACCTTCTTGCTTGCTCCTTCAATCCATCACACTTTTCCACTTCACAACTTTCTCTCTAGCAATCTCCAACTTCCCCACTTCCCCTGTCTTACCTGCTTCTTTTTCACCCACCTTTTCCCCGGGCTTTCCCTTCGCGAATTTAACTGATTGGAAATCGCACAAGAATCTTTCCTTCTCCGTAACAACCACAAACTCAACAACTCCTTTGCCCGCCATCAATTCCAGCTTTTGTTTTCCCCCATCCAGATCTTTTCTTTCCTTTCCTTTTCTTGTGCCCTTTTCATCTAGCATTGTGAGTATCCGTATTCCCAGTCATTACCACCCGACGGTTTCTTACCGAGGTGTACACCTTGGCTCGCATCACTGACAAATGAATTCTGATAGTCCAAGCGAATCGGGAAAAGTATTCTTTTTTGCTAGATTCCTCCTTATCATCTCATCGCCATAGAGGCTCTTCATTCTTATATCATATCATCTTCTTCCCAGCTTCTTTAGAACTTACATTTTTTTTTCCGTTTCTTTTTCGTTTCTTTATACTCTCCCGAGCTCTTAAGATTTTCACCACACAATGGCCGACACTACTACTCAGGCTCCTATAAACGGCAATTTTCCTGCGCAACACACCTATCACGACTCTTACAACCACGCTCATGTTACTACCAACAATGTTGCCAGCTTCCAGCCAGTCCAGTCCTCCACTCCCACAAATGCCGTACCTGAGCAGAAGAATGGAATCTCCAAGGACGAAGTCGGTTGGTACTTTGTTGAGCAGTACTACACTACTATGAGCCGTAACCCGGACAAATTGCAACTGTTCTACTCTAGGCGGTCGCAGCTTGTCTTCGGTACTGAAGCGGAATCGGTTCAGGTTGCTGTTGGCCAGAAGGTGGGCTCCCCCCCGGGGTCATGCAAATCTCCGTTTTATAGGCGCTGATGTTGATTGTCATCGTTCTTGCATTTAGGCGATCAATGAAAAAATAAAGCAACTTGATTTCCAGGACTGTAAAGTCCGTGTCCTGAATGTTGATTCTCAGGGTTCCTTCGACAACATCCTGATTACTGTTATTGGGGAGATCTCCAATAAGTCAGAGCCCTCTCGTAAATTTGTGCAGACTTTCGTGCTCGCTGAGCAACCCAATGGGTATTATGTTCTCAATGATATCTTCAGATACTTGGTTGATGAGGAGGAGGTCGTGAATGAAGAGACTGTTCCTGCCACTGCGCAGATTGCTCCGGCTGATGAGCCAGCTGCTGAGGAGCCTGCGCAGCCCGAGGCTGAAAGCGTATCAGTAGTTGCGGTTCAGGAAAATGAAATCCCTGCATCAAAGGTGGAGGAGAAACTCGAGGAGGCGGAGAAGAATGGTGACGAAGCGCAACCCAAGGAGGCTGATTCTCAGGTAAATGGAACGGAAGCTCAAGACACCGTGACTGAACAGATGGCTTCGGTCCCAGTGACGACAGAGGTTCCTGAAGTCGAGAAACCAGCAACTCCAGAACCTACCCCAGCTCCGTCTGTACAGAAGGACGTCTCCGCTCCCGCCAAAGAGAATGTCGCCCCAGCCAAGGCTGTCCCGAAGACTTGGGCTACCATCGCTTCCAAGTCCGGTGCTTCGGTTCCTGTTGTGCCAGCTATTCCGGTTGCTCCGGCTAAACCTGTCCCTGTTGCTAGCTCCACGCAGCCGGTCACAGCCGCCACTACAGCCGCCACTACAACCTCCACACCCGAAAGCGCCCCTAGTCAGACGCCCTCGAATGATGGATCGGGCTGGCAGACCGCTGGCCACGACCATAAGAAGACCCAGTCCCGTGCGGGCGAAGAACAGCCCGTTCTCGCCTACATTAAGAACGTCACTGAAAAGGTTGACCAAGGCTTGCTGAAGCAGGCGCTGCTGCGCTTCGGAAAGCTTAAGCATTTCGACGTGAGCCGCCAGAAAGTAAGTCTTTAAAGTTGACGGCTCCAGTACAAAAATGAAAGACTCGAAAACTAACTAGTGTTTTTAGAACTGTGCCTTTGCTGAGTTTGCTGAGCCGGCTGGGTACGCTGCTGCTGTGGCTGCTAACCCGCATCAGATTGGAACTGAGCAAATTTACGTCGAAGAACGTCGAGCTCGTGCCAACGCGTATGGTGGAAATGCCAACTATGCTGCTGGCCGAGGCGGTGCTGGTCGTGGCCGCGGAGACCGTACTGGTAGCCAGGGCCGTGGTGGCTTCCAGCGCGACGGTCGTGGAGGTTTTGCTTCTCGTGGCCGAGGAGGAAATGCCAACGCCAAAAGTCGCAATCAACCGCAGGCCGCTTAAGTTACGGGTTTGTGTCGCCTAATGAATGAAAAGGGAAATCGTATTAATGGAGAAAGAAAAAAAAAAAAGAAGAAAAGAAACCAAAAAACCAAAAAACCAAAAAAATTCGAAGTGATGAAAAGAACCCCTCATCCCCCAATATCTCTATCCAAGTGATTTTTTGACCCTCCAATTTTTATTAGCCTTTCATCCTGGCTTACAATGGCATACTAGTTTGGGTGCTTACCGTGATCCAGGGCATGTATTACTCCTTCTTACTGATAATGACATGTGTTATGTGACCCTATTTATTTATTTTATTTTTTGTCACAGTGCATATTAGCGGTTGGAAAAGTTTTCCTTTCACATTTCCTATCTGGGGTTTCGTCATTGGCCTATACTCCATGATGTTTTGTGCTTCTATCACTGTGTTGTTGACATGACCTACTTTCCTATTTAGCATAGCGAGCTGAATGCCCGTATTGTTATTAGTTGGCCTACCCTGTTTACGGTCTTGCACTTTGCTTTTCCCTCTCCTTATCCTTTTGCCTCTCCCATGTGTTGCTCTTGCCCACAGGTCTACTTTATCAGATTTTAGGGAATGTCAATGGACGACATGGCTTCTTTCCCTTCCAACGTCTTCCCCTTTGGGGGTTGAGGCTGTAGCTGGGCCTGCACAGCCTTCTAGGACAAAGTGGACATGTTGGGTATTGGTCTTGGGGACGAGTCTATGCGTATATCCGTATACATATTGTACATAGGTGACGTGGTTGGTTGATCAAGCTTACCAACCTTTGCCTGGGTTGGAAGGGGGGCCAGCACATTGCAAAAATCAGCACTGACAGGAGTCACTGGTGGTATTTCAGGCCAATAGAATTTAAAATAGGAGAGATACTCTTATCGTTAACGGCGATGAGATGAAAATACTAGTACTATGTATGTATGGCTGATCATCCAGAACGCTGTCCGATAGATGACGGCAGTGGTAGGCAACCAGTGGGCCAGGATGTCCTGGAACCACTGGAGTAGGAACGCTGGGGCCCAAGGTACTTATTATCTTACAGTATAGGCCACTTTAGTACACCGACTGGAATCTTCTGGCGGAGAGCCAGGCGGAGTGTCATGAGTCGTTCAGTCGGACTGTCATGGAGCTGAGAAGTACCTGCATTGCCCGATATTATGGTGCGGTGTGCAATGATGCTTCCTGATTGGCCCCGCCTCCATCTCTGGTGGAGCGGAACGTTCTAGATTGACTGCCTCAGGCACCAGGATAGAATGCCCGTGGCGTTATGGAAACCGAATCGACGCGGGGGAAAAGGTCGAAGGGGACAGAAGAACGGATTGAAAGAGAAGAAAAGTAAAAGGGAAGAAAATTTGTTTAAAAATAGAATGAGGCTGGTCAGAATCAAGGAGTACGAAGTATTTCAAAGGGATGTGCAGTATAGAACATCCTAGAAGACTATGGCGGAGAGCGTGGAAGTTGCTGGATCGCCGTAGAACCGACCGCACCGAAATTTGCTTTCCCTCCAGAGCAGAACATTAAGTTCTCCGCCCCGCCAGTTTTTTTCTCCTACCTTCTTCACCTCCATCTTATTTTTCCTCTTCTCCTCCCCTCTGATCTTCTTCATCTTCCATCTCACTACCATCTTACCAAATCTGCTTTTACAGCAGGTCTTTTACATCCCTTGATTCTTCTTTATTTCACACCCACTGTAAGTCTACTTTTAGCTCACTCTCTCCTCATCTCCTCCTGGTTGCTGTTGAGGCAATGCCTGGGCTCCTGCTGTTGAACTGCTGCTGCTACATCGGGATGTCTACCAACCTCTCACAAAACATTGGGCATCGATTTCCTCATCCTATGACTGTGCCCTTATATTCGTATTGTCTTCAGCGATAACCAAACTAACGAACCACTGCAAAGAATTTCCACTTTCTCTTTTCACAATGTCTTCCGAAACTTTCGAGTTCCAGGCTGAGATTTCTCAGCTTCTCTCGCTGATCATCAACACCGTTTACTCCAACAAGGAAATCTTCCTGCGAGAACTTATCTCTAACGCCTCCGATGCTCTTGACAAGATCCGTTATGAGTCCCTGTCGGATCCCACCAAGCTCGATTCGGGCAAGGACCTTCGTATCGATCTCATCCCTAACAAGGAGGCCAAGACTCTGACCATCCAGGACACTGGTATTGGTTTTACCAAGGCCGTAAGTATCTCGTTCCCGCTCAGCGAAGCATGCAGCTACGAGCAGCTACTGATCTAGCATTCCTATAGGACTTAATCAACAACCTTGGTACCATTGCCCGTTCCGGCACCAAGCAGTTCATGGAGGCTCTGTCTGCCGGTGCGGATATCTCCATGATCGGCCAGTTCGGTGTTGGTTTCTACTCTGCCTACCTGGTCGCTGACCGTGTCACCGTTATCTCCAAGCACAACGATGACGAGCAGTACATTTGGGAGTCTTCTGCTGGTGGTACCTTCACCCTCACCCAGGACACCGAGGGTGAACCGCTTGGTCGCGGTACCAAGATCATCCTCCATCTCAAGGATGAGCAGACCGACTACCTCAACGAAAGCCGTATCAAGGAGGTTGTTCGTAAGCACTCCGAGTTCATCTCTTACCCTATCTTCCTCCACGTCCTGAAGGAGACCGAGAAGGAGGTCCCTGATGAGGAGCAGGAGGAGACGAAGGAGGAAGAAGATGATGAGAAGAAGCCCAAGATTGAGGAGGTGGATGAGGAAGAAGAAGAGAAGAAGGAAAAGAAGACCAAGACCATCAAGGAGAGCAAGATCGAGGAGGAGGAGCTCAACAAGACCAAGCCTATCTGGACTCGCAACCCCGCAGATATCACCCAGGAGGAGTATGCTTCCTTCTACAAGTCTCTCTCCAATGACTGGGAGGACCACTTGGCTGTCAAGCACTTCTCCGTTGAGGGTCAGTTGGAGTTCCGCGCCATCCTCTATGTTCCGAAGCGTGCTCCCTTTGACCTCTTCGAGACCAAGAAGACCAAGAACAACATCAAGCTCTACGTTCGTCGTGTCTTCATCACCGACGATGCCACCGATCTCATCCCCGAGTGGCTCAGCTTCGTCAAGGGTGTTGTCGACTCTGAGGATCTGCCTCTCAACCTCTCTCGTGAGACCCTGCAGCAGAACAAGATCATGAAGGTCATCAAGAAGAACATTGTCAAGAAGACCCTTGAGCTCTTCACCGAAATTGCCGAGGACCGTGAGCAGTTCGACAAGTTCTATTCCGCCTTCAGCAAGAACATCAAGCTCGGTATCCACGAGGACTCCCAGAACCGTCAGACCCTCGCCAAGCTGCTCCGCTACCAGTCCACCAAGTCTGGCGACGAGGCTACCTCCCTCGCTGACTACATCACTCGCATGCAGGAGCACCAGAAGCAGATCTACTACATCACTGGCGAGTCGATCAAGGCTGTTGCCAAGTCTCCTTTCCTGGACAGCCTCAAGCAGAAGAACTTCGAGGTTCTGTTCCTGGTCGATCCCATCGACGAGTACGCTTTCACCCAGCTGAAGGAGTATGATGGTAAGAAGCTTGTCGACATCACCAAGGACTTCGAGCTTGAGGAGACCGAGGAGGAGAAGGCCGAGCGTGAGAAGGAGGAGAAGGAGTTTGAGGATCTTGCCAAGAGCCTCAAGAACATCCTTGGCGACAAGGTCGAGAAGGTTGTTGTCTCCCACAAGCTTATTGGCTCTCCCTGCGCCATCCGTACTGGTCAGTTCGGTTGGTCTGCTAACATGGAGCGTATCATGAAGGCCCAGGCCCTTCGTGACACGTCCATGAGCTCCTACATGTCCTCCAAGAAGACCTTCGAAATCTCCCCCAAGTCCTCTATAATCAAGGAGCTTAAGAAGAAGGTTGAGGCCGATGGTGAGAGTGACCGCACTGTCAAGTCTATTACTCAGTTGCTCTTCGAGACCTCTCTCCTGGTTTCCGGTTTCACCATCGAGGAGCCTGCCAGCTTTGCCGAGCGCATCCACAAGCTGGTCTCTCTCGGCTTGAACATCGATGAGGACACCGAGACCACCGAGGAGAAGGCTGCTGAGGAGGCTGCTCCTGCTGCCGCCGCCGCTGGCGAGAGCTCCATGGAGGAGGTTGACTAAATGAATTGATGCGTCTTAATCGGAATGGAAACGAAATGTAATTGCTTTTTTTTTTTTTTTTTACGACCTCAAATAAGTTGTTCCAGCGGTATTTGCATCAGAGTTTTCTCTTATCACTGGACGATGCTGCTTCCTGAACCGGAATAGTAGGAGACGGTTTCTTTTTTCCCTTTGGCGTTTTGAGCGTTTCTTACTCGTTAATTGAAGTCTGAATTTTTCTCCTCAGTTTGCCTCTTGTACGGGGGCTTTGAAGAGTATCATCAGACGGGTAGAGATCTTTTAAATCAAAAGCTTACCCTGTTCGTCAATTCCTTTCGTTCCTACAATGGTACGCAGTAGAAAGTTGGGTATGGCCTGTGTCTACTGGGGGTCTGGTATACCAAGAGGACCGCTTTTTGACCTTCAAAACGATCCCAGCTATTGCTACCGGTAAGATCGACAACCCACATTCCGATCTCCCGTTAGATTCCGAACACCGCATTGAATCAATATATGAAGGAAAATGCATGAATTTCATAACCACTATCTAATAAGCCTGCAATTCAAGCCATGAGGCATTCAAACCTGCCTGCAAATCCTCATTTGCAGCCTTTTTAGCCATTAATTCGGGCTCTTTGGCCCTGATACACACAGTTTCTTCCTTCGCCTCCTGTATAGCTTTCGTAATCTGCTCTATATTGCTAAGCCTGGTATTTGGGTCCTTTTCAACCCGCTTCTTGACCTTTGGCTTCTCCAGGGTCTTGACTTGAAATTGTAAGCGGGAAATACGGTCCTCCTGCAAGACTTAGGTCGTATTTCGCTGGCAGATATGCTTCCTCTCTTTCTGTAGGAAAATGCGGGCATCTTAGGGTAGTGTTTGAGTCTTTTCAAACAGTCAGAGAACTTGATGGACTTGGCATTCGTTCCCAGAAGTGGAATAAAGTAAATCAGCCTTGGAAACTAGCTAAGTAGAGGGGGGAATTAAAGGTCTGGGAGGATCAAAGCAGATAAAATAGTTATTACCCCCCTTGTCTTCATCAAAAGGATGTAAACCAGCTTCTTCCCAGCTATTTTGCAGTATAGATTTGTTAAACTCTGTACTGCGAGTCTTTTAATAGCATTAGATAAAACGCTCTTCCTTAATTAGGGCTGTGTTATCTAAAAAAGCGAGTGACTATCTCCTGATAGGGAGCTTTAACACTCGAAAATGTACCAACATCAAACGGTTAAAGGACGTGGCTGGTATAGGGTGAAAGGAATAAGACTTGGACATTATTTATATGGTATTGCCATAAAATTTTAATATAATCATGGCTTCCGTAGCCATCTAATAGTAGTAATCTGGTTTGACCGTCGGGTGGAGCTGTTTTAGGTAAAAAGATAGATTTTAACCATGTAGGAGCAGTAGAATTAAAGTATCCAGCCATTCTCGAGGTGGTATATAGCCAATCTGGTACAGTGTTTAATTAAAACCAGGTTATTTAAAGAGATTGACCGTTAAAAATAACCAACGGCAGAATGTACCGACCAAATGGATCAATAGTTTTTAATAATTGATACCCATTCTTTATTTTCCGGGCCTTAAATAAGTGTGTTTCTTTTCCACTCTCTGCTATTACTATAAAGTTTGTACAGATCCTAAGAAGATTAATCCCATGCTTATCCATATCCCATATATTATCTAGCTGTATGCAGTATTTGGTGGTTATCTCTAAAAGCTTATAAAAAGCACGGATCTGTGCCAGTCTTGTTCCCCGTACGCGGCTTTATGGTATCCTTAGGCCGAATCAGCTCTGAATGCGTGGATTCCGTTTTTTAAAGCCGGAGGGCCAGTCTTTCCCCAACGGTGCGGACGCTATAAATGCAGAGGATTCGGAGGGCAATTTCACGTGTACGGGTGATGGTGCTTATCCTAGCTTACAACCCAGTCAGCAAGAAAGCGCTCTTGAACTAGAGTCAAACACTGAGAAGCTTAATAAGCAATAGTCTTTGAAGCGCGCGCCCTTCATCCGGCCATGAAGGGTGGTAAGGGGTAGGTTATATAGCATTGAAATGGCTCTTAGAGATGGAATTCTTTTAGATCTAAAATCTTCAATAGCTGCTTGAATAGCTCTCTCGCGATCATCCATATTGAGGAGTGTTTGGTGGTGTGGTATGTGGTTAGAAAGTGGGATGCAACGCGGTGTTCTATGGGAGATCAGAATGTAGGTAGCCGAACTTACCCAGAGTACATTCACTATGAGTAGTTCAACCTCCACGGCAGTAAGTGCTCTACTTCATCACAACTATATATATTCCCAGAGAAGCACACTCTCTGGTAGACAAAAATACCATCCATAAAATAAACAATAACTACTCCGTATTATGCCTAGATAATATGTATGGTTAATTATCTGTCAATAAAGGGGTAACCTTATAGTACCATAGTAAACGCCAGTGCAAGCAAAACGACACACTATGTGATTTCAAGCGGAGTGATACAAAAAAAAAAAAAAAACCCCTGAAGAAATGAATAACCAAATGCCAACAATAAGTTTCTTATGGGTGCATATCATGCCATGACAGTCTGGAGAGAAAAAGTTACTGACTTGGTGGTAGGGGTCTAGTGTATGGGCTTCTCTCTTTCTCCCCTCTGTTATTGAGAAATACTTGTAGAAGTCGAATCGCTAATTTCGCAGTCAAGAACTAGCTAGCTAGTCGCTAGGGCTACACCAGTCAAATCGCCATTCAGAGAAACCTCGAGAGGATAACCCCCAAGACTTGGCCAGCCAGAGGGCCAGCCCTCCTACAACCCCGAAACTGCCCACGATTTGGACAATGGTCCATCCGCGTTGCCTCAAGTCCTCCGACCATCCGACGAGACCCAGCGGATCCTGGGGGCTTATCCGCGTAATATGATATTCCACGTTCTTTCCGGTCTGAGACCGAATAAGTAGGCCACCGGCCTTGTCTATGGGGGCACGAAGGCCGCAAAACCCCGGAGTTTGGGTAATCGGTACCAGCGACCCATCCACAACGCACTCACTTAGTCGTTCCGTAAGCCAAACGGCACGTTCTCCCCGTGCCAAGGCGGCATATTGTTCCCTCTCGTTCTGCAAGCTTTGCTGCAAATCAGAGGCCCATTTTGCCAGCTGTACTTGGGCCAGTTTCTCCTCGTAGCGGGTATAGTCCGAAATTCGCGCCATAGCATAAGTAGGGGAACGATGGCTGGCGCTATGTACGGCCGAGAGAGGGCCGTTGTGCGCTGTACTTTGCTGCTGAACAAGTTTTTTGGCGGCCAGATGCCGGATCCAGGCGATATTATCATGATCGAATAGTTTCTGGACCAAAAGAGCCAATTCAGACGCAACCAGTGGTTGGACATAGTCCGGGCTCATCAACGTACTGGCATCCATGTCGTCGTCGTCACTGGAACGGGCGGATGAAACGGCAAAGGGCAATTGTGCACTGAACCCATCTGTTCCTCTGGGACACGCATCTTCGAAGAGAAAAGGTTTAATGGCAGCTTCTTGCGCTTTTTTGTGGAAGGTGGATTTGAGAGTGCGAAGTTGGCCGGGTACCAAAAGATCGGATTTCGATATTACGGGGATTACATTAGTCCAAACGCAGAGCTTCCGGATGCATTCAATATCTACGACAAGAGTATCTGAAAAGGAGTGAGCTTTTGACAATTCGACCCACGGTCCGAATAAGAAAAGCATACCTTGCGAGATGAGAAAAAGAACAGCATCCACTTGGGCACCACCGTTGCCCGCGAGCATGTTCTGAAAATCGCGATTGGAGTGGTGAAGAGACGTACTAGCTCGAAGAAGCTGCTGGTGCATGTAATGAATAATAGCATCGGTCTGTCTCGTACGACTCATCGAGGTAGCTAGAGTGTCGACAAAGCAGATGTTACGCTCGAGAACGAGATCTCCGGTACTCTTTCTCCTTCGCAGAACGCGCGAATCCTCTAGATCCGACCACCAAGAAGGATACGGCTTTGTACTCGCGTATATCTCCGAAACGAATGATGATATGTTCTGGGTTATGTTGGAGCTGCATAGCTTCGAGGGGGGAGGGGGAGGGAAGGGATCAACATGGACGATATCTTCGCATGTTTGAGCAATAGACCTGATTAGAGATGTTTTCCCGGAACCTAGTTGTCTCTCAATCAATATTTCGCCAATACTGCCGAGCGGCCATTGTCCAATAGTAGGCAGTATAGACTCACCAGAAGAACCTGCAATAAGCACCTTCAACCGACCCATAGTCTTTCCCTGGTCAGTAAATGGTCTCCGACTGGGCATCCTGATACTTGGCATGATCAGCTGGGAGGTACTATCAGGACCCGTTTTGGATGGCAGGCGGGGCTCGTCATCCTCTTCCCCCGAAGCGACTGCTTGACTACTCAGATCGTCGGTGATCGAGATCTCATCAAGGTGTCTCATGGATTGATTGGAGATTGACTTCGGGCTGCTAGGAAGAGAGGCAGGATCCCCATGGGGGTCAGGTTTCAAAGGGGTCAAAGGTCGAGGAGAAGTAGGGTCGGGAGAGGAAACAGACGCATCCGGGTTGCTGAGAAGATTGATCGAGTCGAAGGGTGTAAGAGGTGATTTGCGGCGAGCTAAGGCTAGTGGTCCATCTCGATCATGACTATCGCCAGGGCGCGGGGATACGATATCAGACAAGCGATCCCCAGCGGTACTTTCAGCGAGAAGATCGGAGTTCCAGTGGGAACAGGCCACATCGGCCTCATCGACGGTTTCATCGAGGCTCTGGACGCCATACATACTATCTCTTGGCGGGTCCGCGCCGTCGGGCGGGACATCCTCGCAGCCGTGATGACTGCGGGCGAGAAAGAAGGTCGCGGGGACAGCGCTGCGGGGATCGATCCACTGCTGCGGCTGCTGGTGGTGCTGTTCGGGTGAGGAAGATTTGCGGGTTCTCGGCGGTGCGAGATCTGGGACGGGCGGCCTCATCGTGAGCGTATTCAGAGAAACATGAATGACGAGCAGTGTTCACCGCGCAGCGGTCTGCATCGCTGACGAAGTCGATTGAGATGCCGATGATCGCTATGATGGGATGACCTTCCGTCCCAGAGGTCATGTTATGGGCTGGTCACCACCCCGCATGGGAACCCTTACCATACCATACCATACCATACCATACCATACATGTCTGGGAGGTATGGTAACAGACTTGTATCCACCAATACCTAGTACTTCTCGTACTTGCTAGGTAGGTTCTCCGTAGGAGTACCAGGGTTGGATGGTAGTCTCCTCGACGGAGTATGTAACCCTAAGCGGCCGACGGGTTGCCTTTGCCACCCGGTTGAGGACTCTCTATCCATGGTTTGAAATTAACGACTAGGACTGGACTCAGTGTAGTTCCTCCGAAGATACGAGGAAGAGTATTTTTCCTCCTTCTAGGGCCCGATCCAATCGTATGCAAATTGATTCCTATCGAAAAATGTAGATACTCCTGGGCTCTAGGCAGTGTAGATAGATTCTTCCGATTCGTTTTCTTGGGATCGGAAGAAGAGCTTAGTTCTCTTTCTTTCTTCATTTCTTCCTTTCTTTCTGGTACGTACTAGGGACCGAGATATCGTACTCCGTATCTTAGAGTTATCAACCAAGTCCACCAGTTGAATGCTAAAAGAACTCCATTTTCCCGATTTGGTTTCTACTCTCGCTTCCTCTTCTCTTCACTTCTCCCGCACTATCTCCTCTCTCTTCTGCTTTTTCTTTTCTCCCTTTCTTCGGTCTTTTATTATAGTTCTTTTTGATCGAACACCCTCTTTTTATTGTTCGAATGAAGAAGTACAATCCCACATCATAATGCCCCCCCATCCGCTTCACTTTTAACCTTTAATTGAAGCCCCTCCCTCACCATGTCCGGCAAGCCGTCTCGTTGGGAGTAGTATCGAACTTTACTACACCATTCCTCTTCATTCCCTTACGAGGGCCTTCCAACCTGTCCATTTTTCGTCACTCACGCTTAGAATTCTTCTGCTGCGCTTTTAAATTCCTCGGCCCAATTGTCACTCTTTGCTGATTGGAGGAGAAGCTTTCTCATATTTCCGCGAAGATACCCTTCTAGAACGAGAAAAGAGTAATTTATCTACGCAATGGAGCAGGATCATCCGCTCGCCTGGTCGGACATCGCCGCCCCCGGCGACGATGATTTCTCCAGTTTCCTGGAGTTTGGAATGCACTTTCCCGACCTTGAAGGGCATGGGTCGACCGATCATCATTCTCAACGTTCAGTCATCTCCATCCCTACTTCTGCGGTCCAATCCGCCCAAGAGCACCTCGTTCGCATGGATACCGACACCATCGCATCCCAGCCATCGTCATATAATCGCGTCACGGGCGATTACCCCGTTGATAACCAAGGCCATGCGCATCTTCCCATCTCGCCCTATTCGAATACCCCTATGACCCCGGCATTTCTTACCCAAAAGTCTCAATTCCTCCAGCAATCGCACCCGCAACAGCCTTCGCAGGACCACTCGCATCGCCAGTCTCACTGTCCACCGCCGTCGTCGCAGCCATATATACCCCATGGGCAGCAAGTGATCCCCCCAACTCCCAATAGCGTCGAGCTGCAAGGTAATGCTGCCACATACCCACAACGTGTCGAAGAGAACCACGAGATGTACGATCGGTATGCCCGTTTCAACGAGGAACAGGTAGGTTCGCCCAAGCCTAGGTACTCCGTGCGTATGGCTAATGCAAGCACCCGTCTTTCCATAGGCACTTTACACCCCCCTTGTTTCCCCCGCCATGACTCCGTTGGAAGCCCAATTTCGGCTTCCGGAGTACACCATCCCTGGAGAATACTTCACTCCTCTCACCTCTCCCGCTCTCGATGCTCAAAATGCGAATTCCAACAGCTACCCTTTTCCTGCCGGCCAAATGTCTGACGTGGGATTCGTACCATCGTCCACAGACAATGCCATTCCCACGTCATCAGCCCCATCCTCTCCAGGACTGGCTAAGAAGCATCGCCGACGAACGTCAACTACCAAGACATTTACTTCCCGAGCTAAGAAACAACAGTCGCCCTCCGCGCGCCCTCAATCGCGGAAGAAGTCTCTTTTGAACATCAACTCGGATGAGGTCTTGAACGGACTCACTACGGACCAGGGAGGACCGAGGTCCAAGCCCTTGGGTAGCAGCGGGCTCCGGTATGGGAGCAATGAAAGCTCGGGGCCGGACTCCGTCTCTCCAGAGCCCCTTTCGGAGCCCTTGATGCCTCCGCCGGCCCTTCCCCCGGCTCGGAGGTCACCTGCAGTCGGCCCTCAGGCAAACCAGTCGGACACCAGTGAGCCAGCAACTCCAGCCATGTTGATGCGTATCCAGCGGACGCAACATAGTCCAGCTATAGTTACAAGTGAAAATCCTACCCAAAATGAAACCGGGTCATCAAAGTCGCATGACACTGTCATGGAGGATGTCGTACTTCCAGAGGCTATGACTCCTGCAGCGTACCCTTCTCGACCACAAGTTACCCGCATCGATACCACCTTCCGCACAGACGCATCGTCCGCAACAGCATCAGCTAGCGTGACCCCTGCTCTAGAACTCAAGTCGGCTTCAACGACGGAGCGTAGCACCAGTTCCGTTGCACCCAGCCCGCGCTCCATTGCCATGCCTTCTCCCAATGGACCCGTAGGGAAGAAGTCAGACACTCCCAAACTTGGGCCCATGAATAGAAAGCGGCAGAGTCTTAGCTCAACCCAGGCCAGCCCCAATTTACGTCCTAAGATCAGCCCAAGTATCCAACCTTTGGTCCGTGGTGATGGTGAGTAGTATTACATGGTCTCTTGCTTCTCAGTTGCAAGCTAACGAATGTCCGTTTGCAGGCTTATCGAACGAAACATCCGCCCTGTATCTAGCTTCAAAATCTAACTACCAGCATATTTTGGACGGGACGCTTCTTCCTGGGGTCTCCTATCCCGAGACCTTGGCTGAGAACCTGAGCTCAAAACGAACAAACCACAAACTCGCAGAGCAGGGTCGACGAAACCGCATTAACAACGCACTTAAGGAGATCGAAACCCTGATTCCGCCGGAATTCTTCCACCACAAAAATGCGAAAGAAGATGCGATCTGCAATGCTAAGGGCGGCGAGAAGGAGAAGGAGAAAACGGCAACCCAACAGATTAGCAAGGCTAGCACGGTGGAAATGGCTATTGACTATATTAAAGCACTCAAGCAGGAACTTGAAGAAACAAAAGGAAAACTAAAAACGGCAGAGGCCCGGCTGGAGACCTCCAAGAGGCGTGACGGTGAGGTAATCAACACGGAGAGTGAGGATTTGGGGGAATCCGCCCAAACAGAAAGAGATCAGGTTGCTGAGAAAAACGGTACCGTATAGTACTATGACTGAATATGGAGACAGGAAGGAACTCATCAGTGATTTACTTCCTCGAATGGATGCATGATACGATATATGTTTTATGGCGCCAGAGCTGAGGAAATGTGGAGACAAGAGTTGAATGGGTTTCTACGTATACATGCCAGTGGGTAGGCTGATTTTTGTCAACTTTCCAAGTTCTTGGTAGAGGAACAATGAAGAAAGGAGAGTCGGAGAATAGGTTTCCACTATTCCAGATATATCAGGGTGGCTTTTGTGCTTGCTAGAACATAATCATGGTTTTCAAGTTATGTCCATTGTTAGTACTGTTAATATTGGACGTTGTGTCTGAGGTGGCACGGGTATTTTTTTTTTTTTTCCCCTTTGATCAAGGACTACTTGATATTTTAACCACTTATCTCTTTTGATATAGCCTCACTTCTGAATAGTAACGTTATCACGAGATGTAAAGCAGATAGATACTCTACCTTTTAGATTATCTCAAGCTCGCAGTCTGACTGATTGAGAGCCGGCTGGAATGGAAGTAAAAGCACACTTTTTAAACATTTCATCGCTCATTACACGATCTACTTCAGTAATCCCTCATCACAGCAACCATCTCATCCAGTCGGGCCACTTCACCTAGTAGAAGAGCCTCCTTGGCTTTCCACTGTTCCAGTAGAGTCAACTCGGCTTCAGAGAGATACCGCTCTTCATTGCCTTTGACGTCACTACGCTCCGTCTTTTCCAGAAACTCTTTCAATCGATTCCGTTCGAACCGCAAGCGTTGCAGACACCGGGACATTGTCTTGTACGTGTCTTCCAAAACACTACTGCGGATGCGGTCCGGATCATAATACCAAAGATAGATGGTGCGCGAGGGTTGTCGCTGCGCATCGCGTGGTACCTCCTGTAGGTCGACGAACCCGCCACTTTGCATACTAGCGAGGACCTGGCGCAGGTCTTTGAAAGGCAAAAGGCTAATCTCTTGAAGCCGTTTTTCATCTAGCTTGCCCTTGGCATGAAGCACGCGGATAACCCGAAGCGCAACATCGCCATACCGCGCTTCAATCATACGTTCTAGTTCGAGATGACGGAGCTTGCGTGCTAAGTAGCGAAACTCGACAGTCCAGGTGATAAGCCCTGAGACCATGCGCTTGGATGTGAGGTTATGCGGGGGTTGTGCAAGAAGGGAAAGGTGTTGATCAATTTCATAGGTGCGGTTAACCCCCGACGGCAACCCGTTTGGCATACCATGACCGGCACCATTGACAGTGTCATCCAGTGGCCGTTTTCCGCGCCTGTTCACCGGCTGTGAGATTTCCATGGGGCCGATGGATGCTGCAAGGTCCAAGTACGGGTCGACATCCTCCGACAATGCACTCAGTGCAACAGGAGCCGAGTAATGCTCACCCTCTTCTCCTTCCCGTGGTATCTCGGTGTTTTCCCGGCATTTTTTTGTTTGATATTCAATGCGGCGAAGGAGACAGTCATAGACTTGAGATGTTACGGATGACACGCCCTGTTCTGCGAGGTCAAGAAAACGGCGATTGCGGAGAGCGACGTCAAGCTTTTCGTAGTTCACCCGAACAGTGATTCCGGACTAGAATGACAAGTTGATCAGTTCTATGGAGAGCAAAATCCGCCCATTGAATTAAAATCTCACCTCCATGGGTACTGTGTCTTCGCCCATGCCGTCATCTGACCATTCATTCTCCTCATCTTCTTTGTCGTCTTCATCAACCGCAGCATAGTCCAACCGGGCCCTTTTATTGGAAGCATCGGAAACCCCAGCGTCATGTTTTCGCTTAGCCCCACAAGGAATCCCATTGAACATCAAACCACGAGTAAGATCCCCATCTAGCTTTCCACTAAGTATACTAAGCGTTCCATCAAAAACAGTCTCCTCCAGTTTTTTACCCTTCATAGTCTTTACGTCTGGCCTCGATTTTATTGCTCGCTCGGCATCCAACACGTTATCAGCGTAGCTTTGAAACTGGGCTTCCCTGACTCGAGATATATATCCATGGCCTGCCAGGGCCTTCAAGGTGGGATGAAGGGGGGTTGGCTGTTTAGAGGTGGCATGCTCGCCATTGATCTCAGCTGGTTGACCATCATCGTCGTCATATTCTTCCTTCTCTTCGCTGATTCCATTCACACCGAAATTATCAGATCTCAGTTCCGGAAGCGTTTCGAGGTAGCTCACTTGAGCGTGTCCGAGAAACAGGATGGTCGACATGACGGTGGCAGCATACTTTCCCAACCGGTCTTCTATAAATTCTACAATCTTCCCAAACCGAACAAGATAATATGCCGACTGCATATTTGGTTCGTAGTATGTGACCCCTTCATCGTAAGAGGTGTAGTGGTAGACGAGATGGTGTTGGATCATGGCGGCAAGTCCATGTTGAAGCTGGCGATCCGAAAGACGGGAGTAGGATTTCAGGCGAGGAAGGGACAGTCGGTCGTAGCGAAGGAGAGTTGAAAAAATGCGCTGCAAGGAAACCAGGTCAGCCTACGACATTTCGTGGCGACTCTTCCTTTGCCTTCTCTCTCTCTCTCTCTCTCTCTCTTGTGTGTGTGTGTGTGTGTGTGTGTGCGGAATTAGTTGGGGGCACAAGCATACCGAAAAAAGCTCCCCAAAATTAGCATCGACTAGGAGGGTGCATAGCTCTGCAGCATACTAGCAATTTCCGCCTCTTTGTTAACAGCCGAGGTGGACATGAATAGGAAGAATCGTCCAGTGAAGTCACGCATACTTACTTGCGAGGTCATGTTGGAAGCTCTTCTAGAGAATCTACCGACTTCAATTCTCTAGAAGGGGGAAACAGTGGTCACCGGTGAAAGGGCATGGGGGAGCCGTGGAGTACTGGGCCCAGTCCTGGCTGGAGTCAAGTCCGTTGCAATGCTGCTGCTGTTACTGTCTTTTTTTCGAGATTAACCCAATCATTCTTCTTATCGCTGAATCACGTGAGTGGTCACATGCCATCACCTGATGAGAGAAGCCGGTTACGCCCGCTCTCGCCATTCGGGCCAATCAGGGATCGAGTAATCAAGGCGCCGGCATCTTGAAGCTTTTCAGACATCGTTTCCAACCAGTCCAGCGACCGGCAACCCTCACCCCATTCTCTCTCCCTGCCTCCCCACCCCCTCTAATTATTGCTAAGCCTTCCGGCTACCTGTATTTCTGTCCCTCAATTCTGTCTCCCGCACATGCGATGATGCTGTCGCGGTCTACTTTTAGTCGAAGTGCGCCCCGTGCGCTACAGAGGCAGTGCTCTGCTGGTGCCGCTAGCAGCCGTCGGGCCATGACCTCTGCTGCGACTCCCGGCCTACAATATGATGTTTCTGAGTCTGCCGGTGTGAAGGTCGCCAACAGGGACGGTGCAGGGCCGACAGGCACTCTGGCCTTGGTTGCAAAGGCAGGACCCCGTTACCAGCCCTTCCCTGGCTTCTCCGACGCACTCGAATACTTTGCCTTCAAGGTGAGTCTTAGTAGCTCTATTCTAGCTCTCTCTAGCTGTGTCTCCCCATAAGCGGCGGAATCTGATGGCTCTTTCAACCAATTGATAGTCTACTCTCAAACGGTCGGCATTGCGGATCACTCGGGAGGTTGAACTTTTAGGTAGTGAAGTTTCCTCGACACATTCGCGTGAAAACATTATCCTCAAGGCCAAGTTCCTCTCGGGCGATCTTCCATACTTCGTGGAACTGTTGGCTGAGGTCGCTTCTCAGAGCAAGTTCGCTGGTAAGTAGGCGGCGGAATTGATTCTTAGGAAGTGGCGGTTGATGTATCTAACCCGACCTTTTTTAATCTCGAACAGCTCACGAGTTGGATGAGGTCGTCCTCAAACTCCTCAAATACAGACAACAAGCCCTCACTGCCGACCCGGAGCAGCTTGCTGTTGACGCTGCCCATGCCTTAGCTTTCCACCGCGGTCTGGGCGAGAGCATCACTCCTTCTGTCACTGTCCCCTTCGAGAAATATCTTTCTGCCGAGGCCCTCTCCGAATACGCCCAGCAGGCCTATGCCAAATCCAATATTGCCCTCATCGGTAGTGGCCCGAACTCCGCCGATTTGTCTAAATGGGTTGGCGAGTTCTTCAAGGAGCTGCCCAGCACTGGCAGCTCTAGTCAGTATAAGCTCCAGCCCTCCACCGCCTCCAAGTACTACGGTGGTGAGCAGCGTATCTCTTCCAAAGCCGGCAATGCCATTGTGATCGCTTTCCCGGGCTCCAGCGCTTTCGGCACCTCTGGCTACAAGCCTGAGGCCTCCGTCCTTGCTGCCCTTCTTGGTGGGGAGTCTACTATCAAATGGACTCCTGGCTTCTCGCTCCTGGCCCAGGCCACCCAGGGCTTTTCTCAGGTCCGTGCTTCGACTCAGACCCATACCTACTCTGACGCCGGTCTTTTCACTATCACACTTTCCGGCAAGGCCGACCAGGTCGCTTCCGCTGGCAAGAATGCTGTCGACCTCCTCAAGAAGGTAGCTGCTGGTGAGATTGCCAGTGAGGACGTCAAGAAGGCGACTGCCCTGGCCAAGTTCCGTGCTCTTGAGTCTGCCCAGAGCCTTGAGACTGGACTCGAGGCCACTGGATCTGCTCTCCTCAGTGGCAGCAAGCCTTACCAGATTGGCGAGATCGCTCAGAGTATCGATGGAGTTACCGAATCTCAAGTTAAGGATGTAAGTTTTGCATTGTTCATTTTCTTCTCGAGTGGGGGCCTTTGTTTACCTCTTTTCATTCAATCATGGACACTAACCAACCACCTTATCACAGGCTGCCAAGACTTTCCTCACTGGCAAGGCGTCTGTCGCCGCAGTTGGAGACCTCTTCCAGCTTCCGTACGGCGAGGATCTAGGCCTGACTGTTTAAAATGTATACTTCAGATACTTAGACTGGCCTGGGAAAAATTGTTGCCTCCTACCTTTTCTTATGTGTCTAGATCCATCTTCGCAAATATTCGTTGTTATGTGGCTGGAGCTTGTTACCCGACTGTGTAATACAACTGTATCTTATTGAATCTGCCGCCATTTACACAATGTAGCCTTCGTTCTAACCAATGCCATCGAAGTAGTTCTCCCTCTATTCTGTGGGCATGTAGACAGACTTGTGAGTAGCTGCGCACCTTAGCATTGCTTCTGCTGCCGGATTGGAGCTAGGGGCTAAGATATATACCTCGCAATTAGTAAATTCGTTCTTGTTGCAACAAAATAGAAACTCTGTACATGCATAATATTACACCGTTGGGATCTGAGAAAATCCCTGTTTTCGGAGATACTCTGACTACGATTGGTACGATGAAGCTAAGATCACGCAGGAAGCTGCAGGAAAAGAAGATAATCAACTACAGGGTATTATCAATCGACACGGGTTATTGTGATGTGTTGTGCAGCAGGATTAGCTGTGTAAGCATGCATGAATCAACGTGACTACTACTCTGTACTAGCTCTATAGGAAACCGACCATGAATCTCACATGCAGCACACCCTTACTCCGTAGTTGCCGAGGACTTACGGAGTAGTCTACCGCATCTGCAACCCTTCGCAGGACGGAACCAATTCGCAGGTGTAATAATAATATTACTATTACTCCTCCGTACTCCTACTGACTAATATTTATTAACAGATGCATTATGGGCAAGGAAATGGATCTCTCTCTTTTTCTCTCTATTCGTAGGTGTTATATGAAATGGTTCGGACCGGCTGTTGAGTATGTTTGAAACGATTGGTGTCTTGCCGTTAGGACATGTACAGAAAACCACATAGTAGACCACGCACAACAGAAGGGTGTTTCAAACCTTCTCTAATGCTTCCCAGTGACTTCATCGCCTGTCAGTTTTTCGACCGCTTCTTTGGCCCTGTTCGATGTAACGAAGACCCACAAGTTAGCAAAATCCGACCCTCGGTAACCATGTGCAAGTCAGGGCAGGAGCACATCTTTGTCCCCAAGGGGATCATTCTAAAGATGCGGCTCGCTTGGGAAGGAATTGTTACAAGGGAGACAAAAACAAAAGAAAAAAGGTTAAAAAGGCAAGATGAAGTTGCCAGTGAACTCACATGTCACCGAGAGCCACCATGCAAACAGTCTGCCAAATGCCTAGTCCCACCCGAGGAGTGACGCCACGGTAAAGACCCTTGATTCCGTTCGTATCGTAGATATACCTTAAGGTCTTTCCCACAGTGAGATTTTTGGGCCGGTTGGGATCTTCAGTTTTGCTCTGCATCTCGACCCGAATCACCTCGATAGGCTGATTCCAAGCAGAGAGGCCACCACCAAGACCCGAAGCCACCACCTTCTCTAAGGCATTGAGCTTTTCGCCTTCGTCCTTGTTAGTGACCTTCCGGATTGCCGATTCCGCCAAACGGGAGAGACCGAATCGGGAGCCCCAATTCGTAGTCTGGCGAATGGCGACTGCATTGACACCACGGTTGATACCACGAATACCCTCCTTACGATAAATGTCCATGAAGGTCGCGAAAGTACTCGGGGGCTTTACCCCCTGGGCAGCCATTTTGTGCTTAGTGATCTCGACTGTCTTCATGCAAGTGCAGAAGCCCATTGTTGCGTATGCCTGAGCAACACCTCCGGCCATACCTCCGGTAATACCAGCGAGGAAGTCGGGGGCACCGAGAACCTTAGCACGGAACTCCGCCTCGGACGCCACGAAGAGAAGGACAGCACCTTTGGTAGAGGCCTCAATCCAGGCCCACGGAATGAGACCTTGATAGTCTGGTATCACACGTCAGCAGTTGAACTCCACAGTAGTCGGAATACGAGGACAAGGGTGACATACAGCCGAGGATCCCGCCACGACCCCAAATCCGAGCCATAGCGCCGGCGAAGCTGTCGCCGCGGTTTGCAGCCATGGTCGTCTTGATCACTTCCAGCGGCTTTAAAAAAAAAAAAAAAAAAAAGGTTAGTAAAGACAGGGCCCGATGAACTCGTATTTTGGAATGACGCAGATTCTTACCTGTCCCAAAGTGGTGACCCTATTGTTGCCGTCAGCACCTGACATGGGATGTATGTAACGAGCCGCTTATTGCGAAAGAAACCACTTACTCAAACATGTTCAATCCCGCACCCACTGTATATATTCCGTCAGAATCAACCCATTCCATCAGTTTGCAAGGGGCGACGTACGCAACAGGTTGCTGAACTTGACAGGTTTCTTCTCGAGCGTCTGGCCAGTTGAGGCCGGTCCAACAGTAGTGGTAGACATGTCTAGCCTTGGGGAACGCTGAAAGGGGCCCTGACCAAGGGATGTAGGGGGCTTCGTCGCCTAAGGGATCACAGGAAAATATGGGAGTGCGATGAGTGCGTCGAGGATGAGAAGAACAGCAAGTCTCTTCGTACTAGGAACGCTGATGTCCGTTGAGAAGATAGGGGGGAGCTGTTAGGAACAACAGGAAATACAGAAAAGATGTAAGAACAATGAAACAAGAAGGATGGAAAGGGACATATAATAACTAACTAGCAGCAGTAGCAGTAATAAGCAGCAGCAGCCGTAGTCCGGAGTACGCAGGTCAAGCAATAGCCGCTGTCCGCTGTCGCAGCAACTATGGAAAAGGGTAATAATAGCTCCGGCTGGGCTCGCAGCCTGAGGCGCGGTCTGTTCCCTTAGAGGAACACAAAGGAGAAACAATTGGGGCAGCGCTAAACCTGATCAAGCCCGTAGACAATGATCAGCCTATGAGCACTAGGCCGATTGCGGGCCGGCTGTGTGGTTGGCCCGAGGGCTTCAGTTGAGCGTACGGATTAAACCGGGCGCTCCCAACGTGAGAAATGGTTGAGAGCGACAGGGAGCTGAGACGGACTGTCATCTACGGAGTAGATTCTAGTCCAGTGTGCCCCTGATCCCCGAACTTGGTAGTGATGTACTCTGTTACAGAGATAACCAATATCTGAAGATAGTTGGCACTCTCTCCGTACTACGGAACAAAATTTCTAGTTACTCGTTTATTCCCGAACCCGACTGGACGAACACCAAGCCTCCGGAGTATGAACTACAGTACTATGTACTTCTGGGAAGAAAGGAATCAAAAAGAAAACAAGTGGGAATGTAATTTAAGGTCAAATGGACAAAGCATATATGTAATATATCTCTCCCCTGCTAGCATTTCCCATTCTTGAATGCCCCGATTATTTACGGACTTGTATGTAGGTAGTATTCCGTACATAGGTCCCCCTAAAAAATTTTTATACGAATACCGCCGAAGTAGTCTGTAATAGTGGGCATGGATTTAATGCTGGCTGTTACAAGGCCCGATCAAACCAAGTTTTATCGTACATCAATTGAACTGAAACCCCCTAACACTCATCGCGTGCCCGGTCTAATGAAGATAGAACCCAAAAAAGAAAAGGAAAAAAAGGAAAAAAGAAAAATAATACAAGATGTTGGACCGTTACAAACTTCGATAAACCTCCTCTGCATCTTTTTTTATCTCATTCAACAAATTCACAGCTTAGCACCGACAAGCTTGGCGTAGGCTTCGGTGCTGAAACTCTTGGGACGCTCAATCGGGGCACCCAGAGCACGGTCGATGATCAACTGAGGCAGGACACCAAGAGCACGGGAGACACCAAACAGAACGGTGTAGTAGTTGGCCTCAGTCAGGCCATAGTACTGCAAGAGAACACCGGAGTGCTGATCCGGAGTAAGCATTCGTCACAAATTGCCGGTTGGCATATGTCATCAGGGTAAAACTTACGGCGTCAACGTTAGGGAAGGGGTTCTTGGTCTTGCCATGCTCGGTCAAGACACCAGGAGCGATCTTGTAGACCTGGCTAACCAGCTTGAACATAGGGTCATCAGGGAGCTTGCGAAGGGCAAACTCGCGCTGGGAGACGTAACGAGGATCCGTCTTACGGAGAACTGCATGGCCATAGCCAGGAACGACTTGGCCAGCGTTCAGGGTAGACCACAGATAATCCTTGATGGCCTGGTCGCTGAGGTCGTTGCCAATGCTGGCCTTCATCTTGGTGAGCCAGTTAAGCACCTCCTGGTTGGCCCTGTAGGAAATAAACATGTTAGCTAAGCTGGCGAGGAGGTTCCTTTGTTTGAAAACCTACAATCCGTGAAGAGGACCAGCCAATCCATTCAGACCAGCAGCCAAAGAGAGCATGGGAGAGCTCAGAGCACTGCCGACAAGGTGGGTCGTGTGGGCGCTCACATTACCACCCTCATGGTCGGAGTGAATGGTTAGGTACAACCGCATCAGCTCAACGAAATCCTTGTTACCGCCGAAGCCGAGTTGGTTGGCCAAGTTGAAAGAGTAATCCTTGTCCTTCTGGATAGGAGCGACCTTGCCATCCTTGAAGACATTACGATAGATTTTCGCAGCAATGGTGGGCAGCTTAGCAATGAGATCCATGGAGTCCTCGAAGGTGTAGGTCCAATACTCCTTCTTGTTAATACCCTTTGCATAGGCCTTGGCGAAGGCGGACTCGTGTTCAAGGGCGGTAACAGCCAGAGAGAACTGGGCCATGGGGTGCAGAGTGCTGGGGCAGCGGTCGATGAGCTCCTCGATGAATTTGGGAAGGTCAGAACGAGCAGCCCATTCAGCAGACAGGTCGCGAACCTGCTGCTCGGAGGGGACTTCACCGGTCAAGAGGAGCCAGAAAAGTCCTGTGATCCATTAGCAACGAATCTATTTCATTTAACCACTCGACCTCAATACCTTCGGGAAGAGGCTCCTCGCCACCGGGGGCCTTGGGAAGAAGCTCCTGGCATTCCGGGATCTAAACAAACATTAGAACCGACGAATTGATACGAAACATTGTAGATACGTACAGTTCGGCCACGGAAACGAATACCTTCCTCGGAGTCCAAAACCGAGCCCTGAATAAGAGGGTTAGATGGCTTCCTCAGGGCTTTAATGGCCCAAAGGGATTGATTGAAGCGTACCTCCCACACCAAGGCCTTGATACCACGGGCACCACCGTAAGCCTGATCAAGGGTGACCTCGCCGATAACCTTATGACCATGTTCCCTATACGTATACATCAGCGTGATTAGCATTGATTGCGGTGTTGGCTAATGCGTAGGACGGGATAGATGCGTACTTTCTGAGCTTTTTCACCTTTTCGATCTCTGAGGGGAGCTTATCAGCGAAGGTCTCCCTGAGAGACTGGACGAGTTCAAACAACGTTAGCAAGACAGATGAATAAACATCACTTCCCGAAAAATCCGAGGACGAACCTTGGCCTTGCCGGTAGAATAGCAGCGCAAACCATTGAAGGCGACGGACTGGAAGACCGGCTTGCCGGCAAGAGCAGTGGAACGAAGAGCAGAGGTTCCGATTCTCAATGTAGAGGCCATGATGAAGGAAACAACCTTGTACAGCTGGGTTGAAGGATTGATGAGGAGCGGAGGAGGATGGGGTATATCAAGGCAAGACAAAATGGAAAGAAGAAGAAAGAAAATATGTGAAAGAGATTCGGGAGAAGCTCTTCTGCGGCCCTTTTTTTTCCATCTGGCCGTAACAGTACAGCCGGTACGCGGATCGTACGGCTCCAACGGCAACGCAACAAGGCAGTGGTAGCTCAATGATGAATCTGTACCGTACAGTAACGCTAATCCTAAGTCGGCCGGTCACCCAAATCAAGTTTTCGGCAGTCACCCTACAGCTATACCGACAACAATAGCTAAAGATAGGAATGATCATAATAATACACTTATCTTTTAACTGTCAAGACCTATCTAAATACACAAAGAGTTAATTCTTATCTATAGTTCTGTGCAGCAAAACAAAGTGTAGGGAATATCTGACACTGCATAAATATTCACCAACAAGTTTAATAAGCTAGTTTACCTTAAGTAGGGAAGTTAGCTATAAAGCTCTCTCTCTCTTTACTTATTTTTCATTGACTTTTCCCTCACAAGAGCCTACTGGGATCTACAGAGTAATCATTAAATTTAGATGGCTAAATGCCTGGAATATTGTTATAGTACAAAGGCCTTGTACTTGAAATATATATATATATTTTTTTTTTTTTTACACCTCGGTGTTAATGATATTTTCACCACCCGTAAACGGAGTACAAGTAAGAAAGATACTTAGTGCTGATAAAGAAAGTGACGTAGGCAATTTGTTATCTGGCCTCGGCTGGCACCAATAATACATAGTTGCTATTAGGAATTCCAAACAGAAATATTGCACATGTATACTCTGTACATAGGTAGATAGTATTTAATTCAAACTAACTTTACCCAGTAAAGCTGCTCCATGTGATTAATACACTACCATAATCTAACTTGGTAGCTTGATGCGATTATCATAAAAAGAACTTATTTTTTTAACTTGATTCCATAATGGTACTCCGTTCTCTTCCCTTTCTGATTCACCGGGAATGCTGAGTAAGAGTATTAATATGCACGTGAGATCATGTGCATTCTCTGTACAAAGCCATTTCAGACCTTCAAATAATGGATTTCCAATTCCAGACTAGTGTCGGCTTTGAAATTTTCCCTCACCTGACCTCCTTGCAAAACTCCTTCCTTTTTTATGATCCTCCTTTTCCCTCTAAGCCATCCTTTAACATCGACCTTTGTCTCAAGGAGATATACCTTCCACATCCGCATCGTAAACTATTCACCTTCACCTTTTTTCTTTTATTTCCATCTACATCAGTCGGCCCCGTCTCTTTTCTTGCCTTCCTTAATTTTTCAATTTTAGGTCTTACATTCGTGTACACGTGCTCGTTCGCGAGTCGCAAAGCTCTGGACACGATCGCTTGGCTGTGTTCTAGCTGTAGGCGGAATTTTCCCTGGTTGACACTGTACGCTCGCGAGTCCGTAGTGACACGATCAGGAGTCCGCTTAAGATATTATCCTCAATACGTTTAGAGGTCAAGATACCCGAAACTCTGATATCACACTATTAAGCATCACAATATTTTCTTTACAGTACTGGATCTCCCAGTAGAAACGACTCGTTGGGCCCTGGTATCTCCAGTCGCCTTTACCATTTATCTCAAGCGATAATCAAGCACTCTTGGGCATATCTACTCCTTCTCACGTACTGGATCTGGGTTTCCCAGCCCAATAATACTCAACAAGCCATGTCTTCTGCTGTAGCAGAACTGGATAATTATCTCCAGTCTATGCTTGCTCTTAAGCCTCCTGGTGTTTCGGGCTCTAAAATCAACAGTATCACTTCACTTTGCACGGCAAACGTCCAGGTATTGCCCCCTTTACCTGAATAACGGGCGTATTTCAAAAAGAAACTGAAAGGCTAACTTTCACCATCTGTTGCAGAACGAATCCGTCCTCATCCAAAAGATCTATACACACTTCAAAAAAGCACCAGGGACACACAAGTTGGGCGTACTCTATGTCGTAGACTCTGTAACTCGACAGTGGGTAGAAGCAGCGCGCAAGGCAGGACAGCCACCTGGCAGCGCTGCTCCTGATGGGACTTTTGCCGCCGGTGTTAACAGAGTGACCGAATTATTACCTGTCTTGATGACTGATATCATAAACAATGCTCCTGAAGATCAAAAGGTACGCACTAGACGCTATATGCGAACAACTGTCGAATTACCACACCATTTGCGGGCATGCATAGGACTCTGCGGTGGTTTTTCACAAAATCCCGTTACGGTCTTTATAAGACTTGATTTACGTATCTCCCGCTATATTCCCACTTATTGCCTGCATAGAATTTATGCCGGTCTTAGGCCGTTATCCCGTCTTATTTGGCGAATAGTGCAACTTACGTATTGGATGTTGTTTTCATATAGGAAAAAATCAGGAAACTGGTTGATATTTGGGAGCGTGGGTACACTTTCCCTGCTCCCATGCTTGCATCATTCAAGGAAAAACTAAATGCGCCCTCATCACACAGTAAGCTAGCCCCGTCCCCTCTTAACTCGACAAAATACCTTTTTTGCTCCCTTATATGTTTCTGGTCGGATTATTCAAGTAGCTGTGTGACTTGAGATGCTCAGGACAATAACGAGGCCAATAATCTGATATATTCTTGATAGATGTTGAATCTACCACACCTGAAGGGTCTCCAGCACCAAACTATATTCCGCTGGGAGGCCCCCAGCAGCAAGCGCCCAATGGCGCCGCTTCATCCACCCCTTCTCAGTCAACGCCAGATACCTCCAGTATACTGAAAGCCTTGGCGGATATGGCCAAACAAAACACTGCAGCACCGGCAGTGGCAGCGCAGACCAACCCCCTTAATGCTTTAGGTCAGCAGAGTACAGCTCCACCAGTGTCATCCGTAGACCACGTTTCACAGCCCGCCAGTGGGCAAATTGGCGTAAATCCTTATGCTACTGGAGCTATGGCAACGCCGTTCGCGGCTCTGGGTAGCGTTTCTCAAAATCCAACACTGATTCAACCGCAGAGCCAAAGTCAGACCCCCAATCCATTAACTGCTGCCCAAAATCCATTGGCAGCGCTACTGCCTCAGGCGACTGCAGCTCAGCCAACAGCACCGGACGCTCTGCAGCAACAGCTCCAGCTGTTGCAGCTGTTAGCTGCGCAGGGAATACCACAGGACCAGTGGGCTACGGCTCTGCAGATCCTTAGCTTGTCTAATGCCACCAACATGGGCAACGTCAATGCCGGGCAGGCGCCGGGCTTTAATCTCCCGAGTCAGAATGTCAACGCTTGGGGCGCACGTACAGACCACCAATCACGTGATTTTGACAGGGAAAGAGACCGCGAATACCTGCGTTCCCCGCCGAGCCAGTATCGTCGTCGTTCTCGCTCCCCTGGCTGGGACCGTCGTCGCGACGCATCTCCCCCTCGCCGACGCGATAGCCCGGTCTATGAAGAGTACCATGGCGACTCGCCAGGCCGCCGAGGCGGAGATCCGCGTAGTCGTCGAGGTAATGACTACCGTCAACGCAGCCCTCCCGGACGCAGACGCCGCTCTCCTTCCCCTCGCAAGGACCCGGCCTTGCCTCCCCCGGGCCCCAAATTCATAGAGTGGGATTACTCTATTGGCCAAGGCAACATTAAAGGTGCGCAGGAATCAATCCATTAGGTGGATATTAACCCGTCGGCTAACTGTCACGCAGTTTTGAGTAGAACCCTTTTCGTTGGCGGCGTCACGTAAGTCTTGTCCCTCCTCGTTAAGAATGTTCTTTGAGTGTGCTTTGTCTTCTAATGGGACCTACAGCTCCTCTGAGGCCCATCTACGCTCGCTCTTCGGCAAGTATGGCATCGTCCAAACTTGTATTGTCAATATCGACAAACGCCACGCGTTCATAAAAATGATTAGCCGCCAGGATGCTATCAATGCTCGTGAAGGAATGGAGTCGTACAAATCCGGCGATATGCAGCTTAGGGTAAGTCCTATCGTCTTAGTATTCGACTTCCTAGTCAAGTGATATAGTCAAGTGATCTGACCAGCTGCAGACTCGATGGGGCGTGGGTTTTGGTCCACGTGATTGCAGCGACTATCAGACGGGTATCAGTATAATACCGGTCGAAAGGCTCACAGAGGCAGACAGAAAGTGGATGCTTACTGCTGAATATGGTGGAACTGGTGGTAGGCAGATAGAATCTGGCATGATTGTGGAAGAGCCGGATATCGAGATCGGCGCCGGAGTTTCGTCAAAAGGTTTGTACCAGTGGTCCTCAGGTTTCTTCTGGTGCTCAAGCTAATTTGCCTCTATAGCCATCAGTAGACGCATTGCAACTGATACTGGGGGGAAACGTGGCCCTGTGTCAACCCGTTCTCAGCAAGAACGTAGCCGTCGCCCTGACCGTGACCCCCCAGCGAGTATGGGCAGTACTACCGGTCAGGCTGACCACGATGTGGCCGGTGCGAACAATGTTGGCGTTCCTCCTGCAGTACCAGGCTTTGGCTTTTCGTTCCCCGGAATGCCCATGTTTCCTCCTGGTTTCATGATGGGAGGAGCTCAGGCTGGTTCCAGTGGCTCAGCCCAGCCACCTCCTCCTGGCCAGGGAGGTAACTGATCCTTACTGGGATGCAATACCTATGGTGAACGCTACTCACGTTAAGATAAGAATCTTTCAAATCCTTCTATACAGACTCCACTATTGTCTTGGTATCATGTCTTTATTATACTTTAGTTTTCGCTTATCCTTCCCTCGTCCCTTCCCTCTGCATCTTATGTAAATGGTCTTTCAATCTGGGAAGTTGGCGTTTGATCATCAAGGCAGTCTCTTCAGGAGGCTATGCTTTTTTTTTGAGGGAAGCTTAATTTATTGAAGAACCTATTGCCCACGTTCATTGAGCCTCAGCCAACACTATGGATGGGTGTCAATTTGCTTGGCTGCTCTTACTGTTTGTATTTCGTGGCGCTTTTGCGTTCAGGATATAAGGGTACAAGCCAAGATTGCAAAACGTGAGAGGTACTGGGTGATCAGTATAGGGTTTTTTCCCCCTTTTCTTTTGTGTCCTCTTTCCCTTTTGGCGTCTTCCTCTGGTATCGCACCTTGCTCTATTCCTGTACACGATACTAACTACTCTTCATTGTTTGTTTGGGCGGCCTCGTGTGGATTTATTTGCTGCATTCTCTAAAACTTAAACTATCCGGTATTTGTTGTATTCCTTTTTCTGTCCCGGTGCCTTCTTAATGTGCTGCTCATATCTTCTATGTTCTATTTCAGTGTCAGTTCTCGATTTCTATGCGGTCTTTGGTATCTTTGATGAACATGAGAGTGTGTTTCCGTACGTTTAGTAGTATATTTGATCTAGTCCCAACGATGAATCCAGCTCTTCAGTGCAGGTCGATTTTATCTTGCTATCGGTCACCTTCCAAAGTAAAAACTTCTTCACAGGCAGCCATGATAAGGTTATGATACAATTCATATATAGACAGAAGTAAAGAAAAAGAAAAATCCTAAAACACCCATTTCACCTAACTCCTTGCCAATGCCGAAAACTATATATAATCTTGTACTGTACAAAGTGGTTCAGGAAAAATAAATTGCTTTGAATTCAGGGCAAGGTGTAATCTCACGTTCAGCATTATAACTCGGGCGCTGTGGGATGCTTGATGCTGTGCAATAATATTAATGATGTACACCGGAGAAGAAAAAGGACGATGAAAGATTCCCTTATTGAACTCGGCAGTGTTCAATCAAATCCCTTCCAGAACTGGAGTTTGTGGTGCCACTTGGTGGAGGGAGCTGAGGTTTCCCATGTCTCATTTTCAAGTGCGGTACGGCCTGTATCAATGTCTGCCTCGAGCGGATGGATAAAACGTGTACGGAAGATGATTTTATGGCCCAGGTACAACACCACAAATAGAATCAAACTGAGATAAGAGATAAAAAAGTCGGTCACGCTGAACTTTGGGATCCAAGCTGTAAAGCCTTGGGTCACAGTGATCAGGATATTGAAAAAAAGCCCATACCAAGCATACCACGGTTGCCATATAGCCTTATATGGAAGAAGGTCGCGCGAAACATCGCGAGCCTTCAAAGCTCGCATGAAAGAGAGGTGGCAAGCATTCAGCGACGACCACGTTATGAAGCCGGCCACACCAGCAATATTGAGAAGCCAGTTGAATACCGTACTGCCGGCAGTGGACACATTCATAAAGCCAAGCAAACCAAAGGCTGAAGTAAATGCAACACTGAAGTAGGGCACGCCTTTCTTGCTGGTTTTCTTGAACCAGCGTGGAGCAAACCCTTCCTGGGCCAAGCCAATGAGGATACGGCTGCCACTGTATACGTTGGAGTTTGCCGCGGAAAGCACCACAGTCAATAAAACTGCATTAATAATATCCGGCAAGGCCTTGACTCCGGCCAGCCTCGCGGCAATAACGAATGGCGACGAATTGGCATCGTTGCCATCTGTGAGGAGGTTCTCGTTGGTGTAAGGCACCAGCAAGCCGATAAAGAAGATCGTCAAGACAAAGAAGAACAGGATGCGGTAGAATGTCTTCCGGATTGCTGAGGGAATTGTTTTGCGAGGATTCTCGGTCTCGCCCGCTGCAATGCCAACCAGCTCTGTTCCCTGATACGAGAAACCAGCTTGGATAAGCACAGCCCAAAATCCAACAAACTTTGCCGTAGACTCAGGCGACACATCGGCATATGGCGCAAATGGGCCAGGGTTAACCCAGTAGCGAAACCCAAGATATTCCCTGCCACCTGCACCAGCATCAATACAAATCGCAAATATCATAAACCCAATCACAGTTAATATTTTGACGCTGGAGAGCCAGAACTCCAATTCGCCATAGAAGCTAACTGGTAGGAGGTTCAGCAGGGTAATCACAACCCAAAATATAGCAATAAAAATAGCAATGTGGATGTCCTTATCCCAGAATTGTATGATCAAGCCCGTTGCTGTCAACTCGAGTGCAAATGTGCTAGCCCAGGAAAACCAATAGATCCATCCCATAGCAAATCCAAGGCTAGGGTCAATCAAGCGGGCGGCGTAAGATGTGAATGCTCCAGGAATTGGTATATATGTTGCAACCTCTCCCAGAGAGATCATTACTGAGAAAACGATCGAACCGACAAAGAGGTAGGCAATAAGCGCACCCACTGGGCCTGCTTTGGCGATTGCGGTGCCGCTGCCGATAAAAAGACCTGTTCCAATAGTACCACCTATGCAGAGGTCAGCATATTGCGTCCCAGAGGAAGAAAAAACCTTTCAAGCGGAATGGGAATGCCCTCCATGGACTACGAGATGCCTTCACAAAACAGATAAAACTCACCAATGGCAATCATCTGCAGATGCCTGCTCTTCAGCTTCCGCTTAAGATCCGGCAACGGATTTGATTCGCGACTTGCGCCATGCTTCTCACAGTCCACATCATAAAGATTCACAGATTGGTTGGTAGACTCAAACTGGATAGCTTCCTCGTTGGGCATTTTGCTCTCGCCCCCGGCGAACTTCGGCGCAGTATCGACCTCGTTTTCAGAGGCCATGCTTGGCCCTCAGTTGTGAAGTTTGTCGACAAAAGAAGGCTATGAGTTCACGATCAATGAACCACAGAAATCAAGGTGGGAGAGAGTATGCGGGAAACGTATTGCGGACTCCACTGACACGCACTTGAGTCACACTGCTGTGGAGGCACAAGGTCTTAGGGGTGGGAAAAAAAAAAAAAAAAAAAAAAAAAAGGCTTGTGGAGTAAAAGATCAGCTTGAGGGAGCAAGTACTCTGTAGATAACTACGGAGCACTCCGTAGATAGGCCCCCCCTCAGTGACAATATACCAAAGATAAACCGAATGACGAATGGTGTGATGCGGAGATAATGCAATTATGTACAAGGTAAAATAAGATGTTATGTAAAAAGAATGGATTGAGTTGAGCGGCTCAATCCTCCTCCTCTCTATCAAGACGGATGCAACGTCAGGATAAAACGATCGATTTGATTTGGAGGCAAGCCCGAAAGAAGAGCCCTCTTTTTTTTTTTCTCTCACTCTAAAAAAAAAATGGAAAGAGAAAGGGAAGAAAAAATTTACTATCCCTCATCCTCCATTTGTGGGAGTCCACACCCGACAGACTTCGACGGGAAATCAAATCAGTTGGCTCGCCTCTCATACTGAAGTGGGCCATTGATATGGGGTCTTCGGTGGGGTAGAGGAAAAGTTTTCTCGTAAGTCAAAACAGGTACAAGTAATAATATTATGTAGTTTGCAGCTATTTCGCTGCTTGACCATGGTTGAAAAGCTGATGCGGTGGCGGGAAAAGAAGTCCCGCTCTCTTGGGCACTTTCTTAATTATCATTCTTGGGCTTCTGCCTGAACGGTTCCTTTCACCGACCGCCGGAGATTACGGCCAATAACCAGTCATTTCTCCTACGTTAGTATAAGTACAGATTATGGAGTACTAATTCGCACTCCCATTCCCCGCCCGCGATACCTGATCGGGACGTCGAACAAGCGAATCTCTTCGGAAACGTAATTAGATGGACTAACCTAACCGTTTCATCACGTGATGCTGGTACGAAGTATATCCAGCCGACCGTCTTGTCACACCACAATATGGTATGTCCCATGTGAAACTTCTACTCCTTGTCCTTCCTATTTCCTCTGATTAACTGTGAAGCACAGCTGTAACAGAGTTCTTTGACCAGAATATAAAGAAAACAGTCCAAGTTAAAAAAATAGAGGAAGCTTTCCTATGGATGGGGAAATGTTATTCGTCAATCACATACACAGCGACGTATATCTGTACGACTCCACGACAGATAGCCGACAAGTAAAGAGGGTATAAGTATAAAAAGGAATTGCATCCTGGAACCATACACCAAGATATATATATTAATAAAAGCTCACAATTAAACATACCTCTTCTGCAGGCATTAGAGCATAAATATAAGCCAATAGTAAGCACATCGCAGATGATTCCACAAGCCAAGCATGTGTTTATAGCCGCAGGCCAGCAATGGCCTCTTGAAACTAGGCATTAAAGCACTTGGAACACCGCCATTGTTCTTTGGCGCACGTAGAAAGACTCGATGGAGCTGCTGCTATCAAGTCGTTTAGACACCAGCGTGAGCAGTAGACTGAGGAGGAGTCTTCACACCAGGACTCGAGGTGGACCGCAGAGCGCCGAGAACTGCAGGAAAAGTCGAGGCCACAAACAATACCCTATACTAGTGGTTAGCAATAACCCCAGCCCTCCAAATTCTACATCGGAACGTGAAGACTAAAGTAGTTCGAGATCCGCTGAAAGCGAGGGTGGAATACCATTCAAATGCTCCAAACACCGTCGCTGCCTGCGCGGCATGACACGCGCTCCAGTGGCAATGGTCCGGAGAAGGTAGCAAAGCACCAAGAGCGATGAATCCCGAAAACCAAAAGATCATCGTGATCGCTTCCACAGTCGGTACTACGAAACGGTGCGCAAGGTCGGGAAAGAATATTGGGGCGAGGGCAAGGTAGGGCGTAGCAAAAAATGCCGTCCATATACTATTGAATAGCATGAAATTGACAGTATCACTGCCATTCAGTAGGCTGATGACTGTTACCAGTCAACAATGGGAAAATCAAATACACGGTGAATAGGAGTTCAACATACAGTATGCGGTCAACCCGAGAACAATTATAGCGAAGAGAACCTGGATAACCCGAACGGGATAAATCCAGGGGAAACTCAAAGCCATAATAAGAGACAAGTATTGGGTTTATAGGTCGTATTTTTTTTCTTTTGTGAAGTAGAGAGAGATAGAATTTTTTTTTAAAAAAAAAAGAAAAAAAGCCGTTAGCAGCAAGGGAAAGGAGCCGTGATTCTTCACTATCAGCTTATGGCTGCAGGAGGATAGCTAATTTGAAAAACCGGTTGTGGGTTCTGAAAAATCACAGACTAAACTGATGTATCCCTTTTCAGCAAAGAGAGCAAGATGTAGATTCTTGTTGTCTCTTGGAATCTGAATTTACAAAAGAGAAAAGCACCCTTCCCAGGTCGCTGGTTATCTTCGATCTATTATAAGGGGACTGAGCAACCCAAAAAATACGATATTCACCCGAAGAGGCGTTCGTGTTGATTTTATTCCCTGTGCAGAGCCTGCCTTATTATTAGCGGATCTTGCCATGCTTGCCCAAAATATAGACTTGGTGGAAGCCTTTGATCGAGGGACACAACTGCCAGATGACGATAAGCGCCTCGGCGCCATTCTGGATACGAGAAGGTATTGGTCTAAGGTAAAGGCTAGGATGAAGATGATGTCATGATATGGTGTACGCGGCTGAAGATCAGTTGCTGTAATTGCGTAAGAAAAAAACTCCAAAGCATGATGTGTTGTTACCAAGAGTGATGGAATTATATAGAGATACAACATAATCTACTACTATGTAAGAAATCACAGCCTCTATTACTCTGTGTCAATGTTCTAGCTTAGTTTGCTTGGCTCTATGTGCTTAAACACAGGGGCTAAGGTGCCCTGAGGTCTTATTTTGCAGCTAAAAATAAAATAAAGACTAATATCGCTGTGAGCTTACTTTTAGGCATCAAATAGTACTACTCCGCGGTAAATTAACTATGGTATTATGGGTTCATCTTTCTACCTTGCTAGACTAGAGGCCTGTTTCACAAATTACTTAGTGGATGCTTAACTAGTTTGAGAGCTTTATCTAATCTACACATCTGGCACCAGAGTTTAACAGTATCCTTGCCTCCATTACACAATTAATTATGTACTCTGTAAAAATTGATAATTTAGTGTCAAACCACTTGAGGTATGTATTCACCTTTTCTCTTAAGATACTATGCGTGGGAAATGCCAGGGTAGACATGTCCGCATCGTAAACTGGTAGTGCCTTTAGTGCTAGTATGTATGTGCGTTGCATTAGTAACATTATTTAGGGATACCAACCCAATAGTTTTATATAAGTACCAAAATGCTCGTATCTATTGGCCAAATACGTTTCTTTGGTCGAGGGACTCTGCTCTCCTTTCCTGCACAAGTCAGTGATACCCCTCTCTCTGCCCCTCTTGTCCCCACCACGTCAATCACGCCATCGCCTAATACTAACCACAACATCAACACTCTGGCCTTTTTTAAAGAGTATGTGTCAATATGCCTCCCCTTTCACTCCTTCTCGCATCTCTTGCGCATTACACACCAAAGGGAGCGGAGCTCCATTTACAGACATTTGATTCTATCAACCATAAGGCGACGACTACGACTCTCATATATAACATACTTGGCTGGAAGATTGCCCTAAGAGCAAAATGACCAACCCACAGCAACCTCATTTTGAGACCTTGCAGCTTCATGCTGGGTAAATACATCCACTGGTCCAAGCAAGGCGACACTAGGTCGTTTGCTGGCAGTAAAGCTGACGATCTTCAAGTCATGAACCAGACTCAGCAACCAATTCCCGTGCAGTGCCTATCTATGCAACAACGGTAAGATTGCCCTACTTCTTCCGGCTTGTGGCCATCGAGCTCCTCGCTCATATAGGTTGTAGTCATACCAATTTAATGATTCAGCACACGGCGCAAGACTCTTTGGCTTGAAAGAGTTCGGCAACATTTACAGCCGAATCATGAACGTAAGCAATTACCAGACATATAACTAGCCTCAAATTCGAGCAAGTTACCTAACACTTATTCCTTAGCCGACGGTTGATGTCTTCGAGAAGCGAATTGCTGCCCTTGAAGGTGGTATAGCCGCTGTAGCGGCCTCTTCTGGACAAGCAGCTCAATTTATGGCAATCTCCGCTCTCGCGCATGCTGGTGACAACATTGTGTCAACAAGCAATTTATACGGTGGCACGTATAATCAGTTCAAGGTTCTTTTCCCTCGTCTGGGTATCACAACCAAATTCGTCCAAGGAGACAACTCAGCGGATATTGCCGCAGCGATCGATGAGCGTACAAAGGCCGTTTACGTCGAAACGATTGGAAATCCTCGGTATAATGTGCCTGACTTTGAGGCGATTGCCAAGGTTGCTCACGACAATGGCGTACCATTAGTGGTAAGTAATAAGAACTCTACTTGCCAGCAGGACTGATGACCGCTGACCTACCTCCCTTCCCTGCTCGGCGAGGTTTAGGTTGACAACACTTTTGGTGCTGGCGGTTACTTCTGTCGTCCCATTGAGCACGGAGCAGATATTGTGGTTCACAGTGCGACCAAATGGATTGGCGGACACGGTACCACCATTGGTGGTGTTGTTGTTGACAGCGGGAAATTCGATTGGGGAAAGCATGCGGCACGCTTTCCTCAGTTCGTCGAGCCATCTGAAGGGTACCACGGTTTGAAGTTCTGGGAGACATTTGGATCTCTTGCCTTTGCTATACGTGTTCGGGTTGAGATTCTCCGCGACCTTGGGTCGGCACTGAACCCTTTCGCGGCACAGCAGCTTTTGCTGGGGTTGGAGACTCTGAGTTTGCGAGCCGAGAGACACGCAGACAACGCACTGGCATTGGCTAACTGGCTGCGTAATAATGAGAATGTGGGCTGGGTCTCCTACCCTGGCCTGGAAGATCACCCTAGTCATGGAATTGCTAGGCGCTATTTGAAGCGTGGCTTTGGTGGTGTTCTATCATTTGGCGTCAAAGGGGGTGCGGCTGCTGGTAGCCAGGTGGTTGACGGCTTCAAGCTGATTTCCAATCTTGCGAAGTAAGTTTTCTATTAGTGCGGTGGTAAGATATTTAACTGATCGAACTCAAAAAGCGTCGGAGATTCTAAAACTCTGGCCATCCATCCTTGGTCAACAACACACGAACAACTCGCCGAGCAGGAGCGCCTTGACTCAGGCGTCACTGAGGATGCCATTCGGATTTCCGTGGGTACTGAGCACATTGACGATATCATTGCCGATTTCACACAATCTTTCAAGGCTTTCAATGCCACAGGTGCCTAGCAGGTTACCCTACTCAGTGGTCAATCAGCTGACTACAGGAGTAGTGCAAATCGCTTGCAGGAGATAATCAAGCAGTTTGATTTAGAAGTTGGCAAGGGAAATGGGACGAAGTGGAATGTTGCAGTACCTAATGGTTAGACCAGAACAATGTGAGGGTGATACTTTGCAGACAGCAGATACATGCCTACTAATAAAGCAAGAAAGCCGTGCGATTTTCTCTAGGTTTCAAAGATTAAGCAACCAACAACTACATACAACACAGCAGATATTGCCCTGCGTTCCTAGTACTTAGATGTATGCTTTATTCATCAATCAACTGATAAGAAATCCATAGTTTAGCACCGGAGGAATGCAGTGGTGGTCTGGTTCAATGACGGCCCGAGGGAAAACGGGAAAAGGGGAATACACGGCAGCTTAGTCAGGGTCGGAATGGAAAAACAGTTGGCGTTGATCCACTAGGGCTATTTTCCAATTTCAACATTCAATAAACCTCTTGGTCTTTTTTTAACAACTGCGCCCGTCCTCCTTACATAAAATCTATATGAAGATAGTAGTTAGTCTATAGATATAAACCTTAGTGGAGCTATAACATATAGGTAGAGAGTTCTACCCGTAGGTCGGATACGCACCAAAAACTTGCCAAGACGACGAGCCAATCCCGAACCACGGACACCTGGGGAAAATACCTGGGGCCGGACCCAGGGGCTTACTTAATAGGCCCGATAGTAGTTAACTAACTAGGAGGGCATAATTTGGGCGTTCTTCACATGAATGCCCTTCTTCAAGTATGAAGTAATTAGCTAGGTTCTCGGCCTAAAGCACATGCGTGTAGATCGTGTATTGCTTTGAGTATTGTACAATACTCCATGCTACGTTGGTAACTACCTAAGTTAAACAGTTTCTCCCATGTGATACCCTCGAATAAGGCCCGAAAGTTGATCCATCAGCACAATAATTAGTGATTCTATCATATGTAAGATGTTTTGCTGATTACCATAGTTTCCAGCTCAGCCATGAAAATCCTCCATAAAAAAAAGAAAAAACCAAGAGAAATCCCACCCAACGCAGGATTGGGAGGGAGCCCATAAAAAGGGAAGTCCCTCCGCGGTTCTCCGGAATACACTATAGTAATAGCTGCCCCCTCCATGGCCTCGGCATCTTCCAAGAAAGCAGTCAATGTTTTCTTAGGTAGTTGATTAGATCAACGCTGTTTTGGTTTAACACTAGGTACGGCTCTGTTTCTGTCTGGATATACATATAAACAAGCGTAGTGACATCATCCATTCATGCTTCACAATTGAGTTCCAAAGAATAAATAAAATAGTCAAAAGTATAGCTAAGTTAAAAATAAAGAAAACCTGACGCCTAGCCCAAAGGGGCAAGGGAAAGGAAAGGAGCCCTGGACGGGTAAATGCCGAGGTCCGTTTTTTCGTCGCATGGAGGAGGCAAACCAACTTTGAACTGTCACCCACTCAGCATTCTTCCAGTACCCGCATGCCTGCATATCTATATTGCGGGAGGCCATACTTCCCCATCCTCTTCTTCTCCTATCCCCTGTCGCTGCTGTTGTTGTTCATAATTTTACTTACTCAACCCCCCCTCTCCTCTCCCTCCTCCGTCATAGATTTGACAGTCTCTTGCACTCAACGCCAGATCAACAAAAAATCTAACCGTGTCCTAAGAGTCTGCTTACGCAAACTTGTGTTTGGTGGGTTAGACTATTTCATATAATTCTCCTGCCCCTGGCTGACTTAACTGTACCTGTGATAGATTGCAACGGCCACGATGTTCTTCTCCCAACAACCGGTGCATCTCGCTCGTGCGGAGGAGCTGAGACAAGAACCTCCTAAGGGCATTCCTTATGCTATCGCATTGCCTGGTACTGAAAAGCCGGGACGGAGTAAAGTCTACCGCGCCCACAATACTCAAAAGGAGCTTGTGAAGTCACTTGATCCGAAGGTGTGTAAGACCGAAGCTGATGTCTCTTGAAGATACGCTCTAATAGTCCTTTCTTCTCCAGGTCCTTACTTCACATGATGCGTTCGAGTCGACCGCAAATCGTGTTCCAAAAAATCATTGCCTTGGGTGGCGCCCGTACAACCCAGCAACTAAGACCTACGGCCCATATCAATGGATAGATTATCAGACTGTTCAAAAACGGCGGGCTGACTTTGGTGCTGGTTTGGTGGAATTGCATCTGAAACATGACTGCCACCACCCGGGCCAATATGGCATTGGGCTGTGGTGTCAAAATCGTCCGGAATGGCAGATTACTGGTATGCAATTTCTTTTTTACCCCAACTGCTATGGAATAGGACTAAATACAATGCTCCAGATCTTGCATGCATGTCTCAAGGCCTCTATTCCGTTTCTATCTACGATGTCCTTGCATCAGATGCCACCGAATACATTATCAACCATGCAGAACTTCACTGCGTGGTCACCTCGTTGCCACACATCCCAACTTTGCTCAAACTGAAGCCTCTCTTGCCGAAGCTAAAGATTATTGTCAGTTTGGATCCTTTGGACGCTGGCGAACCAGCTGGTCATTCGAAACGAGCCCTCCTTGAGTCAGTAGCTTCTGGACATGATGTCTCGATCTATACGATAGATCAGGTTGAGGAGTTGGGCGCCTCCGCGCAACGGCCTTGTAACCCTCCCCTGCCTTCTGATATCGTCACCATCAACTATACTTCCGGTACCACCGGTCCTCCCAAGGGCGTAGTCTTGACGCACGAAAATGCTGTGGCGGCAACTTCGGCGGCCCTCGTTATCACCAAACAATCTCTTGGCGACACAATGGCCTCTTATCTTCCACTAGCCCATATTTACGCTCGTTTGGCGGAACATGCGGCTTTCTGGTCGGGTGCTCGGATCGGGTACTTCCATGGAAACATTATAGAGTTGGTCGACGACCTCAAAGTTCTGAAACCAACAGGTTTCATGTCTGTCCCTCGCCTGTATAGTCGCTTCGGAAGTGCAATTCGCGCTTCAACAACCGAGCAGGCAGGCTTCAAGGGTGCTCTGTCGAGACATGTCGTAGCAGCGAAGACCGCAAATCTGAAGAACCCTGACCCCTCCAAGGCTACCATAAACCACGCTTTCTATGACCGAATCTGGGCGAAGAAAGTTGCAGCCGCCCTTGGCTTGGAGCGTGCTAATATAATGGTTTCTGGCTCTGCACCGCTTGACCCTTCGCTGCACGATTTTCTGCGAGTCGCTCTGGGGGTAGACTTTTCGCAGGGCTACGGCCTTACTGAGACGTATGCCATGGCTTGTGCCCAATCCCCCAAGGACCTCACGTCTGGAAACTGTGGGCGCCTTGCTCCCTGCACTGAGGCCTGTTTGGCTTCCCTGCCCGACATGGAATATTCGGTTGATGACAAACCGCATCCTCGCGGCGAGTTGCTTCTGCGAGGCCCCAACGTTTTCAGCGAATATTTCAAGAACCCGGATGAGACAGCCAAGGCGATCACGGAAGATGGGTGGTTCCGGACCGGCGATGTATGCACCATCGATGAAAAGGGTCGCATCGTTATCATTGACCGTCGAAAGAATGTTCTGAAACTGGCTCAGGGAGAGTACATCTCACCGGAACGACTTGAGGGCATCTTCCTGTCTGAATTGGGTTATTTTGCCCAAGGATATGTCCACGGCGAAAGCATTCAGACGTTTTTGGTGGGTATATTTGGTGTCCAACCAGATTTGTTTTCCGCATTTGCCAGTAAGGTGCTGGGACGAGTCGTCAGCGAGGCTGATATTAAATCGGTCCTGGATAATGAGAAGATCCGGAAGACGGTGTTGGAAGATCTTGAGCGAGTTGCAAAGAAGCACAAACTTGCAGGGTATGAAAGGGTTAAGAACTGTGCCTTGATGGTAGAACCATTCACCGTTGAGAACAATCTGTTAACGCCAACGTATGTGATGGCCCATCTTCTCCTGCATCTTTTTCTAGTGTATTGTACTAACTGCTTTCGACCACTTAGTCTCAAGCTGAAGCGTCCTCCAGTTGCAAAACAGTACCGTGCACTATTGGATGACCTGTACACCCAAGCTACAGCAGCGGAATCTCCCACTCCTAAGGCCAAGCTATAAACAAGGCCCTGTTTATGCTACTGTACTACATTTTCCTAGATTTCCTTGTCTCCGTTAAAGGGGACATGCTGAGACTGTAAATACCACTGAACAGATTTCTTCGCATTTCCAAATGGCATGTTGATTTAGTAGACAGTTGCCGGTTGCCAGTTGTATCAGTGATCCAGTTTTCAATGAATGACGATCTTTGAGGAGAGGAAAAGGAACTGGCAGCCTGAACTCCAGTCCCAGAATGCCGATGCTATATCAAGGCTTACTCCGTGACAGGGGCTCGTCATAGGATGTAGGAAGATTGGTAGTCTCTATATGCATCCGTCGTTTGGTGCAAGTACCAAGACGATAACTATTCATAGAATTCAATTATGGGTTGGTCGCCAAAGAGACTAGACTAACCCAAATCGGTCTGTCAACCTTAGTCATCTCCCATAATCATCCTCTTCACAACTAATTAGCATTGATGAACTAGTAGCTTCCCCTTATTCTCACCTTTGCCCTCCCCTTTTTACCTGTCTTCGCTTTAAAGGAACCATGTACCTGTCCATTTCCACTCTGCGTCTTCTGCTCGTGTTCCTTGCCACCTTCACAACGCGGGTATTCTCGGCACTCACCATCACCGTCACTCCCTCCAACCAGCTCCCCAATCCCAACTCCTTGCCGGCAGGAACGCATGCAACCCTGACATCCCTCCCTACATCCAGACATGGAGAGGAGAATTACAATGCTGTCCTCCACCCATTGACTGCCCCGCTTACCCGCTCCGGGACTTTCATCTTTTGGGACCTCCGATCTCCCAAGCCCGAGTCCTACTTGCTCGATATTCATTCTGCCGAATATGTCTTTCCTCCCCTACGCGTCGACGTCTCTGTGGATGGTAAAGTACTCGGCATCTGGGAGACATTTCGTGGGAATCCGTGGGAAAATCGCGGGGCCGAAAAGTTCGCCGTCACTACTGCTACTTCAGAGACAACTACCGAAGTGCTCGATGTGGCAGTGGAAATAAAGCCGCTGGCAAGAAGAGGCTTTTACGAGGAAAGGGCTAAGTGTAAGGAAGCTATTTGTCATGAGTGCATCTGCAAGTGGAAATGCTGACGGAGCTGGCTTGACCTGTAGTCTCCCCTCTGGCCTTGTTCAAGAACCCCATGATCCTAATGGCACTAGTAGCCATGGGTTTTACATTTGGAATGCCAAAATTGATGGAAAATAGTACGTTTGCGTGCATGGAAACAAATTGCCTCACCCCTCAATGACAACATTCGTCTCTCTACTTTGTTCCTTGCTGATGTCAAAACCACCTCCTCTCAGTGGATCCTGAAATGCGTGCCGAATTTGAGAAACAATCTCGAAGCTCCCCGATCTCCAGTGCCACGAGAAATGCTATGGCTAGCGGTGGTGGTGCACAGGCTGGCTTTGACCTCGCTGGATGGATGGCTGGCGCAGCTCCAAGAACTGCGGCTAGCCAAGGATCCTCCACTGGCAGAGACTCTGGAGACCATATACGAAGGCGATGATCATAGTAGTTCGCTGAATACTTAGAATGACAAATCCAAGTTGATCTAGGGTGACATATCCTCTGCATGGTAATAGAGGGTGTCCTAAGAAGACAAGTCTAGGCCACGGTTTCAAACTTGTAACATACACAATAGAGCACACAATATAAGAAGCAGAAAGCTATCCCACAAATCCTCAGCCCAAACGTAAACTCATGACAGCCCTCGAGTTTCGTTCCAGCGATAAACCATTAGTGTTGCAAATCCAAACCAAGCAGGATTAAAAAGCAATCCACCATTGTCGTCCGCCGCCTCATAGTCAGAATCATCCGAAATTAAGCATATCGGCTAGAAGTCGCCAAAGTCACCCCCACCAAAGTCGCCATCGCCATAATCGTTGTACTCGACATAATCATGATGATCATCAAAAGCCTCTGCCAACAAAGCACCACCAAGCAATCCTCCTCCGACCCCCAACGCCGCAGCTCCTGCTGTTCCCAAGCCATGCCGTCGCTGTTGGGGTGCTGCCGCGGAATAAAACCCACCTTGAGCTGGATATGCGGGAGAGCTGTACCCTACCGGTTGCGGAGGATAACCACCATAATATCCCCCCTGTGGATAAGGGTATGGTTGCTGTTGCTGCTGTTGGGACGGGAGTGGAGGGGGCCTTCCATAACCTACAGCGGTTCTACTCGAGGATTTTCCCATCAACTTGTTTAAAAATCCTTTGCTGCGCTGCTTTTGTTCTGGGCCAGTGCTTTGAGGCGGGGGAACTAAGGACGATCCATAGCTTGTCGACTGCGCCTGAGCAGCTCCGGTGTAGTAGTCTGCCGCAGTGCCAGGTTCATGGCTTCTGGAGCTCTTGGTGTGTGCCCAAGCTTCTTCTTCTTGTAATTGAGCGGCCAGCCGAGCATCACTGTCTAGGGTGCTGGTCCCTGGATCTGCAATGTTATACGGGTTATTCGATCCCAGTGCCTTCTTCTCGCCTGCGGCGGTGGCAGCAACAACAGGTGAGTTGGCATGCGCTGAGTCCTCGTAAGATGGCGGCCGATCGCTTGGGGGTCCATGTAGCTCTTCCGTAGTTGTGACTTCGGGACGTTCCCATTGTGACTTGCCAGTGCGCAAATTCACAAAGAACCTGTGTAAGAGTGTTAGCAGGAGCTTGCATTTTAGACGAATGGCATCTGTATGCCATCAAGCTCTCACCATTCTCTGTATCTATTATCAAACTGGGCTTTCCATCCATCGGGGACGGAAGGCGGCGGAGGTCCGGGGGGCGGGGCGAATGACATCAGTCCTTTGTATAAGACAGTTCTAACTTGGTATATTAAAGGTCCTTTGGTTTGCTGTCTACCTCCTGAAGTCTTAAGAATTGTGAAATATATTCTGCGGGAGATATGAATAATGCTAATGCCTAGCAGGTAGGTAGGTCACTTGGCTACCATGGTTCATATACTAAAATATCTAATGATTAAATACTCCGTACTAGTCAACCACAATCTGGAGTGACCCTCTTTTCCCACGTGATATATCTTTTGAGAGCACAGCCACATTGCCCATATATTCATCTTCCATCTTAACTACACTATTTACAAGTGTACTCCAATCCCATACAAAGGAGTATGTATTCGTGTAAACCTGTGCATGCCAGTCATAATATATACAATGGCCCATTAAGTATACAAGCCTATTGTGCATCGGTTCAGATCAAAAATCAAACATGGTATCATCATCAAAAAATCATCGGGACTGATCATTATTATTCTGAAGCATCTCTCCAGCTGTGCTTGCACTAAACAGTGACATCTTGGATATTCGGGTCAACATATCTACTCGATGGCCACCAAAAATCTTCATCTAGCTCTTCCTCCAGTTCTTGAAGGAGAGTATCACCACCACGTAAGGGGACCTTATTAGGTTCAGGACAGCGAGTAACACCTTGGAGCTGCGCATCGGTCGACGGATCTGCAAATTCCTCGGTATCTGTATCACCAGTAAGGTCGATGATCTCTGGCTGTACGTCTATAACCAAAGATCCGCAACTTTGTGTCTTTGCTCGCCGTTTAAACCCACTGTGAAAGACTGCTGAAGGACAAGGCTTAGCATCTTCATCACTGCACAAGTCAATGAAGTTGTCGTCAAAGGAAGCTAATGCTTTTGTGTTTGACGGCTCTGCTCTTTTTCTTTTGTATTCGTTCTGGCGTTGATTTCGGATCCGGGCGAGTTGGATTTGAGCCTCAACTTCTCTCCGAGATTGTTCATCTAGCACATCCCGAGATTGCACAGGAATCCAATCAAGTTGGCGTATTTGCAGCTCCCTTTTAAGCTGGGTTTTCGCAATCTGGTCAAAAGGTGTACCTTCAGGCCGAGCCCAGGTTGCAAAAGGTCCAGAATAGCGAGGCCCTTGTCCAGCCCCAAATACAGGGTGTTGAACAAGCTGACCAGACGATAATAATTTCCGCGCAGCTTTAACACCGGACTCTGAGTCTGGCTCGTGGTGGTCAAAAGGCAATTGAGGGGCACGTTTGAACGTAAAGGACAGGTCGTCCGTATTAGAAAATGGCCCTGGCGACAGGACATGGATGCCTCCGGCAGCATCTCCAACCAAAAGGTTGGATTTATCATCTGAGAAGGCAGCACGCGCAATCTCCTCTTTGAAGCTGTGCGTATCCTCAACCAAAGCATCCTCGGATGATCTGAGAATATTCCACCTCTTAAGAATACCGTCAGATGCCCCAGTATAGAACTGGTCAATCGCATTCCCCCCCACAATGCCACTGTCACCCCGACATCTGCTTGCTCCCTTGTTAACCTCTCATCTGTTTGATTGAGGGGATCACCATGTGGGAGTTTGAGGATAAAGTCGTTATGTTTGCGATAGTCCCAGACATATGTATTGCCATCAGTACAGTTAGCGGTCACATAGTTGGAATTGATAGGACAAAACGTAACATCGTTAATATCCATTGCGGGACAATCAAATTCATAAATACGTGTCTTCGACTTCAGTGGCTCATACTGACGAACAACAGATCCATTCTTTTTTTGCCCCGTGGAACTCCCTGTGACAAAGGCTTCCGAGCTTGGATGCCACCTGATGTCGAATATATTTTGAGAGTTGGGTGATAATTGTAAAGGAGTTGCCCCCCCCCTTCTCTGACTTGCCAGGCTGCAAGAAGACCATTCTGAGAGACACCGTCATCTTTCTCAGACATTCCAGCAACCAAGATATCCTTTGTAGATGGAACTGTACCCCATGCTAAAGAAGTTGGAACCAATTTAATATCCTTCCTGGAGCGATGCTTGTTTATTCCGAGAGGAGTGTATTCTGATTCCTTCATGTTCCACAGACCAATGGAGCGTGTACCAGTCGCGAGTACATTCTGCTCAAAGTTCGAACGAGCCATGACTAGGACTTTTGTATCATGATGAAGTGTTTTGTAACATGAAGCCCTGCCGTTGGCGAACTCCCACAGTTTAACTGTTCTGTCATAACTCCCCGTGAGCAAGACATCATCAAACCATCGGACAGCGGTGACGGTCATAAAGAGTCTAGCATTATTTCTTATACCGCTTGCACCTCTTCTTTCAGGTCTACTAATGTAATGATCAGGTAATTCTTCCAAAGAGTTCTGAGTAAGATCTCCAAGGACCAAATTATTACCCCTGTTATACTCCATGTTATGCCGATCACATTGAGCCGTTGCACCAGCAGCAAACTTGGTTCCATCGGGTGACCAAGCCAGTGCCATCACATCATTTGAGGCTCCTTTCCATGTTTTCGATAATTTGAAGTTATTTGTAACTCCAGAACTGATTTCTTTGTTAACACTGCATCCCAATTCCCGATATTGCAGTAGTCTGTTGAGAGTTGAGCTCTGGGAAAGCCTGCGGCCGGTTGATAGGCAATTGCTATTGGTAAATATAGCTTTGACTATACATGGAACCGACGGTAGGCAGCCACTTCTAGCGTCCCTGAGAAATGCATCAACGTCTTTGGAATGGCGTCGGCTCAGTATAGAAGCATATGGCAAACAGGCCCCCAACCTATGGATTTCATCCATTTGATAACCGTGCTGTCCGTTGGACATCCATTCCCGTTGTCCCAGAATTTTTATGACACGGCTCCTGGCATGTCTAAGCTCCTTTTTATCTGGATCTGGATATGTCGTCAAAAGTTTTAAAATCCATGCATTCTTGTCCGTGACTCCTTCGTTTTTAAGCGTTCGAGAAAGTTTACGCATCCGCGAAATTGTCATGCTGAATCCATCGGGAATATTGAAGTTTGAGATTGCTTGTATAATTTGATCACTGAGTGCAATTTCCGAACATGGGGTCCACCGTAATCCACAAAGTGACAGCAAATTTATCACAGATAGCATTTCTTCTTCATCGAAGTCGACATGGAGGATAATTTCAGCATTCTCGACGAATTTTTTTGGAACATAGTATGCAGGATTTCGTTCCGGGGAATAAGATGCATGTTCCAGGCCCTTGAGATCAGTCACTTTTTTGAAGCGCGATTTTATTATTTGTACTTCTGGAGAAGAGTAGATTACGCAGTTTTGCATGTCAGGGGACAGTATATCTGGTTTGCAACGTTGAGATGGTGATTCAGTGTTCATTGAAGATTTAACGGTGTTGCATTCTGATTCCTCCTCAGAGTCCACACCATGGAGGTGTATTGGCACATGGTAATTGGCTGGTCCAGATTTGGGGCGTCCAGAACGTCTTCTCCCTGCCATCTTTGACATATTTTGACCTGTTGCTGACGATTCAACGGATTCGTTTCCATACGACTTTCTTTTGCCATTCGTAGGTATAGCAACTGCACAGTCGTGATTCCGCATCACTTTCTCACGAGATGATTCTGAATTGGCAGGACCCTGGGGGTTCTTAAACCAATGGTTATGGCGTGTTTGTAGGTGGTTTGTTGCTGATCTTTGAATCAGGGCGTCATGCTTCTTTGGCGATATCTCAAGAGTAGCATCCTCGGGGACGGTGTGCGACCAATTGTTGACTGAATCAAGATCACCACCACTAAAAGGAACTGGAGTATTGGGCGTGCTGATATGCCTTTGTAAGCTACTACACCTCTCTACCTGAGATGTCCGGCTTCTATGAGACGGATGTCTCATAAATTGTGAGAGTAAATTCTCTGCTTCTTCGATTATGGAAGGGTCGTCATATCCCGCATGTCCGTAATTCGATGCAGGTCTAGAGCTAAAGTCCCGGCGTATCGTATCTGAAAATTGTTTGGGCATATCTATGACGTTTAGAGACTTGTCATTCAAAACAGTGGCTCACACCAATATAGGAAAACTGCTTTCATGATGGGAATACAGCATAGTTTAGATATATGTTATCTTGCGAACTGAGCAAACAAGGTAGGGTATGGGTTGAGAAATAAAAACACACTCACCAGGCTTTAAGACAAAAGTTTGTATTCAAGAACAATGATGTGCTTTGGTCTGGCATTTAACTTTAATCAGTCTGCTGACAAAATCGACAAGGGACATGGTTCTCACATCAAGAAAACGCATATAGCAGATCATAATATCAACAGTGATTAAAAGTATCCTGGGTCTTATCCATATCTAAATTGACGGAGCTGTGACGGAAGTATGGCTCACTGAGTTAAATCTAGAAAAGGTATATCTTTATGACTGTATCTCTCAAATACACGGTCTAAGTCCTCCTAGCATTCACTAGAGACTTGGGGGGCAAACAGTATAGTAAAATAGACCTCGGACCTAGTAAACTGGTTCTAACCATTATTAGGTTGAAATTCTGAACGGCAGGCAACAAAACTCACATGACACGTGGCAATCAGTTTCAGGTAGTAATTTCGAGGCCAGGTTCTTCAATCACCAAGTGAAGGGTCTTTTGAGCTATCATAGAGGTGGTGGGTAGAACTTGACAAAAGTAGCCAGTTACTTAGCAATCAACGCGTCAATCGTTGCCGCGTTGTGCCCACGCATCTAACTTTAACGGTGTACTATATCCGAAAGAAGTAGGCGGTTAAAAGGACCCGCTTGCAATGCTTAGCTTCAACCTGACTAATCGTCATAGGTACGTATTATACTAGTCCTATATACTACCTACCTTTAAGATAACTGGCAGTCGACACATAGTAGTAACATAGGCTTGCTCATTCGCGCAGCTTATTGAGTGTGCTTCTCTCACAACGGTCTCTGATGACAGCCAAAAAATTCGAGACTACTATTTTAAAACACAGAGTACTCAGGAATACTACATAAATGGAAGACTCGCCCGGGAAAGAGCTATAGAAGAAAGTAGATATACATGCCCCCTTGAGTCCGCAAATCAACGCTGAATTTTCCCAGTAGTAAAATTCAGCCTGACGGCTACCCCCTTTCAGCAGGCTGCGTATGACTAGAGTAGGTGCTTCTACCTAGAAATCTTGCCTCTCTTCCGAACAGATATCATCATGTCATAGAGAACATCCTTGAACGCAAACAAGAAAGCTGCGGTGATTGCACTTTGGGTCACTTTGGGTCCAATTCCTATAAAGCAGTATAAGCCCCAGGTTTTTTGTTATTGCTGTATAGTTTCCCGACTTGCCTTTATACAGCCCCATGTAGCCCTCCTCCCTGATAATTCTTCGCAGACTTCCGTTCAGGCTCTCTCTAGGACCATCTTGACTAGCAACATGCATTCGGCTTTTGACTGTGATATACGGGTAAGTGATAGAGGTGGCCAATATTTTACCCAGAGCACCAAGGTAAAATGCATCTTTCGGCGTCATGCGCCTTCGACGTTCCACTACATTTTTCAACTGCTCGAAAATAGTGTATTGCAGAATGGGGTTAATAACAAGGACCAGGGCCGGAAATACACCGGCAAAAAGAGCTTTGGGGCCTTCTATTCGCAGCAAGTCCAACAAAGTGTTGATGGTAGACGCCCGTTTGGCAGAAGTACTGGACAAAGTCGGGTCCTCCTGGTCAGACTTGCGAGCTGTCATGCGAGTGTTCACTACCCAGATAGGGTTAGTAATCAACACAGTCGCACTCCCAGCAATAGCTCCTGCGATCATGGATTCAACTGTTGTAAGCTTCTTCGAAGCTCGACCAGCTTTAATGGCTGCTTTCTCAAAGGCTGAACGCGTCCATTCATACCAGTAGTAATAGACAAAGTTAGTGACGCTTATGCCAAAGAGGGCAGACTCAAGACCCGAATAGAGTCCACTAAAGCCCTCCCGCTGCACAATACGCCGTATTGCATCAGCAGTTGTAGAATGTGCACGCTTCGATTCCACCTGTGCCCGAGTTGAAAGTGTGATTAAAGGGTAGCTATATTTTCGAGGATGTCAACAACTTCTCGCTGGTAGTGGAAAGGGGGTATTGGAGCCCGCACGTTAGAATCATCGAGAGGATACCACCACCAGCGCCAGCCAATGCATGTGCTATGTTGTCACCTTGTTGAGCCGCAGCTGTGGCTACAACCACCTTCTTTGGGGCTTCGATCTTGTTTTGAGACATGAGGAAATAAATATAGCAGTTACGAAACACCAGCGAGCAATGTCAATATCTAGAGATGAAACTCTGCGCTTCTTGTTCAACGGCGTTGGTCTCAACAAGGAAAATAAACCAAAGGACTTATGTGGACAAAATATGCAGCTTCAAAGGAAGTGAACTTGGGTTGGGACCTGTTCAACGAAGGGAATGAAATACTAGGTACTCAAGAGAAGGTAGGAAAAGGGGCAAACACTTCTAAGGTAGTCATTGGAAGTCTGGGGCGCGAGAATAATTCGGCTTTAACTAGTAGAAGGCGATTGTAATGACGTTTGCCGAAATTCTGTGCCTCGGCTGATTTTTACGTTCCCTCTCAGCTATTTACAGGTTTCAAAAGGGATTTATTTTCTCTATGATCACCTAAATGCTATTGTTGTATCATAGATGTTAAGAGAGGAGGTTCATGCATATTTCTGCTAACAGTATTTTAATCGCTATAAGTTTATTTATCTATGTTTGTAGGTATTACTTATGGTACCTGGACTCCATACAACTACCAAGGTATACCTATCCGTCCCGTGTTCACCTGATTCAATAAAGCCGCGACCGAGGTACAGATGACCATGACTTTCTTCTGATTTACGGAGTAGTTCCAGCTCATTGAATAGTTATGTCAGACGCCTAAATGCTTGATTTATATCTCGTCTTCAACTACTGTCAAAATTATCGGGGTGGCATCATTATTGTATAGATACATAGGTAGTTAATACAAGGTATCTCTAATGGTAACTACAAGTTAGTGTCTCTTAATTCTTAATTCTTAATGCAAGGAATGGCCCCCAGTGCTCCGTACCTTAGGCCACATTGTATTTATTGATTGCTTACAGAATTCTGGCTTCAAACCATACAAAAATGCATTTTCTTAGACCTACCTCTCCTTCCATCTCACATACAAAAGTGCCACGCAGATTTCTTGAAGCATTCCATCCCCCACCCCACTCCAAAAGCTACATTAGTATATTGTTCTACTACAATAGAGCACTAGGCTCAGAAGCTAGGATTACCTTCAACTAAATGCGCCCGCCCATATTCATGGTCTTGCCCCTTACTGAATCGGATGCTCATAAGTATGTTTCCAATCAACCTATAAGTAGCAAGAGAATATTGGAGAAAACTTATGTAAATATGCTGTTAAAAGGAAATAGGAAAAAGAAACTGAAGCAAACCGCGGAAAGTTTAGAAGCTAGAGGGAAGGGGGACAAAGGCGAAGAGAAAGGAAAAAAGGAGAGGGAAAAAAAAAAAAAAAAAAAAAAAAAAAAAAAAAAAAAAAAAAAAAAACACCATGAGTGTAAGCAATATTAGGTCAAAAAGGGCAGGCCGTCTAAGCATGATAAAAAAATTGAACTAACAACCCCCGATTATGATCTCGGGCCTGAAGCGAGTCAACGATCCTTTTGTGCCATGCTCAGTGTCACGCATGTAACCCAAGTCAAGAGAGTAGTTTAGTATGTCTCATGGTTTATGATCCACACCTGGCTGGTACCACATAGCACATACCATTAAACATCTAGCAGCAACCACCTCCAGATCCAGATTGAACACCCTGACCTTGACCAACCTGCACAGTAGGTTTGTTGTTAACAGTAGCAGTACCCATACGTTCCTTGATCTGTCTTGCCATCGTTAAGAAGGCTTGCTCAACATTCGAAGCATTCTTGGCCGAGGTTTCCAGGAATGGAATTCCTAGACTATCGGCGAACTCCTATAGTAACAACATCATTTTGTCAACCCTTACTACTTATGACAAAGGGAAAGCAGCCAGTGCCAGGTCAAAAAAAGGATGTTAGGGTAAATGCGCACCTTGGCCACGGTGTACTCCACAACCTTTTTGTCTTCCATATCGCTCTTGTTACCAACAAGGAGCTTATTGACACCTTCGGTGGCATAGCGATCAATTTCTTGGAGCCACTGCTTCACATTGTTGAAGGAGTCCATATCAGTCACGTCGTATACGACACAGATACCGTGAGCACCACGGTAGTAAGATGAAGTAATGGTTCGAAATCGCTCTTGGCCAGCAGTATCCCACTGAACTATCCGTCAGCTTTGTCAATATTTTCTTCAATTATGTTGCCTTACGATCTGAAGCTTCACCGTCTTGCCATCGAGTTCGATAGTCCGAATTTTCTGCCAGGTATTAGTTGGTACAACATGGCACAGGCACCTAGGGAAAACGTAAACGAGTAATAGGGGAGTTAAGGTTGGTGAGGAGATAGAACGTACAAAGTCGACACCGATGGTGGAAATATAGCTTTCCGTGTAGGTGTCGTCGGCGAATCGGAGAAGAAGGCAGGACTTTCCAACGCCAGAGTCTCCGATAAGCAGGAGTTTGAAAAGATAATCGTATCTTAGTAAAAGGTTAGGCGGCCGAGCACAAGGGTGATTCTCCGCTAAGGAGGTGGTCTGGGAATGGTGAAGAATATATACTCTAAATAACAACCGATAGCATCAGCAAATCAAATACCCAGAATTAACATAAATGCTTCTATGTGCGAGCAGCAAGCATACCCAGCTATTCGGGATGCTCGGCCTAAAAGTAGGAGTTGAGGGACTTACCACTCGGGATTCATGATGATCGGAGTAGGGATAAGTATTGACCTGTGGACGAAGGTAGGACAGGATGGGAACACAGGAGCAGTTGTCAGACGTAAGTATTAATTTGTGTATAGCGCACACAGAGGGGAGATGGAGGTGGATAGCAAGCTGATGTATGAGTTGCTTGGACGTGTCTGCTTGGATGGAACTTGGCCGGTGTCTTATGGCGGTTGCGTTGCTAGGTGCAGGAGAGCAGGTGAACCTAGCATGCAGATTCCAGTACTTACTAAGGTCAGCAGGCCTGTGACTGTTTCACATTCACCCCAGACACTCAAACCAGCCTAGTGCCTTTAGCGCAAATTTCCGCTAGCGCAATGGATAGTTTGTCTAGAGAAAAGCAATCAGGTACAACTAGAGATTTGACCAAGTGGAGATTCCATTTATATTAACATTTACTAAATAAGGGACGGGGTGTTAGAGTGTGTGTATGGGGGATAGAGGAAGGGGGAAGAAACTAATTACTGACTTTGTAATTTACATATCTCCAGTCTCAGCTATTACCTAAGTGCCATTAGGAGCATGCAAAGACGTAATAATAAGCTGTATTGAATTTCTCAATCCTAGGTTTCGATGAGATTATTGAATATGGTGTGATGGTTAACCTTCAGGGCACAACAGCATAGTGGGCATTTGTTGGTATATATATCTGAGACTTGCAATATATAGTGTACATAACATTAGTTTCTCAGGTACTATTTATGAGTGTTAAGTAATTAAAGAGTTTAGCTTTGCAATACCTGTGAAAGCACAGGCCAAGCAACTAGGCATCGACTTTAGGCCGCGAAATGCTGTCTGATACCGGCTAAATATTTCGACGCCGGAGGCCGTCTGTAGAATTAAAGATATTACTATACCAAAAGATATGGAAAAAACTGGTCGCATGAGACGGCAGAATATCAAGTGAGATTATAGTACCCATTGGAACCCTCTCCTGATTTTAATATGTATATTACTAGTATGAGTCTACAGTGAATTGACCAGGGAGGTAGGTGATCAACCCCTGTGTTAAGAGGCAGTAGCATTCATGATAGGTTCCTCTATGATGGTGTCTCTTGTATTTCTTACCTACTAGCAACAAAACCAGAAGGAGCAAACCTAGATATTCCCTTCCACAATCAGACATATTTACGAGTTTGCAGCCATTCCAGAACCTGCTTTTCATCCCTTTCCTTGTAGCGTGCATTAGTATGAATGTTGTCCGAAACAATCACTAAAGCACGATCATAAGCGCTAGTGTCTTTTCCCTGAAAAAAGGAAGAGATATCCGAAGCAATTTGGTAGTCTGCAAATTTTGAAAGCCCCATTCGCACAAAGCGCTCAAAGACAACATTATTTGCTGATAGGCGAGTTTCAACAGCCATCCAGTTGTTCTTCATATACTCCCATAGTAGATGCCGAACCTTAGAGTTTGCAGCCAAAGAAACAGCGCCACTATGCACGTCCTGAATTGCCACTTTGTCTGAAAACACAAAGTCCAGATAATCCTTAACCAATTCAGAATCTGTAGTGCGTCCAAGAGCTGCCAGGCTGATCTCCTTGCCATCCACGGAATCTGTCTGGAGATATTCTTCTTTGACGGACTCGTACTCATCACGGCCTCCTTCTGATATTGCGATGCCGAAGACTGCAGAGCGTAAATTTGTGTGGATAGCACTCATGTCTTTGCCATTGGCCCAGAGCTTGAAACGCCGCTTAGCTTCAGTAATAGTTCTGTAATACAACGTGAGTAAGGTATGCCGAGAAGACGAGGAGCGAGGAGTGAACCAGAAAAGAGAATGACGTACTTCTCATCGCCCGCAAGGCCGGCCATGCCAATCGAAAGCTTCCGGAGTTGAACAGTAAGATAGTCTTCATCTGGCTTAAACTCCCAACCAAATTGTTCTGTAACAGAAGACACCAATTCAAGAGCAAACCTCTTCAGGCCTGTGGCTACTAATTCATTCTGAGCAAAAACAGATCGTAGGCTTGCAACTGAAGAAGCGATCTGAGACCAAACCCTACAGTATTCGTCAGATCCGGCTCTAATGTAGCTCAAAAGGGATTAAGGACTGACAAGTAATTTTTCTCCATCTTGAACCCTTCTAGGAGGGCCAATAGAGCTGCAGTGCTGCCCTCTCCAGACATTGCAAGAGCGGCGGCGTCGCCTATTAAACCAATCTTGTCTTCAGTGCTCAGTAATTCCAAAGATTGACCCAATTTCGACAATCGATCTGCTGGGTAATTTGTCCGATAAAAACCTGAAAGGTCCGTGTTGATCTTATAGAATGAATCTTGACCGACACCTTGAATAGTGTCGGCTTTAGAGACAAGTGCACGAGAATTTATAGCTTCTGTCTTTGAACATGATTTAATCCCAAGTGGAATCCACCACGTTGTTTCATCCTCTTCTGGTTTCACATCTCCTGTTGAGAGGAAGCGGCTTTGTCGAATACTTATTTGTCCAGACTCTTCTTTTATGTTAACGACAGGGAATCCGATTTTCCGTATCCACGGGTCCTTCGCCATGGTATTAGACAGCTGTGAAGGCAAATTAGGTAACATTTAACGTACCATGAAGCTATTGATATCCTGATTGGAAACTTTGCTGAGGGCGGACCAAAGGTCATTGGTAGTCGCGTTGCCTAATAATTTGAATTGGTTAGCAACTGAAGTCTTCCGGAACTAATTTACTTGATAACTTGCCGTATGCGTGAGCTTTGAGATACATAGCTACCCCGCGAAGGAAAGTCTCCTGGCCAAGATGATTGCTCAGCATTCGAATCACCGAGCTACCTTTAAGGTAGCTAATGTGATCGAAAATCTGGTCGACCTCTAGAGCATTCTTCACGGGGACCTCTATTGGGTGGGACGCACGTAAGGAGTCGAGTTGGAATGCTTGTTGTACGCCTTCAGCCTGTGAAACAGTCAATATTCTATAAAGCAATGCTTGTTACCTCGGGAATTGCGTACGACAAATTGAGACCATATATTCCATTCTGCAAAGGTGAGTTAGATTGAGCGGATTCAGGCTCTGAGGGTTATAGGTTACCGGGATAAAAACGGTCGACTGCTAACCAACCAACCCAAGTCGCAAAACCTTCGTTTAACCATAGTTCATTCCACCAATCCATTGTTACAAGGTTACCAAACCATTGATGAGCCAGTTCTAATTGAATACCTGTCAGAAATATCAAATTCTTGGGAACAATTCTAGAATTGAACCAACCGTGCGCAACAACATAAGCTATGCGATTTTTATACCGCGCATCAGATCGCCCTTCATCAAAAAGAACAGCAGTTGTCCGATAAGTGACAAGACCCCAATTCTCCATAGCCCCCATGGCCTAGATAAATACAATTAGTCCCACTAAATGTTTGGAAAATATGTAAAGTCACTCACAAATTCGTGGACCGCAAGTAGATCAGCCTTGGGCAAGGGATACTCTATCTCAAAGACCTCGGAAAAGTAGTCCACAGTGCGGTGGGCGCACTCTAATGCAAATCGGGCTTGCTCTTTCAGGCCCTTCGTTGTGTAGACGCGAACAGGTATGCTTTGCCCTTTATACTTTCGCTCGGTCATAGCTTCAACGTACTCAAAATCCCCAACTGCCCAAGCGAGAAGCTACATAGTGTTACATATGTTAGACTTAGATGGTAAAAGACGAATTTTGAGTTAGGAGGAGGGGAGGGTTTCTCAATGGACTAACATATGTGCTCATCACTGGAGTTCTTTCGAACGAGACAACCTTCAGACCCGGGTTGCTGCTTTCCCTCTCGGACTTAACTGGCATGTTGCTAAGAGCCGTTTGTCCTTTGGGGACTTCAATCTCAAAGTCAAAAGTAGCTTTAAGATTCGGTTCATCAAAACAAGGGAAAGCCCTACGAGCATCACAGGACTCGAACTGAGTGCTTAACATGTAGTGGAAGCCATCCTCGTTTGGCGTGTCGCCAGCCGGCTCTACAACAGACTTATATTTTGAACGATAAAAGCCGGCCATCGCACTGTTCATAGTTCCCGTAAAAGTGATAGACAACACGATGTCAGAGGGAGAAACTTCTTCCTGGAACTTGAAAATCACTCGTTCTGACTTCTTGTCGTACGTTATATCAGATGCCTTCGATAATTTGGTTCCTACGGCGATCCGCATGTTGTGAGTAATCTCATCTTTTGGACATTAATCAATGCACATTACGAACCATCTCTTCCAAATATTTCTGCGTTTTGGACCTTGATCTCCTTCGAATTCAGCACTATCTCCTTGGTGGAACTGGTAACTTGAGCATCTATTTTGACAATGCCCTTGTAAACCCAAGAGCCACCAAGTTCGAGGTCAAACAGAGATACATGGTAGTTGACGGGTTTCACCCTAACATTTGGTCAGATTTTGTACAGGAATGAGGCAGACCGTTCTACTGCAACGCCGTCGAGATCACTCACACGTCGGGGAGAATACATCTATCCATTGAAGTCATTGCATATAATTCAGTAGTATAATGCCTGACTAAAGGTGACACTGCCCTTGAAAGATTGCTCGAGGTGAATAGATGAGCACACGAGGATAGATGAGGGCGACGGGGAAGGAAGGAATCACGCGGATGGAAAACGAAAGAGGGGGAGGGGCAGTGGAGGAACGGCGATCGAGCACGTCGAATCGTCTGAGTAGTCAACGTGACGCACCTTCTCCCCCACATCTACTCCGTACTTGAACAATTATGGTGTAAAGATGCCTACGGCTACCTTCGGATAATTGAGGTAAAATATTGGACCTGAAGGAGAAGGGACAAGCCATGAAAAGATCGGAGTTCTGTCGGAGCTAAACCCTTTCCAGTGATGATGCAGACGGTCAATTGACCTTCTAATCCTTTCACCCGTTTAACTAAGTATTTACACTTACAAACTGCTGATCTCTAGGTTCTGCACTTAAAATAAAAATAAAAATAAAAATAAAATGGCAGATTCTGACGAAGATTATATTGGTGAAGCTTCTGAGGATGAGGATGGTGACAACCTTTTTCAAGGGAATGCAACGTTTGCATCACGTCCAAAGAGAAAGAAGCAACGTGGAGGCGCTGACTGGGAAGTCTCAAGGACTTGGGAAACTTTAGTTGAGAGCGCGGATGGCACAATTAGCTCAGCAGTCGAAGGAATTCTGGAATCTGGGAAAAGGAAAAGGTAAGTTCGATTCGAGGAGGGGCGAAAGCGCCAAGTGCCTTCAACTCTACCCGTAAGAGCGCACTCGTAAACTGGATACTGAGTTCAATATTATGGCAGGCTCTTGAGAGATACTACACCATTACAACGGGGCATTATTCGCCACCTCGTCCTCATCCTCGATCTTTCGCAGTCCATGGCGGAAAAGGATCTTCGGCCTACACGATACCTCCTGACGCTCCGATATGCACAAGAGTTTGTGGGAGAATTCTTTGAACAAAACCCTATCTCTCAGCTAGGCATTCTTGGGTTGCGCGATGGCCTTGCAGTACGCATTAGTGATATGAGTGGGAATCCTACAGAACATATTAGTTCAATACAGGGCCTGCGAGATCAGGATCCAAAAGGCCTTCCTAGTATTCAGAACGGGCTTGAGATGGCTCGTGGTGCTCTTTTGTACGTCTCATTCCATACAAACGCTATAGACATATTTGCTTCCATAAACTAACTTATCCCCCGATAAGTCGCACCCCAAGTCACGGCACTCGAGAAATTCTCCTTATCTTCGGCTCCCTCCTCTCCTCTGACCCCGGCGATATTCATGAAACAGCATCAACGCTTATAAATGATAATATACGTGTTCGAATCGTTGGGCTTGCTGCCCAAGTAGCCATCTGCCGTGATCTCTGTGCTAAGACAAATGGCGGTGACGACACCACGTATGGTGTGGCGCTCAATGAGCAACATTTTCGGGACTTAGTGATGGATGTAACAACACCACCAGTCACATATTCTCAGAATCAAACCACTAGTTCTCTCTTGATGATGGGATTTCCATCACGTACTGTCGAAGCTTACCCTTCTTTGTGTGCCTGTCATTCGAAGCCCTCTTGTGGCGGATATCTATGCTCCCGATGCAATAGCAAAGTTTGTGGCCTTCCTGCCGAGTGTCCTTCCTGCAGGCTCACTCTAATCCTCTCGACCCATCTCGCTCGATCCTACCACCATCTATTCCCCCTATTGAATTGGGTAGAAGTTCCATGGCAACGAGCATCGTGCAGTTCTGTATGCTTCGCCTGTGGGATAGCCTTCCCTCCAGTACCATCCAGGGAACAATGCCAAATAATGGAGAGTCAAACTAAAGGCATGAGTATAAGCAGCCGTTATGAGTGTACTGTGTGCAAGAACCATTTCTGTATTGACTGTGACCTCTTTGCCCATGAAGTTGTGCACAACTGTCCAGGATGTCAAAGTCAAACAGCTTGTCCGGTAAAGGATGAACCTTTGCAGAGCACATATAGTCTGGATAATAAGGGTATTTCGGCACTGTAATGCATCATCGTTGTTTTTTTTTTTTTTTTTTTAAGAGGCTTCTGTTACTTTACATAACCCGAACGGATAGAGTTAGGTCCATAATCATAAATAAAATTCCTTGGCGGCACAGTTCTTGCATCAGGAAGTCTGATATCCCATTCAACTAACCCAAGCTTGTTTAGTATTAATATGAATGTCACTATGCCTAATAGCAGTGGCCTGAAGTTAACAGTAGTAGTTCTCCTCCACATAAAGTATGGTATACGGTGTACCCCGTAGTTACAGTACATAACCTTACCCACCTATCATGTTAAATGAACAGCCTTATTTGTTGACCCCACTACTAGTACTAGATAGGTACGTACTTACTAGGTCCCCTACAAGCTCCCCACACATTATCTTCCTTGGGCCTCGGCTAAACTTGTTCTACTACGACCCAACTTCGTACTACCTACCTAGCTATATCTAGAATTGTAGTTGATCACAAAGGTGTGCTACTCTGCAACCAGTTATCAGCTGCACCATAATCAAATTATCGAAGTCTTTCTGAATTAGGTATCTACAGGTCAAGACGACGTCTGCTGTTTTCTCCATGAACACCAAGTCACCTTCAGAATGTCCGTCGCAACGTACAGGGCTTTCACCAGACGAGGAGAACCAGATAAGGAAACTTCAGCCTCCAGTTGTTGAGCTGTTCGAAAAAATGCAATCATACCCGTTTGGTGAGGATGCCGAGTTTGCCAAAGGCCTGTCGATTATACTTGGTCATCCAGACGTTCCCGTAACTGAGACGGAAATTCTTCGCAAGGATGATTTAGTCCTACAGGCCAAATGCTTTTACTTCTCAAGGTACGCTCTTCCTGATAGACCGCGTTGGAGCCCGACCCATAAATCCTTGACGCATGACTAGCAGCGCTAATATCTTCGATGTGAGTTGTAGAAAAGAGAAGCTCACAGAACCTTTGGATTTTAAAGACTACAAGGCTTGGCTGAGAACGATTTCATCCCCAACTGAATCTACATCATTCTATGGGAGTACGGGGATTTTGCCTCGGCAATTTGATCGACTAGCGACTGATTCATCTTCGCTGCCTGAAAACACAATGCAAACAACAACTACGACGATGCAGGAGCCTGCTTACCCTTCCTCGTTTGCACATATAGTTGAGCTCATTACTACTGGTCAGCCGATCCCGGGAATTCAGCAGATACCAGATACGGTCTTAACTGGTCATGAAACCCCAAGTACAAAGCCTAAGAGACGTAAACCGTGGGAAAAGGACGATAGCACAAATTCCCAAGGATGACTACAATGTTTAACTCTTATTTAACCCTCAGCCTCCAATTATTTTCAAGCAATGCATAAAATATGCGAGTACTTTAGATAGTGGAAGAAATCTTGTGCTGTTTTCGGAAAAACTCCATAATGGATTATTACACCATGCTGGCCAAAGAATAACAGAATAGACTAAGGAGCGGCAAGATTTAGGACATGAAAAATGATCATGCACAAGTAGACTGGAAACAAGAAGTGCCCTTCTTCCTCTTTTTTTAATTTCCCCTCTTGGTAAACCAAAGCACCCACATAAACAACCCACAGTTGTGATTCTTGTGACTTTGTCAGTAAAATTTCGATCATCTTCATGGAAAATGATTGGCGTATTGATCACTAAGTAGACAAAGAGAGATGGAATATTTTTCTGTTTCCGCTCCCTCTAGGCTGATATCTTTGTACATGCTACCAACGCAATGTCAGGGGTTGAACAAATGATACGGAGAGCATATAACTGCCATGTCCGTGGAACTGATAAAGGTACCAGACGATCCAGTTAACAGAGCGAGACAGTTACATGTGCCCTTCCTCTAAACGCATTTGATCGGCTTCAGCGAAATGGTGGGTATGCAGGGTTCCATTGGTTTCCGCGACTAAATCGCCCTCCATGTTGCCCCGGCACCTGGAAACGATCGTCGCCAAAATTGTTAAAACGGCCAATTTGCATGCCAGCACCTGGTCCAGGGCGTGTAGTATGAGATGGATTGCAGCAAAGCATAGCAACCCGCGAACCAAACTTTGACCCACGCAATGAAACCATGTGTTTCCTAGCCGAATCAGTAAAACCATACAATATTGCGGGGGGAACGAAAAGTTACCTAATGTGACTAGCAACTAACTCACGTTGATGAGGTGCAGCATTCATTAGAATCCATTGGATAAGATAATTGCCATATTGATCTCCAGCGACTGCAGGAATTTAGACTCCAAAATATACATAGGAAAAACGGCATTCGAACTTACTATCAATCAAAGGCATCCTCGGTCGATCAGTGCGGCCAGTACATACTCTTGCAAGATAGCGGTCGAGAAACTCGGAGCCCCCTATCTTCAAACATTTCTCTACTATTTTAGAGGCGAATTGGTCCATACTATAATCAACAGACCAAAGAATGATATGCTCGATAGCGCGACTTTTGTCATGTGGAGCACCATGTTCGCAGATGTGTTGAATACACCAGTTTCCGAATTGGCCATGAGCAAGCACATCAATCTTCGCTAGTACTTCTTCAATCGCCGGGCGCTTAGAACAGGTCAGTACATTTAATGGAAGGCAGCGTAATATGATTGGAAGGGGAGTAGAGCCACATATGCAACAGTTGTGCAACTGTATTATATCTTACCTTCTCATCCTCCACGCAATTTTCGAAAATGTTCTGGACTACAAGGCTTCCAGTTTCACCAAGAGCGACTTCATGCCACATTCCATGCAGTGCCTCATTGACCTTAACCATAATTTGCGGAGGCTCCCCGCTCCAACGCAACTCAAAAAGCTTCTGCCAGACATGACATGCATACCGATGTATCACGGTTTCAGGAATTCTGCGTAACAGCTCATGAACCATGATGGCCTTGTGTTCTTCGGGAACACAGTCAAAGGCTTTTTGAATGACATGACATCCAAATGGGTCCATGCTAAGACTCAATGTGTTTCCTTTTATTGCATTAGCGATGGCAATAATCTGTTCGGAAGTTCCATGTTCGAAACAACGTTGAACAAGAAAGTTCCCAAAGCGATTGATCATGAGAGGATAAGCCTGGCGTACAATGGCCTCTATAATTTCATATTTCTGTTCGACTGATCCAACTTTCAGCTTTTGCTGAAGAAAAATGGAAGCTTGTTGGTCGTTATTGCAAACAATTTTGTCCACTATATACCTCCAATCACAAGAGACATTTCTGTCAAGAAGCCGGCGATAATTGAGTGGCTCGAGGGGGGAAACATATGTTTGCATGGAATTTCCGCCAACCTAGATGTGTAAATCGCTAGCTAAGAAACGGATTCGGTCAAGACTCACTGTTGTGGCCCCCCACGGCACCATGGCAGAATTGGTAGAAGTGAACTCCGCTGCCGTTGGAGAGAGAGCAGTTGCAGCAGGCTGTTGATGATATGTGGGAACCTGATATAGACCAATTGGCTGGTAAGTGCTACTCTGTCGGCTAGTCGGTGACCTAGGAACATGGCTACTGGGAGAACCGGCAGCGAATGCTCCCCAAGCGGAGTTGTGAGGTGAGAAACACGATCCACCGCGATTAGATTGGGCGATAGACCGACGTGGCCCAATATTTGTTCCTTGAAGATATCGTGCTTGTTCCCCCGCAAACCGTGTATCTAGATTGCTAATCCCTGACGAACTAGAGAAAACTCGACGTGATTGAAGAGAGCTATGCCCAGGAACGTTGGGTGTTTGGATTGAGCTACCCCATGGCCTGTTTGGTGCTTGAACCAATGAACTGCCAGGCAACGAGAACGTATCCCCGTCAGAATTCGGAGCGTTGGCACTCATACCAAGTACTTGTTGTGTCGGGGGGACCCAAATTCCTCGGGCCCTGTTAAAGGCCCCAGCCGAGAGTGCGTCTGAGATATCCGACTGGGAATCCTCTTGCCCGCTCCAGCCATCTTGAAGCTGGCTGAATGACGGATTGGACTCATTGAAAGCGTTCTGCAAGTGGCTAATAGTTTGTTCGGTTATCTCGCGGCCGTTAAAGTCAGCTTCAGATGGAGGACCGAGGGCTTGATCCAACGTGTGTTTGATCACCCGAGTCTGTGCCAACTCTTGTTCCTGAAGGGCAAGCTTAGAGTTAGCCACATAAAGCTCTTGCTTCAAGCGAAGCACTTCCGAGGTTCCAGCATGGGTTGCGTCGGGTTTCTCAGCATCTACCAGAGCAGAAACATCAAGTGACTCGAATGTCGAAGTAGTAGGTAGCACGCTACAGTATTTGGTGGTTTCTATATGAGTCTCTGTGGCTTCGCTATTACTGGCAAGAATCCGTCTTTGTTTCTCAAACAAACCTTGCTGCTCAGGTAATTTCGTGGAAATCTCCAAGTTTACGCAATTCTTGCCACCGGTTGACTGAGGTTTGGGAGAAAGTTTGGCTAGTAGCTTTTCCATCTCAGAATTTCCAGATGTGGTGACTGTATTTGAATGCTCTATCTTTTGCTTCTAGGATTGTGAGCCACTTAAAATCCTTAAGCCCTTGACAGGAGCCTGACCTTATTTGACTGATTCGTATCTTTTTCACCAGTCCAGGACTGAAAGCTCCCAAGCTTAGAAGACACTAGAGGCTGAGGGGTTTTCCCAGAACTGGTTACAAATTTTTGACCCTATTTTGAACATCGAAATTAGACGGTTGGTTAATATAAAAAGACTATATAAAAGAAAGCATAGTCCCAACTCACCGATGCTTCGCATCCGAAATGTAAGTCTTGATTTTCAACGCTTGCATCTCTGGTCAGCACTTGTTCATCGGAACTTTTCCTGCCTGCAATGGGTGATCCGGTAGAGAAGAGTGACATTTTCCCCAGATTTGTAGTAAATATTGCTTTAGAATACGCAATGTTAAGCAATGAATGCCAGGGGAGGGCCGGGAAGAGTAAAGATTAAGTCAAGTTATTAGCAAGACAACCACCCTGTCCAGAATCCAAGCTCTTTTAAATGCACCAATAATCAGACAATTAAGCAGTCATTCGAGAGATGATAGGCCTTTGGAACAGTGAGAAGCCCAAGATAGATGGTAGTATCTAGAAGAGAAATATCAGAAATTTAGAAATTCGAAGATGTTGCCTAGTAGCTAATAGATCATGGAAACAAAAGAACTAGGAAGTAGCAATGGAGACTGCGAATAGGTGGTTGTTGTTGTTTTGTTTTAGGGGTGGGGGTTAAGACAAAAGAGAAGGAGCAAAGGGAAGGAATATGTTTGCAGCTGTAAACAGAAATGATTATTGTAGGGTGTATCAACATCAGGGAATGCTATTACTTGTTAGCGATAAGCACAATAGGCCTTGGTTATGTATCATCAATACAAACTACCAGTAAATAAGCAGCTATTAGAAAAACTCTAAGACTTCTTTTCATACACATGTTGCACTACTCTTATACTAAATCCATAACTCACCAATTATAGCACTATATCATTCCTAGCAAGATTTAACCAGTGTGATTTAGGATCTACACTGGTATATGAGCCTGAAAATATCTGCCATCTCTGTCAAAATGCCCAGCAGTATATATAATTTAGTATAGCCTTTCCAGGGGCAAGTGTTACTGAGCAGTATAAAATCTGGTTATCCAACACCAGTAAGCGTGGGTACAAGACGTGCAGCTTGTTCAAGGTCAGATGCATAAACTCCCTATGCCACTATGTCTAGCCTCTCATTCTCTAGAAGACAGAGAAAGACAGCACCCATGCCAGCCTCAAATTCATATCCATAAGCCATTGCATTGTCGACTTCTTTCAATGCTTTACAGCTCCCTAGGGCCAGGAAGAAGGCACCCTTTAGATAATATAACATATCCCTCACCAACTCAAATTGAGAACCCTCTATGTTCTTATGTGATAAGTCATTGTCTAAAACAAGGGTCACGACGCTACCGTCAGCCACTGTTCAGCCACTATTAAACATACTGAATATGTAGGTGTTGCATTGAGTGGTTACTTGGGGTCTGCAGCGAAGTATTGTGAATAGTTATGCCTATATGCTCATTTGTAACGGATTATGTGTTAATCATAAACCGCCCCTTTGGGCGCAAAACAGGGACCACTGTACCAAGCTGATGGTCATGCCTTTATAATAGATGTCACCAATGAGCCATGCTGTTATACTCCCGGAAGTTCAGAGCATTGCTCAACAATAGCTCGTGCTTAAAACTTAAGCGAGACATTTTTGAAGGACAGGGGCTCAGATTCTTGCCACATGGCATAAGGTGCATAGTCTAGTCTATTGTATTAGCATAAAGGAACTTTTAGGTAAAGGTACCAGAGAACATACTCTCTATCGACAAATACCATAATGCAGAGCTCCGGGATTAAACAAACCCTCCAATGGAATGGCCGGCAACGACCCAATTATTTCCCAATAAACTCGACTCTCCTCAGTAGGTATTTATATTTTTAATTCATTTTGGGACTGCGCCCACAGCAGCCTCGATATCGGCGAGCACCAAATATATTGCACTACCTTAATATTTTAGACCACAACTGAGACACCTCATCTATAGTACAAGGAGTGACCCAGCCTATGGCTGGAAATTTTTACTCGCGTTCAGTTTTGCCCGTTATTCAGAGGAGCCTGAGGCGTTGGCTTTTAGTATTCCAACATCCCCACCGCTAGCAGGGGAACTATTAAAGATAGCATGCACATCATATTATAATGTGGAAAATCCAGCCTCATACTCCAAGAGATCTGCACCCTAAAGCTTCCAAAGAATTAAAAGATTGGTTGACATCTTCAATACTAACCTCGTATTCCATATCAAAGGTAGACCAAGTACTTCCCACGTTCTTAAGTTGTCTCTATCAAAAATGGCTTGGTGATAAGCTGTCATATAGTTTGGGCCTATACTGCTTCTGAAACTGTAAGATAGGAGTTATGAAATAGGAATTCCGTTATCAAATTTAGCACAACGACAGGTTGGATTTGTTACTAAGGCTATTCCCATCAGAATGCTACTAAGCCACCCAACAATAATCACATATCACGTGGCGTAGGGATAGCATTTTATTTTTGATTCCCACTGCAAGTTAGCAGGAGCTAGAACTAGCTAAGATAAAAGTATTAGGCCCAATCTACATACCTACAGACTGGGTAGAAGTCTCAAAAGTCAGAGTATTCACCAATAAGAGGTGCATGAAACAGGAAAACTCAAATAATTTGGGAATTTTACGGCAAGTACCTCCTGTTAGGTGCACAAGAAAGTACACTTCTAGTCCATTAGGTACTCCTCCATATCTTGCTAGGCAGGCAAGAAGAATATTTAATGTTTGTTTTTTTTTTAAAAAAGAAAAAAAAAATTCCTACGCAAGTGGCATTTAATTGCATAGATATCACTCTTTTGCTCCTGTGTCTGCTTAGTCAGGGGGTATTCGTCATCATAGCTATTTAGTTAGGTTAACTAACTAATTAGTTTACTTCGCAACCACATATTTCTACGTAGTGTCCACTACCTTCGACTAAACTTAGAAAACTGCAAACGTTACTAGCGACTGGATAGTACCTAGTACCAGACATGGCTCCCAACACTCATATTCAGTTCAATTCCTAAACCACTTCTCCAAAACAAGAGATATTTTCTCTAGCGTATACTGGAGTGATTTGGGCTTTTCTTACACCCTGCAACTTAGTCCCTGGTCCAAAAACGGCCACCGAACGCGATTGCGTAGCGATTTGGGGCCCGGGCAATGACTACCACCACTGTGACCGGTTCTGGGCGACGATCTTCTATACGACAGGCAGCGTCGCAAGCATCGGCGAAAACCTCAAGTTCACAATCGATGACGAGCCCCGTGGACAAGTTTCCGTCTTTGAATGATGAGCTACTTAGCAATACAACAGAGGCAAAGGGACCACACCCACACCATACAACTCCTGCTGTCAGATATACATCCACCGATCATTGGGATCCGAAGAAGACAAATTATTTCTCCCAGGACTATAAAAATGGACTACCGAGAAGTTCTAAGCACAGGACAAGAAACAGTATCAGCGAGGCAGTCAACACCATTAGAACACGCAGTTCAAGCGTGAGCGCCAATGCACAAGAGTTGGCGCATGCCCTTCGAGCACCAGTCTCATATAGGCTAATAGTAAGATAATGGCCCTCAAGTCCCGTCTGGAGTAATAGCTCATGTTCTTCTAGCTCCTCTGCATTATCTGGTACACAACCTCCGCCCTCACAAATACCTCATCAAAGTCTATCTTAACTGTCCTCCCAAAACCGATTACTCTTACTGCCATACAATTTGCTTTTGTGTCTATATGGTGCCTACTACTCTCGTACCTTTCTACCAGGATTCCTTGGCTCAAACATAATATACCAGCTCTAAAGAATGGGCTCCGCTACCCCTCGCGTGATGTCATCAAGACTGCACTACCTTTAGCAGTGTTCCAACTTGCAGGTCACATACTCAGCTCCATGGCTACTTCAAAGATACCTGTTTCGCTGGTGCACACTATCAAGGGACTCTCGCCTCTTTTCACCGTCCTAGCATACCGAATATTCTTTCGCATCCGATATGCCAAAGCCACTTATTTATCACTCATCCCATTAACATTGGGCGTCATGCTTGCTTGTTCCACTGGATTCTCTACAAACTTCTTTGGCATAATATGTGCACTGGTCGCGGCCGTTGTTTTTGTCTCCCAAAACATATTCTCCAAGAAGCTCTTCAACGAAGCGTCACGTGCCGAATCAGAGCCACAGTTTTCAGTCCAACAAAAACTAGACAAATTAAACCTTCTTTGCTATTGCTCTGGAATAGCCTTTGTCTTAACATTGCCGATTTGGTTGATATGTGAAGGGTATCCTTTAGTCTCGGATTTCTTGCAAGATAGGACCATCTCCCTGTCAGGCAAGGAACACTTCTTAGACCACGGAAGACTCGTACTAGAGTTCGTGTTCAATGGTGTATCGCATTTTGCGCAAAATATTCTGGCATTCGTTCTATTATCTATGATATCACCAGTGTCATACTCTGTCGCGTCCTTGGTCAAAAGAGTATTTGTTATTGCTGTGACAATTGTATGGTTTGGTAATCCGACCACTTATATACAAGCTTTCGGGATCGCTCTTACGTTTATTGGGCTTTATCTTTATGATCGCAACAGCCACGATGACGTTGCAGATCAAAGGGCAAACGCCGATCATTTTCGCGCAAAAGAGACAGTCCTTCCCTTCAGCACCCCAGCTACAGGCAATACATCAGATACTAATGGACATAGATTGCTGCCAATGAGGGTACCTGGCCAATATTTTCCAGACGATTCATCCTCGCTCCCGAATTACTCTAAAAAGGAAGATGGTGATCCAGGCCGCATTCGCCCACGGGGAAGCAGTAGCTCCTGGACATGGTTACCTCCTGGCACGAAGCAAGAAACAACATGGCAATCAAACGATTCCTAGATAAATTTCTCTCACTACCTTCATCCACAATTACCAACTATGCTCAACGTTGAATATTACAGTATGATCATTTTATAATGGGCAGGGGATGAGCACTATCATGAAGGGTAAACATGTATATCTTGTTGTAAAATTCTGGAAGCACATACTTAATATGCTTAGATGTAAATATCCTGATGTATTGTAGATTGAGAAGGAACAACGAGGAAACTGACTGCTACCTACCTAGTAAATTTGAGAACTTCCTTTAGTATTCCAGCCTGCCATGCCAGTAAAAATAATCCAATCAAAGCATCTATTTACTGCTCGGTGTGGGCGTGGGGAGAAAGAAACGGACTGTAGGATCACAAGGTTAAAGCTATAGAAAATAAAACATGAATTTTAATAGAGTACTTTAGTAACATCAATGTTTGGGTGATAAAATGTCGCCACTGTCAGTAAAGAACGAATACTTTCATCAGACAATCCCCCTACTATAATTATAGTGGGAACAGCCCTAAAGAGCTCCAGCTCAGTGCATCTAATCTTGGGCTATGTAGCAGAGGAAGCAGGAATAGAATGAGCCCTACCACCTACAATAATCATGCCCGTGAATGAGTTTAGTGTAGAAAAGAAGAGAAGAAAACAATCTCGCCAAGTAGGCTCCTAAAGAAAAAGGGCTTGTGTCGGATCAACTGTTTACCCGATAACCGAGCCAATCCGCAGCAGGCAATTTGCGAGTTGACGCCCCTACTACTTTAGTACGTTGGTGTCTGGCAGAATCCGACCAAGCCAAAAGTGCACTTTTCAAAGTACACCGGCTCGTACATCTCTGCGCCTGCCACTTCGTCATCTCTCCTTATCTTTTCTAAACTACCTATCTCTTCCCCTAATCCGTTTGTTTCTCAGAATGCGGCCGCAGTTGTTCCGTGCGGCCGCCCGGTCTGTCCGGGTTCCAAAGGTTAATTATCCTAGGACCTTCGCGACAACAGCTCCTCGGTCAGCTGAGGTGGAACTCACAATTGGTATATAAAAGTCCCACATCCATAGTGATTTGTATCTTCATGCTGATTTTCCCTGCTTTAGACGGAAAGAAAGTCTCAGTAGAAGGTAATCCAGGCTTCTTACAATCGAATTTCTTCGTACTCTAGATACTAACACGTCCTTACAGCGGGTTCGGCTCTTATCCAGGCCTGTGAGAAAGCAGGAGTGACAATTCCAAGGTATGGAAATTTCAACACGAAACATTGATATTTACTAACAAATAAAATAGATACTGTTATCATGAGTATGGTGCATCTCTTCTATCTATTTAGTACTGCTAACTTCATACTAGAAAACTGTTAATTGCAGGCAACTGTACGTTTTTATAAAACCTTGGTATTTTTAAGGTTCTGTTTTCCTTTCAGCTAATACACCTTCAGGCCGCATGTGTCTTGTGGAAGTTGAGCGTGCTCCTAAACCTGTGGCATCATGTGCTTGGCCTGTACAGCCTGGAATGAATGTCAAGACTGATTCACCACTTGTGCACAAGGCAAGAGAGGGTGTAATGGAGTTTCTTCTTGGTAACCATCCTCTTGACTGTCCCATCTGTGACCAGGGGGGAGAATGTGATCTCCAGGACCAATCAATGCGCTATGGTGCTGACCGGGGGCGTTTCCATGAGATTGGGGGCAAGCGAGCTGTTGAAGACAAAAATATTGGACCTTTGATAAAAACATCTATGAACCGGTGTATCCACTGCACCCGTTGTGTTCGGTTTATGAATGATGTTGCAGGTGCTCCAGAGCTCGGAACAACGGGCAGAGGGAATGATATGCAAATCGGAACTTATTTGGAACAAAATCTCAACTCTGAACTTTCCGGAAACGTCATTGATCTCTGTCCTGTTGGTGCTCTTACCTCAAAGCCATATGCTTTCCGTGCTCGCCCCTGGGAACTGAAGCACACAGAATCTATTGATGTTCATGACGCTTTGGGCTCTAACATCAGGATAGACACCAGGGGCATGGAAGTCATGCGTATACTTCCAAGGCTAAATGATGACATAAATGAGGAGTGGATCAATGATAAGTCTCGATTCGCGTGCGATGGCTTAAAGACTCAAAGGCTCACCACACCACTTGCTCGAAAGGATGGAAAATTTGTTCCACTGACTTGGGAACAAGCACTGAGCGAAATATCGTCCACTCACCAAAAACTGCAGCCAAAGGAGAATGAATTCAAAGCCATTGCTGGGCACCTTGTCGATGCCGAGTCTCTTGTGGCCATGAAAGACTTGGCTAATAAACTTGGATCCGATAATTTAGCTCTCGATCAGGCTGGAGGCAATTTACCCATTGCTCATGGTATTGACATTCGTTCCAACTACCTGTTCAACTCTAAAATATACGGAATTGAGGAAGCAGATGCTATCCTTCTGGTTGCTACAAACCCTCGCCAGGAGGCTGCTGTCCTCAACGCGCGTATCCGCAAACAATATCTTCGTTCTGAACTCGAGATCGGCCTGGTTGGAGAAGAGTTTGAAAGCACATTCGAATATGACCATCTTGGCTCTGATATACATGCCCTGAAAGCTGCTCTCTCAGGGAAATTTGGCGATAAACTTGCTTCCGCTAAGCGGCCCATGATCATTGTCGGCAGTGCTGCGACTGAGCACCAAGATGCGAGATCAATATTTGAAACAGTTGGCGGCTTTGTAGAGAAACATTCGAAGAATTTCAATACTCCAGAGTGGCAGGGCTACAACGTTCTTCAACGTGCTGCATCACGTGCTGCGGCTTACGAAGTTGGCTTTACTACACCATCTCCAGAAGTCGCCCAAGCGAAGCCTAAGATTGTCTGGCTTCTTGGAGCTGACGAATTTAGCGCAAATGACATCCCTAGTGATGCATTTGTCATCTATCAAGGACACCATGGCGATCGTGGTGCTCAGCTGGCTGATATTGTCCTCCCTGGCGCTGCCTACACTGAGAAATCTGGCACTTATATAAATACTGAGGGTCGCGTGCAAATCACTCGTGCAGCCACTTCTTTACCTGGCACTGCGCGTGATGACTGGAAAATTATACGCGCCGTCAGTGAGTTTCTTGATGCGCCTCTACCTTACGATGATATCGAGGCTCTTCGTGACCGCATGGAAGAGATCAGTCCCGTCCTGCGCCGATATGACGTTGTGGAGCCAACTTCCTTAAGCTCATTGGGCAAAGTTCAATTAGTAGATCAGAATAAGGGCATTCAGCCTACTGAAACCCCTTTCACGAATGCCATTGAAGACTTTTACTTTACTGACTCGATCTCCCGAAGGTATGCCCTACTCTCAAGGCATATTTTACTTCATTACTAACAAAGTCTTAGTTCACCAACCATGGCTCGCTGCTCAGCAGCTAAGGCCGCGGGAAATCCAGAAACAAATTTCATGGCCGCCGGTGAAATGTCCCCACAGGCTTTGTACGGCTGAATCTTGAGAACACTAGTGGTATTTATCGCATTACCACCTAGTCTCTTGATTGTTTCTGGTTCTATTGGTCTAACTAAGTGTTGCTGCTGTAACACCTTGTCTCGCCAACCTTTCTGATCGTATTATTATTATTATTGTCTGTTTGACTTTGCTAAATCTTCGCCTCCATGTGCCACAAATGCCAACTGGCATAACTTTATGCGACCAATGGTAAAGCTTGTACATAAGATAGAGTTAGTTTTGAAGGTTGTAATAGGGATAATGTATTCCTCAAAAATTTGTCTGAAAGCAGTCTTGGCTGTGTTACTCTATAGGTGTTAGTATGCGAACACTACGTAACTAAATCCCTAAGTCAGAATGTTTACCATCAGATGTTTGATGAACAGCCAGCTATGTACGTACAGTAGCATAATTAGTTATTAAATCATAATTCATCATCGTCTGTTTCTCCAGCCGTCTCTGTGAAATAATCATTGCTTTGTGTGCTTTTTTGGTTTTGTATTCCGCTGATCACTTGTGGAGGGGCTGTCGAAGCATTCATTGAAATATGCTCCAGTGAGCTTTTAGTATTGACATGTTGTTTCATCTTCCCATTATTCCCCTTGATCGATTGGGAACGAATTGCTGACAACTTGCCATCAGTGGTATTATCACCTGTCTCCTTCAATGCCTGGGAGTACGAAGAATGCTCGTTGTTTATCCCTTTGTCCATTTCTATGCTATTTCCCCCATATGCATGAGGATCAACCTCCACTCTTTCAAATGCATCTTCATTTTCAGATTCACTGTCGCTGGTTTCCCTGGAATTATGCTTTCTGCTCATGCTTTTTTCATTGTAAGCCTGATGGTTATCAGGTGTTGCTCTCCCGTACTTGAAAACTAGAAGGGCATTAACACTTCATTCACAGCAAGGAAATGATACGAGAAGCAGGTTCATAGGTCTTACCTTTTGGGTGGTCTAGTTTTGCAGAATCCAAAAGCCGACGTTGATTACGAATTTTGAGTTTCTTTTCATTCAGCAGATGGACAACATTTGCCATTACCTGCTCCTCATGGTGGACTTTAGCTTTAACTAATTGTTCGATTTGATTCCTAAGTTGATTGACCATGTTTTCGGCGGCGGAACAACGATCCCAGAGCAAGTGGCAGCGCTGCTCAATGGCATCCGCTCTGGACACCGTCATGGCAGACCAATCATAGAGTTGAATTTCTTGCTCATCATTTCGACGGAGAACCACGGAGCCAAGCCTTTGCTGTGATTTTTTAGTCGAAATCTTTCGAGCCCGATTACACACTTAGGGAGGGCGTACGGTTATACCCTCTATCCTTTTCCGGACAGTAATAACTAATTCCTTGGCCTGGTCACCAGATCTAGTGATACTAGCCATTGCTTCAATGCCAGATAGCGAGCTCAATCTCAAGTGTTCAGCTGATTCCGACAACTGGCCAAAAACATGCGACACAACATGGGGCCACTCCTCGTCGCTACCTTGATAATTCTTTGCACGTAATTCCTTTAAATGCACTTGTCGTACTATATTACTTGTCTCAGTTTCGGCAAATAACGAATTGGGGACGGGAGCAATGATATAATTTTGCTACGAACCCGTGCCAGTGTAAGGATTTTCTCCCTCTGTAGCAACAATATCCAAATCCAGAGGAACAGATCCAGTGCGAGCGACATGGAGAAGCACAAATGATTTGGGTTTATCAGACCTAGAAAAGCGCAAAATCCGGGTAGGCGAGTCAGGTATGACCAGTGACATATTGCTAGAATGAATATGGTGTATAATAAGGGGCTAGGGTGCAAGGGGGAATGGAGTGAGCAAGTGGTAAATATGTTCTGTTTTAAGGTCCAACATAGGATCCTACACATAAGTTCACTTGGTATAGTTGAGGACTCCACAGTACTCGGATGATGGATAATTGTTAGGTAACTAACTAACAAAATAAGTTAGTTAACTTTATCTACGTAGTAATTAGGTAACCAACCGTGCGGGTGCTGCTGCCTATTATGAGCTTCAGTGAAACGCCGCCTAGGCTAAGTAGAAAAATTACATGAAATACAGAGTACCAATACTATGGCTCTCCTAGAGCATGTGGCTTTTTAGGTAGGCGACAGATTGGTAATTTTCCATATCCATACTATGGAGACGTAGGATCTACTCTACGTAGCTTTCTTGTATAATGCAAATACAGTATCAATCACATATAAGACCTACCTAAATCGTCACTAATATAAGAAGTTACATCTCTAGCAGTGATAGAATGTATACTCTAGGTATATAGGTATATAGGTATGTGCAGTAACCAGTACTGTTACAACCTGCACTAGATAGTAGTAGTGGCTACCCCGACTCTGGCAGTCGTGGACATCTAAATGTGGATCACGCTTCTTTCCTTTTAATACTGCACTATCCCCTCCAAATATCAACTTGAGTACACCATATATGAAAGAACTTGTCGATTAACTATTAGCTGGGTGTATCTGTGAGTGTTTGAGAGACAATGCCAGCGGCTGTCCGTGTACCTCAAGCTCTCTTTCCATAACCCACCCCTCGGGGGAACGCTGACAGTCACCGCACTATCCACGAACATCTTCACAGCATTCAAGCACTTCGACCTCGTGTTTCCCTGTCTCCACGGCCTGATCCGTTCGCTATCCTAGTCGATTTGTTGTGTCACCCACTGTGGAGGAAACGCTCCTTTACGGCCACCTCCTGTTTGGTCTCCAGTCCACAGATCTTACCGTGTCTATTGTTACCAAAGTAAATTTCAATCATATATCCAGTACCACGAGGGGTATAGCTTGTCTATACTACAAAACTGCTCCATTCAGAAGCCAACCTGGTCCTAAAACGCGGGATGATGTTTCCTGTCTATTCTGATGTGATACTAATACTGGAGACTTCTAATTCTACCACCAAAAAGATCCAAAGCACTCACAGCTATCAGTGATAAAACCACCTGTTTGGCTTTCTAATTTGACAATATAGCACAATGGAGCCATTGACATTGCAAGTACAGCATGGTCAAGAAGAGGCGATTGAGTGTTGGGATAATGATGGTGATTTACAATGCTACGAGGACATTCAATTACGGACCGCGTCAAGTGCTACGTCGGTGACAAATTCGTCTATCCGCCTCTCCGGTCATCGGGATTCCATATCCTCCCGTCGCTCTGCACGCTCTGATATTGACTCTACAGGTGGTGGCGACGAGGACTGGCAGGTTCAGCTACTCGACGACGAGGAATCTGTCAACGAGGAAGCTCTGGCATCCGCAAAAATTGCAGGAATTCCATTACCTAAAAGTATTCCTAGGTCTGCTCTTGTTGGGGGAATTATAAGGCGCCTTGGGCCTAGAAGAACGAGGGATGACTTTGTGGATGATTGGTCTGACGATGTGGAATTTCCCGATCCCGATGTCGTTTTGGAGCTGAAAAGTCCTCAAGTTGCATCTTTTCCCGAATCACTCCAGCAAATTGGCTCTACAACGGCGAGCCCTGTGAAGGCTCCTGCTTCACCATGTTGGAGTAATAATGTGACGGTTCGCCTGCGGTCAGCAATAGAGCATTCGGACGGATCTCGAGTTGATTGTGATGCCGGCGACGTTGAAGGAATCCCTACAATCAGGCCTACTCTGTCCCGCCCTCCACAACGGACAAGCGTTATCAATGATTCAATGCTTATTAAAGAGAGAGATGCAACTAGAGTTTTTGAGGACTTTGAGGAGGACATCGAACTACCACAGGATGACTTTCTTAGGCTTCCTTCCCGCAAAGTCGGTAATGCAAGAAGTTCAAGTCCCTGCCCCGAGGATTTCGATGTGGAGTTTTCTGAGGGTAGTATTGGAGTTCGATTTGGTGGCACTGCAAGAGACCATCGATCTAACCCAAGCTCATCACTTGTAAGCCCCAGTGTATCTAGCTATCTGACTGGTGAGAGTGATGATGAAGGTCTGGATGGCCTTGTTATTCCCGAAGGCCCATTGGACCTAGACAAGTCTATGAGAAAGCGGCATGAGTCCAGTACTTTAAACATGATGATCCCAGAGTCGGCACAAGCTACTCAGGATCCAACCGAGCTAGAGGATTTTTTCTCTGGCTTTGAACTCGAAAGCGATAATATGTTTGATACTCGGAGGCTCTCGATAAATCCAAACGTTAAATGCAAGACGGACCGCATCGGGAGTCCAGGGCGACGGTCAGCCACTACACTCACTTTCACAAATACAACACCTTCTCCAAGGACGAGAATTCCGCGCCTTTCCGGCCACGACCGTCAGCATTCTACGCACCTTGAAACTGTTTCTGAAAGTGGTGCCCCTCTATTAAGGTTTCGTACATCTCTCCCAAGGCCTGGTGGTCACTCGTCACATACGTCCGTGCCTACTCTGCCCCCTTCTGAATCTGTCTTAACATCTCCGAGTTCCACGACCCCGAATCGGCGTCCGATTGGGACACGGTTTGCAAAAGACCCTTTTTGTGGCGAACGCTTTTCTAGTGCAAAGCAGTCGTTAAAAACGAAACGATCGTTGCCAACAATGAGGAACTCAAACTCAGCAGTGTCGACATCGTCTATTCAAAGCACTCGCCAAGATTTTATAGGATGCCCAGCCATATCTACCACCCGATCTAAAACGCCTACTGATCGTATTGGGAGCGATAAAAAGTTGTCAAGTCGTAAGTCACGGATGCCGTGCATTCCACCTGGGGCCTCGGAACATCAGCCACATCACGCTAGCGTTAAAACTTGTCGATATTCCCGCCGTACAAACTCGGATAGCTCTAGCGAAGTGATTATCGGGCAAGGGTCAGTGTCCCACCTCCCGCGATCGAGTCGTTTCGAAGTAGCCGGCAGTAGTGCGGTTGAACCGACTTCAGAGGCTCTATTCACGACTACCAAGCGGACTCTTACTCGACCCGCTCGCCGGCGAAACTTTGGCGACGGAACTGAGCTAGGGTCATTTGACGATTTACCTACGTCTGCCTTAGCGGAAAGTAAATTTGTCAAGCATCCCTCCAGTCGTGGGGTCCCGAAGTCCCTGAATAATAAACTGAACCGAAGTGAACCAATTCCATCTAGAGCAGAACCCCAACAGAAGGTACTAAGTACTACACCGAAACTTCATAAGCCCACCCCCAGGTTTGCGCGAGATACAAACGCTTCGAGGAACGCAAGAGAGCAGAGAATTGCTTCAATGACTACTGTTTCGAAAATTCGCGACGGTAGCGCACTTACTTCCCTTAGTTCAAACTGGAAGACTCAACAGAATATAGCACGTGTTCCTTTAAATTCAGCATCCATAAGAAACAAGAAAAACAGAAATGCCACGGTACCTGGATGCAGACCTCACTTGATCAAACCCCTTGGTACGGGTGTCCAAGAGCGCAAATGTAAGATCAGTTGCTACTTGGTGTGTATGAATTATGGAACTAATTTTATCAGCTATCAACGGCATGCGTTACAATCCTGCCACTTTTCGTTGGGAAGGAAACGAAAACTTAGCATATGAATTAGATACAAATCCTAAATCGCCAAAGCCATCACCTGCTCTGATCACTAACATGGGTGCGATGCAAAATGTGCAGGTAGTTGGTAGCATGGTATTTGATCCACAGCGCATGTGTTGGCTCAAGTTGGCGCCAGTTCAGCCCGGGACAAAAGGCGTGATTGCTGTGCAAGATGAAGATGATGTCTTTGCCGGTCTTGGAGATCTCGAAGGAAAATCTGAATGTTCCGGCCCACGAACATCTGGTGCTTACGATAATCTTGGCTTTGCTGCAAGTGGTGATGATCGTAGCTGTGGTGACTCATCGGACGAGTGGCCCATCACAGAAGAATTTGATGTTGGCCCAGAGTTCATTCGACGACAACGTGCAGAAGAAGAAAAATGGAGGCGAAAAGTTAATAAGTGGGTCGATTTTGATCGCAGGAAGTTGGGCGACAGCTGGAGATGGGCCATACGAGATCTGGTAGGATTTAACAGCACTCCCGTTGAACTCCGGAGTGGTTAGTCCAATTTGCGTATCTCACCTCGGAAGCCGGACTCGGACTCCGTTAATGATTGGGAAACTAAAGAAAGGCTGCGATATAAATTGAATATACGGCCGAATGGTCAGTGCATACCAGCTTTTATACATAGTTGACTAGGTGTTAGTCATAGCCATCTAACTGGGTTGTTGTGAAGTTTCCACATCAATTTGAGCACGATAAAAGGCACGGCATGTTATGACCCTGGATATTAGATAAAGAGAAGTTCACTGTTCTGCTCTACACCCCTTTAACTTGTTATGTTTGTTGTTGCTGTTCTACGGTTTGTTTCGGTGGCTATAGAAAAAGTCCAGGTTAATATGCACCTGCTTAATATATATTAGCATATATATTCACTCTTTGTTCATGGTAGATAGCTGAGGACATTCTTACTATAGTCAAAGCAGAAGTTACATGTTTCTAGCTTGGATATGGTGTAACCAAACACACACTGCATAGATACAGATGAGTTTATGGCACCAGATACTACTTAATTCCTCGCACCTATTGTCTGACCAAAAAGGCTATGCATAGGTTTGGTTGGTCTTTCTTGGGATTATATTCTCAACATATTTAACCCCCTGGTTTCGGTTGGTTATACTACAGATCTGCAAGAGATAGCACCTTAGTAAATGTGTGTACACGCGCTGTGTATATTCTTTCCTCTTCCATACCATACTCTTGACATTCCCAAATCAGGTAGCCTTTTTTTTTTTTTTTTTTTTTTTTGGAAAAAAGGTTTCAGAAACCGTCGTTACTCCCCTCCTCCCTCCTCCCTCCACCTTTTTGGTGGGATTACGAGGTCTTATTCTATACTGAAGTTTGTCAATGCTATAGTACCCAGCTAAGTAGGTGGATGGTGAACCTGGATCCTAATCACAGAAGTTACAGGCCGATTCTGCGCCACGGACAATTTTTGTACGCCTGGCCAACATTCTTTTGCCTTTTTTTTACTGAAAGCTTGGCGTATTTCATATTGCACCTCTTTAGTCTAATTCCCACTACAGTACTCCGTACTCTGTAGAATAACCTGCTGTTGATCTATCTATCCAATCTGTCTAGTCTCTTTTATATAGTATAAGTAGTGTATAGCTGGATTCTATCTTTTTCTAGCATTTTGCAACTTATAGTGTACACAGGAGATTACGTATGGAAGGCAACCAAAATAGTTATATACTCCGTACTAGTACATAAGTTGTAAATAGAAACAACCTACTACTACTGGTAGTGTGGCTGCATGCAATATAGTAAAATGCAATTCTGACAAAGGTCCACCCAGTCTCCCAGACAACTGCAAACCTACACAGCAATGATGTGACTAGTTCAACAACCTCTTAGCGCCGAGACAAACTCCCGCCCCATCTGGAACACTGTGATCCTACATGCAGCTGTTTTCGGCCACCTTTCCATTATCTATTCTCCTTGGCCCTGGTAATGATGTTGTTTGTGATACGACATTAATAGATGAAACTTTAGCCAATGGTACACCACCGCATCAGCCAACTCATTTATGGAAGCAGTAGGTGGGATTTCGTACAAACAATGTAATGGAATACAAGCAGCCCCTTTGTTGTATCGCTTCAATTACTGGGGCCCGCATGTTCAGCAGATTAAAAATGTACCTCAAAGGATGTTTCCTTCTGCATTTAATACTTGCTGCAACAACCTCTACTATGTAGGTAGACCACAAAATGTACCATAGCACAGCCCTCCGTGCAAATTTTCTTAAGCGGATACTGAATGTTTACACTCTCTAAGTTTAGTATGGTTTATATCCAAGCCAGATAGATGTGATAGGTGTTTTTAGAATGCACATATCTTCAACTCTATGTCAATGTTTAAAAAGGTTCCCACCCATCAATTTGAGACGGTTACTTCCTAGGCCGGTAATATATATCCTTCATATGCAGTTATGTATTCATCAACTGCCACATAGAGGAGGAGGGTCTAGAAAAACCTAGGTAGAACAACCACCTAAGTAGCCTGTCGAGACAATGCATTCGACCAACTAAAAACCCAGGCTTCTACCTAACCAGTAGTGCTACAGTAGATAATAGCAGCAAGATTATAGCAGATAAGAATAGAAGAAAAAGGATCCAGTAATGTGAATCTTGTAATAGGGTAACATTTTTGTGTTAAGACAGCGAGGAATGAATAGAATACAGTACGGAGTACTTTATACTAGCAGCCCAATTATATTGCAGGAACCTAGTTCACCAGGTCATCAACCTCCAGGCAATACAGTACAGAGGTGCACCAGATATGGGTGAACCCCTGTAGGTCATAAATGATAGTAGGTATAGAAAATACCTTATATGTACTATACATACACATCCTATACCTTGACTGCCTAGGTACACGGATCACGAATACATAGATACCTACGCCAGGCACCAATAATAACATCCATATGGTGTTTCTCTATACTAGATACCTATTTACCAAGTGTATACCCTATAACTATTATCTTGCGGGAAGTATGAAGGGAAAGAAGTAAAATAGGAGAGAAAGGTAATATCTTGTGCACTACAGTATACTGTGGCATATCCATTTCAGAGATCCAGCAGTGCCAGCTTCCTCGATGTGGAGTGGTTGCAGGGGCTGTATATGCCTCTATATAAAAGAATGAGGAGGGATCAGAGGGAAAATCGACTAATCAAATGGGGTTACAGCATCCTATATATATCTACTACAACCCACACCCTCCACCCTCAGGCAGTGGTGTAGGGAATTAAATATTACAATGAGGCGAATTTATCGATCTGCTATATTAGTCATACAACATTGGAGGGCTAACGTACTCCGATCACCAACTGCGTGCATATAAAATAGCACTTTTTATGATCTTAATATATTAACAACAACATAGAGTTATAATAAAAATAGAAGTCTTCCTTGATATGCAAATAACTCAGAATGCTTATATAATTTAATTAGAATTTTTTATTTAAATGTATTTTTTGAAATATAATAAGCTAGAAATTCTACAGGGTTCTAGGCTTGGTATCTATATACGTGCTATTGTATTATTATATATTATAGATTTTTAGGCCCTCTTGACCTGTTGTTGCTTACATATTAGGCTGATTAAAAGTGCTATTTCATATGCGATACAGAGGCGCGCTGCTCGGTGATCTGCACAGCTTGGTGCAGCTTAGAGATTGAGTACGTTACCGTGAGTGGTCACTTGATGCAGAGTCAAGCCCGACAGGCTCTTTTTCCCATACAAAATTAGCAAAACTAGTAATATTAAAACTATTCTAGCTCAACCATTGTTTTACATAATACTATATATATTTATTATAGATGCTAAAATCCTAAATTTTTATATAAAGCAATAACATATTAGATATATTATTTATGTATTAAATTTTATCCAGTCTTAGAATGCTAATTGCCTAGCCATGTGATGAATCTACTTGGCTGGGTAGAGTATCATTAACCGTTCAGCTAGGTAAGATAGTAGAAGAGAATATCACTATATCTTATATCAAGATATTTTTAACTAATCCTTGATTTGTTCTTCTTCGAAGATCAATATAATATACAGAACGCCCATAGATAACGATACAGTCATGAGATCATGACAATACATCAACGCGTCATTAAGATACTACTGTAGCGTAAATTCATCGTATACGCAGCTTATCAATAAAGATTCAGGACCCGAGCTTGACCGATTCCCGACCTATCCTTAACAAGCCAAGTTTGATTTTAACCCACTGTGTACATGCTATATCGCTAATCACACGGCCGGTTAGGTAGGGGATTGGGCGAGATTGTATAACGCTATAAGCTGTAGGGAGAGTCGAATAGGGGAAATCCGAGGCGGCCCCTGGGGAGGACTTCAGGGAATTTTCTTGAGTCTTGCGGAGTGTATTGCCTAAGCCATCTTCTTGAAGTGTCCCTCCTCTGATCTGCTACCTTAAGAAGCAGACCGCTATTTAACCTAGTGTCTACCAAGGTCTTCCAGCGCACTGCCGTGAGATCCCATATCGTGCGATGTGTGATCGTATGATATGGGATCATGTCTTCTTCGGAGTGCCTACGTGTTTGTTGTAGCCATATTCGTTAGGCACTGTGTCTTAGTCATCCCCCATAACTTAAAGTTATATGTTTGTTAGTTTAAACCTTACCGCCCCTGGGTGATGGGTAGAGCATGCATAGTCTCTGACCAAAAATGCTCTATAGAACGGAAAAAGAAGAAGAATATATAGAATTATCATTAAAAGTGGTTAGTTAAAATAATTTAAGATGTATATTCTTTGTCATGAGTTGAGCGCAGTGTATTGCTCACGCATGGCCCGAATTCGCTACTATATAGGCCGCTAGACGCGACTGATCAAAAGATCGACTAGTTGTTTTGTACTTTTTATGTTCAAATGGTTTTTACCTCTACTAGTGCAGAGGCAACCGAACCTTTACATTTTTTTTACTGGTTTTATAAAGAAAAATAAAGATAAAAAGATATAATAATTTTAATACAGAATAAAAATTTAGGATTTTTAGTATCTATAAATAAATATTTACATTAATATATATAAAAATAGTGGAGTTAGAGTAGTTTGAATCTAGCAAGTTTTATCGACTTTTTATGCGAAAAATTGTGCGCCAGATGGGAACGAGCGTCAGGTGATCATCGAAGTAACTAACTAGCTACTTGTACGTAAATCCCCGTATAGTCTCGTGCACTAGCACTAACTATGGGACCCTGCAAGACAGTTGCTAGCACCCAAACTTCCATGACATTAACCAGGTCCAGATGGTGAGCTGATGATAACACCCCTGTATTGAAAAACCAACCCCGTAGAGATATGTGCCTACAGGCCTGTATATCTACACCATATTATGATAAATATTCCAGGAACAGCAACGATCATATTTGGAAAGCCATCTGCAACTAAGTGATGCTAGCCACTCCTATTGTCAGCCTGTATCTATGTCTGAATGAATTCTTGACTAAGGCGGCCTTAGTACTACAGCAACCCGGCAATTTAAGATGATTCACTAATTCTTTTTTAAAAAAAAAGCCTTCTGTTGTTACATCACTTATATGGCTCTTGTGGGCAAAACACCAATGCTTAGGGTGGGCATGCATGCAAAAGAAGTATGACCACATTGCTAGTAGGCGTGGTAAGCACCTCCAGTGCACTTACACCCTCCCTCTTCCTTAAATAAATGAGGGTCGCAGATACGGCACATATAGTGAATGAATAACTGGTCTTCAGTCTTCAGTACGGCTAGCTGACACCCCAAAATGATTGATGTTCTTAAACTGTAAGTATTATTCTACCTGTATAGGATTTAATTAGATACATTCTCAAAGGGGAAGCATCCGTCACAATCAGCGCAGATGAAAGCCATTGACTGCTTAATCTTTTGCAATATGGGCCGGCCAACAGCTGCATCAAATGACAACCAGATGATATGGTTCGTTGTGCATACATATGTAGGTTTGTATTTATCACTGCTTGGATTTCCCCTCTTGCCTTCTCCTTTTCCAATTCCCCGCCTGCAGGAAAGAAGAGAGAGAAAAAAAGACAAGTTTCTACATTCTTAAAAAGAGAGCCATTGGCTTACTGAGAATATGCTTGTTTGCCCCATTACAGTATTTAGTTCCTATTATCTCTTCCAAGATGTTTGATGCTTGATGCTTGATCCTTGTCAGTTCCACGAGACCCCTGATTGCTTTTGTGTTTTCTCTCACTCTTTTTTTTTTCTCACCCTCTTGTTCCTCCACCTGCCCCCATTCCTTGTTGTTGTCACCCCCTTCGATATATTTTCTTAGTGCTTAGTTTCACTCACTCCATACTACTGTAGACCTTTTATTTAATTATCTGCGCTTGTACCTTATAGAAATAAGGATCAGACCCATATTTGCTACTGCCCTTCATGCCCTTCTTTTTTGATTATCACCCATATTACTTTTTGTGCCTGTATGCCTGTATGCCTGTATGAAAAGGAGTTGCTTGGCCCATTGTTCAGGGATCCTGTCAGCTGTGTCTGCTTCATACAGACCTGCCTGTGGTTACCTTGCATCCTTGATGTGTAGGGTGTCATGGTCCTGTGCATATTACACCAGCACTCTGTATGCCGGCCATACTGCGCTTTATATGAGGCATGGTCAATAGCATCTGGACATTTAACCTGGGCTTGGTTGCCCTTTCTATCCCTACCTCGATCTTGTAACTACCAGCGTCCTTCTCTCTCCTCTCTTCTTGTTTCTCCTGTCTTCTTTATTCCTCAAGGCCTGACATTTCCTCAACATTCCTTTCTTCCCTTGGCACTTTTATAGCAGCCCTGAGTTGCAATCCTCATTCTGTCAAGGGGATCTTCGGTATTTAGTAATCTCTTACCCTATTTTTGATCTCTCATTGAACCTTTTGGTGATGCACCAGGAAATAGATCTGTATCTCTCAGAGTCCCAAGGAATTGAATTGGCTTTTGTGCTAGAGCTGTTTTGCGAAGTGCTCAGAGCTTCTTCAACCCGTCTTCTTCCACTTATCTATGATGAGTGGCTTTGGAAAGCGTGGCAATGATGGTCACGAAAACTATATCGTGAACCATCAAGTTGCTCTTCCAGTTCCATATAATCATGGGGATGGACATGAGTTTAGCGTGAACGAGCCGGTGACCTATGGTTTCCCTCAATCTTCTTTCAACTCTTATACTTCACACTTCACTTCTCCTTATAATCACCCAGTTTTAGCACCATCCCATATGCATCATCTCTCTCCACACCATTCACCGAATCACTCTATCCCATCAACACTGGAAGTTACGGCTCTGCAGCACCAATCAGTGCAGTACATGGCCCATAATCGTTATCTTCAGACATCAAGGTATCTGCCTCTTCGTGAAGCTCTCAGTGAGACCGACATTGAAAGTCAGGATTCTCGAAATGAAAATACGATGCTATCAGAGCCAGTGATTCCTCCACTGGACGGGTTCCCAAATGTAAGGGAATTTGACCAACTGATGAAAAGGTAGATCTCTCATAATATTATTCGGGATGTTGAAGAAGTTGGTCGTGCTTACATGAGGTTGGGACTCCCTATGTCTGTTCATTTAGCTATGTCGAAGATCTGTCGGTAAAGAAACAAGACAAGGCTTTGATTCATGCTAAACGAGCACGAAATATAAAGACGGTTTTGCTGGATCCTAAAGACACTGCTATAGAATCGGCCCAATTCAGGTATGTAACGCTATATTACCATAAATATACTTGGCTCTGTTGTCTTTGATCTTTATCCGAAAATTCCATGGAAGCTCTATATCAAGCATCGCTAAGAAGCAAGTTCTTAACCAGATTCTGGGTGAAAAAAATGTTCAAGCTCCAAACAGTTGGTAGCGTGACCACAGATGTATGTATCTGCCCTTACATTGAACGGCTAGTTCAATATTGACATGGGTATCTTTATAAGTACACAAAGATGATCTGCCATGAAGGAAAACCAGTGGCTATTCGGGAGAAACTTTTCAAGATTCTCACGAAAGCCCATCAACAGTGTCAACATGGTGGTAGGGATAAAACTTCGGCCCAGGTTCGGCAGATATATTCATGGTAGGTAATGTAATAGACCATCCTCCAACCTCCCCATTATTTATGTAAATCCCTGTTTGCTATGCTCTGATTATTATTCTAATCAGTCTGAAGGGTCCCAAAAGAACTCATTTCACGCTTTGTGAAAATCTGTCCAACCTGCCAAGTGCGCCGTGGAGGTTCGCGCCTAACACCGCCTAGCTCAAGAAGAGGCTCTCCTTGTCTCAACAATATGCCTCGTTCTCCTAAACTTCCATCGTCTCCTATATCCAGGCGCGAGTCTACTTTAAATGGCCAAGCCCCGTTAGAGAGGTCACAATTTGACTATTTCAACCAATTCAATGGCCACAGTGGCTGGACAGATAGTCATCGGAATGTACATGTGCGGCAGAGCCCAAACACCGGTCCAGTGCGCTCATTCAGCTCCACCACACTGGGTCATCTGCCCAGCTCTGTGTCCACTGCAATAGGTCCGTTTCATGGGGAAATGCCTGTGTCATCGCCGCAGGTCAACTATAGTCCCGGGTATGCATCCACTACACATGGCTCTCCCAGCCATTGAGAGCCTTAAGTTTCACAAGGCGACAATTACACAGCCTTCTGTTGGGAGTGACTAGTGTCACGTCAATATCACTTTATATAGTTTGCTTCATGTCAATCTAGTATATGAGAATGCAAAAGCCAACCGATTCCATGCGGACTTTTCAATGGAAGAGTCTGGAGAGAGCAGATGCTTGTAAAGGGAAGAAAGAGCAGGACTGTGGACAACCTTACAACCCCGCGTTAAATGATACACATGCATGTACCATTATTGTTTGAATTACTAGTATGCCTGTCTATAGGAAATCAAAAGCCAGACAACTAAGCATATCCCATGAAACATACGGAGTAGATAGCGTATATTATTGGTATACGCCCTGTGCATAGGTAAAGCTTTGCATTGAGTAAAAATTCAGATTCATATAGTGCCTACTAGTAACATGCTACGTGTTGGCTTTTGTAAGTTCAACACCCGAAACACTATGTCAACAGGTATAGATGAATAGAATAGGTGTAACTGTAAGATAATGGACACTACAAGCCAAAATAGCCCAGCGGGCCCAAAGGAGCAAATTCTAGTTCCTAGAATTACAAAGCAACACGACATCTAAATCCAGTTGTTCCTTTCCACACCCTCTCCAATGTATTGGTCCAACTCTTCGTTATTGCTCAAACAGGGAGAGAGAATTTTTTGCCTTTCATGACCCTTTCAATAGTTAGTTATTTTGTCGAGCGGATGTGGAAAGTGGATTCTTACTTAGTATAATAGATATAAAAGAAGTCCGAATAGAGGAGTGTTTGGACGATGCCTGCTATGACTGGTCTAGACTGGAAGTGTTGTTCTGCGAAGTACCGATAAATCCAGTTCGGAATGTACAGCGCTCGATATAAACCCAGTGCAAAAAGGTAGTGAGTTGTAATAGTGTCAGCCTCCCCCGTACGTTGAAGCATGAAAAGCTGAGGGAGGATGGCAACAGATTCAAGCCAAATGGAAAACGTCCAAAGAATCTTCGCTTCGTCAGACTTCTTCAACATCTACAAGACTAACAGGACTGACCTCGGAAACCCTATAGTCGTGGGGGAAAGCAATAGCTAAGAAGGCACTAAAGCCTAAAAGGTACTGGACTTTGAAAGTATCAAGATTCGGATCATGCGTAGGCTTGTAGTCGTTGAGCATAAGATAAATTATATAAGCGGAAGAGCCAATGAACAGGATCTTGAAGGTCGTATTGTATAGGGAGTCGGCGAAGGCCCAGAAGAGATCTGAGTGAATTAGAGACAATACACCGCCAATGATCGCATATGGAATCTAACCAAGGTAGCGAGTCACAAACACCAATAGATACAATGCTTGCGACTTGAATGACAGTCCGGAGCAGCTCTGAAAAAGTTGTCAGGATAAGTAACACAGGTGGGAACAAGCACATACACTCGAAGACTTCATCTTATTTAGAAGAATGAAAATAGAGGCGAGATGGGAAAAATCAGCTATTTAGAATATTAAGCAAAGCGAAACGCAGAGAAAAGGGCCAGTAAGCGCTCACCTAAAAGCCTGAAAACATTCATTGTGACCAGGGTCTGCGACTTGGGCAATAGACTTGTTCAATTTAAAGTTGTAACTATATCATCGAAGATAGAGGAGACCCGGCAGTCACAATAGTACACCCAAGAATTAATCGCCATAGAAATCTTGGATAGCACTGAGGATCCAGTTGATAGGAGGGGTGGAAAATCAGTCGTTCCAAGAAGTACCAATGTTGACACGAAGCCTCAAGGACGGACGGGCAAGCTCTGTGCCCCACAGACTATGCATAGCCCGAGATCCACTATGCAAATCAACGATGCCGCCTCAGTCGTCCCTAGTTCAACTCCGTACCAAGGGCATTTAGTTTTCAGTAGCTTAGCCAATTATTGTATCTATCATTTTTGGTATTGTTAAACCATCGAGTCTATTCTTTCCTTTGCCACCACCACTGCTTTTGATTCAACTTATCATTCCGTGAATACCCAAATCTCTACAATAGGAGAGCAAATTAATTAATATTGTAATAGACTGGAAGTAGTGCGTACATTTAATATCATTTATTTATCATCCCAAAAACCATATCCAGACTTTCCTAAGTTGGCTCTTTAAAAAACAGCGTTCGCATGCACATTTTCACACTCTGTTATACTTTGTAGATGCCCTTCTGCTAACTCGCTCTTCAAGGCACAAATAGAGCTCTCTCTATCAAATTTGTCCCAATCCCTAACCCCAGTTCGTTTATACGTCTGGATGTCCGCAATCTGCTCAAACAGCCGGTCCTTGTCTGCGTCTAATTGAGAGAGTCGCTTCTCAACGCTAATATCCATGCTAGATGAAAGAAGTTTTCCTCCTGGGACTATCGAAGAAAGGCCCGCGAAGTAGCTCGTATATTTTGGGGTTCGAGGGTATGATGGCGTTGTAACGCTATTTTGTCGATATGCAGCATGGCGATGAAATTCGGTGCTTGGACCCAATGGCAAATGACTGCGTGGACCGGAGGGAGGTATATTAGAACTGGCTGACGAAGGCCCACGTCGCGCTGTGGGTCCCCATATACCCTCTTTAAAACTCGGACCTCCACGAGGACGGGTTGGTGCCGACAGTAAAGAAATGTTCAACCCACGGTTTTGGGAAGACAAGGACTTGGGACCCTGCGAAGGGCCAGATGGGGGGGATTCATTCTGCACGGCATTGGAGGCCGCCTTGGGGCAGCCTGGGGGACATGCAACATTTAACTTACTGTATTCGGTTCCCGCAATATCAACAGATTGGCCATTATCTCGCTTGTCAAAGTCTCCTCTAGGGGTTGATGGAGCATCCCGGCCAGCAATTAGAGTCACATCCGTTACATTATCTTTGTTTGGATTGGGGGTACGGCCATTAATGGGAGAGTTCTCTGAGTTCCTGTACGGCTGCTGACGGTTGATAGGGTGAGAACCTGGCGATCGACCGCTGGTATAAAACATGAACGTAGTAGAGAATCTATCGGTAAACGGTGATGACCGTCTTGACGTACTTCCAGATTCAATAGCTGAATTTTGCATCGATGCGACACCCCGTGGTGATGTCGATCCTCGCTTGTGGGAAAAATTATCCACAATGTAACGTTCGCGACGACGCTCCTGGAGAGGGCTTCGAGGGCGGAAGACAGTTGGTGTGCGAGGTAAACTTTCTCGGAACGAGCCATCTCTTGACAGGGAATTAGATCTCGGGTATTGATCAGCTGTAGTCAGTGCAGGACGCTCTCTTCTAGGAGGCCTGGAGTCTTGGGCGTGCGGTGATAGCTCTCGGTGCCGTTTAAAGCCAGTCCGTCCGCCAGAGATGTCCCGAGTCTCGCAATATGGCGACTTCGGACGCCATGAAGTTTGTATGGGGGCACTGGGTCTTCCTTCTCGCCGAGGGGACTGGCGTCGCTGAGGTGAGCATGCTTTCGTGTAGGATTTGGAGATGGTATCCCTGCTATGATATGGGGGGCTCCGAGATGAACGGCGCCTAAAAGCTGGAGGCGAACGACTGCGCACACGACCGTATATCCGAGATGGCACCCACGTATCAGCAACTCGGCGGGGAGACCGATTTCGGGGAGATCTACTGCGTCGTGAATAGCTGCGAGAATTTGCTGGACGATAGCTTTCTCCGCCGCGGTGATCGTCAAATCTTGGGAAACGGGATTAGCACAATGATACTATTCCGGCCATAATCGTGATAACACACCTTCTATTGCGGTCCCAATCCATTAGTATAGGCCTGCTCTGATTCTAGGCTATATATTAATACACCAAACCAGGATGTACAATGTATGCGTTGTACGTTGTATGTTTAGTTGATAATCGTGGGAAACATTTCTGAGAATAAAGTATAAGATTTCCTAAATATATGAAAGTTTCAGTGGCAAATATTACTTGGCAAAGAAAGCATATAATATCAAAAATTGCAATTTATTAATAACAGGTGTCTCCATGGTCTAGTTGGTTTTATGACGGCGGTCTCATAGTAATGCACAAATGCACATGACAGCTCATCCAAGAGTTGGATATCCGCAGGTCACGAGTTCGATTCTCGTTGGAGGCATTTTTTTCCATATCCAGAACATTTTGTTGCCTGGATATAGAAGCTATACAGAAGATCGAAGGCCTATATGGTCACTATTTATCACTTACATATATTATAATATTATAAATGTCTTTATGATAAATATAAATATAATGCGTTGTTAGAGCTACCCCCCTGTCTGTTAGAATTCGGAGTTCGTGTCAGAATAGTTAAACTGCTGATTGGGCCATTTCTGACAAGTGCGGTCACGCGGCGGTTTTCTGTGGCCCCTCACCCTCGTATTGTTTTGTTTTTAGTTCTTCAAGCGATAGGTCTATCAAAACGCAATCCAAATTATTCATCTAACCTCATGCCGTGACACTATAAATATTTAAATATATTAACTTGTCCTTTAATAGTGCCTTATTAAATGCTACTGTACTTTTTATATAAAGTACATAGCTGTGAAAGGGGCAGTAAGCCACGGTATATGAAAATCTTTTACTATCTATTATTTCTTACATGTATATACAGGCTTGGCAATGATTAATCCGAACATTATCGATTTGATTACCACTATTTTGTGTAAAATTTGCATTTTAGCCTTACCTTATACTTAAATATAGTAAAGGTTTTATATACTATAAATAAATATAAGAGTCGCATATTTTATAAGTATTATAAAAAAATACTAAGAATTGGCTGAGTACTAAGGGATCAAACCTTGGGATAATTATCCCGGATAATACTAGATAATACAGGAATCAGCCCCACTTGTTTTTTTTATAATACTTTTAAAATATGTTTGCCAAGCTTGCTTCCAGGAGGACTTCATTTCCTGCCTGTAATTTAAAGTCAAGGTCTCGAAGCGAAAATCAAGAAGCGGGTTGAAAAGGATATAAATACTAGGTTTAACAATACAGATAGATCATATAAGCTGCGTGGGAGCCAAGGAATAAACAAAAATATCTATGGCTAGAGAAGGCTTAAATTAATGGCTAAAAAGCTCCAAACCAATCTTTAATGGCATGTTTAGATGCTTTATATTTTGAATGGCAAGCTTATTATATAGGAGTGGTAAAATCCATGTATTTTTCTGCTCATAAGAATTCTACGCGGTATCCGGAATATGGTAGACCGTCTTATTTGTTTAATTATATAACTTATTTTATAGCTTAATGCCCTTCGTTTGTATTTTAGGTAGCTGCGAAGTCTGTGAGGTGGTAGCGATGTGGACAGTGGAGGTGCTCGGTAAGTTCGGATTTTGGGGATAAACGAACCGCCCGCCTGATGATAAATTTATCATGATATGTCTCATAATAGTGCTAAAGTCTCTACTTGAATTATAGCCTTTTTATATGTACAAATATCTAAAGATATAAGCCACGGAGCATAGATTGATGTCTAATAATAACAAATAGAATTTAATCTATTATATCTCAATTAGTATATATAAAATCAGGCCAAAATAGCCATGAATATAGTATTTAATTATATTATTTTATAGCCAACCTGAATGGACATAGAGCTACATGTTTAATATCTCCCAACATGCCACCAAGGCTTGCTAAAAGACATTTCACGCAGTATTATTTTCCCACGACACACAATTTCTGATTTAGGCAAGTTAATCCTATTACTCTAGAGGAGTCGAGCCATGACATTAGTAGCTTTGAACAAAAACAAAGCACAGAAACTATTAGAACAGATACCTGTTGTCACTTTAGAATAAAACAAGCCAATCTGACAGACAAGAGAAACAGATACACCAGAGACTATTATTGAGAATAAGTTACCAATGAACCACATCAGAGATGAACACAGACCAGCTATGTCCGGTGGTATTTGCTAAGTCATTGCATCATAAATTCCAATAGCAAAAAAAGTGGCCTGTTGGATGAAACGCTAATAAACATCACAATCATACACTAAAACCAAAGTTGGAAATCAATGTGGACCCTGGTACTGCTGTTGGCACACCTATAGGGGTTCTCTTTAACTAGGTTGGCCATGGTGTACCTTGTCTGGTCACTGCAGATACTGTTGAAAGAATCTGGGCTGAAACCAACCAACACGCTCATAGGCAGTCCAGAGTTTGCTTGCTTTGTTAACATCAATCTTGCATGCTTGCTGCGCATCTGTCTTGCGGAACTCCTTCCCCATATTTAGAGCCTTAACACGAGCTTCAAAAATACGGCGTTTGCTGCATAGGTATGTGGCACATGACAGTCTTAAAGTGGCAGCAAGATTGAATTCAGCAGGGCTTAGCAGCTCCCGGTCCGGATCATTGCTAAGATCTAGCATCTGTCCTTTCCAGTCTGCCTTCAAAGCCTTCGCATTGCCACCAAGGGTTTCTAGTGGGGGTGAATAATCATTGATCGAATCGTAATCTGTATCATCTCGGTTCGTAGCTATAGAGCGAGGTGGCTTACTACTCGGGGGAGGGAAGTCAAAAGAGTCAAGACACTTTTGATTTGGTGTAGACCTGGGTGTACGCTTAACCCTGGTAGTCCTCTGTAGCCGATGCTGAGATATGGCTGCCCTTTTAGCAGGTGCTGGAGCGATCTTTTTTAGTTTTGTTTCGAATTGTGGGGGGCGACAACGGTTCATCATGACTAATTGACGCTCTAGTGTTTCTCTCTCTTCTTTAGCCCACGCCGCTGGATTGCGGTTATATTGAGCGGACACAATCGGGACGCAGGAAAGAGCCAGTAAATACTCATCTCGCGTCGGTTTGTTCAGCTTATTCTCAAATCTTGCCATGTGAGAATTGATGTGTTGCTCAACCAACGCTGCAGCAGAGGGTGGGGGTACAGGGCCAAATAAAGGTACATCGGTCGCAACGTCAGCAAGAGGCTCATGACGGGGGAAAAGAATAGGGTCTCTAGAAGATCCACCAGTGGCTTCCCTATCTAGATGGTCCGAAGTACTCGGTTTCCTTTTCTTGCTCCCTGTATATGGAGTGACAGGTGGAGATGGTAGATCCATTTCTGACTGAGTTCGTTTGCGGTCAACCAGAATAGGAGGCAGTTTCGCGTCATGGCAAAGAGATAGATTTTGGGATACTGCACGGGGAGAGAATGGAGTGTCAAAGGTATCCAAAGGCTTGGACTCTGGGGGAGACATGAGACTGGCAACGGATGGTAAATGGTCCATTTTGATCTTTTCACTCTGCCCATGTAGTGAGCCAATAGTAAATAACGTCATAACCGTAAAAAAATGGCACCCAGGCAGATAAAGGAGACAAAAAGTAGAAAAATTGGATATGTGATAGGTACAGCAATTCCGCTCTTTTAGTAGTGAGGTCACTAGTAATGGATGACAAACACTGATGATGGAATGTGTTAATGGAACTGAAAGGAAAAGGAGATTGAGAGGAAAGTACACGTGAAAATGATTTGTCAGGGCACCCTTGTGAAGGTGGCGATAGGCAGAATAATAGGCAGATATGACCTTGCTACAAGTCCCTCAGCAATGAGCCATTAAAGGGTTAAATCCTAGACAATGCAATAATAACTCTTCCTGGTAGCAGGAACAAGTGCTTGTGCACGAGTATACTGTATTATAATATGAGGAAAGGGAAGGAGGAGAGGGGAATGAAAGAATCAAGGGATGGCAGAACTTTCAAATGAAGGATGGTGTTGCAACCCCTGAGGAACTGCAAGCTGAGGAGGGCTCCTGATCAAACTATGAGTCAATGCGCCACCAATGGATGACAAGGGCTGGTTTATGATAATGTTCACAAGACTGCGGGGTGGCGCGTGGCAGTACTTTAGAGCTGACATTCCAATTACCAGAGCATCTATTTTTGGGGTATTTAATGTTGATTGGTTTACCAGTGTTTCATTAATTTTACAAATAATTCAAATGTCCTGCGATTTAAACAGTATCCTTTATATGAGGGTAGGGTGTGCATTGGGCAGCAGGCACTGGCTGCAATTCTATACTCTATACCTTTTTTTTTTTTTCTTATTCAATAGGGGCTATCATCACATATTTACATAAATTATAGAAAATTACTATATGGCCATCACAGGTCACTATACAGTAGTATGAACTGTTTTTACTATATGGTGTATATGGGGGGTAGCAATGTACTATTTTAATATCTGGATTAACTTTAGTTACTTATATCTGTTTAACCACTACTAGTACTTTGTATATTAGGCTGAAATAACTACTACTGTGTACAAATAGGTTACTAACTGATTATTAGTCTGTTACATACCTACAGGGTTTATAAACTACGTATTGCTGGCGTTGCTCCTGTGACATCATTAATAGATGACTCATAGTTAATCTGCCCCGCTTTTAGACCCGCCCAACAGATTACGTAGCCTCAGCCTTCTGGGCCCTTACAATAACCCCACTAGAGGTAGGTTACTACCACATTACCATACCTTTTCGTCTACACACCACGAGACACAGGTAGGAAGTGGCACAGAGCGCACAAACACCGTTCTACACCAGTCTCCTATGCGGATATTGTCTAAGTCCATAAACAGAATACAAAGACAATCAAATTATGTACAGTACTAGTCAAATCAGGACTTGGTTTCCGCATGAGCCTTTTTGACATCACCAATGGATTTAATTAGAGCCTCATTAGCCAGAGCCTGCAGCGCTGCTTCGTTTCCTGCAATTGCCTTGCTCGGGCCCTGACCTGATCCAAGATGTCTGTTTACCCAGCCCCAGCCTGTGAGATATACACCAATACAAAAGGTTTGTACCCCTCTCCTTTCCTGGGCACAGGGCTGTTCATCAATGTATCTGAGTTTTACCCCTTTGCCCATTATCTTTTGAGCAAGTGCTTCCTTAGCATGCAGAAAGGACTTTTGCGACTCAATTCCTGAAAGTTTTGGAAGCCACAATTGAGTCAGCCACTCTTCAGCTATTTTATAACCATTTTGAGGTTCAGACAATATAATTGCGGCCACATAAGATTCGAAAATATCTCCCATGGTTTTCATCCACCGTCTAGGTTGAGTCAAGTAGTCATGAGGCACATGAGCCCTTTTGTCAAAGCCGTACTTAGTCGCGTACTCAGCTAGAGTTTCATTCTTGACAAGAAGTTCCCGAATTTGCGATATTCGCCCTGATGTGATATCCCCAAACTTATCCCAAATAAGTCTTGTAGCCATAAGCTCTATGTACGCATCTCCTAGGACTTCAAGCCGATCATATGTGGCCTTGATATTGCTGTTCACGCCAGGGTGTGTAAAAACGGCATTTGCGAGCAAGTCATTTGGTATACGTGGCAGAGAAGGCAGGGCCGCCTCTAAATTGGTTATGTTCGTGCGCGAGGAACTGAAAGTTGCACCTGCACCAGATTTAGCAACATGTTGGGTTAGAGATTGAACACGGCACAGAGCCTTATTCAGGTCCGCGACTGCCTTGGCGATATCTGTTCCCGGCTGTTCAACCTCAGGGGTGCATTGGACATCATTCAAGATATCTTTGATCCAATCTGACACTGTACTTAGACGATGCTGAAGTCTACACTTCTCCATCGGAGCGGCATCTAATTGTGAACCTAAGATGGCCTCTTGTGGATAGACCTTTGATGGTCAATGTCAAGTACAGGTGCCACTTGGGACTGCGTATGTTTACCTTAGCCTTTTTAACACTCTTGGTGGAACGAAATGCATATTTCCTTTTCCGATCCATTGGTGTATTACTATTGGTGGTGTAGGGGGACATTCAGTGAAGAAAGGTGGTATTATTGATAGGGAAAATATACACGCAGTAAGTCATGTGACTTGGACAAGTGCCTTTGATCCGCTACTTCATTTCGTGGTGTAACTCCCACATTGTAAAGCTACGGACGATAATGACTTATACGCGAATATTGGAACTTGCAAAGGTATTATACATATGATGATTCCTCTCCGAGACAAACTAGCATTGGCTAACTCGGGTTGGAAATGACCCTCATAGGCTCAGTGTCGCATCTTTTCACTCAACTTTAACCCCGAAAGATTGCGACTGGGCAACAAAATCCTTCGACAGCGACTTCGTGGCCCATCACTCCTATCATGGTATCCTAAAAAGACTGTGTCATTTAGAGATTTGCAGGAGACATATAAACCACTTGGGTTATCAGCATTTGACGAAGCCGAGGATGACAGAGAAGAGGCAATCCAGATGTATGTCAAGTTTTGCACGTGTTTACATTATATTCTTATCTTATGGTTATAAAACAGTGCGAAACTACGAGGCAAAGGCCGGCCAAAGAAAAAAAGAACGGCTGCAGGTAAGATCCCTCATGGACACCGCGACTTCTGGGGGAGTTTTTCTGAAACAAAGTAGAATCAAGATCTGCAAAAAAGAAGAAATAGCTGTTTCGGCATGATATGGGCTTAATACAACCTTTATCCCTGGTTGGTGCTACACCTAGCTTTTATATCTAAATTTCCTCTGTTAACACTCTAATCTCTAGATTAGTTTGCTAGCCACATGGTCTATACGGTCTTTGGCCTCGTGAGGATTTCACCGTGTATTGTATAACTATAGAGGTTATGCATATGTCCTCTATAAAATAGTGTAATATATGATATGTCTTCTAAGGATTCATAGCTATACACTATATCTAACAATATTTATCTGCTCTGTTGTATAAAAATACCATAATTTTGTTGTCTAGGTACAATGATTCTTATCTATGTTGTGATGGATCTGATAGGATTCATTCAGTCTCAGATTAGAATAACTTAGTTTCCTATCCTTTAAAATGTTATCCTAGGGGCATTTGGCCACCTATATATGGATATCTAGATAAAACAATAAATTATATAATATTTTAATATTATTACAAGTCAGAACAAATAAGAGCATGCCGCCAACATTTTACCGTCGGCGACTGCTTCGGTACCTATAGATATTTAAGTATTTGGATGGCCTCTCTTTTCTTTCAGATATTTAAACTAGTAAAGAATATAGATGCAATATAAATTTACCTTTGAATAATTTGGTGCCTGTTTTGGACATTATTTATGCTATAATCTGTAGTCCCAGAGCACTAAACCTTGCATTTAATATTTTGTTTTTTAGTATTTTTACTATAATAATTTAATAAATAGTACTATTAGTAAGCTTCTTTGTTAATAATATTAGGTAGCAAGTGTCAAAATTAGTAATTTAAAAAGTAATAGAAGTTAGTCTTCAGGAATCAGGGAATGCAGTCCTTGACAGTTTGAAAGGTATATAATGATCCCTAATTAGTAATATGTTAAAACGCAGATTTTGAGGCTACTAAAAATATGAAACTGGAGGGAAAATAACGTATATCAACAAAAAAAAGGATTAAAAAATAGAATGGTTAATAATAAATAGATCGGTCCTCGGAAAATATTAAATAAATGCTAGTAAAACAAGAACAAAAAAAGCAATTAAATTAAAAATTGTCATAGGCTAGAGTGTCGACACCTTACGGATCTTATTACTAGCCGTCCTTACGGCCACGAGGGAACGAAGTGGAATTATTAAAGAGATAAAACCAAATACAGGCTGCCGTTGTGCTAAGAGTATACGGCAAACTAACGGGAACCACGTGACCACAACCGCATACACTATGTGGCGCATGTCATGGGGACAACCCGTGAAAAAAGTAAAAGTAGTAAAGTAAAGCACGTGTAGAATAATAATTAGAATAAAATAATAATTAAATTAAAACAGTTGTGTGGTTAAAGCCGTTTAAAAAAAAAAAAAATAATAACTATTAGTGTCAGAATATTCAGATATTCTAATTATCTAATTAAGTAATTACTTAATTAAGAAACTATGTGATGGTTTGGTTGTCTCTGCGCTAGTAGAGATAAAACCACTTGACCATATAAAAGGTACAAGACGACTGATCTTCGATCAGTCGCATCTAGCGCCCTATATAGTATCTTACAGGTTCAGCCTGTGACAAACTACTTAATTAAGAAATTACTGAATAGAAATCTGGCGGCCTGTTCCAAACTTCTGAAACTATATGGTACGGATCCTAATACCGAGATTAATTTGGAAAGAGAACCCTAGGACGTTAAAGGTATAAAAAGCAGCTTAAACCCCTGCTTGGAATATAAATAAATAATTATTTTTAATATCCCTCGAGCATATACCTTCCTATATAGGAAAATACAAGCTATTCTTTGTTATATACCCACTATATCTTATACTTACTTGGTATAACTTATACCTATATTTATTTATTATACTATTATAGAATAGTATTCACAACCCATTTCCTCTAAGCCAATTCTAAATAGGAGTATCCCATGGCTATTCCTATCCTGGTTAGTCTAGTAGTAGTGGTCCACCATCCTCCGACAGTTATAAGCCCGGGTTGCCTTAAATACTACTTTATTTAATATTTTACCTACCCACTTGCCTTACCTACATTGCCTTACTAATACCTTTACTAATACCAATCACCTTTTAACGTAATCGGTAAGCGAGCGCCGCATTGAAGGCGAGCGCCGCATTTCTGTACTCCATATAAAATGGCACTCTTTGAAACCTTAATATCTCAACCACCAGTAGATATAGAAACATCTTGATAAGATAGTAACATATATATAAACTCTAAAAAGGGAGTTTTTATATTTTCATGTTTTTAGGTAGTTTTCTTGGCTTTAAGTACTAGAACAACTGAAAGTATAAAAAATACAGATGTAATTTATCTTACCTGGAGAAATATTCATTCTGGAAATTTCTCTGCTTAATATATATATACACAGTATTATATTATACTGTATATTTAATTTTATGTCCCCTAGGTGCTTTATTGTTGAGATATTAGACTCTCAAAAAGTGTCATTTTATATGGAATACAGAGGTGCGGCGCTCGCTTACCGATTACGTTATATTCAATATCAATTTATATAATAAGCTTAGTCATAGGCTTCTATTATTATTCTATTATTGTTGGAAATAGGAGCCTAATATATCAGGTACCAATTACTACTGCAAAATATCAGCAAAACCATGGAAAAATTATGAGTCATAATTTATAAGTCACAGAAAACTATAAAATATTTTTTAATCTATTTCTATAAGATTCTATAAGAAATTAATTAGCTATATAACTCTGTTGATTTCAAAGCAAGTCCTACCTGAACTTTAATATTAATTTATTTACCTAAAAAGGAAACTAAAATGCAAATATAAAAAGCAGGTCTTTGGAAGCAATTTTTGTAAGAATAAAACAAGTAATTTAATTTATTTATTCTTTAATATATTATTATTATAAAAATATAAGAATCTATTAAAAATATAACTAATATTTACTATACCTTACTTCCCCTACTACCTTCCTTTTAATAATTATAAGCTTGGCATAGCTATAAATATTATTTTATTTTACTTATTTTTATCTTCTTTTTATATTTTATTATTTAACCTGCTAAATACCTATATTATTTAATATACCTTCCCGAATTACTTTACTATTTTAAATTTATAAAGGTGTTTTATATATAGGACAAACCTTATTATATATATTAGTATTAATATTAAGCAGGTTAATATTAATACCATATAGATTTAACTAAGGTGTTAATAATTCTATTAAGCTAAGATAACTAGCTATTATAGTTTAATAATATCAGGATTATTACTTAAAATAAGGGCGTCTGGGATTATATAGATCCTGATATAGGTATTAAACCAAATATACTAAGAAAGCCTTAGTACCCTGACGTTTCCAATGTTAATAAAAGGGCTAGTTTAATACTAGACCTTAATGCTAAAAAGTATAACCTATGGCGTGACGCTATTTGTAAATATAATATAAAATCTAAAAATATAATTAACTAATAGTATTTTTTATATACTATTAATTATTACCAATTTAATATCCTATAATAATAAGCAAGCTATTATAGGAAATAATTTAGCCTTAAATATTTTATTAATATTAAAATCTAAGATAGTACCTTTTAATAAATCCTAAAAAAGGTATATTATTTAAAAATATTATATAATTTAAAAAGCCCTCGAGTTAGCTTTATTAAATTATAGATTTCCTAATAGGAAAATATCTATATTAAAGTAGTAGAGCTAAATATAGGTAAAATTTAGTAATCTATAAAACCTTTATATAATTTTATTAAAGCTACTTTAATCATTTTGCAGAATTATAGAAGGATAAGCTAATTTAAAAAAAAAAAAATAATAAAAAAAAATACCTTTATTTTTCCAAATAACTAAAAGGTTTAGGGATTTAATTAAACTAAACTAACCAAAGCTTTTAAAACAGATAAATATTACTTAGGTAATATTTAAAGGTAATAATTTTATTATATAAAGGCCTTGTCCGTACAATTTAAAAGCAAATAATAGTTACTATTATTTTAACAAATACAAATATATCCAGCAATTAGCTTAAGACCAAGATATTAACCCAGATGTTTAAAAAATAATTTAATAATACTTGTAATAAAAGTGAAAAGTTTAAAACTATTTTTATAAAAGTTTTATTAAAAGTAAAATTAGCAAATTAAAATCCTAAACTAAAAATAGCCATGACAACTACAAAAAATAGTTTAAAAAATTTTATTAAAAAGCTTATAAACTTTTAATACTATTTTAAATATCTATATTTACAATTCTAGATTAAAATTCTATAATTTTTAGCAAATAAAATCAATATTTTATATTAAAATTAGGAATACTTTTACAAA